CCTCTCCAAAAACTTGGAAAAAGAGTACGGCACGTCGTCGGCGTCGTCGTACCCATCCTTCTTCTTCGTCGGGCGGAAAATCGCTTCTAACTCGTCCATCGGCACGTCAATCGTGGCTTTCTTCTGCTTCGTCGGTGGAGCCATTTTCTTCTCCGGAGTCACGAATCGATTCACGTACTCTTCTGGATCGAAACTTTCATCCAACGACGACATCTTCTTTCTATCAATGTCAGCGTCCTCTTGCTCTTCGAAGCCACGCATATTCATCTCGTCGCTCCGTTCCACAAACTCCTCGACATCGAAACGAGGAGAGGTCGAAAAGAAGGCGAGATGGTCCGACTATTCGCACATGGCAATGATTTCAAAGCTCCCCGCTCGCGCTTTGTGGAAATGGATAATGGTTTGGCAAGCCGCTCAAGTTAAAGAAGGAGAGCCAGATCAGCATTTCATGTGCGCATACTCAGATGATGCAAAGACATGGACGAAAGCGATTCGAATGCCAATCGGGAAACAGCGCGGTGCAATTCCTTGGGCTCCGGTTTTGAGATTATCGGGAGAGACTTTGACGTTGTTTTTTGCAGAGTCTTCTACGTGCATGAAACCTGGTGGTGGCGTTGCCGCCATCGACGGCGCAGATATTCCGAGATGGGCACCTGGTGGCGATATTCGATTTGCAACCACGCGCGATGGCTTTCGTTGGTCAAAGCGTGTCGAGCTGTTAACGCAATCCTACAACACGGGGATTCCCAAGGTTATCGCGAACCCGGCGATACAGATTAGTCAAGGCGACCATAAAGGAACTCTTATTTTACCGTACTGGGAGGAAGTTCCGAGAATGTCGACGAAACGCGAAGGATGTCCGAGTCCAGATGCGACGCCGTCTGCGGGCGCGCTCATTTCAAAAGACAACGGTAGAACTTGGAAGCCTTCGGAGTCGTCCCTCACCGATTCAGAGACGTGGTTGATTGAAGGAACGATGGCTGAATTATCGAACTCGAGCGTGTTGCATTTATTTAGGACATCGGTTGGTGAAATATATAAAAGTTTGAGTCACGATGGCGGTAGAACGTGGACGAAAGCGTCCTCGACCGGTTTACCAAATCCAAACTCGAAGATTCATCTTTTGAGATTAGCAGACGGAAGATTAGCTTTAGCGTATAACCACGATAGAAAGTACCGAGCGAATTTATACGTGGCGATATCAGAGGATGACGGGGAAAATTGGCATTTAGCAGCCATCGTAGAAAAAGGTAGCGAAAGTTCTATGTATGCGTACCCGACGATGGTTGAAGACGAGTGCAAACTCTACGTCGCGTATTCAATTATGACTCGGAGAGATTGGAAGGAGATTCAAGAGAGAACCGCGCATGAGCCAAACGGCGGTGGCATATACGTCGCGGAAATAGATCTCGTGAGTGGAATATTAAGAGGTGAGGAGGCTATACTCTTAAATCCAGCGCCTGAAAATATCGAAGTAGTAGAAGAAGAGATGGGCCTTAGTAATGGCAGTGCCATTGCGCTCTAAATTATAATAAAATTTGCAATTTTCAAGAGAGAGTCTTGGCACCAACACCAACTAACTTGGGATAAAAAATATTTTCCGTCACACTTTCCGCGCACTCGTATCGTTACGAGCGCGGATCGATCACCGCAGGACAACATGCATCAACACATTCAGATATCATCACATCGATTTCCGCCTCACTATCCACGCCTTCTTTTCGAGACATTTGAGCAAATGCCCTCGGTGCGGGATATTACGAAAAGTCCAAGAAACGACCTCGTTGTTGGTGAAAAGGGCGATAAGACTCTCGAAACTCTCGAAACCATCCGTGCGTTTATCATCAATCAAATCGATGCTCTTGGAAACGAATTGCTTGAATGCATGCAAACTGCTGCTTTTACAAACGACGAAGGGTATTGCTCGTCTACGTTTCGCGCGGCGTTATCGAAAGCGGAGAAAGAGATAAAACTTCTTGACTCGTATTTTTTAACTGCCATCGGACTGGCAGCGAAGACAACAACGAAAGTCGGAGATATTACAAAGGCGTGTGGGCTGAAATTCGAGTCGATACTGTCCGTGGTAAGCGAGTGTCACGTGGTTATTAGAGATGGTTTAAACGCAACCTCTGGGAAAGAGAATACGTGGGTGCCGCCGAGCACTTTCGAAAGAAAAACGACCAAATATTGGATTCCTCGCGATAAGATTGTATCGTTGCAGCTTGCGATCATCAAGCACCTTCCGATTCTCAACTATACCGGCGAAGACTCCGCGAGCGATGATGAAGACAGCGACGAAAATTTTACCGATCGAGACGTGAAGAAGATCACTTCGGTTTATTTCGATAGCCCAGACTTGCGCGTCTATTACGAAAGGCTCAATCGATTACAAGGCGCTCGCCTCGTTCGATGTAGGTGGTACGGAAGTAAAGTGTTCCCCAAGCGTAACGACAACGACATCGTGTTTTTTGAGCGCAAAACGCATCACGAATCTTGGTCGCTCGAAAACTCGGTCAAGGAGAGATTTTCGCTTCCACGAGAGCAAGCGCTTGAATTTTACGAAAGCGCTCGAAACGACGGCGATCTTCTCCTCCCAGGTAACGATCGACAAAACGCACTCGCAAGCGAAGTTTTCGAGAATGAATTTAAAGATAAATCGCTTTCGCCCGCTATTCGTACTTCGTATCGAAGAACTGCATTTCAAAACACTGATAACAACGAGATTCGTATTTCGCTCGATACTGATTTGACATGGTCCGACGAGATATCGAATACAAAGTTTTGGATTGAAGAAGACGCCACCAAAAATACGCAGAAAACTAACAAGTTCCCGTTCGCCGTTCTCGAAGTCAAGCTTCAAGTCGAAGAGACGCCCGAATGGGTCGAGAACATTTTGCGCGAAATCAACGCCACGGAGGTTTGGAAGTTCTCAAAGTTTCTTCACGGAACGTGTGTCATTCGCGGCAATCAAATTTCGCGTTTCCCGCATTGGTGGGACTTCACGGCTGATAACTCCGGCATCGCTACTTATGGCACCATCGAACCGAACGCGAAGAAAAATATGAGCGAGACTGCGAGAAATACAACGCCGAAATCTACAACGCATACGACGACATCGATTCAAATAACGTCCACAAACTCTCACACCACGAGATCGGGAACCGGTAACCGCGATTTCGCGCACGTCCTTGCATCTGCAATGTCGATGCTTCGATTTCGAAACAACTCGAGAACCCGCGGAAACGATGATATCGAAAGTCAACGGAGAGAGGGAGTTGCGCCTCCGCCGTCGTCGTCGTCTTCTCAAAAAGGTGGTGGAAGATACACACCGATAAAAATCGAACCGAAAACATTCTTCGCGAACGAGCGCACGTTGCTGCAGTGGCTATCAATGTCAACGTTGCTTCTTTTTCTATCGCTGGGTTTACTTGCGTTTGAGGCTGGTTCTCCCTCGGATACGATTAATCTCTTTCGTGGGCAAAATACCGGCGTCATCACGGAAGGAGAAACGGTAAAGATCAAGCGAAAAATCACAGCTGCGGATACGTGTGGGCTCGCGCTCGCGCCGGTTGCTATCTTGTTCATGATTTACGCGCTCGTTACTTATCTAGTTCGTGCGAAACGAATCGCGAGGCGAGAACCGTCGACTCGATACGATGATGTTCTCGGACCTTTTGCGTTGGTATCCGTTCTCGTCATCGTCTCAATCGCGTCGATTATTCTCGTAGCGAAGCAACTCTCGTGGGAATAATCTTGAACGAGCAAGACATCTTCGCGGCATTAGGGCTAGATTATGTGCGCCCGCAAGATCGAAGCGTTGGATACTATCGTTGTATTGTAAAATTCCCCTAAATTTTCATTGCTAATAGTAATTTCTAAGCGCTACTGCTATTCAACATGCGTTGCTCGACTAACTTGGTCGCCCGTTCGGCTAGCTCATTTTTCCTTTTCATTTCTGGGTCATCCGCGTTGTCCACACCGTCACCCGTGGTCGGTGGTGTTGGTATCGTCGTCGTCGTCGCGTTCTTCTTAAAATTCAAAATCTTTGATAGTACGTTGTTTGATTTCGTACTGCTATAAGTTGTTGAATTCTCTCCCTCCAACGCTGCCTCCTCTCGCGCCCGAGCGTTGCAAAATACGTAATACAGAGGCGTCGATATAAACTTTAAAACTACATACCTAATACCAGGTGGAAACAGCATGTGGAAGGCAAACAACGGTGAACTATCGCCGTACCCTTCCCTACCTTTAATCTGTTGAAAAAAACGCAAATACGTCCACGCCATGGTCGCGCCGATGATGTCGAACAGCCAAATACCAAAGCTGTGATGTTCGGCTCCTCGAAAGATGCACCATCCAAGCGTACACGAGACATACATGAGAATTAAATGCTTATTCCGTACAGACTGTGGCGGATGTGCAAACGAGGGTATCCATTTTGGCAAATTGAATGCAACGCACTCGTCCGGACTGAGTTGAAGCAACGCGACGAGTAAAGCGGCGATGACGCCGTGAAATCCGCTTATTTTCGCAAAGAGAAAGTATTGGTCCCTCGTGACGACGTACAGAATAAACATGATGACAAAAGTCGTCGCACCAATACACGCGTTGGTAACGAGGATGAATTTGCAAAACTCGACAGCATCCCAACTCGCTTCGACAAATTTCCCTATGAATATCAACATGAAACATGAAAAGAGCAAATTTAACGGGTTCGTTTCGAAATAGCCAGCGGAGAACACGTTCCAAAAGTGCGTCGGTATGGTTTTATCAGGGATCAACGCCAGAAAATCTTGAGAATTCGGAACGAACCAATACACCAGATGATTAAACACCAAAACTCCGATGAAGAATTTCTGCGTAAACGACGACGTTTTCAACGTTTGAACGAGCTCAACGGGAATGTTTTTTTCAAAACCGGTAATGAAATCGTCCTCTTCTAATAAAACCGAATTGTTGTTGGCATTCGCACGTTCGACGTCGTCTTCCATCTGATGTCCACCCTCCATGATATCGGTATCTGTATATATATATATGTATATTTTCTCTCTCTTTCTCTCTTTATCACTCTCTCTCACTCTCTCTGTGTGAATGTGCGTGTCTGAGTGTATTAGTATCGTGCGAAGTAAAGAAAGGAATGCAGAAGAAAAAATTTTGGCCTTTGCAAAAAAACAGCTCTTTTTGAACGTCTGAAGCAAACGAGGAAAAAGGAGAGAGAAAGACTGCAAAAAAATACGCGACAACATGTCTACCGACGACGAACGTGTTCACGAAGAAGGTATGGAAGAGGAACGCGATAGCGCATCGTGCTCTTCTTCTGATGATGACTATGACGATGAGTACGACAACACTTCCATTATCCAGCGCGAAAACGAAACGTCATCGAGAAAGTCAACGACAACGACTACAACGGGGCTTCCTTCCGTTTTCGAAGAAGAAGAAGAAGAAGAAGAAGAAGAAGAAGAAGAAGAAAAAAAGAGTAAAGATTTCCACAGAGGATCGAGAAAGAAGAAAGCGTCATCATCATCACCGTTATCAACATCATCTATTCTAGAAGAAGAGTTGCATCGGGCGAGAAGAGAGATATCCGAGTTGACTCGCGCGAACGAAACGATGGAAAACGAAAACGCCGAGTTGCTGATATTTTTAGAAAATTTCAGGAAGGAGATGGAGAACGAGAGAAAAAAGGTATCGCAGGCAAAGGAGGAGATTGATCAACTCACGAGCGCGTTAGAAAGTTCGAAAGAGAGCATTCAGATACTCTCATCCGACCGCGAACAGTTATCCGATCAGTTAGAACAAGCATCAAAGAAGCTACGCGTCGCGAATCGCCACGTGTCGATATCGAAAGAAAAAGAAGCGACGCTCGCGAGCCGAAACGAAGAGGTGAGGAAACTCGCCAACCGAATAGATTCCCTTCTTACGGATGGGTACGTAGCCGTCGCGCACGATACTACGAACAACATTACCAAGAAAAAGAAAAAGGTCACTGGAAGTTCCAGCATGAAAAGTGGCATCACCGCTGTCAATTTCACCACTTCTCTACACAACAAAAACGATGATATTGGCGGCGGAAGTGCGAGCAGTTACGCGACTATGTATTCGCTGTCGAAATAATGTTTGAAAGGTTTTCACCTATAAATGTGTGTGTGTGTTTGTGTGCCCACATATGGTGCGTGATGATTTGTACAATTTACATTTCTGTTCTAAATTACCACGGAATTTGTAATCCATCTTCGCAGTTGATGAACAAACCGTTATATTTATCCACGTCCATGAGAGAAATTTCGTGCATCACGCGTTTCGCTCCAACTGAAGCGTCCACGGCGCCTTCGATTTCCCAAATCTTCTCGTACTTTTGCGTCATTCCGGTTTTATTAAAACCTGGGTGCAATATTTGAACGGCTATTTTCTCTTTCTTCAACTCTTGCGCGAGCAATTTACTCCCCATGTTCGCCGCAGCTTTGGACATGTGATGCCCGTAGTCATGGCCGTCTGGATTTTGGACTTCGCGCCAGGAAATTGACCCGCCTTGCGAAGTGATCATGGCAATCTTACACGTTCCGTCCGTTTTCAACAGCTTCATGTCTCTCAAAACTTTTACAACTCGTAGCGGCCCAACTGCGCAAATGTCAATCATTTTCAGCTCCTCTTCGAAGTTCATTGAATCCAAGGTTTCCAATGGTTCGTAAAAATATCCCGCGTTGTTGATGACGATATCCACCGGTTCGGTGATCTCTTTGAACGCGTTCGCGATAGATTTTTCGTCCGTGATTTCGCAATTTTCTATTACTTGCGTGTTCGATAACGCGGAAAGGTCATCGGACGTCTTCCTGCACGTGCCGAGAATAAAAGCGCCTTTATCGTTGAGCTCTTTCGCCAACGCTAATCCAATGCCTCGGTTAGCACCGGTGACCAAAACGCGCTTCCCTTTCAAAAAGGAACCATCGTAAATGGCGTCGATGTCGAGCATTCTCGTGTTGTTTTCTTTCTTCCCATTTGCGAATCGTAACGGTTGATCCGCGATGGTGTATTTACTTGCATCTGCCGTAGTCATGCTAGATGTGGAAAGAAGTTTTTTACTTTTACTTTTGCCGACGATGATTTTATCCGTCTTTCCGACGAATCCGGAACTGAAAAATTGTGTTTTCTTTGACGAATACAAGAACGCCGCTTTGCTCGAAGATGATGACGACGAGGACGGCGAACAAGAAGAAAAAGAACTTCGCGAGAGTGATGCGGCGCGAGTGATGGAGTTCAACGAAGAGGCGAGCATTTAAGACTTTGGAGGAAGTAGCTGCTTTTTTTGAGGTATCTACGTATGATGAGTTTTTGATGAGACGTCGATACGTCGTCGCGTCATTCTCTAAAATTCTCGTAACAACCAAGAAGGAGAAGAAGAAGAAGAAGAAGAAAAACAAGAACAAGAGAACAAGAACAAGATCAGTACGCGAGGAGAAAAGAGAGAAAGAGAGATAGAAAAGGGAAGGCAGATTAAATAAGGATGATGATGAAGACTCCTCTCGTCGTTGTTCTCCTTTTCTTTTTATTCTTTTCGTTGAAAGCGGAGCGCGTTGAAAGTGGATTTCACGTTGAACGGGCTTCTTTTACGGTTTCTTTACCGAGCAAATTGAAAGGGAAATACGACATGGCAATCGCCAATTTCGGTGTGCCGTTGTACGGAGCGACGTTGGTGGGATCGTTTAAGTATCCTAAAACTGACCAAGACGGGTGCGCAGAGTTCGACGCGAACGCATTCAACACCAACAGTTCATATGGAGCAAACATCATGCTCTTGAACCGAGGTGAGTGCCCGTTCACGACAAAGGCGTTTTTCGCACAAAAAGCTGGAGCTGAAGCGGTAATTATCGTCGATAATATTGCGGAGGATTTGATTACCATGGATGCTGCCGATGATGCGGAATCACAAGAGTACGTGAAGAACATATCGGTTCCGGTTGCGTTAATAACGGAAAGCGTCGGTGAAAAATTTGAGGAAGAACTCTCAGCCGGCAACGCCGTCATCGCTACCCTCAATTGGACTGATGTGTTACCACATCCTGATTCAAGGGTCGAGTACGAAATATGGACAGAGTTGACGGATTCGTGCGGCGCGAAATGCGACGCGCAGGTTGGATTTCTCAACGATTGGGCGCCCATAGCGAAAGAGTTGGAAACCAAGAATTACACCCAGTTCACGCCCCATTATCTCACGTGGTCGTGTCCGGAAGGGTACGAAGATTCCGACGTTTGTCTGTCAGAATGTATAAATCATGGCAGATATTGTATTCCTGATCCAGACGACGACTTGTATAGCGGATATTCCGGAGCGGATGTTGTCGTATCGAATTTACGAGCTCTCTGCGCGTTTAAAGCTGCGAATGACTCCCAAATCCCAACAAAATGGTGGGACTACATCACTGAATTTCAATCGTCGTGTAAAATGAGTACCGGGTTGTTCAATTCATACGATTGCGCTGAGACATCAATGAAGCGAGCGGGTTTGGATACTTCCTCGTGGAAAAACTGTATAGGGGATATCGACGCTAATTCTGAAAACGCTATGATGGAGGAGCAAATTATCGCGCAATCACCTCCGAGTGAGTCCACTCGATCTTCGGTGCGAATATTACCAACAGTGGTTATAAATGACGTGCAATATCGAGGTAAGCTAGCGCGCGGTGAAGTCTTGAAGGCGATATGCGCGGGATTCCCCAACGATCTCAAGCCAGAGATGTGTAGCGATAGTGGACTCATAAACGATAAGTGTGCCCAGGGAGCTGATGGTTGGAACACTTGTCTGAGTGATCCTAATAAGAGCGGGGAGACAACATGCTCGACGACGAGTGCATTTCCATATTACGAGTGTATCTGCCCGAAGGGCTTACACTCCGAGTTTTCAGATTCATTAAACACGTGGAGTTGCGTGTCCGTGCAACAGACTGCGCGAAGCGTCGGGAAGACGTCGACGGTTTTGGCCAGCGTTTTCTTTTCCTTGTTAGTGCTGGTCACTTGTTTGTTTTTATTCTATCGTTGGAAAATGAAGCAAGTCATGAACCAGGAGATTCGGGGGATTCTCAGTCAGTACATGCCTTTGGATGATGACGAGATGGAAGAGGAGGAGGACACGGCGCGCTTGAACGCTGGAAATGATAGTAGCAGCATCCGATTGGGGAGAAGTGGATCGCCAACAGCGATGTTTGGAGTTGAGAATGGTAGAGGTGGTGGGTTTAACACCAGTAGGGGGGAGTTTGATCACTTGTAATTTTAATATGTTTCATACTGCACATACATATACACATACCATACATACTGCTTCACACACCTACTCGGCGCAACTGAAATATTTCTGTCATTCGCAAGATAATATTTGCGCGTTGCGTGCTTTTCACGGTAATTTCCAACACTTTGGCTCCTGCACTGATCCGTCATTACGTTCGATCGTGCCCACTCCCCCTCCGCTGCTGATGCCAAGCTTTCTGCTTTTACACGTTAGATAGCACGGTGCTGAGAAAATCTCCTCGTCTGATAACTTTTCCCCAAACGTCAGTACGCAACTACCGTCGGCATGATTGGGCTGAAGATGCGCATCTACACCGAAGGCTTCTTTGAAGAAATTCTCCGTAGGAACTTTGCAAAAGTTCATGCACGATCCTACGCATCCTGATTGTTCTAAATATCTACATTTCTTTAACTTTACAGCGGCGAGTACACCATCGCTTTCTCTCGGAACGCGTTCGGATGGCCCGACGAGCCAACCGAAGAACTGTACCGTGATAAAACTGTTCAGTTCGTCCACCCAATTCGATGGTTTAATAAGTTTCTTGAACAATATCCTGATAATCTCCGGAATTAATTCTAACAACGTCTCCGTCACGACTTTTCTCTGAGCGTCGGTGCCTTTAAATACTACGCCAACTTCGTTCGCTAAATAAACCAGTCTCTGGTATGAAAACATGGAAAACTGCTTTGCTTCTGAGGATAAAACACCTTCGGTTGATTCCATGATTTTCCCTGCTAACTTGGCGTTAAATAAAGCGATGGCAAACTTGTCGTACACGCTATCGCTATAACTCGTCTCGCCCGAAGAAGCGTACGTAGCTCTCGATTTTCCAAGTATTCCGTATTCATGGGTATCTTCTTTCTCTTCGTCATCGTCATCGCGAACTGCACGCGTTCTCTCGAGTTTTATGCACTGTTTTCGTCGTCTGCCTAAATGAAGCGTGGTGCGGTGAATATCCCGCGCTTGCGCTGCCGTTACGCTCGTACTCGCAAAACTCATCATCGTTCACTTCCTTAGTTTATGTATATATATACGAGGTCGGAAGAGCAGAGTATGTAAAGTTGGAATTTTTGATGCGATACACTTTTGGAGAAACTACGAGAAAGACAAAAAGAGAGTTGGGCAGAGAGGGCACAACAAAGTGTTTCGTTTCGATAATAATGTTATAAAGGTATAAGAAAAGTGTATCTACATATTGCTATTTTTATCACATGATAGTGCAACAGCACGCGGGCTTGTCTCTGATACCGCTCCTATAACGCCCTCCCGTATCTCCTCCCCGAAAATCCAAACTATCTAAATCACTCTGCTCATATTGACTGACCTCGTATTCGACTACTTCTTCCATTTTCGATTCGTTCGCCCAAGTTACGCTTTTCGAGCGATGTTCCTCGCCTAACTTAATATCGTTCCCACCTGGCGAAGACGACGGCGATGCTTTCTTTCCTGCCATGATCACGAGACTCTCTCTCCCTCTCTCTCTATATATCGCTATCGATGTTGTGATGGGAAATATCACGAGAGAGAATAAAAAAAATCTTTCGTCGTGCTCGCGAGTTATTATTGGTCAAGCTAGAGCACGACGAGACGTGAGATGGGCGATGTCACGAATATCGATCGAGAGGACGCGAACGCAAAGAGTGATATCGATTATATGTGTGTGTATGTGCGTGTGTGTGTGTGTGTTCACACCAAGCGCGTCGTGTTATATTTGTGAGTGATGAGGGACCGAAATAAAAAAAGCACTCGAAAATCAGCTTTTTTGACTCTTCTTTGCGAAAGAGCTTTTGTCTCTTTTATTTTTTCCCGCGTGAAAAATTGTGACACAGCAACACGTTTCTTCACAGCCTGTGGTGGAACTGTCGTGCACATAAAGCACACATAAAGCACGAGCAATGATGAAACGAAGTGTGGGACTTTTGTTTTTCGCGCTGACATTCGTCGTCTTTCTTTTAAGCTGCGGCATTTCCGTCACCGAAGGCGCTCGATTGTTGAAGCAAAATTACGATGAGGAGGACGCCGGAGACGAGATTGGTGAAATGAACGCGATGCAGAGAAAAACCACTAAGAATGAAGAGGATGATGACCAAGCCGCAATCTACGCCGCCAAACTAGAAGAAGAAGAGATAGAAAACACACAGTTGAGTAACGAAGAGGAGAGCGAACTCGAGCAAGTCGAAGAAGAAGTCGCCAAGGAAGCCTCGGAAATGTCCTCCTCCTCCTCCTCCTCCTCCTCCTCCTCTGAAGTTGCCTCATCGGGCGACAGCAGCGAAAACACAGAAAACATGGAACTCTCGAAATCAGACGATACAAACGGCGGGAGACTTTCCGAGGAGGAAATTTTGGAAGAAAATCGAAGGATGGCGACAAAGGTTTGGGAAGGCATCACCGGACAACCGGAAGGGAAAGAGAAGGATTTAATTGATAAAATCGTCGAAGCCCACTCACTCGAAAGCACGCCGATGGATGGTTTTCTCATGGAGAATGCGGATTCAGAATGCGGACCTTCCGGTCCTTTCGCGTTACTGACGCTCTGGAACTCCGTTGATGAGTTTAAGCGGCAGAAAATTATTGATTTCTTCTCCCAAAATGACGACGAGGTGTCGACGAGCAATCCAACCTGGAGCACCGTCGCCGTGAAATCGTTGAAGCTTTCGGGTGTTTTCTCCACTCGGTTCGCCGGCGAAGGCGAATCGAAACGCGAGTGCATTGCTAATTTCCTTACTAATAACAAAATGCGACAACTCGAAGACGTAAACAGAGCAAAGGGAATCGAGACCTCTCGTCCGCATCAAACCGAACGACAGCGTGATTTAGCGAAAGGCAAACAGGCGAGACTCTTGCGCGACTACGTTCTGACCAAGATTCTTCCATCCGCACAGACTCTCGAGGCCAGAGGTGCTAATGACGAAGCAACTGTTCTCGTCCTCGCGCTAAACTGCAAAGTTGAGAAAAGACGCGCACTTTTATTCGCGCTGTTCGATGCCGTGATTTCTACGTTCAAGTTGAATGCCAACGACGTCGCTTTGAGCTTGGGAAGACGTCACGTCACGCAGGACATGTATGAACTCATCAACCAAACCCCAGGGGACATGCTCGGAGAAGAGCGAGGTGATAAATTGAGCTACACGCGTGGCGACGATCCAATTGTAGTCAAAGCAGGTATTTGCCCGACGCTGGTTGGGAAACACGATGTTGATGAGAACGCAAACGAGGGCGGCGAAGGATTTGGAGACGAAAGGGATCACTTGCAGCGAGCGCACGCGCAAGCTCGGGATCATTTCGCGCCGCATCGCACCGAAAATCATCACGACCCTACAAATCCACACCATCAGCATACGCACGGTTCACACCAAATGGGTTCACTTCCAGGTATGCAAAGTGTTTTTGGCGGAGATGACATGAAAATGCTCGGAGGCAGCAGCGGAAAAAGAGGAAGTTCCAACAATCAAGCGAAGCAAATGGGGATGTCGGCGTTCGGTATCAGCGACCATTCGGCCATGCAGAGTCCAAGATCCCGAAGCAACGAAGGAAGGACACAACCTAAATCCAATTACGTGCCAACTTTAGAAGATCCACTTCAAGGGTACATGAATAGTCATCCAGCTCCTCGAAGACACCGAGCGAGAGGAGTAGGGAGAAGTGAAACGTTGTAAATAAAAATGTGCTGTGATGTTTGTTTATTTATTTTGCGCGTACCCGACACCTGGCCTGGCACCTGGTACACTCTACTCGTAATAATCGTAGAATTAAAACTTATTATTCTTGCGAGCCTGTTCGTTTTCCTCTTTTCGTTTTTGAATCTCTCGCGCGGCTGGTAAAGCGCCGCACGGCGTTCCTTTTTTTGCAATGTTAAAAGCGCATTTGAACGCGTGCACTACCGATCCATCCGCTATACCTTCTGCTACCAACGCCTGTTGTACTAAAGAAACCGCATCGTTAGCAATGGAATCCTCCACCTCACCGAGAGAGGCGTATACCACATGCGTAAACGGCGTCGCATCACCCTCGGCTTGCGAAGCTTCGTCGTTTTCAACCATCGGGCCGAGTCCCAGTTTAACTTCGTGTAATACCGCGAGCTGGAAATTTTTCTTCAACTGTTTCTCCAAGTTCCCAATCCCGAATGTTTGTACCCAATTTTCAGCGTCTAATGCGTTATCGCATTTCAGGGCCACAACTATGGCTACGTTCCTATCGTTTAATCCTATTTTAGTTAATTTCGTTTCTTTGTCTACAGATTCCTTCGCCCGTTTTGCAAACGTGCCTTCCACGGCGGCGTCGTTCTTCGGGTACACGTCGACTTCACTCGCACTCAGCATGGCGTATTTTTGCGGAGACGGGTGGGCAATATCTGAGCTATCGAAGAGGTCATCAAACCTACTAAAAACTTCCTCCGGAGGAGAGTCGAATAAAGTATAGTTCATGTACTGATGTGGTGGCAGATTCTTATCGAGCTGCTTGAACTGGTCCGTGCCGACTTTCTCGTGAAAGTGTGCAGAAATATAATCCGGGTGCGACCGCGAAACTTCACACACATGCAACGCAGACTCTAAGAACGAAGGAAAGATGACATTTTCTCCGTTCAATTCTGAATAAATAGTAAACATAGACGTTCCGTCGAATACGAGCGACGACGACGACGATGATGATTCTGCGGAGCATTTCCTCGCGCTTCTTCGTTTTTCGTTTTTAACTCCGAAAGCAGTCATTCCTTTTTGGCGCGCGCTGGTGATATTCATCGTCCTCCTCTCGAACATCTTCGACGATGATGACGTCGTCAATGCCGATGTTGTCGCCATCATCATCATCATTGCGTGGCGTGGCGTGGCGAGTGTGTGTGTGTTTGTTTGTGTTTGTTTGCGTGTGTGTTCTGAAAAAGTCACGAAAAATTGAAATGAAGAGCGAGCGACGCGAGGACGAAGATGAAAAGTGCGGAAAATCCCTTCCTTAGATTTTCTCATCTCCTCCCTGCTGTCTTTCCTCCTCCGTCCTCCACGCGATGGATGATGATGATGATCCCGAAAAAAATCAATCAAATAAAATAATCAAATTCTAAAAACCAAAACGCCTGGAGGGAACGTCAGAAACACACGAGGCGGGGCTATACGTTTTGACAATAATGTCTGCGCTCACCGCATCTTCGCTTTTCACGTCGTCTGCTCTTCGCGAGTCGAAAACGACGACGACGTCGTCGACGAGTAATAAAAATAAGAATAAAAAGAATTCCTCTTCTTTCGTCGTTTGTCGCTCGCAAAAACAACAACAACAAAAGACGTCGGCATCATCAGAAAAAAGTATTTCGCTTCTCGCGCCATCTTCTTCAAAGAACGAATGCATTCAGCAGATCGCGGCCAAGTCAAAAGCGCCGCCACCGCCGGCCGCGACTGGACCGACTCCGACGCAAATTGCCGCTGGTGTTTTCGCCGCTGCGGCTATCGGCGTGACTGCCCGCAAAGCGATGAAGAAGAAAGCGAAGAAAATCGTCATCGCTGGCGCTCCAGCCTCGGGGAAAGGGACTCAGTGCGAATTGATCGTTAAGAAATTTGGAATCACGCACATTTCCGCCGGTGACTTGCTCAGAGCTGCCGTTGCACAAGGCACGGACGATGGTTTGAAAGCGAAAGAGTTTATGGACAGAGGTGATTTGGTCCCAGATGAGGTCGTCGTGAATATGGTGAAATCTCGATTGAACGAACCGGATTGCGCCGGCGGCTGGCTTCTCGATGGTTACCCGAGATCCGCGTCTCAAGCTGAGGCGTTGAGTTCGTACGGTATCGAACCAGATTTGTTTTTGCTCCTCGACGTGCCGGACGAAGAGTTGCTCGAACGCGTCGTCGGTAGAAGATTGGACCCGGTGACTGGACAAATTTATCACTTGAAGTTTTTCCCGCCGCCTGATGAGACTGTAGCGAAGCGTCTCACGCAGCGATCAGACGATACGGAAGAAAAGGCTCAAAACCGATTGAAGGTGCATCACGCCAATGTCAACGCGGTGCTCTCCAAGTACAAGAACATCATGAAAACTATTGACGGGAACCGCCAAAAAACGACGGTGTTCAAAGAAATCGAGGGCTTGATTAAATCTATGTAATTCTTTTCATTAACATCTATCATTCTACTCAATTTCTCCATGTAAGTTAGAAGGTAATCAATGGCGTATTGAGCGTGATTACTCTTTCTTCACGAACGGTGGCGACCAATCTTTCTTTTTTTCGAACAACTTTTTCGCTTCAATCATAGCCGTCGTCGGCACTGGCTCGAAATAGCATGGGAGAACTTCGTGCGGCATGGCGTAAAACGGCAGAACGCCATTTAAAGCGCCAGGATTATCGTTTCTCCCGGAACCATGTGCACTACTATTATTGTTACTATCATCGTCACTACTACTGTTACTACTGCTCACGATATTCCGTCTCTTCTTTTCGGATTCCTCTTTGTAGAACGCATCGAACTCCCAACCAACTTTCGGTTCCCACCCTTTCGCGGATTGCATAGCGTGCAACATTTTCTCGTCTAAACCCGGAGCGATTAAAAAGTTACACTCGAATCGTCTTAAACGAGAAAACTCTCTGAGCGAGCGGCCTCCAGAAAACGGAAGGCTCTTGTCGTTCTTATGATCTCGAAACTGGTCGTTTGAACATATCCACGCGTCTTTCGCTTTCGCTTCAGCGATTATCGTTAAATCGTCGTCGCCGCCTTCTTTGCGCTCCACGAGCTGTATTTTCCCTTCATCCACGAGTGCTTTCAGCTTTTCGTTCACCCAAATACCGTTTTGCAAATACTTTACGTGTTCCGTGTTGACTGTCGCTAAGCCTCCGCCGTCGCACAAGTTTGGCAGCTCGCCGATGACGTATTCTTTTGGAAGATACGCTATTACTTTATGATTCGACCAATGCTCGTAGTTCAAAGCCTCAATTATTCCCGCACTGAGAGGAAACTGTCGACATTTGAACTTTTTCCTCAAGAGAGCACCGCGCTGCCACGCGATGTTTGCCCCGTCGAGGAATATGTTCAGAGACTTTTTCTCCTCTCGCAACTCCTCGTCGATAATATCGGTCCAGTTGAATATTAACGCCAAATCCAGCGCCCACGGCGTATATGGCTTGTTTGAATTGTCGATAGCTTTTTTATTGCTTCGCATTCTGTTCTTATTCGGGTGCGCGAAGAGTTTCATCGGTGCTTTCCTCTTCTGCAGTGCGTTCTTCGTGTTGTGCTGGTGGTGGTAGTTACCAGTACTTGTGATTTGAGAGGAGGACAAAGAGGAGGAGGAAGAGGACGATATAACTCTCTCAAAATGAGACTGACCACACGGCGGAGAGAACATGCTCTTCGCGCGTTCGTAGTAGCTCTCTTTTCTACTTCTTTGATCCACAAGGAGATGGGAACCCCTCGTCTTACTCGTGCACTCTTCTGTTTTGCTTCCTTATTTTTGACGAAATTTGACGCGAATCCACACTTTGTTTGGACTGAAAAGAAGAAAAATGGACCCATCCTCATCGTCTCGCGCGAGAAGACGCGTTCACTCGCTCTCCGAGCAACTCATTCCTTCGTCGATGACATCCTCGGTGCGTTGAATTCTCCTATCTTTCCTCCTCTTTTTGTTTTCTTTCTTTCTTCCTTAGGACTAAATTCTCTCGTCGCGTCGTCTAACGAACTCTCTCTCTTCTCTCTCTTCTCTTCTCTCATCGTAAAAACAAAATTCGCAGGCGCGCCGACGGCAACACTTTCAAGATGTGCGCGCGAGAGAATCACAAATGCCACCACCATCTTCGTCGTCGTTGACTACGTCATCAGAAGCAAGAATATCAACAACGCATGCCATCATAGAACGTAACGATGCTCTGTTTTGGAAAAACAAAGAGAAGTTTACGGTTGCCGTCTTAGGAGCTGCCGGGGGTATTGGGCAAACGCTTTCGTTGTTGTTGAAACAGTCGCCTCGAATAAAAGCCTTGCGATTGTATGATATCGCGCCAATCACGCCAGGAGTGGCTGTAGATTTATCACACATCAATACTGAATCTGAAGTGACTGGGTACGCAGGACCAGACCAATTAAGAGACGCTTTAGTCGGATGCGACTTGGTCATCATTCCGGCGGGTATTCCGAGAAAACCAGGCATGACCAGAGACGATTTGTTCAAAATCAACGCCGGGATCGTGAGAGACTTAACCGTCGGGGTTGCGAAATATTGTCCCAACGCAATTTTGAACATTATTTCGAACCCAGTAAATTCAACGGTTCCCATCGCGGTGGAAGTGCTGAAGAAATACAACGCGTTCGATCCTCGCAAAGTTTTAGGCGTCACGAAACTTGACGTCGTGCGAGCAGAGACTTTCGTGTACGGCTTACGAAAAGACGAATTACAACGCTTGAGAAAATCAATATCGGACGTAACTGTGCCTGTTATCGGTGGCCACGCCGGCGAGACAATTATTCCTTTACTTTCGCAAATGACGCCAAAGTTATCGAAGCCTTTTGAAGGTAGCGAGTTGCAAAACTTAACGACGCGCATTCAAAACGCCGGTACCGAAGTCGTGGATGCAAAAGCCGGCGCTGGATCTGCGACGTTAAGTATGGCACTAGCTGCCGAGAATATGGCAACATCATGCCTGAAGGGTTTGGCTGGAGAATCGAACGTGATAGAATGCGCTTACGTCTCGTCAAATGTTATCCCGGAACTGCCGTTCTTCGCTAGTAAAGTCAAATTAGGCGTTAACGGAGTCGAGAAAGTTTTAGGATTAGGCGCAATGACATTGTTTGAGGAACAAATGGTAAAGAATGCTATTCCCGAGTTACGAGCAAGCATAGAGAAGGGCGTCGCGTTCGCTCAATCGAGTTAAAAGTTTGCACACAATCATAAAAATGTTGCTAAAAAATAAATCGAAAGAAAGCAGTACGTACGCACTCATATTTTATAACTCACTTGCCTAAGATTACCTAGTATTACTCTTATCCAACGAATGTCGAGGCGACTTCGTGAAGTGCGCTTCGTTTACAGTACCCCACGAGGAAGGCGCGTTCGGTGACTTTGGCGTTTCCAAAGGAGAGTCCGGTTTCGAAGGCGACATTGAATCTGCGTTTTCCCCGAGCAACACGGCGCCTTGCCTCAAACGCATCCTAGCGTAGTCTAAAAAGTCAAATTCTATCGGCGAAAACTTTGATTGTAAAACGCTCCAAATCCCCCAGAACAAGTGCGTCGCGATGTAAAACACCTCCACTTCTTTCTCCAATTGTTCGACCGTATCGCCGGCTGATAAATATATTTCATAAAAAACCTCTCGCGTCGTCTTATCTGGCAAGAGCGAATAATCGCACTCAAATCCGGCAAATTCGCAAAAAAAGTTTGCCAAATCGAATCCTCTCGGTCCATGCGCGCTGTACTCAAAGTCAATCAAAATCAATTTCTTGGACGGTTCCTCGACGAGAAAATTTCCCGCGTGAATATCGTTGTGACAAAACACCGTCGGCGAGTTTGTCGCATCGCACATCTTTCTAACCCTTTTGATCTTTTCCTTCAACTGAGGGACACACAGCGCATCTAATAGTTTCTGTTTCTCTGGATCTTCCGGAAAAGATACCTCCAACGCCATGGAGTACCAGACCTCTATGGTTTCCCAAAACTCGCCGGCGACGTTTGCCGCAGCGCCTTCTCCGTACGGCGACGATGTCGTTGCTGTTTCCGCTATCGCTTGCGGCCGAGCGATTCTGTGTGGCATGTCTAATTCGTGGAATCGTTTGATAATTCCAGCTACGGTTGTCAAAATCTCTGTCTTCTTCATATCTAACGGAACTAAAGAGGAACTCTCTATGAAATCTTCCACCCAGCCGTTTTGAAACACCGCTCTTACTTTCGCGCCAAAATTGCTCTTATTTAGCGCCAACGCCATCTCGCTCTCGTCCGTTCTCGAGACGAATTTATCCGTGGACGATCCATACACTCTGGTAACCACCGGTGTCAGTGGTTTTGGCGGTTCACACTTGAACATCTTGTTCGTTATCCCTCCGGAAAGCGGTTCGACCGAGATGTCATCGCGCGTCAAACCTTTCCACCCTTCGTCCTCGTTCAAAGTTTCCAAAAGCAACTCTCTCACGGACTCGTAAATCTCTTGCAACGAGCGATCCTCGATGGATAACCACCGCGGAGATCGAATCGCATCTCCTCCTTTTCCAGTCATGTTTCTGTTCTTCTTCTTCTCTTCGATGAAGCACGCACGCGCAGGTTTGAAGCTTTCCGTATCGCGGCGGAAGAGAATTAATTTTTTGAAGTACTCGTATGTCATACGAGAGAGAGAGTTGACTCCTGACCCCACAAAAATCAGCACCAGCAGGTCTTCTCGTCCCAAAATCTTACCTCCTCTCTCCCCTTCACAATAATTTTCTCTCTCTCTCTCTCTCTCGCGACTCTTTTTACTACTGTTCTAAAAACGCGTACCTAAACAGAGTTCAACACAGACAGACAGACAGACATACACACACACGCGCGCGCGATGAGCACCGCATGTCTTCATTCGATGATGTCATCGTCCGCGGCTGGAAAGACGAGAACGTCGTTTTCTTCAAACACGAGAATTGCCTCGTCGTCTTCGAAAGGAATTGAGACACGTCGTCGTCGTCATCGCCGTCTTTCAGAAAAGAATTACAAGACGACGACGACGCGGGCGGTGATCAACGAAAGTTCTTCGAGCGAGCAAAACGAGGCGACGGTACCGGAGAAAGATTCCTCGAAAACTTTGAAGGTCGCCGTGGAGAAGAAAACGGAAGGGGAGAAGATTCAGGATATGCTCAATAAACCGTACAAATGGGGCTTCACCACAGACATCGAAACCTTGACGATTCCTAAAGGTCTATCCGAAGATACCGTTCGATTAATCAGCTCGAAGAAGAATGAACCGGAGTGGATGTTGGAATTTCGGTTGAAAGCGTACCGAAAATGGCTCACGATGGAAGAGCCGGACTGGTCGGATAACAAATACCCGGAGATTGATTACCAGGCCGTGTCCTATTATTCGGCACCAAAAGTATTAGAGAAGAAAGAATCTTTAGATGAAGTCGATCCAGAACTGTTGAAAACGTTCGATAAGCTGGGAATACCTTTGAACGAACAGAAAAGAATGACAAACGTTGCCGTAGATGCCGTTTTTGATTCCGTTTCTGTCGCGACGACATTTAGAGCGGACTTGTTGAAAGCCGGCGTTATCTTTTGTTCGATATCCGAGGCCATCAAGGAGTACCCAGAGCTCATAAAGAAATATCTCGGTTCTGTTGTCCCGGTGGGCGATAACTACTTTTCGGCGTTGAATGCCGCTGTTTTTTCAGACGGATCTTTCTGCTACATCCCCAAGGGTGTAATCTCGCCGATGGAGTTGTCTACGTACTTTCGCATCAACGCCGAGTCCTCCGGACAATTTGAAAGAACTTTGATCGTAGCGGAAGACGATTCATACGTTTCGTATCTCGAAGGTTGCACTGCTCCAGCATACGACGAAAACCAGCTTCACGCTGCGGTTGTAGAAATTTACGCGGGGAAAAACGCCGAAGTAAAGTACTCCACCGTTCAAAACTGGTACGCTGGCGACGAAAACGGAAAAGGAGGTATCTATAACTTTGTCACGAAACGCGGCTTGTGTAAAGGTGATAACTCGAAAATTTCTTGGACACAAGTTGAAACCGGTTCTTCCATCACGTGGAAATATCCATCCGTCGTACTCGCTGGAGATAATAGCAAGGGGGAGTTTTACTCCGTCGCGTTGACGAATAACAAGCAGCAGGCTGACACGGGATCGAAAATGATACATGTCGGTAAGAATACGAGATCTAGAATTGTTTCGAAAGGTATTTCTGCTGGAAAGTCCAAAAACGTGTATCGAGGTCTAGTCTCTGTTGGCCCCAACGCGACCGGCTCGAGAAACTATTCACAATGCGACTCTATGTTGATTGGGGACGATGCCGGCGCGAATACGTACCCATACATCCAAGTCAAGGATCCTTCCTCTAGAGTCGAGCACGAAGCATCTACTTCCAAAATTGGTGAAGATCAGTTGTTTTACTTTCAACAGCGCGGTATTGATCTCGAATCTGCGGTTGGTGTGATCATTTCTGGCTTTTGCTCCGAAGTATTTCAAGAGTTACCTCTCGAATTCGCCGCCGAAGTCGAAGCGCTCATGTCCTTGAAGTTAGAGAACGCGGTGGGATAAAATCGTCGAGATGTTGGTAAGCAACAGCAAAATATAGTAAAAAATTTGTAAAACCATTAGTATACCAGTAATATTTGCGTATTAAAATAATTCCTGTTGTTCGATTCATATTTATGCATGTACGCTTTGCTTTGTTTACAATTTTTATATCTGTTATAAGTGTTCTCAACTCTCGCCGCTCAGCGAAACCGAGTCTGCAGCCTTTTGCATCTTCTCCATCAGTTTCGCTTCGTCCTTCAAGGCTAGTTGAGAACTCTTATCGCTATTCTTTCTAACATCTAATCCCGTTAAGCAACTCCCCGTCAACGCATTCATTTTTTCCAACGCGGCGCGTTTCTTTTTCTCTTTCGCCTCCTTCAACTGCTCTCCCGTCAACTGTACCTTTCCAATGTCGCCAGCTTCGTCGCGGTTGTCAGAACTCATAGACGCCTTGGACGACTCGCGAGACATCGTTCCAATCGAAGAGGTTCCAATATCACTTCCGTACGTATTCGACGCAGCAGCTGCACTTTGCAAATGACCGTTAACCAATGGTTGATCAGAGCTGTAACCCTGAGAGGGTGCGAGAGGCGGCTTGGCACTTTCCATCCCGGCAGAGAAATGCTGTTGAGCGTATTGTTGTTGTTGTTGATGTTGTTGCTGCTGCTGTTGCTGTTGCTGTGATTGCACCGGCTGATACAAGGTCGATAACGAAGCTGAAGAGTGCGCGGTCTGAGTCATTTGAGACTGCTGCACTTGCTGCGTGTATTGTTGCTGTTGCTGCACGGTGGCCAGTTGCGGGAGATTGCCATCTGATTGATGATTGGTTCCTAATCTTGAGAACGAACGCTCTAAACGCCTTTTGTGAAAAGCACGAACTTTACTCTGGCGCTCGGTCGCGTGCCTGTGCCGCATTTCCGCCTCTTCTTGCTGCTGCATTTTTTCTAACTCCTCTAAAACTTGAAGCTCCATTTCATCATCGTACTCTAACTCACCATCCTCTAGTGCGGCAAGAAACGGAGTCTCTGATCGACTCGGATACGCCGCTGCTGACGCGTCGTAGCCTTGTTGTTGTTGTTGTTGTTGTTGTTGCTGCTGCTGCTGTTTCATCGCTTGCTGTTGAGACTGAGGATGTTTTGGTGGTAAAGAAATACCACCGCTAGAAAGCACGTCCGCCGGAATTTGTTGTGGGTAATTCGAATTATTTATAGCACCAACCGGCGGAGAAGCTAACGGAGAACTCAACTTCGATGCACTCGCGCTCGAATCATTGCCTCTCTGATCACCTGGATACTGATGAGAGGGTTCGCGTGCTTTGAATTGCTGTTGAGCCAATCCCGGTCCCGCAGAGTGAGATCTTTCTATGCGTTCATCAGAAGCGAGCGACATGCTCTGCACGTCCAAGCCTAATTGCTGAACGGATGAAGCGTCCTCTTGCGTCTTTGATCTACCAACGACTATCGACGGTGACGCTGATCTGACAAATGGATCTTGTCGCAACTCTGCGGAAACGACGATGGGGGATTTTTGCGGAGATCTTTCTCGCTCGTGCATCTCCTCCGGCGATCCTCCCGCGCTGTGATGATGGAGGCTCTCGCGATCTTGCGATTCGACCGACCTCGCACTATCCACTCTGGTCAACCCAGTGGTAGAGCCAGCACCGCTAGCGAGTTGTTCACTCGAACCTCCGTCGCCGAAACCGTTCGTAGATCGCATCTCTTCAAACGAGTCTCGAGAGGAGTGTTGTTCGCCAGATTCCAAGTTCGGCCTCTCCTCGGACAAATACTTCACCTCCTTATTTATCTCGCGTTCGATAGTATTCACGTCGGATTCAGAGAGTTGTAACTCTTCGACCATCTCCTTCGCGACGTTCTGCGCAGAATCTGTATTCGTGCTGAATGGAAATTCTACAGTTCTCGTCTGACCGGAAGACTGATCCGTAATACGCAAGCGCAAACGTAAAGTATTATTGTCCATCAACAAACCTTTGACGCGAATGTTCAACGAAGCACCACGCTCGCGTTGTTCGAAAGGACCAGCGGGTAGGTCGGAAGATCCTTCGGTGTTGGAAACGACGCGATAGAATCGTCCGCCGGGCGTTGCCGGAAGTTCTTTCGATGCCTCTTGTATGGGATACAAACCTTTCCCCTTCGTTTCGCTACCCGCAACAGCGACAGCATCGCTGCTCGTCAGTACAGGTGGAGGATTCGTAAGCGTGTCAAAACTAGACCTGCTCGTTTCTGACGATTCCTCTTCCGCGACCTGAGGTCTCGGCGCTGCGGGTTCTTCTTCAACGACCGCGCGCGGTAAGTTGCGTGGACGCGACTGTTTCTTCTCCAAGAACGGATCCGCGAGCAGTTCAGAAGCAGTCCAACGCTCTTCTTTTGGTGCAATGCACTTCAAAATGAAATTATAAATCGCGTCGCCTTTTTCCTTGACCGCTTCGAGAGCATCGGGCAAAATGCCCTGCGAAACTCTTTTATAAATCTGCGCCGGGTTTTTGCACTCCGAGTACGGACACGTGAAGGTGACCAACTCAATCAAACACATCCCAAAGGAGTAGATATCTACGCGTTCATCGTAATCTTCCTCATAGAGTTCAGGAGCCATGAATTCGGGCGTTCCGATGACAGAATGCGTTCTTTGATGATTGAGCATAGCTGCGAGACCTAAATCGCCAATTTTAATCTCGCCAGCGTTACCGTTGACGAAAATGTTATCGCACTTCAAGTCTCTGTGCACGATGGGGGGATCGTGCAAGTGTAAATACTCCAATCCTCTCAAAATTTGGCGAGACCACGACTTGACGGCACGCATGTCGAGGTTGGTCTTAAACTTTGCCGCGTATTTATTCAAAGTGCCTTCGCACGCTTCGGTGATGAAATTCACGGACATTTCGCCCTTCTCCATGACGTTCCAGCTGTGATAGAATTTCAAGATGTTCTTATGATCGAGCTTCTTGAGAATCTCAACTTCGTGCATGAGCCGTTGCTTCTCTTCTGGCGGTAAACCAGAAACTTTAACTTGATTCCACGCGACGTCCATGCCTTCTTCTTCGTCAAACGCTTTATACACATTCTTGTACGTCCCTCGCCCAAACAACTGCGTCGTCCGACCGAACCTCCCGGTTGGATCCCACTCCACGAACTTCGTCTCTTCTTCTTCTTTCTCCCCTGGGTCGTCATTCTCTAGCACTTGTTGGTCGGTAACAATCGGCGGCGGCGTTGGCGGCGGCGGATCAGTAGCAGTTTCTCCTCCTCGCTCCAATTCTTGTGGTTGAGTTTCACTTTTGGGTGAGGAACCCTCAGCTCCACCACCAATTTCTTCGGCCCTTCCTATCGGCGACGACGGCCGCGCGAGTTCTTCCTCTTCAGAACTTTTGTGCTGCCGTTCGACTCCTTCACCCTCGCCGTTCATTTTGCTCCAAGCACGTGTGCGCACAAAGCTCTCTCTCTCACTCTCTCCTTCTTAAAAGTCCTTTTTTTTATTGAATTCAAACTTGTTCAAAAGCGGCCCCTCTGCCTTCTTCTTTTCCGAGTGCTCTAAGAATTCTCTCCTCCGAAGCAATCTTCTTGACCGCTTATTCTTCTATCAAAGCGATTTAAATCTAATTCTTTTCGTGTAAAATGATTCCCCGTGCGTTCTTCTTTACTAACAACAAGAAACCATTGTCACTGGACGATCTTAAGTGCGTCCTATCCCGCGCGGAATGAAAATTTATGCAGTTCAATTGTGGAAGCTCTTTTCAAGCGACGCCGGCACGGCTCTTCTTCGGACTCAAAATTTCGAAGACTTTTGCGACTATTGAGACGTGACGCGAACGTAAAAAGTTTAGTTTCGACGAAGAGTTGAATAGAAAAAACGGTTCGGGATCCAAATCCGCGTTTTCCACAACGTTTATCGCGACCAAAGGTGAGGATATTCGCCGTAATCCGCCGCTTTTTCTCGTGGTTGACTTGGCGGGTTTTTAGGGTGTCAAAATTTCTGTCTTTCTCCTCTTTCTTGGAAACCGACGACGACGGTTTTGAAGAAGAAGCTCTTCTCCGATCTCTTTTCTTCATTCTTCATTCTCGAGAACAACAAAAAGAACGTGTCTTTCTTTTAATTTTGTTTTGTGAGGGAGCGCGGACTCGCACCCAAACAACCGACAGGGTTGAAGTAAAACATGTCGTCCATGCTCAAACCGTTCCTGAACTCCGTCATCTCCATCATAACGAACGATGGCCGGCACATTGTCGGTCACTTGCGTGGCTTCGATCAACAAACAAATCTTATAGTTGAAAACTGTCACGAGAGGGTCTATTCCATGGAGAACGGCGTGGAGATGGCACCGCTCGGTTTATATGTAGTAAGAGGAGATAACGTAGCGCTAGTTGGAGATGTGGACGAGGAGTTGGATCAAAAGTTAGATTTGAGCGCTGTTCGTGCGAAAGGCCTAGGACCCATACAATGGTAAAACGAAGCAACAAGAATAAAAAGCAAATTGACGCATTAGAAGAAGAAGAAGAAGAAGTAGTTTTTACGCGGTATCTGAATACGACAAAAAACAAAAATAGAATTTAGCGATGTAGAAGAAAGAGGTATATCAAGTAGTATATAAAGTCAACGCCTATTCCGCTCACGGCGCTGTTTGTGAAGAGCCTTCTTGTTCTCGCTTCGTTTCTTCTTCTTCTTCGCTGTCGTTGTCGTTGTCTTTTTCAGTCGAGAAGAGCAATGGGACGCGTCGCTTGTACGACTTTACCTCCTTCATTGATGACTTTAACGCTAATTCTGACACTTCGCGATAATACGGCTGGACATCACTCATCGAGTGAAGAGATTGAATCAAGATTTCAAGCATCTCAAACGCAACTGATAACGAAAGAAAAAGAATGGCAGTTAAAGCGGCGTGCGCCGAAATAATCGGGACCACCGCTGAGGAGAACAACAACGCCATAACCGATACTGGAAATGCAAAACAAATATTCACCGCTACCACTTTACAGTTGTTCAAAATACCTGGAAGTATTCGCGTACGGTGTCGTCGACGTTGTCGTTCTTTCTCTTTGTTTTTCTTCATCCAAGAGCGCGGGGATAACACTTCGAAAAACGTCTCGATAAGAGGCGAAAACCGTTCTTCTTCTCCGCTTCCTCCTCCTCCAGCCGAACTTATTCTCAAATAAGGCGGAGAAGCAAACGCGAGCGATTTCGTTAAAGAAGGCGTAGATACTCCCATCGCAGGAGTGAGTTGTCCCTCTCGCGAGTCTTGTTCTTGTTCTCGGTCTTCTCTTTTCCCGCTCGTCGTCGAGAACGAAAAGAGAGGAGGAAACGAAAACGAAGACGGCGAAGACTGCGGCGAGCTCACGAGTATCTCCTCGGCCGTATCATCGAGGCCGCGCTCCTTCTCGTAATACTTCTTCTCGCTCGCCTCAAATTTCTTAAGCTTCTCTGCGCTCATTGTGTATGAATCGTCGAAAACTACCTCTCGGTTTTGCGCGCAGCGTGCGTGTATTTTATTCTGACGAAGCACTTTTCTTCTTTAGATATGAATTCACTTCTTCTTCACTTTTTGTGCGGCGCGCAAAACCACCGACGATTTATTAGACGACGACAGGTGCGAGAACAATTACGATGACGATATCATCATCGTCGGTGTTGGATGCGAGAGCGCGGATTTGTGAACGATGCTGCTCGTATCAACACAAGAAAACTCGGAGGAGAAAAAGTGAACCGCCGTTTGCCTCGTCGTCATCATCGTCATCGACGACAACGAAAGTTGCTGCTGCTGCTGTTGTTGTTGCGTCTTCTTCGACACAGCGTAACGACGAGAACGAAAGGACAACGTCGACGACAACTAAAACTCATAGCAACAGACGAGCATTTTTAGTCTCGTCCACTTCGTTGTTTTCTCTCTGTGTAGCGGCGATTGCTCGGTATCCTTTACCGTCGTCAAAAATCGCCGCCCACGCAGCAACAATAACAATACAAAACGAAGAAGAAGTACGAAAAAATTTACGCCAAGTGCTCGAGAGTAAAATACAAAAAACAAAGTGTCCGGCGGTGTTGAGAGTTGCATTTCACGACGCGGGAACGTTTAATAAAGCGTCGAACGATGGTGGAATGAATGGGAGCGTTTTGTACGAATTAGGACGTCCAGAAAGTTTTGGTTTGAAGCGAGGACTGAACCCGATAAAAGAGGTGTACGAGGAGATGAAAGTGAGAGGTTTCGGCGACGACACCGGCGGAGTATCGTTAGCGGATTGCATAGCTTGCGCAGGAGCTTACGCAATCGAACTCACTGGTGGCCCAAAATTCTTAGAATCCATCCCGCTTGGACGTAGAGACGCTTCCTCTGCGGATCCAGAAAACCGCATGCCAGTCGAGACGCTTCGAGGAAAAGAGATGCGAGAACATTTCCAAAACTTGTACGGGTTATCCTCCCAGGAAATGATTGCGCTTTCTGGAGCACACACGATAGGACAAAAAGGATTCGGTGACCCGTACACTTTCGACAACGAGTATTTCGTGACGTTAAAAAAGGATCCGTGGAACTTACCAAACTTAACCAAAGACGAGTTGGAGATGAACGAACACATCGGTTTGTTATCGGACCGATACTTGGCTGAGGACGAAGAAAATAAAAAGTGGATTAATAAGTACGCCGAAGACGCTGGAGCGTTTAACAAAGATTTCGTCGAAGCTTACATCAAATTGACGACATTAGGAGTGTAATATTTATACTGCAGTAGTAACACATAGTAGGATTGGTTTGATTGATTATTCAGATATTTTTTACATTTACAAAGTTTATGATATTGGTTTAAAAAAATAGAGCTCTCTTCTTTTCTCTTGTCCTCCTCTGGGGCGCGTTTTCACGCAACCCACGAGGAGCACGATAAAGCCCGAGGAGAGAAGAGGACGCACGTTCACGGGTTTACGCGCGTTCGCCTCTGATTCTTCTCGCCAATTGAATATCTTTCGGCATGATGGTGACCCGCTTGGCGTGAATGGCGCACAAGTTGGTGTCTTCAAACAAGCCAGTCAAGTACGCTTCGGACGCCTCTTGCAACGCCAAGACGGCGTGCGATTGGAATCGCAAGTCAGTCTTGAAGTCTTGGGCGATTTCTCTGACCAAGCGTTGGAACGGCAACTTGCGGATTAAGAGTTCGGTCGATTTTTGGTATTTTCTGTTTTATATTTTTAGAAGAGGAAGAAGAAGAAGAAGAGGAAGAAGGAAGGTCAGAAAAGAGGAAGAAAAAGAGAGAGAGAGAAGAGGGAATTGGGCCACCTCCTCCCTCGAGCAAGGCACCGCGCATTTTTTTCTTGATTTGATGTTTCCGCAGATGCGACTAGAATACAAACGAAAGCATCTGACAGTCGCGCAGATAAAATGCGTCAGCGCGCAAGAATGACCGCGCGTGCGAGATCACGGCGCGTTTACGCCTCGCCCGATAGAGAAAACGAGAATCGTTTCCTCGAGAAAAAACACCGCCAAAATTGACCAAAAATGGCGCTAAAAACGCAAGATCCCTCATCATCCCACTCACCGAATCTCTCTCAACGCAACGGTACCCGGTCTATATCTGTGCGGTTTCTTGACACCGCCAGTCGTCGGCGCGGATTTGCGCGCGGCTTTAGTCGCGAGTTGTTTTCTCGGGGCTTTGCCACCGGTGGATTTACGAGCAGTTTGTTTGGTACGAGCCATTGTTCGGTTCCTCACTCTCTCTTTTATGACGATTATATCTCTTTCTCGAAGTGGAAAAACAAAAAAACGAGAGGAAAGGAGGAGGCACACAAAGAAAGAGCCTGCTCTCCTTACATTCGTTCCTAACAACTACATCTATACTATCTACTTTAGAAACTATTTTAACGAACTACCAAATACTAAATATACATATTCTACTTGACTATTTTCACGTCTTTATACCCCATCGCTTTAATCATATCCTCGAGAGCGTTGGCGTGCGTGCCCTGGAAAATACACGCCTTCGTATCCGCGTCGAGGGAAGCGCCCGCGCCCAAAACCTTTTTCAGTTTCGTCACCAGCTCTTTCGTTGGGTTTACTAAACCAGACACGACTGTAACGACTTTGTTCTTTCGCCTTTCTACTTTTATGCGCACGCCTTTACCATTCTTCGATGGCGATGGCGGCGTCGCTTTCTTCTTCGTCAGCTCTTTTTTAGTATTGTTTTCGTCTTCGTATGCAAACTCGTCGATATTCGTGCTCGTTCTTTTTTCTTCCTTCTTGAAGACGATCTCTGGTTTATCTGCCAGGTGACTCCTCATGCTCTGCAACGCCGCGAATGGATTTTCATCGCTATTCTTCGCAGCGCGACAGGCGAAAGAAACCCGGCTCGGTGGTAAAAGAGTAGGATTTCTTCTTCGCTTCAACAAACAACAACTCTTTGATGATGATGATGATGATGATAATGAAGAAGAAGAAGAAGAAGAAGAAGTGGAACTTGTTCTCGGGGATAATAATAACAAAGAGTGCGCGTTAATGCGCGTGTAACACGCTTGGTGCATCACAAATGTTTTATTTAGCATAGAGGTAAAGTTGCGGGCAACAAAAAGCGTTGTGTTTTGAAGAAAAAAAGTAGTTAAACAAGCAAAACAAACTTTACAAACAGTGTGATGTGTGTTCTATTTATACGTCAATGCAGTGACACGCGTCGAATATTTTTACATCAATAGAATACTATGATTATTTACTGTCCGTGCAATCCATCACGTTTTGCAAATCCCGCTCTATGATTTTACACAGCGGCGATAACGGTAACGTCGCGAATGGTTCTTCGATTTGAATACCGATTTCATCCACGCCTAAAATGAGATAACTCACGCAAAACATCAAAGGTAAAAGCGTCCATCCAGTCGTTATCGAAGATAACGCAAACGGTAAAGTGAGCAACCAAATCATGATAGACCGCGACGAGTGACGACTGAACGAGAGCGGAATTGGTGTCGATAATAATCGTTCGCACACACCGCCGGCTTGGTTAATTTCTGAAATCGTTTGCTCGAGCATCAATTGAGCGTTGTCGTTTATGCCCTCTTTCACTGCGATCTTCATAAAGTGAGTCAAGCGCATGGTGCAGAAAAACGGGCGATTCCTGTCTTCGTTCAATAGAATAGGAATTTCTTCGCTGGCACCAACTCTGTTCAAGATGCGAGACACCGCTTCGTCCGGCGTGTCTCTAAAAGCTGAAGGGTCGCTTTTATCTTCTCGCGTTCGACCGGACCGTAATCTAGATTTCAACAGGTACGGATAACACGAAACGACGCCTAACATCGTCTTTCTCAGTTGCTCGTTTTCTATGTACGCGCTGAAGCGCGCAAAATCGCGGCACCGGCGAACGAGCGCACCCCACGCCATCCGACCTTCCACGAATCTACTGTAAGAAGAGTTTGTGCGAAAGACGAGCACTAAACCGAGCACCGTACCGAGCATCGTGTGGAACAAAGGTGAAATTTGAAACGTAAACGTCTCTATCGTCGATTGCTTCATCCACTCTACTAAGCTCAATGGTAAAATTCCACTTGCATAGGGAACCATTTTGTGCGTAAGGTTGTATAAAGTTCCCGGCATGATCAAAACCAAGTACGCGAGAAATGTGAGCGTCAAAAGCACTCGGACCAACCGAAGAAAAACCGTCGAGCTCGGGATGTTTTGCAAATCGTAAAAGAAGCGGTTCACTCTTCGATGTTTTTCCCATTTATCTTGATCGAATAACTGCGAAATAGACGTCCCAGATGAGATGAGCGTTTGGTTCAAACCAGGATCGAGTTGTAACAAGCGATCTCGTATGCCGACGTAGTTTTTCACCGCAGCTTTATTCAAGTCTATGTTCTTCAATATCAACTCGCCTTTCCAACCTTCCAAGAAACCGGCACCGGCAAAATTTTCGCCGTCGTCGTCGTCGTCTTGGTCCGTCGCCGGCTCAATGTTTGCTCGCGTTTTTATCCTTTCTCTCGTCGCGTTCCTGCTCGTTCGTGTGTCGCTTTTTCTTCGTCTCTCTCTTCTCTCATCTCTCGCGCTTTTAGTAGTATTCCTCAACAGTTTTAACGAGAATGAAGAAGAAGAAGCAGAGGAAGAAGAAAAACCACTTCTTTTGGAAGACAAAAGGAAAAGTCGTCGTCGTCGTTGTTGTTGTTGCGCGTTCAAAAAAACCGCGCGGTTCGCGCGATAAGAAGAACAAGAAGAAGACGAAGACGCGTTCATCTTCACGAGGCTTGTCGTCGATGTTATGGTAATCATCTCGAGACCGACCGACCGACGAATATAATAAAATCGTTGTCGATAGAAAAAGTGCTGCTGTTTTTATCTTTTTTTCCTTCCTCTTGTTTCTTGTTGTTGCCACAAAGTAAGCAAAAAAAGCGCGCGCGCGTTTTGCTGCTTCTTTCCGCATTCGGGCAAACAGTCGTTTTGTTGTCCCTTTTTAGAAGAGGAGCGAGCGAGCGAGTGTTGAGTGAGTGAACGACGTGACTACGCGAACGAACGAACGCGTATAAATAGAGAGAAACAAAGAAGGAGGAAGAAGAGAGTGAAACAAAAATGGGCGGCGGCGCCGGCATCGGTGGTGGTGGTGGTGGTGGTTTCTCCTTATCCTCGTTGGACGCGTATAAGAAAATCGAGGATCATCTCATGGTGCGAACGACTTCGGGAGCCATCGTCTCGTTACTCGGCATCGCGCTGATGTGTATTTTAGGCGCGAGTGAAATTTTGAATTACATCACGCCACCAGTGGTGAAACAAATGGCCGTGGATGGTACGCAGAACGAATTGATGACGGTGAGAATGGATATTACCTTCCCGAGAGTTCCCTGTTCGGTGTTATCGGTGGACGCGTACGATCAGTCGGGAAAGAACGACCAAGACGTGAGAGGAGAGTTACACAAGGAAAGACTGAACAAAGACGGGAAATCGTTAGGGTCGTACGATAAAGCCGGAGGCGGAGTCACCGATGAAGAAGACGCGCTCATACAAGACTTGCAACAGTTCTTCGGCGGCGGAATGAAGGTTGTCTTTCAGAAACGCGCGGAACATTCGCGGGAAGTGAAACACGCGGTGGAGAAGAAAGAAGGATGTCGGTTATACGGAAGGATGCACGTGCAAAGAGTCGGTGGGAATTTCCACATTTCCGCGCACGCAGAAGAATACGAGACGCTCCAACACGCGTTTGGTGCGGTGAATAAAATCAACATATCGCACACCATCACGCACTTATCGTTTGGCGCTGGGTATCCAGGATTGGTGAACCCGTTGGATGGCGTCGCGCGAAGCGGAAGTGACGACGAGTTTCACTACGACGAAAGTAGCAAAGATAGTAGGAGCTCGGATAGAAAAAACATAGAGAAAGAAAAGGAGGAGGAAGAGAAGAGGAAGAAAAAAGAGCAAGTTCGAAGAAGCAGGCTCATGGACTTGACTTGGGATGAAAACGGAAGCGGAGTGTACAAGTATTTTCTCAAACTTGTGCCTACGTTTTATCGAACCCATAGAAGCGTCTTCTTAGGTTTGTTTAGTTGGACGAAAAGCGTCTCGACGAACCAATATTCCGTGACGGAATACTTTCGTAAAACTGATGCTTGGTCGGGATCGTTACCAGCGGTGTATTTCTTGTATGACTTCTCTCCTATCGCGGTAACCATTGATACGAAGCGACCGCACTTCGTGTACTTTCTGACTCGTTTATGCGCCGTCTGTGGTGGCGTGTTTGCGTTTGCACACATGATTTCAAACTTAGTAGATGCACTCTTAACGATTATAACGAAGAAGAAACGTTAGGATTTAGATATATGATTAGTAGTGGTTGTAATAGTGCCGTAGTATGTAGTACGGAGTAAAGGTACAAATAATTAATTAATACGCGTGTTTCAAGCTTTCAGTTTCAACTTTCGGAATTACACGATGCAAAAACTCTTTCGTTGAACAAGCGCCACAATAAAAAGAAACAACACGTAAACGTTCCGTAGATGATAACAACAGAAATGGCAGGAGTTCTCTCTCGTGCATCCAAGAGACTTCTGAACAAGTTGCCTCAGTTTGAGAGATTCACCATTCAAAGAGCCGCTTGTAAAGTGAAAGAAGATATCGCGAGACGACGTAAACAATTGGAGTTTGAGTTGGACGAAGTCGTGCACATAATCTCCCCTGGACCTTTGGACTCTCCGCAATTTTCCACGCCGGTTTCGCAGTTAAAACAAGATTTCAGGCGAGGGAGGAGCATAGTTGAACGGGCGAGAAATAGATACTTGGACAAAACCTGGGGGAAAAAGAAAAACCATCCCCCGCCAGTTGGGAATTCTTCTTAAAACGCAAACCTTAGCTTTTAGTTTACCTTTAGTCATAGCTTAGAATGCGTAGCATATTTAGAGGATTTTTGTACCATGAATACCAACCACCACCACACTTACATTGAAACAGAATTGTTGCGATATCGTTACACGTTACATGGTTATCATATAAAGTAGTATGGTTTCGCTGTTATTACAAATACATAAAAAGTACGAGGATATTTTATAGGACGCCCTTTCGTCTGGCCCACTTGATTATCGCTATGCTGCAATATGTCAAGCCGAATAGCAACAAACCACAGGTGATATAAAACGCAGAAATCGACATTTCCAGGCAACTTCTCAAGTTCATCCCGAAGATACCGGTAACGACTGCTCCAATTGCAGCAGAAAAACTGGCAATGGAAAGAGTCAATTCTAATTTTGAAACCTCTAATCGTCTCGCCGCAAGCGTCGAGGCCACGGACTCGTCCAAATCTCTCGCATTTTCCAAGAGGGCCTCGGCACCAGAGTGACATGCTTCGGCTTGCTGCAGGTAATACTCAATCAAGTTTTCAACTTCCTCCTCTTCATACTCGATGGTTTCCGCGTCTTCTTCATTTTCTTTCTTCGCCGTGGAGGATAACGTCATTCTCTCGATATCGTCTTCATCGTTCAAAGTGTCGAGTAAGACGTCTCTGACTGCTTCTGCTCTCGATTCCAGTTGAACCAAAGTCTGTTTCATGAAGCGTAACTCGTCGAGCGTCTCTTTGTTAATATTTAACTGCATTCGACGTTCTAAAGTGCGGTATCGTCTCGTGACAGTTTCTAATCTCTCTTCGAGTTGGTGCACCGTTTCTTGCAAAGCGGCTTCAACTACTTGTAACTCGAACGGAATTTCCAGTCCTTCCGCGTTATCTTGCTGCATAGAGGTGAATCCAACGCCGCCATCAACGGATGATCCACCAATTGAAACGCCATTTGATGCACTTTTCAGCATCTTTTGAGCGGCAATTTTCTGATTCCACGCCTCCAAAAAGTTGTTCGACGGTCCCGTCTCCGGGCCGAGTAACAACGCGTGATCCTCCCGAATGATTATTCGAACACCTAAGTTGACTAATATGGAGTCTTCGCGAACAATGATAGCCGGTGTGTTGTTTGATTGCGTTAAAACTGGATCAATACGACGTAAATCCCGCGGCGATAAATCTGTATCTCTCAACATTTGTCGCCTGGACATGACTTGCTTATACGGCGCTCTGTCTTCATCTTTCCCGATACCGTTCACTCTATCCAATCTTACGACCGCGTACGGTTTTGTTAAATGCAATCGATCGTTTCTTGCGTTTTGCAAGCGCCTGGCTACTATGTTCTTAGCTTCAGTTTGTCGTAATTTACTCTCTTGTTCTTCCGCGCTCAACACGGCTTTCGAGTCTCGGTCCGAAACGTCCATTTGCATATCCGTCAAAGTCGCCATAGCGGATCCACCTTTATTACCGTCGTCGTCGTAACTGCGTTCGTAATCATCGTCATCCTTTGATCCCCGCGCCGACATTTTCACTCCATCTCCGCGTCCTTCTCCTCTCGAAGCAGCGTGCGAAGAAGTCATCACGTATCGCAGTGGTTTGTGCTTGATGCACCCAGGTATGGCAACCACGGCACGCATAAACGACGCGTTTTTCTCCAGATCGTTTCTATTATTATTATCATAATAACAGCTAGTCGTCGTACTCGCGGAGTTTCCTCCTCGAAGTGAGTTCACTCTCCATTTCTTCGTCGACAAAGACGAAGAAGAAGAGGAAGGAAAATTGTTGTTGTTGTTGTTGTCCGTTCGTCGTCCTTTTTCTCCTTCTTCTTCTTCTTCTTCTGATGATGATGACACCACGCGACTGAAAGACGACGCGTATTTGCTTCTACATGCTCTTCTTCTAGTCACAAACGATCTTTTTAACGAACGATATGATAAGGAAGACGATGGTGCGTCGTGATACGAACACGAAGGTGAACACGTGGAAGACGCAAACAACATTCTATTACGTTGTTGTATAAAAAACGTTGATGATGATATTTCTCTCTCTTTTGAGTGCGTTCAATAGAAGGATGTGTTGTGATTGCGTGCGTGTGGTGCAATCAAACTTAACTGCTTTATATCTCTTCTTTCTCTTTCTCTTTCTTTTCGTTATGTGTGTGTATATATAGTGTAAGGAGGGGAGGAAGTTTAACAAGAGTGAGGACGAGAATATATTTTCAGAGCGTTTATTACCCTGTGTGTGTTTATTCCTTTCAGCCGTCAGCATGACAAACAAATCCTCTTTTCCTTTTTTTGCGCGTGGTTCAAAAATTCAAAACAACAGAAGAGATTTTGACTTTTCCGCCATATAAATTCTCTTCGTGTTATATAGAAATACGTATACTCTGTTGCCGTTGTCATGACATCAACAGCAAAAGAAGGAGAAGAAGAAAAACAGAAGCAAATCGTCGCGGCCGATGCGGCGTACAAAGCCGGCATCGCGGCTATTCGTGCGAACGATTTGGAGTCTGCCATTCAGTTTCTCGGGTCGAGTTTGGAAATTCGAAACGAAATATTCGGCGAAGGAAGCATTGAAGTCGCGCCGACGTATTTGAAGTACGGATGCGTATTGTTTTGGAAAGCGCAAGAAGATAACACGGTGTTTGGGGCGAACGCACCGGGAGGTGCTGGTGGGGAAGCCGGCGGTGGCGATGATGCGAATACGACGAAAAATGCTGCTGCGACGAAGGAGGAGGAAGAGAAAGAACAAAAGGAAGAAGAAGAAGAAGACGACGACGGAGAAGACGCGAACGAGGAAGGAGGCGAAGACGAGGAAGACGAAGAAGAAACAGACATGGAATTGGCGTGGAAGCTGTTAGAAAACGCGCGTTTGATTTATCTCGAGCATTTTGAAGCGACGAAAGCGAATCCAGACCCAGAACCATTGCGAAAAGAACGCGCGCTCGAACTCGCTTCGGTGTATGAGAACCTCGGAGATATCAATCAAGAGCAGTCTAATTTCGAGGCTGCTATTGAAGACGAAACGAAAGCTTTGCAGATTTACGAGAAAGAGTTGAGCTTAGACGATAGAAGGATTGCCGCGGTTTTGTCTAACATGTCGCTCGCGTACCAGCTTTTAGATCGATTCAAAGAAGCTTTGCGAACGTGTCAACGCGGCATCGCCGTCTTGAACGCTCGCTTAAAACGGTTACAAGAAGACGATCTGAAAGACGGAGGGAAGGAAAACAAAGAACGCACGGAAGAGTTTGAGACTATTCGAGCGGTTTTGGGTGACTTCACGGAAAAAGAAATCGAACTTAAAGGCCTCGAAGACCAAGAAAAGTCTGCGAAGGATGCTATTCGAGCTGCGTTTGCATCCATCGGAGGCGTGGTGAAACCAGACCCGAACGCGGCTGATAAGAATGAAGGCATCGAAACGGACGGGTTCGATAAGCCGCAGTTAAACGAGCAAACAACTGTCGTTCAAGTGCAACAAGTTCGTAAGAAGGTCGTCCCGCAGCAGCAGCAGGAACAACAACCTGTCCAGTTGCAACCGAAACGCGTCATTCCTGTGCAGCAAGCGCCGGTCCGCGTGCAACCGAAACCGGTGGTTGCGCCAACTCCCGTCTCCGGCGGGAACGAACAACCGCAGGCTAAAAAGTTGAAGCCAACGCCTTCAAATGCCGCGAAAGAGAACGAACCAGCGCCAACCGAGGGCGAGCAGTGTAAACAACAATAAAAAATATATACGTGCAGTACCAACCAAAATACATCGCGTTTTAAATACCTACTGCAGAACTTCGAACGATTCGTTAGAAAAAGTCGTTTCCTGAATATAAACACCCTTCTTAAAAGGTCGCAGATCTGTTGAGCAACTCAGAGAATACCATTTACACGTAAGTGACGCTACTGCTACGGCTACTCATACTATTGCTCACATGACGCGTCGTCCGTCGATGGATAATGCATTCCCAGGCGTAAAACACGTAACTTTAGAATACATCGAGCGTTTAAAGTCCAATTTAGAAGCGAACACGCACTCTGGCGTCGCCAACAGAATACAAAAGTTCGTCTCCGCGCAACAGTTCACATCAATCTTAAACCATTGCACGGAAATAATAGAAAAAGAAAACACGTGCGTGTACTTACGACCGGAAAACCCGGAGGAAACGGTCGTCAACGTCGTTGGCGACACGCACGGACAGTTTCACGACGTTTTACAACTGTTAGAGTTGGCAGGGAAACCTTCCTCGAAGAATAACTTTGTGTTCAACGGCGACTTCGTCGATCGAGGCGCCTGGGGTTGCGAAACGCTCTTGACGTTTGTGTTAATGAAAATATGTTTCCCGCAAGACGTGATTTTAATTCGTGGGAACCACGAGAGCGAGTTCTGCACGTCGTGTTACGGTTTCGAACGCGAGTTGAAGGTGAAGTTTGGCGACGCAAACGCTCTGCACCACATTTATCCCGCATTCTTGAAATTCTGCGCGGCGTTGCCCTTAGCGTGTAAAATAGGATCATCGGCCTTAGTCTTGCACGGTGGACTCTTTCGTTCGCCGTCTCAAAAGAAATCGGAATCGAAATTGAACCCCAAGTTGGGCACTTTGAAAGAGCTGAGCGCGGCGAGTAAAGGCGGTTTCGATCCATCTGGTGTCGGACGAACGTTAGTTGCCGGTGATGTCATGTGGTCGGACCCGTCTCATTTGAACGGATTGAAACCAAACGTGCAAAGGGGTATAGGTGTCATTTTCGGGCCGGAAGAATCGAGAGCGTTCATGAAGAATGAAAATTTAAAGTTGATTATTCGTTCGCACGAAGGTCCAGACGCTCGAGAAGATAAACCGGAAATGTCCTCCATCCAATCCGGTTTCTGCATCGACCACGACTTAGGAGAAGATGGTAAACTAGTTACTATATTTTCAGCTCCAGATTACCCGCAGTTTCGAGATTTCGGTGACACTAGACACAATAACGAAGGCGCGTTCATTCGTTTGAAAGGCGAAACGAATTTTTGTAGCGTAGAAGACGTGTGTACATTTTCAGCCACGCCTAGGCCTCCGGCGGAATGCTATTACGATTTAGATATCGGCGGCAGCGACGTGGAAGGACCGTCGGACGGTTCGGGGGGTGGTTTATCTAGCGCTGGCGAAGAAGAGTCGTCGGGCGACGGCGCGCAAACGGGAAAACTCTAACTTGTAAAAAAATCACTGCTGCGTGTTATCGTCACATCAAAATCACCTCTCTTTCTCTTTATTCTCTCTCTCTCTCTCCGCCCTTTCCTTATACGCATCAATCATCAAATCAAATGTCAGACGACAAAGCAACTCCTCCAAAAATCGTCGACCGAGAGGCGCTTTCGAGACTGTTAAAAATCTCCGACGAGGACGTCTCCGCGCGAGCAAGTCTGAGTTTGGCGAAACAGAGAGAACGCATTTTAAACGAACAAGTGAGAGAGAAGAACGAATCTCGAAAACTCTTCTCGGAATACGACGGGACGAACGACGTGTATTTTGCCACCGAGGATCCGCTGAAAACGATGGCGTTTAGAGGTTCAGATAACGCAAAGTAAGATTGATTAAGAATAAGAGAGAAAACCTTGGAAAACGATGATTACTTCTCAATATCACTCCAATGTGAAACACCGACCCGGGAGTGTTTCAAACACGACGAGAAGAAGACGCTCAAAGCTATTGACTCGACTCGTATTGCTTGGCGTATTGTTTGGCATATCATCGAGTGCGATGAAACGACGCGCTTTAAATGGAGTTGATAATACTGGTGATTACGCATCGAGCGTTCAACAACAACATCATCAACAACAAGGTGCAGCGGTTTCGTCCTCCGCCTCGAAGGTGTCTACCAAGTTGAACACAGACGCAAGTTTACGCAAACAAACTCATCAAGATGGATTATCATCAGGCGCAAGTGGTGACAGTGCCACTTCTTCTTCTTCTTCTTCTTCTTCGAATAGAGAGCGGGAGATTTGGTGGCACGATTTGTCGTCCAAGTGTCAGTTTACTCTCGGACAAACGCTCGCGCCGTTTGGTGAATCCGAGGACGTCGACGCGAGATCCGAACTCTATGCAAAGATGTTCCGAAGCACATCAGATACCGCAGTTTTAGATATTTTCAACCCCTCGAAAACAGTCATCGTCCAAACTGCTAATAATAACAACGATTTGACGCTGGACAAAGTTTTCGTCATCGATACCGAGAAGGATGAAGTTACGCCGATTTTAGAAAAACTCGAAATTCCAGTGCGAGCGATCGTGTTGCCGTTCCCTAGCACGTCGGAAGGTGCAAAGAAAATTGGGAAGATTACGCGCGAAGTGCTCGCAAAAAATGGATTCTCTAAAGAAACTTCCGTCTGGTTGCAAAATGCGGAACTTTATCACGCTTCTGTATACCACGCGTCGCATCATCTGGACGCTCACAAAGCAAAGGGTAATGAAATCCGAGAAGAGGTTCGCGTGGTGAAAGAATCGGCAAAGCAGATATGCCCGATAAAGATTACACTCGAACGGATCGTTATAACTTCAAGTGGAGCGTTAGTAAGCGTTTGGAACACGCGAAATACGAGGGATGGTGGCGAAATCTCCGAGTTTCGCCAACTTTTGCACGACAATCTTCCAAATGCTCCGGTCAATCAAATCGTTTCCAATAAGTCTATCATTCACGCGACTTTGGCTCGATTTCTCGGCACGACTGGTACGAGCGAGAATGCAAAGAACGTCGCTCGCGAACTGACGAACGTGCTTTGTGGCTTAGAAATGACATTACCTATGGCTTGGTTCGTCGAGGAAAGACATACGTTAGCGCTCGCGCTGGAAGGCGAATACGATACAGTTGGCGCTCCATTTCGTGATTGTCACGTAGACTAGAATTTTAGAACATAAATATATAGTATTTTACATTTCATTAGCCGGCTACTACTAGTAAGAATTCAAAATGATGCCACACATGCCAGACAGCTTATCCAACGTGTCTTCTAATCGAAGCTCGAGCATTACTCTTTCTCTCAACTGATTCAAGCATCTATCGATGCGTTTACTCGTCCCTACATCAGAACCGTACAAATCGAGAATTTCCTGAGATAATCTGACGAGATCTCGCGTGTGACGCGGATTCGCGATGTATTTGACGACGAACTCTAAAACTGGCACCAATCCGTGCTCATCCCTATTCGCCAACGCCTTTGTGATGCCTCCTCTTTTTTCAATGTCTTCGATGACGGCCATGACAACCTCTGGTCTCCTGTTATTTATAGCCGCATCGAGTGCATCTCCAAAACGAAATTTTCTCAGTGCTCTATCGTGCGCTTGCAGTCGTAGACGTTTCTTTCTCCTTACAATCTCGTCCTCCAAGCGCGGTTGCGCGTTCCCAGTTCTCGTGAAGTAACCAATCGTGCTCGCGTCCATTCGCCTCGGTCGTTTTATCCTGAATCCAGATTTCAAGGTGATTTTCCATTTCCCTGCACCTGGCCCGGGCGTAGGTTTCGCATTTGCATCCGCAATTCGCGCTTTCGTTCGCTTTCTAATACACAAGGTTTTAGTTGCCATACCAACCGCGAAAGCGTTAGCGTCTGGTGAGACCGAACAACATAAAACTGGACCGGGAAACTTGGCGGCGTGTTTCACGGTGAACGCGTCAATCTCATGCACCTTCACGTGTCCATCTAAGCTCCCGGTGATTAATCTCGGCTGATATTCATCAGTCGCGTTGTTGTTGTTCGATGTTCTTGGACCACAGTCTTTGTGCACATTCACCGTCATCACCGTCTTTTGATGATTCGTCAAACGCATTAATCTATTATTATTATTACTATTCTCTATGGGATCCTTCACGTTGAACGAAGAGGCGCCTTTGACGACGTCCCATACGATAACTTCCGGTCCTCCACACGATACTAACGCTCTCGCATTTGGATACCAACATATATCTTCTACTGGACCGGTATGCTGCATAGTCATCACCGCGTCTCTACCTACTCTAGCGTCCCACAGCCTAACGCTGTGGTCGTACGATCCGCTCGCCCACACGTCATTCTGTTCTGGACTCGATTCCAACGCGCGAACGTAATCCTTGTGTCCATCGAATCTCTGTGAACAATTCCCCGTACTGACGTCCCATATCCGTACCGTCGTGTCGTCTGAACTCGACCCGACGCTCAAATTACTCGTCTCGCTCCATCGCACCGCTCTCACCGCGCCGGCGTGCAAAGTAAACTTTCTCAGAATATTTCTCGTCTTCACGTCAAACAATTGCACGATGCCGCTTTGTCCACCCACCGCTAACACTTTCGCGTCTTTTCTCAACACTCCACTAAACGCGACGTCTTTAAACCTCGCGAACGTCTTTAAAACTTTCCTCCCGTTTTGGTTATACATGGTCACCCTTGCAGAACTCGTCGCCGTTAGGTGACAAGGAAACGTGCTATCGTCCATGGAACCGGAATAAAACACGTCCGTCACGATCCCGGGTTGGTTTTGCAACGACGTCGTTTTATAGTTCTTCCAATATTTCCCTTCCAAAGTTTCTCGCAACGTTTTCGGTGGGTACTGTTTCGGCGCTAGCTTTTCGTAGTCTCCCATCCTTCGATGGGAAGTTTGGACACGCGAGATTATCACGTCGGCGCCGTCTTCGCCTCTTCGCCTGGAGGACATTTTTTCTCACCAACACTCCTACTCACAACAATAACAACACCAACCTCGCGCAGTACTTAAAACCTTCTTCTTCTTCTGACTGTTTGTTTGTTTTCTCGCGTCCGTCCGTCCTATGGTGCGATGCGTTTTGTTTTTTTACTCACTCTCTCCAAAGTTGAGGGCGGCGGCGAGAATTTATTATTTTTTAAGGAGTTCCTTCGCACGAACAAAAGGATTTTGACACACAACAAAAGTCGTTAGAAAAAGTACCCCGAGCGACACGAACAAACTGATGCTGCTGAGACTCCTTTTCTCATCATCATCATCATCGTTATCATCAGCAACAGCGCGCGCAGCATCATCTATTCCAACAACCACTTCTCGTTACTTCTGTAATCCATCGTCGTCGTCGTCATATTTATCATCGAGAAAGAGTAGTAATACTAATACTAATACTACTACTACTAATAATAAAACGAAGAAGAAAAGTGCAAAAACGCTCATGACGAACGCATCGTCAAAATCATCAAACACCGTCGTCGACGAGAGGACGTTATCTACGGATATTTTCTTCCTCGATGACTTTGCTATTCGACAGTGGGACGATCCGAACTATTCCGGGACGATTATCGCGCACGATAAAATAGACTTTGTCCGGAAAATACACGACTATCACACCTCTTCTTCGAGTGGCGAGCATAAGCTCGTGGACGGGTACGCTCCGTTTTGTAAACACGTCTTCGTGCCAAACTTTGTGAACGCGAAAGTAGCGACGGTAGAAATTACGAAAGAGAACGAACACTTGTTGAAATCAGGATACTCTGCGCGATCTGAGAACGAATTAGCGGTGCTGACGAGATGGTTTCACGTAAATGACATTTTCGGCGACAACGCGGAGGATATTAAAACGAGCAAGATGTTGGACATTATTTTATACAGTAGAGACCAGTTGGTGAAAGAACGCGAGGCGACGGGGAAAGCTGATCCAAACAGACCGTTACCGGATGCACCGTGGGGAATTATATCCATCAAGGCTCAAGATGAACCGTTCGAGTTGCCGATGCAACCGATTACAATGATGCGAAACGCGTTGGGCAAAAGCGAAGGCGGATCGGGCGTACCCTTAGAAAAATCAAAGTACGACGCGTCGGTAGCGTACTGGCGAAACCACGCGCCTTTACTTAAGACAGACACGCCAAACGGCGACTAGTTTATTGCGTTTGATACGGTTTGTGTGTTCAAATTATTTACTATATCTTCTTCCTAAATAAGTATTTGATTTATCGATTCTTTTTGTTTTGCGTGGGTGCGCGACCTCTTTTAATATTTCTTTTGCAAAATCTCCAACACCATCTCTTTCTTTTCCGCGTTGTTCTTACCGGCCACATCAATCGCAGTCACACCGTCCAATCCTTTAGCGTTGGGGTTCGCACCGGCTTCCATCAATTCCGTGCACTTTGGCGTATCCCCCTCGGCGCTCGCGAAGAGCAAAATAGCATCCGCTGGGTGAATGCCCGTCTCCATCAAAGCGTTCATACGATCGTACGTCCCTTCCACGGCCAATAATCCCATATAGTTGAAGTAATATTCCACATCCACGTCTTCGTAATCGTCTTTACCTTGTGAACCGTAGATTCCAGCAGATTTCGCGTCTGGGCGTAAGCTTTGCACTTGCGCTTTGATATCATCAAAGATACCGCGAGAGATGACTAAATTTCTTTTTCCGATGTTGTTGTTGTTATTATGGTTTACGTTCTTTCTCGTCGATGAGACGATCGAGGAGGAAGAGGTCACGGCAGAGGATGTCATCATGGTGGCAAAAGTCGACATTGTCGTATTTTATGCGTTATGGTTCGTCGTGTGTGTGTTGGATGATAATTTGAAGATAATCATCCAAAAGTAGATAATAGGAGAAAGCAAAGAGATCTCCATTTTTTGCGAGAAAAATTTGAGGGAGAGACAAGAGAAAAAAAAAGAAAGAAAAAAAAACAAGAGAGCACACCCACGGCTGGCGAGAACGGAATACTAAACTAACTTACTAACGTATACATTCGCTACCTACTTCTATAAACCTCCCTTTGGTTTAGGAATCGGGATGCTCTTTTTTTTAGACGAGGTGTTGTTGTCGCTCGCCGCCCCTGCGGAAGCCGCCGTTGGTTTCTTTTCTTTTTTGCCGTTTTTGTTCTTTTGCAAAACGTTCCCGGGCGGTTTCGGTGCCGGCGGTGTTGTTGTTTTTGTTGCTGCTGCCGCTGCTACTGTTGACGCGCTACTCTTTTTCTTCTTCGCTTTCTTCTTTTCCTCGGGTGGTGGGTTTGCGTGACCACCTCGAACTGTGCCGCTTTTTTTGCCTTTCGAAGCCGGTCCGGGGCCGTTTCCTCCTCCTCCTCCTCCTCCTCCTGCCGCATTTTTCTTCTTCTTTTTCTTTGCAATATTCGCCAGTCGCTTTCGCTCTTCTTCTTTTCTTTCCTTGTCCAATATCGCTTGCTCCGAGTGGCGTTTCTTCGCCACAAAGTTGACCAACGCGGATATTTTCACGTTATCTTTTCCGTGTTCGTCTCGAGGTTGCGCCGGACCTGTTCGGAGCGCCGAACGACTCGCGACGCGCCTACCACCGTTAGCATCGAAAGTCTTCTTGAAACTCAGAAAATCTGCATCTTTGAAAATCGCCGAAGAGGACGATGGTGCGTTAGTTTGCATCGAGACACTCGCCGTGCCTTGACCACCACCATCTTCCTTCTTCTTTTGTTGCGCTGCGAACGGAACGCGTTGGTTCAACGCAAACTCCACTTTCGCTCGCGACGTTTCGCCTTTCACTTGAAACGGCGCCCCGTCGAACGCTTTCACGAATTTCCCGATCAAAGCGCTCATTTCCGGTTCTTTTGTCGACGTGCACAAATCGATTAACGCCATCGCGTTCGTGTTTACTTTCTTTGGCTTATTATTGTTCGAGCTGTTCGAGTTTGTTTTCTTCCTTCTCGACGATGCGTTTTCTTCCTCTTTTTTCTCTTCTTCTTCTTCTTCTTCTTCTTTTCCTTTTCCTTTGTTCTCGTCGTTTTCTTTATCCCTCGTCGATGATGCAGAAGACGACGACATCAACTCTTCCACGTGCGCCTTCTCTGTCGTCTTTCCGTGCATAAAGTCAAAATACGAAAAGTCCCGTCCAAACTCAAACTCCAACACTTTCTCCACGCAATCTAAAAACTGCGCTTTCGTCATCGTCGACGGGAGGTTTCTGACCACCAGCTTTGATCGTTTATCTTTCTGCTGTTGAGGCTGTTGAGGCTGATGCTCGTGCTGTTGAGGCTGAGGCTGAGAACGCCTATAACCGCGCTGTTGTTGTTTCATCATTTCTCTCAAACAACAATTCTGCTTTGAAGAGAAAAAATTTGTGTTGAGAAGGAAAAGAGGAAGAAAGAAAAAAGAAACAAACCCGAGCAACAAACCCTCTTTTTCCTCAGAAAGAAGAAGTCCATTACAAGTCGGATCGAAATTAAAAGAAGAAGAAGAAGAAGAAGAAGACGAAGAAGACGAAATAGTAGATAAAAATATGGCATTCGTGGCGCCGCAGTGCAGAGACGACGAGGACGGATGGGGTCCGAGCAGTAAAGGCTACGGCAAAGAAGACGGGGAAACTGGCATCGAGGCGATCATTTACTCTCCGTTTTTGAAGACGGACAAATTTGGGCGAGCAGCCGACTGGACCACCTCGGGAGGGAAATACAACAGAAACGAACAACGATACCAGAGAGAACGAGAAATGCAACACCAGAGAGACTTTGGCGGCGGTGGGGTCGTGCAATCGAAACAACAACAAGGCGGCGGCGGCGGTGGATCGCAGCAGCAAGGCGGTGAGCAAGAGCCGACGTCTTCGTTCAACTTCTTCGAGAACAAGGAAGAAGAAGGGAGCTTTTCGTTGGTGGATACCTCGAAAGGAGGGTTCCAACAGAAGAAGTTTGGCGGTCAACAGAGACGCTTTCAACCGGGCGGTGGAAGAGGATTCGGCAGAGGGAGAGGGGCGCAAGACCAATCCGGAGCTTTGGGCGACCAAGGCATCGGCGCGGAAAGAGAACGCGCCAGACAAATGCGAAAACAAAGCAAGAAGCAGCAACAGTGGAGCTCGTGGGGATTCAACAGGAACGATCGCAATCAAGTTTCGTACGATGCGTCCGTGGAAATCAAACCGACGTGGAACGTGGTCGAGCAAATTCAATTGTCGGCGTTTGCGAAAGTTACGGAGAAGATTGCCACGCCGACGGACGCTCCGGAGACTTTGAAAGAGTTTGGCGCTTTGAAATCGTTCGATAAAACAATCGACCGCATCACGCCAAAAACTGAACGAACCGTGAAGCGTTTGACGCAGGTTTCGAGTTTGAACGGCGCGACTGCGTCGAAAGATCCGGTCATGGTCGAATTGGGCAAGGCAAACGCGAGCGCGAATCCAAACAAAGTCACGCTCATGACGACGGATACGACTTTAGCTGCCATTATGTGCGCGACGCGTTCTGTCTTTGGTTGGGACGTTGTTATCACGAAAAAAGGAAATACGATTACGTTTGATAAACGTCCACGAGGAGTGGTGGATTCGCACACGGTTTCTGAAACCGCGCAAGAGGCAATTTCAGACGATAAAGATAACATCAACGGCGCGCAGAAGTTAGCAGAGGAAGCTACGTTAATGTCCGCCGCGTATTCCGCGCAAGTCGCGTCGGAAGAACCGGAAGTTGTTTTAGGTGGGGAAAGAAAGGTGCCAGTGGAAGATGCTCCGAGCGGCGTCGCGTACAGATACAGAAAGTGGCAGTTGAACGACAAGAGAGACGCGATAGTGCGAACCGAAGTTAACGGCGTAACAGAGTCGCGAGGTCAAAATGCTCTACTGTGTGCGCGTGCATTGCTCGAATATGATTCCAAGGTCTCGCAAACCGTCGATTGGAGAGCTAAAATCGAGACGCAAAGAGGTGCTGTCATCGCTACAGAGTTGAAAAACAACTCAAACAAATTGGCGAAGTGGACGTGCTGCGCTATTTTGGCTGGGGCAGATTTGCTCAAACTTGGTTTCGTGTCTCGTGTGCACCCGAAAGATCCGAACGCGCACTCTATCCTGAACACGCAAACGTTCAAACCGAAAGACTTTGCGGCGCAAATTAACTTGAACTACGACAACATCTGGGGCGCTTTGGGCTTCATTTTGGACGTCGTCGAAAAGCAAGTCGACGGGACGTACATTTTAGTCAAAGATCCAAACAAACCGCAATTGAGAATGTATAAGGTTCCGGACGATTACTTGACCTACCAGTTCGAAGATCAAGCGGACGAGGAGTTGGATATCTAAATTGCACACAACCACACATAGAAGAAAGTTTTACACACGTTTGTAAAAAGAATATTTTTAGTTTGTTTTTCGCATCATCATACTGCTATAAAAAAATGTTTCTTTGCCGACGCATTACCGGTTTGCCGCTTGCTAATTCTATTATTTTCACTCCTACCTTATATATTCCTATCAAGGCTCTAATCTTCATCCTCTCCGTCCTCTTCTTCCATTTCCGCGTCATCCACCACGTTTCCATCGCCGCCACCTCCTCTCGCGTTTGCTTGCGCCGCCCTGAGCGCTTTTTCGCACGACTCCAATCCGGATTTCGCTCGAGCGTTATTTGGCTCGATTCCTAACGCACTTTGGAAGTGTTGCACAGCTTCGGCCCTTTCGTTCATCTCCACGAGAATCGTAGCGTACTTCACGTGCAACATCACCTTACTCTGCGCATCTTTCGGCGGATGTTTCTCGAGAATGTTTTTAATAACAAACTTGGCGCGCTCGACGTCGTTGTTGTCTCGCATGCACGCGTCCGCCAAGCCAAACGCCGCTCTCAATAAGCTTGGATCCATTTGTAACGCTTTCGCAAACGCATCTTTCGTTCTTTTCAAACCAATGTCTCCAGAAACGCGTTTGTGTGCGTCTCCTAATAACGAGGCGGCAAACGCCGAGTGCGTGTTCAACTCCGTCGCCGCTTGCGCGCTTTCGATGGCTTCTTTCCGTCTCCCTGCCGCCGAGTACGCTTTGACGAGTCCGTGGTAGGACTTCAAACTCGGTTTCACTTCGTTCGCGCCTCGAAAGCACGCTATGGCGACGTCTGTTTTCTTCACTTTCATCGCGCATTCTCCCAACGTTACCAAAGCGACTTGGTTTCTCGGATTTAAATCTCTCGCTTTTTGTGCAAACGATAACGCCTTCTCTTTTTCCTTCGATAAATCTGACGCCATCGCCGAAGCTATCCAAGACTCGCACGAATTCTCGTTGATTTCAAACAAACGCTGGGCCAAGATTCTCAATTTTTCACCCTCTCTCGCATCTCGGAGCGCGGCGGCGTACTTTTCCATGTTCGTTACGCGTTTGTTGTCCATTTTCACGACCATCTCGTACGCCTCCATCGCCTTATCCGGCTTCCCTCTCAAACCATCCCATCGAGCTTTCATAATTAAAACCTCTGGTTGTTTCGGTCGGTCTTTCATCAACTTGGTCACGTGTGGGGACGCCTGTCTGACGCTATTTCTTTCCAATCCTTCCATGGCGTCGATCCAACAGTGTATCGTTTTTCGGTAATTCGCCGATCCTCCCACGAGCATGTCTTCAACGAGACCCCCTAAGCTATTCTTCTCGCAGTGGCGGGTGAAAATCTCTCGCGCGCGTTGACCCCCAACTGGCGATAACGATATTAATTGCGGCACGCACTCTAAATACGAGGCGTCGTTTTTGAAGACAAACTCGTACGCTCGCATCGCTTTTTGCGTGTGTCCCAAAGCTTGGTGCGCTTTCGCTTTCAACAAGTGGTATTTTAGAGGCACTATCGCCGTCATTGTTGAATCGTGCTGTTCCCCTGTTTTGTATTTCTTTGCCGTTTGCGTCCCTGTCATCGTCTCGTCTCCTTCTCGCTGTTGTTCTTTTTCGTACCCGTTGGTCGCCTCGAAACACTCGATGGCCCGCAGATATTGCTGCGTTTTGAAGAGACACTCCATCACGTGTAACTTCACCTCGTCCGCGTCAAAATTATCCATGGCGTAGCGATGCGCTTCTGAACTGTTTTCTGCTTCGTTATTATGTTCTTCCGCTTCGATGTTCGACGAGGAAAGTTGTTGAAAGTTTCTCTCGAAGTCCATCGCCTGTTCGAACCATTTCAAAGCTCTGAGATATTCCTCCTTTCCCATGAACGACGTCGCAAAGTTCACGCAATCGATCGCTTTTAACCTCCAAGTCAACACCATATCGTTCTCTTCCACGGTCGATGATGCCCTCACAGGCGATACGACTGATTGTTCCGCGTGGTGTATAAACGAACAGAGCAGCTCAGCGGACTCGAACGCTCCCGATGCGTTCAACGTTGTGACTTTTGCGCGACCGCCTAACGACCAGATTTCGTGCGGTGCCATGGACAGGACTTGCTTTTGCGTTCTTTGGAATTCTACAGCGGATGAAGAGGGAGTGGTGTTCTCGTTCCTGGTAGAAAATGGTGGCATCGTCATCTTCTACTTCGTGCTTCTTGTGTGTTCCCTCTCGTCGTCGTCGTCTTCTGTTTGTGGTGAGACGATGATGATGAAAAACGAAGTGGGTGTGTGAATGAAGAAGTTCCCCCTCAACCAAAATCTTTTTTTCTTTTTTCTTCCTTTTTTCGTTTTCTGCAGAAATTTCTTTCTCTCAACCAAAAAGAAATCTTCACTCCCCTCTCTTCACACGCTCTCGATAAATGGGAGGTAAGAAAGCGCCCAACAACAACAACAACAACAACAACAACAACAACAGCGTGGTATTCGTTGAACTGAAACCGTCGGAAATCTATTTCACGTTTTCTAAAATCTCCGACACGTTCAGTGGATGCTCGAAAACGTTGATGGAGACTTTGTTACAGTTGGAAAAGAGAGATATTAGTTCGAGAGATATTCCTGCGGTTGCGGTCGTGGAGATTGATAAACCTACGGCTGGTGATGAAAGGGAGGAAGACGACGAAGAAAGCGACGACGAGGAAGAAGACCGACGAAAAAGTAGTGCTCGCAAGAAGAAGAAGAAGAACAAGATGAAAACAGAAAAGATATTCGTCAGCATGAACAACCGGAGGCTGTGGGTCTTCAAAGAAGCCGAGAAGAGAGGAATACTGCAAACGATACGCGTTCGATTACAACCGAAAGAGGTTGGAGAACGCTTAGCGAGGAAAGGTTCGAGAAATTTCCGATTAGATAGAATAAGTTTAGACGCTAGAATCGTCGCTGAAAAGGCGACAGCGGTTGTTGTTGATAAAGAAGAAGAAGAAGAAGAACCGCCTCGCGTGGAGTAGGAATAGTAAAAGATAGAGTTATAAAATAGAGAGTATCTTACACACATGATGACAGTTCTTTCTCAAGCCATGGTTTTGTTCGACAACAACACCAACAAACCTTGTTTCCCTAACAAGATTTCGTTCAAAAACGAAATCATTCCGACCCAAATGATTGGCGAAACGTCCACGCCTCCGACCGGCGGTATCGCCGACCTCGTCGGTTTCAACAAAGGCTCCGTCGGCACGTAAGCGACCACCCACGGCAGCTTCGTAATCGGCACGGACGGGTACCAGGTCATCACAATTCTCACGATGAATAGAATTTCTGACACCGCGAATAACGGACCGAGAATGCCCGCGATTGTCTTTGCTGTTTCCGGATCTAAAGCATCCGCGTTCGATTCCGCCAACTCCAAGACGAGTTGCGTCGTGGGCATCGCGAACGCTTCAGATGGGTTGAGAAGCATCGCGCACCCTCCTACGGTACACAACGCCGTTATGGCACCTAAAGCGGTCAACGATGATGCGTTCAATGTACGTTCTCCTTTTTCTTTTTCTAATTTATCCGATGATGATCTTCTCGTTGTTGCTGCGTTAATAATAATACTATCTTCTTCTTTCGCTAAAATTGACGTCGTCGTCTTTTGTTTTGGAAAAGAAGAACGCATTTTGCGCGAAGAAAAAGACGAGGAGAAGGATTTTGAGGCTGATGCGTAGGCTAGTATTCTACATGATGATGACGACGACGACGACGATGATGATGATGACGATGGTGCCGATGATGTCGTCGTCGTCGTTTTCATCATTATCGCTCTGCAAAACATTTTTTTTTTTTCTTTATTGTTTTCTGCGTGTTGTGTTGTTTGTGTTTTGTGTGGTCTCCATTCTCTTTGCTTTCTTTTTTCTTTTTTTCGGGGGTCGCTCTTTCTTTTCGATCCCACAAGCAAGCAACCAAAAAATCTGACACGTATTTCTCCTCACAACACCAACGCTCTCGTTTGATTAGAGGAGTAATTAATAGCAGAGTCGACCGATTCGATTGGTTCCTCTCTCTCTCTCTCTCTCTCTCTCTCTTTCTAACACACACGCACTCTCAAGCCTTTCTCTCTTCATCTTTCCCTCTGCACACGACGCACACGCCATCGCGTCATCATCATCAGCGCGCGACGAAAAGAGAGAAAGAGAAGAGAGAGAGTGAGAGTGAGAGAGAATATTACCCTTTTTTTGTACGAGTACTCCTTTTTCTTTTCGAGAAGAGGATCAATCAAATTAGAGAAAGGAAAGGAAAAGGGTAACAACGAACGACGAAGCCTTTTCGTCGAGTGCGTCAAGTATACGCACACAAAGCAGAGATCGAGAAACCTTGACGTTAAAGAAGTAGACCCCCAAGCGGACGGAAGAAAACGCCCGAAGAAGAAGAGAAAGAAACAAAGAAGTGAGAGAAGATAATGGGCGACAATCAACACCCTCATTCGAGCAGCGATCAGCCGACCTCTCACGAAGAAGGCCAACATAACAACCAAAGAAGAGAAAATGAATTCTTCAGCGAGTTTGAGGACGCAAACAGATACTCCGTCCATGAAGTCATCGGAAAAGGCTCTTACGGAGTCGTTTGCTCAGCCACGGATACGAAAACGGACAAGAAAGTCGCGGTGAAGAAAATAACCGATATATTCGAGCACGTGAGCGATGCCACGCGGATTTTACGAGAGGTTAAATTATTGAGAGCGCTGAAACATCCAGACGTGGTGGAGATCTTACACATTTTATTACCCTCGAATCCTCGAGAGTTTAAAGACGTCTACGTAGTATTCGAACTTTTGGATACAGATTTGCACCAAGTGATCAAAGCGAACGATGACTTGACGCAAGATCACCATCAGTTTTTCCTGTATCAACTTTTGAGAGGTTTGAAATATATTCACACGGCGAACGTGTACCATCGAGATTTGAAACCTAAAAATATTTTAGCCAACGCGGATTGCAAGTTAAAGATTTGCGATTTCGGTTTAGCTAGGCCGAGTTTCCACGATCAAGGGCCGACGACGGTGTTTTGGACCGATTACGTGGCGACGCGGTGGTACCGAGCGCCCGAGTTGTGCGGCAGTTTTTTCACCAAGTACACGCCGGCGATTGATATTTGGTCTATTGGGTGTATTTTCGCGGAAATTTTGAACGGGAAACCTATCTTTCCTGGGAAGAACGTCGTCAATCAGTTGGAGATCATCACCGATATTCTCGGGACACCTACCTTGGAGCAGATTGCAAAAGTGAGAAACGAAAAAGCGAGGAGGTTTTTAGGAACGATGAGAGTTAAACCGAAAGCGATTTTGAAAGACAAGTTTCCGAAAGCTTCGGAGAAAGCGTTAAAGTTGCTGTCTAGGTTGTTAGCTTTCGATCCGGACGAGCGACCGAACGCGACAGAGGCTTTGCAAGACCCGTACTTTGAAGGTTTAGCCGATCCGAGCAGAGAACCGACGGCGAGGCCGGTGAAGGTGGAGGATTTCGAGTTTGAAAAAAGGAAGATTGGGAAAGAGGAAGTCAGGAGACTATTATACGAAGAGATATTGGAGTATCATCCGCAAGCGAAGAGAGAGTTTGAAGGCGCGGAGTTAGGGTCGAGTTATCGATCGGGCGAAGGAGACCAGTTTGGCGCGCAGTTCGCCGCGGCACAAATACAAGAGGATATGGCGGCTGGGAGTAAGAGCGCTATTGCACGAAAATCACAAAGTTTACCTCGCGAAAAGATGAACGCATATGTAAAAAACGCAGAAGAAGAATACGGGGAGAGAGTCAAACGCCAGGCAGCAGAGCAAGTGTACAGAGAGAAAGTTAATTCAGAGTCATTTAGCGAAGGTCGATCGAACGGTTCGCCTTCAATCCAAGACGATATTTCTTTTGAAAAGGAGAAGTTATCCTCTGCAACTGCTGCAGCATATTCAATGACGCAGTCAGAGATGGATGAAATGATTGATGTCGTGGAAACGATGAGTTTAGACGACGCAGATGTAGAGGAATTAGAACGCAACGCGAGACAAATGTTAGAAAATCGATAACGACGAACGTATGAAGGAATTGGATGCACGATGTTTATGTATTTATTGTAGTAAAAGCTATGTCCCTGTATGTACAACTAAATAATAAGTCTTCCCGTTTCACTTAATATTAACTCACCGCGCAACTATTACCACTACTACTACCCTTCTTCTTGCTAGAACATCTATGTGCTAAAAGCGCGGCCCTATGCGGAAAAGTCTTGTGACACGCCTCGCAGGTCGCAGAAGGAAGCGCGCTACTGCGAGAAGAAGTTACTCCACCACCACCCTTCTTTTCCCTTTTCTTCGACGCGTGTCGCATGAACATTCCGCTATTGCGAGTCTTTTGCTTTCCTAACGGTTGATACCGACTCCGTCGAATCTCTTCGCATCTGTGTTCCTCGTGTCTATGTGCCAAGCACAAAACAGTTTGACATTTCATGCACTCATATTGATTCGATGCATATATCTTTTCTTTGCATCCTTCGATCGGGCAGGTCAGTTTTTTCTTTTTCACGCAGAAATTTGAATTCATATGTTTTTCCATTGTCACGTTGATATCTTCATTTAATACGTACACGACCGACTTTTCACATATCGGGCACAGCTCTGATTGTTTATTCTGTGCTGAAGGCACCTCAATTCCCGTGCAGTCGTGTTCGATTTTGTCTTTGTGCTCTTCGCAGAAATACAAATGGCAACACGAGCAACGATGAGGTAGGAAATCGAGTTGGTTGCAGGAGGAGAGCGCACAATTCCTCCCGAGGTGTGGAAGTTCCATTTTATTTTAGGTGTGCGTACGACTTAAAAAGAGTGACGTTTCGATTCTCTTCTTCTTTTTTATTTAGTTTTCTGTATGTGTTAAAAATTACAATGTTGTTTCCTCGACGTCTGTGGTGTGTAAGCGTAAACTCTAAAAGTTAACTCTCATCATCATCATCAACATCCTCTTCATCCTCTTTATAAAGTATTACTTTTCTTTCTTTTCTTTCTTCTCCTTCTTTTTCTTCTCCTTACCTTCCTTTCCTTCTTTCGCTTTCTTCTCCTTCTTTTGTTTCTTGCCGCCGCCGTTGGAGTCGTCGTCCGTGGAACTCTTTCTCTTCTTATTGACCGAAGTACCTCCCATGGCTTCGACAACTTCTTGCATCACCGCGACGTTACGTCTCGGCGCGGTGCCTTTGTCGTAAAACTCTAAGCGTTCCTCCACTTGCTCCTTCAACTTTTCGCCAAACAAGGAGGTTTGAACGTCCGCGAAGCAATCGATTCGCGAGGCGATTGAACACTTATTGGCCAGGTATCTCGAGATTCGACCTTTGTTTCTCGATGAAGCCTTACCAATAAACGGCGAGTGGAAGATCAAACCGTACTTTGGCGTGTTACCTTTCGTTTTTAACGCTCTGAACAACGCTTTTTCGGCGCCCAGAATTTGGACAGTCGACGCCGGGTATTTCGCCAGGTTGGTCAACGAACCGGCGTGCGAAATCAAACGCGCGCCGACAAAGTCTCCGATGAGCGCTTGTAAGTTTGGTGCAACCTGTGTGGATAAAAGAGAAGAAAAATACGACGTCAGCGTGATAATGATGACGATGCTAAAGATACTCGAAAAGGTATAAAAGAACAGAGAACGAGAATTTGGTAAAAAATGTTCGCGTTGTCGTTTTGTTGCTGCGTGTAATATGACTCAGAATGGTGCATGAATTGTAGCATCAAAGAATTCAGATCAGGTCTGTGATAGGTGTATCAAATCATCAACGCCATATTTCACGCACCCCCAACGACGCGACATAACCAAACAAGAGAGAAATAAAAGAAATAAAAACACGTACCGCTTGCATCTTTTCGTTCAAATAGTTGTGTAAGTTCGTTCTGTATTCCGCCAACTTGATGACTCGCTTCGCGAACGACTCGATATTCATCATGTCCACCGGAGAGATATCTTGTCCCATACTCGCTTTTGCGGCCTCGACGACTTCCTTCGCTTTGTCCTCGTCTCCGGTGATCTCTGCTAAAGCCGACACGTGACCGTCGGAAAGCGTCGCCTTATCCTTAATCGCCAAAGCGCATCGACAGTACATGTAGTTGTCCGCGATGATCTTCACCAATTCCGGAAAGTGCCACCCGTACCACTCTCTCACGCGCATGACGAACGTGTTGATGTCTTTGTCCAAAGTGTCGATCAACGCAATCGCTTGGATAATCATGTTATCCGAACGGTTGACGTTAAACTTCACCTTCGCTCTCGAATACGAGTGCGCCAAACCCAACTGTGCTTTTTCGTAGTCGCCTTCTTTCAAACCTTTGATGAACTTTCCAAAGTGTATTCTAACGCCTCTGGTCATCTCGTTGATGGAGTCGTTGCACACGCACGGAATTTTCATGCTGTCTACGATCGAGTTCCCGAGTTTTGAATCTAAAACGCCCAAAGTGAACTTTGCCTTTTTCTCGTCTTTGATTCTCGGCAAGTTTTGCTCCAAAAAGTTGTGCAACAAGTCGGTGCAAACGCCCTCGGAGATGGCGTTGATTTGTTCCAAAGCGTCTTTGGCCGATTTAAACGGCTTGAACGATTGCAACGAGCACACTTTACCGAAACGATCCATGTTACTGTAGAAAGTATAGTAGAAATTTAGTAAATACGCGTGGTGAGTAAACGTGTATCCGAATAAGAAGAGAGGAGATACAAATAGAATTTGCCCTCTCGCAACAAAAGAAAAATTTGGCGGCCCAAGAAGAGAAAATCGGAGAAGAAGAAGAAGACAAAGAAGAAGAAAACGTACTTGACGGTTTCCGCCACGGATTGCGGCGTATCCCCGACCCAATCCATGTCTTTCGCCTCGAACAAGGCGTAACCGGACGCGCTCTCGTAGAGCAAAAACGTCGCCATCTTTTATTATTATATGTTGTACTAAATTCCAAAGGCAAAAATTGGGCGTTGTTTTTCTCGTTAACAAGTTCTCTCCCAATCAATCAATCCCGCTCTTTCTCTCAGCTCACTTCTTCGGCTAAATGCGAACGAGAGTTCTCCGATATCGATGGAAATTCACGTTCGAGTTATTCCCAAGGGTTGGAAAATCTATCGAATGAATGGATTGCGCGTGTGTGTTCCCGAAACGCGACCGAACGGTGAGAGGCGTTTGTTTGTTTTTGGCGTAATTCCGCCGCCCCTCCTCCTCTTTCTTTACAAAGAGAGTGAAAATCGATTTTTTTTTTGCATGCTTCTTCTTCTTCAGTTTTTCTTCTTCTTCTCAAGTTTTTTAACTGCCAACAACAACCTACGAAGAAGAAGAGGAACGAAAATGGGTGTGGTGGTCAACAAAATCCACCCGGAGTACGTCTCCGGAGGATGTAATCACTCCGCGCACGCTTTAGATGCGGATTATTCTCAGAATGTAATCGTATACGCGTCGAATAAGAACGTTTTCGAGTTGCACATTTCTTCGGGTGGAGTCGCGACGATTTTGGGCGACGGCGTCGGTGCTGGTGGTTCCGACGCAAAAGAACGACACCACGAAGCGCCGGTGACGTGCGTGAAGATTGTCGAGAAGAAGAATGTATCAGATAACGAGAATAATACGAACGCGGTTATCGTCCTCTCCGCCGACGCGAGCGGGACAGTCATCGCGTGGGAGGCTGTTGCAGAAAAAGAAGACGCCAGAAAAAGAAAATGGATACCGAGAGCGAATAATGAGCACTCGTTCGGTCCAATCACGCAAATTGCCGCGAAACGCGAGACGAGTGATTCTGTCATCGTAGCTACGGTTGCCGCGGACGATTACGTGCGTTTGTGGAATCTAAATGTCACAAACTGGACGATGGAACAAGTCGGCGAGAAGGCGTTCCCTTCGCAACATCGACCGATGTGCGTGGACGTTTCCGATCGTATTTCTTCTACTACTACTACTACTACTATTACTACTCCATCATCGTCTTCGAGTAGGTTTGTCGCGGTTGGATGTGCGGATGGTACAACGCGCGTATACGCCGTAGATACGAAGGCGGCGACGGATTTCGAGTTTATAACGGAATTGGTTGGTCACGACGATTGGGTTCGAGACGCAAAGTTTCAATCTTTGACGAGCGATAGTGAAAGTGATAGTAATATGACTTTATATTTAGCCACATGCAGCCAAGATAAAAACGCGAGAGTTTGGAAAATTGTCATCAGAAACGATACTTTAGGAGAAAGCGAATCAACGAATACGCGTTTGCCGTTTGAAACTTTAGCGGCGCCGCCGCGACCGCCTTCGGAAGTTTTAGGAGGCGCACGAGTGGACTTCCAGTTGGAAGCATTACTTTGCGGACACGAAGACTGGGTGTTCACGTGCGCGTGGCGACCATTGTCAGAGAATAGTGACAATCCTGTCCCATCTTCTTTGCATCAACAGCTTCTAACGGCATCGGCAGATCGCTCGGTAAACTTATGGTCTCCGTCGATGAATGACGAGGCTGATAGTATGGGAACATCACTTTGGTTTTCGTTAGCATCGCTCGGGGAAGCTGGTGAAAACTGTCTTGGATATCGAGGCGCTTCGTTTTACGGTAGAAACTGTTTTATTGCCCACTCGCAATCTGGCGCGTTGCACGCTTGGGAGTTTATCGAAGAGTTACAATCGTGGGAATCGCTTCCGGTAAATTCTGGGCACACGGATAAAATTCGAGCGTTGGTTTGGGACAACGACGGTAGATATTTCTTAACGGGATCCGAAGATCACACGACGAGGTTGATTGGGTATTGGAACGAAGACGCTTGTCGCAACACAAATAGAATTCAAACGCCGAAAGGGTGGCGAGAAATTGCTAGACCGCAAACGCACGGCCACGCGATATCGTGTTTAGCATTCGTGCCTCCGCCCAAGAATAGGCAGTCTGGACAGACTAGCAGCAACGATAGTCAAAATAGTCAAAATAGTAGTAAGAGTAGTCAATCATTTATTTCAGGCTCGAGCGAAAAAGCTCTCCGTGCGTTCCGAGCACCTCGAGTGTTCTGGGAGCGCACGAAGATTGGAAATATGAACGTCGACAACGTGGACGTTTTGATTGTTTCTGGTGAAGGCGCCGCCGAAGCTTCCGCGCTCGGTTTATCAAATAAAGGCGTGCACAACACCAATAATAACAACAACGAAAATGTAGACGCGAACGTAGAGTTACTCCAAGAAGAGCTTTCGAAAGCAAATTTAGATGTAAAACACGGCGGCACGATTGTTGAAGAGTACTTGGCGACGAACACGTTGTGGCCGGAAACGTCAAAACTGTACGGTCACGGCGACGACGTTTTCTCCGTCGCCGCGCATCCGAGTGGAAAGTTGCTAGCGTCTGGTGCAAAAGGAACGAAGGAGTCGACGGCTGAAATCTTACTCTGGGAGCACAACGAAACGCACAACGATTGGCGGATGGTGGAATCGCTGTTAGGACCGACGCTCACAGCAGTCGCTTTGGAATTCTCAAACGATGGAGGGACGTTAATTGTCGCCTCGCGAGATCGACACGCCTGCGTATTCACTCGGATTTCCGACGATTCTAAGGATTTATCTGAAGGATGGTTGTTAACGAACCGATTTAAAGCGCACGCGCGAGAGATGTACGATTTGGCGTTCTTGAACGATAGCCTCTTCATCACGGTCGGACGCGACAAAAAAGTAAACGTGTGGCAAATAAACGCGTCTTCGTCGTCCTCGTCTTCAGAAGAAGAAATGAAACCATCGTGGTCGTCCGACTCCGCGTGTTCGTCTGCGCCGACGTGTGTGAGTGTTTTGAACGACGTAACCTTCGCCACCGGGCACGAAAACGGTTCGATTAAAATCTGGACGCGAAAGGGCAAAGACGACGACGACGACGAAGACAGCGTGAAGTGGAGCGTCGCCGGTGATATTCCAAACGCTCACCGCGCCGAAGTGACGAAAGTAGCTTTTAAACCGTCGTCATCAGAGATAGTTTTAGCCACGTGCGGTGCCGATCATGTCACGAGAGTCTACCGCATAACAGAACTGTGAGTAGTTTTAAAGATCTTACAACTGATAAAAACAAAAAAAACGCGACAAAAAAAAGAGAGAACCAAAGAAAGGCTTCCCGGGGGGCAATAAATGTATAATGTTTCGCTCACCTCCACCTCCTCCAACCGTGCGACGACAGAGAGAAATTCTCCGCAGACTTCTTTCTTCTTCTTCTTCGCGCAGAAGTAGCCACCAATGCCGATCGTATTCGTATTCATCCTCGTCGAATCCAAATCCAAATTCTCGTGATGGTTTCTCCACCGGTTTCCAACGCTATTTCGGTTTCGGTTTATCCGCGTTAACTCTGTACGCGTTCAATTTAGCCATCGACGATTTACTCTTGTACGAAAAAGCGAAGTCAGTCGCGATGCCAAAGCTGGAAAAGAGCCAGAGAGTGTTGAACGTCGTCGCTTTGAATAGAAATGACGACGACGGCGTTCGTTTAGAAACTGATTTTTGGTACAACGCGTCGTGTAACAAACGAGGCGAGAACGTGCGAGTGGTCGCGTTCATAGCGGACGGAAAGAAGGCGAGTTGCGACGTGAAAGTGGTGATGATGCGGAAATTCGAACACAAAGGAATAGCGAGTAATAGTACAGAGAAGAAGATCAAGAAGATCAAGAAGGAGGGAGAGACGGATGATAGCACGAGTAACGAAAACGAAGACAAAGACGACGCGGCGAGAGCGAAACCGTACCAATCCGCGTGGTTGCGTTCGCCTCTGAAATATCTGCCAGAGTCTGTCAAAAACGCAGTGGCGATGGACCAAATCTGGGAGATTGTAGAAGTGAGCGCGACGTTACCGAACGAGCAAGGGATGGGCGTGCCTGGACAGGTGGATTTGCTCAAGAAAGAGAAGCAGTGGAAACATACGAGTAAAAAGAAGAAGAGGTGAGAAAAAAAGTAGAGCGTGTTTAGTTTTGTAGCATATAATATTCATTAATGATGAGGTACAGTTCTTATATGTATATGTATAAATTGATATTCTATGTGACTATTGACGTTGTTGTTGTTGATGATGACGATGTTGACCTTTTCATCACTTCTTATTCAACCATTTTGTATCTATATTCTCTATTGTGTTGAATCCATCCGCCCATTCTGTGATAAAACGCGAGCAACTGAGGAATGACAACCAACGCGCCGGTGACGTACCAATACTCCGCCTTGGCCACAAAACTCTTGTTCACTTCGCAATAAATCATGTTCATCAACAAAACTATCGATGTCGCTAATATCAACAATCTCTGCGCTAACGGGGGTCCCGTAACTCCGGGAATACCCGTCAACGACCTCTGGAAAATCATCGAATAAAACACCCCGAACGCTAAACTCGTCATCGGCGGCACTAAAGCGTACACGGCGTTGTATTGCATTTGCAACAACAACACCGCGCCACCCAAGGACCAATACAACATCCCGACGTCAAAGTTCCCGCTGGAAATGTACGCGGAAAAGAGAGCGTACTCTTTCGACTCTCTCACTTTATTCAACTCTGACAGCGCTTGACTCTCTTGGAAATTTTCCTTCCACGCGTATTTACATCTCCACATGTACATCAAACCAATCAACAAGAACGCGCTTGGGGCTAATATTAAAACTTCCACGAAAGGAGATTCATCTTTACTCATCGTGTCCACTTTCGGGACTTTTTTGTTCTTAAACGCGTCTAACAAACTTGGCGGCGCCGCTCCCATCTCTCCCAAATCTTCTTCTTCTTCTTCGTAATCCGGGTCCACGATGTTATCGTCCCACGCCGTGTCGTCCTCTTCCACCGGGTCTGGGTTCATCTTCTTCTCAAAATTTTCCTTCGCTACTTTCTGCACGTGCTTATCGAACGCCGAAGTGTCCGGCGCTTTCGTTTCTGCCCACGAAAACGGTCGCGGGTGATTCACCAAGTAGTTTTCTTTCATCTCTTTCTTCGACGGCTTTTCAATCAACTTTCTCGCCGCGACCGTCGTAAATGATGATGATGATGATGGTGTTGATGATGACGACGACGACGACGACGACGACGACGAGAGAGACGCGAGCGCGACAAGGAAAAGAGCTACGGCTATTTTCATCGGCTTGTTTAACGATGCCAACAACCCTGATGATGATATTGTTGTTGTTGTTCGTCTTCTTCTTCTTCTCGTTGTTGTGCTCTTCGTCATCTTTTGTTGCCGCGGCATTTTTGCCTGCTCGGATGAGATCAGATGACTTTTTTCCTTCCGTGCGTCGTCGCGCGGCGTGTACTAATAATGCGCTACAAAAAGAGAACAACAACAACAACACTATCAACAACAACAACAACAGCGATGATCACAGGTGGTGTGCGTTTGAAGAAAAGTCACGCAAAATGTTGTGATGTCTAAAAGTTCTTCAAATGTGTTTGAAGCGCGGGAAAGAGTGGAAGAAGAAGATTGTAAAAAATTTGCTTTTTTCATGTGAGAAGAAGAAAAGAGCAGAAAAAGGCACGAGAGAAAAGAGTTATGTCTCACAAGAAGAATTCCTCTCTTCTTTCTTAAGAAAGATGATGTCTTCTATCGCGGAAGAGGAGCCATCGCTGCCTGCGATGCAACAACAACAACAACAACAACAACAAGAAATAAAGCAACCAACGCTCGCGGCGACTTCCCCGCCTCACTCTCCGAGAAGTAGTGATGACAGTAGCAGTCGAAGAAGAAGAAGAGCTTCAAAATTCAACATCGACCCGCCACCGTCGCTTCTCGTGAGAGCGATTGAAAAAGCGATCAAATGCGCGTGTTACGCGATCGTTATCTTCTACGTGGGGAAAGCGTTTCACCGAAACGTGTTTAATCCTCTTCTGTCGTTATCGAATGCGGATTATAGTCTTAAAACGATCGTCCGAGACGTGTTTTACGGGTACGAGAAACCGAAAAACAGGAAAGCGGCGAGTTCGGTGCGAGATATCGAGCACAAGAAAAAGTTACTCGCGGACGAGTCACATTTGAAGAGGAAGTTAGAACACAGGGATAGAAAGAGACAGAAATTGCACGAGAAGTTAGGATTGAACCACGAGGACGAGATGGAAATTTGGAGAAGGAAGTCGGAGGAGATGAAGAGGAGCAACGGTAGGAGCGCTTCGACGCGTCGGGACGACGACGGCGAGTTGTAAAACACATGCATAGAAAAAGAGAAGAGATTTATTGTCAATAGACGAAGTGGGCGCGCGCGAGTTATTAGCAAAATACAATTAAAAGGTGTTCTAAACGATACTATTCACTCTTTGCGTTCCTTCTTCTCCTTTTTCTCCTCTGAAGCTGGAAACTGCATGTTCGCTAAATCTCTCTGCAGCTTCTCTAAAGCGTCGACGGTTTCGTCGTACTCGCCGAGTTTCACCCACTCGCTCGGCCTAACTTTCGACTCGTCCTCGATGCGTTTCCGTTCGATCCGTTCGCACTGTTGCAATTGCTTTCGTAACTGTTTGATTTCCGTCGTCAAGTATTCCTCCTGTTCTGCGTTTGCTCCTTCTTCTTCTTCCTTCTTCGTCGGTATCGTTTTCTCTTGCTTTTGCTCTTCCACTTGCAGTTGCTCCAGTCGTTTCTTCTCTCGTCGTTTCGCGTTCTTCCTTTGCGCCGCCGTCGTATTGTTGTTGTTGTTATTCAAAGTAGCAGAGATCACCGCGCTATTACTACTGCTATTCTCATTATTATTATTATTACTACTACTACTACTCTTCGCACTCGATGAAGCCTTCTTCTTTTCTTCTTCTTCTTTAACTTCTTCTTGTCTCAGCGCCGGAGAGACGTACTTTTTGACTTCAAATTGGTTCACGTATCCCGCGCGGATGCGGATGGGTTTACGCACCGAACCGTCCGCGCGAACCGAAGATGGGATGATTGTTCCTCCTTTTTCTTCTTCGTTTTTGGATTCGTCTTTCTGCTTCTTCTTCTTCTTCTCGTCATCATTTTTAAGCGTCGTCGAAGACATGTTGTTTACTTTTCAACTGCTGCAGTGTGATGTTTTTTGATTCAACTTCTTGCTTTGACATATGAAAAAATCATCAGAAAAAAGAAAAGAAGAGAGCAACGGAAGAGAGAGAATACAAAAGAACTCTTTAAAACGGTTCGGATGATGAGAACGAGAGAGGAGACACGGGGCGTTGTTGTTGAACATCGAGAAGAGTAACAGCATCTCTCTCGAAACAAAGTGGTGGTGGTGGTGAAAGAAAGAATTCATAAGATGAAACCAAACACGCGCGCGAAACCCGATTTTTCCTATTATCTCACCCAAAACGCAATCAAAGAAAAGTTAGTAAAGTTGGAAACGGATTATCGATCCGTGTTACGGGTGAAATACGTGAAGAAATCGACGGCGAACGGCGTCGGGGATAAAATCGCCGAATTTGGCGGGAACGCGAACGCGAAGTCGTATTCCGTGATCATCCCCGTGGTGACGATTAATTTAGACGGAAAGTTTGACGAGGTTGAGAATAGGAAGAAAACGAGACTGATGTTTGACTTTGGAGAACACGGGAGAGAGTTGATTACGGTGGATACGGCGTTTCGATTTATGGAGACGTTAGTCAAGGCCGCGGCAAAAGAAGAAGAAGACGACGAAGAAGAAGACAACAGGAGCAACACCAGCAGTGCATTCTCTATGCAGAAAGCGACGACTGACCGCCACTCTTTCCTCGAATCGTTAAAACAAACGACGTTTACCATCATCCCGATTGAAAACGTCAATGGCCGAGCGATGGTGGAAGAGTCAAAGAAGTTTTGCGAACGGAAGAACGGTCGAGGTGTGGACGTGAATAGAAATTTTCCGGTAAATTTCGGCGTCAAAGAGAAAGATTACGATCCGAACGAGGAGTTTCCAGGCCCTTACGCGATGTCAGAACCCGAGTCGAAAGTTTTGGAGAAATTGTTTAAAGACGTGAAACCGCACGCTTGGGTAAACGTGCACTCGGGGATGGAGGCTATTTTTACGCCGTACGATCACAAGAACGAGGAACCGAAAGGAGAGTATCCAGAGTTTGCGAGAAAGATTGGTGAGGAGATCAATCAAATGCACTGCGGGAAACGGTGCGTGACTGGGAGCGGAGGGAAAGGCGTCGGATATTTAGCGCACGGGACGGTAACGGATTACGCGTTTGATGTGGTGAAAGTTCCAGCGGCGTTTACGTGGGAAATTTATGGCGACACGCAGGCGCACTTTGACGATTGCTTCGCAATGTTTAATCCAGTCACAAAGGAGAAGCACGATGATGTCGTCGAGTCGTGGGCGGGAGCAGGGTTGAGCTTTGCGCATTTGATGCGGGCGCATCCCGCAGTCGGAGAAAGAAAAGAGGAAGATGGAAGTGGTTCGTCGAGAACGGCGCTGAGCGATGGAGGAAAAAAAGAAGAAGCAGAAACAACATTTGCATTATCGGCTTCTCCTTCGGATTCGGTACTTCCTGTTAACACGAATCATGACTACCAGTCGCTTCGTGGCGCCGGTCAACTTCGAACAGGTGCAAGACTGAGAGGGAGTAATAAGATAAATAGGAAAGGCCACGCGAGGTCGCAGATGTTCGGGGCGAGAGACCAGGATATCGACACATGGAAATATCTACTCCTCGTCTCTATATTCACGGTTTTGTATTGCGTAGCTCGACGACAGTTCCGCGCGGTGAAGCGATATAGAACTACGAGACGTAATCGTGACAAAGCGACGGTATGATGAGAGTTTAGTTTTAGAGATTGGATTTTTAGTTATGGAAATTTGTAGTTTTAGCATAGAAAGCCGCTTTGAAAGAGTTAAAATACGAATACTCGTACGAGTAATAATAATTTAAGTATTTGTTTGTTCGGTTCACTGACAACGCTACGTAGGATTTATCAGCGCGCTAATAATAGTAGTATTTATGTAATCGCACGTTTCCCCGTCTCAATTTCGGGAAAACTTCTCACCTCTTTTCTCTCCTTCTTTGAAATAAGTTGGTCTCTTCCTCCTCCTCTTTCTTCTTCTTCACTTCCACGCGTCTCTTCCCAACTCGTTTCTTCTTTTCCTCCTCCTCTCTTCACGTCCTTGTACATTTACAATTTCTCTCTCTCTCTCTCTCTCTCTCTCTCTCTCTCTCTCTCTCTCTCTCTCTCTCTCCCAAACTAATTTGCTGTGCTGCTGCTGGTTCTGCTGCCGCTGCTTAAAGAATAATAACATTAAAAGTCTTCGTCGAGCGCAAAGGTAGACATGGAGCCAGACCCGCCGGTGACGCCAGACTTTTGGTACTCGCCGACACGTTTCTCAAAGAAGTTCGTCTTGCCTTGCAAAGAAATTAATTCCATCCAGTCGAACGGGTTCGCGGTGTCGTACTCCTTCGCAAAGCCGAGCTGCGAGAGCAAGTGATCGGCAACGTACTCGATGTAATCTCTCATCATGTCGGCGTTCATGCCGACGAGCGCGCACGGCAACGCGTCGCACACAAACTCCTTCTCAATTTCAACCGCCTCGGTAACAATCTTTCTCAACTTCTCCTCGCCCGGCGTGTTGTTCAACATCGTGTAAAGCAAGCACGCAAAATCTCTGTGCAAACCTTCGTCTCTGGAGATCAACTCGTTGGAGAAGGTGAGCCCCGGCATCATGCCTCTCTTCTTGAGCCAGTAGATTGAGCAGAAAGAGCCGGAGAAGAAGATGCCTTCGACGCAGGCGAACGCGACCAAACGTTCGGCGAAGGATTCAGAGCCGTCAATCTGTTTCGTTTAATACGTTATAATTTAAAAGGGTAAGTTTCCATTCACAGATCAAAGAAAAAGTTTCAAACGAGGGTGCGCACATTATTCGCGCAAAAGTAAACGACATACAAAACGCGCAACGAGATCACGCACCCATTTCAACGCCCATTGGGCTTTCTTTTGCACGCACGGGATCGTATCGACCGCGTTGAACAATCTCGTCTTCTCCACCGGATCTTTGATGTATTGATCGATGAGGAGAGAGTACATTTCTGTTGTAATTCATGAAAGAAAATTTTTATTTTCGGCATATGTTAGTTTTATTCTTCCCCTTGACGTCATCCTCTTAAAGGTGTCGAAAGAAAGAGAGAGGAGGAACGGAAAAAAAAATCATGAAGGAGAGGAGCGCGCGGCGTTTAAAAACGATCATCGAATAAACGTACCAGAATGAATGTTCTCGATGGCAATTTGGAATCCATAGAACGCTCGCGCCTGTGAAAAGAGTGGTTTTCGGTGAGTATCACGTTCGCGTGATGAAGAACGCGCAGAGAATACGAATACGAATTCGCGCGGGGATGCACACATTTCTCTCTCGGAAAGAGGGGGGAAAAACAAAACAAAAAACGTACCTCCGGGATTTGGATCTCCTTCATGAAACGAACGCCCAAGTTTTCCAAGACGATCCCGTCCGAAGCGGCAAAGAACGCCAACACGTGCGAGATGAAGTGCTTCTCGTCCGCGGTGAGCTTTTCCCAGTGCTTCATGTCGTCTTGTAAATCGACTTCCTCTGTTGAAATCGGAGAGAGAAAGAGAGAGTTTCAGGGAAAGAAGAAGAAGGTTAATTTTTGAAATGTCCAAAGCGAGAGCAAAGAAGAAGAAGAACTAAAGAAGAACAGAGACAAGAACGAACGAGAAGAAGAAGTAAAACGTACCAGCGGTCCAGAACGACGCTTGCGCTTTCTTGTACTGTAATTGATAATCGGAAGAGAGAGAGAGAGAGAGAGAGAGAGAGAGAGGAGAGAACGTCAGCACACGCACAAATTTCAAACGCTTCGAAAACAGAAAGATTTTTGAAAATAGAAGAAATGATATCGTATGATAAACGTACCATTTCCCAAACGGCATCGTACTTCAACGGAAACAAAACGAATCGGTCGTTTCCGCCGTCGTCGAGGAGTGGTTCTGCGAGTTGTTGTTCGTCGGAAGGCATTTTTGTTGTTCTTGTGTGTGTGTGTGTGTATAAGTCGGCGAGGGGATGATGTCGCTAAAAAAGTGGCAACAACGGCTATAAAAATCGACGTTTTGATCCGTCGAAAAAAACAAAAACTGAAGAGGAAAAGACGACGAGAAATCCGGCATAAAAAAAACTCAATCTTACGTGCATAAACGTAACGTATAATGGGAAAAGTTCACGGTTCGCTCGCTCGTGCCGGTAAAGTCCGAGGTCAAACTCCGAAGGGTACGTCGTTTTGAACGAGAATAGTGATTTGTAATCGTTCGCGTGGAGGTTTTTTTATCGAATCCCTCGCGCGCATACGCGTAATTTTTGCACCTTTTGTGGGAAGCCCTCTCTCGTTTAGCGACGGTGAAAATCGGCGCTCGGAAATGCGGCGTCAAAGAGGTGTCGCGAAGTTACGTGGGATCGGAACCTCACCGGAACAGATCGCGTTGGGTTATGTTCACGCGTCAGTGCGCTCTCTTTCATCGCTTTCACTTCGGTTCATATCTTTTGTCGATATCACATATGACTAACATAATTTCTTTCCCTCACTACACCACTCTCTTTGAAACCAAATTATTAATAGTTGCCAAACAAGAAACGAAGAAACGCCCAAAGGGAAGAGCGGGCAAGCGCATCGTTTACAACAGAAGATTTGTCAACGTCGTCGTCGGTCCGGGCAAGAAGAAGTCGCCGAACTCCAACGCCGCTTAATTTCATATATTCTTTGACTTATATTAGTAGTTTATTAGAATTATATTGAAAATGAGTTTATGGAGGAGAATAGCCGCGCGAGGTCGCTCTTCGTCTTTCATCGAAGGGGGGCATCGACTTTTAGCAACAACAACAAGTACAACCGTAGTAGATAAAAAGAGAGCTTTGGTTTTACCACCAGCAGCAGCATCGTTCTTTACGACGGCGACGACGACAAAAACAACAACAAATGAAACAAACAACAATTCTTTCCTTCGAGGAAGGAGATTCGTCTCCACCACTCCTACATCTCTTTTGTCCACGGACGGGGAGGTGTTGAGCCTTGATCCGAGCAGCTATCGCGAAATGGTTCGCAAATTCAAAGGCGTTGAAACCGCTTCTAAAGCTGAAATCAACAAGATTGAGTTGGCCCGAGTTCGTAGAGAGCACGCGCGGTGGTCGGCGGATACCGGCTCGTCCGATGTCCAAATCGCCGCTCTCACTGCTAAAATCGCGTACATGACGGAACATTTAAAAGTCCACAAGAAAGATAAGCACAGTCGATTAGGTTTATCGCAAATGTTGGAGAGACGAAAGAAACTTTTGAAGTATCTTCGTCGAACCAAGCCGTTGAAGTACGAAAAGGTGATCACTGCGCTCGGGTTGAAAGATCGGACTTTTGTGGAGGAACCGTTGGGTGCCAAGTGGCCTACCCGTGGTGGTGGATAGCTCGAATAATTTGTTTGTTTATTAGTATTATTAAGGTGAAGTTTTTGTAATGAAGAAGTCAAGAAGAAGAAGAAGATTGTTTAAATGAATGTATTTTACGCCATCACACGCAGCGAGACAAGAAAGAGGACAAAAAGGATCTCATCTTCCAACACCAAAACAGGAAAAGGAAAAATCCGACGTGTCGTGCTTTAGAATTTTGACGCTCAACAACATTCACACACGCTCACGATTCCTTCCTCTGCAACAATCACCAAAGAACTCACCACGAGAGCACCCAGATTTGCTCTTTTCGCCGCTCGCTCGCAATGCTTTACATTTCTTGTCTTCAACCGACGGGCGTTTCTCCGGCGTTAAATAACAGACGCCGCGCATCATCATCATCATCATCTTATGTGAGTCAGCAAAAGACTTTGATGAAGAAAAAGAAAAAAGAAGAAGAAAGCGCGGCGTGTCAATTCACTTTCTTATTAGACAAACCTGGGTGCATGGACGCGCGAATGGACGAAGACGAGCCGTGCGATGTAAATTTGGAGTGCCCGTTGGAACCGTTCGATATTTCCAAGTGTTTGAAAAGGCACAAAGGCGTGTTGAAAATGGGCGTCAATCACGCGGTTCGATTTACGTTGAATGCTGAAAATTTATTCGTCTCGCCGTTACCCGGGTCGACGATTTTCTTAGACGACGAAGTCGTCACGGATAAGATGACGAAGATGCTCGAAGACGGGTCTCGCTTGCGTTTCGCGAAATCCGAGTACGTTTTGATCTCCGAAGGTTTCTGCCCGTTGCCTTCCTGGGAAGCAGTCATTTCTTCCAGATAAAAAAAAAAGAGTGCCTTGTTCGTGTTGTTGTTCGCACAATAAAAAAAAAGACCAGAACCACAGCGTTTGAAAGCTTCCCAAAGCCGCCGAGCGCATGTGAATAATGGATGTATTATATATATGTTACCTGTTTTATTATCATCATTATCATCATCGTTAATACTAATGATCATCATCATCATTCTTGTTGTAATAAGTGAGAACTTTATTATCTATTCTATGAACTACTGTCATACAGTATTTTGTACAAACCAAAAGAAGAGACCAGTCGAAAAAAAAGAGACGTTTGTGTGTTTCGTTTTAAAACGAACTCTCTTCACATTTCTAAATGTCTCATCTCCTCCTCTGCAGACGACGCCAAAGAGACGTATTAGTACTCCTACATCATTCGATGATGATGCGCGCGCTCACATTTCAATCGTCTCCTTCCACCGCGTATACTAATCAACAACAACGGACGTTTGCTTCATCATCATCGTCGTGTTCATCATCATCATCATTCGCAACGAACGTTTCCAGTTTGAGTAGAAGACGAGCACAGAAAAATCTATTATCCCCTTCTTCAAAATCGTCGTCGTCGGTGTCTGTTCTGTTGCGAGAGAAAAGCAGAAGAAGAGTCAAAATCGTCGCCAAAGTCGTCGAGAGTAACAATAACGAAAACGAGAAAGTGAACGACGCGCCGAGGAAGAAACGGTACAAATGGGCCGTGGTCGGGTGCGATTCCGACGCAGGAGGGGCGTTGGCAATAATAAGGGGTGACTTTGCCGGAGACGTGCAAACGGTTGAAATTGTGGACGTGCCGACGATGACGGTTACGGTGAACGGGAAAAAGAGGATACGATTGGACGTGGCAAAAATGATTGAAAAAGTGAAAGAGCTGGACTTGCCGAGCGATGGGAATGGTGGACATTCGAGCGTCGTATTCGTGGAAGAAGGCGGCGTCGAGTTCGGCTTTAGCGCGCAGACGGCGTTCGTGCAAGGATACAATTTTGGTTTATGGAAAGGTGTTTTAGAATCGTGCGTGAACCCAGAGACGACGAGAGTGGAGGTGGTGAAACCTCAGGCGTGGAAGCTCGCGTTGGGGTTGAGTGGTAAGAAAACGAGTAAAGATGATTCGATCGAGATGGCGAAGATGGTCTTCCCGGAATCGGAAGATATGTTGCAAAGGAAGAAGGATCACGGAAGAGCGGAGAGTTTGTTAATTGCGGCGTACGGTCACGCGAGAGAGACGTTACAGAAGAACAACGACGTCGAATACGGGGATATCGTCAGAGATGACGTGGTTTGCAAACGCGTGTTTAACGTTTTGGAGCAGAAAGGTTTGGTTTCCGAGCATGGCGTGGCGTATTTCGGACCGTATTTCGGACGAACCGGAATGGAGTTGAAACACGACTTGAAAACGAGAGGGTTGAAAGTCTCCGGAACAAAAGGAGAGTTGATTTTGCGTTTAGAAACGGACGATTTGAGGCGAAGGAGCGAGAATAAAAAGATAGGGAAGATGGACGATGATAATAGCATTAGCGTTGACGAAAAAAAAGAAGAGGAAGTTTTAGAAGCGTAAGTAGAAAGACAAAGCGTATGATATTCGTTGTTGCAGGTGTATGTTTTATTTAGGATTAATAACACGACAAATGCGTTACGCGTTTGTGCTTAATACGCTACTACTCATCTTGTCCTTATTATTGTTGCTGCTGCTGTTGCTGGCTACTTTCTCTTTCCTCTTTCAAATCCCACGGCTCGTCCATTTTCGCATTCTTACCTTCGACTTCTTTAATTAACGCTTTCGCTTGTTGCCTCATAAACGAGAGTCTTTGATTAATCGAGTGATTCGGGTCCAAAGCGGCCGCTTTCTCCAACCTCGAAAACGCCGCATCGATTAACGCTCCAAGTTCTTTTCTCTCCTTCGATTCCTCCGGGTCTTTCCAGACCTTTTTCTTGTTCTTCTCTTCGCGCCGTTTATGGACGAACGCTTGCACGAGCGTTCTCGCTTGTCCAAAGTTCAAAGTGCCCCATCGCGCGTACGCTTCCGCCATATTTGGGTTCTTCTCCACCGCCAGCTTGTACTTTTCTTCGGCTTTGTCGTACTCTTTTTTATGCTCTAACGCGATACCCCAGTTTACTAATGCTGGTGCGAATTTATCCGAGGAGACCAACGCTTCGCGATACAACTCGATGGCGCCGTCGACTTCGCCCATGAGAAACTTACACCCACCGGCTCTTAAGAACGCTTCGTGCGCGGGGATAGAACTTTCTAACTTTTGCGCTCTCCCATCTTTCATGTTATCGATGTGCATCATGCGTTCGTGTTGTTCTCTAGATTTTTGCGCCACGTTCATAAGCAACGGAATCGCGTCTTTACATCTGTTCGCTTGCTGATACGCCGCCGCCAAGTGGAAGTCCGCCGTCAACGAGTTCTCCCCAAGTTCTTTCTTCGCTCTCTCCAACGGTCCAATGGCTTCTCTCGGTGCGTTTCGCAGAACATGCGCTAATCCCAACTGCATCCATGCGTGTCCTAAGCTCGAATCGATCGTCGTCGCCGCCTCTAAATATGAAATCGCTTGCACAACCTCCTCTGGACTCGGATCGACTTTCGTCTTGACGCCTTTCCCAGAAATCGAATGCATTTTCAACGGTTTCGTCGAGTTATCCTCTTTTTTGCGTCCGTGCAGTAAACACATGCTCGCTCGCAAATACACGTGCGCGTGCTTGACTTTCGCGTCTTCAATCAACACGCGATATTGCTCCAACGCCGACTGACAGTCGCCGGCGCCTTGGTGCGCGACTGCCAACTGCCATCTCGCCTCCGTGCTCGACGGTTTCTTTTCCAACGCTTCGTTCAAAATAGCAACCGCGGATGGAAAATCACGCTCGTGTTGATATACTCGCGACAAAGCAACCTCAATCTCAATCTTATTCACATTCTTATTGTCTTCATCGTTGTCGTCGTCGTCTTTTCCGCCATCTTTTCTTCTAGTTTGCAACTCTTCTTCGATCGCTTTCGCTTTCTTCAAGTTATACTTCGCCTCTACCAACGGCGTCTTATCGTGCGTAAATCCTAGCGGACTCTTTGCCGCGTTCCCGTCCGCTTTATCTAACAAAGCCAACGCTAATCGTACGCTCGCTTCTTTGCTCTTCGCTTTTAAAGATTCGCTACTCCCGCTACCGCTTTTCTTCTCCTCTTCTTGTTGTTTCAACGCAGAGTCGTATTTCACCGTCACCTCTCTCAACGTCTCGATCGCTTCGTCCGTATCCATGTCCGCTCGGTACATGTCCCCTAACAACAACTTCGTATCCGTGGACTTTGAATCAATCAGAGACCATTTTTTTAACAACGTTTTGGCACCAAAGAAAGAAGAAGAGCTCTTCTTCTTATCGTTTAAACCAACCATTTTATTCGCCAACTGCCTCAGCGCGATGGGAATAACCAAGGCCAACAGAAGCACCAGCAGAGTGTAAAAGATATATTTCGTCGATTGTTCGATCAAAGGTATCCGATTTTGTTCCCGTTTTCGCATCTGGTCCAAGGAATCTCGTCGTTCTTTTTTCTTCTTTCTTGCGGCTTCTGATGATGATAATCCATTTCGTCTCTCTTTTACACCATCACCACCGTTTTTCCTCCGATTGCGAAGACCACCGTCGTCGTCCGGAGCAGAGCGATGCGTAGTGGTCGTCGTCCCGTTTAAGTCGTCGTTTTCCTCCGTCATCTTCTCTCTCTCTCTCTCTCTCTCTCTCTCTCTCTCTTTGTGTATGTGTTATGTTATGTGTTATCAATAATATACATAGAAGAATAAGAATGAAGAAAAGAGATTCTCTCTCTTCTCTCTTTTTTTTGAACTCTCCTCTTCCTCTGTTTTGCTTTTTTTGGTGGGGGATTAAAAAAAGGAAAAAAAAATCAAGAACAAAACCACACCACAAAATGTACACCGCTGCTAAACACGCTGCGGTGACATCGATATCATCATCATCATCATCGTATTCTTCTTCTTCGTCCTCATCGTCGTCGCTCAAACTCGGTTTAACTGCTCCCAAAACTCTCGTCGTGAAATTTGGAGGACGCAGAAGTGTCGCGAAGAAGATCGTAAAAGTCATCGTCCCAAACGGAAGTGCATTCGAGGAGGGAATGATGCAATTGACCTCGGACGATGTTTTCGTTCAAGCATGTGCGCCGTGGGGGAATCTTTGCGTCTCGTGGGGTACGAAATACGTCCCCATCGGCGTTCCTTCCATCTTGGCGAGTTTGTTGTTGTTCGTTCCTTTATTCGTCGCATTGGCGAAAATCAGAGAGTTAGAGAAGGAAAACTTTCATCTGAAAGAAGAGATGACGACGAAGAAAAGATGACAGTAATCAAATCGATCGAGATCTTCATGGTAGAATAGAATTAGAATATAGAATTAGAGAGTAGATGTATTTATACGTAGAAAATGTTGATGTGATCGTATGCCATCATCACGGCGCGTTGTTCGCAATATCGTAAACAGGTCACAATATCGTAAACAGGAGCATCAAAGTATTTCTCGTCTTTTCAAAGACTCTCCTCTGTTCGTTTCGTCATAGATTTCACACGACACTCTCTCTGTTCTTACAAACACACACGCGCGTAATAATAATAACAATAATAAATAGAAAGAGAGCGTGATAATATATCGTCGAATAAATGACGACGACGCACCAGAGGAAGCAGCATTTATCTAGCGCGTTACCCGCGTGGTGCATCGGCAGAAGACCGGGGACGAATACTCACGTGGACATCGACCCGGAAGCAAAATCGTCGAAACCTTCCCGAGAAAGAGGAGGAGGAGGAGGAGGAACGTCGTCGTCTTCGCCGAAACACGCCGCGTCGATGACGGACCCGGTTGCAAAGTTGAACAGAGATCCCGAGCACGTCAGAGGCACTCGGAAAGCGCGTTTGTTTTTGATATGTTTACCGATCGGGTTGATATTCTTGATGATTCTGAGGCCTTTGTACGCGCCGTTCATCGACGTGTTCGGTGGCGATTTGCTCGATCAGCTGTTAGCGTCGGAGGAAGGTCAAGGTCACGTAAGCGCGGTGTCGGTTTCTGACGACTTTTTGAGCGAGCATTGGCCGGTGGAAGCAAGCGGCACCGCGGCGGAGAAGCACACGAGCACTCACGTCAGCGCCCATAGTAGTAGCGGTAGTTCTAGCGGTAGTTCTAGTTCTAGAGAGAAGGAGAGCAGAGAAAAGAAGAAGAAGAAGAGCGAGGAGTATCGCAACAGGAAGATGTTGTTCTCGGATTTTAGCTCGATTCGGTAGGTTCAGAACGAAGAAAGTTTGATGTAGTGTAATAAAGCAGCAGTAGATAGATTATAAAACTCGTTTATTGTTGTTGTTGTCGTTATCGATTTGTTTGTTTTGCTACTAATTTAACTCGTGTGCTTCATCGTCGGCCCAACCGCGCAGTGGTCCACGCACGACCAAAAGTCGAAGTATTGCCCCGTGCAATGTTTCTCTCCCGTTTCGTCGCCTTCGATGCGTTCCGCGCACGCCTCGTACGCTTTCAAAAACGCATCGCACTTTGGTTTGCACAAGTCTTCGATTTGCAACTTCGGGTCGACTGGGTCGTCGACGTCCCCGATGTCCACTTGGATTTGACCGCCTCCCATGTCTTCTTTTTGTCTTCTTCTTCTTCTCCTTCTCTCTGTCTATCTATCTTTGCGTTTTGTGTTTAGAAAAGAAAAGTTGACTCTCGTAAGTTCTCCGCCGATGATGGATGGGGAAACGAAAAGCGACGCGAAAGAGAAACAAAACCGATTCCTCTTCCAATACAGGAAGAGAGAGCCCCGGCAAACAATAACAACACGAAACGAGAAAGGAGGAATGCGATCGACTGAAACGAAACAAAACTCTCTCTCTCTCTCTCTCTCTCTCTCTTGCGCATGCGCGCATAAAAAACAAACGAGTAAACAAACCTTTTCGTACCAAAGAGTTCAGATGATCAATGAGGAATTCAGATGAGAGTCCAAGTTTAGATTTCTTCACAAAAAAAAGCACGAGAACGTGCGCTCGTATATACACACATAGCAGTAGAACGCGAACGAGCACACGATGACGGAGGCGACTATTCGGGGTGTGGCCGGAATGAAGTCCGTGTTGGACATGCCGGTGATGCAGGTAAGAATAGGTTTAATCATCAAATCGTTGTTTAATAAGTTCCTCTTCGCGTTTTGCATTTTCCGTTGCGCTTACTTTTTATAAAATGTGTGCGTCCCGCGTAAAAAAGAATGGTCAAAAGAGACTCGATTCGAAAATCTCTTCGGTCCGCGGAGGATGAATACGAAGAGCAACGATGCGTTTGCTTTTGTTTACGCGTCGTTCCGTGAGAGACGATCAAATGTAGCGCGTCGAATACGCCAATTTCGTTTCTATTTTCAAGTCGTCGGATTTTGACAAAAGGAGAGACACTCGATTCTTCAACAACTCTCTCTTTTGAACAACAAAACACGTATACTCATAACGAGAACTTCTTCTTCTATTATTACTTAGGACGGTCCACCACCGGGCGGTTACCCATCCGTGCGTTACGCGCGACGCATTCCATCCACTGGTCCATCGGGATTTGCTTTATTCGGCGCCTACTGTGCCGCAGCCGTGTACGGTTTTTATCAAATAGGACAAGGGAACAAACACCGACGAAAAGTGTTGGACGAGAAGCACAACGCGAGAGCGATATTAGTTCCGTTTTTACAAGCAGAGGAAGATAGACGGTACGCGAAAGATTGCAGAGAAATCAGAGAAAGAGAGAATAGGGTGATGAAAAACGTGCGAGGTTGGAATCCAGAGGCGAAGACGTACAAGACGACTTGGTTGTCGCCCGGCGCGGCGACCAGACCGGGCCTCATTTGATTTTAGCTTTTAGCGCATCCGTCACGTTCTTATACTAACAGTCTGTAACACTATCTACATTACTACATTTACTATTTCTACACCTAAACTACAACGATCGCGAGTATTGCGACCGTGGTATCCTTCTTGCTAAGGGGATTTCTAATCTTAACTACGGTTTCCTTCTGTAGTCGAGTCGTTTTACCGATACCTACGAGGAGATTTTCGGACCACACTTCAAAGACTAGTGCATCACCGTCACCATCATCATCATCATCATCATTCGATGGTACTGGAATAGAGACGCTCTCGTCGTCGCTCACCATGAACCCGAGCCTATCCAAATGCACTTTTGATTCGAAGCTTCGTCCATATTTAACGACGACGACGCACGTATTGCGAAGAGTTGTTTTTTCTTCACTTAACTTCATCGCCAAACGCACTCGCGAAACCGAAACATTTTTACTCGCGAAAGTTTTCTCGTCGTCGTCGTCGTCTACAATTGCATCTCCAGAACATTCTTGAAGCAAAAGCGCTTCCAGCGCTTTGTAGACGTCCACTTCAATATTCATTCCTTATTTTCTTCTCTCTTATAACAAATATTTCTTCACTAAAGTCAACAAGTCGTCCAACTCCTCCTCGCTTGCGAAGCGTTCTGCGCTCGACTCCACAATCGCTTTCACAATCGCGTGTTTCTTCTTCCCGCTCGGTCTCAAATTAATCAACATCAACGTTTCCGCTTTGGTCAGATCAAGTTCAACAATACCCTCGATAAACTTTTGAATCATTTGTCTTTCGTGTTTCCCGACCCGCACGCCTTTTTCTTTAAACTCCTTCAACATCAGAATCTCCGTTTCAAACGGTGCGTGTGGGGTTGGGTATAACGGCACAAACTCTTCTTCGTCTTCTTCTTCATCGTCGTGTTCATCTATTGGCATCCCTTCGTCGTAACTATTTGTATTATTATTATTATTATTATTATTATTATCAAACTCGTTGTTCTCCTCGTCTCCGACTTCTGTTCCTCCTCCGACTTGTTCGTGTCGTTTCAACTCGCGTTGTTTCAAAAGTTCGCACATCTCAAAGTTCGACACAAGACCTTCGTTCTTTCTCAAGATTTTCATCGTTTATTGTTGTTGTGACGTGTTGTTCTCTCGTATATATTACGTGTATTACTCTAGTATTTGTGTTCTTTCTACGAAACTCTCTCTCGTTCTCTCTTCTTCTCAAACCCCACCGCAACACAATAAAAGCACACCACCACCACCACAACAACAACAGCCCGAATTTTTTTGAAGAATCGAAGACAAAAACGCAACTCGTGCGCGCATGCACGAAAAAAAAAGCAAGAAAAACTTCAAAAAAGCAAGAAAAGCAGCCACACTCGCGGTTGACAACAACGCTTGCTTGCGCTCTCGTTTTCATCACATCTCCTCGTCACTCTTTAGTACACAACACACGCGCGACATAAACAACACCAAAAACAAGAATAAAAAATGACGGGGTATTATTACAACCCATCGTTACCGTGCGAAGACCCGGGAGAAGTGGACGCGCTCAAAGCGACGACGACGACGAGAAGACGTACTCATTCTGGTGACGACGACGACGTTTCGATGACGAGAAAAGCAGAAGAAAAAGCATCGACGTCAACGAAATCTATCTGGACGACGTCTTCGTGGTTTCAACAACAGGCGGGGCCTCGAGGAGAAGAAGACTCGAAGTCCCTCTCGAAATCGTTTTCCAACGAAGAAAGAGGAATAGGGTTTAACGACCAACCGGTTTTGGCGAATTGCACGCGACCGGAGAACGCCTCCAACGTCGGCGGTTTAGTCCACAACAGATTCACGGAGAAGAGGAGCCAGAGAAATCCTTTACATCCGGTGGAAGCGAAATCGGTCAACTTGTTCGAACATAATCAGATGTCCTCTGGGATGCGGTCGATTTATAGCAAAGGTGACGGAAGAAATTCTGCGAATATAAGTGCGACGACGACGACGACGGCGACAACCATGTCTCCGTTCAACTCGAACACGGCGGTTGGTAAAAAATGTCTGGACGCGTTTGAGTTTGCAAAGAGAGAACACGCGGAGAAGCGAAGAGAACACATTCGCGCGAAGTTTACGTTTGATTTTGAACGGAATAAGTGGACGTTGAACGAACGCGCGTTGGAGAGCGAAGATGTGGACAGAGGAGCAGATGAGAAAGACGCGATTACTGTGGCTGCCGATGCCGCTGACGCCGCTGTCAATGCGAACGAGGAGAACACAAATAACATCAACAAAAACATGACGATACACGTGGAGGAGGAGATGAACGCGGCTCAAATGTTGCACATTCAAACGACTCGAGAATTGCGATTGAAAAAGCACTTGCCGAGACATGAAAGCGCGCTTTTAAGCGCGGCAAAGAAAGCATCGTCGTCGCCTTCCTCGCCGTCGTCGGTTGTAGAGAAAGCGAGCGAAGATTTAGAGAGCGCGAAGAAGAAAAAGAAAATAATTTCACGAGAAGAAAAGAAAGTGGTAGAAGAAGAAGAAGAAGAAGAAGAAGAAGAACGAGAAGACATGCTCCAAACGGATTGGTCGAGATACGTTCTCTCATCTGGCCAGGTTGTGTGGGTGGATACGACAGACGCGAACATTCTCGAAGACTACGCGGCGGCGAAAACATGGATGGGTGCTCAAGAAGAAGAAGAAGAAGAAGAGAAAGAAGAAGAACGTGAAAGCAAATCGATTCGCGTCTGCTTCTTTAGCGCTACGAAAGAACGCAAAGGTTTCATCGACCGCGATGCGCCCGGACCTGCTGTCGATCACGAAACATTCTTGGTTTTCAAGGGCGATCTGAAGAGTTCCATGGAACAGCACGAGCGCCAGGAACAAGATTCAACGGCGGCGACGACGGACGCGATGGACGTTGACGGACAACAGCAACACGGGATGATTGCGGATAAGTTAAAAGATGCAGCTAGATCAACGCAACCGAAAACGAAGGAGGAGGAGATCTTGCGCGAAAAATTGAAAGATGCCATCAAAATAAAGTACGCGCAAGCGGACGAAATACGCGCGTTGCGTGAACGCGTGCAAGAGTTGGAGAACAAACTACTGTCATGAAGAGAAGAATAGTCAACTCCAAAAAGTACTTATGTAGCAGCGCGTAATAGAGAAGAAGTTTTGATATAATTCATTGTATTTTTAAAATTAATAAAGCGTTTCTGTTTCTATACATGATATATGTTATGTGCTGTGCCTAAAGTAATCGTATCTCAATCACGAATTCATCTATATCAACGCAAGGCGGCTTTCTCGGCTGCCTTTTTATCCTTCTTCTTCTGTTTCTCTGCTTGAATTCGCAACGCGATTGCTTTTTCTACTTTCTCTTTCGACTTTTGCATGTGCTGCTCGTATTTCTTGATCAACTTTCGCTCAGCCGCTTTCTCATCCGTTAACGCCGCTAATTCGCGTTTAATCTTGTCATCGTTGAGTTTCTTCACTGACTTTTGCGCCGCTAACTGCTCTCTCTCAATCCTAGTTTCATATCTCGCTAATCGTCTCGCTCTTCTATTCTTTGCAATATACCTCAACGTCAAAGCCAAAGCTACAATGAACACAAAGAGCGTTGGAACCGTGATAGCAGCAGATAATTCCGCTGGATTCAATATCGGTCCTTTAGAAACGTATGGAGGTGGAAACCCCGGAGGTGGCGGCGACGGCGGAGGCGGATAAAGCGGAATTGACACCGCGATGGTCTCAGTTTCAGCCGTCGCTTTACTCGCGTACAGCTCTGCATCCTGTACGCCATTCAAAGTAGTGAGTTCATCCTCCGTCGCTTCGTTCGTAGCGCTACTGAGAAGGGCACTCAGAACAGCTGGATCTTGAGCAACCTTGGAAGCCGCGGTGACTTTTTTCAAGAAGGTAGTCGGATCCGACAAATCGCTCAAGCTATTCTTGATCGCCGCCCCAGAGTTGGCTGACATGGACACCGTGGACTCCAACGCTGCTGGAGAATAACCAGCACCCATCAACTGAATGTTCGTCAAACTCGCGGAGTATAACGAAGATTTCGCAATGCCGGAGATTGAATCTGAGTTGGCCAAATCTAACAAGTGCGTCGTGAGTAACTTTCGGTTACCACCTCGCGAAGCGACAAGTAAAGCCTCGTTAATTTCACGGGCAATGCCAGAATATACCTTCAATTCACAATCTGCTGCACTCAATCTTCCACCATTCAGACTGGAAATGCCAAACAATAACGTGCCGACGGAGGAGACGAGGTTCGCAACCATATTGATTGCGCCGACGACTGGACCGTAAACAGCCACTTCACCGTTCGAGGCGGCGTAAATCGGATCGATTTGCGTGTGTTCCGCGTTGCCCAAACCAAAAGCGGAGTTGATCATGGTCGTCGCTTCAGCGACAGTCATGTCGACGTCACCAGAGTACAGTCTGATGACCTCGCCAATGAGCGTAGTCATCGGCGAAATCACTTTCGACCCCGGCGGCGCTTCCAAAATTTTCAGTCCCGGAGCTTGTCCCGTATACGCATCCACGCACTCGCTCGACGTTCCCGTGCGACTTTCGTTGCGCAACAGAACGACGAGGTATGCCGATGCCGCGGCGTCGTAGTTGTTCGGCTGAAACTCGTAGCCACCCAAACTATCCGTTTGCGAATACGCTTCGCCTCTCGAGTATTTACGATCTCCATTTTCATCCATAAACGCGTCGCAGTTCTTCAAATACGCGTCGATGGCGCGACCAACAACCAAAGCCGGTGGTGCCGGAGGTGGTGCGTTGGGTGGTGGCGACGCCGATCCTTCCGGAGCCGGTGGTGGAGAGAGCGCCGGAGGCGACGGTGGAGGCGGCGACGGCGGCGGAGGACTCGGTTTTGGCGGCGGAGGATTGAAAGGAGGCGGGTTCGGTGGAGGCGGCGGCGACGGCGGCGCGTCTGGTGGAGGCGACGGCGGTGGTGGTGGCAACGGCGCCGGTGGTGGCGGCGAAGGCGGCGACGGCGGCGGAGAAGGAGGAGGAGGAGGCGATGGAGGTGGACTCGGTCTCGGCGGCGGCGAAGGCGGCGGCGGCGCGCGAACACCAGTGATCTGCGCATCCTTCACGATCGATTCCGTAAATAATCCCGCATTGTCGAGGTGCCACTCGATGTCCTCGACCGATGCTGCGTTGTAGAAAGACACAAACTTAATGGCGTCTGCTTCCGTGGTCCCCAAAACGAGAAACTCAACCGCAATCGTGCTCGTCGTCGCCTTGGTCGATCTTTCGAGCAACAACTGTCTTCTTCTCCTTCTCTCAGTAGGTGGCGGCGATGGAGGCGGCGATGGAGGCGGACTCGGTGGTGGCGGCGATGGAGGCGACGGAGGCGGCGATGGAGGCGACGGCGGTGGCGATGGAGGAGATGGCGGAGGAGATGGCGGCGGCGGCGGCGACGGCGGCGGACTCGGCGGCGGACTCGGTGGCGGTGGCGACGGAGGAGATGGTGGCGGACTCGGTGGTGGCGGCGATGGTGGCGGCGACGGTGGTGGAGACGGTGGTGGGCTCGGTGGTGGCGGCGACGGTGGTGGACTCGGTGGTGGAGACGGTGGTGGAGACGGCGGTGGGCTCGGAGGCGGTAAAGGCGGCGGACTCGGCGGCGGGCTCGGAGGAGGAGGCGAAGGCGGCGGATTCGGTGGTGGGCTCGGAGGCGGTGGAGACGGCGGCGGACTCGGTGGAGGCGAGGGCGGTGGCGACGGCGGCGGCGGAGGTGAAGGCGGCGGAGACGGCGGCGGCAAAGGTGGTGGAGACGGCGGTGGCGATGGAGGCGGCGGCGATGGAGGCGGCGATGGAGGCGGCGATGGAGGCGGACTCGGCGGTGGCGGCGATGGAGGCGGCGACGGTGGCGGATTCGGCGGTGGACTCGGTGGTGGAGACGGTGGTGGACTCGGAGGCGGTGGCGCTCGAACGTCGACAACTTCTACGAACTCAACCGCCGCCGGCACGTTTGCTCCACCCGAGGCGTTCTTGAAGAACGCAATCATCCCGCTTCGAAACAAAGCCGACACCGCGTTCACCTCGAATTCTTCCTTACTGTAGCCGTTCAAGTAAATGCGCAAAGCAGCCGAGGCGGATGCCGGACTTGGCGGCGGCGACGGCGGCGGACTCGGTGACGGTGGTGGCGGCGGCGACGGCGGCGGACTCGGCGGCGGCGGCGATGGCGGCGGCGGCAGCGGCGGCGGTGGCGACGGAGGAGACGGCGGCGGTAGCGGCGGCGGACTCGGCGGCGGCGGCGACGGCGGACTCGGCGGCGGCGACGGAGGAGATGGGGGAGGAGACGGCGGTGGCGACGGCGGCGGACTCGGCGGCGGCGGCGATGGAGGAGACGGCGGCGGCAAAGGCGGCGGACTCGGCGGCGGCGGCGACGGAGGAGACGGCGGCGGCAAAGGCGGCGGACTCGGCGGCGGACTCGGCGGTGGTGGCGACGGAGGAGATGGAGGAGGACTCGGCGGTGGACTCGGCGGTGGAGACGGCGGCGGACTCGGTGGTGGACTCGGTGGTGGACTCGGCGGCGGAGACGGCTCTTGCGCGTTTGCCAACAAGAAGAATCCTTTTCCTCCTTTAAAAGAGGATTCAGACGATCTTCTTTCGCTCGTGCTGCTGCTGCTGTAAAACTCGTTCCTTCCTCCTAAAAGCATACACACGAGCATCAAAACGATTTTCATCGCCAAATTTCTTCTTTGACTCGTTTTTGTCGACGTGCTTTTCCTCTGATTCTTCTTTACGCTCGTTTTTGTCGTCAAAGACTGACGATGATGATGATCGCGAGACGGACGACGATTCAGCGAAAGAAGAAAAGAGTCGTTTTGATCCGTCGTCGTCGTCATCTTTCTTTACCCTTTCTCGCGTAGTTGTATCGCTTTTAAAGTCGTTCCAAACGGTCGCAAACACGCGGAGAGGAATGAGTAGGTGCGTATATCCTCTCTTTGACTCGCGCAAAGAGTCTTCTTTAACGTCTTCTTGGAGAAAGATTAGTACGTTAGAAATTTTGATCTCTCTCTTTTGGATTTGAACCGCCGCGTTGGACTGTTTTTGGGTGGTCCTCAGTCGTCTTCAGTCTCTTCCCCTTTTTTTTTTCTCACTAAGAAAGAGAGAGAGAGAGAGGACGAGAACACACTACTGAGCTCACAACAACAACAACAACAACAGTGCTCGGACAATTTACAGATCGAGAGAGAGAGAGAGACAAAAGTGTGTGTGTGTGCACGCGTGTGTGTGTAAACACGCCCTGCGTTTGGATGATGATTTTTTTGAAGAGAGAGTTTCGAGAGAGTATAATCTCTTCGTCGTCGTCTCTGAAAAAATCGATCCGTTGAAGGTTCTTCTCTTCTCTTTTCTTTCTTTCGTCTGTCCCTCAATTGGGGTGGCGAATTTTTTTTGCAAGTTTTGGACAAGAGAGGAATGAATTTGCATTTTTTTCACAAAAAATTGTAAGAAAGACACAGAGAAGAGAGAAGAGCAGAAGAGAGACTTTTTGATGAAAAGAGAGAGAACGGAAGAAGAGAAGAAGAGAGAGTTCGTTAAACTGATGTGTGTCTCTCTCTTTTCTTCAAAGAAGAGTGTAGATATACTACTAATAATAAATAATGTCGTGGCGCTCGCACGGCACTTCCACCAACGACTCGTTAATCGACGCTTTAGAAAAGAACAACGTAATCGCGAGTCGAGATGTCGTCGGGAAAGCCATGCGGAAAGTGGACAGGAAGTGGTACGCAGAGTCCGCAGATGCGAACGAAGCGTATCGGGACCATCCGCTTCAGATTGGGTCGAACGCGACGATTAGCGCGCCGCACATGCACGCGATGTGTTTGGAACTCTCGAAAGAGTATGTAGTAGTAAATGATGATGATGATGATGCGAGTGGTGGGTATGGTAATGGGAGGGTGTTGGACGTTGGGTCTGGATCCGGATACTTGGTCGCGTGTTTTGCCGAGATGATGGTGCAACAAAATGTCTCATCATCATCATCATCATCAAAAGTCGTCGGTATCGAACACATCCAGTCGTTGGTGGATCAATCGATCGAGAATTTAAAACAAGACGATAAGGAAGAGATGGTACAGAGTGGATTGATAACGATTACCAAGGGAGACGGAAGACTTGGCTACGAAGCGTTCGCACCTTACGCGTTGATACACGTCGGCGCGGCCGCACCGGAAGTCCCAGAGGCGTTGCTTTCGCAGTTAGCTGCGCCGGGGAGGTTGATTATACCGGTTGGGAAAGAAGACGAGAGTCAATCGTTGATGGTGATTGATAAGAACGAGAAAGGAGAACTTAAATACAAAGACGAAATGGGGGTTGTCTACGTGCCGTTAACGGATGAGAAGCACCAGTTGGAAAGGTGATGAGGTTGGAGGTTGAAATAGAGAGAGAGAAATAGAGAGAAGATAAATAGTAGATGTAAAAATAAGAATGTACACATACACTTGTTGGTAATCTTCTTTTATGAAATATATGTATTTAATATAATAATATGTGACGATGACGTTGAAGATTTTTAGAAGCCGAACAGAGTGCTCAAGTTGACCCATCTGTACGCGCTCAAATTCAACACTTCCTCGACTTCGTCCTTCGCCAAATCCAAAGCCGTTCTCATTTCCTTCGTGATGTTCTTTTCGCAAGTGCCACGAATACTTTGGTCTTTAATTCTACCCAACGCGTCTTTTCTGCTCAACAAACGTTTGAAATGGACGAGCTGCGTGTACAACTCTCTCTCTTCGAACGATTTTTTCATGACGCCAGAGCAAATGGTATTCAACGGTTTCGTGCCGACTTCGACGTCTCCCACCGCTTTCAACGTGATGTCTCTGGTTTCGCACGGGTACAATTCATCGTCGGAACGCAACTTTTGTGCGTAATACTTTTGGATCGTTTTGCGTACTTGTAAGGTGACTTGATTCGTAAAAGCAGCGGCGGAAAGCGGTTGAATTGTTGTTGTTGCCGAAGCGTCCGTTTTACTCTTTTGCGTCGTCGCGGCATCCGGCGTCGTCGCGGCCGTTCCAGATCCCGGCGTTTTCGGTTGCGGTGTTTTCACAGAAGTGGTGGTGGCATTTTCTTTATCCTCAGTGGCACTGACGACACCTCTAGCACTCGGCGGTTTCAACGCGTCAGCGCAGGAAATTTTACCGAGAAGAATGTCTCGGACGCCCGGAAACGTAAACTCCGTCTTGCCGTCGCTCGCAAACAACTTCAACGGTTCGCACTTTTCATACATCGCGTCGTCATCTAACGAGCACGCCGCGTATCGGTTCGCGTTCATGTCGTCATCGTCGGCTCCGACATTTCTCGCGGCAAATTTGGAAGCGTCCAAGCCTAAACAATCCGCCAATCGCGCGGCATCCGTACCTTCGATTGGAGCGCACAAACGAGAAATAACCGGGTGCAACTGTTGCGTCAAGTAGTAGTGCAAATCGACTCTCAAGTTTGGATTCTCTTGCAATTCTTCCGGATGAAACGCGCGCTCGGCTAATCCTTTGCCTCCAGACTTTGACGACGCGTGTCCATTAGCAATGGCGTCGTTCGTCATGTCCTTCTCGTCTTCTGGTTTCACCTCGCAACAGATGATGTACGGCACGGTCTCGCCCGCGTTGACGCCGTCTTGTTTACCTTGCTCGATGCGACGCAAGGCAACCTTAACGTGCGGCTGCGAATTCGCGTCCGGGTAATCTCTCGGTGATTTTGTCAATTGTTTCGTCACGATGTAAGATTCTAAGTTGACTTGGTTGTTCACCATTTTCGTTCTCGCCTCTCTCAACGCGTCGTGGATTTTCTCTACCGTGTCTTCAACCGCGCGTTTCTTAAAAATTTCATCTAAGCACGTATCCCCGACATCTTTCGCGAGCTTACACCAATCTCTACGAACGGTATCTAAGCCTTTCTTCTCAACGCGCTCCACGTATATCGTTTTGCCCTCGTGCATGGATGGTTCAACGACAACTGCGGCGTATTTTTTCTTCTTCAACAAAAGCATCGAGCGATAACATCCATCCATTTCAATCTCGAGAAGTTTGTAGCGTTTGTTAACTTCTCGTTTGACCTCTTGCCCAACTTTGTGCACTTCTGCCAAGTTATCTTTGTTCGTGTTGATCATGATAGAATCAGTATCGCCATAGATGACATCGTAGGATAAGTTTTGCGCCAAATCTACGGTGGATTGTAAAATTTCACGACCTTGACCGGTGATCAACTCGGCGAGCGGTTTGGCGTAAAAGCGAGACGCGCTGAAACCCAAACAACCGTACATACTGTTCGCGGTAAGTTTCAAAGCCAGCTGCCGAATATCTAATTGCGCTTTTATGACATCATTCGTTTCTTTTTTCAAGAGTTCTTTTACCGCTCTTCTGTGTTGAACCAACTTGCAAATGACTTGCGGAAGAACGGCGGCGTTTTCTCCGCCCGGTTTTCCGAGAACCGGCGGAGGAAGCTCTGGGGCTAAACCGGCCATGTCTTTACCTCTCTTGACAGTCGTAAAACAAATATCGTACTCTTGGATGATAGACGGATACAACGAGTTGAAATCCAACATCAAGACGTACTTATCGTACAAACCTTTCTTCGGTTCAAGAACTAAACCACCAGAGTATTGCGGACCTTTTTTATCGTCCACATCTTTATCGCCATTGCCATTCTTCGCCTCGGCAGCTTGAACGCGTCTCTTTTCCTTGGCCGACAAACGATCCGGAACCATGTATTTACGCTTGTGGAACTCATGCAAAAACAAGAACTCGACGCGTTGGGCGCGCGTGTGTCCTAACGTCTTCGACCACGTGTTTCCGGCAATGTTCGACAACTGTCTCGTCAACGGCAGCGCTTGCAAGTGCAACATCAACCATAACGAATAAAACGCATCCGTTTGCGAGTTCTTGGTCAACTGCCACAACGTTTGCGTAGAGTTGAACTGTAATGGAACGTCTTGATGCGGAATTTCAGCTCTATTTTCGTCGAATTGCGTTTTCATCAAATTGGTCAAAGTGTATGAAACTTCCTTCAACAAATCGCGTGCCGAGAGGTACGTGTCCGCTAACAAGCGTCCGGACATGCACGAGAGCGCACCAATGCTCGCGCCACCGCCAAAAGAGCCTTGGTTCCCACCGGATAAATTTGGAAATCTCGTGCGTTTTAATCGACCGATTCTGGACCAGTGCGCGACTTTGTTTTCTCTCAACCTGTTCAACAACACGTCCACATCGAAACCGGCGACGTTGTGTCCGCAAATAACATCAGCATCGATTTGCGATAGTCGAGCCAGCAGAATGGACAACAACCCTCGCTCGTCTGCTTGCGCGGAAAGGACGATCGACTTTGTACGTTTGGCGACATTGTTCGTCTTGTTTTCGTTCGCAACGTGTTGCTCCCAGCCCGACGGCCAGTTACCGCCAGAGAGTTTGCGCACCAGCGAAAAGTGTCTCGCTTTCTTTTCCCATTCGCACGGCATATCTGTCACTTTCGCGCGGCAATCCGTACCGACATCCACTCGCACGTCTTGCAAATACACGACGGACGCGGAGCAAATCTCGTTTGCGTTCGTTTTATGATTGACGACCGTTTGCAATTTCAACGCGGCGACAATCACCGTCGGCGGATCGCGCTGCTGGCCGCCGAGGCCGAGCGCCTCGATAGCCTCCACCGTCGGGTTTCGGACAGACTTATGTCCGTTCTGCAAATTAACTTCAAGCTTACACCATGACTTCATGGCTTCTTTGTCCTTCAAAGTTGCTTGCGGAACAATCTCGGCGTTGTGTAAAGCCAACCAAGAGGGACCCATGATTTTCGATTTCACAAGCAGGTGTTCCAACGCGTTCGTTTGCGTGCCCAAGGCGCCGCAGAAAGTCTCGCCTTTGATATCCGACGGTAACGCGGAGTTCAAGTACGAATACTTCAGCTTGATCACATACTGACCGCCGCTTGGAATATCGTTTCTTTCGAAGCAATACTTACGATAGACTGGTTTCATCGTGTACTGATCGACGCCTCTTTCGCTCATGATTTTCTTCAATTCGTCCTTGACTGGTTTCGTTTTCACTTGCAACCATTTCAAGAGAGCGACTTTGTCGGCTTTGGACGCATCTTTCGCGTTCGCTTTCTCCTCCAGCGTCTTGAGCTCGTTGCTTTCGTCCAACGATTGCGGCGTAAACTCAAGTCTAGGGACGACAAAGACGCATCTTTGCATGTTATTAACGACGGCGCAAGACGAGACGGTGCCCAAAGAAGGATCCAAGACGTTCGTTTGCGGGTCTCTGCGCGTTGGCACTTTACCAAACAAGAAGACGGTACCTGGGGAACCAATATCTTCTTGCGCGTCCAAAAAGTAAAACGGCAACGTTTTATCAAAATCGTCCACGGGAAGCCCAGAATCGGGTTTCCATTCAGCGGCGAGCTTTTCGCGCAAGGCTAGCTCGGCGTCTTCTTCATCATCTTCGGAGTCGTAATCTCCGTAAGCAATCGCGGCACCAGCGCCTTTATTTTCCGTTGGAAGCGCCTGCTTCGCCGTCGTCATTTTCTTCACATCAACGTCTTCAACCTCTTTGTCGTCATTATCGTCGTCCATGTTAACATCTGGCGGCGCGACCGTCCCGTCGACGACGACGTCGTCGTCGTCGTCCGCAACCGCAGCGGGAGCACCCATATCATCGTCGTGATCATCCATCGGCTTCACGGCATCATCATCCTCGTCATTCAAAGGTGGTTCGTCCGGAAACGCGACGCCCTTCTTCTTTGCAAACGCCGCTTTTTTCTTTGCTTTCGCGTCCATCTCTTCGACCGCAATCTTGGCTTTTTTCGCTTTCTTCTTTTTGGATTTCTTTAACGCCGGCTTCACTCCGGCGTCTCCCAACATGTCATCGTCGGCTTGATCAACGCCGGCTAAAATATCCTCCAAAAGTGCATCTGCGTCTGCCGCTTCCGCTTCCTTCTGCTCCAACTCTGCTTTTCGCTTCTTCATATCCATTTTTAACCCGGCTAAACCAACGCCTTTGCTCGCTTTCAACTTTTCCTTCTCCAACTGTTTGCGCTTCTTCTCCTTCGCGAGCTCCTTCTTTGACTTTGTATTCCCATTCGCTGCTCCTCCATCCTCGTCTTCCGCGTCCATGCTAGCATTGGCATTATTCCTACCGTCCTCGTCGTCGCCCTCGTCGTCTCTGTACGCCGGATTCTCTCGCGTCCAATCTTCCTCCTCCCCCATATCGACGTACTCGTCGTTCTCTTCCGCGCCGACCACAAAGTTTGCGTTTTCCTTCCGTCGCTTCGCGACGAGTTTCGCGTACTCTTCCTCCGTGACCTGATAAATAAATATGATGATGATCGTGACCACGACGACGGCCGAGACAAAAAAGGTGAGCGTTTCGTAGAAGCAAAAAGAATACTAAATCGAGTCGTTTCGAGTATTGATCGAGTTTTGCGAGCGCAAAGAAGAAGAAGAAGAAGAAGATGATGAAAAGTTTGAAATCCATTTTTTCTTCTTGTTCTTCCCAAATCAGTGTGAGCACACAAAAAAACAAACGCGAACGTGTCAAAAGTGAACACTTTCTTCGCTTCTGAAATGCTGCTTCTTTGCTCTGAATTTTTTTGAATTCAAACGAAGAACCAGCAAGACTTTGCTCTTTGCTCTGCTTTTTATCAAGAACAAGCGACGAGAGAAGAAAAAACAAAAACGAAGAAACCTCCTACCTCATCGTACACGTTCGCGACGTCTTCGTCGCCGTCGATGTCGTCCAACCGCTTCTTCCCTTTCGTTTCTTTCAGCTGTTTCAGCTGTTCCAACTTTTGTTTCGCCTGATCGGTTTTGGACGCGTTTCGACGCGACGGACGCGACGACATCTTTTTTTCTCTCTTTCGATTCGATTCGCACTTCCACAAAGGGCAAAAAAACGATCGATCGATGAGAGCGCTCTTTGATGTCTCTTTCTCTCTTCAACAACAAAGAAAGAGAGAGAGAAAGATGTAAGCGTTTATAATAAACGCAGGGCCGTTATTAAAACTTTTGCGCAACAACAACAGAAGAAGAAACGACAGAAACAGCGTCGCGCGCTTTGTTTGAAGTGCAACACACACCACTCGAGGTATTTCTTTTGAAGAAGAGGAATGAAATTTCAAAAATTTGAACCAAAAAATTGTCTCAAAATGGAGTTGAATTCAATACTCGAGTTGGAAGGGAAAACGAGTACTAAACTACTGTATGAAACTATTAGTATTACATTAAGACTCTCTACGTTTTGTTACTATTCGTCGGAGGAGAAAGCGTTGTCCAACTTTTGGGCGACGAGTTCGAACCACGCTTGGTCGACTTTGGTGAAACCTCTCTGTCGATCGGCGGATAAGACGAGGAGTCTTGCATCGCCGACGGCGACGCAACAAATCGCTTGGCTATTTTGAGGTAAACCGAAACCCTTCTTTTTATTATTGTTATTTTTCGTCGTCTTTGCCGTCGTCGCGGTATTATTGTTACTCTTTATCAACGATATCATCTCTTGGTCGTCTTGGATGAACTCGAATCTCCCGGGGAACAAGTTCGCGTTGGCCATGTAGTTTTGCTTGCCCGAAGTCAGCACTTCTTTGCACACGGATCCAATTTGACGCGTTTCGTTTTCGAACAACGCGTTTGGATCTTTCGCGCAACACGTGCCGTCGTAAAATACCACTTTACCGCCGCTCATTTCTCCATCCTTTTCGTCGTCGAGTTCGACGACGGTCACGCTCGCGCACTTACTCGCCTCTCGCAACGTCTTCCCGGACCATCGCAACTCTTCTTTACATCGTTCACTTAAGCTAGAATCTACGTAATTCACATCATACCCATCCATAATCACCGTCTCTGGTATTCTCGGCGCGATAGACACCAACGTCAAACCGGTTAAAATCAACGTCGCGCTCATAACGACGTCTATAACGTCCGCTCTCGATTGAGAGCTCGCCGCGTTTAACGTCGGCGCGACGTTCGAGAACACTCTGTTTATCAGTAACAAAGTTAAAGAAGAGGAGCCGAAGTATAAGGGTAATCTCCGCGCGAGCGCGTCGTTCTTGGTGAAGAAATCATCATCGTCTGATGATGCGTCTTCTTCTTCTTCTTCTTTTCGTTTTGGTGATGATGATGTTGTTGATGACGCCTCAGTCGTCAATCTTCTTTGCAAAAGTTTTTGCCGCTTTTTTAGCAACGGCGTTACTTTTAGCGCAGACGGCGAAGTAGAGAGTAGTCGTCGACGCCTCGTGAGCGCAGGTGTTGTTTCCACACACGGAGTTCTTGTCGTCGCAAACATATACACAAAGTAAACGAATACGAAGAGCGCGTATAAAATGTGTCGTTTTAGAACTCTTTCCTTACATTTTTGTGCACGAGCAAATTACTCGCCATAAACGCACAACTTCCCTTTACTCATTATTAAATACCGCATGGTCCAGTGTTCCAATAAAATGTGTTGCCTCGTTTTAGAAGAACTCTTATATTACATTTTCGTGAAGAGTTTACTACTACTCGCCATAAACGCACAACTTCCCTTTACTCATTAAATACCGCATGGTCCAGTGTTCGAACGGCATGTTATGCGCCGGTCGAACTTCTAATTTCCGGGCGAAATACTTCCCGCCTCGGTTATTCCCACTAAATCCGTACACGTCTATTCGCTCGCACAAGCGACTGGCTAATAAGTTCAATGGTCTCGCCCAACCACCAGTCGGGTGCATTTTACTCGGCGTGCCGGAGAGTTGGTAGAGTTCTCTTCGTAAACGCGCGATGGGATGCGCGCCGCCCATGCGTAAAAATACTTTCCTTCCTTCTACTTTTAAAGATTTTGGGACTAAATCGATGTTTTTGAGAAGCATGTACGCGAGTTCTGGTTTGCTGTCGCCTTTGCCTTGCGCTTTACCGGCGCCGCCACCACCGCCCGCGTAGTTTGACTTCACAATTGTAAACGTAGTTTTCGTTCCGATGGCTTTTGCGAATCCTTTCATCGGCGTGTTGTGTCTAAAAACCGTGTCGTGCATGTCGATTTCCGCACCTCGGTTGCCTTTCAGCAAGTTATCGCTATTAGCGACGATCGCGCATGATCCCAGCGCGCCTTCCGTAATTGACGGTAAATTTTCCGCCAACTTTAAAAACTTCTTCGTGTCTTCTTCGCTGTTGACGTTGAATTTCAAACGTCGCATGATTCCTCGTCCACCCGCCGTGGTTGGATTCGCGCACTTTTCCGTCACGTACACGCAGCTAATGTTGACGTACTTGGACTCATCTCCACCCGGCCCGACCGCCGGCGGTAACTCGTCGCCGTCGCCGGCCAATCTATCCAACTTGCGTTCGATTAATCCTTTGTTTTTCCCCGGCGCGCCGTTCCGCACGCCTTTCTTCGTCGGTTGCCCCGGACACACGTTCTGTGGTACGTTCGTAAATAATTGCTTAGCCTCTTGTTGTTGTTGTTCTCCTCCTCTGAGAGCAACTCGAGAGTCTCGATTAAACTTTCCCCGCTCGTTCAAAGAAGTATCAAACTCCACAAAGTCGTCATCCGATTTTTCTTTCCTCTTTCTCTCACCATTTTCATCATTTTCATCATCATCACTAAAACCGCTCCTTCCTTCCTCGTATGTCGGTTCCGGCACTGGACCGTCCCAAACTTCGTTATTCACTCGTTGTCCTTCGTCGTCCAAATCACCACCACCCCCAAAAGTAGAAACATTAATAAACGAACGCATCGACGCGAAGAGCACGAACAAAACACACACCGAGACGCAGACAAAGATGTGTCTCGCGAGTTGTTGCCGTCTGCTTGCTGTTGAAGAGGAGGAGACCACCCCCGGAAGCGTCGCCGTCAAAGTATTACTCGTCGTCGTTCCTTTCTCCATCATCGTGTTTTATATATCCTCCGCGCAGGTCGTTTAGGTCGTTTAGTCGTTTAGTAGGAGACTGTGTGTGTCAGTCACACTTCTTTCTTCTTTGTCAAAGAGTGGTGGTTTTTAATGAAAAAAAAATGAACAAAATTTTGCAAAATGTCTTCTTCAAATAAAAAGAAAGAAGAGAGAAAAAAATGCATTTTGAGTTTGGATGAGATGCACAGAAGAAGACTACTACTAATGTTTCGAACAACAACAACGCGACGACGATGAGAGACGCTCAAACTCCGCTGTTCGTGGAGTCGGAGTTATTGAGCAAGAAAAAAAAGGCTTCAAAGAAAAAGAAGACAAAGTTTTCAACTTTGAATGTATTCGCGTTCGCGCTCTTTTGTTGTTCGATTTTGAATCTGTTTTTCGCTCTGAAACAAAACAATCCTAACAACAACAACAACAACAACAACAACGAAGGTTTGGGCAAATCTTCTTCTCATCGAAGAAGAAGTCGTTGGCAGTTCCGGAGGGAAGGGGAGAATTTTGTTATTTCGTCTGCTTCGTCGTCGTCGTTTACATCGTGCGTGAAGCTTTCAGGAAAAGCGTACGAGGAATGCGTGGAGCGAAAAGAGGAGGAGAAAGAGAAACAAAAACAGATTCAACGCGAAAAGGCGAAGAAAATGAAAGAGGCGACGACGAGAAATTATTACGAACAGAGACGGAAACAGAAGCAGGAGAAGGTCAAGGAGAGAGACGAGGAGAAGGAGCGGTTGCCGGCGAAAGGTGGCAGGTCAGGAACGACGAAAACGCGAGCTTTGGACGATGCCGCGGAGGATGTAATCGACGCGGACGCGATGCAAACTATTCGCGAGGCTACGATTTTAGAGAAACCTTTGGGAAGATTAGAGGAAGGAAGCGGAGGGAGATTTGCGTTTCCCGAGGAAGAGAGTAGTACGAGTACGCATACGGCCGACGTCCCGGCGTTACAGCCGTGCGCGGGGAGGAGCGCGAGAGGAGTTCACAATGGAGGAGCAGAAACGACTTGGAAGGAAGCGCCGGAACGATTTGAAAGGCAAAACGTGCAAACGAGAAAGAAGGAGTTTGGGAAATTGAGCAAGAAGAAAGTGGTAATGGGGACCTCGTCGATAAAATACCACGATAAAGCGTCGCTAGTTTTATTGCCGTCTGGACAGGTTGTGGCTTTTTGGCAGTCCGGGAAAACGTTGGAAGGGGAACGCGGGCAACACGTGCGAATGGCAACGTCCGAGGATGAAGGCGTAACGTTCAGTAACTCGTGGCCGTTGTTTTCAAAATACAACGACGAAGATGGAGGAGAGGAGGGAGGAGTAGACGACGAAGAATTAACCGCGCAGTGGACGCCAGTGCCGCACGTCGATAAGGACGGAAACTTGTTACTGTTTTACGCCGAATCCGACGGCGGGTGCGAATATCGCGATCGAGGTAGAATTCGGTACGTCCCGGGAGGGTCGATTAAAGTCATCAAATTGAATCTCGCGGGCGATGCCGAAGGACGCGTAGATAGAAATTCACCGTGGACGGAGCCAGCGATGGTGTATTCCATTTACGAGGAGAACTTCGTGCCAAAACTAATCGCCAATCCAGCGGTGGCGCTGGAGAATGCTGAAGATGAGAACGCCTTGATTCTTCCGTTTTGGAGAGATAACTCGGTTTTACAATCGAAGCGCGAACTATTTACCTCTTCGAGAAAAGCACAATGTCGCGTGAAACAAAACGGAGAGGCGGACACGCCGGCAACGAGAACCATTCGGCCGAAAACAACGTCCGCGGGTGTTTTAGTATCCAAAGATGGAGGCGCGAGTTGGCGGGCGCGAGGTAAAGTTGAAGAAGTACCCGTCGAAGACGACGACGATGAGGAAGATGGTGGTAGCAGCGAAAACTGGTCGGTCGGTGCGAAGACGACGACGTTGACTGCGCCGAGCGTTTTCGAGAGTAGTGGTTCGGGCAAAAGAGACTCGAAGTTGATCATGTATTTGCGCTCGCAATCCGGCGGCGTTTACGTCACAGAATCTGAAAACTCGTCGTACAACCGATGGTCCGAGGCGAAGAAGATTAGCGATTTGAGGCGCGAACCTGGAGCGAAAAGTTTCGCACAAAGTTGGAGAATAGAAGGGGAAGGAGAACGCCACCGAAACGTGCATATAGTCGCGTTCAACGACCACAAGAAGGATGAAATAATATTTGATAGCACTAGCGATAGCAGCAATAATAAAGAAGGAGGCGAGGAAGAAGAAGAAGAGGAAGAAGAAGAGCGAGGTGATGGTCACCCAGAAAACTCCCATCGAGACGTATTAAAAGAGATGATGGATGGTTCAGAGACAGCGATGACGACGCGCAAACGAAGAGTGAAACTACCTGACAAAGTCCGAACGCAACTCACGCTCGCCATCTCCGAAGATGCCGGAGCGGATGCATTCGATGCGAGCTGGACGAGAATGAAAGGCTCGGTAGCCGGTGTTGTCGGGAGCGGGATAGCGCCAGGATTGATGTTTCATAACCCGTGGGTTTTGCGTGTTGGGTGTAAAGTTCTCGTCGCGTATTCGAAAATGTACGTCGCGAAGTTCGGTCAAGGCAAAAATAAAGAAGAGACGCATTATTCAGTTCGAGTGTCGCACGTTGAATTTACCGTGAACGAAGAAAACGTGTGCAGCTCGAACATGCGTCAGTACGCTTGCGGAAACGACACCGGGATAACGGATGAGGAATCCGAGGACGAAGAAGTAGCCAACGCAAGAGGAGAGGAAGGCGAAGAAGAAGGTTCGGACGAGCGAGAACACCAAAGAAGAGCGGCGAGCAAATCAAAGGAACGAGATTCCTTGAAATCATTACAGCTCACTCGAAACATCGAAAGAAGGCGTAGAGAACATCATCACTAGTACGGTAGGTGTATAGAAGTGTATAGAAGCTTTTTTAGTCGGAGTATCTTTACTCGCCGCTTAGTGCCCATGTTGCGCGCGCAAAAACTATCTTGCGAATGCACCCTCTGTATTAATTAAAACGCCGTTTTCTTCCTCATCCTCTTCGCCTTCCTCGTCGTCTTCATTACTATCGGTATTGCTATCATATCTATTATTTCTATCACTCGCGGATGCAATCATTCCGCCAACGAAGAAAACGACGCCGGCCACCGCGAAACACAACGTAAACACCTTCATGACCCAACGCCAATTTTCGTTCGATTTTACGAGCAAGTATCCGAACAACGGAGGCGATGGCACGTCACCAAAGACGTGCACGGCAACTGTGCACAATGCACACGCCAGCGGACGACTACCAGTTGGAACAGACCGCAACACTACTGCGTTTATCGGCGCTTGGAGCATGAACGCGAACGATTCTCCTACCGCGAGGAAGAAGAGAAACGCATAAAAGTTCGTCGAGGAGAAGGAAATCACAACGAATATGAACGCAAAGAAGGAGCAGAACGCGCTGAAATAGAGATTATCCGCAACCGAAGGATCCACAGACAACGGCGATGGTGAATTCCGTGCTCTTCTTTCTCTTCCATTTCTCCTCCAGGAGAGATGGAAAGGAAGAGAGGATTGATTTTGAAAGCACTCTTTCCGTTTTTGCGCGAAATAGTCGACGCCAATACCGCCGAGTAACGTACCAAACACGCCGCAAAAAACCGTCACCATCCCTAATGCCGTATCCGCGTTCGAGCGAGTGTGCAATTCGTATTCAAACAACGCAAACCCTGCTTTTGGTCCCCACGCGCTAAACACGCCCAGAACGAGTGAATACCACGAAAACCCACTCAACGTGAGTAAAAAAGTTGGAATCCTGAGCAACTTTAAAGAATCATACACGAACACTTCGACGACGTTTTTCTTTTGCCGCTGATTTTGACCATGCTGCTGCTCCGCACTCGTCTTACTCGCTTTCCTTCTCAAATCAATCGGCTCGCTCGTCGCGCAAAATGCAAACAACGGCACGAGCAAAAGCGCGTTACCAAAAAATGCAAAACGCCATCCAAAATACGTCCCGACGATGCCGCCGTACACGATACCTAACGCCACACCAAACGGCACGCACAAGTATAAATAACTCAACCATCTCGTTGTCATCCCTTTTGGAGCGTGGTCGTCGATAAAAGGTGCCGCTAGAGCTACAAAACTTGCCTCGCCAACGCCAACGATGATTCGCATGAGCAACAAGAACTGAAAATTTGGACTCAACGCGCACCCCAAATCCCCGACTGCGCACGCGCCCAACCCGATAGCGATCAACGTAAACGCGTTCACACTTCTCGACAACTCTGAAAATATTGGCGCACCAACGAGTAAACCAATCACAAACACCGATTGTAACACGCCATACTCGGCGTAATCGACGTTAAATTCGCCTTGTAATCCGTACCCTTTCTCGTCTTTGCTCGCGTCGTCCTCGTCGCTTCCTCCCGGCGGTTGCCCGCTTACCGCCGCGGACGAAACCACGCCTCGATCTAAATACAACGCAATCGCAACTAAGCAAAATAAATACAGCAATCGTTTCGGAGAGAACCATTTCGGCAGTCTCTCACCTCTGGTATTCTCGTCGTCTCTCTCGTCGGCAGAAGGAGGAGGAGGCTGGTCTTCTTCGACGTAATCTCCACCACCTTCAAAACCACCAATGAGTGGCCTCCTGTCGTCATCCTCGTCGTCACCGATGCGAACACCCTCATCCTCTTCGTTCATCCTCTCCCGAAAGTTCTCTCTTGAAAGTAGAAGTGTGCGCTCTGAAACTACAAACAACCAATCTCAATCTCTACTTTTTCTCTTCTTCTTCGTCGTTCTCGTACCCAGGTATTGTCAAGTCCGGTTTGTAAAGATTGTGCACCACGGACGCTCCAGCGAGCGCGGACACGAGCGCCACGCCGAACGCTTTCAGTGGGGGCATGTATCGACGACGGTGCTCTTTGTTGTGAGTCGTTTGTTGTTCTCAGATACTTCTCAAAAGTTGTTGTTGTTGTTGTTGTGTGTTATTAGTAGTATTATACTAATGGAGAAATCTCTTCAGAAATCCAAAATCTGTGTATTCCTTCAAAAACAGATATGACGGGACCTCCTCCTCCTCCTCTTTCTCCTCCTCCTCGCAAAAGGTGCGTCGATGACGATAACGGTCCTCCTCCCGCCGAAGAAAAGTTCTTAACCATGCGTTCTCGCCTCCTCCATCCGAAATCATTCGTCGACAAAGTCGTCGTGACGACGGAAGGGGAGACGAGTTCGTTAAAGTTAGCGCGAACAACAACAACATTAAAAACAACATTAAAAACAACATCAACAGCAGAGACACACGTGACGCACAACTTGGAGTTTACCCGAGACGGGTCTCGATTGCTCTCGACGACGGCAGGGGACGATGTTTTGAGAGTATACGAAGTGCCCGCGAAAATGATTATGATGTCTTCTGATGGTGATGAAGATGGTGAGCTGTTGAAGTGCGCGTTGAAAATGAAACTGCCAAAGTCGCACTACGACGCGTGTTGGTATCCCGCGGCGCAGGGGAATGTTCGGGAAACACTGTTGACGCTGTGCGCGGCGAAAGATTCCGGGGTGAAGTTATTCAACGTTTCCCCTTCGTCCGATGATGATGACGATGGTGTTAGTATACTTTCATCGTCGTCGAGAGAAAAATGTTCGTATTCGATCAAAAACAGAAACGACGAGCTCGTGCCCTCGATATCTTGCGCGTTTACTGGTAACGGTGGGAAAGTGTTGGGCGGGAGACGAGAGGAGAAAGGGGTGTGCGTTTGGGACACGAGCAGACCTGGTCACGAGTGCCAAGTCGTCGGGTTTGACACGCAATCGAAACTGACGAGTTGTTTTGCCACCGGGAACGAATACAACGGGTTTATCGAGAATAGCGAAGGAAACATATTTGCCGCCGGTTCGTATGAGAACGGGAACAGTATTTGTGTGTACGATTTACGAGATGGGTTTAACGGGAGCGATTGTTGCGTGTTGTCGATTACAAATCCTCACAAAAACGAAAAGACGGGGAAAATGGGAGGCGGCGTGACGAGATTGAAATTCAGCGCGGATGGGAGAGCGTTATTTTCGAGCGCTCGGAAATCAAACTCGATTTTGTGTTGGGATTTACGAGCAAACGTGAACGGGTCGATGTTTACGAACATTCAAAGATCGAACGTTCGGTCCAATGCGAAAACGAAATTCGACATCGAGCCGTGCGGGAAACACCTGGTATCTGGTGGTGACGACGGTATATTGCGTTGTTTTGATTTAGACCAGAACGGGAAAGAGGTTTTCGCGTGGAAAGCGCCGCCGAAGGATGCCGCGGTTTTAATCGCCGCGTTTACGTTTCATCCGTTAGCGAGTTCGGTGAAAGAATTCATAGCCGGAAAGGAAGGAGAAAGTAAGTTTACTGATATTTACGATGACGAAAATCGAATCATGAACGACGTCGCGCTCGGTGCCAGCGCGTGCGGCGAACGTTTGTTCCACCCATCCACAGGGAGAAGATTCATAAATAATAATGCTATTAACAGTACGAGCGATAGCGATAGCAGCGGTGATAGTAGTAGTAGTGATAGTAGTAGTAGTAGTAGTAGTACAAGCGAGACGACGAATAGGACCCCGCCGCCGCCGCCGACGACGACGACGAGAAAAGAACAAGCGACAAACGCGAGTCATCGAAACAACGTCATCTCTATTTGGGGATACGCCAGGGAAGCGTGTTGTTATTAGATTCGTTATTTATTGAAACGACGTGATGTTGAAAGTATGCGCGTTGCCTTATTGTATTCTTTTCTTTCGGATTTTTAGGTAACAACACAAACACCAAATCTTCTTCAGAACCACGACGCACCACTTTTACGGCAGCACATGAAACGATGATAAACGCGGCATCTTTCCACCCTTTCTTTTTCAAAGTGAAAGCAAACGTCCAATCCTCGCCTTTATTCGCGAAAACTCTGATTTATTTCTCTTTGTTTTTCGCGTTACCCTTAAACGTTCTGCTCAAACTGGACGAGAAAACGTTGTTTTGTCCGTTCGATGTGTTCACTCGATTTCAGTGGTACAGAACGTTTAGTTCACTTTTATACGTGAACTCGGGTTTCATTGGCGCCTTGTTTAACGCGTACATCAGCTATCGATTCATATCGGATTTCGAACGCAGTTTAGGTTCGTTTCGATGCTTTTGGCAAATACTGTTCACTCTGGTGTGCATAAACTGTTGGACGTTCGTGTTTTCAGTCGTTTTCGCGCCGTTCTCAGGCGGGAAAGGACACTTACTCTCACCGTTGAACATTTCTGGACCGGGCGTCTTATCTGCCACGTACGCAATGTGCGTGGGGAATATCGCGAGGAACAGCAGTACGAATAGTGCAGACGCACAAACGACGATATTCGGGGGACTCGCTCGAGTGCCGAACAGTTGGCTGCCGTTTGTGTTTTTATTCTTTTGGTATGTGCTCGGGAACAACCTCGTCGAAGGCGCGAGCGCGACGTTCGTGGCGTTGAGATATTTGCCGAGAATGTGTGGGCCGAATGGTGTGCCGACTGCAGTGCAAGCGAAGAGGTTTGAATCAACGACGAGGTTTGGACGGTACGCGTTGGAAACGCACGGATACGTCGACATCGACGGGTTACAACGCGGGTTTAGTTTACCAGTCGTCGTCGGTAGCGGCGGGGGTGGATTTGACTCTAATAATAACAACACTAGTAGTAGAATCAGTCATCCAGAGCGAGCTTCATCGTCGTTTTCAGGAACATCGCAAAAAGTAGGAAGTAGTAGTACGAGCAACGGTAGTAATAATAGTAGTAGTAGTACGAATACGAGCGGCGTGCCGGCGCCTCGCGAAAACGTCCACGTCGTGCGAATGCGCGAAGAGCGCGAGCGCAAACAACAACAACAACAACAACAACGCGCTTCGGAGAACAAACGGTCAGAAGACGAGAAAAAGAAGGCAGAAGTATTGAAAACAAAGCCAGAAACGAGAGAGGAGCGCGCACGCGTCGTCGCCGAGGCTCTCGAAAAGCGTCTTCTCCTCGAGAAAGAAGAAAAAGAAAAGAATAAAGACGAAACGAACAACGCGAAAGAAGAACACAAAGAAGAGGAAGCGACGACGCCAACACCGCAACAAGAACAACAAAAGAAGAAGAAATCAAAGCTCCGGTCGCCGTTTCGAAGCAGAGAGAAGAAGAAGTAAGTTATGTCATATAATACGAGTTAGTAATACTTTCTAGATGTGAAAAGTTTGTTTTTCCGAGAAAAAGGAAAAAATATCTCATAAAAACAAGCATCTTTCTCTCTCTGCATCACACATCATCGAGGAGCGACTTTATCTCTCTTTCACGAAAAAGAAGTTAACGAAGTTAAAGAAGAAGATTCAAAGGAGTTTATTGATGTTAGACGCGCGAGTGAAACTGCGTCAAAAAGCGCAGCTCGCCGAGTTATGTTCGCGTTGGGTCGGTACGAAATGTATTACCTTTTTTCTCTTTTTTTCCCTTCGACGTGTGAAAAGTCAACGCGTTTTAGATATATACATTTTTTATGATGAGATGCGCGCGCTTTGTGCGCTTTTGTTCTGCGATGTAACAAAAGACTCACTGCTCTCTTATTACACACACACTCTCACCATCTTTAAAACAGACATGCGACAGATCATGAAAGAGTTAGTCGTGACCATCGACGAAGATCTAGACGTAAGGCGCATTAATATTATTCTTTTTTTTACCCTTTTTTTTCCCTTCTTCTTGTCGTTCCTGACTGTAGATATTTCTTCTCAATGCCACGTGGCATTATTTATTTAAAAACAACGACTTTTCGTCCGCGTAAAAATAAAAACAGCCGCAAGAACGGAACATGCTCTCCGTCGCCTCGAAAAACGAAACGACCAGAAGACGACAACAGTGGGTGTGCGTGCAAACGAATATTGGGCAAATCAAGAGGGAAAATATGGGGGAGGATTTTTTGAACATCGCGCGGGAGTATCAAGAGAAAATCGAGGACGAATTGAAAGAGATTTGTAAAGAGACGATCGATTTGGTGGAAGGCGTGTTATTGCCGAGGTTGTTGGGTGGGACGGAACATTACGAACAACAACATCAAGAAGAGCAAAAACAAGGAGAACAAGGAGAACAAGGAGAACAAGAAGCACAACAACAACAACAACATCACGAGTCGCCAAAAACAGTCACCGCGTTACTCTCGGAAGCTTCAAAGGAACACTCGCCTCGATATAAATCAGACCAGAAAATTTTCTACTTGAAAATGATTGGAGATTATTATCGGTATCTAGCAGAGATTCAAAGAGGCGAGGCGAGGATTCCTCACGCGATGCGTTCGCAAGACGCGTACGAGAAGGCTTTGGAAATCGCTCGCGACCCGAAAGCCGGAGTGGCGACGACGCACCCGGTTCGTCTCGGCCTTTCTCTAAACTACTCCGTCTTTCACCACGAGATTCGCGAAGATACGAAATCGGCGTTGGAAATCGCGCAAACTGCGTTGGACGAAGGATTGGAGGATTTAGACGCCCTGACCGATAATGCGAGAGCGTACAAAGACGCCGCGTTGATTTTGAAGTTGATCAAAGATAACATTTCGATGTGGCAATCGTACACATCGTCCTCGGAGTCCTCTGGTGGTGGTAATAAAGAAGAAGAAAACAAGAAAGAGAAAGATGCGGGATTGAACGCAGCTCAGGAGCAGCTATCGAAGACGCGCATCGAAGAGGATGACAAAGAAGACGCAGCAGTCACGAACAAAGAAAATAACAAGGAATAGAGGAAAAGAAAATCAGTGAAACGCAGCAGCACTACTAAAAACATACGCGCATACTGTACAAATATTCATTCCCCTTTCTCCCTTTCTCTCTCCTTTTCTATTGTTATAAACTTCTTAACCCGTCTAACATCTTCTTTAAACTTTCGTTGCCAATTTCTCTCATCCTCTCCACGTTCGCTTTCGGTATACTCTTCACGTCCGGATGCGACCGAACCGCTTCGGTCACGTCCTTCTCTCGCAATATGTGCAACAAAGGATACGGTGACTTATTCGTAAACGCTCCGGGATCTCCCAATTTCTCGCCGGCGAACACAAAGTCCGGATGAAACGCGACCACTTGCACTTTCCCTCTCAAATCGAGCTGGTCGAGAACCGACTCGCCTCTATAGTCGCCGTTTTGCAACGCCGCGTCGTCGATAACGTTCGCGAAATCGAGAAAGGAATCAAAGTCGTTCACGAACTCGCACGTCGGAGAGATGACGAACAACACCGTCTTCGTTATCCCTTCCTCGTCCGAATCGTATTCAATCTCTTTTAACTCTCTCATGAAATCCTCCAAAACGTCTTCTATCTGTTCCCGCTCGGAGACGACTATTTTTATGCCCGTCTGTTTCTTCTTCTTCTTCTTCTTCTTCGCCTCTAAAACTTCTTCTTCTTCTTCGCCTCCTTCTCCTCCTCGAACGTTTTTGGCGAACGGGCAGACGTTTTTCTTGATGATAAACTGGTCCAGCCATTTCAGCGTCGCTTTTTCGATCGATTTTAAAGAAGGCTTTTGAGGACGATGATGATGTCGTCGTTGTTCTCGTTGTCGTCGTTGTTGTTGTTCTTCTTCTCCTCCTGACGAGGACGGCGAAATCGCAAAGTACCTCCGAGACCGCCTCAAAGAAGAAGAACAGAAAGAAGAAGTACTGCTACTGCTGCTCGTAATAATAGTAGAAGACAAAGACCACCGTCCAAAAGCTCTTTGCGCGCAGTACCGGTACAACATGGAGCGTCTTCTCTTCTTTTGAAGCACGTGGACAACCACCAACTTTTTCCCCTAAAAATAAAGAAGCACGTGCTCCACTGTATTCGCGCGCGTAATACTCTACTACATAAAACAGAATCGCTCAAAATACGTTGTGATGCTCTCAAAGCCGACGGTGGTGGTTGCGAGGCGCTTTTTTTCATCGTCATCTGTGGTCTTTTCGCGGCGGCAAACTTTAACGCGCAGAGCATCAAAACCTGCTGCTTCGTGTACCAACTTTGTTAGGTATTCCCCAAAGACAACGAGAACTTTGAGAACGATGAGGACGTCTGCGACGAATGGCGATGTGAACGACGAAGATGTTTTGACGCAATACATCATCCTGAGAAGAGACTTGTGGCGAGAAAAAGCGTGGCCGTTGGGGTCGATCGCCGCGCAAGTCGCGCACGCCTCCGTGGCGGCTTTGGAGACGTTCAAAACGAACGAAGATTCAATTAAGTACGTTGCAAAGGAGAAGTTATCGTCCATGACGAAAGTGGTTTTAGAGGTGAAAGGAGAAGCACAATTAATGACATTAAGCGAAAAGTTAACGGAGAACAACATCGACTATTACGCGTGGCGAGAACAACCGGAAGATTACGTGACGTGCGTGGCGCTGAGGCCGTATAGGAAAGAGGAGGTGCGAGAGCTTTTGAAGAAGTGTAATCTGGCGAGCGACGTACGAGGAGGATGAAGACGAGGGGATGCGTTATCGTTAGTTTTAGTAGAATAGAATTTCATTAGTATCGTCAACAGTATTATATAATAACTACCATAAACTGGAAAAGCTCGTGTACGCCGGTTTGGACGAGGAAGTCTCTTTTGATTTGCGCTCTTGCGCGTACGCTTCGACTTCGTTCATTTTCGCTCCAGAGCCAAAGTTAAACGTGCGTTGCGTTTGTAACGCGGCTTTGTTTACTATCCGAGTCGTGATTCTTCGAAATCTTCCAGGGTACCATTCTCCGGCGTCTCGTAAGTTTGCAATAGCCACGTCTTGCCAGTGCTCGACCATACTCATTTGTTCCCCGCACGTGGCCAACATGCCGCGGAGTAAAAACACCCCTCGGATGGCAAAGAAGCCTTCGCGAGTGTTTTGCGTGATTTTATTCTTCGTGAACGGCGAATTTTCTAAATCCAGCATGTTCATTTCGGCTAACGCGGACGGTCTGGTGTCAAAGTACGCGTAGGATAACGCGACTAACGCTTCGTTGGTTGGTTTCTCCACGAGTACGGAACCGTGGGCGCGAACTTCCGAAGCGATGCCGTTGTAATCTTCCGTGGACATTCTCAACGCCAATCTACACATGTGCAAACGCTCCTTATCATCAACTCGTTTTGTTTGTCCCCAATCGAGAATGCACAACTTCCCATCGCCTCTCAAAATAAAATTCCCCGGGTGCGGATCGGAATGAAAATGACCACACGTGAGCATCATCTCCCCCCACGCTCGGAAAATGGAAAAGAAGACACCGTTCCAACCGTCGCCGCCGTAATACGAGTGCGTTCTAGAAACTTGTTGCGGACACCGCGGACGTTTCCCGTTTTGCCGCGCTCGATTGAAAATAGTCAACAATTTTGCGCCTCGAACGCGTCGCATGACTAAAACTTTTCTCGTCGACGCGACGACGCGAGGCGCGCACACCTTGTCACAAATCTCCGGCGTCTGCTCGAACAACTTACCGAAATAATCAATCTTCTCGTGTTCTATTTTGAAATTAAATTCTTCGTCGATGACGTCCAAATACGCCTCAAAAATCGTCGGTAAATCCATGCCGTTATCCAAACGTAATTTTTTCATCGTTCGCGCCGTTCGTAAAAGCGCTTTCAAATCGGCAATGACATTCTCGTAATTCGCCGTTTGTACTTTCACCGCGACTTCTCTTCCGTCTAATAAGCGTCCAAAGTGCACCTGCGCGATCGAAGCCGTCGCGCACGCGTTTCTCGAAAGTTCGGAGAAGTGACTGCCCAGCGGCCCTCCCAACTCAGTTTCTAAAATTTTCCGGACTATATAAAACGGCGTCGGCGGATTATCGTCCATCGTTTTCGAAAATTTCTCCACGTACGGTCTCGGCATCATTTGCGACGCCGTGCCGGCAATTTGGCCAACCTTTCTATAAAATCCTCCAAAATCGGCGATGATTTCTGTCATTTGTTCCGCGCCCCACTCGTGTTGTTGGTCCCAACTCAAAGCTCTTTTGCCCGGTTTGTCCGCGTAGAGAAGTTTGTGCTTTTGCTTGAGTAAAATATACGACGTCATCACCGGCGCAACACGCAAAGAATACTCAATCGACCGTTTCTTCCTCGGAGCGACGAGTTTAAGAACCAGTCGCACGGCTAAAACCTGCGCGTGCGTAACAGCGAGATCCACGCACATTGGCTTCAACGACTTGTGCGCGTTGGCGACGACGTGTGATATCGATTTCAAACTCGGCAAGAACGGAACCCCCGATCCTCCTCCTCTTTTGCTACTAATACTACCATTGCTACTCGTGCCTTTTCCAGCTCCGGCGGCTGCTTTTCTCTTTCGCTGCCCCGCTTTTTTCAACGAAGAAGGAGACATCTTCTTCTTAATTCTCTTCCCTGCTCCCGTGAGCGCTTGCTGAATATCCTCCGCGTCTCTCATTTTCACCATCGCTAACGCGAAAACCATCACCCGCGCGCCTTCGTACGCGTATCTACCCATCCAACACCTCGCAAACGCGCACGCAATCGCGTGCACGGAAACCTTCCCGCACTGTCGAAAAAATACGAATACCATCTTCGCCGGTGATAACCGTAAAAATTTGCCCGTCTCTCGCGCCACGTGGTCGATCGTTTGCACCAGGAAAGAAAGCATCCGGTCGCCTTCGTTCCCGCGATACATCGCCATGGCTTCTTTCAACTTCTCTCTGCGAAACCGACTGAACGCGAGGATGCGTTTGTGCGGAGAATGTAATTTTCGTTTCTTCGCGTTCCCTCCCCCGGCTTGTAGCGAAACCACCTGCGAAGACGTCGCAGTTTGAGAGGAGGAGGAGGAGGAGGAGGAAGCAGCGGTTGTTCTCGTTGGTGTTGTTCCAACACCATCACCACCACCATTCGCGGAAGACGAAGACGAAGATAAAGATAAAGAAGGAATCAAAACGGGCACGAAATCACCCCCATCATTACCACTCCCATCGACGGGGGAGGATAACGGCATCTGAGAAGAAGGAAACGGTGGTGGTGGAGGAGAAGATGCGCTGTTGTTGTTCTTGTTCTTGGTGTTGTTTTCGCTCAAATCAAAACACAGACGAGACTTTGGGTAATGCTTCTTCGCAAAATCATCATCGCTTCTTCTTCTTCTTCTTTCCAAGAAAAAAGGATGGTTCTTAAAACTTTCGTTCTTCCTGTTCTCGTTCTTTTCGTTCGTCGTCGGAGTCGTTCCAAAACTCCTCATCTTTTGCGCGAATACAACCACTTTTATTATAAAGTATTTGTTGTGATGATTTTAAAAAATGAATCCACGATGTGATTCCTTCGTCGAAAAAGAACCCCCACACATTGAAAAAACAAAAAAAACTGTTGAAAAAAAAAGTCCAAAATTTTTTCAAAATTTTTTCCTCCTCTGCTCTTTTCTCTCTCTCTCCATTTTTACAATCTTTCTATCTTTAGATTCAGCGTTTGAAGAAGCTGCTGCTCTCATCTCGCGGTCGTTGTCAGTCTCTTTATAGCGTATTTTTAGCACAGAAGAGAGAGAGAGCGAGAGTGGCTTCTTTTTTTGACAGAAACGAGATTATTCACCTACCTTTTGGGATGAAGGACGACGACACCTACGCGCTATGATGAGAGCGAGTTTTGAGACAGAGTTCTATTATTACTAAAAAAGAAGAAGAAGAAGATTTGAAGATGAGTGAACGAGGAAAAGGAAAAGGACTGGCGACGTTTGCGCTCTCTTCTTCTTCTTCTTCTTCTTCTTCCTCTCCTGAATCTTCTCTTCTCGACCACCACCTTTTGGGAGATGAAAGGGAAGAAGAAAGGCTGGAACGACGGCGGTATGACTACCAGTATTATTCAGGTGATGATGATGGTGATGAGGATGCGCTCTTATCAGACTTTGACGAACTCGAATACGACGACAAAACCATTTTCGACATCGAAGGAGAAGAAGAGGAAGAAGAAGAAGAAGAAGAAGAAGAAGAAGAAGAAGAGCGCGACGTTGCGAGGACGACTTTCGACAGAAACGCGTTGGTATGGCTACGTCCTGATGTTATCGATGGGAACGACAAAAGTACCGGCGCGAGGAACAAGAGCGGACGTGTTGAAGAAAAAGAAAACGAGTTGCTCGCGTGGGATGCCGTGCGTGAGGACGAGAACAGATTTACGCTTTTGATGCCTTCGTCGTTGTATTCTGCGAGCGCGCGGCGTTCCGCGGTGGATTTCGACTTCCTGTACGAGCGCGCGTTCATCGGCGCAAAAGATTTTAATTTTAACAGTGGCAAGCATGGAAACGCCACGAAATGCATTTGCGCAGACGAGTCGAATTTAGTGACGATGTGTATCCGCGCCGTCATGGGAGACGTATCTTCGAGACGCTTACTGAGAGCTATATCGTTGGATTCTCTCGACGACAGCGGAAGCATTTCCGTGCGTTTTCGCGGGGCGAGCGTTGGAGCGACCAAAAACGTACTGTCGCAGTTTTACGAAACGTCTCGTCTGCAAAACCGCGCGCGTGCGTTTGCGACAAAACAAATGGAAAAAGAGAGCGGCGATTCGACTGCAAATGCATTTCAAAAGTGCGTTTTGAAAATACTCCAGGCTATAGACGCGTCATTGAGCGCGTTCGCGGAAGCGTGCATTCAACGCAGAGCCGACGAGGGGGAAGAATACGAGAATGAAGATGAACACGAACGAAATGCAAATCGAAACGATGCATCAACGACGCTTCTCGAGTTTGCATTCCACACGCGGGATATACGGAAACAGATTGCCTCGTTGGCGGCTTTGGTCGACAAGGTACAAAAACGGTGGCGCGCGATGAAGCACCGCAAGTCTCGCGCTCTTTTGTTGCCATCGGTATCGCCTCATCGGTATCGTCAAAATGGTAATAAAAGTACTGCTTCTCACTATTCCTACGGCAGCGTAGCTCTAGATGTGCTCTCTCGGGAGATTCAAGATTTACACTACAACGACTACGTAGACATCGAGCTCGAGCAAAGGAGCGTACTGAAGCTCTTTGAAATTTTATTCATTTCCACGGCAAAACCTGTGCTAGTTGAAGGCATCGTCAACGCGTGCTTTTCGTCGAATAATTCTTCGTTATCTAATGACGGTGAATGCTTAAAGAAGGCGTGCGATGTGTTGCTTCAGAATAAATCCGACGCGATTCGAAAACTGAGAAGCATAAAAAATTCCACGCGGGATATTCACCGAGAGCAGAAGCTTGCTCAATTTAGTGCGGGCATGCGCGCGTGTAAATTGCTGCTCTTCTCATCGACGTCCGATATGGCGAATATCGATTCGGATGCAACTTCTATCGTTCACTTCTTCACCAAAGAAAGGGGTGTCGCTCGAGAAGAAATCTTTCGAGAAGTTTCTCGAACGTTGGATGAAGCTATTGATACGACGGATACTCTTCGCACGCAAGAAAAAGACTCAATCGAATTTGAACACAGAGAACGCGTGCGCGTACAACGGGAGATATTTGAGGCGCGCGTGCGCAAACACGAGCTCGAGCGAGAAGAAATTCGTCAGAAAGCCAAGGCCAAGAAGAAAGAATTAGGGGATGCCAGACGCTTGGAAATGTTTGAACGCGCAGAGAGGAAAAAAGAGGCAAAAGTGAACGAGTTGACTGAAGATTTAGAAAGATTAGGGACGTTTAGCGGAAGTGCTGTGAAAAAGCGTGTGCGACTGTTGGAAAGTCAAATGAATCGAACCGGGGAAGAGGACACGACAACGGACCCAAATGCAGATACAACTGGGGATGTTTTCCTCGACGTTGTTGTCGCGGTTGAAGAAAATCACGAAGCAGCAGCAGCAGCAGAAGAAGAAGACTCGAAAGACGCGGAGAAGTTGGCAGAGAAGACCATCTTGGCTGCCGACGACACGATGGAAACGGATCTGCCACCGCGTGCTTCATCGGTGACTTATTCATCCCTTCCCTCACGCGTCGTCATGTGTAAACGATCGCTCGTGGACGTCACCGCGAGTAACCTTTGGGCGTTTCTCGATTTTCTTCACGAAAAAGTTTCTAGAGTGCACGTTTCGTATCTTCTCAAAGATCATGAAGTTGCGAGTCACGCGAAATATATCGCCGAAATCATCTTCGGCTTGAGTGGCGATGTCATAGAAACGCTGTGCGAGAGGAGAGATGATGATTCGTATGATGATGCTTTCGTCTCTTCTTCTTTTGAAATCACCTACTTCACGAACGATGAGTTGCGAGATGCGTTAGAACGCGCAAATATTTCTTCGAATGTCGTTAAAGATCGATTTAGAATCGTCTACTCGAACGAGAGCACGTCGTCAAGGAATACGAAATCTATCAAGTGTCTGTCGTACGCGCTTCCGGATCAACTGAAGCGTTCGAATCTGTTTGGTATCGACTTTGAAGAAAAAATTGAAGCGGTTTCGGAGTTTGTTTTGAGATTGAAATCCATTCGCGCGATGCTCCAAAATTTACGAAAAATTTCGAACTATCTCGACCGCGCCACGTACGTTCACGATAACGCACGGAAATTAGACCACGCTTCGAAGGAAGCGACCGTTTTGAGAAGACGATTACGAAGTTTCCAAGAGCAGTTGTTTGAGTTGGAGCGGTTCGCGACGCATCTTGAAAGATCGTGCGGAGAAAATATCCGGCACGCGACGGACGTATTGATTTCGTCAATGAACGCGTTGTCCACTGAAATCGATGCAAACGATGCAAAGGCAATGCTTGCAAAGTGGTTAAATGCGTGTGTGGCGGCTTCGTTCTCGTCGAAGGATTTTGCCAGGGCGAGAAAGGTCATAGAACAGGGTTTTCGAAATATTCATTTGTTTGCTCAGCAAACGTTCAACGCGTATAACGATGCAGATCCGAATGCGCTTTTACTTAACGCGGTGTTTATCAGCACGACAAACGGTTTGCGAGGTGAGTTCATCGGGAGTGTCGTCCGTGTATTTCCGTTTTAGTTATTACTTAGTTTAGTTAGAGCTCTTTTCGTGAAAATGTATTATTACACAAGGCGTTTAGCTTTAAAATCACACGTAGCTCTCGTGCTTGACAATATCCTTATCTCGTCCACTTTGGTGTCTCATGTCGCCATATCCGTGCTCCATTAAGCTCGCTAAGTCCTCCCCACTTAACTTTGTCAACTTATCCAACAAATCCTGCGTCGAAATCTCCACCTCTAAATCGTCGTCCTCGAGAAGTTCGCTGAGAAATGGAATGGCTTCGGGAAGCAAGACTAAGTATTCTTCTTGGGTATTCTCGATAATTTTAGCGAGCGTGGCAATAACGAGAAGCTTTGCTCTGGAATGTTCGTAATTTCTGGAAACATTCAGGATGTTTCGGTGTAACGTTTTCCACAACGCTTCGTCGGGCGCAGCGGCGAAAAGAGCGGCACAACAGCCGACACACTCGGCGCCGAGATTGAATTTTACTCCGACGGAGTCGTTTTCATTCAAGTCCTTTGCTCCATCGTCACCTTCGTCCAGTAGTTCATCCAGGGTGCTCATTGCGTATTCTCGACTCTTCTTTGGCGGTTCTTTAGACAAGTGCTTCGCAACTAAAGGCGCAAACTGGTTAAATCGTTCTTGTGTGAGAAAATTGACCGAATCGTATGCGAAACACCGACGCAAAGCGGCGAGCGCGAACGCCTTCATGCGCCACTCGTCCATCACATCGTCGTTGTTTTTGTTGCTCTTCTCATCATCCGTCTTCTTTTTCTTCTTTTTCTTGTTCGATTCTAACATATCCAAGGCTTCGTCGTCTAAGCATGCCGCTGTCAAGTCCAGAACGTGTCTGTAAAACGGCACAAAAACAGCTCTCAACTGGTCCGCCAAAGCACTCGTCAATCGAAACAACGCCGATAATCGCCATCTCGCGGCATCTTTCTCTCCAGCTCTCGCTTTAGCCCACTCCACGCATTTCGCGTAAAACGGCGTGAACTCTTTCTCGGTACATTTTACTGCTAAATTCGCCACCGCGTTCACGGCTAACGTTTCTACTTCTTCCATCTCCGAAACGCTCGCGTCGTCTTCCTCCGCGAACTGTCGTCGTACGTCCATGGCTTCCAAAGCAATCGAAAACAGCGAAGCTCTGTGCGCAGACGTAGCATCCTTACGATCGGCTACCTTGTTTGAAACTTCCAAAAATGCCAGTCTCGAACGCAATGCCTCGTTTGCCGTGCGTGCGGATTCGCTCTCACGAATGAACGTTACCCAACACTCTTCCAGAGGAGGCATGAGCACACGGCATTCGAACGAGGTCGCTAAGCGTTCCGAGCGTAATTCGGCAGCAGCTTCTTTTGCGGCTATGAGAGATGTAAGATTTGTTTTTACGCTATCTCTGCTCTTCTTTTTCTTCTTTTTACCAGACACACCTTCGTCGTCTCTGTCCTCTTCCTCCTCTTCATCGTCTGTCTCTGTCTTTGCGCACAACGCCGGATGCGTCGCGACGGTCAAAATGTCCAAGAGGTATGGACTCATAAACTTCGCTAGCTGGTCTTCACAAAACGCGTCGATCGCGGAAAGCGTTGCTGATAAAACAACCAAAGCGTTCTCTGGTGTTTCGCCATTTCTCGCGGCAGCGCTTTTAGAGCATATTTGAGTGGCCAGTTTGGCGATTCGAGTCATTGCCGGCGCGGCGAGCGCCAACGCGCCGATGAACTTCGGCCCTGTGGCTCGAGCAATTTGCGCGAGACACAAAGAGGCTGAACCGAGCACGTTCGACGTGGTCGAATTAATAGCTTTCAGCACATTTTCCTCTTCCGTGTCTTTTGCAAAACAACATTTTTCTGCAACCTGTTTCGCGGCGTTCACCAACGCATTCGCATAATGCGTGGCGTCTTCATCGCGACCAAACCGCATGGCTGCGGCTTCAAGCGCGACAAGAGCCGCTTGACGAGCGTTTGGAGTACCATCTCTGACGGCAAGAGTTGCGAGTTCGTCGATGAGTTTCAAACCTGCAATCTTAATGCTCTCGTTGGATTCTTTCTGTTGCTTCTTGACGGAAATCGTCAAATCCCTCAGCGCGTTCTCGTTGTTTTGCAAACGATCCGTGAGGAGATTCAACGCCGCTTTACGCACCGAGGTTTCTTCACAAGATAGCAATGGCGTCAACGTTTCAAGAAACTTGCCTGGGTGCAAAACGGCATCCAACGCAGAGAATAAATCTCTACCCGCTTTAGAGGCGGAAGGACCACTCGCGCATGACGCCTTCGTATCTAGCAACGTCAACGCTCTCTCAGCTAACGAGGAAAACGCGGTTTGTAACACGTTCGAGTTTGCCACAGAATGTGCGCTATATTTCTTCTGCGCGAGAAGAAAAGATCGAGTTGATATGAATCGCGACGCGGCGTTCGCGACGACGACGACACCTCTACACGCTTCCGAGCCTCTCGAGGCAGCAATCTGTTGTGTTGTAAAAAGAAAGGCAAAGAAGTACACGTGAGCGTCTTGAAAAGAGGAAGAGGAACAAAAGAAGAAAGAGAGGTTTTCTATCGTCGTCGTAGACAGTACATTTCTCAGAAGGAAAGCAGCAGATCGTTTGAAGTTCTCATCACGAAAAATCAGAATCCTGACACATATACGAATTCTTCACCGAAACATACGCAACGAACGAACGAGTTTAAAAAGTCACGCGCGAAAAACGAGAAAGAAGGAGAAAAAAGTCGTACCTTCATTGCATCTACCAGCGTTACGACCGCGTTGACTGGTTTCTCGTGACCTAGCAAAGTCATAACCAAAGATTTGACCCACGTGTTCGACTTTGTTTTGTTGTTGTTTTCTTCGTCTTCGAGCTCGTCGTCCTCGTCGTCAACATCATCATCAACATCCGCGTTGTTATCGTCGAGGTCCATCAAATCTAAATTCCCACCCGTCTTCTTCTTCGCATCATTTTGATAAAGCATCGCGTACATCTTCTTTTTGTGCGCTTCGGCGGACTTTTCCAAACTGTTTCTATTCTCAAGTACTTGTAAAATCAACTCAGACAAACCTTTCGAGCCTTCAGGACAGGCGCGAATGAGCGCGGCACACAATGGCGCGCGTCTTCGTTCCGGCGCTCTCGTCGACGCCTCTACGATTGTCCAAATGACTTCCTTCACGTCAGCTTTACCTGAGGAAAGCCACACGGGTACGACAGATTTCAAAGCATTTTCTAAAGCTCTCTGTAACGTAACGTCGTCGTTTTCGCCGGCAATTCTCGAGAGCGTCGTGGCAACGTCCACAACTTTCTTCACAACCATTTCTGGCTTGATCTTTGCCATCTCCGAGAGAAGCTCTAGAGCTGCCGCGCGAGAACTCCCTTCAGAAGCTTTAGACGCAGAAACACAAATGAGATCGATGTCCCAACTATTGACGGTCTGACCACAAAGCTCAGCTAACTTTGTTAAAGTTTGCAAACTTAACGTCAACGCATACGAACGCTCAGCGATTTGTTCGTTGAGCTTTTTCGTTTCGGAATCATTCTTGTTGTTATCGTCGTCATCACTTTCGCTCATTCTTTCATCGCCATCGCTATTATCATCGCTCGACGACGACGATGAATTATCTTCCGCGCCGTAGAAGCGTTTCTTTTTCTTTTTGGAATTGTTTGCCGCGTTTTGTTCTTTGAGAGCTTGGCGACGAGCGTCTTCCTCGACGTCGATTTCGTTTTGCGCAAAGAGGGCTCTGCAGAGATTTTGGCAAGGGTGAATCAACGCATCGCGATTGACTGCTGTGTCGGAACGCCAAGAAAACACTTCCATAGCCGCGACCGCGTTCGCTAACGAATCACCTTTCGTGAGACCAACGACGATATCCTTATCTCCAAATTTACACGCTCCGGAAATGGCGACTACGGCATCTTTGCAATCCAAGGGGACCGACGCGATTGCAGCTCTCGCAGCGCCACGCGCGGTCTTATCGCCGTCGCTTTTATTCGCGTGGAACAAAACGTCCAAAACCTTTGCGCGCGAAGTTGGTGGTATTTTCATGAGCGGATAGCTCCCGCTCGCTATTTGCTCAAAACAGGCGATGCGCACGGAAACCGAAATTTGAGACTTCATGGCGTTCAAAAACGAGTCGAAAGCAAACTTACCGGACGTCACTTCCGCCGAAGAAGCGAGCTTTTCTCCAACGAAACATCGAACTGCTTCGATAGCAAACGCGGCAATTTCAAGTTGATCGGGTGCAGTCTCGTCGGCATCAAAAGAAGTGGCGCGTTCAAGCGCTCGAGCAATTTCAACCGCCTTTACTTGGTCGTCCCCAACGCCTCTTAGAATGAACAAAAGAACTCGGGCGGCGTGCGGATTCATCAGACAAAACGTAGACGACTGCGCGTTAGTAGATCTATCACCTTCTCCTCTTCTAAAAAGGTCGTCTACTTTCACCGCCGTTATTGGCTTCAACAAGCGTTTCGTATCTTCAACTGAAACTTGTACGCTTCGCATCGCCGTCCTCACAGCGCTCGCTCCATCGATGGTGATTTGCGCTCTGGCTTTCGCAGCGGCAGCAAAAGGCGCAAATTCACTCGTCGTTGGTGCGCAGTATAGCGCGTCTGCTGCAGCCCGACGAATAGACGACACCGAGCTTGCACAAGCGACTAAGAGCGCTGTTACGATTTCGTCGGAATCCTTCACGTCCTCGATTTCGGATTGAATCATCTCTAAAGCGACAATCTTACCTCGCGTGCTCGATGCGAAAGTTTGTTCGTTCGTACCGTCCTCCGCGATTATTCTGGAGGCGAGGAACCTCACTGAATCAACGCCTCGTCGGCTTGACGCATCTAAACACTTGCGCAACAAATCTTGCACTATCGTTTCGAAGGATTCGTTTGTTTGTTCACTTTCGCTCCCGGCGAGCATATCAAACGACTCAATCAAAATAGTTTCAGCGACGTTACTTTTTGCATCTCTCTTTGTGATTTTGGAGAACAAATCTTTCGCAATGTCTCTAGAGACTGGTGAAATCCAAGGCAGAGCACTAGATGCTTCGCTGAGAGAGAGCCAACACTCGATTGGAATTTTACCATCCTTGAGTCTTTCGTCGTGATGGGACCGAAACTTACCACCAAATCCGAGACATCCTTGTTCCCAGTCGTCCTTCAATACCGTCCAGATGCTCTTGCGTATGATATCTTCCATTGGAGACGAATTACACTCTGCCAAGGCGGCTTTCAGCGATAAAAGAAGCGTCAGCTTCCCGGCGCCGTCCGCGTCGCGGTACGATTCGCGAACCCACAATTCGATATCAAACTCTCCTATCGCGGGTGGTTTCTTTGCGGCTTGATTGAATCCGTAACCAATAGCGTGCACGACACTCGCTGCTATTCTCGCATCGCCTTCGTGTCGCACATCCTTCTTAGATCCGCTACTCTTGCTGTCTTCCGCGGAGGAGAAGGCTTGCTCGATAGCTCTCTTCTCGTCCGTAAAACCAAGTAAAATCGGGTGCTTACACCTGGAGGCGTCTTTTACGACAGATCGAGCGACCGCGCGGGAGTGCGACGCAGAAACTGCGCCGTAACATGCCAAAGCGGCGGCTTTATCGCGCAATGTTCTTAACTCGTCGTCGTCGTCGTCGTCGTCTATTCTGTCGCCTGACATTTGCCTCAAAAGTGTCGCGTATGCCTTCTTACATACTCTGCGTTCAATGTCCGCGACTTTATTGGCATCTCGCTCGTTCGATCTCGAGCTCAACTCTCTCGCAGTTTCTAATCGATGCGAGATAGCTTCGAAAAGCGACGTTCGGTTTTTCGTCAGCATGCTCAAAGACGGAGTGCCGAGTGCCAACGCGGCGACAGTTGGATCGTCATCGGAGCATCGACGGCACAGCGCGTCGGCTAGGAAACCGCCCTTCTCCAGACCTGGTGGCGGAAGAAGAGTGTTGTCTTTGTCTTTTGCCTTCTTTTCGATGAACTCGACGTGAAGGTCAATCAGACGTTGCGTCGCGTTCTCTCGAATCGACGCAGTGGGATGATCTAACGCAGCCGCCAACGATCGATTGCCGAGCTTCTTGTTCTCAATAGGCCCCGAGGCCGAACCAGCTAAAGCCTCGCGGAGGAAAGATGCGGATTCAAAATCGAGTCGTAACTGTTCTTCTTCCTCTTTCAACTTTTCCTCTTCTTTTTTCCTCGTCTCTTCGTCAATCATCATTCGATCTTCCTCGGCGTTCGTTTTGTCATCGTCTTCATCGTCGTCTTCATCGTCTTCCTCCTCTTCGTCGCTCTCCTCCGAACTACTGCTACCGTTATTTACTTTCTTCTTCTTCTTCTCCTTTCCATCGATTTCTTGTTTTTCTTGCAATCGTCGTCGTCGCTCGTCGTGCGCTCTTTTTTCTTTCCTGCGTTCCAAACCTCTCAAAAACGAATCCACCGCTTCCGCGGTGCTCTTCGGAAACCTCTGATCCGCCGCACGCAACGCTCTTTCGATGCTCTTTCTTTTCACTTCGTCCGATTTATCGCTCCTCGCTAAACTACAAACTAACTTTTTCGCTCTCGGTTCCGTCAGTTCAATCGTCTCCAAGGCTTCCATGAGAGTCTTTTCGTAATTTTCGTGCGTCCCGCAAAACTTTCCGAGCGCTTCCAACAACGGATTCACCAAACAATCGCTCGCGGTTCCATACTTATCACATATTTCCGCGACGTGAGAACTCGCGTTGTCGATTTTTACGAAATGCTTAAACGTCCGGTCTGGTATAGTCTCGATTTTTTGACTCGAACACAACACCAGTAACGTTTGCATAGCCTCTCGAACGAGCGGCGCTCGAGCACCTTTTGAAACGCCTTCTAAGAGCGCCACCGAAAATGCCTCCGTGAACGTCGTCTTCGCGCATAACGCCGCGATGAGCATCAAACACCCCGCGTAGTGTTCAGACGAGGCTTTTTGATGCAATCCAGGCTCTAAATACGTCAAAAATCTTTGCAAATGCGCGCTTTCAATGCGTTTCATCCAATCGAGACTTTCAATCATTAAAACGACGTAAAACGAATGACTCACCGAACTCGCGGAAGTCGTACCGTTCGTCGCGTTCAAATCGTTATTACTTTGGCCGTTGCAGCATTCCACCGCGCTATCGCAAATGTAGGTTAAAAACGCCTTGTCTTTCGCCACTCGTTTCGCCAAGTACTCTCTCGGCACCTTGGCGCCGCTTTCCTTCACCCCTCGCATCCACTCGAACTTCTTCGCGTTTTCGAAATTGCACGTTTGCACCACCTTCACGAACTGATTGGTTCCGTGATACGGCAACAAAGACGCGATGACGTCGTCCACGTTATACACGTTAACTTTAAACCTCCGTATGAGATATTCAAAAATATGCGCGCCGTCCGCCGCTTCTTCTCTCAACGTCTCGTCCTTCGCCGTCGCTTCGTCCTCGTCGCCGCCAAAAATCTTCCCGCACGTGGACGCGAACAGCCTCAGAAACTGCCTGATGATTTTATTCAGCTTCTCGTTCTCTTTCGCGTCCAGTTTTTCTCGATGATTTTGCTTTTGATACCCTTCCAACGCTTCACCTTCTGCGTCATCTCCAAACATCCCAACGCCGTTCGTGTTCGCGGTATAAAACAGTTTACTCCCGAACGCGTCGAACCGTCCATCTCTTCTCCTCACGTTCTCGAACGCTTTTTGCGCTCTCTCTTGAATCTCTTCCAATCGAACGTCCGCCGCATCTCTCGCCGTGTGAAGTATCGACGCTTTGCCTCCTTTCAGAGCTCTGGTATTTTCTCGCGGGAACGCAGACGCGAGCTTCGAGAGTTGTTCCGACAACGCCGACCGAGTATTGTTCTGTTGTTGTTTCCGTCCGGGTGGTGCCATCTTCTTCTGCGTCGTCGAAGGTGAGATATTCAAAGCGCAGCGCGAAAAGCGCCGTCAAAACAGAATGAATGAAGAAGAGAAAACACCAAAGGTGTTGTTGTTTGTTGTTTGTTGTTAAAAACGCTCTCGCCTTTTCTCGCGATCGATTTTTTTCTCTTTTCCTTTTGCCTTTCTGACTGTTTTTTTTGACTCTGCTTTTTTTCTTCTTTAAAGAAGACTTCTTCACTCTTTTCTCTCTTTTCTCTCTCTCTCTCTCTCTCTCTTTCTCTCTTTTAGTTTATTACAACACAACACTATTATAATAAAATGGAGTGGTATCGAACAAAGTTTATCAAAACCGGGTCGTTTGGACCGGTGAAACACGCGATGGTACGATCTCGTTCTTGTTGTTGTTGTTCTTGTTTTGCGCGTTGTTTTTCTCTCGTCTCATCGTTATCTCGTGTGTCATCACATCTTCTTCCCCTAAAAACACTTGAAGAAGAAGGTTTTTGAAAGAGTATACTACCACGCGACGCTCCTCGTCGTGACGATTCAAGTTTGGACGACGACGACGACGATGATGATTTCGATGATCTCCTTTGTCTTCTTCTTTTCTTGTTTACGACGATGTGCGTTTGAAACTGACACATGTAATAACAACACACGAACAACAACAACAACAACAACAACAACAACAACAACAACAACAACAGATTGGAACGTTCGTGGTCGCCTTCGGGTTAGAACATTACATGCACCATAAGTATCACTCGCATCACGACGAGCATCATCACGACGAAACACACGGAGGAGGAAAAGGAGAAGGAGTTAACGAGAACAAAACCCACCAATCGCACTCGCCGAAGGAGTTTTCCGCGGAAACTGCCTCGTTAGATGAAATCACGAAAGAAATGACCAGACTGAGAGAAAGAGTTGGCGAGTTGCGAAAGGAAGGGAAGCACGTTTAATATCACATCATACTAATATCACAAAGTACAGTAAAAGATCTCGTTACAACAAAGGATGATGATATTAGCTTCGAGTTTCTTCAACTTTCAAATCGCCCATGCCTAAGGTGGAGAGACTGTTCAGTCTTCTCACGACGGGAGGGCCGTTTTCGCTCGCCACGTTCTCGCCTCGGGAATATTTACTGACCGGCGTTTGGGAACCAGAGTCTTCGCCGAGAGAGCTCGTTTTTGTGATTCGTCCGTCCGCGGATCGAACCATTGCGACTTGGGTGTTCTCTATGCCGGCGGCATGCGCGTTGACACCAATATCCATCGCGTCCCCAGTCGCCGGTTTCGAGCGTTTCCGATTGGCCTTGGCGCCGTTGTTGTTAGTGTTGTTAGTGTTCCCGTGCGCTTCAATGACTCGTCGCCGTAAAGACGTCGTCGTCGTCGTCGTTGGTGTCCCCGTTCCGTTCGTATTCGTTCCGTTCCTATTTTCCGCGTCTGCTACTGCTTGCACAGCTGCTTGTACAGCTGCTGGAGCTGTCGTCGTCGTTCCTTTTTCTCCCATTCTTCTTTCGTCTTCGAGCATTTTTATCAACTCGCGTTCTTTCGCTTTCTTGTTCTTGTTGATTTGCTGATTTTCCTCCTCGTCGTCGTCGTCGTCCTCGTCCTCGTCTTCATCATCGCTATGCTTTCCTCTTTTACCGTGCGTTTGCGTGCGCCCATTTGTTGTCGTCGGCGTTTCGCCGTGTTCCAACCCGCTCGGAGAGTCTTTCCCTTCCTCTTCCTCTTTCGGCGCCACTTTCTTAAACGTCCCGACGTCCATCATCTCCGTCGTCCAATATCCGACTCGTTCGGTCGGATTCGGATTCCCCCACACTCTGTCGTTCGCCGTCCACGACTCGCCTAAAAACTCGCGACATTTCGCCAGGCACATCGCCGCCGTCGGTCGAGCTCTCGGATCTTCCTCGCAGCACGCGTTGCCCAAACCGGTGACGAAATCAACCTCGTGCGGATGCGATTTCCGTCTCCTTTTTTTCACCTGATCGATGAGCTGAAAGCACATGACCCCGTATCCGTACACGTCCGAAGAAAATGCGTACGTGTGATCTTTCTCCGAGTCGTGTTTTTCCACCTCTGGCGCTCGATATTTCGGTGGACCGATTTTCGGCGTCGTCTTCGGGTTCACGTCTCGCCGGTCGTTGGCGTATTGCGGTAGGATGCGCGCCAGACCAAAATCCGTCAGTTTCGCGGTTTCAAAGTCCTGTTGTTTTTGGTGATTGATGAGTTTTGGGTAGTGGAACGTAGTTAGTACGAGGACGATGACGAAAGAGGTGGTGAGTACACAAAATAAGCAGCCACAGAGTAAAACATTTTTGTCTCTTTTCTCTCTCTTTTGGTACTCGTTGTTCGGAGCAGCCAAAAGAGAGAAATAATAATTGTGGACTCAAAGAAGACGAAGCTTTAACGGCGGCGGAAAAGGAAAAGGCTAATAATGCTCTTTCGAGAAGAAGAATAACGAGAATCGTACCGCTGAAATCAACACGTTCCTCGCTTTCACGTCCCTGTGAATGTGTCCTTGCGCGTGCATCCTCACCAGCGCTCTCGCCACGTCTTGTAAAACTCGTACCACGTTAACCTGATTGACGACGCGTTTATTCCTCAAAGAGTTCGGGACGAATTCCATGACCATGTGCAGCATCCCTTCCTCGATGAACGCGCCGTAAATAGGAACCACGTTCGGGTGCGTCATGCGCGAGAGGTAAAATATGTCTCGTTTCAAACCGGCGACTCGGTCGGGTTTTAAATTCTGAATCACTTTCACCGCCACTGCGGTCCCCAACAAGTGCGCTCGGTAGACTTTCCCGAAAGAACCGTCGCCGATTTTTTCCCAAAGCGACCGAGGGGTTAACTCGTCCGGGTCGAACCACGGGCCCGAGTCCACGTCGTTCCTGTTGGTCGTCGAGCGGTCCGTCGTCTGGTTTTCGCGGTGGTGGTCGCCAGGCTCGTTCATTCTTTTCTATTCTTTTCTTTTCTTTTTGCGTTCGTTAGTAATTCTGGTGTTCTTTCTGTTTTGGTAACGAACAAACAAACAAAGCAAGAGGTGAAAAATAATCGTACGCTTTTTGGCAACAAAAGAGAAGCAAGGAGGAAGCAAGGGCAGAGGGACAAAACCCCAGAAGAACAAAAAATTTCTAAAGAGCCAAATCTTCCTCCATATATATAGTCTTTAAGAGAAAACGACGTTAAAAACTCTTGCTAATAAATTATTTTTAAACCAGTAAACCACGTTACGAGCGCGCGCTTTGGATTTGTTGTTGTTGTTGTTGTTGTTGTTGTTACTGTTTAATATCAGATCGCGTTTCCACGGTTTCCGACGTGTACGTAATCATGGATCATCCATAAGAAGTAATCCATAAAGAGGAAGAAATTAAAAAGAGCTCAAGTCGTTCCATTAATACGAGAATAGAATCATATAGAAACAGAAACACGAGGAGAGAGAAAAAGAGAGAGAGGTGATCTTGAGGTGATCGCCGTGCAATTGTAATACGCACATGTGGGAGCCATCGTCGAATCAACCGCAGGAGCAGCAGCCACAGGAAGAACAACAGAACGAAATTGTAAATTTATCGAAAAAAAAATGCGTCTCGTGCGCGACAGAGAAAACCTGCCGGTGGCGACGGTCGAAATTACTCTCGCGAGCGACGCTGTGCGATAAATGTTACCGGAACGAAGCGTTAGCGCTGACCAGTCGCCAATGCTACGTGTGCGAATCGAAACAAACGACCGGGCAGTGGTTTAAATCGAAAGTTGACTTGAGTTTTGATTTATGCAGGAACTGTTGGGTGAAAGAACACGCGCTGCTGGCGAATAAAGTTTGTATTAACTGCAAAAGTAAGCGAACGAGTATGCAATGGTTGAAAAGTAAAATCTTGGAAGGCGCGGATTTGTGTAACAACTGCTATCAGAAGGAAGTGTATCAGTTGAGCAAGTTCACTGCGAACGGGTCGACGACGAGCGTGGAAGAGTTGGTCAAACCTCTGATGAAAAGAGCAATACCGACAGAGATTGAAGAGAAGGAGGAAGAGGAAGACGAAGACGAAGACGAAGACGAATAAAGTTGTACATATATATAAAAAATGAGCTCCAGCTGACAAGCGCCAGCAGACTTTGGACAAAGCGCATCGAGCGGTCAGCAGCGTGTGAAAAACATGGTAAAACACACAGACACACACACGCACACATAAGAGGAAAAGATAGTATTCATATTTAAATGGGTTGAGTTTTGCTTTTCGTTATTATCAATCATAAATGCTATATTTAATATTATTACACTTGCGGTCTCGTTTGAACGATGTAAACTTTACCATCCTTGACGCAACCTTCGATATCTTGCGCGCACCCTAATGCCTTTTCGATTGCTATACCAGCCTCCGTGATTTTACTCATGATTTGATCCGCAGTACCTCGGTCGTTCCAGACCATTTCGTCTTTTGAATAGTCCACGTGCGTGACGGTTTCAACTTCGGTCGTGACTGATTCGTACAAGCCAGCGCCAGCGTAACCTTCTAAATCTTCGCCGTTTGAATCGGATCGAAAAATTAAGGTTCCTTTTGGAACGCTCAATGCGACATTTTTAGACGGGAAACCGGTAATCACTGGAGGCGAGTTTGCGCGCTTGTCCGCTTTGAAACTCAACGCTCTTCCCGGGTAGTTACCGACTAAAGTTTCGCCTAAACCTTTAACGATCTCGGCGTATAATTCATTCTCGTCGTTGTTCGCCGGCGAGGTCGTGTGCACGACAAACGCGTAGTCGGCATCAATTACCGGTTGAACCAAAACAGCCATTTGCAAATTCTTGTGCGTCAAGCCGCGATTACGCACGGAAACGTATGCTCTCTCGTTCCATTTGCTCGCCCAAACGGAGACTAGAGCCTTCCAGGCTTTGTCCCATTGTTCGTCGGTTTCCGGCGGTATCATTTCACCTGCTTTCATCACGCGAGAGAGTTCCTCGCGGGCATCTATTGGGGGGGTTAAACTTTTCACGCATGATCGCACGCGGTTCAAAGTGTCTTCCAAACTATCGCCAGAACTATCGTCAATTTGATCGATGAGTCTTACGAACTGCGCTTTTTTATCTTTATTTATCGGATCCTCCAAAACGTGATCGAACGTGCCGAATGGTATGGCAATCGATCGCGGCAAATTGATCCAAGATGGAAGGTCGGAACTTTCTAGACTTTCGCGCAACGTTCGCGTGTTTCGCGATTTCGCACCAACGACGTGCTCTCTGAAGTCATCTAAGCTCACACCAAACTCACCACAAAACGGTTTCTTTTCCAAATCGATCTTAGCTTTCGATGTTGATGATACCGACGATGTCGCACCAACACCAAACCACGCTTGCGTGCTCGGATCTTCTTCCAGCTTCATCTTCGTCGCCTTGGCAATCTCCGCTTCCGAGGCGTGTTCAATCTTAACGGAGGAGTCTGATCCGATGGATTTTGTTGACGCGAACTCGTTCACAACCTCGCACAAAGAATCTAGGACGGACAAGTCGTGGCAGGTAGCGAACAAAACACCCGAGTTTCGCGCGCGAACGGCCGAGTGGGACAAGACGTCTACGGAACTTGGCGTGAGTAAAGCAACCGCACCTAAAGGAATTTCTTCGTCGCCTCCAACTTTATCGCAGACTAAAATGGTCGGTTCGCGGAAGCTTTCATTCATGATTTCACGCAGCGTAGGGTAAAATTCAACTCGACCGCAGACCTTCTCTTCTTTTGGCGAGATTATACTCCACGCACCCAAGTTTGCTTCTTGTCGTAACATCTTGTCCAATCTAGTCAACGCTAAAGATAAACCAAACGCCGGTCCACCTCGAATAACTTCTTCGCTAAAGTGCGTTATGGTCCATTGCTCGCATTTACACGCGTCGCCAATACTTTCCGCGGTGAGCTGCATAGATGAGTTGATGGAATCCCCGTACGCAGCGACGGCCATTCGCGCGCGATCCACCGTGGCTTTGGCGCGCAACGCCCAAAAGTACTTTGTCTTTTCATCTCCACTCGATTCGTGTCGAGAACTGATCACGCGGCGCATTTCGACCAAACTTAAAGCTAAATCTTCGCAAGACGTCGGTAATGATAAACATAAATCTTCCAACGCTAACGCGGAGAATTCTAAGGCTTCACCAATATCTTTCGGCAACTCCGCTCTTTGCACCGCTCTCGAAGATACCCCGCCCAACGCCAAGTCCAAGTATAACAACTCCCTAACTTTCTCGTGATCGTGATTGTGCGTGCCCTGCTTCAACCCAGCGTTACGAACTTCGTGACGCGCTTGAATAGTCGCCTCTAACAGGGCTATTTCGTTACCAACTTTGTCGGTGAATTGTCTGCAATACTGCAGAGCTTGCGACAAGCCGAGATAATTTCTTTGGCTACAGCACACCTCGATGGAAAGCTTCAAATCTGCCCCAGAATGCACTGCTTTTAAGATAATCAAGTAGTTCTCGAAATCTCTGATGAGGTCCTGCGCGATGTGAGGTCTCGGCGTAGGTTCTGCTTTAATTGGTCGTTCGTATGATTCCATAATTTGACGCGTAACGCCGCCTTGGGTGAGCGTCTTCCAGTAGGCGTTCAAGTCGCTGTTACCGCGCAAAAACGCGAGATAGGCTTCGCAAATGACAATATCGTCAGGGGACGTGTTGTTGTGTAATTTTTGATGCCACTCTTCGAGAAAGACTCCGGAGACTTCTTTGATGTCGTTTCTGTGCATAATGTTCAAAATTTCATCGCGCACGGCTTGTCCAGTACCCGCGTCTCCGCCGCGTCCGACGGTTTCGAGGCACATGCGCGCAATATCTCTCAATTCTGGTCGCTCACAAAACAATTCCGCTAACTTATACGTCAGCTTTTGCTGAGAAGAGGACAATTCTCTCGGTTTCACGTTATAATTTCTTTGCCAAGTCAATTGTCGCAACTGCGAAAATCGAAGCCAGACGAAAACTTTCGCTATGCGAACGAGCGCTTTGGACGGATCGATTTCTTCCGCGCCAATCTTCTCGTGCAACAACTGATACGCGAGATTATATCGATGCATTAAACTCCACCAGTTTCCCCCGGCTTCGGCGCGGATAATTTGCGTCGTTAACTCATCCGTGGGCTTCGCGTTTCGTCCTCCCGCGCCTTGTAACAACGCGTTGAAATTTTGGTTCCCGTTTGTGGTGTCTTTGAACCAGTTTCCGAATTCATCCCGCAATACGAAGTGCACGCCCATCAACTCACTCTCGGTAGCTGAATCGCTATCCGGGAGGTAAATGGACAAGTTCTGCATTTGGCGACACTCTTGTTCAATCGGTTGCGTTTGTTGTTCGCCGGCGATAGCGCTAGAGGAGCTCGGAGAAGAAGCGCTCTTCGCTGAACTTTGGACAGCTTTCGTGGTGACCAAGTCCACCAAGCATCCTTCGCCGGCGTCTTTTAACTGCGTCTCCGCGGACATGTGACTGACAACGTTCGTTTTTTCCGGCATCGTCGATTCGGGCGGTAAAATCCACTGCCCCGGTTCGTCTCTAGCAACGCCCCAGTGCAAAGTTAACGGTTCCGGATAGTCCGTCACGAACTTGACTCTTCGATTTGTTTTTCGGCTTCTCTCACCGGACATTGCGGCCGAGTCTGTCTCCGAGCGTTCAAAAACCTGAACGAGCAATTCGTACCCTTCACCGATTGGGTACAACTTACTCGAACACACCAAATTTTTCTCATCCGAAACGGATTGTCCGTCCGATTGTCGTCGCCAGCGTCGCATGAAGGACTTCGCCGCCCCGGAGGAGGTCGTAGAAGAGTCTTCGCTCTTTTCAACCGACGCGTCTTCGTCGCTGGACGCGTTGCTGCTTTTAGGAATCAAATCGTAAATAAAAGATGAATCGAAAGCTCTTCTGACTGGATCGATGTTTTGATGATGCTGTTCAACGACAACAACTGGTTGCGGCTCGGCGACGAGTGTTGGCTGTTCATCTTTTTCTTCTTCTTGATTTACCTCCTCTTGAACTTTCTCTTCGAATTCATATTCAACAACTGGAGAAGACGCTTCGGCGGTAATATTCGTCGCAGCAACCTCTTCCTCTTCCTCTCGAACAGATTCTTCAGTAAATGCATCCGTTTCGTCGAACGAATCAAACGACCCGGATCCAAAAGCAAACTCTTGATCGCCAATCGGACGCGCCGTCGAGTTTGCAATTCTCGCGTTCACGATGTCCGCCGGCCTCACGAACTGTTGCTGTTGTTGCTGTTGTTGCTGTTGTTGTTGTTGCTGTTGTTGTTGCTGCTGCTGTTGCTGCTGCTGTTGCTGCTGTTGCTGCTGCTGTTGCTGCTGCTGCGACACCCCCATCGCCGCCGCTCGGCGCATCATCTCCTCCCTCTCTCTTTTATACTCCTCCACCTCCCTCGGTAACTTCATCGGCGCGTCGTCTTCCCCGTTATTCACCGTCATCACGTTAAACTTCCTTCGTATTTCATTCAAAGGCGTCCCTTCTACCAATTCGACTCTCAAATCGTCCAACGCTCGAGCGAACTCCGCCGCTTGCCACTCCGCCGGCATGCCTTCTGGTTTCCCGGCTTCTTCCCATCGAACGTACGCGCGAATTTGAACCAACTCCAGCGGCACATCGATTAAATCCAACGGCGAATCTGTCGCGGAAGAATACTTCCCGTACGACGCCGATGATGACGACGAGGATCTTTGTGTTTGCTGTTGCTGTTGTTGCTGTTGTTGTTGAGAAGAAGAAGAAGAAGAAGAAGAAGAAGAAGAAGAAGACGCGTCCTCGTTTATAACTCTCGTTCGATGATGATGATGATGATGATTTCGTTGACATCTTTTCCCGCCGACGAAAACAAAGTTCTTCTTCCTCCCTGAACAACTGGAACTGCGCGACGTCATTAATAACGACTGCATCTGCATCATCTCGCGACTCCTCCTCAAAACGAAGAATATATTCTTCTCTCAAAGCTTTCCTTCGCCTTCTCTTTTGGTGGTTCGTCGTCTGATTCGAAAGCGGTAATGTTGTTCTCTGTTGTGTGATCGCTTTCGTGTGAAAAGCTTTTTTAGTCGAAAAGAGACAAAAATATCTTTTTGAAAAAAAAGAGAATTGTTGGACGACCATGGAAAATTTCGATGATCGAGAGATTTTGTTTGTTTGTGTGTTTGTTTGTTTTATGAAAAAGATGTTTGACTTTGATGGAAAAAGTGTCTGTCCGTCGAGTCTAATAAAAACCTTTTAATAAAGAGTTCGTTATTTCATCAAAAGGTGTGCGCACTTTACACACACACTGATATAAAAGCATATTAAAAGCAAAACAGAACGCGAGACGAATTCTATAATAACTATATATATATATATAACCGAGAAGAAATGGAGGATGCAGAGAAGAGAGAACTTCCTTCGTACTCGCGAGCGGAAGTTTCGAAACATAACTCGCACGAATCGAATTGGATCGTCGTGGACGATTTCGTCTACGACGTGACAAAATTCGCAAAGTTTCATCCGGGCGGGAAACAGTTCATCGATCGCGTCGCCGGCTCGGATTCCACGAACGCGTTTTATAAGTATCACCGACGGGATGTCTTAGAGACCGTGGCGAAGAAGTTTCGAATCGGATGCATCAGAGAAGAAGAAAGAAGGAAAGGGAAAGAGAGAACTTTGGAGAAGAAAAAAGGCGACTTGGAGTTGGTGCCGTACGCGGAGCCGGCGGCGTTCGCGCCGTCGGTCTCGGGCAAACCCACGAGTTTGTATTACAACGAAACGCACGTGAAGTTTCGGAAAGCGTGCAGGTTGTTTTTTGATACGCACGTCGCGCCTACGTGCGTCAAAGCGGACGAGAATGGTGAACATCCGACGAAAGAAGTGTACGAGTTGCTCGGTAAAAACGGTTTGCTCGTCGCGCGGATGCCGAAAGGACCGTGGATGCGCGACGTCGTTGAAAACTGCGGCGTAGAGTTGTTAGGCGGAGTACACGTGAACGAGTTCGATTCGTTTCACGAGCTGATTGCGCACGAAGAGACGTGCCGGTTAGGCGTGCCTGGGTACGTCGATGGCTTAGGCGCTGGACTCGTCATCGGCCTTCCGCCGGTGTTGCAGTTTGGGAGACCGGACGTCGCCAGGACAGTCGGGAGGGAGGTTTTGTTAGGAAAGAAGAGGATATGCTTGGCGATTTCGGAACCGGCGGCTGGCTCTGACGTCGCCGGTTTACAAACCATCGCGACGAAAGATCCGTCGACTGGGGATTATATCGTCAACGGCGTCAAGAAGTGGATCACGAACGGACAATTTTCTGATTATTTCACCACCGCGGTGAAAATGCAAGACGGGACGTTTTCGTTGTTGCTCATAGATCGAGCGTGGGGCGGCGTGGACACAAAACCGATTAAAACGTCGTATTCACCGTCAGCGGGGACCGCATACGTGACGTACGAAAACGTTCGCGTGCCCAAGGAATATTTACTCGGGAAAGAAGGGAAAGGTTTCATGTACGTCATGTTCAATTTCAATCACGAGAGATGGTATATCGTCGCCGGCACAAACGCTGCGAATAGATTGGTTTTAGCCGAGTGTTTCAAATGGGCCAACCAACGCATCGTGTTCGGGAAGAAGTTGATCGAACAGCCGGTGATTCGAGGGAAATTGGCCATCATGGCCGCGCAGATTGAAGCAGTGCAGGCGTGGACGGAACAAATCACGCACCAAATGAACGTCTTGTCGCACGAAGAACAATCCGTAGTGTTGGCGGGTCCCATAGCGCTTCTGAAATTCTTTTGCACGCGCGTGGCGAATTTGGTCTCGGACGAGGCGTGCCAAATCTTTGGCGGACGCGCGATTACGAGAACTGGGATGGGACGCATCATCGAAGCGTTTCAGAAATCCAATAAGTTCGCGGCTATTCTAGGTGGCTCGGAGGAGATTATGGCTGATTTAGGTATAAGGCAAGCCATGAAACACATGCCGAACGCGCGATTGTAATAAATAAATATTAACTTCTCTCTTCTAAGTTTCTAATTGTTTCTCGTTTTTGAACAAATCAGCGCGGACCTCGCGCGACGACTTTGTTTTGCTCGACTACAAACAGCTCCTCTTCTTCCTCGCCCTCCATTTTAATCGCAGAGCGAGACGAAATGTTGCTTCTCGTTTCGTCGTCGTCGTCGTTCTCAATCGGAGCTAACACTGTAGACACTCGTTCTCCTTCGACTCTATCCGGGTACTCGACGACGTAGTGTAACCCGCGACTTTCTTTCCTCTTCAAAGCCGATCGTAAAACTAAAGTGCCAACCGCTAATAAATTCTTCGCCTCAACTAGAGCTAAAGTAACCGTACCGTCGTCGTTGCCACTATTCAGCAACGCCGCTTCTTCCTCTTCATCGTCAATCAAACGTTGCAACGCTTTGAATTTGACCAAAGTTTCGCGCATGTCCTCCGTTCGTCGAACGATGCCGCACGCGCGCCACATGGAGAGTTGCACTTCTTTTCTCAAACTTTGCGCAAACGCGTCGCCAGATAAGAAGTCCTTCTTGACCATTTGACCGCGACGTTTGTTCGATTTCGTTTTGCGCGAGGAATTGAAAACATCGTAGTTGCATTTCAAATAGTCGTCCTCGTCCACAATATCCTCGAATTCATCTTCCAACAACTGCTTCAAACTTTCTTTTGATTTTCGCGTGGCAGTTTTAACCGCGCGTCGCGCAAATACGACGCCTTCGAGAAGCGAGTTCGAAGCTAAGCGGTTGGCACCGTGCACGCCCGTGCACGCGACTTCGCCACACGCGAACAAGCCCGAAAGACTCGTCTCGCCGTCTATGTTCGTCTTGACGCCGCCGCAGAGGTAATGTGCGGCTGGTCTCACTGGAATTCTTTGTTTCGTCATGTCCAAGTTGCGTTTTTTCAATTCTTTATAAATGCCGGGAAAATTTTTTGCGACGTCCTCGGCGTCTTTTTTCGTGATGTCGAGATAGACGCACGGCGAGTTATTTTTGCGCATCTCCGCGTGAATAGCTCGCGCGACGACATCTCTGGGCGCGAGTTCGTTTCGAATGTCGTAGTTCGGCATGAACCTCTCGCCGCGTTCGAAGTGCGTCCATAACTCGCCGCCGTGACCGCGAACGGCTTCCGTGATCAAAAATGCGTTTTCATTCTCGTCGAGTTTCTTCGCCGGCGATTTCGAGCTGTCGTTATCGGCGTACAAAGCGGTCGGGTGAAACTGCACAAACTCAAGATTTTCACACACGACGTTCGCGCGAGCAGCCATGCCGATACCGTCGCCGGTACACACGACCGGATTCGTCGTGGAAGGGAAGAGTTGACCCGCACCTCCGCACGCCAAAAGGGTAGTGGAGGCGTAAAAGCGCACAATTTTTGATGCTTCTTCTTGATGTGAGTCGTCGTCGTTTTTGCCGCCGCTCGAAACGGCAACGGCGCCAACGCATCGTCTCTCCGTGTTAGAAGAGGAGGAGGAAGAAGTCATCAAATCTACGCAAGCGTGATGTTCGTAAAACGTCACGTTTGGATGCTTTCTCGTCGCTTCCACCAACGCTCTCTCAACCTCTTTCCCCGTCATATCGTCGCAGTGCACAATCCTCGGTTTCCCGTGTCCTCCTTCGCGGCACAAGTGTAACCCTTGATACGCTCCCGTTTGAATATTTTGTTCTTCTTCTTTTTCTTTTTCTTTATTCTTCTCCTCCAGCTCCTCCGCCTTGGTAAACCTCGTCCCAATCTCCACCAACTTTTCAATCGCAGACTTCCCGTCCGCGCACAACGCTCTCACCGCTTTCTCGTCGCACAAATAATCCCCAGCCACGACGGTATCGTTCACGTGTTCATCGATCGTATCTAAATGCGAAATAACCGCGCTAATCCCGCCTTGCGCGTACGCCGTCGACGCTTCGTGCGCGACGGATTTCGTCACCACGGCGACTTTCCCGTGCTCCGCCGCTTCCAACGCGTACGATAACCCGGCGATGCCAGAGCCAATCACCTGTCACATAATGAGGAGTTTCGAGAGAAACAGAGAGAGAAGATTTGTGAGTTATGAAAGCGTGACGAGTGCAAAAAGAAATGAACACTCAGTCGTCGTCTCTTTCGTCTTCTTCTTCTCCTTCGCGGAAGAATCAGATCAGAGAGGAAAAAACGCTTTAGTGAGACGATAACGCAGAGAAGACGAAGATTTGCTACGCGAAGACAGGTACGCGTTTACTCCTCGACGACGACAGGTAAAGAAGAACGGACGGTGTTTTGTCGTCCTCTGCTTAAAGTTCTTCTTCTTTTCGTCGTCGTACACCTCTCTTCTAAAAGACGCAGTAAATACTCCGCTTACTATAAAACGTACCAAGAAATCCGTCTCGACGATCGTCGCCGCCGATCTGTTGTCGTCCTCGCGGTCTTTGGACGTCATCGTCCTCTTGATAGTCTTCTTCGTGATCTTTTCTGTCTCGCCGTTGTCGTCGCTCTCGTCCATCGACCTGGGTTCGAGCACGCACGGTTCAAGAATCGCTCTCAAAGGCTCGCGCCCTTTTTTACGACGACGAGGACTTCTGTTCGTACTTTCGGGAGACGAAGACGACGATGATGAAGACGACGAACACGAGGCGATTACGCTTCTTCCCAAACGGGATGAAGAATGCTTCGTCGCAATCGAAGCTTTTTTCTTTCGAGAAGACAAAGAGGAAGAAGAACTCGAGCACGCCGACGAGTGAGAGGACAACACGCGAAGCGCATTTGCTAATGCCATCGCCGTGATTCTTACACCACGTAATACTATAAACTCTCTCTGCTGCTAATAATAATAATAATACTAACGTGTTGCTAAGAAGCGAGAGAGAGCTTATAAGTGACGGGAACTCTGTCAAAACTCTCTCTTCTCTCTTTGTGTTTTATAAGAGAGCAAGTCAAAAAGAGAGAGAGCTCCTTCTCTGCCCAAAAAAGTTCGACTGTCTTTCTCTTCTGTGTCTGTGTGTGAGTTTCTCAGAAATGAATAGCAGAAGCTCCTCGTTTTAGACAAAAAAAGCGTTACGAGAAAAAGTCTCTCGTTATTAAAAATAAAGTCTCCAATCAAAATCTCTCTCTCATCATCATCACATCTCTCTCTTTCGAAAGTTTTTTCGTGCGCGCGAGGATGAGGAGGAACACTACTTCTGCGATTTCGTCGTCTTTGCGTGAAGCGCCTCTTCTTTTTCCTCGCTTTGACAGGTGGGGGTTATTGAGTGGAGGAAAAACGAGTTTTGTCGTTGCCTCGTCGTCGTTGAAATCATCATCGTTCGCGAATTATTATTCTCATCATCATCATCGTCGGTCTGTTGTTGTTGTTGCGAAGAAGAGATTTACGACGACGACGACAACGAGAAGAGGAGGCTTTGATGAACAGTGGTTACGAGAAAGGTGGACGGTGGCATACGCGGTGGCCGTTCGAGACGCTTTTCAGGCGAAGACGTCTAAATGCGAAGAGGAGCCGGCGCTGAGAGCGGTTTTGGAAGTGAAAGAGGCGTTGGAAAAAGAAACGAAGAAAGAAGAGATGAAGTTTAAAGCGATTACGTTTGCGCTGTCGTCTCTCGCCAGTCGAGAGATGTTGATGGCGGAACTGAATATCGCGCAGAACGAGGACGAAGTGACGAGAGTGTTGAACTTGGCGAAGAGACTGGCGGATGCGGGAGCGTCGTCTGCGCACTTCGCGAGGGCGTTGGCGTTTGAGGTGTTGAAAGCGAACGTTCCGGCGCGAGCGGTGGAAAAATCATTAATCGGAGAGAAGTTGATGCGGCCGGAGGTACGGAGGTACGAGAACGATATTTTGTGGTCGATTACGGTTCCGAGCGAAAAGATAGTCTTGAGCAGGGAAGAGATTCGGAACGAAATGCATCGGAAAGGTTACGTAGTTATCGACGGCGTGCTCGGCGAGAAAAACTCAAAGATTTGCGAAGAAGCGGCGATGAAATTTTACGAAAGCGATCCGGGAACAAGAAAATTCAAATCGGGAGAGCTCGCGTATGAGGAGAAAAACGACGCAACGACGCAAAAGAAAGAAGGAAAGTATCGCGACGACGAAATCGCTTGGTTGACTGGAGACGAACGCCCGGTAGCTTTGGGCGCGCTCAGTCAATTTCTTCGCGACACGCTCGGTGACATTCTCTGCAACGTCTTCAACGAAAAGAAGGATGGAAGTAATAAACATCTTCTTCTCTCTCCGACAGATTACCATTCAAATGTCATGCTCTCCGTCTATTCGTCCAATCGTGGCGGTTTCGTGAAGCATTTAGATCACGACGACGCGAGCGACCCTCGTAAAATTAGCGCGGTGTACTATCTCAACTCTCAATGGAACGAAAACGAAAATCGCGGCGCTTTACTCTTGTACCCGGAAGGAGGAGAGGATTCGACCCCCGTTCGCGTGAACCCGATTCGAGACCGGTTAGTGCTCTTTTGGTCCGATACGATGTACCACGCGGTTGAACCGAGCGAGAGAAGAAAACGCTTCGCTTGTTCCTTTTGGTACTTGTAGCGTATAGTCGTTTCGTCGCATAGAGTCGTCGTGTATAGTCGTAGAATGTAGAAAGGAGTCTCTTCGTCGCATAGAGTCGTAGAAAGTAGAAAGGAGTTTCTAGAAATAGCAAAAGCGCACGCGGCGCTTCTTCAAAGCGAGTCATAAATATCGTCTCCATTCCTCGTATTCGTCGTATTATTTTCTTTCTTTCTTTCTTTGTTGTGTTTTCGTGTGTGAAAAACCTCACACAAAGCCGCCGCTCTCGAGAACGAAAAATGCGCGCGACTTCTTTGCTCTCGCTGCTCAGACGAGGACGAGGAACGACAGGGGGACGACCGTTAGTACCGTTTTTAATAAAACGTGCGAATAACGCTGCCTTCTTCTTTCGTGGTGATGATGATACTACCGATAAAGTGAACGCGAGGAAGACGATCGATTTTCGATCCAATTTCTCCTCCTCGAGCGGGATGCGTTTTGCGGCGAAGAATGACAACGAGAACGACGACGAGAATCCTATGAATACTCCTAAGAATACTACCGCCATCAAAGAAAACGCAGCCGACGAGGAAGCTTTACCGTCGCCTTTACAGCGCGCACCGATGAAGAAGAACCAGTTAAACGAGCAAACGTCTTCTTCTTCTTCTGTTTTATCGGATCAACTCGGGAATCTGAAACTCCACCCATCGGTGACTCGAGAAGGGAAAGAAAAATCCGAGGAAATATTCTACGCTTTGAAGAAGAACGCGAAAGGGTCGACGAAAAGGTTCCAAGCGTTTCTGAAAATTTTAAGAGGCGGGATAACCGTGGAAGAGGCGTTGATTCAGTGCAAATTGTCGCCGAAGAAGAAAGTGGCGAACGAGTTGTACCAGATTATTAATTCGGCAAAGTTTAACGCGATAGTCGGTCTCGGGAGAGAACCGGAGGACGGGTACGTGGACGCGAATTGCGTGATTTCGAAAGCGACGGCGACGAAAGGACAGTATTTGAAAAGGATGTACGTGAAAGCGAAAGGGCAGGCTGGGACTATGCACCGAGCGAGAACACATATTCGAGTGGAAGTGAAAGAACAGGAGGCGGGGAAGAGGATGCGGGTGTTTGACCCAAACGATGAGGAAAGGGCGAAGGTTGGACAGGAAGGGAAGAACGCGCCGCCGTTTGAACCGCCGTGGATCACGCGGAGGAAATTGGGCGAGAAGCGGTACAGGATGGCAAAAGAAGGCGGGATCCTTTAGCATTTAGTAGTAGTTGTAGTAGTAGTAATAGTAGTAGTACAGGTACCGGTAGTAGTAGTTATACACAACGCTTTAAGAGCCTATTATAACTTTAGTTTCGTTTGTTCTACGTCGAAGAAGAACTCTCGTCTATTTACTCAGCAGCGCCGCTTTCCTGGCTTTCATAAACGAACTCCCTCCGTTCAACTCTCTCAGAATAACCGTCGCTCTTTTCTCCGCCACCTCCTCGATCGCGCTCTCGTGCGCAATCATCTCCAAGTTCTCCTTGACCGATTTAAACGCCTTCCCGGTATCCATCCCCATCATCGACATCTGTCTCATCTGTTGCGTGTCGTTCAACGTGTTGTTCCCTAGAACTAAACCGAACACCCCACCGAGGCCGAAAAAATTCAAAAAGTACCACGACAAAGACGACACGTACGTCACGTCTAAACTCTGCAAATCTATCCCGCGTTGTAACATCGATCGAAACCTTTGCGTCAACGGAAACGGCACTTTCCCGACCACGAACCCAGTGAAGAAGAAATTCACCCACGCCATGGTGAGCATGTTCGGAACGATCATGTTCAAATTCTTCGTCAACATTTCGCTCAACATCGACGGATCCGAGAGCATTTGTTGCTGCACGTTGCTCTTCTTGCTCTCTTGACTGAACACGCCGACGGTTTCGTTGCAGAAATACTCTCTCCGTTTCTCGAATCCTTTCTCGCTTAAATACCCACAGTTTTGCGCAATCCTCGTCGCTCTCACGACCGCTTGCGCTTCTTTTAACCCGTCGTGGTCGATTTTCTTCCCCGACGATGATCCTTGCCCGAAGATTTTCGAAACGTTGTGCCGAATGACCCCGACGAAGAACATCGCGATCGTGATGGGAAGCAACACGTACAGTCGGATTTGCGGGTCCAAATGGAGCAACGCGTCGTGTGATGTTAACGCTCCCGTTCCTCCTGCTCCTGGTACTCCTCCTGATAAAGATGACGACGACATTGCTCTCGAACTCTCTCCGTAGTAATACTCGTTCTGTGTATCTAACTCATGAGTTGTGAGGAAAAATGGAAGTCACGTCTCTCGTTTTTCCCCAGACTTTTCTCAAGTGAAGAAGACGAATACTAACGAGATGATATCGATTTTGCACGACGACTTTGTTGTTGCAAAAAGAAGACACAGAAGAATATTTGCCGCTTTCCTCGCTCGTTTTTAGTAAAGCTTCTTCGTCCTCGTCGTCGTCATCGGTATCAACAACAACAACGACGACGACAACACATTCTTGAACGAAATGATGAATAACGACGAGAAAGACGAGAGGAAAAACTTCTTCCTCTCCGAAAACTTCTCCGCGTTGGACGCGCTGAATTCAGATGATACGCACGATGATGATGACGATGATTACGAGTACCCAATTTTTGATCACATCGGCAAGTGTCGCTTCATGTTACCGCGCACGCATCCGGATTTTTTGGATTCAGAGATGAAAAATCAACTCCCGAGGCAAAGCGAGGAAAGCAAACGAAAACAGGAAGCGTTGAAAGCGCGAGCGATGCGACTGAGAGACGCGGAGAAAAAATTCGCGCAGAGAGAGCACGCGGTAGAAGTCATCGCCAGTCGGTTTAAAGGAGGAGGACCGTTGTCCTTGCTTTACCGAGCGTTACACGAAAAGAAGCGGGTGAAAATAGTGACCAGGAACGAGCGAGGCGTGAGAGGGTGCATGGAGTGTAACATATCGGCGTTCGATAAGTACTTTAATTTTGTGGCGCACGATATCGAGGAGAGGTATTCGGTGCGGGTGAGGAAGGAGAAGGAATACGTAAACGGTAAAGGGGAGACGAAAACGAGGAGGAGAAGAGTCATCGAACAGAGAGAGAGGAAAGTGAGTCAGATGTTTTTGCGAGGAGAGAGCGTGGTGCTCGTCGCGCTGGCGGAAGACAAAGAATACAAAGAAGAGGAAGAAGAAGATATAGACGCCGAAGACGATGAAGGAATAGCCGATGGCGAGGAGGAAGACGTAGCCTTGGGATAGAAATAGTTCTCGTCATTGTAACACTACAACCTAGGATTAAATACAATAGATAGCGCTAAGAAAGAATAAAATTCACTTCAAATGTTCGCTCACACGTTACTATCGTTACTTTTCCCACCCCCCATTCTCGTTTTCGTGAAATACTTCATGGAACTCCGTCGTTCTGCATACTTATACTTTCGCGTACTCGAATGACTATTCGTGTCACTGCCACCGTCGTCAGCCTCCTCCTCTTCATTCTTTCTCTGCTCTTCCTCTTCGCGCTCGGATTTATCCAACGCGTTTGCTATTTTATCGTACTCCGAGGGTTTGTATTTGGACACGCACACGAGAACGTACGTCGTGACGTGCGCGTAAGTTTTCACAAACTGCGTGAAGGTATACAAGCTCGGCGACGTGAGCGATTGCCTCCCCGACTTCGCTTCTTCTTCGTCCAACGCTCTCTCGAGCACATCCGAACGTAACTTAGCTCTCACGGCGCCATCGGTCATCGCGTTGAACAAAACCACGCACTCTTCGCTGTTGTGATTTTCAATCAGCGCCGTTTCGCTCATCGACGTGAGCGCTACGTTTAGTTGTTTCTGAACATCATCGATTAAATGTCGGTACTTTCGTACCAACTCCGTCGCCACCGATCCAGATTCCAACGGAAATAACATCGCAATCATCGCGTTGTATAACCGACTCAACCCCTGCGCTAACACCCGGTATTCTTGCCCGTTGAAGGTTTTCCCGATTTCTACTTCAGCGGCCGATATCAACCCTCCCACGCGACTCAATCGACTCATCGCGGATTGCTGCTTTTGACTGAGCGAGTCCTTCTCCAATCGTTCGAATAACGCGTCGTCGATGCCGTCTCCGTCGTCATCCGTATGCATGCTACCCTCGAACGAAAAATTCAAATAGACGTCAACGATGATACCCAACACGTCTCTAATTTCCTTCGCGGCTTCCGCCGCGTCCATCCTCGCTGCATCCGCGGCGTAAATCGGCGTCACCGTCCTCGCCACCGCTAAAGCAATAACCACCGCCATCACTACCGACAATACCCGCTCCAACGCGTTAATCACCGGTTCCTCCTTATAAAACCCTCCAACCCCGCACACGACAAACGTCAACTCGCACACGACGAACATGTACTCGTACTTCGCGCCAAACTTTTTCTTATAACATCTGCATACTAAGCTCACCAATGCGACGCTCGACGCGAGTATCGCACCAGATGCAACTTCACACAAATTAGTATCTTTTTTCCGAATTTCGTGCACCGAGACAATCATCGGCACCACGAGCGCGCCGCCGAGAACTGTACCCAGAATCCTTAAATAACTCTTTCGCATCATGCTTCCAATGTTCGAATCTATGAGAAAAAGGAGAGAGATATTCACCCACAAGGTGAACCCTTTATACCCGTCGTCCGAGTGGCCGGCGAAGGCGTGCATGATTGTCCCGAATAATAGCGCCACCGTCGCTTGCAGAGGTGGGCCGCGCGCGTGCGCTTTCGTGATCGAAAGGATTGAAAGAAAAGGATGATTCATTTTCTTCCACGGCGGGTTCATCTCATCACGTGTAACGAACTCACTTTGGGGGTCTCTTCAATTCAAAGCAAGAGTCGTGGTACTCACAGAGTGGTAGAGTAGTGCTCTCGTCACAGCAGACAAGAAAACCCCGCAAAATATGATTTCACGCGCTCAAAGTGTTTTCGGAGGTGCATTCGTTTTCACTCTTTCTCTGTGAGTGTACGTGTAAGTGCGCGAGTTGTAAATGCAAAGTGCGCTTTAAAAATGGAGTTATTCCATTGGGGGAAAATTCCTTCAAAAAACGACACGTAAAATACCTCATATAGGTGTTACTGTTGTTAGAAGAGATTTAGAAGAGCGATGAGATTCGCGCACGGGTGGCCGATCGAGAGAGACTCTCCTTTACTCTCTTTTTCCTCTTCTTTGTGTTTGTCTTCTTCTGCTTCTGAAGACGACCCCGAGGACGAACACGAACGACGACTTTTAGTAGATGATGATGAAACCAACGAGAAGCATCATCGACGAAAAGCAACGACGACAACAACAACAACAACATCGGAAGAGGAAGAAGAGAGGAGGAGAAGACGACAAAAAGCGAGAAAAGAAAAGAGTAAAAGTAAAAAGAAGAATATATACATCGTGTCGATATCTCTGGACCAAACCTCGCGGATGCTCGCGATCGTGACCTCGATTGGAGGCATCGAGTTGTGGGATTCCGGGCAAAATAGGACGTTGCTTTGCGCGAAGATGAAATCTTCTTCTTCTGCTGCTGCTTCGGAGTACGTGTGCGCGGAGTGGAAACCGAATTATTACGAAAGAGAGAACGGCGTAAAGGACGACGACGACGACGACGACGAGTCGATGTCGGCGTCGCACAAAGAGAGGACTTTGCTCGTGTTGACGCGAGCTGGGAACGTGCTGGTGTTTTTGGTCAGCGTAGGGAACGTGGAGGAGTTCGGTAGGAGTAGCGAGAATAATACTAGTAATAACAATTCAAACAACGCAGGAGGAGGAGGAGGAGGAGGCGGTTCGGAACAGAGATGCGGCACGATGCGGTCGGCGAGTTGCGTGTTGAAGAGGGCGATTAAGGTTAAAGTTGTTTCCAATCCTTCTTCGTCGTCGCCTTCGCACGATAGTAATAATAATAATTTAGCGCCGGAAGAAGAAGGTTTGGAGACATCATCCGCATCCGCATCGTCTGTTGCGACGACTTTTGCGTGCGCGAAAGATGGCCAAGGCGTTTTCTTCGGAACGAGTCGAGGCGGATTGGCGTACGCGGACGTTTTTCCGAAAGGCAAACTTTACGCGACGACGCATTCTTCCGATTTGGTTTTGAAAGAAATATTGGTAGCGAACGATGTCTGCGCCGCGCTCGCGCCGAAACATCATCGGAGAAGGACGAGCAGAATGAGTTACAGTCACAGTTTGGGTCATACTTCAGGCGACGAAGAGTACGAAGATGAGGACGACGAAAAACGAGCGGATTTCGAATTCGACGATAGATATTCCGACGAAGACGAAGAGGAATACATTCGAAGTATAAGTCCGAGAGAAGCAAGAAAAATAGCAACGGTAAATACCGAAGAAGAAGAAGAGGAAGAAGAAGAAAAAGAAGAGCGGCAACGCGATGCCGTGGTAAGTATACGAACGACTGCGGCGTATCGCGAGGAAACTTCGTGCGTGGTGGCGCTCGCGAGCGGGCGATGCGCAGTTGTCGCGTTTTCGCGAGAGGAAGAAAAAGAAACCACCACGGAAGTAATCTCGTGGTTAGGAGACGGAAATTGTTCCGCAATTGCCGCGCATAGCACAGATAACATTCAAAGAATAGCCGTAGGAACTGGCACAGGGGACGTGGATATTTTTTCGATAGTCACGTCACTCGCGGCTGCCTCAGCGAGGAGAAAGAAAAAAATTCGATTCGAGCGAAGGTTTAGGCATAGTAAAGAAGAAGAACGAGGGGATAGCGGCGTCTGCTCATTAGTTTGGACGAAATCTGGAGACGCGTTGGCGGTTGCGAATAGTGGCAAAGGCATGCCCTTGAGCGTGTGGTCTCGGGTAGGTACGAAATTGTATGCGCACGAATCGTCGTCATTGCTGGAGGAAGACGCTTCCACTAAATTCAACGCTAGATGTTTGTGTTGGAACGGTAACGCCTCGAGCTTCTACTCGGAGTTTTCTCTCTTCGACGTCGCGACTGTTACATCGTCATCATCATCTTCTTCTTTGAAAAGGAGTACGTTTCGGGAAATCTCGTTCGTCATTTCGCCACCGGATGCAAACGTGAGAGTACACCCTCGCAACAGTCGCATGTCGCGACAAAGATACACGTCTTTATCGAGAGAAGAACAGTTAGCGGCTTCGACGAAACCAACATCCGGCGTTCTTCTCGGCGCCGATCGCATCGTTTTCGTGGAAGACGATGACTCGGACGACTCGGATAAAGATGACGAGACGACCGCTGCGACACATTACGGAGAAGACGACGAGAGCGACGACGAATACGGCACCTCGACTCGCGACGGCGAACTTGTCGACGAGAATCAATACGATTCCGAAGCTGATCTTTTTGATAACTTTTCTTCGTCTTCGTCATCTTTAGATGTTATCGAAAAGCGCCGATTCAATGATGGCACGAATGGTATCACCGATGTCGCAAACAAGGCCGTGCTCTCTCCGTCTTCGAGACATCTTCAAAATAAACTCAAGAAACAAAAGCGACGAGAATATCGCGAAAAACTCAAGCGCAGGAAAGAGAAGCGAGAACGCGACGCTCGAATCTCTTCGAAGCCTCCGAAACCGCTTCGTTGTCGACACGAGCTACTTCCATCGGAATATATCGCGACGAGGTTTCCGGCTCGCAAAATCGCCATTTCGCCGGATGGATTAGACATCGCCGTCGCTGGATCGAGAGGATTCGTGACGTATTCGCTGACGAGGAAAAAATGGCGCATGTTTCGCGACGTCTCGAAAGAGAAAAGAATTCGCGTCACAAAAATGGCTTGGCTTACGCTGAGAGGAGATGCGTCCGGGGAGAACAAAGAAAATGAAGGCGTCGCGTTCAATGCGTTAGCTGTCGCGTGTTCTCGAACGGACGATCCGACAAAGCATGAACTGCGCGTATACGCGGCGGCGACGCAACCACTGGACGAGCAGTGTGAAATCGTAAAACCGCATTCACTCGGGGCTATTGCTCCGGTGGCGTTGGACGCGTGCGGCTCGCACGTCTTAGTCATATCACCACCGTGTGAGATTGCTTTGTTTGAAGTCCGTGTGAACGGTTTTGGAGGCGTGAACAGCAGTGAGATGACTTCAATCGGCGGGAGTTTCGTCTCTTCTCTTTTCGGCGGGTCGTTCTCGACGAGCGCGAAGAATACCGCAGCAGCTGCTATTAAAGCCGAACTTCGCGTCGCGAGAGACGTTTCCGGTCGACGCAGGGTTGCTAGTGGAGATGAATCGTTAGCCCCACCAATTGCCGCTGCTTTGTGGGTATCGAATCACGCCTACGAAAGTCCGAGAGCGATGCCGGCGCCTTCCATGTGCGCTTTGTTGCGACCGTGCGGGACCTTGAGTGTGTTGAAACTCTCCGGCCAAAACGCCGGGAAAGAAGTCAAAATTAAAACAAGTTCTTCCCAAAACAACGACAACAGCAACAAAGTCAGTACTAACATAACCGAGCGTTTCTGGTTAGCCGCGCGCTCGACGGATTTCACGGGGAACGGCGTTTTGCCCGAAGTCGACAACGCGTGGTGGACGTTTGGCGAGAACGGATTGGAGGCGAGACACGAAGATTGGGACGATTTATTTATGACCGTTCAAGAAGAAAACGACGACGATGACGAACACGATGATGATGATAATGACGGCTTCGATGCGCACGAATTTGACGAAGAGTATTCCGATTCGTTCCCGATATCTATAAACTTGGAACAGTTTCGAGCGATTTGTGCTACCAGACGTCTCCATCACGAACGTAGTTTTGGCGCCAGTGGCGGCAGGATAGACGTCAGCTCGGTTCAAAAATCCATATTACCGTTATTATTGAAGAAATCTCTCGCGAGGAGAGACGTTGGTGCGGCGAGAATATTAGCCAAGGAAGCGAGAAAACGTTCGAGACGATTGTTTTCGTACGCTTTGGAATGGTTGATTCACGACGCTCTCGAGCAAATACAAGGTGATGATTTCGACAACGAAGACGAAGACGAGGGCAACGAAGTCAGCGATGATGGCAACGATGAGGTATATTATAAATCTGTTAGCTATGACATTACCAAAAGAGAACTTCTCAAGCGATCGTTAAATCTCGCTCGCGAGTTTGAGGAGTTCCCAGACGTCGTCGTTTCTGTCGCGCGCAAAACCGATCAAGACATCTGGCCGAAACTGTTCAAATCGTGCGGCGTAAAAGCGTCTACTTTACTGAAAGCTGCCATCGACAGAGGTCGGTTACGCGTCGCTAGTCGCGGCTTAGTCGTCAGTTGCTACATGGACGGCGAAGAGAGTGGACGCGAATTAGCGTACGATATTTTAGACGCCGCGTTCGTCTTGAAAGACTTCGCGTTGATTGGAGAAGTCGTTCGGTTTTTATCGATTGGTTTTGATATGCTGGACAAAATCGATGCTACTAACGATGATGATGACGAGTTCGAGGAGGAGGAAAGAGGTGGTGGCTTCTTTTCCATGCTATTCGGAGGTGGTGGTGGTCAAAATGAAGATGGTACGAACAACGCCAACGGACTCACGCGAAGAGAAAAGAAGGAAGAGATTGAAATGCTAAGGAGAGAGCGGCTGATTTTAGAAAAAGCGTTGGAGCACAAACTCGATGAGATTGTTTTTGACGTCGACGCGCGTTCGTTGGGGGCATTTTACCGTCGCGTACCGAAAGAAGCGTTTGACGTGTACGACTATTTCGTGCGAGAGGCGGACGGCAAGTGTTCCTTTAACGTCGACGACGACGAGTATAACCAAGATTTTGACGATAAAACAAGCGTTTTATCTTCTCCACCAACGTCGCCGACGTACAGCGAAAGCAGCAGGAAGAGTCCCAGAGGGACAAGGAGGAGAAAGAAGAAAGAAGTGAAAACGAAAGCGCTCGGGTTCAGCGGCGCTTTGAAAAGAGCCGTGGACACTGCTTTATCCCAGAGACGATTGGGAGGAGGAGGAGGATCAATGTCGACGGGATCATCGTCTTCTCTTTTTGATAACAGAGATAACGACGACGATAACGACGAACGCTACGCGTTAGAGGTTGTCAAACGCTCGAAAAATCTCGAGTGGACGCTCGTCCTCGCCACTTTAGCCAGGGACAAGAAAACGCTTCTGGAACTCATCGACTTGAAAACATCCGACGTCATGTACAACGCCTGGAGGCAAGCCGTGGAATCTTGCATAGAAGACGACGCGGACAAAAACAACAATACCTCCGGTGGTAAACACTACTTTCGACGAGAGGACCAAAGAGAGGAAGACTCCTCTTCTTCCGAAGACGAAGACGGCGTCGGAAGCGAGAACAAAGAAGCGCGAAAGCACTCTTTAAAGTCTTACAAAAGAGCTTTCTTCGCGCAATTACTCGCGGACGTGCACACCGAGTCCATGAGGGAGCAGAAAAAGAAGCGCGGGTCGCAGTTAAACATCGTCATTCCAGACGCGCCCGAGTTCTAATTTACTACCACGGATTTGTTACTTTTTAGTATGTCTCTGTGTACCACCACCAAGCACCAACAAAAACAAAATTTTCTTCTTTCAACAAAAAACTACCTTTTTTTCATTTCTTTTCGTAATTCATTTTTTTCACAAAGCCGCGTCTCTCTCTGCTTTGCACTTGCAACGTCAAAAAGTCGACGCGCGAATCGCTCTTTCTAGATATCTTCTCAGAGAGAGAGCGCACGCTGCTAAAAGAACAGCGAATACGGAGAGTTTTTCTTTATCGCTGTCTCTCTTTGTGTGAGTACCGTGTGCTGCCCTCGACGAGAAGTACTCATATAATACTCTTTCTCGTTTCTCTGTTGTTCTCGTGCGACATCATTCGATTTGGGCCGCGTGTTCTGTGATTTGCGATTTCCAATCTCATCATCGCGAGCAGAGGAGAGAGTCTCTGGATAGAAACAAACGAAATTACTCTCAAAATGACAAAAAGGGGAAAAACCTCTCGCGGTCGTTCTCGAACGACGACGACACTAAATAGTCGCGGTGATGAAAGTCGTCGCAAAGGTTCGTCTTCTCTCGTAAAAGCCGTCGGTGGAATTCTCGCGTTGCACTCAATCTCGTCGTCGGTTTTTGTGCGCGCGTTCGACTTTAAATCGGAAAAGAACCAAGCGTCGTACGAGATGGAGGAAGAGAAGTTCGGCCCGTACGCGTTTCCGAACCATCACAAGATTCCGAACGAACGCGGGCCGTTCGGGGAATCCTCGAGTTTTAAAGAAGCCGTGCAAGCGTGCTTGGAGGAATCTCCAGTGCACGGGTTGTGTTACGACCAAAAATACGGCGCGATGAAAGATTGGGACGTCTCGGAAATAACCGATTTTAGTTGGGCCTTCAGCGGGTACACGCACGTGATCGAGAACAACGGGGAACCGACTGGACGAGCGAACTTTAACGCGGATATTTCCAACTGGAGACCGACGAAGGCGAAAAGAATGGATCACATGTTTTATTACGCCGTCGATTTCAACCAAGACATCTCCAAGTGGGGGTGGCGAGGCGGGATGGCGCACAAGCAACCACAACCCGGGATGTTTCAAGGCGCTATTGAGTTTCAAAGACGGTTTAACTGTCCGGACGCGATCGAAGGGCCGGTGCATCAGTGCCGAGAAAACGAAGGGTGGAAGCCGCAGGAGAGCTACATGAGGAAGGATGGCGGTTTGAGCGGCGATTTTCGCAAGTCGTCGGAGGGCGGCGACGGGGGCCTTTCTAAGCCGCGCCCGTTGTCCGGCGAGTTGGGCCACACCGAAATCTCGGACGAAGACGTGGAAGCGTTTTTGAAAGCCGAGGACAAAGGTATTCCGCTGTCCGAAATCTTGAAGATAAAGAAGTCTTTCGGAGGATCGTCCTCCTCAGGTAAGAGTTCTTCCTCGTCTCGAGAACAAGAAGAACTCGACGAAGAGAACGACGACGAGTTGAATCAAGAAATTGAAAGCTTGAAGTCCAAGGCGAAGAAGTACGTCACGTCTTCGAAATCGTTCGATCCGTCGTACGAGCCGCGGTACGAAACACCGAGCAAGTACAACCAAAACAAAGTGACCTCGAACAGTTTCAGTTCGTACGCGTCTTCGTTGGACGGCGTTGGTCTCGGTGAATCCGAGGGGACGACGCGCAAAGGCAGCGAGGATGTGGAAACGGTGAAAAACTCCAAATTCGAAGCGGAGAAGATGTTGTTGATGAAACAGTTATCCGATCTCGAGAACAAGAACAAGGATTTGGAGAGCAAGACCAAGGGCAGCAGTTCGTCTTCCGACGACGACGGAGAGGAAGAAGAAGATGTCTTGAAGACAGTCTTGGACAAGAAGCGCGCCGCTTCGTCCTCTTCATCTTCTCCTTCCTCGTCCTCTTCGTCCTCGAATGCGGACGAAAAGAAGAGTGGTGATAGCTCGGAGTTTGAATTGCTCAAAGCCATGAAGGCGAAACTTGATAGCGAAGTTCAAACGTTGAAATCTGAAATCTTTGACGTCAAAGACAGTCAACAAGACGAGGACAACTCTCTCAATGAAGACGGTCACAAGTATTTGGAGGAAGACAAAATTCGCAACGCCATCGGTAAGTGTTTGCAAGAAGCCGCCGTGGACGGCAAATGCACCAAGTATGGCGAAGAGTCCGGTTACGGCGAGATGCCGGATTGGGATGTTTCGCACATCACAAACATGGAAAAGCTCTTCTACAAGAAGTGGCACTTCAACGCTGATCTCTCGAAATGGGATACTTCGCACGTCACGAACATGAAGAAAATGTTCTACTACGCGTTTGAGTTTTCTCAAGACTTGTCCGATTGGCAAGGTGAAGCGGCGGAGAACGAGCAAGACAACATGTTTAACGGCGCCTCGAGATTCCAAGCGAACTTTGTTTGCAAAGACAAAGAGACTGGGCCGGTGAAAACGTGCATCTCGCTCGCCGCGAGCAAAGGTGAAGTCGAAAAGAAGGAAGAGGATACCACCAAGGAAGAACCCGAACAAGACGAGGAAGAAGAAAAAGAAGACAAGGTACCGGTGAAAACGTTGGTGTCCGAGGACGAGGAGGAAGAAGCTGCCGAAGAAGCGGAAGCGGAGATGCACAAGCACGACTTGGTGAAGCTCACCGACAAAACTTTGCACTCTGCCATCTCCAAGTGTTTGAAAGAGGATCCAGTCACTGGCAATTGCGACAAGTTCGCCGCGAGCTCTGGCTACGGCGTCATGTCGCACTGGGACACTTCTGAGGTCACGGACATGAAGAAGGCTTTTTACAAGCGCGAAGACTTTGACGGCGATATTTCTCAGTGGGATACCGGATCGGTTACGAACATGATGTACATGTTCTTCGGTGCGAAAAACTTTGACCATTTCATCGGCTCTTGGGATGTTTCCAACGTTGCGGACATGTCTTACATGTTTTATGATGCCAAAAGCTATAACAAAAACATGGATAAGTGGGACGTCGGGAAAGTCGTTTCAATGCAAAAGATGTTCTTCAACGCGAAAAGCTTCGATAAGCCGATTCACTTGACGTGGCAAGGTACCGCGGCGTCGACCAAGCAATTACACTTGCTCAAAGACGCCAAGGCGTTCAACGAGAAGTATTCCTGCGAAGATGAAACGGACGGTCCGTTGACTTCGTGCTCTGAGATTGGCGCCGCCGCCGGGAAGAAGACGGGATCTTCCAAGAAGGTTTCTAAGGAAGAAGAAACTTCCGCCCCGCACGCGGACAAGAACGTGGAAACGAAGGAGTACGACATTCAAGCGTTTGGCAAGTCCATGACGGCGAAATTGGAGTACGACGACGAGACTGGACAAGTGAAGGGTTGGATCATCGATGAAAACGCGGGCAAAGAAGCCATGCTCGGACAGCGCAAGCGAGGCACTTGGAGATTTTTCAAAGCCGCCGACCTTGGCATGGCTGCCTCGGGAGCCGAAAGCAACTTTAGAAGTTCGATCGTCTACCCATTGGCCGGTGCCTTTATCGTTTTTGCGGCCGTAGCTGCCTACCGCAAACAACAACAACGACAAGAAAAGTTGTTGGTAGCTGAAACGAAAGAAGACGATTTGGAGTCGCAAGGCGTCGCGAGTTCGGCGCGAAGAGGATCCAAGTACGGAACCTTGGCGTAAAAGAGAAAACTTTAACAAGATCAAATGACTATATAAACGACCATTTTCTTTGTAATTCTTAATTAACATTATTAAAACGAATATATTCGAACATATATACGTGCTCTTCCTACGCTCTTTTTCGTAATAGAGCTTTAATCCGTCGACTTACATGCCGATACCAGACTCGTGGACTCGATGACGATTTCTTCGATCATTCCCCTCCTATTCCCATACCGATGGACTCGGTGACGATTTGTTTAATCATCTCCTTCTTCTCCTTCATGGGACAATTAAATCTCTCCTCCAACTCTTTCCGAATCTTCTTGATGGATATCTCGTCCAAGTCTGCGCTTTGCAACATCGCGACGATAGCTTCTCTGATTTGCTGCTCCGTCGGTTGCGGATTCCCTACGACACTAGCGCTGACGTTGTTGTCCGTCGAAGGTATCGCTGCTGAAGGCGTAGGTTCCCTCTTCTCTGGCTCGGCTGCTACTGCTACTACTTCCTCCTCGCGTTTCTTCTCTGGCTCAGCTGGCTCTTCCGACGGCGCTTTCCTCGCCTTCTTCGCCGGCATCTTCTCTTCCTCCTCCTCTTCTTCTTCTTCTTCTTCTTCCTCCTCCTCTTCTTCTTCCTCCTCCTCTTCTTCTTCTTCTTCTTCCTCTTCTTCCTCCTCTTCCTCTTCTTCCTCGTCGTCGCGCTCAACCTTCTCGCCGGTCAACTTTTCAATCTTTTGCAACGCCGCTTCCAACTTCTTCTTCAAATCCGCGTTTTGTTTCTTCAACTTGGCGACTTCGTTCGAGACTGCTTTCGCTGGCTTGGCGGCTTTAGTCGCCGCTTTCTTCTTCTTCGCCTCCGTTTTCTTTCTCTTCTTCGTCGCCTTCGCGGCAACCTTCGCCTTCTTCTTCTCCTTCAACTCCACTTTACTCTGTCTCCCTTCCGTCGCCGCCGGTTTCTCCAAAAACTTCAAGATTCGTTCGATTTGCGCCTCCTTGGAGCCTTCCGCGCCGCTCCCTCTCGGCAAATCGAACATGTCCATGATTTGAAATCGCGGCTTTTGGAAGATTTTCTCCAACGCGACGACTTTCTTCTCTCGGTCTTTCACTTCGTCCTCGTAGACGAAACCGGAAAAGTCCAGAATATCTCGTTTCCGCGAGATTTCTTTCCCTGGCGTCTTGTACAAGAGCCGGTGGACGAGAACGAGGAGCTCGTCGTCTCTGTTTTCGCGAAAAGAAAGAGGAAGAGAAAGAGAAACAAAGAAAAAGAGGTCAGTTTAAAGTTAAAATTATCTTCCGTTGTTGTTATTTTCGCACGTACCGCTTCATCTTGTCCATCGCGAACTTCACGTTTTCAATCTCCCTCAATTTCACTCCTTTCCCGACCTGCTCTTTCTTCCTCTCCTCTCCTTTTTTCGTTGGGGATTGCAACACCGTCGCGGATAAAAACTCCGTCTTCTTCCTCTCGCGTTTCCCGGTTTTCAGTTCCGGTTCCTTGGCGGAGTTGTGCGAGGCTAACTCTTTCGCGATCGACTTCTTCGTCGTCGTCGTCGTCGTTGTGGTGGTGGTCGTCGAAGTTGGTTTCGTCGGTTCCGGAATTATTGTTGGAGCGATTGGTGGTGCGGTAGGTTTTTCCTCCTCCTTCTCTGCTCTCACTTCTGGTTCTCGTCGTTGCTCCGGCAACTTTTCAGCGGCAGCATCATCGGGCGCAGAAACCGTAGTATTCGTGGCTTCGGTATTCTCCTCCATCGTATGCTCTCTTCTTTATTATACGTGTACCTAGTCGTGAGTTTTGTGTTTGAAAAACTGTTTTCCAAAAGTGTCGAGTGTTTCGAATTTCTTTTAGGGTTTGAAAATTTTGAAAAGACAGCCCTTTTACTTTTTCTTTCTGAACTTCTTCATTTCGGTCTCTTCGGGTGTTGTTTGTGTTGTTGATGAAAAATGATGAAACCATCATCATCATCATCGAAGACGTTCAGAGTCGCTTTTAGCGCATCATCCCTCGCCGCCGCCGCTGGTGGTGGTGCTGCCGGAGCGAATTCAAACGGTGGTGGTGGTGGTAGTAATGGTGGTGGTTTTTTCCGGCAGATGAAAGAAATGTACGACGCGTACGCGAACCAATCGAAACAACTCGAGGAGATTCGTCGAGCGACGAACGTGTTGGAAAAACGGAGAGACGAGTTTGCTCGTTTGAAAGTGGAAAACGAGAAAAAGAGGGAACAATCGGTGGAGCTTTTGAAAGAAACCGTGGAGGGTTTACGGGTGCAATTCGAAACCTTGGAGAAGGAGAAAAGAGAGGTTGGGAAGGTGGTGGATGCGATCGGGAAAGGCGCGGAGAAGAAATTGAGAGAGAAATTGGAGAAAGAGGAGCATGCATTGGAGCAACGCGTGGATGAGATGTTAGAGAAAGAAGGGTTGTTTTTCGGAGGAGGAGAAGAGGAGGAGAAAAAGAAGAAACCTCCTCCTCGGTAGGAGATGGGGAGAGTACTCGTATGTGATGCGTAAACGCTCAGTATGCAGTAGTATTAGATTTGAAAATTTTAGCGAAGCGGATTCTCAACGGTTGAGAACGAGAGGCGAACGGGGGTTTTCATCGTCGTCGGCGTCGGCGAGAGTTCTTGGTTTCTTCGACGCGTGGAATGAGTGATCGTCTTCTCTGTCGTCTTCATTATCTTGCGACTCGAAATGATGATTGAGCGGTTGCAAGACTCTTCGAGCTCCGCCGGATTTCAAGAGCAGCGATGTATTTGTAGTAGTTGTTGTGGCTTTCACAGGAGTTGGCGTTGATGCTGTTGTAGTTGTATGTGTAGTAGTTGTAGCAGTAGCCACCATGGCGTTGTCGCTTTTGTTGTTGCTGTCTTTCATCTCTTCGAGTTTCCGAGTGAGATCTTTCACTTTGAGCTGCAACGCGGCGGCGGCTTTGAATTCGCTCGCGGCAGCCGCTTTGGATGCGGCAACTTTCATTTCGCACGTTGACGTGACCAGACGTTCTTTCTCTTCGAACGAGCGTTCTAACTCCGCGCGTTTAGCATCGAACGAAGCCTCTAAATTTGCCCGCTCCTTTGTGACGCGTTCCGTTTCCTCTTCTAAAGCTTTCAATTCGAGCGCGAGTTTCTCCTTGGCTACATTTTCCGCCGTTTGGACGCGTTCGTCCGTAGTCTCTCGCAACGTTTGCATCTCTAATTCCATCCTCTTCAAAGTATCAAACATGGTCTCTTTCTCCGCTTTCACAGCTTCTATCGCTAACGTTGTCTCTTCGTCCAATTTTACCTTCATCGCCGCAATCTCATCCGCCGATGCCTTTCTCGCTTTCGCAATCTCCTCCTCCATGGATTTTTGCATTTGAATCTTCTCTTGCATCATCTCCTCTTTCTGACGACCAAATTCCATCTCAGACGCTTTTAACTTATTCTCCGTCTCTGAAGCGAGGTCGTTTTGCTTCCCTAAAGCGTTCTGTAAACTGCTCTCGGAGTCTCTCAAAGCCGATTTCGATTTCTCCGCTTCCGCTTCCAAGACTTGCAACTTCTCTTTGAACGCGTCCAGCTCCTTGCCCTTCTCCAACATCTGGTCTTGCATTGTTTGGCTCGCTTCTCTTAACGTTTGACACTCCGTTTCCATCTCGTCTCTCTTCTTCGTCTCCTCCTCTAATCGTGCAAACATCTCCTCCATGACTTGTTTGTTTTCCGCAAACGTAGATTCCACTCGGACTTTTTCCTTTACCGCGTCGTCGGTGATTTTCTGCGATTCGATATACGCGCGCTCGGCTTCGCTTTTCGCATTCTCGGCTCGAAATTGGTTTGCTTCTGCGTCTACCGCGCGAAGTTCCGCGAGTTCGACTTTGCTTTCAACCTCTCGCAAGTTTTCCAAGAGGGCGATTTTCTCCTTCTCGAACCAGAGCTTCTGCTCCAACGCAGTCGAAGCGAGTTCGCTTTGTTCTACATTAACTGCGCGCATGCAATTTAATTCTTCCACCATTCTCGCGTATTCTCCTTTGGTATTGGATGAAGATGCTTCGGCTTCGGCTCTTTCTAATCCCTCGGTAACTCGCGCGAGTTCCATGCGCAATTTGACAACTTCCGGAGGGACGCTGACAATTTTGCGCAACTCCAATAACTCGCGGTCGACGTCGTCTTTGTCTATTCCGTGTTTTTTCAACGACGCTTCGCGAAGCTTTAGAACCATCTGCGTAGAGCTGATGTTTTGTTCTAAACGTTCGACGAGTTCGTTGAGATCATTTACTTTCGATTCGAGGTGCGCTTGTTTGGCGACGGCATCTCGTTGCCACACCAGATTCGCACGATTCGTCTCCAAAATATTCTTTTCCAAAGCCGACGCGCGTTTCATGCCATTTAAGACCAGTTCGGCAATTTTTGAAGAGGCTGTGCTAGTGCTGTTCTCGCCCCCTTCTTCCATGCGCGCGTCTTCGCCCAACGCCGCTGCTAAAAATGCCGATGAAGATGACGTTTTCGTCGTCGTCGTCGTTGCTACTATTTCATCAATCATCGCCCTCAATCGCGTCACTTCCGCGTCCATAGCGGTCGCATTGTTGTTCGTATTATTGTTATTACTATTAGCTTTACTTTTGTAGGGCGTATTCCCAAAGTTCATGTGATTGTGAAACGCGCGTTCGTTTACTTGCGCTCTCACTTTGACCAACTTTGCTCTATTCGCAAACTTCAACGTCGACGCCGTCTCGTCCGCGTTAATTAACGCCGGCGATACGCACGCAATCACCGCACATTTCGCGTTCCCGCCCAAGGCGTCTTTTAACAACCACGTCAACTTGGAATCTCGAAACGCCACGTGCCTATCTCTCCCGTTGGCCACATCTACGAGTGATTTTATCACGTTCCCAAGCGCAGATAACGACTTATTAATCGCAGACGCTTCTTTTAATCTCGCCCCAGTCGCCTCGGTTGCTTTTTGTCTCTCCGAACCAGCTAAATCGACTAAGTGTAACGTCCGTTTTTTCTCCTTGGTCGTGCGCCCTCTGGTCGTCGAAGTTAGCGTCACCGAAAACACCGAGTGCGAACGAGACGAGTTTCTATTCATCTCCGTTTCGCCAACTCGTCGCCTCGCCGAGCCTCTCAAAAACGCCTCGTACGTCTCTTCCGCGGAATTCACCTTAACTTTCGTCAAATTTTCCACGAACGTACCTTTCTTTGGATCTTCGCGTATCGCCAACTCCCCTCCGCTAAACGACCCAAACGACGGAATCGATCCGGTATTATTCCCGCTATCCTCCACCATCATCCCGTCCATCGCGATACAATCCCCATTACCATCACCACTACTCAACAAATCTGTCAGCTGCTCGTTATAAATCTCCAAATACGCGCACGTCACTTCGTGCGTCACGTCTTCATCATCGCTCGCGGTATTTTTCGTAAACTCGAATATCCTTCGCAACGCTCGCGGGATCAATCCAACGTCGTTACTCTTATTATTTTCCGCGTCATCCTCTCCCTCGTTTTCGATCGCATCTCCAAACCCTTGCATGGTGTACGTCTTCCCCGCCCCTGTTTGCCCGTACGCAATCACGCACCCGTGAAAACCTTCCAAAAATTTCTCCACCACCGATTCGCCAATGGTTGAAAAAATCGCCCTTTGCGAGGACTGTTCGTTGCGCACGAAATCAAATTTAAACGTCCCTTGCGCGTTGTTCGTTTTCCCTTTTAATTCGATCACGTTCGATATCTCGTCCGCAAACACGCACTTCGTCGTTTGATTGTTAGAATTGTTCTCGCGATGGTCGAACGGCCGGACGCGGACGAGGACTTTGATGTTGTCCGTCGTGTTTTCCTTCATCTTGTTCTTTGTTTTTCCCCTTCGCTCTCGTGTGAAAGATTATGATGATGATTTTTAAAGAGAGAGAGAGAGAGAGAGCGTGGTGGTGGTGGTGGTGGTTAATGCGAGTCTTCAACGCTCTCCTCCAAGTCGTAGTTATGAAATTGTTGTCGTCCTCAAAGTCGCGCGTTTTTGCGCGCGTGCGTGTGTGTTGTGTATATCTACAGATGAGAGTAGAAATTTATGAAGAAAGGGGACTTTAAATTTTTCAACTGTGTTTTAACAAAATCAGTTTCGACTGGGGGAGGTACACGAAAATACGCGAAAGCGCACTCTTTATCTCTCTCTGCGACTATATAAATACTACAACGACAACAACGCTTTAGCGGCGAAAAGTAGATTGGCGATTGCGCACAGGCGCGCGGTGTCGGTAAACCGCTTCGTTTGCTTCTCGGACGGTATACATTCCTCCGTTTTGTTGAAAAGCTTTTCTGTATTTTTTTTCTCGTCCCCGTCTTTGTTCTTCTTGTCTTTTTTGTCGCCGGAAGAAGAACTCGTCGAATCGGATGGCGGTGGAGCTCGATATCCGCCATCCTTGTATATGGCGTAGAGCGCCCACGCAAAAACTAAAGGTGTCGCCGCGTCGCCTCGGTAGAAAGAAGAGTACGCGCCAACGCTCGTCGCGAGAACCGCGGTTCCGATAGCAAAGACGACTTGCGCGCTCGCCGACCCGATTTTGGCCAACACCGTGTTCGCGTTGATTCCGCACGCGCACAAAATCCACGCAAAGTGCGTTCGGATCGGGACCGAAACAAACCCGCTCTCTGCGAGCGCAAACCTTCCGTTCACCTCAAACACTCTCTCCTTCGAAGACCACAACGCTAAAGCTTCGACCCCTAACACGAAGGCGTTAATCCAATGCCTCCTCGGTTTCTCCGTCCACTCTCGAAAAGTAAAGCACCAAACGGATTGCAAAACGTTCGCCAACGCGAAATATCCAGTCGCATTCGCCGCGAACTGTTCGTCCTTCGTGTTGGTGAAAAACATCGACCTCATCGCGAAGACGAATTCGCTTGTGAAAATAAACCCCCAGATGGCAAACGCGTACCCGGCCGGAGTGAACAACGACCGATATTTCGACGTTCGTCGAATAGTATTCTTTTTAGTCGCATTAGCGTCGTTCTTCTTTTCATCATCGACATCAGCATCAGCGTCCTCCTTGTTTTTCTTCTTCTCTTCTTCCTGAGCTTCTTTCATCTCTTTCGCCATTTGGTCGTCTATCCTCCCCGGAATGGACACGCACAGAACGTTGAGCACGTAGGATGTGAAATTCACCACTCGCCAAACCGCTAAAGTTTTCCCAAAGAAAACGAATGTTTTTGGTTGTTGTTGTCGTCGTCGAAACCCTCTTCCTTCCCTCGTAAAAGACAAGTACGGGTCGATGACTCGCTTCGTGACCTGGTACACTCCTAAACATCCCGTCGCGATGAGCGAGACCAAAGCGTCCGCCAACGGTAGTTTCATGCTAAGAGATGGATATCTTTCTCGTTGTCACGTGAATTTTTGTTGGTTTTTTTAGGCGTTTGAGCATTCGGTCAATTAATACTACGTACTCAAAAAAAATCTGACTCATCACTTGAGAAGCGATCGGTTAACGATTTCCCTCAGAGAAAAGCTCTCTTAAACTCCGAGTGAAAGTTCTTTTCAGACAGTTCTTTGAAGCGCGCACTTCGCGTAAAAAAGAAGCAGAAAGAGATACCATGTTTGCCTCCTCTTCCTCCTCTGTCTTTGTCCAGTTTTGTTGTTCGTCTTCTGCGAGGAACAACAACAGAACAAAAAGTAACGTGAAATTGCGATCGAATTCTTCTCTGTCGTCGTCACCTTCAACGAAGAAGAAGTCGTTATTCAAAAGGGCTGCGACAGTCCTCACTCACGCCTCGTCCGAGTCAAAAGTGAGCTCGAAACACCTCCCGGGGAAAATTATCCTCCAAGGGGAAAACAATTTGGAAGTCACGCCGGCGATTCGCGCGTACGTGGAAGAAAAGTTGGCCAAAGCAGTGGCCAACGCCGATCCGAGGGATGTGCGGGAAATCGATTGCAGAGTGGCGTCGCGAGGCGGCGCGGATCACGCGACGAAAGGGGCGCACGTGTGCACGACGAAAGCGACGGTGTTGACCAGAGCCGGGCAGATTGAAGTCGTCGAGGAGCACGAGGATTTATACGCGAGCATTGATAAAGTCGCGGACGGTTTGAAGAGACAGTTGCGGAAGTTTACCGAGAAGCGCGAAGGCAACGCGAGAGGGAAGAAAGAGGAAATATTGATGGCGGCGGGGTCGCAAGACGACGACGAGGACGAGGTACCGCCGGCGGCTTGATCGAACACTTACTAATACTAAGAAAGGGTGTAGTACATAATAAAGCGTTTTTAATACTACCGTAATATAATACAAACGCGCGCTGATTTGATTTTAACGAGTACATGCGCTGCTGTTCTCTAAAAATAACTCTCACTTGACCACGTCGCTGATTTTCGGAAACGCGTCTGTTTTACTCAAAACAACCACCCGATTCTTGTGCGAGACGTACCCTTTGACGAATTTGCGGTGGATGAGTTCGGAAACACCGCACTCGATTTCATCTAAATCGTATTCCGTGTTGTTATTGTTATTGTTATTGTTATTATTATTATGTCCGTGTTGATTTTTCATCGCCGCGGCTATTTTGCACGCCCTTGAAAGCATCTCCAACTTCACCTGGTTCGCTTTCTCGGGCTCGAATTCTTTCTGAATTTCGCTCGTTTTCTTGAACAGCGTTCGTAAGCAATAAAGGCGTAGCTTTTCAAACATCAAATACGTGCCCTCCCTCACGAATCTCGCTTTCCTTCTCTCCAACGCTTGTTCCAACACCCCCAACTTCCCCATCTTTACCGCCTCGCACACCTCCTCGTACGGTTTCAAAGCGTCTTTATATTTCACGAACAACTTTTTACTCGGCACGAAACCTAAACTCAGCATCACGGGAACTAAATACTTCAAACACGCGGTTTTATTCTTTGAAGAGCCTCTCGGACACCTCTCGAACGCGTACTTCAAATGTTCGCTCGCGCCTTCGTAATCGTCGTCAAACACCGCCAATCTGCCCACGTAAAAATGATACGTCACTTTTTCTGAGCTCGGAAACGACTCTTCGAACGGTAGAAACGTCGGCAGATTCACCGCGTTGATTAAATTCTTACATAAATGCAACGCGTTCAGCTCGAAATAAATCTTGAACAGTTCGTTGACGATTTTCAACTGCGCCAACTTCTTCTCCCGCGTCGACGTTTGCGACGAACATCGATAGGCTTGCATGAGTTGCGCCCCGCACGTTTCCAACCTCGTCGCTTTTTTCCCAACTTTTCTCGAGTGATTGTCCGCTTTTTCCGCGCACAATCGAGAATCTCTCGTCATTCGCTTCATCGCTTTTATCGTCCAAATCACATCTTCCGGTTCTTCTCTCGCTTTGAAATCTTTGATAAAAACCGCCATCGCTTCGTTGTGATAATCGTAACACTTCTCGAACGAGCTCTGTTTTAACTCCAGCGACGATAACACCAGTTTTTCCCACATATCGTCGAACGGTTTTGGCAGTTGATTTTGGTACCGTCGCGTGCACTGTTTCACTTCGTTTTCGTTCAACGACAAAGAAGTCGTTGTTGGTTTTCCATTGAAGCAATCTTTCAAAATACAATCCACGCTGGCCAGTCTCGCCAACTCCTCGCCGTCGCGCGTGTGTATCGCGGCGATGAACTTTTCAACGTGCGCGTCCAACACGTTGTGAGTGTTCTTCATTGTATCTGCAGAACAACTCGCGGAAGAAAGAGTTGCACAGAATGACGAATTTTTCCAAAAACTCTCGAGATTTGTGCTTTTGCCGCCCTAGTCTCTCCATAAAAACAGCAAAAAAGAATAAATAAATACGATGTTTACTTCCATGGCGACGACGACGAGTTCTCTCAACAGACTTTTAGGTAAGGACGATGATATCTTTCTTTTCTCTTCTTTTTACCCCGCTTTTCGAAAGCGATGTCTTTTCGGTTCTTCTTCTTCGTTTACGTCGTTTCAAAAGGATCCGATGAACTTTATCATCAGAGAGCCGTCAAAGGTGTTTTGGAGTCCATACTAAACTACAAATCTTTCTTTCTTTCTTAACGCAATATCTCTTCTCTCTTCTTTTTGAAAAACAGGATTACAAACGAAAGTCTCCAAATCCTCCTCTTCTAAAGTTTCGCGAAAAGGCTCGGTGGTCGCATCGTCGAAGAAGGACGACGAAAACAATATTCAGCCAAAAAGGATGGTGATGATGGGAAAAACGTGTTCGAAAACAACTTCGAATTTATTGGTAAAAAGAGGCGAGCGACAGAAAGTGCGGAACACGCCGGCGGGGAAAGAAACGAACGCGCCGTTGGGAGTGTTCGTCTTAGAGTACGACGCGTCCAACGAGGACATCGAAAAGACGAGAAACTGGAAACCGATCATTAAGATTGCGGTTTCCGGAGCGGCTGGGATGATTTCGAACCATCTCTTGTTCAAAATCGCCTCCGGCGAAGTGTTCGGCCCGGACCAACCGGTGGCGTTGCGATTGCTCGGTTCCGAGAGATCTCAAGTGGCGTTGGAAGGCGTGGCGATGGAATTGGAGGATTGCTTGTTTCCGTTGCTGAGAGAAGTGGATCTTGGCATCGATGCGAAGAAAGTGTTTGAAGATGCGGATTGGGCGTTGTTGATTGGCGCGAAACCGAGAGGTCCCGGGATGGAGAGAGGCGATTTGTTGGAGATGAACGGCGGCCTTTTCGCCGAGCAAGGTAAGGCGTTGAATGAAGTTGCGAAGAAAACGTGTAAGGTGATGGTGGTTGGTAACCCGTGCAACACGAACGCGCTGATTTGCATGGCGAACGCGCCGAATTTAGATAAGAGAAATTTCCACGCTTTGACCAGATTGGACGAGAATAGAGCCAAGTGTCAATTGGCGTTGAAAGCGGGCGTGTTTTACGAAACCGTCTCGAACGTGACGATTTGGGGCAACCACTCCACGACGCAAGTTCCGGACTTTGTGAACGCTAAAATCGGCGGCGAAAGGTGCACGGACGTGATCGACGATCAAACGTGGTTGGAGAACGATTTCACGCCGGCGATTCAAACGAGAGGTGGATTGTTGATCAAGAAATGGGGTCGATCTTCCGCGGCGTCGACGGCGGTGAGCATCGCAGACGCGATAAAAGCTTTGGTAACGCCGACGAAAGAAGGCGATTGGTTTTCATCCGCGGTTATTACCGACGGTAACCCGTACGGCATCGAAGAAGGATTAGTCTTCTCCATGCCGTGTAGAAGTAAAGGTGACGGGTCCTACGAAGTCGTCGAAGGGTTGAAAATTAACGATTGGTTAAGAGAGAGAATCAAGAAGTCCGAGGAAGAGCTGAGCAACGAGAGGGGGTGCGTGGCGCACTTGATGGGCGTTGAAGGTGCGTCGTGCGTGATGTTGGAAGATACGCTCTTGCCGGGTGAAATGTAAACAGAGATGACGAGGAAAATCAATCTACTTTAGAACAAAAATAAACCGAGAGGAAGCGCACGACCGCCCGTTGTTGTTCCAGAAGCGCGGAAGCGCTTTCATTCATAATAGACCCTATACAATTACTTTAGCGAATAGTTAGGTACGGAACAACATCGCAGTGAGGTGGTAACGACGATTCTTGGGATGGTCAAATTAATTTTTTAATGATATTAAATACTGATTTTATATAATGAACGCGTTTAATATCTCGCGCACTCACTCGATCGCGTTTACGTCCAACTCTTCCCCTCCACCTCGGGCTTTCTCGCGACAAACACGCCCCACGCAAAGACACCTTTTTCGTTTTGAATTGCCGCTCTTTCCGTTAAGCTTCCGTGCCAGTTGTCCAAATACTGATCGGTGATGCCTTTCGATTTCATCTCTTCTCTATTATCGTCGATTTGTTTAACCATGTCTCGGAAATATCTCTCCAAATGGTTGCTTCCGTCCCACCAGTTGACGTACGTGAAGCCGCTATCTTTCACGTCTTTAATGTATTGACTCGGGCGACCCATAAACGTCGTCGCGTTTCGGTCCGTGAATGCTTTCAGTGCCTTCTCGTCCGCTCCATCCGCGCCGCAAATGTCCGAGAAAACAAACGCCCCGCCTGGTTTCAAACATCTATACAAATCTTTAAATAACGCCAACTTATCGCCGGCGTGGCATAAAACTTCGCACGACCAAATCGCGTCAAACTTACCGGTCCACTCTTCCGGTAACGGGTCGTTGATGTTCCCAACGACCGCATCGACTAAATGATCCAACTTCAACTCCTTCGCTTTGGCCAAGTTCATGGCGTTTTGCCCGGGACCGATGTTTATCCCAGTCACTTTGCACCCAAACTTTTTCGCCATGGCGTGCGACCCGCCACCGTGCCCCGACCCAACATCTAAAACGTGCATATCCTTCGTGATTTCTTTCGCCATGTCCAATTGCGTCATCATCCATTCGGTCGTTCTGTTCGCAGACTCTTGCACCCCGTCCGTGGGGTCTCGATAAATACCAAAGTGAATATCGTTTCCGCCGCCGCCCATCACGTACGTATAAAAAATACGCGTCTGCTCTTCGTCGTATTGCTCGAGCACTTTCGACGCGACTTCTTCCTTCGTGAATTGTTTGTCCACAAAATCAGCCTATTATTAAATCGTAAGAACATGATGTGGTGAGTATTTTGCCGATTGAAAAAAATGTTCCTCTCTCATTTTAGTGTTCTTTCCTCTTTGGTCTTTCCCTTTCTTGTTAGAGAAAAAGCAATCGAAACAAACAACCCGCGAAACAACGAACGCGCTTCCCGAGTTGAGAGAGAGAGAGAGAGAGAGAAAGAGATTTATTAAACGAAGAAGAGAAACGGAGCGCGATTTAGCACTCTCTCGTCGAAAAAAAGAAGAGCGATGCGTCGTCTCGTTTCCACCTCTTCTTCTTAAACGTCTTCGTCGTCATCCCCATCGTCAGAGAGGCGTGTCGCTTCGGAAAACAAAAATCAATCGATCCAATCGTATCTCTTCTCCGCGAAGAAGAAGAAGAAGAAGAAAAAGAAAGAGGGAAAAAGAATTTGCGAAAAAACGAAAGAGAGACGAATAAAGACCCTCCTCACCATGTTGATGCGTGTGTGTGTGTGTTGTTTTTATTACTTTGCCCGCGCTTAAATGTGCGATTGCAAATGTGTGTGGAGGAGATGTGTTGTTAAAGACAAAGTTTTATCCAAAAAGTGGGTCGTCCCTTCGAGAAAAAAGTGAATCAAAACGAAAACTTCAAAAAAAAAACATCAAACAACCAACAACCGTTGCAGATAGACGCACACAAATCATCATCATCATCATCAGTCGATATACATGGATATGCTGCGCTTAATATGAACGAGGAAGAGATCGAGCAACTGGCGCGAGAGAACTTCTCGAGAAGGATACGAGCGATCGCGATGGAATCTCTTTTATTGGAAAAAACGAAGGTGGAGAAGAAGAAGACGAAGAAGGAAGGAAAGGAGGACGACGATTGGAAGAGTTTGAGAAAAAATGCAGATGATGAGGATGATGATGATGATGACTTTAAAGATGACGAAAAAACGAAGAATGCGTTCATGAACGCGAGGAAAGAGATGGCGAGAGGGTTAGGGATATCCGCGAGAGCGTTTCAGAGCGCGGCGGAGATGTTAAGTCAGGAGGACAGAGCAGTGAACGCAGCACCATCACAAAAAGAAGAAGAGACTAAAAATGTAGAGGAAAACGACGCCCCAGAAGACGACGACGACGAGCGGCGAAAGAGGATGGCGATGATGGAGGAGATTGCCAAACGCGTGTGCATGGAAAACGAGAAGAAGGTGAGAGCGCGAGAAAGGCTGGCGGTGGTGGATACCATTTTGGAGGTTTTGAAAGACGCGGAGGGCGGGAGGTGACGGTATTCTTTTTACGCGTTCCTTTGGGCGAGCGCGTCCGCCGGCATCGTCGGAAAACTTAAAAGCAAGCGCGCGCGCGCTTTTTTATCGCTGTATTATTATTACTAATTGAATAAAGGCTACGAACTACGTTTCTATTCTTCCTCTTCCTCCTCCTCCTCCTCCTCCTCCTCCTCCTTCCCGAACAATCGAAATCCAATCGGGTGTCTAAACTCGCCGCTCCCGAAACATCTCGCGCACCACATAACGCCGCTCCCTCTGCAGTGTCCGCACCAACTCGGAAACCACGATTTCAAATCCTCCTGTTCGCTCATTTCTAATCGCTCGTTTTCGTTTACCCACCCGAACCCAAAGCATTGCGTGCACGCGACTTTCGCTTCTCCCTCGCACACTTCGCACATTTTTTTCTTCTTTCTCTCCTTCTTTTCTTCCCCCAACTGATGTGTATACTTTTCGAATCTCGATTTCCGTTCCGTCCAACTCTCCACTCGCTGCGGCGTCACAAACGTCGTCGTCTTCTTTTCCTCCTCCTTTTCTCCGTCTTCTCTCTTCTTCTCGTTTTTCATCAAAAGAGTATCGTCATCGACAGAATCATCAAAACTCGCTGCTCGGGTGGTAACTGTTTTCGTTTTCCTTTGCTCCTCGAAATCATCATCATCATCATCATCATCAAATCTCCTTAAAGATAAAGACTTCCTCTTCGATATCGAGGACCTCGGCAAAAAAGAAAAAGAAGCAGCGGACGTCGTCGTTCGTCTTCTTCTCGACGACCTTAAAATTCCTTCTTCTTCTTCTCGAGCAATGATGGCCGAACGATGATGATGATGATGCGCGTTATTCAAAGAAAAAAGACGCATGCATATAAATTTTGTGAGGGCTGGGGGGAGGAAAGTCAAAAAAATATTCCTATTTTTACTTTACAACTCTGTGTTGTGAAACGCGCCGAATACTTGTGACCTTTAAAATCGCGCATCAATCGCGCTGATTAAACTTCGCTCGGAGTTTAAAAAAGACAATTTCTGGTCGCGGACGAAATTTTAGCCCGATCGAAAAACCGATAAATACTAGGCTTCTCGATTCATTTGCAAGACAAACGAGGTGCTTTTTATGTGTGATTTGGTCAAAAAAATATCTCTTAAAAAGCGCTTTGATCTCCCAAAAAAGGCATAAAAAGGTCACAAAATTAGATACATTTTTTAAACGAATATGCTGCGACAACAACGGGCTTTTAAAGAAGCGGCGAGACGAGTTCTCGGAGGCGCGTTCGAACGGTCTTCGTCGTGTTCTTTTTCTTCTTCTTCTTCTCATTTTGGGAGAGTTTTATTCGCGGCGAAGGAGTTCACTTCTTCTTCTTCTTCATCTTTAGCATCAACATCATCGACGAAAGCATCCGTTTGTTGTTCGAAACGGCGCGGGAGAAGTTTTAGCAGTCGTTTTAGTAGTAGTCGAAGAAGAGAATATTCAAACAACCTACCAACGAAAGAGAAAGAACAAAATCACGTGGTAAAATTCCAGGAGAAATGGGAAGAGCTGATGAACCAACACCCAAGCGTTGCTTTGAATCCGTGCAACTCGGAATTACACCCGGCGGTGGTGGTCGGCGCGGCGAAAGTCGACGAGACGAAACCGAAAAGGTCGTTGCAAGAAGCGTACGACCCATTCGCGTCTTGTTTCGTCTGCTCGAAAAATGGACAGTTGAAGTTGGAAACGAGACGCACGAGCGATAGGAAGATTTTACGGAGCGAGTTGGCGAGAGGATTGCCGGAAACGTACGAGGAGTTACCGGGGATCATCGCGCCCGGGATGATCACGTCGGTGATGGCGTGCAGTGGAAGTTGGCACGGGTCCATCGCGTTGATGGATAAAGCGGTGTTAGCGAGGCCGCCTTTGATGATGCTGGAAAAAATTATCGATTTTACCGCCACCGACGTGTTGGCGCCGAACGAAAAGTGTTCGGTGCACTCGGAAATCGTCAGTTTAGACGAGCCGAATTTCGCGACGGTGAAGATGGAAATGACCATTGGTGGTCACGAAAAAGACGACGAGGAGAGTAACAGTACTAGCGGTAACAAGAGCAGGAGTAACTACACTTCCAAAAAAACCGTCTGCGCTCGAGCGATTATGCGCTTCAAGAAAATCGGCGCCGTGAGAAGCATCTCGTGAACAACAACAAACAACAGCGTTCCGTGAGAGAGAATAAAGTACGCTCGAAAAAGAATCGCTTATTATTTAACGCTTAATAAAAAACACTGCATTGCACAGAAGATAAAACGCATTTATTACGCAGAGATGATCAAAGCGCTTCATCCACCTCTTGATATTTTATGCACTCCTTTGCCAAAATCGTCCTTCGAGAAAAAATTTATCAAAACAGCAGCCCCGCAAGAAAAGGGTAAGCGCCGTCAAAGAAAAATCAATCGATAAACACACGTCTATACTAATACCAATCTCTTCTTCTCTTAGGAAGATATATATTTATATACAGAGAGAGACAGAGTCGCGCTCGTTTGCACGGAAGGGAGCGTCGTAATAAGAGAGTGAAAGAAGCTCTTCTTTCTCTTTCGTTCGTCGTCTCGGGTTTTAGGATTGGATTGCACACGGGGAATCATCGGAATTGGAAAGCCCAAATTTAACACAATTCGCGCAAGTTTTACTCTATTATATAAAGTTTAGGAGCAGAGATGATGCGTGGAACGATGACAACAACAACGCCTTCGGTGTCTTCTTTAAAACCTTCGCTTTCGAGCCGATCTTCGTTCGCGAGAGGCGCTCAAAACGCGAAACAGCTTCGTGATGGTGGCGTCGTGGGGAGGAATGTGATGGCGAAAAACAGGAGCAAAGGTCGTCGATTGGTGGTGAGATCCGAGGTGGAGTCGCACGAGACGATGAAGCGAGAAAATTCGGACGCGCTCGGGGAGATTTTGAGGAAAAGCTCGACGTTGAAGAAAGTGATGGCGGCGAATAGAGGGGAAATTGCGGTGAGAGTCTTTCGAGCGGGGACGGAGCTCGGGATGCGAACGACGGCGATTTTTAGCGAAGCCGACAGGTTAGCTGCGCATCGATATAAAGCGGACGAGTCGTATTTGGTTGGTGAAGGGAAGGAACCAGTCGCGGCCTACTTAGATTACGAGTCAATCATTGACGTCGCGAAGGAGAACGGCGTAGACGCTATTCACCCGGGCTACGGGTTGTTGAGTGAAAACGAAAATTTTGCGAGACGTTGCGAGGAGGAAGGGATCGCTTTTGTCGGTCCGAGAGCGGAAACGCTAGGACAAATGGGTGATAAAGTCGTGTGCAAAGCGCAAGCGAAAGCGTGCGGGTTACCGTTGGTTCCAGGTACTGAGTACGCCACGGACGACGTGGAAACCGCGGTTGAATTCGCGAAAGAGTTTGGAATGCCTTTGATGCTGAAAGCTGCCATGGGAGGCGGTGGTCGCGGTATGCGAGTCGTGAAACAGCAATCGGAGGTGGCGCAAGCGTTCGCGAGAGCGTCATCGGAAGCGAAAACCGCGTTTGGCGATGGACGCATGTTCATCGAAAGGTACGTCGAGGCGCCGAGACACATCGAAGTTCAAATTATGGCTGACGGCGTCGGGAACGTCATTCACTTGGGCGAACGCGATTGCTCCGTCCAAAGAAGACACCAAAAAGTCGTTGAAATGGCACCGGCACCGTGCTTGGACGAGGAATTACGAAAGCGATTACACGACGATGCGGTGAAATTGGCGAAACACGTCAACTATCGCAACGCTGGGACGGTCGAGTTCATGGTGGACAACCAAAATAGACATTACTTTTTGGAAGTGAACCCAAGAGTCCAAGTCGAACACACGGTGACTGAGGAAGTCACCGGAGTGGATATTGTCCAAACACAAATCTTAATCGCGGGTGGAAAAACCTTACCTGAACTCGGGTTCAAGTCGCAAGACGACGTACAAATTCGCGGGTTCGCCATGCAGTGCAGAATCACCACGGAAGATCCGGCGATGGGATTCTCTCCTGATTTCGGTAGAATCGAAGTGTATCGTCCACCTGGTGGCTTAGGTGTCCGCATCGACGGCGAAGTTGTCGTAGGCTCGAGAATTTCTCCGTTTTACGATTCGTTGCTCGTGAAGTTGACGTGCACGTCGCAATCTTTCGAAGGCGCTGTGCAAAAAATGTACAGGTCCTTGGCTGAATTTCGCATTCGTGGCGTAAAAACGAACGTGCCCTTCTTACAAAACGTGTTCCAATCGAAAGCTTTTTTGAGCGGGAAGGTCACCACGAACTTTATCGACGAGACGCCTGAATTGTTCGATATGATTTCCAACGTGGACGATACGCAAAAGTTGCTCTCGTATTTAGGAGAAATCGCGGTCAACGGGGCAAAACACCCCGGCGCAGTTGGTCCGCCGCCGATTGGTGCCGAACCGAGCCCGCCAAAGCCGTCGAAGAAAACAGCCGAACTCGCCAGTCAACAATCGTTCAAGAAAATTATCGACGAACAAGGACCGGCGGCGTTTGCGAAAGCGGTTCGCGATCACAAAGGGTTGCTCATCATGGACACGACTTGGAGAGATGCGCACCAAAGTTTGCTCGCTACGAGAGTCAGAACAAGAGATTTATACCAATGCGCGGACGCCACGGCGTCAGCGTTGGATGGTGCGTACTCTTTAGAAATGTGGGGTGGCGCTACATTTGACGTATCGCTTCGCTTTTTGCGCGACTGCCCGTGGAGACGATTGGAGCTTTTAAGAGAAAAGGTACCAAACATTCCGTTCCAAATGTTATTGAGAGGTGCGAATGCGGTCGGTTATACCTCCTACGCTGACAACGTCGTCCAGGAATTTACCACCGAGGCTAGAAAATCCGGTATCGATATCTTTCGCGTGTTTGATTCGTTGAACTACGTGGATAACTTGAAATTCGGCATCGATTGCGTGCGAAACGCCGATGGGGTCGTCGAAGGTACCATTTGCTACTCTGGTGATGTTTCTGATCCGTCGAAAAAGAAGTACACGTTGGATTATTACGTCGATTTGACCGAACAACTCGTCAATCACGGGATTGACATTTTGGCAATTAAAGACATGGCGGGTTTGTTAAAGCCACGCGCGGCGACCATGTTGGTCTCCGCCTTGAGAGCAAAGTTCCCAGCCTTACCGATTCACGTTCACACGCACGATACCGCATCCACTGGCGTCGCGTCCATGCTTGCCGCGGCAGAGGCTGGAGCAGACGTCGTCGACGTGTGCACGGACGCCATGGCTGGCTTAACTTCGCAGCCGGCCATCGGCGCCGTTTTGAACTCCATTAAAGGCTCGGAAACTTTAGATAATCCAATGAACTTGAAAGAAATCTTGAAACTCAACACGTACTGGGAACAAGCGAGAGCGTTGTATTCCCCGTACGAATCTGGCATCAAAGCAGGGTCGGCGGACGTGTACATTCACGAAATGCCCGGCGGGCAATACACCAACTTGAAATTCCAAGCGTTTGCGAATGGTTTAGGCGAAGAGTGGGACAACATCAAGGAATCCTACGCGACTGCGAACCAATGTTTAGGCGACATCGTCAAAGTGACGCCGTCCTCGAAAGTGGTCGGCGACATGGCACAGTTTCTCGTCGCGAACAAAATCCCGGACGAGAAAACCTTGCTCGAACAAGCCGAGTCGTTGTCTTTTCCAACCTCCGTCGTCGAGTACTTCCAAGGCTACTTGGGCCAACCGGTTGGTGGTTTCCCCGAACCGTTGCGCGCAAAAGTCTTGAGAGGCAAGGGTATCATCGAAGGTCGTCCCGGGTGCACGTTACCGCCGGTTGATTTCAAACAATTACGCGCCGAGTTGCAAGAAAAGCACCGCGGCCGACGCGACGTCTCCCACAAAGACGCCTTATCTTCCGCAATGTACCCGAAAGTCTTCGACGAATACGTCATCTCTCGCGACATCATGGGTCCGGTTTCCTTGCTTCCAACTAAAGCCTTCTTAAAAGGTTTGGAAATTGACGAAGAGATTGAAGTCAAAGCTCGCCGCGGTTCCTCGGCGTCCATCAAGCTCAAAGCCGTCGGCGAACTCCTCCCGAACGGCAAACGCGAAGTCTTCTTCGAAGTCAACGGTATCCCGCGCGTAGTAGACATCCTTGACTTGAAAGTCTTAGAGAATGAAAACAAAAAAGGCGGCATGTCTGCCGTGCGCGAACGCGCCGACCCGATGGATTTAGGCTCCGTCGGCGCCCCGATGGCGGGCGAAGTCGTCGACATTTTGGTCAAAGACGGCGCCGAAATCAAAGCCGGAGAAGCTTTAGTCGTCATTTCTGCGATGAAGATGGAAACGACCGTCTCTGCGCCGTGCAATGGGAAGTTGAAGCACATCGCGGTTGGAAAAGGCGATTCGTGCACCGCCGGCGATTTGCTTTGCGCCATCGAACCGTAGAAGTAGCAGCGCAGAGAATACGAAGAAGAAAGCATCTTCAACACATAACGTCATCGCCCGCCGTAAAAAGAGAGAAAGAAAGAAACGTCCAAAGTCTCGCTTTTAAACATCAACTCATACACACTATTTAATAATAAATACTACTAATACTCATGAAACGAACTCCTCCGTAAAACAACACTCTCTGTGTAGTAAGAATCGGTTTTTAAAGAGTGAATTCAACACAAAATATTTCCCTTTATATCGATGCATGCGCTCCCGACTCGCTCGATACCTTTCTTCGACGAGCACTGGTAGCATTCTTTCATCATCGCATCAACGAAAAGAGAACAAAATCTTTTCGTCGTCCTCCGCGTTCTTCCTCTCGACAAATACGACGAGGACGAGAGGAGGAGGAGAAGAATCGAAGATGGCGCACAAGAAGCGAAGAAAAGCGCCGCCAGATGAAAATGGAAAACCGACGACGGCGGATATCTACGCCGCGTGCGTGGAAATCCGAAACCCGAACGGTAAACAACCGTCAAAGTTTAGTCACGTAGATATTACCCCGTATTCGGACATTCGAATTGAATCGAACGTTCCTTCCTCGGAACATAAACCTCGATGGACGAAAGAGACGAAACCGAAAGGTTTCGAGTACTTGAAACAGTTATTCGAGGACAGAGGCGAAGGCGTGAGGGAGGAGAAAGTGAAACGAAGTTTTTGGGTAGCACCGATGGTGGACGCGTCCGATCACGCGTTTCGAATTCTTTGCAAGCGATACGGCGCTGATGGTAGCTACACGCCGATGATTCACTCGAAGATATTCATGGAGTCGGCGACGTTTCGGAAAGAATATTTCAGCACGCACGCGACGGAGGAGTGCAGACCTTTGTTGGCGCAGTTTTGCGCGAACGATCCAACCACCTTGTTAAAAGCCGCGAGAGTTATACAACCGTTCTGCGACGGCGTGGATATTAACTTTGGGTGTCCGCAGAGAATTGCAAAGAGAGGAAATTACGGCGCGTTTTTAATGGACGATTGGCCGCTGGTAGAGAAGTTGATTAAAGAGTTGGACGAAAATTTAGACGTGCCGGTGACGGCAAAGATACGGGTGTACGATGATTTAGAGAAGAGCGTAGAGTACGCGAAAATGGTTGAAAAGGCTGGAGCGCAGATTATTGCCGTGCATGGCAGAACGAGAGAGCAGAAGAGGTTGGCGGAGTATAAGTGTAATTGGTGAGTTGTTGTTTTTCTCGGGTTTTTTTCTTTCGCGCTCGTAAGCGTTGATTTTATTATGTTTGCATCGACTCGCAATATACGACTACCATATGTTCTGGTGATGATAATATCCCAATACCAAGATCTGTTCTGAAGTCCAGTGATAGACACAACTACATGCACCACTATCTGAAGAACATGCGTATGTGTATTATTTTTTTACTCAAGCTTCTTTGTGGGAAACTTCTTCTTCTACCTTCAAAAATGCTGACCATCACCTCGCTCGCGCTCAAACAGGGACTTCATCAAAGCTATTAAAGAGGCAGTATCAGTTCCGGTATTAGCCAACGGCGGCGTTCGAAACTACCAAGAGTTGCAAGAGTGTCTCGAGTACACGGGCGTGGACGGATACCTCTCCGCGGAGCCGCTTCTCGGCAATCCGACGTTATTTTCCAACCCACCGTTCGCTCCGAATCCGTCCGAGGGCCAACCGCCCTACCCGCTCGAAAACGACCATTCTTTTCAAGTATTTTTAGAATACATAGACATTTGTCGTAAGCATCCAACCGCGCCAAAGATTGTTTTTGGTCACTTACACGGAATCGTCGGTCACTGGATGCACGAGTTTCACGATTTACGCGACGACTTGAACGAAAACAGACGCAAGTACGCCGACTTAGACGCGTTAGCCGAGTGGGTAGAAAGATTACGAGCACGCGCGAAAGAAATACGTGAGAAGGAAGGTCGAAATTACCCTATACGTAAGATGAGTCAAAAGCAAGTCGATAGGCAAAAGAAGCGCGAAATCGCAGAGGCTATCGCCACGCAAGAAGAAGAGGAGAAGATGTTAAAAGGTACGTGTTTAGAGTAGTCTTTATTTTTTCTCCCACCATCAAAAATGGCGCGTGACGATCAAATCAGATAGGGACATCCGAATTTAAACTGTGGAAACCATCTGGAAGCTTCTAATGGAGACATTAGTGCTCACACCGATGCCATTGCGCGTGCGCTGCGCAAAATTTATTTTGCGAATCGAAGATTTTCAAAACATCTCACCATCTTTCTCTCATCTCATCAAAACAGATATCGACGAAAAGGACAAAGAGCGCGAAAAGGACCTAAAACTTGCCGCCGAATGAAATGATGTAAATATAGTAAACTAGCGCGATAGCCCCGATGTAAAAAACATGTAGTATTAGAAAAGGAAAGAAAAAATACGCACAAAAATGACCTCCGCCTCCGAGAAAAAGAGCGAAGAACGAGAGAAAACAACAGCTAAGACGACAGAAATCCAAGAAGACGAAGACGACGAGGAGAACCAACTCAACGCGACGCATAGGGAGTTGCGCGAAGCTGAGAATTCAATTCACCGAGCGGTGATCGACGCGGCGAGACGGACTGATCGGTTGGAAAGAATAGAAAGAAAAAGTGCAAGACTTCGGGGCAGCGCGGAGCGCTTTCGAGAAAACACGCGATTGTTAAGACAAGGAGTGCTCGAAAGACGACGTTGGCACTTGTTTTGGGCGTTTTTGCTGTGTTTTACCGCGACTTTGATCTTTATCGCTCTTATTTCTTGGATCATTGTCGCTTACACCGGTGCGTGAGATATAGAGCTAGAGATACGAAATAACGAAGGGGTGTGCTGAACGTATCTTAAGCTCTTCGGAAAGAGAAGAAGAAGGAGAAAAAGAAGAAAAATGGAACGGGACGAAGCGACGCAAACGACAGAAGATGACGGACGAGCGATACCGTTGAGTCAACGCGTGTACAGGTACGTGTTCGTTCGTGATAACTATCCGACGTGGATCGAAACGTCCAACGGATGGCTCTCCGGATGGTGGTTCATGTTTCTATCCTTCGGTGGTTGTATTGGGGAGAAGTCAGAGACTGAAAGAAAATCCTCATAAAGTTTCCATAGCACTTTCTCAAAATTGAATGGGGAAACAAACCCAGGGAATAACTTCCAAACCGTCGGAGTCGTCGTGCGAAGACGCCAGAGTAGCCGCTTTGCGTTGTGCGTTTTCTGTTGAAGTTCCTTTTCGCTCTTTTTTTTCTCTCTCTCCCTCTTTCTCTGTATCGCGAGTAGTATTATTGTTTAGCGGGCAGTCACTTCTACCAAAATTGGAAACCGTTTAACTAACTCATTCTGAACAACAAACAACAGGTTCAACGAAATACCCGAACGAACGCATCGTCTGCAAAGAACTCTACGAGACGTATAAAGAGTGCAGAAAGAAAGAGCAAGAGGAAATCGTCAAGGAAAGGAAGAGGAACAAAGTGTCTATTCTGTGAAAGGCATCACAACTTCCCTTGGTTTAGGTGATTAGGATTTGAAGATGACGGCGACGAAGCTCTTGGCGCTGAGACGAGCGACGACGAGTTGTTACGCGACATCATCGTCCGTTATCTTTTATCGCAGGAAATGCGATGACGGCGTGCTGACGCGAAAGAGATTTGTATGCGCGTCTTCGAGCAGCTCAAATGAGTCTTCTTCCTCCTCGGAAGAAGCGCCAAGCGCGAACGGCGGGGACAGAGCGTACACGCCAAAGAAAGTATGGGGACCTCCTTTGGAGGTATCGAAAACGCTCAACCGAAGGCCGACGGTTCTCGAATGGCGAGGGCCGAATTTTCCGCAAGATCAAAGCGATGGATTAGTTTTCTTGGTGGATAAACCGCAAGAGTGGACTTCGTTCGACGTGTGCGCGAAAATCAAATCTATGAGTAAGAAAATGGGGGTGAAGAAGATTGGACACTGCGGTACATTGGATCCGATGGCGACTGGGTTGTTGATTGTTGTCATCGGTAGAGCAACAAAGTTGGCGGATGAGTACCAAGCGAAGGTGAAGACGTATACTGGGACGATTAAGTTAGGCGAGAAGACGGCATCGGGTGATGCGGATAACGAAGTCATAGAAACGAAACCGTTTGGCGAGGACATTGTGAACGAGGCGTCGATGGAGGCTGCAAGGGCGAGTTTGATCGGCGACATCGAGCAGATTCCACCGATGTTCTCTGCCGTGCACGTTGATGGTAAACGACTCTACGAATCCGCGAGAGAAGGCAAAACGGTGGAAAGGAAACCGCGACCGGTTCACGTGGGAGCGTTTTCTATAAAAAGACGAGAGACTGAAAACGAAACGCATTTGATCGATTTCGAAGTCACGTGTTCAAAAGGCACGTACGTTCGAACGTTAGCGGAAGACTTTTGCGAAAAAATGGGTACCGTTGGTCATTTAGTTAAACTGCGCAGAGAGAAAATAGGCGATTTTGACGTGAAGGATGCGTTCGAACTTCCCGCCTTGCTCGATGAGATATCAATCACAGTTTCGGAACACCAAAATCAAAAAAATAGCTACCAGTAGTTAATAATTTACAACTTTAAATGATCAACGCTTGCCCGATCTTCTTCTCGCGCACTAATCGCGCGGGATTGTGTATCACGACAATGCGCACGTCTCCACCATCTCCTATACCGAACACTCGCCAAATTTGATACCTATCTGCAACTTCTGGTTTCACCGCGAAATCCCATTCCCACGGTGAAATCTCAAACGCGTTTTTATCTCGAAATCGAGTCGCTTTGACTTCAATGAACGTTTTCGCGTGTGAATCGCCATCGGTCAGCATTATATCATAAAACGAGTTGGATTCCTCTATCTCGTTCATCCATTTCACGGATACGTTCGTGCCTCGATATTTCTGAATCAAAACGTTGAAGACGACGCGTTCGCCGAGTCGCCCACACTTTTCCCAGTCGACGCCATCGACCTTGTTCATGTTCGGAATGACATCTCTATACGTTAAATATTCTACATCACTTCCGTGATTTAACGCATCGGACTTGCTTGTTGAATTCATGCGACCTTCCCACCGCTCATGCGTAACCACGTTGGCGTTGGCGCCGACTTTCTTTTCACCAGTACCGTTCACCCTTCTCGATTTTTCGAGCTCTAACTGGAACTCTCGTTCGCACTGCAGTGCTCTTCTTTTTGCTTCTTCTTCTTCTTCTTTTTCTTCTTCTTCTTCTTCCCCTGTCTTTTCCTCTTCCTCTTCTTCCGCCCTGGGTAACGCGAACTTCTTCGCGCGATATTTCGCCCCGCCTAAATGTAACATCGCGTACTCCGCCGCCGCCGTCTCGACCATCGCACTCCCACCATTCTTCGTTTCCATCGTTTTTCTCACCCGCTCTAAAACCTCCCGAAACTGCGGCGCGTATTCTTTCTTCTCCAACCCTTCCTCGACTTCTCGCACGAACCTCTCGCACTCCGCCTTCGTCGGCTTCGTCAGCTCCGGCACGTACGGTAACCCCGAACTCTCCTCCACTCTTCGACGTTTTTCCGCGTGTTTCTTCTTCTCTCGCACACGCTGTTCTCGCCATTTCAACAGCGACATTTCTTCTTCTAACACGTCTCGCTTTAACTTTTGCACGTTTTCTTCGCGTTCTCGCACAAACTGCTCCAGGAAGCAAAACCGTTGTTTTTGTTCCTCTCGCTGTTTTTGCTCGCCATCATCAAAAATCTTCTTCTGTCTCTTTTTCCCCGGGGCATCTTCGTTTTTATTAGTAAACTTCGCCTCAAACACTTCTCTCAGAGCCGTTCGTATCATCGCGTCGTCGTCGACCTTCTCTTTCCCGCCGCCCTCGTGCTCTTCTTGAAGTGCACTTCTCCACAATTTGAGAATCTCATTCTTGTTGCTCTTCAACAAAGAAGAAGAATCCGAAGAAGAAGAAGAAGAAGAGGAAAGAAGAAGCGATGCAAAAAAGTCGTCGGTGTTTTCAATCTTAGACTCGAAGTACGCTTTCGCCAACGCCAGGCGAATTTCTTCTTTCTCTCGTCGCGCCTTCTCCTCCATCGTATACGGATGGCGTTCGTTTTGCAGCGTTGAACAACATTTCCCCTAAAGGAGAAAAAAAATTCTAAAACCCTAAACTAATTTTTTAGGTGAATTTTTCAAATTTCTCAACAAAGAAACATCACTCTTTTGGGGAACAAATCAGAGCGCTCATCATCATGTCGGATGGTGGTGGCGATGCTCTCGCGCAACAACAACAACAACAACAACAGCAATTAATCCAACTCCTGACCGCGTGCGTGTCTCCGGACGAACACGCGAGAAAAGATGCGGAAAGGATGGTGCAATCCTCCGGGGCGGTTTTTGGGTTCGGGGATTTACTCTGCCGAACGGCGTTTGGATTGGATGATGTTGTTGATGGACATCATCATCTCAACATTCCAATGGATATTCGACAACTCGCGGCGCTTTTATTAAAGAAATACGTCAGAGAACGATGGCAAGTCGGGGAACATTTTTTTATCGAAGGCGAGCCGATGACTTCGGTGGAAGAAAAGATGGCAATTCGTGGGAAGATATGCGCGGGTTTACGAATGAAAGATTCAAAAATGAGAACTGCGTGCGCGCTGGTCATCGCGCAGATTGCCACGCACGATTGGCCGGAAGAGTGGGAAGGTTTGCTTGGGGAATTATTAGTTCCCATACGAGAGAAGAGGGACGTGGACCACGTAAACGGCGCTTTGAGGTGCATGTCGATGCTTTGCGGGGATTTAGAGGAACGGCAGTTACCGAAACTGGTCCCGGAGTTGTTTCCTGATTTGTTCGGGTTGTTACAAGCCTCGGACGATGGTTTAAACGGAATCGACAAGGATCAGATGACCATGGTGAAGTGTCGAGCGTTAGACGTAACGAGGGGATGTTATTCGAATCTTGGGATGATTGGGGACGATCAAATTCGGTTTCAGATCAAAGAGGCGGCGAAGCCGTTTCTGGAGAGCAATTTTGTCGCCTACGGGAACATTTTTGAGTTTCGCTCGGACGTGTTTGAGACCACGGGTGGGTGCACGTTGACACTGTCCGCGTTGAAAGCGATGCAAGCGACGGTTCAGTATTTCGGGAAGGAGATTACTGGTGGGCAAGTGGTTTCCGAGCAAACGTTCGGAGGGTGCGTGGAGCGATTTTTCCACGTCTTTGAAAAAGCCGCGAATAGGTACGTGCAATGCAGAGGCGTGGAGGTGGACGCGTTGGACGATTGCGAGGATGATATGGGGGATAAAGTTTCCAACGCCGCTGTCGTGACTCAGTGCATGGAACTCGCGATGACGATGATTGAAAGCACGAAGATTGCGAAGAGTTGTATTCAACCGAGACTGAAGAGTTTGGTATCTATCGCGGTGGCGACATCGTTAACCACGGACGACCAGTTAGAGACGTGGGAAGACGACGTGAACCAATTCGTCGCGGACGAAGAGGACGATTACCAATCCGTGAGAGCGACGAGTGGGATATTTTTAGCTACTGCGTGTGCCAAGTTCTCGAAAATCTTTTACGTCGTTTTTGCGGAAGTCGTCGCCGAACTTTTCTCGCAGTCCTTTGAGGAGCAAAATAACAACGACGAAAACTGGTGGCGACGCAGAGAGGCGGCTTTGTTAGCCGTTGGAAGCGTCTCGGATGAATTAGTAGAGCAAGATAAAGAGGCCAGAGGAAAAAATATGAGTCCCGCGTTCGATTGTAACGCTTTTTTGAATGAGATTATCCGGAGCGAATTCACGGCAACCCCTACGTCCTCCAATCCGTTTTTGAAAGGGCGCGCGTTGTGGACAGCCAGTCGTTTAGCCGCCGCGGCGTCGGCGGAAGGTGCGAATGCGATTTTAGACGCGAGCGTGAACGCTCTGAACGATCAAAGCGCGCAGTTTCCGGTAAAAATAGGGGCATGTCGCTCACTCATCGCTTTCGTACCGATGGCGATCAAATCCACGCAAAAGAGCAAGAAGGATGAAAAAGAAGTAGGAGAACAACATCAAATCAGCGCGGAGGATCAAGTTAAAGTCCAAAAACTACTCTCGCGATTAGGTGATGTGTACCAAGGTCTCGGCCACCTCTTAACTGACGCGACCGAGGAAGCGTTAGTGCTCATTCTGGAAGCTTTATTGATTGTCGTCAACTGCGACGGCGACGCGGCGTTGCAATGGCTTTCGCTGTTAGCGCCAGCTATCATGAGAATTTGGGCAGAGAACGTTCGGGACCCGTTTTTAGGTGCAACCGCGAGAGATGTCATACAAGCTTTGGCGAATCAACCGAAATGTAACGCGGAATTGACGCAGTTGCTCGTTCCCGAGTTGGCGAGAGTGTTTCGAACGCCGGAGGAACAACCGGAAATGTTGGTCGAAGCGTCGTTGGACATTTTGGCGTGTTTGTTGAAAGCGTGCGTGGACGAAAACGTCGCCAGGGGTGCGTTTGTGGCCACTTTTGAAAACGTTGCGACGCTCGCGAAAACATCGGACGACGTCGGCATCGTCCAAAACGCTTTAGACGCGATGAAAGCCTTTCTGAGAGCGGCGAAAGGCGAAGCGATTTTATCGTGGGGTGGGTCAGATCCCTCGTCAGTTTCTCGAGCTTATTTAGACGCGTGCGCGACTTCGTTACAGCCGCACTGCGAAGAAGGCGCGGCTTTGTTTGTCGCGCCTCTTTTAGGTCAAATGATTCGCCGATTACCGTCCATCATTGGTCCGATGATTCCAGAAATGTGCGACGCGGTGTGCGCTCGATTACAGACCGCCACTCGTCCAATGTTGATTGCTTCGTTATTGTGTATTTTCGCTCGCTTAGCGCATGTGGACGCGAACGCGTTGGTTACTTTACTCGCCTCGCGCGAAATTCAACCGTCTCCGGAAAACGAAAACAGCAAAACGCAACTTGAGTTTGTCCTTAAAAAATGGTGCGAAGGCCAACCGGACGTCCACGGTCGATTCGACGTGAAACTGACTTCGACCGCGCTCGGGCTCATCTTAGCCACGCAACATCCGACGTTAATCGACGGCTCCATCGTTCTCAAGGGTAGACCAATAGAAGTTGAGTTACCCCCGGGAACAATCCGAACGCGATCTCGAGCGAAGCAAACCGGTCCCGAACAGTTCACGCAAGTCTCCGCGCCTTCGAAAATCATCAGTCTCCTCGCGGATTCCTTGGCCGAAGCGAAAGAGTTGGAAGCGGATGAGTGGGAAGAAGACGACGGCGGTGGTGGCTTAAACGGCGAAGAATTCGACGACGACGACGAAAACGACGACGAAGACGACGACGACGAGCCCACCGGCTGGTCCGGCGACATCTTTGAAAAAATCATGCTCAAAGGTTTGCTCGACGGCGACTTTTTCGACGACGAAGAAGCCGACGACAAAGACGACCCGATCGACGACATCGAACTCGTCCCTTTCTTAGAGGAAGGATTTAAAAGGTTACAAAGTACCACCGGTGGACTTCTCGATGCCGTCGCGAACGATCTGACCGAAAGCCAGAGAGTGACTTTAACCAAAGTCTTTTCGTCGTCGTCGCGATAACCTACATATTACTACTATATACCATTGAGTATTTTAGAGAGAAACAACGCTTTGTCACTCCACACAAAAACACGCTTTCCCGCACACAGTACTTCACTCCATGCGCCGAAGAACTCCTCTCCTTGTCGCCTTCACCGGCGGCGGCAAGAGAGAGGAAACGTCGTTCTCCGTCGTCGCGTGTTACGTCTTCGATGCTCTCAGAAGAGAAGGAGGAGGAAGGAGCTCGTCGTCGTCATCTTTTGTTCTTCCGCGCTGTCTTTCTGGAGGAGAAAATCATCAACGCTGCTTTTCTTCCGGAACAACAAAAGATGACGGCATTGATGTTAATTATTGCACCGTTTTGATTCATCCGAGAGGTACGTCCTCGTCGTCGGTATCATCGTTGTCGCGACGACGACGGCGATTTGGAGGCGGACGGGAGAATAGATTTATGAACGAAGATTTTCAACATCATCAACAACACTACCGTGGATTTGCAGCCGCCGGAGGAGCGTCTTCATCTTCCGCGGAGGCATCATCAACGGTCGATGGGAAACAAACGACGACGAGTAGGAACGAATCGACGTTGGCTGCCTCAGCTTCTGGACAACAAAAAAATCCTTCCTCTTCTTCTTCTTCTTCGACAACGATAGCGGAGGAGGCGAAACCGAAAGTCGACGTCAACGCGCTCAAACGCGCGAGATTTGAAATCGAGATGATGCGACGGGAACAACACATACATTTCGCAAAGAGAACGTACCAAGCGGTCGCGAACGTGACGAAATATGTGATCAGTTGGGGGCCGTATTCGGTGCAGTTGCTGAGGCAGTCGCCGAGCGAGTGGAAGGTGACTTTGAGTTCCGGGTGGAAGCACGCGAAGCACGAGTTCGCGCACTATTGGTCCGGCGCGAAACTGTTGTGGGTGGAAGTGAAAATTGCCAGTAGGCTCGGTTTTAAACTCATGGGTGGGCAGACGTTAACGAGACGCGAGCGAAGACAGTTAACGAGGACGACCGCGGACGTGTTTCGGTTGGTGCCGTTCGCGGTGTTCGTGTTGGTGCCGTTTATGGAAATATTTTTACCCGTCGCGCTGAAGCTATTTCCAAACATGCTACCGAGTACGTTTAGGGACGAGTTAAAACACGAGGAGGAGCTGAAGCGGAAACTGAAAGCGAAAATTGAGGTGGCGAAATTTTTACAGGATACGGTGAAAGTCATGGCGAAAGGGTTGAAACATAGCAGTTCGGGGGTGAAACGAGAGAAAGCGGACGCGCTGTACGAGTTTATGAACGCCGTGAGAAGCGGTAAAGCGGTGACGAATGAGCAGATCGTGCGGTTTGCCAAGTTGTTTAACGACGATTTTACCTTGGATAACATCAACCGGACGCAATTGGTGAACATGTGTAAATTTGTCGGCATATCGCCGTATGGGACGGATACGTTTTTACGGTTTCAGTTACGAAATAAGTTGAGAGAGATTAAACAAGACGATAGACTGATTCAATTAGAAGGCGTTGAAGGTTTATCGGACGAGGAGTTGAAATCAGCCGCGAGAACTCGAGGGATGCGATGGGAGGAAGATAGAAAAGAGTTGGAAAGGCAACTGAAGGACTGGCTGGAGTTATCGTTGCAAAATAATTTGCCGAGTTCTCTGTTGATTCTAAGTCGTGCGTTTTTAATCACGCACGCAAAGGAAGAGGACACACAAACGGCGACGTTGAAGGATATCACGGATACTTTGGCGAGTTTACCGGAAGAAGTGGTCACGCAGGTCTCCGTCGAGACGGCGATGGCGCACGAGTCCAGCAGCGAGGAGTACAAGAAAAAGTTGGAGTATTTGATGCGAGAAGAAGAGACGATCAAACAAGAAGCCAAAGATACGGAAGCGAGAGAAAAACGATTGAAAGCGGAAGCGTACATGAAGGAGAAGATGCGCTTGTACTTGTCTGGACCGCAGTTTTCGGAACGGTTTTGGGCTAACGTGAGAGGTCGAGATGCGTTGCTCGAGTGGGAAGCGGAAGAGGCGAAGAGAGAGGCAAAAGCGGCGATGGACAAATATTTACAAGGCATGCAATATTCCGAAAGGTTCTGGGTGAATGCGAGAAAATCAACGACTTCGCACTTGCTTCAACAGCAGCTTCTCATGCAGCAGCAACAGCAACAGCAGCAAAGAGAAAAGGAAGTCATCGCGACGAAAGAAGCTTCTTCGGCGGACGTCGCCAAGATGGAAATGGTGTCAGAAGACGCGACGAAACCTTCGGAGTCGTTATCGCCCAAGCGTGTCGTTGATGAAGGCTTAGACGCCATAAAAAGTGCAGAAGAAGATGCGATATCTACGAAAGCAAAGATGGAGAAAATGCTCGTCTCCGGCGCGCCGGACGCTCAGAGAGTCGTTTCGCGAACCTCGCTCTCCTCCGCTGAACTCGAAGAACAGGATAAACAAGTCGCGGACGCGATGCAGAAGACCAAACGCTCCGAGGTGGATTCTTGTACAGACGAAGAAACAGACTTTGAAATGCAAACTCGAAAGTCCAGACGTCGCGCGCAACTCTCTCGGTTGTTGGCTATGGTTTTAGATACCTCCGGCGTGAGCGACGAAAGACGCATGCTCACGGAATTAGTCGAGCAAAAGTTAGACGCTTACACCGAACGAAAGGACGAGCTGGTGGAGTTGCGAGCGATGCGCGCGGGTGACGGTGGAAGTGCCGATCCGTTTTACGACGAAGATCCGTTCGCGCCATCGCCGATAGAGTTGAAAAAGATGCGAGAGGAAGAGCAAGATGCGAGTCTCCACTCCAAAGAGGAAGCTTCCTTGACGGATAAAATCGCCGACGACGTCTCCGCCCGCGTCGACGAAATGCTCCGAAAAGTCGAAAGCGAACTCTCCGCGGCGGAAACCGCCATCGGCGAAAAATTCAAACTCCTCGACGCCGACAACGACGGCATCATAAGTCTCGAAGAACTCCTAAACGTCACCAACGTGTGCAAAACCACCGAAGTCGGCGAAGACGCGGAGAGTGAACTGAGAGAGCTCTTAAAAGACTTATCCGACGAGGAAGGATTCGTTCGCGTGGAAGATTTGAAACGCCTCTCCTTGGAGATGTTGAGAGCGGAAGCCGCCGAAGAAGAAGAAATGGGAGAAGACGGCGGAGGAGGGGGGGAAGACTCGATGGTGAAATCTACCAGTAAAATGTAGTCGTCTCTTAATAATAGCAACGCGTCGTAGTCCTTTCTCTCTTCTTGAGAATACACGAATATCTAATACTAAAGAACCACCATCTGAGAGGAATATTTCTTCTACGCGTATAAATACACAAAAGGGGATCGTTCAGAACAAACAAACGTAAACTCTTTCTCCACAAATTCGTCGTAAACGTATTACACATCGAAAAGAAAATGCCGTTAAACCTTGGCGATACTGTCCCAGACTTCTCCTGCGACTCCTCCGTCGGTCAAATCCACTATTACGATCACGTCGGCGACGAACATTGGTCCATCTTATGTTCGCACCCGAGTGATTTCACCCCGGTGTGTTCCACGGAACTCGGGACGTTGGCGAAACTTTTACCGCAATTCGAACGAAGAAACTGCAAAGTTTTAGCGTTATCTTGCGACAACGCGGAGTCGCACCGCAAATGGATCAAAGATATCGACGCGAGCGGGTATTGCGGGAAAACCACGTCCACTGTTTCGTACCCAATCTTAGCGGATGAAGAGAGAGCGTTGGCGGTGAAATTTGGCATGTTGGACCCGGAGGAAAAAGACGAGAAAGGGCAACCGTTGACGTGTCGCGCGGTGTTTATCGTGGACGATCATAAGAAGTTACGCGCGACGATTTTATACCCGGCGACGACGGGGAGAAACTTTTACGAGATTTTACGAGTGGTGGACTCGTTACAGTTGACGGACGAGTATCCCGTGGCGACGCCGGCGAATTGGGAGAGAGGCGAGAAAGTGTGCGTGACGCCGTCCACGCCGGACGAGGTCGCGCAGGTAGTTTTAGGGGACTTTTCAGTCGTGAAAGTACCGAGTGGGAAGAAATATTTGAGACTGTCGAAAGATCCGGGGTATAAAACGCCGAAAGTTTTGAAGAGAGGGATGGTGGAGACGATTTTAGGGACCGAGTATGGCGCCAAGTTGTTGCCGACGCTCGGGCGATTGGTCGTCGCGTTCGCGCTGGGCGGCTTTTCTTCCTCGTTCGCCTCTTCAAAGAAAAAAGAGAAACCTGTTCACACTACTCCTCAAACGAGTGGGTGGAAGAAGAGATGATTAAGAAGCGATGGTGGTCACATCGTGGGCGTGCTTATTTACGTGCCATATTTATTATCGTACTAGTTGTAAAAAAAGAGAGGATCCAAAAGGTGTCGTCTTGTGTGTATATGAAGTGTGTATTTTATGAATGTCTTTCACGCGTTTCGTTTATTTCATATTTTGAATCCATCGTTTTGTTGATGATTTACGCGGCGAGCATGTTCACGTGGTGCCCCCACGCCAAACCCGTCGCTAAAAGACCAAACACCAGAAACGGTTGCGCCGCGGCTTGGTACTTCACGTCGTTTTTAATCGGATCCGGCAAGAAGAACTTGAACTGCGCGAAGATTTGCGGCGCGATCAAGCAAAACAAAACGTTGGAATAAAAATCTTCGCCAATGCCTCTCAAATAAAAAGCGACGAACAATTGCGTCGCGTCGATGGTTCCAACCGTAATCCACTTCGCTTTTTCAACCCCAAATGCGACGGGTAAACTTTGCAAACCTAACGCTCGATCGCCTTCGATGGATTTGAAATCGTTCACGATGGCGATGCCCAAACCGGCGATGGAATACAACACCGTCAACACCATCACGTCCGGCGTCAACTGACCAAACGTAGCCATACCGGCCCACCACGGCAACGCGATGTACGAACTTCCGAGCGCGTAGCATCCTTTCCAACCTTCTGCTTTCAGCTTCAACGGCGGCGCGGAATAAATATACGACACCCAACTCCCAAACACTGTCAACAAGAAAATCACCGGGAAATCGTGTTCGCACCACTGATCCAGCTGCCACCCGCACGCCAAACCACCGAGCAATAAAACCGCAATTTGTGCTTTCACGGCGGTTTCACTGATCGCACCACTCGGAATCGGCCTGTACGGTTCGTTAATCGCGTCGATTTCTCGGTCGTACCAATCGTTGATGGTTTGCGTGTACCCGGTTAAAAACGGCCCGGACATGGTCATGCACAACAACGCCTTCCCGATGTTGTCTAAATTCCACTCGTAATGCCCGCTCGCGGCGGCACCGCACATGACTCCCCAAATTAAAGGTACCCACGTCCCTGGTTTCGTCAACTGAATATGAATTTTCCAAACCGGCACGTCCTCGGTACTCGCGCCTTTAAAGCCCAATATTTGTCTCACGTCGCCTCCTAATTTCGTCTCCGAGACGTTCGTTTCGGACGCTTTGATGTTCAAATCGTCCACTTTATCCCCCGCCGCCATGTTCGTGACGATGAGTCCTGAGTCATGTCTTCTTCTTCTCTTTTGCTCCATTTTTATAGACTTTGATGACGACTTAAAACTCGTCTTCAAACTCGTTCCAGGGAAAGAAGAAGATCTCATCGATGATGATGATGATGATGATGATGATGACGATGAAAACAAAGACGAACTTCGTCGCGAAGCGTTCATCACCACCGCGTTCATCGCAGCAGCAGTCGTGGTGCACACAGATAAGATAGACGCCATTTTATACCTATTATAAACTAATTTATTAAGCACCCAAAAAGCCCGTCGTTTGATGTGACAAGAAAAGGAGTACTATATATGAGGACACACGATAGAGAAGATTATCCAAAACACGTGAGAGAAAGAAGAAAGAATGAGATCGACGATTTTCGCATAAAATTTCGCATAAAACCCTAAACACTGAGTTGCGCAAATTTGAGCACCCCCTCGATGCGTTCAAATTTCCTCTCTTTCACACAAAAACGACACAGAAAGAAGACGCGAAGAGAGCGAAAAATGAAGAGAGACTTTTACCACGCTCCTCTTTAAGATGAGTGCGAAGAAGAAACCTTTGAGGAGGATGCGATGATGATATGAAGAAAACTTTAACGCGATCATACGTAACGGTGGAAGAGCTGGACGCGCTCGCTCGAGAGCGACTGGCGACGCATTACGCGTTAGAAACGGCCAGATTTTCGTTCGCGTCGGAGGATGTTCGAAATGAAATCGTGCTTTCGTTGCATCATCGTTCAAAGTCTTCGTCGTTGTCGTTGTCTTCTTCTTCTTTTAATGGTGGTGAAAATGATGAGAAGGATGATGTCGATGGAAAGAATGCTCGCGAAAACGACGAAGCGTTTAAGAGAAAAGATGCCTTGTCGAGGAAGACTTTGAAAATCGCCCTGTGCGATTCGTCGAGAATGATGCGAGAGTGGTTGAAAGCGAGGGAGGTGGATTTGTTCGAAGAACGGGTGAGATTAAACGCGGTTCGAGGATTGCCCGAGGAAGTTGACTTTGAAGACGGCGTTCTTTTCGACGAAGAAAAAGAAGTCAAAGAACACGAAGAAGAAGAGAAGGAAAGATGTTATTGGTTTCCGTTCGAAAAGTGTCGACGACTGATACGCGCGCGGAAAGTAACGATTATGAAGAGAGGTCAGTGTTTGGTTCGAGAGAGACTGGTGCCGTACGTTTGGTTCGCGGCGTACGAGGACTATTTAGAGGAAGATTTAGAACGCGCGTTTCGAGAGAAGCGGTTCGCGTTGGCAAATAACGCCTTCGATGTGGGTTTAAAAGACGTTTGCGACCGGTTGAAAGTGTGGAGACCGGACGTGGACGAGGAGGACGGGGGCGAGGTTCACCCGTTGATGGCGCTCGCGACGAAACATTTACTGGAAAGGAACAAAATTTTAATGAAGAATGCGACCGCTGGGAATAAGAAGAATTTGAAATACGGTGGCACCGAGAACTGGGGAGTCGTCCGAAGGGACTCGAGAAGAAAGAAGCAAAGATTAGGTGGCGGCGGTGGGATAATGTTAGAATACGAAGACGAAAACGGGAAAATGAAAACGTACCACTCGAGAAAACCATCGAAAGAGTTGAAACGTTCGTTGAAAGTTATCAAAGAAGGCGCCACTGGAGCGCACGCGAAAGTGTTTCCGCCGTGCATGAGAGACGTCATGGACGAGTTGCACGTGAAAAAACATCTTCGACATTTCAAACGGTACGAGCTGAACTTGTTTTTAAAAGGTATCGGTTTACCTCTGGAAGAAATATTCAAAGTCTGGCGCTCCGCGGTGTTCCCTCACGGCGCCATGGGCAACTACCAAAACGAACACACGTATCAACTGAGACACGTTTTTGGTTTAGAAGGCCAAATGAAAGAAAAGTTCGAACACGATTGCGAAAAGTTGATTAAAACGTCTCAAATGGAACCGCACGCGGCGAAATGTCCATTCGCGATGCCTTTGAACCAGTATCGAGCGTTAAACGCGAACGACCATCGATGGAAGCGAGAGATTTCCATAGACGCGAACCAAGAGATTGAGATGAAAGTTTCCAGAGGCGATTATAAGTCGGCGTGCGAATCGTACTTTTCGCACAAACACAAAGGTGAAAAGATGTTCAACGCGAACGTTCGGTACCCGACGGATTTCTTCGACGCCGGGATGGAAATTGAAGATTGGTTTCGAGACGCGAAAGAGGAGAGATTAAAGCAGCTAAACGCTTCGAAAAAAGAGAACTTAGAGGATGAAAGTTTTCAAATCGAAAAGGAAAAGAACACGACGACACTTCTAGCAATAAAAGACGACCCCGATTTAATGATTGAATCTTCTTCCTCGGACGACGATTCGGATATCGACGACGGTGAAAACAATCCAAATCGATTCCGAGGCGAATTGATTGTTAGCGATAGCGACGATTAGCACGCGTACCTTGTAGGTACCTTGTAGGTAGTAGTTTAATCATGTATAATATACAGCGCAAAAGTAAGTAATATCGTCTCCTCGAGGGAATCAGTTGCTCTCCGTCAGCGCTCTTCTCCCGACTCTCACCAACGTCGAGACCAACAAAAAGCTCGCCGCGGAGAGAAACACCAACGCGAAAATCTCTTGGTCGATGACGGGCACTCCCAACTCTTGCGCCACTTGCTCCATGGGCCCTTCCGCGAGGAAATAATCCCCGATAAACGACGCCGTGATGCCAAGCATAGCCAAACGCCCGTTAAAAATTTCATACTTTTTATTCTCTCTCACTTGTTCTCTCCAGGCGGACTTCACGATACCGGCCATCGCGTCTACTCTGTTCTCGCCGTTCGGACGCGACATTCCGCTCATCGTCGACGTCGACGGTTTCCTCAACCCGCTCGTGACGGCGAGTAAAAAAACCCCGCTCAAAAACACCCACACCAATATAATGCTCTCCACGTACAACCCCGTCACCTCTAACACGTCTCGCGCCAAGTTCAAAGGGTTGACCACGTGGGTGACTAAACTCTTCTCCTCTCCGATGAGTTGCTCTATTGGACCTAACCCGTTCGTGGAAACGTCCAAATATGTCGTCGCGGCGAAACCGAGCATGGCGGACCGTCCCAAATTCAGTTCTGTTTTCGCTATAAAAGTTTGTTCATCTTCTTCTTTGTCTTCTTCTTCTTTTGCTGATGACGTGACTTTTCTCGCCCGATTTCTGCTTCTGATGCCGACGACATTATCTAATCTCATCTTCCTTCTTTGTCTTCTCACCGACGAATTTTGCGAAGAAAAAAGAGACGACGACGACGAAGGTTGTACTCGCAAAGAAAACGCCACCATCGTCGTCGTCGTGAAAGCGTATTATCGAATACTGCTCTTTTCTTCTTCTTCTTTTGATGATGATGATGATAAACGTCGCGCTTATATACTAAAGCGTTGTATTCTTTTGTGGTCGTTTTATTCCCGAAAGAGAGACACTTTTTCTCTTTTCGTGGCTCTCCTTTGTTACATTCTATTTAGGGTTTATACAAACCCTAAACAGACCGCGGCCTGCTCGACACACTCATTCATTACTACAATCGAGAGAGTAGTAACGCGATGAAGACGACGACGACGACGACGAGCGTAACATCGAGAGCATCACTTTTACCCTCATCATCATCATCGAACGAATAGAAGAGAGTTGTTGCGGAAATTAAAAGTAACTCTACTCTTTGTTTTTGTTGTCGTGTTCATATCACATCTCTCTCGTTCGAATTTCCCCTCGAAGAACTCTCTAGAGGCTTCTCACGCGCGGAACAGTACCATTGAACAAGAAGAAGAGCTGTTCGTTTAATTCGCATTCACACGAATAAAGGAGGAAAGAGTAGTATGGGCGCGTCGAGTTCTCGCAGCTCTGTGCCTCGTTGGAACACGTTACACGAACGCGGTCGAGGAAAAGAAGAAGCAGACGCGAGAGGAAAAGAGACAGAAGAAAACGAAGACGTCGAGAAAGGCTTGTGTGGGTGCAAGAAAAAGAAAAAGACGAACGCGAAGTACGGAAGCAATCACACGAATACGATTCAATCAAAGGAGAAGACGAAGAAAAAGAAGGAAGAAAACTACGACGCGATTATAGGAGATGAGAACGACGAAGACCGGCGACGTCGGTCGCGATACGACGGACGGAGTTCGCAGTCGGTTTCGAGCGAAGACGAGGACGAAGTCGCGAAGCGATTGCAATACGAAAGCCTAAGCGCCAAGACGAAGAAAGGCACGCACGGGAGCAAAGAGAGTTCGTTGAAAAGCAGCGAGAAGAGCAGTAAGAAGCAACTGAGGAAGGAAAAAGAGCAGTTGGCGATGAATGCAAAGTTGTACGATCTGGAGAAGCAAGAAATTCTCGCGACGAGGAAAAAATTAGCCGACGAAGAAGAGTTGGAAAAAGGCAGAAGGATGTGGTTGTGTTCTGGAAGTCCGTGGGTTTCCAGAGTTGCGGTTTGCGTGTTACTCGTATTAGTGGTAGTTTTAGCGACTATTTTAGGCACCGAGTTGCATTATTACGAGAGAGGCTTGGCGTATTTCAGAGGCGAAGAGTACATTCCTCCGATGGCGTACGACGGCGGGAGGAGTAGGAGGAAGAAAAAGAACTCTCGAATCGACGACGAAGTGGAAGACGAAGACGATGTAGAGCTGGGCGAGAACGAAGAGGAAGAGGATGATTCGGAGTTTGACGAGAACTTTGATAAAGACGGCGGCGCTGGAGCGGCGCTTTCGGTAAACGAGCGCGAGATTAAGATGGCGAAGAAATTGATGCAAAAAGTGAGAAACTCCAAGACGCTTCCGAAAGATCGCAAACAAGTCGAATTGAGAGGATTGAACGAAACATTGACGAACTTACAGATTGAAAGAGTTGAGCTTCTGAACGAATTCGATGATAGCGATGACGCTAAGTCCTCCTCTTCTGTCGCTAAGGTTGGTTTAAGCGGCGAAATGGCGAAGAAGATTGCGAATAAGAACAGAATTCTGGAAAACAACGATCGAGACAAGACGGGCGCGTATTACAACGCGAACGCACCGTTTAGGTACCCTTGGGGAGGCACGTCGCCTGGTACGAGTCATTCAGATGAATCGAGTTCTTCGTCAAAGAAGGGAGGGCTCACCGAGGACGTTTCCGAGCAGGACATTCTTCGCGGACAACACTTTGACGCGGACTTGCGAGGTAACGCGATGTCGCGCGAGGAAGTCAAGTTGTCCGTCTCAGATTTCATCGCGCGTTTGAAAGAGAAAGAAGGCGTAAAAGGGTGGTCGAAGAACGTGAGAGATACGGTCGCCTCGGACGATTTTGCGCACAGAATCGCGCGATCGATGGTAAACGACGTCCGAGGCGTTTCGGACGACGAGGACATTTTGTGGTCGCACGCCGACGACGTTGCGTTGCCGGAAAATTCGGATATCACCGAGGACGACGTATTATCTCGTCTAGAGTTGGAAAAGAAACTCAACGCCGTCGAACAAAGTCTCGCAGAGGAGAAAGGTAAAGACGAGTGGCTCGCGAGAACTGCCGCGAAGAACTCCGTCGACAAGTTTCTCAACGAAGCCGATTTGAGAGGACGGATCGAGAGCGGCGAGGTCGATCCGGAAGTTCTCGAGAACTTGATCGAAGCCGTGCAGCAAAGCGAGAAGTCCAATATCGACACCGTGAACACTGTTGAGAACGACGTCATGAAGAAACTTCATCCGGCGAAGAAAGCAAAGAAGAAATCATCCGCGAACAAGAAAAATAGCGACGCCGACGACGTTCAAGAAGAAGGAGAGAAGCCGAAGGAATCGCATCCAATGTCTCTCGATGATTTATTCGATATTCCCACGGATGGTTTGGACACCGGCGGCGACGACGACGACAACGAAACCGGATCGAAGAAGAGCAAGAAAAAAAGCATCATCAGTAGTAAGAATCGTAGCACTAGCAGCAGTAGCAGTAGTAGCAAAAAGAACGCGAAGAAGAGCAGCGGCGGCGACATGAAAAAAGCAAAGAAAGGAAAAGAGGAAGAAAAAGTAGACTCGCCTTCGCCGCCCGAGGACGGGAAGAAAGGTTTACTGGACGAAATCTGAACGAGTTTTAATAAAACGCCTTCGTATGATTCACGTGTCTTTATTATCTATGTGTGTGCGGTCTCTACAATAACAACAACATACTCTACAGGACTTTCGTATTATTAAATCTCGCGAGAAACATTTCTTTTCGCTGCGTGTATTATTAAATTATTCACTCGTGCGTCCTGTCGTCATCATCCCTTCTCTCCTCTCAACCCCCCCAAAAATCATTTCGTGTTGTTCGTCGTTTACATGACAACGCACCCTTTCTTCCCTTCCTTTACCCCGTCCAACCTCTTCGACGATCCCCCTTTACCGAACAACTTCTTAATCCCCGCTTTCGATCCTTGCGCTAACCCCTCCGCGGTATCCCCGTCAGAATTCTTAATATCCGTTCTCACCCCGGCCGCTAACAACGCCTTCACCGAACTCGCCGCGTTTGCCATCACCGCAAAGTGCAACGCCGTCCAACCGTCCTCGTCTTGCGCGTTCAAATCGACATTTTTGGAAATCAAATAGTCCAAAACTTCCTTGTATCCGTGCACGGCGGCGGACATCGCCGGCGTGCCCCCGTCCGCTGCTTTCAAGTCGAGCATGGACGGACCGCGTTGCATGGCTTTGAGCACGTCCACGTGGCCGGCGCCGGCGGCAATCATCGCCGCTGTCTTTCCCGCGTTTTCTGTTTTAATAAGAGAAAGAAAGAGTTAAGAAAAAAATTATTAATACGTTTGTCGTTCAAAGTTTGTTGTTTTTTGGTTGAAATTTTCCTCTCGATTTTCCAAGAACAGAACACCAACAAGAACGAGAAGAACACACAAAAAGCGATTGAGGAAAAAGTCTCTCGTAATCGCGCGCCGCCGACGAGGACTTCGCGTCTCAACGACCCTCACTCGCATTCGAGAGCGCGCATCTAAATGCGATCGTCTCGAAAATCTCCGTTTTTGTTGATTTTCTCCTTCGCGATAAATCACACGACAAAAGGAGACTTACGCGCACACGAGATCGCGTAGAACAATTCGGTTACAAAAAAAAAGAGACATTTACGAGAGAATTTTCATCCCTGATGAAGTCTTACACTACTCTAAAAACAAACGAAAGAAACATACCTCCGAGCGCAGGAACGTCCAACTCCGCCCCGTCGTCCATCAACTCCACCAAGCGTTTCACGTTCCCTTCCGAAGCCGCGACGTGGACGGCGTTTAAGCCGGTGAATTGATCGTGATCGTTGATTGTCATCGTGTAAAATGTTGTGTTTGATATTTATGACGCAAAAAGCTTCGTTTTGCCTTCATTTTTTCACCAATGCTGACGATGATAATGACGACAAATACGAATGCGAGCTCCTTTGTGACGAGGACGGAAACGACGTCTTCATTGGCGTCGAGGAGGAGGAAGACAGCACGAGGAGGGAGGAGGAACAACGACCAGCAGCAAAACTCTCCCAAATTTCTCGTTGCGAAAGCAGGGAGGAGTTTAAACACGGGGAACGACAGCATTTTCAGCGTCAGCGTCATCGGAAGAAAAGCGAGGAGTTTTGACGAAAACAAGAGGAGTATTAGGAGCAGTTTTTATACCAACGCGAGAAGAGAGAGGATGAAAACGACGATAAGGGCGAACCCGGAAAACGACAGCATGGACGAGACGATGAAATCTCTGGACGATTTACTCCCACCACCGGAAAAACCAAAACGTGAATTTCCGGATTCGTTCTACGACGACGATCCGTCGTCTTCGAAACCTCCCGAAAGAAAAAGCTCCGGCGGAGTCTCGAAAGAAATGCGAGCGAAATTGCTCAACGAATCGGTCGGTTTAGGCGGCGTACCTGGGAAAGCAATGCCGTCGAATTTGTTCGCGAATATTATCTTAGTCGTCTTGGCGCTCGTCGCGGTGGCGTACGTCGGCGGGATCAGACCTTAATACGAGCTCGTTCTCGCGAAGTCGCTCCGGGAGAGTTTACGAGACGAAAAGAAGAGAAACTCTTCTTACGTTTTGGCCAAAAGCGAAACAGAGGAGTAACCAGTACGAGAGAGAGAGTTAAAGAGAACGTGTAACACTATTATTATTCACGCATCATATTTCGAACGCTTCGTACTCTCGTCTCGCTTATATCGCACATCTCGTCCAAAGCACCACTCGAAAATGCTTCAAAACGAAAGCGCTTTGACGACTTTAAAACAATGCTCAGTCTCAACGACAAAGACGAAGACCAAGAAGAAGGCCTCCCACTCAAACCCACACAGAACGATTTCGTAAACGAGGAGGAGGAGGAACGTATTCCTCGCGCCCGTTCGAAACGCGCGAGACGGGCGCCGAAAGCGGTGTACGATAACGACTTTGAAGCGCACGAGATTCAAAACGTACGCGTGGATTCGTTTTTACAACATTTTCATCGTCGTGTTTTTGTTCTCTTACATCTCGAGGAAAAGAGCGTTGAATTTTCGAGAAGAGGAGGACTTTTGTCGTTTACGTTTACGTCGTCCTCTCGCTGTTTTTGTCGTCCTTCTTCGTGTGATTGTCTCGTGATGTTGTTCTTGTTCTTAAGGATGATGATGATTTTGATTTTCAAACACGTGAAACAATGTGAATATTAACAAGTTTTTCTATTATTACGCACAACATGTTATAACAACAAACAGGCGATCAAAGCGTCCAAAGTCATCACGAACAGATGTCGAACGGACGGCTCGGACATTCCTTTAGCACCGATATTTTACCCCACGGAGGAGGAATTCGAGGACCCGATCGCGTATATTTGTTCGATTCAATCGAAAGCGGAAGCGTTTGGGATTTGTAAAATCGTGCCTCCGGATGGATACGCGCCGAATTTCAACCGCGCGTGCTGTTTCGGAGAAAAGAGTTTGGTCGAAACGAAACATCAAAACGTGAACAGGTTACAACAGGGCGAGAGTTTCCCGCCGGGGAAGACGTACGTCGGGTTAGAGAAATATAAGGAAATGGCGGATACGTTCGAGGAGAATTATAAAGAAGCGCACCCGGAGACGTTTAAAGATATCAAAGACGAGGACGATCTACTCAAACGAATAGAAGACGAGTATTGGAGAATTGTGGAGACCAATCCGAACGAGGCGAAAGCGGAGTGCGGGAGCTTGATTCAAACGAAAAATGTGAATAAAAAAGGCGAGGTTTTAGTAGAGTACGGCAGCGACGTGGACGCGAGACGGTTTCAGAGCGGGTTCGCGGCTGGGATTAGCGGTGATCCAGAGGATACGGAGAAACACCCGTGGGATATGTTTGAGTTGTCGAAGCATCCCGATAATTTGCTAAGGTTTGTGGATGACGATATTCCCGGTTTAACCACTCCGTGGGTGTATTGCGGGATGTTGTTCGCGACGTTTTGTTGGCACGTGGAAGATCATTACTTAGCCAGCGTGAATTACGCGCACAAAGGTTCGGCGAAAACCTGGTACGGGATTCCCGGAAGCGACGCGGAAAAGTTTGAAGCCATCGCGAAAACAGCCGTCCCTTCGCTGTTTAAAGAAAATCCGGACAAGTTACATCACATCACGATGTTAGTCCCTCCGGGGCAGTTGATTGAAAACAAAATTAAGATTGTCAAGTTGGTGCAAAAGCCCGGAGACTTCGTCGTGACGTTTCCGAGAGCCTATCACAGCGGCTTTTCTCACGGTTTTAACGTCGGCGAGGCGGTGAACTTTGCACCCGTGGATTGGATCGAGATGGGCCGAGTCGCGTGCAGAAACTACGTCAAAGGGAACGGGAAACGAAACGCGGTGTTCGCGCACGACCGCGTCGTCGTAACCGCGGCGAAAAGTTTGAAGAAAATATTTGAAACGACGAAATCGAGAGGCAAATGGATGGCGCACATGTCCAGAGTTTTACGAACGGATTTAGAGACGTTGGCGGACGAGTTGGAGAATTGGCAATCGATTTTGAATGGGAAACAGAGAGGCGACGGATTTATCAAAGGCGATCCGTTGCGCTTTTACAAGTGTCAAAACATCCCAGAAATGGATGGGCCGGAAGATTGTTGCGTCGTGTGTAAAGCGATGCCTTTTGCGGCGGTCGTGAGGTGCGAGTGCGAGTTTGGGAGATCGTTTGCGCGGTGTTTGCAACACTGGAATCGAGGGTGCGATTGCAAGCAAAGACACAGGATGGTGGAAATGCGCATGGAAGTGGATGAGCTGAGAGCGCTCGCGAAGAGCTTGGAGCTTTAAGTTTTGTTCTCTTCTTCTTCTTCTTCTTCTTTTTCAGTCTTGATGTGTAGTAGAGGTATATAGAATTACAAATGATGATCTGGTGGTTTATTACTTGGATGTTTTAGAAGAAGAGACGTTTCAAATCTTTCCTTTATGGCTATAAAATAATTGACTTGTGCTTTTTTCTTCTTCGTTTAGTTATAACGGCAACTCCGTCGGCGGCAACTCTTCTGGGTTCGGTAACATGTATTCCGTCTTCGGGTTCCCGTCGTTATCGGAACCAACGTCAAATTCCCAATCGTTTCTCTTCCCGTTGATTCTTTCCGTATACACGGCGTCGTTGAACGTGTCCGCAATCTTTTGCACTTTCCCAATCGATTTTGCCTCTTCCGAGTTATCTTTAATCCAATCCGTCATAAATGCGGAATATTTAATCGTTTCGCGTCTGAACGTGTACGCGACGTGAATGAGCCCGTCGTGAATGCCGTCTTCTTGGATGGACGGATAGGAATACTCGCCGTCGCCGTCGTTGGTGTGTTTGTCTCTGTTCGGTTGCTCGTGATCGAAATCAACGTCGGGTTCCAAATCGCGAATGTGGTCCCACGATTTACCCCCATCCTCGGACAAAGCGATAGACAACGGGAACCTCCCTTCGTTGCAGTTATCAAACACAAGCACTAGGACATCTTTGCTCGAGTCTCTCAGCTTGATCATTTGAATCCCCGCGTTGTTGTTCGGAAACTTGGTCGGTTTCGCTTCCGTCCACGTCTTACCGTCGTTCGTCGATTTCGAGGCGTAAATAAAATCAGCCGTGCGCGATCGAAAGAAACTGAGCAAGTCGTTGTTATTCAACCTCACAATCGTCGGTTGCACCAAGTTCCCTCTCGTACCGGGCATCTCCACCAGCGGATGCCAACTCTCGCCGCCGTCTTTGGAGGTTTGCAACTCGGAATACTGCGTAGACGCGTCAAAAAATCCGCTCGGCGTGTAATACATCGGCAAAATCAAATCCCCATTCAACGCTCGAATCGCGCTATTCTTCGGGAACGCCCCGTTCTTATGGTCTACGACCACTGGTTTCGACCACGTCTCCCCGCCGTCGGTGGAAAACAACGACCTCATATCCGACGTCCCTTGTCCTTCATACGCGGCTTGACTCGAGTGCACGATCCTCACGTGCTTCGAATCCTCCTTATCGTTTGGATTATTATTCCTCATCAATACCGGGTTCTGCGCCGACCGGTGCTGCGCCTTGCTCACAAACTTCGCTTGGCTCCACTTCGTCTCCCCTTTCTTCAGTTTACTCACCGCGATGCCAACGTTATCCCCGCCTTCGCTCTTCCCGGAAAACCACGCCAGCAAAACGTCCCCGTTCGGTAACGCTAACAAACTCGACGCGTGCGAGGACGACTCCGGTGGCATTAAAATCGCCGACACTCGGTCCGAATTCGCTCGATTCTTTCTGATTTCGTTGTCCATGGGTACTTGTTTGTCCCAGTACCTCCCGAACGCGGAGATGGTTTTCATTCCTCCGAGCGACGACGCTCCGCTGCTTCCTCCTCCGGCTCCTGCTTTCCGATGATTCTTCTTTTTGTCCTCGTCTCGTTTCACCGCAAACTTTGCGAAATACGCGTTTATTTGGGCGTATTCTGATTCCGACGCGTTGTTGTTGTTTTCTTCTTCTTCTTCTTCTTCTTTAACTTCGTTCTTCTTCGTCCTCATCGTCGTCTTAAACTTCGCCGAGGATGACGATGTTTTTCCTTTCCCCAACCGCGCGGCTGATGATTCGATCGAATTCGATCCTCGAGTCCTCACGGGCCCGTCCGGTCCGAACACCGCCACGCAGAGAAACAAAGTCACCGAGAGCAAAAGGAAAAACGTGAGCGGGGATTTCCGGTCCTCTTTCGCCAATCGCGGGTTCATTTTAAGAGAGAAGGCAACAGCGTTTGTCGTGTGTATCTTCCCCGCAAAAGTGAAGATTTTTGACGGAAATGGGACGCGGTTAAAGGGTTAGGTTTTAACACCCTAAACACGTTGCTTGTTCATTTTTAAAGTATTGTATTATTACGCTAAGAGGGCGTTCATAGTCTTCCGATCGTAAGCTTCTTCGTCGTCGTCATATAGATCGTTCCATTCCACATTGCTCGTCGTCATCGTTTTTGCGCTTTTGTTAATGACGGAACACCGATTGACAAAGTCGAGCAAAACGTCCGCCGTTTTTTCCGCGTGCGCGTCGTGGACGAGAAGCGCGTGACAACCGTCTTTGACCGCGACGACGTCGCATTCCGGGGCGAGACGTCGAACGGTTTCGACTGTTTTATGTGTTCTGACCAAAGTGTCTTTCATGCCGACGATGCATAAGAGAGGCAACGCTGACTTTTTTACCCCTCCCACCTGCGAAGAAGAAGAGCCCAAGCACTCTAAAATATCCATGCCTTCTCTCGAGTGCGCGTCTACGAGGAAAGAGAGGTACGATCGCGCTTGAACGCGCCTGGCGTGCGTCCAAAACGGTTTGAAGTTCTTCGCGCTCGCTTTGACGAAATATGACGCCAACAAAGACGAGATAAACCCGTTCAAAGAGAGTAAAACCATACAAATCCGGATCCAAAACGCGACGAACAGTTGGAACGAAGCGCTCCTTCGCAACGCTCCCACGACGCAATCGCTCACAAACTCTGACCTAAACAACCCGTAAAAAGCCGGCTCTAACGTCCCATTGACGATTCCAACCCCGTTCACGCTTCCTATTTCTTCGATCGCAAACTTCAATGCGACTTGTGCGCCTAAGCTGTAACTAATTAAAGTCACTCGTCGTCTGCGAGACCACGGCCTCTTTTTCCTCCTTGGGCCTCTTTCCTCCTCTAACGCTCCTTCTTTGAGTAATAAATTCGGATGCGTCCGGTAAAAGTGCTCTAAAACTTTCTTCATGTCCGACACGCACGTTTCCACCGTCAGTGGTTTCTCGTTCGAGCAATTCGACGATCGGCCGTGGCCTCGGTAATCGTATCGTATCGCGTAACAGTTGTGACTGCAACACCTTTCGATAAACTTTTCGAATTGGAAACCGTCGTTGCACACGCCGTCGACGAGGAACACGATGTTTGTGCCGTCGTCATCTCTATCGTTTTTACTTCTGAACTCGTCGTCTTTTTCGGCGTAAATGTATTCGCAGTAGATTTGGCCCCGGTCGCCGTTGTCCAAGGAGTGTCGTTCGACGGTCGCGAATGTGTGCATGGAAAGTCTGGAGGTTTTGGTGAAAAATGTGGCGAAAGGAGTAAATACGACGGGAGGATGGCGCGGTGCAAAATCGAATTCAACGGGATGATGATGATGCGGTAAAGAGAGTATTATTACTGTTTAAAGTACGTGTTATATATATATATGATGCACAAGTAAGTCAAGTCGCGGGCGGCGTCGAGCGTTCTTTCTATAAAAACGTTCTCTCTTTCTCTCTCTCTCTCTCTACTTTTTATCGAGCCACGCCAGCCGCGGTCTTCGCCTTGGACGCGAAGATCGCCTCTAACACGTCCTCGACAACCTTATCCGGCGTACTCGCGCCACTGGTAATGCCGACGGTCAACTTACCCTCCGGCAACCAGTTTTCAGTCTCTCGCATTTCGCCGTGCGAGGTTCTCCAGGAGATTTTGTTGTTTTCGGTATCGATTCTATCCGCGGTGTCTACCCAGAAGGAGGTGATGTTCGCATCTTCGGAGATTTCTTGCAAGTGCGAGGTGTTTGAACTGTTGAAACCACCGACAATCATCATGATGTCTGGCTTTTCGTCCACCAACTTGTAAATCGCGTCTTGTCTTTCTTGCGTCGCGTCGCAAATGGTATCCGTGACCAAATAGTGCTCGCCCAAATTTTGAACCCCGTGCTTCTCCATCATCGTTCTCTCGAACAATTTGCCGATCGCTTCAGTTTCTCCTTTCAACATGGTCGTTTGGTTCGCAACACCAACCGCATCCAAATCTTTTTCCGGATCGAACCCGTCCGAGTGCGCGTTTTTGAACTTTTCCATAAACTCCTCCTTGGTCGCCGTGCCGTTCAAAATGTAATCGCACACCCAACTCGCCTCTTTCATATCTTTCACCACCAAATACGTCTTGGCGAAACTCGCGGTAGCAACCGTCTCTTCGTGCGCGTATTTACCGTGAATGATACTCGTAAACTCCTTCCTCGCGTGCGTATCCACCGCGTTCCATACTTTGGAGACCCACGGACACGTCGTATCCACAATCGACACGCCTTTCTCCGCCAACAACTTCATCTCGTGAATAGACGCACCAAACGCCGGCAACACCACAACCTCACCGGATTGCACCGGCTCGAAGTTCTTCACCCCACCCTTCTCTTCGATAAAGTTCACGCCCATCTCGCTCAGACGCATATTCACCGTCGGGTTGTGAATAATCTCGTTCGTAATCCACATCTTCTCCGTCGGGTACTGTTTCCTCGCCTCGTAGCACATTTGCACGGCGCGTTCGACGCCCCAGCAAAAACCGTAGCTATCCGCCAGTTTCACCGTTACTTCTCCTTCCACGTGGACAAAGTTTTTCTCCTTCATTTGCGCCACCAACCCAGTCATCGAGTACCCGATGCCTTCATCTTCCATAGTTTTCTTCGCCTCTGGGTCGTTCAAGAATTTACGCGTGTACTGATCGGATTTCCCGAGCTGACGACGGTACTCGCGAGGATCGAACGCCCTTTCTGTGGTTTCTCCTCCCGAGGCCATCGCGCGAACCATCTTCTTCGAACTCTTTCCATTAGTATTCGTGCTGCGACGACTAAAAAACGCATCATCATTTTTGTTGTTCTTGTTGTTGTTCTTGGACGACGACGTCGTCGCAGTCGTCGGCATCATCATCATCATCCTCGTCGACATCATCATCATTATCCTCGTCGTCAAAGTGTTTTTTCCTCTAAACTCGAAGCTTTGTGCGTGTTTATGTAGAGTAAACGGGTCAAGATTAGTGAGCAAAATGAGCTGAATTTTTCCCTATATTTTATCTCTTCAGGATTCGATTAGTGTTTAGGGTTTTAGTAATCGCTTTTTCTCTAGTCAAAATCTCTATGCTTCTTCCTATACGCCTTATTGGGCGCTTTCGCTAATAAACTGTAACGGGAGAATCTCCGCCTCCTGGACTTCGTGTTCCCCTCGTCTCGGCCTTTGCCAGGTGACCTGTTTGGACGCCGGGTGCCAGTAATATTTTTTCTTACTACTACTCTTCGCGTTCGCCGTTTGCGTCTTCTCTTCTTCCGTTCGGCTTTCTTTTTTGCCTTCTTTGTTGTTGTCGTTGTGTTTGTCGATACTACTCGCTGCGTTTTTTGTTGTTGTTGTTGTTAATTCCACCCACCCGCTTTCCGGCATGGTGTTTTGCGGCAGTAACGTCGCTTCGAGCGGGCATATGCGCAGATTTTTTTGCAAGCCTCCTTTGAGCTCTTTCGGCGTTTCCCACTGGCAGACTTTGGAGTCTTTGCGGCTGTTTTTAATAACAACGATACGGGAGAAGAGAGAGAGATGAGAAAATGAGATGTGAGTCGAACGTTTTTCGAGGACGACGACAAAACGGAGAGAGAGAGAGAGAGAGAAAAAAAAACAAAACGAACGGGTGGCATCATCCACATCATCCTCGTCGTCATCGATATTCGCGCATATTCATTCCGTTTGGGAAAAACACACAACACCAACGAACGCATCATACCTGAAAAAATACTTCTTGTTTGGATACTCCACGCAGCTACTCAGCGCGATCCCCCATCGATTATCTCCAACTTTAATCCTTTCCAAATCCACTTCGTCTAAAACTGTGCCTCCGAGCGAGACGGGCGGCATCGGCGGTGGCGGTATATTCTTCTTTCCCGATGGTGAATCTCGTTGTTTCCTCTTTTTCTGTTGTTGGTGTTGTTGTTGTTGTTGTTGTTGTTCCCGCGCGATCACCGCGGCGCGCTCGGCCAGTTTTTCGAAATCAATTTCGAGAGAGACCGTTTCATCTGCCGGAGGCAGAGGAGGAGGAGGAGGAGGAATATCCTCCTCGTTTTCTCCCGGAGGAGGAGGAGGAACAGGAGGAAGAGGTTGGTCGCTCATTTTTACTCTGTCGATTTTTCCACAACATTGGTCTCATTTATTCCTGCAAAACGTCTCAATTTTTTTTTTCCTCTCTGAATACTCCTCTCTCTCTCTCGCTCTTTGATCAAATGTCGAGACGAAAGAATAAACATCCGAAACGCGCGGTAAACGTAGAGACGGTGGTGGTTGCGAGTGCTGTGGAGGAGAGAGAAGAAGAAGAAGAAGAAGAAGAAGAAGAAGAACCACCGGTGTTGTGTTTGAGGATTCCTGACGAGGACGAAGTCGTTTTTGAAATCTTCGAGCAAAAGGAGATACGAAAAGAAAAGACGACGACGACGAGAGGGAAGAGGAAGAGAGGGCACGAGTGCGATGTTTGCGAGAAGGTTTTTGCAAAACCATCCGATTTGGCCAGACATATGCGTACGCACACGAACGAGAAACCGTATGAATGTGATGTGTGCGAGAAGCGTTTTAGTGATTCCGGTAATTTGAAGAAGCACATGCGTATTCACACGAACGAGAAACCGTACGAATGTGATGTGTGCGAGAAGAGATTTCGTACATCTAGTAATTTGAAAGTCCACGCGCGTATTCACACGAACGAGAAACCGTATGAATGCGATGTTTGCGAGAAGCGTTTTCGTCATTCTCAAGGTTTGAAAAGGCACATGCGTATTCACACGAACGAGAGACCGTTTGAATGCCACGTGTGCGAGAAGAGGTATCGTCACGCTACTGGTTTAAAGTACCACATGCGTACTCAACATTAGCTCATCATTTGTACTTCTAATTATAAACACATACACGTCGAGCATTCATCGCAGATACCGAACAACAACGCATACTCAAACGTATCGTCCACTCGTGCTCGATGTCTAAAAATTTGACCTTTTGACAAGCAGAAAAAACCTCTCCATAATAAATAAACACTTTTGTCGTCGTCATGTTGTTGCGAAAAGTCGCCCGAGAGTTACGTCATTCCTCGAGGAACGGAAACAACGGATTAGTATTCTGCGCGTGTTCTTCTTCTTTCTCTTCTTTCTCTTCTTTGTCTTCGGACGATGACGGCAACAAAGAAGAAGAAGGAGGAAAAGGCGGAGAAGGATCGGAAGACAAAGAAGAGAACGACACCTCCAAAGTGGAAATGCGACACGCTTCGCGAAAGAACTTGGTTTCAAAATCCTGGGAATACCGAAAAGGCGAACCCTGGGGGTGGTTATACGACGCAACCCCGAGGAAGGAAACCATCCATAATTTCCTTTCGCAAAAGAACTCAATCTTAAGCGACCGCGTGAAAACGAAGATGTATTTAGACCACAAAAAAGACCCGGTGAAATATTCTTCGGAAAATTTAGCGAAGGAGTACATGGTGAGAGAACAACGGATTATGGCGATTTTAGCGCTGAAACGTCGCGAGGCGGAGTGGATTAAAAACGGGAAGGAGTTGGATTACGATTTGGAGGCGCGGTTCGAGGCGGTGTTCGGGACGTCGGAGAGAGGCGCCGGGGAGCGGCACTACGTGGACGTGCCGACGTATCCAAGTTTCGAGGTGTTGACGGGAGAAGAAGCGAACGAGAGGACGCCGGGGCTAAAAGTCGATCCGGAGAAGTTAGCCATGAGAGAGGAGAGGGAGTTGGTGAAAACGTTCAAGGAGAGGTTAGATTTTAACACGGGCGTAACCGGGGCGAGTTTGAAGAGAGAGAGTCGACGAAAACACGCCGCGAAGAGACCGAAGGGTGGGTTTGCTTTGTTAGTGACGCCGTTAGGGAAAAACGCGAAAGATCCGTACGTCGCACCGTTGGACGGGGAAGTGCGACCGTTAAACGACGACGAGGAGGTGTTTAAGAACCAAAGAACGATCAAACCGAGACGACGCATCGGTTAAAAAAACAAGTAGAAATAAATACCGGCAGGCAATAGTAGTTATGTTTGTAATTCGTAGCGTAAAAGTACCCACATAGGAATGAACTCGTATTTCATCCAACAATACTATTTCAGTATTCTTTTCTTCTGTGTGCTAATGCTGCTAGTGCCTAATCTAACGTTTCTAATTCAGCCTTGGAGACGTTCGCTTTCACCTCCGCCGCTTCGCGTTCTTTTTTCCACGCCTCCAACCGTTCTCTCCTCTCCCTTTCGCCGATCTCAACGATTTTCTGTCGCATCTCGTGCGTCACTTCTCTCGATTTCGGTAAATCTGGCGAGTCGTGGAATTGCGTTAAGTCGTAGCGAAGGAAATCGTAGAGAAGTTTCCCGCGTCGTTTATCGCCTAAAATGGTTTGTAACTCTTCCATCGTTTTATCGCCAATTTCTTGGATGTTGCGACAGTGGCGCATGACGTTGCGATAGTTACCGGACGTAACTCCTGGAAGTTTACGCAAAAAGTTGACCGCGGCTTGATTGATGCCATTTTTGTTAAAACCGCGTTCGTCGACGTTTTGATCGTCGTCCTCGCCGTCCGCGGTTTTTGCAAAATCGTCCGGCACGCCCACTCGCGTCGCTTTCTCGATGGTTGGTTCGTCTTCGACTTTTTTCAATCCCGCAAATACTCGCGCCGTGAATCGTTGGTTTGGCGACCAAATGATGCGCAACTTTGGAAACTTAAGTATGAGCAACGTCAACTTAGTCTGCAAAGAATCCGGATTGATTTGTGCGGGAATTTCGCCTTTTGGTTGCAACGCGAACGAACGATCTTTGTCGAATTCAATCAACAAAATTGCCGTCTTGTAGTGTTTACACATCGCTTCGGCTTGCGTGTATAAACGACCGGATTTCAGCGATTGGACTAAATCTGGAATAGCTTTTCTTTCAACGCATATGTCCGGAGATAACACGTAATCGCCAACCTCGAGCGTGCACGGTAGAAGAGTGTATCCGCACTGGTGTAAAACCGCCGGCAACGTGGACATGAACTCGCGAATATCGACGACGACGTGGAGTAAAGTCAGTCGTTTCATGACTCTTCCGCCTGCTTTGCGCGTCGACACGGCATCGTCTTCCATCTTCTTTTTCAAATCTAAAGCGTCGTTTGCAAACAACGGTTTTTTGAGTTTCATCTGTCGCTCTTTATAAAGCGCCAACTGCATTGGGTTCGTGCTCGTTTGCCGCTCTTCCTTTTCTTCCTTTTCTTCCTCTTCGCCGAGTTCGTACAAGCGGCCTTCTTGTTCTTCTGGCACGGCCATGTGTTGTTTCATCATGAACAAGCGCTCGAACGCCGCCGTTTCGCGTTTAATCGCGGCGAGATATTTCTCCTCTTCCGTCGAGTTATCGTGCATTAAGAAGTAGACGGTCAGTTTCCTCTGCGGTCGAGACGCGGCAAAGACCTCGAGTTCGCGAATAAAGGCAGCGTCTGGGTCGTACACGATGACGTAGCTTGGTGCGTAGATGGCTAACTGCGATGGGTCGCGCGCGTCGATGGGAACGAAGTAAATGCCCTCTTTACGATTCTTCTGCGAGGCGAGCGCGACTTCGTCTTCTTCGTCTTCTTCGTTGTCTTCATCGTTTCCCTTCTTCGTTGTCTTCTTTACTTTTGCATCGCTTTCATCGTCGTTCTGTTCTTCCGTAGAGTTTAACGAAGAAGGGTCGATGTCCGGACGTGCGGCTAGGCGCTCTACCTTTCTCTTCTGTTTCTTCTCCTTGGCGCGCCTCAAGGCTTCTTTCGCCAGCGCGTCTCGCTCGTCCGCAGGCATGGAGAATCCACCGGCTAGCCCTTGGGCGTTGTTATACCCCATGACGCGCCCGCCTCGACCGATTCCAGGTCCAGAACCTCGTCCGCCTCTTACTCCGCCTCTGCCTCGACCGTACGACGCGGAGTAAAAATTCCCGCCTCTGCCGCCGCCGCGACCTCGTCCTCCAGCGTGTTGTTGCTGAAGCTGTTGTTCCTGCACTTTCGCCGCCGTGGACGCTCTTCCTACTCTCGACTTCAAAAAGTCTTCCCACTTTGCGTTCGAAACCTTTTCCGATCCGTGCACTAACAACATCTCCAACACTCTCACCGCTGCCTCGTCTTTCGCCGCAACGACGATCCTCTGATCGTCCTTCGGCAACTTTCTATCCGAGGCATCTTCGCGAATCTCCTGAATGACTTCCTCCAGTAACATCCACTTCGGCATCGGTTCAAACGTTGGGACAACACTCGTCTCGTACTTCTTCTCGTCTTTAATGTTCAACGCTCTCAGCTCTTCTTTCTTCTGCTTGGAAATTTCAATTGGTTTCCTCTTTAATCGATAGACGCGGTCTTTCGCTCGTTTGAAAATCTCCCCAGCCGCATCCGAAAACATCCAATACGAGTCATACCTTTCGGTGACTTTCAACATTTCGCAATGTTTTAGAAACGATACCGCGTCTATTTTTAACACTAAATCGGCTAACCGTCGCAACGTTCGTAAATCCCTCACCAACTGTTTCGTCTTCCTCGGAACGATGTTCCACATCGGCTCCAACTGTCTCGAAATCGTCGCGTCGAACGATTTGAACAGACCAGATTGTACCGTCAACTCCGCCACGTCCACGAAATCGCTCTTCCGCAACTCTTTCATGCACTGATCCATCACCTGCACGATAGCTTCTTGAATCTTTTTCATATCCTCCGTCATCTCTTGTCGCAACTCGACGACGTTCGGTTCGTGCGGGTCTAAACAGCTCTTCACGTTCATCCGAAACCGAGGCCAAAACGTCACGTTCCTCACAAACAACGACTTCATGGACCTCTCCACGCCTTCAAACGCTTTCGACGCGTCGTACGGGCGATCGGTCAAACCTCGCATAAAACCTCTTCTGTTCTTTTCGCGAAACAATCTGGCGCAAAAACCTTCGCCAGAAATATCTTCCACCGAGTGCGCGTTCGCGACAATCATCCCGGCCACATTCTCCGCCGGTAACCTATTCGCCAACAAATCTACCGCAAATATCCTACTCGTGACAAAACACGGCGTTCCTATGGCGTAATTCCTCGCCCGAATCGCCATCGAGACGTCCGCGGTGACGTCTAAAGGCGCGTGCGCGACTTCCGGATACAACCGTTCGTATTCTCGAATCGTCGCCGTTCGTAACGTTTCCGACGCGCCAACTATGACAACCACTTTCGGTTTCACTATATTGTTATTAGTATTGTCTTCTTCTTCTTCTTTCTTCGATGTCGTCGTCTGCATCGTCGTCTGCGTCGTCGTCGCAGTTTTAGCAGCAGCAGCAGGAAGCACAAACGCCTCTCCAATCGTCTCCTTCTTTTCCTCCTCAAACAAACGCATCTTCTCTTTCCTCCTCGTCTCTGTCCTCGTCGCTTCTTCGTGCGACTTTTTTATCGTCATCGCCAAAACCGTGGCTACACCTAACCCTTCCGCGAGGACCGCGATGCCGTCTTTCGAGAGTAATTCGGACACGATTTCTTCGTGGAATTCCAAAGAAGGCACGGACGACAACTGTGGAGGATGTTCTTTTCCCGTCATCGTTTTCACGTCAATAACACCTTTAGTACACGCAAAAGCGCAGAAAAAGAGAGCAAAGAGGAAACGGTCAGAGAGGAGGAGAGTAAACAAAAGTGCTTCTTCGCGCGTTGATGCGTGTGTTTTCTTTACTACGAATATGAAGTGATTTTTCTGTGATGGATTTCACAACTGTTTTCTTGTGTCAAAGACGTCTCTCGAAATCACAACGCGACGCTCAACTTCCGGACGCAGTCCCGCAAAATGAACATCTTGTGCCGTCTGAACGCATCCACGACGTTTTCTATATCAATTCTGTTATTCGTATTCGTATTATTACTATTGTTGTTGTTGTTGTTGTTGTTATTCTTATTACGGCTTTTATTACTGCTATCCTCCGAGAACATCTCCTCGGCTTCGCCTTTGCCGCTTTGCTTTTGGACGGTTTGGATCAACTGTTCGCATCGCAAGGCGACGTCTTTGCGCGCGGCGTTTAAGGATTCGCGGTCGGTTTCTTGGTTGTTTGCGAGTTCGCTGTCGCCGGCGTATAAAGCGGCGAACGCGGCTAAGACTCTCGCGTCGACTCTCCCGTCTGATAAGACTTTCAATCGAGGTTCGGCGTCTATCAAAGCGCCGTCGGAGGTTTCTCGGAGCATTTTGCTGGTTTCTTTGTACGCGCGAACGGCGTTTTGTTCTCTGATGGCGATGTCTTCGCGTCTCCAGAACTCGTCGAAGCACATGGCGTGCCACATCATTGCCGAGTCAAAGTTTTCAAATATGATGACGTCGTCGTGCGGGTTTTTTCGCGGCACGAAGCCGTAGTAGAGCAAAAAGTGGTCGTTGGAACGTTCGCCGTACGACATCAACGCTTCCTCTCCGGGTTCTAATGTTTTTTGCGCCGTAAACGCAATCTCGCTCTCGTCTTCCTCGTCGGTGATTTCCGACCACGCGACAGTTTCGGTCGAAACCGTCGACGTGCTGCTTCTCGTTTCGTCGATATACTCGTCGCCGCCGTGGTTCAATAAATCCGCCAACGGTAAAAGCGCTCGAAAGTATCCCTCCCCGGTATCCCCGGAACTCACCCCGTACGTTCGCGAATGCACCACCGCGACGGCACACTTAAACTCCTCCTCCGAAGCCCCTGCTAACGCCTCCTTCCCTTCGCCTGCATTTAAGTCGTCGTACCATTTCTTCACCGCTTTTCGCATCTCCTCGATTTCCTTCTCCATCGGCGGGTAACAGATGCGCGATACTTCCTCGCTTGCGTAATGCAAAGGACTCGTTTCCACATTTTCCGGAATCAACTCTAAATACGCCGCGTACGCGCTCTCTGCTCCTTTCTTTCGCTCTTGCAAAAGCCTACACGCCAATCGCACGCCCCAGGGTGCTTTTTCAATCACTTCTCGCGTGTGTTCCGGATGTCCTTTCGCCTCGTCTACGATCCCGGATCTCAACGGGAGCGTCAACACGCACTCGTCCTTTTCGACCAATCTCGTCGCTTCCAGACCTCTGCCTTTCCCACTCGTGCTTGGTCGCACGCCGAGCCCGGAACCGCTGAATCCGTTTTCTATGCACCACCCGACCAGGTCTTGAACGATGGTTTGTTCTCGAATGAGTGCAGTTTCCAGTTCTTTCGATTGACACTTGACTGGTGTTCTCGTTGGTGTTCTTCTCCTTCTCCGTTGACGCTTCTTCTGTTGCTGCGATGCAAATGTTCTTGCACTTTTTTTACGACGCGGAACGAAAGAAACCCCGCGATGCGTCGACGTCGTCGTCGTGGTCATTTTGAACGCGCTCGAAAGTATCTCTCTCTTTCAAAAGTGCGCGTGCGCGTGTGAAGTTCTGCGCGTGGTTCTCGCGCTAAAAAGTGGATAAAATGGAGGAAAATTCACCTCTTTGCGTGACTAAATACGAACGAGAACTTTGATGATGAAACCTTTACGAAACGCGAAGAAGAAGAAGAAGAAGAAGAGAAACGCAGCACTCCTGATGATGATGGCGTTGCTCTTTTTCTCTCTCGCGTTGTTTTTCTCTCGGAAGCATCGTCCGTTTTCGTCGGTTTCGTCGCACCAAAACAACGACCAGAAAGGATCGTCGGACGATGCAAAAGAGGAGGAACCGTCGTCTTTGTCGTCATCATCCGCGGGAGAAAGAAGCGCGTTATTGGAAAAAAAGGAGAACGAGAAGGAGGTTCAGAAGAAGACAGAGCGTTACGAATGTCCAGACGTGCACAAAAACTGCGAATACGACGGCGCGGTCGTCCTCGATGGCGTCGCCGTTGGACCAACGAAAAGTATCTCGGACTGTTGTGAAAAGTGCGCGAATACGAGCGGATGCAACGTGTACGTCTTTTGCGACGAGAGTTGGTGCAAAGGACAGTGTTGGTTGAAACGCGTTGAAAATCCAGACGTGGAGAGACCAAAGTTACGGAACGGGGCGACGGAAGGCGACGCGAACGTGCCTTGGACGAGCGGGATGTTGATGAAGGATTTCGTGAAATCCGAAAACGTAGGGGAGGAGGGCGGAGGCGAGACGCGTGTGAAGACTTTGAAGGAGCAAGTATCCATTCAGACTCCAGTTGGAAAGTTTACGATTCACTTGAAACCGGAGTGGCACAGGAAATCGGTGGAGTATCTCACAGATTTAGCGGAGACCGAGAACGCGTGTCAAGGGAAGAGTTGCAAGTTGTATCGCGTGGAACCGGGTTTCCTCGTCCAAGGCGTGTTGCGGTCCTTCGTCGTTCGAGCGAACAAAGAAACGTTTCAGTTTCAAAAATTGATGGAATACGGCGACGTCGGGTGGGCCGGAGGCTCCGCTGGGCCGGATTTCTTCGTCTATTTAGGCGAAAAACCAGCCACGTGGTTGAAATTCGACCACACCATCTGGGGAACCGTGGAGGATCCCGCGAGTTTAGAAGTGTTGGAAAAGATTGTTAAGACGGACAGTCACACGCCGGGAGGGCCGAATACCATGAGGTTTTTGAAAGAAGAGATGCCAATTAGTGTACTTTAGCGCGATGTAGCAGCGCGTAGAATTGTAAAAAAGATAGAAATCTAGTAGTACTTATGAGCGAAACATTTTTCACTCGCGAGGACAACGGGGAGTCGCGCGCGTGTCTTCTTCTAAACTATGAATATTTAAAACTACTATATAAACTAAAACGTAACTATGCATGTGTGCGCGCCTATTTCTTCTTCCCGGAAGGTGGTCCTCCAGGCGGCGGTTTCGGCGGCGGCGGATTTTTTCCTCCTCCTCCCCCTCCTCCTCGTTGTGTTCCACCACCCCCAACATTAAAACTCTTCATCCTCTCTTCGTGCAACATCGCGTCTTTCCTTTTCAACTCGAGTTTCGCCGTATCGTATAAGCTCGATATGTTCTGCATTAAAATCCTATTCTCTTTCGTTATCCGTTCGTTTTCTGTTTCCAACTGTTTGACTTTTGCTTCCAACTGTTCGATCCGTTCTGCGTGGTGTCTCTCGCTCTTCTCCAATCTGTCTCGCGTGACTCGTAAACTTTCTCGCCCGTCCTCGCCTTGACTGGTGACGATGTCGCCGTAGAGTAAATCGTCCTCCTCTTTGTTGTTGGACATATTTCTCTCTCGTTCTCTCTCTCTTACTCTCTCTCTCGTCGCGAGTTTAAGAGTGTTGTTTTGTTGTTGTTTCACACCTTTTAGGGGAAACTTTAGGGGAATATTCGCGCGTCATTAAAAAGGAGAACTTTACGCGAGAGACGACGATACCCTGACGACGAAGATGATGGAGGAGGAAGACGAGCAGAACGAGATACGAAAAGAAACGAGCACGAGTAGGGAGGGAAGAGAAAGAGGACGCAACAACACGAGTGCGATGTTTGCGAGAAGGTGTTTAGAAGTAAGGCCGATTTGGCCAGACACATGCGTACGCACACGAACGAGAGACCGTACGAGTGTGGTGTGTGCGAGAAGTCCTTTCGTCGATCTGATGATTTGAAAAAGCACACGCGTATTCACACGAACGAGAAACCGTACGAATGTGATGTGTGCGAGAAGAGATTTAGTCGAGCTGATGCTTTGCAAAGCCACATGCGTATTCACGCGAACGAGAAACCGTACGAATGCGATGTGTGCGATAAAGCTTTTCGTCATTCTAGTAGTTTGAAAGTCCACATGCGTATTCACACGAACGAGAAACCGTACGAGTGCGATGTGTGCGAGAAGCGTTTTACTCAATCTGGTGCTTTGAAATACCACATGCGTATTCACACGAACGAGAAACCGTATGAATGTGATGTGTGCGAGAAACGCTTTCGTACATCTGGTAGTTTGACACAGCACAAGCGTACTCACACGAACGAGAAACCATATAAATGCGATGTGTGCGAGAAGCGTTTTCGTACATCTGATAATTTGAAAACCCACATGCGTACTCACACGAACGAGAAACCGTATAAATGTGTCGTGTGCGAGGCGCGTTTTAGTCAACTTGGTAATTTGCAAAGCCACGTGCGCATTCATCATTAGCTCTGCTTTTAAATGTGTCGTGTGCGAGGCGCGTTTTAGTCAACTTGGTAATTTGCAAAGCCACGTGCGCATTCATCATTAGCTCTGCTTTTAGCTGCTCTGTTATCTATTATAGTCCTAGATGTTTACACATAATGCATCGTTGCACGTTCATCTCGCGCAGAAATAGACGAAAATTTCCCTTGCTCTTCATCACATCAAAGTGAACAAAACTCTTCTTCAAAGTTAAAAAGGGCTCTCACTCGCGACAAAGAAAAGCGCAAACCGAAAACCTCACACATACAAACACACGATTGAGAGCGTTCTCTCGCGCGCTTTACGTAACGACACGTCATGGCATTTTCGGACCACCACGCGAAAGAGACCCTCCAAGCGGTCGTCTTGTGCGACTTTGACGAGCACGACCATTTCCGGCCTTTATCGCATCGTCGTCGGTCTCTCGCGACGGATGACGAGGAGGAGGAGGACGAAACGTTGTCGTCATCATCCGTGCCGAACTGTTTGCTCCCACTCGCGAACGTCGCTTTGCTCGATCGAACGCTGGAGTTTTTAATCTCGAACGGTGCGAAGGAGATATTCGTGGTGTGCGGGAAAAAGCAAAGGGAAGCTCTTGAAAAGCACGGGAAGCGAAGAGGGGGATTTTTGTGCGAGTCGTCGTCGAGCGCGAAGAAAGGGAGCAGCGGCGCCGGGGCGAACGCGACCGGGAGTGGGTTTACGATACGGCTTTTGCAAAGCGCGAATTTGGTACGTTTATTTATAGATTTTGATGGCTATTCTCTCTTCTCGTCGTCTTTGTACTCTTCTCGCGATTGTTTGTTACGTTTCGATGGCGCGCGATGCGAGAGACCGTTTGACTTACCTTTCACACGTATGATAATAACAGGAAACGGTCGGCGACGCGTTGCGATTCGTCGAGCAGCAGCAAGTGATCAATCATGATTTCATTTTGTGCACCGGAGATATCGTGGCGAATGTGGATTTGTCCCGAGCGGTGGCAAAACATAAGCAGAGGAGGAAGAAGGATAAGTTGTGCGTGGCGACGCTGTGTTTCGCGAGAGACGGGAGAGACTCGAGGGAAGGGAAGTTTGGCGAAGCAGAGCTGGTGCTTGGGCTAGCGAGGACGAGTTTTGGGAGCTCCGGCGGTTCGAGGAGTAATAAAGAAGAGAGCGAGAACGGTAATAGTAATAATAATAACGCGAACAACATCGACAACAAAAACGAAGATGAATTCAAGATTGTCGCGTTTAAGGAATCTAAAGGAGGCGTCACCAAAGCCACAGGAGGTCCGTTTACCATCGACGCCGCTTTATTTAGCGAACACGAAGAAGTGGAAGTAGAAACGAACGCTCGAGATTTACGCGTGGACATTTGCTCGCCGGAAGTTTTGATGTTGTTCACGGACAATTTCGATTACCAATCTATTCGGAAAGATTTTGTGTGCGGCGTTCTCGACGAACGCGAGTTAGGCAACCAGTTGCACGCGCACTTTATCGATTTGGGGAGAGAGTATTGCGCGAGAGCGAACGATGCGAGAAGCTTTGGCGCGATTGGAAGAGATGTGGTGAGAGGGTATTGCCACCCGCAAACCATCGATGGAAACTGCGTGCTCTTCGACAACACAAATAAAGAAGGGACGAAGTTTCGAAAGAGCAACTATCGCAAGATTGCGGCGGGAAAAGGCCATTGCGTTTCCCGATTCGAGAACTCGTTCGCAGACGACGACGTGACCGTTGATACATCTGCGTTCATTCAGTCGGGATGTGTTCTTGGCAGAAACACGAAAATTGGCGCGAAATGTGTCTTGCGAGACGCGATCATCGGTCAAAATTGTTCCATCGGCTCAAACGTCACCATCACCAACTGCGTTCTCTTTGACGGATGTATCGTCGAAAACGACGCGAAACTCACGCACGCGCTCGTCGGTTGCAACGCTAAAATTGGCGAAAAGGCCATCATCCATGCCGGATCCGTTGTTGGTACCGAAGTAGTCATCGGGAAAAACTTTGAGCTCGCCCCAAACTCTCGAATCGGCTGCGTGCCTCAATCGTCGTGCGAGGACGACGATTCGGACTCGGATTCGGACTCGTCGTCGACAATGTCTGGTGAAGATTCGAACGGGTCGCACTTAGAAAGAGACGAGCATCATCATCATCATCATCACAACGACTTCGAACACTTATACGGTGAAGAAATGGCGAAGAAGTTTGCCGAGCAATTACATTTAGGCCCGGACGAGGAGTGCTCTAACGCTCAATCCGTCGGCGCCGGTGGCAAAGGTTACCGATGGATATGCCCATCGTTTCGAACGAAATCGCTAGTCCCGGGTGTGGTTCCAAAGAAGAGAACTTATCCGAACGAGATGAAAAGTAGCAATAACAAAGTAGGCGAGATTGAAGTCAAAAAAGAAGCGAACGCGTCGGGTGACAAAGACGAAGACAAGGACGACGAAATGGAGGAAGACTCGGACTCTGACTCCGACGCCGACGAACGGCACTTCCACAAAGAAGTCTCGGAAACCTTTTTGAGAGCGTTGCGCGACGATACCATCGACGAAAACGTTACGGTGGAGCTTCAAGGTTTGAAAATGGCTGAGAACAGAACCTTCGCGGATATCGCGCGGTACGTTTTGTGCGCCATGTTTGCGTTATCCATGCCGCCAACTGCCAAATGCGACAAGCAGTTTCGTAAACTCTTTCCAACTGAATTCCCATCCGATGCCAACGAGTGCGTTTCGAGAGTGAAAAAACACGTCAAACGCTACGCGCCGTTGCTGGCCAAGTTTCTCAAATCCGAAGACGACCAGGTGGAAGTGTTGTTAACGTTGGAAGAATTTTGCGCTGAAGAAGGCGCGTTCAAAGATTGTCAAGGGAAACACGTTGCCAACGCGTTTGCAAAGATCTTACATCTTTTATACGACGCCGACGTCCTCTCTGAATCGGCCGTTTTAGCCTGGGCGGATGAAAAAGACGACGCGGAGGAGAAAGATTTGGTCTTCTTAAAGAAAGCCGCGCCGTTCGTGAAATGGTTGAGAGAAGCCGAGAGCGAGTCGGAAGACGACGAAAGCAGCGACGAAGAGGACTAATAATAGTACCAGAATCTATTATTCCTAATACTTATCTATTCGTAATACAACGTGCACTGATGTCTCCTCTTTAAAAAGCTACATTCAACCTTCCCCTCCTCGACGGGGACCCCGCGTCGAGAGCGACGCCTTCTCCAAAGCCTCTCTCCCGAATCGATGCAACCAAAACCCTTTCCCGTAATTTACGCATATTTCATCTCCTTTCCCAATCATTTCGCCTTTCTTCACTCGGATTCCGCACTTTAAATCCCCCACTCGGTCGCGATATTCAAAAAACTCCGCGTTCGGCCTTTCCCGAATGCCTCGAAAGTCGTTGCAAAATCTCGCCTCTGTGCCAACTGCATTCGCATCAATCACCAACCGTCTCTTTGCAAACGAATACGTGTAATCGCTTTCCTTATCCTCCTCCCCGTTCAAAGTCACGAACCCGTGATAATCAATCACGCGCTCCAAACTCGAGAGCTTCCGAGACGCGAATAATCCGTACGCAGGATACGCCGGATGGTTCAAATCAAGAATTGGTTTCCCGAGGCAGTTCTTTTTCGTCGCTTCTCTCGTGTGTTTGACGGCATGAAAAGTCGACGTTGATTTCAAACGAGAGGGACAGATATCGTCCAAGATGGACGAAGGGATATATTTGGAGAATTCTAAGGTTTCTATGCGTCTGTACGAAGGTAGTGGTGGTGATGATGACATCAAAATCCCTTTTCTATTAGTTTAGGTGTTCGTCATTTCCCCTAAAGTACGTACTACTTTGGAGAAGTTGTGCGGAGAATGACGAGGATTGAGCGAAGAGATACGATGGAGCTTATTATTATATTAACATGATAGAGTTATTACACATTACAACCAAGATTGCCAGGACACTTCCATGCGCGCTAAATTCTTCGGGTTCAACGCGCTTTCGACCAAATGAATGACACCTTTTTGCACCGATTGCAACTGCTGCGCGTCGTTGCCGCCGCCTTGCGTTTGGGCGATTAAGGACTTCGCGGTTGGAATCGGAGCGATGATTGGTAAGCGTTTCATGGCTTCTTCGACGTTCGCTTTGGCCATTTCGTTGACGGTAGAGGCGTCAGGTTCGGAGAAGAACGCGGCAGCAGCGGCACTCGTTTTCGCGGCGGCGTCGTTCGCGTCGACGTTTTGTTGTTGCGCTTGCTGCTGCTGTCGCCACGGCCAAATGGTCAACGAGTCGCGGAAGTACACGTCCAAGTGCATGCGCACGCTTCGACCAGGGGTGGCGCATGCTTGCGCAGCCGCGGCCATGGTGGCCACAAAGTCACCTTTGACGCCAAATGGCGTGAAGAAGGCGTGCAAATTTCTCGTGAGACGAAACGGCACCGGTTCCGCGTATTCGACTAAACCGTTGGAATCAAAGTTCGGGTAAAAGTCCAACATGAACACCTTGCCGGTATTTTTAGCGAAGGCAATCTTCCTCGGAGTACGTCCACCGATTCTTAACAACGCGGAAACGAACGAGGATAACGCCAGTTGTTGACACAATTGTCTCTTAAACGTCCATAAGTGCGCGCCATTCGGTAACGTCTTGTACATGTACTGCGAGAAGATGTTCTCGGTGACGTGTTGACTGGCGATATCCATGAACGCTTTCAAGCGCAACTCGAGAACAGCTTCCGGGCCACTGACTTGACCGAGAACGGCTGGATTCAACGCCGCTTTGAAGAGTTCCATCGGGATATCCGGATCGCGTCCGTAACGAGCGCAATTGGCTTCGTAGACTTCCCCGTACGTCCCTTGATTCTTGTCGTCTTCGACCAGTCGAACTTGAGGCCAAGCTGGGATGACCGTCGGCGCGTAGAATCTCAAGTTTCGTCGTCTCGATTGCGGATGGCGTTCCATAACCGCATTCAAAGCTTCCAACAATTGCAACGTACGCTCTTCACTTCTTGCCTGGGGCGTCAAGGACGTTTGCACCGCAAACCTGTGCTCGGTCCCATCCGCGGCGACAAACGTAATCACGCGGTGCGCGTTGCCGTGTCTGCGAACGACGTCGACCTCAGAATCAATCCATACCAATCGATTCCGCGATTTTGCGTGATCTTTTGCCGCTGAACCAGAGGCTGCTGATGCCGCCAACGCGGCCACTTCCGCTTTGTGGGAACCAGGCACCTCGACTTCGCGAAATTGCACGTCTCTTAATTTTGGTAATTCGTCCTCCAATCGCAAACAATTCGGAACGCGTCTCTCGACGTCTTCGCTCAATTTTCGTTTCCATTTTTTCAACTTTTGAATCAATTGCTCCAACGTTTTCGGAAACGTATCCTTCGCTGATTTCGACTCCGGGTCCAAATCTTGTTCGTACTGAGATTTATACTCCTTCACGAACTCAGCGTGTTTGGAAGACGTGTCCGGAGAGAAGCACGCCTTGGCGACTCCGGCGAGTTCTTTCTTGAACGGCGCCGGAACCTCAGACGTTGTCGCGCACGGGTACTTGAAACATCGGTGTAACAACGTGTGCACGACGACTAACAAGCGCTCCTCCGGCGCGCAGCCGAATCGAGTGCACAATTCGCTCAATAAAACTTCAATTTCAGCGACCAAGTTGCCAAACTTTGCGCGAAGTTTATCGACCGTTTCTTTCGCCGCTTGAAACACCGCGCGCGCTTCGGCCAAAGACGACTGCGCTTTCTTCAAGGAAAGCTCACGATTTTTCTTCTCCTCTTCGTCTTTAGGAACAGGAGTATTTTCGAGTTGATTGTACGTTTGCGTTTTTCGCGCCAAAGCGTCTCGTCGTTCGAGCAAGAACGTTCGCAATTGGTAATATACCGCTTGCGGGTGCGCGCACGCCAAGCGAGTCAACACCGCTTTGGCGTGAGGCGCTTCCGGTCTGAGCAAGACTAACAACAACTGCGGGATCCAGTCTATCCAAACCCATAATGGGATGGCATCCACGTGTCTTTGCAACGCTCTGCCAACTGCCACGGGATGCTTTGAAAAGCCCAACGCGTGAATAATCTTCACCACTCGCTTCCCGTGATCCTTGGGCGAATGTTTAATGGATTGTAAGACGCACGTCGCCGCTTGCTCGGTCCAAAAGGCTGCTTGGCCTTCGATGGGAGTACCGTCGGCGTTTAACTTGCCCGCGTTTGCACTACCATTTGCTTCCTCTTCCGCGTTCGCTTGATCCGCTCGCATTTGACAATACTCACCCCACGTGTTCCAAACTTCCGGTAACTGCGCGCACAAGGACACTGACGTGGCGTAACTTTCGTGCGCGCCGTCGACGTCGCCTAATCGCTCTTGGAACTGACCTCTCAAGTGAAAGAGTTTCGCTTGATGATGCGGAGCGAAATATTCTAAAGACGTCGAATCGAGCGCGTTCAATCCAGACACGGCTTCGCCTTCTATGTCTAAATACGCTCTCGATTGTTCCGAGAGTTTTACGAAAGCTTCCTGTACTTCCACGTGCGGCCGTTGCGTGGAGAGAATGCTCAAAGCCACTTCCGGCAAGTTGTGCTTTCTGGCGATTCGAGCAAACCTGTTCACCGCCCACGCTCTGTCGCGCATGCCCAACTGGTCGAGAGAGTGACCCGTCGCGTGCGACGCGACGTTGGGGTGTACCTCCTGGATGCTCTTTTGTGCTCCCGCAATCATGTCATGCATGAATCCTCGCCACGATAACACTTGATTGTGCCATGGAATCGGATCCCAATCGTTTGGCGTCCGTAAACGCCACGTTTCCAAAACGTCCTGCACTAACGTTCGCGAATGTTGTGGGTTCTGGTGCCCCGGTCTGGTACAATTCGCGAGCTCGTGCATGACTTTCCGAGACTCTTGGATTTCTGTGATGACGTGAAAGGCGTGGAGCATTGGGACGTGGCAGTTCGCGCCCGTTTCCGGTAAAGACCACCAACGATCCAATGCTCTCTTCACGGCAGCTGCCCAATGCTGTTCGGCATCGCGAATGCGTCCGGCGTGTAAACGAGAGTACGCGCGAACACACATAATCTCTGCCGTTTCTTCAACTTCAGATACGTGTCCAGGAGGCAAAATGTCCCTCAACGTGTTCCATTCGTTCAAACGCCAACTGGTGTGACATTGCAACTCGCCGTGGTTAACGGATTTCGCGAAGTCAGCAAGTAAGTCCCACTGGTTCAACTGTTGCGCGCACTGAATCCACTGCGCTTCCCAATTACACACTTCAGTTTTAGACACACCGGATAACTGACCGCTGGTAGCATTTTGCATGCCTTGAAAGAAGACGTCTTGCGCTTGCTGCCAGTGGCCGTGCTGCGCGAGAGCGAGACCGGCGCGCGTGACATCGGCGGCACATCTTTGACGCCATAAACCGACGAGCACGTCTCCTTCATCCAAAAGTCGATACAACTCAGCCAACGCGTCGAAGCATCGGTTTTCTTGCGGGTATCTAACGACGTGGTTTTCCAATAACGCGATGGAAATGTGCCACGCGTTGAACTTACCGCCCAAGAATTTAATCAACTCCGAAGGTATTTTCGGTTGCGGCTGGGATAAGGAGATGCCTTCCAACAACGCTTGAATGACGTTTGGACGCACAGCCGCTTGTCGTTGATGGTATTCTTTCGAAAGCAGCCCGATCATGGGTTTTGCCAATTGTAATTGCTCTTCGCGTTGTAAGGTTTGCCAAACGATCGGGAAGATGAGAACCCAGAGGTAATAAGCGACGTGCGTGTTGCGTTTGCCAACTTTACGAAGCGGGGCTACCAAATCAGAAACGCGGAGAGCACCACTTTGTTTGATAAACTTCGAGTGACGCGCGAATAATTCCGCGATTTCGTCGACGTCGTTTTTGTTGTCGACGTCTTTCGCCGACGACGATGCTTTTTTACCCTTCTTCGTGGACGCTGGCGCAGTCTTGTTACCATCCGGCGGTCCAGGCGGAGGCATCTTTGGATCTTCCGAATCCGGGAACAGACCTGCGACAACTCCAGAGTTTGGCGCTAACGTAACTTTTTCGTCCTCCGCTAATAGCTGTAAGATCAAATCCAAACCTTGCATGAGCCAAAACGTATCCGCCATAGCATCCCATTCTTGCACGGTGACGATATATTGCAGACGCAGAAAGAGCGACTGCCCAATCGCGACGTCGTACAGCTGGAAAAACTTATCCTTGAACAGTGGGTTCCGCGTCCGTAAGCCAAGCAAGTGTTGACGTTCGACTTTTGCAAACACCTCGCGTCGAAGGATTTCGTCGTGTTTCCCACCCGGCGCGCACAGTTTATAAATGGCGCCTAAGAGTTTGTTCTCCCAATCCTTCGTTTGCGTGGCTTCGAGACCCATGCGAGTGAGCTGCGCCATCTTTGAAAGAAATAAAACGGTCTCTTTATCGCTCAGGCTACCAATACGGCGTTTTTTCGGTTTCGAACCAGATATACTGGTGGAAACTGGGGGGGTAGTAGTAGCGGCTGCCTTCGTCGTCGTCGTCGTCGATATTTTACTCGCAGTCTCGGTCACTTGGGTCGTCGCCGCCGAAATTGTGTACGATCGCAACGGATCGTACGGCCCTAAAGCCGCATCGTCGACCCAATCGCACAACGCGTCTAAGATGGCAACCAATACCGCACCGTGCGTGCCTTTATCGTTGACCAATTGCAACAACATCCGTAAGAATAATTGCTTATGATCGATGACGCCAGCTGCGACGACGCGAGAGGCAACCGCTCTAACGCACTCCGCCACGCAGTGCGCGACGGAACCATACTCGGCGACTGGAGCGTTTTCTTCTTTTAGCTTTGAGCTCTGCGAACGGTTTCGCGAGGATTGTTGTTGCAGGATGCGTTGTTGCTGTTGCGCGGTTGAAACTGAATTTAACTCTTGCGTCAACCTCGACAACAATTTGATCAGCGCCGGCAAATAGCGATCCAAAGCCTCCGGACACTCTCTCCCGAGCTCAACGAGCAAGACAAGGACGCCGGATAAAGAAGGACTGTTCGCCTGCGAATTCGGCAACGCCGGTTGGCCCGTGATTGCGGCACCGATTCTCTTCGCGCACGTCTCATCAATTTTCAAACGAAGAATTTTCGCCTCGGGAGATAACAACGCCGACGCCGAGACTTGCGTCGGCGGTTGGCCTTGGGAACCCGTATTCGCTGCAGGGGTGGGCGGTTTAGCATCCGTATCCATGGGTTCAGTCTTGACGGCGACTTTATCGTCGCCGTCTTTCTTGTCGCCACCATCGGTACCATCGCCGTCTTTGTTCTTCGACTGTTGCTGATCGCCCGGCGCCGCCGCTTCCGTTTGCTTCGCAACCAATTCTTCCGGCGTGCGCATCTTCTTCGTCATCGCCGTGGCGACCACTTTTGCAAGCATTCTGTGCGTTTCCGCGGAACTGCTCGACACGCATGGGTCGATAAATTGCGCGATTTGATTGACATTCTGTTCGACAAATCCTTCAACTTCGCACTCGAGCGCCAAGTCGAAAACGACCAAACCGGTACCCAAAGCAGACGAGGAATCTTGTCCAGCTTGTTCTGCCAACGCCAATAGTTTGTCGATAAACGTAAACTTTACGCGCGCAGTTTTCCAAATCGTCATCGCGCGTTTCAGCAACTTCAACGTTTTCGCGTTGAGTTCCTTCATTACTTGATCTTTACCTTCGCCAGTTAAAAACGCCATGCGCACGAGAAAGTTCACGGTGATCTCAGCCATCGCCGGGGACGGCGAAAATTCCGGTTCGTTGTTATCCGAAGCGGTGCCACCAGCGACACCGGTTAAAGACGGTTGAGTGAGTAAAGAAGGCGCGGATTTGAGCATTGCAGATTGGATGTTACCATCAGGCGTGCCTTCTTTCTTCGAGGGTTTCTTCTTCTCTTCCTCTTCCTCTTCTTCTTCCTCTTCCTCCTCTTCGACTTCCTCCTCCTCTTCTTCTTCCTCCTCGGCTTCTTCGGATTTCCCCCGACGACTACCTCTGGTTCCTTTCTTCGCGGTAGTTTGTTTTTTCGCGGTCGTAGCGGCTTTGCCTCGCGTGCCTCGCGTGGATGGCGCCGGAGAAGAGTCCTTCGCGCTCGTCTTTGCTTTTTTCGCCGCGCGACCACCTCTCGTCGCTCTCGTGGACGGTTTCTCTTCTTCTAACTCTTCTTCAGACTCCTCCTCTTCTTCCTCTTCTTCAGATTCCTCTTTCTTCGCCGCTGCAGCTCTGCCACGCTTCCCGCGGGTTTTCACGGCAGTCTTCTTTTCTGGCGTATCTTCCGCTTCCGAGTCGTCCTTCTTCGCGCCTCTGCGCTTACCGCCTCGGGTAGATTTCCTCGGCGTCTCTTCCTCCTCTTCCTCTTCTTCCTCTTCCTCCTCTCCTTCCTCGTCGTCGATGGCTTCAACTTTCTTACCACGAGCACCACCGCGTGTTGGTTTTTTCGACGCCGTGGCGGTAGCTTTACCACCTTTCTTCTTCTTCGATGCGGATTTCTCGTTCTCGTCGTCTTCACCATCCGAGGCATCTTTCATGTCTTCGTCTTCCTTGCGTGTTTCTTCCTCTTGCATCTTGTCTTGCGCGGCTTTTTTCGATGCTAAGAACTCTGTAGGGTCCTTGCGACGATCTTCCCAGTTCAAAATCAATTCGACCAAGTTGATGGAAACGATTCGATTTTCAATCGGCGCCGAGGACGGCAAACCTAATCGCGACAGGGAGTTGACCATTTGGGGTACAAACTGCGCTCTGGACTCGTAAAAGTGTGATTCGTGATCAACGATTAAGTTCCACACGTGAATCAAGTGCGGCACGGAGTGACCTTCCTCGACCAAAATTTTCTTTGCGTATCGAATCCAAATTGGATACTTGTGATCGCCTCGCGGAAGTCGTTTTGGTAACGCAGGCACTAAAGCGTCGAGCGCAATCTTGACCAACTCCTTCGCATCCGGTTGACACGCACGAAGAAGCGCAACAAAGACTTGCAAAATAATCTTTTCCGGCGCTTGATACGCTTCTAAGAAGTAGCACACGTTGACGAACGCAAATTGCTTCGACGCGCGGTCTTCCCGCTTCAAGTGGTTCCAGCCAAACTTGATCAGCTCCTTTCGATGCTTGACGAGATCGTCTGGCAAGCATCGAATAAGTAACGTCGCAAGTTGCAGAAGCTGAACGCGGAACTGTTCGTTGAAGAATACTGGCGTGGGCAACTCGTCGTCCACGTAATCTAAAATGTCTCCGACGATGCTGGACACCGCGTCTTCGTTGACAATCAAACGCGCCTCGGCGAGTTTCTTAGGACTCTTCGAGCATCCTTCCAAGGAGCTCGTCAACATCGGTAAGACGACGAGCTTCAAGTTTGCTACTAAGGCGTCGGCATCTTTCGCAGTCTGTTCCTCGTCCGCGTCTTTTTTCGAAGCCGCTTTGAACTTGGCTTTGAAATCTGATAAGAAGAATTCTAAAATAGCTCTCTTTTGCTCGGGTTTGTAACTCCCACCCACGCGATCGGAGATGAATTCTCTCGCAAATGTCAAATCGACGCAAGTTTTCGTTGACATGATTGGTAAAATACCGAACAAGAGTTCGACTTCTCCCATGCGATCGCGATCGACGCACCTCAAAAAGCACTTCACTATTCGCTTCGACTCCAAAAGTTCAGACAAACTCAACATCTCCTCTCGGCGAAGACGCTCGAGTCGTCCCGGATCGTTCCATCGCTTCCACAAAGCATCGCGAATACCCGCTCGAGTTTTTTCGCTCATATTTGGCATCATCTTGAGCATAACGCAGCACAATTTGATGGCGTTGAACGAGGCCAAGTCGCATCCGGAACCGATGCCGGAAAGTCCCATTGCTTTTGCGCGAGCGATGCGCTCCTCCGGAGAAATCTCGACGCGTTGCGCCGGAGAATTTTCGCCGTCTTGCTTCGCTCCATCTACGCCCGGAGAGTTCGAAGCGCCCGCCGCCGCAGCTTGCGCGAGCTGGGCCGGGGTCGAACTGCTCGGGAGGAAGTACTTTTTGTTGAACGAGTTATCGAAAATCTTCTCGTAATTCGCCTCCAACTCCCATAAAATGTTGTTCCCTTCGCTGATGCGAATCGTTTCCAAAAAGCGGTTAAAGTGTTGCGGTTGATCCAATCGAGCGACGTAAAAATCCACAGTATCCTTCGCGTACCGGGCTAAAAATTTTGTCAACGGCTTGCGATACAACGAGTGAACGTCCGAGTGCACACCGATTGGCGGCAATGCGTTCTCGAGTTGAATGTTGAGCGTAACGAGTGGCTCCAGGAACTTTCTCGCGGCGTTTGGAAGCAAATGAAACAAGTTTACAGTCGCCGCGGCGATCCGAGGATCGCGCGCATTTGGTTCCAACCACAATCGTAAATGTTCCAAGAGTTTTTCGCCCAACGTCGGATTGAACCAGTTTGAAAGTAACTCCAAAAGTTTCTCCAAACCAACAAGCAACGGCAACGTTAGGTTTTCGGGACGCGCGAGAGAGCCGAGAATCGGTCGTAAAGACGATTGCAAAAGCTCTTTGCTCAGACTTTGCTGATCGACGACAACTTTTAGGCCGGCGACGGCTATTTCAACAATTTCCGGAGTTCGGCTCGTCAAGGACTTGAAGAAGACGTTGACGGCTTTCTCTGTAGCAGCTTCAAAAGCCTTTTGCGAGTCTTCCGTAGGAAACTTGATGGCGCTTTTCCTCGTGACGAGCGTACACATCAAGTGCGCGCATGACGCGCGTAACGCCGCTGTCACCGAGATTTGCGAACATGAAGTCAAGGAAACAAGCGCTTCGTTCTTGTTCGGAATGGCCGTTTCCAACGTAGCCGATAAAGGCATCTTGATGTTGGCCTCGCTTTCAGCAATGAGCAACGCGTCGCCAAAGAGCTCTAATAGCTGTGCCGAGTATTGCTTGATCAATGGCGCGTGAATCTCGAGTTTCATGCAGAAATCAATCACGCGAACGGTTTGAATCTGCTCCTCGATGTGCCGCGATCCGAGAGGACGGGACAGGATTCTCGCGATTCGCGCCGGAGAGATATTCAAAACATCTTTAATTTTAACTTTGCACTGTCGCGAAATGTCAATTAAAGCCTTCTCTACCGCCGGTCGAACGTTTTGCGCGTCCGAAGTGGAAGCGACAGCATCGGCGATGACATTCACGCCCGCCTCAACGCCCGGTTCGGCGTCCTCGCCTCTTGGAATACTTCCAATTGGCAAGCACACGTCAACGAGCTTATAGAGAACCTTGGACGTCCTTTCAATCTCCGGCGCCGCGTGCTTTGGCAAGCCACGCAAGGCTCGGAGCAAGCATAACGCAATCTTTGCCATGTGTGGACGAATGATACTTCTTGGAACGACGTCTAAGAGCATGTCGATACCTTCCACTGCACCGGACGTAGATTGCCAGGCGGTTTTGAAAGCGCAGTGACACAAACGCGGGATGAGCGCGTCGACGAGAACGGCGAGCTTTTGCGGCGGCTTCGCGTGCGGACGGTTGACGTATTCCGGCACCGGTCGCTCTTTGATATTCGCCGGGTCAGCTTCTGCTGCGTCTGCGGCATCGTCATCAGCCGCCGAAGCTTTGGCGCCACGGCCGCCTTTCTTCGTCGTCTTTTTAGAGGAAGCTTTTTCATCCGCCTCATCTTCGTCGTCGTCTACGTCCATGGAATCTGCCGCGCTTGCTTCGAGTTGTTTTTTATTACTCTTCGGGTATTTCTTCAACTCCACTTTGTTCAAATCTTCGCAATCTTCTTTCGATAAGAGCAAAACGGTGTCGACGAAGGTTTTCATCGCCGCTAAAGCCGCTTTCACGTGCGCAACTTGACCACATTCCATGGTGTCTACGAGTGCATCCAGAAATAAAATAGCATCAATCTTCTTCAAAGCAGTCACAGAAACTGGCTCGGAGGAAGGAGAAGACGCTCCTTTCTTGTCGTTCTTACCATCGGTAATCGTGTTGCCGCTACTCGCAACGCGAACGATATCGCCGTTGAACAACATCGCAAAGTGCTCGGCTACGGATTCAACGAATCCGGCGTTCGCCTTCTTGAGTTCAGGATCGGCTTCTGCAGATACAACAGCAACGACTAAAGATTTCATCACGCGTTCTTCGGCAGCTAGTTGCGTCTTCGTCTTGTTGCCTAAAGTTGCCTGGGCGCGAAGGTTTGCTTCGCGGTCGTTTTGTCGTGCGTCTTCCGTAGCGTCATCGACTGACTTCGTCCACCCGTTCAATACTGCCGCCTCGACCGCAGCACGAATGGTCTTTTCGATATCGTCATCACCGTCGCCATCGACATTCATCGCATCGTCTTCTTTATCTTTCTTCTTCGCGGAAGCCAAGTCTTTTGCGACACCCGAGGATACGTTTATGACCGAAGACAAGCATACGCGCAGAAACGCCAACGCTTGCTTTCGATGTTCAATTAACGCTTCGACATTGCTACTATTCATGGACGACGACGTAATCGCCGGCAATACCCGCGGAGATTCTAAAATTCCGCGCATAAGAGCTATGCATCTATCAAAAGGCACGAGAAAACTTGTTTCCGGTTTGAATGTCAAAATCATGCGCAAACCGTGCTCGGGATTCTCCTTAGCTTCGAGTTCGAGCGGTTCTTTGAGAAACGCACGATTTCTACCGCCAAGTTTACCCAGCAACTGCATAGCTTTTGCGCCAAACGGAGATCCAGACTGTTGTGGCTTAAGCATAGACCACAACGCAATCATCAAAGGCGTCTCGACCTCAGCTATGCACGGATCGAGGAAGTCTGGATTGAGCGAGTCCACCCAAAATTCTAACGTTCGCAAACCGAGCAAATTCAATTCACTCGTCTTCGATTCTAAAGCTATGCACAAAGGCTTCGCGAGCTTTGGCAAGTGTGGGAGAATTGACGACAATCTACCCGGCAAAGTCAAACATAATTCTACAATCGTGTCATGGAGCTCGTGCGGATCTGGACCGTTCAGGTACTTCAACAACGCATCGAGACACGTCGGTAAAATGGGAAGCACCTCGCGATAGAGCAAATCAAACTTCGCCTGAGCGAGTGCTCGGAACAAATATCTAAGCAATCTAACATACGCCGATGGATTTTCAATTTCACGCATTGCTTTCAAACATTTCTCGACGATGGGGATGACGTATGGAGACAGCATGGCCTCGCAGTTGGAATATTTCGAAACCGCGTGGAGCAACAAACTAAATAGTTTCAAGACGAGCTGAGCCGGCGGTGATTGCGGATCTTCGAGATGTTTAAGTTTATCTCTGACTAAAAGCATCGCGAGGCAATCGGCAAAGTATCTCGAAAGGTTCTGATTCTGCAGCAAAAGATGCGGAAGCTGCACCATCGGCGCCAGGTCGAGCATTCCTTTGAAGAGGTCATCAAATCGAATGCACGCAATATCGAGAAAGCATCGCGGGTCGAGCACTGCAAAGACTTCGGCGACATGCGCACACATTTCAGCACATTCCGCGCCGCGGTACAAAGCTAAACATTTCACGCCGTTCTTGACAAATGCCGAAGTGCGACGAAGCTCAGGCTCGGTGAGGCCAGGGCGAAGCGGTGAAGACAACGCCATTAACGCCGCATTGTTGTTTTGCGTTTGCGTTTGTTGCGCTCTGAAATTCGTAACCGACCAAAGAAGCGTTTTCATACCGATGAAAAGCGTCTTCACGATGGCCTTCGTATCTGCGAGTTCTTTCAGCCTTTCGCTGGAAACGTCAAGTTTCACTTCCGGTTCGTTTTCTTCTTCTTCTTCTTTTCCGTTGTCGTCGTCGTCGTCATCGTCGTCGTCGCTTACTTTGCCTCCTTTTTTGCTTTTACCGCCGGCTTTCTTCTTCGAGGACTTTTTTGCCGACGTGGAAACAATCTCCGCGCCCTCCTTCTTCTCCGCGATAGCAGCGGCACTTTTCTTGCCGCTCTTGGCATTATCATCTTTTGTCTCGTCCTTTTCCGACGGAGAGGAGGAAGTGGACGGAGTCTCTTTCTTTTCGTCGTGCAAATGCTCGACCAATTTCAGTAAAGTCTTCAACCTCGGACGCAAAGTTCGAAATTTCGTGACCGTGGCGTCTAAAATCTTCACCAAAAGAGCGCGCGCTTCGTCGGCGCTCCCCGGCGTCGTTTCTGCGCGTCGACGGAAGATAGATTCAACCAAATGATGCATCAATCTCGCGCAAGTCATCTGAACACTCAACGGTAATCGTTCGTCCTGCATGTTTGTCGAAAACACGTGCACGGTCTTACGAATCTGCGGCAAAGTAAGCTCCGCGCGCATGTGATGGACCAATTCCGCTAGGAAACTGTACGCCAAAGGACGCAAGGTTTCCGCGCACAGGCGACCGGTACCTACCAAAGCGTGCTCGTCTAACAACGAGTCCAAATGTTGAAAGAAACTGCGACAGAAATTCTGCGCCGACAACGCGTGTCTCGTCGCCACCAACAACTCCTTTCTCGTCGACACGACATCCGGGCACGTCTTCAACAAATCAACAACCGCCAGTGAAATTTCTTGTTGGTACGGAAGTACCAACTGCGCGTGTCCTCTCACCAGATATGTGATAAAACTGATCGTTTTCACCTGCGCGGATTTCAAATCCGCGAATCTTTCGCGAAGTTTGACGCTCTCTTTAAATACCGTTCGCGAAGTTCGCGCCGAGCACGTCTTTGTCATCGCCGGCAAGAGTTTCTGCACGGCATTTTGCGCTACGGAAGGATATAATTGAAACAAAAGCATAACAATCAGCGGACATTCCGTGCACACTTTGAAAGACTTCAACGCCGGAATAGTCGCCGAGTCGTTCGCCGCCGCCGCCGTGGTCTGTTCCGCGGAGACTTCATCTTTTTCTTTCGCATCTTTCGACGACGTACCTCTCTTACCTTTCTTTGTGCTCGCCGCCACGGATTTCTCTTCCTTCTCTGCGTCTTTCATCTCCGCGTCTCCATCCGCGACTTCTTCGCCGCCTTCGCTCCCAAACACCTCCGCCACCGTTTGCGGCACGTTCCCGAACACCTCCCCGGCAAACTGCAAAAACTGCGTCGCTTTCTCCTCGCTCCTCGGCCGAAAATTTCTGTGCACGTCGAACGCAATCCTCATGCACACCAACGCGTTCTTCTCGTTCTCTTCTCTGAGAGGAGTCAAAGCGCACTCCAACAGCTGACTCTCGTACGGCCTCAACACTTCGTTATACGGTAACCGCGAGAGGATTTCATATATAACGTTTCGAAGTCTGTTCGATTCGTCTTCCCCGGCGTCCGCGCCGTGCGTCGGCGGGTTCGCCTTCAACAGTTTCGAAAACACCTCGAAGTACGCTTTCAACCAGTTGCTGTATTCACTCGTGTGCGCGATTTCAATGCTCGCGCGCACTTCGCTCGCCAACTCCAACTGCTTCGCCGTCGTGACGTTCGACGCGAAGAATTTCTCCGCGTGTTCGGCGAAGTTTTTCGGGACCACCATTTTCGTGACGATATCAGCTCTGAATTGCGCTCAAATTTGCCTCTTTTTCTCCTCCTTTTGTAAGCGTTTGTGCGCCTCGATGGGTCCGTTTGAATTCTCAATTTCGATCGAAATCGTACACTTTTTCTTTTAATTTACCCTCTGTTGAAGCGTTTGAAACGAAAATTTGGCCTCGCCAACGGGTTTAATGCGATCGTTCTGAGGTGGTGAAATCGATTTCAGCGCGATTTAGATCGGTTCACGCGGGTTGAATCGCGCAAAAGTTCTGATGGTTTTGGGAGAATTTGGGAAGCCGCAATGTCTAACCTAAGTTAGGGTTTTGAATCTATTCTTTAATAACTATCTTAAAAAATCTACTTCCAAAAGGTGAACGTGCTCGATTTGAACCCTCTTTTCTTCCTCTCCAACTCTTTCATGACTAAATGGAACGCGTCGTCATCCGCGGCTGGTTTTTTCCACGCGACGCTCGGCCAGAACTTGGCCATCGCTTTGCGTTTGCGTTCGACGACGTCGTCCGGGACAGATCGGAGGATATCGATGGTTTCTAAGTGTCTCTTTTCAGGGATTTTGATGGAAACTTGGCGCCAGTCGAAAGAGTTTTCGTACGGGAACTCGATTTCGTCCGCGATGATGACCGGGATGCACCCGACCATCAGCGCTTGGTACGCTCTCAACGTCCACGGCGACCAGCCTCGAGGACAGAGACAGAATGTAGAGGCGCGCATTTCTTCGCGGTAGCACGTTTTATCGCACGAGCTGTGTTGCTCCGTGAAAACGACGTCTTTTATATCCTTAAACGCCTCTTTCATTTTAATCCGTATGCCTTTGGAGTATTGCTTCCCGAGTTTGTTGGCGATGGTGCCTCGAAAATAGGCGAACGTTTTCGCGCGTTTCACTTCTTTTTGTTTCCGCAAAGATCCCGACCAGAACGCTTTTTCCGGTTCTAAACCCGGAATGACGATATCTTTCCACGTGTTGAACTGCTCAGACAACGATCGGTCGCCCTCGGGAGTTAAAAAGATGGATTTCTTGATGTGCCTTTTCCAATCTTTGAAAATGTGCGGCCCTCTCGCTCCCGCAAACGTAAACACGTGGTCTCTTCCTTGCGTTCGATTCCAAAACGGATACTGATCCGTCACCAGTTTCATCGCTTCCAACCACCACGCGTTCGTTTCCTGCAAACCCTTCTTCGCTCCTAACGTGGCTATATTCTCAAACAACTTACACTCGCCGTACACGGGCACGTAAAAAAACTCCGCCTCTAACGGATCCAAAGTATACATCTTCGATTGCATGATATTCGCGTGAATCCGAATTTCCGTCCCGTACTGATCCGTCACGCACCTTTTGTTCTTTTTCAACATCTCCACGTGAAACTTTGGCGGCAAGTTGTACACGAAAATCTTAAACGACACGCCATCGTTCGACGAAGGTTCAAACGCCGGCGAAGCCGGTCCCGGTTGGTACCTCGGTATCGCGTCGAAGTAGTGCTTGTTTTCAATGTCCCCGTTGACGGTGTTCCCGATGATGCTCTCATCATCGCTCCCATTTTCGACCCCTTCTTTTCCTTCCTCCTCTTCTACTGCCTCTGCTGTTTGTGTTTCTACTTCTACCTTTGCTACAGCATTCGCCTCCTCCAAATCCTCCTCTTTTCCTACTAAAGATATCTTTTTCTCCTTTAAGCTCTTGCCCTCGTGATTCATTTTACTACTACTCTTCCTCTTCCCCGGGCACGGCTTGAACTTCTCGCACTTCGGTTCCGGAGGACACTTCTCCGTCTCCTCCAGAAACCGCTCCAACATCACCGTCTGCATCTCTCGACTGACGCGTTTAGAAGCTCGCGTCCGGTACTTTGTTAAATACGTTTCCCATTTGATTCGATTTTTGCGCTCCAACGCGACTTGCGTTTCCAAGGAGGAGAAATACGACGTCGAGCGCGTACAGTGGAGCAAAGCGAAGAAAAGGAGGAGCACGTCGACGAAGGCGAGGAGACGGACGAGGAAGAGAAGAGAAGAGGTGGTAGCGCGCATGAAGGGGTAGTCTGTTCTCTCTCCTCTTTCTCTTTCTCTCTCTCTTGTTTGATTTTGTCAGTTGCTCTCTGTGTGAAGATTTGTTGTTCCTTTTGTGATTGACGTGTGTTTTATGTGTGCATTTGTACAACGATCGACGCTCCCCATCAACTCTCTCTCTCTCTCTCTCTCTTTCTCTCTCTCTTTCATGAATACTTATTATAGTAAGTTAGTAACTGCATTCGACTAAAATCGACGCGCACTCGCCGAAGAGCTCCGGGCGCTTCTTACCGGTGTACATGCAGTGGTGACCGTACATGTCGTACAACGGGACGCACTTCAAGCCTTTTTGCAAGCTTTCAACGGAGCAGCAGTAATAACCTAACAAATCGTCCGCGTCTGGGTCTTGGTCGAAGATCTCGAACAGGACTAAATCGAGTTCCGGGCATTTGGATTCGAGTTCGATTTTTTCGTTCCAAATCGGTTGCGCTTTCGGGCCGACGCGAGCTTCCGAGAAGACTTTGGTTTGACCGGAAGAACCGTTTTTACCGCAGATGGAGACTTTGACGTACGTGTCTGGGGCACCGACGAGATCGGCGTTTTTGAACGCCTCCCATCCAGAGCCGACGAGGATGTTGAATGAAATTTTCTTCGGCAACGCGCCGGATTTTTTTCCCTCCAAGAGAAACTTCGGTTTCTTGACGTAGCCGGCGCCACCGTTTTCGGCGAATTTACCTCGGTTCATAAAGATTGGTCTGTCCATGCCTTGAAAGTTCAATGCGACTAAGGAGGCACCAACGGACCACGCGGCGTTCGGATCGGCGTTGTCTGATAAGACTCGCAAACCGCCCGGGTAACATCTCAACAAGTGCTTCTTCGTGAACGCTAACAAATCTTTATACTCGGAATCATTCGCGCTGGCTTTCTTGACCATCTTCTCAACTTTCTTCTCGTTCCAACTGCATGATTTTACTCCGAGCCATTTGTGCGCTTCGTCGAACCCGTGAAACTTTGCGTTGCCGACGGCGACGAGATTTTTCAACTTGTCCGCGGCGTTACTCTCTTCCACGGTAGCGTCGTCTTCCTCCTCGGAATCCTCGTCGTCCTCGTTATCCATGATGGACGAGTGTAACTCCGGCGCTAACGTCTTGGACGTTTTCAAAACCGCCGGATTCTCCTTGTCCGAATGCTTATTTGACTTCTTCTTCTTCCCGGAATCACCTTTTTTGGCGGAATCTTGCTTGTGCTTCAACTTGTCTCGAATGACTACTTTACCTTTTAACTGGTTCGGGCTCGGCCACTCCTCTTTCGTCCCGGCACCTTCCGGCGGTCGGTACAACATCGCATCGCCGAAAATTTCCTCCAACAAATCGCCCATAACTCCCCGCTGTTCCACGTTCACGTGGTTCTCGAAAGTCACGATGACCGGATACGGCGTTTTCGCGAAACCAAACTCCTTAATCGCTTCTAAACACTTGCGAAGATCAACCGGTTTACACGCCGTCCCACCGTGCGTGACTATCGGCGTTCCTTTCGGTCCGTCGTAACAATCCAACTCAATCACGCGACCGCCGTGTAGTAGAATATCTTTCACCGCTCTCCCGCTCGATACCCCGGTGAGTTGGTTCCCTTCCAAGTACGAGTTGTGACTGTTTTCGCGTGAACGAGCGAGCGAGCGAGCGAGCGAGCGATATAATAAAAGGAAACAAAAGGAAAGGAAACTCGGTCAGTACACGCGAGCATACAAACAAAACGACGATTCTTCGATTTGGAAAACAAAGAGATGCTGTCGATTTCAACACCACTGATAATACCCGCGAGCGCGAGAAACGAACGAAAATATCTCTCGCGAAACGATTCCTACCTGGAATTTATAAAGTAATGACTCAGCGGCGAATCCATATCGTTCTCATCTAACGCCGTCGGCACGCCGAGAAAGTTCTTCTCGTCGATCACGTGCGTCTTCAAAACCTCCTCCGCGTGCACATCTCTCACCTCTTCCTCGGGCACGCTCACGGATTTTCCGGTCGCTTTGTTTAAAAAGTTCGCGCAACTGTCGATCGATGTTTCGTTCATCGACCCGCCGTTGTTCGTCACGACAGCTTCCACGTCAAACGAAGGGTGGAACGAGGAGCCGTTTTTGAACGCGCGGTCGATGTTTTTGTTCGAGCGAAAGTGGTTTTTTGACAGCGATATCCCCATTCTTCTTAAATCCTTAAAGCTCGACTCTTTCAAAGTATGCGTCGTAAAGGTGTTTGATGTGTGTGTTTAGTGTCCGTCGTACGCGCGCAAAAAAGCTTTTCTGAGGATGGATTCGTCCAATTTCGAACCAAAAACAGTTGTGAAATTCCGCACTAAATATCTCTATTAATAAGAACGCTTTCAACGCGCACCACAACCATCGCAAAACGATGACGATGACGATGACGATGGCCAGCTTTAGTAACAGAGCTTTAACGAGTGGTCGCATTTCCCTCGCCCAAAATAGGGGTCGATCTTCTTCGAGAGGAATCTTTAAAGTACAAAAAACCATCCAATCGAAAGCATTCATCCTCCGAAACGTTGGGGATTTGGACCGGAATCATTTAGAAGAGGAAGGCAATACCGAGAAACAAGAAGACGCAATTCCTCGCGTTTTACGCCTGAACGGCGCGAAAAGCGTCGTCGGGAGAGTCTCTTCGAGCGCGGTGAATTTAGCAGTCGGCGTGGCGACGGTGAGTTCCGCGCACGCGATGGTGGATTTGACGCCGGACGGGAAAGTCATGGTGACGGATTTAACGTCCACGAACGGGACGTACATCGACGGCGAAGAGTTACTGCCGGGTATTCCTCAGGAGCTGACGGAAGGGGGGGAAGTTATATTTGGCGACGAACACTGCGCGAGGTTTGAGTTAGTCGTTGAACCGTAGAAGATCTTCTTCCAATTCGGGTCGTTTAATGCGCTTTGCAACGAGTTGAGGAGACGTCGAACGTGTGAGATTCGGGAGGATGGAGTGTTGTTGTTGTTATTATTATTCTTATTACTATTATTCGCAGCGAACGTTTACAATGTACTACTATGTGTCATAACTACTCTATGCAACTCTTCTACGTATACAAAACAATTTTCTTCTTTCTACCGGTCTGCGCGTGAATATTCGCGATATTATCAATCATCGTCGTCGAAACTTTACGGAGGATATTATGCACTTGCCGCCTTCGAAGCCGCCTCGAAGTTCTTCTATCGATGCGGCGTTTTCGCCATTTTTGTCGTCGTCGTCGTCGTCGTCGTTCTTGTTGTTCTTGTTGTTCTTGTTGTCCTTCAAAAAATCTCGGCAAACTTTCAAGACGTTTTCGCACGCCTTTACCCGTTCGTCTTTGGAGACGCTCAAAGGTTCTTGGCTATACGTAACTCTTTCCGAGGTGATTTTACCGAACCACGGGGCAGTTTTGCGCGACCGAGACGCTTCGGAGATGTTGGCGAATGTCACGGTTTCGAACGCATCGTCTGAATTTTCAATTGCTGACATCGTCCACTCGCATTCGTCGAAACGGGGACAGGCGCGAAGGCCGACGCGCAATCGAATCTCACGAATTTCATCGCCATCATCCCCGATCGAAACGGCAAAGCTTTTTTCGAAATGATTCGCGCGACGCACGACGACTGCAATGGACGCCTCGGACTGTTTTATCTTGTGCATGGCGCGACGCTTCACGGCTTCAATCGTCCAAATAGACGCCCAGATATCCGAGATGGCTTTGGATACGGCTTGCGAGTTGTTCGCTTCGCAATGCGTCTCCATCAAATCGAGCGTGGCATCGTCGACGTCGTTGTTGGAAGAACCTGAAACAGACACGGCGATTATATCGTTGGAAGTATCGCTATTGATTCCTTTCAGAGCATTTTCGATGAATTTATCCGGTAAAGGATTGTTCTTGATAATCTCCTGAATGTCATCGCAAGCGTGCTCGGCGAGTCGTTCGTCTTCCGCGTTGGAAAGCACACCTTCGCCGTAAGATTCGATCTGCTCGATGCGTTCAGCAAGCGACGTTTGCCTGTTGAAAATATCGCACATACCAAAAGGGACGACGATGCCAACATTCTCGAGCACGCGAAACGTATGAGCCGTTTCACCGCACGTTTGTCGTGTAGCGTCGTCGAGTGCGAGGAAACATCCGTCGCCGGTTTCCCACTTGATGGTGTTTGCATCCAATCGTTCGTGATCAGTTGGCGTCTTCGCGAAAGTAATGTCATCTTCATCGTGGGCAGAAATTTGGACACCGAGAGCAGGCGAGATGGACACCATCGCGCGCTGGCCAACTTTTGCCATGCTCATCAAGTTTACAATCTCGTTGGTATCGTCCGTGGAAACGATGGGATACTTTATGCTCGCGTGATTTCTCGCGGACGTTTTCATCGCTTTCATGAGAAGTTTGTCCACATAAAGAATATCCGTTTCGTCGTACGCTTTGCCAGCAGCGATAGTTGCGTTTGACATCTGCGGTTCTTTAGAGGATAACGAGCTCTTTTTCTTCTTTCTCTTCTTCTTTTCTGAGGCAGATGATGACGAGGAAGATGCCGAAATAAATGCGACGCATTTAACGCGATTGGCATACGCTTCGCCAAACTCAAATTCAGTTTCATCGCGATATGCGGCATCATCGTTACTATTCCTCCGCACGACAACGAACAAGTTATCGTTTTCACTTTGCACTGTACCGTTTTTCTTCCTACTACCTGATTTGGTCGTCGTCGCGCGTTGCAACGCCTCTTCGTTCAGCGCGCCGTCGATGACGACTACGCGACACACATCCGTTCTCGTGGTATCCATCGCAGTCGAAGATATAATCTTAAACGTTTTCGTATTCTCGTTTGCTGATGATAACGACGATGTTGCTTTGTGAATCGCCGCATTAATGGCTTTCTCGCACGCGTTCAATAACAGGAGAATTTCGAACGATACGTCTTCGCGAATCGCAAACTCGACGTGGTCTTCGCCAACGTTTTCGGGTAATCCGAGCGCGTATCCTAAAATTTCCGGTGCGAGCGCGAAACCTTCCACGATTGAGTTCAATTTACTATCAACAATGCGTCGAGCTCTGTTTAAACTCGCGCGAAGTCTTCGAAGCGATTCGATTGATTCAGTTGGTGGACTATTCTTTGAACTCCCGCGAGATTTGACGTTACACCACGTTTCCAATTCAGCGGCGACGGTTTCGCACTCGCGTCGCTCATATCCACTCATCCCAACGTGTCTTAAACCAATGGCGAGGATTTCACTCATGCGTTGCCACTGTGCGTCCACGTTCGAACCAGAGGAAGACAAAACCTCCTCGTACACGTTCGAAGTTCGCGCCATCTTCTCAATCGCCGCCAACCTCAAAAACGCGTACTGTTCGAGCGCCGTTTCGCACTGACGCCATCGATGGCGCTCGTTAATCGCTTCATCCGGAGCATCGTTGCGTAGCCCGGTGACTAGACCGGAGCAAAAGTGCGCGCGAACTCTCGTCGCCGCTCTCAACGCGTTCAAAGTTTGTTCGCCTTCCTCGGAAAACCACCCGCGGTTCTCGTTGATATTTTTAACGTCATCGTCGTCATCGTAGTTATTGTTGTTGTTTCTACCACCGCTACCGCTCGTATTAAACGAGGAGGTGATCCGCGCCGATTGCGCGGCAAAATGTGCCGAATACAACGTCGCCACGCTTTGCATGACGTCACTTTCGTCGTCCAATCGATCTCTCACGTCGTCTAATCTCTCAAACACTTGACCGCCGCCGAGGAAGGATTTCAACTCGACGTAGAACGCGTTCAAATCATCCACAAAGCTTTCATTAATCGACGCTTCTTCGTTTTCGTCCGTGTTGTTTAATCTTCGAACTTTATCCAAGATGCGACGCGTGGCAGTTAACGCGTCCGCGTCAAAGTTTTTGAGCAAGTTACCCTCGATGGAGTGTTTTACTTCTGTTTTCAACCATTCCGGCACGGCGTCTTTATGTTCGTCGTCGTTTTCGACGGCGTTGCACAAGTCGCGAATTTTTGTCAAGGGTGCCATCGGAGCAAACCTCGCGTCAAAGCTCGGTAACCACGGGTTGATGTGCCTCACTAAGCTCGCCTCAGAGGTGGTTAATTTTTGACCAAACTGGTACGTCTCGCCTTCGACTTTTTCCACGCTGGCAAAAATTGAGCGCGCTTCAATCGCCGCTCGTCTTTTCTCGTTGTACTCTTCAGCGTTTTCAGTTTCGTTGCGAGGTATCGCGCCTTCAGGATGCGTGCACTCGATCGTACCCGCGGAGACCCATCGTAAATACGTGGCTGCCGTCGCGAGCTTCTCGTCGTCCAACTCCGGAACGTTGAAACCAACGATACCTTTGACTGATTCTAACTTTAAGTGCCATTTGCTGTTCATTGTGTCGACGTTGGCGACGCGCACGACAGACGGAGTGAACTTCGATTCATCGATGATACGTTTTCTTCTTATTCTTGCTGCTTTTTCTTCTTCTTTAATCATCTCGGATACTTCTTGCGCGTCATCTGCTTCTTCCGCTTCTTCGTCGTGTCGCGCTTTCGCGACGTCCTCGCCGTCGCTACTACCGCTACTACTACTACCGCTACTACTACTACTACTACCACTACTACTCGTAAGGCTTCCTTCTTCTCCTTTCTCCTGTTTCTCCTCCCACTCTATCAAGCACTCTCGACTCCGTTCCGCCGCATCCATCGCCTCTCGTCTTCCTTCTTCGCTTTCGTTTTCCTTCATTATCTTCTTCGCGTACATCGCGTCGTCGAAAACCACCGTCGTTTCTCCCGGATGGCCAAACGCTCCCGTCACCGTGGCGTCCGGGTACCTCAACTCTCCGTTTATACACGCGACGTCGTACGAGAACAACTCAACTCCTCTGTTCTTCCCTTCCTCCCACACGTAATTATTGTTATCGTCATCACCTTCCTCGTTATCATCACCTTCATTATTCCTCTTCTTTTTCTCAATCACGCACTTCATCGTCGCCGGTTCGTCCATCGCCGCCGCGCGGGGAGCTCGAAAATCCTTCTCCTTTTCCTCTTCAAACGTATCACCACCATTTTCGTGATGATGACTTCCAAAAATCAATCGTTCAATTTCAATCGAGCCTTTCCACCGGTGATTTTCCGACCACGCTAACGCCAACCCATTTTCACAATCCCAATTTCCGAGCTCAGGAATCGACCCGACAATTTTGAGCGTTTCTCCTGGCTTGAGTTTCGCCACGACGTCGAATCTGAGCGCAGTTTTAATGATGGTAACGTTGTTATTCTTCTTTTCGTCGTCTGAATCGTCGAAATCATCCGCGTTTTTGTTGTCGTCGTCGTTCGACTCTTTCTTCTGAGAGTCGTCGTCGGATGATGAAAATGAAAATGAAAACGATGATGGTCTCGGTGCCGCCAATCCAATTCTCGAAAAATTTCTTCTTCTTCTCCCACAAAAACGCCTCCTCTGCGTCGCACAAAGTAAACTCCTCTTTGAGAAAGAAGAAGACAGCGACATTTTCGAAGACGCGCATTTCACCGCTTTTTGCATTTCTTCTTTTTTGAGAGAGAGAGAGAGAGAGTAGGGAGGACGGCACTAAATGTAAATGCAAAAAGGCAACAACTGACAGAAAACTGATGCGAAACGAAAAAGAAAAGAAAACAGAAAAGGGTGTATTTAGGGTGTTAAAAATCCGCGATTTTTCTTAACTTTTGCCCCCTTACTATTTCTTCTCTCACAAAAATCATCGTCCCAAATTAGGGTGGTGGTTTTGTGTTGTTGGTGTCCGTCTCCGTCGTCTAGAAAGAAGAGAGAAAGAGACGAAGACGAAGAAGAAGAACGAGGAATTTGGGCGAGTGCAGAAGCGAAAGAATATTTGACGGTGACTGCAAAAAACACGATCAGGAAAAGTGAGAAGAGAGCGAGAAAAAACATCAGCGGTATTGAAAATTCGTTCAAAAAGCTCCGCCCTTTTTATAAGTTTTAGACTTGGGGCGGAAAAAACGTCAGAGCACGACGACGCGTACTCAAAGCGCTCTTTTATTCGCGACAAAGTCCCCTCTCCTTTTACCTATTCGGAAAAACAAAATCAAAGAAGGGATTAAAGACTTTTTAGTCGCGTTTAACTTTGGACGACGACTGCGTAAAAAGCGCGACACCCTTTGAAAAGAAAGACAAAACTCGGAAAGAGAGGGAGAATTTCGTCGTCCGCAACAACTTAATAACCCGGTCGAGAAGTCCTTTTTTTGTCTCCCTAAAAAGGAAGCTTTGTGAATGCCGAGACAAAAGTCAGCGCCGAAACGATCCGGGATCGATCTCGAAAAGTTACTTCTCAACAAGGACGACGAGACGACGAATTTTACCCCTCTTCCGAGAAGAGTTGGAGAAGGAGGAGAAGTAAAAAAAATCAACCACGAAGCCGTCGCGAAATTGTTTTTGAGAGCAGTAAAAAACAAGGAAGAAGAAGAGGAGGAGGAAAAAAATGCGACGAAACTTTCGCCAACGGTAATGACGAACTTTAACGATGATGTTCTCGACGACGACGACGACGACGAAAAGGTAGAGGACCGAAATACGAATAACGTCCTGCGGTTGGTGAAAACGTTGGAAAATTCGCACGAGGCGACGCGACGAGCGCTGGCGGAGGCGTTGGGCGTGGTCGCGGGGACGCAGCGGGAGCGCTTAGAGACAGAGGAAGAGAGGAGGGTGATTCTTGATGAGAACGACGACGACGACGACGACGACGACGACGAAAAGGAAGAGGATAAGGCGGGAGAGGTTTTCGGGAGGAGCACACACGGCGAAGGGGTAGAGGAGGACATCGCCGCGCTTCCATCGACCACTTTTGGCTCGGCGACGTATGCCGAACAACTCAAGCAGCAAGTACAACGACAACAAGAAAAGACGGAGCAGCACTTGCTGCGGGTACAAAAACAAATGCACGAACAACAGATACAGCAGCAGTATATGCAGCGGTTGCGGCAACAGCAGCAAGCGTACGGGGCTTTGAGCACGATCAACGACGATATTCCGTACGCGGCCGCGTTGGCGAGGCAGCAAGAGATTGTGCATCAGCAGTTACAATCGCAACAAGCGCAGTTCTTGCTGTTGCAGCAACAAGCGCAGCAACAGGCGATGTTGTCGAATCCGGAGTTGATGATGGCGAATAGCACGCATCCGGGCGCTCGCATATATCCGTTCAACGCTGCCGCGCAGAAACCGCAAAAAGGGAAACGAGGGAGAAAGAAAATGCCGTACATTGATCCAGAAACCGGGTTAGAGCCGGTGTGTGCGTTTAGTCAAGACGGAACGTGCACGTTTGCCATCGGATGTGCGAAGAGAGGGAAGGAGGTGAAGTACAGCAAGTTGAATTTGAGAGTACCAAAGGTGGCGGGGAAGTACGTTGGGAAGCTTTGTTGTCAAACGTGTTATTATCGAGTTAAAGCGGCAAACTCGATGTGCGCATTTGTTGACGAAGGGTGCAGGTTTGCGGACAACTGTAAACGGAAAGATGTGCCGGTGAAGTACGCGAAATTGAGTTACAGGGTCCCGAAGAACCACGATTCGCACGCGGGCGAGCCGTGTTGCGAATCGTGTCATTACAAGATCAAAACGAGCGGGTTAAAGTGCGCGTTCACGCAAGACGATACGTGTGTGTACTACAAAAACTGCCTGAAACGCGGCGTGGAGAACATACAGTTCAACAAGTTGAAGTATTTAGTCCCGTCGACGCACCCGCTGTTCGCCGGGCAACGGTGTTGCGAACCGTGTCATTACCACTTGAAGACGAAAGGCGTACGATGCGCGTTTCACAAAGACGGAACCTGCTCGCAATTGAAACGAAAAGATTTGTACGACGATGAGACAGAGCCTTTGGCGTATAAGGTCTTGTCGTATCGAGTTCCCGAAACGGTCCCTGAATTTGCCGGCGAACGCTGTTGCGATACGTGTTATCGACGGTGCAAAGCGATGGGACAAATGTGCGCGTTCGCCAAGGAAGGAACGTGCACGTTTGCAAAATCGTGTGAAAGAAAGAACATCCCTTTGGTGTACAAGCAGTTGAAGTATCGCGTGCCGAAGAAGAACGCGAAATATCCGGGCGAGCTGTGTTGCGAAGCGTGCCATTACAAGTGCAAAGCGCTAAACGAAAGGTGCGTGTTCTTTGACACCGGAGAGTGTCAGCACCTCGTGAACGCCGAGAAAAAAGGCGTCGAGGTGAACTACACGCAGTTGAAGTACCACGTTCCGAAAGGTAACCCGCAATACGCCAAATACGCTGGGAAAACATGCTGCGACGCGTGTTACGTGAAAATCCGCTCCATAGGGAAGGAGTGTGTATTCACCAAGGACGGGTTGTGCGCGTCTATCGACGGTAAACTGGCTTTTTTTACGACGCTACTGACCAGACGCGTGCCCGCGACGCACGGAAGGCTCGCGGGGGCGTTATGCTGCAAATCGTGTTTCGATAAGTGCAAAACGGGCGCAAAGCCTGGTTTTCGCGCGGACGAGTACCCCGTACCGGATGGTGCAGAGGATGAGACGCAGATGGGTAAAAGAACAGAGCCCGAGAAGACTGGCGCGCCTTCGAACAACGGAGTCGAAGAAAATACGACGACCAAAACGCCACCGGCGACGACGGATTCGCCGAGTAAGAAAGCGAAGAAGGACACAAAAGCGAACGAAGACGACAACAACCAACAACCTCAGTGAATGAGGAGAAGGATAAAAGATAAAAGAAGAAGCTCTTCTCGCGAGAGAGAGTTTTGTAATAGTACAACATCCATGCACACACACATTTTTTTGAGACGAAGAAGAAGATATTTTCTTTCTCAACAACCTCCTCATAATTCTTTGCCACGTTCCTTCCTTTTTCTCTCTCTCTTTCTCTCTCTTTCTCGAACGGGTCATGCCGCGCACAGTCGAAGAAGAAGAAACAGAACCAGATGATTTTGTCCACCAAAAGAAAAGGAACAAAAACGTCGCCTGTATCCGTGGAAACTCCGATTTCTGTTCCGATTGGAAACTCTTTTCACTCGAGTGTTTGGGGAAAGATTTGAAAAATGCGCAGTCGCTCTTGCTGACGGAGAAGCTCTTATCGCGAAACGCGGCGGAGTACACCGTGTGGTGGTTTCGCTTGCGATGCGTGAAATTTATGTTCCACGCGTTCGCCGGGAATGGGACGACGATTCAGACGAAGACGGGAGGAGAAGAAGATGTAAAAAATGAAAACCGATTCTTTGAGGCGACGAAAGGAAAGCTTTGGCGAAGCGACCGGGAAAGGAAGGAGAAGATTGAACGTTTAGTCGCGAGTGCGGAAGAAATGAATAGATTTAGAGAAGAGTTGATAGATTTAGGCGTGGATGAAACGCGTGTGGATGAAGCGAGAGAGTATTTCCGTAGCATCGATTCGCCGTTGATTTGGTACTCGGCGGAGACGCTCGCAAAGTTTCGAAGCGGCGCGTTGACGAGAAAGGTGTTGGAGAGGATGGAGGAGGAGAGGAGGAGCGACGAGGAAGCTGTTGAAGAGGAGCTCCCGACGACGTCGTTGTTCTGGCAACACGGGACGTATGAAGGCGGTTTAAAAGCTTTGACTGGTGCCAATTACCGACGAGATTACATCGAGCGCCTTCGCGAGTGTTGCGAAAAGGTGAGAGAAATTTTCCCTCGAACAAAGTACGACATTTTAGACGAAGAGTACGCGTTTGCCGAGGCGATGGCGTCGAGAAATCCAAAAAATTACCAGGTTTGGAACCACCTTCGTCAAATAGCAACCTTAGACGACCGACAATTTCGTATGGAAACCTCTCTCTTGGATCAACACAGCTATCGCCGACGGGCGTTTTTCTTTCAATCGAACGTGAATTGCGACGGACCATTCTTACATCATTTCAACGACCAAATGCGTTCCGGTGCGGCTATTCGTTCAAAATATTTCGTCGAAAATGTCATACTATTTGGCGACGACGGGTTGAAAAACATTCACGCGTGGACGCATTACGTTTGGATTGCGAAAAATATCGATCCAAACGTCTGGTTGGACGTGTTCTACGCAACCGAGATGTGCGTAAGGAAAGATCCGAGGAATAATTCCGCGTGGACGGCGCGAATGAACTACGCGAAGTTTATGATTGTTGACGAAAGAGAGAATGAGTCGAATACGATCAGCGGATGGAACAATTCGGAACATTTGAAATGGGCGGTGGGTAGAAAAGACGACGAGACGAGTACGAATTCGATTTTCAGCGACGCCTCGAGCATTGAAGAGAAAGGCGTCGAGATGATCACGCGAGAAACGAGCGAAGACCGTGCGATGGATGAATCAGGCGAAGGATCAGTAGATGTCGTCGAAGGTATTAGAAATATTTACGCGTGTATAGGTGCCGATTACAGCGTTTGGTGTACACCTGGACCTCGTTTTACTCCTGAACATTTTCTCGCGTACGATGCCGCGGTGATCATGGAAGACGTTCTTGGATTTGACTTGACTTCGTTCCACAATCTTGCAAAAGAAACGAGTAGGGAACAGTACGAAAACGTATTGCGAGGGTTTGGAGAGGATAACGTCTACGCGCCAGACTCGGAAGCAGCCATGAACTACGTCCTAGGTCTCTTCTCGCTCATGAAAAAAATGTCCCGACCTACCCTTCTCGCTTGCGAAGGCGAGTTGCGTCGAGCGTTCCTAGAAGAATCCGAGAAGAAAATCCATCAAATGAACGCGCTCACTAAACGCGATTACGAGGCAAAAATAGCGTCAAGCGAAAGCCGGAACGACTTTACCAATCCTAGAGCAGACACCGAAGCGGCGCAGTTCGAACGAGAACTGAACGCATTTAGACGATTGAAAGTGAGCGCGAAACTGAGCGCCGCGCAAGTCAAAGCCTTTCGACTCGAAAAAGAAAAAGACGAGGAACTCCCAAGCGCGACAAATCCGTCCTCGACGACCTTGACACCAGAAATGACGACGAGTTTGAACGCAAACGAATCGCCCGTAAACGCGTTGAAGTCGCTCAGGCGATGTCTCGTCACCGACCCGGTCCGATCGAACTTTTACAGAAACCACTTCGTGTTGCGCAGATGAGCAAAATTTTCGTATGCGTGTTCAATTAAGTGCAATGCATCGAGAAAAGGAAAGAAAACCTGTAAATACGTACTTCTTATTTTCTAAAACTACTGACAACATCAAAGCGCAAATCTAAACAATTAATCTAATTTCATCACATATCGCACATCACGAGCCGTCGTTACCTCCAGCGTTCTTGTTGACTAAATAAATCCCGCCGAGCGTCACTGCGGCGCCGACGAGTTGTTGCGCGTCCAACGTTTCGCCGAGCGCGAAATAGCCGCCGACGACGGCAAAAACGGGCGTTAAGAACGTTAAACTAGACAATTTCGTCAAGTTTCCAGAACTGGCGAAGTAGAAGAACAGGGAGTACGCCAACGCGCCGCCAAACACGGAGGCGTAGAGCAAATTCGCGCCGTCCGCGATACCTAAAGCACCCCCCCCGTCACCGAAGATGTTTTCGTACACGTCCCGTTCAGAGACGAGCGAATATATCAACAGAGGAATGCCGCCGAGAAACATGTGTAACCCAGTCGCCATGACTGGATCGACGTATTTAACGACCCAGCGAACCATGACGGTTCCAACTGCCATGCTTTGTGCTGCGAGAAGCATCCAAAACTCTCCAGAGTCAAACGGGTGCGCCGCGAACGACTGTAAAAAAGTGCTCGCGCTTCCCCCATCCGCGCCACCGCCGCTACTACTCTTACTCATGAACCCAGCTAAAGTCTCGCTCGGTATCTCCAACAGCGACAAACCAACCACGCCTAACGCTAACCCACCAATACCAGCCGCACCTAACGTCTCGCCAAAGAAAATCGACGCCAAAATTGCCACGGTCAGCGGCTGCGAATCGATGATGACCGATCCCAACCCGGCGCTCGTCTTCGCCAACCCTTCCGCTAAACACCCTTGAAACATAGCCCCATCGACTAACGCGAACAACGACACCGCCAACCACCCTTTCGCATTCTTCGGAAACTTTCTATTCTTTGACACGGCCCACAAAATGAGAATCAAACCGGCTGGAATCAACCTCACCGTCGCGACAAACATCGGCGAAGTGAGCGGCAGCACCTCCTTCATCGAGACCATGCTCGTCCCCCAGAGAAAGAACGGCGCGACGTAAAACAACGCCGGAAATTCTTGCTTCTGCTTCCCACTCTTCGCAGTAGCGGCGGCGACAACGCCCTCTTCCACCTCCACCTCTCTCGTCATCGACGACGACAACAACAGTTCTTCTTCTTCTTCTTCAATCGGACACTCCGCGTCGATCCCGACGCCGACGCACGACTCGTCCCGAGACGTCGAGTCGACGCCGCCTTTCGCCATCATCGTTCGCTTTTTCTTCCGCTTTTCAACCGTTGAATTCGCAACACACCGATCATCTCCTTCTTCTCCTTCTCCTTTATTAAACTGAACAGGAACGGGAGAAACGACGCGACCATCCATGTCGTCGTCACATTCCGCGATCGGTATTTCGCACTCCACGTTCATCCCAACGCCGACGCATTCTTCACCAAAATCTGCCGACGAAAACTCTTTCGATGTCTTCGCCGAAATCGTCGCGCGTTCAAAGTCAGATTGTCCATTTTCCTTGTTGGCGGCACGTAAAGGAGGCACACAAAGACTCGACCCCGCGTTCTTTTTCACCCCTCTCCTCCAAATCGCCTTTTCGCGTCTTCTTCCTTCTTCGTCGTCTCGGGAAACACCGGAGAAGGACTTCTCCCCGGAGTACACTTTCAAAGCGTTCTCGAGAAGAAGACGTTTCGAAGATGTCCTCTTCGTACTCGTCGCGCGAAAAGAAGACAAAAAAGACAAAGACGCGTGCGGTCCTTCTTGTCGTCGTCTTTTCGAGAGAGAGGAGGACGTCCTCGTGCTTCCTTTTACCGCGTTCGACGATGGTGATTTTTGCGCGAGCATTCGAATGGAAATTCTGAAGATTCACATCGCCACTTTTCTTGTGCGTACACGAGACGTGAGAGACTTACACACTACGCGATGATGATGATGATGATGATGTCGAGCAGCGGCGCATCGTTTTCGTCGCCTTCGATTCTTCGCGCGAGGAGGAACAATACTTTGAAACACGGACGTTTTTGTGCTTCTTCTTCTTCGTTGTCTTCGTCGTCGTCGGGGACGCATCGGAAGCGGATGCGTCGCACGTCATCATCAGCAAAATCAGCGGCGAAGGCGGACGAGGAGACCTCCGAGACGACGAGTGCGACGACGACGACGAATACGAGTAAAAGTAACCAAAATGAACGAGAAGCACCTTTAACAACGGTGGCCATCTCCGGCGCGACCGGGTTCGTCGGCAGAAAGTTGACGGAAAAATTGTTAAACGAAGGCACCAAGGTGAGAGTGTTAACCAACAAGAGCAACAAGGTACGGGCGAGACTGGCGCTCGGTCTGAAATCCGCGTTCAATCCAAACGTCTCCGTATACAAATGGGAAACGATTACTGGGAAGTTGGAGTGGACGGAAGCGATTCGAGGGTGCGATGGCGTGGTGAATTTAGCAGGCGCTCCCGTGGCGACGCGATGGGATAAAAAGTATAAAGAGACGCTCGTCAACAGCCGATTGGGGTGCACGAATAGAATCGCAGACGCGATTAACAAGTTGCCGGAAAAAGAGAGACCGAGTTTAGTGAGCGCGTCTGCGGTTGGGTATTACGGGACGACGAGGAAGGACGAGGCGTGGACGGAAGCGAGAGGACCAGGCGGGGACTTTTTGGCGAGTTTGTGCGAGAAGTGGGAGAAGGCGGCGAACAAGGCGAAGACGAACGTGACCGTGGTGAGAACCGGAGTGGTGTTGGAGAAAGGAGGAGGTGCGTTGGGGAAAATCTTACCTTTGTTCTATTTGTATTCCGGAGGTCCAGTCGGGAGTGGCACGCAATGGGTGAGTTGGATTCATAGGGAGGATTTAGTGGATATCATGATTATGGCGTTGAAGAATCCGAAGAAATTCAAAGGCGTGGTCAACGGCGTCGCTCCCGAACCGACGACGATGAACGGTCTGTGTGAAGCGATCGCGAAAGCGACAAACAGACCGAACTGGTTGCCAGCTCCGGGGTTGGCGGTGAGAGTATTGTTAGGCGAAGGGGCGACGGTGGTTTTGGACGGGCAAAAAGTGGTTCCGGAGAAGACGATGGAGAAAGGGTACCAGTTCAAGTATTCTGACGTGAACAGCGCGCTCGACGCAATCGTGAATGGACCGTAATAATCCTTTCGTTAGTAAATGCTATTCTGCTCTATACTTTTACTACACAAAACTATGCCGCTAAAAAAATGTGGTTTTCACGCCGCGTTTGTTCTTCTTTTCTAACCGAGCTTCTCGTTCAATAAACGCATTGCTTTTTCTTCTATGTTTTCTTCTTCCTCGTCGTCTGAGTTTGTTCTTCTGCCCATGCCGGCGTGTGCGGCATCTGAACGCTTAACAGACTTAAACGCGCGCGCATCGAACGGTTTCTCGTCCTCCTCATCGTCATCACTCCGACCACCGAAACCATCTTCGTCGTCGTTGTCGTCGTCATCTGAACCAGACGAGCCGCCGACATCCAAGAAAGCTCTCGTCTCTTCTTTGCCGACATCCTTCACTTTACGCTTGGCCCGCATCTCTCGCAATCGCGCTTTTTCGCGTCCACGATCGGCGTAATCGGCGGTCTTCCGCTCTTCCGCTACCTTTTTCATGCGCATCTTGACCGCCTCGCGCAAAGCATCGTCGTTCGCCGCCGTGCTCTTGGCAAAGAATTTAGCGTCTTCGCCCAACGCTTCGAGCGGTTTCGAGGCGGTGCCGTCCTCTTTGAACACGATGCGTTTTTCTGAGCCAGCTACGGAAGCTATGGAACCTGATTTACCAATACGGAGTTTCCCTTTCAATGCTTTTTGGCGAATCTTTTCACTCTCTGCGTTTGCCGCGATCGCTAATTCTTTCTCCTCTTCCTCGGTGTCGTCGGCCAACGCGTGGTCTTTGCGTCGGACTTGTAAAAAGTCATCTTCGATGTTGGCGTCGTCGTCGTCGTCGTCCGAGTCGCCCCCAGCCTTTAATTTGAATCGACCCCCGCCGGTACGCTTGAGAACACCCGCTGAGGTTTTCATGCGCTCGTCCGAGTCTGAATCTGATGAATTGTCTTCTTCCTCTGATTCAGACGACGAAGAGGAGGAAGCGTCATCTTCTTCACCTCCCGAAGAATCCATCTCCTCCTCCTCCTCATCGTCCGAGCGCTCAGAAGAAATTTCCGAGTCGTCGTCGTTGTCGTCGTCGTCTGAAAGTTCTCTACTTTTCTTAGCTTCTTTGTTACCATTTTTGTCATCGTTCGCTTTATTCTTCTCCTTCTTGGTGCTCGCCGCGTTCAAAAACTTTACCTTTGGCGCGTTCGGTAACCCGAAACTCTGCGACAGCGCCTCTACGTCAATCTCGGAAACGTCAAACACGTCTTTATTCTTCTGTAAAAACACCGAGCGCAGGTAACACACCAACGCTCTTTGCGATAAATACTTCAAATCGTTATCTTTTGACAACAACCCTTGGACGCTCGAACTTATACCTTTCACTCTCGATTTTGGGTTCATTTTGATAGATTTAATTGGGATTTTTGCTTGCTCCAACAATTCTGGAAACGTTGTCGCTTCTTTGCCTTCGTTCAACAAGATCAAAGCCTTACCACTCGCGGTGTACCTAGCCGTCCTTCCAACTCTGTGAATGTACGTCTGCACGTCTTCCGGGCAATCGCATTGGATGACCCAATCCACCGCCGGGAAATCCAACCCTCTCGACGCCACGTCTGTGGCAAATAAAACCGTCTCTCTCGCGTTACAAAACTGATAAAACACGTGCTCGCGTCTCGTTTGTTTCATTCTTCCGTGAATGCACGCCAACGGGATCCCTGGTCGCATTCGTCGAAAAATTTCGTGGATAAACTTCACCTGTTTACACGAGGAGAAAAACACCAAAATTTTCTGCGTAGGGTGCGACTTCACAAACGCCCACAACGTTTCAATCTTCTTCTCCACTTTACAAGTCGTATACATCTGTTGCAACTTTGGCGGCGTCGCATTCACCGATTCTGCGTGCACGCTCAAAAATTCTGGATCTTTCAACGATAACCGCGCTAAATCGCTCACTTTTTTCGTCTGCGTCGCGCTAAACAACAACGTCTGCCTCGTTTTCGGCAAATTCGCCAACACCGCGTCTAAAGTCTCCTTAAAACCTAAGTCCAATATCCTATCCGCCTCGTCTAAAACCAACACTTGCAATCCTGTGCAATCAAACATCGGCGTCTCGTCCATGTGTTGCAACAATCTCCCGGGAGTACAACACAACAAATTCATCGCGTTGACCGCGTTCCTTTCCTTCTCCAAATCCTTTCCGCCGATGAGTAAAGCTACGCTAAACGTATGATTCCCCCCAACCTTCACAATCTCCTGGAATATCTGCATCGCCAACTCTCTCGTCGGACTGATAAATATCGCTCCAACGCCATCGTCCTTCCCCCATTTCATCCTATACAATCTCTCTAAACTCGGCACGACGTACGAAAGCGTCTTCCCGCTCCCCGTCTTCGCCGCGCCCAACACGTCTCGCCCGCTCATCGCGTGTGGGATCGTCGCCCTCTGTATCGCCGTCATCTCTTTATACTTGCATTCTCTCAACGCTTTTTGCGTTTCCGGGGAGAGTGGGAGATGTGTAAATTTCCGTACCCCGGTTAAGGAATGCGAGGTGTTTTTGTCCGAGGATTTTCGTGGTGGAATTGCCAAGGGGTTGGAACCGGATTCTGGTTTCGTTTCCTATCGTTTTTATTAATGAGAGTGAGAGAGAGAGAGAACGAAAGTGAGCACACAAAGAAAGAGCGTTTCGTGCGGTGCTTTTATTCTCGTTCACGTCGTCGTTGTTGTCACAAACGCGAGCGCAATAACGCGCGAATACCGAAAGAGAGATTTCCCCGTTTTTGGCGGCTCAAAAATGCGCCACAAAACGACAACAACATTAGTAAAGTTTTCTCACCTCAATGCACCTCTCCAACGCCCGTATCGTTTGGTCTTGCATTGCTAACTTTCCCAGAGGACGCTTTACTCTGCCTTCGCTCTGAGTACGCGTCGTCTTCTTCTTTTTTCGGTCGTTGCTTTGCGTCATGACGATGATGATTTTGCAAAGGAAAAAATGAGGAAAAAGAGCAAAAGGAGGAGAGAAAATGATGACACTTTAGATGAATACAACAACGCTGGAATCTGATTACACGTCTCCTTCTTCCTCTTTGTCTTCTCCTTCTCCTTCTTCTTCCGAAATTGCTGTTTCTGTTGATATTCTTTCTACTTCTTCTGTCGTTTGAAAAGAATCGGCAATTCTGTGCCCGTCGTACGGCAAATGAATGCCGACGTCTTGCGGAACGCACGTTTCGTGCAAAGCTCTGCGGTAGCGGTACCGAATTTTTAAGTGCTTCTTTTCCAGCGGGTCGACGTCGCAGAAACCCAAAAGAGAGGAGTACGAGACGCCGTCGTGGAGTTCGAGTTGCGAGCGTTCGACCATGTGGCGTAAGGCTACGGTGACGTCGATCCAAGAGTCGTCGTCTCGGAGGATGTCGCTGTGTTGTCGTCCTCGTTCGCTAGATTTTGGTTTCGTTTTCTTCTTCCTTTCGTCGTCGTCGTTTTTTCGATCATCTTTTTCTTTTTCTTCGTCCGGAAAGGTCATCGATCTTTTCGTCACGTCGCACTCGACGTTTTCAAACGAGCCGTACACGGCTTTTTCAATGTCCAATCCGCCTATTTCTCGCTCGAACACTCTCTTCTCTTCCGCCGATTTTGCGACGAGCTCGCGTTGCGCCAACGCGTCTTTGCGGTTTTCCTCGATTTCAGACGCGTATCGCAAACGCATTTGTTTCTTTTCGAACCGTTTTTTACGTCTCAATAAAGGGAGAATGAACACGTTTCTTAAGACGCCAATGACGGCGTTCGGGATGGTTAGGCACAAAATCGCCGTTCGTCTCGTTAAATACGGCAAACCCGGGGCGAGTAAAATAGGAAACTCAAACTGTTGATTCCTTTGGCGATATTTGATTTTCAAGACGCACCCTTCGACGCCGACGCAGACGCCCCACCCGATGCTCGTTTCGCCGTCGTCGCTCAACGTGGCGTTCGTTCCGTTTTCAATTTCAATACCCATCGTTCCAAACTTGAACGAATATTTCTTAATTTTGTTCGTTTGTGTATGTTCCGCCAACGCGCTGTTCGGGTAATGCCGCCTCGCGTTCGCCGAAGACCCGTCGACGACTTTTCTCTGATACGACCCAGTCAAGCCGAAATTCTGCACACCCGCGCTTAAATCCAACTTCCACGCGCCATTTTCACCGGCTTTACCTCTGCACCCGGTCGTGATACCCGGTATCGGTCCTACGTTCCAATCGATGTTACCAACCGCGTGATGCGTCAACTGTCTTTTCAAACCGACGGACAAACCTACGCCAGTGCCAACGTCCTCTGTTTCCTCCCCCGCGGACGACCCTCCGACGCCGACAAAGTCGTATTTGCACGTCATCGTCCCAGTCGTCCTATTCGTCAATTTCTGCTCCAAAGTCATCTCCATCCCACCGTTCCTTTGCGAGGGCATTTGCATGTGCCAATCCGCGCTCGTCCACAACCCCAACTGTTTCCTCGCGCCCACTAACAACACTCCGGCGCCTCTCCCATCCGCGTTCGCCATCGCTTGCGCTTGACAATACACGTCCAAACTCTCCGACACAGTCGCACTCATCGACGTGCTCACGCTCCCTTGCAAAAAATCCAACCCCAAATCTTCCACGTGGAAATCCCCCAGCGCTTTCTCCACCGCTCTCAGCGCTTGTCTCTGTTTCTCCTCGCCTTCTTTCCCTTCCACCGCGCCGACGCCGCCGTCCCCCAACACGCGTTTCAATCGTTCCCTCACGGACTTCCCGCCTCGCGCTAACCTTCTCGACGCTCTCAGTCTTTCATCTAACGCGTGTGCAAAACTGAATTTAAACTCGTACCCGCTCGATTGTTGGTGTTTCCTTTCCGCGCGCTCTCTCGCTTTTTGTCGTTCGAAATACTCGAATTCCTTTCGCATTTCCTCCGTCGTTTTCCGTTTCGAGTAGCTCATGATTTCCTTGCTCTGCGTCGACTCGTCCACTCCTACGTGGCCGTAAATGTCGTACACTTTCCGTTTCTCTGCGTCGTGTAAGATTTGGTACGCTTCGTGTATTAACGCGAAGGATTTCTTTGCCGCGTTGTTGTTATTCGATACAGCTTTATCCGGGTGGACTTTTTGCGCGAGAAGTTTGTATTTCCGTTTGACGTCTTCCGTGGTGCAATCTCTCGGGAGGTTGAGGACGGCGTAGTAGTCTTTTTTTTGTGAACTTCTACCATCGTTTTCGTCCATGATTATTGGTGCTTTGTCTGTGGTGGTTTTGCTCTCTTCTTCTTCGGACTCTCTGACTCTCGCTCGTGAGAGCGGATGTGTGTTTACGACGTACTCTCTTTGCGTGTAAAGTTATGCCGTTTTTTCCCTTTGAAATGTCTCACAAAAAGCGACGCGAGAGCACAAAGACCCCCGGCGAAGATCGCGGGTTTTCTTTTCTTCGAAACCACCCGGAAGAACTCCGCTTTTTTACGATATACGTATATATATTGCGTGTATTTAGTACAGCAAAAGCCCGCATTTATTCCTCGTTGCCAACGTGAACGTCGTCATCATTTTTATCGTCGTCGTCGTCGTCATCGAATGTACGGAAAAAAGATATACACATCGAGAGAATGAATCAAGTGAAACGTTTGGACGAGTGGATCGCCTCGCGGCCGATTTTAATCGCCTCGGTGACTTTTACGATAGGGATAACGCTCACAGCGATCGCTTTTTTAGTGACCGGGATACGCGTGAGCACGGAAGGTACGTTGAGTATACATGCGAGAAGCGCGTTTGTTTCTTTGAGTAGACTCCCCTATTTTTATTTATTTATGCTGACCTTTTTTACTCTTTTTCTCCTCTTTTTACAGGATGGAACGTGCGAGGGACTTTAATCTCGAACAGATACATACAGTTTGAAACGTTCGTGGAATCGGGGAGTTGCGACGACGGCGCGTGTTACGTGAACCCGTACAGACTCAACGCGAACGCTCTGTCTGCTCCAAAAACCAACTCCTCTCGTCGGCTTCTTCGCAGGACCGTTTTAGAGTTTCCGACGCATCCTCTGTGCGAGGATTTATCGTATCACGGAGATGTTATGTACCCGAATTTAGATGTAGTGTTCATGGCGAACGACGAAGGGGTGGATTTATTTACCGCGCAGGCATTTCGGAAGATGTGCGAAGTAGAGGAGAACATCATGGGACAAACGAATTGGAACAACTATTGCAGAGGAGGAGCAGCGCCGAACCAAGTGGAAAACTGTTATTTGAGCGATTCGTCGTTGGAAAATCAAGCGCCTTTGTATTACACGAAAACGATGGTAGACGACAGCGGGACGCAAATGTACGCGAGGGGATGTTATAACGCGAATTCGTACCCTCAAATGGTAAAACACGTTTTGTCGTTGAGTTCGTGCGAAGAGATTGAAACGAATACCGTATCGGGGACAGTCATCGCGAATTTAAAAACGGCGGTTTTGGCGTGCGTGGACGTTTTAGCGACGGATAGTAACGGTGTTTGCGCGACATTGACGTCGACAGATTTGGGAATACCTGGTGCGGAAGATGCTGTGGACGCGGTGACGTTTGAGCCGCGCGAGTATTACATCAGCGCGTTTCTAAACGGGAAGTTTTCCAGCGATTTCCCAAATTTAGTCACCACGAGGAGCTATTTACCCATGGATTGGTCGAGAAGTTCGATGGAAAACTCGATGAAATACTTGGTCAATTTAGGCGATAAGAAGAACGTTTTGGAAGTCTCCAACGATTTGTTCTACACAATTTACGGGTCGGAAAACGATTTATACGACTACGTCACAGACATTGAGTTGTATAGAGATATGCTGTTAGCTTCGGGAGCAGTTATTATCATCTTGGTAATGATTATTTGCCACACCGGCTCGTTATTTCTAACGTTAGCCGCGGTGTCGCAAATCGTGTTGAGCTTCCCGGTGGCGACGTTCTTCCTAAACACAGTTTTGAGGATCAAATTCTTCCCGTTTCTGAATTTCATCGGTTTGTTTGTCATCTGCGGCATCGGTGCGGATGATTGTTTCGTCTTTCTCTCGAAATGGGATCAAGCGAAGGCGCGACTACCGCCAAAATCGCCGGCGAAGGATGTCAGCAAAATGTGTTACTGGGACGCCACGTATTCCATGTTTCTCACTTCGACGACCACTGCCTGTGCATTTTTCAGTACCGCTGGGTCGTTGATTCCTCCGGTGCGCGTGTTTGCAATTTTTATGGGATGCATGGTGGTTTTCGATTATATTTTTGACGTGACCATATTCGCCGCTGCGGTGGCATGGCAACACGACAAGAAGATTGAGTTGAAAAAAAGGCGATACGAGGAGGGCAGTAAATGGGCCGGGTGGATGCTTTCGATATTTTTTGAAATGCCTAAAATAATTAGACGACCGCAGTGCGTGAAACCAGATTTAGACGACGATACGAAAGATGATGATGAGGAACGACAAGAACAAAAATCACCAAACGAGAATGGTGGTATCAGAGGTAACAAGAGCAGATTAATTAGTGAGAACGTCTCTAGAGAGCTCGTATTCCCGGTCGTGTACAAACTCAGATACGTGCTCGTCATTGCCGCCATCGCGTTAGGATGCGCCTCGTCCTACGGCGGGTCCAAATTATCGTTACCGACGGACTCTTCGGTCGAGTTACTCCCAGATGAACACGTTTTGACGAAATACTCGCGAGTTATGCGTTCTTCATTCAAATCCGCCACCGAATCGCAAATAGAAGTGGACGTCGTTTTCGGTTTGCAAGCGAAAGACGACGGCGATTACAACGATCCATCCTCGGTGCCGAATTTTGCCATCGATACGACTTTTGACATGTCCGCGCCAGAGGCGCAAACATGGTTGTACAACTTTTGTCAGAAAGGCAAGGCGATTGCGTACGGGAACGAGTCGAGGTGTTGGATGGATACGTTTGTGTCGTGGTTAGAAGATATGGACGCGGCTTGGGCGTCCGAAAACGACGATTCCCGATATCGCAACACGGGAGGTGGAACTGATCAATGTATCAATGATTCATCGTGCGATTTTAATTCCCAATATGCATCTGGCGTGTGGGCCTGGAAAGACAATTGCGCGCAGAGAAAAACACTGCCGATACCGCAGGAAAATTTCATAGGATGCATTTATGGATGGACCATGGACTGGAGTTCGAGCTACAACGGGGGCACGTATTATTTGAAAAACAACAAGAAAATGATCGATTCGTTGTACAACGAGAGATACGACAGTTCCGGCACAACACTTCTGGAATCCTACGATTCTGTGAAAATGCTTCTCACAGTCGTTTCGTTTTCGCTCGATATTGGATGGAACGAAGAAACGTCGTTATTAAAAAAACGATGGCAAACGTGGGAATCCTTCATTTACGAGGAACTCAAAACGGCCCCGGCTGGAGTTAAAAACGGATGGCAAACCGACCGAGGCGCCTGGCGATGGTTCGATACCGTCGAGAATATGAACGACAACTTTCGCGAAGCGACGTTGATGTGTCTAGGTATCGCCCTCGGCATCGCGTTGATCTCCACCGCGAACATTGTTGTCACTATACTCACCATCTTCTCCATCGGCACCATCCTCGCCTCGACCATTTCCGTCGTCGTTTCCTTAGGCTGGACGCTCGGATTCCTCGAAGGGATTTGCCTCTGCATCCTCATCGGTTTATCCGTCGATTTTGTCATCCACATGGGCCACGCCTATTGCGCCGCCGCCGAACGAGGCGTCCACACCCGAGTCGACCGCACGCGAGAAGCTTTCGCTCGCATGGCTTTCCCCATCGCCTCCGCCGCGTTCACCACCTTCGCCTCCGCCTGCGTCCTCTTCTTCTGCACCATCACATTCTTCCAAAAATTCGGTACCATCGTCATGATTTCCATGGTTTGCGCGTTGTGCGTCTCGTTGGCGTTTTACGTCGCCTTATTGTCGGTGTTAGGCCCGGAAGGGAGCTTCGGGAACATCCGAGACTTTAAGAATATGTGTTCGTGCAAACCGACAAAGTCGTCTGGGCCAAACTCCTCCTCGCGACCAGGAAACCAAGAAGAACAAGAACAAGAACAACTAGAGAGATAATGATTGTATTTATTAGAACCCACCCGCTGCTAAACGATATGCGACCGCATCCGCTCCGCCCTTCGCCCCGCTCTAAAATTTACCTACTTTGATGAAAGAACTCCAAACTCCACACAAACTTCGTTTGAAAGTAGAAGCAGAGAGACTCATGTCGAGCGATAAAACTGCTTCGAAGAACACGTCGTCCTTTACCGGAGGAGGAAAAGGAAAAGGAGGAGGAGGAAAGCCTTCGAGTGATACTAAAAGTATGCCTCCAATCATCCACAAAAACATCATCGTTCTAGACAACGGCGGCGATACGATTAAAATCGGATTCGCGGGCCAACGTTCCCCGACGGCGTTGGTCCCGAACTGCGCGTGCCGCCCGCAAGGCACGAAAGCGACGATTATAGGTGTCGACTCGAAAGACATTCCAGATATTAACGGTCTCATCGTTCGACGACCGATCGATAGAGGGTATTTGACCAATTCGCAGTTGCAGAAAGATATTTGGGCGCATTGCATACACGAGGTGTTGAAAGTTTCGGAGACGGAGGTGAAAAAATGTTGGCTCGTCATGACGGAACCACCGATGAATTTTAGCACGTCGAGACAGGAAATGGATAGGATCGTGTTGGAGGAGTTTGGGTTTGAAGGCGTGGTGTTCGTATCCGGAGCGTTGTGCGCGATGAAGGCGCATTTGTGGCAGACGAAAGACGAGGATTTGGAGAACGGGGATGACGATGATGAGGAAAAGAACGAGAACGCGATGATGGAGATAGACGATGTCACAGATAAAGAGTATATGGGCTTTAACAAAGCGCCTCCGAGAGTACGCGCTTCGAAGAAGCAAAGAATCAAATGGGCTCGAGAAGCTATGACTGGATGCGTCCTCGACGTCGGGTTCTCCTTCGCGCACGCGTCGCCGGTTTTCGACGGGCGAGTCGCCGACCATCACGTAAAACGATTGAATTTAGGCGGACGCGCGTTGACGAATTATCTCAAAGAGTTAATCTCGTATCGACAATGGAACGTAATGGATGAATTCGCGTTAATCGAGGACGTCAAATTGAAATCGGTGTATTGTCAAGAAAACGGCGACATTTACGAAGCGTTGAAAGAGGCGAAAAAGAAGATTCGCGAAAACAAAATCGCTATTAAGTACGTCCTCCCAGACGGCGTGAACACGCTCAGAGGTTTCCTCGCCGATTCTGTCTTGGCGAACGACGGCGACGACGCCTCGTCTTCCGAATCCGAAATCAACGAAGACGACGATTTACAAACCCGAAGAAGAAAATTAAAGAAACAAAAAGAGAAAGCGGCGAAAGGTGCGGGAAGTATGGAACTCGCCCCGGACGCCCAATCGTTAGTATTAGTCAACGAACGGTTCATGGTTCCAGAAATCCTCTTCCACCCGTCTGATATCGGCTTAAATCAGTGCGGCATCGCCGAACTCGTCGCTCAAAGCGTCCACCACGACGAAGCGAACGACTCTTTACGCGACCAAACCGTGGAAGCGCTGATGTGGCTCAACGTCATCGTCACCGGCGGCTGCGCAAAAATCCCAGGCTTAGTCGAACGTCTCGCCAGAGAAATCCGCCAATTCGCGCCCGCCATCTACCCGGTCTCCGTCCGCGCGCTCGACGACCCGATTTCTGACGTCTTCCTCGGTCTCTCTTTACTCTCCTCCACGGACGACGACCACAGGCCGCTCCGGGACCCTATTCAAACCTTCTGCCTCAAACACGGCACGAAAAGGGACGAATATTGCGTTAAAAAGAATAACAATAGTAATACGTATAGAAACGAACGAATCGAGCAGTACGACCGGTTCGAGAGTACCCCGTTAGGGAGGGTTAAGGATATGCATTACGCTTCGTCCGAAAAGACGTGACGTGATATGTACACGCATAACCGCAAAAGTAGACAAAAAAAACGAGTTGTACATGTAGCTCTCCGGGACACCCCCGTGGGGAAAAGAACTGTATCGGGCACTCGCTGTATCAATTGTCTCGTTTAAAGAACGTTTCGTGACAAAATGATCTTCCTACACTTATTCGCGCGTCTTCGATGTGGCGTTTTTTTTACCTCGAGGTCTTTTCAAATTCAAAACATCTGTTCTTCTTTTCCCTCATAAAATATCTCTCGCATTCTCTGCACTACGAACGCTTAAATACGTAAACATGGAGGAAAAAGAAGAAAAAGAAAAAGAAGAGGAAAAAGGAGAGGAAAAGGATGAGAGCAACAATAATAATCGCATCTCTTCTCCGCACGTGGTCGTCGCGCGACATCCGGATGATTTTAACGATGATGATTGTGATGATGATGCAGTCGGGGAAGAATTTGAAAAGATGCGGACGATCTCTTCTCCCTCTTCTCCGCGAAAGACAAAGACGAAGAAGAACAACCCCGACGATGTGAGCGATACGTGCGATGATGAGATTCGTGTTCTCGCGATTTTGGCGGAAAAAAAACGGTACAAGTGGGCGAAAGTGAAAGGCTCGCCGTTTTGGCCGTGCCAAGAAGTGGACGTCCTTCGGTGTAAAGGAAACGTGCCGGAATTCGTGCGAGAGAAAGTGGATGGATTTTTAGAAGCGAAGGGCGTGAAATTGATTCAGTTTTTCGGGACGAACGAGTACATGTGGTATTTAGAGAAGTCGGACGAGAACGCTTCTTCTCCTCCTCCTCCTCGCAGTGGGAGCATGTTTCGAAGAGTGGATGTGGAGTCCTTTCGAGACGGGTGCGAGAAAGGGTACGATAAGAAAATGAAACCGGTCGGGTTGAAGAAAGCGATGAAGGAGATGTGGGAGTGTTTGAGAAGCGGGGAGGATCCGTCGGATGTGAAAAGAGGGGGGTTACAATGGCACACGAAGAAGATCGCGGTGGTGGAAGAACCGGAGGAGGAGGAGGAGGAAGAAAAAAAGGCGAAGAAGACGGAAAAGAAGAAAGCGTCTTCGACGGGGAAGAGGAAGAAAGCGGAGGCGAAGAAGACTTCCGCCGCTGAAGAGAAAGAGATGAAAAAAGCAAAGAAGATTTCCGAAGAAGTGAAGAGGAGGGAGGAAAAGACAGCGGCGGCGGCGGCGGCGAAGGTGGAACTCGACGCGCGAAAAGAACAGGAAAGGAAAAGGAACGAACCGGCTACTTTAGAAACGCTGTTCGACGACGAAGGCATCGAAGAGAAACCGTTTCAGTTATCGTTCGACGTGATGAGCGCGAGAGATCCGCCGCCGTTTGAACGGTTACGAAGGAACCGGTGGATGTGTCGTCAAGCGCCGAAACAGGTGCATTCGAGCGAGGCGGTGGCGTGTTACTGTCAACCGATACCGCATTCGATAAAAGAAGAAATAATGGCGAACGTCACGACTGAGCGGGCGATGAAGATGGCGTCGACAGCATCAGCTGCCGAAGTAGAACAACAATTTATTGAAGAGAACGGCCCGGCCACGCCGTCAGAAACTCTCGAAGATCCTCTAAATAATAATAATAATAACAACAACAACAACAACGAAGAGAAAGGGAAAAAATCGCTGACATCGAAGCTATTGCCAAAACTCCGTCTCGGATGTGGTCACGACTGCGTCAACCGCGAAACGCGATACACGTGCGACACCAGAGTGTGTCCGTGTGGCGATGACTGCTCCAACCGACCGTTTCAACACCTCCCTCAACCAAAAGTGAAAGTTCAACTGACGGAAAATCGCGGCTATGGATTGTTCTTACAACAAGATGTCTTTGAGGGTGACTTTATCGTCGAATACATGGGCGAAATCGTCGACGAAGAGGAATGTACCCGACGTTTGTTGGCGTGCAAAGGCAAAAACGAACCGAACTTTTACCTCATGGAAATCACCCCGTCACAAATCATCGACGCTCGATTTTGTGGCAACAACGCTCGATTTATCAATTCGAGCTGCCATCCAAATTGCGAGACGCAGCGGTGGGTAGACGCGTCCACGAACGAAACCAGAGTTGGTATTTTCGCCACCGAGGACATCAAATCCGGCACGGAGCTGACTTACGACTACAACTTTGCGCACTTTGGCGGCGAAGGCACGACATCGTTTACCTGCTTCTGCGGGCACCCGATGTGTAAAGGCACTTTAGATGCCAACCCAGAACGCATGCGAAGGTTCATGGACAGAGTCACGGTTACGATGAAAAATGGCGACGTGAAAACTGGAACGGTTTTAGAATACACGGTGAACAAAAAATACAAACTGTTGCTCGACGACGAGCAGGACGTGAAAGTGTGGTCAAAGTCGAAGAAATCCGAGGAAGAAAAAGCCGAGTCGGCGTTGAAAAAGACGAAGAATCGAAAGTACATCACGGTGAACTTGGACAACGGCGATTTCGCGAGCAAGAAAGGCGGCAAGAAGGACGCGAAACTCGCGTGCGTCTGGTTGACCAACAGAACGAACTTCACCGAGAGCAAAGTAAAAAAGAAGAAGGTGGACGAGAAAAAGAAGAGCGCGACGACGACAAAGAAAAAAGCGGGGAAGAGGAAGCGACCCCGGGCGGCGACGAAGAAGCTCAAAGAACAAGAACAAGAACAAGAACTAGACAAAAAAACGCCGACGACGCCTCTCAAAGAAATCGTCCTCAGTCCGGTGAAACGACTCGTCGAAAACGCCATCGCCAACGTCGTCACATATATTTACTAATTTATTCAATACGTTGGATCGATGCTGAGTATCGTACTCTTCTCCGCGCGTTCGTATTGACGTCCACAGTATGCAGAATTTTTCAGTCCTTTCCCTCATAAAGCACACCACACAAAAAACGTTTCATAAACAACAACACACATCATGTCTTCTCCTCCCTCTCTCCCTTCTGCGACGTTCAAAATCGGCAATTCCGTCTCCGGCGTCTCCTCCTGCGGCGACCCGTTCGGTGGCGTCGTCTACGCGGTCGACGATACGCTCGGTTTGGCGGTGTTGCGCGCGCCCGGGGATATTCAAAACAGTCACCACGTGCAGATAATTAATTGCGATGCGAATACTAAGACGGATGTGAAGGTGCTCAACTCCGTCTCTCCGCCGCCGAACAGTCGCGGAGAGGAAGAAGAGCGAGCAGCTTTACCAGTCATCGATAAAGGAAGGCAAGAGAGACGGTTTGAAACCGCGGTGAAAGCGGCGCAGTTTGTCGCGGGTACGAATGCAATTCGCTCGTCTTTGGATTTCGATGTCTCATTCGATCGTCGTCGTCTCGCGTTCTTTTGCGTTCCTCCTCGCGCGATCGTGGACGAGTGCACATCCTGTGCCGTCGCAGAATGGAACGTGTTGTTTGATAGTGTTGTTTCTTTGCGCATTTGGAACGTCCAGCCTTTCTGTGATGTGCCATTCTCGCGAGCGGGTCTTTTTGTATCCACTGACACCTCTCTCTCTCTCTCTCTCTCTCTCTTTAACGACGACGACGCAAACAGATAACATCGGCGAAAACGTGACGGAGGAAGCGCAAGAAATATTCGACGCGTTAGCGCGAACGTTACCGTGCAGATGGAAAAACCAAGAGATTATCGTCCTGGATGAAATTTCCATACCGCCGCCGTATACGACGCCGGCGGGCGGGGACGAGTTGTTCCGAGAACGGATTAAGAACGTGTTGGTGCACGAGAGAAGAAGGTTAGGGATGAGCTAACCGCGAGTATTAGCATCTCTCTCTCTCTCTCTCGAAAGGTGTGAGGTTTGTTGGAGAAAAGAAGAAACACGAGAGGAGGAGGAGGAAAAGGAGACCTCCGTCAAAGTCGGTTGTTGGTGTCGTCGCGAGGCGAAAGCGCTTTCGCGGAGCCGTTCGTTCGTTCGACTGTATCGTTGTACCATTATTAATCTATTAGAAGAAACTATGTTTAAGTATTACAGAGCTAGCTAATTAAACTACTACACGAAAACCCGCCGGATCATTCGTTTCAGAGCGTTCTCTTTCTTGTCTTTCTTCGCCTCCTCATCGTCCTCCTCTTCAATCTCGTCCTCTTCTTTCGCCGAAGGATGCTCGTCGTCGATCTCCCTCCATGCGATCGGATTGCGTTTCAAAAACGGCCAACTCGGGAGCGTGACCACCACAGAGGCGACAATTCCCGCGAAAATTAAATTCCGCATCAAGTCGTAGTCTTGCAACAGGTACCCGAGCACAAAACCGACCGAGGCAGTCGAAGAAACGACCGAGACGGTGAACGTTTCCACGAACTTTTGGCCTTCAAAATCAACCATCTTTTTACGCGCTTTGACGGACTCCTCTCTTTCGCCTCCTTTTCCTCCTCTCCAGAGAGACTTTGAACGCGTTTTGAAAATCTGTTGTGCACTTTCTTTCAGGTGAGACGCAGAGGTTGCGCTCTTTGTATTCTCTCAGGAGGAGTCGTCTCTCTCTCTCTCTCTAGCGCTGCGAAGGAAAAGAGCGAGAGAGAATGGAGAAAATTCGAAGCGTTTTCTGACGTCATTTCACGCGCACGTTTTGTGTACCACGCGACAGAGACTGCGCAGGAATACGACTCAGACGGAGCAATCTCGCACTCTCGAAGGAGTTTCGGTGTTCGACGCAGCGCGGGCTCGAGCACGAAAAACTCGCTCGAATCGCTCTTTCGTCATCGTTTCTCTTTGAAACACATTCGTTGCGCGCTTTCGTCGCGTTTGGACACGTCGGCGAACGCGGAGAAGACTTCAAAGAAGAACGGAGAACACAGAGGATGATTCGACGACAAACCCAACACCAACATCAACGAAATATTCGTTTCTTTCGAGACGTTTTGTGCTTCACTTCTTCGAAACGAGGAACGCCTGATGCTGCATTCAGGAGTCGAAGTGGTGTCGACGACGTTTCGCCCCGAAAGGGCACGATACGGAGAAGGAGCAGCGGCGGCGGCGGCGCCAACAACAACAACGGAGAATGTCCCGAAGGCGATTTCAACGTCAAATTGTCGTCTCACTTGAAGAATTTGTTCAAAGAAGAAGCGAAAGCGAGAGCGTCTGGGTCGAAGTTACAAGGCGGGAACGCGCCGAAGAGCAGTAGCGATAGGAGTCGTAGCGGCGGCTTCGCCGCTTCGGGCGGCGACGCTTCGTCTTCGAATTCTTCTCCGAACGCGTTGGTGTCGTCCGGGCACGAGTCTATGCACAGGAAAGTTATCGCGATTCCGTTAGATCGAAGACCGATTATGCCGGGGATAATTATGCCGGTGAGGACGTTTGATATGACTTTGGTGGCGGAATTGGAGGACATGAAGAAGAGAGGGCAGGCGTACGTGGGGGCGTTTTTGAAAAAGGAACGCGTGAAGGAAAGCCAAAAGGAGGACAACAGTAATACTAGCAAAAACGGTAATAATAATAACAACAAGGATACTAATAATAACGGGCCAATCGCGGGTGCGATGAAAGAAGACGTTTCGGGACTGAGCGTGGGTGATTTAGAGTACGACCCGGCGTCGGAATTACACGACATCGGGACGTTCGCGCAAGTGCACAACATCGTCCGGTCTCAAGATACCGATCCGGATTCAAAAGACGGGAACGGCGCGACGTTGTTGCTCTTAGGCCATCGACGGATTAAGAAAGTCTCCACGGATAGGAAAAGCCCGGTGACTATTGTTAACTGTGAACACTTGAAAGATGAAAAACACGATCCAGAATGCGACGTTTTGAAAGCCACGGCGAACGAGGTTGTCGCGACGATTAAAGATTTATTGAGGACGAACCCGTTGCACAAGGAAACTTTGCAATATTTCGCGCAGAATTTTAACGATTTTCAAGACCCGGCGCGGTTGGCCGATTTAGCCGCGAGCATGACCTCCGCGGACGACGACAAGTTGCAGGAGATTTTAGAGACGATGTCGGTTCCGGAGCGTTTAGACGCGAGTTTGGTGTTGCTCAAGAAAGAAGTCGAAATCGGTAAAATCCAAGCAGATATCGGGAAGAAGGTTGAGGAGAAAATATCCGCCGATCAAAGGAAGTACTTCTTGAACGAACAGTTGAAATCGATTAAGAAAGAACTCGGATTGGAAAAAGACGATAAATCAGCCATGATTGAAAAGTTTACGAAAAAGTTCGCGCCGAAGCGCGAGTTTGCGCCGGAGGAAGCGGTCAAAGTCGTCGACGAAGAAATTCAAAAGTTGTCCGGATTAGAACCATCGAGCTCGGAGTTTAACGTCACCCGAAACTATTTGGAATGGCTCACGTCTCTCCCGTGGGGCGTCGTCGGCGAAGAAAAGTTGGACATCGCGCACGCCAGAGACATTCTCGATGGCGACCATTACGGCTTGAAGGACGTCAAAGAACGCATACTCGAGTTCATTGCGGTCGGGAAGTTGCGAGGCACGACGCAAGGTAAAATTATCACCTTGGTAGGGCCACCCGGTGTCGGGAAAACGTCCATCGGCCAGTCTATAGCGAAGGCGCTGGATCGGAAATTCTTCCGATTCTCTGTCGGCGGCATGTCCGACGTCGCCGAAATTAAAGGCCATCGTCGAACTTACGTCGGTGCCATGCCCGGAAAACTCGTTCAGTGTTTAAAATCCACGGGCGTGTCGAACCCGGTGGTCTTAATCGACGAAGTCGATAAAATCGGTCGTGGCTTCTCTGGCGATCCGAGTTCGGCGTTGTTAGAATTGTTGGATCCAGAACAGAACGGGACGTTTTTAGACCACTATTTGGACGTCCCGGTCGACTTGTCCAAAGTTCTATTCTTATGCACCGCGAACATCTTGGATACCATCCCGGGTCCGCTTCTCGACCGGATGGAAGTCATTCGCTTGTCAGGTTACATCGCGGACGAGAAGAAAGAAATCGCGAGAAAGTACCTCGAGAAAGAGGCCAAGAATAAAACCGGAGTCAAAGACGAACAAGCGACTGTGACGGATCAAGCGTTGTCCACGTTAATCGAAGAGTACTGCAGAGAAGCCGGAGTGCGAAATTTGCAAAAACATCTCGAGAAGATTTACCGCAAGGTGGCGTATAAAATCGCCGTAGACGACGAAGCGACGACGACTGAAAATAAAGAAAATGAAGAATCGAAGAAGGCGTACGAGATCAACGAAACCGATTTAGTCGATTACGTCGGTCAAGCACCGTTCCAAAGCGAGCGGTTTTACGAGCACACGCCACCTGGCGTGGTCACCGGCCTCGCGTGGACCGCCATGGGCGGGTCTACCTTGTACGTCGAGTGCGCGAAAATCGAATCGAGTCCAGGTAAAGGCAATTTGAAGGTCACGGGATCCTTAGGCGACGTCATGCGAGAGTCCTCGCAAATCGCGTTTACGTTTGCGAGAACGCTTTTGGAGAAAAAGGAACCAGAAAACACCTTCTTCGCGGACGCGAGCGTACATTTACACGTCCCTCACGGAGGCACGCCAAAAGACGGGCCGTCCGCGGGATGCACGATGATCACCGCCATGCTTTCGCTCGCGCGTGAGAAACCGATCAAAGCAAACTTGGCGATGACTGGTGAAGTAACTTTAACCGGTCGAGTTTTACCGATCGGCGGCGTGAAAGAGAAAACTATGGCTGCGAGACGGTCGGGCATTAAAGAGCTCGTGTTTCCGAAAGGAAACCAAAAAGATTACGAGGAGCTCGCGGAGGAAATCAAAGAAGGATTGACGGTGCACTTTGTGGAATCGTACGAAGAGATTTACGACGTGGCGTTTGAGAAGAAGTAATACACACATGATATATAACTATGTAACAAAGATATCAGTACGACAACAAGATTAGCGACAATCACAAATTTCGAAATACACTCACACTCATTCCCTCCTTCTTTTCTACAAACGCCAATCGATCGTTTCGCGGCCTACTTCGCGCAAGAACTCATTCGTTTGCGAAAAGTGGCGGCACCCGAAGAAACCTCTCGACGCGCTCAGAGGAGACGGATGTGCGCATTTCAAAATGAAATGGTTGTGTCCCTCTGCTATCAAACGTTCTTTGGACGTCGCGTTCTTACCCCAAAGTAAAAACACGACGTTTTCAGTATTCTGCGAAAGTTGTTCGATGGTGCGATCGGTGAAAGTCTCCCATCCTTTTCCCGAATGCGAGTTTGCTTCGTGCGCGCGCACGGTCAAGGATGTGTTCAACAACAGAACGCCTTGTTCGGCCCATTTGGTTAAATCGCCATGAGCTGGTATCGTGAACTCCACTTCCTCGTCGCCTCTCTCGCGCGCTTCACGCGTGTCCTCTTCTAATTCTTTGAAAATGTTCTTCAACGAAGGCGGAATTTTTGTCGTCTCGCGAGGCACGGAAAACGCTAATCCCATAGCTTGGTCATCGTTGTGATACGGATCTTGACCGACGATGACGACTTTAACTTTATCCACCGGCGTTTTTTCAAACGCGTTGAATATCAAATCTTTCGGTGGGAATACTTTTTTATTGTTCTGAAACTCATCGTCGAGGAATTCGTTTAAACCGAACTCCAAGTACGGCTGATGAAACTCGTCGGCGAGCAGCGCGCGCCAAGACGGCTCTAACGCGGTTTCGTTCAAGACTTTTTTCGTCGAATCACTCACTCTTTGATCATCATTCGATGAAGATTTTGCTCTCGTCGTCGTCGTCGTCGTCGTCGAGTCAAAAACGACAAATTCTTCCTCCGACGCGTTCGTGTTATTATTTTCAGCGGCTTTTTTTGTCGCTCGATGCCTGGCGATGATCTCGTCTAAATCTTTTTTCGAAATCACCCACGTGGTGCTTTCGTTCGCGATCCGTTGACTCTTGACTTTCAGCGTTTGACACTTGTGATGTTCCTCGCTCGGTCGATACTTTTCGAAATCCAATCCTCGATGCATTGCGTGTTTCGCCGGAACGACGTGCTGCCACCAAAACTCCGACAACGCTTCGTACATTTGCGCCCAATATTCGCGGTCTCTTTTGACGCGATATATCGCGCAGCCGTTATTCACGGTGTACGCGAAAACATCCACCCACGGGCGATCAAAAACCGCCATCAGACCTTGCACCTGCGGGACGTAATACCAAGGTACTTTCGGGTACGGCTTCGCCTCTAGAGGTTTCCCGCGATTGAACGGACATTTCACCTCCAGTATCCCGCGCTCGTTGTTGTTCAAACTATCGCTCGCGTCCCCGTTATTCGCGACTTCGGATTTATATTCCGCCGCATCGGTCGTCGCAGCGACGACTAACCCATCCGGTGAAGCACCCATCCACAACTCCGCCTCGTCCGGACTCAACGCTCGAAAAAGTAAATGGCTCACGCTCGCGTTGGTCAACGCCGCGTACGCCTCGCACGCTTCGTCTTCCGTTTTCGTCCCCCACTCCGTGGCTTCGTTTCCTGTAAACGGAATGCCAATCCCTAATTTTTCCTCCCAAAGCGCGTTTCTCCCGTCCCGCCAAAACCCAACCGCGTTGGAAAACGCGGAAGCGGTTAACCGAGTCGCCCGCAACGCCTTCCATTCGTCGGTGCCTTGTTTTTGCGATTCATCTTCTTCCTCGCTTCCGAAATCTTGCACTTTTACGGGAGGAGTCGATGCCGTCGCGTTTACATTCGCGCTCTTTTCGTCGTCTCTCTCTTTCTTCGCTCCTTCATCTTTCTTTTGCTCGACTACTTTTTCCAACTCTTTCCTCCTGCGAGCGTCTTCTTTGAGCGCGTGTTCCCACTGCGGCGTGTCCACGATGAACGATTTTCCAATCGCTCGTTCCTTCGGTAATATCTGTCTGCTCGTACTCGTACCGCTCGAAGAAGGAGACGGACGAGCGAGCGGAGAACTTTGAGCGATATCCGAAAACGAAGACCCCGCCCTCGCGTGAACAGATGAAGAAGAAACGACAGATGGTGCCGCTGATTCAACCGTCGCCGCCGCCTTCGCCGCGTCGTTCGCTCGACTCTTCTCCTTCGTCTTCGTCTTCTCGCGAGAGACTAATCTCTCCACCAAAATCCCAGCCTCTTTGACCACCGTTTCTCTCTCTTCTCTCGTCAACGTTTCGTATTTCGCGAACCCTTCTAAAACTGCTCTTTCTTTTTCCTTTTCCACGTTTACGACGATTTTCGGAAAGTACGCTCTCGCGAAGGTGGAAAACGGCATCTGTTTCCCCTCGACGTTGGAGAATTGATGTCTGGATTCGATTCGGAGCGACAGCGTGATGCGTTCGAGCAAGGACAGAAACTTCTCGTCGTCGTCCTCGTTATTCGTCGCAGCATCGCTCCCATATCTCGCCACATGTAAAAAAAAAGGTTTCAAACTCGCCCTTTTCTTCCTCCCGAGTGATGATGGCGCGCGCAGAAAAGGCGAGGATATCGAGAGAGACGAGAACATCATCACCAATCGCTTCATTTAAAGTGCGGACATTTCAAAAGGAATCGAACACGTAAAACACACATTACTCTCAGTATTTAAATGAAAGAAGCGCATTCGTTGTCCGAGATACTTCTCAAACGCTTGGACGAAACGACCGCGCACGATTTGAGGAAGCTCAACGCGGTGCTCTTTCCGGTGAAGTACGCGGTACGTCGTTTTCCGTTCCATTCTTATTCTCTCTTTTTAAGCGCGATGGTGCAACTGTTTTTATTGACATTGTTCTCTTCTTATATCACTCGCAGGAATCGTTTTACCGGGACTCCGCGGCGGCTGGGACGTGCACGGCATTAGCGTACGCGAGAGGAGAAGGAGATGATGAAGATGAAAATGCATTTAACGAGCTCGCCGGCGCCATCGCCGTTCGATTGGAAAAACATCCAAAATTACCAGACAAGGCAAGAATGTACATAATGACGCTGGGCGTGTACGCGCCGCACCGCGCTCGAGGCATCGGGTCGAGGTTATTAATGAACAGTTTAAACGAAGCGAGCGAAGATGAGAACATAGTGGACGCGTATTTACACGTCCAAACGAACAACGAGGAGGCGATTAAGTTTTATTGCGACCCGACTGGGAAATTCGCGTTCGAGAAAGGCGAGGTGATTGAGAAGTATTATAAGAGGATCGAACCGGATAGCGCGGTCGTTTTACGGTTGGAGATGAAGAAGTGGAAGAGGAAAGAATTGGAGAATGCGAGGTACATGGAGTACCACGCGTGAGTTTGTGTAGATCATATTCGCGCGTAGTATCCCCTTCTTTTGTATAACAGTAATATCGTTCGTAAAAAAGCGTCGCGGCGGTTGATACCAATTTTAAGAGACACAGGCTCGCGACGTGCGCGGTGTATAAAAAACAAAGCGGTCACAAGAAGAAAGTATATATTTGTATTTGTAATAGAAAGTGAAGAGTGCGCTACAATCTTCTTCTCTCTTATTATTCGTCTCTACGTTCAAAGTAAACTCTTACAACGAAAGACTTCTATACCCGCTACAGAATCTAAACACAACTATTTACATGTATATAAACGTGGTCGAGAGCTCTCTCTCTCTCTCTTTTCTTTTAGTTGTTCTTGACAAAACCAATGTCTTTGGCGTACTCGCGGAAGCACTGACGGCAGATCATGATGTTGTATTTGCGGATGATCGCGTGTTGGTTAGAGCACACGCGGCTGTTTATTGAAGTTTACAAGAATAACACAAGAAGAGTAAAAATGTCAGTCTCGTCCACCAAAGGAAGAAGCTCAAGAGGAAAAAAAGAGGAAAAATCGATTAAAGCGCGCCGAGTGCGCAAAGAGGGACCCTTCGTTGTACACCGCCAATCGATCGTCTCTGCGATTGCGAAATCGAATGGAAACTATATCGACGCGCGTTATTTCGCGCTGAAATCCGTTCGCACAAATTCGCCGCGCTTATGGTTCATCGTCTCGTCGCCACCCTCGCTCGTCATGGGGTCTCGGCAGCCGCACAAGAAGAAAAAAAAGGCACAAAACAAAGAGAAAAAAATCTCTCTCGTCTCATTCGGAAACAGAACATCGCCCACGTACCAAGCTCGACCGCCTTTGGCGTTATCTTTCGGGTGAGACCCCCACACGTTTGCAAAGCCCATTTTTATGCGTAGATGTGCGTGTGTACGTTCGGAACCAACAGCAAATGGAGTGATGGATTTGTGCGCGCGAATTTCCTTTCTGTGGTTCCTCTTGACAGCAGAGTTTAGGGCTGTCCTGTGAAAAAAAAATTCCTTCGCGACAAAAATTCAAACAAGAGCGAATAAGTGCGCTTGAGCGTAAGCACTCTTTCGTTGCGCATAATAATAAAAGCATAAGAAGAGAGAGATTCAGAGCGAAACGAGAGAGAGAGGCGCGCATTTGTAGTTTGCTCTCTGGAAAAAGGCGCCGGGGAGGAGAATACTACCACGCGCTGCTCCTTTTTGTATATCTAATAAACACTTATAGCAGGCAGAGGATTTTCCATTTTATCCAAACAAAAAGAGAGACATGTCCTCCTCCTCCTCTCCGCAGCAGCAGCGGCAGCAACACCACCACCGCCAGCAACAACAACAGCGCGTCTCTTCTTCACTGACGACGACGACGGCGAGGAACGAAGAAGGAGAACTCCTTGACGAGGAGAAGCAACGAAGGAGGATTCGGAAGCAAAGAATTTTAACGAGATTCCGAAGAAAAAGCGAAAGAAAGTTCTTTCTCGCGAGCGCAACCATGACGCGTTTGCTCGACATCCCGTACGGGAAAAAAGGAGAAAGCGTGAAAGTGCCGTCGCATCATATTCTAGATGACGAGGAAGAATCGAACGCGCCGCTCATCGCCGGCGGGGTGAGGAGGAAAAAAGTAGCCGCCATGTTGAACGTGGACGTGTACGTGATTGGGTTGTATTTCCTACCGAAAGCGTGTAAGAAACACGAGGGAGAAGAGGACGCGTTGGACGCGGTGGCGAACGACAGTTCGATTGCGAAAACGGTACGACTGACGTTCGTGAGAGACGTGAGCGGAGAGTCGGTGGCGAAGGCGATCGCGGTTAATATAGAGAAAAAATTAGGATCGAGAGCGGAGAGCGGCGGGAACGAGGAGTCGGAGAAGAAAGCGAAGGAAGCGTTGGAGATGTTTAAGTCGATGTTTCGGAGCGTGAAAATCGAAAAGGGCGCGAGTTTGACGTTTAGCACGAACGAGAGCGGCACGTTGACGACGAGATTGAGAGGAAAGAAAATTGGAGAGTCGATTAAGGACGAGAGGCTGTGCGGGGCTTTGTTTGAATCGTGGTGCGGGCCGGATTCAGTCATCCCGGAGATGACCGAGGCGGCGAGTTCGATTTTGTCGCAAGCGTTGAAGTTGATTCCTTCCGAGGAGGATAACGGAGGAGGGAGCGCCGCGGCGTAAAATTTGTCTTCGTAGTAGGAGTAGGAGTAGGAGGTGTAGGAGTAGTCTTGACCCAAGCGCGAGGAGCATGTAGTTTAAACGCATATGAGCGTTGATCATCATCATTAATTATTTTATTTTTACCATTTAACGATTATTTTACATGTACAACATTCATATTCTTACACTCGAGTCGGGAAATCGTTCAGGCTTTGCGCGGCTGCCGCCAAAATCCATCGCTTGACGACTTGATTGTGCAACTCTTTCGTCTCGTTCGAGAAACGCCAATCGTCCATGGAGACAAAACTACCTTCGTAAAATATTCGATGGTCGTCTTCCCATTCTCGATCTCTCGACGACTCGATGAACGCCTTGAATCCTCCTTTCAAAACGAACATGTTTGGGAAACACAAGTTTGGATACGTGCGCATGTTATCCAATCTGTCTAAGTTTCTGATGTGTCGAAATAACTGCGTGGCTCGGTGATGCATCGCCATCGCGTTCGCTTCGCCGTCGTCGTAAAAGACGTACACCAAATCCCTCTTCTCGCTATTTCTATGATTCGCACAATTCAGCAGTTTATCTCTGGCAATTATGAAACCTCTCTGACAGTCGTCCGGGAACACCACGTTATGGCTCGACGATATGCGACCGTTTCGGTACTCGTAAAAGTATCGACAATCGATCAAAACTACGCCGTTCTCATCCTCGAGTAACAATTTTTTCACCGCGTTCGAGTCAATCATGGGAATCCCTCCCTGCGAAGCGTCTACTTCGCTCGGAATACTCGTCACAGATTGAGTAGCTCTGCCACTCGCATTTTCCTCCATTCTCTGCATTCGGACACCGATGGAAAAGCAATCGTCAAAGTCGTCGATATCGTCGTCGTTGCGAAAATTTTTTATTCTCTCTTTCGTGTCTCCGCTCGTCGAATGAGGAGGAGGAAAAAAACAGCTCGTCGTCGTCGTCGCGTTGTTTGCCGTCGTGGTTTGCCTCGGCGCCGGCGTGTGCAAATCCTCCTCCTCCCAACTTCTCTTCGTCCCTCTCATTTCTGCGAAATCATCGCCGAAATCGTTCGCCAAGTTCATCCTCGGCATTCCCGGACTCTCAAAGAACATTGTTCCAAAATTTGAATTTTCCCGACGACGATGATGCGAATGATGAACGTGATGAATGCGAGCGCTGCGATGACTCTCCCCGAGACTGCTGCTCCCTTCAATCGTCGCCGCGAAAGCCTTATCTAACGCGCACGCGGTTTTCGTGACTGGGGTGAGAAGAGAAGAGAGACATCGTTTCGCTTTTTGTTGTTTTTCCCGCGAGGACGACTCGGTCGAGGAAAACTTTGTTCGTTTTTCCTCTCGTCGCATGATGATGAATTTTTTTTGACGATTTTTTGCCTAAAAATAGACCAAAAAAACGTCTCTTTTTGAATTCGCACGACACACACATGCACACATGTGCAAAAATGATGCGACGAAAACAAACGACAGGAATAATACGAACAACAGAGTCGCGCGATGTTGGGCGCGGGCGAGTTGTCGACGACCAGGTGTGTGCGCGATGAAAACGACTTTGGCGCTCTTTTCTCCCCCTACTTTCGAATACTAATGCACGGAGAGGAGTTCTTTCTTTTTTGTATCTTTTGCACCCCTAGCTGAGCGTTTTTTTTTCTCGGAAAAACACATCTCTGATCTGATATTTTTTCTAAAACAATAGGATTGGTGCTGCTCGTATGTCTGCTCTCGATCGGGTTCGCGTCGCGTGCGGTGTACGAGCGTCGGTCGACAGTTGTCGTCGACGTGAAGTTGACCGCGTACCGCGCGAGGTTGACCACGCACAGCGATCGGGACGAAACTTTTTTAGCCGCAAGGAAACACTTGATCGAAGAGCAAGGGAAGAGGAAGTATTTTTATCGCGAGTTTCCGCTGGTGTTCGTCGGGAGCGAAGGAGATCGCGGAGATCCCATGCGGAGCGAGAAAAGAGTGAGAAAAGTACGGTCGATGATGGATTTAATGTTAGTGGAACGAGGGGCGAGGTACGGGGCGATTCCGAATAGCGTTGATTGGAACGAGTTGATCGTAAACGCGATGTTGGATTTTAGCGAAGAAGAAGAAGAGCGTACTAAAAACGCGTACCAGAGAGAAGAGAATGTGATTAAGTTGTGTGAATTAAAACGAGCGATTGAGTCTTCATTGGGGTATGAAGAGGCGTGCGCGACGCGAGATCAAGTTTTGGGAGGGTATCACGCAGGCTGGACCTTTTCCTCGAAAACGTGCGCGCCGCCGTGGAGCGTTTTTGACGTGAACTTAGTTTACATGAACGTGGATATTTGGCACACCGCGTTTCAAACGTTGAAAGGACTTTACGTCTATGACGATCGTGATGGTGATAGCAACAACAAAACTGAAACAACGACGCGACTTCTTCAAACAGCCGTAAATATTTGTGGTGAGAATGATACGACAAGTCTTTTAAAGGCGAATCGCTTGTGCGAGAACGATGGATTCGCGTGCGAGGAGCGAGGATGCGGGGAGAGAATGTACGAAAACGTTAATGAGAGTGGCGAAATGAACATGATAGAGCAGCCAAAGATGTGCAATTTAATAGGGGACCTGGGCGTTTGCGATTGGATCGAACGCGCGAAACCGACGACGGAGGAGATTAAAATCATTTCGGAAATGCCATCCGTCGAGGAGGAAATTGAGAACGCTTTTGCGCCGTGCGATTCGGAAACGATTTTGGATCAAGTGCGAAGAAGTTTGCGCGGTTTGAGAGTTTTCATCTCGTGGGCGAATAAATGGGAAGCGTTTGAGGTTGTGACGCGTCCGTGGGAACCAATATTAGATTTCGATACGTTCGGGTTCCGGGAGGATGAAGACGATGAAGGCGTTACGACACGTTACGATAATATCTCAACTTTATCTAAAAGAAAGTTTGGCGCAACGCGACTCATATTCCAGAGGAAGAAAAGCGACTTGTATCGCGGCATATCCGAAGAAGATTCCATTCGTTGGGTAAAAAACTCCTTCGAGCGCACCATACGAGAGTGGAGCAAAGAATACGACATCGAAAGCGCGTTAAGATTTGAGACAGACGAGACGCCGCCATCCGATCGCGTCGCGTGGCGACATTGGCAAACTTACTCTTCTCTCGAGCTCGAGCAGCTCGCAAACGATTGTCAATGGATTATTGCGGCATTCGGTGCGTGTTTCGCACTCGTATTCTTTCATACTGGAAGCGTTATTGTCACTGTCGTCTCGTGCATTGTGGTCGCCTCGTCGCTCGTGTTCGCGATATTTACTTACATCCTCGGTTTAGACAAAGTTTGGGTAGGTGTTTTACACTTTCTCGGCGTGTTTTGTATTTTAGGCATCGGTGCAGACGATGCTTTTGTACTGGTCGATCACTGGAAGCTTTCAGCGAAACTCGTTCCGGTGCCTAAAAAAACACGCCGCGACGACGACGACGACGAAGACGAAGACAACGACAACGAAATTGAGAAGTCGACACGGTGCAGAATGCGCAATACTGGTTACTCAATAGACGCAGAAGCGTGGCTGATCGATCGAATGTCGTGGACGATTCAAAAGTCATTCTTTTCCATCTGTTGTACCTCCGCGACAACCACGACCGCTTTCGCCACGCTCATATTTTCAAACATTGAACCTTTGCGATTGTTTGGCATTTTCGCCGCGCTGTCCGTGGCGTTTTGCTTCTTCGTGACCATCGCGATGGTTCCAGCGAGTTTGATTCTGGACGCGCGTTTATCCGAGCGAAAGCGACGGTTCTTTGCCATTGTCAACGCACCCGGTGGACGATCTTCAAAAGTGGTACCGAGACGCGTGAAAGTTGTCACCGCGATGGAAGGCGGCGTCGGCGGCGCAGGCGAGAGCGGCGAAAGAGAAGCGAAGAAAGAAGTTGAAGAAAAACAAGAGAAAAGACTCGAGCGCATTGAAAGTGACACGTTTCCAAACACGAGCAGAAGATCGAAAAGCTATGGCAACGAAGCCGAATTGTTCGCCTCCTCGTTTGAGAGAAGAATCTCAGATGATACTGATTACGATGAAAAAGAAAAAAATATGACCACCAAAATGAACACGAAGCGCAACCTGATGGACGGTTACTTCGATGACGACGACGACGACGACGACGACGACGATAACGTCGTAAAACAACTAAAAAGCAAAAGATATGGAACGAATCAAAAACACAAACGAGCAAAGTCATTCGGTTTTTTCGGCGACGGCGACGACGCCTCGATGAGAACGGTAAACGGCGCCAACGCGGCGCGGGATCGCCAACGCCTCGATCGACTGAAACGCGTTCTTGAACCGATTAACGACGCTTTCACGCGCGTAGATACCGCGCGTCGCGCAGCACTAGGGTTTGCTGCCTCGCTCAGCGAAAGTATTGGTAAATTTGCGATTTCAAAACGGTATCCAGTGCTTATACTTTCATTCATTCTCGCGGCGTACGAGGCGTACGTGGCGTCGACCTTGAAACCGCCAGACGGGTCGTCGCATTCGATTTGGCCCGAGTCGTTCAACCCGAACGTTTTCGCTCGACAAAACCGCGAATACATCCCGTACGCCAGACGTGAAGAAGCCATTCAACTCCACTTTATCTTTGGCATCGATCCGACAAAAACCAGACAATCGTCCGGATTCGACAAGACGTTGCGCTTTGAGGATACCAAAGTTGCATTCGCTGAAGACTTCAATGATGCCAACGTCGACGTTCAGAAGTGGATGCTCGACTTTTGCGAATTATTAAACAACGATCGGCGGATATTGAAACCGAGCTTAAAATGTTTCACCCAAGAACTCGACGATTGGTCGCAAAACTTCCGGTACCCGAACCGCGTCCCGTTTGCGAACGCGACGCAATACGAGCGGTACGTGGAAGACTTCATCAACGACGCCACGTTTAGAGCCGGGGAGAAAGGCGGGTTACACATACCGCACGTCATTTCCACCGATGCTTGTGCGTTAAAGAATAAAGATGCCTACGGGTTTGAAGACGAAAACATCGTCCTTAATGCTTTGGAGAAGCTGAGAATTGAGTTGCGCGAGATATGCGAGTTTCTCTCGGATGAAGAAAATTTGGCTTTGATGAATACCAATGTTCGTTATTACAACAACGGCACACGCGTTATTAACGCGACGACGACGACCAGCATACCATCATCGTGGAGTGATGAGCAGCTCCGCGCGTTCGAGTTAGCTTCGCAGTTCATGATCGAGAACGAAGAGTATGATTTAAACGTGACCAACGACGGAGAACTTTCCGCCTCGCTCTTCCCGCCCGGAGGAGACTATTACTACGGGACATCATCGACGACTCTACCAACCGCGAAAGATGAAGAAAACGTGAAGCATTTAGCGTTGGCGTGCTCGAAACTGAGCGAAGAAAATACCTGTAAGCGCGGGATCATAATTTCCGCGTCCATAAACGTCTCCAGCACAGCCTCTCAGCACGATATAGTAAACGCGAGAGACGACTGGGAACGGTGGTTCCAACAGGCGCTTTCTACCGCGCCAGATACCGTCCGCGGTTCCGCTTTCCAAACTTCCTCCGCGTGGTCTTACGCAGATACCGTCGAGGAGCTCGCGAAAGGCGCAAAAACTGCGCTCGTTGCTTCCTTCTTCTTCGCGTTCATCGTCGCCTTCTTCGCCAGCCGCTCGTTTGCCATCGCTTTCGCCACGTGCTTCTCGGTCGCGTTCGCCTGCGCGGCGAGTCTTGGATTGAGCGCCACCTTCCGCGATTGGAAGTTTGGGGTCATCGAAAGCGTGTGCGTCACGTTGTTAGTTGGTTTATCCGTCGACTACCCGTTGCACGTGGCCAGCGCGTACGCCGCAGCATCCTCGAGCTTAAAAAACGCCAACGACGACGCCAACGTTGTTGGAGAAAGAGAAAGAAAAGAACGAGAACAAGACAAAGAATCGTTGTTCGAAAATACCCCGACTTCGACGACTATGACAGCAACAAAAACAAAAACAAAAACAACAAACGACCTTCTGCGTGCCTCCCGCGCGCTCCAAGCGATCCGTTCCGTCGGCCCTTCCGTCATCGCCGGCGCGTTCACCACCGCCTCCGCCGCCGGTTTCCTCTTCGCCGGCTGCGTCATCGTCTTCTTCTCCACGTTCGGCGCGTTCGTCATCGTCACCTTATGTCTCAGCGTGTTCTCCTCAGCGTTCGTGTTAGTGGCTGCACTCGCCGTCGTGGGGCCTTTGTGAGTACACGAGTGATGCATTGATTGAAAATGATGACGCGTCGTCAGATGACATATTAGCGTATTTTTTTTTCTTCATCTTTCTCAGGTTATTTTTGTACACGTAACCTCGATTAAAAAGCGCAGACAACACACACGCAGACGCGCTCACTTTGCGAGCACACATCGTCAAAGTCTGACCACAAAACACGCAGAGTTCACTTCCTCTCTTTATTATTAGTAGTATTATTAGTATTTAAAACATGTTTTTGGTTCCAATAATTCTTCTTCTTTTCCTAACGGTCTCGGGAACATCGCCTCAAGCCGCCAGGGGAGAGGCGTGTCCGCACCATCAAAACAAGAACGGAACGAACGAAAAATACCACTCGCGCGCGTTAAACGCGGGCCAAAACTACCACGGGGATACAACTTTACCAGATGTAATTTTGAACGAGTTTTCAGTCGTGTATACCGACAGAGCGTTGAACTCCATGTCCGATACGTACGTACAGATTCATCGAGAGTTGAAACAGGTGTTAAAAGAGGCGTACAACGCGGACAACGCGGTGTGGTTACCCGGAAGCGGGACGTACGCGATGGAGGCAGTATTTCGACAGTTCGCGTCGGATGGTGATACGGTGTTGATTTTACGCAACGGGTACTTTTCCTACAGGTGGACGGATATCATCGAGCAAGTGACGAGAAGTCTCGGCGCGAAGGCGATCGTCGCGCGAGCCGAGGTGAAGAAGCGAGACGGAGATCGGTGGCCGAGAGTGCAACCGATGGCAATCGAGGAGGTGGAAAAGTTGATCGAGAAACATAAACCGCGAGTGGTGTTTGCGCCGCACGTGGAAACGAGCACTGGGGTGGAGTTACCCGCGGAGTACGTGAAAAGAATCGGCGAGGCGACGAGAAAATTTTCGGATGGAATTTTCGTGTTGGACGGCATCGCCGCCGGCACGACGTGGATCGATACGAAATCGAATTTGGTGGACGCGTACATCACGGCGCCACAGAAAGGATGGAGCGCGCCCGCGTGCGTTGGAGTCGTCATCTTAAACGAAAGAGGTGAAAAAGCAGCGAGAGGAACGGATTCGGTCGGGAGCGCGTCGGATTCGATGGCGTTGAATTTACGTAAATGGTTGGAAGTTTCCGACGCGTACGATAAAGGCGGGTTCGCGTATTACACCACGTTACCGACGGATTGCATCGCGTTGTTTCGAAACGCCGCCTTGGATTTGAAAAAATATAACTTAGGTCGCGCGAAGACGACGTTTAGTAAACTCGGCACGTCGGTCGTCGACATGGTCGTCTCCAAAGGCTTCCAAACGGTCGCGCACCCAAAATTCCAAGCCGCCGGCATCGTCGTCATCTACATAAACAAAAACTCAAACGCCGGGAAGAGTTTCAAATCTGTCGGCACGCAAGTCGCCGCTGGTGTCCCGTGGATGTTGGGAAATGCGCAACCGACCGACGTGACGACCGTTCGGTTCGGCTTGTTCGGGAACGACAAGCTGAAAAACATCGACGAGACGACGAAGACGTTAGAAAACGCGTTGGACCAGATTAAAGACGAGTTGTTGATACCACCGTAACTTACTACTAAAAAAAGTCGTCGCCATCCTCGCTCTCTTCTTCAACGAGAGACGAAGACGAATATAAAGAAAGAGAGAGAGAAAGAGAGAGCGACCGTTGTCCTTCGCGTTTCCTTCGTCGCAGATGTGTTGATATCGTGTATTTACATTTTCTGGTGGCATTACCAGCAACAGCAAACGTAACAACGTCACTCGTACCGTGAACACACACATCTTCTTTTTCGGTACATCTTCGCTCGGTACCCTCGCGACGACGACGGGATATTTTGAAAAGAGTGCGCTTCCAGCTTGTGTTTATAAAGTACGTTTTACACCACTTAAAAAAACCCTAAATATGTCCCTTTGACAAAACCGAAAAATGAATTTTTTTCTCATGAAAGAGCGGCTTCAGAACGAACAGATTGGTGTTGGATTTCAAAGTGTACGCACGATGTGGTCGCGAGACATGCCTCGAGAGGAGCGGATTCGAAGCTCTCGAACGCCGTCGACGATGGCATCTTCGACCACGTCTTCTTCTCACAATTTTCATCATTCGTCGAATAATTCATCGCCGATGACCACGAGAGAGGACGACGGTGCGAGTGGGAGTCCCGATTTTGGAAAGGCCGCGCGCAGCAGTCATCATCATGGAAAAGTCGATTTTGGAGGCACACTCGTCATCGACGAACGGACGCCTTTATCGTCGCTCAAAGAAAACAAGAATAGCAATACTAATAATAATAACATCGGGAACATCGTCATCAAACAAACGCCGGAAGGGTTACCGAGAATTAAAACGAAGAAAACAGAGGACAAAACGCAGCGAAGCGAATTCGGTTGGCGAGACTTCTGCCCAGGCGTGGTCTCCGTCGCGGTGGCGTTTTTCCTCTTCAGCGCGGCGAACGTGGTGTGGAAATCGGGGAAAGCGGAGGAATGGTACGAACAGTTTCGAGGCCACGCGAGATACGTCGGCCCGGCGACGTGTTTTAGAGACGCGAAATTGAGCGAGGAGCACTGCTTACCGCACTTTGCGATTCTCGGCGCGAGTACGAGCACGGGGCGGTTGCGAGCGGCGCTGAAGGAACATCCGATGATTGATAGCGATGCGAAAGCGGTGCACTTTTGGAACACGCCGTACGGGACGAGAGCGAGTGGTGGGGAGATGTGCGAAGGGCATCAGAGCGAGAGAGGCGCGGCGATGTTGAAGGCGTACGTGGACGCGCTCGTGCCGAAAAAAATCAAGCGAGGCGAGGCGAGGGACAGTCGAGAAGTCATTCCAACCGGGACTTCCTACGATAAGGATAAACATAAAGGGATGATTTACGGAGATTGGTCGGATACGAGTTTTAGTTGTTCGTGTTGCGCGAAAGCGATGAGGAACACGTTGCCACGATTAAGGCCGATTGTTGTTTTAAGCGATCCGATTGAGAGAGCGATGGAGAGGTACGCGATGGAGAGCGTGGAGAGTAGCAATGATAGCGGTGATGATACGAACGCGGCGAATTACGGCGGCGTCGGGGCGTGCGCGAAAACGTCAAAATCCTCCGTTCAAGCGTTCCAAAAGATGAAGCGCGATTTGAACAACTGCGGCGGTTTTAGCGGCTCGAACGAGGACGATTTGAGCAAGTGTTTGGACGCTCACCCGGTACTCGGCGCGTCGAGGTACGACCATTACTTGTCTCTGTGGAAAGACGCGTTTCCGAATTTGTTGGTGTTGTTCGAGGAAGATTTCTCCGGCAAAGATAATTTGGAAGCGACAACGAGACGCGTGGAGGAGTATTTAGGTTTGCACGAGCACGACGGGTACGACTTTGGGCAAATCTGGAACGCCATCGAAGGCTTGGAAAAGAACGCCAAGAGAAAGCAATACAACGACGAAACGAAAACGGCCATTCATGACGAGTTACACGAAGACATTCGTCTCTCTGCGATTAAGAACTTGCGAGTGATGGCCAAGCACCACGACGCGCCGGAAATCCCATCCGAGTGGGTCCAAAAATACTCCGATCCTTCAGAAACGACGACAACCAAAACAGACCAGCTCGTCGCCTCCCAAGTGGACGCGTCTAAAAACAGTCGACGAATGCTCAAAGACTGGACGCCACAAACCGCGAGAGGTAAACTCTACGGTCAGCCTACTTCCTTCTCCGCGTTCGACGTCGAACCGAAAATTCTCGCCGAACTCAAAGACGAAGAAAACAAAGATCATCAATTCGCGTTTGTTCCGGTGTTGCACAAACAAAACGCCTTGCGCGTGGCGAACCAATTCCGCGCGAACGGCGAATGGATCACCGAACTCGGCTTGACCGAGTCGCAAAAATCGACCACGTTTCGCGAGTTATGGCGAGAGGATTGCACGCACGCACAGCAATGGGACGCGTCCGTTGGGTGTTGCGGAGAGAGTTGCTGCTTCGACGACGACGACGACGAACAACAACAATAACAACACCAACGAGAATACCGACGAGACGACGCCAGACGTCAGATGAGTTACGCCACGAATGATGAATAGAGCACGCGATAGAAAAGTAGCCGTAACAACGCGTGTGTGTATATATATGTAGCGACTTTTAATCAAGTCATAATAGGAATGTAAAAGTATTTGAAAGTAATCGAAGAGAGCGCTTTTCGCTGCCAAAATCAGACAAAGCAGTACATAGTATTTTAGACAAAAGATCGAGAGAAAACCGATCAGATTTTTACGCGCACGCCATAAATAGTCCTCCTTCAACGCGCGTACACGCGAATTCATCTTCAACAGTCCGTCCGCAGAAACGATGTCGAGAAAACACGTCGCGTCGGTTCTTCACCGCGCTTTACTCGCCGCGCGTTCGCACTCGTCCTCGTCGACCGCCCAAAAAGCGGCGATGACACACGGCGGTATTTTGAACAACAACAGCACCGTTGCGAAAAATGATGAGCGAGAACAGCAAAATGTGGGGAGGAGAGGTACGAAATTAAGGCAGAATGTGTTACATTCGAAAGGAAAAGATATCGATGGACGTTTTCGTTGGGTTGGATCTGGGATAGGTCGCTCGCGTCGCGCTCGTTCGCGCGCATTTCCGCGACGGATGATTTTTTACCTTTTGGACTACTCTTTGAGAGATTTCATCAACGTAAAATAATAATACTGACTTTTGTACCATTTTTCTATCATCAATCTCACATGACAGGCTACGCGTCCGATGCCGCGGTATCCACCTCTGGAAGCAACGGAAACGGTTCCATGGTCCCGGTGAACTCTGGCGCCATCTTGAACGCGTTGAAAACGCCAAACAGCGAACCAAACTACGCGCAGGAAAACCATCGCGTGGATAAAATCGGAGACCCGGACAAGAGAGCGTTCACGTACTTCGTCTTGACTGGCGGTCGCATGATTTACGCCTCGGCGATTCGCTTAGCGGTGTTGAAGTTTTTAATGTCCATGTCTGCCACCGCGGATGTGCTCGCTTTGGCGTCTTTAGAAGTGGACTTGAGCAAAATACAACGGGGGACGACGACGACGGTGAAGTGGAGAGGGAAGCCGGTGTTTATTCGAAGACGAACGGCGGATGAGATCGCGAAGGAGAACGCGGTGGATTTGGGAGAATTGAGAGATAAGCAAGCGGATGCGGATAGAACGCAGAACCCGGAGTGGTTGGTTGTGGTTGGGGTGTGCACGCATCTTGGGTGCGTGCCGATTGCCAACGCCGGCGATTACAACGGTTGGTTTTGCCCGTGCCACGGGAGTCACTACGACGCGAGCGGGAGAATTCGTAAAGGACCGGCGCCGGAGAATTTAGAAGTTCCGGAATATTCGTTCCAAGACGAGACGACGATGATCGTCGGTTAAGTATAGTGCGTTTTAATGAGCTAAATCTAACTATCCAACACTTGTACTCTTCGCGAAAATTCTACTAATTTATTCTATCGTTTTTAAGTTTATCCTGCGAAAGGAGTTGATTCTCGTCGCGCAGTTTTCACACGCGAACCCTTTCCAATTGCCTTCTGCTTTACACTCCTCCAATCTCGCCGCGGCGCAATAATAACAATAGCTACATCCACACCGTTTCGCGACGAACGCGTTACACGGAATAGGCGCGTCGCCGCACGCTGCGCAAATAGCGACGTCCTCGTCGAATCCATCCTCTCCTATTCGAACGGTCGAGGCGTCTCGTATTGTCCTCACCATCATCCCTCCCAGTCGTTTATTACTTTTCTTCTCTTTCCGTTTTCTTCTATTCGTGTCTTCGTCTTCTATTTCCTCTTCTTCTTCTTCTTCTTCGTCGTCGTCATCGCTCTCTTCTAGTCTCGCCGCCGCCTCTCCTCCTTGTTGACGAAAGCCGAGCACGTACTTCGCCCTCCTAAAGAACTCCCTCGCCCCTTTGCTCTCCATCATCGGCATCACTACCGTTTTCCCAACCTCCGTAATCTCTCTCATCGCCAACGCTCGATTCAAATACTCGAACGTCATCGCCCTCCCCGCGTTTGGATTTTCGTGCGCGAATCTCACGTTGGCCGCTCGTTGCGGCACGTTCGGAAACTTCCCCGAGTACAAGAACAAAATCAAATTCATCGTTCTCGCCACCGAGTGCGCAGTTCCTAACAGTTTCACCACTCTCGACGTCGTGTCATCTGGTAAGCACTTATTGGCGGCGAAATTCGTCGCTTTCGAGTACAGGTATTTACACAGAGAACCGCACAGCAAAAGCGTCCATTTTTGCTGCTCTCTTATGCTCCCGAATTGGGCGATTCCTTTCTCGTCTAAATACGTCACGTTCATCATCTCCATCCCGGGCGTTGGTTTTGAAACTCGCACGGTTTTAAACCAGAGTAAGAATTCCAGGAATACCTTCATCTCTTCTTTGTATTTCGAAGCTATGCTTTCGTCGAAACAATCGAAACACTTCCCGAGTTGCTTGAGGAAGATGATTTCCAGGAGTTCGTTATCGAGTTGGTGCGCATCCAGTTGGCTCACTCGTAACACGACCGGTACGGGAGACGAAGAGGACGCATCACCTGAAACTCCTTTTCCTTTTCCTTCACCGGTTTGGAGCGTTCCGTTCGAAGAGGCCGTCACCACCGCCGGTGAAGAGGACACATTCGTGGTCGACATTTTTTGTAAAGAAAACGACGATTGTGTTTTTCCCCAAAGTTCGTCGGATGAGATGACGCAAACAACACTCTCACATCGATGACAACACGTCGCGAGCAGAAGATGGAAAAGGAGGAGGAAAACGTAAAGGAGGAGAGAATTTTACGATGATGATTTCAATCGAAGCGACGAAAAAAGGCCGACTTTCGGTCGAGCACGAAAAACGCAAGCATTGGCTCGTCACGAAGATACGAAACGTCTCGGGATGCGACGACGCGATTGACGCTTTGTGCTCGCGAATATCGAAGCGTCTCGGCGCGCAAGCGAGAGCGGTGCGGGAAGGAAAAGGAGAAAAAGTCATCGAAATTCAAGGGAAACACGAGGAGACGCGCGTGGAAGAGGTACTCGCGAGAGAGAACGTAAAAATCGTCGGTTTGCGACGAAAAGTTGAAGTAGTACCAAAGCGAAAAGAGGAAGAGCGAAAAGAACGAGCGAAACCGAGACACGCGAACAAGAAGTACTGGGACACAAAAACCGGGTTAATCAAAGATTCGGTCAAGAGAGGTGGAGAAAAGGACAATGGCGAAGATCCGGTGAAACCAGAGGACGTGTTGCGGGTGAAACAGTTGAGAGAGACGAATAAAGAGTTTGCTCGATTTTGCGAGTTGATGAGGCGTTATCCGTTTTGGTCGCATAGGTACGATAAGTTGGCGGCGATGTATTTCGAGAAGAGGAATGGGAAGGAAGACGAGGAAGACGAGGAGAGAATGAGGAAGAGGAGGAGGTGCGAGATTGCGTTTGAAGAAGAAGAAGAGGATGTGAGAGATGAAGATCGTCGTCAACAGAATCATCCGAAATCGTTGGAAGATTTGGGGATGGTCGCGTCAGTCTCGGATTTTAGGATGTCGAGAGAGGAGAGAGCGAAAGCGGCAAAGGAGAGGATGACGGCGGCAAAGAGTGCTGTTGGTCCACAAGATGCGACGAGAGAAAGCAAGCAGCGCGTGGAAGAATACGAAGATATTGCGACGAAAATGCTGCGCATGCGCGGCTTCGCGCCGGCGTCGTCTAAGAAGAAGCCGGCTACTTCTACGACTGCTATTACAACGACCACGACGAGACAGAAACCCGCGATGCCACCAAAGAAGAAGAAGAAGGACGTTAGAGCTGGAATTCCGATCGGTACGAGTGTAGGATTCGGAAGGAAAGCGTGGTCGCAGAAACAATTCGATGAGGAAGATTTGAGGATGTCGACTACAGACGAGGAAGAAGAAGAAGAAGAAGAAGAAAACTTCCAACGAGTAGCGTCGAGACCACTGGTCGGTGGACGCTTCCTCGACAACAAACGAAAAGACGAGAGCACGTTTCCATCGTTACCTTTGTCTCGCGCTGCTCCTCCCACGAGAGCACCAGAACACCGATTGCCGCACGAAGAGTTTCAGCAAACGACAATGTCCGAGGAAGAGGCTTTAAAATTAGCGCTTTCGCTCAGCGCGGACGAACACGCTCGCGAACGAATAAAACTCGACGAAGAGCTCGAACGAGAACTCGAAGTCGCTCGCGCCGTTTCTCTGAGCTCACGAGAAGAAGAAGAAGAGGCACGAAAGCAAAGCTCTCTCTCCGACGACATCGCCCAAACCTTGCGCCAACTCGGTTTCGACCGAGACGTTTCCGAAACGCTCGCCAACGACGTCTTACCGGCGATGCCGACGCGCCAAGACGTCATCGACCTCCTCGGTACTTTAGGCATAGAGAAACACGTCGCCGCAGATTTCGCCAACTTTGTCGTTCTAAACAATACTCACGAGGAGGACGAGAAAGATTTCGCTTCACCCTCCCGCATCATCAACGACGACGACGAAGACACCGCGGAAACGACAACGTTCTTCAACCTCTCCTTGCGAGAACTCACCGGCGCGGACTCCAATCGAGATCTCATCGAATACGTGCAAACAATGGAACACCGAGAAGATGCCGGCGAATTCCTTCGAGACTCTTTCGGAGGGAACGAGGAAACTGCACGTTTAGGACAGCTGATTTGGGACGCTCGTAGTCGTCCACGCTGAATATAGAAGAAAATAGATATACTAGCGGAGATAACGCACGCGTTTTTAGATAGAGACTTTTAAAAGAGCTCTCACGTGAGAGAATTACCACACAACAAAGAATTCTAAAATATATACGCAAGAACACGACACACATAATAATGTCGTCGTTGTCCTCTTGTTGCATGTTGTCCTCTAGAACTGCGACGACGACTTTTCGGCGAGCGTTGTCTCATTTCGCCGCGTCGTCGTCGTCGTCGTCGTCTGCATCGAATTCGATGACGAGGTTGCACCACAATTTCCCGAGCCGCCACCTCGTCGTGCACAAAGGATTCTTCCGAGAAACCGCCTCTCAAACGTCGTCGTCTCCAGGAAACGAGGACACAGACGAGGACGGTTTCATCGGCAACGGGGACGTGTTCGCGGAAAACGCAAAGGGTGATCCGATTTACTTCGGAAGGAAGAACAAGAGCCAGCTGAAAAGAGACGCGAATAGGCACAAGAATTTGGCCAATCAATTACTCGCCATCAGTCCGAAGACGTTGAAGAAACTGCCCGGATTACTGAGCGTAAACAACGAACGATTGTTGGAAGGACTGTTGGAGTGTCAGAAAACAACCTCACACATCGCGAAAAAGCGCGCGGAGCAGCTGGTGGCGAAACAATTGAGAGGGTTAGAGGAAGAGGAGTTGAAACCGTTGGAGGAGGTGGTGGAGCGGGTGAAGTTGGGCGCGGAGGGCGGGTTAGCGCTCGCGGTGGATCCGAGGGCGGACGATTTAGCCAGAAATTGGCGGCAAAGACTGACGATGGTGGCGAAATCGGTGGAAGAGGAAAATATGGTTGGAGTTTCGAGAAAAGAAGCGTTGGAGGAAGTGTTTCAGGTGATGCAACGAGTAGAGAGCGAGATGAAGACGGTGTCGTTTACGAGACAGGAGTTGGTAGACGTGGCGAGGAAAGCAGAGACGGAGGCGAAAGAGACGGCGAAAAATTCGGAGGAGTTTGCGGATCGACAGAGACGAGAGGCGATGGGGGAGATTGTTTTCATGGACGACGTGGACGAGGAGTTGGAGGAAGTTTTCTTGTTGAAGAAAAGTAAAGGAAATACCGCCGCGAAAAGCGGCTCGAAGAAGAAGAAGATGAAGGCCAAGAAAACGTCGATGAAAGGTTTGCTTAAAATGTTACGAGACGTCGCCGAGCACGCGGTGTAGCAGAGTGCGATGCATACATATACATACCTGTATTATTTTGTAAGCGATGCTATTAGTAGTACTACTATTTAAACTACTAGTAAAAGAATAACTATTTTCTAAAGGAAAGAAACTTTTCAACGCTCTCCACGCTGTTCAAAAACGAAGCTGAATTTTCTGTATCCTCCAAGAGAAAACCATACTGCTCGAAGAATAACGACGCATTCGTGTTGCCAGAGCGCGAGGGCGCGTAGGAGATTGTTAGCGGTTCGTCCACATCTATGGAACCTTCATCCGAAACCACGAGTTCGAAATATTCTTCCTCTTTTTCTTCGTCTCGCGCGATAAAAAAACTGTCGTCGCAAATCTCCGCCGTCGCAATTTTCCCTTGCTTGTTCTCCTTCCCAACGTTCGTCCGAACGAAACAGTTCGCCTCGAAAGAGTGGTTGCAAAAGTCAATCAGAGGTGCATTCCATCTTCTCTTCTTATCGTCCGCAAATATACGACTTTGTAAGAAACTCCTCATTCGCGACAGTTCTCTCTTCTCCTTTTCGTCGTCGCCGCAACATCCGTTTACGAACGCTCGATGGTCTCTCCGACTCCTTATCAACCGTTCTCTCAGCGTCATATCTTTCACCCATCTCTCGATCTCCTCTTCCTCCATGTATATCCCAGGCACTCTCGGTGCTTCTTTCGGTAAACTCTTCAGCCAAACCTCGTGTCGTTTCCTCTCCTTTTCGTCAAACACCAACCGTTTCGCCAACGGTTTCGACCAGGAATAGATATCTTCGTCTTCCTCTTCTGATGACGATGAAAGCACCACGAATCTCGCGCGCATCGGTAAAGAAAGAACCACCTCTCCCGCTCGTAAAGGTCTGTTCGCAATCAACGCGTACCCTCGATCTTCGATATCGTCTTGCCCGACGCGCACTCTCTCGCGCGCGTTGAAATCATTTTTAGCGACGGTTTCGATGAAATGCACGAGCGCGTCCGAATCTTCTTCAAACGACGACGACGATAAAAACGACTTCTTCCTTCTCCTCCTCCTCTGTCTTTTCCCAGCCGTCTGAATCGTCTGAATCGTCTGAATCGTCTGAATCGTCGCTTTTCGAAGAAGAAAAAGCATAAATAAAGCGCGCGTTAAAGTTGTGCAGGACGACGACGGGGAAAACGTTTCATTCAGAGCACAGAGGGGTGCCCAAAATTTCTCGCGAGGTATATCTCTCTTTTATCGCAATCAAAACGAAAGAAGAACAGCACTCGTTGAACTGATGAGTAGAGAAACGGATACGTTGGTACGTTTTGTTCATGAATTAATGAATTTTTTAATATCTTTGATCAATCGAAATAACAAAACAACAAATACAACTACAAGTATACAACAAATGAAGGTGTGCCGGATAAGCGCGCTCGGAGATGACGAATATATTTAGTTTCGGATCGGGTTTTTCTATCCCTCAACGAATAAACTTCTTCTGTTCGACTCTTAAGAGTGTCAAAAAACAGAAGAATTTTAAAAGCAGGAAATGAAACCTTTCGCTGATTAGGCGCCGGCGGCTTTGCGCTCAGCCGCCATCTTGGCGGCGGAGGCGGCGCGTCTCGCCGCGGCTTCCGCGTCTTCCTTGGCGTTCTTGGCCTTCTTCTCTTCCGGGGTGAGCGGCTTCTCGTCGCCACCTTCGTAGGCGTTCCAGTTGGATTGGCCAGCCAAGGAGTTCTTGAACGTTTCGGAATCGTCTCTCATCGGCGCGGAGAAGTTGTCGCCAGAGCTGTTCTCAAAAGAAAAGCGAAAGAGATGGTGAGTGTTTTGTTTGATGCGTCCAAAAATTCTCTTCCGAAAAGAGAGAAAAAAAATCAAAAAATCAGCCAAATTTGGCGACGTGTCAAGCACAGGACACACGACGTGTACACGAACGGAGTGGATAACAAAACGAATTCTCTCGACCTAACGCGTGTTCTTCTTCTTGAACGAACGCATGAACGCGTGAAAAACGAATTAAAGAATGAACGAATGAATGAAACGGCGTTCGATTCAATCGCCCGTTCTTTCTTTCGTTCTCTTTTTAAGAAAGCGCGAGAGAACGCGCGCGCGAAAGTCAATCGCATTTCTCATCATCTTCATCATCATCCAACGTGGAAAACATCATCCATCGGGATTTCTCTTTCACCGCGCGCGCGCGTTTAAAAGAGAACGATACGCGCGAAAAACATAAGAAGAACAAGAACAACGCCACCACGACTCACCGAACTTTGACGCTTCTCTTGGAAACGACGTTCAAGCGAACGGATTGCGCAACAGCGGATTGGGTAACAGAGAACATTATGTGTGTGTGAGTGTTTAAGTGAGTATAAAGTGTCGACGTGGGTCAGTTTTATGGCGAGATATCTGTGATTTTTTTTTTGTCTTTTCGGCTGAAAACTGCTCTGCTCTTTCTGTTTGGTGTGTTCGTTTCCACAAGTCGAGAGAGAGAGAAGAATGTTTCTTTTCGAGAGGAGCAGAAAAGAAAGAGAAAAAGAAAGAGAAAAAGAAAGAGAAAGAGAAAGAGAAAGAGAAACTTTTGTATCTGTATCTAAAAACGCATTTTTTTTCATTTCCTCTTCACTTTCTCGCGCGCGCATTTGCGCGCATTTGCGCGCGCATATAATATCACTTTTTTTTTGCGTGCGCGCGCGCACGCGCGCGAGAAAGTCACACGCATTGCTATCATCGATAGAGATCTATCGATGATAGTGGGTGGAAGGGTGGGAGCTCTTTTCTTCATCGTTTGCTTTCTTTCTGTTTTAGAGATACAAATCGAGCGTTTTTGTATCTCTCTATCGCATGGCAGATGAATGAAAAATGAAAAGAGCTGGGAAAGAACGGACAAAGGGGGTTCGAGTACGGAGAGTTTTGACTTGCGCGGGCGAGTTTCTCTCCTTTTTTGTGTTCTTTTCTTTGTCGTCGTGTTATTGCATATCTTCTCTCTTCTTCATCGAAGAAGAAGTCAACGACGACTTTACATGGAGGAAAGAGCATTTTTTGGGAAAGAATTCCAACCTTTCATTTGAAACGGATTTTAGTACCGGTGGGGGAGTTTGTATCGATTAAAATCGAGAGTTCTCTCCTTTTTTTTTGGATTGCAGAAACAACACAACGTCTCTCGAGCATCCATTTGCGATGCTCAGCCTATCATGACTCTCGGCTCTCATGAGATCGATCGAAGAAACTTTGATAGGTGAAGTACGTTGATTTTTGATTGAAATATATCATTGAAAATACCATATGTTTAAGTCCATATGCGTATTTTAGTCGGCGGCACTACTAAAACCCGTTTCAAAGTCTCAGTCCTGCTGAGGCGAAGTCTCATGTTTCCATGAGACGGCGTGGTGGACCGTCGCGACTCCGTTCCGCGGGGCTCGAAACATGCTTTTTGAAACCAACATATTACCCGCCACATTCTGTGTGGCATGTTTTAGAAAGTTGTAATTCCTAGTTCTTGAAGAGTTTCTTTCTGCTTTTCTTTCTCGTCGTCGTCGCTAAGTACTTTTTTTTCGCAGAAAGAAAACAAGCAGAGCAGCTTTTTAAGTTTTTTGCTTCTTTGTCTGTCTTTTGCTTTTTTTCTTTCGTTCGTTTCACACAAGAGAGAGACTTGCGTTTTAAGGAGAAAAGTCATCTCACACATCGTCATTATATAAAGCACGATTCGTAGCACACCGCGCGCAGACGCAGAACGCAAAAGCGCACGACATCAGAAAAGAGAGGCGCTTTTTTTTAAGCTTCGCTTCTTTGTCTTCTTCGGTTTAAACGTTCCCTCATTCTTTACGGAGTCAGAGAGAAAAGTCATCGCACATCCAGTGAAATTCGAAAGTCAACGCCGCACTTCTTCGTGACATCAAGATGCAAGTGTTACAAGTCAACGCACGCCGCGAGACCGGGAGAAAAGCCCAAATGCAAAACATATCCGCGGCGAAAGCGGTGTCTGATGTCGTTCGAACGACGTTAGGCCCACGGTCGATGTTGAAGATGATTCTGGACGCCTCTGGAGGCATCGTGATTACGAACGACGGGAACGCGATTTTGAGGGAAATCGACGTGACGCACCCGGCGGCGAAATCGATGATCGAGCTCGCGAGAAGCCAAGACGAGGAAGTTGGAGACGGGACGACGAGCGTGATTATCTTAGCCGGGGAAATTTTACATCTTTCCATTCCGTTTTTGGAGAAAGACGTGCACCCGACGGTTATCGCGAGAGCGTTTTCAAAGGCGTTGGAGAAAGCGGTGGAGATTATCGACGCGAAAATTGCGTTTCCGTTGGACGTGGAGAACAGAGAAGAGTTGTTGAAGATTGTGAGGTCGAGCGTGGGGACGAAGTTTACCGCGAGGTTAGGGGATTTGGTGCCGAATTTGGCCTTGGACGCGGTGCAAACGGTGAAGACCGTAGGCCCGGACGGCAAGTCGGCGGAGATTGATATTAAAAAGTTCGCGAAAATGGAAAAGATTCCCGGTGGGGCAATCGAAGATTCCACCGTTTTGAAAGGTGTCATGATGAATAAAGACGTGTGTTTACCGGGTAGGATGTTAAGGAAGATTGAGAAACCGAGAATTTTGTTGCTCGATTGCACTTTAGAATATAAGAAAGGCGAAAACCAAACGAACGTGGAGATTACGAAGGAGGAAGATTGGGAAGTGCTTTTGAAAATGGAAGAAGATTGGATCAAACAGCAGTGCGATATCATTTGTTCGTTTAAACCGGACGTGGTGATTACCGAGAAAGGCGTCTCGGATTTGTGCTGCCATTACTTGGCCAAGGCAAACGTGACTGCGATTCGACGCGTGAGAAAAACGGATAACAATCGCATCGCCCGAGCGACGGGCGCGACCATCATCCACAGACTGGAAGAGTTGCAAGAATCCGATATCGGTACCGGTGCCGGGTTATTCAACGTCGAGAAAATTGGCGACGAATACTTCACGTTCATCGTCGATTGCGATGAACCGAAAGCATGCACGATTGTCTTGAGAGGCGCCTCGAAAGACGTCTTGAACGAAGTGGAGCGTAACTTAATCGACGCCATGGGTGTCGCCCGAAACATCTTAAAAGACCCTCGCTTACTCCCAGGCGGTGGTGCGGTCGAAATGGCCATCTCTAGAGAACTCTCCAAGTTTGCAGATACTGTCCAAGGGACGGAACAACTCCCTTTTCGCGCCATCGGCACGGCGTTGGAGGTGATCCCGCGAACGTTGGCGCAAAACTGCGGCGCGAACGTCATCCGAACCTTAACCAAACTGCGCGCGAAACACGCGGAATCTCCAGACGGAGAAAACTCCACGTTTGGTATCGACGGTGAAAAAGGAACCATCGTCGATATGAAAGCCTTGGGCGTTTGGGAACCGTACGAAGTCAAGGCGCAATCGTTGAAAACCGCCGTGGAAAGCGCGTGCATGTTGTTGAGAATCGACGACGTCGTCAGCGGGTTGAGGAAGAAAAACCGAGACGGGAACCCCGGGGAGGTTGAGAATATGAGTCCAGAAGAGGACGACTAATAGAGTGATCGAAGAATTCGATCGAGGAAGAGGAGAGGGAAATGAAGAGAGAGAGAGAGAGAGTAAATAAGCTTTTAAGTAGTAGAGTAATAATGAATAAAACTGTAGGACGAAGCAAATTAAAAAAAAAGAAAAAAATTGTTCGAAAGAGCTGCTCTTTTTCTGCACACCAAAGTACGCTTTTCGAATACCTGAGAACAACAACGACAACAACTTGAACGCGTCAAAGGCAGATTTTCGTTTCGATCATCTCGAAGCACGCAAAACCTTGCTTCTTCTTTTTCTTTTTCTTTCTCGCAGAGGAGAGAGAGAAATGTCCTCCTCCTCCTCTTTAAAAGATGATGAGGACTTTGAAAATTCAAAATCGATTGGAAAAATGGGAAAGTGGCAACGCTTTTGGTCGTCGTCGGCGTCGCTCTCCTCCTCCTCGAAAGTCATTTTCAACCCGCATTTAATGTGCCGCGATTCTCTGAACGAAGTTCTGGAGAAAACAAAACACCTGCGCGCGTTGATGCGTTTGTGTTTGCACGAAGACAAAGAAGAGAAAAAGTCAACACCAAATTCGAAGAAAACGAAATTGCGCTCGCGGATGCTCTTGTTCGCGCTCTTGGAACTTTCGACGCAAAAAGCGAGCACGGAGACGTTCAAGAAATCGAGCCAAGCGTGGACGTCGATCGCAGTTGGGAGACACGCGGACGCGATACGACCTATTTTAGAACATTTTTTATATTTTGGTCTTTTGTCGAGACCGCTGGCGACTTCGGCCGGGTACGTGAAAGTCGACGTGGAGCGAAGGTTGGTGGAGCGCGCTACGGAGGCGACGGCGAGGAAGTTGTTCGAACGGAGGAGGTTGTTAGATTTAGAGTCTATTTTGGACGACGACGACGACGATTGCGGGAAAGTAAAGAGGAGTAATAATAATAATAATAATAATAATAACGCGGAGAGCGATGTGACGATGATGCTCTTGAGAGTATTGATGGAAGCGGAAGATATCGTGGCGTTTGGGATACCAATGGCGTGCGAACGCGCGTGTTATGCTGGTTTTGGATTGATTGAGTCGATGTTAGCTTTGGCGTACCATGGGAGAGTCTTGAACATGCATTTTGGCAGAGAGAAGTGTTTGATGGCGCTGGCATTCGCGTTTGCCACCGCGAGGGTGAAGAAGAGAAGTGAGAAAATGCGAGGGAAAAGGAGCGAAGGAGGCGGAGGAGGAGAATTCGTCGCGAAGAAGGCGAGGGAAACCGTTGCGGTGGCGTTGAGAGATGCGAGGGCCCTGAGTGCACCGTACGCGTTAGAAGAAGACGGGTTTGATGATGGATTATCTTTGGTATCCTCTTCCTCCTCCTCTGTCTCCTCGTCTCGGGCGAAACTGAACGCGACGTCCCTGGCGCTCTTCCCAAACGTCAAAAATGCACTCGAGCTCGTCAAGCGGCGCTGCGTGGATACGTATTTCTCTGGATCAAAATCTATCGCGCTCGGTGCTTTCATCAACAATTGGACTATTATTGCGAGCGTCCTATTGACTGCTAAATCTGAGAAACCGTTTGGTATTGGTCAAGCTTGCGTTGCTGCGATTACATCCACCCACAACGCCTTCGTGAAGCTCGAAGAACTATTCTTCTCGAGCGCGGATGGCGAAGGAAGATTTGGATCGGTCGTTTTAGATGCCGCGGAGACACATTGCGCGAACGTATTAAAGCTTCAAGCGGTCGTTGAAGCGCGAGATGTGCACAAATTCACTCACGGCGACATCGTGTATCGGCGAGAGGATGATGGCGAAATCAACTGGGCGCAAAAACCAATCTTGGAGTGTGAAAAGTTGACGTTGTACGAAGACGCGTCGTACGTAAGCGCGAATAGTGTAAAAACAAGAGCAAGACCATTGGTAGAATCCTTAGATTTCGAACTCAACGCTGGAGAGTTGTGTTGCATATCTGGACCACCGGGTTGTGGCAAAACAACTTTGCTGCGAGCGTTTTGTGGATTGCATTCCGCTGGCACTGGTTCCATCGTTTCTCGATTTAATACTGGTATTTGCTCCAACGGGCTGTTTACGGATGACTTTTCGTACGATCGTGAAGGATATCCTAGCACAGAATACGTCGAGATCGATACGGAAAAGGAGAGCAGGGATGGTAGCACTGCCGGTGCAAAGATGATCCGCGATGGAGACGACACCACGTTCTCTCTACTCTTGAAAAGAAGACAAAATATTGCAGTGGTGCCAAAATACCCGAATTTCCCCAGGGATGGCGAAACGCTACTTGGCAACGATGTTTCCGTTAACACTCCAGATGATGAATTGTTTGTCTTTCCAATTCTTGAGCGACTTGGGCTCGGGCGTTTTTGTTCAAGTGAGGCAATCCAAGAATGCCGAGTGACGGGTTGGAACAATGTGCTCACTAGAAGCGAACGCGTCGCGGTTGCGGTGGCCAGAGCGGTGGCCAGAGAAGCGACGTTGGTTATCGTGAGAGACAATTTGAGTCAAATGGAATCGAGCGCGTTGCGAGCTGAAGCGTATGAGTTGCTTCGAGATGCCAACTGCGCGGTGGTCGCGACATCGTCAACACTTTTGGAGGAAAAGAACAAAAAGAATAAGAGCGACGAGGAATTCAATGAGTTTGAATTTGTCGTAAGTTTGTCAGCCGGAGATAAAAAGGAGTGGAAATTGAACGTGGATAAAGGATATCTTTCACACTCGGCAAAAAAGAAAGCGCGTCCTACGGAGGACGGGCGTTTGAATGAGGACGAGAATAGTGCCATTTTGAATTCAGCCGGTCGAGCAAGACGGGCGCCTTTTGATGCACTTCAGCGCAAGTTTGCGAAAAAAGAAACAGAGGAAGATTCAAACATCAAGCGAAAACTCGCGTTGTAAAAAGAGGTATTAATAATTTGTATATTACGAATGTTAATGAAGCACCGCGTATTGTTTTATTCATCACCTTGTTTACAAACTGAACTAGGCAAAACCAAAACCTTGACTTCCTTCGCGTATAGAATAGAGTAATCTTTCTTTTAATTCCTCCTTGGTATCGTAGGCAATCAAGTCCAATTGGTTGAAACACGTGTGCGCCGTGCACAATTGATTCGGGTCGTTTGCCTGCGCTTTGTGTATTTGAAATTTTTGTAAACCACTCATACCGCGCAACTTCTCAAAGCCATCGAGTGGAACTTTAGACGTACCGGTACAAAACATCAGCAAGCGCGCGCGATCTTCAACATTCATCTCGCGCACGATTTCCCAAAACCAGCGAATTTGCGGACTCGTAGCCGTATAACCACCGTGGTATTCCGTATTCACCTTTAAATCGTCCAAGTCAATATCGGGCGTACCGGAAATGAGAAGTTCGAGCTCACTGGCGTTTAAAACACCGATAACATCGCGATCAACTACTTCAGTGAATCCTTCTATGAATGCCTCGAGTTGATCTTTGACTGCGTCCGTCATTCGGAATGCCGTAATCAAGTTGACGTAGTCGAGCTTATTTACATTTGTCACCGAAACGTTTCGCCCGTTTTTAATCAAGTCCACTGTCTTCGTTTCCCCGAAAAAATTCTGCGTGTCGCTGAAGTTCAAATCCAAAACACCCTCGATATCGTTATCAAGCATCCATTTGATATTTTTGTAGTAGTCTGGATCGACGCCTTCCATATCCTCAAACGTCAACGGTTGCCCGAGGAGATGCTTATAAATTGGTCGCGTGAAATACGCGTCGAGTAATACCCCGTCGTACAAAGCTTTACCAATTAATCGACCGACGAAACGGAAATATCTTAAATGTTCCGGATTAATCGAGGAATGCTTGTTTGGCTCGTAGCACGCTTCGCCGCTCGGAGCGAGTTGGAACAGACCCCAATCGGGATTGAAGATTTCTCGCGCGAGGATTTGATACCATTCTCTCGTTAAACCGCCCGCATCGATCCCTTCTTCACCCGCAAAGACGATTTGCATGCGACCTTTCATTTCTTCTTGCGTTCGCGCCCGCAGTTGATTGTATGAATCCTCTAATAGATGCGATCTGCGAATTTTGAGCTTTGATGTTCCACGGGAGACGTATTTTTCCTTCTCCTTTTTTAGTTTGAGTTGAATGTGTGCCCGTTTAACATCAAAATCCACCAATGCTGGCGTTCGGAGTAAAGTTTTCAAAGACGTCGTCAGTAATTGCGGGTTCCGTCGAAGTAGTGCGTTTATGACGCCACGATGCCTCTCGGCAAACTTCCAAGCTTCGGTGGATAGTCTTGATTTCAGCTCTTCTGCTATGGTGGTATTTTCGAGTAATGCATCTAATCCAAGATTAGAAGTGAACTTGACGCTGGACGCACGAAGTAAACCAGGAGTTGACGCTCGAGAGGGTTGGGACAATTTCATCGGCGTGTTATTTGCGGTTCTATTGACAGCAGCAGCGCTCGTCGCATTCATTGTCTGGTCGGCATTTCCCGGAGATGCCACTTCATCTCGTTCTTGTTGCTTCTCTGCCATCTTTTTAGAGACTTCCTCGAGCTGATCTGGCGCCAGCGCATCGGCAAGGGCAAAATACGCCTCCACTGCTGGAAGCATCGCTGTTATAGCGAGTGGAGCTGGCGGAGGAGCAGCACCAGGCTTGTGTGGCGTGACGAGTGCCTCAACTTTTTGCGCGGCAGTAGAGAGCGCTTTCCACGCCGGTTTCATAGCTTCGGAAAGCTTTAAAAGTGCGTTTTCACCCGGCGCTTCTTCATCCTTTGATTCTTCACCAACTTTCATCGTTGAAGGCTTTTGGGAGGCATCCATGGGGGATGCTCCCGCAAAAGTATCTGGCACTACCCGTCGCCCAGAATTACTCTTATCCGACTTCGCGCCCTGCGCGCGCTGCTTTGTCAACTGCGCGAGCGCTCGCACGACTCGAAGGATTGAATCGCACCCAGCGTGTAACATATGCGTATCAGTATTACCTGTCGAGCATAAGTTTAATTGCGTCTCCGCAAAGACTCTCGATATCTTTGCTTGTTTGAGTAGCGCATCCGTCAATACACTCGCTTGCTTCTGAGAAGCCGTCGCAAAGTGACGCACCAGTGAATTGACGTGAGAAAGAACGGCATTACCGAAGCGACCTTGGTTGATGAAAGAGAGCGCGTCCAAAAGTTTCGCCAGCGGTTCGAGTTGATGGGGTTTCAATTTGTCAAACGTCAATCTAGCCTGGTTTACGTTCTCATCGAGATGTTTTTCACTGGCACGACCTTTGATCTTCGATATCTTTGTCGCGCGAAAAGATTCGTTCAAGATCAAGAGCTGATTCGCTAGCATAGATCCCGGGTGTTTGAGAGCCACCGGACTACTGAGAGATTCCAAAAGACGTTCAAAGACAGTAATACCCATGGGTGAACCACACACCGTCGTCGCAGAAATCGAAGGTAGCCGACTACTAAACTTCCCCTGGTGTTGTGTGAGCCAGTGCATTGTAGCAAGAGCCCGTCGAGCGCGAGCTTCGCTGTGAACAAATCCATATCGATCCATCTTCACATCTAATTGTCGAAGGACCGACAAGGACGTATCTGATTGGCATAAAACAGGGTCAATCATCGACCATATTTCTGTTATGAATGTATCTCTGCACACAGCAAACGTCGATAAACTCAAAAGCGCGCGTTGGTAGGACTCTTTTTGAAACCTTCTGCATAAGTTTTCGCAGATTAAAAGGCATCGCGCATCTTCTTTGGTCAAATCGGGCATCTCAACTCGATACGGGGTGATTTTCAAGGTCCTCTTTGCAATATCCAAGGCTTCTTTTGACTGTGCCCATTTTTCCTCGTTTTTTTCTTTTAGCAGCTCCTCTTTCTTTTGTTTCTCAGCGCGGTCTAGCGCCACTTTTTTCGACTCAATTGCTCGCTTTCTATTCAGCAACATCGACGATCTCGCAGATTCAAGTATAGATTTTGCCTGAGAGAGCGCATCTTTTTGAATGTCTGGCGGCAAGGCTGCTAAAAACGTCGCATCCACCTCATCAAAATTCCGCGTTTGATGCAACTCTTTCGGAGGCGATTCATTTAAACGTTTCACAATTACGTTATAACGTAAAAGCTCGGTTTTTATATTCTCTGGCAAAGCGTTCAACGATGCTTTATCCGGTGATTCGAGGGAGAGCTTTTCCATCGCTTCCGGTATCCAAGAAGCGTCGTCATTGAAAATGGAGAGATCTACCTCACCGTTCTCAGTATTAGAACGAGCAGTATCATCTTTTTTGAGTGCTTCCTCTTTTTCCATACTGCCGATAGGAGATGATCCGCCGCTTTTCCCCTTCTCCGTCTCTCTCGGTGTTTTGTCCGTGCTTTCCTTTCCCTTTTTTTTATCTCGCTCTACACTTCTCCTCTGTTGTTGTTGTTGCTGTTGTTCGCTCGTGCGCAAGCCTTCATTAGTAAGCGCTCTTAAGACCGTTGAAATCGACGTTGAAACCAAGTTTCTCTCACTTCTAGTCAACGGGGCATTTGGTGCCAGCGCGGTTGATCCGTTTCCTAGAATTGACCTCGCTGAATCCGTCCAGGCATGTCGTCTTGCGCGTAAACCACTCAAATCCCAAGCAGGTTCAGGAGATATCGCCGTTTCTCCAAGAGCGTCTTGATCGACTTCGCCGTTCAGAACAAGATTTCCACAATATATCAACACACCACTCATAGATAAAAGATCGTTTCCGGTGCCATCAAAATCGACGTTAATTCTGCCCATATCTTCTTGGTGCCTTTCACCTCTAGACGCGCCGCCAGCCTCGGGGGACAGTATTTGATTCCTGGTCAGATATGGCTCGCCATTAATATCAACAAAGCCGTAGGGATCAAACGAATCAAGATTATCTGGACTTGAAGAAGCACCTTGAAGCATGGGGTTTCCTGATGATCGAGCAAATCTCGCAAAATCACTGGACAATGTTCGCAAAACATCTCGCATTCTATTCACAACATCTGGAGGTGCGTCCGCGATAGGCGTTGGCATATTTGCCGATCGATGTGCAAATTCATCTGTATTGGAACTGTTGACACGTAAATGCATTTGTTGCCAATACCGCTGACCATCTGGACCCGTCGTTACATTGTGTTCACGAATCATTTGAGCAGACCAGCGAATGTAAGCATCATTCGGCATATCATCTACTCTAGTTCTAACACAAATCGACTGGGCAATAGGCGGAACGCTCGACGTGGCACCATCTGCAGCACATCTCATCTCAATGGCGTATGAGGTAACATTAGGACAATCATCTCTTACTACGAGAGGATGCGCATCAGGAAATGCCCGCCGTGACGGTAGATGTCTTCTCGATATCCCCATTCCTTGTGCATCCTCGCATTCGCAAAGGTATCGTTCGCCGAATCGCGATCTGAGTCTCGCTCGAATATTTCGTCCACCATCCATATTCGTAATGTACGCCGTACCCGTGTCTTCACGACGGGGACCACCAAACGAAGAGGCTTCTCGTTCTCGTCGAGTATACTCTCCATTCGCAAGACGACGAAGATCTTCAACCGTAAGTTCGAATACGTTCATCTGCTGGATGGGATTTTCCGGAAGCCCGGTCGGTTCCAAATCCGCGTAAGTCTCTAACTCTAACTCTAAACCAACGTCTAAAGAGTTAGTAGGACTCGATCGGTTGTTATTACCATCCCCTTCTCGCTCTCTTCTTCGCATGACACGGCCAAGACCAGAGTCTAAGGATAATTCGATATCGCTGTGAAACCCGCTGTCATCGTCAGCCAATTCGCTATCATCCTCGTTGCCAACGAATATTTCTTCATCTTCCTCCTCCTCTTCTGCTTCCTCCCCTTCTCTCTCTCTCCTCCCCCTTTCATTAGCTCCGTATTCATGAGCTCGATGGACCACCTCATTTATCGTCATGCGGGGACCTTGAAACTGCTCAGCCAAAAATGGATCAGCAGCTTCCCCGCGAAATGAACCCCCACCTCTTCTGAACGCGCCGCCGGGATTGCGTACAAACACTGCGTCATCAAGAAAAGAAACGCCCACATCACGGTTAGTATCACGCACAGAGCCACCAATACGCGCAATATTTGCGCCACTTTGATCGCGACTCATCACTTCCTCGCCATTTGGACCGATCGCAACGTTCTCCTCATCGATAAAACTGTTCGGATTTTCAAAATCACCTTCTTCATCCTCTTCCGTCTCCTCGTCATCTTCCTCTCCTTCTTCATCTGTATAACCATCTTCAGGATCATCTGCGGAGGTAGCATCATCTCCATCACTTTCGGCTAGTCCGATTGGAACCAAGCTTTCTCCATCTTCTCGGGCATATTCATCGATCATACCGCGCTCTACAAGCCTCTCCATCTCTCTCTCGTCCTCGGGATCGAGTTCATCATCACTGTAGTCGTCTAGGTGATCTTCGCCATCGTCCTCTTCATCTCCTGCATCATCATCGTCGGTGCCGTTTTCACCATCATCAGAGTCATCTCCATCGATGATTAAGTCACTTGAAGCATCGTCAGATTCCGATCCTACTTCGAAACCTGCTTCTTCATCACCGGCATCGTCGTCATCGTCACTTGTCGTCATGTCCTCGTAAATTGCTTCTTCTAGCTCCGCATCTTCCATTGCGCGCATGTCTTCCATCATAGCTTCTTCATCTGCGAGCATAGCATCTTCTTCCTCCTGGTGATAGCTATTCTCATTCTCATCATCTTCGCGCAGCACCGCATCGATCACAGCGATAGGACTTGGTTCGAGGGGACGCTGACCATTCCGCCCCTTATCTTGATCTCCAGATGCGGGGATTTCCTTCGACATTTTTTCGTACACATTCGATAATTTATCTATGACGGTAAGTGTGGCGTCTAGAATACCGAGCTCAGGGCGATTGCCGCCTGGCAGTTCATCAACGCAGTGATTCTCTACAGATTTCAAAAGCAACGGAAGAATTTTGTGGCGGTGCATTGCAGCGAGTGTTTCGCCATTTTGAAAATTGGCAGAAGAGAGTTTATTCGATATGTCCCTTATAGATTCTGATCGCGAAGGCATGCAATGCGCCACAATCGTCGCGAGAATATCCAGAGCAGCGCGAAGATGTCCTTGGTATCGCGCATTACTACTCTGCGACTTGTACGAGCCGGAAACTACAGTAAAATCATTCTGAAGTAATTGAGCAATAATTGAGAAGAATAACTCTCGACAGCCCGGAACGCGAATCGTACACGTCGCTAGAAAATGCGCCGCACGTTCTGCTCCTTGCCAAGCCGGAAAACTATTGTTTTTATAACCGTTTATGCCGGAAGGAATCTGCTCTGGACACGTTGGCGGCTCGTGTATTCCCAGCGCCGTTAATTTCTCATTCCAAGAAGTCGTCTCCTTTGAGATCAATCTGCAAAACGTGTGCGTCAAAACCCCTCCAACAGACGCATCACTTTTATCGAGCTCTACGAGGACCGCACCAGCAGCAGCGTGTACTTCTATGAACTCTGACAGAAGTCTCAAAGCAAATTTAACCTTTGCGATGGCATGGATATCCGTTGATCGGCCGTACGGCTCTTCGTAGCGATCGTGAGTGTGAAACAGTGGGACCAGGTTTGAAGAATTCGGCGTGGTGAGAGTTTCCGGTGCCGGTACCGGGCCATCTGCAAAGGCAAGCTTTAAATCAGCCACAGTGTTTCCCTTGACGACCTTGAGGAGTGTACGGACAAGCTGAACAAACGATTTTGACGGCGGTGGAATTCTATCTCCTTCGTTCGATTCTCGGTCGATTTTTTCTACCTTTGTGTTTTTTGACACGTCCGTCCCCAATTCGTTCACATTTTTCTTCTCTGTTTCAAAACGCGGAAGAATGAGCAATTCACCTTTTTTATTCTCTTTTGGATTTGGCACCGGTACGCAATATGCACACTTTTCTAAAGCAACGAAGAAAGTGTGCACATCTCGAGCCATCACCGGAGACATTAAGGTCAGAAATACGGATGCCGATACCATACCGCCATCGCTTGAATGGAATGCAGCCTCAAGCGATTTTTTTATTTCGCATTCCATGGCGTAGCGCAGCGTGTTTGGGTCCTCTGCGACATGGCGAAATATCGATGCTAGCAAGTTGGTGAACGCAATGAACGAATGTTGCGGGAGCGATCTCAGCAGCATCAAAACTTCGCATCCCCACAATTTGGGTAGAAGTATATTTGGTGCTTCTTTGCGCTTATTATTACTGAGCCAAGTTGTCACGTTTTCATAGGATTTTGTAAAATGCTCCAAAAGTGTCAACGCGGCTTGAATCTGAGGAGCGCATGTACCTGGGTTATTGGCATTAGGCACCTTACTGTAAAACTTGGCCTTGAAGTTTGCAGCTTTGATATCGCAAGTCACGAGTGCTTTTTCTACTTCGACCTTGTCGTGCGTTTCTCCGTCTGGTGTCTTAAAAGGGCCCTTATGATCATTTGGAATATCCTTGCCAAGGAGACGCACGTGATCGTAGCTTTCGAGAGTTGAACTCCCAGATATTGCACACCATAGATTATATTTATGAAGCAACGCGCTCTTTTCGTACGTTTTATCCTTTAATCGTACGGGTTGACGAATTTCGTGCAATTTTTTTCTCGTAAGAGGACACCTCGTCGCTTCAATCGCAGCATCGCTATCGACAAAAATCGTGGGAATACAAGGACTGATAGTCGGCGGCGAATACATCTGTTTTTCATAGACATTCGGCGATTGCGCCCACGCATAAAATCGAAGTATGGCATCGAGCGACTCGATGATGCGTTTTTGCTCAGCTTTGGCGACAGAACCAAACGGTCGGCCGCCGATTATACCTATCTCTTTCGCAAACGCGCTAACATTGCCACCAAGAGAGCTAGCATCAGAAAATGGTCCATTTAGTGGAGAGGACATACCACTTTCTGCCGGTAGCCACTGAGCGTACATGTGTAGAACCATTATGGTCGTTTGAACAATCTTCCGAAAGCGACACAAAGGTGATGCGGCAACGATATTGGTTGCTTTTTCGCGACCTGAAAGTGAAACGTGCGAGTGCTCCACAAGTATCTCGATTCTTTTCAAGTAGTCTTCAACTGCCAATCCATTCATCTCTTGGAAAATTTCTCGAAAGTTTGAATCTCGCGAGCAAAGCAGCAACATGGCTTGTTGTTGGATCCCAACAATCGCATCTATCAACACATCATTATACAGTGGTATACCTAACTTACCCAACTCTTTCGCAGGTGACGCTTCAATGTACTTACTGAGCAATTCGTTCGTGACGTGCGCTTCTGGAAACCCTTTAAATGGTGACTTCATGATAATTTTAGCGACAGACTTGCGACGGATGTCGTTTATTTTCGCTTCGTTTACATCGAGGAGGAAGGCATCGCAAACCACTTCGACAAATTCAAAGAGCAAAGCAGAGTCGTCCTCACATTCTTGTTCATCCTTCGCTGAAACTTCGATGTTCGATTTTACAAGTGCCACACTATGTGTCTTTAGCCAAAGAATTTTCCACAGAGATTCAGTGAGTTCTGGAACTCGCTCTCTCAGACGCTCCTCCAAAGGCTTAGAGAGCGAATCGTCTTCGCCAGATGAAGAGTCTTTCCTCATTTTTGGAGAACCTATCTTTTTCTTTGATTTTGCCACTTTGTCATTTTTACCATCGGATGTATCAGTTGCAGCATTACTCGAGTTTTGATGTTTGTTTGCTTCTTCCTGTATCTCCGGGTGCGCAAGCAAATATTCAGCGATTGTTTCCGCGTTGATTTCTTCGGTGCGACTTCTTTCGCGTAGTCGCATTACCGCCATTTGAGCAGCGCGCGCCGAGAAACCCATCTCTACGATGAGCTGCAACGTTTCCGGCGAAATTTCCACATCATTAATAGCTTTATCGCGGAGCAAGGACTGCTCCCTCAGTCTGCCTTCTCCTTCGTCCAAATACTTAGCTATATCGTTGTGTTCGATACATTCACACAATCCTCGTTCGTAGAATCCCGTTCCACCCTGCTGCGTTCCGCGAAAGCATCGCGCGAGTATTCTGAAGATTCTGACGAGCACATCTTTCGCGTAAAGCACCGATGAGAGCTGGGGCTGAATAGCATCAATTTTTCCATCTTCGTTTACATGAAATTCGCGAGATATAGCGCGTTCAATTGTAAATGCGACGTGAGCGCACTCTTCGTGCAAAGAAACACCCAAATCTTCAGGCATCTTGCATTTTCCCAATCGCTTAGAGACTTCCTCCGTTGTGTATGCCGCCCGGAAAGAGCGGCCAAGAATATTCCAGCCGTCTTGCATCATGCGATTCTCGAGCTCTTTCACCCAATAATCGCAGTCGTTTGCATTTTCAAAATCAATCTTATGTCTTTTCTGCTTTTTCGATTTGTTCGATTTGTTCTTGGAGCCGTCGCTTTCATCGCCGAGCTCTCCAAGTCTACTAAGCAATAATTCCCAGTCCACTGTTATCGGAATAGATGCCGCTGTATATAATTCACATCTAGTAATCATTGTTGGAAACGCTTGGAGGTTCGATAATTTCTCAAAGAAAGAAATTATGGTAGAGATGCAGATATTTGCGCTATGCAGACACGCATCCACAATCTGCCCGTTCGGCGGCGCCTTTACGATTTCTGTTTCCGTGACAGAAACACGTGTTAATAAAACTCCGAGTTCTATAACTTCAGGTAGAATAGCGCGCGAAATAAGATCAATGATGCCATATTTTCGTGCGAGAACGATTGCCGGGGCAAAGGCTCGACGGCTCTTATCTCGGCGCTCAGTAGAGTATCCGAGAACGGAGGTAACTACGCGTACATATTCTTCAATTTCGCTGAATATGAACAGAGAAGTGCATGGAAAGTTATCACCATCACCCAACTGCAAATTTTGTCTCTTATCGATGTATTGGCGAACATCTCTTTTCACTTTCGCGATTTCTTCGTAGCTCTGAAACATTATGTCTTCTATTTGCAACAAAATTGTTGCCACGGAGGTCCATTGTGTCCTCTCGTATACTTTAGATTTCTCTCTACTTAAACGCATCCAAGAAGGAGTCGCGGGTGCCGGTCGTGCTATGATGACAAATGCACTGACAATGGCTCCTTTAAGCCGCTGGAACGATTCCCGCGTCCATCGAGCCGTTTCGGCGTTCCGAAACGCCGCAATGCTTGTAGAATCGTCGTATTTAACTTCTCCGTCCACTAGAATTAAGTGACCCCTTAAAAAGTCGATGGAAGAGAGTGCGCCACCGTGAGCGCGACAAAGATCGAGAAGCCTTTGATAAAAGGAGCCCAAAGCTACTGGAAACGTTCGGATCATCGTCGAAAAGAAGTTTGTGGCATTCTCCAAACGTTTACAAATGGAATTCATTTCGCGAAAGCGATCAGTTCTGCATTCGCTATCGACTTCCCCCAACTTAGACATTTCACTCAGTCCGGACTCATTGAAGTCTTTATTTCTCGCTTCAAAATCTATCAAAACATAATTCAACGCCGCATCAAAGGCAGAACAGAAATCCTCTGGGACTCTTAATGCCAATTTACGCAGTAAACTCGAAAAGTTATTCCCAGCAACCGATGTTGGAAACATATTTGGCAGATTATTCGAGACAAAAATTTTAGTAAGTACTTCAACTCCGCTCAGATTCGACTCGAATATACTTTGTGAGTTGGAATTTGGTCTGTACGCTAAAAAACGATGGACGAGCTCATTTGTCTGCACGATACCTTCCAAGAGACGCGTCGCATGCAGAATGAGGTCGTGAAGAAATTTTCCACGCGCTACTACTGCTTTATTGCGCTCGTTATGATGATATCTATGTAACGAAGAGTTATTTCCTGACTCCGCATTATTTTTGTCATCTGAGTTTAAATCTGGTAAAGGTGGCAGTATGAGCCATCCGCGCTTGGCCATTTCCTCGGGCTTTTTGCGAATATCGCATTCCGAACACAGCTCAATGACTCTAATCTCCGCATCTTCACCTTTGGCTTCACCTTTGGTATCATCTTTTGGAACGGCAAGACACGTTCGCCAAGCGCTCACGGGTGATTTTGATGCATGAGGTGATTTTTTGCAGTATTCGCAGCGCTTTTCGCACGTTTTCCGGATCTCGTCAAAAATTTTGTGGAGCATTTCTACGCCGTCCTTGCGAAGATCAGGCACGTGTCTTAATAACTCATCTATGTTCGTTCCGATCGCGGTGGCTACGTCTGGGGCACTCAAAGCTTTTTGATAAATTTGCTTCGTGAAAGCTGGACACATGACCTTTGACAGTATGCCCCGCTTGATTACTTTCTTCTTCCCATCTTTGTGCAGACACGTTGCCGATATGACTTGAGGCGCAACGCACAAAACTTTTGAGTTATTCGCGATGGATTCATTTTCTAACGCGCTAAATAAAGCATCAAAAACTCCCGCACTTTCGAGTTTGACGTAGCACGTTGGATCATGGTTGAGGTAATCGGTTACTAAAGAAGCGAATGTTGTCACGCCACTTCCCCCAAATTTCTGAGCGTTATCAAAAACCAGACGCATAGCTTTGTTGAGCCCATTGGGACCATCAAGACCAGCTGCGTAAGCATCCTGAGGAACCGTTGGACCGAATATTGCAAACGCCAAGGCACGTGTTAACGCTTTTATCAACACGCGGCGGCTGTAGGCGACGTAACTCGGTAGAACGACATCATTCGCTGTTAGGCCTTCTCCCTTTGTGGCTTTCTCAACAATATCCACGCTGGTGCCGTCGCCAGATTTCCGTCTTTGTGATGGAGTACTTTCTTTGTCATCATCTACTGACGTGACGTGCGACTTCTTGCGCTTTGAGCCAGAACCTGGCGCCGCATGTGAATCAGTATTAGCGACAGACAATAACTTTGCATCGTTCTTATTCTCTCTATTTTTCATCGAAGCGCCCGCGCTTCTGAGTGATTCGCAAATCTTGTCGTATTCCTTCAGAGACGTTTCAATTTCTTGGCGTAGCCTCAAGCACAGTAACGCAACGCCGCCGGACTCACGAAATATTCTATTCGAATCCGCGTTATAATCTAATATCATTTCTAGCGAATGCGCAAATATAGCTACGAAAGGTATATGGTCGCTGCGTTCGTGCTCGAACAACTTCAAGAGCGGTTCGAGCGCGTTTGCATCGCGTAATACGTTGCAGCCTGTCGCAATCGTGCTAAGATTCGCGAGAAGTGCGAAAGCTGCTTCGGCAAGGGTAGATGCTTCTATGCTTTCGCTGTTTGAAATGTCAAAATACCGAAAACTTTCTTCTGTTCCCGTGTTTTTCTTAGTCGACTTCTTTCCTCTTCCTCTCTCTTCTGGAGAGTCCGTTGCCGTATCGAAATATTTCTTCGAAAGGTCTGGCGCGTTCACAAGTTTTTCCACTGAAATAGTGAATAAATTCTCCAAGATCGTTGCAGACTTGTGCGTGCGCAAAACTTCCACGGCTGCGGAAGATGTATCTCGTTCGTTTACAAGAGCCGAAATTGCCCATGCAGCTACTGACGCGTCGGTACTAAAATCACTCCCCGCGTCTTCTCCTCTTCCTCTTCCTAAAGACGGCAGCGGCGGCTCGCTATTACTGTTGTGTTTGTTTTTCTTAATGTTTGTTATTCTATCGTCGAGTTGTTGAACGAGTTCCGAAGCCTTTTCTTGCATCGTTGACGTCTGAAAAACCAGTCGCCTCATCTCCTGTGACGGAATCGGCGTTTTTGTGGGAGTGTAGTTGCGATCATACGAAACATCTTCCGTTGAATCGCCGAATTGCAGTAGAGTCGCCAGTGCGAGGTTTGCGACGTTTACTCGCGCGTCTTTTAGGTAGTGCGTGTTTGTTTGCGCATCTCTCGCTGCAAACGACGACCATCGAAGAGTCCAGAGCTTCTTAAACACTTCTTCTTGAAGTTTAGTCCGTTTATTGAACCCTTCTTCTTGGACGCGGAGTCGGCTATCTATGACCGCTTCAACGGCATATTCGGGTTTGCTACTATCTACTTCACCTCCTTCCTCGATACTCTCGACGATTTCGTACATGCGCGAGACATTGGATTCGTCTAAGACGTCGAATACAGAAGATTGACCGTCCTGAATGCCGTCTTCGTTATCCACGCCGAATAGGAAATCAACTTTCAAATCTGGAAATGAGTTTTGCACCTCTGTTCTTTTCTCGTTCTTCTGCTTGTTCTCATTCTCATCGTAATCGTTCATTCTCGCCAAAATTAACAACCGCATCGTCAACCCATCGCACGGCACAAACCTATTCACTCTTGTGCCGGGCGTTTTCTTCGCAACCGAGTGAATCGTCAGCAGCGCTTCGTACGCGACTTCAAAATCTTCGTGATGTAAAAGCTTCGTCAATTGTTCCAACGAATTGTACACGTGCTTATTCCAGCACTCGTCTAAAATTGCGCGCGTACATCGCAAAATCCACAGCAACGTCTTCTTCCTTTTCATCGAATCCCTCTTTCGTCGTTCTCGTCTTTGTCGCGAGTCGTCGTCTACGCCCTCCTCGGCATTTTCACCGCTTCCGCCATCCCCGCCTCTCGCTCCTTCCCCGCACGCGATCAAAAACGAGCACACGTCTGTCTTGGAGATGTAATTCGGCGCCGCTTCGTGCGCTATCCTCGTTGCCGAAAAATGCGTTTTTGAATCCTTTTTCGCCGTCGTAGTCGTAAAACCACTCGTCGCGTTTGACAAATACGAGTCAAACGCGTTAAACACATCCACCCAGTGTAAAAACTCGCCTTTCCCCAAGTGCCAAACGAATTGCGGGCTCAAATCGTCCGCGATTGCGCTCGAGATATCGACGACGCGATCGTGAACATGACGTTCTTCTTCTTCTCCCCCCATGTCCTTCTCGTCCAAAGTCGTCAACGCGTTTTTGTCGTCGGTTGTTGTGTACGACAAGATTTTCGCAATCAACGCCGACATTCGCGGGGACTGTTCGTTGTGTTTCAAGAGAGAGAGAGAGAGAAAACGCCGTCAGAGAGAGAAGAAAAAAGAAGAACGAAACGAAGAAAACGACTTTAAAGAAAAGCGATGAGAGAGAACACGCGCACCGCGTCGAAAGTGCGCGCCGGTTTCGCCACTTTCCCCATGTTTCTTTTGACTCAAATCTCTCTTCTGCGTGAAATGTTCTCTCTGCGTGATGTGATGATATAACCGTATTCTGATGATGATTTGTGCTCTTCTCGCGGTGTTCTCGTCGCGATGTGCTCCTTTTCTCGCGGCTAAAGAAGAGAAAAAGAGAGAGAGAAAGAGCAGAGAGAGTCGTTTCTCCCCAACTTTGAGTTTTAAAAGGAACAAATCTCCAAACGCGAAAAGCGCGCAAAGAAACTTAAAGCGTGTGCGTGTGTAGTGGTCGTTTTTAAAGTGTTTTATGGCGCTTTTTGCTCTGTTTTGCAAAAAAAATCGTAGTGCGATTTTTTTCAAAAAACTCTTCTGTTTTCATAAAAAACAAGCGCAAAAAAAAAATCAACTTTTATACACTCTCGAGCATCATGGCGGCGAGAAGAGCGATTGCTTCTGCGAAGATGATGACGACGACATCATCATCATCACCGTTATCATCGAAAACGAGGACGAACGCGACGAAGAGCATCGTTACCCTCGTCGCATCGTCGTCGGCGTCTTTTTCTTCTTCTGCCTTCGCGCAAACAACGCCGCCGCTCTCGCGCAACAATCACAACAATCGTAATAACGGTTCGACGATGACTTCGTTTTCGGGAACGTGGACTCGGCGTCGCGGTGCTCACGACGTGTCCTCTTCCTCTTCCTCTCGGTGTTTTACTGCGACTGCGACGAGTGCTACGACTGGTTGTCGCCGTCGATCTGGGTTTCGAGAAGCGTCGAGCGTGATCGCGCGATCGTACGCGTCTTCTTCTGAAAAAAAACTCTTGGTCGCCGCGCCGATGGTGTACGTCGCAGGCGAAGAGATGACGAAATACGTGATGGACCTGGTCAAGGAAAAATGGATCGCGCCCGCGGTGGATACTTCAAAGTGGGAACATTTTGATTTGAGCGCGAAAAATAGGGACGAGACGAACGACCAGGTGTTGAAAGACGTCGTTACGGCTGGGTTTAAGTTGAAAGCGATATTTAAAGAGCCGACGATTACGCCGACGGCGGACCAAGTGAAGCGACTCGGGTTGAAGAAGACGTGGGGGTCGCCGAACGGCGCCATGCGAAGAGGGTGGAATGGGATTACTATTTCTAGGGATACGATTCATATCGATGGGATTGAGTTGGGGTATAAAGGTCCGGTGTTGTTTGAGAGACACGCGGTGGGCGGGGAGTACGCGGCTGGATGGAAGAATGTTGGGAGAGGGACGTTGAAGACGACGTTCATCCCGAAGGACGGGCCGGACGCCGGGAAGGAGATTGTGGTGGACGAGAGAGAGTGCAAAGACGAAATTTCCGCGGTGGTGACGTACGATAACGCGTACGATAACGTCCACAATTTAGCCAAGTTTTTCTTCGAGAGGTGTTTAGAAGCTGGCGTAAAACCGTACGTGGTCACGAAGAAAACCGTCTTCAAATGGCAAGAACCGTTTTGGAAAATCATGAAAGACGTTTACGACAGCGACTTCAAAGCGAAATTTATCGCGCAAAAGATCGTCGCCGAGAAAGACGCCGAGTTAGTGCATCTCCTCTCCGACGCCGCGACGATGAAATTGGTCCAATGGACCCAAGGGAACTTTGGCATGGCTGCGCACAACTACGACGGCGACGTCTTGACCGACGAGTTGGCGCAAATGCACAAATCACCCGGTTTCATCACCTCCAACCTCGTCGGTGTCGCTCCAGACGGCACGTACATCAAAGAATTCGAAGCTTCTCACGGCACGGTCACCGATATGGACGAAGCGCGCTTACGAGGCGAAGAAACGAGCTTAAATCCACTCGGCATGGTCGAAGGTCTCATCGGCGCCATGAACCACGCCAGTTTCACCCACGACACGAAAGAAAACCACAAAAAAATGGTCGATTTCACCACGAGCATTCGAAACATCATGCACAAACTCTTCCGCGAAGGTAAAGGGACGCGAGATTTATCCGGCCCGTCCGGCGCGACGACCGAACAATTCATCGATCGCGTCGCGAACGAGTTAAAAAAGAACCGCGCGTAAAAGAACGAACGAGCGAGCGAACACGCAAAGAGAGAAAAAAAATCGACCCGAGAAAAGAGTGAAAGAGAGAGAAAGAGAGAGAGAGAGATGACCACGCGCGCGCACACACACACGTATTTATATAAAAGAAAACGTACCCAGTACTAATAAAAGAGTGAAAAAGTAGTTTCTGTTTTCTCTTCTTGTTTTGTCTTTTTCCATCATTTGTGACACATTTGAAGCGCCACAAAATCAGGGCTTTCCTCATCGCATCCTCATCTTTCGAGAGGTATACGAAACAAAACTAGACTTAAGAAGAAAAAGAATCTCTCTATCGAGAGCAACAGCAGCATTAAGAGATAAAATGTCGTCCTCTTCGTTCGCGGCGTTGGCGTCGAAACCCGCGGCGGAGAAGGAAAAAGCATCGGTCCCGGAAACGCCTCCGTTGCATTCGGTACAGATCGACGGCTCGGTGATTCTGCAAATCGCGAAGCACGCGCGAGATTCGCAACCGTCGTTAGTGACGGGACAATTGCTCGGTTTGGACGTCGGGTCGACGTTAGAGGTGACGAGTTCGTTTCCGTTTCCGTCGCAATCGTCTTCGGAGAATAACAACACTAACGAAGACATTCAGGAGGAAGAAGGGGCGCATTATCAGTTGGAGATGATGCGAATGTTGCGAGAGGTGAACGTGGACAATAACACAGTCGGGTGGTACCAATCGACGACTATGGGGTCGTATTTTACCGAAGAGTTGATCGAAACGTTTATTGATTACGCGGAGAGTATTGAGAGGTGCGTTTGTATAATTTACGACCCTACGGTGAACGATTCGGATGGCCAGTTTGGATTGAAAGCTATTCGCTTGACGGATGCGTTTTTGAAGACGCACAAAGAAGTGAACGGAAAATTTGAAACGAGCAAGATTAAGGATCGAGGACTGAAATGGAGCGACGTAATCGAGGAGGTACCGATGGTGGTGAGTAATTCGGTGTTGGTCAGCGCGATGATGAAGCAGTTGGACGCGAACGCAGACGGAAAGATTGAACGAGACGAGAATAAATTAACCGAGGAAGATTTGAATCGATTACACTTGAACGCGAACACGTTCACGACGAAAAGTTTGGAGTTTTTGAGCGAGTCAATGGACGATTTAGGGAGCGAACAGCAAAAAGTGGCGTATTATCATCGAGCGAACCATCGGTTGCAGCAACAAAAGAACGTGTGGTTGCAAAAGAGGAAAGCGGAGAACGCGCAGAGAGAAAAGAGCGGGCTGGCGCCGCTGAGCGAAGAAAATCCAGACACGAGAACGCAGAACGAACCGAGCAGATTGGAAACGTATTTGATTTTTAACCAGGTTAATCAGTACTCGAAACAGTTGGACGAGCACAACGCTATGGCGGCGGCAAAATTGAAGTTAGTCTCGAGCGTTCGAGCCAACGAACAACAGTAGAGAGATGAAATAATTAGTCATAGAAGAGGGGGTCTTTTTAGCCGTGTGTATGTTTTATTTCATATTATTTATGCATGCGTTTTAATTTTCTTCTTATTTCTTCTTCGCCGCCGTGACGTTGAATTGGAAATGAATGATATCGCCATCTTTAACGACGTAAGTTTTACCTTCTTGTCTGTACTTCCCGGCGGCTTTCACTTCCGCCATCGAATTCGTCGTTGAGATTGACTTGAAATCCTCAAACGAGCACACCTCTGCTTTGATGAAGCCCCTCTCAAAATCCGTGTGAATCACCCCAGCCGCTTGCGGCGCCAACGCGCCCTCTTGCACTGTCCAACATCTCACTTCTTTCTCGCCAGCGGTGAAGTAGTATATCAAATTCAGCTCTTTGTAGCCTTGAACTATCATCTTCGGCAAAATTGACTTCGCGCCTTCGTTTTCTTTTTCAAACGCTTCTAAATTTTCTTCGCCTATATCGAACGCTTCTTGCTCGTATTCGACTGACGCTGGAATCATCGTCCCTCCGCCATGCTCCTTAATCCACGCGTGAATTTTTACCAACCATTTGTTTTTCTTCCGAATAAAGTCCTTCTTCGTCAGGTTGACAACATAGATCATCGGTTTCGTGGTGATCAAATTCCCGAGTTTCATTTTGATCATGTCAATTTCTGGAGTGCTAAACTCTCCCGACCGAATAGGTAAATCGTTCGATAACATCTGCTCGACTTTCGCCATGGTATCCTTAAAAAGCTGAGACAATTTCATCCCGTTTGATTTCTTCACGTCTCTCTCCTCGTCCGTAATGGCTCTCTTCAACGCCGCTAAATCCTTCGCGCACAACTCGTGGTTGATAGTTTCTAAATCACGTATTGGGTCGACGGAGTCGTCCACGTGTATCACCTCGTCGCTATCGAACGCTCGCACGACGTGGTAAATCCCATCCACAGCTTGTATGTGCGAAAGAAAGTCATTGCCTAATCCCGCGCCTTCGCTCGCGCCGCGAACAAGCCCCGCTATATCCGTCACGTGCAAAAACGCCGGGTACATCGACGGCGGTTTCCACAGGTTGCACAAGTATTCGTATCGCTCGTCCGGAACAGGACACCGACTCTCGTTCGGTTCGATGGTACAAAACGGGAAATTCTCCGCCGCGGCGAGCGCTGTCTTCGTCAAAAGGTTGAACAAACTGCTCTTCCCGACGTTCGGTAAACCAACGATGCCCATTTTCAGAGTATTCTTCACTCGGCCGAACCGAGCGGCCGTGAGTGGTAGGTGTTCCTCTTTCTTTTTCGGCGGCGGCATCCTCTTTGCGTTGCTCCGACTGCTGAAGGTGTTAAAGTGTTGTTGTTTATGTTGTTGTGATGATACACGCTGAACCAGAAATAAAAACGCTCTTTTCCCTTTCTCAAGATTGCGCATTAATCAATCAACTTTGCGTCGTCGTCGTCGTAACTCTCTCTCTCTCTCTCTCTCTCTCTGTCCCTCCCCGACGACGGTTCAGAGTGAAGAATGTTTTTCCCGTGAGGTGTTGTGACAAATTAAACTCTTGGGAAAGTCAAAGCAAATTTCTCTTTCTCTCTCTGCATAAAAGACGCGCTGGTTTTGCGCTCCTCCAAGACTGGTAGAGAATATATCAGAGAGCATCGAGCCCGTCACGTATTACGCGCGCATAAAAGGTGTGAGTCTTTTAAACTCATCGATAATGATACCAACAGGAGTACTCTTTAAAATGGGAAACACAATCTTGGACCACATCGACCGGCACGTGAAACTGCCGGTGCAACTGTTCGTGGAGGAACACTTTCGAGGAAAAAGTGCGATGGTACTGACGAAGGTTTTACCGTCGTTAAAATTGAGAAAGAATGACACGAGTTTAGAAGTCGCGAGCATATTTTTCGCGTACGTGTTGTTCGCGATTACTTTTTGCCTGTGCGCGACGGTATCGAGCGTGTTGCTTTCGCCGAAAATTTTCAGAAAGTATTGGGCGCGCGTGTCTGATTCGGATAAGAAGATTTGGCACACGAACATGGACACGTACTTTCCGGCGTTTTTCGTGACCTTGTTCGCGTTGCCGGCGATATTGACGTTTGATGGTGGCGATGGGACGAAGTTTGTGCATCGCGCTTCGTTGGATACGGTTCGGGCGTGCGGTTTAAGTTTGGGGTACATGGCGTGGGATTTAGCGGTGATGTTGGAAGATCCGAAAGGGCAACAGGCCACGTACGGTGGCAAGAAGGCGTATTATTTATTCATCGTCCATCACGTGTTTTCTATTTGCATTTGGCCGTACGCCGTTCTCGCCGGGCGGTGCGTCTATTTCGTCAATTTCTTTCTCGTGAGCGAAGTGACGAATTTGAACATGAGCACTCGATGGTTTTTGTTGAAATGCAAGTTAGAAAAGAGCGCTTTTTACGTCTTGAACGGGTTAGCCTGGATTCCGTTGTTTCTTGGCGTCCGAGTGTTGGTGATTCCTTTGATGTTGAAGGCGTTCATTTTTGGCTCCTGGAACGCGTTGAGTGTCGGGGAGAAAATCGTCGCGTTTACCACGCTGCCGATTCCGAGCATGTTGAACGTCTACTGGGCGCGAATGATCGTGAGGAACGCGCTTAAGTATTTAGTCACCGGGAAGGATCCAGAAGATTCGAGTAGTAGCGATGCGGCTCCGATGGGAAACACGAAGAAGACGAACTAATTTTCACGTCGACGAAAAGAACGACATTCGAGGCGAAACCGAGGGAAAGATAAAGATGATGATGAAACAATAGATATATACAAATTGTAGCCAGCAGTAATTACAAAAAAAGAACTTTTACTAAATGATATTTTGTTTTTATACGAACTCTAATTACGCGAAGATCCCGTGGCCCATAACTTTCTCCGCGACCGTAGCGGCGACCAAACCAATGATGGCCATTCTGCCGTTCGTGATTTCAGCTTCCGGGGTAAAAATCCCGTACGGTTTGGACGACGGCTTCGACGTGTACTTCTCCGCGTTTTGCATCGACGGCATAAACGAAGCCGCGGTGATCAATAAACTCGCAAAAACGAGGGAAAACACGTGGTCGTGCAATTGCGCGCCGAACGTCTCGTGGTTGTAAGATTGCATTTCCGCCCCCATGGCGGCAACGAAAGCCACCATCCCGGCTCTGCAGTTGATCACCTCGGGCGCCCACCCGGCGAAGCCCATTATTTCCTTGAACGTTTCCGGTTTGTTTTCCGAGTACGTTTGTCCGTTGTTCATCGTCGGTGATTCCGCGCGTTGCATGGCGGAGTCGATGTCAACCATGTCGGATGATGATGATGACGTCGTCGTGGAATCCATCTCGTCCATCGACGCGGTGTTCTTCACGATCATCAAAGACGAGCGAACGGATTTCTTGGTCGATTTTTGCGACGATCGGAGAGAGGCAGAGGATGCCGTGGAAGCAAATTGAGCGGCAGAGAGAGAAAACATTTTGATTAGTGTTGTTGTTAGTGTTACGTGCGTGAGGAGTAGTGAGGTAGTTAAAGCCACGTGTGACGTAGTCGTTTTCGTGGCCCAGAACGCTCGCGAAAAAGACAGATTTTTTGCCTGCTCTTTACAAAAGAAGTATTTTTGAAGCATACCGCGTAGTACTACTACCAGAGAGTAGTATTATTACAAACCAACGATGTTTACATTCATTCTCTCTCTGTCTGTCTGTCTTTCTGTGTGTTTGTGTGTGTGGTATGCGCGCGCAATGTACATGTGAAACTCGGTTTGGTGTTGTTGTCGTTCCCGCCGCCGAGGCTACCGCCGAAAAGCTGATTTTTCACTCCTTTTACCGCGAGGCTACCGCCGAAAAGCTGATTTTTCACTCCTTTTACGCCAACCCGTATATGTGAAAGTGTTCGAAAAGATGGCCAAAGTTCGATAATATCCACGCCATGGTCTTTAAGAAACACGTTTTGGTGAAATTGATGAGCCAGCCTAAATTGCCGATTCTCCAGGCTTGCAATAAACCCAACCCGACCGAGGCGACGGTGAAGATTAAACCGTATAAAGCGATGGATTCGTTCAGGCGTTGGAGTTTGACTTCGACGGCGGCTTGGATCAAGTTTGTCGTTCTGGAGAGCGCCGCGGAGAGGATTTCGGCTTGTTCTGAGGCAAAGAAGATGGTGGATAGCGCCGGGTCTAAGCGTTTTTTCACGAAGAGAGGAAGGAATCGAGCGCTATAGCTCAATCGTTTCAACTGCGCTTCGGTAAATTTAAGCTCGATGATTTGTTGGTACGCTTGAGCGGAGAGCGCGAGCATGCGCGTTTTCGCTACGACGTCGGCGACGGCGGATTCGAGGTCCGCGACTTGCGTTAACATTTCTTGTTGATTGCGGTAATCCGTGTTGGACGCTCTCGATTTTCTCAACACCGAGGAAACGGTATCGTATTGGATTTGCAATTGCGCCAACGCTTGTCGTTTTGCTTTGGCTTTCGGTAATCGAGAGAGAATCAGCAATCGATACTGCTCGATAATAGTCAAGCGTTGGATTTGACGCATGGCGCGATCGAAAGTTTCTTTCCCCGGTGGGACAGTGACTAAACACTGCGTGCCACCGTCCTCGTCGAGTTGATAGTTGACGTAAATCTTCGCGCCGTCTCCGAGACTGGCGCCGGCAAACGCGCCCACTTCCCAATCCAATTCGCTATCTCGAAACGTTTCTTTGGACGCGCCTTTCGTACTCGACGTCGTCGTCAACGGGTCTTCGAAATACGACGAGTCTCTGGACATGACTCTCGATGCTAACGCTTGCCTCGCGGCTTCTAATTGTCTCAACGCCGTTCTACTGTTCGCGTCGCTCGATAAGTCCACGTCCTCGAACAACGACCGGGACCGCTGTAAATCGTTGGAAACCACGCCGGCGTCCGCGACAATCTCGCTCGGATCGTGCGCACTATTTTTATCCGCCACTCCATTCAACGTCAACCACTCTCCATTCAACGTCTCTCTGTCTATCGTTTCCGCGAAGGTTTCTCGGTCTAACCTGACTACGAAATGTTGAATCAAAAATACTTTCCCGGGAATATCCGCCAACCAATTGGTCGGCAACAACCAACTCCAAGGTTTAATCGGCGCCGAAATTTCATCCTGCAATCGCCCGGGACCACTCAGCGTTAACGTTTCAAACTCAGAGTGTCTTTGCAAACGACAATTAAACCCAGCGCCTAAATCCAACACCACGTCCGACCACCCTCTCGCGACGCCGTCCAAAACGCTCGTCACTTTCCACGCCGGCGTCGTATAGTGCGACAACAAACTCTTAATCGTTTCCCGATACGCCTCCCCTTCCTCTTTGGTAAACTTCCCAGTCTCGTCGTACTCTCTCATCCACGCCAAGTGCAACACCTCCCCTCCTAAAGGCACGAACGGTCTCGACCTCGTCTCCGCCGACAGCGCTCTGCGTTGCCCCAACCCTCGATCGATCCGCTTCTCGTTCGCCCGCTCCACTTGCTCTTGCACGATTGGATCCACCATCACCTCTGTGCCTCCTCCTCCTCCGTTTACTCTCATTCCTTCGCCTTCTTCTACTGCTACTTTTTGTATCGGCGTCCCGATCGGTAAAACGTCGTCCAAGAGCACCCCGGATTTCAGCCTGAGGTGGTCTGCGATTTCCTGGCACTCCTCGTCTTCGCTTCCGCACTCTTCTTCTTCTTCTTCCGCGTCGTCGTCCACGGTTTCCGCGATTCCTTTCGTCGTGTTCCAAACTCTGTTTTTATTCTTCGCATTCTCGTCGCGACTCCTTTCGCCCTCGCCCGTCGTCTTCACTTTGGTCCTACTCCTCCTCTGCCGCTTGTGCGAAAGATAATCCGAACGAGACGACGACGACGACGTCGAGCACCTTCCAACGAACGACGACCGACCGATGACGCATCCTTTACTCGCGGCGTCACTCCTACTGCTTTTCTCTTCTCGGCGACGAGGAATGCCGGGCGCTCTGACCACCGAGGATGCCCCGACGACGACAGATACGCTCGAGTGCAACATTTTAAGTCTGTTAAAAGATATGGATATAATGGAGCACTTGAAAGCTCTCGAAAAACAAATTACTTAAAGAGTAAGCCGTACAGACTGACGAGTACGAAAGAAGCACTCATCGAGCAAAATTTGAGTACGAGATGCGCACTTACGCAGTAGAACTTCTTACTCTAACACCCTAAATACCTAAATGAAGCAAAAGCAAAAAAGATATCGTCTCAAAGGGAAAAGACGAGAGAAAAGAGCGCGAGAGAGAGGAGAGAGATGCTGGACGAGCGGAAGTCGTCCCCTCGACGAGATCGTCCTCGGGGAGGAGAGACGCCGATGAAGAAGACAGAGAACGAGAACGAGGAAGACTTTTTGGAAGAGAAAAGAAGAAACCCGCAGGACAAATCGCACTTAGCGTATCACGACGAACGATTTCGATGCAGAAAATGCGCGCGAAACGCGTCGTGTTTTGCGGTGCACAAAGCGACGCAGAGGATGATTACGATCGGGAAGAAGACGAGTTTAACGACGAGAACGAGGAATAAGAACAACAACAACAGCGACAAAGGGCGGTTGAGAGGACAACGGGCGAAGAGGAGGGATTTTGAAGAAGCTGGTTTTGGTGGTGCTTCGTCGTCGTCGTCGTCTTGGTCTCGCGAGGACGAAGAAGAAGAAGAAGAAGAAAAAGAAGGTTTAACGACGACAGAAAAGACAACTGCAAGAACGAAATTAGAAGAATACGCGTACGACGACCCGCGGTATGAATTGAAGAAACTGAAAGATTCCGGCCATCGACCGACGATGAAGACGTACACGTCTTTGATCTGCGCGCTCGGGAAACAGAATAAAGCGAAGGAGGCGGAAGAGATTTTCAATCAGGAAGCCAGAGTGGAGTTTGATTGCGACGCGGCTATATTTAACGCAATCACGCACGGGTACTGCGAAAATGATCAACCGGACGAGGCGATGCAGTTCGTGGATTCGTGGGTGGAGGAGATTGGTTTGTGCGATCGACCGGATATGGAAGGGATGAAGGATAAAATAGCGAAACCGAATCGAGCGACGCATCCGGAGATTATCAACGCGTACGCGAGGAACGGGGAATATAGAAAGGTTTATCGAACGTTGCGAATTATGGAGGAGAAGCATTTAGTCGTGCCGTCGGAACGGACTTACAACGCGTTCATAAAAGGATGCATAGAAAACAACGATCCCGAAGAAGCGGAGACCGTGATTGAACGATGGAACAATGAAAAGTACGATTTAGAGAAGATGGCGAGTAAATTAGTCACGAAACCAGTCGCCGCGTCGTACGGAATGGTCATCGATTACTACTGCAACAACGACGACATCGGGAAAGGACGAAAACTGCTGGAGAAAATGCGATGGGCGAACGTGGCGCCGTCGTTACCAATTTTCAACATGCTGTTGAAAGGGTACTTGAAATCGGGCAATCCTCGAGCGGCGGAGGTTATTTTCAGAGAGTTACAAGGCGGAGGGTCGTGGGATATGGAGAAAATGCGCGTAAAACCGGACGTTCAAACGTACACGATGTTTCTCGAGTATTGGGCGAATTCGGGAGACACGGAAAACGCCGAACGATATCTCACCGCCATGCGCAAAGATAAAAACAAAATCAAAATCGATTCGTTCGTCATCGCCTCCGTCGCCAAAGCCTACGCGCGCGCGTGCGACCCGGTGATGGCCGAAGAGCGGTGTAAATCGTTAATGGAGGAGTATAAAATCAAACCGCACGTGGTGCCTTTAACCACCGTGGTGGCGGCGTATTGTACCGATGGCGACACCGGCGAAGCCGAACGCGTCGTTCGCGAAATGATGGAAGACTACGACGTCAATCCAAACGAGCGCACGTTCTCGCACGTCATCTGGGCCCACGGCCAACGCGAAGACGTCGCGAGTATACGAAGAGTCGCCTCATGGATGATTGATTTAGGTTTCCGCATCGATCGCGGCGATACCAAAAACTCCTTGTTTCGCGCTTTACAAGAGTGCGGCTTGGGAAGAAACGCCGTCGAGAATTTGATTCAAGACGTGGCGAACCAAGACGTGATCCGTAAAAGACGCACGGAAAACGGAAACCAACGATTATACGACCGAAGTAACGACGAGGAAGTAAACACAGCCGCTCCACAAACGCCGCCGCCGCCGCCGCAGCAGCAACAACTGCAGAGACGTTCCATCGCCGTCGGCCAACGGGGCCGACGAGGCGGCGTCGACGCCAATACCAACAACGGAACAACGCGGCGCGCACCGAGAGCGTTCGGCCACGCGCGTCGATGCCTCGCGGTGGCGTCGTCGTCCGGAGGAGCAGTAGCATCGTTTTACTTCTGAACTCATGTATTTTAGAATAGAAAACACCTTCAGCGCTTTCGTACATAAAATCACAAATATCTCTTCTGTTCGTTTCTTTTTCTTCATTATTCGCGCGCAGATGTGTGATATAAATCATCACTCCTGAATTGCTTTTACTAATGAAAATGAGACGAAAGAACGAGCATCCGCAGCGCGCGATGCACGCGAAAACGATGGTGACGAGTGACAGAGAGGAGAGAGAACGAGAAGAGGAGAGACGAAGAAGAAGACAGAGAGAACAACAGGCTTTGTTGATGGTGTGGTGTGATGTGGAGCGGGAAAGGGAAAGGGAGGAGGAAGAAGAGGAAGAAGAAGAAGAAGACGATGATGAAGACGAAGACGATGATGAAGAAGACGATGAAGAAATGACTGTTAGGAAAGGAGCGAAGAGAAAGAGAGGGCACGAGTGTGGCGTGTGCGAGAAGGTGTTTACATCACCATCACTTTTGGCTACACACATGCGTACGCACACGAAAGAGAAACCGTACGAATGTGATGTGTGCGAGAAGCGTTTTACTCAATCTGGTAGTTTAAAAACGCACATGCGTATTCACACGAACGAGATGTTTGAATGCGATGTGTGTCAGAAGCGTTTTACTCTAGCTGGTAATTTGAAAGTCCACATGCGTATTCACACGAACGAGAAACCGTATGAGTGCGATGTGTGCGAGAAGCGTTTTCGTACATCTGGTCATTTGAAAAGCCACAAGCGTATTCACACGAACGAGAAACCGTACGAGTGTGATGTGTGCGAGAAGCGTTTTCGTACATCTGGTCAATTGAAAATCCACGTGCGTATTCAACATTAGCTGCTCTTTTATAGTCCTCGTGTAATAATACCGGTACCTTTACGCGCGCCTCTGCTTAATGCGTTATCCGCGTCATCCGCGTTTCCTTTCAAACACCTACTATATCCACAAGTCTTCGCAAAGTCTTTCTCGTCTTTTTCAGCCACACGAAATTCGTCACTCCTCGAGACGCATTTTGCCCCTCTAAAAGACTCCCGAGATGATACATCAACGCCTTCCGTTCGCGTCACCGACCTTTGTCTTCTTCGTGCTCGTCTTCGTGTTCTCTTCGTCGTCGTTCAAAGCGAACGGGTTTTTATTCGAGGAGGAGGATTCTTCGTCTTTGTCTTCGTCTTCTTCGAAAGCCGGGGAAATGAATTCGTTTTCAAATCCGCACCGGCGAGCGCTCTTGAAGCGATCCAAATTCGCTTTGACGAGGACGGAAGACGAGGACGCAGATTCGAACGAGAGAAGCAATACTAATAATAATAACAATAATAACAACAATTACTTCGATTCGAACAAGTACGCGGCGGACGACGCGTTAGCGCGGATGTACGGAAACGTGAACAAAAACGCCCGGCCTAAATTCACGAGCACGAACCCGACGCAAGATAAAGCGAAAGTGGAACGAGCTTCGAAAATGCAAGCGGAAGAGGTGGCGAAAGGAGACAAAACCGCGATTGCGTTTAAAAACATGGAGAATGAAATCGAAGAAGAAGCGAAGGAGGCGGTAGAGGAAGCGACGAATGGGGATTTAGAGTTGCTCGGAACGACGTTGCGTTCGAGCGAGAACGAAGTCACCGCGGAGGAGAAACGGAGATGGTCGTTTATGGATTCAAGTCAACTGAGAGCGGAATTGGTGACGATGACGAAAGAGAGGAATAAATTAGCCGCGGCGTTGGGGAAATTAGCCACCAACTGTTCGCAAGAGATGAAAATGCTCTTCTACAAGGTTGAAAATTTAGAAGACACGCAAAAGTTTTACGAGAAGGAAAACGAACAGTTGACCGGGAAACACGAAAAGTGCAAAAACGACCACGATTTGTTGAAAGAACACGCGGCAAAGAAAGTCGTCAAACACATGGACTATTTGGGCGTGGACACAACCTTCGTCAAACCGCACCGAATGGACGTCAAAGAATTGCTCGAAGCCGCCGAGTTGGCCGATAAGCACCACGAAGACGAGCTCTTCAAAAAACGCATGGCGTTGGAAGAGAGAGAAGGGAAGCAGCACTCGTTAGAAGATTTAGCCAGAAGTGGGAAGAAACACGATAAAGAGTACAAGAAGAGGATGAAGGAACGCGTGGAAGGGTACCGGTTTAAGACCATTCACAGAGACGAAGAGGATTGATTGAATTTATTTAAACAACTTCTTACACTTTTTATATCACGCATCTTCAAAACGAGCCGCCACCTCCACAAAAAAATAACGCACTCTCTCTCTCTCTTTCTCTCTCTCTCTTTCTCTCTCTTTTCATCATCTGCGCGTCAAAATCGCGACGATTCAAAAGACGATTCAGACGACGACGGCAAAGTAGTGTCGTCTCCAACGAAAGCAGCGTTAAAAGCAAACGCGGATAAGGATAAGGAGGAGGAAAAGGAGGAGAGATGACGAGCAAAAACGGGAAGAGTAAAAAATCATCTTCCAATTCGTCGAAAGAAATCTCTCTGCTCTGCGCGGACGAGCTCGGATACCTGCGCTTCGCGTCGTCCTCGAACGCGTACGGCGCCATTCTCCATCGATTCGATTCTTCTTATTGCGTATCAAACACTTACGAGAATAAGAAGAATAAAGAAACTTTTGGGATTGAGAAACTGTGCTCGAGTTTTCACCGCCAGATGGGGTGCAACCTGTACGCCGTCGCGAGAAGGAACGGGAAGGTGGAAATCGTTCGGGCTGGGAACGGTGGATTTTTTCAGCCTTTATATGACAAAACGGTAGGAGGAGTAGCGGCAGTTTCGGTCCCGAAATGCGTTGGATTAGATTTTACGGAAGACGGGAAACAGCTCACCGTGGCCGCGGAGGACGGGACGGTGACCGTGTTGCGAGTGAAAGAGGATGGCGAGGGGACGTGGAAAAGCGGCGGCGCGGACGCGCGTTCGTTCGCGTTGTTGAAAGAGGACGTCGCGAGGAGAGAAGAAGAAGGGGTGGTGTTGTGCGCGCGAGCGAGTAAAGATGGGAAGCGGTTACTTTACGGAGGGAAAGGGCAAGGAAACGACGTGAAGATTGTGGATGTAGAGCAGGAAGGGAAGTTGGTGTGGAAAGCGAAACCTCCGCCGGTGAATAGGTTGAATTATCGAGCGCCGCCGTGGGTGAAATGCGCGCGGTTTAAAGATCGCGGGGAAGCAAACGGAGGCAACGAAAGTTGCGTTTTTGCCGTCGGGACGGGGGAGAAGAAAGTGAGGTTGTACGATACTAGGGCGAATAAACGCGCGACGATGGAAGTGGAATACGGCGAAGCGCCGGTGAATTCAGTCGCTTTTAGTTCCGTCGACGAACACCGGATGTTTGCCGCGGACAGTCGAGGTAAATGTTGCGCCATCGATTTGAGAACGAGTAAAGCGTGCGGCGCAATTCGGGGCAATTCGGGGAGCGTTCGCGAAATCGAAGCGCACCCGACTTTAGATTTAGTAGCCACGGTTGGGTTAGATAGATACGTTCGAGTGTATAACGGCTCCAGTAGGAAATGTCTAGGTGCGGCGTACGCGAAGCAAAATTTGACGTGCGTCGCCTGGGACACGTTCCAAGATAGAGATGGAAATAGAAAGAAGAAAAAAGGTAAAAGGGTAGATGCAGATAATAGCGACGATAGCGATAACGATGACGAGGATGACGAGGAAAACGACAACGATATTTTGCCGAAGAAACGGAAGAAGAAGAAGTCGAAATCGTCTGATTTTGACGATCTTGACGACGCCTCTTTGAGAAAAGCGAAGAAAAAGAAAAAGAAGAAGACGAATGAAGACGTGATTGTCAACTACGTAGACTTTGATAGCGATGACGAATGAAGGTATGCATACATATAGTTTTTTACACTCGCGCGTGGTGGAGCTCAATTTCATGACTGTCCCTGCCTCCTATTTCTCCTTTCCGTCTCCTCTCGTTTTCTTCAAACTTAGAACACGTGTACCCGTTCTTCAAGCCAACGAGTCTAGTTGTGATTGCGTTTATAACCGCTCCAATCTGTATAAACGCGGCGCCCACCCTGACGATCGTTTTCGCGGAATCGCCTGTCGTCGCCGCTTGAAGAATGCACAACGTAAACGCGGCGAAGATGCCGTTCATGCCGAAAAGCATTCGGATGGAAGCTTTTTCTTTCACGGAGGAGAACTGTTCACCAAGCTCACGATCGTTACCGCTATTATTGTTACTACTACTATTGTTATTATTACTATTATTGATCGCCTCTGGAGTTGTGAGTGCTCGTTTCTTCTTTTCTTCCTCTCGCCTCCGTTCAAACCCGTCGGAAATACACGCGCTCGCTCTCGCGTAGCACACGAGTAATCCTAAATTCACCGCGGACGTTAAAATTACGTAGAAAACGAACATGGCTATAACTTTAGACCCGAGATTTTTCGTTGGTCCACTCCCCCAATGCCCCGACAAGAGCGCCGCAACAAATCCGAAAATTGAACACAAAGAATAGAATCCAGGTCGATTGCCGAAATCTTCGCTCACCACTCTCGCGCGAGCGAACAAAGAGACGGTGGCGATAGAAATTTGCGCGATGAAAACAAAGTACCCGTTATCTACACCAGAATCTGCGTCAGTTTCATACCACGAATTCGAACCGTACGTTTGCACGAAGTTAAGCCCAGCTGAAGCGACGACCCAGTAAATGGACAAACACCTCGTCCCCAGTTCCGAGTACGCCAGTCTCATCGTCTCCACGGTCTCCCCTATCGCCGAAAATCTACCATCGCTACCTCTCCTCTCGCTAAAATTCCTCTCCCTCTGACTCTTCCGACCACTAACATCCGGCAACACGAAAAACGCCACCAAAACTGCCAAACCTACGCTCGTTAAACTCACCCAAAACAACTCGGCTATTCGATCCTCCGCTTTCGCCGGCCGGTTGCCGAACGACACCGCCAGTTGGCCGACGATTCCGGCGAACGCGTAACTCGTCGCAAACGTCGCGCTGATGTACCCGGTTTGGTCCCCGTTGTGCTTTTCGTTCTCCTTCTTTTCGTCGCAATGATACGTGTTGTTGTTGTTGTCAATAGTATCGCTTACGTCGTCATCTTCAAAATCCTCCTCCTCTAGCTCCGTATTCGTCGCGCTGCTAAAAATCTCCACCCCGTAACTAAACGCAAACGGAAAGCTCGCGATCGTCGCTCCAAAACACACTTGCATAAACCGCATAGCATGCAAGCTTTCCCCGTATATTAGCACCCATCTGACGACAAATTCAGACAAAACCCCCACTCTGAGCATAAATCTCGACCCGTATTTCGCCGCAATCGGTCCGCTCAGAAGTGTCCACGCGAAGAACGCGTACACGTACACCGGGAAAATCTCTTCGTTGATTTCTCGAATCGAGAAGCCTTTCGTGTGGACTAAATACGGAACTAAAAACGGTTCGGACGGTTTGAACCAGAAGAAGAAACAGAACGAACAAAGGATTACGAGGAGAGATTTGTTTTTCTTCTTCTTCTTCGGAGGAGGAGAAGAAGGCATTGTTGTTTTTGCGCGCGTCTGATGTGGGTTGAAAAATGAGGAGATGTAACGAACTTTTCACCGAAGAGATGCTCTCTTGGCGCATCATCAGCATCATCCCAAAACGCATCTCGGGGCTATCAGAGACACATATAATCGATGTAGTTCTGCTATCTATTCAAGGTTCTAATAAAAGCATCGAAAAGGACGACATCATTTTGCTAAAGTGTTGTATATACACATATAGTACATCATCGAACTCGTACGCGAAAAGCGCGCACGAGTAAACGCTACGAAGCGTCTCCACCTCCTCCTCTCGAGGACAACATCCCGTATTTCTGCGCTTTGCCGTCCCACCTATTTTCTCGTTCAGCTCTTCTTCTATTTTCCTTGTACTCTCGCCCTAACTCGTTTACTTTCTCCTTCCAATCGATTCGATTGTCTTTCCTCTTTCCGGTCATCTCTAACTCGCTCGAGCCTCTCAACGCCGGGTTGGTCGCGCCGTACCTCTCTACATCTCTCCGCTCTCTTTCCTCCGCCTTTTGTTTTCTGAGCATATCTCTTTGTTCTAAAGACGTGTGCCTTAAATCTTTCCTACCACCGAACAGTGAGAACGCTTTCGGTCCGGATATAACTCCTCTCGTCTTCTTTACATCCGGATGCGATTGCATCGCGAACACCATCCACGCGAGCATTACAAGCAGGAACAACTTCACGAGTTTCGTCTTCGTTCGGTCTTTGTTTAAAAAAACGTGAACGTCAGACTTCTTTTTCTCCAGCAGTTTTATCGTCCCCGGAGGAAGGGAGACGACGGTGCCGTCCGTTCGGCGGTACTCTCGCTGCAACGTCGTGAACGTCGCCATTTCCCTTTCGACTCGTGTGGTAAAAACAAAATGAAAATGTGGAGTTATACAGAGCGTCGTCAACAATTTATTACACTACTTTTACTACTGCTTTTGTTTGTCTTCTTTCAGTCAAAATGCGATTTTATTATTCTGGTGCGCGTAACTCTCCGCGTTCGTATCGCCAATCCCATGGTAAAGGGCAGTTGTTATCGAGGAGGTATTGTACACATTCGGTTTGGTTATTCTTGTGCGCTTCTCGTACGGCGTCCTCGTCCCAAGGCGCTTTGGCGGTTTCGTGTAAGTACTTCAAACAGTCTAAGTGACCGTTCTTGGCCGCATGCGCACACGCATTTAAACTTGGTCGCACTGTGTTATATTTATCAAACTTACGCTCGACAAGATATTCAAGTATATGAAGATGACCACTTTTAGCCGCCCATGAGGCAGTACGACCAGGGCGATGTGGCGAATTCAAAGGCGCTTGGACTTCTTCGTGTAAGTATTTGAGGCACTCGAGATGACCGTTTTTGGCAGCATTTGCACAAGCATCCGCAATGACAGTACACCGATTTGCAACGCAATACTTTACCATTTCCAGATTACCTCGACGTGCGGCCATATTAATCGTCCCTGCATTCCACTCACACTTTTTCTCCTCTCGCGCCCACTTGAGCAACTCGAGTTTATTCGTTAGAGCAACTTGAGAGCAGAAAGATCTTTCATCCCAGCGCCACGCCCACAACGATTTATTCTCCCACGCAACTTCCAAAGTCGATATCGACGACATCTGTTTCAATTTAAACCTCTTTTCCAAATCACCCGCGCGAGAGGATCTCTTAATCAACTTTCTCGTTTCACTATTCACTCCGTGCAAGAATTTCAAATCGTTCGAATGCAATCTCGGAAGCACATGTTTAAAACTCACATCGTCCCACTTCACGATCACCTCCCACAAAGAAGATTTCGGAGACGGAGACGACTCATCTAAAACTCTCGCACCGTCGTCGTCATCGAAGCAACCCAAACGTCGTTTCCTCTTCCTCCCCGCTCTCGTTTTTGATCCTTCATTGCCAGAAAATGGATACATTTCGAGCACTCGAAAATGGGGAAACTTTCCCTCATAAAGAAGAGATAAACATGAGAAAAGCGTTCGTCTCTTCTCTCGCGAAAAGAAGGAGCGTAAAAAGTTGTCGTCCTTTTCGAGCGACCACCGCACGCGTAAACGAAAATGTCGTTCGGTCCGTTTCTTCTTCGTATTCTTCTCCCGTGAGTAGTTTCGCGTCCTCGTTTTCATCGTCGTCGTCGCAAAGGACGAGATTGGATCAAAACGACGTCTCGGGGGTGAGACCGTTATCAACAAGATTCGTGGAAAACCTTAGTACTTTTCCTTCTTCGGCGAGGACGAAAAAAAGGACGATTCGAACGACATCGAGAGGGTTCGCGAGCGCGAGCGCGGATACGGTGAAAAGCGGGGACGACGACGATGATTTCGGTGACGACGACGAGGGAGAGGAGGAAAGGAAGAAAGGGAAAGAAGGGAAAGCGAAAGGAAGTAATAGCAGTAGCAGCGCGACGACGACGAGTACAACAGAACCACCACCAGCAGCAAATTCAATCATCAAATCGAAGAAAACGAGCGATTTAGAACCGATCACGTTACAATCGTTAACCGGAGACTTATCTTTCGGCGCCGGCGCGGAGGCGGACGACTTGACGCCGACGAAAGTGGTGAAACTTTTGGACGATTACATCGTCGGCCAAAACGCGGCGAAAAGAGCCGTGGCGGTCGCGCTGAGAAACCGATGGCGTAGACACCGGTGTCCGGAAGATTTGAGAGACGAAATCGTGCCGAAGAATATTTTGATGATTGGGCCGACGGGATGCGGGAAGACGGAAATCGCCAGACGGTTGGCGAAGATCACCGAGTCGCCGTTCGTGAAAGTCGAGGCGACGAAGTTTACGGAGGTTGGATTTCACGGCCGAGACGTGGATCAAATTATTCGAGATTTGATGGATAACGCGATCACGTTGACGAAGACGAAACTTAAGCAACGATTTAAATCGAGAGTGGCGGAGATGATTGAAAACAAGATTTTGGATTTCGTTTGCGGAGAGAGCGCGTCGGAGGAAACGAGGGAGGCGTTTCGAGCGTTATATCGTGAAGGCGCGTTAGACGATCGGTTGATTGAAGTGGAGTTACCGGAAGGCGCCGGTGGAAATCCCGATGGCGTTCGGTTTGATCCGTCGGCTGGTCCGTTACCGATCCACGAGTTAGTCATTAAAGTAGACAAGATGTTTTCCAAGAAGGGAGGCGCGGGAGGTTCCCATCCGTCCATGAACAAGAGAAAAATGACCGTGCGCGAGTGTAAACCAGTCATCGAAGAAGCTGAATTTGATAAATTGCTAACCCAGGAAGCCATCGCGAAAGAGGCGGTGATTGCGGTCGAGTCCGATGGGATTGTCTTCATCGACGAAATCGATAAGATTGTTTCCAGTTCGGATTCTCGACATGGCGCCGACGCCTCTTCGGAAGGCGTGCAGCGGGACTTACTTCCAATCATTGAAGGGTCGGTTGTTTCTACGAAATACGGGAACGTTTCTACAGACCATATTTTGTTCATCGCGTCCGGTGCGTTCAGCCAAAACAAACCGAGCGATATGTTGGCAGAGTTACAAGGCCGATTACCCATTCGCGTGGAATTGAAAGGTTTAACCAAGGACGATTTACATCGGATTTTAACCGAACCGAAAGCGAACATTTTGAGACAACAAAGAGCGCTGATGGAAACTGAGGACATAAACTTAGAGTTCACTAAAGAATCAGTCTTGAGAATGGCGGAATTGTCCGAGGAAATCAACTCGAACGTCGATAACATTGGCGCTCGACGGTTACACGCCATCGTCGAACGCATATGCGAAAAGATTAGCTTCGACGCGCCGGAGGAGGCGAGGAAGCACAAAGAAAAAGGATTGGACGGTAAGTGTACGGTAACGATCGATGTAAAAGAGGTGGAAGAAGCGATTGGAGATTTGCTCAAGAAGAAAGATTTAGCGAGATTTGTTTTATAAAAGAAAAAGTATTATTGCACATACACAGGTACATGTATGAAATGATTCTCAGTTTTACATCGCTTCCCCCAAATACGCTACTTCTAATTTCCGCGCTAATAATTTCTTATGCTAGTATTGATGATTGCAAGACTTACAAAAATCTCGCTCAATTTGTTGCGTTTTTCTCTTGTTCTACCCCCTCCAACAACAAACTTCGATGGACGCTCATTCTAAACATCGGCACGAAATTCGGATCGTACTTCTTCCCGCGTCTCAAATGCATCGCGATTTGCGCCTTCTCCACCTCCTTCCGTTCTCTCAAATAGTAAAACTGACTCGCAATATCTTGCACTCTCGGCACGCCTTCTCTGTTTTCCCACTTCTCCGCCACGTCTTCCTGTGAGTGCGCTCTTTCGTACGGTAAAAAAAAGAGCTCGTACACGTCAAACAGCTTATTCCCGATGTCCGTGTACGAGTGCTGATCGAAGTAGTTAAACATGACTTTAAAGATCTTAGAGATTGAAAATCTGCACTTTGCCTCGACCCTGTTTCGACCAAAACCACCTCTTCGACAGACTTCGCCGTAAAAGGTTAACAAATCGAACGGTTTCCCGGAGCGCGAGATGAGTCGGTCCAGTTTACTGTTAAGCGAAAGAGAGAGAGAAAGAAGAACGCGAGAGAACGCGCTTTTGGTCAGTTTTAAATCATAGAAAACAGTAAAACGACGCCGAGACGACGACAACTGGATGCCGCCAAGCGGCGTCATCGGCGACGCCGACGACGCCGAGACGACGCGCGGGCAAAGAAGAAAGATCTCATCTCTCGATGTCGACCACCGTATATAATCATAAAAAACATCAAATGTGAACGAACGAGGACGTACTCCCACACGTTTTCGTAATCAAACTCGCCTCGTTGCTCGTGAAACTTGAAGAAATCGTACGCGAATTCCTGCGCCGTGCACTCGCGTAATCCAGGCCTTTTCCAACCCGATGTGAATTCTCCTAAACCATGCGTCTCCCTGGTCACCTCGTCGTTCCCGCACCGATTCTCTCGGCACTTTTCAATTAAGACGCGTTTTGCCTCCCGGAAATAGAGTAACTTTGTTTCCGTGTCCGCGTTTTTGAGGTGTTCCGGGAGCGGCGGTATCGGGGGGAGTTGCATTCCTCCTTTGGGTGACACTTTTTGTTGCATCAAAGCAGGAGGTGAAATCGTCGTCGTCGTCGCATCGAGCGCTGGTTTTCGTGGCACAGGTTCATCTGGTTTTTGGTTCGCGTTCGGCGGTATCATCGTCTTTACTCTGTTTTCCCTCTCTCCTCGCGCTACACTTCTCTCTGCTGATTTTGAATTTTTCTCCCCTTTTTTACCTTTTCGTCGTCTCTGACGATTTGCCTCCTCGTCGTCCTCGTCCTCGGCATCATCAGGAATCATCATCCTCGAACGCAACACCAAAGGTTCCTCTTCTTTCTCTGCCTTCAAAACCGTCCTCGCGTTCACCGCGCGCTGAGGGTGTGGGTTCTTTCTTCGTCTGCTCATTGTTAGCGTTCTATTCTTGCCACGCGTTTAAACGTAGTAGAGAGCAGTAGTATGAAGAGTAATATTCAATCACATGTGAGATGCTGATTTCTTCTCACCTTGTTTATTAGGGTATGAAACCCTAAAATCTCGACGCAAAATTCTCCTCCACTCCTTTTTGCTCCACTCTTCGACGACTCTTACACGAAGAACAACACGCGCGAGAGAGAGAGAGCACAAAAACAGAAGAACGCGTAAAACAATACTGATGAGTTCGTACTTCGGATCAGCGATCGGCTCTCTCTTCCAATCCGGTCCAAAGCTCGCGCACGATATCGTCGGCGGCGAAATCATCTCCTCCTCGCGAACTTTGTTCGGCTCGCATTGGAAAACGTTCGAGGGCAAATCGCAGGAAACCGGCGAGATGGTGACTGTATTCACGTGCAAGATTAAAGACAAGGAGAAAGAACGAGTGGCGTTAGAGTTAGCCAGGAACGGGGCGAAACGTTTGAAATTGTGCAAACACCCGAACGTGTTGCAAGTGAAAGAAACGTTAGAGATCGAGAGTGGGAACGAGATTACCATTCACGTGGTCACGGTATGTTTGTTTGTTTTTCGAGAACGGCGTTCGATACCATCTTCTTCTTTTGATTTCTGCTCTCTTTTCTTCGATCATCCAAATATAATATTGTATTGTTACGGAAAAAAGGATTCCGTAAATCGATCGTTGGACGTACTCGCTTCCCGCGCTCGATGTGGTACGAACTTTCCGCTCACCCGGCGTCGTAAAATTTTCATTTTGGTATCTACTTGACAACAAAAACAACAACAGGAAAAATGCGTGCAGTTAGAAGATCACTTGAAAGATGTGCCGAAGGGGACGCATCAGAGAGACGAATATTTTGCGTTGGGCATTCGCGAAGTCGCGACTGGGATTGCGTTCTTGAACAACGCGGTTGGATTAGTCCACGGCGCGATAGGGTTGTCCTCGATTGTCGTGACGGAAAATTTAGAGTGGAAAATCGCCGGGTTCGATTTAGTCTCCGAATTGAACGAGATTGGACGAGGGGTGAACGGGCAGGCGTCTATCGTGCACGGCGCGTATATGGTTCCAGATCAGTATAAACCGGACGAGTATCGCAGAGGCGATTGGCAGTCCGTTCCGGAAGGGCCGCCGTGGGCCATCGACTCGTGGGGGTTGGGATGTTTGATTAGAGAAGTTTACGGCGGCGGGGCGATGACGAGCGCGGAACAGTTGAGAGACATTCAACACATACCGAAGGTGTTATTGAAAGAGTATCAAAAGTTGTTGGGGAGTCAACCGGCGAGACGATACAATCCTAAAAAGTTGATTGAAAACTCAACCTTGTTCGAGAACAAATTGGTTGAAACGATTGCCTTCATCGACAACTTGAGCTTGAAAGACGCCATCGAGAAAGAATATTTTTTCAGACACTTACCGAGAGTTATGGAAGGTTTGGCAACGGTCACGGTTGAAAGAAAAATTTTACCAAAACTATGCTCCGCTCTCGAATTCGGCGCTGCGCCGGCGTTAGCCATCACCCCGATGTTGCAAGCGGCGAAAAATTTACCGGTTGAAGTCTTCGAGAAGAAAATTATCCCAACCATCGTGAAGTTGTACGACAAAACAGACCGAGCAATTCGCGTGGCATTGTTGGAGCACCTGCAAAAATACGTCCACGCGATGGACGAAAAGATGACGGATGAAATCATCTACGATAAGATATCGACTGGATTTAACGATCAAGATCCGTTTGTGAGAGAGTTGACTTTACGCACGGTGTTATTGTTGGCGCCGAAATTAACGCAACGAACGTTAGGGTCGAGTTTGTTGAAGCACTTATCTAAGTTACAAGTGGACGAACAACCGGCTATTCGAGCAAACACGACGATTTGTCTAGGAAACGTGGCGACGTATTTATCGGAATCCACGGCGAAGAGAGTTTTGTGTAATGCGTTTACGAGGGCGTTGAGAGACGCGTTTCCAAACGCGCGACAGGCTGGTTTGATGGCGTTAAAATATACCACGCAATATTATGAGCCAGTTGAACTTTCCTCGAGAATCGTACCGTCCATTGCGCCTTTAATGACTGATGTCGAGCAATCAGTCCGAGAGGAGGCGTTTGAGACTATGAATGTCTTCATGGAAATTCTTCGAAGAAACTCAAACGCGATGAAATTAGGCCCGGAAGAAGCGCAAAGAATGTTAGAAGCGGAACAAGCCGAAGCGCACGAGAAAGCGAAGAAGAAAGCGAGCAAAGCTGGATCGATGTTATCGTGGGCGGTTGACAAGATGGCCAATGCAGTTGGTCAAGTCGGTAGCAACGATAGCGATAGCGTAAACAACGGCGATAACATCGATTTGAACAGCGAGGTGTTTGCGGCGAAAAGTTTCGGGTCCTCGGCACCGCCGCCAAGATTGTACGGTTTAACTCCAAACGCGAGTCCGAACCCGTCGCCAAACCCGAGTCCAGCGCAAGCGGTAAAATCTCGAGGCGGTGGGTACGTCAACAACTCCAGTCCGATTTACGAAGAACAGCCGCCTCCGTCGTTGAAGAATTTCGGAAGTGAGGAAGATCTTAGTCATAACAATAATAATTTTAATAGCCGAGAACAAGCACCAGCAGGGACAACGAAAAATCCTTCGGACGGATGGGGTGATATGGACGACGACGACGACGACTACTCTGGATTCGATAAAGAAGAAGAAGAAGCGAGAGCGCGTTTGAGTAAAATGTCCACCACGTCGTCGCGACCGGCGACGGCTGCCCGACCGGGAGGTTCTCTTGCCGGCATGGGAGCGAAGAAAATGAGCAACGCGAGCGCCACGAGCGATGGATGGGGGAGCGAAGACATGGACGAAGCCTTCGCCGCGCCTGCTCCGGCAGCGCAAAGACGACCGATGAACAGTGGCGGGCACGTCAGTCTAGGCGCGAAGAAACTCGGCGCGAAACCTCTAAAGTTGGGCGCCAAAAAAGTACTCTCGGCGAAAGATATCGACTTAGAGTCGATGCTAGGATAATATTTTAATTGAAAACGTTAACATACCTACACGCACATAGAGACTTCATGAGAGTTGCTTTACGGTAACATTCAATGCAACATAAATACACTCGGATATTACAACGAGTGCTACACTTTTACAAAATAACAACGCGCGCTTCTTCTTGTACAAAAAATTCGTCTTTCCTCCTCTCAAACGTCCCCACATATCATCATTCGTCCATCCTTTTAAATCATCACTTCCCGTCTTGGTTCAAATTCAAAAGCGCGTGTGAGAGACCTTTATCCACCTCCAGACTCCTCTGAAACATTTGCTGAATAATTCCTCTCTCCGCTTTATCCATATCTCTCGCGATCCAATCCCCTCCTTCCTCTTTCGAACACCCTCCGCCGTCCGTGTTCGCGTACAAGTATAAGTCCTCGACGCGTTCGCTCAAAAGCATCTTCCTCGCGCGTTGCCAAGAAACCTCGTACGGGTTCGACTGAGGTCGACACGTTCGAATAATGTTCATCGCTTTTTGCAACTCCATCCCTCGACAAAAAGTTAAATACCCCAAAACAGTCAAACTCGCTCGATTAATCCCCGCCGTGCAATGGACGTACGTCTTCCTCCCTAATCCATCGTGTAACAAATTGAACGCCCTGGTCATATCCGCCAGCCGTCTGGACTGGTCCAACCGGTCAAAATCTCTCACCGAAACTCTTAAAATAACCACGTTCCGTTCTAAACACCGCTTCCGAATCGGTTCCCAATCGATTTCCATCGCCTCGTGGCACAACTCGCACTGCAAACAGACGATGGCTTCCACCCCGGCTTCATCGATCAACCGATCGATATCTCCCGGAGATCTCGGACAAGAGCCAATAAGCATCGAGCATTCCTTTAACTCCTGTTCGGATGGGTTTTCAATCGGTACCTCCGTCTCTCGATCAAACGTCATGTAATCCCAGTTCAAAGTCCAACTCCACCTCCCTTCCGGTGGGGAATCGCCGCCTCTCGGCGCTCGGTTCCCGTTTAACATCAAACCGGCGTTGGTGGATTCCTGGAATCTTCGATCGTAATCTTCTTGCTCTTTCGCAGACGAGGACGAGACCACTGCTCCTTTTTGAAACGCCAATACACCTCTTCCTCCTCGTCTTAAACGTCTCTGATTCGCATTCGAGGAGGAGAACACGTTCCGATTGTTTTTGTGAACAACAGTCGTCGTCGAAGAATCGTTGGAAAAACGACCACTCGTCAGACATGTGGAAGAAGAAAAAGAAGAAGACGCAAAAACGCAGCGCATCATCTTATATGTGTGTGTGTATATATATATATGCGTTCAATCTCAAATTCACCGCAAGCAAAGGGCGCCTAAACGCAGAACAAAAGAGAGAATTTAGAATAAGAATAAAGGAATCCCAAAGAGGTGTTTTTGTGTGTCTTTTCTCCTTTTTTGTCTGCTGCTTTTTGGGCAGAAATTTGAAAAAAAGTAAAAAAAAAATGGACCAAAGGAGTGAGTAAAAAACAAGGGACACAAAAGGACATTAAAGGGAAAAGCTCTTTAAAAACCGCACAACAACAAACTTGACACAACAAAACAACAACAACAACAAAGAAAAGGCCTTCGTGTAATAACGATTAAGAAAAGGAGCGCACGCGTGTGTGTGTGTTTTCTGTGAGGTGAATCACAGAAGAAAATCGAGGGCACACTTTTTGCACGCTCTGCAAAGTATGCGCTTTGTGATGTCGTCGATTTGAACAGAGCAATAACAAACGGAGATACCAAGAGTAAATCAGAGGGAAAATTCAAAAATGAGAGGCGAAGAAACGACGTCCAATAATGAGTTGCTCGCGCGGCAAACGCACCTGTTCAAATTGCGCGCGTTGAAATTACACTCGGATTTCGAGCGATCCGAACAGAGAAACAAACTGCTGCAAAGAGATTTGTCAAAAGCGGAATCGATCGCGAAAGGTTTGAAAATCAAGAACGATGAATGTGTTCGAGAGATTGAAAAAATGACAAGCGAAGTGAGAGTTCAAAACGAGGCGTTGGAAAGAACGAACGAGAAAACGAAAACGTTGGAATCAAACCGAGATGCGCTCGAATTAGTGGTGAAAGAGACGCAGTCGGAGCTGTATTCGGTGAAAGAGGAAACGGAGAGGCGGATACGGCAGTTGACGATGGAACAGAGCACTTCGGAAGTACACGCGGAGTTACGGAGGGAGAGAGAGTCGCGAGCGAAAGAGTCGAGACGAGCGGAGCGGGCGGAACGGGCGCTGGACGACGCCGCGGTGGCGTTTAGCGGGGAGCGGAGAGACGCGGACGATGAGATGAGAAGACACATAGAGCGACGATTGGAGGTGGAAAACGAACGAGAGAAGTGCTTGAATGCGTTGGAGGAGAAGGAACGGAAATGGGAGAAGGAGAGGAGAGAGAGGGACGCAAAGGAAGGAAAACTGACGAGAGAGAACGAGCAGCTGACGAGCGAGAATGAAAAGAGGAAAGACCAAATCAAAAGTTTAGAGGAAGAGTGTAGGAAAGCGAACGCGGCTGTGAGAGAACGGAGCGCGGACATGGCTTTGGCCGTGAAGAAGTTGAACGTGGAATTAAAGCAACAACGGTTGGAGACGGAGAAAGGGATGGCGAAACGAGTCGAGGCGTTGAGAGTAGCGTTCGGGAACGCCATCGAGGACGTGAAGGAAGAAGCGAGAGCGAGTTTAAGCAGAAAAGACGAGGAAATTGCACGAGTTCTCGCGAAGGAGTCGGAGGCGAACACGAGAATGGCGTCCGTGGAAAAGCACTGTTTGAAAGTCCGGGACGCGTTGTTGGAGTTGGCGAACGAGAAAGAATCCTTGGAGGAAGAAAGAGACGAGTTGCGTAGAGCGTTACAAAGAGCCGGGGAAATGAACGCGCAGTTGACAAAAAGAGCAATGGACAACGCGAGCGCGACGGGTGGTGGTGAAGGTCTCGCGAAACAACAACAAAAACGCGCGGCGTTTACAAAGATACCGAGTAACGTTCATCGTCATCACCAATACAATAAAGGACCGAAGCAGCTGGCGGAAACGTTGGCGAAAGAGTTGGAGCAGTTAAAATCGGCTCACGAGGAGTCCATTGAAGCGTTAACGACGAGCGAAAACGGAAAAGATTCAGAAAAAATGGTTGAAAGAATAGATGAAATTTCTCGAAAGATAGCAGCCAAAGCTACGCAAGTCAGCTTAGCGTTGAAGTCTTCTTCTTAATGATACTATATAGAGCAGATTAGTTTTGAATAGATAGAGCGAATACACTGCATTCATATATACCGCATATAATACCAGTACCTGGGTATATATCTTTCTATTATTATCAATATAAATTCTATTCTTGTCGTTGTTGACTTTTATTCACCGACGTAGTAGAAATCGCCGGCTTGTTTCTGTTCTCTATCCTTGACGGATTCCATTTTATTAATCCTCGGCCGATAATTGGTCGGATCTCTGCGAAAGGTGATCTCCAACGCCTTCAAAAACTGGTTCAAACCAGTAACTAATCCTTGGGGTTTCGTCGCCGTCGCGTTTACCGCTGGTTGGCCGGTGTACACGATAACCTTATCCGCTAGATATGTCGCCATGATGAAATCGTGCTCGACAATAAACGCCGCCTTCTTCGCGTGCAAAATAAACCTTTTGATAACTTTGGACGTCCAGACTCTTTGTTCGGAGTCCAAATACGCCGACGGTTCATCGATGAGGTAAATATCTGCGGGAGTGCCCATGCACAACGTCAACGCGACTCTTTGCAATTCACCACCGGACAAGTTCTTCACGTATTGGTCCAACAACGGGTCAATGTTCATCGGTTTCACGACGTCCGAGATGAACTGCGGGTGCAAAAACGCGTCTCGGATTTTCATCATCAACAAATCGCGAACGGTTTTTTCAAACTTTGGCGCAATCTTTTGCGGTTTATAGGATACGTTAAACTCGGGCAACTCGATGGTCTCGTCGTCGGGTTTAATTAAACCGGCGATTAAACGAATAAACGTCGTTTTCCCGGTGCCGTTTTCGCCCAACAAGACGACAATTTCCGAATCCGTAAAACTGCCGCCGTCGACGCTCAAAGTAAATCCACCTTGCGTTTTCACCATCGACGGGTACTCGTACATGCTAAACGCTTCATCGTTCACGTGCGCTAACCGTTCGTCTTCGTTCTCGGACACTTTAAACGTCAACTCTTCCGGTCTGAACCTTAAGTTTTCCGTCGGCACGAAACCGGCCAAGAAAATGTTGATTCCTTCTCTCACACCAAACGGCATGGTCACGACCCCATACGCCCCTGGTTTCCCATACAAACAACAAATGAAATCGGATAAGTAATCGAGAACAGACAAATCGTGTTCGACGACGATGATGTACTTATTAATCGCCAAGAGCGATCGAATCACGCGACTCGCTTTCAACCTTTGCTTCACGTCCAAATACGAGGACGGCTCGTCGAACATGTAAATATCCGCGTCTTGCACCGCGACAATAGCGATTGCAAATCGTTGCAACTCCCCACCACTTAACTTTGCCACGTCTCTGTCCATCACGTGCGTCAACTCCAAAATATCAATCAAATACTCTCTATCCGCGCCGCCGTCCGGGCCTCCATCTTTATCCTCCAAAATCGTCCCTACCATCCCTTTCACCGCTTTCGGCACGTGATCGACGTATTGCGGTTTAATCAACGCCTTCAAGTTATCCTCTAAAATCCTCGTCAAATAATTCTGCAACTCCGACCCGCGAAAGTGAAGCAAAATGTCAGACCAATCCGGAGGGTTTGCGAATTTCCCCAAGTTTGGTTTCAACTTCCCGGCTAAAATTTTCAGCGCGGTAGATTTCCCGATCCCGTTCGTCCCGACTAAACCTAACACCTGTCCAGATTTCGGCGTCGGTAATCGATGCAACTTAAACGTGTTCGGCCCGTACCTGTGCGTCGTTTCCTTCTCCAAATTCTTCGGTAAGTTGATAATCTGGATAGCTTCGAACGGACATTTCTTCACGCAAATCCCGCACCCGATGCACAACAACTCGTCGATGTTTGCAATCTTACTCTTCTCCGTCACTTCGATGCAATGTTTCCCGATTTTCACCACCGGGCACTGTTTTTTGCACTCCTGTTTGCACTTTTTCGGCCGACATCGTTCCGCTTCCACGATGGCGATGCGATCCAACCGTTCGTTGTCGTCGTCTTTGTCTTGCTTCTTTTTCGGCGGCATGTTCGAGAGCTCTCGATATCACACTCACTCGCTGCCTTTCTTTATCGATCTCTTCTCCGTCAAAGTCTTTTCGAGACGATGCTCTTCTTCTTCGTTACAATATCGAAAGAGAAAGAGAAAGAGGACGAGCGAAGATGATGATTTTGTGTCGTCTTTTCTGTCAGGGTTTTCTCCGTCTCTTTTCAAGTCTTTTTCCTTTCCTTCTTTTTTTCGCCTTGAACGCCTTTTTTTTTCCTCACAAGAAAAAAAAATTAATATTGTATATCTCTTTTTCTCTTTCTTTCTTTCTCTCTCTCTCTCTTTCGCCGATGCCTCGATACTAAACGCGCGCGCGAGAGAAGGAGAGAGAGAGAGAGCGTTTTGGCGATGATGAGAACACTGTTTACGAATGATTGGATGTGTTTATGATTACACAAAAACCAAATCACACTGCAGGATAGTTGAGTTGAGCCAAACATTTCCCGTGAAAGAGATACAAAAAAAAAGAGATTGCGCGCGCGGAATGCGCGTTTTTTGGGCGCGGAAAACACGCGCGCGAGAACCCGCGAGCCCGCGGAGATGGCGATGATGACAATACATAACATAATCAGAGATTCGATATGATTTAAAATATGATTTAAAGAAACCGTCTGAGCCAGAAGAAAAAGAGAGAGGGAGGGAGTTTTTTTTTGTATCTCTGTGTCCTCGGGAAAGTTCTTTCTGGATACAGAGAGAGAGAGAGAGAGAGAGAGAGAGAAAGAGAAAGAGAAAGAAACATGAACTTCGGCGATGATGTTATGACCCAAACTCAAAAAAATTTTGAACTTCACGGCGCGTGCGATGCGTCTGAGCGATGATTGCACCTCCTTCTGAGCCGAATATCGTTTCTCTCTCTCTCTCTCTCTCTCTCTCTCTCTCTCTCTCTCTCTCAGCTCTCTCTTTCCTTGGTGGTATCGTAAAAGAGGGGAGAAAAATAAAAGCAGGTGCGTTTCCGAGAAAAAGTTTTGTTTCGTTTCGTATCTCGTCTCGTTCGTTCGCGACAAACCTTTTGGGCGATGATGTGGGTAACAACCTGGCTATATGAATCAATTTGCTGAATTCTTATCCGTGAGTGAGTCAAATTCCCTCCTGAGCCCGAGCGTAAACTATTCTTTTTTATATTTCGTATCGGCGATGACTAATTTTTATAACACAAATAAAAAATACTAGCACATTTCATATGACTTTAGCACGCTGAATCAATCACTCTTTCGCGCTCAACATGTGCAACAAATCGGCATCTCGCACGTATCCTCTTTGCATCGCTGCTTCCAACGCGGTCAACCCGTCGCCGTCTTTCGCGGCGATGTCCAAGCGTTTCGCCGTGACTAAAAACTTCGCGAGCGCGTCGTTATCGGACATCACGGCGCAGTGTAACGGCGTCTTTCCGGTTTGCGTGCATCTAAAGTTTTCTAAATCGAAACCGTTACGAACTATTATCTCGATAACTTCCGTTGGATTTGTGAAATTTTGCATCGCACACGCTTTAAAAATATTCTGCGCCACGTCTCTCGAATCGATGGTTGCGCCCGAGGTGAACGTGCGCATAATTTCAGCGACGTCGCCGGATATGACGGCGATTTTCAAAAGTTCCGCGTCTGGGTGCGACATGGATGTAATTTTCTCGCGTTTTCCGTCCACGAAGAGTTTTTCGGTATACTTTTTCTTTATGAACTCGAGCTTTTCTTCCTTGGTGCTTTTCGGATGCGGTTTTCGTGTCGCGCTTTTGTCGTTGTCCAAAAACGACGACGGTTTCTTTAATATCTTTGCCTCCAAAACTGCGTTCGCGTTCGCGTTGCCCCACTTAACGAAAGTGCCATTCAATAACGGATCCGTCCAAACCTTTACGTCTAAAATCGCACTTCGCACTTTCGACACGTGGACGCCAAGACTTCGGTGCGCACCGGAACACTCAACGCATAAAGCCACGCCGTAATTCAACGACGCCCATTCTGGTTCCGGCATCGAGCAGTCCGCGCACGTGGTACACCCAGGCGCAGAACGCAAGATTTCCAGAGGCGAATTCCCGTTTGCTAAAGAGAGTGTGGCGTACTTGTCGGGATTCATGAAAGGGTTGTTCTCGATCTGCGCGTCGCTTAAATCCGACGACAACGCGGAACATCCCGATAACGTTCTCCGGTGACCAGTCGTGTTAGTCGTTTGCGAGGAGTTCGACATCGCATCAGCGGACGTTACACCCGGTTTGTGCTTGTTAAAGTACGCATCGTCGGCATCAGTTGGCGAAGTGGAAGTAGGCAAGTGGTGGTTTTGATTGAGCAACACCGCGATGGCGGAGGTAATCGCCTCCATCCAGTCAGCTTGCACTTCCTCAGATTCGGCGCGCAAAACGTACGTTTTCTCCATTGAAACGATACGAAACGCGTTCGCGACAAAATACTTCGAATTTTTCGGATCGTCTTCGCGGTCTACGCCGGTACCTGATTTCACCGTAGACGTCAACAGACGTACAGTTTCGTGTGCTTCGGTAAGATCGACGTCGTTTGTGGCGTTTTCGTGACTGCTACCGCCAAAAACCCCGCCTAATCGCGACTGAATGAACGCTTTTGAGTTCGAAGACGATCGATAATACATCAAGTTTCCGTACACGTCTAAAACAAAGTACCTTTTCTTCCAATCGCGAAGCGTTCTGGATCGTTTCCACAGGTACCCTTGCGTCAAAATGCGATCTTCGATGTTCATGTTTTGGTCGTTAGTAGTGCCGTCGCCGCCGCCGAGCAAGTCTGAGTTGAACGAGACGTCGTGAATAGTAAAACCCTCGCTTTTACTTCTGTTGTGTTTACCTTTACCACCGCCATATAAAACATCCGTGAGTTGTTTCTGTTGTTCTCTGGCCGAAAGACTTCCGTGGTTACCAAACTCCTCGGAATTCGAGTGCTGCTGCTGCTGCTGTAGTTGCCGCTCTCGCGCTGCTTTGCTACGTAATAGTTCTAAGTTCGCTAACGACGCGGTGAGTTTATTCGACAGCTCTCTTGCGCGATCTGTCGTCAAACTCCCATCGTACGGTAAGTTGGAAGGGATTGTTGTCGTCGTCGTATTCTCCACGTCTTCGCCCTCCGATACCGGACTAATCATCCCGGCCACAACCGCATCGTGGTGCTCTCCGCTAAAACCGTTCTCCATCGCGTACGCGTCCACCTCTTGCCGAAACTGTCCCATCATCTTCTCCACCTCTTCTTCGAATCCTCTCAACGCTTCCTCGCGTTCTTTCACTCCGTCCTCCACCTCCAGATTTCCTCCCAAATTTTTTATAAACTCCAAATGTCTCTTCACCATCTCCACCGTCACCTTCTCCACGACGCTCTCGCTCTCGTGCACCCCTCTTTGCAAACACGCCATCAGCTCGAATCTCGCTAAATCCGTCGCGCTCGCGGCTTCGCTAAACTTCATCTTCGACACGCTCGAATTCGACCTCGCGTGTTTACTCCTCTCCCGTTCAACCTTCTCCACCGTCTTGGCGAAGACGCTCTGCTTCGCTTTTTGACGCTCGCACTCGTGCGTCCCGAAAACCTCCAACATGTGACCAACCGTTTCCCTCGCGTCTCTCGAAAAGCTACTGTGTGCCTCCGCGCTCTCTCTTACTCTCGTGACCAACATATCCGTCCTCGTCTCTTCTTCGATGCTTTTGTTCGTAGCGATACTCTTCGCGCCGCTCGTCGTCGTCGTCGTCAACGCAAACCCGCTCTCTTTCCCAAACATCTCAACCTCTAACACTTCAACCTCTCTGGCGAACCGTTCGCTTTCTCGTGCCATCTGCTCGTGCGCGTCGCAATATCGCGTCAAGGCGTTCGTAAACCCTCTGCAAAGGTTTCGTTTCGTGGCAACTTTTTCGCTCAGTTTTTGCAGCTTTTCTCTCACGAACGGCGAGTCTTGCAAAGATGTCGTCGTCTGAATCGTCTGAGTCGTCGCCTCCTCCGCCGCGTTCGTCGTCGTAAACACCACGCTCGGGTGTTTATTCTCCATCGTTTGCGTCGTCCTCGTCTTTCTTTACGCAAAGAAGAATCAATCAAAAGGTCTCTCAAAAGATACTCACGACCCGCTCAGCGGTCGGATGTTGACGAGAGACTTTCTCTCTCTCTCTCTCTCTCTCTTCTTCGCGTCTCGACAAAAAAACAAAGACGAGAGAGAGAGAGAGCGCGCAAGAAAGCGGCGTTTCGAGACGCTGCTCAGAGATGTTTCAAAGAGCAGCGCTTCTCTCTCTCTCTCTTTCGCGTTACGTGTATATAAATTTGAAGAGGAAACCGCCCTTTTGTTTTGGGGAAACGTCTTCAGATATTTGTTGCTCTTTCAAACGTGTTTATAAGCGATGTATGCATCGAAAGAAAGAAGAACGAGACGAAAGAACGAGCATCCGCAGCGCGCGATGCACGCGAAAACGGTGGTGACGAGTGACAGAGAGGAGAGAGAACGAGAAGAGGAGAGACGAAGAAGAAGGCAGAGAGAACAACAGGCTTTGTTGATGGTGTGGTGTGATGTGGAGCGGGAAAGGGAAAGGGAGGAGGAAGAAGAGGAGGAAGAAGACGAAGACGATGATGAAGACGAAGACGATGATGAAGAAGATGATGAAGAAGACCATGATGATGATGATGATGAAGAGATGACTGTTAGGAAAGGAGCGAAGAGAAAGAGAGGGCACGAGTGTGATGTTTGCGAGAAGATGTTTAGAGCACCAACCGATTTGGCCAGACACATGCGTATTCACACGAACGAGAAACCGTATAAATGTGATGTTTGCGAGAAGCGTTTTCGTCATTCTGGTAGTTTGAAAACCCACATGCGTATTCACACGAACGAGAGACCGTACGAGTGTGATGTTTGCGAGAAGCGATTTACTCAATCTGGTAGTTTGAAAAAGCACATGCGTACGCACACGAAAGAGAAACCGTACGAATGCGATGTGTGCGATAAAGCTTTTACTCAATCTGGTGCTTTGAAAACCCACATGCGTATTCACACGAACGAGAGACCGTATAAATGTGATGTGTGCGAGAAGCGTTTTACTCGATCTGGTAGTTTGAAAAGCCACATGCGTATTCATACGAACGAGAAACCATATAAATGTGACGTGTGCGAGAAGCGTTTTACTCAATCTGGTGCTTTGCAAGGCCACATGCGTATTCACACGAACGAGAAACCGTATAAATGTGATGTTTGCGAGAAGTGTTTTCGTGATTCTGGTACTTTGAAAAGGCACGCGCGTACTCAACATTAAAGCTCTTTTATGCTCGTCAAACTTTACGCCCGCCGCATGCGCTTCACGTCTTCACATTTCGCCTCTCTAAAAGTCCTCATTTCTCCCCACTCCAGACACCTGCACGCGCACACACAAAGCACACTTTGCTGCGACTTTCGCGAGACCATGCCCCCGCACCATCCGTTCGGAAAGAAAAAGAGGAAGGATTCCCTCACTTCGTCTGGTCATCCTCTGATATCCCCGTCTGAACTCGCGGAATGTTTCCGAAACACCTTGTCCACGGACGCTTCCGTCCGAGAGGCGGCGGAACGCTCGGTGAAAACGTTTACGATTAAAAACCAATCCTCGTGCGCGCATTTTTGCCACCTGGCGTGCACAGGAGGAGAAGGAGAGGACAACAACGATTCGGTTGCCGTGAGAATGGCGGCGGCGTTAGCGCTGAAGAAACGCGTGAGCATCGCGTGGGTGAAGTTGAGTGCAGAGGAGAAAAAGCACGTGCAAACGCTCTTGTTAACGGGGCTGGCGCAGGAGCACCAAAGAGCGGTGAGAGAGGCGTTGTCGCAATCGATCGCGAGGATCGCGCAGATATGCATACCCGGGGATTCGTGGCCGGAGGTTTTGGAGAACTTGAGTCAGATGTCGGTGAGCGCGGAACCGAGGCATCGGGAAGGCGCGGTGGGATGTTTTTCGGCGTTGGCGGAAACGGTGGTGAGAGTCGCGCCGGTGCATTTTAGGACGTTGGCGGATATATTTATTCGAAGCTTGATGGACCAGGAGAAGTACGTGAGGAAAAAAGCGATTGAAGGGTTGAGAGCGCTCGTCGGTGAAGCGCCGTTTATCGGAGAGGTGGTCGTCGTCGAGAAGGGGTCTCAGACGCAGACGACCGGGAGAGACGGAAAGACGAACAAGAAAGAAATCGAACAGCAAAAAATGGTCGTCAGAGAAACGGTTTTGGGAATCGTGGAAGCAGCCGCGCATTTTTGCGTGTCGAGCGCACAAAGTGCGGATTCCGTGGACCACGCGTTGCTCGCGTTTGATGTCTTTGATGAACTGTTTAGCTGCGGCGAGTCGAACATCGTGAAAGCAGTCGCCGCGGATATCGTGAACGTGTGTTGCGAGTGCGCGAAAGCAAACGGGGTGGATAACGTCGTTAAGTTGAGAGCGTTGGACGTGTTATCTGTCGTCGCGGAAAGGCGTCCAAAATCTTTGCGCAGGGCGAATCTCGTCGAGCCGATGTTGAGAGCGATTTTACCTTTACTCGGAGAACCGGACGAAGACGAAGACGACCAAGATAAAGACCTCGATAAATCTGATTCCGAAGACGAGGACGATAATCAGTCCATGCGTTTAGCCGCCGCGAGAGTGGTTGATACGTTAGCCTTAGCGTTACCGGCTAAGTTTGTGCTACACGTCGTTCTCGATTTCGCGTCGAATAACATCAAATCGCCGGATGAACGCTTAAGAAGAGCGTCTGTAGGCGCCGTCGGGGTCGTGTGTGAAGGGTGCGCGGAAGCGTTATCGAACGACCCCGTCATCTGCGAAAACTTGCTCGATCAATTAGGCGTGTCTTTAGAAGATGTGAGTTTCGGCGTCCGACGCGCGGCGGCGTTTGCTTTAGGACAATTCGCCGAGTTTTGTCGATCGTCGGTACCTAAAATGCACGCCATCGCTTTACCGCGATTGTTTCAAGCCGTGAAAAAGAAAGCTGAAGCACAAAAAGAAGACGCGATTGCGAGACAAAACGCGTTCTTTGCCGTGGAGGCGTGGACGTCCGAATTAGAATCGGGTGAAATAGCGGCGTACGTGCCATTGGTTTTAGAAGTCTTATTTGAAGCGTTAGACGACGGCACTAACGAACAGCAAAACCAACCTTTTTCCTGGTCCGTGTATCGAAGAAAAGAGTGCGCGTTAGCGATAGCTACCTCCGCAGCCACGGACGCCTCGGACACCTTTGCGCCGTTTCTCGCCGATTTACTTCCAAGACTGGAGAGCGTCGTGAGCGCGCACGTGCGGGACGAAAACGACGCAATTGACCAAAAGAAACTTCGTTTGAGAGCGTGCGCGATTCGATTATTAGGCGCAATCGTTGAAGGGGAAACGTGCAGAGCGGCTTTGGGCAATCAAGCTATCGAAGCGTTGGTACAAAACGTCGCGAGCGGGTTCGCGTTGACGTCGTGCGACGCTCGCGAAGCCGCGCACGACTTCTTTGCCAGCTTTGCCAACGGGTGTAAATCCGCGGACGAAAACGCTAAAGAAACCGCAAACGGAAACGAACACTTCTCGCAATTTCTGAACCCGCTGGTCGAGAAAGCGTTAGAGAGTATCACGTTAGACGACGGCATCATGTTCGGTAAAGATTTTGAAGATTTCGTGGCGGATAATCCAGAACACGACGATGAGTACGAGGACGAATACGACGAGTACGACGAAGATGACGACGACGAGGACGAAAGCAACGCCAAAGGGTACGACGACGTTCGGTCCGGTCTTGTCGAGGAAAAAATAGCCGCCATTCGTGCGATCAAGTCATACGCCGAGTCCGCGCCGAGAACGTACGTACAAAGTCAAGCGGCGTTTGAAAAATCCGTGGAAGTTTTGTTACAAACCGTAGATTACCTCGACGATGAAGTTCGTTCGTTCACGTACGATTCCATCTCGGCGTTAGCCGGGGGCGAATGCTTGGTCGTTTTGTGCGAGCACAATCCGATTGCGGCTAAAACGCTCGCGGAAAAAACTTTAGAGGCGTGCTTAGACGCCGCGATGCACGATTTCGAGAAGAACGTCGTCGCTTCCTCTTTGTGTTGCGCGGCGGAAATTTTGAAGAGCGCGAAAAAATGCAATCAACCGATTTTCGAAAACAAACCGCCGCATTTAAACCGATTGAACGAAATATGTTTATCTCTGCTCCGAGGCGACGCGATGTGTCAGCAATCGTTCGACAGCGACGATGAAGACGAATACGAGGACGGCGATGATGAGGACGACGACTTCGGCGCGAACGATAACGAAAGCAATCGCGCGAGACGCCACCACAACACCAAAGGTAAACCGAACGGAGCTCACGGTGGCAACTTGGAAACGAACGAAGACGAAGAGGAGGCGGAGTCATCGCTCGTGCTTCTCGAAGCTGTCGCGGAAGCCTTGCCGGCGTTGGCAACCGTCGTCGGCGCGCAACCGTTCGCGTCTGAATTTGAACCGCACTTCCAGGCGATTCTCAAAAGAGCGCACCCGTCTCGAAGCGGCGCCGAGCGATTTGCCATTTACGGTTTACTCGCAGACATTGTTGAATCCGTCGAATCTTACGCGTCGCCGTGCGCACCGGCGTTATTACCAACCCTCTTGGAGGAAATGCGATCGATGAGTTCGCCGGAAGCGACGAGGAACGCCGCGTACCTCGCCGGTCTCCTCGTGGAAACCGCGAGACGAGAAGATAAATCCAACGCGAACCCGTATTGCGACGACGAAACCGTCAAAGCCATCGCAGAAGCCGCGGTGGTTGGCGCGCAAAGCGACGCATTCCTGATAACTCACGACCACGTTGGACGATGGGCAAAACTCATGGCTACGCGAGATAACTTAGCCGGGTGCGCGGCGAGGTGCGCGAAATCCTTACTCAATCGAAACGAGAGCCGGGAAATCGCAAAGGCGATTCTCCACGCCGTACCCATGGGCGAAGACGTGGACGAAGGCGAAGTGGTCGTTGACGTCGTGAAAGCATTCATCTTGTCGGATGACCCGATAAAGAGCGATGACAGCAGCAACAGCGCGTGTGATGAAGTTCTGAGAATGGATGCATTGAGACGCGTCGAGTTACACGCCGCGGCGATGAAAGCGAAGAAGAAAGACTTTTAGACTTTTAGTAGGGGAAAATCGAACTCCAAATCGCTTCACACTTTACTCCAAAGAACGCGCGTAAACGCTCCTCTCTTCTGCGTTACATACTGCGCTCGCATGCAGTGTAACGAATAGAGAAGAGAGACTCTATAGTTGAGCAACAAATCGTCCTCTCATGGTGACATCGAACACCAGCGGTTTCGCTCTCTTTTCATCTCCCTCTGTGCGCTTTAGGTGTTCGCACTCTCTTCATCCTCGTCGGAGTACACGCGCTGCTTTGATGATACGCAACCACAGCAACATCACTAAAAACAAAAGAATCTCTTGCGGCGACGCCATCGTCAACGACAGCGTTTCGACGATTCCTCCGGAATCGCACTCGATGTTTGATGTCATCGTCGTCGGAAACGGTCCTTTAGGTTCCGCGATCGGTTTACACGCGTCTGTGTCGTCGTCTGGTAAAAAAAGCGTGTTGATTTTAGACTGCGGCTCGGAAAGTCTGAGCTCCGGGTCGGACGACCTCGGGAGAATCGTTCGGCCGTTAGATGCGGAAGGCAGGGAGGAGTGGACGCAGTTAAACATCGATTCGATCGAGAGTTTTGCAAAGGTACAAGAGGAGAGCGAGATTGCATTCTTCGAAAAGAAAGGGAGCTTGAGCGTCGGCTCCGACTTGTTCGTGTCAAAACCGGCGAGCTTGTTACGGGCGAAAAAGATCGAACACGAGATTGTAAGAGGCGGGGAAGAGATATGCGCGAAGTTCGCGTACCTGAATCGAAGGACGATTCCGGAGGAGTACGTCGCGGTTTCCGATCGAGTGGGCGGATACGTTTCGCCGCATAAGATGCGCGCGGCGTTTAATCGGTTGGCGGTGAAAAAGAACGACGGGAGGACCGTGGTGTGCGTGCAAACCGCCGAGGAGATTCTCTGGACGGACGGTGATGGTGGTTTTGTGAAAGTACGAACGACGGATGGGAACGTATACGCGGCGAAAGAAAAAGTCTTCGTCGCGTGCGGGTATTACACGCAACCGTTACTGCACCGCTCGAAAATAGACATGGAGAGTTTAGAAGACGTGAAGATTTCAAAGAGGACGATTATTTTAGCTAAAGTTTCCGAGGAAGACGCGAAAGGTCGATTTCGTGATATGCCGACGATTAAGTACGAGTTACCGGAAGACGTGAGAAGTAAAAGCGCCGCGACTGACGCGAGCGCCAACGCCGCTTCCGATCAGAGCAAAAACGAAGCGAAAAGCGTGTACATTCTGCCGCCGATTTGGTACCCGGGCCCGGTGCCTTCGCCCGGGTATTACGTGAAAATAGGAGGAGGACCGAATGATTTTATGACGCTATCTAAAGCGGTCATGTTTGACGAAAAGAAGAGCGGCAACGTTCAAAATGAAAAAGAAAAGACGCCCATAGAACAGCGCAAAGAGTTAGACTCGGTTTGGGAAGACCATCGAAAGGCCACTTACGAAGACCAAAAAGAGGACATCGAATCGTGGATGAGTTCGGACGGCGACCCGGAAATCGTGCCGCAACTCAAAACCGCGTTACTGCACGTCTTTCCAGACGTCGAATTTGAAGCGTTTGAAACGAAGGCGTGCGCGACGACGTGCACGTCAAACGGGAGTATGAAAATTGAACACTATTTAGACGGTAAAATATGCGCAGTTACCGGATGCAATGGAAAAGCCGCCGGTCCGGCGTACGCGATTGCTCGAGAAGTCGTCGCGAATGCCAAATTTGTAAAACATATCATTTAAAACTCTGTAAGCGCTACAGGCACTATTACTACTACTACTACTACTACTACTACTACTTCTATCACCCGCGACTCGACTTTTTTCCCGCACCTCTTTTCTTGCTCCCTTTCGCGCCCTTCTTGGATTTCTTTCCTCCCGCGCTCCCTTTCGCGTCTCGATTCTTCCCGCTCAGTCGTACTTTCGTATCTACGTTTACTTTATTCTTCTTCACGTCCCCTTTCTTCAATTTCAAAATCCCATTCTTAAACCAAGAGCTGCCCCACGCTAATCCTCGGTCGCTCTCTTTCTCTCTCTTCTCTTCCTTTTCGCTATTCGTCATCTTCCTCCTCTCTTTCTTCTCTAACTTATGCCCGAGCCGAAACAAATCCAACCGCTTCTCTTCGTTCCTTTGCTCGTTCTTCTTCCAAAGTCCGACGCCGATAGTCGCGGGAATCCGTATCCCTTTCGACGGTTTCATTCCCAACTCTTTCAGCTTTTCATTCTCTAACTCCTTCCTGTCCCACTTGTTCAAGCCTTTGATCCCGAAATCTCGCACTTCGCGACGCATGTGTTTCATGCCAAACTTCGAGTCTTTCGCGTCGTCGTTGTTGTTGTTGTTGTTGTTGCTTTTCGCATCTTCCTCGCTCTGAAATCCATTCTTCTTCTTCTTCTTTTTCTTCTTCCCGTCAAACCCGTCTTCTTCCATCTCGTCCTCTCGAACGATTCGTTTCGTCTCCGACGCCATGAATCGTTTCATCTCGCGTTTCACGTTTATTCTCTTTCGTAGTAAAGTCTTGTTTATGTTGTCGTTCGTCTTGTTTTCGGCGGCGGCTCCAAAAAGTGTTCGCTTCCCGTCGAACGCGAACACTTTCACCTCTTTTGCCTCTTCTCTCTTTTTCTCTCCATCATCCATTAACACCCTCTCTTCTTCCGCGGTTGTCGTCGTCTTCATCTTCTTCTTCTTCTTTTGTTCCTTCTTAAACGCGTTCATCGGCGCGTTCAAACTTCTCTCTGGTGTTTCTTTTGTCCGATTTTTCCTCGCACTTGTGTTTTAGGGTGTTAAACCCTATTTCGGGCCGAGTCTCTTTTTCTCCTCTTTGAAAATCGTCACAAGGAAGGCGCTCTTTGAGGAAAGTATTCACAGAACCACATCATCAGAAAGAGGAGAGAGAAGCGAGAACAGTAATAGTACTACTACTACTAATAATAAGAACGTTTTACCACACCGAATAAGAGGACATGATGAAGCGCATTCTGAACCCGAATTCTTCTTTTTCTACCCCGGGAGGAACGCGGGATGAGACGAACGAAGAGAATTTAGGAACGGACGGTGACGAGAACACGAACACGAGTAACAACAACAACAACAACAACAACGCAAAGAGGACGACGAGTAGTAGTAAAGACGGGGCAGACGACTCCTTGTTGTTTCCTTCGGAAGAGCACACGGAAGAGCAACTCGTTTCCGCGATTAAAGATTGGAACAATATGAAACCCGTGGTGGTGTTGAACACGATATCGTCCTTGTGCGTGATTGTACTCGCGCAGCTGATGGCGTTTCTTTCGATACCGATCGGTGTGATTGGGCTGATCGCGTGCTCGGTGTACGGGTCGGAGTTGTTTCGGATGAAGAGAGGGTTAGGCGCGACGGTGGCGACGGTGAAGATGTTGTCGTTGGTGTGCGTGATATTGGACGGCGCGTTTGCGGCGGTGAGTTTAGCGATCGGGACCTTGTACGCGGGGGGGGATATGGTGACGACGATGGTGTTGATGTCGTCGTTGTTTGGCGCGCACGGGCTCGGGTATTGGGAGATGTATAAGAGGGCGAAGGAAATTGGGAAGATTCTGAATTGAGAGTGTCATTCGCGAACATCGTAGAAAAACGCTAAAGCTTTGTATCATCATCATCACGCGCACCTGGTACAGGACGCTTGTACTACTACTACTATTATTACTACTACTATTACTACTGCTACTGTATGATCTAAATAGTTTCACATCTCACGAGAGCTGTACTTTTCAATCGAGCGCTGACTTTGTCCATCTGGTTTTGGCCGTTCGGATTTTATCGGTCGTTTGTTTCATTCGTAAATAAAAGAAGAGGATGGCAAACAGGAACCACAACAGCGTTCGGAACATGCTATTTATGTAGGAAGAAATACCCGAGGACGCAGAGCTCGACGCAGAGGACATGAGTAGGTACTGTTTCCTCTTTTCGCGAGCGTGCACGTGGTCGCTGAGTACCGTAGCGTGGGCGAAAAATTTGTCCACCTCTTTCTTCGCCCGGGAGACTTTCGCGGAAGCTTCGTCCGCGTGTGAGGAAACGGAAGATAACAACGTTTGCGCTTCCTTCAAATACCGAAACGCAGCTTTTTTCGAGGCGCGAAGTTCAGCCGATAAGCGCTTACCTTCGCCGCTTTTCGCGGCTTCGTAGACGCCGTCCGATTTCGCATCGATGCGTTCGAGCGAAACGACGGCACGATTATACGTCAATAAAACGCGGTCGATTTGCGCGACGACGATGTTTCTGCGCGCGATTTCGCGGTGTATGGAGCCAAATCGAGACCCGGGCGTTGTGAAACTTAACGGGTTATCTCCGACGGACCACGCGTAACCGTTCATAGCTTCGACGACGACGTTTTCTTCAGACCCATTTTGATGACTACTCGTAAACGACGTTGATTCGTGCGGTGCGATGAGTCCGGAAACGAATTGCGCCACCATCGAGGCCACTTCTCTCGCCGGGTCCGCGAAGTCCGCTTCGAGCGTTTTGATTTCGCAAAAGGATCTCGACGCCGAAAAGGGCATTCTCCCGTGCGTCGACGAGAGGAGCTTTTCGTTGATTGGACTCGAGCGAGTGACAAAGATGGCGTCGCGAATCACTTCTACCGGTTTTGCATTCGTGAAAAGTAACGGAGAGTCTCTGTGTTCGCCATCGAAGCGTTGGTCAAAGACGAAAATAGGAATTTCCAAGTGGTCTTCGTTATCTTCTTCTTTGTCCTCTTCGTCTTCGCCAGTGTATTTTTCATCATCCACGAGCAAATGTTGCGCGAGTGCGTCGACGTCCAACCATCGCGCTCGCGCGTGGTCGCTTTGTTTTCCATCGACACCAAACCCAGAAACTTTACCGGTTCTCAAAGCTGATGCGAAAGCTGACGCCATCGCAGGTTCTTCCGACGCGGTGACGATACGCGCCGTCGCGGAAACTTTAGTCGATTTCAACGAACTCGCATCTAACGCGTCCAAGATTTCCAATCGTAACGCATCCGAGTACGCGTACTGGTACTCGCTCTTTTTATCACTAGTAATCTTTTTGTTGTTGTTGTTGTTCTCGTATTCATCTTTCTCACCGAGTTCGAGGACGTACATATACGCGTGAATCGTCTTGTATGGTTTCGCGCGTTTCAAAAACGACCGTCTCGTCGCCGGCGGCACGATGACGGAAGAAGCGTACGCGCCAATCATTGCCGTCGCTTCGGCAAGGAACACGTCGTTCGCAAACTGACCGGGCGTTTGAAAAAACGTCTTGGCATCTTCCGAGCCGTCTCCACTCAATCGCACTGATTCTCCAAACGACGCCACATCAAAATCGGCATCCGCGCCGTGCTCCAACGCAGTTTTCGTCTTCATCGCGTCCTCGCACGCTTTCGCCGCGCCTTCGTTCGCTTCGTGTAAACAGTGCTCGTTGAAAAAACGCTCTAGTAAGTCAATCTCTACCGCGGCTAAATTTTTCGACGTCAACTCGTCGCGGCTTTGGTGTGATTTTTCCAACCGCCTACCTCGCGCCGCGTCCAGTTGTTGCGACAGGCGTTTTCTCTTCACCGCAAACTCTTGACTGGTCATTTTACGTCCACTTCCAAACCGCATCTTCGTGCTCGGGAAATCGTGCGCACCGTGTCCGATTACTTTCTTCGTGTGCGCGCGCTCTAAACTACCCCACGTGAACGGGCCGGCGGATAAATCCAAGAATACTGTTTTCGTCCTCGAGGAGAGGATGGCTTCGGTGAGACATCCTTCGTGGCCTTGTTCGATTTTCGCGATTTGTCTCGCGATTCGTGTGGCAGCGATGATATCGTCGCCGTTGAGTTTTTGCAAAGCAAATTGCTTCAACGAACTATCGTCGACGACTTTTATTATCGACGTTGAACTCTTCTTGTTCTTCTTGTTCTTCGCGCTACCTCCTCCGCGGCCGTTCACCTCCACCGCGAAATCTTGCCTCGCCGCCCAAAGATCGCCAAACGTCCTCAAATCGTGCATCGAAAGTATCTTCTTCATACTTCTCTCGCCTTGATGTTCTCCGTCGTTTCTAACATCCTCCCCTTTCTTCAACCGTAAAAACTCCGCGTCGTCTTCAATCTCGTCCATTTCGTCCAAGACGCCGTGCGCGCCAAATCCATCTCTCGAGAGGAGCGTTTTCAACTGTTCAGTAATCTTTGACGTCTTTTTTTTCCTTGTCTTTTTACCGTATCCGCCACCGCTGCTTCCACCGAGGAACACCCTATCGTCGTGATCGTAAGTCAACTCGCCACTGCGTAACTCTTCTGCCCTCCATTCGATGGCTTTCTTCGCGAAAAGCTCTGCTTTTTTAGAAACCTCTGCATCTTCTCGCAGGACGACGACTTCTTCGTCGGTTAATCCGTACCGAAATCCATACCTGGGCACTTTACTCTCGCCGCCAGCATCACCTTCCACCGTTTTTGCGTTCACGACAACCATAAAATGTTCCTCTTCTAATCCTAAAAACTCCGCTAAATCATCCGCCAATTTCTCAATCGCGTACGCGTCCACGATTCTACTGTCGACGCGGTTCACCTGTCCGTGCAAGCGATGCACGTCTCGCGAGTGCTTCTCGATTGCCTCCTCGAACACCTTCAACACGTTCGACCCGAGTTGAAGCACTCTCGAGTGCACGTTGTACGAAACCTTGCTCCTCTTATCCTCTTCCCCTTCCTCGTCCTCGTCGCCGACGTATTCGTGCCTTAACTTTACGTTCAGACGTTCCAACCACCTCGCCTGTTCCTCCGCGCGGATTGAAACGTCGTATCGCCCGTCGTTTTCAAATCCAACGAACGCGACGTTTAAAGAGACGTCGATTCTGTATTCCTCGATTTTCTGTGCGTTATCTGCCGCGCACTTTGCGAATGTTTTCGATTGAGATGTCGCGCGTTCGCTTTCCGAGGAAGAGGAGGACGAGGCGCACTCTCGCTCGAAATCGCTTCGACTTTTCGTAAACTTTGTGACTCCTTTCTTCTTCCCGTTTACCCACATCAAGTCGCTTAAAATCGAGTCGAGCAGACCACCATCGTTACCGATATCATTATTACCGTTGATTTTTGCGAAAGTATCAAAGTTTTCCTCGTCCACGACTCGGGAGAAGGAAGACGAATCCTTCGCGCGTTGGTGTTTCCCCGCAGAAGCAAACGAACGACACCAAAAGAGGAAGAAGAAGAACACACAGGAAACGAGCGTCATCGTGGGGAACGATGCGCGTTTTTTCCGGTCACACGTGTTCCTCTTCATCGTCCTCGTTGCCTTCCTTTTCCTGCTTTCTCTGATGACTTCGTACACGCACGCAGTCAAAGCGCGTCAAACTCTGACGGGGAAAAAGTTTCTCTCGTCTGTGTGAGTTGAGTTCGTCATTCATTTCCCCGGGGACTTTCGAAAGAACGAAGCACGTTTCACCCGTTCTTTTGGAGAGAAAAGGCGCGAGAAAGAGAGTCTGTGTGCTACTCTTGCTGCTTCTGCTGTTGTTCCTCCTTTTGCGCGCGGATGAGTGATACGCGCGCTCCTCTTTGCGAATACAGATACCAACGGTGAAATGTCACGCGACGGGGAAATGCGAGAGAAAGTGAACAAATTCGAATCCGAACCGGTTTCATACCGCGCGTTGCCCGCGATCGCCTTTACCAACTCTTCTTCTTCTCCAGAGAACAGGAACAACAACCCTCTGTCGAAAGCCTCGCAAATTTTGTTCTACCAATACGTGGAACCGGAATGGTCGAAAGCGAAAATGAAATCGGTTTTAGGATTCATGAGACAAGTAGGGGACGAGTTAGGGGTCACCGGACGAGGGCGGATATCGCAAGAAGGCGCGAATTGCACGTTAACGGCAAAAGATCCTCACTCCGCGCGAGAGTTTTGCAACAGATTGCGAAAATTTGACAAAATATTTGAAGAGACGGATTTTAAGATTACCGATATGGTGGAACATTCGCAACGGTTTAAGCGGTTGACGCTCGTACCGAAGGACGAGCTCGTCGCTTACGGGTTGGAGAAGGAGAAAGCGCCGTCGTTGAAACAGAATAAGAGCAAACACGTGAACGCGATTGAATATCACGAGATGTTGAAGGATAAAGATTCGGTGGTGATTGACGTGAGGAATCATTACGAGGTGGACATTGGGAGGATTGAACCGCCGGAAGGTGGGGCGACATTTTTGAACCCGGAGATGCGAAACAGTCGCGAATTTCCCAAGTGGTTAAATTTGCCCGAGACGAAGAAACAGTTGGAAGGGAAGCGGGTGATGATGTACTGCACCGGGGGCATACGATGCGAACGAGCGTCGGCGTTGATTTCGCAAATGGAACGGGTTGGCGATTTGAAGGAAACGAAAGGGATTGCCATGGTCAGAGGTGGAGTCGACAGGTATTTGAAGACGTTCCCGGAGAGCGGAGGGTTCTGGAAAGGGAAAAACTACTTATTCGATTTGAGAGAGGCGCAGATGGCAGAGAAAGAAGGCGAGTTAGAGATGACGAGTAAGTGTTGCGCGTGCGAACGCGCGTGGTCAAAATACGAGGGGAAGTTTGTCTGCGGAGATCAAAAGTGTAAAGTGCCCGTTTTGGTGTGCGACGGGTGCAGGAACGTAATCGAAGCGAATACGAAGAAGAACAGTTTTGTTAAGAGACAAAAAAAAGGGAGCAACGGCAACACTTGGAACGCGAATAAGACGAAAAGCGACGATAAAAACGACCCGCACGACGTAAAAAACCTGAGATGTCCTCTGTGTAAAGTCGGTAAGGAGTTACGCTCGATCGAACCGGTCGATTCGGCGGCACAAAAGCGCTTGCTCACCTTAGAAGGCGGCAACGCGAAAATCAACGCCAGCAACAAACGCCCGAGGAAAGAATCGAAAACGTTGTTCATCGGCAAACTCCCACTTTCTGTCACCGCCACGGAAATCAAAAGCGCGTTAAAATTAAACGACGACAATAACGCCGAAATCGAATGGATGATGGATTCAAAATCCGGTTTCTTTTACGGCAGCGCCGTCGTAAAACTCGCGAGTAAAGACCGCTGTCGAAGCTTGTTGGAGCAGTACAAAAAAGACCCGCCTCGAATCCAAAACAAGTTCATCGCCGTCGGGTATTTCGACGAAGATTGGAAGAACAAGAACAGGAAGAAGATGAAGGAAAAGGAGAAAAAGAAGGATAACGACGCGAAAGAAGACGGCGGCAAAAAACGACGACTCGCAGAAGAAGAGTACAAGAGACTGTTCCGGAAAGGCGAAAGGCCTCCGGTGACGTGACGACAACAACGACAACATCTTTCCCGCGTTTACGACGATAGAGAGAACTTCACAACGTCACGCGTTTAATGCGCAATAGATATATATAGAGAGAGAGAAAGAGAGAGAGTTCGAAATGCTCTGCTCCGGTAGAAGACAAACGTAAGAATACGAGCGGGCGGCGAAGCGACCGGATGCGGAAAATGGCAGACCTTTCAAAATTCAAAATTCAACCACAAACTCCACATAAATAAGCGCTCAGTAAACACGAATCAACGCGAATCATCATGCTCGAAGAAACCACCAACAACGCGAACATCATCACCACCACCACAACCACCACCACCAACGAGCCAACACTCACGCAATACGAAGCCGAGCGCAACGCGCGGATACAAAAAAACATCGAACGCATGAAATCGTTCGGCATCGACGACGCGAGGAAAAAAGTGATGACGATGGAATCGAAGCACAAAAACAACGCGACGACGTCCTTGTTATCCAAAAAGCGCGTCAAAAAACGCTCTGAAAACGCAACACAGATGGACAGATCGAAACAACCGAGGCGGACGTCCTCGCGCGTGCGCGGAGAGAAAGCGCCGGACGTTTTCGTGCCCGATGAAAGAAATCTTTGGGAACCGACGTATAACGAGGAAATCTACACGCAAAGGCAAGTTTCGAACTTGGGCGATCGAAAATCGGAGTGGCAACTCTTCGTCTCCGGGTACGACCAACAAGGTCGACGGTTGTACGACAACAACAGAGGCGTGTGTTGTCACCAGTGCAGACAGAAAACGCTGGGAACGCACACGACGTGCAGGAAGTGCAACATGATGCGCGGGAAGTTTTGCGGAGACTGTATTTTTATGCGGTACGGTGAAAACGTTCTGGAAATCAACGAAAATCCGGAGTGGGAGTGCCCGGTGTGTCGTGACATCTGCAATTGTTCGTTCTGTCGCACGAAGAAAGGGTGGATGCCGACTGGGAACATGTACCGAGCCGCGATCGCGAGCGGGTACAAATCCGTGGCGCATTATTTAGTCTTGTCGAGACAGGACGACGAGGAAAAGGCCAAACTGTGCGAAGAGGAAGCCGAACGCGTCGCCGAGCGATTGCAGAGAGAAGAAAAGAGACGAATTCAAGAAAACCCAGAGTTATACGCGAAAGAACAAGAGGAGAGGAGGAATAGGCCGCACTGGTTGAAGAATAAAAAGTAGTAAAGCGGGACGGACAGAAGAGCGGAGGATGTCCCGCGGCCGCTTTGTACCATCACTAGAAGATATACCAAATTGGAGAGAGAAAAAACCACACTTTTTATCATCATCATCATCATCATCATGTCTCCTCCTCCTCCTCTTTCGGAGTCTCACACCGCCGAGTCCCTCCGAAACCTTTTCGCCTCTACTTTCTCTTGGTTCCTCCCCGAGAACGTCATCGACGAGGACACGCTCGAGTATCTGTTCACGAGTTTATCCGATGGAAGTTTCGAGGACAAGGAGGAGTTTCTGGATTTCGTGACGCCACTTTTGATGGAATTATTCGAAGGTGACGACGAAGACGAGGCGAGAGCGCAGTGCACGAAAGCGCACGATTTGTTATACGGCAAGTGTGTAGAAGAAGGGAGCGATACTACGAAAGAGGAGGAGACGACCACGAGAGTGATAAACGTGAAATTAGGTGGCACTCCAGGGGAAGAGGAGGAAAGCGAATTCGAGAAAGAGGTTTCGAGGCGATTGCGAGAGAAGGAAAGAGACCGTTTGCCAGATTTTAGCACGAATACGAACCATCGAAATCAAAACGAAGATAAAGCGCATGAGAAAGAGCAACGGAAAATGAGGAAAAAACTGGAAGAGAGCGAGGAGGAGGTGCGGAAGTTGTTGAGAGAACTGGACGTCGCCAGGGAGACGGCGGCGAAGAGACGCATCGAAGGAAGTAGCGGCGGAGGGAACGGGTCGATTGGAACGATTGAAGTTGGGCCCTTAAACGTGCCGAATCCAGGTGGAGGGCAGGATCTCATCAACGATTGCGTTTTGACGTTCGTACCTGGGAGAAGGTACGCGTTGATTGGAAGAAATGGAACCGGCAAGTCTACTTTGCTGAAGTATTTGGCGTCCAGACGGGTGGGCGACAAGGTTGGTTTCTCCGAGGATGTTTTCGTGCATTACGTGAATCAAGAGGTCACGTTGAACGAGGAGCAAGAAGAATGGTTACCAGTGGACGTTGTGTTACACGCGGATGTGCAAAGACGACTTTTGTTGGAGGAGTTGAAAGAGTTGGAATCCAACGCGAGCGGAGAAGGTGACGTGCAAAGGATTTCTGTCGTTCACGAACATTTAGATTCTATAGAGTCCTCGTCCGCGCACGCCAGAGCGTCGCAATTGCTTCGCAGTCTCGGTTTCAGCGAGGAATTAGCCAGTCGTAAAATGAAACAGTTATCTGGTGGGTGGAGAGTTCGGACGAGTTTAGCCGCCGCGTTGTTCGCGACTCCCGATATATTATTCTTGGACGAGCCGACGAATCATTTGTCGATTCAAGCGGTTATGTTTTTAGCAAAAGAGCTGGTGGAGAATCCAGTTTGGAAATCTCGCATTATCGTCTGCGTTTCGCACGACAGACACTTCTTGGACGAAACCACGACGGATTCGTTGCATATTTCTGGCGTCGCCAAACGAGTCACGTCGCATCGAATGAACTATTCCAGTTGGGCCAAAAAGAGGAGAGAACAGCAAATCGCGTTGAAAAAACGCACGGAATTGAGACAGATAAAGATTGACACGCTGAAGGAATTCGCTGGGCACGGGTTCCGCTACGGCGGCTCCTCGTCGCAAATCAATATGATGCAGAAGAAAGCCTCCGAGGCGAAGAAATTAGAGTTGGAAGCCGAGGAAGAACAAAACGAACTCGCGGATTTAGAAGAAGATAGAGAGAATAGTTTAAGTTTATGCGCGGGAGGTGAATTGCAATCACAATCGATCTCCATGCTTGAAAGTTGTTCGTTTCGGTACCCAAACACAGAGAAAGATATATTCACGGATGTCGATTTAAGCGTCGATTCGAAATCGCGCGTCGTTTTGCTCGGCGAGAATGGACAAGGGAAAACGACTTTAGTTAAAGTCATCACAAACGCTTTGAAAAGTACCGGCGGTTCGGTGAAGCGCGACCACGGCGCTCGAATCTCGTTGGTGAATCAACACCACGCCGAGCAGTTGAAATACGACATGACTCCGTTGCAATTCATGCTCGAGAAATACAAAGGCGACGGAAGTTACAAACACGAGCAAGAAATTAGAGGACATTTATCGAGTTGCGGCGTGCCGACTGCGTTACAAAGCATACCATCCGGAAGTCTTTCCGGGGGTCAACGTTCGCGAGTCGCCATGGCTGCGGTGTCCTATTTTAAACCGCATTTGATCGTTTTAGACGAGCCGACGAATAACTTAGATTTAGAATCGTGCGAAGCGCTCGCGAAAGCCATCTCGGATTTCAAAGGAGGCGTGATTTTGGTTTCGCACGACCAGTTTTTCGTCGAACAAGTTGGCAAAGAGTTCATCGCGATTGAAAATGGTCGCGCCGTGCGCTTCGAGAACTTTAAGAAATACAGAGCGAGCATAGCGGCGAAAATGCCAAAATAGAGAAGAAAATAATAGATGTGTACTCTACTACTGTACGTTGCGCAAAGTGTTCAGAAAGCAAAGGAATATTTACTACGATTAGAAAAGAGAAGATTATTATAAATACCAATGAGCTCTCATGCCGAACGCCGTATCGAAATTCCCGCGTTCGTCTCGATTGATGACGATTCCAGGAAACAGACTCATGGACGGTTTTTGAAACCCATCGCCGTATACGCGCGCGAAAAGTTCCACGTGTTCCCCGCCGACGGCGTTGGAGTGGCCGAAAACGCACCCCCACCCGAGATTTTTCGGCGACAAAATGTCTTTCAAAGTAGCCGTGGCTGGTTTCAGTCTCGCGCTCGGTGGTTTCGTGGCGACGACGCCCCACTCGAAGACATCTTCGCCCCCGCCCCCTCCGCCGCCTCGTTTACTTTTCGATTTTGAAAACGATGATTTACCACCGCCGCCGCCTAAAACGTCTTTTTGCACCCACGCGCTGACAACCACGTCTTCTATGGCCGCCGCCACGCTGACGCTGGCAATCTTTTGCCCGTTCGCGTCCACTGATCCTCCTAAAGCGCCGGCGTAATTCACGTTCTTCTTATTCGTATCCTTGTTCTTATTGTCTTTCCTTTTACTCCTCCAACTCCCTTGACCAATCACTCTCGCCGTCGGTTCGTCCACTCGCGTGTTATTCCCGGCGCACATGGCCAAATTCACCGTCGCGTCTGAACTCACTTCGCACCCGACGCTCACCGCTGAATCCCCATCCCCCAACGCTGCATAACTCGCCCCCGTGGACCCAAATCCAGTTAAAGATGCGTTTTCTTGAATCGGAGACAAAGATGCAAACTGATCTCGGCCTTCAAAACCGAGCGGCGTGACTCGTATCGTCACGCCGTCGGGAACGAGCGAAGGTATGGCGTTGGATATTTTGTACGAAAGTTTTCGCAAGGTGACCGCGTGTAACTCTTGCCCGTCTTCCGTGAACTGCAAAGAGAGCAAGAGAGAGAGAAAAGGTGAGTTTAGTACCGCTAAAATCGAGCGTATGAAGAAAAACGTACCAATTTCCCTCCTTCGCAGGCAAACAGAGAGGTTAAAACGTGTCCAATTTTCGGAAAGTGCGTCTCGCAGTTTACTTTCATTTCCGCGCCTTTCCGCACGCGCTGACTCGCGGTGACGTTAAACTGGTTCTCGTCCGCTTGCGGGTGGAGGAAACCGCTCTCCACTTTCGCTTTCACGCGGTGGAATATCGAGTTTGAGGAAGAGGATGAATGTCGTTGCACATTCGTTTCCAATCGGTGCACTTTTTCTCGCAACGATTTGATGTCCGAAAACGCGTCTCGAGTGAGACGTTTCAGGTTGGAAATATCGTCGTCGTCGATTTCCTCTCGATCCTCCTCGTCTTCCTCTTTTCGTTTGTTGAATACCATTCTTCTCGTTCTTCTTCTTCTTTAACTTCTTCTTTATATAAACAGAGTTGTTATGGGGAAAAATGGCGACACTTTTCCAACTGTTTTAATGCGTTGCTTCTCTGCTCCTGCGGCGCATTCTTCGAGCACTGTCGCGCTTTTTAGCCACCAGACAAAGACGACGAGAAAGAGCAGAGCACGAGAGCGCTTTTGCAGTCGCAGTATTCGCGACGAAAACGCAGGAGTCAAACCTAGACGCGATGATGATGATGAGGAGGAGGAGGAGGTTTTTGGCGGCGAGAGAGAGATGCGAACGACGAATACGAATACGAATGCGACTACTACGCATCGTTCGAAGCGAGGACGACGGAAAAAGAGAGATATTTTACTCGCGTGTGGTAGCCTTTTGCTTTTTTCCAACACTTCTTCTTCTCAGAAGGAAGAAGAAGCGTTCGCCGCTGGGATGATGGATTTTACCAAACAAAGCCAATCGACGTTCCAACTCGGACCTTTGCAAGTCACTTTGCAACGCCTGCGAACGCTCCGGAACGACATTTTTACATCTCTCGAAGAAGAAGAAGGAAAAGAGGGAAAGAAGAACGAGGACGATACCGGTGTTGTGGTCGTGAAACCTGGATCGGAAGAAGCGATCGCGAGATTACGAAACGCGACGTTGGATTGCACCTCCGCCAGACCGGCGTTGGAGGCGTACGCCAACGTAAGAGACGTGTGCACGCTGTCCATCGTCTTGAAGAGCGTCTCGAAGAAATTCGCGACCGAGGAGGCACGAGAGAGAGCGAGAGAGAGAAAAGATGAGACGGTTCAGGCGTTCGCGGAGTTAGAGCGAAAGTTACGAGATGTAAACGCGAGTAAGGAAGACATCGACGCGGAATTTGAAAACAGTAGGGCGAGCGTGAAACGGTTCGCCGAGAGCGTCCTCGAAGCGTTCGATTTTAGCGACGAAGAAGAGAAAGTGAAAAGAGAGGCTTTTCCCGACCTCTTCTCCTGAATGTAATCTCACTGCGAATACCGTAAAACGACTTCGTGAACGCAAATTGGTAGTGTTGAATACTAAGACTGCTTCTTCGCGGCGCGAGCGATGCGACTCGTACGAAAGCACCGTCAACTGTCACGTCATCACGTTCGTATCTAAATCTCGTCACAAACAGAGCGCACACCTTTCAACGCCGACCTCTGTGCGCTTCGCTCGTTTCGGTGCATCGATCGCGGGTATAAAAAATGTCCGCGAATCAACTCATCGACCCGAGAAACCCTCGATTTACGATCGTTCGCGAGTACGAAGCGTGGTGTCGATTGGATAATCCATACTTGGAACAGAACCCAAACGTCCCCAAAACGCCGTACCTTCTCGTGGCGGGAATGGCACCGTCCGCGCGTGCCAAGTGCGGGAAATGTTCGGATAAGATAGAAAAAGGTACGGTTCGAGTTGGGATGCCGTATCAATGGCGAGGGGCGTTTTTTAGCTACGTGACCGGGTGGTATCACGCGGATTGCGTTCGGTTTGAAGGGGTGACCCAAGAGGAGGTGCGAGCGAGGACGTATTGGAAAGGGGAGAAGGAACATTTGGCGCAGGTGATGAAAGGAAAGAATACGCACGTGGAGAAGCTGGGGAAAACGCAAAGAGTGAAAATGAATGTCGAATTTATCAAAGACGAAACGGTGCGAGACGAATTGATGAGGACTTTGACGTCGGCGAGTAAGCCGAAGTGCGAGGAGGACGAGGTGGATCCGAACGAAGGGACGTTTTTGAAAAGAGGAGAGATTCAACCGGCGGAGCCGCCAAGAGGATTGGTGAGGAGTTTGTTGCCGTTTCAGAAAGAAGGGTTGGCGTGGATGATGGAGAACGAGAAGACGCAGGTGAAAGGCGGGATATTAGCGGACGAGATGGGGATGGGGAAGACCATTCAGGCGGTGTCGTTGGTGTTGAAGAGTAAGGAGGCGAGATTGGATCGAATGCGAGAGTCTGGGGTGATGGAGACGGATGGCGACGAGAAAGGGGCAGAAGTAGACTTAAATGTAGAAGACGAACCCAAGGCGAAGAATAGCAAACGCAGTAAGAAGGGTAGCCCGAAGAGCGGCGGAGAAGAACACGTATCGAGCGCGACAAAAATGTCGGCAACCAACGCGCATGATGCTTCTTCTTCTTCTTCAAAGAACAAGAACACCACGTTAATCGTCGTCCCCACGTCTGCGTTGGTTCAATGGGAAGACGAAATAAAGTTGTGCACGAAAGAGAACGCGTTGAAAGTGTTCGTGTATTATAACGACCGCAAACGGAAGACGATCGTCGAGGAGATGCGCGCGGCGGATGTCGTGCTCACGACGTTTCCGGTTTTAGAAGCCGAGTACCGCAAATGCGAGATGCAGAGTAAAGTGCCGTGTGCGCATTGTTTTAAACTGTTTCTTCCTCGCTCGTTAGCGGTGCACAACAAGTACTTTTGCGGCCCAGACGCGAAGAGAACTCAGAAACTCGAAAAAACTGAGAAGACGAGAGAAGTCGCGAATACGAAAGCGTTGGCGACGTTGAACGTCATCTCGAAAGACAAGTTGAAGGAAACGTTGGAAAACTTGAACAGCGGTAGTGGTAGAGAAGAAAAGAAGAAAAGTGGTGGTAAATCGTTAATGGCTATCGCGCGTGGCTACATGCAGCAAGGCGGTCGTGACATGTCCATGTACGACGGAGCGCATAAAGCGCGAGCGGCTGCGGCCGAAGGTCTCGTCCTCGGCTCTAACGAGGACGAGGAAGCAATCACGGAGGAAGAATTGAAAGCGATTCAACCGAAAGTCACGAAAATCGTCGAGATGGGCTTTGGTTTTCCCCGAAACATGATTGAAAAAGCAATCGTGGATAGCGGCGGAGACGTCGACGTCGCCGTGAACGCGTTGATGGATTCGCCGAAACCAAAGACGACGATGAAATCGAAAGGATATAAAATGGAGGTCATGGACGATAAAGAGACGGAAGTGATTTGTTTGGACTGCGATAGCGACGAGGAAGAAGAGGACGCGACTGTGGTTGCTCCGACGACGAGAAGTACGAGAAGTACGTCGAAGAATCCGCCCGCGGCGAAAGAGAAGAAGAAGAAGAAGGCCACCTCCGCCGCCGCCAAGAAAACGAAGAAGAAGAGCAAAAGCGCGAAGAAAAAGAAAAAGAAAGGCAGCGACGACGACGACGATTCGGATTTTAAAATGGAACCTGAAGAAGAAGAAGAAGAAGAAGAAGAAGAAGAAGATGATGATGATGGAACAGGAACAGAAGAAGAGATCGTAATTACCAAAGTCACTCCTCCGAAAATCAAACGAGATCGTGAAAACGACACGAACAGCGAGGACAACAGCTTACTTTTCGGCAACACGGACGACCGTGACATCAAGGAGTTATTGCTTCAAACCTCATCTTTGCATCAAATTCACTGGGAAAGAATCATTCTCGACGAGGCGCATAAAATCAAAGCGAGGACCACGTCAACCGCGAAAGCCGTGTACGCTTTGGATAGCGACTACAAATGGTGTCTCACCGGCACGCCGTTACAAAACAGAGTCGGCGATTTATACTCGCTCGTCCGTTTCTTACAAATGGAACCGTACTCGTTTTACTTTTGCACCGCAAAAGTCGGCACTAAAGACGGCTCGAAAGAAGGCCTTTGTGGTTGCAAAAGCGCCTGTTGGGACATGGGACCGAACAACGCTTTTTGCGTTCAGTGCGGTCACGCTCCTTTGAAACATTTTTCAAAGTTTAACAAGGACGTCATCAACCCGATTCAACGCTACGGTGGTGTTGGCGCAGGTAAGAGAGCGTACATGACGCTTCGTAACGACATTTTACTGCCGGCAATGTTGAGACGAACGAAGAAAGAACGGGCCGCCGACGTCGTGTTGCCGCCGTTGACGGAAAACGTCCTGGAACCCGAGTTTGACCAAACCGAGCGAGATTTTTACGAAGCGTTGTACGCGAACGTTACCGCGAGATTCGACGGGTTTGTCAAGAAAGGCACGGTGTTAAATAACTACGCGCACGTGTTCGAGTTGCTTTCCAGGTTGCGACAAGCGTGCGATCACCCGTATTTGGTTTTGCATTCTCGCAATCCAAAGTTACGCAACCAACAGGCGGAGATGAAATTTGAGAAGAAAGAGGAGGACGACGAGGAAGAGGAGGAAGAGGAAGAAGAATACACGAAGTCGAAGAAGAAAACGAAGAAGAAGCAAGAGTACGAAGTCCGAGAAAACGTTCCGTCTGACGCGAAAGAAACCATGCATTACTGCGGCATGCCCGATTGCGGCGAGAAAGTCGAACCGGAAGACGCGGCGACGTCCAAGTGTAAACACATCTTCCACCGCGAGTGCATTCAACCGTACTTGGAGATTGATTTTGGCGCAGATGGCATTAAATGTCCAAAATGTCGAACCAATTTGACCATCGACTTGTTTCCAGACGCCGAAGCGATCGATAAGATCAAAGCGCCAAAAGACGAAAGAGGCGGCGGGGTCAAGAAGAAAGGCAAAGGCGAACTCGACGCCGATGACGTCGTGCCGAACAAATCAATCTTGAATCAAATCGATTTGAGCGAATATCGAACATCTTCGAAGATTGAGAAAATGATGGAAAAGCTCCGTGAGATCCGAAGCGGTCGCGATGGTAAAAAGAACAAAGCCATCATCTTCTCGCAGTACACGAGCATGATTGACATCGTCGAGTGGCGCATGAGGAAGGAAAATTTCGTCATTCGCAAACTGGTCGGATCGATGCCTGTCACGGCGAGAGCACAAAATTTGCACGAGTTTTGCACGGACCCAGACGTGGACGCGATTATCATGTCTTTGAAATCAGGAGGGGAAGGTTTAAACTTGCAGGCGGCGAATTACGTTTTCGTCTTGGAGCCGTGGTGGAATCCCGCGGTGGAGATGCAAGCGGTGATGCGCGCGCACAGAATCGGGCAGACGAGAGAGGTGACCGCGTTTCGATTCGCGTGTAAAGACACGATCGAATCGAAAATGCACGAATTGCAAAAGCTAAAGCGGTTAGTTTTTGAAGGGACGATGGATGGAAACGAGGCGAGCATGGCGAAGTTGTCGCCGGAGGATTTACAATTTTTGTTCAAACGCTAATAATCATCAAGCGTTGTCTCGTCTTCACAAAGAAGAGGGGGTAAATGCTGAGAGAGAGAGAGAGAGAGATACCATAGTACCAGGTGGTACTTGTAAAGATACATCACTATTGCGCAATTAATATACTACATTCTATTCTACATTCTACCAGTCTTTAAAGATCTCCCTCGCTGCGAGTAACTTTGGATCGTTCTCGCCTTTTTCGTCGTCGCGCATTTCTTGCTCCAACACCATCTTTTCAATTTCCGCCAATCGCGCCGTGTGCGACGACAGTATAGCTTTCGACGGCTCTGGCAACTGTGGCGGTGGATAAGCTCCACTCTCCAACGCCTTCCAGTCGAAGTTTTCAAACCACGGGTGATTTTTAATCGCTTGCGCGCCACCTTTCAAGTTACCTAATCGTTTCGCCACGCGTCGTTGTAACAAACCCGCGATTAAATCACAACCTTCCTCGGAGGTGTAAATCGGGTAAGTCACTTGGAAACTCGCGTCGGCGATGCGTTGCATAACTTGCAACGGATTATTTTGTGGCGGTTGATTATCGCCTCCTTTTTCTCCTTGGCCTCTTTGACCGAACGGTTGTAACCCGGAAATGATGACGTAAATCAACACGCCGAGGGCCCACCAATCGACGCCGTAGGAATACCCTCGCGCTAAGACCATCTCTGGCGCGACATATCCAGGCGTCCCGCAAAACGTGAACGTTTGATGACCACTTTCGCCAATATTCTTCGCAAAGCCGAAATCGCCTAGTTTAGCTCGTCCTGATTTATCCAAAAAGACGTTTTCTGGTTTCAAATCTCTGTAGATGATGCCCAATTCGTGTAAATACTCAAACGCACACACGATGAGAGCGGCGTAATACCGAGCGGCGTCTTCGTCAAATCCAACCAAAACTTTCCTTAAAGGCGCGTCTGGTTTGGTAGTGTGAGCCATTTTCCGAACCGTCGCGACCGAGACGAGCGCGTCCATCAAATCAAACCCGTTCATCAAATCAATGAGGAAATATAAGTGTCGATCGGATTGAAAGGCGCCGTGTAAGGAAATAATCGAAGGATGGTTCAATTCCGCGACTATTTTACGCTCGGACAAGACGTGCTCTGGAGAGGATTTCACCGCAACTTTCCGAACGCGTTTGATCGCGTATTTTTGTTGCGTGTCGTAGTGGTTGCACTCATTGACGCATCCGACCGCACCGCCACCGATTAAAGTACCCTCGGAGACTGTGAAAATGAACGGCTGCAAAGACGCGTTGAACGAACCAGAGGTGATGCTTTGGACGAAGGATTCGTTGAAGGCACCGATGGCGTCAACGTCCCGGTAAATAGACGACTCATCGGCTGGATTGTGTGCGTCGTAATACAAATTTCGCGATCCCATGCCAACGCGGCGTATGCGTAGGATACCTTGGAATGTCTTCACTAGTGACTTTTTCTGGGAATCTTGCGCGCTGGCGTCGCCTTCATCGATTTCACCCACGGCGGCGGTTGCGCTACTCCTTTCAGCATCATCGTCGCCACTTTCTAGCGTTTCCAGTTTCCCACTATCAGGAGAGGTATCGTACGAGTGAAAGCTCTTTCTCTTCTTCTCTTCGCTCTGGGGACTCGATATCTTTACCTTCTTCGAGTTACGCTTTTGCGTCACGCTATTTCGTCTCGATAACAAATCTTGCAACGTACCCATCATCGCGACGAAATCGACGCGCTTCAACTTTAAGCACCGAAGCGGTGCGTTTGGCCCTACTTTTACCGTCGCGTCTCTTGGTTTTTCGAACAGGAGCGCCTTCTCGCCGAAAAAATTCGATCGAAACAAATGATTGACTAAAATGCCAAGCCTAGCATCGTCGTCTTCGTCGCTGTCGCCAACGACAGGCGTGTCGTCGTCGTTGACGTACACCAAAGCTTCTCCAGAGACGATGATGTAAAATCCACTGTCGTCGCCTGCGTTTTCACCTTGTTGTAATATAACTTCGTCCGGTTCAAATTCAACTTCTTCCATCGCGTCTGCGACTCGCAGTCGTTCGGCAACGCTCAACGGCGCAAACACCGGAACGAGACTCATGAACACCGCAATCGATTCTCTAAAATCTTCAGCCGCCCTTTTCGCAACCGCTCGAAACGCGCGACGTGGGAGCACCCACGTTGACCAAGCGTTCGTTTCGGACCTCTCTGATGATCGCACGGTGGCACTTCTTGGCGCACCGTACATCAACGCCAACTCGCCGAAAATTTCGCCCGGTTTCTTCACGTTGACTTTCACTTCCACGACTTCTTGCGCAGTTACCGTCGTGGTCGAAGTTGTTGAAGCGGCGTCTTTACTAGTATCTATCTTTTCGCTGATGCTCGTTTCGCTACTCACGGCTACTAAGTTGTTCTTAATTTGTCCGGAAGATGTCGCCACATGGTTCGATTCTCGTTCTAACGATAGGCGCTTCTTTACCTCCGCTTCGTCTTCCTCGTCTTCTTGCGCCTCGTCTCTGGCGTCGTCCGATTTCGTACTATTTCGCGATCGTCTTCCTAAACGAGACTTTGCTAACGGCGCTTTCGCTGCTGGTGGAGACGATGATTCCGGGTCGTCGGTGTTCTTATTGTTGACCAAGGTTGTCGTCGTCGTTTTCGTGACTCTTTCGTAAACGTCAAATTCACCTTCGGCGACCAAGAACAACGCATTACCTTTCTCTCCTTGCGTGACCACGGCATAATTTTCCTCGAAGGTTTCTTTCCACATCACCGAGATTAACTCTCGCAACGTGTCTTCTTTCGCGTCTGCAAATAATACCGATTTTCGCAACGATTTCAAAAGAAACGCGACGTCATCCTCGGAATGCTCGAATTTCAGGTCGTTGAACGACACCGACGATCGGTTAATCATAGACGTCGTGTGCGAGTAGTAGCTGCGAAATTGTTGCTTTTCCGCGCTCGTCGGGGTCGTCGGTGGTTTGCCAGATCCAGGACTATCAAACGACGATTTCCTCCTATGTATTTCATGTTTCGTCTCGTTGCTGCTATTGGTCATAATCGACGGCATCTTCACCGAACTTTTCCTCTCCAGCATCTCTCTCAACTGTTTCTTGAAAGTCACCGAGTTTACGCGTTTATCCACGGTCAAAGCCGCGTCTGGCGTTTTCGATCCAGGCGTCGTAGGATTACTACTTTCCTCGTTCTTATTATCTGTTGTATAATTTGAATTTTGTAACCCAGCCGCCTTGTCATCCGAAGGCGTAACAATCGTCGTCGTCTGAATCGTCGTCTGAATCGTACTCGCGTTATTAAATCTCTCAACCAGCGACCCAGATCTCGACGCTATCCTTCTCTCCTCCTCGATATTCTCCTCCTCGTTCTCCTCCTCGTCGTCGTTATCGTCGTATCTGGTAATTAATTCATCCTCTCTCGTTCTCCTCGCCCTCGCAGGTTGCGTGCTCTCCAACAAGCGCATCGTCGACGCTTCGTCTTCATCCGCGGCTCCATCTTCGTCCTCCTCTTCCGTCCCGGCGGCTTCCGAGCTTACGCTCGCGCCCGCGTGTTGCAAACCTTTAAAGTTTTTCAGCTTCGGTTGTTTCGCGTGTTTCTTCAACCCGCTGCTCGTTATTAAAGTCGTCGTCGCGTTCGTCGATGAATGCGTCGTGTTTTTGACGTTATCCTTCTCCTTCGCATTTTCGTCCTCCTCCTCGTGGTGGTCTTCTCTTTTGAACGTGAAGCTCAGTTTGCTCGTTTCCACCTCTGCTTTCATCTTCGTCTTCGTCTTCTTCTTACTGCTGCTGCTACTCTCGCTCCTTTCCACGTCGTCGTTCTTTACGTGCACACATTCCTCCTCTTCCTCTCCCCCTTTACGAACGGACCCACTTTTGGGTGAGCTGCGCGGTGACCGAGGTGGTTTCAAGGGCGACCGTTTCACCTTCGTCGTCGTCTTCGACGTTGTTGGTGTCGAATTGGAATCGGACGAATGAATTCCATTCACATTTTGTTCCGCTCGTTCTCCCTCTTCTTTCTTCAAAACCGACGATCCTCCCGACGTCGTCGATATCAGAGTCGTTTTGGAGCTCGCGCACCCCATGCTCTTCCCTCTCTCTCTCTCTTTCTCTCTCTCTCTCTGACCTCTCAGCACGAGATATATTCTCTTAAATCTCTCTAGAATTATATTCTCGTTACGAATTTTTTTATGCCGCTTCGAGAGACAAAAGACTCCGCAGAGTACTACGAAGCGGTTCTGTCTCTGAAAAGCACAGGCCTTACTTACCGCACGAAACAATTGAGTAGTCTTTGCTCTGTGTGCGAGAGAGACTTGTTTGTCGAAAACGCACTCGAGAAAAAGTCGCGCTCTTCGCACTCGAGAGCTCTTTCATATTCTTCTCGATTTCCTCCTCCTCCTCCTCTGCGATTCTTTCAGAATCACAACGAGAGATGATACCTCTGCGCGTTGTGGTTTTTCGCGGGTGTATATTATTAACATGCGTTTGCATGTGTTTTGCGTTTGACTTTTTTCTGGTCTTCTTTTGAAACCGTTTTTTTCTTTTTTCCTCGTCGTCACAAAAAAAGCGATTATTCATTCGCGCGCGCGAGAGACGCTTTTTATTCTGAATCAGAAGACGCGAAGAAGGTAAAGAAGAAGAAGAAGCGCATCAAAAATGATGTTCTCCTCTTCGCGCGGCGCGACTTTAACGATCGATCCTTCTTCGATGACCGCTGCTTTTCTGCGAAGACGACGTTTGTCTTCTTTATTCGCTTCTTCTTCTTCTTCTTCGTCTTCTTCCGCGAGACGATTTTCTCGCCTGGCGGCGATTTCCGATAACCCAAAGAAGAAGAAGAAGAATTCTTCTTTCCCTGTAGAAGAAGACGACGGTTCTCCTCCTCCTCCTCCGTATGTATTCGACGACGAAGACGAAGACGCAGAGGAACGCGACGACGACGAGTACGACGAAAAGGACGACGACGTGATGGAGAAACTGATGATGAAAAGACGAACGTACAGCAGACGGAGAAAAGAGACCAACATCGTACGCGGGAACAAGAAGACGATTCAATCGCCTCTTACACCTACCACTACTCCGAATAAAGTGGTACAAAAGTACAAGAAGAAAGACGTGCTTTTCCAACAGGCGGTGGAGAAGGACATCGAGGAGGCGATTTTTGTGCACGACGAAGAACAGAAGGAGGAAGAAGAGAAGGAGAGATGGAGCGCGAAATCAGAGAACGAATTGGTGGAGGAGTTTTCGAGGTTGTTGCGGGTATCGGAAGGGACCATGAACGCGCCTTTGCAAGCGTTTCGGTTCGCGCGGCGGTACTTTCTCGAACGAGAGGATGATGATAGTGAGTTTAGCAGGGGGGAGTCGTACTCGCAGTCTCGGTTTTTTAAGAAGATGAACGTGGCGCAACACCACGGGCCGTTTTTTGACCAGTGCGCGAAAGCGAACGCGTTTGAGTTGATGATGGAGTATTACGGTTTGTTTGATCCGAGGGACGATAAGATGGACGGCGGACGGTTGGCGAATGCGTTTATATCGAGAATGTCGAGGGAGATGAGAGACGGGGAGAATAACGACGAAGGATTCGATTTGAACGCGTCGACGACAAAAAGCGCGAAAAAGAACCGCAACCAAAGCAACAACATTAAAAACAACAACGCGTTTTACTTTGAATTCGTGAGACAAGCGTTTGAAATGTCGCTGACGAAGAATGAATACACGGTTTCGGCGTTTTTAAAAGCGTGCGGGAAAGCGAATCGACTGAACGATGCGAAGAAAGCTTTCGAGAATATGAAGAAAAATGGTACGCCCAAAGCGATCGTGTATCGTTCCTACATCGATTGTTGCGCGAGCTGCGCGGATTGCGAGGAGGCTTTAGAGACGTTTCGTCAGTTCAAAGTGGACGTACTAGGTAAAGATAAACGAATTCGAGACGATACGGACGCGGTGCGAGCGTTCAATGGCGTCATCGCGGCGGCAAAGAATGCGAGGAACGTCAACGTTGCGAAAAGTATTTTCCAAGAACTCACCGAGGACTTTGCGTACTTAGCGCCGACGGAGATTACGTACGGTGCGGCTATCACGGCGGCGGCAAACGCGTCTCCGATACCGGATTTAGAATTTGCTTTGGAATTATTCAATCGATCGAGAGAGGATCCGAGCGTTCAAGGCGACATGAACAAATACATCGTTTCCGCAACCTTGTCGTGTTTACAAAGATCGTTGGCGGTCGGGGCTTTTACCGAATCGAACGCTAAAGCTGTCGCGTTGGCGAAGAACATCACTAGACCGCTTTTGCAAAGGTACGAGGAAGAATCGAAGAGACTTCGCGAAACGAACAAACTCAACAACGGTAAAGATGATTATTTTAACGTCTCGTCGCAAGTCTTTAGCGCTTTAGTGTCTGTGTATGCGCGCGCAAACGACGTCGAATCCGCGATGGATATCATCGAACAAATGCAAAAACTCGGGTTTGCCGTGAATCGACACATCCTGACGTCTGCGTTGACGGCGTGTCGACCGAGGGCAGACGATGCGAACGGCCAAGCGATGGCTACGAAAGGCGTGGAATTATTCGAGCAATCGAACAAATCTGTGTGCGAAACGTCCTCCGTCGCGAGTGCGGCTATGTTTCTGTACTTTCATCTCGGCGATGCAAAGAAAGCGACGGATTTATACGACACGGTGAAGCTCAGAACGAATGAAAACAGCACGCTGGATAACCAAATTCTTTTCAACACGATGTTGTTACACTGCGCAAAGAAGACGAAATCGCACACGTCGAGTAACAACGCCGAAAATGCGATTTCAATCTTTCGCGATATGCGACGAGCAAACGTGCCCGCAACGGAACGCACGTATTCTCTAATGCTTACTGCTTTAGGAACGCACGGGAATCGGTTTACAGACGTCGAGAAAGTGTACAAGTTAGCCAATCGCGATCCGAACGTTCTCGTGAACGATTTCATGCGCACGGCGTGGATGGATGCAAACGTGAAAGCACACCGAGTCGAAGAAGCTTTAGATGTGTACGATTCTATTATCGAGTCGTACTCTAACATCGAAGAGATTGGGGAAGATACAAGCAGCAACGCGTCGCCGTCTATTGTTACGTTCGGAAGTGCCTTGTTCGGGTGCTTGACCATGAGCGTCGAGCGCGAAAACGTTGACGTTGCGGCGGAGAAGGCGTATAAAATTTTCGCGGATATGGCCAAATTCAACGTCGTACCGAACGATTGGTGTAGCAATCTCTTCGTGAAAGTCATCTCTCGAGCCGGACGCGTCGAAGATACCATATCGGAACTTAAATCTATAATCAAGTGCGGTGGTTCCATTCAAGACGACACGCTCGAAGGCGTCGTGCGCGCTTTGTGCCGAGCCGGATACCCCGAACGAGCTTTACGCGTATACAAATGGCTTCGCTCGAGACAATCGGACAACGAGAACAAAAGCATGAAAGCGACGATAAAAACAAGTACTTCCGTTGCACCGAAACAAGTCGCGTACTATCACTTAACCCGCGGAACATTTCAAGATTTGGTACAATCGTGCGCCGACAACGGCTTTCTCGCTGACGCTTGGAATCTCGTCGAGAGACGCAAGAAGTACCATTCTGGCGGAAAGATGACGGTTGCTGAAGAACTCGGTCCGTTAGCCATGGGGTCTCTCTTCAAAGCCGTCGCACGAAACGCGGAAGTTGTCGAACAAGAGGTTGACTTCATGAGCAAGACGAAGACCATGGCGAAACTTGCGATTGAATCCGAAACCTCTCTGTTTGGCGCGGACGTTTTGTGCGCGCTCGTGGAAGCATTCGCGCGATCCGGCGATCTCGCGTCCGCCATGGAGTTTTGGGAATACTACGAGAAACAAAACAGCGAAGCAGATGACTTACCGAGAAAGATGAAAAAAATCAACCCGTATCAAAAAGATACCCCACGATCGAAAATGTACGGCGCGCTCATCGACGAATGTTGTCGACTCAACGAAGTCTCCTCCGCCTTGAGCGTATTCGATAAAGCGAAAGATGCCGAGGTCGGTTTGAACACCGTCACCTTGGCGTTCTTGGAATCGTGCTGTCGACGATCGAGAGTGGACGAATGGCGCGTGTTTGACGTGTGCGCGCAGATGCGCATACAGTCGGAGCAGAGAAAGTCCATGAAGAATCCGCAAGCGCAGCGTCCTTTGTTCTCGCACCACGTCACCGGAGATTTGGAATACGAAACCTCGAACGGCAAAGAATCTACAGTCGACGCGACGATAACGGCAGCGATGACTCCGGCAGTGCCGCCAAAACAATACTCGGACGCGATTGAAAGCGCCTTGGAAAACCGGAGCGCTGCGCCGAAAAGCGGGAACAAGAAGAAGAACGGCAGCCGAGAGAGGAACAAATATAAATCAGCCGAAGAAATGCACTTCTTCGACGACGAAATGTACTGATAAAAATCCTATATACTACATACCAACTTTAGACTGAGCTTTATTTACAAAATTTGCGCGCACCGCGAGCGGCTCAGCTTTGCTAATATTATATACATCGTGTTGTTGTAAGAATAATCCGTTACAATTGTTGTACACATAAAAAATGCATCCTCAAAGCGAGGTGTCATCTCGTCACTTCTTCTTCGAGGCATTTTTTTCACCGCTGTCGAAAGCCTCGTGCGTCGCGTCGTACTTTGCCAGAATGTACTTTAAAAACGTCGTTTTCTCGTACTTTGGCTCCTCTCCTTCTAACACTATCGGTTCGATCTCGCACTCGTAACTTGGCTCGTAAAAAAATGCCGCCGAATATCTCTCTTTCGTTCCGTCCGTTACGACTCGATGGACGGTGGATTTGAATCGATCGTTCGTCCAAAATTGCATCAAATCGCCAATGTTACATATGAAATCATCCGGCCGCTCGCTTTCCTTCCCCTCCTCCTCCGCGCCGCCCAAATTGACTTGCATCCAACTCTCGCTCTTCTCGTCGAAAATCTCCAACCCTTCCGAGCCTGGTTGCACCCACAACATGGTGAGCACGCCGTAATCGCTGTGCGCTCCGCACGCGAACTGTTTCCCTTCGCTCTTCACTTTCCCGTACTTCAACGGTCTCAAAAGCGCGTTGTGCGGCTTGAACTTGTCCTCAAAAAAACCCGGTAACCCTAACGCCTCCGCAAACGTCGGGACGAATCCGTCGCAGAATTGCACCATCTCTTCGTAATATTGTTCCATGGCCAGGCGGAACCGGATGCCGATTTTTCTCGCCTCGGACTCTTCTTCGTCTTCGTCTTTCGCCTCCTCCTCTTCAGGTGGCCACCAAACATTCTTCCCGCGCAAAGGCAAGTCCATCTCCCAGTCTTCGCACTCGCGACCGATGTAAAACCCTTCTTTACTGTCCCCGTTCGCGTTCAAATCGAGTTTCTCTTCCATTATCGGCGAATACCCGCGGTTGTTCGCGTTTTGTTTCGCACGCATTTTGAACTTTACCGGCAGCGCGTAGAACAGTTTCGACGCTTCGTGCATCTCGCGCACCGTGGATTGCTTCACCGAATGGTTTCGTAATATAAAAAAACCGTTCGTTTCGCACGCCAAACGCACTCGAGCGGTGATCTCGGACGAAGTTAACGCGTTCACGTCGATTATTGGAAGCTTCATCGCGTGTCTTTCCGCGCGCGTGTAATGAGGGGACTTTGTTCAGGGAAAAGTGGCTTCACTTTTCAATCGCTTTACTCTCTCTTAAAGACACCGGCGCGCGCAGCGTACGAAAGGATACATGCTCCGAGCGTCCTCGAGCAGCGCGGCGTTTACTACTTCTTCTGCTTCGCAATCATCTTTAAATCACAGTCCTCATCCTCATCGCGTGCCAGAGTCGCCGTCGAAACGTAAACAGAATCGAACGATGATGAGTAAAAGCACCGGAGGAGGATCGTTCGCGGCGTCGACGTCTCCGTCGTCGTTTTGTCTGAAGACGCTCCTGCCGTTGCTCGCGCTCGCGTACTTACTCCTCCTCGCGGAGGAGTTTCCTACGTTTAACAACGCGAATTCGGTTGCGCGCGCGACGAATACTGGAGGATACAGCGACGAGAGAAACATCTTGTGCGACGTCGGGGTTCCGGAGTTTCTCGTCTTCGTCGACGCCGGGTCGACGGGATGTCGCGCGCACACGTTTCGCGTCAACTACTCCGCGGATGATGAAGACGAAGGAGAAGAAGGAATGAGTTCGTCGGGAAGCGACGATAAAACGAGGTTGTTCTCGCTGACGACTGTAGGGAAGAAAGTGAAAAGTTTGCACCCGTTGGCGTCTCTGCGCGGGAAGAGCGAAAAGGACATCGAAACCGCACTTCTGCCGATGTTGGAAGGCGCGATGCGGAAAATCGAAGCCATTGAAGAGGAAGAGAAGACGAACGGGAAGAGGAAAAGGAGGAGGAGGAGGTCACCAATAACGACGAGTTTTGGGAAAGGAGAGCAGAGTGAAGGGAAAAGCCGAGTGCCTTTGTACGTCTGGGCGACGGCCGGGATGCGGATTTTGACGGAGAAGGAGCAGAAAGAGTTGTGGCGTTCCGTCGCTTCGGTCGCGCGAAAAGCGACGCCGAGATTCGCCATCGGGCGGGAAGAGGAGCATTTTAAAACTATCGATGGGGAAGACGAAGGTTTTTACGCGTGGTTAGCGGCGAATTATTTAGTTGGGGTAGACGTGACGAGTATCGGAGCGGACGTCGATGGTTTCGGAGGGTTGACGGAGGAGGAGAGGAATCGATTGTTTAGAGAGATGAACAACGCGAGGAAGCCGTTGGAGGAATCGGTCGGGGCGATTGACGTCGGTGGCGGGTCCGCGCAAGTTGTCACGCTAAGTGCGAGTGGGTTTATGAGAAAGACGAAGAAGATTACGAGCATGGAGCAGTTGAGGAAAGCGGTGCGCGTGAAATCGTATTTAGGCTACGGGGCGAATCACATGGAAAAGAGATGGCGGGAAGCGTTGGCAGAGAGAGGCGAGAAGAGAGATCCGTGCGGGTTTATCGGGTACGAGGCGAAAACGTCCTCGAATGCAATTTTGATCGGGTCCGGGGAGTATGAAAAGTGCGCGTTAGGCCTGAAGAAACAGATCCAAAAGATGCTGGCAGAAGATGGGAACGGCGACATGAGATTGCCGAAAGCCTCGTTGAGCGAAGACGTCGGCCAGACGAAAAAATTTTTGGGCATGAGTTTACTCTATCACGTGACGCACTTCATCTCTGTCGTGATGCCGTCGTCGTTGGTGACGTTCCCGAAACCGACGCTATTGGAAATAGCGGACGCGGGGAAATCGTTGTGCGCGACGACTTGGAGCGTTGTCTCGTCTGATTTCGACGGGAAGGATCCGAACACGCCGTCGGATAGGTTGAACGGAAGATGTTTCGACGTCGCGCTTTTAGACGCGTTGTTGAGCATAGACGAGAATTCCAACACGGTTGGTTTTGGGTTTCCGAAATACAGCGCGGGAGTGAGTAGCGACGATTCCAGCAACGGTTTGCGAATGATTGAATACGCCGAAGATGTCAACGGATCCGAGGTGGAGTGGACGTTAGGTGCGGCGATTAGCGAGATCCATCCTGCAGCTAAAGCGCAAGCGAGCGGACCTGGCGGCGACGCGGCTGAGTTTGAGCAAACGTGCGACATTCGCTCGTCGTTTGCGACTGTTACGGGCGTGTTTAAGAAAATGCTCGCGATTGTTTTCGTGGCGATTGGTTTGTTTTCGTTGTACTCGGCGAGAGCGGTGAGCAACCTATCGTCGTCCGGGAACAGTTTTTCCTCGTCCGCGAGTTTATCGTCGCAAGTATGATTTTAATACTTATTATTAGATGTTTTAAAGCGGTGCAAGAGTGTACAATTAAACTATTCTATCTAGACTTCTAAAACTCCGTGGTGTGGTACCACCTAAAGTTAATACTATTTATACATTTGATATCATTCATCCAAAGCGACGCACCTCGTCATTTCGAAAATGACAAAATCGTCCGAATCCTCGCGCACGTGTTCCGGCCACAAAGGATCAGTGTTCGTTACCTTTTTTATGCGAAACGTATCCTCGCACAAACTCTCGAACAAATCCACCGCGCTCGGGTTGTGCTCTCTGCAAAACGCCATCACGCACGCGCGACTTCCGCACAATTTCACCGTATCTGCTAAATTTTTGATGACTTCCTCGTTCGACGTGTAGCACAAATCCGCGCCAATGACCAGATCTATTCGCGAAGGCGACAGAAGCGTCTTCACGCTCTCAACATCCTCCTTTCTTCTCGTTTCGCCCCACTCCAAACGCTGCACGGAAACGAACTCCGAAGCGCCACTCTCGCGCACGTTATGCCTCAAAAGATGTAAAACGACATCTAAATCTGTCACCACAAACCGAACGTCACCGTTTCTCTCTCTCATCTTCTCGACCACGCTTTCGACGAGAAGTAGCGTCCCCGCCCCGGTCCCCGCGCCGAGTTCTACCACGCGCGTTGTTTTACCAGCAGCAGCTGAAGCAGCAGAAGCACCCAAAAACTGCTCCATCTTCTCCTCTCGCTTCAAATACGCGGCGAGAAGTAACGAGGCGTCCCATATGGTAAACCCAGTCTCTGGAACTGGATCTCGATCGTCCTTTCTTCGCGTCTTCTCTTCCTCTTCCTCTTCCCCTACTCCTTCTTCTTCTTTCATCTTCAACCGTTTCTTGAGTTCACTCGAGCTCGAACACTGGGAAATCCGCGCGTGGATGCCCCCGCTTTTCTTCGTCTCCTTCTCCTTTTCCTCCTCGTTTACGTCGTCAAAAGGAGGGGGAGAGTACGTGTCTTCGTACTTTTCTTTGTACGAGAGAAACGAACGACGCCACGACATCTCTTCGTATACCGCGCGCAGGTATTCGTTCTGAGGTGAACTTTTTCCAATTCAGAAGAGAGTTTTTGCCTCATTAGATACGAGCGCTTTCTCGCACACGAAACACAATGCCTCCTCCTTTTCCTCCTCCTCCTCTCCCTCGCGGCAACGACGACAACGACGACGACGACGGTTGTTGTTGTTCGCACCAAAAGCGTTATCGCTTCTTTTTGTTCAACCCGAAAGAATCGTTCGAGAAAAAACTCGAGTTTTGCGTCGAACATTTCGGCGGCGAAATGGAAAGTACGAGGACTCTTCGGACGACGATTCAGACGACGAAATTGAGAGAAGAAGAAGAAGAGAACGCGCGATTATGCGCCGAGTGGACGCTGAACGTATTACCGACGATCGTCTTAGATTTGGGCGACGACGATGGGACGACGAAGACGACGAAGAAGAAGAGTTTTGGGAAGGCTTTTGGTTCCCTAACAGGAGGAGAGGCAGAGGCGAAAGCGAAGAGCGCGGAGAAACTGTGGCAGATATTATTGAACGCGCTGACGATTTGCCTGCGCCGAGGAGAAGAGACGACGACGACTGACAACCGCCGCGACAGTGGCGAGAACGACGACGACGATTCAGACGAGGAGAGCTTTTCGTTCGTCGGGGAAAAGAGAACCGCGGAAGAAAAGGCGGTATCTTTTAATCCGGCAAACGCGAATCGGATGGTGAAATGTTTTAGCGAAAGCATGAAGCTCTTCGCGGCGGATGGTGACGGCTGTGGCAGGAATGCATCGGTGCTCTCGAAATGTTCGGATGCGCTTTCGAACGTGTTATCGGCGTCCAAGTACGCGCCTTCATTGGGCGCGTGCACGGAGATGTGCGTGGTGGCTTTTGAGCGGTTTCCGGAGATGCGCGAAGCGAGTTTGAGGTTGTGCGCGAGACAGTTGAGGAGAAAGGATTTGAACATTAGGAATAGAGACGATGGGAGTAATGGTGCGTCGACAACGTTGGCGGCGAGTTCGAGTGCGGAGAAGCAGCAGAACGTGACGAAAGAGTTTGTTGACGTGTTGCTTTCGGCGGGTACGAACGACAACGCAGAGTTGGGGAGACTGATTGAAAGCGCGATGCGTTTGACGGTGGCGAGAGAATCTGTTTTGCGATATTACCCAGACGCGTTTGAAAAAATAAAAGAGGACGCCGGTAAGAAACGAAAACGAGGCGAGAAGCGAAAGAAGGGAGGCGACGACGACACCAGTGTGCCGGAGGAAGATAAAACAAAAACGAATCAGCAAATACCGGCGTTCATTCTGCACTTTGCCAAACGCATCACGACCGCAAAGGATTCGCACGCGATACGGTTCGCGCCGTGGTTCTTTCAAGAATTCTGCGAGTCGAAAGAGCGAAAGAGAGACGCGGCGATAACGAAGAAGATTACAGAGAAAGCGCTGAGAGATATGAGAGAGGTGTTTTCGAAACTGTTCGGTGGTGTTACGAGTTCGTCGTCGAAAGAAAAAGGAACGCACATCGCGCATCTCTTGCGCGCGTTAAAAACAAAAGAGGACGTTTACGAAGCCTACGACGATAGTAATCCTCCAAAGGTGGCCATCGAGTCCTTTCTCGTGGAATGTTTCGACGGGCGAAAGTATGAGAAGACGATGAATTACGCCAATGTCTTGGATGCCATTCTCTCCGTCGATTTTCGTTTACTCGAAAAAAGAGCAACTGGTTGCATCTCGCGCGTAGGTATGAATGGCACGACGGCGTCTACGTTTCTGCTGAACTTCTTGGCGGCGTTTGCGACGCGGCGTAAACTCGCAGAATTTGTCGATTGCGTTGGACACGCATTCGAGCGTGTTCCCAATGAGAGCGAAGATGAACTGTGCGGCATGAACGCGCTCTTCCGCTCGGAACTGGTTTTGAAAGCATTAGAATCTCACACTTCGAGTATGCTCGAAGGTCAGCGCGAAGAGCTTTTTGAGGTATGCGTGAAGATTTTGGGAATGCAGAAATCGACGAGGCTTTTAACTACGTTTGGAATGGTCGTGAAAAGCATCCACAAGGGGATGTTGGACTCGTTCACGCTGGAGCAATGCGATAAACTTGGACGAAATGTACCTCAAGATTGGGCGATATACGATGCCATGGCGATTTCTCCTGTCGTTGGAGATGTACTGATGAACAACCGCGCGCTCTTTGATCAATTTATTGAACACGTGCGAGAGTTGAGAACGACGGACGATTTCATTTCGATCTTCCCGTGCGCGATGCAAGCGCTCTCGAACGACAACGTCTCGAACGATAAGGCTTGGGAAATTATCGAATGCATTTTGACCGACGAGAACAAAAAGGACGCCGGAACTGATATGAGATATGACTTGTTACACCAGTATTCAAGCACATGGATCCCGCGTGCATCTACAGATCAAGCAAAGAGGTATTTCGGGTCGAGGATAAAACACAGAAAATTTGACGCTCTCGTCGATGATTTAGTTTCGGCGACGCTTTGGATTGATGCGCTTCGCGAATGGTTGAACGAATCTACTGCGAATATGGAGAGAACATTGGTCGACGCTATGGAGGCGTTGGAATTGCAGATGAACTCTTTATTCTCTCGTCGCAAAGTGACGGACGAGAAGGAAATCGTGGGTCGTTTCTTTGCGTCTATGGAAGCAGTCGCGATAGCGGCTGAGGAGATTGTCTCGAAGCTTGCAAACAAAAGAAAAGCGCCATCATCGTTGAAGACAATATTACGAGTGCGCTCTGCAGTAGATGCGAGGAAAATAGAGGAAGATTTATCACCTTCCGAGTGGCCTCATCGCGAAAGCACGAGAGAGGCTCTGGGTAAAATTGAAGATTCGATTCCCGAGAGTGCGTGGCTTTCGTACCTCGAAGAATACGCGAGTGCTTCATATTCTGTAAATGACGAAGACGAAAATTTGTTTCAGCTATCGAGAACTAACGCTAAAAATGTGTGTTTTGAAGATGCCATGACTTTAGCGGTCGCGTGTAAACAGACGCGCGACGATACGTGCGACGGAAACGATGATGAAGCTATGGCGGCGTGGGTGCAAAAATTCAAAAAGAGGGAAGAATTGTTCGAGTCTCTCGTGGTGAAGTTAAAAGAAAGTGATGCCAGCACGCACGCGATGTCGGTATGTTTTGGTTTCATCTTGGCAGGATTGGGGCACAGTCTACACGCGCGAGCTAAAATATTCTCGTCTTTATCTCCTTCTTCCACGGTGATGAAAGATCTCCTGCGCACCTCGAGCGATTCGGTCGCCTCGCACTTGGACCGCGCATTGTGCTTCGTGAAGGAGGAACTCAAAGGTGATTTGAATACAAACACAAAAGCAATGACATATCTGTGTGGGTGCGTTTCTCTGCTCGCATCGCCTGGTATTGCGTTCGAGACGGAAGCGTTTACGATTGTTTTCAACGCGTTGCTGAAGAATTTTCAACATTTCAGCAGCAGTCACACAGTTAAAGGCGCGGAGATGGTTTTGAACGAGTTACATCGTGAAAGAACAAAATGTTTACGAATGATGTTTGAATCATCGAGTAAAGAAGCGCGGCGGTTCGCAGTGCAGTTTGCTGTGGACAGATTGCACAGGGAAGATTCGCTCGCGAGGAACGCGTTCATTAGAGGCGTCGACGACAACGCTCTCCTCTCGGCGCAAAACCAACGCTTGCATCCTACATTTTGGATGCTCGAAGTTTTTACCAGTTGCTCAAAATTCGCTTGGCGGAAAACCTTCGACGACGAAAAGAATGAAGCACTCGTCGATAGTTTGCTCCACGCGTGCGAACCCCATCTCAACAAGGATAATCGATGTTTAAACCGACGGCGATCGCTGGCTATTTTATGCAACATCGTAGCAAAAGGCGATTACGAGTGTGCACTCAGCGCCAGAGTTGTCGGTAGAATCGCTCACGTTTCCGCCCGGGCATTCAGCGGCGCGCTTCTTGAAACGCAAGAAACCGATTTCGATTCCTTCGTGTTGTGTTGCGACATCGTCACCGCAACTTTGTATCATCGCAAAGAACAATTGAAACGATCGACAAATATCATCACCGCGACGATTGCGCATTTAGTGGACGTGTTGCGCCAATGGGCCTCAATGTCTTCAACTAAAATTGAACATCACGACGCTTTCATTCGGTGCGCCTCGAGTCTCTCGAAAAGCCTCGTCGCGTGTAAAGCGAGCGGATTGAAACAATTTTACTGCGCGCACATCTTAGCTGAAGTCATCGCGAGCGTCACCGCCACTTCCGAGAACCGAAAAATTGAGAGTACCACCGGCGACGAAAAGAACAACGAAATCTTCTCCTCCATTCGCGAGCGGTTGAAACCGGGCATTTTCAAGCTCTTTGAAGCGTGCTCTGATTTGGAATTTTCGTACATATTCGCAATGTACGGCGATAAAGGCGTCGGCGGCGCGAGACGCGTCGCGTTCAGTACTTTGCGCGAAGAACAAAAATTAGCAATATAGCGTCTTTATAATAGCACAAGCGCAGCGATAGGAGTAGCAATAGTGATAATAGTAATAACAGATGACCTTTCGTCAAAGAACGTTTTGTGTTGTTTACTCGAGATTTTCTCTCTTCCCTCTCTTTTCCGGCGAGATCAACCCAACCTCTACCGCGTCCAAGCCGCTCGCTTCCACGTACACATTCGCTAACTGACTCTTTACTTGCCTCAACCTCGCCTCTTCAATCTTCTCCAACGCGCGTTCGATTTCCTTCACCCACTCTATTTGCTCTCGTCGATGGAACGTCATTATATTCTTAGTAGTATTGTTCTTCCCTCCGTGTTCAAACGCGCACGCGTTGGATGGATCGATGCCGCTACTCAGCGCTATGTTCCATAACAACGCTTCCGCGCGCAAGAATAGCTCTTGCTTAGCGTCTTCGTTGCCTTCGTCGCTCGGGAAAGATATTTTCATCGGCGATTGTCCGCCACCCTTTGGAGACTTTTTCGGCGAGTTCATCATTTTCGTCGTCGATGTCGTCGTCTCCCTCATTTCTATCGGTTCTATCGCTAAAGTTTGCCTTTCAAACTCCGTAATTACGTCTCTCGAGCTCAATTCCGGTATCGACGCCGCGTTCTTCTCCACGTCCCTCTTCGTCCCTCGCGCGTTTCGTAAAATCTCAATCTGTGCGTCGCTATACTCTTCGTCCTCCTCTGCCGTCGGCATAGACGACGACGGCATCACACCCAAATCGCTACTCCGCACGCTTTCCAAAGCCGCTCGCATCTCTCCTTCCGCCTCTCCTTCCTCCTCCTCGCCTCCTTCTCCCTCCTCCTCCGCATCCTCCTTCACGAACGCCGCTATGAACACGTTCTCGGACCCGACCCTCTTGACGACCAGCTTCGTCTCCTCCACAACTTCTAGCACTCTCTCGCTGTCCACGAAAATTATAATCACGTCAAACTCTCGCGTATTTGTAAACCCCGGCGCGATTGTCACGCTCACCCTTTGCGGGTCCATCTTTTCGATGCACTCGAACGCGAATCGCGTGGATGCGAATTTCGCATCTCCCGTAATCAGTAAGGATAAATTCCCATCCGCGACGGCGACTAAACCTTCCAAAGCGTTCGCCAGCGTTCCGATTTCATCCTCATTTTTACGCTCTTCTTTCTCTTCCTCTCCTTTTTTTTTATTCTCTTCTTCTTCTTCTTCTTCTTCTTCTCTCGTTGTTCCTTTCTCTCGCGTCGCTTTTATCGCCAACTGTAATTGCATTCGCAGTTCCTTCCTCATCGACGGTAAGTCGTTCGTCCCCCATTCGGTAGGGGATTTGATCGGGAACGGAGGCATCGGATTTTCATATCTGTCTTCTTTTTCTCTCACCTCCTCGTCTTCTTTAGAAGAATCGTCGTCTGTCTCTGTGTGCTCGCTTTCTCCCTTCTTGGTTGTCTTCTCACTCGTCGTCATCCTCGTCTCAAAGGATAGTTGTTCCCACGACGCGTAAAAGAGTGAGGTGACTTTCTTATTAACTCAACCCTAACTGTATACGAAACCCTAAATATGTCGCAAAAAAAAAAAAAAACGCATCTGAATTTCGAAACTTCTTTCTGCGCACCACACACTTTACGGACGACGAGAGAAAGAGAGAACGAACGAGAGAGAGAGAGAGAAAGAGAGAGAGAGAGCAAACGCGCAAATAAAATATACTCATCATGTCGTTTATCCCTGGGTTGCACTCGTTCGATGGCAACTCGACGAGGCAGAAGAAGATTGATTTGTCCGGGAAAAAAAGTGGTGGTTTTGGTGAAAGCAAAAGTGTCGGAGGAACACCCTCGAGGAGGAGCGCGAGAAATGCGCCGTCGGAGACGACGATGGGTTTGAGCAAAGTCGGGGGAAATCGTGGTGGTCCCACGACGAGTTCTGGGAGTAGGAATTCGTTGACGAAAGAAGAAACGCTGACGCGGGCGAAACGGGAACGAGAACAGCGACATCGCGCGCGAGTGGAGATGAAAGCAGCTTTGGTGGTACAGAAACACTGGAGGAGCGTCACGGCGCTGAGAGTGGCGAAGCAACGGATGAGAGTGGAAGAGGAAAGAGAGAGAGAAAATGGTGGTGGTGAAGGTGGGAAATTGTACGGTGAAATGTGCGCGAAGTGTTTATCGTCGTCGGCGTCGACGGATCATCTGTATGGTTGCGAAGAGTGCAAAGAGCATTTTTCGTATTTGGAAGCGGATGAAAAGTATTCGCGCGCCGCGTTCGGGTATTTGCGGCGATTGACCTTTTACGCTTCTTCGTCGACGCCTTCGAGCAATTCTGGCGACGACGAGGAGAGGATGGATGAAGATGGGACGATAGATGAGCTTCGAGATGGCATCAGAAGTAATTGTTACTTGCAGGATATGGAGACGATGCGTAAAGTTCTGAAGGCGGTGCTTCCAGCTTGGTTGTATGGAGAAGGCGGCGAGTCACCCAACATTGACGACGCTCAATTGAGAGTACGCAGAAGAATACTAGCGAGGTCGCTGCGATGGTGCTTGCTCCGACTGGGCAGCGGGGCGGTAGGTGATGAACGAAAGGCGCATAGTAATGGTGACAATGTGCACGGAACGGCACAAAGTATTGCGATCAAACGTGGATTAGCATCACTGACGTTCACATACCTTACTGGATACGGGGGAGATGACAGGGAGGGGGGGTCGCACGCGCTAATTAGGGAAGTCGCGAGAGACGAAGCGAGGAACGTCAAAGGGGCGGTTTCATTCAACGACGACATCGTCAAAAATATATTGAGGAATGCGGCTGATATCAATGCCGCTGGTATCTTCACAGCTCCGCGAGGTTTGCTCACACTAATAACCGATATTGGTCGCGTCGCGTTACAAGATGCAGGAAGGTGCAAAGAAGAAGGAGATGCAATGGATGTTGGAGTGTCATCAGAGGTGAAGAATTGGGGCGAATCGTTCGCCGTACAAGTTTTCTCTTGCCCTCTGGTCTTTCAAAAGTTACTCGGCAATCTCGATGTTCTTGGGTTCGCCCCTGGGTTCTCCCCCGATTGGGATTCGGAGTCGGAGGATTCGGAGTCGGAGGGTTCGCCACCGCCGCTTCTTTCTGCCGATAATGCACAATTTTTCGCAGCACCCGCGACGCTCTTTCTTCGTGCGCTCTCAACACCAAGTAGCGTTCTTTTCGATGTGAACGTTGGAGAGGAGGGGTATTCGCGAATCGCGTGGATGTTGGGAAATCTTTGCGAATGGTCTCGATCGCCAACATTCGGTGTCGGATGGAGAGAGGGAAAGTATATTTACAATGAATATTACGGTGAAAATGCTCTTCTGTTTGCAAACGCGTGCGGCACATTAGTCGATGCGTTGCCACTGTCCGCGTTGCCGGACGAAGACGAAAACCAGTATTCGTCGAGCTTTTCTAGAAACGATAACGGAAAGAGTACGTTATTCGATAGTGACGACGAGGATTTCGAGGAGAAACCACTTCGCGCAAAAGGATCGATGGTGAAAAAAGGTGGTACTGTGTTTGACACGGTTAAAGTGCCGCCTTTATTGAAGCGACAACTCGCCTCGCTTTGGAATCCGCCTTCATCGATCATTTCCGCGCAACTGGCGAGTGCGTGCGCTGTCGACGCAGACAAAGAAGAAGATGACAGGAGCGAACAGAACACCGCAAAAATTGCAAAATATATTCTCGGAATTTCAAGTGTTCTCAGAGGAAAAGATCGCGTGTTCTTTCTTGCCTCGTTTGCGTTTCAATGCGCAGATATCATGCGGAACCTGTGGCTCAGCGTGTCTTCGCAATACGCTAAAAATCCGAAAGATACGATTCGCGATCCGAAATGGCGCGAACAGTTGGGTGCCTTTTCCGAAATCTACGCCGTGCACGCCCAAACGGCTGACGATGAAGAGTTTTACGTCATCGGGAAACCGCTCACGATTGATGAATCGAAGTTTCTCGTCGAAATCGCAAAGAACACGTTATGGTTTCAATTATGGGAAGAGCCGTTCACTAACAATGGAAGTTTGAACGCCAGTAAAAGCTACCGAGCGGTCCGAACGGAAGATTGTCAAATTGAAGCTACTGCGTCTGTGTTGCAAAACTTGTTCGACCGCAATGGCCGACGTCAATTCGCTCCACCGGAGTTGTTTTATGCCGTCGAACTGTGCGGCGGAGTGGATTCTGGTTTTTTAACGCCGGCGGTAGATTCCTTCCTCCGAGAATTTGGCGAAGGTGGGCGGAAATCGAGAGCGTCGAATGTTTTAAGTAAATGTTCGTGTTTGGCACCGTTTGAAGTTAGAGTCCGCGCTTTTGGCACCGCGACTGAGAAATTCCGCCGGCAGGAATTGGGAATGAGTGCGAGTGCGATGAACGCGAGGAATTCAGAAGCGTTGTCGTTCATCAACGGAATGCAACACAGTAAGATGCACATCACCGTTGAAAGAGGAAAGGTTTTAAGACAAGGATTTAAGCAACTCTTTCTCGATCAAGCTTCCTCGAGTCATCCTGCAGATGCTATGCGTAAATGCGTGGAGGCTTTGCAAGGAAATGTTCGAGTGAAGTTTATCAACGAACACGGCGCGGAAGAAGCGGGCGTCGACGGCGGCGGTTTGTTCAAAGATTTCTTGAGCGCGACGGTAGAAGAGGCGTTTGACCCAAAAGAAGGGAACTTTCTTTTTTGCGAGACGCCAGATAGAACCCTGTATCCAAACCCAAGATACGCGAATACGTTGGAAAAGCAGTTTTCAGAGTTTGGCGATGATCGAAACGATGATGATGATGATGACGACGACGATGTGATGATTACGCGCGATAGCAACGAAGAGAGCGACAGAGAGAAGTGGCTCGTGTACTCCTATTTTTATTTAGGAGCCATTCTCGGTAAAGCGTGTGGAGAAGGTATTCTTTTAGATGCGCCGCTCGCGGGCTTCTTTCTCTCCAAATTACGAGGTAAACCTCCGACACTTTCGGATTTGACCACGTTTGACCCAGAAGTTTACAGGAATCTCATCATGCTCAAAGGATTCAACGAGAGCGACTTTGATGATTTAGAGCTGTATTTCGTCGCGCTCGATCGCTCAAATGCGAATCCAGACAGTCCAAGATACGTAGATTTGGTTCCGAATGGATCAACCATTCGCGTGAACAAGAAGAATTATCCTTCGTATTTACACGCAATGGCGGCGTATTTACTCGATGGTCAGATTCGCGTGCAGTCAGCAGCCTTCGTCGAAGGCTTTCGAGCGATGGTGCGTCCGTCGACCCTGAAACTTTTTACGCCGGCTGAGTTAGGATTGTTAATATCAGGTTCTGGCGGTGGCGTGGACGTGGACGATCTCGCGCGTTCGTCGCATTACATGGGAGGATACGACGCAGATCACGCAGTCATACAAAGACTTTGGCGAGTGACACGAAATATGAGCAAAGAGAATCAAAGAAAACTTCTAAAGTTTGTCACTTCCAGCGCAAACACTCCTTTACTGGGTTTTAGCGCGTTAAACCCGCCTTTTTGCATCCACCGCGCGGCGTCCGGAAGCGACGCAAACTCCGTAGCGGATGTAACCAGACTCCCCAGCGCGGCGACGTGCATGAATCTCTTGAAGCTGCCGCCGTACGATACGGACGAAGAGATGGAAAAGAAATTAGTGTACGCCATATCAAACGCGAAAGCGTTTGACCTTTCCTAAAAGTGTAAGAAAAGAACAATTTGTACAACACATCATGCAATTCTACGGTGAGTAAACGCCTTTTCAAAACAATTCGAATAAATACATCAACCCGATCGCAACGCTAAATGCGCTCAGACTTCTTCGCATATGAATACCACCCGCGGACGAGGACGACGAAGATGGTGGTGGCGAAGCTGGGCTTTGACATCGATCGCCCGTAAAATCTTCACTACAGGCGCAGCTGTACCCTTTGCCTTGAACATTAGTACACACTCCGTCGTTTTCGCACGGTTGCGGGAGACATTTGTGACATAACCATCCAGCCATGAGTAACATGTCGTTATCGCAGTCGTCGTCGCACGCCATGCAACTCTCAGACATGCCGTACGAATAACTCAGCATTGTTGTGTTCAAATACCCGTCGTCGTGTTCGACGTGTACTGCGATACCCAGGGACGTGGGCAGTGCTGGACATAAATCAGTAGAGCCACTCACAGGCACCGTACCGAAATCGATCGCATTGCCGCTCGGAATTGTGCCCGTGCTTCCACTGCACTTCTGCTCTGTCATAGACACGTCAATATATCGCAACGAATTCGAAGAGCGACACACGTACCATAACTTATTCGAGGAAGGTTGGAACGCGATGCCACCCAACGCCATCGATCCGGTTTCAAACGTATCGAGTAATACGCCGGACGTTTTCTGAAACGCTTTGATTTTACCAGAACTATACTCTGAGACGTATAAAACGTTTTCGTGAACGGCTATGCCGGATGGTTTATTCAATCCTTCAATAAACGTTCTAAATTGCGCACATCCAAACACAGAGTACTCGAAACTTGCTTTTTGCGACGACCAAGACGTGTATTCGCCGCCTAAATCGCTCCGAGCGTTGTACGCGAATCTACCCGAATCGGCGTTTAAAACAATTATTCGGTTATTTCCCGTGTCCGCGACATAGACTGCTCTCGTCGCACTATCAACGACAATGTGCGACGGTACGTCTGCCTCTCGTTTCAATTGCACTTCGTCGTACCTACGAACGTTCGCCAAATCGTGGTCTAAACTTTTCGGCCCGTGGGGCTTCTCGAAATCGTACCGAACTAAAGTCCCGTGATATCCATCAAACGCCCAAAACACGTTGCCATAACTTGTTTGAGATTCACCATCGTGGGCGATGCCCATGCACAAAGGCGTCGCATGAAGCATATCCTCGTGCGTGAGAAAACATGACTTACTCGATTGATCGTACGTTCGCACGTCGCATTTTTCGCCGTTTAGATCGATGTTGATGTCTTCTGACGTTGGTACGATCCCAGAATCGTAAAGCGTTGGTCCCATGAAATAATTACTCGTTTTCATTCCATCGTAATCATTCGACGATTCTTGACACGTGGCGAAATTGCCATCTAAACCGAACGCGATTTGACTCACTTTATCTAAATAATGGTACTTTGCCCTATCCGTGACTGATCTCGACGTCGTCGCGGTTGCTTTCGTGGCGTCATCTAGAGTAACCAAACGTAGCGAGTCATCACCAGCCGTCGCGATCCAAATTTCGTTCGCACCGTTGAACGAAAGAGCTCTCGGAGTGTTCAATCCAGTTTCGACAACTTTCACGGAACCTCGGTTCGTTCGCGGCCCAAACGCGTCCACGCAGTAGTCTCCCGCGCTCGCGCTCGTCACCACGACCCCGTCCGCTACAAACGACGCATCTTTCGCTCTCACCCTCTCCTTTAGAACATCGCTCGCTCTCCTGTCTTCGCCATCGTCACAACTTGCGGAAATATTTAACATCAAACTCGTCACCACGCTCAACAAACTTTCCTCGCCTTCAAAATCCGCCGTCCCGGGTAAAAATTTCGCCACCCGCATGCAATGATCCAAAACTGTGTACTGCGGATGCACTGCCGCATCAAAAAACGAATAGGTCAAACTCCTATCTCTATCGTCAATCATCAAAGGAAACTTTCCTCCCATATCATTCACATTCACCGAATTCGCATCGTGCGTCATCCAAGCGTCGCAGACGCCCGCGTTGACGCCGTTCTTCAGCGAAACGAGCGTGGCCACGTGAGCAGTCGCCCCTTCCGTTTCGTACGTCTCGTATAAACTCTTCAAATACGTCGTCAAGGTTGGATAATCCAGTCTCCCGGGCGTGCACCCGGTAAAATACGTCCCGATAATGGTCACGTATTTGTGCTGGTTTTCATTTTGGCGAAAATCAAAATCTTCGAGCGAAACCGTTGCCTTGGAATCGATTTTATTCGTCGAACACACCGAGTGCGCGCGAGATAAAACGTCCAGCGGTAAGACATCGTTCTCTTGCCAAAACCCGCCGCCGCCGTACGCGTGGACTGCGTTAAAATAACACGCGCCAATTAAACAAGAAAAGAGCATCAATATCATCGTCATCGTCGTCGTACTTCTTCTGGTGACGTAACGCCTTTAGGGGAACGCGCGAAAACCAAAAGCAGACGCGGTTTTGCGAACGTCGCTAAATCTCTTTTCGTCGATTTCTTTTCGAACGGGTCGTTTCTCTTTCGTCCTCTTTTCTTCTTTTTTGCGTTCGCGCGCGCGCGTTCTCTCTCTCTCTCGCGCTTCGCGTTGAGGATGCCCACAAATTTGTGCCGCATTTGAAGGCTCGAAAATAAGCGGAAAAGAGACAAAGCGCTGATAAACTCGTAAACCGGAAAGAACGCGCGACGCGACCGAGAGAATGCCGGAAAAGAACGAAATTTACGACGACGATAACGCTTCACATCATTTGATGACGCTGTACGAGCTCTCGAAAAAGCACAACGACGTGTTCCGACATCACGTCGTTGCAAAACTGGACTCGAACGCGGCGAAGTGCTTCAGTCTGTGCTCGAAGTGGACGCGAGAAGATGTTTTGCAAACCAAGTTAGTCATCTCCCGAGACTTTAAAGTGAACGATAAAGAGTCCTTAAAGTTAGCGGTGAAACTTGGGATGCCTCTGACGGTGAAAATGTTCAACAAAGCGATCGAACAAGGCGATAGGAACGATGGTGTTGTCGAGATGTTGTTGAGGGAGTGTAAGTGCCAAGTCGATTCGACGTCGGCGTCGCAAGCGGCGCGGTTCGGGAGGATTACGGTTTTAGAGCTCCTGATGGAGGAAAACGAGAAGTTGTTCACGCATAACGCGATGACGAGAGCGGGTAAGTACATTCTGATACTTTTTTGACTTCACTGACGCGTTTCTTTTTGTGTTTACTTTTAGCGTTCGAGGGACACTGGGACGTCGTTCGGTGGTTGAGAGAGAGAGCGTGTCCGTGGAAGAAGAGTTTGATACGGGCGCTGGCGGAGGTGAAAAACGGGAAACATATGGTGCGATATCTCGAAAGGCAGTCGTGTTTGCCGGCGGATGTTTATTCCGACGATGAAGAAGAAACAGTTTGATAGACGGTCGCGGCGACGATGACGTGACTATCGCGTTATATTACTCACTTACAAATCGAGGTATATCATGTACGATATCTATATTCACTTTCTGAACAAATCATTCCTCCTCCTCCTTGTCGTCGTCGTCAGAATCGTCGTCAGTTTCTTGCTCGTTATTGTTCTCTTTTTGTGGTTGATTTGCGTCCATTTCAAGTTCGCTCAGCTGATTCGCGACGCGTTCTGAAACTTTTTCCGACCGAATCCATTTACTTTTTGCGCTTAAATCCAACTTCCACACGTCGTCTAAAACAACCTCAACGTCGCCGACTTCGACGATGCCGCCGTATAACCACAAGTCGTTTCCAACGACGCACACGGACGCGTTGATGCGGCCTCTCGGCTTTGCCGTCGGCTTCGGCGCTTCTTCTCCAGTTCCGGGAGAATACAACAACTCAGAAACGACGCCGCCGACTCGGTACAGTTTCATCGCTTTTCTCACGCGGTGTCCACGAAAAGTGGCTTGAATGCGCACCGCAGCCTTTTCGCGATCCGATAAACGCACGTTGAAGTTTTCATTGCCGTCGAGTTCACCCGCGGCTATTTTTCGCGCTTCTTCCCGCGACTCTTCTTCGGTTTTCACTTTTTCGTTCTTTTCCGCGAAGAGCGTAAGCGGGAACCATTTTTCCGTGTTGTAGTTGAACGTAAACGCGTCTTGGAGAAACTCAGAGACGATGACGTCGCCTTTTTTAATCTCGTGGTCGACGACGCCACCGAACACGATCAATCGCTTCTTCGCGAGGTGCACGACCGAGGACGCGCCGGCGCGCGCGCGTGGCGCGAGTCCGGCTTTTTTCACTTTTTGCCATTTCTTGTTCCCGTAAACGTCCAGTTTCCAACAATCTTCGCGAGTAATCGCTCTTTCCATCGCGCCAAAGTCTTCTAAATCTCGAGGGTCGGTATCCTCGTCCGGCTCTTCGACATGTTTACAATACCCGCCGTAGACGTACAAGTATGTCCTCTCTTCTCCTCCTTCTTCTTTTCTTTCTTCTTTTTCTTCTCCGTCGTTTTCTTCTCCCTTTTCGCCTTTTTTACTACTTTTACTATTCCTCTTCTTACTACCGCTACTATTCGAACCGCCGACGGCACTCACGCAAACGTGACACGCTGACCGCGCACTCGGCGCACTCGACCCTGTTCCTCCTTTTGCTAACACCCGCCACTTTTTCGCATCGAAATCGAACGCGTAACAATCGTTAAAATACCGAATCTCCTCCGCCGCGTCGTAAAATCCGCCAAAGAGGATGAAATCCGACTTGGTCGCCACGCACCGACTCCCCGACCTCGCCGAAGGACCGCCATTCTTCGGTCCACTCTCTAACTGTTCCCACGCGTTCGAATCGCAATCAAACCGCCAAAAATCCGAGTAATGCTTAAACTTCTCCTGGTTCGGCGAGGTAAACTCGCCGCCGAAAACGTAGACGTACCCTTTCGCGTAACACGCGCAGTGGCCGCTCCTCGGCGGCGGCGAGTTTACCGAGTTAATTTTCGTCCACGTCGGCACCCCACAACGCTTCCCACCAGCAGCAGCAGACGACGACGGCGGCACGAACTTATACATATCGTTAAACACGCGCGTTTTCGTCGTCGTCGTTTTGGTCGTCCCCTCTTTCTCGCTCTTCTTTTCCTCGCTCGTACATTCGCCGCCAAAAAGATACGCCGCATTCTTCGCGACACTCGTCGTGAGCGTGCAGCTCGCTCTCCCTGGTTCCGGTCGTCCGCAATTCTCCTCCACTCGTACCTCTTTCTTCTCCTCGTCTTTGAGTTTCAGCGCTCTCAAGATCCTCTCGATGTCGTTCTCTTCGTCCTCCTCTTTCGAACTTCTGCTTTTTTTCTTGTGCAAATTCAGTTCGGTTTTCCGTTCCGTTTTCGCCATGCCGGACAGTTTCGATTGAGACACTTTCCCGAGCTTCTTGTCGTGTTTTTTGCGCTTGTCCCGGCCGCCGCCCATTCTTCTTCTCTCCTTCTTTTGCTCCTCGAAAAGGAGCAGATCCTTTAGCGCTTTAGTATGAAGCGAGTCTCGCTTCGTTCCATTTTTCCACCAGAGAGAGAAAGAAGAGAAAAAAAACATTTAGGGTTACACTTAGGGTTTCAATCTCGATTTTTAGCTTCTTGCCTTCGGGAAAAAATCATCCAATCATCCAAAACACGCGACAGAAAAAGAAGACGAACGAAGGAGCAGACGAGAAGAACGAGGAATACTATAATGAACCTGGAAGAGTGGTACTTCCAAACACCCGTCGTGACCAGGTGTTACCTGACCATGTCGTTTTTAATTACCGCCGGGTGCGCGTTAGAGGTACGTTTTTAGAAGAGGTTCTTTTATTTTCTCTCTCTCTCTCTCTTTGTTCTTAAGCGTCGTCATCATCTTGGGGGCATTTTTGGCATCAAATCTATGTTTACTCACCTTCTTTAAACGTTAAAAACAGGTCATATCCCCATTCTCGGTGTACTTCAACTCGAACTTGGTCTTTCGCGAGTACCAACTTTGGCGGTTAATCACAAACTTTTTCTTCTTTGGCGCCTTGGGATTGGATTTCGTCTTCCACATGTTCTTCCTCGCCCGGTATTGCCGAATGCTCGAGGAAGGGACGTTTCGAGGGAAATCGGCGGATTTCTTCTGGATGCTCGCGTTCGGGGCGAGTTTATTAACGATGATCGCACCGTTCGTGAACGTGCAGTTTTTAGGGAGCAGTTTGACGTTTATGATGGTGTACGTGTGGGGGAGGAAGAACGAAAACGTGAACATGTCCTTTCTCGGGTTGTTTTCGTTCACGGCGCCGTATTTGCCGTGGGTGTTGTTGGCGTTTAGCACGTTTTTGGGATCGAGTCCGGTGGTAGATTTGTTGGGGTGCGCTGTTGGGCATCTTTATTTCTTTTTGTGGAGCGTGTATCCGGAGATGACGGGCAGGAGGGTGGTAAAGACGCCGAAAGTGGTGAAGTTTTTGTTTCGGGAAAACGCCGGCAACGGAGGAAGCGACGTGAACATTCGGTTAGCCGGGGGAGGTTTTGGAAGAGAAGACGACGAAGAAGGGGACGAGAGAGGCGTGTTGAGAAGAGCCGGGGTTTTGTTCGGTCAGCAACGAGACGAACCGCGCGCGAGGAGAGAAAACCGGGCGAGCAGTAGCGACTCGGATGAGGACGAAGAGCGGGAGGAGAACGCCGCGGACGACGAGAGCAACGATATTAACAACGAAGGAGAGAACAATAGCTTACGTAGACGCGAAATAGCGGCGGGCGCTGCTGAAAATAGAAGACGAGAGTGGTACGACGAGTAAATATAAAATACTGTAGTATCTTTTTAGGAATGAAAATTGTAAAACATACATTTAACAACAGGTCAAATAGATTCCTCCTACTCGAGAAATTTTCAACCGCTAATATATAAGACTAATAGACCAAAGTTCGCTGCACGAGGCGCATGGCCGCGTTGCTAAGATTTGCATCGACACTCACAACGGTTACTCGAAACCTCACGTTATTCGTCGCATCAGATTCTAAACGGAGCGATAACGGCAACTCGCCGTTCTGCTCGCTGAAGAACCGAGCGCCAAAAACGGCATTGGCGGGATTGGGATCTAAGCTCTCGTGTATCGTCCACTTGGCGTTTTGCAAGACGTTGCACACGTTCGAAAGACCGGCGCATTGCGCGTTCACGTCGATAACTTTTTGCTTTTGCGCGATTGCGGACATCTGGTGCCACTTGGCAAAGAAATCTTGCGGTTGCGTCTGTTGCGCGACGGAGTAAAATTTCGCCGCGTGAATCGGAAGCTCGATGGGGGGGATGTCTCGACCATCGAAAGCGACGACCAACTTCGGCGTGTTGACAAAAACCCCGTAGCACGCGCACTGCATTTGGCACTGTGCTTGCATTTTAGAACCGATATCTTGCGGTAACGGCGCGAGTTGTGTTTTCACTTCCGGTACGTCGTCCACCGAGAGCGAAAATTGAACATTCTTCTCGGTTTTATTTCCCAGATATAACGCCAAACGACCTCGAGAACCTTGCCATTTACTTTTAATGCCAATTTGAAGTTCGGCGTCTTCGTATAACACGCCCGAATCTTGCGCGAGAAGTTTTCGTACGCACTCCTCGACGTTCACCGTCGGCTCGAGGAACCTCTTTCTTTGTTGTTGTTGCGCCGGAGCGATGCCGAACGGATCGTCAAAGCCGCCGACTAAAGCGGCGAGATCTTGCTGTTGTAAAGGCGGTGATTTATGCTTTTGCTGCGCCGGTGGTAACGCAGCAGCAGCTGCACCACCATTGCCCAGGTTCAGTCCAAACGGATCGTTATTGTTGTTCGTAGTAGCCGTTATTGTTGAAGCGTTTGAAGCATCTCCTCCGCCGAGCATCAAGCCTCCGAGCAAGTCATCTAAAGCTGCTGAAGTGGATGCGTTGACGGAGGAACCAACACTCGCAGTTGTTGGAGGTAACGATAACGACGTTTTGCCGCCAACCCCTCCACTACTTACCTTCTTCGGCTTCGACGATGGTAATCCCAACAATTCGTCCAAATCAATCGTCCCGCCCGTCGTCGCCGGTTCGTCCTCCCCTTCTTCTTCTTCTTCTTCTTCCGCAATCGCTCCTAAATCTAACACGTTGCTATTGTTTGCGCCACTTCTCTTCTCGACGCTTTTGTATTCAACCGGTGCTCGTTCCGATGCGAAGATAGAATCGTCTTCAGCGTCTGCAGTTTGCACCATCTTCTCGAGCCAAGAATCTCTCTTCGGATACTCCGGCATCGGCTCCAACGCTTTGAACATAGCCGCGTCGCCACTTTTGATGATCCCAAGATACTCCGAACATCTCTGTTGCAACTCTTCGTCCATATCCGACATACACGATTGAAAACCATCCATGATGAGCTGTTTTGACGCGGCATCGCACCCTTTGCGACAGCATATTTTACACAAACTCGAGGCTAAAATTTGTCGCGTGCGACAATCGTTCGATTGTCGCAAGCCTGAAATGAGTATGGGCACGTATCGATTCACTGAACAGTGCTGCTCGTTCGTAATCAAGTAGCCAAACTCACCGAGCATGTAACCGGCAGATTTCAATAACATATCGTGCGGCGGCGTTTCGCGCACTCGCACGCCTTGCGATTGAGGTGCTTGTTGTTGACGTTGCGTCGCAGACGCTAGGCCGAAAAAGTCAACGACATCGGCACCACCGCCATCAGCAGTACTCGATCCGTTGGTATCCCCGAGAACGTTGTCGTATCCATTCATCCCGTTATTTTCTTTATTCTTTTCCGCGGCTGCTTTTGCACCACCTAGCAATCTCCCCAACGCCAATTTCGCCGCCGGCGCGTGTAAACTCGGATCGTTCGTGACGACTTGGACCAATCGAAACCAAACGTCGTCCGATATCACGTCGTAATCGCCATCCCCGAGTTTATCGATCATTTGCATGGCTACCGAAGCGTACCACAAACGATCGTTTTCGCTAAACCGTTCGGCTAAAATCATGCACTTCAACACCAACTCTTCTTGAATCTCGTAATCGTCGTCGCGGTCCTCCACATATTGCAACAAGTCGCCGACAATTTCCCTCGCGTTCGTGTGGTCGCACATGGCAAACAACAAACCCAACGATCTCTTTCGAATGCTCACATCTGCGCTTCGTAACGCTTCAACGATGGTTTCTCTCAAAGGCTTTACCGCCTCTAGCGTGTCCGGACTACTCGCTAACCTCACCAACGCGGACAAACCTAAATACCTAACGTTCGGCTCCTTCGTGTTCCTCGCGAACTCACCCAGTTGCGTCGCGCACTGATCCAACAGCTCGTTAGAAAACTCCAAGGACGTCGTCAACGCGATCACTTCAAACAAAACCGCATTCAACGCGTTATTTTTGTTCACGTTGGCAACCTTCTCCGTGCCGGTTAAGATTTTCTTCAAAATCGCCAGCTCCGCGCCCAACGTCTCCGCATCTTCCGGCGTCGGAAACTTCCTCAGCACGCGCATAATCCTAGCTTGTAACCACGGCGCGGGGATCCCGTAATACAAATATTCCGGCAAAACGTCTCGATTCTTCACCACTCTCTCCAACAAACTCACCAACGGCGACACGCAATTCTCGTACCCGCGATAATCCCCCACCGAGACGATCCCATCCAACAACGTCACCACGGCCAAGCAAATCCCCAAATCCTTCTCCTCCAACAAATACGCCATCTTCGCCGAAAATTCCTCCGGATTCAAAATCTCCGGCATCTTCCTAAACAACCTCAACAAACACAGCGCCGCCTTCTTCCTCACCAAAGGCCGAATCGTCGTCGACAACAAAATATTCACCACGTCCCCCGCTAAACTCTCCGCAAACTCCGCCCCGCCCACGTTCGCGATGCACGCCAACGCTAAACACTGAAACGACTCGTTCTTCGAAACCACGTCGTTCCTCACGCTGTTAATCGCCATCCGTAAAAAATCGTTCGACTCGTTCAAAATCACCGACGTGACCATATACCCAACCTGCTTTTCCGCGTATTTCGGTTGACTGATCAACGACACCGCCTCCGCGTGCCCGACGTCGCACTCGTACCCGAGCATGAACACATATAAGAGTTTCAAAATGTATTTCTTTCGGTCGTACGCGTGCAGTTGGTCCATCTTTTTAAACTTTCGGCGGAGTTTCGCCAGTTCTTCCACCACGATCGATTTCTCTTCCTCCTGTGAAGAAGAAGTGCAAAATTGAAAGGGAAGTAAAGATGTGTCAGCGTTCATAACACGTAAAGAGAGAGAGAGAGAAAGCTCGAGAGAAAGAGAACGCTCAGCTCTTTGCTTTCGAGTGGTGCTCGTGCTCGTGCAAAGACGCTCTCACACGAAGAGAAAGAGAAAGAGAAAGAGAAAAGAGAGATCCAAAACGGAATAGAATTATACCTGATTCGCGCAGTTCCGAATCTTCTCCACGAACTTGGTCAAACCTCGCATGCCGCCGAGGAACCCGCCGTTACCGCCACCACCACCGCCGGTGAGTGAAGACGACATTTGCTATTGTTTGTGTGCGTGTTGTTTAATACTACTACGCGTGCGTATATGTTTTGAGGCGTCGAGAGAAGAGAGAGAGAGAGAGAATTCGTAAGTGTTTAGGGTTTCGGTTGAAAGAGAAACGTCTTTTCGTTTCTCGAGGAAAAAAAAAGATTCAATTTCACTTTTGATCACATCTCTTCTTCTTGTTGTTGTTGTTGTTGTTACTTTCTATTCGTGAGAAACCTGTTGAGAGAGAAGAGAGATGCTGACGAGATTGCGGAAGAGGAAGGTTGGTCAGAGAGATGTGTGGGATTTGATCGTGAAGAACGACGATATTTGTTTCAAACACATTCTTCCGAGGTTGAATTCGACTGATGTGAAATTCTTGTACGAGGTGAACAGTGAAACGAGAAAGTTGATTAAGAGATCATCTCGCGCGGGGGATTTGGAAAAGAGTTTCGAAGTCCAAGAGATGTCGTCGATATCGACTTTGGAAGTAGCGTGGGAGAACAAATCGTTGTGGCCGAGTAACTGGAGCGAAACAAAATTCTGCTCTCGAGTTGCTTGGACGAATAAACTCGAGTTCCTCAAGTGGATACGAGAGGAGAAAAAGTGTGAATGGGATTCAGGGACGATTCATGTGGCCGCAAACCAAGGCAACCTGGAAATGGTAAAGTATTGCGTTGCAAAGAAGTGTCCTATCGATGCGTGGGCGTGTGCAGAAGCTGCCGGAAACGGTCATCTCGAGGTACTCAAATACTTACGCGAAGAAGCCAAAGCGCCGTGGGACGGTTGGAGCGTATTCTTCGCACTCGAGAAAAACCACCCCGAATGTGTACAATACCTCTTCGACAACAACTGTCCTCTCCCAACCTAATCATCCTCATCATCAGTTAAACACACGAATACATTTTAAAGCACATATTTTTGTCCGTAATATATACACATACATACTCCTTAATACACCCGCGATACGGTCCGCGTGCGTTCGCATTCTCCATTTTTCTTCTAACGAACTCGAGACGAATGAAAGGTTTGACGTATACCATCGCGGATAAACTGTACGTCTCTCTCACGAACGAGTGCCAGAAAAACCTCGTCAAGACGTTGATGGAAACTCGCGGCCCTCAATTTAAATTCTCGTTACCAAAGTTGGAGAGAAACCCATCCGTGGAGGAGGTGTGCGTGGCGATCGACGCGCACTATTCGCGCGCGAAAATCGTCGGCATGGGGGAAAACGACAGCGGCGTCACCTTCGCCGGCATCGGCGACCCCTTGACGCGACTCGATGCGCTCGAACATATCGTCCATAAAATTCGAGAGAAAAGACACGGGGTTGTTTTACGCGTGATGACGAACGGTCTGTACGACGTCCAGACGGCACGACGCGCGGCGGATTTGAAGTTGGAGACGTACACGGTCAGTTTGACGAGTGGAGAACCGGAACAGTGGAAACGGTTGACGCTGCGGGACGACGTCAATGACGATGCAGATTTTTTCTCGCTTTCTGATTGGTGCGCGTTCGTGGACGCTTTAGCGCAGAGCGGGAGGAAAGTTGAAGTGACGACGCCGGTCGCGCCTGGTGTGGACGTGAATCTGGCGAGGGAGTTAGCGATGAGTCTCGGCGCGGTGGAGTTCCGGACGAGAGAGTATTTCCCGTGAGGTTACGGGTAGAGATACCTATAGCGCTGATGATGTATATTACTTTTGTATTATTTAAACGAGAACTTTCTTGTGCTTCAATCGATCGAACGCGGTCGACCCTTCTTTCTCCCACCTGTACATCGCCGCGCAATACGAAACCGCCGACAAGCACCCGACGCCGCACGCGTAATTCGAAATCGCGTAATCTCCGTCTAAAGCGATGGCAATCAAAGGATACTGCAACGTCGAAAACACCGCGCTGACGAACATCCCCCACCCGACTAATAAACCGTAATACTTATACCCAAACATCTTTCCAATGGAACTAAAAAACATCGCAAAAACAATCAATCGACCAACCGCGTACAACACTAACCCGACGCTGTGCACTTCTAACGCTATGCTCGCGCCTCCCAACTCTAACACGAAAAAACTTGAACCGACTGCAATCGACGCGAACGCCATGGTCACCCCTAATCCAAACGTATCCGCCACCATCCCTCCAACAGGCGCCAAAAAAGCCGCTAATCCGTACACCATTGCAAACGCGTTCGTCATGGTCCCGTCGTCGTCTCCTAATCTTTCTAAATGCCACCCGATGCTCCCGACGTAATATTGAAACGGCGTCACGAGGACCGTAAACCATAACACCAATCCGACGTACTCCTTCGTCCACATTTGCTCTTTCCCACTTAAATGCACCGTAAACGTCCCATCGATCGGGTCTACCACATCCTCCGCACTCTCCGCCGCTTTCAAATCCTTCTCGTGAATAAAACTCGCCGATTTAGGCAACGTCCAAAACGCCAACGCGAGCATCAACCCGACCGCTCCGGCGAAGACGCCGCCGTACGCCACCGTCAACTCCCCTTCCTCGCTCGTTTTTTTCGCAATCCCAACCAATACCGCGTACACCACCCCACTCACTTGAAACGCGCCGCTCAATCCAGACATGAACAACGCGCTATTTTTCGGAAACAGTTGCGCCACCGGTTGCACGCACAACTGCGCGCCCGACCCGAGTCCAAGCAAGAACAGGTTGACCCCCAACGCAATCTCGTTCGAGACGGATTGAAACGCGATGCCGAACGCGCCGCAAATCACGCACGAGAAGGAAACTTGCGCGATTAAGCGAGTCCCGAATCTGTCTCGTAAAATGCCAAAGACGAGTCTGCCGCCTTGGACGGACCAGGCGCCGGCGGTGTAGGCGGCGCCGAGCTTTTTCTCGGGAATGGTGCTGCCTAAATGGATGAGTTGTCTTCGCAACGCCGGGTAGCCGTAGATGGTGCCACCGACGAGGGAGGTGGTGAGGAAACAGTAGAGGTATAAGAGGAGGTTTTTCGTTCGTTGCGCTTTGGCCAACTGCATCTTTTCCTCCTCGGGGGGCATCTTTATGAATAAGTGCGAGTTCTTCGGGTGTTTCGGAGTGACGAAAAATGCTAAACAATACTAAAGTCTCTTTATTGCGAACGATGATAAATCTCCGCCACTTACCCGCGCGCTGTTATATTCTAAACATTCTAAAACTCTTTCTATACGTACTATCTGTTGTGTCTATTATTTTTTGTTCTTATTGCTGACAGTGTTAATGTTGTTGTCCAAAGCTGCCTGGACGAGTCGTCCGCTTCTCGTCGCCGCCGCGGTTTTGGCGGGCGGCGTTTCGGCGACGACCTCTTCGAGTTCTCGTTTCCGGCGACCACTACCGGAGGCCGGGGTGAACTTTGGTCGACGATTACTTTGAAGAGGAGTTTGTTCGATGGTGAACGATTCGTTGTTGTTCGTTCGACGCGACCCGCCCGTTCCTCCTCCTCCTCCTCCTCTTCCTCCGCTCGTCTGCATTGGCGTGCTTTCGACGACGGCGATGGTATTGCACGTGTCTGGAACTCTTCTCGGGGTACCGTCTATGCCTCCACCAAAGTGCGATGTTAAAGGCGTGCTCTGCACGGCAAATCTGTCACCTCGAGCTATGCCGCCATTTTTCGAAGGAGGCAAAGGCGTTTGTAAAGGCTGTTGAGAAAACGCGTGCGTCAACTGTCGAGGCTTAATGCCGCCATTTCGAGAGGCGCCGATAACGGTACCATTCGTGTTCTTCGCGAACCTATTCTTAGAAACGGTGTTCAAACCTCCCATCATGGCGTTCTGTTGCATGTATACATTTCTGTTACTCGCACCGTGTCTGTTGCTAGTTTGCAAACGAGACGCCTCGTTTTGACGCTCTCTCTTCTGTTGGGCAGCTTTCGTTCTCGGCGAGAGCGGTTTATGCTCTATGACGCGCGTTTGATTCGAGCGAACCGAGTTGAGAACTTTCTTTCGAGCTTGTTGTTGAAACGCCGAGGAAGCGGATGAGGTCGACGGTTGCGCCTTTTGGTGATGATGCGAAAGCGCTAAAGCGGTGCTGCTGTTCAAATTCGTTTGACCACCACCACCACCCAACTTTCTCGGCGAACGACGGAGACCGACCGTCTGTTGATGTTGCGTCAGAGTTTTCTTATTTTTTGCCACCGGTGGTGGAGAAAACGGAACGAGACTGCTCTTTTTCGCAGCGGCGCTTTTATCTTCGTTAACGTTGAGATTATTCTTTCCGACGACGAGTTGGTATCGAGAAGTCAATTTTGTCGAAACGTTGAGATCGTGCGCTATCATCCCGATGCATTCTGGGCAGAACTTGCCGTAATACGGTTCCACGTCGGATTCAAGAAGTGTTTTTGTGCCTTCCTCGAGTCCAAGAAGGAAGAATATTTCCTTGACGAGCTTTGTGACCGCTTTCGCCGTCTCTTTGGCGGAAGCAGAATCTTCTTGGATTTCTTGCTGCTTCCGAGAGGTCTTTTTCGCTCCAGATGCGCTGTTGGTCACCGGTTTCATATTCGCAATGAACGGTATCTCGTCGCCTTTAATCGAACGCATCGCATGCAAAGTCAGTTTTAAATGAATTTGAATGAGATATTCTCGTCTCTTCAATCCTTTGTTTTCTTGCAGCTTCATAGATCCGGCGGAGAATTTCGATTTCAACTCCTTTCGATCCAAGCACAAAGTTTCCTTGGTTTCTCTTAAAATTTCACCCCATGCTTTGCTATTGCTCGCCTGGTCTACGACACATCGGCGTTTTGCAAGCGAAACCGCGAGTCTTTTGACGATATTTCTCGAAAACGCTCCTAAATCTGGATCTCGTTCGTCGTTCGGTTTCGCGCATTTGGTTTCGATAAACTGGTCGTACGTCCCTTTTGCGGCGGTAAAACAATCCGGCTCCGGACCGACCGTCCAAAGTTCAATCTTCGTATCTTTCTTTTTCTCTACCGGCGTGGTGTTCGTGCTCTTTGCAACTTTTCGTCGTGGACTTTTGAACGTTTTCTTCGGCGAAAACACCACGTCGTCTTCGTCTTCAAAGTTCACCGCGGCAGTTTGCTGCCGTTTCTTTCTACCTTGCCTTGCAGGCGAGAGAAGGCCGCGACCACCGTTTGGAGTACCAACAGTTCTTTTTTTCCGTTTCATCGCTGACAGCGGCGGGCTTTTCGGTAAATCGAACGCGTTGGATTGATCGCGCACGCGCGTAAACTTTCCCGGCGAACGAGGGTCCTCGTAGTCAACCATACCGTCAAATCCAGCATCCGAACTTCTCTTCGTTGTCGATATAAACTCGTTCTCGAAGCGCGCGTCAAGCGCGTGAAGGAGCGAAGATGTCGCATCATTTAATGGTGGAACTCCCCTGATCTTTTTCGCAGAACGGGAAATGGATGCACGCAGTCGCATACCCGCTGTCGCCGTCGCTGTCGCAGCCGTCCCCGAAGAAGTAAAAGAGCGTTTTTTACCATCCATTTCAACGCCGTACCATTTTTCGAGACGCTCGACGATTGGCACCGAAGCAGATGCGTCTCTTGGCGTGATTCGCGTCGTCAAAGCTGCAAACGCGCTAGAATAGTACTCCCCTGTCGTATCTTCTTCTCTCCCATAATTGGCCGTCTCATCTTTTCCTTTCGAATCGTAGTCACCTTCCTCCATCACGACGTCGTCGAAATGTTCCTTCGCCTCTTCGAATGTGGTCGAAGTCGTGCGTTGTGACGATGGGATGTTCAAGGATGGTTCGTCTTCTTCGCAGTACTTGGTCAAACTCGTTGTCGTTGTCGTTGTCGTTGTCGTCGTTGTCGCCGTGTGCGTTGTTGGCGATATTCTTTTTGATCCGCCAATGGTCAGTTGAAAAAGTCTGGAAACGTCTTCGCACGCTCGAAGCCTTTTCGTCTTAAATATACCTCCGCTGAGCAGAGAAAATGCATCCCTCAAATGTTCTGAGCTGTAACGATACTGTTGATGTTGTTGTTCTCGAGCGTTTCGCTCGCCCTCTTCGCTTGCCGTTATTTCTCGAAAGATTTCACTCTCGTCCGCGAGAGCAGGCGTTAAACTGAACGACGTTCGTGTCAACGGTTTCAAAACCGCTACTATTCTTTGCTCTCCGTCCTGCTCGACATCGCCATACTCTTCGTTGGAATCTGCGATAAGTTCACACGCGGCGTACGCGTTCTTTACGCCCAACGCGAGGAGCAATCCTTCACCGTTTCCATCGTTCACGTGTAATATCGTCGTTTTCGCGTAATCTAAACTCGATAAACATACTGCGTTACGATCGAGACACGCTTTGATGATTATTTGTTTCACACCGGTGTTAGAATTCTGGAAAGAAGATGAAGCCATACTCAGAGAAACTTCGCGACCGTCGCCGCATTGAACGAAAATTTCAGCCGTTCTCATCGTCTTCGTCTCCCTTTTTGTCATCGACGGCGAAGGATCGCTCTTGTTCGCGATGGTATCGCTCGGTAAGAAATCATTCAAAAGCCAACACGATGGAACGCTGGTAATTGCTGACGTTACCGCGTCTGCGCGAGCCGCACAACCGCCAAATCGTTCGCGAAACAACGCGAAGTATTCTCGCACATCGTCGTTATCACCATCGTTCGAAACAGAATAGTTCGTCGCGAGTCGCAGACAGTGCGCTCGGATATTCTCGCGCTTCAATTGTGTCTCAACGCCGCGGAAGCCGGCAAAGACTCCCTGATCAATTCTATGTTCTTTATGTTTCTCTGATTGTACATTAATATCCGCATTATCGTCGTCATCACCATCCATGTTTGCCAAAACGACGAGCATTGAGTATTTCTTCTTCCTCGCTTCATCCTCGTCCAAGTCGTCGTCGTCGTCGTCGTCTTCATCCTCGTCACTCTCTGTGATACCGGCGATGGCGCCGTCTCTTTCTTCAGTATCATCCGAATCGCTCGTTTCTACATCACTTTCATCGTAATCATCCGAGAGTGCGTTCGTCATAAAAGCATCAACTTCATCGTCCTCGCCGTCGTCCTCGACATCATCATCCTCTCCCTCCTCGTTTTCCTCTTCTTCTTCATCCGGTTTCTCCATATCCGCCAGCGCTTGCAACACGTGCTTCGCCAAGTTCCCGAATCGCTCTCGCTTCTTCTGCCTTTTCAATTCACCGCTCCTCCTAGTATTTTCCACGCAATCACTCAACATCATCTTTCCTTCTTGGTGGTCGTTTTCATACTCCAGAATCTCCGTCAACTTTTCGTACACACGTAAAAACCGTCCCGCGCTCTCCGCCGTGATCGAACGGAAGCGGCCAATCGCCGCCGACGACTCGGATATCATCATCTTCTTCTTTGTCTTCTTTTTCTCACGAAACCCGCTAAATCCTCCTCGTGTTTTGTGACCCTGCCCTGCGCCACCGAGAAGAGAACTGTTCGTGGTGGTCGTCGTCGTCGTCGTCGTAGTAGTAGTAGTATTCGTTTCTTCCTCCTCTTCTTTGTCTTCTTCGTCTTCTCTTTGCAGTTGCACAATCGCTCGTCTCACGAATCCATCCATCTGCGAGGGCGTTTTCGACGCGTCGTAAAATCTCGCGCAAAACTTGGTTTCGGTGCACGTCGTCGACAGCATCCTCTCCTTCTTTGTCTTCTTTGTCTTCATTCGTCGTCTTACTCGTCGTCCTCTCTCGTCGTTTACCTCGTTCCCATCGGAATCATCATCGACGCTAAAAACATCACATCTCGGCGCCAAGAAACGCTTGACGAACAACTTCGCGACCGAAACCGACACCCTCGCTTTAGAGGAAACGTCTACGAGGAGAAATATCCGATCGGGAGGACGAGAGGAGGAAGAATCGGTGCGCCGCATTGGTGGTGTTGCGCGTGTTTTTGTGCCGCACAATTTTGAATTTTACGAGAAAAAGAATGAGGAATTTAATTGAACGAAACACTTTTGCCTCAGAGAACCAGAGAAGCGGCGTTAGCGACGCGACGCAGTAGTCCTTCCTCGTTGCGCGCACGCGTCGTTGCAGAAGAAAGAAAGAAGACCTCTCTGCAAAAGCGAAAGCGCTGGTGGTAGTGTGTGTGCTTTGCGTTTCAAATCGCACGGAGGTGCGTAGTATTACAAATATCTCTTCTTTGTCCGTCCGTCTTCGCGGGTGGTGCGCGTGCGATATCCGACCAAAGGCAGCCTGAGGACTTGTTCCGTTGGTTTTCACTGTTTTGCACGACACCATCACACGTTCAGACGACAAAAAAGCCGTTCATATATCGCGCCGTAGTGTATCTCTCTCTCTCTCTTTTTACTTCTTTTTCGGCGCTTGTTGTCCTCCTCCTTTGTTGGTGTTCGGAAACCGCGCGGACTTTCCCGATTGCTTCATCTGGGCTTGGGATTTCGGCACGTTTCCATTCACGTCTCTCGACATCTTAATACCGGACCATACGCCGGTACCTTGCATGGAATCAGTCGCGCCGACGGCGTAGGCGATACCGTCCGCGGCTGTTTTAATGGATCAGAAAATAGGCATGGTATGTGTGCTGTTGGAGTTGTGATGTGCGAAGATGTTTACGCGTGATGATGTGGATAAAATCTGACGTCACGCGTCGTGTTGTTCGAGAAGAAGGAGCGAGAACGCGAGAGATATACCATCTCGAACATTCGAAGAAAGACGCGAGAAAAACGCACGTAAACACACGTAAAACATTGCGATGATGATGAGAAGAAAAGGTGTCGTTGTTATTACTCGTGGTACTGTTGAATACTGTTGGTTATTACACGTCTATGACTGCGTCTTCTCTCTCCCACGACGACGAGGAAGAGGAGGAGGAGGAGGAAGCGTCGGCGGGTAGTCACAGCACGGCGACTAACTCGACGTCAAACTTCAACGTCGCGTTCCCTGGGATGACCCCACCGGCGCCTCTCGCCCCGTACCCTAACTCCGGTGGTATGATTAAAACTCGTTTCCCTCCTACTTTCATGCCTTCGATGCCTTCGGCGCCGAGTATGCCGTCGTCCCAGCCTTGAATCACTTGCCGAACGCCGACTTTAAACTTTAACGGACTCCCTCTTTCGTACGAACTATCAAAGGTCCTCCCGTTCGTCAAACGACCCGTGTAATGCGCTTGAATCGTTTGCCCTTTCTGCGGGGAGGCCCCCGTGCCGACGACCACGTCCGCGTATTGCATCCCGCTCGCCGCCGTGCGGAGTTCCGAGTCTTCGTACTGAAACTCCGGTAACTTGGCAAAAGCACTCGAACTTGTTTGAAAGAACGCCGCCGAGGCGGTAAAAATTGAAGCCGCACCAGTCACGAACGCGCGCCTAAACGTATTCGTATTCGTAGCATTCCTCTTAACATCATCGTCATCGTTCTCATCGCGCATCCTCGCCGCCGTCCCGTTCTTAAGCGTCCGACGCTGCAACGGTGATGTGGTTGTTGTTTTTCCCGGCATCATCATCGCACGTTTCTTCATCGAAGAAGAAGAAGAAGACAAAGAAGAAGTTAAAGCTTTAGAGGCGGAAAAAGCAGAAGACGTCGTTCTCGTCTGCGTGCAAAAGGAGTAGGTCATCGCGTATTCCTCGTCGCGCGTATGTGTGTATGTTTCTCTCGCGTAAAATGGTACACAAAAGTTTGGGAAATGTCGACATTATAAACCAAAGAGAAGAGGTTTGCACTGAGAAGAACAGAAGCGATACGAGAGAGCGATGTCCTCCTCCCAATCGCTGAACGACGATGAAACGAATGCTTTTTCTTTGCTGCGTACCCCGAAATACTTTGTCCCCGAAAACGAGGACTCTTCGTCGTCTTCTTTCGTCGACAAAATCATCCCAAGAGGAGGACGCGGATTTGGAGACGAAGCGGATGGATTCGAATTGGATTCCTTTACGGAAGCGTTCGACGCGTCCACGTCCAAACTCTCCGAAACGCTCGAACACATCGACTCAGCTTTAGATTGGACGAACAATCCTTTACGATTCGTCTTTGCCACGTTTACGGTGTGCGCGACAATCACGTGGTTCGGCTACGCCGGAGATAACATGCACTTGCACAGACAAGCGGGGAGTTTAGCGCACTGCGGAGGGTTGACGCGAGAGATGACGTGGACGAGCGGGATGATTTGTGGGAAGAGAATTGGCGGTGTGGTGTTACTTGTATACAGATTGATGTGTTTCGTGTTGTGTTTGATGTATTGTTACTATGAAAATGTTGCTTGGTTTCTGGCGTGTCTCGGGCGAGCGCCGAACGAGTTGGAAGCGTACGCGGAGTATTACGAGTGGACGGTGTTAGTGCTGGCGGCGTTTTTCGGGGTCGCGACGGTGGCGAGTTTTAAAGGCGTGTTTGGGTATTACGCGAGAGAAGATTCGGTGAAATTCGTGGGGCATTCTGGGAAGACGAATAGACTCGGACATTGGGTGGTGACGTTGTATTCCACGGCGTTTACGTTGGCGTTGGCGTTGGACGCGTACGAGTGGGCGAGGATGATTTTTTTACCCAGGTGTGCGGCAGACGACGAACAAGGAAAGCTGGAGACTTTGCTCGATCCGAAAGCGAGGGAGTGTTATTTAAACGAGCGGTATTATTTCGCGTACGGAATTAACTTGATTTTGTTATTCGGCGAGGCGTGTTTAGGCCGGTTGACGTTTCCAAAGTGTTATTTAGGCGCGCCAATTTTCGCGTGTTGTTTGTACGTGTTAGTCGTGGATGTCATGCACGGGTACTTTGGAATGCAATGGCCGACGGAGGCGATCAACGTCATGCGATGGCAGGCGTGTTTTAACGTCAACGCGATCATTTTTGGAGTCTTTTTCGTGCACTTTGTTTTAGTGTGGACGTTGGGAAAGACGAAACGATTCTTCGCCAAAGTCTTGTTCGATGATTTCGACGAGAGAACGCCGTTGTTCATGTAAATAATAGCAGTAGCAGTAATAATAGTAGTATAATAGTAGTGCGTGTAATATTCTTTATAAAAACATTTTAACGCGTCTTTCTCTTCCTCAGAGAAGCAGCGCCGCCTAACACCTTCCCTCTTTGCTTCAACATGTACGAAAACAACAACGGCCAACCCCACATGTAACAACTCATAAACACCTTCATCAACGTCGGTCCGTGCAAACTGACATTCATCGCGTTCGGCATTTGCAACACGTCCAACTTCTTCGATTTCCCCAACGGCCCTATGCTCGCGTAGGCCAACGCATTCTCACTCGCCACGCCGAGCGGGTACAAGACCAAAAACAGCGAATACCGCAACCACACCAAAACTTTCGGAGGTCCACTTTTCGGCGATAGAAGTTTGAAGAAATAAAACGAGTATCGAACAACCTCGGTGATACCCCAGGCGATGCATAAAGTTTTCACGTTCACGCCCATCTTCAAAACATGCGAGAGGAACGACGACGACGAATTCAGAGGCCACTTCCCACCCTTCACCACTTTCCCAATCACAGCTGCGAAATCCAGATTCGCTTTCCTCGTTTCCGGCGTCATCACGAGCACCGCCCAAAACGTCCAAATTCTCGAAAACACCTGAAAAAACGTCAACAGAACCGGTGATTTCACGAGGCCGAAAAACGCGTGCGCGATTTCCATCACCGCCGCCGTTTGTGCTATCATTAAGATTGGGGACGTTTTCTCGTACACGTTTGCAAAATGTCGAGTTTTAATCGTTTCCACGAGCACTTGGAGCCAAAGAATAGCTAAAGTGAGATTATAAAAGAGTAGATAATACTTCACAGCAGCACTCGCAGTACTTTTAGCCATTGTTGTATCCTTCGTATTATATGCAGTATTAGAAATTCGTTTAGTAATAGTAGTAGGGGTAGTACTACATATGTGTCAAGTGAAAATTCTTCCCCTGAAACAAAAAGAACCATGCTATTTTAGGGTTTCAAATAAACCCTAAACTTCTCCGTGGAGAAAAGACTAATCCACTCGCGAAAGCGCCATACCTCGCGCTTTATATATACACGTGTATTCTGTATATATCCTCTCTAAACTCTCTTCAAAACAACAATCTCCTTTTTGTTGTTTCGTCGCGTGATATTTATGCGCACCACTGCGTCCGCTTTTCGCCAGCAAACTTCGCGGTTCTTGTTGCGTCGAAGTTTTTCTCAAAGCGCGTCGTCGTCGTCGTCGTCATCGGTGAAACGCATCGTCGAGATTTCGTCCACGTCGTCCTCGGCGTCGAGGAGCACTTCTCTCGCGTCGAAGCAAAAGTCCCCTGAAGCTGTAATTTCGAGGAAAGGAGGAAGAAGAGCGCGAAGTTCCGTCGCGATGAACGCCATCGCGGACGAAGTCACCAAGGAAAAGCCGAAAACGATTTACTTGAAAGATTACCAAACGCCGGCGTACGAGTTCGAGCACGTGAACTTGTCTTTTCAACTGAACGAAGAACACACGACGGTTTCATCTTCGATCGATGTTCGCGTCCAACGTAAAAAGGAGACTTTATTTTTACACGGCGATAAGAGCATGCAATTGGACGCGGTTCTCGTGAACGGGACGCAAGTTGCGGACGAGCGGTTGACGCGAACGAACGCCGGTTTGTTCGTGAGCGGGTTGCCGGAGGAAGATTTTACGCTCAAGATTGTGACGACGATTAAGCCGCAAGAGAACACCGCTTTGGAGGGTTTGTATAAATCGAGCGGGAATTATTGCACGCAGTGCGAAGCGGAAGGGTTTCGTCGAATTACGTTTTACCAAGACAGACCGGACGTGATGAGTAAGTTTACGACGAGAATGGAAGCGGCGAAGGATAAGTACCCGGTGCTGTTGAGTAACGGGAACTTGATCGACAGCGGAGACGCGGACGGTGGAAGACATTTCGCCGTCTGGGAAGATCCGTGGAGGAAACCGAGTTATTTGTTCGCGTTAGTTGCCGGGAACTTGGCCAAGATTGAAGATTCGTTCACAACCATGAGCGGCAAGAAGGTGGATTTGAGGATTTACACCGAGCCGCATAACATCGACAAAGCCGATCACGCGATGGTGTCGTTGATTAAGAGCATGAAGTGGGACGAAGATACGTTTGGGTTAGAATACGATTTGGAGTTGTTCAACATCGTCGCCGTGGATGATTTCAACATGGGTGCGATGGAGAACAAAAGTTTGAACGTGTTCAACTCGAGATTGGTTTTCGCGACGCCGAAAACAGCCACGGATGCAGATTACGCCGCGATCGAAGGCGTCGTCGGACATGAATATTTCCATAACTGGACGGGAAACAGAGTCACGTGCAGAGATTGGTTTCAATTGTCTTTGAAAGAAGGTTTGACGGTATACAGAGACCAAGAGTTTAGTTCGGACATGAACTCGAGAGGCGTGAAGAGAATCGGGGACGTTTCAAAGTTGCGAGCCGCGCAGTTCCCGCAAGATTCCGGGCCCATGGCGCACCCGATTCGACCGGAAGAGTACATCAAGATGGATAACTTTTACACCGTGACTGTTTACGAAAAAGGCGCGGAAGTTGTGAGAATGTACGAATCGTTGTTGGGCAAAGACGGGTTCAGAAAAGGTATGGACTTGTACTTTGAACGACACGACGGGTGCGCGGTGACGACGGAAGATTTCTTCAGCGCCATGGCCGATGCGAACAATACCGATTTGAGCGCGTTCAAGCCGTGGTATCAACAAGCCGGAACGCCAATCGTGGACGTGAAAACGTCCTACGACGCGTCGACGAAGACGTTTACTTTGAAAGCGACGCAGACGGTGCCGGCGACGCCGGGACAAGACGCCTCTCAAAAGAAGGCGGTGTTGATGCCCATCAGAGTTGGTTTATTGGACAAATCTACCGGGAAAGACATCGAAATTGCCTCCGTGAACGGCGTCGCGCAAGAAAAAGGCACGACGACGGCGGTTCTACGATTCGACCAAAAAGAACAAACGTTTACGTTTGAAAACGTCGAACAAGACGTCGTGCCGTCCATCTTGAGAAACTTTTCCGCGCCGATTAAAATGACGACGGATTTAGAGGAAGGCGACTTATTGTTTTTGATGGCGAACGATTCCGATCCGTTCAACAGGTGGGAAGCTGGTCAAACGTTGTTTCGATCTCTGTTGGTGAAGTTAATCGCGGACGAGACGAACGGGAAGGCGCTGGAAATGAACACGAAAATTACGGACGCGTTGAGAAAAACCATCGAAGGCGCAAAAGCGGCGGACGCGGATAAGGCGTTCATCGCGAGAGCGATGATGGTGCCGAGCGAATCCGAATTGGTCGAAATGCTCGAACCAGGGACGGTGGATCCGGACGTGGTCAAAGCAGCCAGGAAGTTTGTCATGAAATCGTTAGCGGCGGATTTGAGGCCGCTGTTGGAAGAAACGGCGAAGGCGAACTCGGCGCCGGCGTACAAAAACGAACCGGCGGACCGAGCCATGCGTTCTCTCAAGAACACGTGCTTGGGATACTTGTCCTACGTGGACGCGCCTGAAGTCGCTAAAGACGCGTTGGAGCGATATCAAAACGCGGACAACATGACGGACAAAATCGCCACCCTATCGGCGCTTTCCGACAAAGTCTGCGCCGAGAGAGAAACAGCCTTTGATGCTTTTTACCAAGAGTGGCAACACGACCCCTTGGTCATGTGCAAATGGTTGAGTTTACAAGCCGCATCGGGCGTCCCGAACAACTTGGGGAACGTCAAAGCGTTGTTGACGCACCCGGCGTTTGACATCAAGAACCCGAACAAAGTGTACTCGTTGATCGGCGGCTTCATGTCCAACCCGACGACGTTTCACCAAAAAGACGGTCAAGGCTACGAATTCTTGGCGGATGTTATTTTGCAATTAAACGATATCAACCAACAAGTCGCGGCGAGAATGGCTGGTGGGTTCACGCGATGGAGAAAATACGACCCGAGCAGACAAGCGCTCATGAAGAAACAGTTGGAAAGAATCATCGCCACGGAGAATTTGAGCGAAAACGTTTACGAGATCGTGAAGAAGTCGCTCGATTAAACTTTTTTTTTTAAGTCAAACAAACTACACACACGCACAGGAACAAACTACATAATATACTACTGCTACATGTACTTCAACTACAACTACTACGTACGACGCGAAATCTAAAACATCGACGCGTTTATTATTAATACAATGCGGACAAAAACTGTTGCGAATATCTCGCGTTCGTTCTTTTCACTCTGACGTTCAGAAGCAAGTGTACGCGCCTCCCTAAAAGCGCCTCCAAAACGTGTCTCGCTTTGACGCCGATTTGACCAATCGTTCGTCCATCTTTGCCGACGACTATTTTACGATTTCCTCCAGATTTTACAAATAAATCGTGTTCGATTCGAACGGAACCGTCTCGAAAGTCTTCCCAGGATTTATGGACGATTTCGATGCCGTAGCAAATTTCTTTGTGCACTTGGTCGTAGACGGATTCTCGAACGACTTCAATCGCTCGACTTCGATCGTTCATTGCGGTAGATTCGGAAGGGGAGTAGTCCCAAGGTCGAGGTTTGGCGAGAGAGATGAGGTGGTTGAATAAAGTCTCGGTACCTACGGAGTGTAGCGCGGAGACTGGGAAGGCTTTAGAGAAGGTCTTCTTCGGGTCGGTCGCGAGCGATTGGATGAGCTCGGGGAGTTGTTCCGAGCGCTTGCTTCGATCCATCAAATCGACTTTGTTCAGGACTAATATTCCCGGCGGCGGGGCTGCTTTGTTCGTCACGACATCGTCCTTTTCATTCTCCTCGTCTTTTTCTTCATCTTCGTCTTCCTCCGGGAAAAGAAACTCCTCGTACCGTAGCTTTCTCATCTGCTCCGTCATGGCGTCGATCGTCTCTCTCACTCGCCAATCCGCTTTCTTCGCCTGCCTGTTCGCGTCCACGACGAACAGAATCGCATCGCAAGTGCTCGCCGCCGCCCACCCTGAAGTCACTTTACTCTCGTGCGCTCTGTTTCTGTAATGTTCCGGCCCAACAATCCCGGGTAAATCGAGAAACACCACCTGCGTGTCATCTCTCGTCGTCGTCCCGATCGTTTCCATCCTCGTCGTGTTCGTCTTTCGAGACACCGCGGAAACTTTCGCCCCGACTAACGCGTTCACCAACTCCGACTTCCCGGCGTTCGGGACGCCTAAAATGCCCACCCGTATCGATTTTTGCCGTTCGATCGGCACCGATTCCTCCGCTCCTCCTATTTCTCCTCCTCGTTCTTTTTCCTCTTCTTTTGCTTCTCCTCCTCCTCCTAAAACTCGATTCCAATTCGCCGCTCTCACCGCCGCGTGCGCTCGTTTCGTCGTCCGTTGCACGTCGTCCCTGATGATCTCCTCTCTCGTTCGTCGATCTTTTTTCTTCCTCTCTTCTTCCAGGAGAAGTTCTCTCTCTCTTTCCTCCGTTAAAGAAGACTTTGATGGTCGAGGGGTAAACTGTACCCTCGGGAAATCTTTGTTGTTGTTGTTGTTGTTATTCGCATACCGTCGCTCTTTCTTCTGATACAGATGTCGAGCATTCGTATTGGAAGAAGAAGAGGCGAACGACCGAGAGAGACAACATCGAAACTCGCTTTTTATGATGGTCTTCTTTCCTCTCCTGAGCAGCAAAGCCGTCAGCGTTGTTGCCATCTCGGACGAGAGAATTTTCTGTGTGGAGTTCTTTGGGCCGTCGAATTGGAAAAAAAACAGTCCTCTCATCATCATCATCAACTCAACATCACCGGAACCCTAACAAAGCGGCGATGAACGTGACCCCGATCGAACCGCCGATGCCGAAAAGAAATATCGTGCCCATGTTCACGAACATCACGTTTGGAGGAGACGAGGATGAAAAAATGTCATCTTCTCGATGATGATGATGTTGAAGCGCATTTCGTTGTTGGCGTTGTAACGGTTTGGGATCCCCCAGCGCGGTCGTCTCGTTCGTTCGCGTGTTCCAGAAGTACGTCTGACCACTCGCATCGTCGAGGACTTCTTTCCAATCGTCGTCTGAATCGTCGTTTCGCGTTGGGACGACTGCTTTTATCATCGCAGATGCTCGTTTGTTGGTTGGTTTTTTCTTCTTCTTTTTGAAAGCAGCAGCAGTGTTGTTGCCGTAGGACGCGCGGAGGACGAACTCGATCTTCGAACGATGAAAGTCATACTCCGGTGGCGAACGTCGTTTTGAAAGTATCTCTGGGGCTATTTCTAACGATGAGGGAGAGATGCGTGCGATGCGTTTTGTGAGTTTTCTCGAGTACGCGCGCAACATGTCGTTTATTCTGAAGTATATTTCTATTTCGTAATTGAGATGATGTGTTACAATTTTTCGCGACCTTTCTCTCTACTACTCTTTATTCGTTTCCATGCGCATCAAACATCATCAACGCTCACATAATCGCTTCCTTTATTCATCTCTCTTCTTATTATTATCAATACCGGCGGTATTGAGAGGTAGAGGAATAATTACTGTGATCTCGATCTCGATCGCGATTGTGATCTCGGTCTCGATGATGGTGGTGGTGGTGGTGATGGTGATGATGATGGTACCCTCCTCCACCGCCGCCACCACTACCGGTACCTTCGCCGAGGTGCGCGCCGCTCGCGACGGCGTGCGCCAACTGGTACGTTTTTGATAACATTCCTTTTGTCCGTTCGATGAGTTGGTCGTGCGGGGTGTGCGTTTCAGTCATCATCGTCACCACGCCTTGGTCCATGTCAATTTTCGCTCTAAGTTTGCTCGTTCGAATCAAGTTTACGATCCATTTTTCCGCAGCTTCGGTGTCCAAGTTCAACTTCTTGGCCAATTCTTCGATTTTGATTGTTTTTTGAACTCTGCAGTACGTTTCGAAGATGTGCATTCGCGCGTGTTCGTTGAACTCGTCGACGAATTTCGAAAGGAAAAAATCGTTTCGCATCATCGCTTCGCAGTTTTCTAAAGCTTTTTGCGCGGCGTCGAAATCGAATTTCACAAACAGTTGGTCGAAGAATTCCAACATCGGGTCTCTGTACGGTTCCACTTGCATGATTCGGGAGATATCTTTGATCATCCCGCGTCTTCGTTTGCTCATGATGACCGCACACGCGCAATATCTCAGCAAGTGCGGCGCTTCGTACTGAATCGCTTGCATGTATCGCTCTTGGAAAAACATGTCGCACAAACCCAAAATTCCGCCGCCGTGCGGTTGGTGTTCTTGGTGGTTAAAGAACACGAATAAACTCCAGTGACACAACCAACATCGGTTGCGCATTTGCTCCAAACTCGTTTTGAAGTGACCGTTATCAATGGCCTCTCTCAAGCGCGTTAAATCCTCCATCGCGTGTTCCCAGTTTTGTAACAAACAATCCGAGGCCAATTTCCCCCACAACGCGGCTCTTAGTTTCCCTTGATCTTCGCTCAGCAAACGAAACTGCCCCAACAACTCCGCGGAAATCTCGTACTTCCCGCAATCGAACTGATATTTCGCGTATTGAAACAACCCCTCGATCTCTTCCTCTCCCACGGAGTGCTGTTCTTTTAACAAACTCTTATTCGCTCTTTTGTCCGACTTCGACAACGTCTTGCCGTGTTCTTTCAGAAACGCGAGCAACTTCGAGCACGTATCGCTCACACTCTTCAAAGAAGAAATAACCTCGGTTCTCTTTTGCTTCATCTCCTCCGGAATATCCGACGCGTTGTTGATTTGCTTGTACAAATCCCCGGCGAGATCGACCATGCGCGTTTTCGATAAAAGTTCCATCTTCGCCCGCGAAACCTCCGCGGAATCGAAGAGATTTTTCGATTCGATGAATTCAATCATCGGGTAGGACAAATGGCGGTCCAAGTACTCACCAATCTGTTCGTAATTTTAATCGTATATAACGTAACACAACGAGAGCGAGATAAACGAGAGGAAGAAAAACAAGGTCAGCGGATGATGATGATATAAGTCTCGCGCTCCTTTCCCGCGGAAGTTGGAGAGAGACGAGACAAAGACACACGAGAGAAGTTTCAAAGAAGTTTACGAACAACACAACACACACAACAAACGAGGGCTTTTACCTTGGTCGTCAGATCCCACCGTTTCGGGTCCTCCTCGCTCATCTTTTACTTGAATTCTACTACTAATAATAGTACTATTATATATACGTATAGTTTCTCTGACGAACGCTTTTCTCTGTCTTGTGATCTCTCTCTCAACCGTCTTTCAAAAGTTTCTTCCGTTCCTTTCAAAACAACCACAGCCTCGTTTCGCTTTTCACAAAACTCTCCGTGGTTATTATCGATGATGATGCAAAAGAGCGTTCAGTGATGTGTTGCTTTAAAAAAAACGAAAAGGAACACAAGAGAGAGAGAGAGAAAAAAAACAGGAGAGTGAAAAAAAAAAAAAACTGATACCCTAAATAAAAAAATGGTTTTGTCGAGATGATTTCTCTGCCGTGAGTTTGGGAAGATTTTTACATATCTTTCGGTCTATCCTGTTTCCTAAAACGTCACTGTGCGAATTCAACAACAGACGCGCGCAGTTATCATTTATTATTATTATTTATACCACTATTGAGAGAGAGAGAGAGAGAGAAGACCTGTAAGTATATATATAGTGTCTCGTGTAAGGCTGCGTTTTGCACGTGTTATTTATTGTGGTGTCGTACGCGCAAAAGTAAAATTATATCTCTTCGTGTTGAAGAGAGAAGAAAGAAAAATGAGATATCACGCCGAGGACGAGGACGCGAGAACAAAAACGATGCAGACGACGACGAGCAGTGGCATCGGCGAAAGCAGAGGACGACGACCGCCGTCTTTTTCCTCCTCGTCGTCGAGAAGAAGAGAAGGAAACAAAAACGACACCAAGGAGAAAAAAGATGTTCCGAAAATCACCGAGTTTTCTCTCACCGAGGAAGAAATGGCCAGACGAAACCACCAGCCGGTGCGCGTGTCCATGGACGAATCCAAAAGAGATGTCGTCCGAACGACGAAAGCTTTAATCGGCTCGCTCACGATAAAGTACTCGGTCGTGTGCCAAGAGGGGTGTTATCCGGATAAGAAGAAACACGCGAATCAAGACGCGTTTTGCGCGAGCGCGATGCACGGCGGGGAGAGTTTGTTGCTGGGCGTGTTCGACGGACACGGGCAAGAGGGGGAGTCGTGCGCGCAGATCGCGTCGAATATTTTCCCGCAGATTTTGACGCAGTTGAGCAGAGAAAAAGCTGAGAAGGTGAAGATGGAAATGACGACGATGAGAGGCGACGAGGAGGATGATGGTGATGGAGAAAACGAATCGGAGTCGGCGCAAACGGAGGAGGAACGGTTGATGAGATTATCTTCTTCCGGATCGGAAGCGAATACGAAACGAACGAATACGACGGCGAAGAAACGCGATCGATACAAGTTTTTAACGGAGACAGATTTGGAGGTGAAAAATCACTGCGATTCGCCGCAATCGAATTTGAATTCGCTCGCAGACCGAACGAAACGTGGTGGTTTACTATTCTCGGGAGGTTTAGGATTAGGAGGAGGAGGAGGGTCGTCTTCAAATTCGAACTCGTCCAGAGAAAGATCGGAAGAAGACTCGCATCGCGGCGAAGAAGGAAGCAGCGGCGCGGATATGGACATCAACCCTACGAATATGGTCGTTAAGGACAATGACATCAGTAGCCCCAGCTCGGGCAGAGCGAGTTACACCAGCGAAGACTACGACGATGATAATAATAATACCAAGACGACGAAAAAAGCTGGAACGAGAACGACAACACATTTTGACGAGCACATCTACTCCAACGCGTTTCGAACGGCCAATTCAATCGTCGTCAAAACGTTAGGGACCAAATGCTACGCCAGTGGAACTACTGCTGTGACGGCTTTGTTCGGAAAGGATAACATCGTCCGTTTTGGTAACGTCGGCGATTCGAGAATTATATGCGCGATGTCGGATTCTGACGTGATGACCCGGAACAAAAACTGGAAAGCTGTGCAATTGACTCGAGATCAGACGTGTTTTCGCCGAGATGAACGCGATCGCATGCGCAAAGAATCGAGTAAAGAGCTCTCGTTTGCGTCTATTGGGATGGTTTTGGGAGAGTGCGAGTTTCACGAAGATTTTGAGGAGACGCAAGATTTGCAAACCGGCGTAGCCGGCGAACGATGCGATGATCCTCCGAGAGTCTTTTTAGGCGGTCACAAATTTCCAGGTTGCGCGTTTACGAGATCGCTCGGCGATTCCATCGCCAAAGAATTGGGTGTCTCCGCGGAACCGGAGTTGACGCACCACGATCTCAACGATGGGAAAACGAAATGTATCATCATCGCCTCGGACGGCGTCTTTGAGTTTGTTTCGAACGAGGAAGTCGTTGGCATTTGCGAAGAGTTCTATCCGGATTGCGACAGAGCATCGAAAGAGATTGTAAAATTGAGCTATAATAAATGGGCAATCGAAGATGAACGCGCGGACGATGTTACGGTAATCGTTGCATACGTCAGCTCTACCAACGATGTGGATATGCTCGCGCGCGACGAAGACGAGAGTAGCGACGATGACGACGATGACGACGGCGACGATGCGTATCTTTCCTCCTCTTCTTCTTTGGACGACGGTGATGATTACGACGACGGTGCAGACGAAATCGACGAGAACTCTTCTCCTTCTTCCGCCGTAACGATTCGAGAGCGTCTCCAAAGCGTCAACATCTTTGGAAGAAGATGATAATAATAACAACAAAAAGTATATACTAATATTAATACGACGAAAACGATCGATGACGTTACGCGTATCATGATGTAAATTAAGAAAAATGTAAAACAGAAAGTTAAGTGTAAAAACGACGAATTTTGCGCGTATGTAGTGATGAGTGAGGCCAAGCGAGTGTTCGATCGATGAACGCGTTTAAAACAAATCCACTCACTGTGTAATGTTGTTGTAATAATTTTTATTTAAAAACTGCAATAATGAATTTTACCGCGCTCTAGTTTTCTCCGCCTCGACGATTTGTTCCGCCACGGAAATAGATACCGCCGCGTCTTCTAACTTTCCGCTTTGCGTCCCATTGCTCCCACCGGCGTGTGGATCCCCACTCGCGACGTCGATATCGTCCAACTCGTCCAAGGATTTGTACACCGGCAGCGACTCCTTCGTCGACGCCGTATATTCTCCATTCATCTCCTCGCCGCCGTGTTTATTTCTTCGCTTTAATTTTACGTGTAAACCGGTGGTCGTGTGAATGGTTGCCCCGGTGGTCATGCCACACTCGCCGTCCGGGTGAAACTTCGGGTCCAACTCGAAATCGAAGCGTCGCATGATCATGGCTAAAGTAACGATGGATTCAAAAATCGCAAACTGGTCTCCGATGCATTTTCTTTGCCCGCCGCCAAAAGGTAAATAGGCGAAATCCTCCGTGTACTCGTCCGGCGCTTTCCCGTCGACTGGGAATCGTTCCGGAATAAACTCCTCCGGCTTGTCCCACAACCTCGGGTTTCGGTGTAAATTCCAAACGGAGATGAAAAAATCCGTCCCTTCGGCGATGTCGTAGCCGCCCAATTTCACCGGTTCGATCGCTCGGCGAATCAACACCGGCGGCTGCGGATACAATCTCATGGACTCGTTGATCACTCTCGACGTGTATTTCAACTCCCTCATATCAGCCACCGTCGGTAATCGATCGCCGCACACTCGATCGACTTCCTCGAAGACTTTCTCCTTCACCTCTGGGTGTTTCGCCAATAAAAACGTCGTCCACGTCAACACCGCCGCGGTGGTTTCGTGTCCGGCGATTAACAAAGTCATCAAATCGTCTCTCAACTGTTTCGAGGTCACGTCGTCTCCAGACGCGATTAAAAAGTGCAAAATCGACGGGTCTTCCTTGTTCATGTATTCTTCGACGAACTCGTCGTCGGATTCCTCGACGATTTTCTTGCACCGTTCAATCAACACGTTCAAAGTATCGTTCACGACGACCAAGGCTTCTTGACACGCGCGTTGCCTCGGCACCAAATACGACAAAGGAGGCACCTTCCAATACGGAATAAACGTCACTGACCTGTATTCAGCCTCTCTCAACACCGTATACACGGCTTTAATCACGGGATCGTCCGTTTTCAACGAATCGAAATCGTAATTAAACACCGCCTTCCCGATGATATCCAACGCTAACCGCGAATAAAAGTTTTCCATCTCCACGGACGTCCCGTCAATCTCCGCCCTCGCCAACTGCGCGCTTCCTTTCAACCCACAATCGCCAAACATATCCACCATGCTCGCGACGTATTTTCGGTGCAACGCCGGGACGATAATCTTTCTGCGAATCTTCCACACCTCGCCGTTGGCCGGGATTAACCCTTGTCCCATGACGAAATCCAAAATCTCGGAAAGTAAACCTTTCGAGAACGATTTCGCCTGGTGCAACAGAATTTCCTTCGCGACTTTGTTATCGGAAACCACGACGAACTTTTTCGGCCCGATGGCCAAAACGAACTGTTCCCCGTACGCCAAGAAGAGTTTATACAGCGGCACGAACACCGGCTGCCCGGCAATCTCTCGAATATCGCCCGAAGCGACTGGCATTTGACTGTCCGCCTCTCGCTTCCATTTCTTTTGCGTTTTCGTCAGAGATAAAATCAAAGCCTTGATGATTGGACTTTCCGTCTCTTTAAACCCAGGCAAGGCGGATTTTATGGAATCCGCGACTTTGCGCAAAGGGCCGGTGGAGGCGTCTTTGGTGAACTCTCCCGAGGCGATGCGTTCTTCTAAAGTCATGTCATTTTTGTTCTTCTTTTTACTATTATTATTGTCGTCATCGTTCTCCGACATCGATTGAATCGTCGTTGCTTTTCTCGTCGTCGTTCTCGTAAACGTCGTCGTTCGTCTAAACGCGCGTCGTTGGTGTTGTTGTTGTCTCGATGATTTTGATGATGATTTCCCCAACAACGCAATCGATCGACTGCTCGCCGTCGTCGTCGTCGTCGTCGGGCTGCTGCAACAACACGCAGAGGACGCGCGCATGATGATAATAACGAGATGATTTACTCGAAGTTTTTATATAGTATAAAGAAACTTCTTTTGTTGCTCTCTCTCTCTCTCGTGTATGTGTGTGTATGTCTTTGTGGTAACAGATAACAACCGAGTTCTATGGATAAAGTTTTTCTCTCGTTTAGGGCAAAAAAAGAAATCCAACAATATCTTTTATTTGTAAGAGGCCCTTGAAAATGGTACGCGCCGCGCGCGTTATGATGAAGTCTCACGTTCTTCTCGCTGTACTCTCTCGACAAATTCAGCGTATTCTTCGTCCGTTGGTTCTGGGCACCCTTTTTCGAGCAAGTAGTGTACGCAGTCGGGGTGCTCTTTGTATCGAGCGTAAGCGACGTATAGAAAGTTGTTCAGAGGTGCTTTCGCCTCTTCGACTAAGTATTTGAGGCAATCGAGATTGCCAAACACTGCAGCGCCTAACACGAGGTCGAACTTCAACGCATCAGTTATGTTTCTTTCTTCGACGAAATATTTCACGATGTTTGTGCGACCATCTCCTGCCGCCTGTATTACAGCTTTTTCTTCCGTCTCTCGCGAAGGTTTCAGTTTGTCCAAAAGAAATCGAACACAGTCGAGGTGTCCTCCACTAGCAGCTAGTCTACACGACTTTTCTTCATCACCCGGGCAATCATTAGAGAAGCAGTACTTCAACATCTCGAGATTACCTTCATCTGCTGCCGAATTAATCGTCTTTTCATCCCACTCGCACTGTTTCACTTCTCTCGCCCACTTGAGGAACTCGAGTTTGTTCGTTCCAGCAACTTGCTCGCAAAACCAGGCTTGATCTCTCACCGTTCCATCTTCAAATTTCTCTCCCCAGGGAAAGTGATTCCACGCCCATGCCAACGTCGAAATGGATGAACATTCGTAAACAGCGCAACCTAATTTCGATACGTCTACCCCGGCGTACTTAAGCACACCCCGACTCTCACGATTCACCTTTGAAAAGAACCACCGATCTGTCCTATTCAATTTCGGAATCACATGCGATACAAACACATCCTTGTGATGCAACACCAATCCCGTCCACAGCTTGGTCGGCCCAAGCTTTAAACGCTCCATTTCCGCGGCGAGATCTTCTTTCTCCCTCTTCTTCTTCCTCTTCTGCGCACCGGAGAGTTGTTTCTTCTTCTTCTCACCGCCACCCATCATCGCATTTCTTTTTTTTTCCCACAGAAAAATTGGCGTTTACGAGAATTATTTGAGCGTTAGGGTGGACTGGATTTGAGTCACATGCGCATAGAGGAGAGTGAGTCGAAAGGAACATCATGCACACGTGTTTTAATAAAATAAAATGAATTCTCTTTCTTTGCACTCCTGTTTGCTATATATATCATCATCAATCATTCTTGTTCGTCGAGAGAGTTTGTGAAGGAATCTAAAACCTGCATCGCGAACTCGTAAACGCCGAAGGTAATCGCGCTACTCGGCGCGGATTTACACAATGCCGGGACTAAACCTTTGTAGAAACCGCGCACGCCTTCGGTTTTGATAATGGAGAGAACGAGCGGAAACGCTTTGTTTGCGGTTTCCGCGGCGCCGTACGAGGCGGCGCGTTTGAGACCGACGACTTGTAATCGCTTTTTCATGACGTCCAGAGGGTGGATGGCCACGCGCGCGCACGAACCGGCGAGGAAACCTTTCGCGAAATGGTTCAACTCGAAACTACTACTATTGCTACTGCTGCTTCTGCTACTACCACTACTACCACTATTATTATTATTATTATTATTATTATTACTACTCTCTTTACCGATTGAGTTCAAGTACTCGTACACGCCGAATTGCACCGACGTTGCCGGAATAATCTCAATCAAAGTAATCCCTAAACCGGCGTACAATTTTCGTCGTCGCAACAAACCAAAGAACGCATCAAATACTCCGTTATACGTTTTCGGTATCCCTTGAGACGCTAACTGCGTTCGGATGATATCGAACGGGTACGTCGCAACCGTCGCCGTCGCTCCGGCGACTGCGCCAAACACAAAGTTATTGTTCAAAAAACTTGATGATGATGATGATGAAGACAAAGAATAAGAAGAAGAATTCAACGCGTTCAACATTCCAAACTGAATCCCGGTGTACGGTATCCACAAGCACAGCGCCGGTATGGTTCCGGCCCACAGACCTTTCCTGATCCCTTCCTCTCTCGCAATCGTCGCCATCGCCGAGAACGCGCCTTTATATTTCGCATTCGTCAACGAATAGTTTTCTTTTTGTATTTGTAAACGGATTTTAATCACGTCTAAAGGTGCGACGAAAACTCTCGCCACCGCTCCGGCAAACGCGCCGGCGACGATTGGATTTATGTTGTTATTGTTGTTGTTATTCTTTTTGTTCGTTGAAGCTTCGCACTTTGATGGATACATTAAAATCATCGCCGTTGTTGCTGTTGTTGTTGTAATTACTGCTGCTGCTGTGACCAAAGATGATGATGGTAACCGAACTGATGATGATGCGCTTCCTCTATTGTTAAAACTTCCTCTCGTTGTATGTCTTTTATGATGATGATGTTTGTTATTGTTGTTGTTGAAGTTGAAATTGGAAACGATGAAGTTGTGTGTGTTGTTCCAAATCATAGTATAGATATGTTGAGATGATGATGTCGACAACACAACAACGGGAACGCAAACAAAAAAGTGGAGGAAGAGATGAGAGAGGGAGACTTTGTTTGTCGCGCGTTGGTGTTTTAAGTGCGTGTGTTTAAGTGTTTGTTGTGTAGAGTACTATGAGCAACACTGTGTGACGAATTTCAGCATGCACGGTTCTTTTTTTTTGTTTTACGCGTAGGGGGACCAGACGATGGACACGATTTTAAAAATTCTTTCAACCAACATCGAATCCTCAGAAATTATAAAAGGCATCTGAAGCGAAAGTAAACACGCGGGAGTCACTTATGAATGGCTCATCACCGCCCGAGGGCGACGTTTTTGCATCGATAGGAACGCAAGGTGTGTTTTACCGCGTTTTTTTGACTTCTTAGAACTTCGCGACGTCCTCGTCGCGCGCGGACGTCGAAAAACGAAATCACACACATGTGATTTCAAATTCAATTATCTTCAAATCCAAAAGATAGGCGTGTCTTCGCTTTTCTTCGTCGCTTCTGATGACTCGAAAGACCACGAAAGACCAAACAAAGACTCGAAGAGATGAAGAAAAGGAATGCGTCGCATTCTTTTGCGCTCTTTGTCGTTGGTTTTCGTCGGTCGCGTCGTCGTCGGGGGCGCATGCGTTTGAAATTTATTTTTTTTCTCCTCACCTGCATGAGAAGAGCTCTCTTTTGGTTTCGTCTCTTATCAAACTTCAAAAAAAAACACAAAGAGTTAGCCAAAAATGTGAACTCAAACCGCTAACCTAAATCCGCGCCTTTGGCGGCGTCCACTAACTATGATCGTCTCATCGAACAGATACAGTAGATCAAAGAACGACTACCTTGGTACAGCCGCGATATGAGACAAATTGGTGGAATCTGAGAGAAGATGATGGTATCCTTACCTCACTCTCAACTTTACCGCCACCACCACGGCCCGGAGGAAATCTTGATATTCGTTCTTCGAATCGGTCTTCTTCAAACAAGAAGAGGAAAGGGCGTCGCGAGAACAATAATAAGAAGAAGAAGTCCGTCACCGTCGCTGCGACCGCAGCTGCCGAGTTAACGCACTTGCGACCGACAGAACAACAACGCGCGACGAATCAGGGGATGAATAGAAAGGAGCGAGAGGAGGAAGAAAAGGAGGAGATGGAAGGGTACGAGTTTGATGACGACGACGAAGAAGAAGAAGAAGAAGAAGAAGGTGAAGATGACGAAGAAGATCGAAGAATTAATAATAGTGACTTCCCGACAGCGATAATCACAAAGGGTGCATACTATGAAAGTATGTACGAGCGCGAGCCGGTTCCGGATGATGATATCAAGGATAAAGAAGAAGAAGAAATAAAAGGTCTCGCGAAAGTGTCGGAAGAGGTTTTGAGGTTGAATCCAAAAACAGACGTTATTACGGATAAAAGAGCAGCGGGAAAGCAAACCTACGTACAGAGCTTGCAGAAAATCGCGATACGCGCGTACTTAAAAGCAGAATTGGATAAGTCTGACGACGATGAGCAAACGCGCGAAAAGGTGCGCGACGCAGCTCTCAAAGGCTTATTTGTGTATGACGAGCAAATCGAAACAAACATACCGAGTGTGGAGAAAGTGAAGTTTTTGTACTGTAAGTATGAAGATATCTGGGACGAGGAAATGCGTGAGACGAATCATTCCACGTTCTGGCCGATGTTCGGGAAAAAGGAGCTTGCTTTTGCCAAAGGTAAAATATTCCTCGATGAAGTCGTCATCGGCAGGGGCCATTTGGGCTCCGAGGAGAAAGATTCTCTTTTAAGAACCATTGACTCCTCTTTGGCCGAAAATCTTGAACCCGCGTTTGGTACAATGAAACGTAGGGCGGATGCCGCGGAATCGCTCGTTGAAAGAGTTCTAAAAAAGTTACTCGACGGGACAACTGACTCTTCTTCAGTAATGGACGAAAACAGTTTTATGTGTTTTTCTCCGGCGGCGGAGGATCCAAAAGTACTCGGTAAAGAGAAATTTGAAGAGTTCGCAAAACTGATCGATACTATTTGCGAATTCAACTCTCTTTCGCAGACGGAGAAAAAAAAGTTTGATGAAGGGTACAAAGCGGCGTACCAATCAAAACAGTCGACCATTTTGAATACCACGCGGATGATCTGCACAATAGATGGTGTAGGTGCGGATCATTTCGATACGACCTTCCGCACGCTCATTGGCGACGACAAGAACGGTGTTCCCAAAAATGTATGTTGCCGTCGCTACACCACGTTCGAAAAAGTGAAGAAGTGTGTGCTTAAAATGTTCGAAGAGAACAACAAAGAACTCGAAGTTTACTTCTTGAAACGATTATACGTGGTCAATTACGCCGTTGGCAATCAGAGCAGCCGCGCATTTTTACAGCCTCCCGATGACGAGGAGGAACAGTTCATCTCGTTCGTTAAACAAATGATTACCGATGAGATTGATTTCGTCGGAAACGAGAAGCAGTGCGCAACTGGAATGGAAAAGGATGAGATTGAACGGTGCGCGCGTAAGATTTTACCTCTCTACTGGAAGCACGTCGATCGTATGCACAAAGCGACTGAATTGGCGTGGAACAAAATGTTAAAAATTTCGAATAAAAAGCGATGTCTCATTACTTTGCACGTAGAGGCGACGCAGCGTATAGCTCCCGGCGATGCAATAGGCGAACGGGTTATCAAGCAGTACTGCTTGTCCGAAATGAAGCGTAACTTAGCCGAATATTTCGACTTTTGCGCTCGGGCGAAATTCGAGATGGTCGTGGGGTCGAGATGGCTTTTCCGCGACGTCATCATTGGCGGCATGAAAAAGCTCAAAATACAACGAGTTACAAGCAACGAGATGGAACAATCTAACGAAAAAGGGTACGCTGAAACGAAGTGGTTGAGCAAAAATCGCTTACATTCTGATGAACAACTCGCGAAGACGTGCTCCTGCGACGTGGACTGGCAAAATCTGTCGGTGGAAAGGTTCCACGTTAATACCGCTCCTTCTTCCGCGTCTCCGTCGCAGCACGTCGTTCTGGTGACAGTGCATGCGCATTTGTCCCACGCTCACACGAGTGGTGGCTATCGCTTATTCATACAAAGGCAACTGAACGATATCGAGTTCATGTTATGTTCGAAAGGAGGCGAGGTGGAAATGCAGCCACTCGCATCCGAGTTACTGATGGCGATCGCGGAGACTTTGCCGGCGCGCCAACTCGAAGCGCTCGCGGACGACTTTACTGAAATTCTGCGAACTGCGTGCGAGAAAAATAATCAGCTCGCCAAATACTCTGGTATGCGAGTCATTGCGCGTGTCCTCGTCAGTTGTTGGATGAACGTTTCAGCTCTCCCGAAGACGCAAGAGAAGTTCGTTCAACTGCTCGGAGGCGACGAAAGACTCGCACAATTTCAACAGGCGCGAGCGGCGGCGAGCAGTGGAAGTGAAAATAGAAGTGAGTATCGCAAGTTTTTATCCGATCGCGTTGACTCAGAGGTTTTGCCGTCTATTTCGGAAGGACAGGTGATGACGACCATCGAAGGTGCAATAATGAAGTGCTTCGGGCTGTACAACCAACGTTTCGACAGCGCTCGCTCAAAAGACAAAGACACGATTGAGCGTTTGTATTTGCATGCAAACTTACTTTTCGGAGTGCACCGTAAATTGTTGGGCTACGAAATGGGAGGTAAAAACGGAAATTTAGCTCCCGCTCGAAACAAGAAGGCGGCGCCGATGACGACGTCGGACAAAAAGGAGAAAGCATTTTCAAATAGAGTCGACGATAACGATAAAAATAAGCGCTGGGACAAACTGAACGTGCCCGAAATAACGAATGAAAGTTTTCAGTCGTTAGCCGAAACGTATGGTATCGAGAAAAAAGAGTCTACTGCTAATGGTAACGGCATAAACCGCGGCATAAACCGCGGCAACACTACATTCTGGGAGTTGGAGAACGTCGAGGAATTATTTGTCGGTGTCGAAAAATATATGGAAAAAAAAGCAAACCAAAAACGCAATATAAAGTGGGGTGTAGTCTGGAATATATTGTCGCCGGAGTTTCAACAGAACGTAGAAGTTCATATCTCCAACAACTGGTCCTGGGGTGGACCAGTTGATATGAACAACAAGGAAAAAAAATGTATCAAATGTATCAGCGATAAGTACAACAATCTGAGACTGCTCTTCCACGAAAAGAGAGACAAGGGGGAGACGTGCTACGCGAACGTCGGAGAGAAACGATTGAAGGAGCATTACGAGAAAGGAGGCTTTTGGAAAGAATAAAAGATATCATCGCTCAGAAATGGCGCGACATGAAGAGACAGAGAGAGAGACATACATACCACTAAACCACAAGTACGGTAGCTGGCAAGTGGAGACGATGAGATGGAAGAGGAGGATTAGATATCAAAAATATAGATTAAATAGTTGTAATAACAGCGCAGAGAGACGCCGCACGCAAGCCAATGGCGAGCATTCATCAGCCGTTTTGATTATATTCCCATCCCGAATATTCCCCTCCATGATGCGTCGATCGTTAAGTGGTCCACGGTGGTAATACCCATCATTGCGACTAAAGCGGTAATGGAGAATAGCGCCATCATGGGTCTAGAAGGAAAAGGCGAAGCCGCCGAGATCTTCAAGGCGGCAGCCTCGGCGGTGTCCACGTTTGGCGTTCGCGCGAGTCCAGAACCCGGACTTTCGGGAGCTGAAAGAGCGCTAGCAAAGATTGAAGAAGCGAGGAGTCGAACGAAATGAACGAGTTGAAGCGTAAGATCAGTGAAGCGTCCGGAAGCTCCGAGTCGACCGTACAGACGCGAAGTCGCCAAATCGAAGGCACAGAACTCGAGGGACTGCAAGAGACGTTGGCAACCGGGACTCAAGAACTTAACCGATTAAAGGGCGCTCAATCAGCGTGGGAAACTGTTGATATCCTCATCTACTCAGGCAGAATATTTCCGCAGAATAGAAAATTCCGCCGCGGGTAATTTTTGACAACACAAATCGGCATGAATGATGCGGTTACGCTTCTTTGTTGCAACCAAGCGTCCCATCTCGAGTAAACACACTCACGACAGTTCGATTCGTACCAACATCGCGGTCGCTTGCGCCGTATCCGAGACATACCGATCCAGTTTGTCGCGTTGTCGGTTTCGCTTCCGAACAATTTTATAGGCGGAGCGTAAAACAGGCATATCAGATATCCCAGTTGGAGTCGCTCGTTGACGCTGAAACTTTCTACAATTTGCACAGCTTATGTTCTGACGAGAATGGTTGCGTCAGATCGTCAAAAGCTCTCGTTCGTGTGCACGCGTGTGTGTGTGAGTTTTGCCATATGTAGCGAAGTTTAGAGAGAGACGAAAAAAGGAATGTTTTATTATCCTTTTTTTTTTGTAAGACGACACTTTTTAAACCCTAAAATAGTATGAGAGTAAGTATCTTAAAAACGACGTTGGAGCGCACAGCGCACTGTCACTTGCGTCTTCTTTAACTCAGTTGGTACAAAAGATTTTTCCAAGACATTTTGCACATACTGACACACCACCGTGTGCTAGGTTAGAGTGTGGGACTGTTAATCCCGAAGTCACCGGTTCGAATCCGGTAAGAAGAGCTTCTTCTTTTTTTTTGCACCCCTCTACTGCTGACTGGCTGATGCATTCGTGAAGGTGATGAAGATGGGATGATTCTTTCTAAATTGTTGTTTTTTTATCTTGTTTCAAGTGAAAAAATATCGGCTCTCCACAAAAGCCAGAGAGGATGAACAACACGACGACAAAATAACAAACGAGGAGACAGAAGACGACTTTTTATTAAACGGAGGACAATGATGACGATGCCTTTGCTGCGATCATCTTTGCGCGTCGTCATCGCTTCTTCTTCTTCTTTTAATTCTTCTGTCTCGTCATCAAAAACGCCTAAAATTCGTTTGATGACATCAGAAAAGACATTGGATACAAAAGAAGAAAAGATATTCACGACAAAAATCATCGTCCTCGGGACCAATCACACCTCGTCTTCCGACGCGGAAAAAGTCACCAGGATAATCGAAGACGAGAAACCAGACGTGGTCGTCGTCGAGTTGGATTTTGAGCGATTGAATTCCAATTCCAACTCATATAAAATAGGTGGAAAAGACTTTATGAACGCGGTCAAGTCCGGAATCGCGATAAAACAAGACCCAATCGTGCTGTTAGGGGACGTGAAAGCGAAGGAGATTCCGGCGATGTTGCTGAGCAAAGCGACGAGCGTTGAAAATGTTGTTCCCGAGAGAGTCTTCGGCGGCTTGGCGTACTTCCTCGAATCTTTTAAAGACACGTTTGGCGTCGCGCCGACGGCGAGCGTTTTGACGATTACGCTCGCGTGTGCGCTCGTGGATAATAATTTCGTCGAGTTGTTTGTGTTGCTCTATGGAGTGTCCGTGGTATCGGACGTGTTGTTGAAAGATCGAGACGTCGTATTAGCGGAGAACGTGTTAAAAGGCGTGGACATCGCGAAGCGGTTGCGAAAGAAAGAGTTGCTTTCGAAACAGTTTACGTTTTATTCTTCTCCTTCTTCGGATGATGCTTTTCTCGATGAAGAAAACGATACCGCGATAGAAGAGTCGCAATTACCTGTATTTACGCTCAAACGTCCGTTTGAAAGCAGAGACGAGATTCGGCGACTGAATTTGTTCGAGCCGCGTTGGTTGCGAATGCTCGACGAGATTGCCAAACGCAACGAAGGATCGCTCGTCGGCGCCAAGCTCGGCGTCGTTCTCGCGCAAAACCGCTTGTACACGCCCGAAAATTTCAACGACGAAGACGATGACAAAAAAAATATTGACAACCAAACGGAGAAGAAGAGAGTCGCGAGAATCGTATTCGATCCGTTCGTCCAACGAGCGAAAGTCGTGGACGCGAAAGAGTCCACGCGACCGGTAACCGGCGCTCGGAAAGTTGAAGTCCTCATAGCTTTGGATTCCGAAGCAAACGACGATTTCGTGGGCGAGTTTCGAGAAGCCCCGGGTCAGCGAGGATACATGCTCGCGTCCCCAAAGAAGTTGGCGGATGAAAGAGTAGATGGCACGTCGTCATCGAAAACATCGAGCGAAGAAGAAGAAGAAGAAGAAGAAGAAAGTAAAATCAAATGCGTGGTCGTTTGCGGGAAATTGCACGTGCGCGGCGTCGTCAGTCGATTGCAGCAGGGTGGTAATATGAATAACAGTAGAAGTGGTAGCAGTAGTAGTAGTAGTAGTAGTAGTAGAGATAGCGATAGCGGCGTTGTAATAGTAACTATGTAAAACAAAATATTGTATTACAATCGCGCACGCGGAGAAAAAGAAGAAAAATATGAGCTGCGAGTGAAATGAGAGTGCGTTTACGTTCTTTATTGTTCGTGTTTCTCTCCGTTAAAATCTCCTTTATCACAAGCTTCCCTTTGTGATAATGATGTTGTTGATGTTGATGATGATTATTACTCTGATGTGCGCAGCTCTCCACCTTCGTAAGACCAGTCGTTTGGTAATGGACAGTCGTTGTCGAGGAGGTATTGTACACATTCGGTTTGGTTGTTCTCGTGCGCGTCTCGCACGGCCCGAAAGTTCCACGGCGCTTTGGCGGTTTCGTGCAAGTACTTCAAACAGTCCAAGTGGCCGTGCTTGGCCGCATGCATACACGCCCATTCGCTATATTCATACTTACGCTCAACAAGATATTCGAGTACGTGGAGATGACCTTTTGCAGCCGCCCAAGGGGCAGTCAAATCATCCCAAGGCGCTTTGGCTTCTTCGCGTAAGTATTTGAGTACCTCGAGATGACCGTTGAAGGCAGCATATGCGCACGCAAACACATTGATAGGACACTTCTTTGCAACGCAATACTTTACCATTTCCAGATTACCTTGTCTTGCGGCCGCATGAATCGTCCTATCATCCCACTTACACTTTTTCTCCTCTCGCGCCCACTTGAGCAACTCGAGTTTATTCGTTTTAGCAACTTCACGGCAGAAAGTTGCTTCGCGCCAGCCTCTCGGCCACAACGATTTATGCTCCCACGCAATCTCCAAAGTCGATATCGACGACATCTCCTTCACTTTAAACCCCTTTTTCAAAACCCCTGCGCGAGACGATCTCTTAATCAACTTTCTCGTCTCCGGATTCACCTCGTACAAGAATTTGATATCAGTCCCATTCAATCTCGGAAGAATGTGTTGGAAACAAATATAATCGTCATTCACGACCAAACCCCACAAATCTCTCTCCCCCATTCGTCTTTTCTGCGCTCGCGTTGTTCTCGCTCCAGAAGACATGACGACGCGGATGTCTCCTTCTTCTTCTTCTCCTTCTTCTTCTTTCTCTCTCGTCGCGTGTCTTTACGTGTGCTCTTTGTTTGTGGTGTTTTTCGTCCAAAACGAAAAATTGGCGTTTTGGCGGGAAAAGAGAAAAAAAAAGGAATTCCCAAAAACACCATTATCGAAGCATTGGGTGCCAGAGGAAGAAGCTCTCACAAAAGCTGGCTTTTCCCTTCTCAGAATCAAAATCGAGTCGTTGTTATTCGTGACGCGGAGGAGGTGGTGGTGCGCTTTTTGAGCTCAGAACGCTCGGTATTAGGTGTGCAGAGAGTACTAAAAACACATCATGAGAGAGAACGACCCTCGACAGCCTCCTCGAAAAGGATCCGATGGAAAGAAAGAACAACACGAAGAAGTGATCTACTCGGACCGATTCGTCCCGTCCCGAGACGCGCGCGCGGGCGCGAACAACAACAACCACTCGTTCGACGAGGACGAATTGAAAGCGTTCGAGGACGTAGACGACAGAGAGGATGTAGATAACGACGGCGAATTGGTGTACCCGAATTATCGCCACCGGTACGAGCAACAGTCGTTACGACGAGAAAGGAGGGAGACGAACGAGGACGATTTGGACGACGATTTCGACCGGGTTCCGGAGACGACGACCACTACGACGAACAATAATAATAATAATAATAATAATAATAACAACAACGTCCGAATGATTGTGGCGAACACGGAACGAGAAGATACCTCCGCGGCGTACCACGAATTGTTGAGAAGCGAATTGCAGTTACCGAATTATACCGCGAGCGGAGGAGGCGCGAGAGGACGAGGGGACGATAGCGGAGGTCGAGGAAACGGGACGAGTGGAGGAGGAGGAGGAGGAAACGCATCGACTGGGGGAGGAGGAAGTCAAGGAAGTCAAGGAGGAAGTCAAGGAAATCATCAGGTTTTGTACGACGGGTCGCCGCTGAAAGAGACGCATAGGAATAAGAAAACGCTGAGGTTTAAGACGGATTCGCCGCCTTCGAGCGGGCCAAAGAAACGATATCAGCAGTATAATCCAGAGCAGGATGGGTATTACGGTCAAGGAGGGAATGGGTTGGGAGCGCAAGGGTCTCGTGGCATGAGCGAGAACAACGAAGAAAACGCGGCTGGTGTGAGCTATTACGAACACCACTCGAACTCTACTTCGCCGTATTCGTTATCGCCGATTGGTCGAACCGGTCCTTTAGGAACGGCGTTAGCCGCGCCGCGCAGAATGCCGCGCAAAATCGCTCGGTCGCCGTTTAAAGTATTGGACGCGCCGGCGTTACAAGACGATTTCTACTTAAACTTGGTCGATTGGTCGGCGCATAACGTTTTAGCGGTTGGTTTGGGGTCGTGCGTGTACTTATGGTCCGCGTGCACGTCGCGCGTAACGAAACTGTGCGATTTAGCACCTTCGGATTCCGTATGTTCCGTCGCGTGGACGCAACGGGGTACGTTTTTAGCCGTCGGTACGAACACCGGCGATGTCCAAATCTGGGACGCGCACAAGTGTAAGTTGATTCGAACGATGACTGGCCATCGCTCGCGAGTCGGAACCTTAGCGTGGTCCTCGAACATGCTCTCCTCGGGGTCGCGCGACCGGTCCATCATGCAAAGAGACGTCCGTTCACCGGAACAGTTCACCGGGAAACTCTTGGGCCATAAATCAGAGGTGTGCGGTTTGAAGTGGTCCTACGACGATCGCGAACTCGCGAGTGGTGGAAACGATAATCAACTCTTGATTTGGTCCGCCTCCGCCTCCAGCGGCGGCCCGGCGCTGCGCCTGCCTCAACACCAAGCCGCCGTCAAAGCCATCTCTTGGTCTCCGCATCAACACGGCCTTCTCGCCTCTGGTGGCGGTACCGCCGATCGATGCATCCGCTTTTGGAACACCACCACCAACACTCCGTTGCAATGCGTCGATACCGGCTCTCAAGTTTGCAACCTCGCCTGGTCGAAAAACGTCAACGAAATCGTCTCCACGCACGGCTACTCCCAAAACCAAATCGTCGTCTGGCGGTACCCAACCATGAGCAAACTCGCCACCTTAACCGGTCACACGTTGAGAGTGCTCTATTTGGCGGTTTCTCCGGACGGACAAACCATCGTCACCGGAGCCGGCGACGAAACGCTTCGGTTCTGGAACGTCTTTCCCGGCCAAAGGAGTCAAGGCGGCGTGCAAGAAAACTCCGTGTGGAACTTGAATCGAACGCAAATTCGATGAATAATATAGCGCGTAAATGCATGTAAAGATAGTAGAATTGTAGAAATAGAGAGATATACATTGACTCGTAAACGGAATTTTCCTCACAAGAACACCAACGAACGAACTCTCGTGAAGAGAATATGTCATCTTTCGCCTCTTCCTCGGGTGAGGCGAGCAAAGAGAACAAAAACCAGCCGTCGATTTCTCAGCAGATTAAAATAATCACGCCGTCCACTTCCTCTCCCTGGGGTACCATCGGTCGCACGTTCGTCCTTTCCGCGGTCGCGTTGTTCAGCAAAGCGCTTCTCGGGATGTTCAATTCGACGACGGTGAGCAATCACGAGACGTTTTTACGCGCGGTCACGAGGGAAGATCGAGGCGTTGATGAGAACGATGACGATACGAAGAAGAAGCGTAAAAAACCGGGTTTGATTACCGTGGCGAATCATCACTCGACGTTCGACGACCCGGGGGTGTTAGCGTACATGACGCCGTTCAAGTTTTTCTTAACGGAAATGTTCCACCAAAACAACCGATGGACGCTGTGCACGGCGGAAGTGGCGACGGCGAACAGACTGGTGGAATCGTTCATTCTGAGCGGGAAAGGCGTGCCGATATACCGAGGTGGAGGTATCGATCAACCGTGCATGAAAGTTATGGCCGAGCTCGTCGCCTCCGGTCGATGGTTACAAATCTTCCCGGAAGGTAAAGTGAACCGAGAACCGCGAGGTCAAACGCCTTTGGACCAAAGATTGAAATGGGGATTAGGAAAGATTCTGTGCGACGTCGAGGAGATGGGTGGAGAACAACCGATGATTTTACCGTTTTGGCACTCTGGAATGGACGAGGTGAAACCGTACGAAGGGTGTAAAACGATCTTTCGGTGGGGGAAACGCGTCCACGTGACGGTCGGCGAACCGATCGACATGAAACAGTTTCGAGGCCGGTGCGGGAAGTGTAAAAACGAGGAAGAGAAAGGAGCGCTGTACGCGGAGATGATGACTGTGGTGAGAGAAAAGATGAACGAGGTGAGGAAGAAGAACGTGGTGGAAAGAGAAGAGATGGGCATAAAGGTGAGCGAAGAGGAGAAGAAGAAGGATTAAGAAGGTGTGATACTACTTTATTAAAATTCTAAAAAATTTCAAGCGCGTTTGTTCGTCGTCGAGCGTAATGAGTGCGTTTCATTTTTATCGACGAGTTTATACAGTGTAGCGTTGTTACCGCCCCGTGTTGTTGTTGTAATATATATATATATATGAGAGTATTATCCCGAATGATGATGAGAAAGAGGCCGGCGTTGGTGACGTTTTGTTGCAATCTCTCGTTTTGCGCTTTTTTTCCTTCAGAAGTCCACCGAAGTCCCACAGAAAAAAACGCACACGAAGAACACAAAGGCGTTTACAATAGAGTAGTAGAGAAAAAATGGGTCACACGATTTGGATTCGCGCCAATTCCCTCTTCACCTTCGCGTCCACCGCGCTCGCCTTGGTCGCGATACTCGCTTCCATCACGGATATTTGGCACACTGCGGAACCGGACGTGTTTTTGCGCGTCAAATCCGTCGAACGTTTTCGCCCGGTTTCCCCGAACGCACACAGAAAGAAAGCGTCTTCGAACAACAACGAAGTAAACGACGAAGCGTCGCTTAATTTCCAACTCAGGCTCGACTTGCGACCGCTCTTTTCGTGGAACACGAAGCAAATCTTCGTCTCCATCGACGCGGATTACGAAACGGAAAGGAATAAGCGCAACACGATTTCGCTCTGGGATTCGATCGTGACACAAAAAACCAACGCTCTGTTGAATTATCAAAACGTGAGGAACAAATATCGATTCATAGACCAAGGGACGCATTTAAGAGGCAGGGAAGTGAATTATACCGTGCGGTGGGAAGTGATGCCAGTGGCGGGGAAGTTGTACGGAGGAAAGAAGTTGGTCGAGAGGGTGAAGATGCCGGATGAATACGTGAACTAAAACGCTCGCGGCGCGATGTAGAGCAGTAGAATGCGGTAGAGTAAAGAGTAATTTGATAATAGATTTTGCTTAAAGGTACACACAAAAACACGTATAACTTAACGTACACACGAATCTGCTGCTGCTTTGTTTTTATTGATGCTATTACAAGTCGAGGAGAGAGATGGCTGGAGGCGCGGGGTTCGACGGTGTCGGCGCCGATGTGGGAGAGGACGCGCCGAGAACGATGTCGTCGAAGAAATCGATGAGATTGTTCGTCGTTTCGTCCATAATGGCGTCGTTGTTGTTTTGTTGTCTCTTTGCCGCACGCTCGGATGCACGCTTGATCTCATTCGCTCGGTTCTTTGCTGAGGTAGTGGTCGCATCGTCGTCGTCGGATTCGTCTTCATCGTCTTCCGAAGAAGATGCCAGCGCTCCTGTCGTTGATGTCGTTGTTGATGATGGTATTGACGACATCGTCGTCGTCTTATCTATGCGCTTCCACTCTAAATCTCCTCCTTCTGCTGTATTTGCTACTTCTAACGATTCTGAACTCAAATTCTTCATGCGTTGTCTTCTCTCTTTGAACGCATCTAGGCTGGTGGAAAATTTTTCCTTGACTAACTTGGCTCCTTTTCTCATGCCTATGGCAGATATTTTCGCTATGCGTTGCGTTTCTATGGCAGATATTTTCGCTATGCGTTGCGTTTCTATGGCGGATATTTTCGCTATGCGTTGTGTCTCGCGGTACACGTGTTTTGCTTCCTTTTGAAACTCAGAACCAAACGCGGCTAATGCGCTTTCCTCGTCCAAATCTTCATCTTTCACGTCTGAACCGAATTGCGCTTTCCCGCTTCTCGCCGCGATGGCGCACGCGCGGAGACGATCTCGGACGAATACTTCGTACATTTGCGTGTGTCTGAGAGAGACACGAAACAAACGCGTTCGATGGTTTGGCGCGCCTTCTACGAACGCGTCTTGGTCGAGCCACAAACCATCGTTCGATATCGCTTCCGGGGGTGGTCTTTCTAAAGCTACGGATTTCACGAATCGAGGGTAAGATCCAATCGCGCTGGACAGAAAGGTTCGAAACGCTTTCGATATAACCTCTTCCATTGTCGTCGTCGTTGTTGCTGATGATGTTGCTGCGGATAACGTCACCATGGGTTGTGGTTCTTCCAGTAGCGGAAGATTCTGAAGATGTCGCCGCCGACGACGACGGTGCTCCCGTCTTCCTAACTCTCTCTCGCTCTCTAAAGTCTTTTGCAACTTATTCGCTATGCGTTTCGGCACGAGCTCGAAATCCTCCTCAAAGTACGTGTACGACCCGTCGTCTAAATTCAACAGGAACACTTCCTCTTTCGGGACTTTTTCATACGCGCTCATGAGTTGCAGCGGTAAACCAACCACAAAAGGCATCGGCGCGGTGAGATAATCCATCAATCCCGCCGGTACCAACGGAAGAAACACGTGTTGCCATTTTAACGGAAAGACCATTCTGTTTGCCGCGTGTGTCGCGCGAGACAGTTTTGATAACGACTTTGACGTCAAAACAATGCGTCTTTCAAACAATAACGCCACGAATAGCGCCACGATAGCATCGGAAGGTACGACGTTCCGCTTGCCGTATTTCTTATCGTTTAAGCGCGCTTCTTCTTCTTCTTTTTCGGCGGCGTTGGATGTACCCACGGCGTTGATGTTGTTGTCTTTGTCGCTGTCGATTTTTATCCTATTTTTGCCATACTTTTCATCGTCCATATATTCCTCGTCGTCATCGCTACTTCCGTACAGAAACGCATCGAAACAGGCCAAATCTTCCTGCTCCTCCTTCCTCGGCACGCGCAATCGCAAACTCGGCTCCGCGTTCGGCGACGGCACCACGAGCACGTCCTCTTCTTCCCCTCTTCCTCCTTCTGAGTGCTTCCCGTTCGAAACAGACGCACCCAGCGTCGCTCGAAGAAACGCACCTAACTCCGAAGACTCGAGCGCGAAACTCTCCGCGTCTAACTCCTCCTCATCATCATCATCCCACAACGCCTTCGCGCTCGGCAACGCCGCTCGCAATATCTCTTCGAACAAACCGTAAAACCGTCTCGAGCTCAGCACGCACATCGCTACCTCCTTTTCTCCTACGTCTCCTCCCTCTGACCCCGCTTTTTTGTTGTTTTCTTCTTCTGATGTCTTCTTCTCCTTCTTCCGTCTACGATATCGCAACACGAACCCAAAGTACCTCTTCCCGTCTTGGTCGGTCAAACCGAACGTGTAATACTCAGACGACGACGACGACGAAGAAGAAGAACCAATGCCCTTCTCCTCTGGAAAACAAAAGTTTCCTTTACACGCGATTTCGACGAATCTCTTTTGCTCCTCTTGCTGCTGCTGCTGACGATGCCGTTCTTTGTCTTCTTTGTCTTCTTCTCCATCTCCGTTCGTGAAAAGCATCATCCGTAACGGCACGGATGTGTTTTTCTTTTGCACGAAAAATGCGCTCGCAATCGTACCATCATCGTCAAAGTCCGAAGAAGAAGAAGAAGAAGGAGAGGAGGAGAGAGGCGGAGGGGACATCTGCCCGAGAGATGATGGGCAGCGAGGCGCCTCTTGTTTTGGTAAAAAGTGCGCGCGCTGAAGTGAAGATTTTATTCCAACTACCTTTTTCCTCAGAAGAAGGTGGTTGTTGTTTCCGAGAGCGAAAGGAAGAGAGAGAGAGAGAGAGAGATAAAAGAGAGCGGAGCGATGTCGACTGGAGCGACGACGCGAGGGCAGAAAAGACGGAGAGGGGCGAGAGATTTGTGGGAGGTGATCGTGAAGTGCGACGATATTTGTTTCCAACATATTCTTCCGAGATTGCATTCGAACGATGTGAAATTCTTGCACGGAGTGAATACGGAGACGAGAAAGTTGATTAAGAGATCGTCTCGTGCGGGGGATTTGAAGAAGAAGTTTAGAGTGAACGAGATGTCCTCGATATCGACTTTGGAAGTTGCGTGGGAGCATTATCCGTGGGGCAAGTTGCTAAAGTACGGCCGAAGGATGGACGAAACATATTTCTCCGAGCAAGTTGCTAAAACGAATAAACTCGAGTTGCTCAAGTGGGCGCGAGAGGAGAAAAAGTGTAAGTGGGATGATAGGACGATTCATACGGCCGCAGAACAAGGTAATTTGGAAATGGTAAAGTATTGCGTGGCAAATGAGTGTCCCATCAATGCGGAGGCGTGTGCATGTGCTGCCCAAAACGGTCATCTCGAGGTACTCAAATACTTACGCGAAGAAGTCAAAGCGCCTTGGAATTTGGGTACTGCCATTCGGGCGGCTCACAATGGTCATCTTCATATACTCGAATATCTTGTCGAGCGTAAATTTGATAAATATGATGAATGGGCGTGTGAGTATGCGGCCAAGTTCGGCCATTTAGACTGTTTGAAGCACTTGCACGAAACCGCCAAAGCGCCGTGGGACTCTCACGCCGTACGAAAAGCGCACGAGAAAAACCACCCAGAATGTGTACAATACCTCCTCGACAACGACTGTCCTCTCCCACCCGGTTGGCGATACGAACATGGAGAATTGCACACGTCCGGATCATCATCATAATAATACTAATACTTCATGCGCGCGAATATGCTTTAAAGCGCTTGTAATAATATGCACGCAAAGAGAGAGAGACATCAACACTCCGCGCGCTTCTTTCAAGTTCATTTTTAGGGGATTCCCCCAACTTGGGAAATCCCAAGACATACGCGAAACGAGAATTTTTCGCGGCACTCCATATTCGCGCGCACTTACTCTCATTAAAACGTGCGCGCAAAAGACAGAGAGTAATATCAGCGCTGATAAGAAACGCATGCATTGCGATAATGTCGGAAGGAGAATAAACTCTCGAAAAGCTTTCCTCCAATCCCTGGTCTCTTGTCTTTGTGTTTGCGTTTCGTTTTTCCCCGCTAAAGCAACATGGAACAAGACTTCGGGTGGGAGAGATATAGCGAAGACGAAGAAGAATGCGAAACCTGCGATGGAGACTACGTAGAAGAAGAGAGTGGGATAGAGGAAATGCTCGAGACGACTTTTGGTGGGAGCGGAGGAGGTGATGATAAGAGTAATGGTTGCAAAAAGCGTTCGAGAGAAACACCTAAAGAGAAGGACTACATAAAGCTGGATGACGCGGAGGAAGACGAGGACGACGACGAAGACGACGATATGGACTATTATCGTCAAGAGCTGAAGAAAAACGGAAAAGCGAGAAGGACGAAACAGCGGCAACGTAATGCGGCGCAACAGATGAGGAAACCTGCGAATAGGACATTCGCCGCCGGGAACGAGTATTTCGTACGGAGCGTGTTGCGATGGGAAGCGAAGACGCTAAGGAAAGGAGAAGACGTTGGTAGTAGTTCGGGGAAGGGATGTGGGAGTAGTAAAACATCGATGCAGCAACATTTGTTACCGCTGGAAGAGGCCCCTGTGAGGTATGCGAATATGGATGAGTTCTTTCACGCGCAAATCGAGGTTGCGTTTGCCGAGGCGAAGGCGATAATCAGGCAAGGATTGAAAAAAGACTCGACGAAGAGGGAAACGTGCAATGTAAAGGCACGAGAGAAGTACCCTGGAGATATTAATAGCGTTTGCTTGAAGCTGGAGATAATTGGCCGTCGTCACAATGGGGTTACTACGAGTAGCAGTAGCAAAGAAGACGATTGGAGAAAGAGCGGAAGCGTGGTTTTACTCCAACCTAAAAAGAAAGATTCGAGAGAAAACGAGGGCGCTCTCGGGATTGTCGTGGATGTATCGAACATCAAAGGCGAAGATATTTCTAGTGCTAGGAACAAGTACGTGCACGTGCAAACAAATATTAAAACGGAGAACGTAGAAGATCAAGTGATTGTGATTCCCCTCGGGAACGTCCTTACGCAAAAAAGAATAGTCGCGGTTGCGGTTTCGCGACCAAAGATTTCGTTCGAGGCGCAAGTTTTAGCCACGAAGAACGCGACGTATACTCGTTTCAGCGACAGTGACGATGATTGCGATGGTGACATTAAGAGCAGCACAAATTTGGTTGAAAGAAGTCAGAGAAAAAGTGCAGCAGCAAAGGAAGAAGTGAACGATGGATTGAACGAATCGCAAAGGTTCGCGTTGGAGAGATTTATGAACGACAGGGGTCCCGGATCTCGACTGAAAATGGTCCAAGGACCTCCTGGAACGGGAAAGACGCACTTCTGCGCAAAGCTTCTACACGAGTTGACGTTTGAAACGCGAAATCAACGTCAGCGCCTCTTGGTGTGTGCTCCGACAAACAAAGCAGTAATCGTTTGCTTGGAAACATTTCTTCGGAACATTCCAAGAACGGAGGACCGAGATAAAATCGGAAAGAGCATCGCTCTGTACGGCGTCGAAGACGCGCTAGAGAGTGCGGCGAAAGACGTAAACATAATAGACGAGTATTACGTTTACCGTCGACTCGATTCGTTGTGTGCCAAGTTGAAGAACCTTTCATCTGACGGTACCGCTCGCAAGAATGGCGGCAAACGAAGCAAAGCGGATGTTATGGCGGACTTGAAAAATACGCGCGAGGAAATGAAGCGCATCGCCAAGTTTCTTTTGGAAATGGGATCATACGTTTCTGAACTATTGTTGAACCCGTGCGATCGAAAGAATGTATCACAGAATATGGAGGTCGAATCTACAGTAAAAGACTTTATCGAGCGCATCGAAGGGAAAACGAAGGCTGACAATTTGAGAAATCGAGACGTCCTCGCGAAAGCGGTGCTTTCAAACGCGCGCCTTTGTTTTTGTACTTTGGGTTCGTGCGGTGGTTTGTACCATTCTGGTGCCGCCGATTGCGACGTGTTGATTGTCGACGAAGCTGCAAATTGTTTGGAAGGAGAAATTTTGTTAGCGTTTGCGAGGAATCCGAAGCGATGTTTACTCATTGGAGATCCGCAACAATTGCCGGCGATGTGCTTCAGCCGAGATGTACAAAGATTGGGATACAATAAAAGTCTGATGGAACGCTTGTTCGCGTGCTACGGGGGTGATCAGAACGAAGCGATGTGTACTATGCTTAAGACGCAGTATCGGATGCACCCAGAAATTTGCGCGTGGCCTTCCGAGCGTTTCTACGGCGGTAAACTACAAAATGCCGAGTGCGTTGAAAATTCCAACAACACTATGCCGTATTCCATCGTGAATGTGCACTCCGGGAAACACCGCGTTTCGAGCAGTTCGAGCATAAGTAACGATCGCGAGGCTGAAATCGCCGTCGATTTGGTCTTAAAGCTCCGCAAGAAAGCGTTGAAAATTGGAATCATAACATTTTACACGGCTCAAGTAAGATTAATTGCGAATTTAATGCGCGCGAAAAATGTTGTTCCCGCCGGTTCCGACGACGACGTGTTCGCAAGCACGGTCGATTCATTTCAAGGAAGCGAAGCAGATGTTATTATTTTGAGTTGTGTTCGCACGAGTAAAACTTCCGCGGGTTTCTTGAGTGACAGTCGCAGACTCAACGTCAGTCTCACGCGAGCGAAGAAGAAGCTCATAGTTTTGTGCAACGCCGACGCGCTCGCCGGAGGCGGCGAGACGCTCGAAATGCTCGATTTGAAGTCGCTCATTGAAAACGCGAAAACGCGAAACGTGTTGTTTTCCGAGTCCGAGCCAAAGATATTAGACATGGTAGCAGCCTTATAATTCAATTAGAATAGTACATAAAATTCAAAGATACCCCTCTGCTTTCAACCTCTGCAACCATAAATGCACCGGCGACAGCATCGCGCTCGGGTGTTCCATCGTTACCGCCGCTCCAACCTTTTCCATATCCACCCACGAAGTTATCGTCTTATCCATTACACTATTCATGTGCAAACTATCGTTATACCACGGCGACTCCGACCCGGCTAAAATCAACGTCCTACACTTTAACGAATGCGCGATGTGCGTGTTATCCAACCGATTCACCGTGGCGTCGTAATACGCCAAAAGCGCATCTACCCGCATATCTTGCATCTCATTCCTCGTCGTCAACGCCAAATCGCTGGAAAACTTCCCCGCGAACCCATCTGACCCGTACTTACTAAATAGTCTCCCCATCAAGTGATTCGCTCCGGACTCGGACACTCTTTTCCTCGCCCTCACGCACTTCACCCGAAACCACTTCGCGTACATCCACTCCGCGTAATTCGCCTGCCTCGACATCGGCGACACTAAAATCACGCCAACGATTGGATTTGCAAACCGATTCGCGTATATGGAAAGAACCGTCGCCCCGGATCCAACCCCAATCGCAAACACCTCCGTGTTGTTCGTCTTCGTCCCTCCTCTCGTCCATCCGAAAAAATCGCTCACGTCTTCCAACTGCTGCGCTAATTTGTCCAAAGTCACCTCTCCTTCAAACTCCTCGGGAACGCCTTCCACGGACCCGTCTTGCATCCCCGGCGCGTCCACGTGGTACGCGCAAAACTTTTTGTTCATCTCGTGCTCTTTCCCCAAGCAAGAAAAGAACGAGGAGAAACACGTCCGGTGATTCGTTCCGCAATCGTGGTAGGTAATCAACGGTTTCCTCTTCGGCCGCTTTCCAATATTCGTCTCATCGGGAGTGCATTCCGCGTGGTGCGATTGGTCGTACGACACGGAGAGGTTGCCGTACCTGGTGGAAATTTGCACGGTCATTAAATCATACGTTTCGTACCACACGTGAGACATTTTGTTGTTGTTGTGTGTGTGTGTGTGTGAAACGTAGTGGATTTGGTGTGTGGTTTTTGGCTTTAAAATACGAGCAAAGCGAAGAAAATCGAACGGCGCGGTTCTCTCTCACACCTCTCCTATTACAAACTTATCACCTTCGAGATCCTCGATCGAGATTTCTTTACTCGCGAGCATCCGCATTCGCTCTCGCATCTCTTCGACCAAGATTTTACTTTCCATCGATAAGTCTTCGTACGGTTTCTTTGTACAACCTTCGTCGGCGTCGACCATGTCTTTTAAGATTTCGTGAGGGAGTTTTCGATGCGCGTGATCGTCTTCGAAGATAGATTCCCAGACGATGTCTTTGTCTTTTCGGAGACAAAAGTAGAGCTCGTCGGTGTCCTGTTTTGTTTGGTTCGTACACGAGAGAGAAGGAAGAACATTAGCGTAAAGAACACATTTGAGATCATCAGAAGGGAAAAAAACGCTCGAAAAACACCATCGAGACTTACCCTCGTCCAACTGCTCTCATCCAACTTAATCGTCCTAAAGAGCACACCACCGCAAACATCCGCTCGGCTCCCCCACGCGTGTCCTTTCAATCTCACCCCAAGCGTTGACGTCGTCAATTTAACCTCAAAGTCGCCGTTCTTTTCCGAGCTGTTCGTTGGAATTCGAATGAATATTTCCACGTCCGTCGTGCTTTGCTGCCAGCGAACGAGATCTTTCCTCGGATCGAGCGCGAGGTACTTTTGCTTCTCTGCGTTGGTTATTCGGGAGCGTTCGTCGAGCGAGGAGGAATCGAACGCGATTTTGATCTCGTCGTTTCTTTTCGTCGCATCATCGGAGGCGTCTGATGATGTTGACATTTTTATTTGTGAAGTCTTTCCCACTTGCGCGTATTTTTTCCCTCATTCTTTCTCCCGCGCGGAGCGAAGTAAACGCGCTCGAAAGAAGACAAAAACAAGAACTCGATCGAGAGAGATGGGACGCGACGACGACGGTTCGAACGAGGATGCGACGGAAACGTTTTTCCCATCCGTCCCTGGTCTGAGATACATTCCGAACGTGCTCGATGCGGAAACCCACGACGTACTCGTCCAATTTATCCACTCGCAACTCGCACTCGGTCGCTCCGGAAAACTGGAAAAGAAAGCGACGTACACTCCAATTCCACCGAAATGGGATAAACGTTTACAAGGGAGAGAGATGCTGCAATACGGGACGTACACGCACTCGAATCGAGTGTACACCGACCACGAGGTTGAAGTCGAACCAATGCCGGAGATTTTGCGAGAGCTGGTGGTGGAAAGACTCGTGGAGCGAGGCGTGTTCGGAGAAGAGAAGAACGAGGAAGATGCGAGAAAGAATCTCTCATCCGGTGGTGGTGGTGGTGGTGGTGGTGGTGCGAATGACACTTCTCGTCGACGCTTCTTGCCGGACAGTTGCACGGTGAACGTGTACCGCAAAGGCCAATGGTTGCCGCCGCACGTGGACAATCCAAATTTTAAGAGGCCTTTTTGTACGGTGAGTTTGTTAGCGGACGAGATGTGCATTTTCGGGAGAGGTATCGTCTGGCACCCTGGTTTAGACGAGAGTAGTACTAGTGGTAGTGGTAGTAGTAATAGTAGTAGTAATAGCGCGGTGTTGCCGGAGGAAAGTTGGTACGACGTGACGAACGCGCTCGACGGCGAGGAGTGTCGAGTGGTGTGCGAGAAAAATTCAGCGATAATTTTAGACGGAGAGAGCGGGGACGTGTACGAACACGCGATATTGCCAGTACGAGCGGAAGACGGGAGGATTTCGTTGACGTTTCGAAAGAGAGATTGGGATGAAGACGCGGTAAATAAAAGAACGGAAGAGACGGAGAAGTGGAGAGCGGAGTACAGGGAGAAGAGGAAAACGGCGTACGAGGCGACGAAGGAAGAGGTGGTGCGCGTGGAAACAGAGAGGGCGAGGATCGCGCGCGAACGTTTAGAGAGAAAGAAAGCAAAGGAGGCGAGAAAACTAGAGACTTTGGCCAGAAAACAACGCGAATTAGAAATAGTCGAGGAACGACGAAAGGAAAAGGAAGAAAAGAAGAAGACGAAGGAACCGAAATCGAAAACGCACAAGGAATGTTTGCCGGTTCCGGAAGGTTTGTTGAAGAATGATGGAGACGACAACAACGACAAAAAGAAAAACGACGTCAACGAGGACGATAAAAACATCAGCGATGTGAACAAAATGCCAGAAGTTGAACGCGAATACGTGCAAAAAGTCTACGACGTCGTCGCGAAGCAATGGCACGGCACGCGATACCGGTCGTGGCCGGCGATTGAAAAGTTCGTCGCGAACCAACCTAAAAATGGCTTCGTGGCCGATATCGGATGCGGGAATGGTAAAAACATGCACGACGTCGTCAAAGGAGGCGGTACTGTAATAGGCATGGACTTCTCGCACGGTTTGATTGAAATTTGCGCCGAGCAAGGCTTCGAAGTCCAAGTCGCTGACGCTTTAATGGTTCCGTACCGCTCGCGCGTGTTTGACTACGCGCTCAACATTGCCGTTTTGCACCACATTTCCAGCGAAGAACGCAGAATTCGCATGTGCGAAGAAACTCTTCGCGTGGTTAAAGTCGGCGGCGTCGCGTTATTCTGTGCCTGGGCGTACGAGCAAGACAAAGGCGGCGTTTCCGGCCACGACTTTCTCGCGCAAGACGTCCTCGTCCCGTTCCACAAAAGACCAATCGCCAAAGGCATGCGACCGGCCGAGCAAAAAGAATTGGACGACGCGATGGTCAGAGAAGGCAAAGCGCCGTCTCACGGAGAAATCAACCAAGAAAAACACACGGTCGTGTACCAAAGATATTGTCACGTGTACAAAGAAGGCGAACTCGAAAAGTTATTCGAGAAAATACCGGGGTGCAAAGTCGAAGCTGCGTACTTTGATTTCGGCAACTGGTGCGTCGAAGTCCGCGTGACGAGAGAACTGAAATGAAACAAGAGAGAGAGAGAGTAGAACAAGACAGCTAGACTTTTGACGCGTTCGCATAGACAGAAACCATAACTAGCGTAGGTTGGGTAGCGATGTATTGATGGCGATGATTCATCATCATCGATGGATGATTAGACCCCTTTTAGAGAACTGAACTTTGAACTTTTTCTTTCTTTTTGGATGCTTCGCCCACACAAAAATTCTCCCCCAACGCTCTTTGAAAAAGGATCATCACACGGAGGATCCTACGAATGTCAGCGCCACGCGGACGAGAGAAGCGCGGACGCGAAAAGACCGCGAGAACGATGCGAACAATTACATTCGTCTCGCACTTGTTTTTCGTGATTCTTGTCTTCTATTTCTCCGCGTCCGGAGGAGGAGTGTCCGGACAAGAAGATGATGGAGAGGATAACAACGACGACGACGGAACGAATACGTTCTGGAACACCGGCCCGTCCGGCATCGACGAAACACTCCTACCACCGCTAAACCCGACGAATTACCCGTGTCCGACGGACAGATATTTACTCCTCGGTCCGCGAACGTATACCGGAGGATTTAACAACATGTTCATGACGTTTCAAAGCGCGATTTTGTTGGCTCGATACACGAACAGAACGTTCGTGATACCGGCGGCGAGGAACGATCGGTACACGGATTTTAGGTTTTCGCAAGCGATCGATTACGAGGTACGACGGCGAGATCACGTTTTCTTTCTTTCTTCCGTTTCGTTTCTTCTTCTCGCTCTGTGTGTGTGTGTCTGTGCTTTTTCCATGTTGCGTCGCGCGATGGCATACAATATCTGACTTTCAACGTTCTCTCGCTTTTGCTCTTTCTCCGGGTACGTTTTTGATAAAATACACAGGCTATGCGACCGGTGTGGCCGTGCTTTCACGACACTAACGTGCCGTGGGGCGAAGGCGAAGTGCCGCAAGCGTACGTATCCGTGGAGAAAAGAAGGAAACTCGCGATGGTGGACGCGAGATCTGAGGAGGATAGAATGAATACTAAAGATGATTTTAGCACTAGCGCATTGTTGGTTAGAGAGTTTGATGAGTTGGACGCGAATCGGATGGTGCACGCAGACGATGACAACGAAGAAGAAAAACAAAACGAAGAGGACAAGAACAACCAGGTGATTGCTGGGCGAACAAACGAAAGAAAGTTGCTCGGCAAAGGAAAGAAGTTGAAAACGTCCGACATGTTCGACGATTTCAAGCCGAAACCGAATTCAGTCGCCGCCATGCGTCCCGCGCGCGTTCGCGGTCCGGATAATACCGGTCGTCAAATTTCTGAGATTGCTTCTGATTTCACGTCAGATGCCGAAGTGCACGGGCATCCCGTCATTATGATTTCCGGAAGTGCCTGGGGTGGACTCATGACTGCGTGCATGAAACCCCACGAAGACGGTTTGTTTTTTAAACACGTTCAACCGGCTGAACACATTCGCCAAGAGGTGGAAATGTACAAACAAATGAGAGGTTTAGTCGACGGTGAATACGTCGGGGTACACCTGAGGTATTTAGAAGGTAAGTGCCCGCACCGCGCGAGGGCGTATTACATGCCGAAAGTCGAAAAACAAATCGCCGCGATGTGTCACAACACGTTTCCGCACACGCAGAGAGTTTTGCAAGACCACGGTATTGATTTGAAGTCGGGCACAAAAATTTACTTAGCATCAGATCGACAGCGCCCGGATGCGGATAAATCGTTTGAGAAAGCAGGATCGATTAGCTATGATAAAGGGAACAAGAAAGACAAATACTTCGGCGACGGCACGCAGTTCGTGAAAGGGTACATCGGCAAGAAGGTCTTTGAACCGGCGGTTGACATGTTCATCTTAGCTGGTGCAAAAATCTTTGTCGGAAACATGCTCTCGACCTTTAGCACGAACACGGCGAACATTCGATACGGTTGGGGTGCGAGAAGATCCGTTTTAGCGTGGCCAGAACCGCCAATCATGAAGGAGCGCTCGTTTTGGGAATGCGAGCGCGCGGCCTTTTGGTGTGGAACGATCACGAAAGAGTGGAGTTCTGAAGGTCACACAAAAGCGAAAGGGAACTGTTAGTAGTAGTATTTTTATAAATCATTGCATCAAAACTGTCTTTGAACCTAAGGGAATTATTATTATTCGTCGTTATATTTACTCGGTCGCGGGGACTACACTCGTTTTCTCTCAATTTTTATACTGTTGTTACTCTTTCTAATGCTTTCCTTGGGTGACTTTCTCCTCGGCTAAATTCAACAACAACGAATCCGCGTTCAACATCACGCGGTTATTCGATCTCGCCATCGTTTCCGCAATCTCTCTCGCGGCTTCGATTCTCCTCAGCGTCAAAAACGCCGGATTCGTACTAATAGCCTCCCCGATCAACTTCGCCGATCTCGCCTCACCATCCGCTCTAATCACCGCAGACTTCTTATCCTGCCTTGCCCTCTCCACGATAAACTTCGCCCTCTCCGCGTCTTGCTGCGCCACCTGCTTGGCCTCGATCGCCGCCGTGTACTCTCTCCCAAACGTCAACGCCGTGATCGAAACGTCGTCCAATATCATGTGAAAAGTCTTCGCGCGTTGAATCAACATGTTCCTAATCTGCAACGACACGTTTTCTCTTTTCGTGATTAACTCCGACGCGTTGTGTTGCGCCACCACCGATTTCAACGTGTCGTGTATTAAACTCGGTAACACTCGTTCGTTAAAATCCGTCCCCAACTCTCGGTAAATTTGCGGCAATTTGTTCGAATCCGGCCTCGTTAACACTCGTATGCTTAAATTCACCATCTGCAAATCTTTACTCCCACTGGTCGAGCTCACTTGGTGCGCTCGCGAACGCACGTCGTATATTATCGGCCGTTCTATCCACGGGATCATCATGTGCGTCCCTTCCGTGTACGAGGTTTCTTTGATACCGACCGCGCGATTGTAGACAATCGCCCGGTGGCCGCCTTCCACGTTGAACAAGGCGTGGTACAGGCCGTAGGAGACTGCGCCGAGACCGAGAACGCCTTGGATGGCGCCGGTGGCCGCGGCGACGTTCACTTTGCTCGCCGCGTTTTGCATCGTCGTTTATCTGTGTGTGTATTCACTTATATATATATTACTTATACGTGTTAAAAGAAAGAGAAAGGTTGACGTGTGTTCGCGTCGATTGGGTTTATTCGCGTGACGTTTCTTCTGAGAAAGAAAGAAGAAACGAAGGACGACGATTAGGGTTAGAAACCCTAAAATTTTACTGGTCGAGAAGACGAGGGAGAAAAAAAGTTTTACACACCGCATTAGTGTTTGATGATATGAGTTAATCTCTCTCTCTGTTTCTCTCTGCATATACGAACGAACGAAGAAGAAGAAGGAGCGTGAAACGTTTCTGCGTCGATTTTAAGATGTTGTTGTCGTTTTTTGAGAGGCGGAGGTTTTAAAGAAGAAGAAGAATAGAGGAAGAATGGACGGCGGGGAAACGACGAATTCGTTCGCGTTCAACTTTTTCTCTTCTTCTTCTTCTTCTTCCGGAGGAAAAGGAAAAGAGGAAAAGAGGACGGAAACGAGTGCAAACGAAACGACGACGACGACGATACAAAAGCCAGAGGCGAAACAGGTATATTCGAAAGATGTTTTCGAACCCGTCTTTGCGAAAGCCGTGGACAAGGAAACGGTTGAGATATTTTCCTCGGACGAAGAAGAGAAAGGAGCGAAAGTGTTGATGTTATCGATTGAGAAAAAGATACCGCCGTTGGGGAAAGAGGAAGTGCGGATGCGCGTGCCGACGTTGGATGCGGTTTGTAAGAACAACAACGAAAAGCCGGCGAAAGGAGCAAAGGCGACCCCGTCGTCTGCCGCGTCTGCGTATTCGTTGGCGTCGCACGATTTGGTGAAAGGTAAATACGAAGGCGGGTTGAAACTGTGGGAGTGCGCGATTGATTTGACGACATATGTGGTGAGAGAACGAGTGGTGGAGGCGATGGTGACGTTGTCGACGTCGAAATCGTTTCGAGTATTGGAACTGGGATGCGGCCACGGCGTGCCCGGCATCGCGAGTTTGATGGCGCACGAAAAGATGGAGAAAGATGGTAAGGATACTACTCTTCTGTGCACGTTAGCGGATTATAACGAAGAAGTTTTGACAGAAGTGACGATACCGAACGCGAGAATGAACGGGGTGTGCGAACAGTGCACGTTTTTAGCCGGCGATTGGGACGATTTAGTCGCGGCGCCCTCAAAAAAGCAATCGGAGGCGTTCTTGTCGAAGGACGAGTTCGATTTGATTTTAACCTCCGATACGATTTATAACGTAGACGATGCGAAAAAGCTGGCGAAAGTTATTCATCACTGCTTGAAAAAGAATGCAAACGAAAACGCCATCGCGCTCGTCGCCGCGAAGAGATACTATTTCGGTGTCGGCGGTTCGACCGCGACCTTTATGCAGTTGTGCGACGAAACGTCTTTATCTTGCGACGTGGTAAAAGAGATTATGGACGGCGCCAGTAACGTTCGCGAAATTATTCGCGTGAGAATAAAGACGTAGCAGGTAAAACAGATACGATGTAGCAGATATGATAGATATAAATAACATGTTGTGATAAAAATATTATCGATAGTAGTAGTTTTAATATTGTAAATTGAACGTCATCATCATTTAAGAGAGAACCCGAACGCGACTGCCTTTAATTTCTAAAACCTCCACCGTCCCGCCATAAATACCTCGACTCGCGCCGACATCAACTCTCCAAACTGCACCTTTACACCCAGAATTTACCCCGGTCGTTTGTGGCGTGTGACCAATGACTAATCTTTTCGCCTCTGGATCTGAAGTCAACGCCAAGGCGCTTTTCAATCGTCGACACGCCTCCGCTTCGTACTTCACGCCGGCATCTTTCCCTCCGTATTCTCGCGTCCAAACGACACCTTCGCTTTCGACGATGTAATCTGGTGGATTCTTAATTTTTCCTTGCATCCACAGCGATACTTCCCGATTAATCCTATCGAAACCGTACTTCACGTGGCTCTGATTGACTCCGGCGTGCGCGAAAATCGTGTCTCCAACTTGCAACACCGTCGGGTGTTTGCTCAACTTCATCGCAAACGCGCCACCCGGTTGGAACAACTCCCGTCGAGCTCGAACGCCTTGTATCACCGGGTCTTCGTTTTGAAACTGCTCGGAGGCTTTTTTCAGCGGTGATTTCTCGCTCTCGTTGCTACTCTCGTTGGTACTATTACTATCCGGAGAGGCGTTCTCCTTGTTACTATTAGCACTACTACTACCTTTATCACCACTACCACTACTCTCCTCCTTCTCTTTCATCTTCTTCAAGTACGTCCCGCACTCTAAATACGCCCCATTCGTGGCGTACCGTAAAGTCCCCCATCACGTTCATAATCTCGTGGTTCCCGTTCATCACAATCACGTCCCCGCCTTCCTTCATCGCTTTCTTCTTCAATCGTAAAAACTTCGTAAAGATGGCCAACTCCGCATCCCCTCGGTCCATCACGTCCCCGACTTGTACCACTACCGTGTTTTTCCCGATCCATTCGCCTTTATTGTCCATGACTCCGGCAATTTCCAACGCTTTCATCGCCGCCGGAAAATCCCCGTGCACGTCGCCGATGGCGACCAACCTTCGCCCGTTGAGGTTTATTTTCCCACTCAGAATCTCTCCTTCATTTTCGACGTTCGTACTGCTCCCTCCTTTTGCAGATGTTCTCTTCGACGATTTCGAACCGCTGAAACGTTCTTCTTCTTCTCTCGCGTTCGCCGCGGGTGGAGCGAGGAACGCGCCGCCCCACGAGGCGAGAAACACGAGCGAACAGGACGTGGGAACAATGGCGGCGAATAAGGCGATCCTTTTTCCCATCGTCACATCTGTCTTTGTCCTCTGCCCCGAAGGCGGCTCGGAGGAGCTGCTCTTGCCGCTCCTCGAGTTTACGCGAGAACTCGTGTTTCTCTTTGGTCTCTTCTTAGAGAAGAATCCTCCGCCTCCTCCGCCGCCTCCGGAAAACAGAGTTGTTAAACAACTGTTGGAGTTCGACATTTTTTTTCTTAATTTTTGTTTTCAAAGTGACGGATTTGTGCTGAAAAAATGAAGCGAATACTACTACTACTACGAGAGAGAGAGAGATGGACGAGAGGGATGCAGATGGTGGGCGAGATTTGTTGCATTCGATTACGTTGTTGTTGTCGTTATTGTTGTTGTATTACTACTACTTCTATTTTGTCAAATCCGCTTTCGCCTTGGCGCTTCGTTCGATCATCTCCATCCCGGCGATGTTAAATCCTAAATCGTCCAAGCGCTCCTTCGCTCGGGATCGGAGTAACGGTTTTAAACCGTCCAAAGTCGCGCGAGCTTCTCGAGTCGCGCCGAGTTGTTGGAAGTGTAACCGGACGATTAAGTTGGTCATCGTGCAACACAGCTCGACTTTTTCGTTTCGCTCGAGCCAGTATTTGAGGTAGTCGAGGAGGAGGCGGCAGTAAAGGAACGGGAGGCAGAGGATGGAACGTTCGAGCTCAGCCGGACGGACTTGACTGACTTGGTACAAGGCGTATTGACGAGGTTCCATGTTGAGAAGGAGCGGGTTTGGTTTCAGAGGTGGCATCTTGGAAGGGTCCGCGCTTTGTCGCTTTTCGTTTTCGTACGCCGCGACGCGTTCGAGCTCGTGTTTCGCCAAATCCACCGCGGCGGCGATTTTGTCCGCGGAATCGAGCGTTTCCATCGTGCGACGACCGGCGAGGCCGGATTCTGCGACGGTCGTGTTGAGTGCATCGGTATTGTCTCCGTTGTTGTTTTCCAAGTTTACTCGTTCGCTGTTTCTGCGATCTTCCTCGTCCATTTCAACGCCGGCGTTATCCTCAAACATGGAGTCTAACCTTTTTTCCTTCTCTTCGTCGAGAAAGAAAGGTTCTCTGGTGCGTTCGTAGAGACGCAAGGACCGATCGGCGCCGGCGGAAACGAGAAAGGCACCGGTTGTCGATATAGCAATCGTCCAGACGGCCATGTGATGTTCGTCCATGGACAAAAGCATTTCGTACTTATCTAAATCCCAATACCGGACGCGTTTGTCTTTACCGCACGTAAACGCGTAGTGCGTTTTGTTGACGAATTTTAACGCCATGACAGAATCGTCGTGCGCGTGGATGGAGCGATGACAATCGCCAAAATCCAACCCCCATACGCGAATATTTTTATCTTGTCCCGCGCTGGCTAATAAGACGGAATCCGAGGAGACGTCGTGGCACAGCGCCGGTAATCGATGACCGTATAAGGAGAGCGAAAACTTCAACGTGTCCGCGAAGAAGACTTTCAACGTGTTGTCGAGTAAAGACGCGGATAACAGTTTCCCGTTTGGCGTGATTGAGACGCTCAAAACGTCGTCGGCCATTTGTAACGTCTTTGAGTGCGTCGCGGTGAGTTTCTTCAAGCCGTTCTTATCTTTTCTATTCGCGGCGACGAGCGTCCACTCCCAAAACTTGATCGTCTTATCGCCGGAACAGGTTACGAAACCAGACTCATCCGGTAAAGCGCATATGCCCCAGACTGGACCTTCGTGCGCCGATTTCAACGGATCGACGATATCTGTGTTACCTTTCTCGTTTGCTCCTTCTTTCTCGTCGTCGTCGTCTTCTCCTCCTTCGCTTCTTTTCTTCTTTTTCTTTTTCTTCTCTTCGTCTTCGGGCAACGACGCCGAGTTCGTTCCGGCGAGACAATCTATAATCTCTAAGCCGCCATCTTTTGTTCCGACGACGGCATTTCGTCCGTCCGGGGCAAAGAACGCGCACGTTCCGTACCCGGACTCAATCGTCCGCGCGCATTTACCAGTATCCGCATCCCAGATTTTCGCACCCGAGTGCGAGACGGAGAGGAGGAAAGTTTCATCCGGAGATAACGCGATGACGCGAACATCCGCGCGGTGTCCAGGCGGTCGCGCCATGGACCGTTTCTTTGCCTCTTTAACGCTCGGGTCTTTCTTCGCAGAAACGTCCGCGATATCGTACACTTCAATCGCGTTTGAATCGAGACAGATGGCTAAGGATACAGATTTTGACAAATGCGAATCCATAGTTTCCGGTTGAAACGCAAACGGCGCGACAGATTTACCCGTCGGGCGAACGACGGAAGATAACTCAAACGCGTCTTTCGCGTTGAATTTATTCTCGTCGTCCTCGTCTTCGTCCTCGTCGTCATCGTTATTGTCATCACTATCCTCGTCTCGTCGTTTCTGTTCTTCCAACTTTAACTTTTTGATATTCTCCTTCTCGCGACGCCGTTTCAATCTTCGTTTCCGTTTCTTTTCAATCTCCTCCGCATTCTTCACGTCGTAAATTTCGATCGATTTCCCTACGCTCTGTACGCCAAACGCCGTGCCGAGGTTTGAAAATTGCATCGAAATCGTCCGACTTCGCGCTTCCTTCGCGAAAGAGCCGATGAAGCGTAAACGCAACGCTCGATCTAAAATGTTCTCGCGCGCCTGTTTCGTCTCATCGTCTTCATCGTCGTCGTCGTCGTTGTCCGCCTCTTCCTCGACGCGCTGTCGACGACGCAGGAACGAATCCTTCTCCACGCCTTTAAACACGGAATAAAATTTAATCTCTCTTTCCACGCCAGCTATGGCAACGATGCCATATTTTGTCTTGTCGTTGCTATGATTAGTACTATCGTTACTGTTATTCGTGTCCACGACCACGTGTTTGCTATACGCGGACGCCCAACACTCGCCTCCAAAACCGGACAGCGTTTGACAACACCTTTGGCCGATTAAATCCCACACCTTGGCGAACCCGTCTTTCGATGTCGTCACAAGCGCTACGTTTGTGAAATTTGACGACGCGATGGCATTTTCGCTGCTTTCCTTCATCATTACGTCGTTATCATCCTCGTCCTCGTTTTCGTTCTCGTCGTCCTCCATCTCCTCGTTCTCGTCCTTCTTCTTCTTCGATTTCTTCGATTTCTTCGATTTCTTCCTCGCCTTCTTCCCTTTCCCGCCATCTGCCGTCGCGTTCGTCACGAAAACCGCGCTCGTCACTTGCCCTCGGTGTCCTTTTAACCGAAACAACCCTTTCTCCTCTAACGCGTCCCAAACGACCACGTCCGTATCCCTCCCTCCGGAAACCAGCACCGTCCCGTCCTCGGTAAACGCCAACGCGCTCACCGCGGATTTATGACCGCGAAACAACACCGAACTCGTGCAATGCTCCAACTCCTCTTCCTCGTCGTCCTCAAAATCGCTCGAATACAGTTCATCGAGGTCATCTCCGGGATATTCGTGTTCTTCGTCTCCACCTTTTTGCCGCCGCCCCCGCGCCGCCTTCGCCGCCGACGAGAAAAGCACTCCTTTCAACGGCTTTCGCCACAGCCTGACGGACCCGTCGCTGAACCCGCCGGCGACGACTCGACCGTCTCTCGAGCACGCGATCGCGGTCACTCTCGGTACACTCGCCACGTAACTTCCATCGGACGAGTGGTACGTTTTCGGTGCGAACAGTTTTCTGCGCGCTCGTCCGGTTGAAGTCGTCTGCGAGCAATCGAACACGTTTATCGTTTCCCCGGCGGCGGTGAAGAGGAATTTCGACGTCGAGGATTGGTTTGTCGCACTGGGAGCATGACTCGTTTCGTGATAACACGCGTTCACGTCGGGCGAGCAGATGATGCCCCAGGATTTCGTGTGCTCGTACCGGAGGTACGCTTTCACCATTTCTTAAGTGCGTGTGAGCGTGCGCGCTTTGTTGTTTTAATGAGGGGGAATTTTTCTCTTCTGATGCTTCAAAAGGTGGTCACATTTTTAGGAGACATCGAGTCGGCGTCGAGTGGACACGTTTGATTATTCGTTGGTGTTCGGTATCTGTGATGATGAATGTACGACGTGTATGTGTATAGTTTTAGAACTACAAATGAACAGCTAATGTTGAGTGCGCTTGTGCCTTTTCAAATTACCGAGTTGACGAAAAGCTTTATCGCAGACATCGCATTCGTACGGTTTCTCGTTCGTGTGAATACGCATGTGTCTTTTCAAGCTACCAGATTCACTAAAACACCTCTCGCACACATCGCATTCATACGGTTTCTCGTTCGTGTGAATACGCATGTGGGTTTTCAAAGCAGTAGATTCACTAAAACACCTCTCGCACACATCACACTCGTACGGTTTCTCGTTCGTGTGAATACGCATGTGCTTTGTCAAACTACCAGAATCACGAAAAGCTCTATCACAAAAATCGCACTCGTACGGTTTCTCGTTCGTGTGAATGCGCGTGTGGTATTTTAAACCATTAGAATGACTAAAACGCTTCTTGCACACATCACATTCGTACGGCTTCTCTTTCGTGTGAATACGCATGTGGTCTTTCAAATGATGAGATTCACGAAAACGCTCTTCGCACACATCACATTCATACGGTTTCTCGTTCGTGTGAGTACGCATGTGTCTGGCCAAGTAGGATGGATATCGAAACACCTTCTCGCAAACATCGCACTCGTGCCCTCTCTTTCTCTTCGCTCCTTTCCTAACAGTTATCTCTTCTTCTTCTTCTTCTACTCCCTCTTCTTCTTCTTCTTCTTCTTTTTGTATCTGATGATGATTCGCCTCGAAATCATCCTCCTCAGGAATCCTCGAACACAACACCAAAGGTTCTTCTCCCTCTTCTCCTTCTTCCTCCGTCCTACCCTTCACCACCTTTAAAACCGTCCTCGCGTTTACCGCGCGTTTTGGGTGTGGATTCTTTCTTCGTCCCATGGTGTTGTTGTTATTAGTAGTAGTAGTAGTAAAACGTAAAATAACAGATCAAAGCGAAAGAGAGGAGGGAAAAAAAAATTGAGACGTTTTGCAGGAAATGAAGACGATGAAAAGACTTGAAAAAGACTGATTTTTGCATCAAAAAACAGCCAAACGACATAAGCTTGAAATCAACACAGAGAGAAAAGAAGACGAAGAAGAAGAGAAAGAATTGCTCTCGAATAATAGCGGTGTTGTTGTTCTCGTCGCGTTCTTTATTTTCTGTCTTTGTGCGTTTGAGAAGAGTTTTCGCACTCTTTGTGTTGTTGTGAGAACATTCGTACTGTGCATCAGAGGAGGCCCCGGCGGGTAAAATTCAAAAATCAGAGAGCTAATACTATAATAATGAACGCGAACGAGAAGCTCTTCATCAACGCGCTCATGAGCCGGAAATTCATCGAAGAATCGAAAGCGAAAGAACTGTTCCGAGACTTACTGACGAACCGAGAAAACGACATCGAGAACGCGTTGCCGTCGCAAAAAGAGTTCGACCAATTTTGGGGACACGTGAAGGACAAGTTACGAACGAAGATGGGATTGGACATAAGGAAAGTGCGCTTCGTGCGAGGGGACGAGAAGATATATTTGGGGATTTGCAACGTGAATTCCAACTTGACGAACGAATCGTACGTGAATGGGTTACCGACGACGAGATCACCGCGAGAAATCGCTCTGTTTCGAGTGGTTTTGGATGAGATTTTACGAACCGAAGATACGTGTCGCAACGGTATCGACTTGGAGCGGTTTTTAGGACAAAGCCAAGACGCGTTCATGACGCAAGCGCAAGAGTTATCGAAAAATAACAACAACGAGGAGAAGAAAGGAGAAGGAGTAGGGACGATGACGCAAGCGACGACGCAGCAGCAAGTAGAAGCAATGGGGAAGATGACATATACAGAGCGCGAAATCATCGTCGCGAATTTCGTGAACGACGGATGGTTACATCGTCTGGATAGCACGTACACACACGTGCGAATAGGCGTGCGGAGCTTTTTGGAGTTGAAGGAGTTCATCTTGGATCAGTGTCCTGAAGCAATCAGCGAGGAGTGGAAGAATGCTCTTTAAAGAAGATTTTGGGGTGTTCGTCATTCGCACACGTCCATATGATGGGTGATATTCGCCCGAGCTCGCTTCTGCGATTTTTGATGAAAAGTGGTTGCATGATAGATAGTTTCCTTTCTCTTCATTTTATATATAACACATACACGCGCGCGTTTCATAAAAGATCATCACATCTCTTTTCGCATCGAAAAGAGGCGAAAACAAACGATCGTATAATAATGTCCTCCTCTCGCATAACCGGCGGCATTCTCCACGTCCCCGCATCGACGCCATCGCCTTCTTTTCAGCACTTCGACGAATTGGAAAAAAAGAGCGGCGGCGGCATAGACGAAGGAGAAGAAGAGAAACGAGAAGATGAATGCGATGATGGAACGAATATGATCATCAGAGAGAACGATTTAGTCATCGCGCACGTTGGTTTTGGCGACCAGAAAGCTATGCGAGTGCGCGCGTCGGGTAACAAAACAAACGCAAAAAGGGCAGAAGGAATGTTGCACACCTCCTACGGGAGTTTCTCGCACAAGAGAGACATAACGGACAAATCTATTCGGTTCGGCGAGAAGGCGTTTTGTTCGAGCGCGAAGGGTTCGTCTTCCTCAGGCGGTCAGAAACCGTTCGTCTGGTGTTTAGCGCCTACGTGTGAACTTTGGACGAACGTGTTGGCGCACCGAACGCAGATATTGTACGCGTACGACATATCGTTGATATGCGCGTGGTTGGATTTGAAGCCGGGGAAAGTCGTGTTGGAAAGCGGGACCGGGAGCGCGAGTTTGACGCATTCATTGGTGAGAGCGGTGGCAAATGGTCGTGGTGGTGATAGTTGTAGTAATAGTAGTAGTGATAGCGTTAGTAAAGGGCACGTGTTTACGTTTGAGTTTAACCAATCTCGAGCGGACGCCGCCAGGGAAGAAATCGACGAAAATGGATTGAAAGAGTATTGCACGGTGACACATCGGGACATCGAGACGAACGGGTTCCCGAAAAATTTAGAAACCGCGAAGATTGCAGATGCGGTGTTTTTAGATTTACCCGGTCCGCATAAGTGCGTGGAGAGCAGCGCGAATTGTTTAAAAGAAGATGGCGTTTTGTGCTCGTTTTCGCCGTGCGTGGAGCAGGTGCAGAGGACGTGCGTGGAGATGCAAAAGTTCGGGTTCGTAGACGTCAAGACGGTAGAGATGTTAGGACGAGAATTCGACGTGAACGAACGAAAGTTTTTCACGGATATAGAAAAGGCTTCAACCGGGAAGTTTTCGAGAAATTTGAGTGAAAGAGATACGAAGTCGGTGAAAGAGGAGACGAAGAAAGCGAAGAAGGGTTTGAATAGTAAAGGCGGCGAGGAAGAAGAGAGCGTGGCTCTCGTTTCGCAACGGGTGAGCGCGGTGCCTAGATTTCAAGGACAGACGCACACTGGATACTTGACGTTTGCACGATTAGCACCGCTTCCAGAAGGGTGGACGAAAGCGTCCTGGAACGAACGCGCGGAGATGAAGCGAGAGGCTGGGAAGGAGATTCTGAGAGCGAAAGTGGAAAGGGACGAAGGGAGGAAAAAAAATGCACCCGCACCGTCGAACTCTACGGGCAAGAAGAGAAAACAGGAGGACGTAGCCGCTGTGGCGCCAATGACGAATGAAACGAAAGTCCATCACCACGCCGATGAAGACGAGTATTCGGATTAACGCGGATAATTTTTCCTAGATTTTGACTCTATTTGCTAAATTCTATTGTCCCCTAAAACACCGCTTCTGCCAACAACACCCTCGACACTATCGTGCACGTCGTACAAAGCTTCCTGCGTCGCTAAAAACGATTCAATGAGCTTCCTCTCGTTTGACGTCTTCTCGTCGTTTCCTCCTTCTCCCGAATTAGAAAACACGACGTCGAAAATTTTCGGCGCGGCTCGAGCCAAAACGACCGGCAATGCCGCGGCGAGCACCGACATCTCAAACGCATTCAACGGTTTCTCATTTGGATCAAAATAAGGCATCTTTTCCAAAAACTCTATCCAACTTTTCTCCAAACCTCTCTCTTTTGCGCCTTCCACGATCAAATCTCGATACCGTTTGCTCGGCTGTAAATCTCGCCTCGCGGCGACGTCGCGGTGCGTCAACGTCTTCGCTTTCATCAACACCCCTTCAATATCCTTATCGCCGTAGACAACAACATCCACATCCACGACATCGTACGAGCCTTCCGTTTGTAGCAAGTACTGAAACTCATCCTTCGTGATCGTATAACACACGCCGTGTGTTACCTCGCCTTTTTGGCGCGTAACGCTCGCAAACGCCGGCTCGAGAAATGGGACGCCAGGCACGTTAAAGCTCAATTGATAGTCCAGTATCTTCCCGTTTTGCACTCGTTTCGGTTGTATGTTCCTTCTCGTGGAGAACGTTTTCGAGCCGACGTTTGATCCGTAGGCGAAATAATTCACAAAAAACGCATCCTCTGCTGCTCGTCCCGCGTTGTCTTCGTCTTCGTCTTCTTCTCGTCGCGATGTAGACGCCGACGCAGACGACCGCTTCACCGTTCGGGGAATCTTCCTCTTTGGTCGTCGTCCGTGCATTAAAGTCGTCGTCATCACTTTGTTGCGCGATGACGACGAAGCAGAAGCAGAAGAAGCAGCGGAAGAAGAAGTCGATGGTCGCGGTAGCGTCAGTCTCGTCGTCGTTGCCATGATATCTCTCTCTCTTTCTCGAACAGAGATATCGTAAAGCGTGCGTCTTAAACGCGCGCAAAAGAAGTGTCGAATGTGGGGAAAAGTTTCCTCATTAAGACTCTCTCGCATGTAAAAGAAAGACCTCGTAATACGAATAACAATGGTACCTCCTTGCGCTCACACTCACACGACGCGCACATAAAGCGCAAAGTGTTGGTGTTCTCATCTCAAACCACATATCTGTTCGGAGAATAAGAGCCACACGAGATAAAGCACTTAGATATGAATTGGAAATCCCCTAATAAGAAGATACAAAGGCTCTTTATTACTCTTGTTCTGATGATGATGATGATGCTTTTGTTGTTCGCTTCTTCATCATCTCCGAGTGCGAGATTATTCGTTTCGCCGAGCAAAAGTGGCGACGGTGCGAAGACTTCCTCATCAAAGTCTAATGGTTTCGTTTTGTGTAAAGATGATGATGATGTCATGGCCCAAGACGGATGCTTTCGCTTCCGCAAAGGGACCTTGACGGACCCTTGGAAGAAAGAGCGCGAGATGCAAACGATGGATCCAGACGATTTAATACGAAACGAGCAATTGGTGGAAAAGATAAGAGAAGGAGAGATGAAGCAACGAAAACCGACGTCGCGAGATGTAGAGGATATGAGACGCGCGAGAGACGCGTTCGATGCGTTCGACGCTTCGGAGCGGAAGGAGAGAGAGGAAAAGCGAGCGAGGTTGAGGACGAGAGTTTCGAGTAATAACAGAATTAGTGGCGTGAAAGCTCGCGTGGGTGGAATGAGGGAAGCGCCAAAGCCGCATAAGTCGGTTCCGTTCAGAGCGGTCGACGGATTTATGTTCGGGCAGCTCGCGTTGGCGGCGTACGCGTTTCGAAAGACGAGAGCGCCGTTCGCTGCGAGTCTCTCAGCGCTCGCGTTTTCGGGAACCGCGAGAGCATTGTTCACCGAAAACTGGCGAATAGTTCTCTTCTCGGGCATCCTCGGCGCATTCTTCGGCTTATTTTTCTTGAGCATGCCAATCGTAGAAAAACTGGTCGACGAAAGCGTAGCTAAAGATCTCGAAGACGACGGGATCGACGACGACGATTCAGACGACGACGGAGAGGACGACGAAGAAAGCGCCGCAAAGGAGAACAAGGGAGTACACAAAATCGCAACGTACCGGCAAAACTTTGTCCAAAAGAACGGCGTCTTTGTCGGTAAGTACAGTTCTTCTCGTCGCAATAAAACGAGCACTAGCGATAGCGGTAGTAGTAATAGTACTAGTACTCTCCAACGCGTATTCGCGTGGATGTTTTAACAACGCGATAGATATCTAACCAGAGCGTTAAAAGCACCCTCTTCGTTTGAGTCGCAATAATAAAAGCGCGAGAGCGAGAGAGCAATAGTAGTAACAGAGTACTCTCAATTCTTCGCTTTCGGATGTTTCCATTTTACTGAAAATCCATCCTTTTCGCTTCTTCATAAATTCAAAAACAACGAGACACACGAATGGATTTCATATCCACTCTGTACGAAACCTTCTCCGGCCAAACCTTAGGCCGGCCGGATAAGAAGCGCAAGAGGAAACTGCGCGCTCAACGCGGGGTCTCCGTCGCAAAGTCGCCGATTTTGATGTCGTTAAAGTCGCCGCAAAAAGGGAAAGTCGCGAAGAAGAAAAGCGCGAGACCAAATTTGAAATCCATAACGAACACGAGTAACAACAACAACAACAACAACAACAAGCCGGTGCCGCCGAACAAGAAGAGCAGCGGCAAGAACAACAACAACACCACCACCACTGATGAGAAGAAGAGAACGTCGGCGATTCAATCTGCGATAGAGAGCGGCGAAAAAAGCACGCTTCCGTCGTTGATGCGAAAGATTGAAACCAAGAAACGAGCGATACTCGTGCAGATCGAAGCGTTGGAGAAGGAGGTGAGGACGAAGAAAGCGGAAGTGGTCGAGCTGGAGAAGGAATTGTTACTCGGCGCGAGCAGTTGGTAATTCGCGAGTAGATGTACATATATATAGATCGCGTTGTTTTGTTTATTAGTATTATTGTATATGCTCTCTTTTTTTATCATCTCGGCGGAGGCGGCGGCGGAGCTCTTTGCGGCGGCAAGAATTTGCTCACGGAGGAGAGGAGTTGGTTGATGTCGCCTCCGTTGATTTTGTCGGTGTTGTTTGGAGGAGGAGGTGGGACGTGAACGATGGGCGGCGGCGGCGGCGGGACGCGCAACTGCGGAGGAGGAGGAGGCACGACGACGACGTTTGGCGGCGGAGGAGGCGGCGGAGCTTGACGATGATGCTGCTGAGGGGCAGCGGAAACTACAGGTGGTGGTGGAGGTGCCTGGCGATGGAGCTGCGGGGCAACAACCGTAACTGGTGGAGGAGGCGGTGGGGCTTGTTGTTGCACAACCGGCGCCGGTGGCGGTTGGACGAGAGTTTGCGTCAATCCGCGTCCAAAGTTATTCGTCACTGCTCGTTTCGGCGGCGGCGGCGGCGGCTTCCTCGCTTCTTCTTCTTCTTCTTCCGCGTCGTCCTCCGAAAACTCCTCGTCGAAATCGCTCGTTCCGTCGTCCGGCGGCGAGTAATTTTCCGCCTCGCGCAAACGCTCCGCTTCTAACAATTTCATCTTCTTCACGCGTTCGTTTTCTAGCTGTTTCATTTTCGCCTCTTTCCTCTTCTTCTCCGCTTTAGCTTCGATGACTTTAAAGTTTCTCCCGATACCTTTTTTGTGAATGACGGCAACTAACAAACCACTCTTTTTGTTTTCGGTTCGAATGACAATCCCAGGCGCGCGCATGTGCTTCAACAAACGCATAGCTTCGTCTGATTTACGAGGGAACACGTACACCTCTATTTTTTTCTCCTTATCATCGCTCACGCCGGCTCTGCCTTTATCCTCGTAGTGCTTTGCGAGCGCTAATAAGCTCGCGTCTTGCTTTTTATCGTTGACCATGCAAGTCTCAACTTCGGCTATAGTCACCGCGCGCGAGTTAGATTGTCGAGAGATTTGTCGAACGAACGCCTCGGCATCTTTTAACGAAACGCGACCTTTGATTTCAAGCGTCGAGGAATCGGGCAAAAGTTTATCTAACAGCGCCAGTTCGCCTCCAACTGGAGAGAAGTGCAAAGCGACCGCGGGGAGAGAGTCGATGCCTTTGACGTAGACGTGTCCGGACCAATCACCGATTTCTAACGCGCGTATTTCACCCGGCTCGTTGTCATCGTCGTCGTCTTCGACGTCGTTTCTTTCTTTGCTCGTCGCGGGAGCGTTTTGCTCCATTTCTTTTTCTTCTTCCTCTTCTTCTTCTTCATCATCCTCTTCATCTTTTTCTTCGCCGCGTTGGTACGCATCGAACGAAATGAAATCTTCTTTCGCGGCGTCATCACCATCATCGACGTCGCCTGCTTCTCCCTCGTCGTCTTCTTCTTTGTCTAATCGTTCTTTCTCCTCTTCTTTGCTCGCCGCGAAAGGATTGTCGTCGTCCTTGCTAAAACTACCGTTATCGTCCTTCTTATTATTGTTATTACTATTCCCGCCAACCGGGACCACTCTCGGCGTGGTCGCCGGCGTGTTTCCTTCCGTTTCTACGCCTCTCTCCTCTTTTTCGATCTCCTCCTTCGATTTGATGTGCACGCTCACGCCTTTCCCATCCTTCTCTACCTTGATCATCTCCAACGGCACGCCTTTCAAAAACGCATCCTCGCCAATCTTCTCCTCGCGTTTCTTCCTCCACTCGATCAATTCTTTATTCGCCAACTCCGCCGGTGTCATCTTCACCAGCGTCTCCGCGCTCACGTTTTCGTGCAACACTCTCGCCCGTAACGTTGGATTTTGCGGATCTCTCAAGTTGAACATCAAACTCCTCGCGTGCACGCCGTACTCTTTCCCCGTATCTCTCCCGCACCGTTCAAACAAAGCTCTCTCGATGCCGACGGCAATTTCGCTCGGATTCAACGCGTTCTCCACCGCGTTCGCGGTAACTCCTATCGCCTCTTCTTCCGCCTTCGCCACGTTCAAACTTTCCTCGAACTTCTTCGCCACGTTGTCTCGCTTCTGCTGAATCTCTCGCTTCTCTCGTTCCACGCGTTTCCCCGCCGCGCCGCCAACGTTGTTCTTCTTCTCCCGCTGTTTGTCTCTTTCTCTCTTCAACCGCTTGGCGTTCTCCCTCGCCTCTTCCGACGTCACTCTCATTTTGCTTTCGTCCAAAGGCCAGGACACTTCGTCGTCCAGTATCGCCTCTTCGATGTTGATGTCCTCCTTCTCCCCTAACGCTTCGTCCTCGGCTTCGTCCGACGGGTACCACAACTGCGCCTGTCGCGTGTTCACGTTTATTGTGAGCACTTCCGCGTCGTACCAGACGCCAGTTTCTGTCCACATGACGGATATCCATTTGCCTGTTGTTGAATAAGAGAGAGAAAACGCGTGAGATGATGCTCTTTGCGCGCGGGAAACACAAAACTTCGCGCAGATTCGATCCCGACGATGGATTCAATTTCCCAAGCGGCGAAAGAGATTACGAGAGAAAGAAAGAAAGAAAGCTTTTAACGAAACGGGGCAAAAGAAGAGCGCGCGCGTAAAAAAATACCTCGCAAAGACGGCTTGATGTCGTCCACGGTGAGCAGTTTTCGCTTCTTCGCATCAGCAGTCGTCATCTCTCTTCTGTCTCTCAGAGACTTACGTTTGTTTTAACTGGGGAAAAGGTTTCAAAATCTGCACTTTTATGGCATACTTTTGCGGTCGGTTACACTCGCGGTTTGGAGACAAAAGAGACGGAGAGAACGAGAACGAAAAGAAGAGAGTCTGGCAGGTCGCGTTTGCCCCAGAGGTTACCGCTTTACAGAGAGAGAGGAGAGTGATAGAGAGTAATACTCAACAAGAATGGGATTTTGGGGAACGACGTTTGCGTTTTGCGTCCTGGAAGGCGCTTGCGCGGTGTACATCAACGCCACGGGCATTCGAGGCGCGAATCACTTGAAACATTTGCTGAGTGTGACGGCGGTGACGTGCATGTGGATGATGTGGGCGATAATATACATGGCGCAGATGTATCCGCTGGTACAGCCGGTGAGGAATAAAGGGGAGTAGTGTGTTTTAGGGGGAGAGAGAACGAGAGAGAGAGAGACTTTTGTAATGAGAATAGAGAGATAGAGATTATATACATTTGACTGCTACGTACGCGATTCTTTGTTTTTGTCGTTTGCTTCTCTTTCTCTTTTCTATTCTCTTGTTCTTCTTGGAAGTCCTCCTTATCAACACGCGCAGCCGCTCGCGGAATTCGCATTCGTCGAAGTTAATTTCACATCCACCAGTTGCTCTTTCGCGTTCGCTTCACTCGCGCTATTATTATTGTTATTAGTATTATTCGCGTTCACGTCTGCGCTGGGCAACGCCATCGCAATTTTCCTAAACAAAGCTTTCACGTTATACCCGGCTTTCGCGCTCGCCTCGATGAAAATGGCGCCTCCGTTGCCGCCGTTCGTACTACCGCTCTCGCTATGACTACTGCTATTACCAACGTTCAACCCTCTGGCGAACTTTTCCCCCTCCTCTGTCTCCACCTCTCTCTCTTCCACCAAATCCGTCTTGTTCCCGACAATCGCGATGACCACGTTCTCTCCTCTCTCTTGTTTCACCTCGTCGATCCACTTCGCGACGTTTAAAAACGACTGCCTATTCGCCACATCGTACACAATCACCGCCACCGAGGAGTCTCGGATGTACGAAGGAATTAACGATCGAAATCGCTCCTGGCCAGCTGTATCCCACAGTTGTAATCGAACGCCTCGAGAATTCTCCAAGTGTACCGTTTTCGATAAAAAATCGATGCCGATCGTCGCTTGATACGTCGCGTCGAATTTGTCGTACATGAAGCGAGAGATGACGGACGTTTTCCCAACCGATTGGTCCTGTTGAATACATAAAGAGGAAAAGTCAGCGATGCATTCTTCTTCAACGAAACCACCACAAAACCGAAACGATGACGAGATGCTATACTTTTCCTCCGCTTCTCTTTCTTCTTCTTCTTCTTCTTCTTCTTAACGCGGCAACTCTTTTATCATCTCAGGGAAGATTACGACGAAGAGAAAAAAGGATCGCCGGGAAAGGAGACTTTTGAAAACAAATAACGTTACGAAGAAGAAGAAGAAGAAGAACGAGAGAGAGAGAGCACCCGAAAACAAAAAACAAAAACAAACGACAGAAGAGGACGAGATAACAAGAACGCACTCCGAGGAATACCAGCTTGTACTTTGAAAGCGGCACCACGGAAGCCCCGTTCGGTCTTTGTTGGTGTGATGATGATGCCATGAGAGGTGAGCTTTTTTTGAATAAAAAATGAAGAAAAAAATGAAAAATCCGGTACAAAAATAACACAAAAAAGCTCATCACTTGTTGTTGGTGTTTTAGTGTTGTTTAGAGCACACACACATAAAGAGCTCTCTCGTTTTACACTCGCGAGAGAGAGAGAAAAGAGAGATCTTACTTCTGGTGTTGTTCTTTTTGTCCTCTTTATCAGAGAGAGAGAGAGAGAGAGAGACTGTAATAAGAGCGCGAAGAGAATTACGTACACAAAAGTCCCCCAGCGGCGGCGGCGTAGCACGAAGAAGATGCCAAAAAGCGAGAAGAAGACAAAGGATGACGACGATGACGTCGTGGTGGAGAACAAAACCGGGAACCCGGTATCGTCGAAAGAAGAGGCGATGCGTATCATCGGCGAAAAAGAAGAGGACAAGAACGCGGTGATGTCGTTATTCTCGGACGTGAACCCGAACGACCCGTTGCGACCGATTTTTGCGCCCTTGGGGAAGCAAAACGAAAAGAAAGGCGAGAAGGCGATGTACCGGAAAGTGAACGTTCCGTCGCACAGGCTTTCGCCGTTGAAAGAACACTGGATGGCGCTGTATACGCCGGTGACGAAACAGATGAAAATAGACATGCGCATGAATTTAAAGCTGAAGAAAGTGGAATTAAAAACAACCGACCAGACGGAGGACGAGTCGGCGTTGCAAAAGTCGGCGGATTTTATACAGGCGTTTGTTTTGGGATTTGAAATCCAAGACGCGGTGGCGTTGTTACGATTGGACGATTTATATTTAGAGTGTTTCGAAGTGAAAGACGTGAAGCAAACGCTGAGAGGAGAACACATGAGCCGAGGGATCGGGAGATTAGCCGGGAAGAGCGGCAAGACGAAATACACCATCGAAAACGCCACCCGAACTCGTATCGTCATCGCCGATCAACACATACGCATATTAGGGTCGTTTCAGAATATCAAGGTCGCCAGAAATGCCTTGTGCGCCTTAATCATGGGTTCGCCGCCAGGGAAGGTGTATTCCAGGTTAAGGACCGTCACCGCGCGCTTAGCTGAACGCTTTTAATAATAATACGTACGTAGAAGAAAAAAACAATTTTTGGGCTGTTGCTCTTTTCTACGTAATGAAACCCTAAATAAAAAGTGGCACGATGACTCGACTCTCGAGACCATCATCGTCACACTTTCTCGCGTGCTCGCGCTCGTTAAACGACGACGGTTTCGTCGAGAAACAGACAAAAAAGAAGAAACAGAAACGGTGCATTTACAGTACGACGACTTTATGATGTCTTTATCCTCTCTTTCCTTTGTTCATCCCAAAAACGTTAATGTTGGGTTTCAAAATCCCATCCGGGAAAAGTCAAGAAGTAACGTCATGAAGAAACAAAGACGACGACGAAGATTACGCGCGAAGACTCCTCAAACTCGCGCGATGGCAGCCGTCCAAGACGAAGAAGCGACGAAACCGCAACCAGAACCCGCAAATTGGGAGTACAAGTACCTCTACGACGGCGCCTGTCCGGTGTGTCGATCGCTGAAAGCAGGATTAGAAGGTACGAGCACTTTATCTCTTCAGCAGAGAGGCGTTTTGTGTGTTGGGTTTTTAAAATACGCTTTCGCGTAAACATCGAAAGAGCTTGGATTTCAAACGACTCTTCACACAACAACCACTCTTTTCTTTCTCGCAGTTGGTTTTTGACTCTCGACTCTTCTATCTCTCTCTGTGTGTGTGCGCACGCACCGTGTCTGTTCCTTGTATGCTGACGGTATGGTATTCTTTTTCTTCTTTTCCAAAAAGGCACGGGCAAAGGCAAAGGGAAAATCTATTACGTGAACATCGCGGACCCTCTTTACGACGCTTCTAAGCACCAAGGCGTGACGTTCGAGGAAGCGATGGACACTTTGCACGTTTTGAAACGGGACGGCGGGGAGCCGTTGCAAGGTTTACCGGCGATTGAAACGCTCTTTGGCGTGGTTGGTTTCGGGTGGGCGGTGAAGTTAGCCACGTTACCGCCGGTTGGGTTTGTCGCGAGTTTGATGTATAAGCTCATTAGTAGCAACCGGTTAAAGTTGGGCGGCGATAGCGCCGTCGGGGCGGGGATTATGGCGTTAGGAAGAGTCGGTTTGGAATTGAGAGGCGAAAAAGCGAGTTGCGCGGAAGGCGACGAGTGCAGAGGTATGGCGGATTTGGAAGTGGAGGAAGGACAGAGAGGGGTGGAGGTTTCGCCTTCGACTTCTTCCGACGGAGACGGGTCAACGGTGGAGGGCGGTGCAGTCTCTTTGCCCGGGAACTCGGTGGATTTTTCGGACGTGTTTTCCTCTGGACCAGAGTTTGTGTTGGGCGCGTACGCGTCTGGTGGGTACATCACCGCCGCGATCGTGTCCGTGCGCTCGGGCGAGTTGGATTCAGAGCTCATCGAGGAGGAAGTGACGGATGTGTTGGACATTAACAACGTCGGAGTCGCGTTGAAGTCGTTGTGCAAACGATTGAAATGGCAAGGTGGCGTTGCGGTGGCGTTACCGGGCGTGTGGCACGCGGAGCAGCAAGATAACGCGACGGTGCAACAGTACGATATGATGGAATCCTTATCGCCGACAGAGTCAAGAGCGGAAAGAGAGGAAACGGAGGAATCATTTCGTAACTTGGTCGGATTGGACGTGGCGGTGATTACCGGTGCGGAAGCGCACGGATACGGCCACGCCGATTTATGGGGCGACGTGAACAAAGTCAACGACTCGAGTAACGAAAAAGTGAACGAAATGGATGGTTTAGTCGGCGTGGTGACGGCTGGGCAAGAGGCAATGCACGTCGCGTTGTTTAAAGACGGCACATTGTTAACAAACGCCGATTTCCGCTCGGCGGATTTGGCGTCGACTTGGAACAACGAGGAATGGTCGGCGTGTCCACCACCGAGCAAAGATTGTGAGGACGAAGAGCAGTGGAGCAAATGGGCGACGAGAGTTGCGGTGCACTTGGCGAGAGTCGAAGCGTGCAGATGCGCAAGAGGTGGTTTGAAACGATGGGTCGTCGCCGGCAGCGCCGGTGAGAACTTTGATAAGTGGTCGCACTTGGTGCCTGAATTGTCCGTTACGTTGGCGCAGAAGCAAGCCGCGCCGTTGGTGAAAGGCGGGGCGAACAGAACAGAAGGCGTGCGAGGTGCGGCTGCAGGTGGCGGCTTTCGATTCCGATATGCCGCGGACGTGCTGAGAGTGCGCGCGGCGATTGGCAAAGAGTTGGGTAAATCCCCTCAGTTGGTCGATACCGAACAGCTGAGAACGTTGTTTGATCGATTCAGCGACCCGGCATCGTCTGAGACGGTCGACAGAGACTCGTTTATTCGCATGGTTTCCGCCTTGGGGATCCGCTTACCGCCGGATGAGATTCGTGAGTTGATCGTGGACGTAGACATGGACGATTCGAACCAAATCTCGTTCGAGGAGTTTGAAGGCTGGTATCGCCAAGTCGTCGGCACTGGTGCGGTTACGGTTTTACACACCGAACAAGCCGTGGACCAAGTGTTGAGCGAAGAAAAAGGGACCGGACGCTGCGTGGTTTTAAAAGTTGGCTTTACCAGTTGCGCGCCGTGTAAGAAATTTCTCCCGCACTTTGAGCAACGCGCGTTGGATTTCAGAGAAAACGCGAGATTCGTTCGCATTTACGGGAACGAAAACGCGAGCACGATTCACTTGGCGAGAGATCGTTTGGCGGTGAAAACGACGCCGACGTTTTTCGTGTTCAAAGACGGCGAATTGACGCACTCGCACTCCGGGGCCAACGTGGAAAAATTCGACGACGCCGTGAAAGAACAAATGGGCGAGTTGGATGAAGGCACGTATAAACAAAATTGGGAAAAGCCAGCCGTGGATGAAGTCGTGCCGTCGATTTAAAAACCACATCACAATTAATAATACTAAAAAGCTGTATAACACATCAATACTACACACTACTAAAGCTATCTAAAAGCTAAACTCTTTACTGGCTCTTCTTCTTTGGAGGGGAGCGTTTTAAAACGTACGTTCTCACCGCGAATAATTCCTTTGGAAATACGTCGGACATCTTGGAATTCACGACTTCCATCCCAGCCTGTTCAAATATCCACCTGAAATAGTTATCCGATCGAGTTATGCTGCTATCTTGGTCGTCCCAGTGAAACCCTTTCGAGCAATTATTCTCTTTCACGACTATAAATCCATCGGCGTTCACCTTTGCTCTTTTCAACAAATCGATAAAGTCCGCGTCGGAAAGTTGTCCTATGCACCACTGAATCCAAATCACGTCGTACCCCGCGAGCGCCTTCCCATCCTCTTCAAAGCTAAACTCCTCCAAGCTTTCCTCGAAATAGTTTTGCACCTTATCCTTCAACGTCGCCTTGGCTTTTTCTATGAAGTGATGCACCGGTTCCAGCAAATCTACCGAACGGAAGAACTTCGTCAAGAATGTGCTCTGTTCGCGTCAGTCGTAAACAACGAAAAGGTCAGTCGAGACGATGATATATGCGCGCACACAAACGGAAGAACAACCTGAAGTCGACGACGAAAAGAGAAAACGATAACACAAACAAAATCACGCACCGAAACTCTCCCTACCCCGGCGCCGACATCCAGCGCTCTCTTCTCCAAAATCTCACTAAACTCTCCCTCTGGGTACATCATCGTTCTTAAAATCCGTTCGTTTTCTTTCGCGTCTGCTCCGGAAACCGATCCGAACCCGCCTAAAACGCCGTCTACGGTTGCATCGACGTGATTCCAGTACTCCACGCCTTGGTGATACCACAGGAGTTTTCCTTCTTTAGTATTCTCATCATCGTCAACATCTTTTCGTATCTTCTTCGTTAACACGCGTTTCCAGAACGCATCGCACGGCCCGATTGGATTGTTTTCGCCGTCGACGCCGTGGAACGGGTAGACGTCGTCTGATGATTCACCACCTTCAACTTCGGGCATGTCTCTCGTTTTTCGGCGCTCTCGTGCAAAAAGGAATGAATACTAGTACTAATAACAAACACTTGTGTTTTGGGGAAAATTCGAAATGCTTCAGAACAAAAATGCGAGAAAACGAACAAATCGTAAAAGTGGTCCAAGTGAAAGAAATCAAACGGTTACCGGAGTCCGTGGTGAACCGAGTCGCCGCTGGAGAGGTACTACTATACAGTTTTTTCTCTTTCGTTCTTCTTCTTTGTCTTCTTCCTTCTTCTGAAACGAAACGTGTTTTTAGTGTACTCCTTTTAGGGGAAATGTGTTTACATTTTCAAAATCTCTCTTTCTTGTCTTTCTTGTCTCTTTCTCTCTCTTTCGATCGATGAGAAGTGAGGAGAGGAACTCTGAAATCGTTGGCGTGTGCTCGAGTGAGTAGTAACTGACCGCAAACGCGTGCTCAATCTCTCTCACTCTCTCTCTTTCTTTCTCTCTCTGATGATGATGATGATGATGAAAATGAAAATATCAACAAACAATGAAAAGGTCATCCACGGACCACATTCCGCTTTGAAAGAATTAATCGAAAACAGCTTGGATGCTTCCGCGACGCAAATATCCATCCTGTGCAAAGACGGAGGGAAGAAGTTACTCCAAATCACCGATAACGGCATCGGGATTCGCGAGGAGGATTTAGAAATCGTGTGCGAAAGGCACACGACGTCAAAGCTGGAAAAATTTGAAGATTTAGAAGCGATGGAAACGTTTGGATTTCGAGGCGAAGCGTTGGCGTCGATGACGTACGTGGCGGACGTGACGATAACGACGGCGAGAAGCGGGGGAAAGTGCGCGTGGAAAGCGTCGTATCGAGACGGGAAAATGAGAGAAGGGACGAAGGAAATGTGCGCTGGGGTGACTGGGACGACCATCGCGGTGGAAAATTTGTTTTATAACGTGAAAACGAGGAGGAACGCGTTGAAATCTGGGGCGGAGGAGTACGCGAAGATTTTAGACGTGGTGACGAGATACGCATCGAGTCGACCGGACGTGGCGTTTTCGTGTAGGAAAGTCGGGGAGACGCGGGCGACGGTGAACGCGCCCTTGGTGGTTTTGAGCAGCAGCGGCGGTGGTGGTAGCGAAGGAGAGAGAGAAGGAGATAGAGAAAACGGAGAAGAAAACGAACCGTCTCCTTCTTCGTCGTCGCAAAAATGTCGACTCGAACGCATCGGCCAAATCTACGGTCCAACCGTCTCCAAAGAACTCTTACCGTTGCGACTGAAAACGAACAACGACAAGCTGGAGAAGAAAATGGCGCAATTCCACATGGAATGCGACATCTTATACTCAAACGCCAATTACAAAGCGAAGAAAACGACGTTCATCTTGTTCATCAACGGCCGATTGGTGGAATGTTCTGCGTTAAAAAGAGCCATCGAAACCGCGTATCAATCGGTTTTACCGTCCTCCTCGCGCGAAAAACCGTTCGTATTTTTGAGCATGAAACTTCCCTTTAAAGACGTGGACGTGAACGTGCATCCGACGAAAAGAGAGGTACACTTTATGCACCAAGAGGAAATCGTCGAACGCGTGCAAACAGCGTTGGAGAAGGCGCTGGTGAAAAGCAATGCCGCGCGAACGTTTACGGTGCAAACTTTGTTGCCGGGAGCGCAAGAGAAAATAAACATCGCGAAGAAGAAAGCAGAAGAAGGAGGAGAAGAAGAAGGAGAAGATCAAGAAGAACGCGTGACGCAAACTCAGCGACAACAACAACAAATACTAACGATGAAAACGAAAACGACACAAAGAGAAAAAGCCGGTGGCGACCACAAACTCGTGCGCACGAATCCAACGAAAGATATGGCGAGTTTAGACGCGTTTTATCGCAAAACATCGGTCGGTGGTGGTGGTAGCGCCAGCGATGTTGCCGCTACGACGGGAGGAGAAAACAGAGAAGACGTTGGAGAAGGAAATGATGCAACGAACAACAGACGCAAGAGCGGGTCGATAACTTTACTGGAAGAAGTGCGTCGAAACGTGCGCGCGAGACGAAATCGACCGAACAAGGACGGGAGCGAAGGCGCGATGAACGATATCGCGCCTTATTACACGGATTTGACCTCGATCACGGAAATATGCGAAACTATTCGAGAAGAAGCAGACGATGAAATCGCGGAAATGCTTCGCTCGCATACCATCGTCGGCCCGGCGGATATCTCCGCGGGAAAATGGTTGATTCAACATGGCACGAAACTGTTAATGATAAACGTCAACGCGGCTTCGCGAGTTTTGATGTATCAGCTCGCCATGGCAAAGTTTAACGGCTTTAAACCGATTTCGATACGGCCTCCGGCTTGCGTGTGCGATTTGCTCGGAGAAGAAGAAAAAGAAGGAGTAGAGGAAGCAAAAGGAAAGGTCGAGGAACTGTTGCTTCGCCACGCGAAGATGCTCAAAGAATATTTTGGCATCGCGATTGAAAAGAAGAAGACAACATCAAAGGAAGAAAAAGCAAAAGAGGATCACGACAATGCAGATGTCGTCGTCATTTCCGCGTTACCGGAAATATTAGACGGCCACTCCCCAGATGTCTCTCGTCTCCCTGAGTTTTTAAAATCTTTACGCGAGAAAGTCGACTGGTCGAACGAAAAGCGATGCTTCGTGACCATCGCGGAATGTTTAGCCGAGTTTTACGGCGTTTTAGACGACGAAGACGATGAAGACGACGAGACAGGAAAAGAAGTTAAAGACAACAATAATAAAAACGACGACGACAAAAACGACGAAAGTACGTGGCAAACGAAACATATCGTCTTCCCGGCGCTGAGCTCATCCGCCTTCGCGCCTCCCGCCCGGTTCGCCAAGGACGGCACCGTCGTCGAAGTCGCGTGCTTGGAGCAGCTGTATAAAGTCTTCGAAAGGTGTTAAGTACGAGTAAAAGGAAGGAAACGAACAACCGTTCAAATAGGGAGTTTTAGGAGTAACAATAGTAATACTAGCGAGCGCATACGCGCGAAAAAGCTTTCTTAGAAAGGAGCGGATTGAACCCGCGACTTTGACGAAAATCTCTCCTAAATCTGCTCCTCTGAAACGTCACATAAAATGCTCACGAGGTCGCTCTTTTTACACGCGAAAAGGACGAGCACACCTACCGTTACGTCCGCTTCTTCTTCTGCTTCTTCTCGTTTGCCCCTGTTGTTCTCTTCTCGAAAGCAACGAAAGTCGTCTGTATCGTCGTCAAAGTCTCGGAGGAGATTACTCGTCGCGAAGTCGTCGTCGTCGTCAACCAAAGTCCAAACGACGAGAGAAGTGGAAAGCAACAACAACAACGAGAACAACAACAAGAAAATGAAGGACAACAACGCGAAACTCGCCGCACTGCGCCTGGAAATGAATAAACGAAACATTTCCGCCGTTCTGATTCCATCGCAAGACCCGCACTTCAGCGAGTACGTTTCCAAATGTTTCGAGAGGAGGAAGTACATCTCCAACTTTACCGGTTCAGCTGGGACGTGTTTGGTGACGAAAACGAGCGCGATGTTATGGACGGACGGGAGGTATTTTTTACAAGCCGAGCAAGAGTTGGATTCTCCGGCGTGGCAGCTGATGAAACAAGGCGAGAAGGACGTGCCGTCCGTGCAGAAATGGTTGAGAGAGAATATGGAGAGTGGGGCGGCGCTCGCCGTGGACGCGAACGTGCACTCGGTCGCCGAGGCGAGGCAGTTGGAGGAGTTGATGAGGAAGAAGAATGCCGGGGGAAGAGGAGAAGGAGGCGACGGTAAGCTGGTTAAAGTTGAGAAGAATTTAGTGGATTTGGTGTGGGAGAACGAAGAAGGCGAAGAGAAACGACCTGGGATGCCAAAGGCGATGTTGAGGGTGCACGCGATGAAATACGCGGGAAAATCAGCCAAGGATAAATTGACGGATATCAGGAAAGAGATGGCAAAGGAGAAGCAGGAATGTTTGGTAGTTTCCGCGTTGGACGATATCATGTGGTTGGTCAACGTGAGAGGTGGCGACGCGGAGTGTAATCCGGTGTGCTTGTCACACGTGTTGGTGACGGAGAAAGAGGCGTTTATGTTCGTGGACAGAGATAAGGTGAACGAGGAGGTTGCGCAACATTTGAAAGAGTCTGGGGTGGAAGTGAAGCCGTACGAAGACGTTGGGAAGTGTTTGCGAGAGATGGCGGAGAAAGGCACGAAAATTTGGATCGACGAGGATAAGGTTTCCGTGAATACGTACGACGAGGCAATGAAAGGTATCAAAGCGGCTGAGAATAATATCGATGAGAGTCGTCCGGCGAAAGTGGCTAAAAGCGATAACAGCGGCGGTGGTAACGATAGCAACCAACAAATTAAGTTAGGCGTTAGTCCAATTCCAATGGCCAAAGCGATCAAGAACGAAGCAGAGTTGGAAGGCATGCGCGAGGCGCACTTGATGGATGGCGTGGCCATGAGCGAGTTGTGGTGGTGGCTCGAGAAACAGGCGGGAGAAGGTAACAAAGATTTGAACGAATTCAACGTCGGCGAGAAAGTTTCCTCCTTACGCGCCGAGCAAAACGGGTACGTCGAAGAATCGTTCCCGAGCATCGTCGGTGAAGGTCCTCACGGTGCAGTCGTGCATTACCGAGCCACGGAAGAGTCGGCGAGAAAAATTACAAAAGATTCCATGGTCTTGTTAGATTCCGGAGGACAGTTTCTGTGCGGCACGACGGACGTGACGAGGACGCACCATCTCGGAACACCTTCTGCGTACGAAACGATGTGTTACACGAGAGTATTGAAAGGCCACATCGCGTTAGATTCGGCGACGTTTCCGGTGGGTACTCCTGGCATGGCTCTCGATACGTTCGCGAGACAACACTTATGGTCCGCCGGATTAGATTACAGACACGGCACCGGGCATGGCGTCGGCGCCGCGTTGAACGTACACGAAGGCCCGCAAAGTATCTCTCCGCGGTGGGGGAACACGACGCCTATTAAAGATGGGATGATTGTCTCCAACGAACCGGGGTACTACGAAGACGGTCAGTTTGGCATTCGAATTGAAAATCTTCTCATTTGCCGCGAGGCGAAAACTGAACACAACTTCCAAGGGAAAGGCTACTTGAGCTTTGAGTGCTTGACGTTTATTCCGATCCAAACCAAATTGATGGACTTGAAGATCATGTCTGATGATGAAATCGCGTGGGTGAACAGATATCACGAACAAGTCTGGGAGAAAATAAGCCCGAGAGTGCAGAAGGAGGAAGTCAAGGAGTGGCTTCAAAAGGCGACGGCGAAAATTTCTCGCGAATAATTATTAACGAACAAACAAATGCAGTTGTAAATAACACCACACGAAGAGAGAACAAACGAGGTCAAACGATTTCATACATTCATTCATTCAAATTTCTTTTAATAGTATTATTATTAAAGTTATTTATATACTTATAGACTACCTTACACCACACTACACACGCTTAAAAATGGATTTATGATACGATTGCTTTTTTGAAAGGAGAGACATGCGAAAATTTTCTTTCAAACTTTCTCACACGTACAAACACTTCACACTCGCACATATTTATCCTTCCTTGTAAGTCACTTTCGTGATCTTACCGAGCATGACGGCGGTGTTACCGTCCAAAAATGCGATACGGGACAAACCCTCACACTTCTTGAAGGAATCGACAACCATCGGGTGGACCGGTTCAAAGACGACCTCGGCGACTTCGTTGGATTTCAAGGAGGCCGGACCTTCGAGCTTTTTGCCGCCAGTTTCCTTACCAACCTTGAAGTTCAACGCCGTCATCTTGCACGCGGAGCGGCCGCATCGGACGAAACCGATCGGGGAGTAGCCAGTCTTCAATTCACCCGGAATGTCCAAAGTTTGGACTTGCGCGGTGAATTCCTTGCACGGCGCCAAAGACTTGTCAGCCTTGTACACCATGACGTCGCCAGATCTCGGCATGTTCAATTTGTCGAGACCCTTAACGTTCATACCAACGTTGTCGCCCGGGTTGGCAGCTTCGACACGCTTGTGGTGCATTTCGACGGTGAAAACCTTACCACCACACGGGTTGGACGTGGTGTTGGTCGGCAAGAAGACAACTTCCTCCCCCGGCTTGACGACGCCTTGTTCGACGCGGCCGGCGAGGACATCCCCGACACCCTTGATCTTGTAGACACCTGAGATCGGCAATCTCATCGGCAATTCCGGGTTACGTTCCGGTCTGTTGACCATGTTGTTCAACACGTCCAACAAGCACTCGATGTGGTGCTTTTCCGCCTTGCCGTCGAAACTTTCGACGTCGACGCCGCTCCACCAGCCCATGTTGGTAGTCTTCTTGATCAAGTTGTCACCCATCCAGCCAGAGATCGGCAAGACCGGGACGCACTTGGAGACGAAGTCAGGCTTCCAACCGACCTTGGACAACATGTTGCGCATTTCGTCGCGAATTTCGTTGTACCTTTCCTCCTTGTAGCCGGCGGTGTCGCAATCCATCTTGTTGATACCAACAATCAATTGCTTGACGCCCAACAAGTTAAGCAAACGCGCGTGCTGACGCGTTTGGCCTTGGACTTCACCAGCCTTGTGGTTACCCTTTTGGATAGCCGTGGTAAAGTTACCATCGGCCGGGACCATCAACAAAGCAACATCGGCTTGCGCGGCGCCAGAGATCATGTTCTTGATAAAATCTCTGTGCCCCGGCGCGTCGATGATGGTGTAGTGCCACTTGTCGGTGAAAAACTCCTTGGTCGTGCACGAGATGGTCACACCACGTTCGCGCTCTTCCTTTTGGCGATCCATATAGAACGCAAACGCGAAAGAGGATTTACCCAAGGCATCGGCCTCGGCTTTTAACTTTTCGACTTCACGTTCCGGGATACCGCCGAGTTCGAATAACAAACGACCCGTGGTCGTGGACTTGCCGGAATCGACGTGACCGCAGATAACGATGGAGAGATGCTCTTTGCCTTCAGACATTGTTAATTTATGAGATTTTCTGTAAAGTTGTCGATTAAAAAAGGAAGGGAGGGTTGAGAAAAGCGTTTCAAAGTCAGTGTCAAAATTGTTGTATTTTTGGGGCTTTTCAGGCGAAAAATGAGCGGACAGCCGTCGCTTCCACTCTCATCTCTCTCTCTGAGAGATGAGATTTTTCGACTTCTCGCGGTTCACCTCTCGCGCGCCGCCCGGCACCACGACGCGAATATGAAGCGACGAAAATCTCGCACAAATCATGCGCGATGCGAACGCGTGAATGAGAAAATCGTCTCTGATCTGAACGCGTGCGCTTTTGGCTGGAACTATCGCGCGGTCATCGGATTCAAAATTGGACACTGCCGCCAAAATCGCTTTTTTTTTCTCTCTCTCTGAATGTTTATGCGCCGTCCATCCGATTTGTCTCTCGAAATCGCGCCGGAGAAGACGCGACGCGAACAAAGGAATTCGCAAAACGCGCGCGAAGAGATCGAACGAGAACACTTTTTCGCAGAAGGGCACAACAGTAACGGTGTTCTTCGTTCGAAGAGTATGGTAGAAAAATAAAAGAGCGCCGCGATATAGATGCAGGAACGTACCGTGTAAATAAAAGGAGGAATTCGAATGGTTTTCCGGAAATATAAAAAAGACAGACGAAAGAAAATCTGAAAAAACCAACACTGTGAGAGAGGACGACGACCCCGGCGGTTCGTTTCCTCTTCGTCTGCTTCTCTCGCGTCTCTCTCTCTCTCACAAAATCTGTCTGCCTCTCTTTTTTCGAGAAAGGGTGACCGTATTGCTCTTGCGTGTTGGTGTGATATCCAAACTGTATAGACGCACTACTATACTCTCTTTGATATATACGTAGAGGCTCGTTTTTCTAGACGATGAGGTAAAAAAGAACCAGAAACGAGAAGAATGAACAAAGAAGCCGTCTCGGGCGCGACGGCTGGGTTTATGGCCACGATAACGTTACACCCGCTCGATGTCATCAAGACCAGATTGCAAGTGCAAGACTTACAAATCGCCACGAAATACAACGGCACTTTGCACGCGTTTAAAACGATTCTGAAAAACGAAGGCGCGAGAGGCTTATACGCGGGACTTTCGCCGGCAGTGGTCGGGAACACGGCATCGTGGGCGATGTATTTCGCGTTTTACGATCGAGCGCGGAAACGGTACGAGAAAGCGTCGAACGACGACGGCGAGGTTGAGAAGAAGAAGACAAAGGAGAAGAAGAGTATTAGTTCGGGGGAGACGTTATTGGCGGCGGCGGAGGCGGGCGTTTGCGTGAGTTTATTGACGAATCCGATATGGGTAGCGAAGACGAGGCTGGCGCTGCAAGAGAGAGGCGGAGGAGGCGGAATGGAGGCGAAGAGTAGTAGCAGCGGCAGCAGCGGCAGCAGCGGCCGTGCCGGGGGTGGAGGAGTTAAAGTTCAAAAACCTACTAAAGTGGTGGTGAGATATAAAGGGTTAATCGATTGTTTGTATTCAATCGCACGAACCGAAGGCATTCCCGGATTGTATAAAGGATTGACGCCGAGCTTGTTGTTGGTGTCGCACGGCGCCATTCAGTTCACGTGTTACGAAAATCTGAAGAGTTTAGCCAGAGGAGAAGGAGGAGCGATTTTTGCACTCGAGAATGGTGGCAAAAAGAACGACGACGATGGCATCGCTCCAACGAGCGAGCAAAGAGAGCTCACCAGCGCCGAGTGCGGCGTCTACGGCATGCTTTCAAAAATAGTTGCCTCTCTGATCACGTACCCGCAACAAGTCGTTCGCGCTCGAATGCAAAAACTTCAAATCGAACGAAACCAGATTAAATATAAAAGCTTACTCCAATCGTTCGGAACGATATCGAGAAGAGAAGGCATATCTGGCATGTATAAAGGCATGGTGCCAAATCTCGCGCGGATGTTACCGTCTACCGGGGTGACTTTTTTCACCTACGAGTTTGTCAACCGAATGTTTGTTGAAGGCCCGGACGAGAACAACAACGAGGACTAGACGCGTTTACGTAGCGCTCAAAAAATCGGAGGCTGGAGTCATCGACACTCAAGGCTGACAAAAACTTCTCGCGGTAGTCATTTTAGTCGTAGTCGTAGTCGCAGCATATAGAGAGTAGATTTCGTATAGCAAAAAGATGTAAACATTATTTGTACGCGTATTCGTCGTCGTCGTTGGAAAAAGAAAGCGAAAATTTCTTCTTTGTCGTAAAGTCAACATTTTGCACTTCGGAGCCGTCGCCGCACAAATTTCAAAAGCACTCCACGACCTTTACTCACAACACCAACACCAACGACCGACCAAAACTTCCCATCAAAATGTCCTCCTCTCTCCGTTCGGTGAACCCAAACGCCGAAAGCATGGATAAAGCCGCGGCTTTGTTCATGAACATCAACGCCGCGAAAGGTTTGCAAGACGTCATGAGAACCAATCTCGGGCCGAGAGGGACGATTAAGATGCTCGTCGACGGTGCCGGAGGTACACAAACTCTTCTCGTTTTCTCTTTCCTTTCTTTTCTTTTCTTTCGGTTTTTGGTCGTTACGTGGAAAGGATGATCTCTCGCGCTCGTTGTTACGATGAAAGTAGCGCAGAGTTTCCTCCTCCCACCGGGAACCCGCGTCGGAAAAGGCGATCGATCTCATCGTGCGAGAGACTTGCCGCCGTTTTGTTTGACTTTTTGGAAATTTTCCACCAAAAAACATATTTCGAGGCTTATTATTATGCGCGTAATACTGACATCAACATCGACACAACAACGAAATGCAAACGATCTGTTTCTCCATTTTACTACAAAACGCGTTTTTGTTGTTTGAACACAACGAACAGGCTTGAAGCTGACGAAAGATGGCAACGTTCTGTTGAAAGAGATGCAGATTCAAAACCCGACGGCGATTATGATTGCGCGGTCGGCGGTGGCGCAAGACGACATTTCCGGCGACGGGACCTCGTCGACGGTGTTAATCACCGGGGAGTTGATGAAACAAGCGGAGCGGTATTTGAACGAAGGCGTGCACCCGAGAGTGATTGTAGAAGGTTTGGAGGCTGCGAAGAAGAGCGCGATTGAGTTTTTGAAACAGTTTCGCGTGGAAACGGGAGGCGTGGAGAATCCGGACCGAGAGATGTTGTTGTGCGTGGCGAGGACGGCGTTGAGGACAAAGTTGGAAGAGCATTTGGCGGATATGTTGACGACTATCGTCACGGACGCGGTGTTGTGCATTTCCAGACCGCAAATGCCGATTGATTTGCACATGGTGGAAATTATGACGATGAAGCACAAGGAAGATTCGGAGACGAAGTTGATTAAAGGGTTGGTTTTAGATCACGGGTCGAGACATCCGGATATGCCGAAACACGTGGCTGATGCGTATATTTTGACGTGTAACATAAGCATGGAGTACGAAAAGTCCGAGGTGAATTCGAGTTTTATGTACTCGGACGCGGAGCAAAGAGAGAAGATGGTCGAGGCGGAGAGGAAGTTTACCGACGACGTCGTGAGACAAGTCATCGCGTTGAAGAAGAAAGTCTGCGAAGGGAACGATAAAGGATTCGTGGTGATCACGCAGAAAGGTATCGACCCGATTTCGTTGGATATGTTGGCGAAAGAGAATATTTTAGGATTACGACGAGCGAAGAGGAGAAATATGGAACGATTAGTTTTGGCGTGCGGCGGGGTGTGCGTGAACTCGCCGGAGGAGTTATCGCCGGAAGTTTTAGGCCACGCGGGTGAAGTGTACGAACACATTTTAGGAGACGAAAAGTTTACGTTCATCGAGGACGTCTCGAACCCGACGTCGTGCACGATTTTGTTAAAAGGTCCGAACCAACACACGATCATTCAGTTGAAAGACGCCGTGAGAGACGGTTTGCGCGCGGTGAAGAACACTTTAATCGACAAGGCGGTCATCCCTGGAGCCGGGGCGTTCGAGGCTGGTTTGTTCGTCCACTTGAACGAAGTGACGAAGAAAACGGTGGAAGGAAGAGCCAAGAGAGGCGTGGAGGCTTTCGCGGAAGCTATGCTCGTCATCCCGAAAACATTAGCGGAGAACTCGGGGTACGACGCGCAAGACGCGGTCATTTCGCTCACGGACGAACACGAAAACGGAAACATCGTCGGTATTGACGTGACGACCGGTGAGCCGTTCGACCCGACGACGAGTGGCGTGTACGATAACTATTTGGTGAAGATGCAAATTTTGCAAAGCGCGCCGGTTGTTGCGACGCAGTTGTTGTTGGTAGATCAAGTGTTAAGAGCCGGCGTGAACATGCGCGGTCGCGGACCGGCTGAATAAATTTTAGAATTAAGAAAGAATAGATATATATTTGCAATGCCAAACCTAATCTTTAGTTAACTAAACAATACGCCGCTTCTATTACTATTACATTTGCGATTGATGATCTTTGGTGAAGATAAAAATCCCTTGGCTCCCAGTCGCTTTGCCAATCAAGACGTCCTCGTCGCAATAACTAAACTCGTACCTCCCCACCGCGGCACCAGAAACTCCGTTTTCATCACTACCACCCATCGCTCTCGCCGCTCTTCCGAACAACGGAAACCTCACCTCGAAATCCCTCAAAAATAACAACGCGCGTTGATTCAACTCGCTTCGCGGCAAAATCGCCGGCGCTAACAACGTCTCCGTTAACTCCGATATCCTCACGTCGCTCACCACCGCCTCTTGAAACACCAACTCTAACGCTTTCTTACTATTAATACTGCTATCATCAACTCCTTTATACGTCGCGTTCACCCTCAAAATCACCCCGTCTTTCTCCTCTAACACCCACGGCACGGACGCTCGAATCTCGTTCACAATCTCCTTCGCGTCCGTCTTAAACTCTTGAAAGATGTCGCCAACCACGATTGGCGGCGGTGGAAAAAACGGCAACGGTGGTGGTGGTACCGAAAAAACGAGTAATCCGGTCACGTCTAACGCGGTCGTGTAGATTAATTTCCATCGTCCGTTCAAGCGGTTTCGCATCCAGTCCTTTTCCTCCTCCTTTTCCTCCGCACCAAACGTTTCCAAAGCTTCCTTCGCGTTGCGGATATCTTCTCTCTCTCGGTCGTTGGAAAACCCAACGGCGCCTCGGTAGGTTCCTCGACAGGATTCGATCAGTTTTTCTTTCAATACCGCTCGTTTCCTCTTCCGTTCGTCGTCGTTTACGTCGGAAAACGTGTCGCTCGTGAGCGACGAGCGCGTTGGAAAACCACGTCGACGTCTTTGAGAATAACGACGGAAAAGCGTCAACGTCGGAGTCGTTTTCGGTCGACCACCACCAGCAGCACAAAGAGCAATATTCTGTGCGGTGGAGGAGTACGTATTCGCGGAAGAGAGTGAAAGCGACATCGCGCGTGATGTGGTATTAAGATGGTATGAACACGCAACTCTTTCTGCGGGAAAAATGCTTCATTTTTACAGAAACGATTGTTTCTCTGATATGAACGTGCGAGCGATGATGACGACGCTCCTGATGCGAACGACGACGATTCAGACGACAACGGTGGGGACGAGGAAAGGAACGATGACCCCTTCTTGTTCTTCTTCTTTGCGACGAGGAGGCGTTTCTTTTGTTTCTTCTTTGGATTCTTTCGAGAGTTCCACGGGAAACCGTTGCAGAGGAGGAGGAGGACGACGTAAACGACGAACAGCATCGTCGTCGTCCAGAAGAATACCAACGCGAAGAGGAGGAGGAAGAGTGGTTTTGTCGTTTTCGTCGACAGGAAACGAGAATTCTATCGAAACGCTCACGATGACCAAACCGGACGATTGGCACTTACACGTGCGAGATGGTGCAAAAATCGCCTCCGTGGTGCCACACACCGCGAAAACGTTCGATCGAGCGCTCATAATGCCAAACTTGCAACCTCCGATAAGGACGGCGGAAGAGGCGGATACGTACCGGAAGTTGATTTTAGACGCGGCGAAAACGACGAACGCGAAGTTTGAACCGCACATGACTTTGTATTTAACGGACGAGACGAGCGAGAGGACGGTGGAAGACGCCGCGAAATCTGGATTCGTGAGAGGGTTTAAGTTGTATCCAGCCGGGGCGACGACGAACTCGAGTTTTGGAGTGACGGACGTGAAGAAAGTGATGCCGGCGTTGAGGAAAATGGCCGAATTAGGGTTGGTTTTGCAAGTACACGGGGAAGTGACGCACCAATCGGTGGACATTTTCGATCGCGAGGAGCGATACATCGAGGAAGTTTTGAAGCCGTTGTTAGAAGAGGTGAAAGATTTACGGGTAGTGATGGAACACATAACGACGAAGAACGCGGCGGATTTTGTGTCCAACTTTCCCGAGAGTGGTAGATTGGCGGCGACGATTACGCCGCAGCACGTTTTGTTGAATCGAAACGCGCTTTTTAAAGGAGGCATGCGACCGCACGTCTATTGTTTGCCGATTTTAAAGCGAGAGGAACATCGAGAAGCGGTATTAAACGCCGCGGTAGGACCGAAGAGCGAACGGTTTTTCTTGGGCACGGATTCTGCACCGCATCCAAAAGGCGCGAAAGAGAGCGCGTGTGGGTGCGCTGGGGTGTTTAGCGCGCACGCGGCGTTGAGTTTTTACGCCATGGCGTTTGATTCGGTCGGGAAGTTGGACAAGTTGGAAGCGTTCGCGAGTCACAACGGCGCGGATTTCTATCGAATGCCGAGGAATTCTGGGACAATCACGTTGAAACGAGAAGAGTGGGAGGTACCAGAAACGTACGAGTTCGGTGGAGACGTGGTGGTGCCGTTTTTTGCCGGCGAGAAGATTCCGTGGTCCACGCTTTGAGCGAGCGAGCGCTTTTTTCTTCTTGAAAATATTCGATTAATAATATCACACACAATCGTAAAACATCGATAAAATTTACTCTACGACGGTACCAAAAAGCGTACGCGTCCACGAAGTAAAAATAAATTACAACGCGTTCAATACTCCCATCGCGCTCGCAGACATCCCGTTCTCTTTGCAGAATTCCACGCTCAAATCCCACAACTTTTCGTTCGATTTCAAATCCTTCGCCTTTGGTGCGCAATCGTCCGCGCAAAAACCCGCAAACACCCTCTGCAACGCCATGCACTTATACCCCAACCCTTTATTCAATTTAAAAACCTTACTCAAACGAATCGAAAACGGCATGTACAACTGACCTTTCTTGACCGATTTCAACGACGCCGCGTGCACGCTCGTCATCGCCCCTTCCTCCGGCGTCAACGCCAACAACCCGGCTACCATTCGCCAAACGACGTTGTAGTTCCTCCAAATATCCGACGCCACGAACCCGGGATCCGCCGCCACACACTCCACGTTGTTATCCGGATCCTGCCTATCCAACCTTCTTTGCAACTCCCTAGTCATCGCCAAACACGCCAACTTACTCGCCGAGTAATTCCCTTTCGTTTTCGACGGTCCTTTCACGAAATAATGGTACTTATTCGACCCGAACCACGAAGTCACGCTCGACAGCGCCACCACTCGCGACGTCCCTTTCCCTTTCTGCAACGCCGGTAATAACAAACTCGTCAGCATAAAATGCCCGAAATAGTTCGTCCCCATGCACATCTCGTACCCTTGCTTTGTGACTTTCGGCCCCGAGTACCCCGCGGACATGTTCAAGCCGGCGTTGTTCACCAAGACGTCCAGCCTTTTGAATTTTTTGTGAAACTCCTTCGCGAATCGATTGATGGAATCCGTATCGCTCAAATCCAATTCCATCACCTCCACGACGCATTCATTCTCACCGTCACCGCTTTTACAGAACTTCTCAATCTCCTCCTTGGCCGATTGCGCTCTCTCTTTCGACCGGCAGGCTAAAACGACTGTTTTTAAGTTTGCTTTTGCGAGAAGTTTCGCCGTGTGAAAACCAATGCCCGTGTTCGCCCCGGTGACGACGGCGATTTTATCGCTCAAATCGGTCGCGCATCCGATTTTGATTTTACCCATTATTTGTCTTCAATTCGGATGCGATGTGGTAGTATTACTCGAGTAGTAAAGTGTTGGTGGTGTTGATGTGGTGGTCGTGCTCTCGCTCTGCTCTCGCGCTCTGATGTGTGCGCGCGGAGTATTTTGTGCCGATTATAGAAATTCTCTCAAACTCAGGAGGAGGGAAAATTTTCGGTTGGTGGATTGTGTTCGGTATTATCTGCGATGATGAACTTGTTGCGATGTGTATGTCAGTGGTGTATGTGATGATTTAGAACTACAAATGATGAGCTAATGATGAGTACGCACGTGCCTTTGCAAATTACCAGATGTAGTAAAACGCTCCTCGCAAACTTCACATTCATACGGTTTCTCGTTCGTGTGAATACGCATGTGGGTTTTCAAAGTACCAGCTTGCGTAAAACGCTTCTCGCACACATCACATTCGTACGGTTTCTCTTTCGTGTGCGTACGCATGTGCCTTTTCAGACCACTAGATGTACGAAAAGCTTTATCGCACACATCACATTCGTACGGTTTCTCGTTCGTGTGAATACGCATGTGGGTTGTCAAAGTACCAGAATCACTAAAACGCTTCTCGCACACATCGCATTCATACGGTTTCTCGTTCGTGTGAATACGCATGTGCTTTTTCAAAGTACCAGATTCACGAAAACACCTCTCGCACACATCGCACTCGTACGCTTTCTCGTTCGAGTGAATACGCATGTGCTTTGTCAAAGCACTAGAATCACGAAAAGCTTTATCGCACACATCGCATTCATACGGTCTCTCGTTCGTGTGCGTACGCATATGTCTGGCCAAATCGGATGGAGTAACAAACATCTTCTCGCAAACATCGCACTCGTGCCCTCTCTTTCTCTTCACTCCTCGAGCAACAAAAGTCGTTTCCTCTTCTCGCTTCTGATTCTGCTCCTTCACGACATCACGACACGGCACGCACGCGAGCATCCTCCGCAATCGCTCCACGTCTCCTTCTTCTTCTCCTCCCTTCTCCTCCCTAAAATCGCACTTCAAAACCGTCCTCGCGTTCACCGCGCGCTGCGGGTGTGGATTCTTCTTTCTCATTTATGCTTCTCCTTCTTCTTCTTCTTCTTCTTCTTCTTCTTCTTCTTGTATCACAATCACACTCTCGCAGAAAATCAATCGCAAGAGGGGATGGAATTTGAAGTGATGAGAAGTGCATTTGATTTCCCAAAAAAACGACTGACCTTTTGAAAGAAAAAAAAGAAAAAAAAAAGCAGTCGAAAGAGAAAAACTTCATTCAAAATCATCTCGAGATCGAATCATCTCATCGCGAGAGAACAACTTGAATACTCCTCAAAAGGAGAAGAAGAAGAAAAAGAAGAACAAAATGTCGAAATCGCTTTTAGGTAGCGTGTACGTGACGTACCCACCGACCATCGCGTCGGTTCGAGCGATCAAACCTCGCGTGAGTTTTACACTCTCTAAAAACAACACACGCGTCGGTCTGTACCATCTCCCGTTTCTCGCGTTACTGGTGTATTTCTTTCGCGAGTGTTACGAGACGAGCGGGAAACCGTACCGAATTGCGATGGAACATCACAAGAGTCAAGGGTACGAACCGACGGAGTTCGTGGACGGGAAGTTGGTGACGAAGAAGAGTGGATTTGGGGGAGGAGACGATGGGATGATGACGAAGCAAAAGTTTGAAGTGAAGGACGAGTGGGCGACCGAGGACGATGGATTTGGCGGCTTCGAGGAGGAGGAGGAAAAGGAGGTGAAAAATGGAGCGGAGGAACCATCTGGAGAAGCATCAGCTTCGTCAGTATTCAAGAACGGATTGTTAGGAGAGGATCTGTCGTCGGTGAACCAAACGGTGACGTACGAGATTCCTCCGACGTTGCCCGCGTGGTGGTTGCCGGACTTTGTCGCGGTGATTAAGTTTGCTTCGGTCGCGTTCGCGCACGCGTTGATCATGTTCGCGCAGCACTGGTCGGTCAGAGTGAGACGGTTTTTCCGGTATCGCAACGCTACGGAGGTGGACGAGGATACGTATTTGGAAATCATGCCGCACGCGCACCAAGGGAAACCGGAGATTACGAAGATGCGTTTGCTGAGTTCGGTGAGTAAAGAGGACGGGTTTACGTACACGTCGACGTTGTGGTGCACGTTTCAAAGGCAACGGTACGAGTACGTGGAGGTGGAACGAGACGCGAAGAGCGGCAAGGCGAGAGGAGAGTTGAGAGAGTTGACCTGTCCGGTGGATTTACCGATTTCGAGTTACTTCAAAAAGACCGCGACTGGAATGGCGCCGGATGAAATCGAGGATTGTATGAATCGGTACGGCGATAATTGTTTGCACGTGGAGTTGCCGACTTTTATGGAAATGTTCAAGGAACAATTGACCGGACCAGTGACGGTGTTTCAAATGTTCACGTGCATGCTTTGGTTGATGGACGAGTATTGGAAGTACGCCCTGTTCAACATGTTGTCGATGTTGATTTTCGAAGCGACGACGGTGTTTTCCAGGAAGAGGAACATTACGGCGTTGAGAGGCATCGCGGTGAAAACTGGCAGAATTTACGCGTTTAGAAATAACATCTGGGAGGACCATTCGACGGAAGATTTAGTTCCCGGAGATATAGTCAGCGTGAAGAGACAGCCGGAAGGTGAAACGACCATTCCGTGCGATTGCTTGATTTTGCAAGGCTCGGCGGTGGTGAACGAAGCGTCTTTGACCGGCGAATCGGTACCGCAAATGAAGGAGGCGATCTCGTACGACGATAAAGAAGACGCGAGGTTGGACATCGAGGATCTTCACAAAACGCACGTGTTATCCTCCGGAACGACTTTAATGCAACAGTCTTCGGATAGTAGTAGTAGTATTAATGGGCCGGTAAAAGTGCCGCCGACGCCGGACGACGGGTGCGTGTGCTACGTTTTGCGAACTGGGTTTTCTTCCACGCAAGGTAAGTTAATGCGCATGATGGAGTTTTCTTCGGAGCAAGTCACCGGAGATACCAAAGAAACGATGATTCTGTTGTTCATTTTGTTGGTTTTCGCGTGCATGGCTTCGTATCACGTCTTCACGGTTGGCATGAAGGACGGCAAACGTTCGCAGTACGAGTTAGTGTTGAGATGTATTTTAATTTTGACATCTGTCGTGCCTCCGGAACTTCCCATGCAAACTGCCATGGCGGTGAACACAGCACTTTTAGCGTTGATGAAATCGGGCGTGTATTGCACGGAACCGTTTCGAGTACCGATGGCGGGGAAGATTGATTCGTGCTTATTCGATAAGACCGGGACGATTACTTCGGATAAACTTGTCGCTGTTGGTGTCGTAGACGCGTCGGATTTGAGTAAAAATATGTCGTCGGCGCAAATTGCCACGCCGATCGAGTGCTCGAAAACGTCCGCGATCATCATCGGCGGGTGTCATTCTTTAGTCCAAATCGATGGGAAAACGTACGGCGATCCGTTGGAGCAAGCTGCCTTGTTCGCCGCCAAATGGGAGTACGATCCGAAATCGAGTAAATCGAAACCGAAATTTTCCGAGGAGATCAAGAAACGAACGTGGAAAGGTACCCCGAGCGCCAAAATTTTAGCGCGCAATCACTTTGCGAGTTCGTTACAGCGCATGTCCGTCGTCGCCACCGTTCAGCAAAATGAAGGCGAAAACGAACAAACGTGGGCGCTGGTGAAAGGATCGCCGGAGAAAATTGCTACGCTGTTGAAGAGTAAACCGGATGGGTTCGACTCGCAATATCGCACGTTAGCGGAAAAAGGTATGCGCGTGATTGCGCTCGCGCACAAAGTGTTATCACCTGGGGATTCGAAAAGAGTCAACGACGCGAAATCGCCGTTATCTCGAGACGAAGTCGAATGCGATTTGGAATTTGCCGGATTTTTAGCGTTTGCCTGTCGCGTTCGAACGGATTCGGAAGAAGTTATCAACGCGCTCATCGCTTCGAGTAATCGCGTCATGATGGCGACTGGGGACGCTACCTTAACCGCCCTTCACGTCGGGAACGAAGTTGGCATCGCGAAAGGAGGGTTAGCCGGCGCGGCAGTGCTCGAGCTCGAGCAATCGAACAACAAAAGTGGTGGCAGTCTTCGATGGGTCTCCGCGAAGAGAGATAAAGATGGAGGCATTCAAGTCATCGGGAGTTACAAAGATTTGAGCATTCCACAATTGGCTCAGAAGTATTCGTTGTGCGTCACCGGGGAGAGCTTGAACGCGGCCAGCTATGCCGCGACGACGACGACGGAGAGCGGCACTTCATCAGAAAGCGAGCTTTGGGATTACTTGGATTCTGTGTCTATCTTTGCCAGAATGTCTCCGGACGATAAAGAGAGGGTCTTGAAACGTTTGAAACAACAGAGGAGACACACGTACATGTGCGGCGATGGTGCGAACGACGTCGGCGCGTTAAAACAAGCGCACGTCGGCGTCGCGCTCCTCTCCGGCTTTGGGTCCGCAAACACAAAGAAATTGAAACAAGAAGGCGGCGACGAGAGTAAAGGAGAAGAAGAAGGCGACGGAGAAAAAGGTAAAAAGCTCGCCAAGGCGGAAACGTTCCAAGAGAAGATGCAAAGAGTGAAAGAGCAAGCGGAAAAAGTGAAGAAGGCGAAAATGGAGGAGAAAATCGCGCAGCAAAAAGACACGAAAGAACTCCAAGCGTTGCAAAAAGTCTGGTTCGAGGAAGAGTTCAAGGAAAGAATGGCGCGAGGCGAAAAGTGGGCGCAGTTTACCGCCATGAAAAATTCTACGCAACTAATGATTCGCGAATCAAAACGCAGAGCGATGGAAAGAGCTAAGGCAAGACAAGGCGGACAAGGCGGTAAAGCGCCGAGCATGAGCGACATGATGCAAAACTTGGACGATTTAGACGGCGAACTTCCGCAAGTGAAACTCGGCGACGCTTCCATGGCGGCTCCGTTCACGTCTCGCTTACCGACCATTCGGTCTGCGGTAGATATTATTCGACAAGGCAGGTGCACGTTGGTGTCCTCGATTCAAATGCAGCAAGTGCTCGTGTTATCTTGTTTGATTTCCGCGTTTTCGTTGTCGGTGTTGTACACCGACGGCATTCGATCTTCGGACAATCAAATGATGGCGAGCGGTTTGTGTTTAACCGCGGCAGGTTTAGCGTTTTCGTACGCCACCCCAGTGCACACGCTATCCCCTGTTCGACCGTTGCGCTCCATCTTTCACCCGGCGTTATTCTTGTCCATCGTAGGCCAACTCGTCATCCACGTCTTTGTGATGAACTACGCCACAGAGTTGGTCCACGCGGCGACAGGTGAGAAAGCCGCGTTCCCTGAGGCGATTCCAATCGCGAAAGTTTCCGAAGAAGAGAAGAAAAACGCGAGCGAAGCGCAGAGATCGTTCTGGGAACAAGGCCCGCCGTTTGAGCCGTGTTTGTTAAACACGGTCATCTTTCTCATCGAAACCGTTCAACGCGTCTGCGTCATGCTCGTCAACTATAAAGGCAGACCGTTCATGATGGGTTCCTTGGAGAACAAAACTTTGTTGCTCTCCTTAGCAGCTTTGTTCATTGGTTCGTTCATGGCAGCCTTCGAAGTCGTTCCGTATTTGAACAACAAGTTACAGTTCGTCTCCATGCCGGACGACGCGTTTCGATACAAAGTTTTAGGTCTCTTACTCTTCACCGTCGTCGGCACGTACGGTTGGGACACGTTGTGCCAATTTGTTTTTGCCAGAGAAATTCTTCTCCAAGGCTACAGAGACTCTTGGAACGTGTTACCGAAAGACCCGAAGTATTTAGAATTTATGGCGCGACGAGTATTCGTCATGTGTGGGATTGGATATCTGTACATGATTACCGACGGGTCAGGTTTCGTCCTGGTCGCGGGCTATTACGCGTACAAGAAGGGCGCGTTTTAATTTAAATACTTGTTTAGAGTTCGTTTTAATTTTCAACCACGTTCGTACGTTTAGGAATCGTTCTCTTCTTTCCCTTCTTCTTCTTCTTCTTCTTCTTTTTCACGTGCGACGATAACTTCTCCTTCGGCAAGGCCGTGCTCGCCCCTCCTAACAGCGTCTCGAGCTCGATTTTATTCGTCACGACCAACCCTGCGAGGACGCCAATCGCCCCTAAAACAATCACTTGCAACGAGTTTATATTCCTGAAAAATCCCAACACGTCTCTTTTCCTCTCCGGCATTGCCCCTCGTTTCCAACTCTCCGGCATTTCCCGTCCGTCCCCAAACGGTCTTTTCGTCCCGGTTTCGATCATTTTCGCCGCTAACTCTGGTTTCATCTCGTCCACTTCCGAGTCTAAAAATTGCAACTCGTTCGTTAATATTTCCCGCATGGCGGAGGTGATCATGAATTGCACCGAGGCGCCCATTTTATTTTTCTAGTTTACGTCTTTTTATATGTAATACTTAAAGAAAGCGTTTGTGTGTCTTCCGTGTGTCTCTGTGTTGCGTGTTCTTCCTCTTTCTCTCTACTTCTTCTTTCGTCTCTGTCTGGTGTTAAATGGCTTAAAAATGACCTAAAAACCAGCCCCCCCCAAAGTGTTCTTTTTTAGGAAGATTTTTTGCACATATATATATAATAGAATATTCGCACCGGTGGTATTTGGAACACGACGGCGAGCACGACGACGACGAGATTTCTCCTTCGTTGTTTTTGTCACCACTGTCGTCGTCATCATCATCGTTATTACTGCTACTCTTCTCTTCTCCCTCCCCAGCTACTCTACTATTATCGTCGCTATTACCTCTATTTCTATCGCCGCCGCCGCCGAACAGCGCCGAACTCAACGAAGCGCCGGAACCGCCTTTCTTATTATTGTTACCAAAATAATCGTTGTACGTATCCGAGACGTATTGAAAGTGGTTGTTCAGCGATCCCCAACTGGAAACGTATTCAACTCTTTTCTTGTTGTTGTCGTTGTTTTTCTCCTCCTCTTCCTCTTCCTTTTCCTCTTCGGAATCTCCTTTCATCATAATCTTCTTCTTCTCCCCAATATCTTCCCCTCTGGCGACGAGCTCTTGCGTCACCTTCGCGATCGCCGACTCCGCAATCGATAACTTCGTTTTTAACTCCTCTAAACCGATGCTGTCTTTTCCTTTTCCTTTTCCTCCTTTTCCTCGCGGTGATGGTTTCGCCCCCGAAACGAACAAAGTTGCTCTTCTCTCGTTGCTTTCATCTTCAGCGCATAAAAAAAGCACGACAAACGCGAGTTTTACTAAAAGAAGAACGCGGTGATGATGATAATAACAACGACGACGAACACTCATCGTTTGCACATAGATCGAAAGCGCAAAAGCGCACTCTCCTCCTTTCTCTCCCTCTTTCTCCTCCTCAGCAGAGTGATACTATAATGCGACGAAGAAAAATTGAAGATTTCGACGAAAACACCGTATCCATTTGCTCTCTTCCTTGTTGTTTAAAGTAAAAATATTTTTTTCTTCATGCATGATAAAAATTTAGAACAACTCGTATAAATCTCATAAAAATCAAATCGACGGGCGCGATGACGAAACCGAAAAGAAAACAAAAACGAGACGACAGCGATAACACCACCTCGTCGCAATCTTCAATTGCGCGTATAATGATCAAACCTGATTACACCAACCTCAATGCCGAAGAGAAGAAAGGAAACATGGCATTAAATGAAGAAGAAAAAAAGTACGTGATTTTTTTGTCCGTAGATCTCGTTTTTGTTCGTGTTCCTCTTCCTCGATGTTCAACTGACGCTTTCCGATCTCGTTTTTGTTCGTGTTCCTCTTCCTCGATGTTCAACTGACGCTTTCACTTCTCTTTTTCCTTTCCTTTTCTTTCGCTCGCGCGCAAGGCGTCTGAACGCAGGAGAACCGAGATTATTTGAAGTGGACAAGAAGAAGGTCCTTCAGTTTTCTACTCTTATAGAGACGAATTCTTTCGAAATAGACACGCAAGCGAAAGTGCTCGGAATCTCGAAGGGCATGATAGCGAAAGCGTGGAAATTCTTCGATTACAGGAAATTGTCGTCTTGCACAACACGTTTTCTTCATTCTGGCGAGCACGGGTTCGACGAGGACATCATGAAGCAGCTCGGCTTCAAAAAGGAAGACCACGTCACTGTGTTGGTGTGGTATGCTCTCCTCGACGACGAGACGAAGAAGAAGGTGAACAACAAGGCTGCGCGAGATAAGAGAAATTGCGAGAAGGCGAAGCAGGAGATGGTTGAGAACGAGAAAGGGGAGAAGATGACGAAAGCGCAGTTACGAAATCAGGTTCAACACAAGAAGAGGAAGCAGGAGATGGTTGAGAACGAGAAAGGGGAGAAGATGACGAAAGTGGTGACGAAAGCGCAGCTTCGACGCGAGAAGGAGAAGCAGATCATCGTTGAGAACGAGAAAGGGGAGAAGATGACGAAAGCGCAGTTACGAGATCAGCGTCAACGCGAGAAGAGGAAGCTGATAATCGTTGAGAACGAGAAAGGGGAGAAGATGACGAAAGAGCAGTTACGAAATCAGGTTCAACGCGAGAAGAGGAAGCTGATAATCGTTGAGAACGAGAAAGGGGAGAAGATGACGAAAGAGCAGTTACGATCTCAGGTTCAATACGAGAAGGAGAAGCTGATCATCGTTGAGAACGAGAAAGGGAAGAAGATGACGAAAGCGCAGTTACGAAATCAGCTTAACTACAAGAAGCAGAAACCGAAGCAGAAGCAAAGAAACAAAGAATTCATTCGAAAACAATTCATATGCCGACCGCCTGGCTGCTTGGAGAAGGAAAAGTGTTCGATTTGCGGGAGAGAAAAAAGTTTTGGATGGGCTAAAGCGCCGGATGCTTTGTGGTACGTCGAGAAGCTCTTTAAGGAAAAGGGACTTACAGAGTATCCGTCGTTCAGGGCGGCGAACGGGTACCTGACGATGAAGAAACGAAAATATCTTGGCAAAGAAGATATTTTGCTTCGAACCACAGATATTCTGTGCTACGCGTGCTGGAAAACCTGTGAAGGAGCGGCGGAAAAGACTATGCAAAAACTGCTCAAGTTGTAAAAGAAGGAGCAAGTATATAACAATACGAGTAAATAAAAGAGATACTAACTAAGAGATACTAACTGAAAAGCGAGATCCTTAGAACTAGTTCGAAAATGTAATATCGAAGCAACGCGCGAGCGAAAAGAAACAAACGCACATATTAACCACAATTGGGTACAAATCCTCCATTTTTTCCACGCATTCCAATACCTCCCCATGGACAAATACGGATGATTAAACGCGATGAAAACGATCACAAAAGAACAAGTGATGATAATAATGATGTTTGAACGCTCTGCCTTGATTTTTTAAGAGTAAAATATCGCGACGTTTCGCGGTGTTTTGGTGGATTTTACGTGCTTTTGAGGCACAGGTTACACATGTGGGCACACATAATGTGGGCACACGATCGGGAAATTTTCTGTCGAGCTGCCGAAGCTCATTCGCCAAAGCGCGCAAGTTCAACGCGTCCATGACATCGATCGTGCACTTCGTCACTGCGCCGGTGGTGACGCGTTCGTCTTCGCAGTTCTTAGCGAAGACGTGGTAACAAAAATAGAGAAAATCTCACCGAGTAGAAAAAATATAGAAAAAGAGAAAGACATTTCGCCACGGCTCCGCGCGCGGATGCGAGTTGAGAATGGAAACGAATAGCACTACGTGTGTATCTAAAAGAAAGATTGAGCGCAAAATAACGATATTCAAATCGTCTTTTGCACACTAGAAGAGATGTTGTTGATGAGCTATCGATATTCCGGTCGCGCAAAAACACATTTTCGGTCAAAAATCATACTTCAAATACACGACGGAGGAAGAAAAAAGGTGAGGCGTCTCTCTGCGCTGCTATTACAACTATTTAATCTATATGTTTGATATCCAATCCTCCTCATCCATCTCATCGTCTTTACTTGCCGTCGTTGTGGATAACTCTGGCCAGTCTTCTTCTCTTTACTGGCCACCTTCAAGTTCCATCATTTCATCATCGTCGTTGGCAGCTTCTTCATTGTTTGATTCCAGCACCATTGTTGAATCTTGAGTTAGTGAAGATCTGCGTCGATTATTAGACGTCGCCAGAGCGTCAAAGCTCGTTCCCATCGGAAGATTTTGTTGGCCTCCTAAACTAGACTGCGAACCTATTGGATTGACTTCAGATCCTTCGCGCAACATATCTTCCGAACCCAACTCCCTCCTGTGTCCGAAGATAGCTTTCGTAGCTGGATTGATCCAACCCGTGTTCATCGGGCGAAGTTGCATGGCATTACTCATTACTGAAATACCTTGAAAGCGACGCGTCGACTGGTTTCGATTCTTTTCATCACTCATTCCAATAACCATGCCGGAAGGCGAGGGAAAGGCTTCGATGAAAACATCGTTGTTGGGATCTTTATTGTCGCAAAGAATATAGTTACCAAACACCATCGGTTCAACTTGGGAACCTAAAACAAAATCTTCGTCCACGCGATTGATAATATCGCTGTACAGACGGTAAGCTTCGGTCTTCAAACGCAAAAGCGTGTAACGTTCTCTCCATTTTTCTGTAGTCACCTCTGCGATGAAGCTCTGAATCGTATCCCTAGCGAATAGCGTGATGAAGGATGGCTTTGGATTCTCCGGATCCAAGAAAAGCCCAAAGTCAAATTGCGCTTGTTCGGAGAACGTGCTCGGTTTTCTGAACGGAGGATCTTGGTCGACTTTTTGACCTTCCCACATCAAAAACATACACACATCATGGCAGCGGTATTGTTCTCCCTGTGGGAAAATCATTGGGATCAACGCGTTGAAGACTTCCAGAGTCGTCGACGGTGATCTATCGTCCTTCAACGCAAAATCCGGATTCGGACATTCACTATACCCAAGAGAATCCGAATTCGATTCTACCAAATGTTCTGCTTCTAGGAACGACACGGTGCGTTTATCATTTTTAGGGGCCCAATTGAAGTAAATGAATCGCTCGATCGTATCCTTGTGCATTTCCGCCTCTACACTCGGCAACGATACCAAGACGGTCTCGATTGGAATACCTTTCTGCACCGCCAAGTTCTTCGCGTTCTTGAGTCTCGCTTCCGCATTTTCTCGTGCACGAGCTCGATCCGGCTTAACACTGCGCTTTCCTTGTCCAGATAAAATATCTATCCACGAATCCGTTTTTCTTCTATCAATATCAAGGTGAACAACCGACGATTCGTTCGAGTACATCCCTTTCTCGTCAACACGACAAAAATTGTTGAGAATGTCTTGTCGTTTTCGTTTTCGTCGAACTTCTAAACCATCCGCCCACTTATGAGTAGAGCACGCTTTATCAATCGCATCCTCCAACTCTTTTATTACTCCAGAGACTGCTTGTTGCAGAGAGTGATCTGTCCCAGAGAGGCAATACAGCCCCGACACGTGACTGGTCAACATTGCTTCGACTTCTCCAAGAAAAAATGTTTTTTGCTCTCTTTCGCATTGTGCTATATTATCACGTTGTGCTTGTTCTCTATCACGTTGTGCTTGCGCGGTTGTATCCTCGTTCATCATCTCTAAAACGTTTACACGCGCGCGCAAGCGATTTTATTCCCGTGCGCTGATTGATGCCCGTGATATGTGTTAGTGCAGTTTCTTTTTTTTTATCTCTCAGTCAAACGGAGAAATATAAAGAAGACATCAATTTCAATTTTTTCAAACAAGCACAAACACCTCATTTTTTCGCCGGTTTACACACACGCTTGAGAACAACACACAAAAAACATTCAGAGAAGAAGAGAGAGAGAAAGAGAGATCAGGTCGAGAGTCGTCGTCGTCTCGGTGGTTTTTATGGTGGTATTGGTCGAGGAGTGACACGTTTTGTGGTCTTTTGTTGAGCGCTGTTTTTTTAAGATACAAAATCGAGGAGTAAAAAGATGAGTTTCTTCAGCGACGACGAGGACGATTTGATGGACTTGGCCAAGTTTGATTCCATGGTTGAAACCGCCGCCGCGTTGCGAGAGAGAAGGCAGAAAGAGGAGGAGGAGGTGCGCGGTGTCGCCGCCGAAAACGCAAAGAAGAGGGCGGCGACGACGACGACGAATAATACGCAGATGATGATTCGGAAAGAAAATTTTGGAGGCCAGCAAAACGTCGTCTCTGGGGAAGCAGGTGCACACATTTCGAATTCAAACGCGCCGGCGACGATGAAGCAACAATCGATCGCGCGGATGTTCGTAACGACGACGACGGATACTAATAAAAGTGATACTAATAACACTAGTAATACTAATAACAGTAGGAATAACGTGAGCGCGCAGCAGCCGAAAAAGGCGACGCAAACGCAAACGACCAAGAGAAACAACAACGCCGTCGCCAAAGGGGGAGGGACGCAGTTAACGTTACCGTCCGGGTATCGACCGAACGCGTTTGAGAATCCCGGTGAGTACGCGCCGAGAGTGTTTAATACGAGTCACGATAATATTTCGCGCGGGAGCGTTTTAGGGAACGCGATGACGACAAACTTGCAACGAAAGCAGCAGCAGCAGCAGCAGCAGCAGCAGAAACAACAACAACCGGTATCTGAAATTGATTTAGCCGCCGCGCAGACATACATTTACCCAGCACAAGTCAATCGGAGAGAGTATCAATACGCAATCGCCGCGAATGCGCTCTTGAACAACACCTTAGTGTGTTTACCGACCGGTCTCGGCAAGACGCTCATCGCCGCCGTGGTCATGTTGAATTATAAGAGATGGTTTCCAAACGGGAAAGTTATTTTCGTAGCGCCGACGAGACCTTTGGTCGATCAGCAAATGCAAGCGTGCCACGATATTTGTGGCATCCCGTCGGAAGAAACCGTCGTGCTAATGGGTAGCACGAAGAAGAAAGGGAAAACGGTCTCGGATTCGCGCAGAGAGCATTGGAAGGAGAAGAAAGTATTCTTTTGCACACCGCAGGTGGTGAGCAACGACATCGAAACGGGCGATTTGAACGCGAAAGATGTCGTCTGCTTAGTCGTGGACGAAGCGCATAGGGCGGTTGGGAATTACGCGTACACGCAAATTGTCGCCAAGTTGAAAGAACGCGGCGCAGTGTTTCGAATTTTAGCGCTCACGGCGACTCCCGGGAAAGAGCTTGAAAGCGTTCAAAACATCGTGTCGGCGTTAGATATTAACAGAGTTGAATTTCGATCCGAATTAGATGTAGATGTGGCGAAATACACGTTCAGAAAAGATCTTGTCGTCGAGCCGATTAGCCAGGACGATGTTTCCGCGGGTATTTTGACTTTATTGAAGGACTCGATGAAACCGCATTTGAAACAAGCTACGGGATTTGGCGCGTTTAACCCCGTTGATAACAATAATAATCACGGGATACCGGTATCAATGATGAATGGACTTGCATATAACGTGAAACGGTTTCTTGACCTTCCAAATGCTGATCCACCGGCAAAATTTTTACTGCAGCAAATGTCGACGTTCGTACAAAGAGGTCTAATTCCGACGAGAAATAAAGACGCCTGCGGGCACTCTTTGCGACACGCGCAGCATATCACACACATCATCGATTTGTTCACAAAATTTGGTGCCTCTCAAGCGTACGATTTCATATCACGTAATCTTTCGCATGCGAAAGTTTTGAGCGACAAGCACATAGAGTTCAAAGAGGCATGCGAGCTAATTCGATCGTTAGCCTCGAACGGCGCAAAGCACTCGCCAAAGTTGCAGAAGCTCGTAAAAGTTGTCGCGGAGCAATTTAGTAATAATAGTAACAATAGCAGTGGTAACGATACGCGCGTGATGATATTTTGCAGTTATCGAGACACCGTTCGAGATATCGTCGAACAGTTGAGAGAAATCAAACCGAGAGGCGAGAACGCGTGTGGAGTAAAAGTTGCACCTTTTGTCGGCCAAGGCTCTGGAGAGAACGCTCGAGATAGGCGCAATCGCGAAAAGCAAGTTTTAGCGCAACAGCAACACAAGAATAATAACAACATCAAAGCAGGAGGAGGAGAGGGTGCCGCGGATCCTTTGATTTTCGAGAAACAAAAAGGGCAGAAACAAGCAGAACAAAAAGCGGTACTCGAAGACTTTCGAAATGGCAACTTGAACTGCTTAGTCGCGACATCGATCGGCGAAGAAGGCCTCGATATTCCAACGGTCGATTTAATCGTCTTTTACGACGTGGTTGATGTTATTAGAACCGTGCAGCGTATGGGTAGAACCGGTCGCGCGAGAAACGGAAAAGTTGTCGTGTTAGCAACCAAAGGAAAAGAACACAACAAATTTACCTCGGAATTGAAAAAATACCACGATTTACAAGGTAAGATGAAAACGCCGGATCGATACGTCGTGATGTGCAAAGACACTCCGCGGATGATTCCGGACGAGATATTTCCGTCGTGCGAGTTGATTTGCATCGAGAGTACGTCTAAGAAGGAGAAAAACGGCACGAAATCGAGAACCGCGGCGTCACTTGCGAAGAGAACGAAACTACTGCAAGAGAACCAAGTAGGAAACAGTAGTAAATCGAGGAAGTACACTTCCACTTCGACGCTCATTTTTGACTCCAATCCGGCCAAGCAATATCAAGCTTTGGATGTTGGTAACGAATCCCTCCTCATTGCCTACCGCCTAGAGGCCGACGAGATGAGAGGAAAGGCAGCGGCGACTGCGACGATGGCATCTTCATCGCTCGTTTTTGAAGATGACGAGCAGCGAACGCATCTGCAAGAGATGAAAGAGAAAGGTTTCGCGGGAAGCTTGCCATACCAGTGTCAATACCAAAAGGTGTACAATTTTGAACACGGTGCGATGACTAAGTTTCTTGTTCGCTCCATGTCGAAATTACAAGGCATCGAGAGAAGTCCATCGGGACCGGGAGGTTCAACCAACACTTCAATCAATGACTTTGACGATGAATTGTGGTGTGGAGATGCTATTGCTGGTGGTGCGGTGAACGAAAAGAGACAACACACGCAGAGGATTCGAGATGGCGTGAACTTGCGCGTAAACGAAGGCGTCGACATCGACGAATACGATCGAAAAATTTTCCCTCTCTATCCCACGGATGCAGAAAACGAAGAACACTATGACTACGGCGCTGGTGTAGATGGTGTAGATGATGATATTCCGGTGATAATAAATGACGATGAAGCCTATTCGTTCGAGAATAATGAAGTTGTCATCTCTTCCGACGTCGATGACGAGGATGAGCTCTTACCGGAGGTACTCCGGGAAGAAGAAGAAGTAGTAGCAGTTCAAGATATGCCTCCTACCGAGGCAGGTACTCGCGCTGATCAGCCGATTTTGTTCTCAGACGAGGAGGAGGAGGAGCAAGAGGAAGAAGTCCCGGTGATCGGTACCATGGAACCAAAGAAAGAGGAAGAGAATGACGACGATGAAGTCATCGTAATCGAAGAAAAAGAATCCCTAAAGGTGTCACCAGTTCCTGAACCTCGACCGCAAAGATCTCCGTCGGCAGCAGAAGCGGTGCGAATGCGCTTATCTTTGGCTGCTTCTCGTGAACCGTCAGCACCACCATCGTTGCGCAAAAATTCTGCTGACGCTGCACCGATACTCTCGCGCGTCTCGCTGGCAACAGAAAACCAAGAGTTAGTCGAGAAGACGCTGGATCACATGCCTTTGAATATTTTGAAGGAGCACGTGCTGATCGCGAGAGAGAAAGCGGAGGAAGCTGAAGAACAGCGACGTCGAAGCGTCTCGATGCCACCTCCCGATCCGCGCGTGCCGCGAACGAACTCCTCCAAAAAGAAGAAAACTCAACAACAACAACAAAATTCGGAAGGCTCGTTTCCGAGCGATGAAAGTTTGCGCTTCAAGAGACGACGACGCGAAAAAGTCCCGAAAGAGCCGTCTCCTGTGCTACCAGTAGCTCCCAGCGTTGCCGCTCTTGATGTCGTCGCAAACAATAGACATCAAAAACAGCAACAGCAACGCAAGAAACCTTTGAAGAAAAAATCGACATTTTTGGACGATATTGCCGGTGGCGAAGGAGGTGACGACGACGACGCGAACGAACAGGATTACGACTCTGATGATGCCCGTTTCATCGACGACGAGTCTCCAGAGACTGGAGGTGATGGACATCGTCATCATCCGCAATACTTTAGTTCGGCTGGAAACACGGACGGCGATACGAACAACCGCAATGTGCCATTTACAAATAACAGTGGGAATCCGTACACGCAACCGACTCCTATGGTAAATCTGGGTGATACTTTTGCTCGGTTTGGTCCGCGAAATCAACAGTATAACGTCCAGGACACGCCGCCAGATTCTTCGATGGAAAACCACACTCAAACTACGGACGAGTACGAGGATTCGTTCATCAATGACGACGAAATCGATTACGACACAGAAGAAGATGATGGTGCACTTCCGAGCGTTCGAAAACATGATGAAGAGAAAAGGAAGAAGAGAGTTCTGGTTAAAAAATCAACGCATAACGTGACGAAGAAACGCGTGAGTAATGATAGCATGTCTTTGAGCGACCCGGCGATGATGGCGAAGATTTCGGAGTCTCGCCACGGCGTCGTATCGACTTTACCTTCGAACAACAACACTCAAGAAGAGGAGGAGGAAGGAGGAGAACACAAACGAAAGATGCCGGTGTCGCATGCTCCGCTCGTGCCAGTACCGCCTGTGATCGTAGACTTACTCGATGATGAGTTCGAAGACGACTGGAACAAGGGCAATTCCGACGACGACGATTGGTGAAAATACACAAAATATAGAAGAATTTTCCAGTAGAGAACGTAGTAAAGGAGCATATCATTTCAAATGAGCAGTAGTATCAAGAATAGTAATATCGTTAGTATAGTATAGTATCGTGTCGTATCGCTTTATTGCTGTTCGTGCGAAACATCTAGCGACGAAACGCCGCTGGAAGTACCTTTTGAATTTCCGTCTTTGTATTCCGTCTCGGAGTCGATAGAGTCATCATCCACGTGTAAGCGCTCGGCGACGTCTTTTACGAACGTCTCCAGATCGAAACACGAATGTTCGTTTTCGATGTCGTTGCTGTCGTTTTTGTCGTTTTGATGGTAGCGATTCTCTCGTTCGACGACGTTGTCCTCTTTGTTCTCGTCGTCGTCGTCGTCGGTTGAGTCCGTATTTTCGTCGTTGGTATTGTCGCTCCCGCTTTTGCTGCTACTACTGTGAACAGCAGTAGTAGTAGTACTCGGAGACCCCGACAACGACGACGAAGAAGAAGAAGAAGAAGTCCCACATCCAAGCAAAAGTACGTTCTTCTCTTCTTCGTACTCCAAAAACAAACCGAGTGCCTCGGCGTTCTCCACGAAAGGTTCACTCCTCTCCAACTCCTTCTTGAACGCTCGAAACTCAAACAACCGTTCCCGTTGCTCCTCGGTCAATTCGCGATCAAACGGGATTCCGTTCTCGTCCAAGTTAATCCCCAAAGCGATGCGTTCCTCTAATCGTCTTAATCTTCGTTTCGTCGAGCTTTGTCCGCCGCCGATTCTTCGAAAAGATGGCGAGAGTCCGAACGCCGCTTCATAATCTACATACGGAGAACCATAATACGGAATATTCATTCCTCCATACGACGAGATTTGCGAAGACGAGCACGTCGATGAAGACGAACGAGAAGACGCCGAAATCAAAGGAACCATCGACCACGCGCCGCCGTCTTCTCCGCTCGAAGCTCCTTCATCCCGGTGGTGTCGAAACCCAGCACTGCCGACGCCCCCGCCGAGGCCTCGAGTAGCGTCGCCGCGGAACGACGACGACGGAGAAAAGTGCCGATAAAACTTCGCTCCCCCTCTTCCTCCTCCTCCTCGTCCTTCTCTCGGTTTCGGAATTCTCCCTCGTCCTCCTCCTCCACCACCGCGTCGGTACCAATAATACGAGTTTTCCTCCCGTTGTCGTTGTTGTTGTTGTTGTTGCCCTCGTCTTCGAAAACCTCCGTGGTCGTCCGTCGGTATCGTCGTCCCCATCGAGCGTACCTTCCTCAAAAAACCATCCACATCGTCGTTTCTTCCTCCACACGGCTCGGCGCACACGATTAACCCGAATCGCGCGTACCAGAAATATCGCAGAAACGTTTGCGACGGAAAGTGAAACTGCTTCGCGGTGACTCTTTTCCGGCGTAAAAGCGTTTGGGTCGAAAAGAAGTTGTTGTTTTCGTCGTCAAAGTTTTCGTTTCCGTTTAAGTCGTATTCGTCCGAGAATAATGGTCCTGTTTGGAAAAACGAGTGCGGAAAATGCATGGACGCTCGGTGGAACGCGAAGAAAGGAGATGGAAACGTCGCGTCGCGGTCATTCGTCGTCGTTTTCGTCGTCGGAAACATACACGTTTTTCGTGTTCGTCAAAAGTCTGTCGTTTTTCGAAAATACGACAAAACATTTTTTAACAAGTATTTAGGGTCTGTAACCCTAAGGCTTGTGACCCTCTCTTTTGCTCCCCTTTTCACCGCAAATTTCATCGTCAAATCTCCACGCCTTTCCGGCAAAGCACACCCGCGTAAAGCGCAAGAATAATGCTCGCGACAACAACGAGACGAACCTTTGCACTCGGTGGACTCCGACGGGTGCGTGAAATTTTGTCTCTTTTCTCTTTCTTCTTCTCGTCGTTGTGTTTTTATTGCCCTTGGAAAACGATCACACAAAGGAAGTCCCCGGGGAATAGAATTTTCGGATCCCTTTGTGGTTTCTTTTTCTCTCTCCGTTAGGAAAGAGAGCGAGAGAGAGTTTAGAGCGCTTCGTCGTCGTTCGCAGTTCACGATGTTTCTCTTTGATCTCTCTCTCTCTCTCTTCCCTACCTCCCACCCCGCTTAGAGCGGCGTCTGTTTTTCGTCGTACTCACCGAAATTTTCTTTCTCTCTTGGGGTAAATATATATATCCTTTTTCTATACAAAACAGGCGTCCGCCTCGGTTCAAGAACAACGAAGACTCTTTTCCGCGGACGCGGTCCAATCTACGGATGAATCCTCCTGGGACACCGCCATTGCCCAAGGCGCCACGGAGGAAACGAAAAGAGAGCTCGCCTCTTTGGCGAAAACCATGGCGGATATCAAAGACGCGGTGCAAAGAGACGCCGACCGCTCGACGAATGTGGATTTCGCGAAGTTCAAGCAACAGTTAACCAACAGCCCGGAAATCGTAGATTTGTTCCAAAAAGCGTACACGACGTTAAAATTGCCAAAGTACGAGTCCACGGAAGTTGAGGACGTGACCAAAGCGTTTAAAGTTTTGGAGGACGAGGCGAAGAAGCAAGCGGCGGAGAGCGCGAAGAGGATCCAGGAGTTGGAGAAGGAGTTGGTCCTTCTGAAGGAAGAGAGGGAGAGTTTGGAACGGGTGACCATGGATGAAATTTTCGAACGCGAGCCGGAGATGAGGGAGAAGTTTAACGAACAGATCAAGAAAGATGAATGGTTTTAATTTTTAGCTTTTCGATTAAAGGTGATCATCTTGCGAGAGCGCGTTTCTTCTCTGATGAGTTTTTTAACGAAGAGAGCGAGAGCGAGCGAGTATATATATACATACGTACGCAAAGAACACCGCTTAGCCTAGAGAAGTGTAATTGTATTCAAACAAAACAACAACGTAAAACGGTAAGAAATTACCACGCGCGCAGCACTCGCTGAGAGAGAGAAAGGGAAAATTCTCCTATTTTTAGCCCTCATAAAAACCCTTCACATCTATCACGCTGGTTTTGTCGTCAAAACGCACGCAGACCAACGGCGACGACATAAATAAAGACGACGATAACGACGATGCACTCGTCGTCGTCTCGAAAGGCTTTGGAGCAATGCGATGATTTCTCGACCGCAGGAGGAGGAGGAGGAAGCTCGGGAAAAGAGTCAAAAAATACGACCAAGAAGACAAAGAAGAAGACAAAGAAGAAGACCAAACAGCATCACGAGCACGCGCGAGGAAAAAGAATCTACCGCTTCTCCACGCTCGTTCCGAACACCATCCCGCACATGGTGATGAAATCGAGGAAAGATTGGCGCGAGATTCCGCTTTTTATGCAGCCGGAAAAAACGACTTTATTGAACACGATGGAGGAGGAGGAGGAAGAGGAGGAGGATCGTTGCGAGAGGACCGGAAGAGGCGCCGAGTCGGTGGTTACGACGACTTTGACGCCGAAAATTGATTTCTTTTACGCCGACGTTGGATGGATACATCAGAATATATCGTACTCGCGAGGTGGGGGGACGAGCGCGTTTACGGTGTGGCCAGCTGGAGGATTCGGATCGTCGACGCTCGCCGGAAAATTGAGCGCGCGAAAAGTGAACCACTTTGCGAACCACTCGGAGCTCACGCGAAAGGATTTGTTGGCGAAGAATTTACAGAGAGCCAGTCGAAGAGCAAAGAAAAACGGAGACTCTCGAGAGGCGGAAGCGTTTGAGAGGGTGAGTCCGAAAACGTACGCGTTGCCGGGAGATTTGGCGTTGTTTACGAGAGAGTTTGATGGGGCGACGACGGCGGCGGCGGCGATGGGGAGCGCGAGAAGAACGATAAGTGGAACCGCTAAGGAGAAGGACGGCGGCGATGATAACGATGAAAATGGAGATAAAAGCAACAACGTGTGGATTATGAAACCGATCGGGCAAAGTCAGGGAAGAGGGATTTTCTTCGTCTGGAAACGAGCGCAAATACGGCGATGGCAAAATCGAAGGAAGAAGCTCGACGAGGAGTTGAATGCGAATAACAACGTGAGCGGCTTTTCTACTGCCACGGGTTCGTGTTTGCAGTATCGGCAACAGAGCGAACATTGTTCTCCTTCCCATCAGAATCAACACGTTTTCCAACAACTACAACAACCACAAAACAACAACGCGACCATCAACATATGCAAAGAAAACTACGTCGCGCAAAAGTACATTCATAACCCACTCTTAATAGGTGGAAGGAAATTCGACATGCGTCTCTACGTGCTTGTTCTGTCGTTTTCGCCTCTCGTTGCGTACGTTTACCGCGAAGGCTTTGCCCGATTTTCCTCCAAGCGGTATGAGAGTAAAATCAAAAGTAACTCGACGGAGAACTATTTCGTGCACTTGACGAACCATAGCGTGCAAAAGAAAGGCGATAACTACAACGCGAGCGTGTGCGATTTGAAATGGCCTCTTCATAAACTTCGAAGACACATTCGAGCGACGTTTGACGCTCGCGCGGAAGAGACGTGTTTTAAAGAGATTGAACGCATGATTAAACTTTCGTGCGACGCGGTGAAATCGTCCATGATTCGCGACGAGCGATGTTTTGAGTTGTATGGGTATGACGTCATGCTCGACGAACATTTAAAACCGTGGCTGATCGAGGTGAACGCGAGTCCTTCAATGACTGCAGATTCAGTTTCAGATAAAGAGCTCAAGACGCGCGTATTTGAAGACGTTTTGAACTGCGTAGATTTTGAGAACAAGTTTACGACTGGTACAACGAAGGAACGAGAGGGTACGAACTGCAGCGAAAGAAGTAGTAATAACAACAGCGATAGATCGACATTCTCAAGAAAACCGACAAATCCATCGTCGTACACGTCGCGTCTCACGCGACTTCCTTCGCGAGTTGGAGGTTTCGACGCCATCGTCAACGAATCGAAAGAAAAAGAAAAAACGAGCGAGGAAAAAAAAACGCCAACAATTGGAACCGTCAACACCGATCGCGAGGATAATTTGAAAGAAATAGGCGTGTTATCGTCCTCGGACGACGAAGACGAAGACGAAGACGAAGGTGAAGACGAAGACAAAGAAAGTGTACAATGAGGAAACAGTCGCAATGATAGATATTTTTTTGTTCGAGTCGTCTTGAAAATGTACACGTTTTCACACGCTCTCTCTCTTTTCCTTCCCTCCTTCCTTTTTACCTCTCTCCCTCTCCCTTTCCTTCTCTTTCTCTCTCTTCGCAACATGTCTTTCCCGCAGCATCGCGTTAACGACTGCCTTGCGCCATCCTCTCAAACTGTTTGCTCGGCTCCATGTCCACCCCTTCCTTCAAGATCGGATTCCCGTTCTCGTCCAAAGGCCACGGGTTCCCGTCCACATCCACCGGCACCTCCAACTTTTGCAAAGTCGGCGTCGACCACGGATACTTCTTCACCATCCCATACTCGATCGGTCGATCAAAATTCACGTTAAATCTCGCTTGAAACTTCCTCTGCGCCTCTTTAAACTCCGGCGTCGAGAACGACAATCTCGGATCTTCGTACTTTCGAGATTTTTCCAACTGTTCCGTGTGTCGTCGCATCTCTTCCAGAAGATCCGTCTGTTGCTTGTTGTTCGGGTCGACTCTTTTTTCAAACTCTTCCAACTTGGCGCGGTCTTCGTCCGCTTGTTGCTGGCCTCCGGTCCATGAAGTGTTCATCGTTGTTTGATATCTGCGTGTGTGTGTGTGTGTGTGTGTGTGTGTGTTCTTATGCGCGTTCGTGTGTCGATGTTGTTCGGAGTTTTACGAGAATGGGAAAATAAAGCGATTTTAAGCGTTTTTCATTTATTAAGCTCGAGAGGCAAATTTTTGCCAGAAAGAGGTTTTAACGAACTTACCTAAGAACTCCATTAAAATGGCAGCCTCCACGCCCTCTTCTTCTTCGGAACAATACCACTAACGAAGAAGAAGAAGAAATGACGCTGTTCCTGGAAATATTCCTCGCGGCCTTTCGCGCGGTCGCCAAATTGTTCATAATGTGCGCGTTCGGCGCGTTCGCGCGGAGGAAAAACTTACTCGGGAAAGAGTTGACGAAAAACTTGTCCTCTCTGAATGGGACGATTTTTTTACCGTGTTTGTTGGTGACCTCGATCGGAGCGAGCGTGACGTTGGAAAAACTCAAGAAGTTGTGGCTTTTACCCGTGGCGGCGTGTTTTAACGTCGTTTGTGGGTACGTGTTTGGGAGAGTTCTCGTGTTTAGCAGCGGTGGCGGTAATAGGAATGCGGATAGGAGATGGATGACCAACAACGTCTGCGAGACGCCGGAACGGTTTCAGAGAGCGGCGTTGGCGAGTTGTACGTTCGGGAACGCGTTGGCACTGCCAGTCGTCGTCTCGGTGGCGATCGCGGAGACAGGCAAGGTTGGGAATTTAGTGTTTACCGAGGAGGATAAGGATAAGTGCGTGTTGTACATTGGCGTGTATTTGATAGCGTTGAGTCCGCTTATGTGGATAGTCGGTCCGAGCTTACACAAACCGCCGAAGACATTTTCATCGCATCAACAGAAGAAAGCGACGACGTCGAGAAAGGCAAAGGAGAGCGATGGGAATTTGCACCTCCAAAACGCGAGCAACGATTTAGAAGAGGAAACGATTGATAATTTCAACGAGGATTTTGACGAGTACGACGACGACGAAGATCTTCCGGAAGGAGACGTGGAGTTACAACGACTCACGCCGCCGTCCAGTCCGAAATCATCAAACGGTAGATTCAAAAGTAGTAACAACCAAGGGTTTGGCAAAGGAAGCGACGGAGGGAGCGAGTTGAACGACGAAAACAACAATGACAACGGTGTGACCACCATAGGAGCGACCACAACAACGACGACGACGACATCTCCACTACCCATTACCACGACCACGCTCAGAAGAAACCCATCATCGTTCGAGCGTCTCTCCACCACCATCTCCGAATCCTATCGCAAGTCCAAACAAGTCGTCAAAGGCTTCGTCAACGTCAACATGTGCGCCTCGATATCTGGTTTGATCTTGGGAATAATTCCATTCACTCGGCACTTATTCTTCGACACCGAAGGCGCTCTGTACTTTGTTTACAGAGCGCTTTACTCCATGGGTCAAGCTGCCGTTCCTCAAGTCCTCGTCATCATCGGCGCAACTTTAGCGAATGGCCCCGACCACTCCTTCGCGCCGAAACGAACCGCCGTCGGCGTCCTCTCCGTTCGATTCCTCCTCCTCCCTCTCGTCCACGTCGGCGTCTATTTCCTCTTCAAAAAGCTCAACAGCTCCGCTTTACCGTCTACGAGTGGCACCGACCACACCTTCTGGCTCATCTTCCTCATCGAAGGATGCACGCCAACCGCGAGTAATATGGTCTTGCAAACCATGATGTACTCCAAAGAACCGGAAAAAGCCGCCGCCGGGGTCGCCAGTTTACTGTTTTGGCAATATTTGAGCGCTCCGTTTTTGTTGACTGGGTTCATATGCCTGTTCTTGAGCATAATTTAGATAGATAGATATATAGCGCGTGTTGTAAGTCATACTAGTACGTAGACATCTGAGCGTCCCCGTGACATTTTCGCGAGTTCGCATCTTCAGAACTTTTTCATCCTATTTCGAAGGAAAAAAACACCACAAAAAGCAAAGGAGAGCGATATGTACCACCACGCGCGACGGAAAGCATTTACGTCGATGTTTTCGGCATCTTCGCGTGCGTCTGAACACGCGGCAGACTTTTTAAAGCGAAACGTGGGGAGTTTTTCCTTCGCGTCGCCATCTTCGTCTGCCTCGTCGTTAAGAACCAATTCGGGGAAATCTTTGTCGCACGGATATCGTCGTCGTCATCAGCAACACCAACGGGAAGCGGCGTCAAATGCGCGTCGACAGCATCAGAGAGCTTTCACGCACTCTTCTTCCTCGCAACAGCAACAACGATTTGGCGGAGGAGGAGGAGGAGGAGGAAGAAGAGGAGCCGCTGCCGCTGCTGCCAAAAGCAAATCAATATCGGACAAAAACCAAAACATGCTCTATTACCTGTTAGCGGTGACCTCATTCACGGTTGGCGCGTCGTACGCGTCGGTCCCACTGTACCGAGCGTTTTGCCGCGCGACTGGATTTGGAGGCACCACGCAACGAAAATCGATCGAAGATAAAATGGAAGAGAGAGACCAAATGGACAAATCTATATTAGAAAAGGCGAAGAAACGTTCGATTGAAATCACGTTCAACGCGGACGTGGCGGAAGGTTTACCGTGGAAGTTTACGCCGACGCAGAAGAAGGTGACGGTGACGCCTGGGGAGACGGTGTTGGCGTTTTATACCGCGGAGAACACGAGTTCGAGCGCTATCACTGGCGTGGCGACGTATAACGTGCAACCAGGCAAAGCCGGGCAGTATTTCAACAAAATCCAGTGTTTCTGCTTCGAAGAGCAACGTTTACGAGCGAAGGAAAAAGTGGACATGCCGGTGTTTTTTTACTTAGATCCAGAATTCGCAAGCGATCGAGGGATGGAAGACGTGAACAGCTTAGTCCTGAGTTACACATTTTTCCAGAGCGAAGATTTCGACGGCGACGAGTACGACGAAAGCAGCGAAGATTACGGAAGAGATGGAGGAGGAGGATCAGGAGTGAAACTCCACGGCCACGGCCCTTTAGTAGCGACAAACGACGGTAAGAAACTCGTAAACATTAGTAGCAGTCAGTAGTAAAGCAAATCATCGCGCGAAAACGAAGCAGAGATTTAAGCGCGTTCATCATAGCGTTCATGTATTTGTATTCATCACAACACGTCATCAGAGTAAAAGTAAAGCGCATACCGCCGCCAAAGTGCTCAGATTTTATCGCGCTCTGCATCTCTCGTAAAAGGAGAGAAAATTCAAAAATCATTCCCCAAAGCAAACGCGCTTCAAACACGCACACACACAAACACAAGAACAGTTTTGACGACGCCGATATTGGCGATGGGAGGCAACAACAAGCGCGTGAAAGTCTCTCCTATCTCCTTTGACACCGATGGTGGTGAGAAGCACGTTTCTTCTTTAACTTCTCTCTCGTATCTCAAATCGCTCCAAAATCTCATCCGATGCGACGGGTGCCAAAACGCGATGTGTCTCGACGACGAGAGGAATCCACCACCAATCACGCTTCATTGCGGGCACACGATCTGTCGCGATTGCGGGATGAAAGCGACTGAACCGAGGAAAGGGTTTTACGAGGCGTTCTGTCCGGCACAAAGTGGGTGTTCGGAGCAAGTTTTCGCGAGAGATTTTACAGATGCAGTCGTGGGAAACATAAAAATGGTGGAAATAGCGCATCGGGCTCGAGAGCTGGAAACGAAGATGCTGAAGGAGAAACGAAGGAGAGATGATGCTTTTTGCGCAGGAGAGGACGCGAAAAGGAAACTGGGGGAGAAGGACGAAAATAACAAAAAGGGTATTGAAAACACCGCGATGATGGTGGCGAGGGCGGTGCCGACACGGAAGTTGACGGAGGCGTTCGAGTCCGCGTTGTTGCGGACGGCGTGCGAAAGCGCGATGGAGATTATGGGCGATCCGGATGTGCCACCGGGACTGGCGTCGTTTGTCGATGGTAGCAGGGAGAAAGAGGGAGAGAAGTTTGCAAAGTTGGAGGCGCGAAGGAAGGTGATTATGGCGTCGGCGAGCGAACGCGAGAAAGCGGAGGCGATGGAGGAGTTGTCGAGAACGATTGAGGAGTTAAAGGAGAAAAGGGCGAAGATACGACGCGCGCGCGAAATGCTGGAAGAAAGGGAGAGAGCAGAGAAGGAGGAAAAAGGACCGTCGTCGTCTCAGGAAGACTTGGCGGTGCTGCGAGAAAAGGTGACGAGAGAGATTGACGCCATGAACACGAATCAATTGCGCGCGAGGTACGTTCACATGCACGGCAAGCAGCCGGTAAAAGGGACGACGAAGAGCGATTATCGGAAAATATTTGAAAACGTCGACCCGAGCGTGTGGTTAGCAGCGACGGAATATATAGAAGCGAGCAGGAATAATCGATCGCAACCAAGTCAGGATCATCAATTGCAACAAGAAGGCGTTCTCCTTGTTCGTGATTCGCTAGGGGTTGGCGAGGAAGACGTTACGATGAGAAAAGGGGCTATGGGAACGGCAAAGGCGACGACGACGGCGACGAAAGAACTCTTCCACAACCCGTTTTCTCGCTTGCGTTCTTCGACTAGGATTAACAATAAACGACGCGCGTCTGCGAGTTTCGATATTCCGGAAGTTTTCGCGTTGACGAACACGTCGAGCGAAACAGAGCAATCGGTGAAAGATGCCGCGTACGATGAAATATTAAATCAGATCATGCGGTGCGGAAGGCACGCGGTTGTCGTTAAAGACGACGATCAACCGCTAGATGACAACGTTACCCATTGTATCGTGACGAGTGGCGCGACTATCCATTCAAACGATGACGACGGAAAGACGAAGAACGGGGCAAGAAAGAAGTACGTCATTAAGAAACGCTCCGTGCGGTATTTGGAATCCTTAGCGAGAGGTATTTGGATTGTATCGAGCGAATGGCTCGACTCGCGCAAAGATTTGAAAAAGTACGCCAACGAAGAGGAATTTGAGATTCACGACGCTGCCGGTACTTGGGAGGACATGGGAACCAATGGGCTACTCGATGTGAGGATTTTTAACAGCGCTTCTTTGCATCGAAAGAATAAAGAAAATTTTTCCGGGTTGTTCGAATCTTCGGAGTCGGATTCGTTGATGCTGACGAGAAGAGCGCGCACGACGAAAGAGATTGCGGCGGCGAAAAGTAGTGGGATCTTTAATGGCCTCAAGATAGTCGTAGACGTGCCGGATTTTTTCTTCGCATCATCGAAGAAGACAGAATGGTCCATCTGTAAGAGCGATTGCGAGCGAATATTAGAAAGCGCGGGCGCCGAAGTGCTTCGGGAACGAGACTATGTCGTGCTTGACTCGTATTTTGGAGAGAACGAAACGGATTCTCCAGTTCCGGATAGCGAAGACGACGAACAAGACGAACAAAATATAAAACAGCAGCAACAACAACAAAGGAGCAAAGGAGAATGGAAATTTAAGGAGGAGGCGTGCGCCTCGGTCGACTTCGTTTTGCTCGACGGCGACGCGCAACCTGAATTACAACGTATCCAAAGAGTGAAACAGACGTTTCCGAGCGCAAAAGTCGTCGATTGGCACTGGTTTGTCCACTCTTTAGTGAAAGGGTACACGTTAGAAACGGAGGACACGTACGAAATGCCTCTCGGCGTGCACTACCCTCGACAAAATTTTCGATTGTGAATAAACGCGTCTCTCTTTCGACCAGCGCACGCGACGTCTCGGAAACGACGTCGTTGCGGCGCGCGTCAAATATATAATAATAGTGCTTCTTTTTAATTCACATGTACAACAAAAAACAACTGTCGATGATTTTTCCAAAGCGAAGAGGGCAGCGGTGTGCCTCCCGACACTCTTATTAATCTTCTTTCTTTTATTCTCAATTACGCGGCAATCTTCAACGTCACCTGTTCTTCCTTTCCGTCCTCGATTTCCGAAGAAGAAGAAGTAGGATACGTGCATATCCCCAAACCTTGTATAGGTTGACACTCCGCACGTTTCGGGCACCCGCCGTTCGTCCCGGGTTCCGGTCGGCAAATCAACGCGCACTGCGACGGCGTCGGTGAACTCGGCACTTGCAAAACGCACTGCCCTTTCGCCGAAGCGCCTTTGTACGCATCCGCCGGGCAGGGCATATTCGACCCACATTTCGGGGAGCAAAAACTGTGTGTTTTGTGTGAGAGGAAGAGTATATGAGAGAGCATTTTATTAGTCATGAATACGAAAGGTCATATTAGCAATCCCAACGAGAAAGAGAAGGAAAAACGCGATTTGATACTCGAAACGCTCTCGAATCTCTCTAAAATCTCACCTGCCCGCGATTCCTTGTATTTGCACCTTCATCTCGTTCGGCAAGCACGAACCCGTGCTCGGGTTCCCGTACGGTTTCGTGTGTATCTTTGAAACCTCCTTTTCCTCCTCGTCCTTTGCGTCGTGTAAAAATGCCTCCACGGCGGTCAACCACTCCGGAGACTGCGCGTTGAGCGCGACGGAGAGGACGGTTTTTTCTTCCAAAACATCATCGGCGAGCGAGAAAGAGAAGCACGAGGAGAGAACGAAGAAGACGAAGAAGAAAAAGAACGCCGAAACGGTGGATGATGATGATGGTTTTATTCTCGTCATCGTCTCACTTTTCTCTTGTCTTTTCTTTGAAGCGACGAATAAAAAATGGAATAAAAAATGGCAAAAAGAGTTTAAAAGCGGGAAATAATAACGTTCGTTTGATTCGTTCGGAATGTAATGCAAATGACTATTAATGAGCTAATGAAAGTTACGCATGTGCGTTTTCAAATTACTAGATTGACTAAAACGCTTCTCGCACTCATCGCACTCGTACGGTTTCTCGTGAGTGTGAATACGCATGTGAGTTTGCAAATCACCAGATCGACGAAAACGCTTCTCGCACACATCACACTCGTACGGTTTCTCGTTCGTGTGAATGCGCATGTGCGATTTCAAACTACTAGATTGAGTAAAACGCTTCTCGCACACATCACATTCGTACGGTTTCTCTTTCGTGTGCGTACGCATGTGGGTTTTCAAATCACCAGATTGAGTAAAACGCTTCTCGCACACATCACATTCGTACGGTTTCTCGTTCGTGTGAATACGCATGTGTCTGGCCAACTTGGATGGAGTAACAAAAACCTTCTCGCAAACATCGCACTCGTGCCCTCTCTTCCTCTTCACTCCTTTAGCAATACAAGCCGTTTCCTCTTCTCGCATCTGATGATTTTGCTCCACAACATCATCGTCACACGGCACGCACATGAGCATCCTCCGCAATCGCTCCACGTCGTCGTCGTCGTCTCCCTCTTCTTCTCTGTCACCACCCTTCCTCACAACGACCACCGTTTTCACGTTTTCCGCTCGTTTCGGATGTTTATTCTTTCGTCTGCTGCTTCCCGTCATTGATTTCAACGAATACTATAATACTACTGCGCAAAAACAACAAGAGAGTAAAGTAAAAGTGTGTGAGATTCTGGCGAAATCCCTACCTTGTGGTGATTGAAACATCAAACTGGTGATCGAAACACACGTTTTTCGAAAAAATTTGGCAAAATTCTACCACCACGGTGCACCTCGAGTGCCCGAGAGAGGCTATTCGTTCCCACGAGAGACCGATGGAACCCCTACTTGAGCACCAAAAACAAACAAAAATGGCAAATCCCCTATGTAGAGCGATGCTGGATAATGTGTACGCATTCCCTCTCGTAAAACTCCCTCACAGTGAGTGCATCACAGAGACGATAGAATACACACGCGACGACCACAAACGGGAACGGGATGATATTGATGAGACGAACGAACGCGTGCTCTTCTTTTTCTCTCTTCGGTCTTCTTCCAAACAACACACCTTTGCGTTGTTGTGTACGTCGTCGTCAACAGAATCATAAAAATCATCATCGGACGACGACGACGATAAAGATGAGTATGATGACGACGGAACAAGACGCGTTCGAAGACGCGATGAAACGGTTCGGGATTCGAAGTCAAATTCGATTGATGACGGTGGGAGAAAAAGATGAAGATGAGATGAGATACGGCTTGTTCGCGAACGGAAATGTTGGTTGGACGGAGCCTGGAGTGTTGTTAGAGGTCCCTTTAGACGTGTGCATAGTCGCGCCCATAGGCGATGATGATGATAATGGAGGTGTTATTGCGACGAATAAAACGGCGTTTGATATCGTCAAAGTGTTCGAGAAAAGAAACGCGTACTTACCTACGTTTACGAAGAAGCTGGTGCAAGCGAAAACGAGCGAACGACGCGAGATGGGGTTGGCGTTGTGGTTGCTCTGGGCGATACGCGCGGAAACGAAAGGGAATGACGTGTGGCGAGAGTACGGTCAAAATTGGTTACCGAAAGATGCGCACGAGTTACCTTCGATGTTATTGGCGAGAGAGGAGGAAGAGTTGAGCGTGTGCGCTTCGTTCGATCCGCAGTTGATCGAGGACGCGATGCAATTGAAGAAGAAGATAAAAGAGATGTTTGTGAAATTTGAAATTCAGTTCAAGAGCGAAGAGGAAATTGGCGTACGCGACGGCGTGAACGTCGAGGATTTGTATTACGCGTTTTCGTTGATTCGGTCTCGGGCGATTGCCGCTAAAGTTGGAGAAACGCCCGAGTCGCGAGTAGATAACACCGACGTCGCGGTGTTGGCGCCGTGCGTTGACATGGCCAATCACGCGGCGTCGAAGGACGTGAACGCGCTGAAAAAAATAGGCGCGAGCGACGGAGGAGGTATGAAGGGATCGTTGTTTAGGTTAGTGAACGGCGGTACCGTGGACGGCGGCGGTGGTAGCGTCGTATTGGAAACTCGACGAGCGGTGAAGAAAGACGAAGAGATTACGATTAGCTATGGCCCGCGCTTGGACAACAAAGAGTTGATGCGCGCGTATGGGTTTTGTTTAGAAGCGAATAAATTTGATAGATTAGAAATAGGGCAGCAGCGTAGTAATGAAACAACGTGGGCGTTAAACGCGACGAAGATGCGTTCTATGTGCGAAGAAATGGAGATTGTTTATCGAGGCGTGGACGAAAAGACGTTGAATTACGTGGACGCGATTGTTCGTAGCGTTTCGTTGGACGAGAGCGATTTTCGCGACGATGACGCGAGCGCGGCGACAACGACGACAGAAGAAAACGTAGTAAACAACAACGCAAAAGAGTTAGAAAACGCGTTCAAAATCCACGCATTGTGGAGCGTGCGATTAAACGCAATCTTAGAGACGCTCTCCGAAACAGATTTAGAGGACGAGATGGCGTCGCTCATCGAAACCGCGGAAGAACGCAATAGAAAAAAGCAAAACGACGGGGCGACCGCGTTCTTACCGGCTGTCTTGAGATACAAACAAAATCACATTCGGTTCCTCGCGAAAGGATGCGAAGTCCTCCAGTCCTACATCGACTGGCTCGACGACGAAGAAGAAGAAGAAGAAGAAATATAGTTACGCGCAAAAAGCTATTGTATGAATACGCACGCTAAATCAACTACGCCTTCGCCTCCTTCTTCTTCTTCCCGACTAACCTTTCCATGCATTTCTCCGCGTTCTTCCTCAGTGAATTTACTTTCTCCCTTTGTTCCACTGTTTTCGCCTTCATCTTCAAAACGTCTTCTTTTTGCGATTTTCGCTTCTCTTGCCACTCCGCTCGTTCTTTCTCCAATCTCGCGTATTCGCTCACCTGTTTCTGCCTATTCTCTTTCGCGTCTTTCTCTTTCCGTTGCCACTTGGCGAGTGCTTCTTTCGCTTCGTCCAATTCTTTTTCCGATGCGAGTAAAGATTCTCTCGCTCGAGCGACTTCGGAGGATTTCTGCGCGTTTTCTCGCTCCGTGTCGCGGAGTGTCTTCGCGCGCGTTTCCAAACCGGTTTCCAATCGAGACAAAAGCGACTGCTCTTTCGCTAATAAACGTTCGGCGAAGTACACGTCGGAGAGTTGCGGACCGAAATAAAACGAAGTCGCACCAGCACTCGCAACACCCGCACTCGCGAGGAGAGAATAGGCGACTCTTTGCGACGACATTCGTCCTCCGTACTCCTCAACCGCCGAGGCAAAAGCAGAGTTTGTTTTGTAGATAAATCGTTGTTTCTATGGGAAAGAAAGAGATATTTTTGTTGTCGAGCGCGAGCGCGATGTCCGAGGACTCTTCTTCCGTTCTTCTGCTGCTGCTCGTCCTATTAAAACGCTACGCGCTCTCTGTTACTGTATTTGTTGTTGTATTTGGTCTCTCTCTCTCTCTTTCTCTCTCTGAAGCTCTCTCTCTCCGTTTGATGTTGTTGTCTCTCTCGCTAAAATTTTCTCTCTATTTTTGCTATTAATCTAAACTCCTTAATCTCTCCTCCTGCTCTCCTCGAAAACGCTCTCGTTCACGTCGTAGAGCGTTTTCATCGGCACCCCGCATTCGAACAGCCTCGTCTCTAAATCGTCCTTCTCCGTTTCGTTTAAAACGTTGATGATTCGGACGCGATTGAAATCTTCCAAACTGGCGCCTCCCGTCGCGCTTCTCGCGCACTCGAAATATTCGTCGTCGTCGGTAAACGGAAAGTTGAAGACGACCGCGTTCGCTTGTAACGGCGGTTCGGACGCGTAGAGTTTATCTACTGGAGGAGAAGATTCTGGCGGCAACTGCGGCGTAATCTTTCTCTTCCTTTTCTTCTCGTCGTCGTCGTCATCCTTCTTCTCCTCCTCCTCGTTTGAGGAAGAGGACTTTTTCATCGACGACGAAGATACTAAACAACACGGCAAGCAACTCTTCGTCGTCGCCAACAGATTTCCGATGTTATCCTTTCGAAACATCTCCGGCGTCCATCCGTCTCGCGCCATCTCCTCTTTGAACTCATCGAACGGTCTGCGTTAAAAAGGCGTTTCGCGAAAGAAAGACGACGCGGGTCAGCGAGAGCGAAAGAGAGAAAGAGAGAAAGAGAGAAAGAGAGAAAGAGAGAAGCGCACGCGACGAGCGACAAAAAACGTCGAAAGAGAAGACACATAATCAATGCATCACGACGACGACTCTGACGTATCATCGATATCAAAAGCGTTCTGCTCTATACATTAACGTAAACGTACGAGTTGAAAATCTTCATCTGTATCTGTCGTAAACATTCCGGTTGGTCTTCGTGCGCGTATATGCACGACGGGAACCCGCCGGGGAGCAAACCACTTCTCCCTTCCAACTGTTCGCGAGAGTGGACGACGAGCAAGAGTTTTAACCCGTCCGTTTGAGTCGCCAGTTTCGCCAGATTCATCATCGTTTGCTGTGATGTTCAATGAGAGCAGCGCAGAGCGCAGAGCGCAGAGTGAAGAGAGTGAAGAGAGAGAGAGAGAGAGAGAGCGTGAGGGAGAGAGCACAAAAGAGAGAGAGAAAGAAAGAAAGAGAGAGAGAGCATCCAAAGGTACCTTCTTTTCGTTGTCTTGGACGCACAAGACGCAGTGTTCGGTCGGTTTTGGTTCCCAAACGACAGCCATGATGTTGTATTTCAATTCCCCTAAGTGGGTGTTCGAGAGTGTGGAGAGGAACAGTTTCCTTTACGAGATTTTTTATAGATACGCGGTGCGTAGGAGTTTAATGTTTATACTAGTACACCACATCGCTAACTGCTAATCATCGTTAATATCGTGTTGTTGTTGCTGCTCTTATCAAAAGTCCTCGTACTCGTAAGTCATAATCGCTTTTTGAGGCTCGATCGTCACCCTCCGCTCTGGAGGAAAATAAACTCCGGATACTCCGTGCTTAAAGTCGTCAACGTCGGAATGGTCATATTCGCGATGCACTTCCTATTCTCCTTCACCATCCTATAAAACTCCTCGTACGATATGCTCCCATCTTTCTCGATGTCCACCTGTTCGAACGTGCTATCCAACACTCTCTCGATGGCCTCTTCGTCGAGATTTAAAAATATCGACCGTTTCATCACCGCCGAGACTAACTCTTTCAACTCCTCTCTCGTAATCACGCCGTTCCCGTTCACGTCGTATAAATGGAACGCAAATTTCGCCTTCTCGTTCGTATTCATTCTAGGATGAAACACGTTCAACGTTCTCACGAACTCGTCGAAGAATATGTACCCTTCCTGGTTCGAGTCAAACTTCTCGAACAGCCGTCTCTCGAACATAAACTTCCCCTGTTGTCCTTTCTTCTGATTCATTAAACACTCCTCCCGTTTCTTCTTCCCGAACAACGCTTCGATAAACTCGCTCTCGTCGATCACGTCGTCTTCTTTCGCGACAGAATCGAATAAGGTTTTCAAAACGACCACGTCGTTTTCCGAGAAGTACGTGTTCTTCGCCAGTTTCGAGTGGACGGTTTCGTGGAAACTTTTCGCCTTCTTTTGAGAATTGGACAGATTGGAATTCGATGTTGTTGGTGATTCTTCTTCTTCTCCAGACGCTTTCCAAAGCGTGTTCGAACCGTTATTGTTCAGTTCTTCCTCGCGAGAGGCGACGCAACCCATTTGATGGTAGTATTTCTCTTCTTCTTCTCACGGTATGTGTGTGTATATATATCGCGTTTATTATCTGTAACAGAGCGCTTTTGTGGGTCCAATTCCAAAACAAAATGTCTAGGGTTGTATAAACCCTAAATGGTTTTGTAGGGATCTTCTCTCTCTTTAACCGCTTTTTGCTCGTCAGAGCGAGTGTCCGTTTATGCATAAGAAACACGCGAGAGAGGGAGAATGTCTTGACGAGATGGAGGACGATACGCACAGCAACAACAACGACTTTTCATCTGGTGGTGGTAAAACACCACTCGAAGAAGAAGAAGTTTCCGTGCGAGACTTGCTCTCGATGAAACATTCCAATTCCTTTAATCCCTTCACGGCGGGGAAAACAAAGACGCAAAATCAGATTTTACCGAAGCACATGCTCCCGTACTCGGAACCGATCGAAGTCTCGCACTTCTCGAAAACGAAAAGCGGGGAGACGTTTTTCGACAGCAGGAACTTAAAACGAACGAGAGATCCACAATTGCCGTTCGATTTGAACGAAGGGTTTGCGAATTTTCGAGACCGAGACCGGTTGGATAAATATCCTGCTCCCTTGTTGCCTCTGTTTGAAAGCTTGGAAAGGAGCGGGAAGGCGAGTTTGTTGTTAGACGTGGACGTGCTGTCGTGGAGAGGCAACATGAGCAAGCTTTTGTGCGCACCGTGGGAAAGCCGGGAAGGGTTCCGATTGGAGTGCGAGTTAGTGAGAAGGAAGTTTGATCGTCCCGATGACGACGATGGAAAAGATGAGGAGGACGACGAGGACGACGGCGACGAGGACAAAGAAGAAGACATCGGAGGAAGCGCAAATAAGAAATTGAAGAGGACGAGTAGTACGAACACGAACAATAGCACGAATGACGCGACGACGAATTCATCCGGTGGTGGAGGTGGTTCTCCCGGTGATACCGTTACCACTGACGCGGCGGGAGGAGGCGAAGGAGAAGGAGGCATCCAAGACGAAGCCATCAGGAATATTAGTAATAACAGCAACGCAAAAAGCAAACGACCGGCGACGTTGGTGCTCAACGTCCTCGAGGCAGAGCATAAACTCGAAGAGGCGCGAGAAATGTTGAAGAATAAAAAAGATCCCGCAGGAAAACAAACCAAAAGCGAGAAAGACTTAGCTTGGCACGAACGAATGAGCTACTGGGGATTCGCCTTCGAGGAGTTCGTGACGTCGGAAAAACCGCACGCGAACGCGGTGAATTGTCGCGAATCGTTTTGTACGGTAACGAAATCTAAACTTGGCGAGAACACAAAATTGCTGTTAGGCGGCGAAGTTGATTGTTGGAACGGTATCGCCGAGGGCCTTTCCGGATACGTCGAATTGAAAACGAGCAGAAAGATTGACACGAAGAAACAAAGAGCGAATTTTGAAAAGTTCAAGCTGTTGAAATGGTGGGCGCAATCGTTTACGGTTGGGGTGAGACAAATCTTAGTTGGCTTTCGAGACGACGACGGGATGGTGCAAAAGATGCAAAATTTAGAAACGATGAAGCTACCGAGTTACGCATTAGCGGCGGATAAAAAGAACGCGTGGCGACCAGAGGTGGCTTTAACGTTCGCGGAGAAAGTGTTGACGTTTATTCGAGAGACGATGGAGAAGTACCCGGAAAACAGTCGAGCGTTGGTGGAGTTTATACCAGCACGGACAAAAGGCGAATCGAAATTTAAAATCACCGTTGTCGAGGACATTCCCGATTTCTTACCGAAACTCGCGCGAGAGATGTTGCAAATGAGCGCGAGAGATCTCCTCTCTCGAGACGAAGAGAAAAGGAAAAAAATCCTCGCGAGTCAAGCGCCGCCGACGATTTCTTTCAGCGGACAAGAGTCTGAAAACTCCGCGGGCGGGTCTATCGACCAATCACACCATCACGCGTCGCGACCGCGCGACAGCTCGTCCCCGGATTTTGCCGCGGAGATTGCGAAATCTGGTAGCGGCGGAAGCGGAGGGTCGCATCGGTTCAAAAACGCTTCGCAACTCGCGCTCAACAGAAAACGACCGATGGTCTCTAGAGACCGACGCGAAAAGCTCAAACGCGAACGCGAAAAAGCGCGCGCGCTAAACAACGCGCGAGAAAACCAGCTCGGATGGATTGGAGGCAGCGCGGGCGCTCCCGGCGGTCTCGCCGGAGTCGGCGATTTCGCCAACGCTAACATTCGAAGATCGTACGCTTTCGGCGCGACGAGCTATCTCGAAGAGCTCGGCAAGAACGCCTTATATTACGCCACAGGAGGAGGGGGGATACTACCAGGAACATCGGGAGAACAACAGCAGCAACATCAACAACAGTTACATCATCAGCAACAACAATCCAACGAGAATCTCACCGCGAGCGGCCAACACGTCGGCATCGGCATCGACCCGTCCGCTCTCTTGAAAAGACTCCTCAAAAGCAACGGCAGCATCAAAAACGATGAAAACGACGACGACGACGATGGTGTCTCGAAAAACGATCATCAGGTATAGCGTAGGACGATAAAACGACCGCGTAGAAAAGCAAATGTAATAGAAATGAAGTGTAGCGCTTAGTAGTACGCTCAAATCCTCAAATCCTCGCATGTGTGACTTTCCCTCATTTTTAGACGCAAGAAAACACACAAAAGCAATCACTCTAGATCTCCGTCGTTTGTGCGCGTAACCTCTGAAACTCTGAACTCGACGAAAATGCCAGAGGAAGAATCGAAACAAGAGCTCGATATCGATCACCTGCAAGATCTGGTCGCGCAGCAAGGCGATACCGTCCGCGCGTTGAAAGCTGATGAAAGTCCCAATCAGGCAGCCATTTCCCAAGCGATTGAAACGTTGAAGCAACTCAAAATCGATTTGAACGCGGAAATCACCAGAAGAAAAGCCTCCGGGGACTCGATGATCAAGTCCAAGGAAGATTTCCGCGTGAAAGTGGCAAACTCCTTAGAGTCGAGACTGTTTTATATTCCGAGTTTTAAAATTTACGGCGGCGTGGGTGGATTGTACGATTACGGGCCACCCGGGTGCGCGGTGAAGGCGAACGTGCAAAAGATTTGGCGACAGCACTTTGTGATCGAAGAGTCGATGTTGGAAGTGGAGTGTCCTTCGGTGACGTTAGGGACGGTGTTGAAAGCGAGCGGGCACGTCGATCGATTCACGGATTTGATGGTGAAAGACGCGAAAACGGAGGAGTGTTTCCGCGCGGACCATTTGTTGGGCGATCGATTGGAGGAGTTGATCGCGGATCCAGCGACGAGGAAGGATGAAAAAGCGGAGTTTGAGATGTTGTACGCGAGATTGGACGAGTTGAAGGAAGAGGAGATGAAAATGGCGTTGAAGAGGTGCGGGTGCGTCAGTCCAGAGACGAAGAACGAGTTGAGCGATCCGTACCCGTTTAACTTGATGTTTCCGACGACGATTGGGCCGAGTGGGAACATTCAAGGGTTTTTGAGGCCAGAAACCGCGCAAGGGATGTTTGTGAACTTTAGGGAGTTGTTGTATTTCAACGGAGGGAAGTTGCCGTTCGCGTGCGCGCAGATTGGGCAGTCGTTTAGGAACGAAATCGCCCCGAGAGCTGGGTTGTTGCGCGTGAGAGAGTTTACGCAAGCGGAAATCGAACACTTTTGCCATCCCACGAAGAAGGACCATCCGAGATTTAACGAGGTCGCCCAGGTGGAGTTGAACTTGTTCAGTCAAGAAGCGCAGTTGCAAGCCGGGAAGAAGGAACCGTTTCGTATGAAAACGGGCGAGGCTGTTGAGAAGGGCATCATCGCGAACGAGACGTTGGCGTATTTCGTAGCGAGAACGCATTTGTTTTTGAAAGAGTTAGGCGTAGACATGCAACGCGTTCGATTTCGTCAACACTTGAGACACGAAATGGCGCATTACGCGCAAGACTGCTGGGACGCGGAGATTGAGTGCTCGTACGGATGGATCGAGTGCGTCGGTTTGGCGGATCGATCGGCGTTTGATTTAGATGCCCACTCGAAAGCGAGTAAAGTAGATTTGCAAGCGTACGAGTTATTCGACGAACCAGTCGAAGAAGTCATTTTCGAGGTGAAAATGAACAAACAAATATTAGGGAAATCGTTTAAAAAAGACCAAAAGTTTGTCATCGACGCGTTGACGTCGTTGGACGAAGCAGCCGCGGCGAAGATTGAGAAAGATTTCGAAGACAAGGGCGAAACCGACTTGGAAAACGTTCAAGGCATAGACGGTGGGAAAGCGACGATTACGAAGGACATGGTGATTGAAATGAAGAAGAAGACGAAAAAAGTGAGCGGGAGAAATTTTACGCCGTCCGTCATTGAACCTTCGTTTGGTATCGGAAGAATTATGTATTGCCTCTTTGAACACGCGTTTTACGTTCGCGAAGGCGACGACGAAAACAAAGCCGTTTTCAAACTTCCCCCGCAAGTCGCTCCGATCAAATGCACCATCTTCCCTCTCGTGAACAACGCGGAAATGAACGCCGCGTCTCACGATATTTACAAATCGTTGACCAAACTCGCGGTTTCCGTAAAATTAGACACCACCGCCATCTCCATCGGCAAACGATACTGCCGAACGGATGAACTCGGCGTCCCGTTCGCCATCACCATCGACCACAGAACCATCGGACACACGTCCACTCCAAAAGACGGAACCGTAACCGTACGCGAGAGAGACTCGTGCGAACAAGTTCGCATTAAAGTCGACGACGTTGCGAAATTCATCGCGGATTTGAGTTCGGGTGAGGTTGAATGGAGCCGAGCGACAGCGTCGCTCGAGAAAGTATTAAACACGGCGGAGTAGGCCCAACCATCCGAGGAATACATACAACGATAGAAAAGCAGTAAGACAGACACTCACACACACACACAGAAAGAAAGAGAGAGAGAGAGAATGAGATATTATGTTATTATTATTACTACACGCAGGATGTGATATTTGTGTACTACGAGAGGTTATCTCTCAGTCAAAAGTCTGTCCTTTTGCCTCAAAATTCGCCCACGTCGACACAATAAAACGCGCTTTTTATTACTTTTGCAAAGAGACGACGTTGTTCGGAAGCAGCGCTCGAAAAAGGTAGAGAGAAGGACGTGTTTAAAGCGTTTAAAGCGATGTCGTCGTCTCTGTCGTATTTCTTTCCCAGTCAGGGGAGCAGCGCGCTGCCGAAGAGGATGACGACGACGACGGGGAGAAAGACGTCGACGGATAATAGAAGTAATCCAACAGTGAAGCGAACGATGCGAACGAGGAGTACTACGACGACTAAAGCGGCGATACGAGAACCAGAGGTGACCTCCTCGTCCTCGTCGTCCTCTCGAGTGGATTCGAACGGGTTTACGAGCAGCAGCGGGAGTAGCGCGAGTGTGAACTCCTTGCGGTCGAGCGATGCGAGGATTAAGAGGAATACCAAGAAGAACTCGACGACGTCGCCGAGAGGAGGCGAAGAGGAAGATGAAGACAAAGAAGGCCCCGCGACGACTACGTCGTCGTCGGAAAAGAAGAACGAGAACAAAACGACGACGAAATCGTCGTCTTTAGAGAAACTGTTAATTCCAGAGTACAAGACGGAATCCGCCGGGTGCGGCGACGGCATCGTAGCAATCACGGCGATGCAAACAGCAGCTTTAAAACGATCGCAATCGCCGTTACCGTACGATCCAATCCGAACGAGTCGAGAGTATAAGAAATCTCCCGGAAAAGTGGCGTTTCGCGCGATGGAGATTGCGACGTCGATTGGGACTTGGTTGACGTTGGTCGCCGCGGACGTGGCGAGCGATTCGGTGGAGAAGAACGCCGGGGTGAGAGCGGTACAGTTGAGAGAAAAGTTGACGAAGTTAGGGCCTGCGTTCGTAAAGGTTGGTCAGGCACTGTCGACGAGACCGGATTTGCTACCAGGTCGGTATTTGGAGGAGTTGTCGAGTTTGCAAGACGCGTTGCCGACGTTTTCGGATAAAGAGGCGTTTGCGCTCGTGGAAAAAGAGTTGGGGAGGAAGATGAAGGATACGTTTAAAACGATAACGCCTCAACCGATCGCGGCGGCATCGTTAGGGCAAGTGTATAAAGCGACGACGTTGGATACGAACAAAACGGTCGCTTTGAAAGTGCAGCGTCCGTCTATTTACGAAGGTTTGGAGCTCGACTTTCATCTCATTCGCATGTTCGGCGCGGTGGTGGACGCAAACGTGGAGAGTTTGAACACCTCTATCGTTTCTTTAGTCGACGAATTTGCTGAGCGCGTATTCATGGAGTTGAATTACGTGCAAGAAGGCATCAACGCGGAACGGTTTGCGCGTTTATACGGTGATCATCCCGACGTAGTCGTCCCGACCATCGATTGGGAGCGAACGTCGGCGAGAGTTTTGACGATGGAATTTATCGAAGGCACGAAACTTTCCGAGCGCGAAAAGTTAAAAGAGAAAGGTTTAGACGTGTTGAGTTTAGTGGACATCGGTATTCAGTGTTCATTGAGGCAATTGTTGGAGTTTGGGTACTTCCACGCCGATCCTCATCCGGGTAATTTATTAGCCACGAAGGAAGGGAAACTCGCGTTTCTCGATTTTGGGATGATGTCTGAAACGCCCGAAACCGCTAGATATGCCATCATCGACCACGTCGTGCACTTGGTGAACAGAGACTACGAAGCTATGGCGACGGATTATTACAAGTTGGAGTTTTTGGACGAAAGCGTGGACGTGAAACCAATCGTTCCGGCGTTGGCGAATTTCTTCGACGACGTGTTGGAAGCCTCGGTGGAAGAGTTGAACTTCAAAACCATCACAGACGGGTTGGGCGGGGTTCTGTACGCGTACCCGTTCAACGTTCCGGGATATTACGCGTTAATTTTACGAAGTCTAACCGTGTTGGAAGGATTAGCGCTGAGCACGGATCCGAAATTCAAAGTGTTGGCGAAAGCGTACCCGTACGTCGCGAGACGTTTGTTGACCGACCCTCGACCAGAGTTGAGAGAAAGTTTCAAAGAGTTGATGTTTAAAGACGACGTGTTTCGATGGAACCGTTTAGAAAACTTACTCAGGGAAGGCTCGAAAAACAGCGATTTTAACGCCGAGGACGTGTTGCCGCCTTTGCTCAATCTCGCCTTGGAGAATGATAACGGCAAGAACACGCTGCGTCCGTTGATTGAAAAAGAAACGATCAAAGTTATCGAAGCTTTGCTGTTGACCTCGGCGAACGATATCGCAAAAGATCCAAACTTGAAACCGTTAGTTGACGCCTTACCGGCGCAAATCAGAAGCCTACCTCCAATCACAATCGGCGGCTCAACGGCTCAAAAGAAAGATTTGGAACGAACGAGAGAGAGCGTGAGCAGATGCTTCCAGCTCTACGCCAACGCTTCTTCGTCGTCGTCCTTATCATCATCATCATCTTCAACTGGTAGTGATGGTGGCGAACAACCCATTTCCAACGGCGAACTCGACTTACAAAAAGCGCAAAAACAACTGTCCGTGTTGACGAACGCGTTGCGCCAGCCGTTGGCGCAAGATTTCGTGCGAGCGGTCATCGGCGGCGTCGCGGAAAGAATCACCGCTCGGTTCATCAATTCGCTGTTGCGGAGTAGTAGCGGAACTACTGGGGCGGCGGCGACTGCCGATGCTGCCGCCGGCCCGCGATGATAGAAAAATGTCCATCACTTATATTTTAAAGAAAAGCACCGCTGCAAGCAACTTAAATGGAAATCTTCACACTTTTTGCCTCTTCCGCAATGCCTCCTCCGACTTCTTCGTCGTCCAAAAAGACTAAACTCGCATCGCTCATCTCCGCCATCAAATCCTCCGACCGAGCAAAGGCGAAAAATTTGAGCGACGACATCACGTTCGACATTAACAGCAGCGTGGAATGCGAGAGCGACGGGGAGGAGGATTTCCCGTTGCAAGTCGCTTTAGGTAATGTCTGTTGTTATTCTTATTCTTAGCATCACACGCACGCAAATGCAAAACGACGCGGAGTTATCATCGCGAGACGCACTTTTCTAAAAGCTCTCACTACGAGTATGGCAGAAGAAGAGAACTCTTCTCTCTTATTCGCTTTTTATTAACAAACTCCAAATCCTTTCTCTTTCTCTTGGCGAACAACAACAACAACAGACGAACATTTTACGAAACAAACGGAGGATTCATTCGCGTGCTTCTCGACGATATGCTCGCACGACCACTTGAATCCGGATAAAGACTTTTGGGGCGATGGAAAGACGGCTTTACAAAGAGCGGCGGAGCGATGTGACGCGTACGCGTCCTTCGCGCTGTTGGAGCGGAAAGCGAGCGTCGAGGCGACGAATCGAAGGGACGGGAATAAGACGGCGATCGATTACGCGAGAGGAATGAAGGTTACATCCAAAGAGGAGAAGGAGAATAAGAATAGAGTGATACGACTGTTGGAGAGCGAGAGAGATGGCACGGATGCTGGGCTGGAGAGGTTTTTGAAACGTCTGGAGGAGGTTCGATTGCCCAACGAGGATGCAGAATAAATACGGATGTAACAAACTGATATAAACGCTTACGTTAAAACGCCATCTCCGCATAGTATACTATTAAGGAAAAAGTTAAAATCATCACGTGTATTAGGAAATTCTTTCAGCGACGAATTTCTACCATTATCCTCCGTTTCAAAGTTCGATCGCGATACCCAAATCCGCCTTTTGTTTATACGTTTTGGCACCTCCTCACATGTGAGTAGGGGAATTTCTGCAGCACAAAACTTCCTCGCGCAACAAACACTCACCACAAAAACACATCATGCGGGGCCGTTTTTCTTGCCAACGATTTCTGAATGCTCTCTCCAAAACCACAACCACGACCACAACCACCCCTAAAGCTGCTTTGGCAGGACAGCGTCATCATCATCTTTCCTCCAAAGCCGTCGGTGTTCCAATGGCGAATTGGAAAACCAAATCTTTAGAAGAACAAGAAACAGAGCGGTCTTTGAGAGTAAGAAAGAGCGCATCGTGCGAGAGCACCACCGAAAGCAAAACCCATCAAAACGTTCTTCGTAAGTCGTCGTTAATGTTCTTCGGTGCGCTGCGTGACGCCCAAAAGTACAACGCTTTGATAAAACCTCTTGTGTTTGTGAGATACAAACACGGCAAGAATAAGAACAAGAAAAAAGGTGGCAATAGGAATACTAGCAGTAGCGATGATGATAGCGATAATACGAGCGATAATACGAGCGATGATGATGACAACGACGACGAAAACGAAGAGGGTGGTTCCGGCGCGGAAGATGATGATGCGACTTTGACCCCGTTCACGGTTGCGTCCGTCGAGCGCGAAACGGCGAAAGCGCTGGAGAACTTGAAACTCGAACTCGGGAAACTTCGAACGTCTCGCGCCTCGACTGGCGTCGTGGAAAATATAATGATTGCGAATATTTACGAGAGCTCTGCACCTCCGGTGCCGTTGAAATCGCTCGGCGCGATCACCGTTCGGGACGCGAAGACAATATCCATCGCTTTGTACGACAATTCCGAACCGAACAAAAACGCCGTGGAAAATGCAATCGTAAACGAAAAGCACTTAAAATTCGGCGCAAAAAAAGACGAATCCGGCGTCCTCGTCTCCCTCCCAGAGATGGATGCCAACGCGCGTAAAGAAGTCGTCAAAATGGCGCAAGAACTCGGCGAGAAATCGAAAATCGGCGTTCGACGCGCTCGCAAAAAAGCCATCGACGCGGTAAAGAAACAAACCTATACGCTCAAACTCTTCGGCGAAGACGAGAAAAAGAGGTTCGAAAAATCCATCCAAAAAGTGCACGACGACGCCATCAAGGAAATCGATCGGTTGGAGAAAATGAAGAAAGAACACATCGAGAGTGGGTTGTGATACTGACCGGTTCGGTATCTAAATGATGAATTTACGACTTTTTGTTTTGACTGCCATTTTTTTCGTATTCTGTACGCGTACTTTTTTTTTCTCCTCCTTTCTGATCACACAAGAAGACATGCGCACCGTAGTAGTCAACCTCCTCCTCCCCTCTAAAGTCTCGTATACGAATAAGTATAATACCGTGAGACGAAAGAGTCCACATCCTAAACGCGCGGTGAACGCGAGGACGGTTTTGAAGGTGGCGAGAGAAGAAGAAGAACCTTTGGTGCTGTGTTTGAGGATTCCTGACGAGGAGGATGGTCTCGAGGCGAATCATCTTCAGATACAAAAAGAAGAAGAAGAAGAAGAGGGAGTAGAAGAAGGAGAAGAAGAGATAACTGTTAGGGAAGGAGCGAAGAGAAAGATAGGGCACGAGTGCGATGTGTGCGGGAAGATGTTTGATAGACCATCTAAATTGGCTATACACATACGTACGCACACGAAAGAGAAACCGTACGAATGTGATGTGTGCGAGAAGCGTTTTACTCGATCTGGTAGCTTGAAAAGGCACATGCGTATTCACACGAACGAGAAACCGTATGAATGTGATGTTTGCTGGAAGAGATTCAGTCGAGCTGATGCTTTGCAAAGCCACATGCGTATTCACGCGAACGAGAAACCGTACGAATGTGATGTGTGCGAGATGAAGTTTCGTCATTCTAATAATTTGAAAGTTCACATGCGTATTCACGCGAACGAGAAACCGTACGAATGTGAAGTTTGCGAGAAGAGATTTCGTCAATCTAGTCATTTGAAAGTTCACAAGCTTATTCACACGGGCGAGAAACCGTACGAATGCGATGTCTGCGATAAAGCTTTTCGTCAATCTGGTCATTTGAAAAGGCACAAGCGCACTCAACATTAGCTCTTCATTTGTAGTTCTAAAGTATACACATATGGGGCCATACCCGTACCTTCATCTTGTTCGTAACAAAAAATTCAAAAATTTCAAAAATTTTCCTCGAACTGCTCTCCATTATTGTATATCTCACCACCTTCTTTGCTCTCTCTCTCTCTCTCTTTCGCGCGGTAGTTGGTGGTGGAGGTGCCCTCTCTCTCTCTCTCTCTCGAGAATAGGAGAAGAGCGTTTCATTTTTGAGCGATGATGTCGCCTTTGTCGTCGTCTTTGTCCTCCTCCTTTTCCAACCGTTCTTCCGTTTTATCTTCTAAAACGGGAAAACGATTCCCCAAAAGCTTTAGTCGGCGGATGATGATGACGACGACGAATGCTTCCTACGATGACGATGCAAACGCGAATGGCGGCGACGAGTATTATCGAGACGTGGAGTTGAACGTGCACTTGCTTTCGCCAAATAATCATCATCATCGGCAAAGGTATTACGATGATGAATACAACACCAAAAATAATTACAGGGGCGGGGTGATTATCCAAGAGCACACCAATACGGTGTGCGTCCCGGTGTACGCGAAACCTCCCTTGGCATTTTTGTTGGGCATGTTTTGCGCGATGCCGATCGCGCTGTGGGAAGCAAAGAGGAAAGTGAGGCTCGACTCGAGGATTTATGGTGGGTTGGATTCGTCTTCGTCTTTGTCGTCTTCGCCCGCGGGGTCGGAGGGGGAAGCTTCGAGGGGCCCTCAACCGCCCAAAGCGACTACTCCTTCTTCAGCTTCGTCTGCGCCGACGGGACCAGGCAAGCGCGCTTTGAAAGCATCGACGGTAGCCGCGCTGGCGCGCGTGAACCCTGAGATGTATCTGCCTACGCCAAAGGAGAGAAGTTACGGGCATCAAGCGTCGTCGTCAGACGTGGCGAGCGGTGAAGGAATGTCGATGGAAAGAAAAGGAGGGAGAGAGAGTAAGGTGACGTTTTCGAGAATGGTGGATGGCGCGCGGTCGATGATTGCATTCGCGGCGACATCGACGATGGACATGGCGGTTTCTACCTTACCGACGGTGGTTATAGAAAACGATGTGAGTGGCGATGACGATCTCGACATTATGCGTTTACGCAAAACTAATGATAGCACTAGCAGCAGCACTAGCAGGACGCTTATCGCCGCGAGATGGAGTCCACCAGAGCATGATCCGTCTGCGACGATTTTAGTTGGCGGAAATATAGAACAACTTGGCGGTTGGACGCCGGAGAACTGCGTCCATATGAAAAGCATAGGCGGGAACAAATGGATCGCGGATATCGGTCACATCACCGCGGCTACCGAAGTTGAGTTCAAATTCGTCGTCGAAAGCAAGACATTCGGACGTCGCGCGGAAACGGGCGAGGTGAGAAAGTTCAACGTCCCAGTATTGCGCGCGGGCGAAACGAAGTATACTCACGTAGCGAGACAAGCGCCGAGATGGTAAAAAGTGTTCAAGAATATGATATTAAATAGAAAAATAATTTACAAGATGCTACAGAAAAATACTTTGTAGCGACTTTAATTTCGACCTTGCCTCTTTGGATACCTTCCTCTCGTCTTAGGTTGCGTGCTTTTCCTCCTCGTCGCTTTGCTGTCAGCGGCGCTTTGTTCTTGCAACGATAGATTCATAAGTTCTTCGTATCCCAAACGTCTATTCACCCCTCCGGTACTGTAGTCACCATCGCCCGATTTCACCCTCCTTTCCATACCGATAAATACGGAACATTTATCGCGATCCTCGTTTCTACCGCTACTTTTATTACTGCTGCTACTATTCATGGCGGGCGTGCCGCCCGCCGTTTCGGGCAAAATGGTGTTCTCTGGAGGAATATACGGCGCTACGACGACGTTTCCCGCACCCGCCATCGGCGCGTTCTCAAATATACCAGCCGCTGTGTTGTTATAAAACCCATTTGGAAAGCGAGCAAAACACCCTACTTTTATGGGTACGCCTTTCCCGTTGAACGGCGTGAGAATCGAAGCGCACGACCCAAAACTCCCCACGTCGCACACCGTCGATACGGTGGTCGTCGAGAATTCCCCTTCTACTACTTCTTCTCTCGCGTTCTCGTTCTCATCGCCGAGGAGCGCGCGAGCGTTTATTGACGCAGAAATTAAATCTTCGCGCCATGCCGGGACAGCTAACGTCCCTCGTCGCATTCTTGGACCAAGAAACTTGCGAATATCATACACGCACACGCCTTCGTACCCGCTCTCGGAATGAAAAATCAAGCGCTCGTCTTCTAAATGTAAGCAGGTTTTTTGCTCCGAGATGTAATTGTTCACAATTTTGTTGTTTCCACGACCCTCTTGTTCGTACCACGGCGGCGCGAACGTTGCGATTGGAATATTTGATTGCGTTTTCGATCGCCGGTCGACTAGCACGACGAGCCCTCCTTCCATTGCTGCAGTAACGACTGGCCCTCTCGCTGCGATCGCTTTTATTTTTCTCATGTAGTCTTCCCCTACTCCGTAATCGTTCAACATCGTCTCTTTCACTTCGTTCCGATTGAAATCGATGCCACGAACCCCCAAACTCGTACCAAACCAAATGACTGAGTCCCAAACCGCTTCTTTACTAATGCACGTTGCGCCCAAAATTTCACCTTCGCTTTCTAACGGGACGTACCAACGCGAGTTTGCGTCTCGCTCTTTTGCGGTGCGTAAATCCATGATTACATTTTCCGCAAAATCAGATGACGAATACGCGCTCGCATCTCGAGCCAAATCGTGAATCTTTGCCGTGCAACTCTTCTCGCAACAGGCAACGATAGAATCCGCGTGTAATGCCAGTAACGACGAATTCGCGTCTCGTTTGGTGACCATCGGTCTGTGAATAGACGGCGAACCGTCCAACGAAGACCACGAACGCAGTCGACCGGAATTTTCAGAAACAGCGACAAAGTTATCGGTCAAACACATGTCTCGAATGTTGCTATCTTTTGCCTCTAACGTTTGGATCCTGCCGCCCGCGACGTTATACTTCGCGTCGCCGAGACCGTTGTACCAAAATTTCACGGAGGATGTATTATAACTCGCCACGGTTTGTTGGTCGCATATTAATCCGCGAACAAACGAGGGACCGACGTTTGCGAACAACGGCTCGACCATTTTGCGACGCAAATCTTTTTCGGTTTCGCCGTTCCAAGAAACCCACGGCTCTGTGGCGAGATAGGAGTCTCGCACCGTTCGCCACACGTTTGAGTTTGGAGCTCTGACACTTCTGCGGGAGGATTTCGTCGCAGTAGACGAAGAAGACGAAGACTCCTCCGAAGCTACTAAACACGCCGAGGAGCGGTAGAATAGCTTTTCAAACAGCGCGTTTCGAGTCTCTTCGGCTCGCGCGATGTTGTATAACATTTTACACGCGCTTCCAAACACAACGGTTTCGCGGGGAGAGAGTTTTGCAAACACGAGGCGCCATATATCTATCGGGAACACATCGTGCGGCGAGACGTCTTCTTTGGTGTTGTTATTGACGAGGTGGTGACGATTCTTTTTTTCGGCACTCTTCTCTTTCTCCATCTCGTCTTCGTCGACGTCGTCATCGAGGTTGGCATCGAAAACTCCCAAGTCCTCGTCGCCGCCGCCGCCGTCGTCGTCGTCGTTATTGTTGATATTGAGACTCTTACTTTCGTTTTCAGCTTTAGCAGCCGCCGAGGCGTCAAAGTTCACATCCCAAAGCACCTCAACCCCGCCTCTACATCCGCTGTTATTCCTCTCCACTCTTCGCACCGCGTGATAAGGCGCGTTCGGCGTCTCGAGAAATTCCGACAATTGCACCGTCTTTGTTGATTTCTTCCCGATCTCGCACGACACAAACACGCGATCCATCGAACTTTTATCCAAGGTTTCAAACTCCAGTTTACCGAACAACCGTCTCAACTCTTTCCGATTTTGTTTATATTTCGTCGGGGAGAGTAAGTTATGCGGCCGACTTTCATCCAACGAAGACGACGCGTACCTTTCGAACGCGACTTCTTTATCGCTTTCGTAACTATTAAAACCTGCTGGATACAGCGGTGGAAGCGACAAAGGAGACCCCGAGAAAAGAAGACGGTTACCCATGCGAGGCGACGCCGAGCTCGGCGAGAACGCGTACTCAGACATCATCGGTATCGGTATCGTCGCGGAGTTAAAAAATGCCTCCTCTTCCTCCACCTGCGACGTCGTCGTCGCGCTATTCCTCCTCTCTCGCCTCTCCAACCGTTTCGTTTCTCTCTCCAACATCTGCCGTTTCTTCAACTCTTTCGCTCGTTTCTTCAACTCTTTCCCACTCATGCCGTGACGATACGCGTAGTTTATTATCTTCTCCGGCGGGGATGAAGAAACATTGACTTTCCCCGGAGCAGCGTTGTTAGTATTAGTAGTATCATTCTTGGTATTAGTAGTGGTAGTATTCGTCTCCTCTTCTTCTCCGCCGTCCTCCCCGCCCGCGTTCTTAAAACGATGCATTTATTCTTTCCCGTTAGGGGAAAACCTCAGACGACAACAAACGGTAAACAAAGAGGCTCAAACGACGCTCTTTTAATCGCGCATCGTCACCAAAAACACAAAGCAACAGAGCAGTAAACGGTGTTCTCGTCGAGAAATCGCTCCAGAGAGAAAAGAGAGAGAGAGAGAAAGGAAAGATACCCAAAAGAGGGCGTTCGAGATGTGATGAATTTGAATATTCTTTTCCTGATGTCTCTTTCCGATAACGGTTTCAAACGCTAAAAATTGTACTAACTACCACACGCGCGATGTGCTCTCTCCCTCTCTCTCTCTCTCTCTCTTTTCTCTCGCAACATTGATTAAACTACTCTTTGGTCAGCGGCTCTAACTTCCCGCACAAATTTTCCACTCTCGCGACTAAGCCTTTCCTCATCGCTCGGATATCGGTAAACCCGTAGGATTCGACGGCGTCGGCGCGTAACAAACTCTTTTCCAACAAGTGCGCGGCTTCTCGAGCGTTTTTTAAGGTGGTTTTTCGCAAATCGTCGGAGATTAAAGACGGGTCGTTTTTGTGGACGTCGAGAATGTCGTCGACTCGGAATTTGATGGCGTCGACGTCGGCGATGATCTTTTGGAGCTCGTCCGAGGCTCCGCGGCGTTTGGCGAGGTCGTCCATTTCGGGAGGAGGAGGAGGAGGAGGAGGAGCGCGTCGGCGGGAGTCGTTTTGGTAGTCGTTCTGATGATGCTGGTTTCTTCTCTCGGCAGAGTTGGTGTAGTTACTGTTGCGCGCGTCGTCGTCGCTGCTGCCGTCTAGTACTATTGGAGAAGATTCGCGTTGGTGTTGTTGATGTTGCGGATGTTGACGATACGGATTTTCTTCCGCAGGCGGGAAAGGTTGCCTTTGCGACGAAGACGAAGTCCCGTACCCGTACCGACTCGTATCCTGCCTCTCCATCGTCGCTTGGCCACTAAACCCACCATTATTATTCGTAGTATTCTCAGGAGAATAACTATTCTTCGCCTTGATCCTTTCAATCTCCCTCCTCGCTTCCGCTCTCGCGTCCGCCTCTTTCTCGTAAAACTGCTCTCGTTTCTCCCTTCGAATCGCATCTAATTCGTCCGCAACTTTTCGTCTCCTACACGCGTCGTTTTCCCACAAACTGATTCCAGTGCACGATCCCGTTATCCCGCACTCTTTCAAGGTCGTGTTCGGGTCGGAGGTTGGTAGGATTTTCCCTTTATATCGCACATCGTAATCCGATTCGTTCAGTTGCGCTTCTTTGCACAAAAGCATTTTCAACACGAACGTCGGGGTGGATGTGCGCGCGATTAACTCAATCTTATTATCGTTATTACGATTTGAAGAAGAAGAACTAGTCATGCCGACGGTGGCGGTGACGATAAACGGCTTTTCGTGCTCTCCTTCCTCCGTTCGAGAAGGAGGAGAGTTCATCTTTGCGCTCATCTTTTCTCCTTTGTTTTTTGAAGCATTTCGTCTCAAAGAAGCTTCGATCATAGGCGAGATGCGCAAAGCGTCGATTAATGTTTCGAGCGAGCGAGCATCTCTCTCTATATATATATATAATTATATTACATGCATACTGGTACTGTTATCTCTCTTTCTACTATTTCACGTAGCTTTTTCTACATCGTTGCTTTCTCACGTATTACATACGCGCCGCGGAGACGTCTCGCTTTCGTCTCTCTCTCTAACTACCGCATCCAAGGCGACTGGCTTCGGCTTCCTTCTTTTGGTTTGTTCACGGAGATTGGTGTCGTTCTTCCGCTCGTGTTGGCGCTGCTCGAGGCGGCGGCGTCGCTGGTGGTGTTGTTGCTGTTGGGACGAGGCGGTGGGGTTCGTTGTTGAAACCTTTGTCTGATGGCGTCGTCTTCTTCGTCGCGAGAGGAAGATAAACTACTGCTCTTCGAAGAAGACCGATTGTCGTTCTCAAAGGTGGAGTTGATGGTGGTATCGTTATTCAAACCGTCCAGAGCGGTTTCTTCGTCGGAGTCGAACGAAAGTTCCTCGTCCCCGCCGTCGTTTTTGTTGTTGTTGTTGTTGTTGCCGTTGTTGTTCTTCTTGGTGCTTTTGCTGTTCCTATTCGTATTAGTATTATTATTATTATTCATGTTCATATTCCTCGTCGCGGCGGTAAGTTTTCTCAAATCGTCGTCGTCCTCCTCATCATCATCATCACCATCAAACCTTTCGTTTTCATCTATGCTCATCTTACTCCCAAAATACGCCAATTGAGTGGGCGAAACGTACGTGAATCCGAGAAAATGGTGTTGCTCCGCCGAGCTCGGACTCGCCGCCGCGGATTCGGCTTCGGCGTGGACTTTCGCGTCCGTCCACTTCTTATCAAAGTGTGCCACGCACCCGTCCCCTTTATCTTGGTCAATTTTCGGCACGAATGGTGCCGGGACTTCTCGTTTTTCGAGCTTCGCCCAGTTGATTTTCGAAAAAAACTTGTGTTTCTTCACCTCCTCGGTGCCGTTTTTAGACGTCGAATCTTTCTTCAGATTCACGTCGCTTCCTAAACGTAAATTCGGATCTTTCATGGTTAAATTCTGAATCAATTTCGCCGCGTCGTTTTCCACGAACGTCGGCATTTTAATCTTTTGCGACGTGATCGCCTTTTGTATCGCCGCTTTATTTTTTCCTCGAAAAGGTAACTGCCCAATCAACATCTCGTACAACAAAACGCCGACGGACCACCAATCCGCCTCTTTCCCGTGACCTTTATCTTTCAAAATTTCCGGCGCCATGTAATCGATGCTCCCAACCAACGAGTTCGCTTTCTCGCCGTCGCTGCTAAACTTCTTCGCTAAACCAAAATCGGTAATTCTCACGTGTCCTTCCCTATCGACTAAAATATTCTCCGGTTTCAAATCTCTGTGCATGATGTTCAGCGAGTGCAAATGTCCAATCCCGCAGACGATTTCCGCGATGTAAAATCTCGTCAATCCAACGTCAAACATCCCTTCTCGATACATCCAATAAAACAAGTGCCCACCGTTGATAAAATCTAAAACTAAATACAACTTCGTCGCGGTTTGGAAACTAAATCGTAACTTTACCACGTACGGGTGCGTGATGCTCGTCAAAATGTCCCTCTCTTGCTTCGTATATTCCATCTGCTCTTTCGCAATCACCACCTCTTTCTTCATCACTTTCATCGCGTACAGAACCCCGGTATCTTTCTTCCTCACTTGAAACACTTTCCCGAACGCGCCTTGGCCGACGAGATACAACGCCTCGAAATCCTCCGGCGTCAACTTTTTCATCGTCGTCTGCGTTTTCCCGTCCTTGGCGGTAGTACTGCTCTCTTCCAATCTCGCGTCCGGATCGTCCTCTGGCCTGCACATCACCGTGTTCGCTAACAACGTCGAATCTACGCGTCGTAAATTCGAGGTCAATGCGCTCGTCTGTTTGTTATTAAATTTGTTCATCGTCGTATTCGTCGCGTTTTGTGGCACGTCCGAATCGGACGAATAATAATAGTTTTGCGTTTGCTTCGACACCTCCTGCTGGCGGCTTACATTCGTTTTTTTATTCTCGGTCGTCGCAGAAGTCGTAAAACTCTCCTGTCGCATGAGTTTGTTCAGCTCTTTCTTCACCTCTTTGTCAGTCGTCGGCAGCGGCGGAAGTCCCGCCATCATCCACTGTTTCGCGTTTTCCGACGCGTCTTCAATAAAAACAGTTTTCGCCGCCGCCCCCACTTCTTTGGATGATGATTTCTCGTCTTTGTCTTCTTCGTCTTCTTCTCCTCTCGAATCAGCGGTAACTCCTCCCGATGGTGGTGAAAGTGGTGGTTGCTGAAACCCAGAGACTCTTTTCAAAGACGACGACGCCATGTCGATGACTTCTTCCGGTAAAGAATAAAGCGCTTTCTCTTGAAAGGAGAATATACTTGCGTCTGATTGTGAGAAATGTCGAGAAAAAATGGAGGAAAATTTCTTCGATGTTTCTCTCTTTAAATTGTATTACAAGGGCGCGGCAAGCTTTAAGACTGCGTGCAATTATTCTGATTCTGATTCTGATTCTGAATAGTCTGGCACGTGGAGCTCTCCGTTCGCGTACGACCAACCTTCTGGGAGAGGACAGTTGTTGTCGAGGCAGTATTGTACACATTCGGGGTGGTTGTTCCGATGTGCTTCTCGTACGGCCAAAGAGTTCCACGGCGCTTTGGCGGTTTCGTGCAAGTACTTCAAACAATCCAAGTGGCCGTTCTTGGCCGCCCACTGACACGCCCGTTCGTTATATCTATCATACTTACGCTCAACAAGATATTCGAGTATGTGGAGATGACCCTCTTGAGCCGCCCAAGCGGCAGTATTCCCATCCCAAGGCGCTTTGCCTTCTTCGCGTAAGTATTTGAGTACCTCGAGATGACCGTTTCCGGCAGCCTCTGCACACGCATACTTATCGATAGGACACTTATTTGCAACGCAATACTTTACCATTTCCATATTGCCTTGTTTTGCGGCCGCTTCAATCATCCTTCCATCCAACTTACACTTTTTCTCCTCTCGCGCCCACTTGAGCAACTCGAGTTTATTCGTTCCAGCAACTTGCCAGCAGAAATATATTTCATCTATCCAGTCTCTCGGCCACAACGATTTATTCTCCCACGCTACTTCCAAAGTCGATATCGACGACATCTCTTCTATATTAAACTTCTTCTTCAAATCTTCCGCGCGAGACGATCTCTTAATCAACTTTCTCGTTTCACCATTCACTCCATACAAGAATTTCACGTCAGTCGAATTCAATCTCGGAAGAATGTGTTTGAAACAAATATCGTCGTTCTTCACGACCAAATCCCACAAAGAATCTCTCTCCCCCATCCGCCTCTTTTGCGCTCTCGTCCTCACTCCCAGAGCATACGTAGCAGCAGCAGAAGAAGAAGACATGAGACGCTTTCGCGTCGTTTTGTGCTCTGAATACTCAATCGCGCTTCTTCTTTAAACGCGCGAATAAATGTAAATGTGATTTCTTTTTTTTTTTTAGGAAAAAAAAAAAGTGAACGTTTTTTCCTTTTTTTTGTCTCGTGACAAGAGCAGATTTTTCCTCCTCAGAATAACTTGACAAGTCTTTCTCTCTGCTTCTTATCGATTCAAGATTGAAGAGATCACGCACCGCAAACTTTGAGCCTCCTCGCAGGTTTTGTTGAAAACGAGAACGCGACTAAACGAGAACCAAAAGAAAGCTCACTGTGACTGCAGAGAACTGGCGCGAAACTATGTCCTCCTCCTTTACTCTCGCGTCGACTTCTTCTTCGCAAAATGGATTGGGGAAAACGTCAATGTCGTCCAAATCTTTACGAAGAATCAGCCGGCGGCGACTTTTATCGTCGTCATCTTTTGATACCTCCTCCGCGACCACGGAGAAGAACAACATCAACGACACGAAAACGAAAACGAGAGGGAGCAGACGCGCGACAAAAACTGCCGCCGCTGCTGCTTCAGGAGGGGCGGCGACGGCGAAAGCATCGAAGTCTTCTTCTTCCCTGAAGAAAAGAGATAACGAGTGGATACTGCAGGCGAGGGATGCCTGCGTGTCGTCTGAATCGTCGTCTGAATCGTGGGTCGAACGCATGCGCTCGAGTGCGTCGAAACAACTCTCGGAATCGAAAACGCCGACGAACAGGGACGAGTCGTGGCGTTTTTTTGACGTTTCGGAGATTACGAGTGCGACGTTGGTGAGAGAAGATGATAGCGAGGCGGATGTAGAGGAGGACATGAAAGCGTTCTTGGCGGATGTTCCGGAAGGAGCGAAAGTCGTCGCATTCGTCAACGGCCGGTTTTCCGAGAAGTGGTCTTCAATCGACGAGGACGACAAAAATGGGGTTTCAATTTCGAGGACGATAAGCGGTGACATCGCGACTGCGATTGGGACGTACGACGAAGACGAGGAGGTTGAGGGACAAGGCGCGATTTTCGCGAGAATCAACAAGAGCTGCGCGAGGAGCGATAACGTCGCGTGCATCACGGTGAAGAGTGAGAACGTGGAGAATATCGTGTATATTATCCACGCGAGGAGGAGTTCGAAAGATAGAAAAGATGGGGAATTGGCGACGGGTGCGAACGCGAGAGTGTTCATCGACGCGCTCGCGAAGAGTTCGGTGAGCGTGGTTGAGAAGTACGCCACCGTCGGCGGCTCCGGGAAAAAACACGATTCTCGGTACTGGGCGAACGACGTCGTCGAGATACATTTGGCAGAAAACGCGCGCGTGTTTCACTCGCTCTCGCAAGACCACGGTCGAGAAGCCGTACACACTCGCGCGACGTACGTCCGACAAAACGAGTCTTCGATGTACGAGATTAACGAAGTCAACGTCGGGGCGAAGTTACACCGACACGATTTAAGAGTGAAACAACTCGGGAAGAAAACAGACACGAAACTGAACTGCTTCAACTTAGCCGGCTCGAAACAAACGCAAGATTTACATTCAGCGATTATTCTCGATTTCGAGGAAGGCACGACGGATCAACGACACAGATGCATCGTCTCCTCGTCCTCGGGTAAAGGCGTTTTCGACGGCAACGTGAGAGTGAACAAACTCGCGCAACGAACCGACGCGAAACAAATCACGAGAAACTTATTGTTAGTGCCGAAAGCGACGGTGAACGCCAGACCGAATTTACAGATCATTGCGGATGACGTCAAGTGCACGCACGGATGCACCGTTTCCGATTTGGAAGAGGAGGAGTTGTTTTACATCCAAAGCCGAGGTTTGACGAAAGAAATCGCGAGGTCTCTCTTAGTCAGCGGGTTCGGCACGGAGATCATTTCCGGAATGAAAGGCGGGGAAAAGTTCAAAGAATACGTACGAGAGACCGTGAAAAGCGCGCTGAGTAAAGATGCGGTCGAGCTTTTAGTCGCTTAAATGCACATACATAACGGACTGATGATTACTTGTTATTTATATATTATACTTTTGTATGTGTTTTGTGATTAAAAATGTACTCGTGTTTATTTCTGCGCATCCGAAGAAGAAGAGATTTACAAAATCATCTCCCTCCCTTTCGCGTGCAACATCTTGCACATCTCGTTATACGCGAACAAATCCACGCTCTCGCCAAAACTCGCCACGTTCGTCGCTTTAATCTCCTGCGGACCAGTCACCACGCCTTCGACTTCGATAAACCGACTCCGCGGCGCCGCGCCCAAAGACTGGTCCAAGTGCGCGGTCACTTCCATCCCGTCCGCGGCTTTCCCTTTGAGCACAGAACCACCTTCACTGTTGCTCGTCGTTTCCAACACTAACTGTACGGTCTTCCCGGAAAATAAACCCATCTGTTCGCCGTTGACTTTCGGTTTTGGCGCCGAGATGTCGATGTTCGTCGTCGTCATAGTGTTGTTGTCTTTCTGTGCTTTTTCTGGTCTGGAGCGGAGAGAAAAGAGGGAGAAATTTTAAAAAAATGAGTAAAAATCAAAGAGAGCCTTCTTCTTTCTCTCGATCGTCTTTACGTCGCAGTAGTTCCTTCGGGTCGCCTCTCTCCTCTGCAGTTCGCTTCCTCTCGCGAAAGGAACGCGCCTCGTTCTCTCTTTCTCTCTCTCCGCTTTTACTAAGCGCAACGCAGAGAGAGAGAGAGAATGAGATCACATTCAAGGGGAGATTTTCGGCACCCACATTTTCAAAATGTGTCTTGTGAGAAAAGATGATGATGATGACGATGATGGACGCTCACTTCTCGCAGAAAGAAGAAACAAAACGAAAGATCAAAACGAGGAGAAAGAGAGCGAAAGAAACGCGTAAACGCGACGTAAAAGAAGAAAAGAGTGGTGTGCTTTTATCTCTCTACTATTCGTACCTTTTTTATGAGACATTTTGAACGAAATTTCGGGAGAAAAACGCGAGACAGTTGGTTGCACGAAGATGAAGAGTTGTTTACTGTTGCGAGATCGAATCAAGAGCGCCGCGTGTGCGTCCTCTTCTCGCAGCGTCGCATCGCGTAAAAGTCTTTGTTTTTGCTTTCGATCAGGAGGGTATTCCTCCTTCTTTTCCTCGGCCGAGTCCTCCTTCGTGGATGCCGACACCTCCGAGTTGAAGAAGAAAAAAGTGTTCGAGAAACCTCCGCTCCCTCCGTCCCTTCTGCGCTGCAAACACATCATCGCCGTGGCCTCGGGGAAAGGCGGGGTCGGGAAATCGACGACCGCGGTAAATCTCGCCATCGCCTCCGCGAAGTGTGGGTTAAAAGTCGCCCTGTTAGACGCGGATATTTTCGGGCCGTCGATTCCGTTGTTGATGAATTTGCGCGATTTGCAACCGAAAGTGGTGACGGAACGAGACGGATCGAAACGGATGCTCCCGTTGGAAAATTTCAACGTCAAGTGCCAATCGATGGGATTTTTACTCCCACGCGACCAGGCGGCGGTGTGGAGAGGTCCCATGGTCATGGGGGCACTGAGTAAGCTGATTCAAGAGACAAAGTGGGGGAGCGACTTGGACGTGTTGTTCGTAGACATGCCGCCGGGGACGGGAGACGCGCACATCACGGTGGCGCAGAAAGTACCGATATCCGGGGTTATCGTCGTGTCCACTCCGAACGAGTTGAGTTTAATCGACGCGAGACGAGCGGTGGATATGTACGCGAAAGTAGACGCGAAAATCTTAGGCGTGGTGGAGAATATGAGTTATTTTAGCGCGGACGGCGGGAAAACGAAACATTTTCCCTTCGGCGAACGCGGCGGAAGCGAGTTCGCGAAACAGTTAGGCGTGGACGTTTTAGCCGAGGTGCCGATTTTGGAAGGCGTCAGTCGAGGCGGTGATATCGGGAGGCCAGTGGCGGCGAGTTTAACCATGACGACGACGACGGAAGATGACGAAGAACAACAACAACGGGAGAATGTGACATTAGAAGGAGAGATTTATAGAACGATAGCGAAGAAAATTTTCAATTTGAAGTGAGAAAAAAGTACGCACTTTATAAAAGAATGTCATCATCATCATCATCGATCGCGTATCGCCTGGCAAACTACGCCGTCCCTTTCGACGTGAATGAAATCATTCATTTGCTCGATTTGCACGCGAAAGAGATATCGTCGTCGTCGTTTACGTCGTCGCCAAACCCGTCGTTATCCAAAACAAAACTCCAAAAACAGTTGCAATTGCTTGCGTCGAACGGGCACATGTTTTCGATACTGGCCATTCAAAATCAATCCGGCGCGTGCGTGGGAATTCAAAACTGCTTCGTGGGTTTCAGTGCAATCGATTGTTGTCCAGTTTTAGAGGTTTTAGAGACGTACGTGTTGCCGAGTTTGCGAGGGACTGATTTGGAGGTGGAAGAGCATTTGTTAGAGAAAAGCGAAGAGGAAGCGAAGCGGAGAAAATGTTGTAAGATTGTGATGATGGAGAAAATACCGAGGGAAATGCCGTACGTGAAACTTTTAGAGGTGGTTAGCGAAGAAGGAGACGATGGAGTGGTAGAAGATGAGAGGAAGAAGTGTTCGGCGTGTTCTACGCTGACGGAGACGTTGTCGCAATCGACGATGATGGCGAGTTGGCAAATTTGTAACTCGTGCGTCGCAAAAGAGCAGGCGGCTTCGGCGTACGATGTTAGGTATAGTGGACGATAGAGAGAGAGGAAGGAAGATGCGCTGTGTTACATTTATTAAAGTATCTGTACATTCTAATCACTTATTCATATAAGTTTTCTTCGTCGTCGTCGTCTAACCCGCGAGCCCTCGCGCACGTTTAATAATTTTATTCAAATCTCGTCTTCATCAAAATCCGCTAACGGTTCAAAGTATCCATCTGGTCTCGAACCGCCGCCGCCGCCAAACCGTCTAAAGCCACCACCACCACCGCCTGATGATGATCCCATGTTACTCCGCATTCTTCTCAACCAATCCATGACGCTTTCAAAGAATTCATTCACCGCGTCTCGGAACCCGTGCGGTACGTAGCGGCCTAAATCAAAGTATTTATACACCACATAAAAAGCTCCGCCAAAGAGACAAAAGATGATAAATCCAAACAGAGGATGCTTCGTGCTGTGCTTTTTCCCTTTCTTGTGGCCTAAATCGTCGTATTCTGCGCCGAGCGCGTTTAACGGGTTGTTACAAACGTCTCCGTGAACGATCCGTTCGTGAGATTTCGGAATCGATCCTTTATCTATCAAGTACGCGCACTCTTCGATGTTCACATTCGGCATCGGATCGCACCCTGAAATAGCCGAGGGCGACGAGTGAACTCTGTAATACCCGTATTCACACGACGTGTCAAACATGTGCTCGCACTCGCACACGTGAGATTGCGAAACGGTATCTTGGAGTTCCGACACGACGCCGTCTTCAAGGTTCAAACACCTCGCGTACCGTTTCCGGCGTCGTCTTTCAACTTTCTCGCCCATGTTGCACTCCTTTTGGTTTGGAATATTCAGAAACCACGTCTCGTAATCGTTCTTCTCGTCGCACTTATCGACTCGAAACGTCGAGTTGCTGAGCAATAAGTTATCGAAATCGATGACGTACGCGATGCCGGAGGCTTGGTACGATTCCGATTTCGTCGCATCTTCGCCGTGGATAACAAACACCGATCCTTTCTGAACGACATCCGTGCGAATGTTGTGGACGTTGATCGGTTTACTCAACTTGATTGGGCCTTCCCAGCACTTCCCGACGTCTCGCGAAAACCAAACCTCGTCGGTTTGCCCCACGCTCGATTCTTTCGCCGCGACGATTAAAGCACCAAAGTTACCAAACTCGTAAATGTGCGGTCCTTGTAACGTCTCTTCCCACGTGTACCCACCATCGCGAGAGATGTACGTGTTCACTTCGCTCGCTTCTTTCGATAACACGTTCCCGACATTTCCTGTCGATATGATGACACCCGGCGTGGATTGGTGCGAATACACCGCGCCGAACCGCGTTTCCCAATTTTCACCTCCAGACCACGCGCTTTCGCCGTGCAAGTGTAAGCTACACACTGTTTTCGAGTCGTCCGTAACCGTGCACCCTTGAATATCGTTTCCGTTCGCATCTTTCTTCGGAGCGGGAATGTATCGCCACACGCCTCCTCCGTTGAACGATTGCAAGGTTTGGTAATAACTACTATAGTCCACGTCGTAATAATTATACGTACTTTTAAACGCATCTCTGCTTACTTGGTTTGCAATGAACACGCCATTCATGCCTGCAACGCCGCTGAAATCCGCCACGCCTCGTTCGCGCACGTTTCTACGAAGCGATAGGGAAAATAGTCGCAACGAATCATCCGCGGCGTACAAGTTCCCCATCGGCGCGGCGCCTTCAACCGCCGACGTTTCTTCCTCCGCGTGGTCGATGCTGATGAAATCCGGCCCTTTCTGAACCGCATCGAAATCGAATATCGTGAACGATTTCGCGCGAATATTTTCTGGAAAGCATATCGGATTAAACGTCTCGCCGCTATCTGTGGACACTTCCAACTGCACGTGGTCGTACCTCAACTCTTTTTCCTCTTCGTCCGAGATGTCTTTCGAATCTTCCAACATTTTCAAATACTTGTCGCAATCCTTCAAAGCAGCGACGTAGACGTCCTTATTTAACACCTCGAACACGTTCCCGCATGGAGTTTTATGCGCGTACCAATCTTTCCCCACAAAAAACGACGACGAGCGTATAAAAGTTACCGCGAAACTAAACCCGGGATGATGTCTCGATTTCCAAAAGTCCTCTTTACTCGTATACACGGTCGCCAAAACGCTCGCTTCGCTGTGCGTAGGATCTGGATCTGGTCCCCAGTCGAAATCCACAAAACTAACGATATCGTTATCGCTCGAATCCGTTAAATTCCTCCACTCTGTTCTCCCGAAATCCGTAGTCAACATCAAATCCTTCGCGCACGTCACCGTGTCGTCGTAATACGTCCTCTCGCACTCCGGTCGGCTCACCAATGCCAAAATGTACCCATCCCTATGCTCGCCGGGATGCATCACCATGCTTCCTACAATCCTATACCCTTGTTCGTACTTCCCACCGGTCGGACTTTTGAAACAATTGTTCGCGTCGTCGTCGTTGGCGCTTTCAAACCCGCACGGTTGTATCCAACTGTCGCCGAGATCTTTCGACGCCCAATGCCGATCTTTATTCCCTTGTAAAATCACTCGTTTCGTGTATAAATCATCGCTCGGAACTAAAATCCGGTCGACTATGAATCCTTTATCCTCTTGGAACCCTCTCAAAACCGCCGTCTCGTCCGCGAACGTCTTCCCGTTGTCCTTCGATTGGTATATTTGACCATTCGATAATTTCGCAATCACCCGTTCCGTTTTCTTCGTGTGATCATCTTTATTCGCGTAATCGTATCGAGCCAGCCATTCCATTTCCTCGATCGGTGACGGTTGGGTGATGGGTGAGAGCGTTTGGAACTCGTTTGATGTCGGACACTTCACGTCGTCATCTCCGTTGCAAAAGGATGATTTTTCGCTCGAGAAAACGAGCAGCCAAAGCGCAAACGTAACGAGAACGTTTTTTACTATTAAGCCTTTCGACGAGAACGAACGCGCATTTGGGGCAACGCGACGACGACGAGTAAAACGACGACGCGTAACGGTATTGTCGTTATTGTCGTCGTCGAGTCTTTCTCCCGATGATTGCATGTCGTGCGAGCGTGTTTTGCGTGTTTTGTAATGGAATAAAACTGAAGAGACGCAGACGAGCAAAAAGAGGTGCCTGAGGAGAGAAGAATATTTGGCAGATTGGCGCGGACGACTACACTACACGAATGACTACATAAACTAGTACGAGTACTACTACTGCTACTACTACTACTCTCGTTGCGCTTGGCTTTTGCAAAAGTTACTCCTTCTCGTGCGCGAACGGCGTGACGAGTTGCCAGAGCGCCTCGGACGCCGTTTCGGACCACGTTTCTCGATAGGACACCACGCGGAGACACGTCTCGTTCTCGTCCTCCTCTTCTCCACCCTTTCTCTCTCGCTCTTCTTCTTCTTCTTCCACATCGTCCACTCTCTCTCTCCGAAACTGAAATCGAGTTTCGCCTTGGATGTCGATTTTCGGTCGCCACGGCAATTGCAGGTTGCCGACCATTCGCCATTTGGCGACGACGACGTCCGCCGAGTCTTCGTCTTTCCCGCACTCGCGCAACTCGACCCTTTTCTTTCCTTCGGGCGCGATGCGTCTCAAACTCGGCTGTAAACTCTCCAAGTTATCTCTGAACGTCTCCAACCCGGTAAACGAGAGCGTCGGATCTGTAAAAACACATTTCAGCGAGAACAAATCGACGTCGATATCCCCGGTCCATAAATATTCCTTCACGCGAAACTCGTCCGCTATTCGACGCTCGAGCATTTCGACCGTCCTCGCTGGATTCCCATTCCGGAGTTTTTTCAACGAAGAAGGAGAAGAAGACAAAGACGATGATACGTCCTCCTCTCTCTTCTTCATCCTCTGCCTCAAGGTGTTGGCAACGGCCGTCATTCCGGAGACGATCGTTTTCACCGCAGAGGACGTTTCTGAATAGTCGGAATACTTCCCCGAGTTTGCGCGCACGAATCTCATCATCAAACGTTCTTTTTGTCGTCGTTTTACTCGCGAAACCACACAATTTCTTCGACCATTAAACGTGGCAGGATGTGCAGGCGCAGGAGCGCTTCGAAACGCGCGTTGGCTGCTCAGATGGCACGGTTTGCACAAAGGTATCATCGTTCTTTCTCGCGCTTCAAAGTAGGGGAATTTTGGGAAAAGTCAACGCAAATGTCTCCATTTTTGCGAACGCTTTTGCGCTATATAAGATACAAAAAGCAGCGCACGAATACTCATTCTCTCGACGAATAATGAGCGCAGCGGCAGCATCGGCATCGTCGTCGGTAAAACCACCATCGGCGGAACGGAAACAGTTCACCGAACTGCAACAAAAATACATCGACACCACGCAAAAGTTGAAGCAATTGCACTCGCAGTTTCAACAAAAATCCGTCGAGAAACAGCGAGCGTTACTGACCGCGAAAGAGTTATCCGTTTCGACGAATGAAGACGACGAAACGACTACGAATTTGTACAAACCCATCGGACGAGGGTTCGTGCTGAGATCGAGAGAACAGATCGAGAGAGAGCTCGCGCAAACGGTGAAAAAAGCGGAGAAGATGATGGACGATTGTCAAAACCAGAGGACGTTTTTAGAGGGGAAAATCGAGGAACTGGAGAGGAATTTGCGAGAACTTTTGCACGGGAACGAGGGGTTACAAAGAGAGTTGCACGAAGCTGGATTATTAGGAGGAGGAGGAATGATGTGAGCTTTGTTTTGATGCGAAAGTAGTAGTAGTAGTAGTGGTAGTAATGTGTGTGTGTTATTGGTTGTGCGATTAAAACACAAAGTATCTACGTGTAGAAATTTTTACGCTACGCTTCGCACTTCGTCTCTGTTGGATTCGAAGTATCTCGATCGGAGCGTTTCGACGTCGTCCGTGGCGTTCCATTCCGGGAGTTCGACGTGGCGTAAACCTCTTCGGTGTAAGTGTCGGTTGCGGAGTTTTAAGATTTGGAACCCGAATAAGCCGAGGAGGACGAGGCCGATTAAAGAGACGAAGAAGAGGAAGCCAAAAGATTTTTCAATCTTCGCGTCTTCTTTTTTGCTCTCGTTGTTCTCGTCGGCGGAGGCTGATTTTTCCACGTTTTCGCCATTTCCTTGACTTTCTTTGTTGCTACGCGTCGCCGTTGGGCTCTCTTTTTCGAGCGTACGAATCGTCCACCCGCCATCGGCTATTCTTTGAATCTCGGTGTTTCCCGCCGTGTTCGGTACGTTCGAGACGAGAATCGGGAAAGAGATTTGAGCGCTCTCTCCGCGCGGGTCAATCGCTTCGACTGTCACGTCGATCATTTTCTTCTGTTGTTGCGCATTTGTGTGAGTAACTTTTGTCGCGTCAAATAGAAACTCTCCCGTGTTGGTATCGATAGAAGCCGCTCGAACAGACCGAGCATTCACAACTCGAAACTTGATATCGTTGTCCGCCTTCTCCTCTGTCGTCGTCGTCGTCGCGTTTGATAACGACGCTCCAAAAGTAAACGACGCGATTTCGTTGGATGCCAAATCTAAAGCGATATCGACTTCCGGCGCGCGAGTAAACACGGGTGGATTTGCAAATTTTTCGCAACTCTCGCCTTCGTAGCATTCCTCGCACTCGCACTGAAATGTGTCTTTGGTACAAATACCTCTGCCGTTGCACGCGATGGAGAACGTGGGGTCTAGTCCGGGACATTTATTCAGAGTACAGTTATCAGACGGGTTGCCTAATCCAAACGCGCACGTCTCGCAATACGGAAGTTTGCAGATGTACGAAAACATTTCAAGAATCGTTCGCGACTTTGCCGCGTCATCTCGCAAAGCCGACTCTCTCGTGTATCTTTCTAACAAAGCATCGCCGGCGGCTTGTCCGATTGAAAACGTTGGAAGAGTGAGTGTAGATTCCGGGAAGCTGCGCCAATTATCAGCCGCGGGCGCAGGAATCCGACTTTCGTACGTGTCGACGTTGACGATCAACACGCCCACGCCTCCGGCGTCTTGACAATTCATTGTTTTTACGTCGAAAGCGCACCCACCTCTCACGACTACGCAGATTTTACCTTCTACGTCGTCGGAGATGTAGGCGTTGCAGCCTTCGCGATCCCATGCGTCAGGGACAATATCGTTCGATGCGATCGCTCTGCGCGGATCTGGAGATTGATATTCAAAGTTTGTTTCATTCGGAGTTGTTCCACTGTACTTCCGCACGTCGTTACGCAAGTAATAAAAGGGTAACGTGAACGAGGAGGGCCGAGATTTTGGGAACACTAGATTAGCAGATATAGATTCGACGCCCGCGGTACCGGTGCTTACACTCGCCATGTAGCATTCGCAATCCGCTCCATAATCGAGCTCATAAACGTCTAATATGACTGAATCGATGTTTCCTTTCTCTCCGTCTTTGACGTTAACACCGAGCGTTCCGCTCGGATATAAGCAACTATTACTATGATTCGTTGCGCTCTCGTTCGGAACGTCGCTTCCAAAAACAGTCAGTTTTGCAGCAATGCCATCTAATAAAGCGCTGTGTCCGAAATCTGACGCGACTATTGCAAAGTATTGTCCAACTGGCGCGGAGCTTTCTCCTCGAAGGTAATACCCCAACGTACCACCAACTTCGATGTTTGGAATAGTTTCAAACATATCCGCTTTCCATAAGCCGCGCTTGAAATCATACGACGGCACGACACCGCGCGATACGCCAAAGTAAAGTTCAGGTCCAGCGTTTGCAAACGCGGAATAGTCGTTTAATTTCTCGATATCGAGAGCAAATTTTTGATTCTGGCACCTGATTTCAAAAATAAACGCTACGGCTTCGCCCGAATCTAATCTGTTTTCATACGTTTTTATCTCACCGTTTTCAATCGAGATGAGTGGGATTTCGCATGCTTCGCCGATGAAGTCTTTTGAACACTCGCAAATACCTTTTACTTTGTCACAAACGCCGTTATTTCTACACTCCTTCTGACACCAACCGTACGAAGGAAGCGTTTGTATGGATACGCGATATATCAAGCTTTCTGAAGCTCCGATAGCGTCGTTGAACACGGTAAGAAACCACCAATCGACATTTTCCTCTTCCGCTTCATCGGCGCCGATACTCCATCCGCTCATGTTGTATCTTCTCGGAACGTCTGAAACCTTTACGCTGGCTTCGTGCTGCACGAGATACTTTTCTTCCTCGCCAAACGGATGGTTATCATCGTCGCCGCCGGCGTCGCCGCCGTCCTGAGTTTCGTTTGGTATTACTTTCGCTTCTGGTATTTTTCCCGAAGATTCGTCCCTGGTTTCGAGCGCATCAAATGCATCGTACGCGTCTCTGCAAAAGTTATCATCGCCGGCGTACAAATTCTCGTTGACCTCACCGGCATCGTCGTTCAAAAATCCACCGCGCAAGCCCGGGGGACAATAAATCGGAACCGCATTTCTTCGTAAGAACAAGCGTGGCGAAGATCCATGATGCAAAGCGTGGTCAAGCGTCGCTCGAACTATCGCTGTATCGCTCGTTACACGAAATTTATAAACATCGAACGCGCCTTCAGGTAACACTCGAACGTCGGTAACATTCTCAGAAATTACAAGAGACGTTCCGTTTTTTTCAATAACCGTATCTTCCAGCGTCAAGATCTCAATCGGGATCGAGCACGCCACGCCGGTGAGATTCAGAGGACAATCGCACACGCCGTTGACACATCGACCGATACCGCTGCAGTTCGCGACGCACAGCTTGGAAGAACCAATACCACCGCTTTCGTCGAGGAGCACGGATACCTTTACGTGCAAATCTTTCTCGCTTCCTTCAAATCGAGTGCCGCCGTTCGGCTCAATCGCCGTTTCTGATTGACGTACTCGTGCGCTTCTCACGCCAAAGCTCCACGTTTCGTTGGGAGAAACTGTGAAATTCGCGAATAAGTATTCCGGTACGATGCAATCTATCCTCGTACACTGTGTTTGCGCTATGGATTCAACGTCGTATCCGGTTCTCACGAACGCTCTCCATGTGACGACAATCTCGCCTGATACCCAATTCGCGTCTTCGAATGAGGTTTTGTCGTCTTCTAAAGCACCGTCAAAAACTCCCAAATCGTCGTCGTCGACGCTTTCGAACAACTCTATGCCAGCGTTTTTACCGTCTTGAATCAACCCGGGCGTTTTTAAACTTCCATCTATGACGAATTCTCTGCCACTCGCCGGCGTGAGCGAGGGACATTTCGAGTATGCGAAATAATTTCGCTCCTCGGAGGAATACGTCGCCAAGCACGCCTCAGAAAGATACGAAGGCGGTTTTGCGTGAATTCGCAAAGCTTTCCACGAGATATCGATTATCGACGCGTTTCGAGGGATGTTAAAATCGTCCTGAAAACTCAAAAATGAGTTTGCTTCATCTCCGATAGGTCCGGACGATACGAGCGTCGAATTGATCGTAAAAGTTGACGTATTAGTGAAATCGCTGTGGATGAACTTCACCGGAACGGGCGTTTCGAACGTAACTTTCGTGCTTTCATTATCGATAGGGGAGCCGTCCGCGAAAGTAAGGCCGGTGACTTTTTTGCCAAAGAGTTCAGGGATACCGTTGACGTCTTTGTAGTTTATAATTTGCACGGAGAGAATCGCGGATGCGCTCAAGGTGGTATTTTCGCTCTCCACGTAAAAGTACTCCCAATCGCCCGGACGGATTTTGCGTTCAAAGACGCTCTCTTCGTCGTTTGGTATTAATTTTGTGGCGTTATTTTGGCAGTAAAAACCAGCGTATCCCTTGAAACACACGCACATTCCTCTAAAGAAACCAGCGTTCACACATATGCCATGATTGCTGCAATTGAACGGGCACGTCGGAATTCTTTCATTCACGGCGGTGTACTCTTCGCGCTCGAAAGATACGCGAGCGTCGAATGACATTCTCTCGCCGGATATCGCGTGATGGTTGATCACAGTCACGTAGTATCCCGCCGAAACGTTTTGCGTCGTCGTGTTACTACTCCTCTCGAAAATGCTTTCAATTGGAATCTCCAAACGCGCGTAGTCGCTCGCCACGCTCGATAACGTGTTCACGAACTGAGAATTTTGCTGATTCGTCGCGCCTTCCGTATTCGCGGCGTAATCAGCGAAGTACCCAAACGAGCGACAACGCGTTTCACCGTGATATAATTCTTCGTTTGGCCACGCCGCGCAGATTATCATCCTATCCGATACGTTATCGGTGAACTCACTCGAAACGTTCATATCTCGGCGAACCAATACTGTACCTAACGCGGAAGGGTTGTTTTCGTGCGAGATTTCAATTTTTATCGCGTTAACACCTTCGGATTCGCTCGGACGTTCCGGAATTGAAATGTACATTTTAGCCGCGCCACCTCGATCGAGCGTTTCTGAGAAGGTATGCACGATACCATCGGGCTCAATTACTTTCATTCTGCTCTCGCAATACATCCCAGCGTACGGGCGTTCACAGAGGCACATTCCTGATGCAGAACATCTGCTGCGATTGTTATTGCAATCTGTTACGCACGAATCTTTAGTTTCGTTCGAAAGAACAACTTTGACGAGCGAGACGACGTCTTTCTTCGGTTCTTTGGATGCCGTGCTGGACCAAAATTGAATGCCTCCGCGTCCATCATCCATGCTCACTTCTTCAGGAATGAAATTTCGTAACTCGTGCGTTTTAAACGCCAAGGGAAGTGGCGGCGTTCGAACGTTGCATACGGCGATTATGAACCGGCTTTCACTCGAAACGTCGTCGATGCGCAGCGAATGAATCGGGCTTAAAATGCTGTACGATTTCACGTCGAACTGACTGTAATAGTTGAAAGTAGGAATCTGTGGAGCATTGATTGTGAACCGAGTCTCGTTCGTATCATTTTCTACCTCCCCTGGCGACGAAAGAAGCAAAGAGTAGTCTCTAAAAGCAATATTTTTATCACCAGCCGAAGCCAAAGAAACGCTCTCGTTCTTCTTCTTTGTCGTTTCATTCTCGTCGATCCATTCGCACCCATGCGGTTCTGTTTCGCAATACCCACTCGAAGGAACATAAAAGTTTGTTTTGTTTATATCCAAAGCGTCCGAAATGAACAGAGAAGGTCTCGTGTCGCCGTCAAGACCGTCCGGAAAGGTCGCCTCTACGCGCATAAAAGATCGCTCGTCGTCACCACTCGCACTCTCTTTTGGCACATCGACGTTCAAATACGCGCACTCCCCGGGTTCACTTCTCAACAACGAATATCCTTGGTACCTGCTCGTCTCGTTTTCCTTCATTCCCAGCACGAGTTGATGCACGACGATGGAACAGTCCGCCCCGGCTCTTCCTTTCGGACACTCGCAAACGTTCCGTTCCGTGCACACCCCGACCCGATCGCAATCGTTCAAACACTTCACCTCGTCCATCCTATCCGTGTAATAGTGCACCTTGAACCCTTTATCGCTGTTCAGTTTCAAACTCGTCCAGTTTAACGTCAACGACGACTGGTTTTCGAACACGATCGAGTGCGGAAAGATATCTCCCGAATACGTGGCCAGAATTTCTTCTTCTCCTTCATCGTACACTCGCAAAAAGTCTTCGCCTAACACGGAGTTGAAATACTCCAACGCGAGCGTAATTCTCGTCGTCGTCTTGAGTCCATCTTCTTCACCTTTACCACCAATCGTCCACGCGCACTCGTGCTCTTGCGGGAGATACGTTTTCCCCTCTGGACTTCCATCCGTGATCAACCCACTCGCGGAGGCTAAAAAAACAGCCCCAGTCTCGTTCTTCTGCTCCAAAGCGCACGACCCATCGAGCGCGAGCGCGACTTCAAAACAAAAACCACTCGCGAGCAGCCACAAGAACAACGACAACACCATCCATTTCCTTCCCCACTGTGTCGTCGTCGGCAGCGGCATCCGTAAACGTATCGAGTACAGCTGAAAAGGTTGTTGTCTGTTGTTGTTGTTGTTTTTAACGAGAAAAATGACGTCGCAGAAAGAGCAGCCACTCGTTCGTTCGTGTATTTTTTTCTTTCCAAGAGTCAAAATGTCTCGAGTTTTGGCTTCAGAGTGTTCGCCTCTAAAAAAGTGAGATGTCCACGGCAAGGATCGTTCCAAAACCGTCTCCGGCTGGAGACGAGGAGACCGTTTGGAGACCAAACTTCAGGTGCGAGGACAGCATTTGTTGTTGGTGTTGTTATGAGTAGTAGTAGTCGTCTCGCCGTCGTTTACGTCGTGTTTCTTCTCTTTTGCGATGGAGATTGTTTACTTTTGGATGATTTCCATTTTTGCCGCGCATTTCTGTTCTCTACATTTTATGAGTACGAGTTTACTCACACGATTTCTCTCTCCCTCCCTCTCTCTTTTGGGACGATATCGGAAACGTAACAACAGTGGAACGTGGGAAACGTCCGTGGTGCACAACTACCGGAACTTTGTCCGCCACTGTGGCGTGGCGTTCGCGCGGTCGAAATTAGATGCACGCGTGGTGAGCGAAGCTTCGAAAACGGTGGTGGATACGTGCGAGATACGGTCGATTTCGCACAGAGAGAACACGTTAGCGGACGTTTTGGTGAGCGAGAATGGGGTTTCGCTGACGAATATAACGGAGATTGGGAAGCGACGAGTGATTGTATACCCGGACGGGGCGACGAGCACGGTGGAGAGTCGATGGGACGGCGACGTGTGGGTGGAGGCGGACGAGTTGAACTTGTTGGAGACCAGACGGTGGTTGGAGAAAGGTTTTTTGATTATAGCGAGAACGATTAGCACGGAAAGTGGCGAGCAAGTGACGTCGACGTCGTATTTTGAGCCGTGGAGTAACGCGAAAAGGAGGAGTAAGAGAAGGAGCGGGATGAAGAGAAGGTTGGATTCGATGGTTGAGTTGGCGAGGGCAAATTCGAGAGGCGATTTGGCGAGCATGTTCAATAACGAAGACGACAACTACGGGAACGAAGATCCTCGAGGTGGTAATAGGATGTTGCCGTCGACGTCGGAGGACGGGGAGTCGATGACGAGCATGGGTAGCGAACGAACGAGAGAGGAAGAGGAGGACATCGATTCGTCCTTGGATTCGAGAATCGGGTATAGGAACAAAAACGGTCGAGGTGGTAATAATTATTACTCGGACGATAGCACGGTGTCGGATCAAGACACGTTCGATGCGACGGAGGAGTTTGATAACGCCAGTTCGCAACAGCAAACGCACACGGGAACGGAGAAATCGGGAAGCACGTCGTACAGTCAGTACATTTTCGGATTTTTCCAAATGCCTGATTTTTCGAGCTTTGGTTTATCCTTGCCGACATTTGACGAACTCTTTGGAAATAAAAGTAAGCCGAATCACACTGGAACGAACGGAATGCATGCAGGCGATAACATTAACTCGTTTGATACTTCGTTTAACTCGGCTAAGAATAGCGATTACATCGAGACGGCGAGAGCGTTTAATCTTCCGTACACGGCGGAATGTCTCGGATCGTTCGATTGCACGCTTTCGAGCGCGCAAGGCGTTTTGCGCGTGTTCCGCGAACCATTTTGCGCGTGTTTTGATGGCGGTGAAGGAAAGCGATGGTTTGCACACGCGGGTGATTTTCAGGCGTTACAAATTAACGGCGATCATGAGATTCTCGTCAAGTGGGTCACGGCGCAAAGTTTAGCGCAACAGAATTCATTGAAGAAGAAAAACAAGAGGAAGAAAGACTCGGGAACTCGAGCGACAGCTGTTCGATTCCAAAATTTCGGCGAGTTTCGAGACCAGGCGTTCGACTGCATAGTAGCGATGCTTGAAAGCGCGCCCGGGTTAGAAGCGAACGAGGACCAATACATGGATACGGAGGATAATGAATCTTTACACGGCATGCGTCCGGAATACGAAAGAGGTGCTATAGCGGCGTTACAAGTTGGCTATTATCCAGAGCGGTTCGTGTTCGTTGAAATAGAGTCTTTATTATTAGATGAACGCATGCGAGATAGAGTAGGAAAACGATCGAAACCGGTTATAAACATATCGGTCGGTCAACACGCGTCTTCGGCAAAGACGACGCGATTAGGATACGACGTAGACAGCATTCTAAAAGGAGGCGATAGCAACGCGAGTGACTCTGGTGCACAAAAATTTGAGGTGGAAAAGTTTTTCGCGTTTCCCGCCTCGGATGTAGACTGCAATGCTGGGCGCATTGCGGTTGTCATCACGGTGCCAGTTTTGAAAACTCAAGATCCGGCGCACGGCGAAGAGAACGAGGACCTGGGCAGAACATCGACGACGACCTACGCAACGTTAGCACTAGGTGAAGCTTCGATCCCGTTGGCCATTTTAGAAACGAGCTCGCGCGCGGCTGTGCCCTTCACCGCGAATTTGTCCGCGGTGAAGAACATCGAAGCGACGCTGCAAGACGTAAATCCGAAACCGGCCACGAAGAATGGAGCTAAAGGTGTCGGAAGCATCCGATGTCGCGCCTGGTTAGGCACGCGCTCGGAAGCTATCGAGGTTGGCGCACCGAATATTCGACCGGAAACGCTCAAGCGCGGCAAGTCGAAGGATTTTGCGTCCTCGAAAGCAACAAAGAATTTACACATGGCGTTGCACAACGTCGAAGACGACGACGCGGATTCCTCGGACGATGAGAAAGCAGCCGTTTTGTTCGGCGAAGGTCCGTTGCGCAAAGACGTATCGAATCGACCCATCGTTCGAGTCGCTCCTAGAACGTGTAAAGTATTCGTGCGCATCAGTAGCGTGCGGGGTATTCCCGAAGCCGAAGCCGGAAAGAATTCTAACGGCGTCGTTTTGAGATGTTCGTTGTTGAACGACTCGCGAGATTTAGGCATCTTCAAAGCGAAAAAAGCGGGACAGCCGGCGACTCGTTTCTTTCTCGGCGATGGCAACATGAAAGAAGCGGAAGACAGCGACGTCGTTTGCTTTGAAGTGGAAGAACCAATTGTTAATGCCATCGTGAAAATCGACGTCTACTCGAATAAAGAAGGCGCGAAGAACGTCAAGATTGGACGATTTTGCATCGATTGCTCTGGAATGCCAAAGACAGTGTGCAAAGACTCTAGATCGAGCTTTTTCAAGATCAACCAAAGAACGGGCGTTCCGTTGTCGCTCGGCAATGGCAAGTTCAAGTTGTTGAGATCCCCGAAAAAAGCGAAAGTGAAAGCAAGCGTCAACGTGGACGCGAACGGTGAGTTTACTTTCGCGGGTAAATCGAAATTAAAACCGCTTTCGACCTTGTCCGGGTTCACGGCTACTGAGAGCGCCGATCGATCGGGCACGACGGTGACGAGCGCGACCGGTAACGTCGCCGCGCGATCAGATGGCGCCTCGATGTCGAATACATCTTTCACAAACGGAAGAAGCATCGAGCCGAACGATGTGGAATATTTGGGCGAAGTTAAAGTCGCGACGCGAATTGTTCGTTCGATTGACCCGCTCGCCACTCCAATTGTTGGTTCTACGCGCGTCCGGATTTTGAAAATGAGACACGTTCCGTCGGGATCGGCTCCAGGGATTGCGATTCGACACGACCTTTCATGGGCTTGGTTACCAAACGCCTCGGCGAGATCTCCCGCCGGTTGGAAACGAGAATTCGACGTCGCTGTTCGGGACGTCACGAAACCGATTCACATCGGAGTATTCGATCGAGCGAGAGCGGACGAACGCATCGGCGTGTGCACGATATACCCATCCTCGCTCCCGTCGTTTGGGAGAGATATCGTCGCGACCGTTCCGTTGCGCTCGGAGGACGACAGTGAAGTGACTGGTGAAATCACCGTCAAAGCCTCGTTTAGAAAAGCGAAAAGCAACGGTCTCTTCTGTCGCACGTTTAGTACGAATGGTAGCGATGCGAACGACCCGGATGCGATTCCTGCGTCGTCCTCTTTCGGAGGATTCGAGGACGCGGCCATGAGTGTCGGATATTACGCCAGAGGCAAGCAACTCGCACGACAACTTTTATTTGGCATAAACGATATGGACGATGATATCTTAGTCCGAGATCCTTCTGTCGCATTCGCGCATCTCAGCGGTAAATTTGGAGGTGGTTTGAATACGCGCCACCATCGCGAAGAGCGAGAGAAGCGAGAAGCGCAACGCCTGGCTTTAATCGCTGGCATTAACAAGCTTCCAACAAATATTGTTGATACGTTGATGTTTGAGAAGATGCCACCAACGGCCTCGTTGTCTTCGTCTGCTTTAGCGAGCGCGAATTCGAGCTTCGCTGCGGCGGCGGGGGAACTGGGAAGGAGAGGTGCCAAAATAGGAGAGTTTGCGACGGTGCCTCCTCGGGATCCGGCGGCTTCCTCGAGCAGCGACGTGGACGACTTGAACGAAGAAGAAGAGGCGTTAGGAATCGATGCTATTCGCGCGAAAGCTGCGGTTATACGAATCAGTATAGCGTTACAACCGTTCGCATACGCTTTGAAAAGGCTCGAACGAGCGGTGCGGTGGCGAGATTATGCCTCGAGCGCTTCGTTACATCTCGCGCTGCTCTTCTTTTGCTTCTTTCCGAACTACATCGTCGCGTTCATGTGTCTTGGTTTTGTCGTGCACTGTTCGTCGAACAACGATGGGACGTCTGCATGTCTCTTTGGAGCGGAAAAATCGAGAAATAACGAGATTTTGCGTTCCGATTCGGCTTCGGAGTTTACGAATTTCCCGCCCGGCTCAAAGTTTGACGCGCCCATCGGTTGGTTTTCAACTGTCGTTCGCGGCACGGAATTTGAAAACGAAGGTTTGTTGAAAGGACCGAAGCAGCTTAACGATGCCTTGTTCGATAGAACTATGCAAGTTATCTTTTGGGTTCAGTGTCAACTCTCTTATTTCGCGGATTTCATGGAAACGCTTCGAAAAGAAACGCTTCGATGGGAAGACGGAAACTATCGAAACTGCGTCGCGGCGCTGGCGTTTGCCGCGACCGTCGGCGCGATTACGGTGTTTATTCCGTTCGGATTTATTGTCTCCTCGCTCGCATTTTACGCGCTCAGGCCGTCGCGATTGTCGGTCCCTAAGTATTCAATCGTAAAGTTACGATTGAACAACAACGTCATGACAAGTTCCGCCGAAGAAGAAGAGGAAGAAGAACCAGAGGCGAGCATAATCCACCGGCGCGAAGAAGCGTAAAAAATTATATGTTGTATTGTTGTAATAATCTTTCAAATGTATTTATGTATGAATAGTAAATCATCATCGGAACGACGCTCAGTCACGTTAGTTACACGCGCGGTCTTTTACTCTTTTCTGTCGCCTTTTCCGAACATTTTTTCTCTCTCCTCGTCTTCCTTCGCGTTGTACTCCTCCAATTCTTTCTCCACTTTCGCTTGAATTTCCTCCGCGTCTTTGAAATACTCCGCGTCTTTGAAATACTCCGCGTCTTTGGCGTTCCCTTGCAACAACTTAGAGTTCTTATTCGGCGCACCTCTCTCCAAAAACTCGTCGTCTAAGTCTTCATCGTTGCCTTTACCTGGATTTTCCTTCGCGTACTCCTCCAAAAACTTCTCGTGGTTCGGTAAGATCTTATACATACGCTCCTTCTCCTCTTTGTACTTCTCCTGATTCTCCGCGGAGTCTACCCAAAGGTACTCGAACAAACCCATCGAGCGCGTAATACCGCACTCTTCTAAAGTCTTCTCGTCTTCCAGAATTACTCCTTCCGGCGTGCCTCCTTTAGTTTGCGCGCCACGCGTTCGCGAGAAAGAAAGAAAGAAAGAAAGAAGAGACAGGTCAGCAAAACATCAAGCACACAAAAAACGCTCGCTTTAAAAAACAGCTCAAACCCGAGCGCAAAAGACGAGACACGAACGAAAAACGAGCACACGACTTTGACGATGACAACACCAAAAGCGAACAACCTCTTCTCAGCGTCTCCACTTTCTCCCCGGTCTCCCTTTCCACCTTTCTTTTCAACTCCGAGATGGTCTCTTTATTCTTCTCCACGTCGCGAAAAACGCACGTTTTTCCTAAATATTTCGACCTCGAGTCTCGAACTTGAAACCGAGTCAAGTTTTTATGCTCCTCGTTGTTCGGTTCTGGGAGGAGTTTGACGAAAATCGTGATCTTGCTCGTCGCATCGTCGGAGTCTTCGCGCTCGTTGTTTTTCGTGTTCGTCAAAATCGTCGTCATTCTTTTACGACGTGTGTACGCGTGCTGTTGCGTGATCAAACTCGCGCGAGAAAAAAAAGTGTGATCAGATCAACGACGAGAGATGCGAGAGAAAAGAGTGATGAATATTTTTTCTCTTTTTTCTTTTTTTTTACCCTTTTTTGGTCTCTCTTTCTCTTTTTGCTCTTTTTCTCGCAAGCGGCAAGAGTTTTTTTCTTTCTTTCGATCATCAATTCGGTGTTTTCAAAAAAAAATTAAAACGACCAGTGCTCTTTGCGCTCTCTTTCTTTCTTTGTTCTCACGAATAACTCCGATGAATGCGCAAAAAGTAGAGCAGTAGTACATCATCGTCTCATCTTCACACGAAGCCGCTGTTTGTGTGCGTGTGCGAGAGAGAGTGAGAGAGCAGCGTGTGCACGACCTGATACAACTTTTTTGAAATGGAAGAAAATGTACGGGAAAGAGATCGGCTCAGAGAGAGCAACCAAAAGACCAGAAAAAATACGTCTCCTTTTCTCTCTCGCGGAACGAGGAAGAGAAGGACGATGATTTCCGGAGCGAGAGAGAGTGAGAGAGAGAGAGGCGTTCGAGATGGCGTTGTGTGTGTGGTCGTTTCAAGTAAACGCGCGCTAAAGGGTAAAGAAACTGTTTGCGCTCCCAAGAGAGGGCTTTTTCTCTCTGTGAGTGACCTCTTTCTTGGAAAGCACACAACAAAAGAGAGAGATACATTTTTAGTCATTTTTGAGGACAGTTTACGCTGAAATGTGAGTGGTTTGGCCGCGCAGAAACGGTCAAAAAGTGAAGCAGAGATAAGCAACTGCGCGTTTACGCGAAAAAAAGGAGTTCGAACGCGTTTTTACTCGTCTTTAGTGAAGGCGCAAAATCGTCCGCCGGCGAGAGCGCGGGAGGCGATCGAGCGCTTATTTCGAGGCAGAAAAAAAGGCAAATTTTAGGGTGGATGAAGCGACAGTTTTTGCCGATTTTAACGGTCGAACGATCGGTGAGTGCGTCCTGAGTGCTTGTCACGTGTACTGGGACATCCTAGAGGTGCTTAAACGACCTCAAATCGGACGCATTCGAAAGGAAATTGCTTCGGAAATTGGAACCTCTTCGATACGACAATTCATTAATTCGCCGCCTTCCAAGCGAGATAAGCGGGTGAGACTTTATTCTTCTGGAGTAATTTTTTGATCGATTTTGACGCTCATACTCGCTGTGAGTGCGTGCCTGGGTATGTAGGACCGAGTAGATGCTCTCGATCATGGAGAGATGTGGCGCAAAGCCCCGCGAAAGCGTCCGTTCTTCTCCGCGATTTTTGCGGAGCAAAGCAAGGAAAGAGACTTCGCGGCGAGTTCGAGAAGCTACATAAGTACCATCTTTAGGTATGGTGTTACAATGTTACGAGCGAATTGTGCGCGCCGAGAGGGGATCGGATTGGTTTGAGTCGAACTCAAGTGCTTTATAGGTTCCATCAGAGTCTCCCTGACTGCTGGGGAGGCCGTCGTAGCGCCGCGTTGAGCGGCGACGTTTTCGCCCAGGGCGCCGAAGGCTCTCGGCGTCTCCACTTAAGTTCGAGAAGCTACATAAGTACCATCTTTAGGTATGGTGTTACAAAGTTACGAGCGAATTGTGCGCGCCGAGAGGGGATCGGATTGGTTTGAGTCGAACTCAAGTGCTTTATAGGTTCCATCAGAGTCTCCCTGACTGCTGGGGAGGCCGTCGTAGCGCCGCGTTGAGCGGCGACGCTTTCGCCCAGGGCGCCGAAGGCTCTCTGCGTATCGGGGCCTCAGAGCAATTGCCCACATAAAATTCCATGAGATGATTGATATGATGCGCGCTTGGAAGCCCTGAGTGTACCGCGGACACTCTCTGTGTGCTCTGGAGCGTTGTGAGAGAGTCTGACGTCCTCTAGGTGGCGCACAGGAGGCGGCGAAGGCGCCGACGCTTTTCCTTAGGTCCCCTCCAAGGGGAATAGCGATTCGAATTCGCCGTCGCGTAGTTCCAGACAGCTCCAAGTACCACTCCACTCCACGCATCCCGCCCTTAGTACGTGTTCAACTGGACCACGGCGGAAGGTCCACACCGTTCGCGCGCTTCTATTGGATGGTTGTAGAGTATCAGAGCGCGCGTTTACGCTCCGACGACGCCGGCGCGAAAATTTGCGCTCACGGCGCCTTTCGAATATGTATATCGCCGCCACAGATACCCTTTTGTAACACCCAGATAGCGTTGTCAAATGATCCTGTAAACGACTGATGTTCTCATATCTGTAACTAGACTCTAACGCGACTCTAATGTACGTCTCCGATCACGCTCAGATGCCTTCGATCACTCGTAGCGACCGCGCGACCCTTTAAACTTTCCGTCTTTCTTTCCCCTCTCGGGCGCGTGGACGAAGCGCTCTCGACGTTTGGCTGGAATTGTGATTTTACGTACACTTGCGCTAGACAGAATGATTGTGCATATATGTACAAGCGTATTTATATTAAAACATGAGTAAAATAGTATTCTCAGAGCTTCATTTTCAGTGCGCTCTGGCGTATGTTGTGTGTTACTGTTTCTTTAAACTTCATTTGTTCTTGTACATTTTGTCTCTCTCTTAAAAAACTAGAGTCTAAACGATCAACTCCTCGCAGGTCCAATCCGCATTCTCACAACACCCAGACGCAATTCATCCGTCTCATCTCCACTCTTTATACAATAAATCTCTCGCGAGCGCTCTCCAGTGGACTTTCACGCTGAGCAAACGACACCGCAAGCGAGTCACGTCGGTCTCGCCTCCGCCGGCTCTGCGAGAAGAAGGCGAGGGGAGCGAGGACGATTCGGCGACCTCTCGAACGGTTTCGACTTTTCGACCGAAATTAAGAAGTCGTCGGACGCCTCCTTTTCTGTTTTTGGTGGTGTTTTTGCCGGAGGCGGCGTGACGAGAGGAGGAGGTCTCGTCGGTGTCGTAGGCGCTCGAGTTGTCCGCGTCACTGTTGACTCCGCTGCCACCGCTCGCGGAAAAGTCGTCGCCGCCGCCACCAATTTGGGTGGAAGATGGAGAAAAGTGTAAATGTTCGGCGGAGACGGCAACGGCAGCTTCACCTTCCTTTTCTGTGCCTCGTCCTAACGTGACGACGGCGTCGGTTTCGCCGGCGCCTCCTCGGGACGGTGAGGCAAAGGATTTCGGATGATGGCGGTATGGGGAGAGGAAAGAGGTACCTCCTCCTCCTCCTCCGCTGCCACCATGATTATCACCGTCGTCGTCGTCGATATTGTTGTCGTTATGGTTACTACTGTCAGGAATATCTCCATCGAGATGATCTGCTTCACCGGTATCATCATCGTCGTCATCATCATCATCGTAGTCCTCGTGATTTCCGTGAGCGCCGTTTACTCGATACCCGTTGTCGTACAGACCATTTCCCGCTATGCCGTTACTACTAGTACTATTGCTACCACCATACTTCCTTCTTCTGTTAATGTCGCTATTATTGTGAAATTTTGGTAAATCAAACCCAAACGTCGAGTTGGCAAACGCACGAAATGTAAACGCTTGCTTATACGCGGCTTTCCTCTCCACGTTATATGCTCTCGCCACGTCCGATCTCGGCGCAAATCCGCTAAATACTACAATTTTCTCTTCTTCCGTTGTTTTTGAATTGTTATCACCGTCGTGCATCTTTAACACGCCGCCTGTTGCGAACAATCTCACGCACAAACAATCTCCGTCTTTTGTCAACGCGCACTTCTCCCACTCTTCGTTGTTCGCGTAATACGACTCAAACGCCACCTCAGGTAACGTTGACTCTCTTCTATCGCTCTTCAAATTGTTCGACTGCGCCATTTTCGACGTGCTCGCGAAGACTTTAGTTTTACACGACGCCAACGGGTTCGCTAAAGTTCCTTGTTTATCTTCACCTCCCTTTTTACCACTCTTTTGTTGTCTCTTTTCCAACTGGTCTAACAAGCACACGGAAACCTCCGCGGAATACGTGGTGTGCTGCACGATGTTCAGTAAAGTCGTCGCTCGCCAATCCACGTTCTCGGTCGTCAACTCCTCCAGATTATTATTATCAGCGGCCGTGGCGGTAGCGACGTCGCTACTCTCAATGTTCCTATCTTTCTTCTTCCACCGGCGAACGAAGACGACGTCCCCTTTCGCGCCGCTCTTGTTGTTCTCTCCCGATGAAACGTAAAGCGACGAAGAAGACGAAGCGCTCCTACCGCTACTGGGCGCGTAAAACAGTAAATCGTCTTGCATCCCAACCTCTTTAAACGTCTCCGCGTCGTCCAAAAATAAGCGGTCGAACGCGTCCCGCCACTCCGAGTTGGTCCACCTCTTTTCCTTCTTCACATCACCACCATTCTCGCCGCCAAAAACATTCTTCTTCTTCTTCTTCGCTTCTTTGGCGATGATGTTCTCGTTGGAATCGTACTCAAACAAAGCGCCTCTGGCGTGCTCTTTAATCTCTCGCAACAAAGTTTCTCTTCTTCGTTTTCGCGTTTCTGCGGATGCTGTCGTTGACGTCGTCGTCATCATCGTCGCCGGGGTCTTCTTCTTTCAGTCGCGCGCCTCCTCTGCTCCCATTAAAACAAAGAAGAAGGATATGAAATGCCGCGTTCCTGTTGTATTCGTATCTAAAAAACGGATGAAATGGAAAACCAAAGAGCGCTCTCTCTCTCTCTCAAACTCTAACGAGGCATCGTCATCGTCCAAAAAAGAAAGAGCGTAAAACCTTCTCGTGTAACGTATTTGTTCCTGTTGTTCTCGTTATCTCGCATTCGGACGTGTATCTTCTGAGGTCTTCAACGCCTTCTCACAAAATGGGGGGAGCAAAAATGTGCTCTGGTTTAGTCGTACGTTTTGGCGAAAAATGTGCTCTGGTTTGGTTTTTTTCTCATACCTGAATTCATCCGCCCAAATTTTCTTTCCTCCGTTGTCGACTGCATAACAAAACACAACAAAAGAGGGGAATCTCGCGCTCTCACACGAACGAATCGGCGTCCGAGAATGCAACGCAGAAGAAGCGCGTGTTAATAACGAACTCTCCTGTTGTTGGTACCGTCGAGAACGAGATCGATTTCTTCTCAGTGCGACCTTTTCGGAGTACTCTTTGTTGGTTGAACGCGTATCAAGGAGAGCGATCGTCCATCTCTTCAAACGTGTCGAATTTTTTCCCCTCTTTTATCTGTGTTGACAGGGCAGTCGAGAGAGAGAAAAAATCACAAAAATCACGTGGACGAACACATCGGAGAAAGGGAGACTTAAAATTTTTTTTTTTTAAACCCTCGTTCTCCTCATTTTTTCTCTCTCTCTCTCTCCCGTTTAAATTGTCGGAAATTAAAGAGAAGAACGTTTAAAGAGTGTCCTCCTGTATTTCAACACGACTATAAAAATATAAAATAATGAATCAACAACAAGGCGCGAACAACAACGCCAACAACAACGATCAAGCTTTGGCGGCGGAGAAAACGTGCATAAACGAAAAGTGTAAACGAACGAAAGGAAACCACGCGAATAAAAATTCCAAGGAAATTCGATGGAGGAAAAGCAAAGGTGAGACGAAAAATTAAAAAAGGGGGAGTATAAGATTTTGAACTCTCACACGCGAGAGAGAGAGACGAATTTTTTCTTTCGTCAAATGCTCGTCTTCGATTACAAAAGACGAGCGTTTGAGGAGACATGAAAAAACTGACCAATTATCTATCTTTTATCCATAACAGTGATACCAGGCGCGGATATCTGCCAATCGTGCTACCGAGTCGAGACGTTAGCGTTGGCGGATAAGCAGTGCGCGATGTGCGACAGCCGCAAAACCAACGGGTGCTGGTACCGGTCGAAGGTGATACAAGGCGGGAACTTGTGCCGAAAGTGCTATAACAAAGAACTGACGAAGCTGCAAAATAAGACGTGTGGGGCGTGCAATGCGACGGAGACGACCGCGAGTTGGTACAACTCGCACGTGAAAGTCGGGGTGAGTTTGTGCCATCGATGTTATTATCGCGAGAGAGCGACGATTTCGACGAAGAGTTGCGTCGCGTGCGGGAGCGATAAGACGAGCGGGAGTTGGTTGAAGAGTAAGTCCGTGGAAGGCGCACATTTGTGCGTGAATTGTTACTATAAGGAGTTGGTCGCGTTGAGTGGGAAGGAGTGTTGCAGTTGTGAATCGAAGACGACCAGTTCTATTTGGTACAACTCGAAAGAAGAGAAAGGGAAGCACTTGTGCGCCAAGTGTTACTCGAGAGGCAGGAAGCGGCACTTGAGGGAAGTGAAAGAGCAGAAAGAGAAGGAGAAGACGTCTGCGGCGGCGAAAAAGACGAACAGGAGGACGTAAAGAAAGAGCGAGAGAGAATTGAGACACGGTTTTGAGGATGAGAATGAGACAAGGAGAGACAACATGCGCGCGAGAGAGAGAGAGAGAGAGGCGTGAAAGAGAGAGAAAGAGAGAGACAAAAAGCAAAAGAACAAATGAAGTTTAAAGAAACAGTAACACACAACATACGCCAGAGCGCACTGAAAATGAAGCTCTGAGAATACTATTTTACTCATGTTTTAATATAAATACGCTTGTACATACATGAACAATCATTCTGTCTAGCGCAAGTGTACGTAAAATCACAATTCCAGCCAAACGTCGAGAGCGCTTCGTCCACGCGCCCGAGAGGGGAAAGAAAGACGGAAAGTTTAAAGGGTCGCGCGGTCGCTACGAGTGATCGAAGGCATCTGAGCGTGATCGGAGACGTACGTTAGAGTCGCGTTAGAGTCTAGTTACAGATATGAGAACATCAGTCGTTTACAGGATCATTTGACAACGCTATCTGGGTGTTACAAAAGGGTATCTGTGGCGGCGATATACATATTCGAAAGGCGCCGTGAGCGCAAATTTTCGCGCCGGCGTCGTCGGAGCGTAAACGCGCGCTCTGATACTCTACAACCATCCAATAGAAGCGCGCGAACGGTGTGAACCTTCCGCCGTGGTCCAGTTGAACACGTACTAAGGGCGGGATGCGTGGAGTGGAGTGGTACTTGGAGCTGTCTGGAACTACGCGACGGCGAATTCGAATCGCTATTCCCCTTGGAGGGGACCTAAGGAAAAGCGTCGGCGCCTTCGCCGCCTCCTGTGCGCCACCTAGAGGACGTCAGACTCTCTCACAACGCTCCAGAGCACACAGAGAGTGTCCGCGGTACACTCAGGGCTTCCAAGCGCGCATCATATCAATCATCTCATGGAATTTTATGTGGGCAATTGCTCTGAGGCCCCGATACGCAGAGAGCCTTCGGCGCCCTGGGCGAAAACGTCGCCGCTCAACGCGGCGCTACGACGGCCTCCCCAGCAGTCAGGGAGACTCTGATGGAACCTATAAAGCACTTGAGTTCGACTCAAACCAATCCGATCCCCTCTCGGCGCGCACAATTCGCTCGTAACTTTGTAACACCATACCTAAAGATGGTACTTATGACCACACACACAACGCCATCTCGAACGCCTCTCTCTCTCTCACTCTCTCTCGCTCCGGAAATCATCGTCCTTCTCTTCCTCGTTCCGCGAGAGAGAAAAGGAGACGTATTTTTTCTGGTCTTTTGGTTGCTCTCTCTGAGCCGATCTCTTTCCCGTACATTTTCTTCCATTTCAAAAAAGTTGTATCAGGTCGTGCACACGCTGCTCTCTCACTCTCTCTCGCACACGCACACAAATAGCGCGAAATCGATGAGACGATGGTATGCTACCGCTTTCCTTTTTGCGCATTCATCGGAGCGAGTCGTTGTTCTCCTGCAAAGAAAGAGGAGGAAAGGCACTCGTTTTAATTTTTGTTTGAAAACACCCGAATTGATGATCTTCGAAAGAAAGAAGGCGAAACTGCCGCTCGCGAGAAACGAACGAAACGAAACGAGAGCAATTTGTTTCAGAGGAGAGAAACGCGACGCGCGAAAGAGGAAAAATTGCCAAAAACAGTCCGAGAGGAAAAAATGCTCCAATGATGAAACGAGTACACCACACTCCACAGTTAAAAAAAAACGCTTAAGAGAGACGCGCTGAACTTTGTATCACACAAATCTTTGCGCATCATCTCATCAATAAACGAAGATGTCCTCCAGTTCGTTTGCGGCGTCCTCGTCGTCGCGCTCCTTTCTTTTGACGCGTCGTCATCGAAGAAACACTCGTTCTCTCTCTGCTTCTTCTTCTTCTTCTTCTTCTGAATCGTCGAAATCCATCGTCATCGACGCGACGTTTGGGGGACGACGACGGGGAAACAGACGAGATGGGAAAAGGAATATTATCGGTCGGACTCGTTTTTCTCGCGCTCTCACGAGGAGTGCCTCGAACGAAGAGTCCACGCGGAAGATAAACTACGACGACGACGACGACATCGCTTTGGGGGGGACGACAGAAGGAGAAGAGCCGGACGTGTTCGATTTGATGAGCGCGACAATCGTGCCGTACGAAAAGACGTATCGCTTGTGCTTCTTGAGACACGCGAAAAGTAGTTACTCGCGATGGGCGTACAGCAGCGGAGACGAGATTGAGAAAGAGGGAGAAGACGAGGAAGATAACTTTGATTTACCGGATAAGTATCGATCGATCGCGCCGAGAGGGAAAATTGGCGCGCAAGCGGTGGCGAAGATGTTGGTTTCGGAGTTCTCGGAGTACGTCCCGTCGATTATTATCACCTCGGACGCCACGCGGTGTTTAGACACCGTCGAGTGTTTTTCTGTCGCTGAACCGGATGCGTTTGGTAAAACTACGGTCATTTTGGCGCCGGAGTTTTACGAGGTGGCGCACGGGAGCGATGTGAAAGCGAAGCGAATACGTAAGGCGATCGCGGAGAAGATTAGGAGGGAGGCGCAGATGAGAGGGGCGGAGACGGTGTGCGTGGTCGGACACAACGCCGGGTGGGAGAACGTGGTGAAACTGATGACGAAAAGTAGTAAAAAAGTGAGAATGAAAACATCGAATTGCGCGTTGTTGTCGTGTAAAGCCGGGGAGATGACGTGGGAAGAAGCGTTGATGGAAGGAGAGTGGGAATTAGAGAAAATTTTGAGAGTTCCGAAGGAGTTGAATAGAAAAGCAAAGTTGGATTATCCGGAGGAAGGTAGCGGGAATTGGAAGGAAGAGGAGAACGAAGCGGAAGAGGACGAAGACGATGAAGGAGGGGAGATTTTTTTCGATGAGTACGTTACGACAGAATAGAAAGAGAAAGAGAAAGAGAACGAAACTTGAAGGTAGGTGCCAGGCGTAAAAGTATATTCGTCGATTGAATGATGAACGTGTATGTGTATGTATGCTGTTAGATTATGAAGCTTTTTTTACATTTTCATCTAAATCTCATCGTGTTGTCGTTCGTTTCTTCCGAAACGCCACTAAGGTCATCTCCTCCGTCGAGTTCGAAAAGAGCGGCACCAAATACGTTTCTTCGAACTGATGCTCAGACTTTAACTTCTGAGCGAGTTCTTCGCTCGCTTCGTAAAAGACTCGTTTCCCGGCGACGAAATTCTTCATCGTTAAAACTAAAGCGCCTTTGGTTTCGTCCACCATCGAGAGCAACGGCGCTACCCATCGATACACCGCCATCGGCGACGAGTTTCCGTCGCACGCAACTAAACTTAGTTTTTCCCCATTCAGTTTATCGTGAATATCGTCGATGGACTCTTCGATTTTCTTTTGTAAATGGACGAGATTTACTGGCGGTTCGACCGTTTTCGGAGGCTTAAACCCGAGGCGCGCCGGATCGACCGCGAAAATGATACCTGAATCATCACCAGTTTCACTATTTCCCTTCATTTCGTCTCCGAGGGCTTGAATCCATCCGCCTGGGGCGCACCCGACATCCACCACCATCGACGCGCTCGTGATAAACTCAGACAATCGAAACCGCAAAATCGCTTCTTCCATCTTGAAGAACGCTCTGCACAGCGGTCGAATATCTTTTCGCCTATTCTCTGCATCAATCAGCGCTTGGTTTATCGACTGATCGAGCTCTTTGGTGATTCTCCACGAGGAGACGTGTAACCGTCCCCGGATGAGCATGGCGTCTAACGCCACGTCGCACTCGCGAGCCGAGATGCCTTTACCCGGCCCGGTGAGTCCGTACACGTCATCATCGCCTATTGCTTCTTCGATGAGCCTGTCTAAAGCTTTATACGCTTCAATTTCCATCTCTTTTGGAAAGCACCGAATTCGGACCGTTCGTATCTTTTTCTTCATCCTCTTGCCGTTGTTTTCCCCTTCCTGATTCTCTTCCTTCTCCTCCTCTCGATTCGAATACCACCGCTCTTTCACCCTTTCCAAAATCCTTCTCCACTCGACGCCGTCGCCGTGAAAATCAACCACTTGATCCTCGTTCGTCCGTTCATCTCTCGCGTATATCCTCGAGCACATCGAAAGCCCGTGCGGCTCGTTTCTTTTCATCTTCCCAATTAGTTTAATCACCTTAGCTTCGTTGTTTGCTTCTTCCTTCTCCGAAGAATCGTCGTCCCCGCAGCTCACGCACACGACACATCCGCTCACGCTTTCTTGTCGCTCTCGCGCCGCGGAGGTGACATTTTCCGCGCCGTATATTTCAGCGCACCGTTCTGAGATTAAAAGGTAAAAAGAGGGAAAGAGAAGCGTTCGTGTCAGTACATTTGAGTTCAAGCGATACTATCGCGCGAGCGAGCGATCATCACAAATCCGCTACATGTAAAACATACCTAACAACCTGAGCCCAAACACAGTGCTCGTGTGAAACGCAATCGTAAACCTTCGACTCGTTCGTAAACTCTCGTGCGCGTACCAGCACTTCTTCCCGTTATCTCTTGCACACGTCCCGTATAACTGCCACCGTTCGCAGAGCGGTTTCGGATCCGGATGGACGTACTGACACTCAAAGTCGCTCGTCGCGTTCTTCCTCCCTTCCGGTGTATGACACGGCAGATTTTGGAGAAATCGACGACAGATTTCCCGACCCGATGGTTTGTCCAAGAGCAACGATTTCCCTTTTTCAAGCTTGTGATGATGGAGAGCGCCGAGTACTATTCGGTGTTCGCGCATCATCGTTTCTATTTCCGTCGTTTCCGTTTCCGTCGTCGTCATTTTATATTCGCTTATTTTTGTGACGCCCCGAAACCCGCCGCCAAAAACGCGTTCGCATCTGAAAAGTTCGCCAGAAAGAGAAGCGCGCAAATACTATGCGCCCGGCGGCTTTGGTGATAAAGAGATTAGTATTCGCGCGATTCTATCATCCACACAAAGCGACAAATCCACGAAACCGACGACGAGTTCAATCATCATCGAGCTCCGAGAGGTTTTTGAGCATCATGAAAGGCGTGACTTTGCTTGGGAATCCGGAAACGGATGTTGACTCCCCTAACAAGAACAACCTCGATGTTGATGATGTTGCCGGGGCTTCCTCGGAGCGACATCCAGACACAAACAGAACGCGCGTTTTATTCGTCGGCGACGGCGACTTTTCACTCTCAAAAGCGTTTGCAAAAACGAAAGCGACTTCCTGCGTCGTCGTCGCGACCAGTTTATCCACCAAGAGTGAAATCGAGCAAAATTGGAAAGGATACGAAAATGTTCGAGAGTTGGAAAATTTGCCAAATGTAGAGCGCGTGGCGCACGGGATCGACGCGACAAACACAGAAGACATGATGAGATCGTTATCCCCGAATGAAGATCAACAACATCAACGAGCAAAAAGAGCGGATGCTGCAGCGGATGCAATCATATTCGCGTTTCCACACTTACCCGGGAAAGGGAAGATTAGCAAAAATAGAGAACTGTTGAGGAATTTTTTACTCGCCGCGAAAGACGAGAGGGTGATGCGACCGAACGGGGTGTGCGAGGTGGCGCTGGCGCCTGGTCAAGGAGGGACGTTTGTCGACGGAGACGAATCGAGGACGATGTACGGTGATACGTGGAAAGCGTACGATATGGGTGCGGACGTTGGGATGGCGTTGATCGAGTGCGAACGGTTCGACGAAGAGAAGTGGAGAGAAAGGTCGTATAAGCCGACCGGACATTGGAGAGGGTTGGACGACTCGAGGTCGTTTCGGGTGAGCAACGCTGTCGTGCACAGATTTAAAAGAGAAGAAGAGGTTTCAGAGTCAGATGGGAGTTGTTCGAGGTTTCAACGGAAGGAGGAGAGGTTTACCAGGGACGTGAGTTTAGCGATCGAGAAAAAATTGGTCGGCGCGAGCGCGGAGGAAAGCGAAGATAAGAATAAAGACGACGAGGAAAATGGTATCGTGACTTTTTTCGCGCCAGATGGAGAGCAGTGCGCGTTTGCAAACGATGGCACGTGCGCGTTTGCAAATCGATGCGATAAAGAGAGGAAACCGTTGGAGTACACTCGATTGAACCGGAAAGTTCCGTCGAGGTATTTCGACCCGAAGTACCGAGGCAAGTGGTGTTGCGGTAAGTGTTACGTCAAGATTTCGAAAGTTTTGCAGTTGCAAAAGCAAACGAATGGGATTAAGGACACCACGCCGGAGGAAAAGGAGTTGTTGGAAAAAATTAGAGCCGTAGCGATGGAGAGCGCGGAGGAAACGGCCAAGACGTGGAAGGTGCATAAAAAAATTGGATTCACGGACGCGTTCATCATCGATAGGTACGACCCGAAAGACGAGTCAAACGCGGTCGCTCGAAACGTCCGATTACGATATCATTGCGAACGTCACCCGCTCAACGGGAAAGAAGTGAACGAGATTCAGCACGCTTTGCGAGAGAAGTTGGAAAGAGGACACCTAAAAGGCGTCACTTTACGATGGTATCGCCGAGAAGAAGACGAAAAGACGAAGAAGCAAAGAGTGTGAATGTATTACCAATAGTGTCATTATGTATTTATAATATCTGTAGCGTTTAGTAGAGATTACATAGCACATCGATATCATCATTCGTCCTTGAGTGCTTGTTCGTACTCGCTTTCGCTCGCGAACGAACCTTCTATAATTCTACCGTCAAACGCTCGACCGTGCATTCCTTCCTTCGCTTTCAAAGCGGACTCTTTATCGCTAAACTTAGCAAACGCCGAGCCGACGAACGGGCCTCGCCTAGGAAGCGCTAACGAACTACTACTACTCGAAGAATGCGAGCAAAACTTTTCGCACTCGGCGGCGACGTCCAACTTTAAATCTTCGTATTCCTCGTCATCGTTTACGTCTTCCTCGGTGGCGATATGTTTTAATTGGACGTATACCGTTGTTACTGATTCTTCTACTCCTTTCTCTGCTACTGCTACTACCCCTCCTTCTACTTTCCGCGCGGATGCGGCGGCGACGTTATTGGCGGCGGCCAAATGCGCCGGCAAATTCTCCCCCAATTCTGCTCTCTCTTCCGCCTGTATAATTTTCATCTGTTCGTACGCAATGTCTGCTTTTTCCTTCATCGTTTCCGGATCTACCCACCCGCTCGGTCGAGCAATCATCAACGTATACCCGCACAAATCGACGCCGTTGATGGCAAACAACGCCGTTGCCATATCTGGATCCACCACCGTCGCGAAACAATACTTGCGATCGACACTCATCTTGATCTCCTCGATTAACGAATCGTTCGGATACTTACCCGATGCCAACGCCTCGGGATATGCCGCCGACAACGTGGACGATAAGAACACGTTCAACGTCTCCGCGTCCACTTCTGGTGGAATGTTCCCAACGTACACCTGCCGTTGCTTCTTCGCGGTATCTGAATTCGGCACCGATAGGTTTTCGTACGCGGAAATCTGCTGCGAGAGCAACCATCTTCTCGCATCGCGTTGCTTCTTCTTTTGGTAGGCTGCAATTTCTTCTATCCTTGTCGTTGATGTTGGTACTCCGTTAGTAGTGCCACTATTTTGTGTCGCTTTTGTCGTCGTAATACTAGTACCACCACCACCACCACCAGTACCGCTCCCGCCGTTGTTCCCGTCGATCGAAACGTGCTTCGCCGCGACCATGGACTGCGGATGTTTCGGAACGCTTTGCTTCCCGTTCGGGTTCGGCGCGCGCGGTTGATACCCGTACTGAATACCAACGCCGTCCGTTGTTTTCTTCGTCGAATCCTTTTCATCCTCGTCTTCTCTCTTCTCCTTCTCGTTCTCGTTCTCGTTCCTCGTCGGTGACTTTGACGAAAACGCTCTCCTTTTCCTTTCCTTCTTCTTCTTCCTGTTTTTGTTGTCCTCGTCCTCGTCCTTCTCTCGTCCTCGTCCTCGTCTTTCGTCGTCCTCGTCCTCGTCGTTTTCGCTGACACCACCACCACCGCGGTTGTTGTTGTTCTTCGTCATCGTCGTCTTCCTCTCTCGACTTCGGCTCCGAGACGAACGATTTCCCCGACGATTTTGGCGATGAGAAGGACTCTGCGGATTTGAATGGTGTCGCTTTCTCTCTCTCTCTCTCGACCGGCTGCGGCTGCGGGAGTCCTCGTCGGAACGACGCATTCGACTCGACCTCATGATCGCTTTTCGTGCGTCTCGCGTGCGTAAATTCTCGAACAAACCGGCGGGAGAGAGCGCAGCTTTGTTGTGTCGAATTTCCCTAAATGCGACACACTTTTGACGCGCGCGAAACACGCCGTCTCGGTAGTAGTAGAGTATGGCGTTACCGACGAAGCAATCCGCGGCACCGAACAACCCTTCCCTCCTCCTCCCGTCTGAACTCGTGGACAAATGCGTCAACGAGAAAGTCTGGATAATCATGAAAAACGGACACAAAGAATTCACCGGGACTTTGAAAGGATTCGACGTGTACGTGAATTGCGTTCTGGAAGACGCGATCGAGTACGATCGAGACCAAGAGAGCGGGAAAGAAACGACGAAGAATTTGGAGAGCATTTTGCTGAACGGGAATAACATATGCATGATCGTGCCCGGAGGGGAGAGGAGTTGATTTAAAAAGAGTTAAAGAGAAGCGATTTAGAAGAGTTAGAGTTACAACACGTAGGAGTACAACACAGCGAATATAATTTACAACGTCAGAAGGAACCATCTGGAACGACCATTACCTGCGTCTCTGTCGTGAGAATCGACTCGTTTTCGCTTTTCTTTTCGCAAAAATCATCGTCGTCATCGAGAGTCGTATTTTGAACGATCCTCTCGTAGGCGTCAAACATCGCTTTCCAGCGTCTCGAAAACGCGCCGATACCGAAAGCGAAACGATCCGCCGGAACGTTCTTCTCCATCAAGAATCGTAAACACTCCTTCCGCTCGTAAAACGAACACGCGACTAACGCGCCTTCATCGAGTAAGTGACTCTGTTTTTCGGCGATATATTTTAAAACCCGTAAGTTTCCCGCGCACGCCGCCAGGCGCGGCGTTTGCGAATCCATACGCCAGCCTTTCGTTTCTTTCGCGAATTCGAGCAACTCGACGGTTCCGATTCGCGAGACGAACTCTTCGATCTTCATCTCGTTTGGTCTTCTCTCGAACGCGTATTCTAAAGTCGACTCTGAGGTCATTTCGTGGATGAGAAACGGCTTTCGAAGTTTACGTTTTAACTGTTTTCGTTTCGATTGGTTGTTCTCATAACATCGTTCGAGGACGAGCTTTTTACACGCGCGGTTCGACGCGGTGAAGAATTTCAAGGCGTTGACGTCTAACTTTGGCAAAATGTGCGATTCGAAAACGTCGACAGAATTGAGAATCCGCCAGAGCGGGGAGGGAGAATCCTCTGAAAGTTCTTCGCTTAAAAAGTCGTTCACGTCATCGCGGAAAAGAAGGCGGGACGGAGGAAACGCGACAGAGGTCATGTGAAAGTTTTAAAAGTGTGCCAAAAATAAAGATGAGTGAGAGAGTTCGTTAGAAGATATTCAATCGGATTAAACGCTACCGGCGCGTCTCAACAAGAGCTCTTGGAAGGCGGACTTACCGCCGCGGCCTCTGTAACTCAGGTCCTCGCCTTCACTTTCGCCTGCGCTGTTGTGAGTACTGTTGCTAAAATCGTTATTTCTTCTTAACACGCGCTTGCGATTCAAATTGACGCCTTCGACGAACTCGTAGTGCACTCTGCGGATGGTAGACACCGCGGAGTTGAACGCGGTGACGAGCGCGATGAAGTGTCGTCGGTCTCGAACCTCTGCGCCGGATACTGGAGAGGCGGTGGTGGCGATGCGCATGATCGAGTGCGTTCGGTCTGTGCGGTAGCCGAGGTAGCCGAAGGAAACTTTTCTCCAAAACCTTTGGACTCTCGTGCCGGTCTGGTGGAATAAAACCGTCATGGCGACGAAACGTTGCAGAGATGCGATTCTCGCTTCGTAGAGCTTCATGCTAAATTCTTGCGATTCCATGAGCGTGTAAGGTTTGATTTGCGGAGGTGCGGATTTTCGCAACACTTGCCCGAAATATTCTTCGTGCGAAGGCTCAACCATGAGCAAACCTTCGGCGTTGCGAGGGTCCGCTTCGAGGATTTTCAGCATCAAGATTTCTGGTAAGTTTATGATTTCCGAGAATTCATCAAAGTCCAACGTGCCGTTCGTATCCCTGTCGCCCGATCGGAACAGTTTCGCGATTTGAGCGTCGGTCAACGCGATGTGCTCTTCGCCAGCGGCGGCGGCGAGTGTGTCCAACTTTTTGTACGCCGAAGTGAATTCGCTCAAGCTAAGTCGTCCATCTTGGTTAGTGTCGAGTTCTTTGAAGACTGTCAAAATGTGCGCGCGTTGTTCCTCCGCGTATTTGCACGCGTTCGTGAGGAGCGCAACGGCGTTTCTGTTGTTGAGTTTGTGCACGCTCAATTCCGTGTGCTCTTCGTGGTAGGACGAGTAAATTCCTAGCAAAGCACCGGCGCTCTTGCCGTCCAGATTGTTCTCCGTTCGCTCTTCGTAGTATTTCTCGCACAAATATTTTGGGCGGTGCCTACTCAAGAAGATGGCGTTTTTCGATAGCGGGAGCTTGTACGGAGAATGGCCGATGGTGATTGATTCGCACGTACCGCCGATGCTTTGAATGCTCGACGCTTGCGATAGCGATAAGGACGTCGTCGCTTCGGCGCTCGTGAGCCCGGAGAGTCGACCGTCCGGTCGACCGACGATTAATAAAGCACCGCGCACGACTCTGTGCGTGTGTCTGTGGACGAGATGGTCGTTTGTGTTCCCGCTTAAAACCGTAATGCCTGCAGCAGAGTAGGAGCACGCGAAAATTTTCGATAAGAACGCATCCGCGCACTGACTCACCCAGGGGATGTCGCCGATGACGATCGTTCGCGCCGTCATTCGATGCAAGAGATTTCTCCCCTGTATCAATCGTATGATGGTTATGGATATTTGCGGCAAGAACGCATAAATCAGCGCGTCGAAGAACCGAGTGATGTAGAACGCCCACGTCGTCGCGAGCCCGCACAAAACGGCGACGCCGGTGATGAGCGGATATCCCGCCGTCACCGTCCCTACGATGTAGACAAAACTCATTATCCAACCTTTCACGCCTTCCAACACGTGGTCGGCCCAATCGTCGCCTTGTTTTCTCAACTCGTCTTCCTTTGCCGATTTCAGTTTTTCCTTCTTCGGCGACGCGGAATAGCCAACAATCTCCTCCAACGCGGCGATGTTCATCTGGTTACACTTCTCGAGTTCTGATAAATCGTGTTTGGTCACATACGCGTTGGTATATTTACGAAAATCTGCGTTATCAAGGATGACTAAGGACATGTGCAAGAAAATTTGCGTCAGTAGCTGTTGCGTCGCGGCTACTGAAATGGAGCACGGCTCCGCCGGACGAACGCCGACGTCCGTGGTGAATATCCTGCTGTCAAACTCCCCTTCGGATTTCATCGCTCGAAGTTGTTTCCCAATTTGCGTGTCCCATTCGCTGGCGACGACGAAAATAGAGTTTGTGGAACTCACTAAAAGATTTGAAGTCGCCAGCGGCGCAAACGTGCCTCCCGAGTGTGAGACGATGATGACGATGGCGTCCGTAAAATCGTCCGTTTTCTTGGAGTTTGTAAAACCAACCGACGGGACCGGTAAATCCTGACCCCATAAACCAAGAATTTTGTTCGAAGAAATAGCTTTGACGCGCAAACGCGGAAACGCGGTTTGTAAATCAGACGCAAACTGCTCGGCCAACCAGAGAGAGACCTCACAACCCGTTACCACGACGTCGATAGAGCCTTCTGACTTGATCGTTCTGTTCACGCGTCTCGCGAGACGTTTTTTCAAACACCTCGCTAAATTCCAAGCCGTCAATCGATTGAGCGACATCGATCCTTGAGGTTTGTTCCTCCAATCGTCTTGAATGTTTTTCAAAATCCTCGGGATGTCTGCAATATCCGTCAAAACAGGATCGTCACTTTCTTTCGGTAACATTTTAATGAGTTCGTTGCCTTCTAAACGCGTCATGCGATGGAAGAGCTTTTTATCGACCGATACTCCCTTACCGCGCCTCGGCGACGACGGCGCGATATTTTCCGTGCTCTTTTGTTTCCTCAACGCGGTCATGGGCTCTTCAACTCTCATCTCGCCTTCCTTGGCTAATATTGCGTTGACTGAGCCACCCATCAAAGGATACTGCTCCAAGTGAGAGTTGGGATAGGACACGGCTGGAATGCGATCTGCTCCCCAATCGAGTAAACAAATTTCTCCGTTCAAATCGTCCAAATCGAGACGAATGGCGGCGTTATCGTCGCCGTATTCTCCGCCGTGTACGCTGGCTAAAATATCTCCGTTGGGCGTTTCCACGGACAACCCAGCTTTCACCGCAGCTTGTTCACTTCCGTAACAAATTAAACCTTTCTTTGGATAAAAGGCGACGCTTATTGTTTGCCCTCTCGCCGCGACGCACAACTGCCTGTGCGCGTCCAACGAACACGTGACCATTAATCCAAAACTCCCTTTTGCGTGCGTCAAAAAGTATTTCATCGTGAACAAAGAATCGTTATCGAAGAACGCGTTCACGGTAAATCGCACAAACTCTCGACTCGGTGCACCCATTTCTTCGTCGAGATAATTATCCAAACATTTCAGCGCGTCTTTGTTCATGCCTTTTTCAAACTCCTCGATGATTTCCTTCGTGAGCTTTTCGCGCATCGCTAGACTAAATCCAATCTCTTGGACGGTGCTTTGACCGTTACTTGCTATGAGTGTTTCGTCTAAAACTTTCTCAAAATGCTTACCGATGTCTTCAAACTGCGCCAACGTCGGCATCGGCGCGTCAGGGAAGACATCGCTGGTTTTCAGCATAAAACAAGCGCTAAATCTCGCCGCTAACGCGAAACATCCTTGCGCTCTGATTAAATCGACCACACCAGCGATTGAAGCAGAGTCAACAACCGACGGCGGTTTAAATTTCAAAACCGATTCTAACCACAAATTCATGCTTCCTTGATCGTTCCACTTGCGGTTCACTTGAAACGCATCGAAGTCTCCGTTATGCGTGATGAAATTCTCAACCGATACGCGCGTCGATCCCGACTTCGTCTGTTTCAAACCGTACACTAACAAATCTTGTTTTGGACTCCACTGATGCGGATGCGTTCCATCAAACGTCGCTTTACTCGTCGTCGCGAACCGCGTGTGCCCGCAAAAAATACGCGTCTGCGCTTTCTTCTCCGCCAGCTTCATCTTCCCTTTACTCTCCCGTTCCGTCTTCGAACGCAAAAGCTTGCTCAAATCTGTTCTCTTCATGTTCACCACTCGACTTCTAACCCCTCGCATGTTCCCTTCTCCTTTCTCTTCTTCAAACGTCACGATCCCTCCCGATTGCGCGCCTCTCATCATCGTCACGTTGACCATCTTCTCGAGCAAATCGTACGCTCGCTCGCCGTTTTGCGAGCACCACGCCGCGTTTAACAGAACAATCCCAAAGTTCCCGCAGTACACGACCGAAGAAGAATAAGAGGAGGACATTTTTCTAATCTCTCTAAAACTGCCCACGTGAGAAAACAAAACGTCTGAACAAATCGCGTCGAACAGCGTCGCCGCGAACGCGAACGTTTTCGCCCTCCTGTTCTCGTTGGTGTTCTGTTTTTCCCTCAATGCAACGAGAGACCACAGGAACAAAATCGCGCTCGCAAACACCGCGACTGCGCGAGAAATCGCCACCGAACGCTCGAAGAAGAGAAGGAAGCCGTCGTCGTCTTTCTCATCGTTCGGAAAGAGCTGGCGCAGGTCCGCGCTTCTCCCGAGTGCACTCTTCAACGCCAACGATGAAAATGATTTCAGCGCTTTAACTGAATTTGGAAACGAGAAAAAAGCGCCATCTTTGTTCATCATCATCGACATCATCATCGAACCAACGTGCGCGAGCTCGTGAAAAGAGCCGGCGAGGACGTACCAGAATATCGCGGAGGAGAGAGGGAAAGAACCATTCAAGGATTTTGAGGTCATCTTTAACCGCGCGCTGTCTGTCTGGGATTTTTTATGAGGAAAGAATTACATTGAGTGTGTTCGTCTTCGAAGGTGCTCGTTAAAAAAATGCATCAAGTACGTGAGTATGTGCGTTATAACATTATTTTCTTTTCTTTCGATTGCGACACCGGTCGCACCCGTTCTCACTGTATCTGCATCGTCCGCACCCGAGAGCAGAGGAGAACTTTTTCTTCTTCGTTTTACCGTTTGTCGTCGTCTTCGTTTTTTTCTTTGGTTTGAGCGGTTTCGCTTTCGTCGTCGGCGTCTTTTTCTCTTCCTTCTTGACTTTCTTCGTTTTCGGCGGCGGCGGCGGCTTCATGGCTGAAGAAAGTTTGTCCACCCGAGAAGGGGGGTTCTTGTTCGTATTCTTCTTCGTGGCGTTTACTTCCTTCGGCGCGAGCGTTTGCTTTTCCGGATTTTCAGTGGGGAGGAGGCTTTCGACTCGTGGAGGAGAAGGAGGGAGAGGAGGAGGATTCACACACTGCAGCGATGGAAGCTCGGGCGGCGGAGGAAGTTGCGGTGACGTTGGTGATGGTGGAGAAGGAGGAGGGGGGCATTGGAGAGGAGGAGAAGGTTCTTCGAGTGATTCTTTCCGCGGTGGAGGCGGGGGCGGGGTGAGCAACGCTAACGGAATTGAAACCTCTCCTCGCAAAGTCGTTCTGCAATTTGGACAGACGCGAGTCGGCGAGCCGACTACCGCAGAGCAAGAAAAGCACAGCTTTTTTCCTTTACCGCATCTTATATCGCTATTCTTATTCTGCCGTTTGAAAAATTGTTGTTGGCGAAGTTGAAGTTCCACGAGAGGAGGTGTCTGAGCAGCGGGCATTTCTTTGCCTTCGGCGTTGATATTAGTAGTATCTTCACCAGCAATCATCGCGGCGGTTTTTGCCTTCTTTACTCTCTCGGACACTCTCGTCCACGTCTTCTCGGCTTCGCGCTTAGCAGTCATTGCGTCAATTCGCCTCGACGTCGTTTTCTCTGCGAGCTCAGCAGTTGCCAACTGGTACTTTTCCCGGAGTAGATGTGCGCCTTTTTCGGTTTCTTGACGCTTCACTCTCCAAGCCTCGGTATGTTTCGCGCACTCGCTTTCTTTTTCTAGCGCAGCTTTGAGTTCCTTCTCGCAGCTAGAAAGAGCCTTTGACAACGAATCCGAGCGCACGGCAAATCGGTCGACTTGTACCTTGTGCCAAGCGAGCGTTTTTTCAAACGTTTCTGCCATTTTCTTCGCCTCTAAGGCTACTTTTTCGGATTCACGGAGCAATCTCTGTCTTTTGACGATTTCATTTTCTGTTTCGCCCAAGATCTTTTCAAATTTAGCGCGGTTTTTTTCAATCGCTTGGAGACGTTGGCGCTCCGCCTTCGTCAAATGCGCGGATAAAACGTTGACATCTTCCTCCACAAATTCGTCTGGGATGAACATTCTCTGATTCTTTTTCTTTTTCTTTTTCTTTTCAACCGTCGACTCTTTGCCTTCTTCGCCCTCGTCGTCGTTCTCTTCGTCGCTTCCATCGGATGATATCGAATCGTCGCTCCCGTCTTCGCGATGAACTCGCCGCGCAACGCATGGTGGCCAGTTACAACGACAATTCGGTTCGTGCTGCGTCGTAAGAATAGTTTGCGATATAGGCTTCTGTTTTGCGCTTCCTCTTCCATCTCCTTCTCCTCCTCCGTCGCGCTCATTGTTACCATCACCATCATTATCTTTGTCGTCGTCGTCGTCGTCGTCGTCGTCGTCGATATCTTCTTCGCGCGCTTGTATAAATCCTGGAACGTTCAAGCCTTCGTCTTTACCGGCGATGAATATTCTATCGCCGTCTTTGGCGCTAACGATGAACGCTCTCTTTTCTCGTCTCGATAGAGGCGTCTCGCAGCCTTCTTCAAAGACTAAATCGCACGTCCATTTTTTCTTCTTCATTGCTTCTTGCATTTGCTCAAACGAAAGCTCCCGCCAACGATCGCAGTTGTCGCACGCGACAAAACTATCGCGTTGCGATTCAGCTGCTTGACGATGCAAACGCTCAACGAGTTCCGTGAATGCCTTTGAAGACGCAAACGCGCGATCGCATGGAACGTTAAATTCACCAGCACTCGCAAACTCGTCGTAAAATCTCGCGTACGTTTCTCGTTGCACCTCTGGATTTCCAGGTGCAACCATACAGAACACAGCGATGCCAAAACCAATGGGTGATGAGGTATAATCTTTAAACTGCACGGCGTTTCGCCTCAACATCACTCGCGGGAACGGCAGTAACTTTTGAAAGTAGTTCGTATCCGTGCTGTTCCGACAGACCAACAAAATACCCTTCGAAAAGCCCCATTCTACTTCGTTGATTGCGCGGTGTATGAATCTCCATTGCGTTTGGGTCTCGTACGGAGGATTCAAAAGCGCAAACTTGTTGGCCCACGAGTTCTTTGAAAGTAGACCGTTGATCGACTTGTCGTATAAAACTTCGGCCGGAATGTTCGGATTTGATAGGGAGTTCGTGCACGGATCGAGCAAATCTTTCACAAAAGGCACTTCAACAGTCGGCTTTTCCAGCCCAAATACTTTGTAACATCCTTCGATGATCCAATCAGGAGTCAAACCTTCTCGCAGCTTTGTATCAAGTTGATCGATTTTTCGATTCTTGACCGTCTCTGCATCGTTTTCTTCTTCTTCGTTGGTAATATTAACGGTGTTATTCTCGCCGGGGGCATCGTTATCATTTTCATTCGCAGTTAACGGTCTCTCGTAATAATGTTCGTCGTCAGATGTCGTCCAAGGCTCATAAAATTCTTCTGCGATTTCTTTTTCTGCTTGTTCTAAAGCTATTGAAGCTAACTTAACCGCGTGCCGATTACCCAACATGTTTTGTATCTTCTCCGCGTATTGCGACGCGTCGTCGAAGCGAGTCATCTCACAATCGTCGGCCCACATAAATTTTCGTGATTTGCCGTATAAGTAAATCAAAGCGCACGGTTTCTCGCCTTGATGGGGATGTTCGTCCCACAGTTGGTGCTTTTGGAGGCAATGCCGAAGTTTCCATACTCGCCCGGTCCATATTTGACTCGTCGGTTTCCCTTTCTTTTTACTAAAGGACGCCGATGGTGTACCCCCTAACTCGGTGAGATCTTCTTTATTACTCGCATTCACATCGTTTTTTTTCGGTTTCTTCACCGTTTCGACAAACACGATCGTCCCGGGAGGAAACTTCACCGATTCCGTATTCGGCGCGTTCCACGCTCGGTCCGGAAACGGATTCTTATTCTTCTTCGGAACAAAATTCACTTTTTGTTTTGGCGCGTAGCTTTTCCACCTCGGCACTAAACTCGGCACGTCTTTAATCGGAATCCTCTCGCGAATCTCTTTCAACGTCTGGCCGTTCTTCTCGTCGTTTTTCCCGTCCAAGTGCCAAGAACCGGTGTTCACATATCTCACGTGCCCCCACCCTTCGGTAAACTTAATCTCTGGATTCAACCGTCTCTTCACATCGATGCTCATACTCCTCGGATTTCGAAACATCTCGTCCTCCTTCTGCACGTAGATGTGCCCGTTTTCCGTCAACGAACCGACGACTTGTACTTTCTCGCCCCCGTATTCGTACGAAGCTAAGAGGTTGTTCGCTCCAACTTTCAAAAGTTTCAGCTGGATGAGCGTGAAAAGAGTGATTCCATCGTACGGCCCGCGTTCGTGCAGTTTGCGCTCTTTCGTCGTCATCAAGTTGTTGGGATTTTCCTTCTTTTTGTTCGGCTTCTTTTTCTTCGTCATCGTCGTCTTCGTCGTCGCGGGAACAACAGCAACAGGTTGTTCCAAACTCTCTTCGTCATCATCATCATCATCATCATCATCATCATCATCATCATCTTCAACAACTTTGTTTTTGTCGTTGTTGTTCGTGGCGACGAGAGTTTTCTTCTCCGTCACTGGTAACGCGGCGTCGTCGTCGATGTTGTTGGTGTTGGTGTTGTTGTTGGTGTTGTCATCCTCGTCGGCGTTGGCGATAACCGTCGGCGTCGTCGGCGTATTCGTTTTTTGCGCGAGAGAAATATCCATTTTTAACTGCCGCTTTTTCCAAAAGTACTCGTACACTACAAACTTTTTTTTCTTTTAACCTCTCGACCCGAAGTCCCGACGATGTTTAAGAAGACGACGACGAGAAGACAATTCTCACTCGCGCTACGGTTTCGCACACAACGTTTTATCATCAATCGTTTTTCGTTCGTATTCATCTCTAGTAACAATAGTATTTGTCCTTTTACTCGTGTGTGTTTGCACCAGATGCAAAATCTTCGCACCAACAACAAAGCCACGTGTCTTTCTCGTCGTTCTTTTCTTCTTCATTTTCAAGAAGAACTTTTGGTGTTTTGAAATATTCGATTTCATCCTCTCCTCCTCCCCCTGGTGTCGTTGTTGACGGTGTTGTCGATGATGCTTTACGTCGCAGTAAGGGACCTTTTTGAACGGCTTGAAAATGGAAGCAGTTATCTCTGCACCCTCGGTATAAGCGCAGAGCGGCTAACGCGTCGAGGTGCGGCGAGTGCGGCGCATTTGGACTTTGAAAGTTTCGCAGCGTATCGTCGGCATCGGCGTCGTCCGCCTCTAAAAACTGTTCGACTAATTTTTTCAGCTTGACGCGCTTGCCTTTTTCTTTCTGCAAAGGAACGTACGTGGACGTGTCGCGGATGCGATCGAAAAGGTTTGGGACATCTTCATCGGTAATTTGGAGCGCTCGTAGATCGTGACGAGCGTCGTGCACGACGAGTTTATGAGGCTTATTCTTCCACATCTCCGGCGTGTTTTTGTGCGCTCCGGCCAGACACGCGAGGACTTCTTCTCTCGCTTCTGCAAGCGTTGGCAAGAGTTTTGTCTCAAAATCGCTCGCGGTGAGCCCCGTGATTTCGGTGCGATAGTCGAGCACTTTCACTTTCTCGTCCTCTTTTCCTTCTTCTTCTCCGTTTTTGCTACAGAACGTCACCACCGTCTCCATTAATACGCTTTCGTCCAAACCGTTTACGACGCAGACTTTCGCTAAAGTTTCATCACTTTTTGTCGTCGCAATCATCTCGCAATCGATCGCCACGTGCGGTGCACACTCGTCGCATACTCCTTCTTTTTTCCTAACACTACTACTACTACCAGTACTACTCCCGAACGCGCACACGTGCACTCCTCCGGCATCCTCCGGTATCCTCAAGCACTTTCTACACCCGCCTTTCTCTTCAAACGCTTCCTTACACGCCTCGCTCGCCGTCGCGCCCACTAAATGTTCTCTCAAACGAAAGTACGTCTTGCACACCTTTCGACAATTCGTGCACACCACGTCGTGTTTTTCATCGTGCAATTCTTTCGCCGCGTGTTTTTGCAAAAGATCCAGAGAGTGGAACTTTTTAAAGCAATAAAAGCACGCGTATTTTAAATCTTTGTTGTTGTTGTTGTTCTTCTTCGTCTCGCCACTGCTTCTTTGGCTTTTAAAAGCTGCGTCCGCAAAATTTTTAAAATTTCCTCCTCGTCGTTGTAATTGTTCTCGTTGTATGGTGGATAAAACCATCCTTCTTCGTCCTCGCGTACTAAAACTCTTCTTTTCACCACCCAAAACTTCGTCGTCGTCGTCGTCGTCGTCGTCGTCGTCGTTCAAAGCGTTCGCGAGTGAGGCCATTTTCCAAGAGAGCAGAGAGAGAGAGTGATGAGAGATTCTGATGAATTTATAAAACTTTTGCTCTTTGTTTTTGTTTTTTGTTGTTTTTGTGCAAAAAAAAATGAAGAAGAAGACAAAAAAAAAAAGAAAAAAAATGCATCATTTTCACTCAAAGGGAAAGCTTTGAAAAGGAGCAAAAAGGAAGAAGAGAGAAGTTTTGCGCGCGTTTTGTTTGATATACGCGTTTGTTTGTTTTCTCTCTCTCTCACAGAAGAAGAAGAAGAAGACAAATGGAGGAGTTCAACGACCCGCGCTTCGATCCGATTCATTACGTGAACGTCGCGGCGCGACAGTGTTTTAACAACGATGAGAAGAAGAAGCACCTTCAACACAAAGCGAACGACATCACCGACGAAAACGTGGAATTGGAACGACTCTTATCGGAGCTGGAAATGCGCTTGCAACTTCTCGGGGAGGACATTTCGTTACAACTGGAACGCGAATCGCAACTCGGGGTGAAACGAATTCCAACCGCGATTGGTGAGATTGAAGTTTTAGAGGAGAACGTGGAGAGTTTGACGAATACGGTGAAGAATATTTCGCGATCGTTGGACGAGACGGAGTTTCCGTCGAAACAAAGCATCGAGCGGTTGAGGAAAATCGACGAGGTGAAATCGAGGATGGAAAGAGCGAGAGATACGCTGAGCGAGGCAGCTGGGTTGGCAGAGTTGATGCATTCGGTGGATTCGGTGTTTAATGGGGAGAACGTGAGCAACATGGCGGATGCGTTGGTGAGGATGAAGCGAGGGTTGGCGATCGTCGGCGACGTGCCGGAATTCGCAGACGGGAGAGATAGGATTGCTGTTTTGGAGAGTCGGTTAGAGAGCGCGGCGAGGCCGGCTTTGTTGCGAGCTTTGGAGATGGATAAAGGGGTGAATATGAGCAGTAGTACTACTATGGTGAGCAGCAGCGGGAGTCGAGATTCGATCAAGTTTGCTCGAGACGCCCGGGACGCGTTGAGGAGCATCGGGAAGAACGAGAGTATCGAAGGCGCGTACGCCGAGGCGAGAGTGGTCTCGCCAGCCATGGAGTTTTGGGTCGCGTTCGAAGAGAAGACCTATAACGATGGGTTGATTATGAATGAGAACAGTCCGCCGAACGATACTAATAGTAATAACGACAAGAAAACGGACGAAGACGCCGCGAACGAGGCTTTCGCAAATTTTCTGCCACAATTTTACGATTTTGTCATCAGCTTAATCGAAAAAGAGGTGAATTGGACAAAAAGTACCTTCCCGGAGGATGTGGCGACGTTAGTTTCGGCAGGTGTGGCGAGTTTACACCGCGCAATTGCGAAGAAAATGCAAAAGCGATTGGATACGTTGTGTTACGGAAGCTATTACGGAGACGGAGCGAATAGTAATACAAACTTTAGTAGTAATAGTACGAATAACAACAACGACGGCGAGAATAACGCGGATATAGGCGCGGATTTAGAGAACATGATGCGATGTAGAATAGCGACGACGCGATATGCCACGCGTTTGTGCGGGGCTTTAGAGCCGTGCGTGCGTAAAATGGTGACTGCTGCGATGAAAGAAACTGCGAGCGGAGAAGACGACGGCACTACAAACGCGCTGGACGAATCCTACTTGATGTCTTCTTCTGACGATGAGGACGATGATTTCAGAAATCGGTTTACGAGCGATGTGGATGCCGCGAACGGTGCGAATACAGATGGTACCAGCGCGAAAGGTGACGGTAGTAACTCCGCCAACAACAAAAAGTCAAAGAAGCGCGAGAAAGTCGCCGCGGCGGTTCAAAAGTTTACCGAAGCTTTATCGACCGTTTTCATTCCGTTCGTGAAGTCTGAAAAAGTCTTTCCTAAACTCGAATCGATCAAGTTGCGAGAGGAGATTGTTTCGTTGGCGACTTCGACGGTGGACGTGGATGATTTCGACGGCGACTTTTTAGCCTTTTCCGCCGCCATCGAGAAGACGTGTAAAAGCGCCTCTAAAAGTGCGATGAAAAGTTTTGTCAGTTGCAAAGAATATTCGAGCGGTTTAGAAACTGTCGCTGCGGTGAAATCCATCGATGATTCGTTGACTCGATTCGTGAAAGCGTTGGAGGGGAGATTGAAAGCGGTGCGCATCGCCATCGGTTTAGATAAGAACATCGGCGGCGCGAGTAGTAGCAGCAATAAAAACCCGGAAGATTTCATCGACGCGAGTTTGAGTTTGTTGCGAGCGACGAAATCGGTACCGCAAACGTTTGCTGATCTCGACGCGCGCGCGTCTGCCACTTTGAAGCAAATCGCGAACGAAAGCAGTTTCGCGAATAGTGGCGGCGCGACATCCGACGTGGACTTACTTCGTGCGATTGGTGGTAAGAAGTACATGGACATTGTTTTCTCGACGCAATCGCGGCTCGATGCCGGGCGTTCACGAACGCTCGCGATTTATTTGGAACCGTACGCGGAATCTACGTCGGCGTCTGCGTTTTCCAGGAATAACAGCAAAAATAACGACAAGTCTGGCATCCTCGCCTCGGCGCATTCGGTGTTCCCGAGAACCGCGGACGCGGCTGTGCAGTTTAGAGACGCGTGCGAACGTCTCGTTCGCGATTTCTTGTTACACCGCGTGCGCCGCGAACTCGAGAACATCGAAAACGAACAAATTTGGACGAAAATGGCGGCGCAAACCGCGCACGATTTGCCAACGTTTTCAGCGTACCCGCAAGAGAAGGCGACAAATTCCGGCGAGTACCTCTTGTCGTTGCCGACGCGTCTCGAAGCGCTCGTGAACGTCGTTGGCGATGACGTTGGCTCCGCCGCGTCAGCATCTGCCGGCATTTTTGGTAACGATGACGAAGACGAGGATTTAGCTTCGATTTGGATGGAGCGTGTAGCGGAAGCTTCGGCAACCATCTTTCTCGAGCGCGTGAAAAGTATTCGCCGCTTATCCGAACCTGGCGCCGCGCAATTAGCCGCCGACCTCGAATACTTTTCAAACGTCGTCACGGCGTTGACCTCTCGTCCTCAAAGAGGTTTGCTCGCATACATGCAATGCGCCAGCGTCGACGCAGACGACTACGCTCGATTTGCCAGAGAAACCGTAGAGCAACAACAGCAGCAACAATCCGCGGAGAATGCGGACTCCTCGCCGGAGGCGTTCATCGATCACCTCATCGTCAAACAAGTCGCAGCGATGCGTGGTATAGCTTTATAATAATAATGATGTACTGTGTGATAGTTTTTTACGTGGTACTTAGTAGTAAACAAACAAAATAAAAGTCTCTCTCTTTTTTCTCTTCTTCTTCAAACTGGATGCGTCTGTTCGGAACGTCGCGCGCTCGGCCCGATGTGATGTTCCGACGCGTGTTTCACGTTCTTTTGCGAGTAACCTCTAACGACGCAAAAGATTTCTTTTTGCATTTTCTGATACGCTTCTCTGGTAATTCTTTTTCCCACTGGCAATATCGCCACCGTTGCGATCGATTTCGCGAGAAACTTTGCGAGCGCTTTCGTTTCTTTCTTCAGGCACTGCGCGTCGCTCACTTTAATCTTCTCTTCAATCTTCTCGTCAAAAAGTTTCATAAAGACAGATCGTGACACAGTTGTCGACAAAATAAGTCTCTTCGCATCGACGACGTTGGCGCCGACGCCTGGAATCGCCACGCCGAGTTTATTCTTCGAACCGAAATGGTGCTTTTCTCGGGCGACTCTTCCTCCTCCTCCTTCTTCTTCTTCTTCCTCTTCGTCCTCGTCCAAAAGATACAGCGCGTATTTCGGTACCAACCTTCCTCGCTTCTTCCCGGCCAAAAAGTACGCCTCCACCTCGCGCACTTGCTCTTCGCTCAGAGGACAACTCGATTCCACCACGTTCCATCCCGGATTCGAGTTTTTCTCCTCCCACGCTTTGATCGAGTCTCTCGCTTCCTCCTCCTCCTCTTCCTCTTCCACTTCTCCTTCTCTCTTCTTCTTCTCTTCTTTCCCTTCAATTATCGTCATGTTCTTCTCCGCGAACGATCGATCGCTTATGCCTCCTCCTTTTTTATGTTTCTTCCTGTTGTCCGACTTTGTAGTCAGTTGTTGTTGTTGTTGTTGTTGCTTTTGCGGCGGCTTCATTCTTCTTTTCAAACGTTTGTTTTTTGTATCTCTTTGTGTCGTATTTTTTGCTCCTCTTGGAAATATTAAGTTAAGCTTCTTAAAAAACTTCTTCAAAAGGCACACTGTTTGGGTAAAAATTAATTAATTCACAAAACAAAGAGAACACGCACATACAGATAGAATACGCGCGCGTTTTCTCTCTCTCTCTCTCTCTCTCTCTCTCTCTCTCGAAAAGAACGACAACGAGATCGTCACTCTTCGAAAATAAAGGCTGATTTATTTCACTCGGGAGAAAAAAGGAGAATAAAAAGAAGAGAGAGAGAGATACATTTAAAGCCGCGCAAAGTTCGGAAGGCAACCTCAAATTCAGTCTTTGGGTAACGAACTCATTCATCACACACCGAAGAGATGGTGACACCCGATGAGGACGATAATAATAACAACAACAACGACGACGAGAAGGAGAAGGAGAAAGAAAACGCGATGATGATGATGGGGGGTCGGACGTTATCATTAATTACGGAAGAGGACATGCTTTTGGAGTATGCACAGATGCAAAAGAAAATGAACTTGTCCAAGAAGAAGAATTTGACGATTCGAGTGGAGCCGCGCGACGGCTCGATCGGAGACGGGAAGAACGATAAGAAAAACGCTTCGAGTACTAAAGACGGGAGCGATAGTCACCGGAGCAGTAGCACGAACAACGAGGACGAGGACGAGGCGTACGGCTCGCCGACTGATCTCGAGAACACGGTTCATTTAACCGATAAGTTTCTCACCGACCGGTCAACGAGGAGCGGCGAAACGACGCGCGTTCGATTTAGCGAAGACGCGTCGAGTCGAGGGACGACGTTCGCGGCTGCGTCACAGAAAGGCCTCGGAAGGAAAGAAAGAGAGGACACGTTCTCGGTGTCTATTTTTGACGCCGGGAAGTTGAACGGCATGTTAGGAAGGCGTTTTGGTGATGTAGGAGGAACAGTAGGCGCGATAGTAGGTAGCAAGAATCATAACAGGAATGAAAATAATAACGTTAGAGTCGGGAACGAAACGTTTCGTTCGTTGGGGGATGTAAAAGTCGTCGAGAAGCGGCGGATTGGGATGTTCTCTGTGATTGACGGTCACGGTGGCGCCGGAGCAGCCGCGCATTGCGCGGCGTCGTTACACGAGATGATATTCGAACAGCTTTCCGATAGGTGCGAGCAAATGGCAGAAGCGACGGAAAAGGCCAGAGATAAGTTGATGAAGATGAAGCGCGTTAAAGTAAACACGAGTCGGTCGTCATCTTCTGAGGATATGAGCAGTTTGAGTTGTAAGATGAGCGCGGATGAGGGAGAAGAGGTCAACGTCAAAACAAGAGAAGAGGATGGAGAAGGAGAGAGCGGGTTCGACGAATTGGTGAAAGAAGCCATTGTAGCCGGGTTCAAACGATGCGATGAAGATTTTTTGAGCCGAAATAAGCGCGACTCTTCTGGCGCGTGCGTGGCCATGGCGTTAATTTGGGATGACGCCGTGTGGATCGCGCACCTCGGAGATTGTAAGATCATCGCGGCGGATTTCTGCGCATCGAAACCTTTGGAACTACTGACCGAGACATTAACTACAGATCATATCGCATCGAATACAAGCGAAGCTAATGCGGTGATTACGCGAGGCGGATTTATAAGGGCTGCTGCGAATGCTGCGAATGATTATGACACGAAAGGGAGAGAGAGCGCCTGCAATTTATTCAACACCTATTTTCTCTCCTCGTGCGGCGGAGTGCTTGGGAGAGGAAAGAATGCCGCCGCTACTCGTGCTTCGAATATTTCTGGTTGTACAAACACAGAGAACGATAAAAAATTTGTGTGCTCGAGGGGTGGCTGCGATTCGATCGCACGAGTCAACGGCGAGCTCGCAATAACGAGATCCATTGGGGATCGCAGTTGTAAGCCGCACGTTTCTTGCGAACCCGATGTTCGAAAGACTCGATTCAAGAGAAGAGAGAAACGAGACGATCAGATCTTTCCGAGTAAAAATAGTAGTAACAATAATAATAGTAAGGGCAAAGAATCATTCTTGCTCTTGAGCACAGACGGTACGTTCGGATGCGGCAGAGTGAAAGATCGAGACGCGGCGGAGGTGGTGGCGAACGCCCTTCTGATTGAATCGTATCAGCAACACTCTCCGAGTGCATCGTCGTCCTCGTGGGGACAGCGCGCGAGACGGGCGTGCGCTGAAGTCATATCGCACGTTAAAAAGAAAGGCGGGAAGGATGATGCGACGGTAATTCTGATCGACATAGAAAGCGCGTTCAATAAATAAGAAGTGCGAGACAATTGGAAAAATGGGAAGTTTGCCTGATTATTTTCGCATTTTGTTTATTATTACATTCTTCTCTTTTCTCCTTAAAAAACCAAGTGCTTCTTCTTCCATTTCTCCTCTCTTATATTTCTTTTTGCTGCTAAGTGTAGTGATTCGTATTATTGCTTTATTAATAATGGGTTGTTTGGTGGAGGTGGTGGTGGTAGTTGGGAATTAGATGACGGTGCCGTCAGGAATCGTCGCATCCTTTTCGATAACAATGATGTAATCCTTGATGACCCAACCCGCATCCTTACCCGTCTCTACGTCTGTCTCAACGTTATTCTTGTTCGTGATGGAGCAGTTGGCACCGATTCTCGCGTTTTTGTCGACGATGGCGTTCTTAATCGTAGAACCCGGTCCGACGCCCAACGGCATGAAGCAGTCGTCCTTGGAAGCGCAAACCGCTTTGTTCTCATAAAAGTCAGCACCCATCAACAACGTGTCCTCGATAACGCAACCTTCGGAGATGTGCGATCGTAATCCAACCATAGCATTCTTAATCGTAGACTTTTCGATGAAGCAACCATCACCGATGGTCGATTGGGTGACGGCGCTGTCCAAAATTTTTGTCGGGGGCAAAAATCGAGACGACGTGTAAATCGGCGCCTTAGCTTCGTAGAAAGAAAACTGCGGATTTTCCTTGTTGCATTGCAAGTTGGCGTTGTAGAAGGCTTTGATGGTTCCAATGTCTTCCCAGTACCCATCGTACAAAAAGGCTTGGACGTGCATGCCCATGTCCTTCGCGTGCGGGATGATTTCACCGCCAAAGTCGTTTTGTTCTTTGCAGTGTTTCATCAACAAATCTTCCATAGCCTTGGCTGAGAAAACGTAGATACCCATGGAGGCGATGTACGGCATTTCTTTCGCTTTTTCCGCGTCCAAACCTAAGACGGTCGTGTCTACAGCCATCGCCTTCAACGCGTCGCCCTTCGGCTTCTCCGCAAAGTCAATAATTCTACCAGTACCGTCGATTTTCATCAAACCAAACGCTTCCGCTCTTTCTTCATCCATCGGCACCGCCGATACCGTGATATCTGCGCCAACTTCTCTGTGCTTCATAATAAACGGCTTATAGTCCATTCTATACAAGTGATCGCCGGACAAAATGAGATATTCGTCGCACTTGGAGGAGTTGAAGAGCCACGTGTACTGTCTGACGGCGTCCGCGGTACCTTGAAACCAAGTCTTGTTCGTCGGCGACTGTTGAGCGGCCAAAACTTCGACGAAGCCCGTCTTCGTGTACGAGCCAATGTTTGCGTTGTAAGCTTGCGCCAAGTGTCTGTTCAAAGATGCCGAGTTAAATTGCGTCAAGCAGTAAATCTTGTTGATGTCGCTGTTGATGCAGTTGGACACCGGGATATCAATCAAACGGTAGTTCGCACCCAACGGAACGGCCGGCTTCGCTCTTTTCTTCGTCAACGGGTACAAACGAGAACCCGCGCCGCCACCTAAGATGATAGAGAGGACGTTTTCCATGTTGTCCGAAACGACGCGCGCACCCGTCGCCGCCGTCGTCGTCGGCGGTTCCGCGACAGCCTTGTTGCGGATGATGGTGCATTTCTTTTGCGCAGACTGAGGTTATCATAAAAGTAAATAATAGAATAATAGGAATCAATGTTAGCGATCCGACCCAAAACGAATCATCGACAAAAGCGACGATGGGGTCTCTCATCTTCTCGTCAAACGCGTCAAACGCTGCCGCGTTCGGAAAAGAAAAGAAAAGAAAACGTATATGTTTGCGCTCTCCGAGAGAAACGAGCGAGATATCTAATCCAAAAGAAGAACAAAAATCACTCACCGAACGCTTCTTCGATTGCGCGACGCGCTGGCCACTCATCGACCCTTTCGCTGTTACGAGAGAAAACAATTTTGTCAGCACAAATATCCAAATCATAAAAGGAACGAAAATTCGTCTCGCGTTTGCGTTCGCTTCACGCGCGCGCCGTCGCGTTTACGACGAGGAACGAAACATTTCGGTTAAAAGATTACTCGTTTTGTTCGCGAACAAAAATCGCGCGCACAAAAAAAAAACGCGGCGATGCTCGAAAACGGCGCCCCTAGGAAAAAACGCGACGCACCTAAACCGCTCGAGGAGCAGTGCATCGCAAACATATCTGCGCGCGGGTGACTGTAAACGTGAACTGTTTTTTGTATTCGCGTTTGTGTATTTGTGCGGAAAATCCGGAATACTTTGTTGTTGACAAAAGAGAGTCCACGAACGTTGTATCTACATCTCGTGGCTCAAAACGCTTCATTTCATCTCAATTTCAGAAAAACCAAAACTGTGCTGAAGAATTTTAATTCTGAGCACCGTAACGAGTGAATATAATTCCTATGGGAGAGTTGACTCGATTTGTATCTATTTTTGTCTTTTTCTTTCTTTATTCTCAGCATATCCTCGCGTGTTCATTTACCACCTTTCTCGAACGAAGAGGAGCCACTTTTGCGACGAGAAAGCTTTTCTCTTTCCCGTCTTCAAAGCTCTTATTATACACTATTATAAATACACACGCACGCGCAGAAGAAGAACAAGAAGAAAAAGACGACGATACGATGATGAAAAAGCAGCGCGTGTTAGCCTACGCGCGCGTTCGGCCTTCTTCAAACTCTTTTCCCACGTCTCCTCGGAAGGAGAAAAAAATACGCGGAGAAGACGGCGACCGCGAAGAAGAAGAAGAACACGAAGAAGAACACGAAGAAGAGGACTCGAAGAAGAAGAACAAGAAGACGAAGAAGAAAACGCGCGCATCTTTAACCGACCCTGGCATAGTGGAAACCGCGAGCGGTCATTTTCGCGTCGACCACGCGTTCGGGGAAGACGCCACGCAAAGGGACGTGTGGGACGCGATAGGAGAACCAGCGTTGACGGACGTGATGCGAGGCGAGGAGGCGTGCGTCATCGCGTACGGGCAAACCGGAGCCGGGAAGACGTACGCTTTGTTGAATACTCCGGGAATGACATCGTCGATGGGCGGCGGCTTGGAGAAGGATTTTACGTCCAGGAGAAGAGAGGAAGAAGAAGAGGGAGAAGAGGATGATGATGATGATGATGAAGAAGAAGAAGAAGAACGGCGCAACTCCGCGGGACTCGTTCCGCGGCTGGCGGTGGAACTTTTCTTGCGAATTGATAAGGAGGGGAAGAAGAAGAAGGTGATGAAGGAGACGAAAAAGAATCGACGGACAAAGACAATGTTTGTCGTAGAAATCTCGATGATGCAGATTTATAACGAAATCGTGGACGATTTGTTGGAAGATTTGGAAGATGGCGGTAATAGCGCGACCAAGAAGAAAATGAGCGACAAGAGCAAGAGGAGCGCGTCTGTGAGTTTTAACGAGAAGAATGGAAAGACGAGTCGAACGAAAAACGTCGTTCGTATGAACGATGTCTGCAACAACAATAATAATAATAATAATAATAATAACAACAACAATAACAATAACAGTATCAACAACAATCACGGCGAAGAGTGGGAAGTTGAAGATTTGACGTGGATGCGATGCGAAAACGCCTCGATGCTCTTGCAGAAATTCGCCGAAGGCAGAAAACGCCTGAGATACGCAGAAACTCGCATGAATAAACACTCGAGCCGAAGTCACTGCGTTCTGAACGTAAGAGTCAAGAAAATCAAGAGGAAGAAAAGAGGTCGCGGTAAAGATGCAGTTTTAATCGTCGAGCAAAGCGAAGGTGTTTTGACCGTCGTCGATTTGGCCGGGTCCGAGCGACAACACAAAGATTACTATCGGCATCAAGAAGTCAAAAGATACCCACTCGTCAACAAGAAAGACCGCGTTCTTCTCGAAGAACTTCGATTCAAAGAGGCTACTCGCATAAATCAAAGTCTGCTCGCGTTGGGAAATTGCGTGCGCGCGTTGGCGAGTAACGCCGCTCACGTACCCGTACGCGATTCCAATTTAACGAAGATTTTGTGTTCTAGTTTGAATGGACGAAGTCGGACGTGGCTGCTAGTGTGCTGCTCTTCGGAAGTTGAGCATGCGTCCGAGACTGCCGCTGCGCTTGATTTTGCCACACGCGCTATGCGCGTGGAAACTCTTGCGCGGTGCCCTGGGCATACTAAGGAAATCATAGAAATTGATTCCGCGGAGTTGTCGTCGACGACGACTGTACTTTCTACTACGCCTCGGGAATCGAACGCAAGCCGGAGCAGTACTAGCAGTAGTATCACTAACGGCACGTTGAATAGCGACAGAGAAGAAGACGATTCGTTCGACGACGACAATGACGACGACGACGACAAAAATTTCGACCGCAAGGAAGGCAGTTTCGATCAAAGGGAACTAAACGAACGAAAAGAAGACCAACGACAACGCTGCACTCTTCAAGAAGAACATCGTCGTCATCGTCGTCCGTTTACGACAAATGTTCGTGAAGGAAAATTGCGGAGAGAGATACAAAGTTTGCGCGACGAGCTCGAGTCTCTCAAAATAGAACGCGCCGTAGCGAAGCAGAGAGCGAAAGAAAACGACGAGCGAAAAGGCGAGGAACTCGAATCGATGAAAGCGAAACTGAACGAGAAGTGCTCAGAAGTCTCGCACTCTTTAAAAGCGATGCAACGAGAAAACAGAGAAAAAGGTGAGCTCGTGGAAAGTTTGCAAAAAGAGAAGAATGTTTTACTGGCGAAGTATCGCGAGAAGTGTCGACAGTTTGACGTGGAGTCCCAGAAAGCACAAACGATACTCGACCGAGAAACTCGCGCAAAGAGAATCGCCGAATCAAATCACGAGCGCGAGGTGATCCTGCACACCGAAACGAGACGAAATCTCGAACGAGAGAGAACGAAGAGCGAGAAAGTAGTCGCTCGGTGCGCAGCAGAGCGTTTGAAATCGGAAGCGAATCATCAAGCCCGACTCCAAACTCTCCTCGAGAAAAACGAACGAACACGTAAAGAAGCGGAAGTAAACGTAAAAACGTTGCGCCTTTATCACGAGGCGATTAAACCATCGGGTATAATTAAGATCACGCGCGTCGAGGATGAGAAGGACTTCGCGCGCCGACTCTCCATCGAACAACGCAAAGACGCGCAGCGCGCTTTACAATTTCGCGCTCTGCGAGACGACTTCACGACGAAACTCGTTGAAAAAAATAAACTTCTCGAAAACGAAAAGCGCCGCTCGCAGCGCTCGCGTTTACACGCGCTCGAAATGAAGGAAAAATTAAAAGCCGCCTCCAAGTCGCTGACTGATTTCAAACTCGCCCAGAGAGAAGGAATGGACGAAATATGTGCGCGAGGCGTGGTCGTGTATAAACGAGGCGATAAAAATTCGAATTCGAATCGCGCGTACGAGCGAGTCGTGCGCGTCGCTTCGCCACTCAAAACCTCGAATGCTCACATTTCTGCGCCTTCGCAGTATCGCGTTTTGCAACAAGGCTACGTTCGATGGAACGCGTCGAAAACTATACCTTCGCGAAGGCTCGAAAGCATTGGTCTCGACAACTCCAACTTCCTTTTGCGTCAGTTGAAAAGAAACCTGAAAAGAGCGCAGTTTGCCCCGTTTTCGTTCGAAGAAGAAGAAGAAGAAGACAAAGAAGACAAAGAAGACAAAGACGAAGAAGACAAAGAAGGTTTGACTCCGTCCTTTTCTCATCGTAGGATTTGAAACGAAAATGAAAAAAATAAATTCTCCAACTACCACAAAAAACCTCCCCAAAATCATATGCCTCCCCGCCGAATTATCCCCGGCGAAGGCGCAAAGTACCAAAACGTCGTCGCGTATAAAGCTGATTTGCACCTCAAAACCTCGGAAAGTTCGCAAAAATTGCTTCAGCAGTTGAAGAATCAAGCGCTGCAGCACATCTGTAAACGATGTCGAGAGAAGATTGAATGTAAGTGTTTTTTCGTTTCGTTTCGTTTTATGCAAGAAAAAAGTTTCCCTTCTCTCTCTTTCGCGACGCTCTGTTTCCCTCGACGACGAGAAAGACGACGACGACGAGAAAGACTGACCTCTCACCACCGCGCAGGGAAATTCAAGTACGGGAAATACAAGCACAAAAAAAGCGCGAGTGTACAGAAATGTCAAAACTGTGTTAAAGCGACGGTGAAATTGCGGTATCGGAAGTTGTGTCCTCCGTGTGCGCAGGAGACGGGGAGATGTCCGCAGTGCTCAAAGAGTCAGAAAGAGCAAGAGTTGGAGGATCGGATGAAGAGAAATAGTAGTGGAGAGGAGAACGAAGAAGAAGACACGACGGATGATGAAGCTTACATTGAAGAGGGGATAGTGATAACGCGAAGATGACCAGGATTTTGTCAACCGCTATGTAAAGAACTCGTCCTGCGTACGAAGACGAGACGGCCGGCGAAAAGCTCTTCTCAATTTTGATTTTTGACGTTGATGCGAAGACGAAAAGCTTTGGAAGAGAGAGAGAGAGAGAGAGAGAGAGAAAAAAAATAAAAAACTCCGTTATCGACACCGTCCACCGCTTCGATAAAACTCTTGTACATCTTCAGATACAACTGATTGGTCACCGGGTCCTCTACACTCTTCTCGATCTTCTTGCTCACGATTTCCTTCCCGAAGTGTTTATACACCAACCCAGCGGAGCTTAACTTGGTCTTGAAATCGTTAAACGTCTCCGAGAACCCTTTTTGGTGGTGGTCGAAGCGTAACTTTGCGACGTCGTACTCCGCGCCGACGTCGAGAACGACCGCGCATTTCGCCAACGCGTCGGCATCTCTCGTGCGAACGATTCGGCAGTTGGAGAACTGCTCCGTGTTTTGAAGCAAGTAGCACCCCAAAGCTTCGTCGCAGTGGAACGACCCGTCGTGCGTGCCGATGGTGTCTTCAGTTCCCGTCATGGATTGATGCCTTTTCGATGATGTTGCCGCTGTTTTCGTATCTCCGAAATCTCTCTTGGACATGCGCGTTCGGGAAAAGTGAACTCGACGGTGAGGAAACGTCTTCCTTTCACTTTCGTTTACGAAGAAGAAAGAAGAAGAGAGACGCTTTATTCCAGACGACGATTTAGAAAACGAGGACGAGGAGTAACGAGAGCAGAGCCTGAAGGAAGTTTGATGATGAAACGTCGAGAAGAAGAGCGACATAAAAGTGATGAATTCAGATATGTTTTTGTGCTTTTACGTGAATGGATTTGAGTCTTCATTCTACGGCTTCTCGCTAAATGTTCGCGCGACCCTTATATCGTCTCGAATTCTCATAAATAGTTATGATTCCCGATATACTTCCACACTTTTCATTCCTCCCCAGCCACTATCTTCTTTTAAAACAATTTTTGATACAGAGCCCGATGAAGTCGTGAAATACCACGTGCTGGTTCCTGCCACCTGAGTACAGTCTATATCGTAGTACTTAACTAGACCAAGTTGAGTTCGTAAAGTAGTACCGTGACTGCCCACGGCAAACCAACCAGTCCACGTCCCGTCACTCTTTAAAAATTTTCGACTCCCATTTCCAGTATGTCTTATTTCATCGACGACTCCATCTGCATAGTGAAACTGTACGTAAGCATAACCACCTAAATGCACATCCGCATGCCAAACATAGACAGTGTAATCACTCTTCGCATCACCATTTAAGGTGACTTCGCCATTGTTGACTGTGCCTGACCACGGCATTTGATCCATGGGACGAACATCGCACGAACTCGCCGGACCGGAGACGGCGTCGTCACACGCGAAATTCGCTTCAAATGCAGTCGCTCCGAAAAACATGTCAGTTTGCGCCGACGTCGCTGCGGATCCAGTCCACGAGGAAATGTCGTGGTTGAACGCAGAAGCTTGATAAAACATATATTGCATATTAGTCACTTTTTCTGTGTTCCAACTCCCAATGTCTTGGTTGAACGCAGAAGCGTAAGAAAACATATATTGCATAGTAGTCACTCGCGCTGTGTTCCAATTCCCAATGTCTTGGTTGAAGGAAGTAGCTTCATAAAACATATCCTTCATATTAGTCACTTTCCCGGTGTCCCACTTCGAAATGTCGCCGTTGAATGTACTTTTACCACCAAAGCCTTGAAAAACAGCCCCATCTATAATATATCCATTCATATCTTCCACCAAACTCGTATCCCAATTCGGCATCGTGCCGTAATTATTACCAGATGCCCAAGCAGTGCACTCGCCGGTTTTCGGTGCTTCTTCTAAACACTTGTACACAAACGTATGCCAACTCGCATCTGGAATTGGATCGGGAGAAGAAGTCAAAAGACAAGCCATCCAGTTGTTTTCATCGGTGGCTACGATTTCCGTGACTGAACCGTCGTGATACTGACACCAACATTCACCCTCTGAACCCATGTTGGCGATTTTGGCGGTCGGACACTCCGTGCGAACCAACTCGATGCACGCCTCCGGTGTACCTACGGAACCAGGATTCGTTTCGTGCGTCGTGTAGTTGTTATTATACACCCATGAACCTAGCGGACAATAGGACGCGGACCAGTAGCTTTGCTTCAATACACACGATCTCGCCGGACCGGTGACGGCGTCGGTGCACGTAAATTTCGCTTGAAACGCAGAAGCGGAAGTAAACATGTCAGTTTGCGCCGTCGTCGCCGCCGTTCCAGTCCATGAGGAAATGTCTTGGTTGAACGCAGAAGCGGAAGAAAACATACCTATCATATCAGTCAATTTTTCTGTGTTCCAATTCCCAATGTCTTGGTCAAACGCAGAAGCGATAAAAAACATTCCATTCATATTCGTCACTTCCGCTGTGTTCCAATTCCCAATGTCTTGGTTGAACGAAGATGCGCCTTTAAACATAACAGACATAGTGGCCACCGAAGACGTGTCCCAACGCGATACGTCGCCGTCGAATTGAGCATAACCTTCAAACGTACTGCTCATGTCGGTCACCGAACTCGTATCCCAGTTTGGCATCGTGCCGTAAATATTACCAGATGCCCAAGCAGTGCACTCCCCAGTAACCGGAGCTTCGGCCAAACACGCATCCACAAACGTATGCCAACTCGCGTCAGGAATTGGTGCGAACGCTCCGCACACGCAATGAAAAGTTGCTGTCCCACACGGTCCAGTAGCAAATGGAAAGAACTGAAGATTGTTGTTCACGTTGCCACTGTGGAAAGTGCAGCCACCAGTGCGGCCGCTGTCGGTATCACCGTATCCATTGGCCGGCTGATCGGCTGCAAACCCCTTCGAAGCGTCGCCGGACAATGCGCGTCCGGCGATGCGGCACTGGTTCAGATTAAGGATGGTCACGTAACCTTCCGACTCGCACGTGTTTTGAGCAAGGATATAATATTGATCGTAATTTGGAATCGCACACGAACTCGCCGGTCCGGTGATGGCGTTGGTGCACTTAAATTTCGCTTGAAACGCAGAAGCGTCGAGAAACATTTCACTTTGCGCCGTCGTCGCCGCGGTTCCAGTCCACGGAGAAATGTCGTGGTTGAACACAGAAGCGGAAGAAAACATAGCTTCCATAGAAGTCACTTGCGTTGTGTTCCAACTCCCAATGTCTCGGTTGAACGCAGAAGCGGAACGAAACATTCCATACATAGTAGTCACTTCCGCTGTGGTCCAACTCCCAATGTCTTGGTTGAACGCAGAAGCTTGATAAAACATACCATACATAGTAGTCACTTGCGCTGTGTTCCAACTCCCAATGTCTTGGTTGAACGCAGAAGCGGAACCAAACATATATCCCATATCAGTCACTTGCGCTATGTTCCAACTCCCAATGTCTTGGTTGAACGCAGAAGCGAGAAAAAACATAGATCCCATATCAGTCACTTTCTCTGTGTTCCACTTCGAAATATCGCCGTTGAAAGTACTTTTACTGCGAAAGCCTTGAAAAGCACTTCCAGTCCATCCACTCATATCTTCCACCAAACTTGTATCCCAATTCGGCATCGTGCCGTAATTATTACCAGATGCCCAAGCAGTGCACTCGCCGGTTTTCGGTGCTTCTTCTAAACACTTGTACACAAACGTATGCCAACTCGCATCTGGAATTGGATCGGGAGAAGAAGTCAAAAGACAAGCCATCCAGTTGTTTTCATCGGTGGCTACGATTTCCGTGACTGAACCGTCGTGATACTGACACCAACATTCACCCTCTGAACCCATGTTGGCGATTTTGGCGGTCGGACACTCCGTGCGAACCAACTCGATGCACGCCTCCGGTGTACCTACGGAACCAGGATTCGTTTCGTGCGTCGTGTACTCGTTATTATACACCCATGAACCTAGCGGACAATAGGACGCGGACCAGTAGCTTTGCTTCAATACACACGATCTCGCCGGACCGGTGACGGCGTCCGTGCACGTATATTTAGCTTGGAAGGCAGTGGCGCTGTAGAACATATTAGGCTGCGCCATCGTCGCTGCGGATCCAGTCCACGAGGAAATGTCGTGGTTGAACGCAGAAGCTTCACGAAACATTCTATACATATCAGTCACTTTTTCTGTGTTCCAATCCCCAATGTCTTGGTTGAACGCAGAAGCGGAAGAAAACATATCTCCCATATTAGTCACTTGCACCGTGTTCCAACTCCCAATGTCTTGGTTGAACGCAGAAGCGGAATAAAACATACCTTCCATATCAGTCACTTCCGCTGTGGTCCAACTCCCAATGGCTTGGTTGAACGCAGAAGCTTGATAAAACATATATTCCATACTAGTCACTTTCTCTGTGTTCCAATCCCCAATGTCTTGGTTGAACGCAGAAGCGGAATAAAACATCCATTGCATATTAGTCACTATTTCTGTGTTCCAATTCCCAATGTCTTGGTTGAACGCAGAAGCGGAACGAAACATAGAATTCATATTAGTCACTTGCGCTGTGTTCCAACTCCCAATGTCTTGGTTGAACGCAGAAGCTTCTGAAAACATCCATTGCATATCAGTCACTTCCGCTGTGTTCCAACTCCCAATGGCTTGGTTGAACGCAGAAGCTTGATAAAACATATATTCCATACTAGTCGCTTTCTCTGTGTTCCAACCCCCAATGTCTTGGTTGAACGCAGAAGCGACATAAAACATATATTCCATACTAGTCACTTTCTCTGTATTCCAACCCCCAATGTCTTGGTTGAATGCAGAAGCGGAACGAAACATTCCATTCATAGCAGTCACTTCCGCTGTGTTCCAACCCCAGATGTCTTGGTTGAACGCAGAAGCTTCACGAAACATATTATTCATATCAGTCACTTTCGCTGTGTTCCAACTCGCAATAGGTTGGTTGAAAATAGAAGCTGCATGAAACATCCTGTGCATATCTGTCACCCCCGAGGTGTTCCATTTTGAAACGTCTTGGTTAAAGGCACGGGCTAGAAGAAATAGACCCGCCATATTGGTCACTTTTGACGTATCCCAACTTCCCACAGGTTGGTTAAACACATAAGCATACGCAAACATACTTTTCATAGTCGTGACTTGTGATGTGTTCCAGGCGGAAACATCGCCATTAAAATGAATATTGGATCCGAACATCTGATACATATTCGTCACTCTTGACGTGTCCCAACTCCCAAGAGGTTGGTTGAAGTTTAGATGATAATTTGTAACTAAGAACATTCCTCGCATAGTTGTTACTTGCGACGTGTTCCAACTCTCAATGGGTTGGTTGAACATTTTAGCGTTCGAAAACATATAATCCATATTTGTCACCGAAGACGTATCCCAACTTCCAATAGGATGGTTGAACTCTATTGCCCCACCGAACATCCCATACATATTCGTCACTTTTGACGTGTTCCAACTTCCAATAGGCTGGTTGAATGCCACCATCCATCCCGTGTATGTGTTGCCATGCAACATATACTGCATATTTGTCACTGACGACGTATCCCAACTCCCAATGTTTTGGTTGAATGCAGAAGCGGAAAGAAACATACGATACATATCAGTCACTCGCCCGGTGTCCCACTTCGAAATGTCGCCGTTGAATGTACTTTTACCACCAAAGCCTTGAAAAGCACTTCCAGTCCATCCACTCATATCTTCCACCAAACTCGTATCCCAATTCGGCATCGTCCCGTACCAAACGTTTTGCGATCGAGCCCAGTCTATACATTCTCCAGTCACCTCAATCGCTGCAGATTCAGCCAAACAATCCCCGACGAAAGCATGCCAGCTTGTATCCGGAATTGGCGAGGGACCTGCGCACGAACTCGCCGGACCGGTGATTTCGTTGGTGCACTTAAATTTCGCTTGAAACGCAGAAGCGTCGAGAAACATGTCAGTTTGCGCTGACGTCGCTGCGGATCCGGTCCACGAGGAAATGGCGTGGTTGAATGCAGAAGCGGAAAAAAACATTTGATGCATATTCTCCACGCTCGAAACGTCCCAGCTCCCGATGTTTGAGTTGAACAAAGAAGCTCCGGAAAACGTCCCGTTCATCGATAGCGCAGAAGTTGTCTTCCACTTGGATAAATCGCCGTTAAACGTCGCTCGACCCTTGAACGCGTCGTCAAAGTCCGTTACGCTTGAGACGTCCCAGCCGGAAATGACGCCATATTGCGCATGCTCGCAATTACCGTCTTCTGGAGCCGTTGCGAGACAAGCCGCAATTGAAGAATGGAAAACTTCATCCGAAAGCGACGGGTATTGGTAATCCGAACGAACCTTAGTACATGTCGCAGGATCTACACTCACAGACAAGGTTGTGCACGTGTACTTGGCCTTAAACGCAGAAGCTTCAAAAAACATATACGACATAGAAGTCACTTTCTCAGTATTCCAATCGCCAATGTAGTGATTGAACGCAGAAGCGTAATGAAACATACGTTCCATATCAGTCACTTGCGCTGTGTTCCAATTCCCAATGTCTTGGTTGAACGCAGAAGCGGAACGAAACATAGAATTCATATTAGTCACTTGCGCTGTGTTCCAACTCCCAATGTCTTGGTTGAACGCAGAAGCTTCTGAAAACATCCATTGCATATTAGTCACTATTTCTGTGTTCCAATTCCCAATGTCTTGGTTGAACGCAGAAGCTTGATAAAACATATATTCCATACTAGTCACTTTCTCTGTGTTCCAATCCCCAATGTCTTGGTTGAACGCAGAAGCGGAAGAAAACATATATCCCATATTAGTCACTTTCTCTGTATTCCAACCCCCAATATCTTGGTTGAACGCAGAAGCGGAATAAAACATTCTATTCATAGATATTGCCGACGCGGTGTTCCATTTCGAAATGTTGCCGATGAACTGACTCGCGCCTTTGAATGCGCTCGCAAAATTCGTCACGGCGGAAACGTCCCATTCCAACATAGAGCCATATTCTGAATCCGTGCAATTACCATTCACCGAATCTGTTTCCAAACATGCCTTCGTAGCATCCGAGAATACAGCATCCGTCAATGGTAAAAGTGGTGGCGGTGGAGTCGGAGGAGGCGGAGGCGAAGGCGCGTCCCACTCGGTGCGAACACTTTTGCACTCTGTCGGTTTTATCGAAAACGAAGTGGAACTCGCGCACTCGTACTTCGCTTGGAACGCCGTCGCCGACTCAAAGATAGAATCGTACAAAGTCAGCAAAGTCGTGTCCCAATCACCGATGTACTGATTAAACGCAGAAGCGGAAAAAAACATTTGATGCATATTCTCCACGCTCGAAACGTCCCAGCTCCCGATGTTTGAGTTGAACAAAGAAGCTCCGGAAAACGTCCCGTTCATCGATAGCGCAGAAGTTGTCTTCCACTTGGATAAATCGCCGTTAAACGTCGCTCGACCCTTGAACGCGTCGTCAAAGTCCGTTACGCTTGAGACGTCCCAGCCGGAAATGACGCCATATTGCGCATGCTCGCAATTACCGTCTTCTGGAGCCGTTGCGAGACAAACCGCAATTGAAGAATGGAAAACTTCATCCGAAAGCGACGGGTATTGGTAATCCGAACGAACCTTAGTACATGTCGCAGGATCTACACTCACAGACAAGGTTGTGCACGTGTACTTGGCCTTAAACGCAGAAGCTTCAAAAAACATATACGACATAGAAGTCACTTTCTCAGTATTCCAATCGCCAATGTAGTGATTGAACGCAGAAGCGTAATGAAACATACGTTCCATATCAGTCACTTGCGCTGTGTTCCAATTCCCAATGTCTTGGTTGAACGCAGAAGCGGAACGAAACATAGAATTCATATTAGTCACTTGCGCTGTGTTCCAACTCCCAATGTCTTGGTTGAACGCAGAAGCTTCTGAAAACATCCATTGCATATTAGTCACTATTTCTGTGTTCCAATTCCCAATGTCTTGGTTGAACGCAGAAGCTTGATAAAACATATATTCCATACTAGTCACTTTCTCTGTGTTCCAATCCCCAATGTCTTGGTTGAACGCAGAAGCGGAAGAAAACATATATCCCATATTAGTCACTTTCTCTGTATTCCAACCCCCAATATCTTGGTTGAACGCAGAAGCGGAATAAAACATTCTATTCATAGATATTGCCGACGCGGTGTTCCATTTCGAAATGTTGCCGATGAACTGACTCGCGCCTTCGAATGCGCTCGCAAAATTCGTCACGTCTTGGACGAACCATTCCGTAATCGTGCCGTATTCTAAATCTGGGCAGTTTCCGTATTTTGGATCCACACCGAGACACGCCAAAATGGCATCCGAGAATACAGCATCTGTCAGAGGCGGCAACGGCGGCGGACTCGGCGGACTCGGCGGCGGAGGCAACGGCGGCAAAAAATTTTGCACAATTTTCACCCACGTATCGCTCGACTCGGTAAACGTGCCGTTCTCGTCGACTTCGTCGCCGACGTCTGGACGCGCGAGAGGGAAATATCTGCCCTCGCCAGGATGATCAACATCTGCGTTCCAAATACCTCTTACGGGAAGTATCTTCTCATCCCCGGTGTTTCGGAAATATATAACGCTCTTCCTCCACGCGTCGTCGTTCAAATTCGTAGGATCGATTTCGAGAGAGGCAGGGGAAAGAAATTCGTTAAATCCTGACGTGCCGTGGGAAAATCCAGTCGGCGGCCCCGCAGCGCCACCGACTAAAGCGAGACCGCTCCCCCAACGCGTGTAATTGACGTCGTTAAATCCGCGCGCCGCTTGGTAGTCGTACTTGTAATTCCAACCAACCGAACGTTTCCCCCAGGATACAAATCTTTGACGCACGTCCACGGCTTGATCCAACAACTTATCGATCCAGTTCTCGTCTTGCGCAAACTCAAAGTTCCCAGAATAAGCCGTACCGTCTTCCCGAGACGGATCGCCTTTTCCCAAAGCGCTCCATGGACGCGCGCGCGAGAATTTATTCTTCGCGTATTTGACTTGAATCCAAGGTCCTTCGTCCTCGATTCCAGACGCCGACCCGTCGTAATCGACGTATGCAATTTGTGCGGCTCCTGAATAGTCTTCCGGTAGTAATTCGTACCATCCATTGACTTTCGGCATGAACCTTTGATTAAGTTCTTTTGTACCAGCCGGTTGCAATATCTCAGTTTGCACCGGCGGCGGCGACGGAGGACTCGGCGGTTCAGGTGGCGGAAGCGGCGCCTCGGCCAGTCCCGAAGGTGAAACGGGTTCGGTCGGTTTTGGTGGCGGCGATGCGGTCGGTTCCGGCGGCGGACTCGGCGCGCTCGGCGGCGGACTCGGCGCGACCCAGTCGGTAGAAACGTCCGCGCACGAAGATAAATCTTCAGGCGCGTCGGTGTACTTTGCGCACAAATATTTACTTTTAAACGCAACCGCGTTTCGAAACATTTCGTCTTTCGTCGTCGCCGATTTTGATTTCCACTTTGACACGTCTCCGTTAAACGCCACCGCGTTTTCAAACATTCCGTCGAAACTCTTAGCGCTCGACGTGTTCCATCTCGACAAGTCCGCGTTGAATTCTTCTCGATTCGTAAACGCTCGCGTAAAATTTGAAACTTTACCGACGTCCCAATCGCCGATGCGTTCACCGTAATGTAAAGCCTCGCACGCGCCGTCTTTTCGGTGTTGTCCGTTGTTCATCGTCAAACAATTCTCAATAGCCGTGTGAAAGTTTTCATCGGTCAACGTGTGGTGGCCTTCCAACTCTTCCACAATCGCCGTCATCTCTTCGATTTCATTCTCCAAACGCTTTATTTCCTCCAAAGCATCCTTTTTGTTACCCATAATCACAGATCCTTCAACTTTGACTTCACCTTCGAAATACAGATTCCTCCCTACGTTCAAATTGCCTTTGACTCTGATAACTTTCACGTCAACGTGCATTTCCTTTCCGTCTCGGCTTACGCGAACGTGCCCGTCCACGTATCGCTTCGCTTGCGACATCTTCGCAGCAATTTCACCACCAGTAGCTCTCCTCAGCGGAGATCTTCGCAAGGTTTCGTCGTGGCAAATCGGCAATCCGTACTCGTCTCGATCTTTATCTTGCCAAGACTCTTCTTTCTCTTTCGTTTTGCCCTCGTCGTCGTTTTTCTCGTCGTCGTCGGAGTGTACCGCGGAAACGAGAAAGATTTTTGTCGTCGATGCGCTCAAAAAAAGAACGATTGCGAAGAAAAAAAAGACCACCACCAAGCAAGAGCGCTTACGCATCATCATCGACGTTCTGCCTCTGCGCGCGCGCGAAAAGAGTGTCGGAGAGGAAAGAAATAATAATGCGGCGTCAGCGCGTTGTTTGAAGGGAGACGAACAAAAAACAAACGCGAAATGCGCGCGAAGGGATTTCGCCAGGGTAGAGGTCCCTTGGAGGTAGACAGAAAGATCGGCGTCCTTCTCTCTTCCGTCCGCGTTTACGACGATCGCCAATGATAGAAAACAAAAACGTTCTAAAAACGTTCGAAGAAAGTGAAAGAGGGTGAAAAGCGAGAGAGAGAGCAGCGCGCACCGAAAGGTTCTTCTGCTTCTCTTCTTCTAATAATAATAAGTCGTCGCGTGGCGAGAGAATTTGTCCCAAACGACGCGTTGTTCAAAGTGAGGAAACGTTCCTAGCTTGAGATAAGGAGTTTAAACTGAAATGAAAAGAAGACTCTTGGGGCGGGCGCGTTTAGTTAACAATTACGAGTAGTATTAGTATTATGAGTTTTAAAAAAAGTTACGCGAAAACGCTCCCCTAGTTCGTGTCTCCGTCGTCGGTAAACAAGCCTAAATCTTGAGCAATGCTCGGCGGTCGATCGAATGCCCCTCCGGTCCAGTAATCTGGACACCACTCGACTAAATTTTTTGGCGACTTTAGCGTTCCCGCGCCTCCGCCGCACACGACGCGCATGGCTTCACTTTTTGTCAATCGCATGTGTATCGCTCGCCAAAGGATACAAGAGGCGCGCTTGCGGAGCCACTTCAGAGGACTGAAAAAAACCGCCGTCTGGTTATGCTGTCCTTTTCTTGTTCCACTTCTACTTCTACTACTAGAGCTACCACTCAAACTACTCGCGTTATCTCTCCGAATCGGATACTCGGAAGCATCCAACAACCTCGAGGTTGCCGCTTCCCACGTCAAACGCGCTCTGGCGACGTCGTCCATCGGTTTCGGTTCTGTTCGCAAGCACTCGTCCATTATTCGATTGAAGTCTTCTTGCGAGGCGTACGTTTTACAATTTTCAAACGTAGCAAAAAACGCGTTGCTAGGGTGTTCCGCGCAAATAACAAACTTGCCCATCGCTAAAGCCTCTGCTGTTGTCGTCGCGACGACATCCGAGAGCGACGGATTGATGAAAATTTTGAAGTCGTCGATGGATTTGTCGAGATGATCCAATCGTCCTTTGAAATCGAGCGGGATTTTCCTCGTCCGGCATTCGGCTTTGACGTCCCACAAATCGTCTCCGTCGCCAAACACGGAGACGGGTAAATACTCCAAACCTCCCTCTTTTTCCTCCTTTTTCATTGCTAACGATTTGTTGTACTCTTGCACCACGTCCAATAGCTCGTGATACCCTTTCGCCCACACAACCTTAGCGATGAAATAGCAATTTTTCGAAAAGCCTAACCTCTCTCCACTTTTCTCATTCTCCTTGGCGAAATCTGCTCTGCGCTTTCCAACGTCCAAAAACGCTCTCGACACGCCGTGTACGTTAACCGTCACCGCATCTTCGCCAAAATCTTGCACCGCGTCGCTCAATTTAATAACTTTGTGCGTATAAATCCTACACATGGTAAAATTCAACCCGCGTATAAACGCCTCCTTCTGTTCTCCGTTTTCCTCTCTCCTCGCGTACTCTAAATAATTCGTGTGTATAATGCCAACGACTAAATTAAACTCTTGCTTCCACCCTTTTCTCCCGCAATGAAACCAATTCAAATGCTCCGGCTCTTCCAATATCGCCACGTCTCTCAAACGCATCGGTATTCTTTCGATGATGTCCCCGACTGGGACGATCGACCCTTTGTCTGTGGCGTACCTTCCCGGGTAAAACAAAACTTCAACATCCGGGCGAAATCCAACTCTGTTCGTCACCCACTCCATCATCGCTTCTGCTTGCTCTTCCGGGTAGTTGAATGATTGCCGCTTTGGGAAAACTTGCCGTTGGTCGCACTTCGGGAGCCAAGGAACCACTAACGCCACCTTTCTTTTTATTTCTTCTTCTTTTTCTCTCTCCTCCTCGTCTTTCTCTGTGCGAGTATTCGCTAAGTAGGCTGCCCGTAACAACGGATTTACGGAGGTTCCCGTCATCCAAGGCAACGCGGCCGTGGTGACGATGGTGAACGTTCGGTTCGGTAAGCGCACGTCGTCGGTGACTTTGAACCGAGGTCTTCTTATGTCTTGTTTATCCTTGTTCTTATTATAATTAGTAGTCGATGGTGGAGACGACGGCGACGGCGAGGTTCCCCCCGACCGAGCATTTTTCGTCGCGCTGCGACTGCGGCTACCATCGGAGATTACCTGCGCTCCTCCCCCAGATTTCGGTGGTTTCCCACCCGAACCCGACGGGTTGTGAGGATTCTTCTGCTGCTGTTTCCGTTGCTGCGACATGAAAGTCTCTCTCTTCGTGCAGGGTTGTTGTGTGTTCTCTTCGAAGTCTGACGAAATTTCTCTCTCAAATATATATAGAAAGAAGAAAGGTTCGCTCGGACAACCCACAGAAGACATGGAAAGTACTCGTATTACGTATGGTATGTGTTTACAATCTAATTCTATTTCAACTGAGCCCAGGCTTGAGTGATAAATTTAGTCACCTCAGCGGCCAACACGCGGTCCCTTTCCGTTTTCGTGCGTTGCCGATCTGGATGAAATTTCAACATGGCGCGTTTATACGCTTTTTGCAGCGTTTGTTTATCCGACCTCCCTCTTTCGCCACCTTCGACGGCGACGCCGCAGCGCACGAGAAAGAGGCGCAAGTCGGCGCGATGCGACCACTGTTCGACAGTTTTGTGTGCCTGGTGTTGTAAGAGGCGGGTGTTGGATTCAGCCTCGATGTCGATGGCGGTGGAATCTTGGTAGGCTTTGAGCTTTTCTCTTTGACGCTTTTTGCTTTCGAGGGAGGCGTCTTTTTGACGTTTGAGACGAAGCCAGCCAGTTTTGCCACCGACTGCGGTAACCCGACGGACGATAGCGTCTATGTATTCAGATTTTTCAATGGCAGAGGAAAAATCTGCGCCAATAAGAGCACCGCGGTGCTTGAGATCGCGAATGGACCATCCGGAGATGGTATCGCGATGGGGATCGATGATACTTTCATCGACACCATTTTCATTTTCGGCGACAAAACACGCGTCCCAGGCTGATTTTTCTTCCACCCATTTCTTTTCATCCTTTGATTCTTCCGCCGCCGCCGCTTCTCTTCGCTTACGCGCAGGTGTTTGTTGATGAAGGTTTGTAGATTGCGTCGCTGCAGCAGCAGCCGCTGCAGTCACAGCGGCGCGTTTTATGGCTAATTTGTGCGCTCGGGAAGACTCTGAATACTCCATTTTCAACTGCGCGTGCTTGAAAGACATAGTTTGTAAATTTGTTTTCATCAGCTGCAAGGTTATAAACGCCGGTCCTTGCGCGCTTTGATACGTCTTTTTCGAATATTGCCTCGAAGCATCTTCGTATCGCATCGTCGCTTCTTCCAGCTCGTTCGCCTCGAAATATTTCAGTTTTGCCAAAGCATCGAGCATTTGCACGTACGAGGTGACAACTGACATATCGTCTTGGTACTCGCCGGTGTAAGGTGGATGTTGTACATGCTGTTGTTGTTGCTGCTGCTGCTGCCGCTGCTGTTGTTGACGGCGAATCCGTGCTTCACGCGCGCGCTGCTCTTCCAACTCGTCCAGACGTTGCTGTTCTCTTACTTGCCTTTCCAACTCCTTCTCTATTTCCTGACGTCGAATTTGCTCCTCTAACCTCTCGGCTATGATTTTCGTCTCTCGACTGCTCTTTTCGAGCAACTCGGCTTCGATTCGCCTTTTTCTTGCTGCCACTGATATCGATATTGTTGTCGCTCCTTTTGTTGCTTTAGCCGCCGTGACTTCCTTCTGTTCATGGGGCGGAGTGTCGCTTACCTTTTTCCTTTTCTCGTGTTGATGTTTTTTTTCGAAATCGTCCATCTCTGCTACTTCCGCCGTGCTTCTTTTCTTCTTGTTCTTCATCGTTGCCCGTTCCCCAAAATTGTACGCGTAGACGTTGTTGTCGTCGTCATCGTCGTCGTCTGACGAACCGATGACAATTGGAGATGATGCAACCGAATTCATTTTCTTCATTTTCTTTTTCGGATTACTTTTTTGCACCACTTTCTTCTTCCTTTTAATTTTCGTGATATCTCCTTCTTTATCGCCGTCGTCGTCCTCATTGTCTTCCGGCGCGGTATCGTACGACCCGTCCTCGTGATCTTCGTCATCATCCTTATCGCTTACTCTTCGCTTCTTCACCGTATTTGCTGCTCTCTTCGAAGCCACACTCCGCGCTTTGAACGCCTCTTTTTCGAGCTTTTTGTGAATGAGGTTTGCAAGCGACGGTCCCGAATGACGAGTACTCGGCTCTTCTTCTTCTCCTTCTTTTTCTTCTTCTTCTTCTGTTTCTTCTTCAGACGTCAACGGATCGCCAATTTTGGCATCATCTTCTTGACTTTCAGAGCTGCTCAGACGTCTACTTCGAATATCGCCGCTACTACTACTACTGCTACTGCTCCCTAAGACTATTTTTTTCCTCGGAATTGGCCGTCCTTCGTTTCTGTCGTCGCCGTTTCCATTTCCGTAATCGTTTCTGTCGTCGTCGTCGCCGTCGTCATCATCATCGTCATCATCATCGTCGTCATCTTCAACTACGAACGTCTTTTCCCCTTGGCCTATGAACTCGTCGTCTGAAGATGACGACAAGTGTGATTCTTTACGAGAAATTTTCTTCTTGCGTAACACGCGCTTCTTCGCCTCCGCGGCTGACGCACCAAAGCCGTTCGCCTCCTCCTCCTTTTTCTCGATGATTTCGACTTCTTCTTCTTCTTCTTCTCCTTTTATACCCTCTGCATTCTTTTGTGAACCGCCACTATCGCTATCTTCAATCTCTAACACTTCGATCGGCTCCTCGTTATCTTCCTCCTCTTCCACGACAAACGCCACCGCGAACTCTTTCGTATTATTTACGTACCGTAAAAACATCGTCTGTCCTTTCTGCAAAAACGCCGGCAGGTTTCTTTTCAACTCGCTCAAATTCTTCGAATCCGATTGAATGTACACCGCCGACTTTCCTATCGCTTTCACTTCCACCGCGACGTTTTCGTTCTCCCCGCCGCCCAGTCGTCTCTTCGTCACTTGGACGTGCTCCTCCTCCAACAACGGTTCGTTTTCTAATCCCACGAAGAGTGGAGAAGAAGGATTTTGCGTCGATCTTCCAGGCGACGACGACGGAGACCTCCCACCACCACCTTCTTCTTTGTCTTCTTTTCCGTCTCCTTTCGCGGTCTTCTTTGACTTCTTTTCTCTCCCGATGATTAAAGAGACGTTGCACTTCTCCGGTAAACAAATTCGTAAATTCGTCTTCATTTTTTTGCTCCCGTCCACGCGACGGAGGAAAAACTTCTTCATCATTTTATAGTATTATATATATATACGCGCAGAGCTTTATTCTTCTTCAAACGACGACGAGGAAAGACAACCCTTACTTATGGCCAAAGGCAAAGCTCTTCCTCCTTTTCCACGCATCTGCTGCGCTCTCTCTCTCTCTCTCTCTCTCTCTCTCTCTTTAGGTGTTTTTGTTCTCTTTCTTTTTTGATTTGAGTGATGATAAACTAGGTAAATTACAACTCAACTAGGACTCCCAATCTTGAATATTCTAACAGAACACGCCGTCGCACAAGCTTTACGTCCTCTCCTTCTCCTCCGTTTCCAAATCTCATCGCATGAGAGTACTCCGAATAGCGACCACCACGGTGCTCCCGGTTTAAAATTTCTGCTCGAGTATTCCAATCGTCGTCCCATGAGCATGCTTCGAATAGCTGATACTTTACTTATTTCAAGTTACTACTCGCGTTCGCTCCTAGGCAGCGCCGCGCAAAAATACGCATATGGAACTTAAACACTTTATGGTATTTTCAATGATATATTTCAATCAAAAATCAACGTACTTCACCTATCAAAGTTTCTTCGATCGATCTCATGAGAGCCGAGTGTCATGATAGGCTGAGCATCGCAAATGGATGCTCGAGAGACGTTGTATTGTCACATGTTTCTGCAATCCAAAAACATGTTTTCCATCCAAAATCAATCCCAAAAAAAAAGGAGAGAACTCTCGATTTTAATCGATACAAACTCCCCCAACGGTACTGAAACTCCTTTTTCAAAAATGAAAGGCTTGGAATTCTTTCCCAAAAAATGCTCTTTCCTCCATGTGTCGTCGTTGACTTCTTCTTCGATGAAGAAGAGAGAAGATATGCAATAACACGACGACAAAGAAAAGAACACAAAAAAGGAGAGAAACTCGCCCGCGCAAGTCAAAACTCTCCGTACTCGAACCCCCTTTGTCCGTTCTTTCCCAGCTCTTTTCATTCATTCAATCTGCCACATGCGGGAGGAGAGATACAAAAACGCTCGATTTGTATCTCTAAAACAGAAAGAAAGCAAACGATGAAGAAAAGAGCTCCCACCCTTCCACCCACTATCATCGATAGAGGTCTATCGATGATAGCAATGCGTGTGACTTTCTCGCGCGCGTGCGCGCGCGCGCACGCAAATAAAAAAGTGATATTATATGCGCGCGCAAATGCGCGCAAATGCGCGCGCGAGAAAGTGAAGAGGAAATGCAAAAAAAAATTCGTTTTTTAGATACAGATACAAAATTTACCGCTTTCTCTTCTCTTTCTCTTTCTTTTTCTTTCTCCCCCAATTTTCCCTCTGTTTTTTCTTTTTTTGCGACGATGTTTGTATCCCCTGGGACGCCCAGTTTAGAATTTTGATTTTTTGTTTTGTTTTTTCCACTAAAAAACACACGAGAGAAGAAAATGTTGTTTTTGAGAGAGAATTTTATATTTTTTCACACGCTTGTTGCAGAAGAATAAAAAGCAGACGAAGAAGAGACAAACGAAATTGGTCAGATTTTTTTGCCTGAAAGAGACAAAAAAGAGAAGGACAGAATTTTTTTCAAAACAGCGCTTCATTCTTTCCTTCATCTTCTTCTCATCATTAGTATTACTCTTTCTTTTGTGGTGTCTCTCTGCCACGTTCAGAAGACCACAAACAGAGAAAGTTTCTGCGAGCGTTGTTGCTTTCTAAAAACACAGAGAGGGAAGCGCTTACATTTCTTTTTCTTCTAAAGAGAAGAAGAGAACTTTAGAGTAATAATGATGATGCGTTTCGGGAGAAGAAATGGTGGTTTTGGGAGTTCCTCTTTAGTGAGCGGCGGTCCTCGGATTGATGCGGGGGTGACGATGATGATGATGGCCAAACGCATCGTCGCGCTTTTCTCCTCCTCGTCGTCTTCAAAAACTCTCGGTGGTGGTGGTTTTTCTGCCGCTGGTGCGATGTGTGCGGGAGGGGGGAGACGCGCGTACGCGAAAGCGACGAAGAAAGCATCGACGACGACGAGTGCAAAAGCAGTGAAGGAGAGTAAGAGAAAAAGTGTTGCGAAAACAACAACAACAACAACAACGGGAGGAGGAGGAGGAGCGAAGAAGAAGAAGAAGACTTCTGTGGTGATGGCTGGAAAGAAGGAGATGGGCGTGCGAACGGACGCGCCGCCGAAAGTGGAGAAAGTGCACGTTTTGCCGCACTTGCCGGTGGTGGTAAGGAACGCGCTGTCTTCTTCGTCGTCGGCGCCTTCTTTTGCCGCCGCGGCGGCGACGACGAGCGCGGCGGCGACGGCGGCGAGGAGTCGCGCTTCGACGACCGCTGGAGGCGGGCATCGAACAGACGCGCCGCCGAGGATGGATAAAGTTACGGTTTTATCGCACTTGCCGGCAAGAGCCGACGGAGGCTGGATCGCTCCGTCTTCTTCGTCGACATCGACGTCGTCGTCGACGACGACGAAAACGGTTGGAGCGGTTGGTGCGGCGGGTGGGGAGGGCGCGTCGGCGGCGGCGGCTTTTGAACAAAAGCAACATCAAAACGTAAACGCAGAAGGATTAGATTTTAGTACCGTAGCGAGCGCTTTAGCTGGAATGGCGATCGTTGTCGGTGGAATATACTCGGTTGTCAGTTCATCTTCTTCAGGTCGCGAGAGCGCAAAGAATAAAAACAAGACAAAGAACCCGAAGAAGAACAGAGAAGAGCTGAATGATGGAGAAGGACACCACGAACCTTTGTTAGCGGAAGTCAAAGCGGCAACAAAATCAGCGATCGAGAGCAAAGAGGATGACAATACTACTTCGGCTGCACGAAACGCGAAAACGAAAAAGGAAGAGGAGGAAGAGAGATTGGCGGAGGATTTATTGATTCAAAAGTTGCGCGAAGACGCCGCAAAGTTAGTCGAAGAAGAATTTACCAGAGCCTTCGTTCCGGATGCCTCGACGTCTCCCACATCATCATCAACAGCAGCAGCAGTAGCAGCAGCGTCATCACCATCGTCTTCCTCGTCGTCTTCTGAGGAGGCGTCTCGGCCACCACTGTACGAAGAAAAGGAAGTGGCGAAAGAGTTGGCGGAAGTTTTCGAAGCGGCGAGCGAGTTGCTGATTAAGGTGAGTGCTCGTGCGCTCTAGTTTTCTTTCTCTTCTTTTTTCTTCTTCGTTTGTTTCTCTTTTTCCTTTGACTCTGTTGTTCAAACGGACAAAGCAAACGCCACATACTCAGCCGGCGTGACAACTTAAACTCCAAAGATCAGTTCCGTTTATTCGGTTCCCTTTGGTTTGTGAGTCGCGAACGGTCCTTTCACACGGCAATATTAAATTCCAACGTTGACCTGGTCGATCGAGGGGCCTTTAGAATTCGTTCTACTTCTGCTTACCCTGGACCTGTCGGAAGACGTATATTCATCGTTGTCGTCGTCGTCGTCGTTTATTGTTGTTTCCTGCTTCTTTTTATCGACCAGTGACTGACTTTGCCCACTTTCTTTCAAACAGAACATGGATCCCGCCGACGCCTCTTCATCCAGTCAAAAACAAGAACAATTAGAAAATAACGTGGAGGCGTCCAAACTTGACCGCGCGCTCGATGAACTCGCACTTAAACAGGCAAACGTGCAAGCGTTGGAAACGAAAATGCGCGAGATGGAAAAGCAACACGTGGAGGATTTAGAAAAAAATGAGCGAGAGCACGCGTTGAAAGCCGAAGAAACCGTGCTCGCCGAACGCGCTAAACGCGTCAAACAACTCGACGAAGAGCGCGTTAGATTTGGAGCGTTAAAAACTGTTCTTTCCAGTCGTAGGAAGGCGCTCGAAGAAGCTAAGATTGCGCACGAAATCGTCGCTGGCGTTTCGAAACTTTCTGAGAAGATTGAAAAAGGAGAATCGTTTGCGCGCGAGATGCGCGTGTTGAAGAAAGTTGCCGAAAACGACGACGTGTTGCGAGCACTTTTGTCTGTAACGGAGAAGACTTTGGATAGACTAGCGTCAAAAGACGTCCCAACAGTCGCGCAGCTCCGAGACGCTTTGGAGAAACAAGTGAAAAGAGATGCCCGGCGCGTGTACTTGATTCCCAAAGAAGGCGGAGGTATGCTTGCTCACGCGGTAGCCTCGCTCGCCTCGCTCATCAAAGTTGAAGAAGTAGTAGGAAAAGATAATAACACCTCTCTCGAAGCTGCCATATCAAAAGTAGAAATGTTATTGCGAGACGATCGTGACTCCGTCGGAGATGCTGCTCGAATTCTTCTCAAAGCGAGCGAATATTCAAAGGCAAAAGACGTCGTCCAATCCTGGGCGACGAGCGCCATGGAACGTGAGGAGATTGATTTTATTCTTAGATCTTTAATAGCGCACGCGAACGCAAAGTCGAGTGGTGTTTGAATATAAATACATGGATATATGTATAGCATCGTCACGAGGTATTTGTGTTTATCAAAACAGAAGTAAATGTATGTTCCATCTCGTTTCGTGTTTGTGCGTATTCACTTGCCGAGACCGCCTTGTAACAGCTCGTTCGATTGAATTTCTCCTTGCCCTAATTGCTGAGACATTTCTAAACCTGCACCTTCTCCGCTTATATTCGTAACGTCGGCAGCTTGCTCTGCCTCTTCCGTACCTCCTCCGCACCAATTGGGATGGACTTCAACGTTTGCTTGTCTCAGAAAAGGTAACGCAAACTCACAGAAAAAATTGAACGTAATAACGTTCTCAACGCCGACGGTACGAATGGTTCCGATCGGGTCGCGAGTCACAGTTGATGACATCTCCAGCGCATTCGTAGAAAAAGACGACGTTGAAAAGAGAAAGAGGAGGAGGAAGAGTGGTGTCGTGTACAATAGCTTCATGATTATCGGCAAGTGTTTCCAATATAAAAATATTTTTTACACGCTCGTCAAATCCACAATTTTGAAATCGATGCTCCTCGGAGAGACAAACATTCCCATTTTCGTATAAATATTAAAGTTCTACGATCTGTTCTTTCTCGAACATGTCGTTCTTGGGATCCACTTGGAGTCGATGGTATCCTTTCGGATCTTGAGCGTCTACACTCTTATCATTCATAATGTCTCGGATTGCGCGCTGTACTTTCTTACTTTTCGACATGGCGGCGATGTTTCGTAAAATTTCTTCGTACGTCACTGCGGAACCCGCGTCGACGGTTTCTCCCGGGTCGGAATTCAACGGTATCGGTCTCGCTATTTTCCTCTTCTTCCCTGGTTTTTGTGGGTTTTCACCTTTCGCAATCTCCTCTCTGCACTCGCCTTTTTTCATCCCCGGCAAGTACATCAACATCGGTCCTTCATACCCTCCAGTCGCGCGCATCAAGGTCGTCGAATTCTTAATCCCGCCTTCGTCTACGAATCGATCCACATCGAAGACGACCATCCTCAGCAGCATTTCTTTCAAGTTTTGATCTTCTTCATACGCTCGAATAGCATCGCTCACTTTCCGCAGTATCTTCATTTGCGCAAACTGGAACTCCCCCACAGTGTTCGGTCTCGAGATCAACAACAACAAATCGATCGGACTGGTGTTAAAAATGCTCCCTTTCGTCTCGAAATCTTTCGGAACGATTTCAAAAAAGCCGTGCCTCTCTTCCACCTCCCTCGCGTCTTCGTACGACAACGGTTCCGTCATCAACGCGTTCTCTAAGTCGACTAAATCTGCATCATCGAGGTCTAAATGATTCAACGCGTTTGCCTCCAGTTTCTTGCGCTCCTCTTCGTCTTCTTTCCCGTTGTTCGTCCGCGGGTCGCCGCACGTCTTTTCGCACGTGTGTTTTCGCATGTTCTTGAACAACTCCGTTCGCTCAAATTTTTCCTTCTTTAAGTCCGCTTCGGAGACGTATCCACTCTCCGGTTCCTCGTCGAAACCTTCCACTTGGTTTTCAAAATCGCCGATAAACTTCTTCGCCTCCATCGTTTTGCGCAAGTACGTCTCCACGATATCGTCCGTGTGGTCTTGCACGTACGCGTCGCACGCTTTCCTCGTTCGCTTTTGCGTGTCCGACAACGCCAACAATTTACACGCGTGCTCGACTTCGTCTTCCACGAGTATCTCGTACGTGCCGTACGTGGACGCTTTCGTGGCGAAATCTGAGAGCAATCTCTCTCTTTCCAACTTCATCTGACTCTTAATCTTCGGCAGTAATCTCGCGTGCAGTTGCGAGACGACGCGATGACACGCCGCGCATTCCGCCGATCGAAGGCGCAAATTCAGATTTGCCAACGACGGGGCGACCACTCCTTCTTTAGAAGAAGAATAGAATTTGAACGCGGAAACCCCCAAAATGCTACTAATGCTGCTGCTGATAATAGTCATCATCATCATCGTCATCATCATCATCATCGTCATCATCATCGCAATAAATAAATATCTGTTGGGAAGTGAGTGACGAATTTTTGTCAAAAAGCTGCCCAAAAGGCTGCAGGGAAATAAAAAGCGAGAGATTAAACAAAACCAACGCGATGATCAGAGAGTATATTTGAATGCAACAATAACAAAAGGAGGAAGAATTACGTCGTCTCGTCATCAAACAGACGCGTTATTAGTAGTATTCGTGCAGCACAAAAACATACACGCGTTGTTATTATTATCGCGGCTCGCCGAGCGCGCCGACTTTTTGCTTTTTTTTATTCTCGTCCACCAAACACGCCGCGAAACCAATCGCTAACTCTTTTTCGACGAGATCTTTCCCGATGAACACGAGCTTTGAGCGCCTTATTTCGCCTTCCGCCCACGGCCTATCTGGCATGCCTTCGAACAAGGCGTGGACGCCTTGGAAAACGTAGCGTTCGTCGCAGCCTTCGATGCTTAAAACGCCCTTCATTCGAAAGAGCGTTTCCCATCGATCGTTTAATAAAACGCCGAGCCAGTCGTTGATTTTATCCAAATCGACGTCACCGTCCAAGACGAGAGAGACAGAGCCGACGGCATCGTCGTGGTGGGTGTGGGAGTGACCGTGGGAGTGGGAGTGCGAAGGGTCGTTGCAAATGACTTCGCCGGATTCGACGAGCGCGTCGTGCGAGTGACCGTGCGAGTGCGAGTGCGAAGGATCGTTGCACTCAATCTCTCCGGATTCCACCATGGCGTCGTGGGAGTGACCGTGTTCGTGTTCGTGTTCGTGTTCGTCGTGCGAATGTCCGTGACCATCTTTTTGTTGTTGTTGTTGTTGTTGTTCTTTTCCCATGACTGCTTCTTGCACTTTTTCTAAATCAAACCCACCAATTCCGAGTGTAAAATCCAACGGCACTTTCGCTTTCGTCGCCCTTTGAATCTCCGCCAACGCGTTAATCTCCCTTATGCGTCTGTGTAACCCGTTCAACTCTGTCTCGTCCGTGACCAAATCCGTTTTATTCAACACGATTCGATCCGCAAACGCGATTTGCTCCAACGCTTCGTTGACCACCCCGTCTGGTTTCACTTCGTCCAAGTGTAAGTGCGCGTGTTTCGCGTCCACCAACGTCACCACCCCGTCCACGCGAAAATTTTCCAACAGCGCGTGCTCTAAATAAAACGTCTGTATAATCGGCGCCGGATTGGCTAATCCGGTCGTTTCAATCACCACGTGATCAAACTCTCCTTTTCGTGTGTCGTGTAATTTGGTCAGCATCTCCACCAAATCGCCTCTCACCGAGCAGCACAAGCACCCGTTGTTTAATAATAAAATGTCCTCGGTTTCCGATTTCTCTCGGTGGACGATTTCGCCGTCGATGTCGATTTCACCGAACTCGTTCTCGATGACGACGATTTTTTTCCCGTGTTCTTGCGTCAAGATGTGGTTTAACAACGTCGTTTTCCCGCTCCCGAGGAATCCGGTTAAAACGGTGATTGGAATTCTTTCGTCGTCTTTTTTGTTCAACGAGTTGTTGTTCGTGTTGTTGTCTTCGGTTTGTTGTTCTTGTTCCCTCGTCGCCGCCCGCGCGGATCGTCGTCGTCGTCGTCCTCCTCCTTCTCGAGCATTCAAAGAAGCCAACGTTCTCCTCTCCGGACACATCATTCTGTCTTCGTTTTTCTTGGATGCTTTGGAAAAACGAGGAGCTTCACAAGAGCGCAAAATAGAAGCGCCTCCTCTGGCTCCGAATACTACGAGCGATGCTGCGCTCATTTTCTTCCGCAAAAGAGGGTTAAAAGTGGTGTTTAAGTGTGTGTATGCGTGTGCCAATTCTGTTAAATTTTGAAGCATTTTTGGGGGAAGTTTGCCCTCTTTGGCGGCTGCATTTTGCTCCATTTCTACGAGCGACACATACATTAACACACTTTTGCTCGCGTTATTATTAAGGAAAGAGAGATATACTAATAACAAAAATGTTGTTCGGAGGAGGAGCTTTAGCGGCGCAGAGGGGGACATCATCGGCTGCGTGTTCTTCTTCTGTTTCTGCGGCGTCGTTAAAAACTGTGAATTTGACGAACGGCCGAAAGACGAGTCACTTGTACTCGTCGTCTTCTTCTTCTTCTTCTTCTTCTTCTTCGGCTTGGACAAAGACCAGAATGTCGTCGGTTTCCTCCTCCTCCTCCTCCTCCTCTTCCTCCGCAATGCGGATGCTTTCCTCGAGAACGCGTGTGAGTGGTAATGGCGCGCACTTCCTCGCCATCGAGCGTACTAAGAGTAGTAGTGTTAGGAATAAGAATAATAAGACGAGAAAATTGTTGGTTGTGAAAGAAATCGTCTGCGCGGACCCGAGAAGAGTCGCGCGAGTGCAACAACAAATGCGACGAGAGATTGGAAATATGTTCCAAAACGACGCGAAAATCAAAGGGATGTTGAACCCGGACGTGAAATTCGGGGTGGACGTGAACAGCACGACGTTAGCGACGGTGGCGGATTGCGAGGTATCGAACGACTTGCAAGTGGTAAAAGTCTACGTCTCGGTCCTCGGCGACGAGAGAGGGAAGAAAAACGCCATGAAAGGCTTGCAAAAGCTCGAAGGGTACGTGAGAGGTAAAATCGGCTCGAAGATCTCCCTGAGATTAACTCCGGAAGTCCGATTCGTGTTGGACGAAAGCTTCGAGCGAGGGCAAAAAGTAAACTCGATTTTAGACGTCTTGAGAGAGGAACGCGAAAGAGGATCTTCGTCGTCCTCAAACGCAACGAAAGAAGAGATGATGGCGATCGAAGATACCATCGCGGAGAGAGGAGACGACGAAGAGGAGTGGTTAGAGGACGACGAGGACGAAGTTTTCGAGGAAGACGAGCAAGAGGTGGTGATTAAACCTTTGAGGAGGAAGAAAAATTGAGATTGAAAAGAAAGAGAGAGAAGAGCGCATATACGTAACAAGACCAGACAGTGGTAGACGAAGAGAGAGAGAGAGAGAGAAAAACACGCATTTATGTATTCGTACGCTCTAGCACAACAGTGTATTGCTTTAAAACAACCAGTTTAACATGTAAATATATATCTCGCGCCATTCTGAGCTCAATTCCCCCCTTTTCATATATTCCCCTCGTGTTGTACTCCAGTCCTCAGAATTTAATAACATTTCTCCTTCGAGACAGTCACCAACCATGCCTCCACCCCCTCATCCACCTCCCCCATCGAAGAAGAAGAGGAAATACAAGCGACCAAAGTCGTCGTACTTCTTCTGGCTTGGCGTGTTGTCCATTTTTTTCGGCGTCGAGTTGTTGCAGAATTTTGCGCGATATTTTATCGCGAAAAATCCATCCGCACTCCGAGCGACGGAGTATCACGAGAGCGGAATGACGATGACGTCGCTGACGCATCGCGACGATGATGATACTAAATATAATAATAAGAATGTCGACGAGAGCAGTCGAAAGAAGGATATTTTGATCTCTTCTTCCGATGATGAAACCACGGCTTCTTCTTCAACAAATGCAGCACTTCTTCGACAACACGAAACGAGCAACAGAGGAAGCCCTCAAGCCGCGATGAAGAACAACAACGCGTGTCGATGCGCGGACGACGACACAAAATCCATCCATTGTAACGTGAATTACCCCGAGGAGTCCGCGGTAGCCGCATCGTGTGTGTTTAGAAATCAAACGCGATCAGTCGTGTATGCGTACGTGAAGAACGCGCTCGCCGCGTCTTCGTCGCCGCGAGAGGAGGATTTTAGAGGCGTGACGAGGCGGCAAAGAGAAGCTCGTCTTCTTCGACGATTGAACAACGCCATAGATTATATCAGAGGGAATCACGAGAGCGAAGAAAGTGTGAGAAGAAAGTTAGGTTTGACCGAGGAAGAGATGCGCGCGGCGAAGGACGTAGTTCGGATCGAGTTGGCGGGCGCCAAGGCTATTTTAGGAAAAATCCCGCAGCTCATCGTGCCGAGTAAATTTGGAGCGACGGATTTAAGCAGAGATATGTTTTATACGAAAATGAATTGGGCGAGAATTCGAGATAAATACGATGGTTTTTTTAACGAGGAGAGTTCGGATATGTTGCCTTTCAACGAGGAGGAGTTTACAAAGCTGAGAGTGTTTGAGACATGCGCGGTAGTTGGGAATTCAGGATCGCTTTTGAAATCGAGTTTAGGGGTAGATATTGATTCGCACGATGCGGTCTTTCGTTTGAATAACGCTCCAGCAGGAAATGGCATGATGATGAATGGAGGAGAGAGCTTTGAGAACAGTAATGGTAGATTGATGCGGGACGTGGGCGGAAAAATAACGGTGCGCGTGTTAAATAAAAAATGGACCGAAAAGTGGAGTTTAGAGAGCGAGAGTAAAATCACTGAACGCTTGGAAGCCGATTTGGAAACCAACGAGAAAGTTCTATACATCGCTTCGCGGTGTAACGTGAAGGAGTTTACTAAGTTTTGCAAAAACACGGTCAAGAGGAGACCAAATTTCGTGAAGGCGTTGTTTTTGACTTCGCGAGCGAATTCGCACGCGGCGAAACTTTTGTCAATTTTTCGTCGGGGCATCTCCGAGATTCTTTCGCCAGTGGTAAATTACAAACCAAGCGACGCGTTCAAGTTCAATGGTGGTGATTCGAGCGATAGAAGTGGTGCTGGCTTCGATGCCACCTTGGATATTTTCAAAGGTGGTAACGCCCCTTCGACTGGATTTTTGACCGCATACATGGCGCTTCAATTCTGCGGTAACGAAAGAGGAGGAGGAGGAAGACGAGGGGCGGCGGTTTCGGTTTTCGGTTTTAGTGCAGATGAGTGTAAAGTGCACGGGTGCAAAACGAGTGGAGCGTACCACTACTTCCCTAAAGAACGCGGCGAAGCGAACTACGAACCTCGAGCGCACCCGTCTCACGCGTTCGACTTGGAAGCGATGGTCTTGCGAGGCATGGAAGAGAGCGGCTACTTGGCGTATCATTAAATAGAATAGTAATATAGTACTAGGTAGTAAATTATAACAAAATGAGTAAGTACAAAATAGTATGAAGTTATATACAAGTTATTTATATACAGACCGTGATCGTCAACTCACGGCGCAGCACTGCTTCTTTTCCTCCTCCTCCTTCTCCTTTGACGAAGAAAACGACGACGCCGAAGAGTCCAAAGAGAGAGTCGGATACGCTCTCTTTCGCTTCGTTCGAGCGTTCTCCTCTTCCTCTTCTTTTGATCTTTTGCTTCCTCTTTTCCTCCTCTTTTCAACGATCTGTAGTATCGACCGGATCTCTTCTCGTACTTCTTCTTCTTCTTCTTTGACGTCGGGGTCGTCTCTTCGTTTTTTAACCAAAGTAGTATTTTCTGATGACGATGATGCTTTCACGTCGTCGCTTTTCAAAGTCAACAACAATTTTTTTCGTCTTTTTCTCTTCCTTTCCTCTCGAATGGCTTTTTCCACGGTCGCGTCGAAGCGACTGTAAATAATCAGATTTCTTTGCATCTTTCTTAGGTGTCTTCTTCCCACCGAGGACGACGACGACGATTCACCACCACCACCGCCAAATGGTGACGCGTACGCTATTTGTAAGAGAAGCGTTTCCAAACGCGCGTGTTCGACCTCGTTCGCGACCGAAGCGACGCCATTTCTTTTCGACGAATGTGCGCATGGCGCCATTTGTATCTAAGCGAGGGAAAATTAAAAGACGCAAAAAGAATTCTTAATTAAAGCGCGCGCGCGCGCTTTACGACTTTCGCGTCGTCGATACACGCGCAAAGACTCTCTCACGATGCGAATAACAAACCCTAAGAAGCGCAAGTTATTTTGCCTTGATTCGGGCCTTATCGTTTTATTCGTGCGGTCTCAAAAATCGCGCGCTTTGTATTAAATTGTGCGTCAAAAAGGTGTCACCAAAGGTCTTTTTCTTTTGATACGCTTGCGTGGCAGCGCGAGGAATAATTTCTAGAGGAGGATATTTTTGACAAACGAAAACGAATAGACGCCTTCTCGCTTCTTGATTGGCGGGGTGTTTCGCTTTTTTGTTTTGGTGGTGATGGGCTTGTTTGTCGAGTGGTGATGGAGCAAGAGATATTTACTAACTACTCTTTTTTCTTTCAGAAAATATCACAACAACCTCCCTAACGCGGAGTGACACTTACTCTTTAAAATGCTCACGGCTTCTTTGAAAATGACGTCTGGTTTCCTCGCGCCGACGGATTCGATGGTGAAGATGTAGTGATCTCGCTTTTTCAAGACGGCTATTTTGGAATCCCAACCGGATTCGCCGGAGAGCTCGCGAATGCGCTCTAAGCACAAGTCGCATCCTCGGATGGATTTGATTTTGACTTCGGCTTTCTCGCCGGAACCCTTGAGTTCAAAGCACTTGTGGTTTGGGATCGGGTCGCTGCACTCGCTCATGAAAACTTTCGCGTCGGCGCCGACGATTGGTTTTTTGAAGTATACGGTCGGGACGAGACGGTACCAGCACGTGCCAACCGGGGAGAATTTCGCGTGGTCGGCACCGATGGATTTCATGCAGTGCGCTTCGAGCTCAATCTCTTGTCCGGGGACGAGTTTTGCGAGGAGAATGTCGTCGTGGACGGTTTTGATGCCCTCTTTCCCGAATTTCGTCTCCTGCGACGTGGAGAAGTTGCTAAACGTTTTGATTTTCTTTTTCTTCCTTTTTTTCTTTTCGTCGTCGTCGCTCATGTCGTCGTCGTCTTCATCATCATCATCATCATCATCATCATCATCATCCGCGCCTTCACCGCCTTGACTTTCGTCTTCCAACTCCGATCCTTTCGGTAACCACACTAAATCTCTCGAATATACTTTTTCGTGTAAAATCGAATCCGGCAGGATGTTCCCGCTCGCGTCTCTCTCCTTTTGACACTTCACGTGCAGTTTAAACACGATCGTGTTCTTCTCGTTCAATAAATCTGTGTGCGTATCTTTATCGAAACTCTCAAATTCGTTCGGATCGGCTAAAATAGGCACTAAACCTAACCTATGCGCGAAAATTTCATCCGCAATCACGCTCGTGTTTTGTCGAAAGTATACCCTCTCGATCGCCATGGACGGCACTTCGGATATGATAATCCTCCTAAACGCGTTCGCGAACGCCGCAGATATCCCTTCCATTTCAAACTCCAACGTGTGCGTCGATTCGTTATTCTCCGTGACTTTAATCGTAAAATTTTTCCGAAACTGTTCCAGCGAAAACGCATCTTCGTCTTCCTCCGTCGCCGCTGCGCCACCACTGTACGCGTTAAAGTACGCTCTCTCTTGCGTGTGTTTATTTTCAGCGAAACCAACGGAGACGAATTTCTTTTGCATCTCCAAGTGCGAGGCTATTTTCTCCTCCGCCACTTTCTCCGTCGTCGTCGTCCCTTTGTTGGACGACGACGATGGGGGGTTCGTTTTCTTCTTCGCCGCTGGCATGATTAAATTCCGGCGGCGTCACGAATGTATGTGACTCTTCTGCCCCTCTCTTCTAAAACGCCGTGGTATCCTTTCGCTCTCGATCAAAAAGTCGCGCGCGAAATAAAAGAGCGGCGAATATTCTTCTTCTTCTTCCGCGATGACTTCTTTTCTCCTCCTCTCTCTCTCTCAAGTCTCTCTCTTTCTCTGTGTGAGTAAGTAAGTGTGTGCGTGTGATGCGCGTAAAAGCAGAAAAGACTGACGCGAAAAATTTCTCACAAAACAAAAAGCCAAAGAGAATAATAATCTCAACGCTTTTTTTTTTATCTCGCGATGGTTTTTCTCTCTTTTCACACAACACACAAAGACAGACACAAACAGAAAGAAGTGGGAGAAGAAGAGGGAGACGACGACGACGTGGAGCGATTGCGGAGGATTCTCACGTGCGTGCCGTGTGAAGACGACGTCGTGACGAAGCAAAATCATCAGATGCGAGAAGAGGAAACGGCATGTATTGCTAAAGGAGTGAGTTTGAGGAAGAGAGGGCACGAGTGCGATGTTTGCGAGAAGGTGTTTGTTAGTCCATCCAAGTTGGCCATACATATGCGCATGCACACGAAGGAGAAACCGTACGAATGTGATGTTTGCGATAAAGCTTTTCGTGAATCTGAAAATTTGAAAGTCCACGTGCGTATGCACACGAACGAGAAACCGTACGAGTGCGATGTGTGCGAGAAGCGTTTTAGTCAATCTAGTAATTTGCAAAACCACGCGCGCAACGTTCATTAGCTCATTAATAGTCATATTGTACCATATGCATTTGCCTTACATTCCGAGTGAATCGAACGAACGTTATTATTTCCCGCTTTTAAAACTCTTCGTCTTTCGTCTTCTTCTTCTTCTTCTTCTTACTTCCTCTCAGTGCACATATTTTTGCCATTTTTTAACATCGCGAATTTCCTGGAAAACAGATCAAAAACACAAGACAATTTCTCGTCATTTCTTTCAACACCAAAAGTACATTTACGTTTTCTGCACATATCATCATCACGGGAAGCGTTGAAGAAGAGGCTCATAAATGAAGGAACGAGCGACCGAAGGAACAACCTTATTGACATCATCATCATCATCATCGACAAAAGCAATGAAAACGACGACGACGAAAACGTCTGTATATTCCGGGAACATGCACCGAAGTTCCCTCCACGCGCACTACGAGACGGGACAATATGTGAAAAACCAAACCTTCTTGGAAGACGAGGAATACTCTCGCGCGTTAGATTGCATCGTGAAAGGGTGCGCGGACGTTCTGTTGCGAGACTCGGAAGGGAGGATTTTAATCGGGTACAGGAACGTGGAACCGGCGGCGAACGGGCCGTGGTTTATCGGCGGGAGGATTAAAGTTGGCGATTCGGTGTTCGAAGCGGCGAGAATAAACGTGAAACGAGAGTGTAAAATAGATATCGAAGAGACAAGATTTGAAGTCGTGCACACGTCCACGCACGTGTGGGCGAAGAGGAAACAAGCGCCGAGCGAGAATGGTACCGGAGACGTGATTGTGGTGTCCACGGCGACGATTACGGACGAGGAGAAAGCGAACGTGGAGATGGTGAATACCGAGTACGACGGGTACGCGTGGAAAACGCCGGAAGAGGTCATTAGCGGCGAAGAGTATCATCCGGCGTTGAAAAATGCGGTGAAGGCGATGTTTTTTAGCATGAGACAAAACGATTTGATCGCGGCGGTGAGAGAGGGTAAGAGCGACGGTGAAATTGCCAAATTAGCTCGCGAGGCGTTCGCGGAGAAGTAAATAAAAAAAGGTCACTCACGCCTTACTTACTAAGTAGTAGCATCTCGTGTTTGTACATTTGACATTTAATGATGAAGTATAATTTTTATTATAGTAACAGTGTGTTTTACATTTTGATGAATTTCTTCGCGGTGACGGCTCGAGACGCTCGCGTCGCGCGGGGTGCCGATTTCTCTTTCGAAGGCGGCGGCGCTTTCTTCTTTCCCTTCATTTTCTCCGCGACTGCAGCGGCGGCTCTCGATGCGGGCTTTGTGGCCGTCTTCTTTGCTGCCGGGACCGGTAGCGCCTCTTCTTTTTCTCGTTCTCGTCTCGCTGTCGCGGTTCCCGTCGTTGCTGCTTTCGTCGTCGTCGTCGTCGTCTCCTTCGGCGCTGCTTTGTCTTTCGCAGCTGCCACAGCCGACGACGCTTTTTTCTTTTTCTTTGCCTCGCCCTTGTCGTCGAATAAGTTTTGCAACGCTTCGTAGTTGATTTTCGATGATACGCCGCGTTTCTTGATGAGGACCGTTTGCGCAGCCACGGCGGCGTTTTCCGCTCGTTGATACTTCTCTTCTTTTTTCTTCGTGTTGTATTTCCTTCTCGGTGGTTGATTGGATTCTCGAGCAGCCGCATCCTTGCTCGCCGCCTCTTTCGCCGCTTGCGATTCTAAATAGTCTTTGTTCATTTCCGACCAAATGACGCGTTTCAAGTTGACTTGTTCTTGATTGTTCATGTACTCGTTGATGTCCTCGTCTTCTATATCCGAGCACACGTCTCTCATTTCCTCTTCGTCGTTGGTTGGCGTGTCGACTCCGTTTTCCGTTTTGCCCTCTTCCTTCTTTACGTCCGGGTTATTCAACTTCCTCAGCGCCTCTTCGTTCTTTTTGATTTTATCGTTGAAGGAGGTTCCCGGCAGCGGCGGTTCCTTATTCACTTTGTATTTTCTGATGTTTTCAGCTGCTTCCTTCTTCGCCTTCTCGGCTTTATTGTCTACTTCTATCTTGACTGTATTTTCCGGAGGCGTAAAGTCTTCGTTACCGAGCAATATCAAGTCGTGCGATGGGTAAAGCGTGTTTAAATGCTCCAAAGCGCCGTCGTCGAAGCATCCTAAATTGATCAAATAGTGCATTATTTCGAGCCGAATATCTTTGGTAAACTCGCCGATATCGTCTCGGAAGTGCTCTCTCAAAACGCATCCTTTCGCTTTACCGTGAACAAACGGTAAACAATGCGTTTCCGCCGGCTTTGTACCAACAATTCTCTTCAAAACTTTCTCCGCTTCGATCATAAACTTAAACGGCGGCTCTTTCAAAACGACGCGTTGCACTTGCACTTGGCGAATAACCTGCGGCGGTCGTCGTTCTTCGATTTGGGTTTGAGCTGCCGCCGTGGCATTAGCGGCACCCGCGGCAGGCGCTGAGCTTTGCACGACGCCAGCGATCATTGCAAACTCGTTAATTTCGCCCTCTAAAAGTGCGCCTTCAAATTCAGCTTGAACTTCCGCCTGGCCGGCTTCAAAATTTGCGATTCGTAAAATCCTCGGTTGGAGTTGTTCCATGTCTCGTTTTTTCTGCGCGGCGGTAAACGCCGGGGGATCCATCCCACCCAAAAAAGTTGTTCCACCGGAAACCTTCACGTAATCAATGTAGCACGCTCGACACATGCCGTGTTGAAAGTGCTCGGGCATGTTGTCGTCGTCCCTGTGTTTGCACGTCAGCGTCGTCGATCCGCTACAGATGAGATCTTGTTGCTCTTTACTTCCAATAAAGTCGTCGTTTTCATACTTTTGGGCTTGCGCGTCGAATTCTTCCACCGACAACAGCGCCGCCGGCGTTGAGCTAAACTCCGTGATTCTTTTCTTCAACGTTTGCTCGCCGATGTGTACGATCGAAACTACGTCACTTTTCGATCGATCGAAGCCGTGAACGTGTGAGGCGACCCAAAGCGCGGCGCCGCAAATCCCAGCCGGACGACGTCCAGTTTGCATCCAATCCCGCTTCATAGAAGCTACGAGCCTTAGCGCGGTGTTTGACACCGAGTGCACTCTCTTCCCTAAATTCATCTTATCCGCAAACCTGTGAATAAACAACGAAGGATCAATCGGTCTTTGCATCAACGGATGTTGCTCCAATCGCATCAATCGACAGAGCTGTAAAAATACCCCACCCAAAACGTACACGTTCGTTTGTAGAACGTCCGAAAAATCAATCAACATGTACGGTCGATTCTCTTGTCTGCACACGACGTACAAACACGCCCCGGCGACTTGCGCCGTCCTTCGTCCTCTCGTGAAGTTTCTCGACACCGCGATTTTATACAATCTGTGCGCCGAAGTCGTGATGTCCTCTCTCGGTTTCATCGCCAGTCGATCCGCGATTTGGTTAATCTCCTGTTTTCCTTTATTCACCGTCTTCTCGTGCGAATCTATTTGTAACCCAAACACTCTCCCACCTCTGGTCGGTCTCCCGACTGAGTGCGCTATACCCGATTCCGGGACAAAGTTCCCATCCACTTGAATCGCCCCACCGCTGGTTTTCGAAAACGTTGGATCCGTGCTAAAGACGGAATCGTCCAGAATCTTACCGCACACCGTGCAACACGTGAATCCATTCGCGTCGTTCACTTCCGCGACGACGTCAGATTTGCACTGCGAACAGTACTGAGGGATCATCTTTTCTTTTTATTTTGCTCCTTGAATTCGCGCCGAATTTGATTTACACAATTCTCTCAATCTCTCAATCTCTCTTTTTTGTTTTGTTCAGGTGTTTTTTGCGATGATGCGACGGAGAAGCGGCGAAGAGTTGCTCACCTTTCTCTCTCTCTCTCTTTCTCTCCCTTCTCTGTGATGTAGTAATAATATAATATATGCGTGTGTGTTGTTGTTGTGTTCTGATGAAAAAAAAATTGGATTGGAGCAAACGGAACAAAAGCACTTGAAAAAGCAGAAGAGAGTTGCATCTAGAGACCAGGAGAGACCCGTCGCACGAAACAACAAACAAAACGAAAGTGGACGAAAAATCTGACGAGAACGCAGCTGATCCAACGATACAAAAAAGGAAGAAAAGCAGCTCGTGTGTGGGAGAAGAAGTTATCTCCTTCTCATTCGCGCACAAATCTTTCTTTCAAAAAGCGCGCGCGCGCCAAAAGTGGTGAAAGTGTGTTTTTGGTCGTTGGAAAGTATCATCTTTGGGATCTCACTCTTACTCGCACTCTCGTGGTCGTAAAAGAGAAAGAGATCGCGCCGGTGGTGCGCGCGCATTTTTTGCGCGGGGAAAGGCGGGGGCGCTTTTCTCTTCAGGTTTCTTTTTTCCCGCAAAACATCGTATCAAGTTGGTTACGCTTTGGTTTTGGAAGAAGATAAAGAAAGAGACTCCCACGAATAATGGAAGAAGAAGAAGGGTCAACCCCGATGACGACGACGAGTCGTTCTCCTCGGGAGACTCCTTCCGCGAACGCTTTGAACAACAACGGCGCGTCTCAACGACGAGAAAGAGAGAGAGAAAGTTTTGGGATAAACAACGCCACGTCCAAAGAGGAGATTTTATTGCAGCATAAGACAAAAAAATCGCCAACGTCGCCCACCGGGGGTAGTGTTACGACGATCACCACTCCGAGAAGACAAAATAAGTCCATGTTCCGAGACATATCCCGGCGCCAATGGGACCCGAGATATCACAAGCAGTGCACGCAAACGCAGTGTATGAAACACCCGTCGATTATTAAAGGCATGCGGTTGTTGAAAAACCTGGAAAAACACGGCGGGTGCGTGAATACGGTGAGTTGGAACGAAGACGCGTCGCTGTTGATTTCCGGGTCGGACGATATGACCGTGGTCGTTTGGAGCACGGGGACGAATTTTCCGGTGAAAGGATCGGTATTTACCGGGCACACGCACAACGTGTTTGACGCGCAGTTTATTCCAAACTGTAACTCGACCAAGTGCGTGACGACAGCCGCGGACGGTCAGGTGAGAATGATTGATTTAGAGCGAGGGTTCGCGGAGAAGCCGCCGAACCATCACACGAATAGATACATGCGGAATATAAACCTGGATTCGCCAGCCGCGCATCAATTATGGTCCGGTGATGGTGCTGGTATGGGGATGAAGCTGATCTTTCTCCCCGGGTCCGCCACGTCGTTTTTATCCACGCATCAGGACGGGTGCGTGAGACTGTTTGATATACGAGAAGGGACGAAATCGAGACGAGAAGTGGTTATTGATTTGGCATCAGTGGGCGCGGCCTCGGATATAGCGTTTGATCCAACGGCTCCGCATACTTTTGCGGTTGGATGCGACGACCCAATCGTGAGGGTATTTGATATTCGGCACCACGTGGCAAAGCTGACGAGAACTTCGGAAGATTATTATTCTCACGCCGGATCTCCCGGAACGTCGCCAATTCCGTCACCAACCGATACCGGCGCCGCCGCTATGCGACGTGGTGGCGTTAACTACGGTGTTTCGCCAAGCAGTACGGTTGGAAGTCCTGGAACACCAACGGGAGCAGCTGGAGGCTTTGGATTGCCGTCGTCGCCTCCTTCGCGGTCGTCTGGATTCGTCGAAAGATGTTTGCCGACCGTGGCGGAATATTGTCCTGGATTGGCATTCGGTGCTATGAAAAAGTTCCAAGGCGAAGAGGAGCTCGTGAGATCTTCGTTTCGGTCTCGCCGATTTGAGGGTATCTCTGGAATAGCGTTTAGTAAGACCGGAGAGTTGGCGTGCACGTATAAGGGCGAAGACGTGTACGTTTTAGAAACGCGTAAAGTTGTCTCGTCGGTTAAGATTGATCTCTTCAAGCACGATTCTATGGACGAATTGGAGAAACGATACGAGGGGTGCGCAAAAAAGTACGAAGGGCGGAAAAACACGCGCACGTTCCTTAAAGGCGTCGCGTTCATGTGCGGCGACGAATACGTAACCACCGGCGGGGACTGCGGTAACATTTTCGTGTGGAACAAAAAAACGACGGAACTCGTGTGCAAACTCCCGGGAGATTCGCAAGTCGTTAATAATGTGATTCCACACCCCCATTTGCCAGTCCTTGCGGCTTCTGGCATTGATTCGGATATTAAAATTTTCGAGGCGTCGAAGGACGGAGAGCACATTGACGAGCCGCCTCGGAAAGGCGAGAGAGATAACGATTTCGACTCCTCAGATGAAGACGACGAAGACAACGAGGACGACGACGAGATCGATGGTGAGGAATACGTTCAAATCAACACTCCTGGTGGCCATGTTATCCAGATCCCTGGTCGTTCGTTGATAGAACTGCTCAGACGGCGTCAAGAAGGCCGGGACGTAAGTATAGATCCCTTACTTTTGGAAGAGGACGAGGAGGATAGCGATGACGACGACGACGATGAGGATGAGGATGAGGATGGTGATGATGACGACGACGACGACGAGTCATTCTCTTCGTCTTCGTCTTTATCGTCGGAGGAGGAAAGTTCGGAGCACGAGGATACTGGTAGTGGTCATCGAGAAGATGAACTCGACGGGGACGACGAAGAGGAGGATGAACAAATGGAAGACGCGGAAGAGTCTTTTGAAGAAAATGCTGTAGAACAATAACAACAACAACGGTACAATACATACAGGTAATAACATAAATAGGAAATTGATTACATAGCCCACATAGGCGCCTGAAAAGAGCCAGCCAGAATTCAAGTTGTAAAAAAAGAAGTGAAGTATCAAACAAGTGTACGTATAAAATTTCTGTCTCTAGTATCATCTATAATATTACATTAAACTATATTCAATCGCGTGCAAAAGTAACCTCCTCGCCGGCGCCGCTTCTGGCGCTGGGGCAGGGCTACTCGATTTCTTCTTATCGGCGCCAGTAGCCTTTACGATAATCACCGCGACTACTCCTACCGCGACTAAAAGCATCAGCGTAATTACGCACCTATCCGTGGCTAACCCTTTCGTAATATCTCGAACAAGATTCAACGATTTTCGAACCGAAAACTGAAGCTCGTCCAACTCGTCCGTGATTTCGTCCAGTTTTTGCGTTTGTTCTTTGAGCTTCCCCGCAGTCACCGCGCCCATTTCGATAGTTTCGTGTACAATTTTCTTCGACCTCGAGACTGATTTATCCGTCTGGTTCATCATTCCTCTCCCGTGTTGCACGAGCTGTTGCGAATCCATCTCTCGCAAATCATCGCCCTCTTTAATCTCGTGCATCTTTTGAAACGTCGGCATGACTCCAGCTAATCGAGACACTTGCGCCGCGGACGAACTCGACACTCTCGTCGTTTCCGCGATGGCCGCTTGCTTCTCCGCGATGGCGTTTTGCGCAGCTTTTTTCATCGTAACAAACCTATTCAACTCAGAAACCATTCTTTTCTTCGTCATCTGAATCTGATCCAACCTGGCCGCATAATTCGTAGTACTATTACTATTATTCTTGCTTTCCTCCTCTGCTTCCTCTTTCGCTCGTCTCTCGTATTCTTTAATCAGTTTCTTCCCGTCCGCCATTTTATTCGTCAACTGTTTCAAATGCGTTTGCGCTCTCGTCGGTTCGCCTCGTAATATCGCGGTTTGATTGAATCCATTTTCTAAAGCGTTGAACGTTTCTCGCAAGATTTGTTCCGTACTCGTCGCAGAAGAAGACATGATGATGCCGATGAAAACCTCCTTCCTTCTTCGTTTAATTCTTTTTTGTTTTGCCGTCCGTTATTTTCCCGACGACGAAGAGAAAAGAGATTCAAAAATGTTGTTTTTGAGATGGGTGATTGATGAGGATGAGGATGACGACGAACAACCAAACAAAGGATAGAAAAACCACCAGAAACGATCGTCGGTCGTCGTCGTCTTTCGCGCGTCCGTCTTTCTTTCGCGTTTGAGTGTGTGTGTGTGTTTATGTGTGTTTATTTTATGTGGTAGAAAGCCAAGGCAAAGGGAGTGATTTGAGATGTAAAAATGAAGAAGGAAAAGAGCAGACGAGAGAGGCAACCCCTTTTTGAAGAAAAATGTACGAGAGAGAGAGTAGTGGGAAAACATTCAGCGCGGATATATACTATGATAAATACTTCTTCGTGTGGTTTTACACGACGCGCTCATCATTTAAAACAAACCGAAGAACTTTTTAGGCTTCGTCTCCTCCTCTTTATTCTTTGTCTTCTTCGTGGTGGTGTTGTTGTTGTTCCCTTTCTTTCTCGCTTCCGCGTCTCGTTTCGCTTGTTCGATTTTCTTCCTCCTCGCCTCTTGAATCTTTCGAATCTCTTCGGGTTTGATTTCCGGTCCAAACCCACCCAAGGCGCGGATATTAATATTAGTAGTATTTCGTCGTCGTCGTTCTGGTGTATCAACAACTCTGGTTAAAACCACGGAGGAGGAGGAGGAGGAAAGCGTCGAAGCTAAATGCGTCATGTGATGTATCTTTTAATGAAACAAAGTTGCTTCTTCAAAATCCCCTACTTTTTGCTCTCGAATTTTGACACACACACACACACAGAAAGAGAGAGAGAGAAGCGAGAAGAAGCGACCAAGATGACGACGCTCTCGTCGCGTCGCTCGTTGTTTTCAAGAAGCCCTCGTCGCGGTTGATGATCGGTATATTTTAGTTTTGCGATGCACTGACCGCGATAAACATTTCTTAATCAATTTGAGACATGATGAACTCAAGAATAACAACAACGAGACGCACCACGAATGATGTTTTTAATAACAAGAACAACAACAAAAATTCGTCGTCGTCGTTATACGCGTTCTCTTTACTCCCGTGTATTCTGATGCTTCTAGGCGCGGGCGAAGACGGCATATTCACCACTTTACTCATCGGCTGCGCGGCGTCGTATATTCTAGATTTGCTGAGGTATCCAGAGATGACGCTCGTCTGCGTTTGGCTCGCGTTGTTTTCGATATATTTAGCGATGTTGATTGAATCTGATTTGTTCTTCGCGCCGTTACGACCGACGATTATTTCGTTGTTTCTGCTGACCACGAACGGAATCATGCTGTTTTTGTGCGGTCTGTGGGCGAGTTTACAGTTTAAATGGGTGGAAATGGAACATCCGAACGTTTCGAGATGGATGGAAAGCGTTCTCGTGGCTTCGATTTTGCCGGTGTGCGGCGCGTTGATCGGGTGGACGTTGATGGCATCTGTGGGTGCGGTTTTAGCGCCGTTTTATTTACAGATTGTTTTGATGGTATTGTATCATCTTCTCTATGATGATGATGGTAAAAAGTCATCGCCGCCGTCTTCATCTCGGGGACGACGACAAAGAGGCGGCTCATTCAAAGGAGTATCCGGGGCGCCGGGAGAAAGATCGCTCACAAGTCGCGAAAAGTATATTCACAAATTTTGCGTGTGTTTTTGTCCAGCATTCGTGTACGTTGGAACGCATTGGCCAACACTCATAGAATCATCTTTTATTTTCTGGGAGCACGCGTTACACGTGGTCATTTTGTGCTCTCTCGGTGCGACGGTTTTATTTGAGACGAGAATGACGCTGCTCGTGACCGCGGTCGCGGTGGCGTTGCGGGTCGTCGACACGACTGAATATTCTGTATTGTTACTCATCGGCGGTGCATTTGTCCTCGGCATCGCAACGCTCATCGATATATCGAGATTAAACATTGGAATCTACGCGTTGTTTATGTGTCTAGCGATCGCAACGGTTGGATACTTTTTGAAGAGGAATTATTGGTTCATCGAAGGCATGGAAAATACGTGTTTCGGCATTTTGTTGATCACGTCAATCACATTCGCCGTTCCCGGTTTATATCTGATGGAATTTTCCAAAGAAGTTCTATTTGGCATGATTTTCGTGCAAGCTGCCGTGATGGCGCAAGTGGAGGCAATGTTATACAACGAGATTCAAGAAGATGGGAGTACGTTTTACCCGCCGTATTTAATAGCGCTCACGACGTTCTGCGGCGTTCAACTTTCCACGAAAATGCTGAATCTCTCAAAGACAAGGTTTCCAGATATGCTCATTTATACCGTGTATGTTTCCAAACTTTCTGTATTTTTAGATCTCGATTGGGTGAAAGTTTTTGTGTTGATGTGTGCAAGTGCGTCTAAGTATACGATACTCATCGTTCTTGGGCTGTTGTACGCGAGATTGGAGCTGTTTGACGTTCTATTTCTCTTCACCGGCCATCGCCCGACGGATGCTGGATTGTTTGGTTCATTGCTGTGTGCGACGAGCGCACTCGGAGGGTTTCAATCCTTACGAAAAGCGCGTTTGATTTGCATGATAGCCGGTCTCCTTCTCGTTATAATAAAACCGCCTTTGCCTTGGCAAGGCGAAGTTGGATTCTGGTACGATCAAGACCACGTTCCAGACAGAGAGCCAGATAGGGATAGCATGTATTCACTGGGAGGTGAATATGACGGCGCAGAAGAAACATACAGAAGTTGGTTTCTAATTTTATCCATAGTTTTTGGTTTGTTCGGCGTCGGAACTGTTAGCGGCTTGTGTTTCGGTTTGTTCGTGATGAAAGAGAGCGTGGTGGTTTGCGCGTTGTGCGGCGCGTTTGTTCAATACAAAAGAGCGAGTGTATTTTATGCCATGGTTTTAGCAATAGTATTTGCCATAACCACGATGATTGGTGACGAAGAGGTTTACAATTTACTTTCTGTCGTCGCGGTGTGTTTCTTACACTGCGCTTTGAGCGTGAAGTATACTCACTTTGTGGTCTCGAGAGCACAACGAACGACGACGAGAAACCGCGACGATGACAACAACAACAATAAAGTATACAATCCGTTTGTACGAAAGAGGCAAAGCGCAAGTGAGAGAAACATGGCCTTTAACAACGGGAACAAGAATGCTATCTCGAAAAATGATTATCATGACGCAATGGATCGCGTGGGAAACATTGCGACGTTGTCTGCGTTCGTCGCAACGCTGGTCGTGTTTTGGGATTCCGAGGATTCGAGTTTCATTACGATCCCGCTCGTTTCCACGATTCTTTTCTTAGCTCGGACCGAAAAGGCGTCATTTTTCGCGTACGTCGCAGTCGTGTGCGGATACTTTGCCCAAGTGCTTCTGTGCAACAGTAACGATAGCGTCAGTTCTACCATCTTTGCAGCGTTTTCTTTTCCGAGCGCGTTCGCTTTCGCCCGCTTCCTCTATTCCTCCTTCGAGCGACAATACGAGAAAAGCGCGTTAGCGCTCGCGTCTCCGTTGAACATCGTACCCATTGTGATGGGTCTCGGTGTCAAGTCAAAAGCAGTGGTATCTTTAGGAATAGTCGGCGTAGCGTCTGGTATTGCCCAGTATGTCGTTCAAAGTAGAATACAAAGGAAAGGTAGCCGATATTTATAGATGTAGTGAGTTAGTTAATAGTAGAGCGAGTGTTGTAATGAGATTTTTTTTAGGTAAAGCTTTTTCAGAGAAACAGAGGAAAGTAAAAACCTCAGAAAGAAGACGAAAGAATGAAAGAACACACCTAAACTATTCACGCGCTGAAAAAGAAAGAACAACAAAATAAACGAAAGAAACAAGATGGGTATTCTCGAACGAATAGCCGACATCGAGAAGGAGATGTCTCGAACGCAGAAAAACAAGGCCACGGAATCACACCTGGGGACGTTGAAGGCGAAGTTGGCAAAACTAAAGCGCGAACTTTTAGAACCGCAGAAAGGAGGAGGATCTTCGGAAGAGAGAGGCTTTGAGGTGAACAGATACGGTCACGGACGAGTCGCGCTGATTGGGTTTCCGTCCGTGGGGAAGTCTACGTTATTGTCAGAACTCACCAGCACGGAAAGCGAAGCGGCAAACTATGAATTCACAACGTTGACGTGTATTCCTGGGGTGATACATTACAACGACGCCAAAATACAACTGCTGGATTTGCCTGGAATTATCGAAGGCGCGAGCGAAGGGAAAGGGAGAGGGAGACAAGTCATTGCAGTCGCGAAGAGTTCGGATTTAATCTTGATGGTTTTAGACGCGATGAAATCGGAAGCCGCGAATACCACGTACGCGCACAAACAAATATTGACGAGAGAGCTCGAGGCGGTCGGGTTGCGCTTAAATCAAACGCTGCCGCGAATATACGTCAAGAAGAAGAAATCCGGAGGCGTTCAAGTTTCGGATACCGTACCAGGGGGCTTGACCAAAATCGATCGCAAAGCAATCATGAACGTTTTACACGAGTATAAACTGAACCATTGCGAAGTGATTTTTAGAGAAGACTGCACGGTTGATCAGTTCATAGACGTCTTAGAAGGAAATAGAAAGTACATCAAGTGTCTGTACGTGTATAATAAAGTGGACGCGCTGACAATTGAGGAGGTGGACAGATTGAGTCGAAGGCCTGATTCGATATGTATTTCGTGCACGAAACAGCTCGGCTACGATAGATTATTAGAATCGGTATGGAACGCGATGGGTTTGGTTCGCGTATACGCAAAGAAGATGGGTGAGAAGCCAGATTTTGAAGAACCGGTAGTTTTATCCGAAGCGAGAGGCGGGATCACGCTGAACCAATTCGCCGAACAATTACACGCGGAGTTGCCGAAACAGTTGAAGTACGCGTTAGTGTGGGGCTATTCCGCAAAACACATGGGCCAGCGCTGTGGTCTAAAGCATCGGCTCATGGACGAAGACGTCGTGCAAGTCGTCAAAGGTACCGCCCATCTAGACGAAGGTATCGGAAGATTTTCTCAATCGAAAAAAGACGAACCGGCGAGGATAGCGGACCGCGTGAAAAAGAAGAAGCTGATTTCATAACTAACATACTTGGTAATAGAGATTTTATACAAAGCATGGCGTGCGAGCGTGGATATTACAACAATACAAATTCTAACTAAAGCGCTAAATAATCTAATTTTGAGAAACTACCGTGCTCTTGGAAGCAGTTGGAACAAAACTCTCATATCGCAAGGTTCATTTTTCCGATAGAAGCGCGGTTTACCACCTTTCTCTCGTTGGTCGGAGCCGATCAATTCGCACTGTATAAAATCGTCCGTCTCTCGCAAGAATTCATACAAAGATTTGATTTCGTGGTTCTCGAATTCTGGATAGTTGATGAGCTCATCAAATACGAGATACAGAGGAAACGCGTTGGTTCGAAACTGCGCGCTCTCTCGCAAAAATCTTCCGAGTTCGTTCAGAACAACTTTCGCGGACGAGTACAAATCAGAATCGATATGAACCAAGCCAAGAACAGAACTGCCGACGGAGAGCGCATCGCGAAAGAATCCTGGCACGGTGTCTTCAAACCATCCTTTAATTATCACCGCTCCTGATACAGAAATCTCCTTGGAGTTTAAATTAAACCACCCTTTCCCTTTGCCATTATACCAGTTTTCTGGTAAGCCCTCGAACGAATCAAACCCGTAAATTTTCGTGTGCGATGATGATGATGATGATAAATACTCGACAATCTGTCCTAACGTGCCTCCCGTGTAGCACCCAAACTCCGCGCACACGAAATCTTTTCCTCCTTCGAAATTCTCATTTTGTTTTGACTTTCGTATCCGTTCCAGCGCGTATACCAAAGGCGTTTGCCTAAGATTTCTCGTTGAGAGAGTTTCCAAGACGATTGAGATGAACGTTTTTAAATCAACCAAGTCTTTCTCTTTGGTAAAAAGATGCGGAGGGGCGATGATGATGTTTTCTTCAGCGGAGGACATCGTCAAATAATCATCGTTTCATCTCTCGTGTTCGTTTTGTGTGTTGTTTTTTTTAGGTGTTTAGAAAGGAGTTGCAGAGAAAAACAAACCAGGAGTATTAGGTGAATCTGAACGTACGATAGTAAGTAACAATGGGCACACTCGCATGAACACAAAACAAGAGAACTCAACTCATCGAGCAGACGTTCTTCTTACTCTCTGCCTCGGCGGCACTCGCTTTTTCTCTCGCTTGCCACTCTTTCCGCGCCTTTTTCGTCGGGCGGAAAAGCGTCAAAACTCTGTGAGGACAGATCTCCGCCGGTTTGTAAAAACGTAACTTTTCGCCGGTATCTTCTCGTCCGTCAGCGCCCAACACGACGCACTCGATCCAGTCCTTGTTTTCTTTGAGAAATTCAAACAGAGCTTTAATCTCGTGATCTTCGTAGGTTGGGTAATCGATGAGCTCGTCGAACGCGACGAAAAGCGGCACTTCGGCGGACATGAAAAATCTGTTCTCTTTCAAAGTCTTGGCCAGTGCTTCGCCCAAAACTTCTTTCGTGCTTTGATACAAATCGCAGTCGATGTGCAGAAGTAAGAGCTCTGCGTCTGCAAAGTTGGTCGTATCAAAAAATTTCGGAACGGTGTCGCTGAATAAACCTTTCACGATGGACACGTTTTCTCCAAGAATATCTTTTGGAATCTCCCCGCCCTGAGAGAACGCCCCTTTGCCCCAGGACCCAGGTATCCAGTTTTCCGGAAGGCCTTCGAAAGAATCGAAACCGACGATGGTTTTCCCAACCGGGAAAAACTCTTTGATTTTCTTCAGCGTGTGTCCAGCGCCGACGCCGAACTCCATGATCATCTGCTTCGGTATCGGCAAGTGAGTTGGTCCGATATCTTCGTCCTCTTTCTGACTTCGTCTCTGAAGCGCTTTCAAAGCGAAAAATAAAGGAGGTTCGTTCAAGTCGAGCGAGATCAAACTCGTGTGCACCTCGTCGATGAACGCGTCCAAGGACGAGAGCGATTTCAACACCGCCTCTTCTTCCTTCGTCTCTTTCTTTTGTTTACTCGGAGATGATGATGATGACATTTTCGTTTATGAAAAACGCGCGGATATCTTCTTGCGTTTGATATCTTTTTGTTGTCAGAGAGAGAAACACGTGTATTTTTTACATCCGAGAGAGACAAAAAGTCCAACCCTGAATTTTGCTCGTTTTTCTCGTCGAGACTCGTCGTTCGCACCTTAGTTTTAAGGCAAACCCACGTCCATCACTAAAAACCACAGAACTCGCTCTCGCGTTCAAAAAAAAAAAAGACGAACATGGGAGGGAAAGACGACCAAGAAGGAAACAACGATTCCGGGTCGGACGACGACATCGCGTTCGCGGACGACGATAACGACACGAAAGACGAAGAGACGAACGTGGAGAGTTACGACAGCGACGACGAGAATTTGGAAGAGGTAAGTTTTATGTTGTCTATATTTTTGTATCGTCATCTCATCGGATGAGAGATTTTTGGTTTGAAATGATGAGAGAGATCGGCTTTTCGAGCGCGCGCGCGTTTAAGAGAGAGAGAGAGCGTTCAAACGCGTTAAAGAGAAAGAGAAGTGTAACAACGAGTTCTCATCGCGCAGAGCGTTTCTTTCGCTCTCTTTTTTAACGCGTCGATGATGGGCGATATATCGACGGTTCCATTTTTTCTCGGCAGATCGGTCTTTTTCTCGTCCTCTGTGTCGCGTCGTCGAAAGGTGTCGAACAACAACAACAACAACAAAGAAAACCTTTGGAGCGAGAAAAAATATTTCGCAAAAAGTCGCAAACGACGTACTGCGATCATTGAACTAACCACGAAACATCCGTTCATCTCTTCTTTTTTCTTCTTCTTCTTCTTCCACGCATATATAGGGCAAAGATGGTGAAATCATGTCCCCGTCGAAGCTCGCCGCCGCGAAAGCGGAGAAGGCGCGTTTGCGAGACTTGAAGAAGCAACAGCTCGACGAACTCGAACGCGTGCGAAGAGAACAAAACGATAAAGTCGCAAAGGAAGGGAACAAGAGTTCGAAGTATAAAATGCTCTTGGCGGAAACGGAGGTGTTTGCGCACTTTCTCGCCGGGTCGAAGGCTCACGCGGCGTCGCAAAAGAAAGGGAAGAAAGCGAGAAAGGAAACCATCGACGAAGACGAGGAGGATAAAGAAATGGTTGAAAACGAAGACCACTTTCACGGAACGAGATTGACAGTGCAACCGTCGTGCATTAAGTTTGGCACGATGAGACAATACCAAATTGAAGGTTTGAACTGGATGATCAAGCTCTTTGACCAAGGCATCAACGGTATTTTAGCCGACGAGATGGGTTTGGGGAAGACGCTTCAAACGATTTCACTTTTGGGGTATTTGCACGAATATCGCGGCATCACGGGTCCGCATTTAGTCGTCGTTCCGAAGTCTACGCTTGGTAACTGGATGAACGAGTTCAAGAGATGGTGTCCGGTTTTGAGAGTGTTTAAATTTCACGGTAACCAAGAGGCTCGCGAAGAGCAAAAAAGAGACTCGATGCGTCCAGGCGGGTTTGACGTTTGTGTCACGTCGTACGAAATGGTCATCAAAGAAAAGTCAGCTTTGAAGAAATTCCACTGGCGTTACATCGTCATCGACGAAGCGCACCGTTTGAAGAACGAAAAGTCCAGGTTAGCGGTGACACTGCGCATGCTTTCGTGCAATAACCGCATGTTGATCACGGGTACGCCGTTGCAAAACAACTTGCACGAACTTTGGGCGCTTTTGAACTTTTTGTTGCCGGAAGTTTTCGCCGTCGCGGGAGATTTCGATGACTTTTTTGCGAACGTCGAAGACGAAGACGGTGGATCCGTCGATGTTGTTCAGCAGTTGCATAAAGTTTTGCGACCGTTCTTGTTGAGACGTTTGAAAGCGGAGGTTGAGAAATCTTTACCGCCGAAAAAAGAGACGATTTTGAAGATTGGCATGTCCGATTTACAAAAGCAAATTTATAAACGCATCTTGCAAAAAGACATCGACGTCGTGAATTCTGGCTCGGATCGCGCGAGATTATTGAACATGGTCATGCAATTGAGAAAGTGCTGCAACCATCCGTACCTGTTCGAAGGCGCGGAGCCGGGACCGCCGTTCATGACTGGCGAACATCTCGTCACAACCTCGGGTAAATTGATTTTGCTCGATAAATTGCTCCCGAAGCTTCAACAGCGCGGTTCTAGAGTGTTGATTTTCTCCCAGATGACGCGTTTGTTGGACGTTTTGGAAGATTACTTGATGTATCGCGGTTATCAGTATTGCAGAATCGACGGTAACACGGATGGTCAAATTCGCGAAGACTCCATCGAAGAGTACAACAGACCGGGCACGGAAAAGTTTGTGTTTCTTTTGTCCACCCGAGCTGGTGGCTTGGGTATTAACTTAGCTACCGCGGATACCGTCATCTTATACGATTCCGATTGGAACCCGCAGATGGATTTACAGGCCATGGACAGAGCGCATCGCATCGGTCAGAAGAAGGAAGTTTCCGTCTTTCGTTTCTGTACCGATAATTCCGTCGAAGAAAAAGTCATCGAGAAGGCGTACAAAAAGTTAGCCTTGGACGCTTTAGTCATTCAGCAAGGTCGTTTGCAGCAGAACGCGAAATCCGTCAATAAGGATGATTTAGCGAACATGGTTCGATACGGCGCCGAGAACATTTTTGATTCCACGGCAGTGACCGACTTGACTGCCGAAGACGTCGACGCGATTATTGCCAAGGGTGAGGAAGCGACGAAACAGTTGAATGAGAAAATGTCAGGTTTCACGGACAAAGCGTTGAAGTTCTCCATGAACGCGGACGCTTCTTTGTACGAATTCGAAGAGCAAGAGGCAAAGGAAGAGGCGAAAAAGCTTCCGGAAGGCATCGACGTCAAAGCCATCATTTCCTCGAACTGGATCGATCCACCGAAGCGGGAAAGAAAGAAAAATTACAGCGAAAACCAGTACTATAAAGACCAAATGAACCAAGGTGGACGTCCGAGCGGAAAGTCTGGCCCGAGAATCGCGCGTTTGCAACAAATGAACGATTTTCAATTCTTCCAAGTCAAGAAAATTCAAGCGTTTTACGACAAGGATGTCAAGCGCAAGACGTACGAGTGGGAGAAGAAACAAAACAGACCGAGAACGACTGGCGCGGACGGAGAAGAGGTGGAAGAACCGGACGACCCGAACGCTCCTCCAGCACTCACGCCAGAAGAACAGGAGGAGTACAATAAACTTCTCGCTGAAGGTTTCACGGACTGGAACAGAAGAGACTTTCAACTCTTCTGCAAAGCGTGCGAGTTGCACGGCCGAAAAAATTTGGACGCGATTGCGTTGGACATGGAAGGTAAGACATTAAGCGAGGTTAAAGAGTACGCGAAGGTATTTTGGGAGCGCTGCACGGAGATTTCCGATTGGAAGAGAATTGAAGGTAACATCAAAAAAGGTGAATTGAAGATTCAACGACAAGAAGACATGTTGAAGGCGGTGAAGAAGAAACTCTCGCTTTACAAGAACCCGTGGCGTGAGTTGAAGGTGGTCTACGGCCCGAACAAAGTGAAATCGTACACCGAGGAAGAAGATCGATTCCTTCTGTGCTCGATCACGGAGGTTGGCTTCGGGAACTGGGAAGAGTTGAAGGCGCAAATCAGACAACACTGGCAATTTAGATTCGATTGGTTCATCAAGTCCAGAACTCCAAAAGAGTTGGGACGACGCGTGGAGACTTTGATCAATCTCATCGAGAAAGAGGCGGAAGTGAACGACGAGAAAGCGTCGAAGAAGCAAAAGACGACCAATTGAAAGATCAAACAACAGAGAGATTCATTACATGTAAATACGTAGAACACACTTTTTAATGGGAACACAGAGAGAGAAACCATATCATTTTTAAATAAACGTTCATAGTAGTACTTTTTGTATATTTTTATCGAACAATCGATAGATCGGTTCGTCGAGGTGAAACGTATTCGATTTCTTCAAACTGGCCGTTAATTTTGAACGCGCGCTTGACATCAGACACCCCAAAAGCTGTTTCCGCAACGGCCCCGGCTTTGGAAGAGTTCCATTTAGCCATGAACTTAGCTTTGGCACCGGCTAACTTTCCAACGGTCGCCTTGTTGTCCGCGTTGTTGTTTTCGAAATCGAAATAAAGCATCTCGCCAAACTCTTTGTTGGATATTTTCGCATCCGGCGAAGAAGACAACATGCCCTTCTTCGTAGGTGGCGGCTTCGGTTTCATCGACGTCGTCTTCGTGATAATCTTTTCGGTAATGTTTTTCGTCACTTGATTGTTTGTAATTCTCGCAAACGCTTTTCTCGTCGGCGTCGCGACTTTCTTCACGTGCGCCGGCGACTCTACTTTTTGAGTCGCGTGCGAGAGAATCTTCTCTGCTTTCACTTGTTTCATATCCTTGGCGCTTTTCCCACAATTCGCCAAGACACTCAATCTCGCGCTATCTTCCAATGCAAATCGTGGATTGTGTTCCCACTCTCTCTCGCCTTCTTTCAAGTGCACTTCGGCTCTTTCGTGCGGTAACAACGCGGAATGCGGAACCACTTCGATTTGAATATCGTTGTCCATATCGCTCACGAGTCCGACAATCTCCGCCAAGAAATTTTCTTGCGTCTTCTCGCGATAGCTCACAATCTCGTTTCTCCACTGCTTCACCTTCTCTACGTGTCGTTCTTTGTTCGTTTCCAATTCGCTCGTCAGCACATTCACGCTTTTTTGCAAGTCTCTCGACGCTCTCTCCGCTTGCTCTTTCGCCTTCTCTAATTCTTCCAACATCCTTTCGATGGCGTTTTTCTGCGAGACCACCATCGATAACTCCTCTTTCGTCTCCTTGCATTCACTCGTCATCTCTCTCAAAAGCGAAGACACCGCTTCGATTCGACTCTCTGCTGATTTCACTCGCTCTAAAGCGTGTTCGTATTCCTCGTGTGGATGGACAAAAGTCGTCTTCTTCTTCTTGGTGACTTTAATAACCACGGTGCCTAATAAACCGGCGCCGATGCAAAAGACTTGCCCGGGATTGTTCGGCATTTGGACGTTCTTCGTGTTGTTGACGATGTTCGACGCGAACGATCCAAACTGGTGGAACTTTTTCGTAAACTCCATGATGTTTTTGGACGAAAGTTGGATGATGAGTAAAACGTGTGTCCGTCAAGTCGTCCCCCTTTTTAAATTCTCTCGTAATCCAATTTTACTTTCGCGTACGCTTGCGCTTGTCTCGTGAAAGTTATGTGTATATATATATATGAGAGTAATAATAGATACAACGCTCTCTCTCTCTCTTTATTTACTACGAGTGAGTAAACGTCAAAAGGGAAGGGGAAAGAGAGATGCGTGAAAGCGCGAATCAGTTTATGCGAAAATTCTAACGACTTTTCCTTGATGAAAAATTGCCCCACGGACAAGTCCAATCGGAAATCCCTCTTATAAATCGGCAGACACAACGAACTCCACGCCTTTAAACAAAACAAAGTCGCGTAGTTTTCACCGCTCGAAGACACGCGAAGGTAACGCGCACACGACGAACAGGTGGTCGAGGTTAGGAAGAGGACTGATGAGAAGAACAAAAAAAATGAGCACGAGAAGTGCAGACACAGCGTTGTTTGAGGGATATAAGAAGAACACTTAGAAAAATGCGGGAAGAAGAACAACAACAACAACAACAACAACAACAACAACAACAACAATCTCTCTCCATGTACGAAAAGCTTGGCCGCATCGGCGAAGGCACCTACGGCGTCGTGTACCGAGCCAGAGATAAGAAGACGAACGAAATCGTCGCTTTGAAGAAAGTGCGCATGGACCGAGAAAAAGACGGCGTTCCAATCACCACTTTGCGGGAAGTCAGAATATTGCAACACTGCTGTTCGCACGAAAATATAGTCCACTTAATGAGAGTCGTCCAAGGGAACCAACTGAACAACGTCTTCTTAGTGTTTGAATACTGCGAACACGACTTGGCTTCTCTGTTGGATAACATGCGTCAGCCGTTTTTAGAGAGCGAGTCGAAGTGTTTAATCGTCCAACTGTTGAAAGCGGTGGAATATTTACACGACCGGTGGATTATGCACCGGGACTTGAAGTTATCGAACTTGTTATTGAACAACCGAGGGGAGTTGAAGTTGTGCGATTTCGGATTGGCGAGGAGTTTTGAACCCGAGAGAGAAGGAGAGGAAGAATCAGACGAGGAAATAGAAGAAGAAGAAGATGAAGAGGATGACAACGGGAAAAAACGGAGGAGGAGGAAGAAAAGGCAAATGTGTTACACGCCGAAAGTGGTGACGTTGTGGTATCGCGCGCCAGAAGTGTTGTTCGGAGACGACGCGTACACGGCATCCATCGATATTTGGGCCGCCGGATGTGTCCTCGCGGAGTTTTTAAAGCACGATCCACTTTTCCCCGGAAAGACGGAAGTGACGCAGTTGGAACTGATTTTTAAACTGTTAGGCGCGCCGAACGAAAGGATTTGGCCGGGATGGAGCAAACTGCCAAACGTGGGCACGACGCTCGTTCCAGAGCAACCGTACAACTATCTCGAGCATGAGTTTCCGAACTTACACCAGAGAGGTATTGATTTACTCAACTTGATGCTGACGTACGATCCGAAACGACGGTGCTCGGCGAAAGATGCGCTGGCGCATCCGTATTTCAAGACACAACCGAGACCAAAGTTGAAATCTGAGATGCCGAGCTTCCCGACGTTACACTCGCGTGTCAATAAGAACGAAAACGATTTTGGAGAAAAGTTTTAAAGCGAGATGAGATGGAACGCGTAGGTCTATATATAGTAGTTAGTATTAACACAGTTTATAGCAAATTTAGTAGTTACACTTGTAAGCATAGTATTATTTAGAGTACGATTTAGGTAATTTAAAGCATCTCTCTTTTTTTTTAGTTGGTGTACCCGGAAGTGGTAATACTATCGGCGCTGTTCATGTCGCTCCACAAAGTATGGTGCCAGCCTTCCATGTCCATTCTTTCGTAGGTGTGCGAACCGAAAAAGTCTCTTTGCGCTTGGACCAAGTTCGCCGGGCATCGTCCTCTTCTGTACGTGTCGAAGTAGTTTAAGGATGAAGACATTGACGGCGTGGAAACGCCGGCGTTCACCGCGGCGACGATGACGCGTCTCCACGCTTGTTCCTTATCGACGAGTTCCGAAGCGAATTCACCGTCAACGAGCAAAGACGGTAAGTTCGCGTCTTTGTCGTACGCTTGCTTGATGCGATCCAAAAACGCCGCTCGAATGATGCACCCACCCTTCCAGATCCTCGCCATCTCGCCCAAATTTAATCCCCACTCTTGCTCGTTCGATTTAGCTCTGATCAAGTTCATGCCTTGTGCGTACGAGGTCACTTTCGACGCGTACAACGCTTTACGCACGTCGTCGATCAACTGTTTCTTATCGATACCAGGAGCCGGTCCTTTGGAATCCGCCGGCGCTAAGCCTTTGCTTTTGAACACAGCCTCTGCCGCGACGCGTTCGTCTTTCAAACCGGACAAAAATCTCGAATCTAAACTGCTCGCAATCGTTGGCGCGGCGACGGATAACTCCGCCGCCTGTTGCACGGTCCACTTACCGGTACCTTTCATGCCAGTTTTATCCAAAATTTTGTCCACTAAGAAGGAATTGTCGTCTTTTTGGTCGTCCTTCTTCTCCAAAATGTAGCTCGAGATTTCAATCAAATACGATTCCAGCTCGGCTTTGTTCCACTCCACAAAAGCGGCATGCATTTCCTCGTTCGTTAACCCACCGACAGTTTTCAAGATATCGTATGCCTCAGAGATCAATTGCATGTCTCCGTATTCGATACCGTTGTGCACCATCTTTACAAAGTTACCCGCGCCGCCTTTTCCGACGTACGTCACGCACGCGCCCGTATCGGTTTGCGCGCTCACCGGTTTCAAAATATCTTCGATGCGTTTATAAGCCTCTTCGGAACCACCAGGCATCATCGACGGCCCATTTCTCGCCCCTTCTTCGCCACCAGACACGCCCATGCCCAAATACAACAAACCTTTCTCTTGAACTTCCTTCATTCTTCGTTCGGTGTTTTCGTACCATTCGTTCCCTCCGTCGACGATGCAGTCCCCGGGCTCGAGAAACTGCGACAAGCCTTCGATGGTCGCATCGACCGGCGCCCCAGCTTTCACTAAGATGATGATATGTCTGGGTTTCTCGATAGATTCCACGAATTCTTTTAAATCCTTGTACCCTCGCAACTTGCTCGATAAGCCTTCCTTTTCGGCTCTGTTCACGCACCCGTCCGTCTTGTCAGCAGAACGGTTGTAGACTGAAATCGGAAATCCTTTCTCTGCGACGTTCAAGGCTAAGTTTTGACCCATGACGGCCAAACCACACAAGCCAATTCTTGACTTCTGTCCATCGGCGTTGCAGACGACGACTGGAGATCTCTTCGCGGACTGAGATCGTCCGATCGCGGAGGACATCTGGTGCTTCACTTTTTGACGGCTCATCAAGGAAGAGGCCACATTGGAGGAGGAAAATTGCGACGCAAACATGATGATTATATAGAAAATAAAGAGATCGATGAATTCCTTCTTCTATTTTAAGTGATTATAAGAACTAAGTAATATATCTCTGTTCTTCTTCACCGAGATGATCTGCGATCTCCTCTTTGTTAAAGTCTCAGATGCGTGATCGCCGCGCGAAGAAAAGTAACGTTTTCTAAAATCCGATCGCTTTTTGAACTCTTCTGACTGGACTCTGACTTCGATGACTTTTTTTTCTTCAACTGTTTCAGATCTCAAAACGACGGCAGATCGGAGACGTGCAAAAAAGTCAGTCCTGTCCGGAACAAAAAACAACGCGGACACATAAACGGATGAACAAACATTATTCATAGACGATATAAATACATAATTACGACAACAATTCTAAGGCTTTCAACACTTGGTCCGTATCTTGCAGACTTTCGAAAAACAATCCTTTCTCTTTATCCACGCAGACTTCTCGCAAATCGTCCAAGGACCAAATACCGGTGGCGAGCCCGACGGGAATAGCGCCGCTCGTTTCCGCGGCGGTGATATCGTTGTGCGTGTCGCCGAAATGGAATCTTTTGTCGACTTTAAAACCATTCTCGGTCGCTCTTTCGTGCGCGATGGACACGAGCACAGATCTCTGTTCGTGATCGCTGCCAAAGCCGCCTCTTACCGCGTCGTTGAAATATTGCTTTATGCCTAATTGCGTCATTTTCGCCCAAGCGATGGGTTGCAAGTTCCCGGTCACGAGCGTTACGATACAATCGTCGCGTTCGGATAATTTGGTTAAAAGCTCTAAAACTCCGGGTAGAAGTTCGATACCGTTACCAGCATCGTGCATGTTTTCTGTCGCGTATTCGACCATCGCGTTGGCGACGTTTTCGAGTTCGTTCTCAATTTTCTCACCAGGAATTTCGTGATACTCCAAGACGCTCCTTATAATCAACTTATCGGTCGAACCGTGATGGCTGACCACGTCAATGGTCGTGTCTAACCCGAAAATTTTCTTGAAACCGTACGAAAATGCATTTTTATGGAATCTGTTTGCGTTTTCGCCCACCGATTTGATTAAAGTTCCATCCACGTCGAAGGTTAAGAGCGTCTTGGTGGAAGACATGTTGGTGGTTGTTAAAAGAAAAGATTTCTTCTTAAAAGAAGAAGAAAATCGAACACTCCGACGACGATGATGACGTCCACAACGCAGAGGAAGACTGGAAGAGAGAAAAGAGTGGTGGTTGTGTATTGCTCTGCCGCTGCTGCACATGCACCGTCGCACCGGTGCCAATCAAGTTTAAAGAGAGAAGAAGAGAGTGCGCGTGTGTAAAATTATGTCGTAAATTTTTTATTAATAAAACTGCTTGTCTCTCTCTCTCACACTCTCAGACTCTCACTCTGTCGCGCTCTCTCTGCATTCATTCTTTTATCAATGAATAGGAGAAATCCTCGATAAATCCGGCAACGCGTCATCGTCCATGACTTCGAACTTCAAGCCGGTTTCGTTGAGCGCTTCGACGAAGAGTTGACCGCCGGCGATGCCGGGCGTCAAGACGCCGCCTTTGTGCGGCAACTCGTCTCGGCGTTCGCTCGTTAACAAAGCCAACTCCACGGATAAGTGCGCGGTTTCGTCGTAACCGTCTTTACCGGATAAGCGCGTGCGAATTTTCTCGCCGCGTTCGGAAACGGCATCGAACCAGTACTCGGCCCACTCTTTTTCGCGATCTTCAAGCGCTAAACCTTCATCTTTTGCAAAGAGCTTTCCTTCCGCTTTGAGCTTTTCTTCCTCCTTTTTGGAAGAGGTGTTCGATTGTTGCAAAGCTCGCGCGTGCTCTTCGCTCGGGAGTAACAAATGTTCGAGATAGTTCATGTTCTTCCCGTACGGAACGCCACCCATGTTTCTGCTCAGCCAATTCGAACGGCGAACGAGTCGAGTCTCGTAAAACGCGTACGTGAAGGGCGCTTTCCAACCTTTGTATCCATCATCATACTCAACAACCGAGAGATTTTTATCTGCGTCTTCCGGTCTTTGACCGCGTTTAATCGCGCCTCCCAAAGCGTACGGGTCCATCATGAGCGAATGAACATCGCGCATGGCAGCGTTCATCGCCGCTCGGGTGGCTAAAGTACCTCCTGAAGGAACGCCGCCGCCCGAGCCGCAAAGATACATGTGCATAGTATCAATGCCGCAGTCAACTTTCTCCGAATCAATCGGTTCGCTCGATTTGTCGATGTTGTCGGTGGCGTTCTCTTTGTCGTCTGAAACGGTGCCGTTTTCCATAGGATCATCCAAACGCGATTTCGCGATCCGCTCTTGGAGCTTTCGAAACGTGTAAAACGCGCCTACGTCTGGAACGCCACCCGCGCCGGCGCAGTTTGGTACGATCAACACGTCGTTGTTTCTCGCCCAATCGTGATATTCGATGAGCTTGGCACTGAATGGAATCTCACCATTAACGTCGATGTAATCTGTATCGTATTCAATGCACGCTTCAACCTGATAAATAAAAAGGAGAAGATTAGGAATGATAAGTTCGAGACATCGAGGGAGAGAGAGAGAGAGAGAGCAAGAAAAAATATTATGAAAAGATTACGTACCAGTAAATCCGCGGGCGTCAACATGAATGGACCTGCAATATTCACCACCGTTCTACACTGGATGACCATTCCTCTTACCGCCACTGGATCGCTTAAATCGCACTGGATGTACCCCGGCTCGTAATTTGTTGGAAACTTCGCCTTGACCTCTGCGTAACGATTTTTTAACTTCTCGATTGATCTCCCGGCTAAAGCAAACGTGTACTTCGTTCCCAAATTCTGCACAGTTTTCAAAATATACTCGATGACTAACGATCCCGTGTATCCACTCGCTCCGTATACCACAAAAGAGTACTCTCTTTCCGCTCTCGTCGGCCCCGCCCCAAATCTGTCGATGAAAAATTTTTCCAGCTGATGGTCCGTCAATCCTTCCCATTTTCTCTCCACCAAGGAAACGTTGCCGTCGAAAAATTCATCCGCCAAGCTCTGCTCTACGATCTCTTTCGCGAGCATGCTTTTGATAAAATTATGCGGAGGTTCGGCGAAATCGGTCGGGTGCACTTGCATGTTCTGCCCGGCGTTCATCCTTCAACTTCTTCTGCCCAAGGTTCGTCGAATTCTTTTTTCTTTCCAATCTCGAGGCAGCAGAGATGCAGCAAAATGTCTCTCTCGCTCGCTCTCGCTCCCCGCTCGCTCTTCAAAATGAGCGCGACGATCGAATAAGCACCACGAGCAGAGAAGAGAGAATTTATTTACTCTACTGTTTCCTACTGTTCTTTGTCTGGAAAAGGAATCCAGCGCGTGATCGATTGCGGTGCGATTTTTTTCTGAAGAAGAGCAAAAGAAGCGTTTTCCTTTTATTAATTTTTTGGTACGAGTTTGTGGTTTGATCGAACTTTTTGTCTTGTCTTGGAAGAAAAAAACGTTTATTGATGCGTACAATTTTTCCTTCTGATCAGAACAACATTAACGACAACAAGAATGATCAACCGTGATCAAAACTTCTTAGTGGGCGAATGGAATCTGGAGGCGATATCTGGGAACGTTCGCGGCGACGTGTGGTGGCACGCCAACAACGCTCGCAGTGATGAGAACGCACGAGAAGAACAAGGAGACGACGGTTTTGGAGAGCTGAAGTACACATGCGACGACGACGACGAGATCAACAGTCCCAAAAACGCCTCAAAACGGAAGAAGAAGAAGACAAAGAAGAAGGAGATGTCCGTCGAGTTTGAAATTCGACTGAAAGACGTGAGACTCGTTTTGAATGAACGCGACGAGAGCGCGAATCGTGGTGGTCGATTTTTCTCTCGCGCGATTGCGTTGAGCCACTTTCTCGCGATGAAAATGTTCTTGCGCGTGTTTCAATTCGTCGCTCGCCTCTGCGTGCCGAAGAAAAAATTGTCGCAGATAATGTTCTATTCCGGAACGTACAGCGACGCAGACTTTGTATCGTCCGAAGGAACTGCGTTTGAAAAGATAATTTTCGTTTCACCTGATGATGATGACTATAGCGACAGTATTGGATACGTCGAACACGACGTCATAAAGTGCTCTGAGAATATAAAAACGTTTACGGAAAAAGAGATGCGTTCGAGACACTTGAAAAAAGATGTCCGGGATACGAAACTCCTTCTCGTCCGTAAATTTCATTTGAATAAGGATAAAACTGTTTTAACGCTCGTTACTCCGAACGATTCTACGAGTAAGAAGCCCGGATTGCAACTAAAATGGAGAAAAATCGTCCATTAAAATATTTGTAAGACGATAAGAATACACACGTTCACGCCGCTCGGTGGAACAAAGCTAATCACTCGTAGACATTTTCTCGGCTAAAGCTCCCAACCACAATCTCGCTTTTGCATTAAACGCTCTCGGTTGATCCGAATACGCGACTACCACGCCTTTCGATCCCGTTTTTGCTCGTCTCACTACAGCGGATTCCGCACCCGGTGGTAAAAATTCCCACCGATTTGCCTCCGCCGCGTCTAACTCCATCCTGCTCGACAAGTACAAATTCCCATCCTCCTTCACGTCTAATCTATCGTAACTAAATCCCTTCGCTAACTTTCTCAACACCTCACTATTACTACTAGCACTCGCGCCATCTTCTATCGTTCTAACGCTACCTCTCGCTACAGTCATCATCAGCTTCCCTTCGTTTGTGTCTTCAAAGAACGCGACGCCTTTCGCGTTTGTGTTTGTCAACGCCGCGTAACTCGCCCACGCGTAGTTCGTGTTCTTCGTCTCCTTGTACGACTCTTCCACTAAAAACTGCGAGGACCCACCGAGCATATCCACCGAGTTCTTCTTTGACGAAGAGGACGATCCAGTCGTCGCTTCTTGTATTCTTCGTCCCAACTCCGGGGCGTAAAAGCACCCGCACACTAACAACGCACCAATCAACTCTGCTCTGCTCTGCGCGGAGGATACGTTGCCACTACTCGCGTGGTTCGCTAGTAACAGCGCCCCGGCGAGCACACCCAACACTCTCGGGATATCCCCATCGTCGAAACCGGGAATTCCGAGCGTAAACCGGAAAATAGCGAAATCTTCGTCGTCCTCGTTCGCGCGCGTTCGAAAAGTGCTTTCTCTTCTTCCTCTTCTTCTTCTTCTCCCTTCTCTTCTCGTTGTCGTCGTCGATTTCGTTTTCAACGTTTTCGATGTCAAAGCAGAAGAAGAAGAAGAAGAAGAGAAACTCCGTCGTTCTCGTCGTCCTCGTCGCGTTTTTCTCGTCGTCTGAATCGTCCTCGTCAAAATCATCGTCTTCGCAGAAAGAGTAGAAAGAGAAACAGAAGGAGGAGGAGGAGGAGAAGACATCATCATCTGTATTACTACAAATGCTTTTGCGGGAGGAGGATTTTCTTTTTGACGAGAAAGCAAGCAAAGCAGATTTCTGTTGGACATGTTGGAAATTCAAAAAAACAAGAAAAAACAAGAAAAAAACTTCTTCTTCTTCTTCATTCATTCACTCACTTGCTTTGTTGCGCGAAAAGCAGCGACGATGACGAGAGAACAACGACTCTCCTTCTCGTTATTGAAATAATGTCGACGACGATGAGAGCGTCAGGGGCGACGACTCCCTCGAAAACAGCCTCCTCATCCTCTCACTTTCTGGAAGACAGGAAGAAAAAAGTGACCGAGTTGTGCGAGACACTCGTGGAACGCATTCTCCCGAGAGAGATTATCAGCGGCGATAACATCGAAGACGAACAGTTAGCGGAAGAGAACTACGTGAAATGCGTTGAATTCTGTCGAACGAACTGTCGTCTGGCATCGACGTCGATGAATTCGACCACGTCCAAAGAAGAGGTGAAGCGAGAGTGCTTGGATATTCTGGACCGTTTCGCTCGGGAAGCGCAAATGAGCAAGAGATATTCGTTGACTGTGCTTTTCGACGCGTTGGAGAGAGAGAACGAGAGAAATCGAAGGAAATTTACGTACGAAGACGAAGACGACGAGGAGTTTTGGTCGAGAGTAGCCTTATTTTTGTTGAGGAGCGCGGGGAAGCCGATGAAGAGCGCGTACGAACCATCCAGTTCTTCATTATTGAAGTCGTTGGAAGACAAAGAAAGAGAAAGGCGAGAACGACGACGACGACAACAAGAACGAAGAGAGCAAGAAGAGCACGCATCGTCGGTAGAAGACACGGTGCGACTTCCAGAAATATCAACAGCGAGAACGAATTCTTCGCAAGAACGGAGTAAAAAGAAGAATAGACGCGGAGAGTCGTCGTCGTCGGATTCCTCGCTTTCGGAGTGGTTCGACACAGACGACGAGGAGGAAGATGTAAGAAGAAGAAGAAGAGGAGGAGGCATGAGCACACCAAAACAAACAAAAATCGAGACAGAGAAGAAGACGGAAAACAGGAGTGATGATAACACTTCGACATTCTCGTTTGAATCGTTATCTTCAGACAATGACGACGAAGTATCTTTCTCGGACGATGATATCGAAGAGGATGATGGCGATGGGTATTCGATTCGAATCAGGGACGAGGATGAAGAAAATGCAAACGAAGAAGATCCTGGTTTTTCTTGGAGATCACTTCCTGATGGTATCGATGAGGAGAGTTTAGAAATGCGTGAATTTCACGGCAGCAGTGGGAAGAATACCCTCGGCACTTCGTCGACAAGTCATGAAAACGCAAGGAAAATTTCGCGAGCTTCATTTGCGCAAATGGAACGAGCTCGGAGAATGCTTCGAAAGTTGCGCAATAGTACTGAGAAGAAGGACAAGATAGATATATCGTTCTTCTCTTTACGTGTAGACCGAGGTAGAATGAGGAAATTTACGACGACTGTTGGAGAATCTTTGGTCGTTTCCAGAACTTTGAATGCGATTGCCTCTGGAGGCGTTGCTAATTTTGATATTGAATCGATGGAAATACCGCACGTTTCAAAAAGTGCATTAACGAACGTTCTGAAAACGAGTAAGCAAATTATGGATGTATTTGAAGACATTGGAAGAGTCAAAGAGCGATTGAAAAACTTGAGTAATTTGTTCGCGGTTGAAGGTAAACAAAGTCCGACTGTTCAAGCGTTCGTGAGCGCGTTGATGAAGATGAAAGCAGAAATTCAACATGGATTTGACGAGTTGTTCGAAGCATCGCGAAGAGCGAGCGCACACGCGGACGCGTTTTCTGCGCCTACGTTGCTTCGCTTGTCCATTGAAAGCAGGAAACTTGCAAGAAAGGCATCGTGTTTACAGCGAATAGCGGACATGTGCAGTCCTGGACCGAAGAGTTCGGTTGGAAAGTTTGCGCATCCCGCGACTGCGTCTTCAACTATTTTATCGATGCTATATAATCTCATGAACGAATATAACGGATTATCGGGGAGCCTCGATGAATTTTCGATTGTTTTTAGGTGCTTCTTTAGCAGTTCAACGTCATATTTTAATGCTCTAGATGTTTGGATTAATTATGGGATTTTGACGAGTCCTGAGATATTCGTCGACTGGAAGAAATCGACGCGGTGGAGAGAAGGATGGTATTTGCGCGAAGATAAGGATGTGCCTGTTTTTTTCAAGTCAGTAGCCGAAGATATTTTGAACGCGGGTATTTATAGAGAGTTCTCGAGGATGAAATTTGCCGACGATGACGGCGACGATGACGTTCAAAATCAAGCTGGTAAAAAGTTGACGTTTGTTCCGAAGATGATTTCAGAATTGAAAGCGCTTCTTCTTTTGCGCACATCATTAGAAAATAAGGACGAGAACGACATCAACGACGACACTATAGCCGCTTCCACGAGAACTTTGCGGACGGATGCACCTGTTCAAATCGAACAGGACCCTGCGCAAAGTCAAGGCGACGATAATGACGCAGCTTTTAGCACCGAAGATGCTCTGCTTTCAGATTTGAAAAGCATTGTCTCGTTGACGAAAGCTCGAAGTAGAAAGAGCGCGCATTTTTCTCATTCATCCAAAGAGACGACGAAAACGACTTTTAGCGAATGTTACGATTTCATAAATTGGGCTTCGACGTATTTCGATAATGATACGTGCACAACTCTGGGTATTCCCGTGAATACGTTGGTTTCGAAGTCGATGTTACACCAAATTCGTCTGGCGGCGATGAATGCGAGCGATCAGGCCTTGGAAAAATTGAAATCGGCGTACGGAGTAAAAGCAGAGCTCACAAAGTTGCGAGCATTGTTTCTGGGTGGATGCGGAGAAGTTGCTTTATACTTTTCCAACCATGTCTTTGAAGAGTTTGAGAGTATTCGCCGTCGTCGTGATGAGGAGAGTGGTGAAATCGGCGAGTCAATGGGAGAAGCAATAGTGCGTTTTGATACCACCAGATTGACCGAAGTGTTAAGAGACGCAATTCTCGAACATACGAACGAGAGCACGTTTGGAAGTCGTGAATCAGTTGGTAATAAAAGAGAAGAATTTCGAGTTCAAGTATTTTATGCACGTCCGAGTCTAGATAACGACGACGACGAATATAAAGGAAGCGAGGAACTTCAAGCGCTAACGGATTTAAACATCATTTACCAAAAGAAGAAGACCCACGCTGCGTTGAGTACAAACAGCAACGCTATCGCGGCGAGCTTAATTTGCGATGCAGTTTCGTTATCCAAATATAATGAAGTGTTCAAGTATCTCTTGCAGCTGAGATTTGCGCAGCGTTCGTTGGATTATGGCGTCCTCTCGCAATGGACATCTGAAAATAGAAGGAGAACAGAGCCGTCGCCCTCCACGTCTGGAATAACTTTATCTATCTCATCGTCGCTCGAAATTGAGCTGAAACATTTTGTGCTGACGTTGCGTACGTTTGTGACTACGAAAATCTTGTCGGTGGAGTGGAATCGTCTACTTGAGTTCATCGATGACTCCGCGCAATCCATCGATGATGTAAAATTGGCTCACGAAGTGTATTTGGACAACATTTCTCGAGTCGCGTTGGCGACTCCGGATTCAACTTGGTCGCTCTTATCGACTCATATTAAAATTATCTTGACCATTGCTACTGAGTTCGGAAACGTGCGTCGGCAAGAAGAAGAAGAGGGAGGTGACGTTGGAGTAAAATTACGCGAGCTCTCGATGAGAAGAATGGAGAAAAAATTCACCGTCGCCAGAGCAAACGTTTTGAAAATCTTAAAGAACCTCGACGCTGAATCGGATGATGCCGAAAGCCTCTACGAGCAGTTGAACTTCAACAATTATTATAGAAATTAGTCTAAATAGATATATAGCTTACGACTTTTTAGTTAATAGTACTGTTTAAGCATGCGTGGGATTTACAATGAATTGTTTTACTACTCGTATTCATTTAAGCGCCTTGAGGATCGATGAGCGCCAAGACGCCTTCATAAAAGATAGGACTCGGTGGCATCTCGAATAACGGCTTAGCTTGGTCTGCTTTTGCGTGCGCTTTTTTACTGGACCCCTCGCGCCATTTTTGAAAAGATGCTTCGTCTTTCCAGACCGTAAGAGTCGAATAGTTGTAGCCGTCGTCAGCTTGAAGCGCGTCTCTTCTCAAAAGTACGAACGTTTGAAAGCCTTCGCAGTTTTGTAAATCCGATTCACGTTGGGACCATCGCTGTTCAAAGGCAACCTCGGAACCTGGAAATACTTTGAATCTATTCATTGCGACGTACACGTCCGATTTTAATGGGGTTTTACCATCCGCCACGACAGATCTCCACCCGTCTGCTTGTTGCCATTCGTTGATGAGCGCGTCCGGAGACGTCGATAACGGCATTAAACCGTCATAAAACGCTGGCTTTGGTCCACCTTTCAGAACCATCAACGACGAGATCAGCATTTCTGCGAAGCCGAAGATAGTCCCTCCGCCGTGCGCTTCCTTAAACGCCTCTCCCGTTCTCCAAGCGTCAAAGTTCTCCTTGTTGCTCCATATGGTTAGCGACACGTAGTCGCTCTCTTCCTCATCTCCTCTTCCTTCGCTCACTCGTCTCATCAAGGTGAAGAATCGGAAACCATCGAGTTTCGAGAGTCGACTTTTTCTCTCCGCCCATCTCTTCTCGAATTGCGGGCCTTTGCCTTTCTGTAACTTAAATCTGTTCGATGCGACATATCTCTCCGCTTTCACCGAGTCCTTAGACAACACCGCGGTGCCGACTTCTTTCATCATGTCTGCGTTGGCCTGCACGGTGAACGAGGAGTTTTTCCCGAGGACACGTTTCTTGTTGTTATTAGATGATGACCCGCGACCGACGAGCGACGACGACGGGGCAAAGAACGACGACGAGGCAGACGCGAGTGAGGCAGACATATTTGCGATGACGTTTCGATTTTGACGGTTTCCGGACAGACAGAAGCAACTTCTTCCAACTTCCAAAATATTTTTCAATCGTCTTGAGAAAAGAAAGACAGAGGAAAGAGGAAAGAGAGAAAATTTTTGAGGAAACAAAAGTATGGGCATACATAGTTTTGCCGTGTTACGTGAAAAAAAGCACAAACAAAGGCCATCCACGCGGAACGAAGGGAGCGCGATGTTCTGCGCACGCGTGTTCACGTGAAAAAGTTGATTTATATGTTTCCTACTAGGTACACGAACACCTCTCGGCTCGAGGCGGCTCAGCGAGAGAGTGAGAGAGAGCGAAAACTCGCTCTGGTCAAACTCATCTCTCGCTGAACCGCGTCTCGCGTTGAGACGTCCATATTTATATATTATTAACAAAATATGCTACTAAAGTCTCTCTACTATAACCCCAATCATTAAGCAGACGCTTTCTTCGTCGCTTCAGTACCTTCTCTGAATCCATTCTTGAATCGTCTCGGCAAGGATTTAATGTATCGCATTCTCCCAGTACCAGTGGTGGATCTTCCCTTAGCCTTCACCGACCAGTTGTACCCACGAGTCTTCGCGGCTGGGTAGCCGCACGACGAGCACGTCGACTTTTGGATGTGATACGATCTGCGCCCACATCTGTTTCATCGCGAGAGAAGGAGGAGAATGAACGTCAGTAACAAACCAAAACAAACAAAAGAGACAGAGGGAGATTTATATATGACCCGACGGTGAAAACCACAGACAGATTTTGGGCTTTCGGGGGCGATGATTTGCGTGCGCGCGAATCCAACTCTCCCGCGCACACGCGCACGCGCGAAGATGAAACACAAAGTCGCGAAATATACGCGCGTAAACACTATTCCATCGCGCAAATATTCACTCTTTTGTCTTCCTTAACCTTCGCGCGCGCATCCTGAGCGCGCGACAAAATCACAAAAAGCCCTCCACGCATCTCCGTCGGACGCCTTAAAAAGAGGCGGAGAAGGAGGAAAAAAAGAGCATCATCCGGATTCCTTTCCGAAAGAGACTCTCGCGGGAGTACCCGATCGATGACGACGATATCTAACGCGTACCTTCTGCACAAAGTGTGGGATTTGTTCTTTCGTTTACCGAAAGACCCGGTGCCTTTTCCTTTCTTACCCATGTTTTATATGTACGAGTACGCGCAAATTCTAAAGTGAAGATGAAGGAGAAAGGAGACTCTCAAAAAACAAGAAATTTTTTCATTTTTTCGTTCTCATCACATCAAAACTGGTCTTGGGTTTCTTCCTCTTTTGCTAATAAGCTACTACTGCGCTCATCATCAACGTCAAAACTACTACTGAACACGAACACGCGCGACACACATAATACACGCACTAAAGGATGGGAAAAAGGAGAAGAGTCGGCGTGGAAGGCGGCGGCACGACTTTTGTCGTCGCGCTCTCCGAAGACGGAGACGATTGGTCGCACGTCGAGGAAAGATTCGAGATACCAACGACTTCCGCGGAGGAGACGTTGCAGAAAGTGAAGGAGATATTAGACCAATTGTACCCGTTCGATGCGCTTGGGATATCTTGTTTTGGACCGCTCGAGTTGAACGAGACGAAAGAGAAGTACGGATACATCACGACGACGCCCAAGTTACAATGGAAAGATACAAATATTTTAGGAATTTTAGCCGGGAAAGATACCAAATGGGCGGACGTGCCGATTGGTTTCGATACGGACGTCAACGCGCCGGCGATGGCTGAGTTTGCGTATCATAATAATACTAATAAGAATAACGAAAAGAAAGAAGAAGAAGAAGAGAAAATAGAATCGTGCGCGTACATCACCGTAGGCACCGGTATCGGTGTAGGTTTGGTTATAAACAGTAAGCCCGTCCACGGCTTACTCCACCCGGAAGCCGGTCATATTTCCAACACGCCAGATAAGTGGCAATTCCCACCACCAACGAACACAGAAAAGAGTAAAGTCGATGACAATGAAAATATAGTTTATGATCATTTCGAAGGCACGTGTCCGTTCCACGGCTCTGCGTGCGTCGAAGGCATGGCGAGTTCAGTCGCGCTGGCGAAACGAGCGAACTGCACGCTCGAGGAGTTGAAGCTACTTTCGGACGACGATATCATTTGGGAAAAGTGTGCGCACCATCTCGGAGGGTTATGCGCCACGTTATTGTTAGTAGCTAGTCCGGAAAAAATTGTGTTATCAGGCGGAGTCATGCGAAGAACCGTTTTGTTCCCGAAAATTCGCGAAAAAGTCTACGAACTTCTCGGCGGGTACATCGGCGTCGACCGCGTGCAATCGAAAAAAGGTTTAGAAAAATTAATCGGTCCCTCGCGCTGGGGCGATACTGCCGGTATTATCGGTAGTTTATACTTGGCTGAAATGGCGTATTTGCAAAGATGACATTGAATTGTGTGTAACGTTTAAGGGACGTACGCTGAATAATAAATACGTGAACAGTCGTATTTTCCAAATACACACACGGTAGTTTTTCCTTTTCTCTCTTCTCGGCTGCAGCCAAAAACGAACACGTGTTCAGATATCTTTTTTTTCTCCTTAAAGTGAAACTCTTTTGTCACTCTTCCACTCGGTCTCCTCCACATCTCACTCACTCGCTCGAGTTCACGCCTGTGAATAAGAAAGTTTTGTGCTCAGAAATGGCATTTACTCCTTCTGTCCTTCAACAGTCTTCATCTTCGACGACGACGACGACGACGAGAGCAGCGATTTGTGCATCATCATCTTCATCGAAAAAGTCTTCCAACCTTGCCGTGAGAAGAACATCAAGAGGAAGAAAAGTAACAGCAACCGTGATGGCATCCTCATCGAATAAAGTTGAACCGGCTATTATTATCGGCGGCGGCCGCGTTGGACAGGCGTTATTCGATATGGGCGTTGAAGGGGACGTAATCGTCAAAAGAGACGACGAGTTTCCTTCCTCGCCCAGTTCTGGCCCAATTTTCGTGTGCACAAGGAACGATGTTTTAGAGACTGTCATCGAGAAAACGCCCGCTAATCGACGCGAGGATTTGATCTTCATGCAAAACGGATACTTAGATTCATTCTTACAGTCCAAAGGGTTGGAAAAGAACACGCAAGCGCTTATTTATTTCGCAGTCGCCAAGTTCGGAGAGAAACCGACGGATGGCGTGACGAGCGTCAATCCGGAGGGATTAACTGCCGTTACTGGTAAGTGGAGCGACCAGGTCGCCGCGAGATTTCACAACGGTGATTTATCGTGTCACGTGAAAGATGCAGCGAAATATCGAGCTTCGATGCTTGAAAAGTTAATCTGGATTTCTGCGTTCATGTTAGTCGGTGCCCAACATCCCGGCGCTACCGTCGGCGACGTGGCTACCACGCACAAGAGCGAAGTCGAAGGACTCATCAAGGAACTCGTCCAAGGTGTGGCGGATATTAACGACGTCACGTTCGAAGCGGGAACTTTGGAGCGATTATTAGCGTACGCGGACTCTGTTGCGCACTTCCCAACCGCGGTGAAAGAGTTTGAGTGGAGAAACGGCTTCTTCTACAATTTGTCCACGCAGACGATGCAACAGAGCAAAGACGACCCGTTCCCGAAGCACACGGCGATGTTGAAGGCTATCAATGCAATTTAATTTCTTAAGATATATACCCATGTACTCGAACTGAAAATTTCTGTGTATTCGTTTTGTAAAAGAATGGCAAAACTGCCCGCATTTTTTCTCTTTCTTTTTCCATCTTAGTTAAGCCCTGAATTTCCACGTAAAAGTGTTGCAAAGACTCGAGTTTAAAGGGAGACTCGCGAAACTCGTGTTTTTGTACCTCAGAATTTGAGTAGTCTCATCGATAATAACACCCTTCATTCATCATGGGAGAAGATGCGACCATGGGCGAAGCGAAACCCGAAAGAACGTCTGGCGTCTCGCTCGATATCGTCAAGGTGAGTCTCTCTCGTGTTCTGCTGTTTTCTTTTGTTTTGTCCTCTTTCTCCCATTTTTTCTCGATCTGTTTTCTCTTTCTCCCCTCCCTCCCCCTCGAATGATGATGGTGATGCAGAAGATGAAACTGACGATACTTTTTACCATCATCCCACTCTACCACTCTTCTTAAACCTTAGATTTTGAAAGTCTCTCATCGCGAGCAAGGATTACGACACGGGGACTATCGACGGTATCGTCAGTATTGCGCGCGCAGACTTCGGAGGCTGTACAAAACTTCCCAAAATTTCTGCCACAAGAAGGACTTGCCGCCAGGCGGAGGGAACGAAAAACAAAGACACAAGTTCGAGAAGAAACCAATGAGAGGAGAAGACGGTGCTTTTATGATTCAAGATCCATCCCGAGATCTGCTGATACCGTTAGTGCAAAGTGAACGGTGCTGGGCATTAGCGAACGAGTTAAAGGACGACAACTTGATGGGCGGACCGATGAACGCCGTGAAGAGAGCGCACGCAAAGAAACGCTTAAAGAAAGCATGCGGACATGCCAAAGAGTTTAAAGATGCGTGTGCACACTATGGAGATGCAAAGTTAAAGTTAGAAAGCGAAGCGTATTGCTCGTACATGCTCGGCGTGGCGGATCTCAACGATACGATGAAGGAAAATTGTGGCGCGGTTGCGGTGAGGGAGTTAACGCGAGCCAAGAAGATTTACGAGTTGCTCGGCAAAGTAGGACCGACGGAGCACAAGATGAACTGCGAAGGACGTGCGAGAGAAGTGGCGCTGATGGTATCTACGGGAATGAGACAAGCAAAGGATGTTATTGATGTGAAGAAGGAAGTAGCTGAGGTGGAGAGAGAGGTGGAGAACTCGACGAACATAAGGGAAGCGACGGAATTTTTGAAACTGAGCGATCCTCTTCTCACTGGAGGTGACACCGCGTTAGCTACTCACATACAGTGGAGAGGTAAACAATTCAAAGTATACGGTGAATATGGCATGCGAACGTACGGAGCTGTTCATAAAATACTCAATCGATTGAAGAACGAAGCGAGCACACTTTCTGTGGACAAAACGTTGACGTTGTACAAGAAACTTTTCGTGCACATTGAAGAGACGAAAAAGCACTTATCTAAAGCTTGTCGTGACGCGGAAAGTATGTCATTTGGCTCTGAATACGACGAAGAAGATTTGGCGCAACTTCGCTTATCGACCCAAGCCTTAGACGTGTTAGTATTGGAGAAGGAAATTGCAAGAGACCTATTTTTAGCGGAGCAATTAGGCGCGAAACTATTCGATAAATCGGCCACGATGAAGCACAAATCAGATCGAAATCTGAAATTCGAGCACTTGGTTCGCGTGTATGATGCTTTAATCGCGAGTAATTACATCTTAGCGGACGCTGCTATGGAAATCATTCGAGGCGCGGATGCAGACGCAGTCATCGAAAAGCTCGAATCCGATATCGACGACGATATTGAAAAGTACAAGAAATCGAGAGAAGAAGCGTTGCAGGGGGCATTGACGGAGCCGAACGATCCAATCGCATCAAAGGTGAAAACAATGAAGGTATCTTCAACGGGAGGAATGCCGAGAGTTGTTTTGGAAGGGAAAAATATCGCGGAATTCGTTTACAACCGAGGTGAACCTTCTGTTCAGTTTGAACAAGCACGGGCCCAGCATGCTAAAGCGACGGGAATTCCAACTCCCGTATCACCAATTCCTTCACCAAGAGCGAAAGCGAAAAAGAATCAAAATGAATCGGACTCGGAAGGATTCCATTCTGCGGACGAAGAAGAGTCGGATTACGAATCGTCTGAATATTCCGGAAGTAGCGATTATGAGAGTAGCGATTATGAAGACGCCGGTCCTGGATATATATCTTCCGCGGCTGGTGCGTTGGGTAAATTATTTTCTCGAGGATAGATGCTTGAGTTATTAGAGCATTGCTGCTATTTCTTTTAATGTATCATTGCATATACTTTGCGAGTCTTTCTGTTTTCTACAAAATATTTTATAACGTCACCGTGAACGAAACGTACGGAAAGCAATCGTCTCCGCCTCGCTCTCCACCTAATCCGTCACCACCACCTCCACCGCTCCCGCCGCCACTCTCGGTAGCTGACCAGTGCGAACTCGACCCGTTCCCGAACGCCGCGTTCATTACACTTCTAAGCTTTTTCTCTAGTCGTTCTTTCGGTCGCATAATCACCGCTTGAAACGCCGGCGGTAAACCGTATCTCAAAATACTCTCCACGAACAAACGAACAACGACGACGTGTATCCACGAGGAAACAACTTCCCCGTACGAAGTTTGACACCACTCGTACAATTCGTTTCTTCGTGTCTCGACTTCCTCCTCTAAACTTTGCTTCTCTTCTTTATTCTCCGTAATTTTGTCCTTGTCGTAGCTATACTCTCGCACTTGGAACGCCCCATTCTTTTCTCTCACGGCATTCTTAAATGAATCGACCGTTCTTCTAAACAAGGTCACCGTAAATAAGGAGTAATCGTTCTCTTCCTTCAACATCTTGGAAGATCGAGGGACAACAAACTGCGCCAAAGTTTCGTATGAATCCAGCCAGTCTTGCGCCGAAAACTTTGGTATCGTGACCAACAAAGTCGTCAAATTTTCCGTTTCAACCATGTCCTCTTCTCTCACGACGTCGCCTAAATCTCTCGTCGCTAACGAGCCTTGCGTTTTCCTCGCAATCGTTGACAACGAATTCTTCGCCATCACGTACTCGCTCAACTTCATCTTCAACTCGTCGTCAATTTTCATGACGTGCTCGGTTATCTTCTCCACGGTTTCTCTCAGTTGTCGCTTTGCTGGATTTTTAGCCTCGTCCCATTTAAAGTCCGTGAGATACTCCTCGGTTGGAACGCCATCTACGGTTAAAATTGTCTGCGCGGTGAACGCTTCGTTGTTGTTGTTGCTATTGTTATTATTTTCCATGTTGTCTCTTCTTCGCTGTTGTTGAGATTCTTTGGCAAAGTGTTCGCCAATCTCTTGAATCTGACGCTTGATTTTCTGCGTCACGTTTTCTATCTGCCCGTTGATCTTTTGTAAATCATCCGACAACGCCAACAGCGAATCTAACGTTCCTATTTTCAGCTCCGGGACGAACAGTTTCCGATTCTCTCTCGCGCAGAGTTCTCCGTTTTCCTTTCCTCTCGTTTTCGCTTCTAAAAGTTGAAACGCGATGTCTTTCCTCTCCTGTATCGTTTGGCCGTTTATCGAGTGGTTTCTTTCCGTCAGAGGTAAGGAGACGATCCAGTACGCCGTCGTCGTAAATGTCGAGGACGACGATTCCATTTGTCTTCTTCTTCTTCTTTTTGTGTTCGCTCTCTTGCGTGCTGTCGATGATTTTTATTTATGAAGACGAGAGATGATAAAGTCTGATGAGAAGAGATGAATGAATGAATCTTCTAAACTCTTGTGAAAAGAAAAACTCATGATCAAAAAAAGCACAAACTTCACTCGTCAGAAGAGCTCTTTTCTCTCATCGCTCAGTTTCTCTCGCTCCTACAAAGGAGAGTCTCATCAGACGAAAGTAAACGCATTTAGAAGAAGAGAAAAAGAACACGAGAAGAAGAAGAACATGAAATGTTGAAATGCTGAACAGACTGAAAGCAATCGTGGCAAAGCCACCGACGTCGAACAAGAAGTTCCATCGGAACACGGAAGACGTTCTGAAATCTCTGGGACGAAAACAAAAAGTCAAGGAGGAGAATGCGTTCCCTTTCCAACGGCATTTTGTTTCCTCCGAAGAAGAAGAAGAAGAAGAAGAAGAAGAAGAAGAAGAAGAAGAAGAAGAAGAAGAAGAAGAAGAAGAAGAAGAGGAAGAAGGAGGAGAAGGAAACAAAACGAAAGCGACGAAAAGAAGCAGAAGAAAAATTGTTTTACAAAACGGGGACGTGTACGAGGGAAAGTGGAACGAGACGAGCAATGTGCCGGTTGCAGATGAGACGAGCACGTACACTTGGAAGAACGGAGACGCGTTTATGGGGAACTGTACGCAAATACTCCAAGGCAAAAAGAGACCGGACTCTGGAATAATCACGTATAAAAAGGACGGGACGATTTATGAATACTATCGGAAAGGGTACGGGAAGTTAGTCAGAGCCGATGGGAGCAGCTACATTGGCAACTTTAACGAGCGAGGAGAGTTTTCGGGATTCGGTAAGTTTACGTCGGCGCCTCAAAAGACAACGAAAGATGCTTCTGCTTCTGCTTCGCGTGAAGCGTGCGCGCAGCACGAAGGCCTCTACCGCGAAGGAAAACCAAACGGGCCGGGTCAATTTCGGTTTGCGAACGGTGACATGTACCAAGGCGAATTTGTTGATGGATTTTTTCACGGTTGGGGAACGATTGTTTTCAACGAAATGGGAGACAGATACGACGGTGAATTTTCTCGAGGAGCGTTCAATGAGAACGGCGTGTACACCTGGAAAAACGGAAATTGTTACGTCGGAAAATGGAAGAACAATAAAATGCACGGGCCTGGTGCCTTCTCAGATGGCGAAGAAGTTTTTATTTTGTGCGAATATAACAACGGTAAACGAATCAGAGAGGAAAAGAAAGGGGAGTTACCGGAAGCGCTCAAGCAGCACAGAAAACGAATGCAAGACTCGTTGAAACAACACAACGCTCAGTCGATAAAGTTACAATCGAGTTCATCGATGAAGATTTCAAAGATGTACAAAGAGTTTGGTGAAGCAAATCTCTTCAAAAAAATGTTCTCTTCGAGGTCACAATCGGTGCGAAGAGTGAAAGCCGGAGGACAGACTATTTTCAAAGGTCACCGCAGTTACGAATTAATGACGCAGCTGCAATTAGGGGTCGTCTGGTCAATTTCATACAAGAATAAAACAACAGCAGCAGTGTTAACTGCGGATGATAACAGGAATAGCATGGACGAAAACGATACCGCTAACGAGGATTACGAACCTCTCACGGTGACAGATTTTGATACGTATCTCAAAGTTCGATTTCCTCGAATTGGTTCTGAAATCACACCACCGCACTCCTCGTCGGATTTTAAATGGAAACTGTATTCCCCAGAGGTGTTTAAAAGGTTGCGAAGAGACTGGGGCGTCGATGAATCCGAGTTTATGCTCTCCATCTGCGGCGAACAAGCGTTGAAAGAGATGAATTCTGCCGGTAAGTCTGGCTCAATTTTCTTTGCCTCAACCGACGAGCGTTACATCATTAAAACTATGCGGAAAGTCGAGATGAAGGCTTTGTTGAAAATGTTGCCAAAGTATTACAGACACATGCAAGAAAACGAAGACTCTTTGTTGACAAAGTTCTTTGGCGTCTTCTCGGTGAAACCGAGTCAAGGGAAGAAGGTTCGATTTATTGTCATGGCGAACTTGTTTTGCGATTCTCTGGAAATTCACGACACGTATGATTTGAAAGGCTCCACTTTAGGGAGGTTCACATCTATAGAAAAGAGAATGAAAGCAAATTCGTTGGAATCGACGACGGAGTCTGGAGTTATCTTGAAAGACTTGGATTTAGGATTCAAATTTAGGCTGGAGAAATCGAAGAGAGACTTGTTCATTCGCCAAGTTTCGCTCGATCTGAAGCTATTAGAAGAACTGAACATTATGGATTATTCCTTGTTAGTCGGTGTGCATTACACGAATACTAAAGACCGAAAGTCGAAAACTGGATCTATGCTTTCAGATTCTCAGTTATCGAGTGCAGGAGTAGACACTGAAATGCCAGGAAACCACTCGCATACAGAGACCGATGGTGATTACGATGACGACGTTTCCACCCTTGTGAAAAATAGAAATAACGAAAGGACGAGTTTTGAGAGTAGCGATATGTATGACATCGATGACGACGATGAGGACGCCGAGAATGGGGACGAATCCAATCCGAATAGAAAAAAAAGTGAATACGCTTGGGCGCTAAACATATACAAACAGCTGTCGAAAAATTTTGGCGCTTTCGAAACGGTCGCAGCGACGTCCACGAAACCTTTAGTTTTCAAATACATCAACCATGGAGGCAGGAGAAACGAAGAGAAAAGACCGTGGAAAGGAGCAGACGAACAAATAGCCCAAGTCGTAGGGGATCGCGTGACGCAGTTTTCCTCAAACAGTTTGCCGAAACAGCTCGCCGCGGTGTGTGTTCCCGGTCGGTCGTTTAAATCACTTTCGGAGAAAGATATGAAAGTGTTGCACGAAGAACCGAGTGTACGAGATGCGATTTTGAACCTGGGCATCATAGATATTTTGCAAGTGTATTCGGCGCCCAAAAAATTAGAGAGAGGCTTTAAAGGTGCAGTATATAAAGCGACTAGCATTAGTGTTGCGGCACCAAAAGCGTACGCGAAGAGGTTCAAGGATTTTATGCGTAACATATTCGAGTAGTTTTTTGACCATAATAGACTTGTACTGCTAGTGATTGCTATCATATTAATACAATAAAAGTACACATTTTCTAAAACTAAATGTTTGGCATCCCACCGTTTCAGTTGTCGAGACGCAGTTTTTACCTCTTCTTTAGTCGTTGTTTCCGCTGCTACTACTGCTGTTCTTTTTCTCAGATTCTATGGCTTCTCGATAACCAATTCTATACTCCTTAATGAATTCTCTCACCCCGTCTCTATACGCTATGCCTCTCGTCTCGTATAAATACTTTACCAGAGGCCTCCATCCAGACTTCGCCGTGTGAGCTAATTCGTTCAATTCAGAACCGAGAGAAGGAGAAGAAGAATCGTCGTGCTTCTTATCGTTCTCTCTTTTGTCGCGATCATTTCCTGCCCCGTGCGTTCGCGCGGCAGATTTCATCGCACCATCTTCTCCTTCCCCTATCTCTCTCTTCCAACTCTTTCCGTAAAGCTCCAACGCTTTCTTCCAAATCAGAAAGTGTTGTTTGATGGTATATTTCTTCTCGACGTAATTCGGCGGATTCGGCATCGTGTCCGGCCATATTATGTCTTTCACATCTTTCTTAAAATACCGGGAAAGCTTACTGAATGTCGACAGCCCTTCTCTCCTAGCATTGTTCGACATTGTTGCACTTTGTAGGATACTTTACTTTGAATGATGGTTTTATATCGTGTTCATTTCATCCACAAGGTTTCAAAACAAAGAGACGTCGCGAGTGACGCTTGGTTGTTGCTTCCTTTTCTCTCCCTTGCCTTTGTTTTTTACTTTTTTTACTTTTTATTTTTATTTTTTAAAATTCCAAATCCCCTTTCGTTTTCTTCCCCAGATAAAGATTCCCGATAGCACAATAGATATGGGAACTCTAAATTTAATTTGTATTTGTATTACTCGTCGTTTTTTCTTTAAACTCATCTTCTGGGGATATAAAATATTTTTTTAATTTTTAATTTATTTAAAAAAATCTGCAGAGTATTTAGAGATCTTTCAGCCATGAAATTCCCAAACGATTCACGATTAATTTAATAAAACCTTATATATGAATTTTTAAGAGAGTAGAAAAGCCGGATAATGTTGTTTTTATCTTATATTCGGGATGATTCTAGGAAATTAATTTTTAAAATAATATTTTTCCCTACAAAATTTATCATAAAAAATTAGTTTCGCATATTTATAAATCACAACTAATCTAGAACTTAATAATAAATGTCACAGATGCTTCTATATCTATTTATTTGTTTTTAACGCTCGTATGTAATATTTAATATTTTCGCAAAAAATCTTTTTTTTTGTCTTCGTTTATGATTGATTCCTTTTTAGAATCTCTTGAAAACAACAACAATTCGGAGAAGAGAAAACTCCTCACACCAAGTATTTGAAGAAGAATAGTACAAAACGATAACACTGAGTGCTGTTGTTTCCGATCATCGCACTTTTTCTCCTCAAAACTTAAGGAGGGGAAGGAAGAAGAAGTCGTATAAAATATAGGAACGAACGAAAGAGTGATGATGACCAATACTACTCCCAATTCTTCATCATCGAAATCATCGTCAATGCCGAGGAGCCGCTGCTTCTTTCTCCTCTTCTCTCTTCTTCTTAGCAGTGTAGTGATGATGAAAACGACCGAGGCGGTGGAAGAGTTTGAAACCGAGAAGGAGATGCTCGATTTCATAGATGATAACAGCGAGGATTCCTTAGCCGTCATCTCCTTGTTCCGACCGGACAACGAACACGAAAAGTTCGAAATTGTCTATTCCGACGTCGAGGAAACGTTTCACGCGTACGGCCACGAGGACGTTATTTTCGCAAGAGCAAACAAGCTCAAAGGAGATAAAGATACCATGCCTAAAACGTACGTCTTAAAGCCACAATACAGGGAAAGCAAGGATGCAATGGTTATGAACATGACGACGAACCCGGCGTACGACGTGAAGGCGGTGGTAAACTTTGTCTTTTACGCCATGATTCCGCCGTACGCCAGGTGGCCTCCTTTTCCCAAGTCTCGAGGTACCGAAGATGAAGTGCAAAGAGCAAATTTACACGCGAAGAACGACATGCCCAAAGTGTTCGTACTGACGAAACCAGAAACTGCCATCGACAACGGCGTCGTCTTACACGAGGTCTTGACCCAAGTCGGACAATCACTCGTCGGCGTGATGGTTGTCATTCAGCTTTCCGTGAAGGATAAATCCTTCTTGCGCGCAGCAGTATACGAGGGAGAGGAAGATCAAATAATGGAATCGTTGGAGAAGAACGATTTCGTTCTAGTAGGATACGATAGGCTAACGAATGTAAGAGATTCGGTAGTTTTTACAGACATGGACGCGTTGAGCTACGAGTCCATGGTGAACTTTTGTATGAGGTTCGCGACGAAAGTAGGAGGTGACTTGTTGGAAGGGAACCGCTCTCCGTTCCCGCTGAAAAGGAGTAAAAATAGAAGAAGTAAAAACACAATCGGTTTAGGAAAGCATCGCGGGCACAACGCTGAAGACTTAGAAGAATTATGATAATAATAATAATAATAAGAAGAAGAATAAGAATGCTTTATGTATGCTTATATTAATTTGCTTGCTTTTGATATTCTATTCTGTTTTAACTCTAATTACAAACTCTTTTTTTTAGGATTCAAAGGGCACTTGTACTCGCTCGCGAATTTCCCGAACGAATTCGCCGGATCGTGTTCCGGCAATAACTTATACTCCTTTTTATCGTCCGGCGGAGTCTCGTCTAACATGTCGTAATAGTATTCCCACCACTCGACGAAAAAATCTACGTACAGCTTCAAGAACTTTTGATGGTCCTTTGGGTACGCGCACTGCGTCATCCACTGCGGTTCCCACGGTTTGGGGGATCCGTTCATGTGATACCCGTGAACTCTGCTCTCGTCCCACAACTTTTTCTCTTTCACCATTCTCCGATGTTTCATAACATAGTCAATCGGGATCAGATTATACCTATTCTTGAACTGAACGTTAAGGAAATCTTGCTCGGACGTTGCCAACATTTCTGTTTCAGTCAAGGCCAGAAACGCCTCCATAATCTCATCGAAAACGTCGTTTGAGGGATTATAAATAAACATACCCGCGTTAAATCCCGCTTTAGTATCGAACGACGATCGCGGCGTTACAGCTATCGAGTGCTTCACTGGATCTGTCTCAGCGCAAAACATCGAATCCGAGTTTTGTCTCACGTACACGTCGGCATCCACGTACACCATCTTCTCGTACTCTTCAAATTTCCAAACGAACATCTTCACCACCCAATATCCGCTCGCGTATCGCGCTGATTTTGATACCAACGCTTTCGCCTTTTCGTTATTCTCAAACGGGTCTACGACTATAACTCTGATCGACTCTTTCGTCAACTTCTCTCTCACTTCCTCGCTCACCGCCGTGGATACCAAAGCGATGAAATCTCGATCTTCAACCGCGTACTTTCTAATCGTGTGCAATAAAACTAACACCGCGGGCAAAAATCCGTCGTTCCCTAACGCCGTAATCCACGCTTCTTTACACCCACTCGGCCCTCCAAATCCTTTCTCCGAAGCTTCCAAAGATTCTTGCACGTATTCTACTTCCGTTTGTTCTCGCGACCGGTGTCGCCCGACGCCGAGCGCTCGGCACTCTGAAGAGTGCATTTTCTCCTCTCTCCCTTCCTTAACGCATTTCAAGTTAAACAACAAGTCCTGTCTCGCGTTCCCTTTAACCTTTTTCGTGTACGACGGAATAGAAGAACTGAAAGAAGCAGGTCTGTAGTCGTATCTCTCGTGTTTGTGTTCTCCAATCGGTTCCGGTATTCCCATAGCTTTCCGTAACTTTTCCTCTCGCTCTCTCATTCGAACGAACGCGACGTTGTTATTCTTCTTTTGTCTTCTCAAAACTCCCACTTTTCCTCTCCCACTTGCCATTTCGTTGTCACTGCCACCGCTGCTGCTGCCGTGACGAGGATGATGATGATGATGAATAGAATAATGCAATCCACCTTTCCCGCTCTCGAGCATTTCAAAGACGAGAAACAACAGCACAAGAGGTAAGGAAAAGACTTTGAGAAATCTTATCAGAGCTCTCTTGTTGCTCGTCGTTTTCACCATCCTTCTCTTCCTCTCTCTCTCTCTTTTCTCTGATAAACGGAGGAGACGAGGAGTAGTGTGTACTAAGTATTTGTGTGTTTTGTACGAGAGTAAAAAATTTGAAGAAAAGATGAGAGCAAAAATTTTTGGACAAATCTCTCTCCATTATTTTTAGCGTTCTATGTAGCATCAAAAATACATCGTTTAAGGCAGAAGAGAAAGAGAGAGATTAAAAAGAGGAGGAGGAAGAGGAGAAGGACGACGACGACGATGATTTCCTTCTTTTTGTCTTCTTCTTCTTCCACGGTCGCATCATCATCAGAAAAGTCGTCGACGACGAAGATGATGATGATGATGTCACCGAGGAGGAGGAGGTGGTTGTTAACTAAAGGAACAACATCAAATGGAAGGAAAAAAAGCATCAACGCTTCTCCTCTCTTCTCCTGCGTTGCTTCTCTTAACGACGACAACAACAACAACAACAACAACATTAAATCCATCGTCAAAACGAAATCTGTGGTGTTCGTTCGTCACGGCCAGTCCACGTGGAACGAAAGAGGGATCATCCAAGGGTCCTCCGACGAGAGCGTGTTGACGGAGTTGGGAGAAACGCAAGCCAGACGGTCGTACGAGTTGTTACGGAGCGAAAAATTTGACCACTGTTTGAGAAGTCCGTTACAGAGAGCATACAGGACGGCTGAAGTCATATGGGGCGAAGAAAGAAACAGAGAGAAGATGGATACTATCGATGATTTGCGAGAGATTGATTTATACGCGTTTCAAGGGTTAGATAAGAACGATAAAGAAACGATCGAGAAGAGGGAGTTTGCGAACGCGTACGCGCAGTGGAAAACGGCGCCGGAGAAGTTTGAAGTGAGCGGACACTTTCCAGTTGTCGAATTATGGGAGAGAGGCGATAAATGCTGGAAAGAATACATTTTCCCGTTAGTGTTAGATGAATCAAAGTCGATCGATAGTTTGCTCGTCGTTGCGCACAACGCGGTGAATCAAAGTCTGTTAGGAAACGCGCTGGGAATTGGACCGGAATATTTTAGAAGGATTTTACAAAACAACTGCGGCATTACTAAAGTTGAACTCACAACTACATCGCTGGGGAAAGATAACAGTAACGAGTTGACACTCGTCAAATTGAACCAAACTGGTGGAGGGAACGCTCCAATTAAGAGCAATGTGGATGGTAAGCGGTACGTCGTTTTAGTCGCGGCGAAACACTTCGGAGACAAAATGAACGAAGCCATGGGTGAAATCAATACGATTCACACGCTCTTAGCCGACGTTTCGTTTACGAGGATCCTCTCCGTGTGCTCCGCTAGTGTCGATACTAATGTAGAGTGTGTTCTCACGAAAGGTCTCTCGGCGTTGTTCAAACAGAAGAACCTCGCGGAGTGCGTAAAATTGGAAACCGACGCCTCGAATGAAAGCGTTCAAGCCGCCGCGCTGGAAAGCACTGGAAATATTCTCGTCGTAGCAAGAGATGAAAAGGCGTGTCGACAAATACTTTCTGGCTGTTTGAACATTCCTACACATGTGAGCGAACGGATCAAGGTAATGCCTGGAGATGGTGTCACCATTGTTGATGTATCAAAAGGTTTTGACAAGTCTGCCGTGAACTGCGTGAATTTTATCTAGCACGATTCTATGTAAGCTGTACCACTACCACTTTATACTATTACTACTACTACATTACGTATTGCTATGAGAACGAACACTCACGATAGCGAGGACAGCGACGACGAGGAGGAGGATCCTTTCTTCTTTTTCTTCTTTTCTTTCTTTGAACGTTTCTTCTCCTTCTTCTCTTTCTTCGCTCTCTTCTTTGATCTTCCATCCTCTTTTTCGTCTTCGTCTTCCTCTTGGGGTAACGGTTTACCCTCTGCAATAGCCCTCGCGCGCTTCTCCGCCATCTCTTTTCGTTTTTTCAATTCATTCATGAGCGTTTGCTCGTCTTTCTCCTCTTCCTCTCCTCGCTGTTTCTCGTTTCCGTCTTTCTCCTCCTTCTCGTCGTCGTCTTCCGAAGACGACGACGACGAAGAAGCCCCTTCCTCTTCCTCTCTCTTCACCTCCACGTACGCTTCCTTCGGAGCGTTCCCGTTGCACTTAAAGCACCTCTCCCTTCCTTCAAAGTTATCTCCTCCGCACAACGAGCACTTCCATTTCAAAATCTTCTTGTTAAACTCCTCTCGCAACCGATAGTCTTCGCAATGGTCCACTCGTAAAATTCTTCCCAAAACTTTACTTCCGTTTAAATTATCCACCGCTATAATCGTCGAGCGCTGATCTAAGTAACACACGAAGGCGAACCCTTTCGATTTCCCGGTCTTTTCGTCTCTGGGAACGAACACGTCCACGATTTCTCCGTATTGCGATAAAATAGCCAACACGTCGCCTTCTGTTAATTCCGAGTGAATGCCACCGACGAAAACGTACGCGGAGTGTTTGTATTTCGCGTGCCAACTGGCGGATTCTGGAAGACCTAACTCGATCTCTCGAAGAGAAGCGTCTTGTTGGTTTTTTATTTGCGTCAAGACGTTCATTTCTCTCTCTACTTCGTCGTCCTCGTCGTCGTGTTTGCTCGCAGAGAGATGAAGTTTTTGGAGATGTTTTTCGTCGTCACCAGGAATTTTTTTCAGCTGCTGAATTTGCTTTTTTCTCTGTATGTTTTTGGCGGCGTTCCACACATTCTTTCTAAACACATCATCACCACGATGATGAGAGAGCATTCATCATTCGTATCGAAGACAACAACAACAACAACACACTATCAACAACAACAACGAGAAGAACATATATAAGAACAAGATGAATTCTTTGGACGACGCGCTTTTGAAAGCAACTTTGGACGACGCGAGATGTCAACAGACTTCGTTGGGAAAAAGCGCCGTCGCGCAATTGACATCTTTGCTTAAAGGTACGCGTTCATTATTCACGTATCGAGATACGAAAGAAGAAGAAGAAGAAAGTCGGTGACGATACAAGAATTTAATCTTTGAGAGCTGACCATCCCCGTGATGTTCAAAATGACAAGCATATAACTGAGACTTTCTTCGTCTTCGCGACGGGCGACGACGCTTAACATCTATTCTTTCTTTACTTTTGTTCTCTCTGTAGCTCATCTTCGGAATCTTAGTGTATAATATCCAATCACTAACCATTATTTCTTCGTTCAAAATCATCAACAAAACAGGTTTAGAAGAGAAAGAATTGAAACTGAAGTTAGAGGAGGACGAGGAGGAAGAGGAAGAGGACAATGACGAAGATTATATTAACGCGTCCGCGAGAGATTTGTTCGCGCACACGAATATGAGCGCAAAAACGATTACATTCAAACCTCCGAGCTCAGTTAAAGCAGTTGGAGGCCATTCGTACGGAGGGGCGTTAAGCTTTAACACGAATAATAGGGGAGGCAAGGACGGTAAGGAGGAGGACACGACACCTGCGATTGACGTAGCTATCGAAATGCCGTCTTCGTGCTTCAACGAGAAGGACTACTTGGATCATCGGTACCATTTGAAACGAATGGTGTATTTGAAGCACATACAGAAACAGTTATTAATGAGTAGGAAGAAGAAAAACATAGCAAAGAAATTCGTCAAGAAGTGCGATCTGACTTTTTATCAAAACGACAACCGAAAGCCGTGCTTGACGATAACCATCGATAATCACGAAAGAGATTTAAAAGTTCGAGTGTTGCCGTGTTGCGCTGCGAACTTGTTCCCAAAACAAAGACTCGGTCCAACGAAATCAAATTTGAAGAAAAATGAAGTCCGTTTCGAGTCGCCTCGGTATTCACAATCCATCGCGGAGGATGCGGCTATGCATAGCATCAACGAGTGGCTGCAAAATAAATACAAAGAGGTGAAATTTCTAGGGGCCGCTTCGGTTTTAATCAAAGCGTGGGCGTCTAGACGTCATCTGTTTGAATACTCCAACGATGGTATCACTGGCTTTTTCCTTTCGTGCCTTTTAGCGCACATGGTTGAAACAAGTGATGCGCTTTCGCCGGCAATGGACACGAATCAGCTCGTCCAAGGCTTTTTTGTTACGCTCGCGACGGCAAAGAAAAACAGCAGTGGTATAGCAAATAGTAAGAGAACAAATGGTAGCAACAAAAGTAGTGGCGAATTAGAAAGTAGCAGCATACCGAATTATTTCACCGGCGGTGTATTTTGTGATTCAGAACTAGATGAGGAGACGAAAAAGAGTTGGATCGGAGCCTTTAAAGTTGTCTTCTTGAGTCCATGCGGATCCCTGAATTTAGCCTCGCGAATATCTCAAGGTGCGATTGAAGAGTTGGTTCAAGAAGCGGTAAAATCGAGCGAAGTTTTAGAACAAGCCGGAAGAAATGCATTTGTGGAAGTATTTCTAACCGATTTACCGAGAGCTGTACGGTACGACCTTCACATGCAAGTCGAAATATCGCCGACATCGTCTCTGAAAGATGTTAAAGATATTTCCTCCGAGACTCGCATCGCGGAAGAGGAGATCTTCTCGATTATGAAAATCGCTATGAACGATCGCGCGGACGCAGTGAGGTGCGCGAGTATTGGAACATCAGCGTGCAACGCAAACAAAATATGGATTGGGGTCCAATTAAATCCCGAAAATGGTTTGAAAGTAATCGATGTTGGACCACCAACAGATAACGAGGCTGAAGCAAAGACGTTTCGAGCTTTTTGGGGGGAAAAATCGGAGCTTCGCCGTTTCAAAGACGCGAGAATTTGTGAAGCAGTTGTGTGGAGCTTTGTGCCCGCATCAAGAAGGCACCACATTCCAGCCGTTGCAGCAGAATATGCGCTGAAGAAGAACGTCAAAGGTATCGATTCAATCACGTGGACATCAAAAGTATTTGACGATTTGTTATCTTCCTCGGATGGCTCCTTCGTGGCTGTCTCGGAGCACTCGAAACATCTTTTGCAAACATTAGACCGGTTGGCAAGACGCATGAAAGAGATGAAAGACGTCCCGCTAAAAGTGTATAATGTTCAACCAATTTCTGCGGCATTTCGTGGATGCGATCCGTTTCCACCCAAGCAACATCCATTAATGTTTGGCATCGGTGCTGGTCTAGGAAAAGACGATGAAGTCATATCGGCTTGTCCACGAACGTTGAACGTTTTAGTGCAATTAGAAGGTTCGGGTCGTTGGCCCGAAGAGGAAGAAGAAATCATAAAAACAAAGCAGCTAATGGCAATTGAAATCGCAGAGAAATTGAAACAATCGTTCGGAACTCCGAACATTGTCTCGAACGATGGAACTGTCGATATATTACACGAAGGTTACGCGTTTCGATTATTTTTGAACGCCTCAAACGGCGGTCCTTTAATTCGAGAAATTGAGGCTGAGCAAGCAATTGTGTCGAAACACGCGATGTTGCTTGCATCAATTTCCTCGAGATTTCCGACGTTTGCAATTGCAGTACAAATTGCCAAGCGGTGGATAGCTTCTCACATGTTCTCTCCGCATGTTCCGGATGAAATTATCGAGTTGTTGGTTGCGAAAGTCTTTTGTCACCCGGGAGGATTGAGTCCACCGAATTCGAGAGAAGTCGCTTTTGCACGATTCTTAGAGCTTCTTTGTACGCATCCTTTTGGCATACTGCCTCTCGTGCTCGATCCCGAAAGTTCAGGAGGACAAACCGGCGAAGACTGCGCCGTTTCAAGAGATGCTATCAAAAGAGCGGAAGATTTACTCCTGCCGTCGGCTATGAAGGATGATGTTGAAGAAGAGGAGGAGAAGGACAGCGATGATGATGATGATAATAATAAGGAGAACGGTACAAAAGAAAGGATAATCGAGAAGAAAAAGTTCAAGGGACCGCCTTCGATGGTTATTCTTTCGCCTTACGATCTGACCGGCACGTTCTGGACGCGCGACAGAAATTTAGATGGCGAGAACGTTCCATCCGTAGTCACTATGAAAAGATTACAAAGTATCGCTGCAAAGGCGCTCAAAACTTTGCAAACATATTTAGAAAACGGAGGAAATATGTTAACCGCAAACAACAATGCGGGAGAAGAAGAAGAGGAAGTCATGTGGGAAAAACTATTCCGGCCGAACCTGGGTGCATTTGACGGCGTACTTCTCTTTCGTAAATCGGTCTTGCCGTTTCCAGATGAAGCGTTGTTCACGCAAGCAAAGATGAGAAAAGTTTTGAAACGCGCATTCAAAACAAATCTATCCACCGCCGCAGATGATGAAGAAGAAGAGGACGAAGAAGAGGAAGAAGATTTCATCCTTCACGAAAAGAAAAAGAAGCGTCGGAAAGAGTTATCGCTGACGAAACTTCCAAAGCGTCTTATGCAACTCGGTCCGGAAAAGGCTCGCGAAGCGTTGTTGGTTGGTTTTGATCCAATCAAAGCGTTTTTGGACGATTCGGAGAAACGGTGCGGCAACACCGCGCTATTCTTCCACGATAAGTACGGCGGTTCTTTCGTTGCGGTTGCGGTAAAACCAGAAACACTGCGCATCCATCGGGACGTGGTGAAGTTGCTTGAAAACGACAGCTTCGTGTTTGCTTCTTCTTCTTCTTCGCAACGAGTGCCGACGAAAGATGCCATCTTAGAAGAGTTGGCGACGATTCCTGGTGATGGCATCGTAGATGGATTGATGAAAGATAGAAGATAGTGGCCGTGTAAAAGTCGAAAATGTGCATCACTCTAACCCTCGCTTTTGTATTCGTATTCATTTATTTTCTTTGTTTCTCTGATATCTCTCTATTTCAAGACGAAAAAAGCTCCACTTGTGCGCCGGGAGGCGCATGATTCTTCCGATAAAACAGCGTTTTATCTTTATGATGAATTGGTTAAATCGCCCTAAGAACATATCTTGACGGGTTGTTCGCATAATGGCGTCTCGACGGTTGGCCCCTTCCCATACCTTGTTAAACATGGAACCGAAACCTGCCTCTGACCCCCTCCCTTCCACTTCCCTCGTTTTCTCTTTCTTCTTCTTGAAAGATGATTCCGGGCTTTTTTTAGTGGGGAGGGAGAGAAGGATGTAAACCTGTTTGTTCATCGGAAGAATCATCTGCGCTTCCCTCCGCTCCAAAATCTCCTTTAAGTATTAGTTCTTTCTCTTCAATCTATTTCCCCCTTTTTTTTCGCTAAGAATACGTGTGCGTGCGCATACACGTATTCTTCGCGAAAGAAAAGAGAGAGAGAGAGAAATTGCATCGTTCTCCGCCGTCACAGCACCCAAAAAAAAACACCCAAAAACCACCTTTTTCCTCTCTCTCGCCTAAAATTTCACTCTTCTCGTTTTGTACACTGTTTCCTCCTCGTTCTCTTCATTTAATAATTAATTACGCACGCACTTCACACGCACTTCACGGGCGACAGAGAAGAATAAGAAGAAATGGCTTCCTCCTTCGCATCACCCTCGGGATTCGTATCGTCTAAAAGTTCTGCGTCCTCCACTCCACGTCTGCGCATTAGCACACGTTCGAGACGTAGTAAAAGTGGAAATGTCAAAGTCGTGGCGGCGAATTTTACGAGCAAAAAAGCTTCCTCCTCTTCTTCCTCTCCGTCGTCGGGAAAGAAACAGCAGCAGCAACAACAACACACACAGAAAGGAGAAGTGGTGAAGTTTTCATCGTCCTCGAAAGGCAGAAGAGGAGGCTTGGATGTCGAGAGCAAAAGAACTTCCCCGAGTAAAGACCAACCGCATTTATACTTTGACGAGGCGGTAATAATCGTCTCTGGAGGAAAAGGAGGCGACGGCGAAACGTTCAAGAAAGCAAAACCGAAAGTTGTGAAGAACTCAAAATTCAAACGCGGAACGCAACAGGCGAAATTTATAGAACTTCCATCGGCAGAACCTGCGGATGGTGGGATTGGAGGGTCCATATATATCGTGTGCGATCGATTTACGGATTCGTTGTTGCACTTGCACGAGCGGAAAGAGTGGCGAGCGAAACGCGGGTACCACGGGGGAGCAGCTGAATACGCGAAGCCAGGGAGAGAACGACACAGAGTCGCGCCGGAAATGGAACCACTGTGCATCAAAGTGCCACCGGGAACCGTGATACGAAAGAAACGGAGTGGGGAGTTGATTGCGGATTTGACGCAACCGGGAGAAAGAGTTTTGATAGCGAGAGGTGGGAACGGAGGTTTAGCAGCCAGACGAGCAGAAAAGGTTGCGGGAAGCGAAAGCATGGGTTTAGGAGGAAGAACAAAGAAAGAAGGATACGCGGATGATTTCGAAATATCGACGGTTGAAGTTGAATCAAAGGCGTGGGAGGCGACGAAAGGTGAAGACGGGGAGACTATGCAAATCGAGTTGTTGATGCGAGTGGTCGCGGATATAGGATTGGTAGGTCTTCCAAACGCGGGAAAATCGTCAATCTTAAAAGCAATCACGAAAGCATCGCCAGAGATTGCTAATTATCCGTTCACGACGTTGATGCCGAATCTTGGCGTCGTCAACACGCAGAAAGACGAAGAGGATGAGCTTGAAAAACTTTTAAAAATGGCTGATAACGGAGAGTTGTTGGAATCGAGTGATGCAAAAATTAAAAGTCAAACGCCAACGATTGCTGATTTGCCCGGTTTAATAGCCGGCGCGCACAAAGGAAAAGGATTAGGACGTGCATTTCTCAGACACTTAAGGAGAACGAACGCGATGGTGTGCGTCGTCGATGCGAGTTCGCAAGATCCTGCGGGAGACTATGCCACCGTGCGAGAGGAACTTCGTTTGTATAATCCAGAGTATGTCATACGACCGCACGTTTTGTGTTTCAACAAATGTGACGTCGAATGGGCGAAATTGCGCGTTCCTGAGCTCATTGAAAGCGTGGAAAGTATGGACGAAGAAAGAGTTGGAAGTAAACCGGTGAAAATATTGGCCACTTCGGCCGTAGACGGGACAGGCATGGAAGAGTTAGCGAAAGAATTAGCCAAGTTAATGCCAAAGTCGTAGCGGCCGGAAGCACGAGTTATGTGTGTATGCATAGATAGTATAATTTAGAAGAACCACTTGTTGTTGTACATGTAAGTATTATACGCTTTTTATTGAATCTTACTACGTTTTTACATATCGAAAAGTCTACATTCCACAAAGGCTTCCTGCCTATTCACGTTGTACCACCCGACTAATCTCGCCGTGCCTAACGCCGGTGGCAAAGGACAGTCTACGCCATAAATAATCTCTGGGTTTTTCAATTCTTTGCTCGCTTCATCTCTGCACTCTTGCAAAGACTTGCGTTCGGTCAATTTCTTCGCGCCTACGCGCAACGCATTCAGCGTATCTCCCCCAGAGGCACGGATTTCTCCTTTGAACGTGATCGGTCCCAAAATTTGTTGACACAAAGATACCGTCACAGACGATGGATCGGGAACTAAAAGACCGTCCATGGTTAAAAACTTTTGCGCCCGAGTTGCAATTCTCTTTCCAACGTTGTCTTGTGCGTTTTCCTTTGAATTTTTATCGAAATTCTCGGGAATCATGTATCCAAAATTTGAGTCTCGCAATGCCAGTGCGTTTGGTTGTTCTTGGCGCGCTCCTACATCAACTCGCACGTCTATACTCGTTAAATCTAAGATGGCTCTTGAAAATGAACCGATTTGAAAGTGCATCGATGCGCTAAGAAAATTATGCAACTCGCATTTCAGCGGCGGAAGGGCGTTACTTGCGTTATCGAGCGCGGAATTCGTCGAGGCGTCCACGGTTCGATCGTTATAAAAATCGTCGTCGTCATCGTCGTCGTCATCTTCGGTCGATAATATGGAGTCGTCTATGGTTCTATTCATAGACGTATCGCCTTTGCCCTGTTTCTTTCTCATGCGTCTTCGCGACCTTGACGATGATCTTCCGATGATGTGTCTCCCATCTAAATTCCATCGTCCAATGACCCCCGCTATAAATCCAAACGTTAAGTTTGGCATTTGCGGCAACGCGGAATAACTACTCGCTGTCGTTGTCGCCAAGCTGTTGCCCGATTTTTTCTTTCTCCGACGCTTTCCTTTCCAAACCATTACTTGCTCTTCTACAGAAACACCCGCCCGCGCTTCTCGTCTTGGCGGTTTCTGAAATTTTTTAGCGCGAGACGAAGACGACGACGTCGTCCCAGCTCCTTTGTTTTTAACCACCTTTGCTTCAAAGTCTGGTAAATGCTTATCTAAAATCTGGCTAACACCCGCTTTATAATGCACCTGTCGACGTCCGCGAGAACTTATCGAGGCTTGTGCGACTGTTGGTCCATCGATGTAACCATCATCGACTTGATACTTTTCTCCAGAACTCAAGTCGCAACTCATCGTGTGCCCGGGTAAAATTTTACTCGTCAACGTAATCCTACAGCTCGTCGGCGCTCTATTCGCTCGCTCCGCGTCTCTTTCTTCCTCCGTTCTTCTTTCCATGCTTCCATCTAAAATGGAGTAAATTTTGGATAAGTCTGAATTATTGTTCGTGTTCCCTGCGCTATTTTTACGATTTGTTTTACCCGACAAAATGTTCTCATCCGCGCTCGCCGGTAAAATAAACTTTCGCACCAACCTCGTCAAAGACTTCATCTCTACCACCCCTTTCAACGTCGTCTTTTCAAAAACGCCAACACGAACCTTCGCGCCTAACCCGTACATGCTCGGTAACATCATCGCTCGATGTGGTTTCCCGTCTACCGTTTCTCTCGTGTTCCACATCCTCTGCGCGCGAATGCGTAGCGTCGCGGTTGACCACCACTCGTTACCTCCAAACTGCGTGACCACTCGATCCAACACGAACCCTCCTTCGTTTTTGATGTACGACGGTAACGCGGGGAGATTCAAGAACCGTTGCAGCATGTGCACTTGTTGCGATCGTGCCAATCCCGAGGGCATTTGAAACGAAAACGGTGTGGACGTTTGCGACGGATGTTGTCGAACGGTGCCTTCAATAGTCGTCGACGAGGACACGTCTTGTGAAAAGAACGATTTGTGCAAAGACGTCTTCAACGGATGTAAAGACGCCGCGCGCATTCCTTTGTTCGTCGCTGCTTTCAATGGTGTCGACGACGTTGTTTTCTTCTTGTTGTTGTTCAACATAAATCGACCACCGAACGGAGAACGCGAGGGGCGAGAGGTGGTGGTGGTAGCAGCAGTTGTTGGTTTTGTCGTCGATGATGATGATGATGATGATGATGATGTTGGAGTCGAATTTTGCGAAGAAGAGGACGAAGTTGATGATGATGCGCTCATGATGATGATTCAAAGTTTCTCTTCTTCGCTTCTCTGATTGAATACGGCAGATCGGAAACGACGACGATCGAAAGAGAAAGAACAAGGACGCCTCCACCGCCTCTTCTTCCGTGGTGATCTGCGTGTTGTTTTGATGCACCTCTCGAGAATTCTTTCAAAACTCTTCTTTGTAACAACTTTTTCTCTCTCTCGGATGTTTTTTGTTTTCGAAAAATTTTACTTGATTTTTGGGGTTCAGACAGAGAGAAGAAGAAGAAGAAGAAGAAGTTAAAGAAGAGGAGAGTCGTCGTTATTGTTTTTTACGGAGAACACGCATATGATCAAACACACTTTCTTATTTCTTTCTTTCTAGAGATCACCACATAAAGAGAAGACGTAATAAAGTGCATGCCGCAAGAAAACAACATCTCTCGTCATCATCATCATCGGAAAAAGACAACAACGTTCGGTCGTCTTTCTTTGATACAGAAGTCGTCGAGAGATTAAAAAAATTCTTCTTCTTTCTTCCGAGGTCTTCTGTTTCGCCGATTTTTGAATGATCAACAGAAGACGACTTCGACAGACAGAAGAAGAAGAAGAAGAAGATATAAATTATTATCATCATCATCATCACAGATATCCTCTGTTGTTCATCAAGAGAGAGTACTTCATTTCACCAACCGTATTTGTTGTGAATAAATAAACGACAAAATGGCGCTCGTCAACATCGGTGCGTCGAACGCATCGGACCAGTTTTATAGGTACAAGATGCCTGCGGTCGTGTCAAGAATCGAAGGGCGTGGGAACGGGATTAAAACCAACGTCGTAAACTTGGTGGACGTCGCAAAAGCGTTGGCGAGGCCACCGACGTACGTTTTGAAATGGTTTGGCTTTGAGTTAGGGGCGTTGACAAAGTACGAAGAGAAGGATGGGAAGTGTATCGTAAACGGCGCGCACGACGCGAAAGTACTCGCGGAACATTTGGAAGTGTTCATCAAGAAGTTTGTGCAGTGCTTCTCGTGTGGAAATCCAGAGACTGTGTTTTCTATCGATAAGAGAACGGAGTTGATCACGATGAAGTGCAAAGCGTGCGGGCACGTGTCCGAATGCGATCCGAGACACAAGCTGTGCAACTACATCGTCAAAAATCCGCCGCCAAAGGACAAATCGAAGGAGAAAAAAGATAAGCAGTTGAGACGTGCTGAACAAGAACGCGAAAATGAAGGTGCAGAGTTGGATGCGGCAGAGGAGAAAAGAAAGAAGAAAGAGGAGAAGAGGTTAAAGAAACTCGCCGAACAGAGCAGTCAAAACGAATCTTCGGACAAGGAGAAGAAAAAGAAGAAGAAAAAGTCCAAGGGAGATGACGACGACGGCGACGTCGAGTGGGCGACAGATACCTCCGCGGCTGCTGCAAAAGCTAGAGCGGAAGAACAGCTCACGGGTAACGCTGCTGAAATGGTTACGGTGTCCAAGGAATTGAAGACGCAATTGTCGCTAACAGAAACGAAAGAAGAAGAGGAAGAGGATGAGGAGTCGGAATCTGAATCTGAAGAAGAAGACGAGCGAATCACGAAACTTCGCGCGTACGCGGCGAAAGTAAACGACGTCGATCAAACTTTAGAGTTTTTGAACAACAAATTAGGAGTCGGTTCGGACGAATTGAAGGTTTACTTTTTGATCGAAGCGATTTTGGACGACGAAAAACCGGTGCCGCTGCAACTCAAGAAGAAGAAAGCGTTTATCTCCAAGTTTGTCGGCGACGACGAGAAGAAACAAAGAGGTTTATTGAACGCCTTCGAGTTATACGCCACAGAAACTAACACTGACGCGTACAAGATCTTTGCTGCTGTTTTGAACGCTTTATATGAGCTCGATTTGTGCGAAGAGAAGTACATCCGCGAGTGGTTTGAAGAACTTCGCTCGGCCAAAAAGTTTGGCGTCGACGAGAAAACTGCCAAGGCTGTTCGAAAGCAAGCGGCAAGTTTCATCGAGTTCTTGGACGAAGAATCTGACGATGACGACGACGACGACGACGATTCGGGCGATGATGATTCCGAATAAACGTGCATCGGCGGTTACCTGCGAAGAAGCACTCGCGTGCAAAAGTGCGCGGATATTGATACGGAATTCACGAGAAGGAGAGGAAAAGAGAAACTGAAATAATACATACCCATCACCTAACCCTTTTCTTTATAATATTGAGAGAAACACACAGAATGATGAATCATTACGCAGCGTCACTTTACTCTAAATTCATGCGCCAGTCGCGTATGTTGCAAAAGTGAACACATCGACGTGTCCACACAAGGCGACACAATAAATCCACACACTGCATGTTTCTTCGCCACTGCGTGCACAAAGCCTCGGGTTCTCGATTTCAAGCAGTAAACACGACGAATCGAATCTTCTGCATCTCGAATTCCCACTGTCATCATCACTCCAGTTTAACAAAGAATACGTTCCGCTCCGTCGCGTCTTCTTCTTCTTCTAAAAAACTACTCAATCCTCGACGAGAGATGACGACGACAACGAGAACCGCGACCTCCGCAGCGGCAACAACGATAACGCCGACGAAAGACGATACAAAGAATGAGAAAAGGAAAATCCGAGGGTTAATTTTCGATATGGATGGGACGTTAACCGTTCCGAATTTGGATTTTAACGAGATGATGCGTCGACTCGGGTGCAAAACGAACAATATCTTAAAAGAAGTGGACGAGTTTGACGAGGAGAGGAGGAAGAGATCGTACGAAATTATCGCCGAGATGGAAGTAGAAGCGCTAAAATCTATGAAAGCGATGCCTGGGGCCGTTAAGTTAGCAAAGTTACTGGACGAAATGAACGTTCCAAGAGGCTTGGTGACACGGAATGTGAAGACGTCGGTGGACCATTTTCATAACGTGGCCTGGAAAGATGGCGAGACAGATACTTTAATGAAAGCATTTCACCCGGTGTGTTCGCGAGAATTCACGCCGTATAAACCGGCTCCGGACTCGCTGTTGCACATATGCAAAGTGTGGGGCGTCGACCCATCGGAGGTCATGATGGTGGGTGATTCGCCGAAAGATGATGTAGTCGCGGGAAATCGAGCCGGTTGCGTGACGGTTTTAATCGATGTCGAGGATACGAATAGAAGTTATGATATAGATGCATTGGAAGGCGAACACATTCCGCACTTTATCGTTCCTAGAATTGAAGAGATTTCGCATTTGCTTGAGTTTCATTTTGAGGTTATCGGGGACGGAGTTGGTGAAACTAATCGGTAAATGTTAGTTACTTTATGTTTTATTCTACGAGGTAAGAGGCGTGTTGGTAATGCGATTTGTAATTGTTAAAAATAATTATTTATGAACTTTTGCTAAATTGCGTCATCAATTCTTGTTGCGTCCCGGCGTCGACGGCCGAGTGCGAGGAATACTCCATGGTAAATTCGCCCTTACCTTGAGTCATCGATCGTAGCTCGGTCGAGTAGCCAAACATCTTACTCAAAGGTAACAACGCCGTAACGCAGACATCGTCGTTCTCGCCGACTGAATCTAAAATCGTGCCTTTTCTCTGATTAATGTTGCCGATGACCGTACCTTGAAACTCGTTCGGAACTGTCACGTCTACTTTCATTATTGGTTCTAATATTTTCGGTCCCGCGTTTTTAAACGCGACTTTGAAAGCGTTTAAAGCGGCAATTTTAAACGCCAATTCTGAACTATCGACGGCGTGCGAAGCGCCGTCCGTAAGGACAATTCTTAAACCTTGAACGGGATATCCGATCAAACCACCGCCGTTGGCGGCTTCTTTGAAACCTTTCTCGACCCCTACGATATATCCTGGTGCAATAGCGTTTCCTACGATACCGTTTTCAAAAATAACATCCGTCGATCTGGTCTCTTCGTCAGCTTGAACAATCGGCTCGATGTATCCAACAACTCTACCGTACTGACCGGACCCTCCAGATTGCTTCTTGTGTAAATAATCAAACTCTGCTTTTTGGGTAATCGCTTCCCGGTAATTCACTCTCGGGTTCCCAACCTCGACGTCGACTTTGTATTCTCTTTTCATTCTTTCAACGTAGATGTCGAGGTGTAGTTCACCCATACCAGATATAATAGTTTGCGCACTTTCTTCATCCTGGTGAACTTTGAACGTAGGATCTTCGCGTTGAAAACGAGACAAAGCTTTTGAGAAGTTTGACGAATCAGTTCTCGATTTTGGTGCGACTGCGTATGACATGACCGGTTCTGGCACTCGCATGGAGGTCATAGCATAATTAATAGTTCCATCCGTAAATGAATCTCCAGATTGACAATCGACGCCGAAGAGCGCGACAATTTCTCCTGATTGAGATTCCTTTACGTCTTCCATTTCGTCCGAATGCATGCGTACTAATCGAGGCACCTTCAATTTCTTCCCTGTTCGAGTGTTGACAATTGTCATACCTTTTGTAATTGTGCCTTGATATATGCGCAAATACGTGAGCTGACCAAATCTACCTTCTTCCAACTTAAATGCCAATCCAACTAACGGAGCTTTTGGGTCAGAAACTGTCTTCACAGGCTCTTCGTCTTTATTCAAATCCAAAGCGATGTTTTCTACTTCGTGCGGCGCCGGGAGATAATCCACCACGCCATCTAACAAAAGCTGAACGCCTCTATTTTTATACGCCGAGCCCATGAAAACTGGGGCAAACTGATTCGAAACCACGCTCCGTCGAATTGCCTCTTTCAACTGCTCGACCGTCGGTTCTTCTTCCATGAGAAAAATCTCTGCTAAATCGTCATCTACGCCCGAGACAGTTTCAATTAACTCTTTTCGCTTTTCATTCGCTAAATCTTTTAAATCGCTCGGTATCTCATCGCTCACTTTAATGTCATTTCCGTGTTGTCCATGAAACGTAATCGCTTTCATGGTGACTAAATCCACGACCCCGTCATGCTTCTCTTCCAACCCGATCGGGATTTGCACTGCGGCACAATTCAATCGCAATTTATCCTTCACCTGTTTCAACACTTTCCACGGATCCGCGCCGACCCGATCGCATTTGTTGATAAAGCATAATCTCGGCACGTTATATCTTCGCATTTGTCTATCTACGGTAATACTTTGCGACTGCACTCCACCGACTGAACACAAAACCAACACCGCTCCGTCCAACACTCTCAGCGCGCGTTCGACTTCGATGGTAAAATCAACGTGACCTGGCGTATCGATAATGTTGATCGATGAATCCTTCCACGTTGTGTAAGTCGCCGCAGATTGGATCGTAATGCCTTTCTCTCTTTCAAGTTCCATGGAATCCATTTTCGCCCCGACGCCGTCTTTCCCTCGCACTTCGTGTATTTCGTTTATCCGTCCGGTGTAAAACAAAATCCGCTCGGTTAAGGTTGTTTTCCCAGAGTCAATGTGTGCGCCTGTTTTGCGTGAAAACGGTGATTATAGTTAGAGATGAATACGCGCGCGTGTATACGGAGAGGGAGTGATACCGTGCGTGTCGCGCGAGTTATAGGAAAGAGGAGAAAAGTCGAAGCGTCGTCGTATCTCGCACCCGCGACGGCCGCCAGCTCTCTCTTTACTGAGAGAGAATATCTAAGAATCGATATCGATCGAACAGAAACGAACAGAGGACGACGACGACGAGACCAGATAAAATGAACGACAAAGCAAAGAACTTACTGATGCCTATATTTCTCGCGCGCTTTCGTTCCTCCGATACATCGCTCGCGTAGTGTCTGCTCCTTCCCACTTTTCGAAGATGATGATGATGATGATGGTTTTGATGATGATGATGAGAAAGACTCGAGCTGCTGCTGTTACTCCCAGCAGCTCCGAGATAAATAAGAGCCGAAGAATCAATGGCAGTAGTAGTCGCGTTCCGCGACGCAAAACTCCTTCTGTTTTGCAACAGCAGAGTCGTCCACCCTCGTCGGCTCCTCATTGTTATTCTATGTGCGTATGATTTTATTAGGTGATTTTCCCAGAGAACGAGAGAAGGTGTTTTGAAACATTTTACGAGTGTAGATTTGGTGTAGAAAAGAGAAATAAAAAAAATCGTTTGACCCACACACACTCAGAGAAAGCGTCACTCGTGCACTGAAATCCGATTCACATCACGCGTACATCATTTCTTCACGCAACTACCTCACTCATATCACCACACGCTCTCTGTTGTAAATAACACATAGTATAATAATATATGTCCTTACTCCAACGAGCGTTCTTCTCCAAAGAAGCGGTGATAAGTTGGACGATCGCAGGTGCCGGAGCGTACTTTCTTTACTCGCAACAACAGACGAAAACACCTTTGGAAACGAAATACGAGAAATACGGACAAGAGTTGATGCGAGGAGAAAAGTACACGAAGTTTTTAAAGGAACACGAGAAGCAGAAGAAGGAGAGGAGCAAAAAAAGAAGAGGTTGGTTCTTTACCAAGAGCGAGTAGAGAAAAGAGAGAGAGAGAGAGTATCGATTTATTTGACGACGACGACCCGAGAGCGCGTTTGAAAAGAGAAAGAATTTCACCTAGCTAGAGAAGAGACGACGAATATGGTTGCCTCTTTGACAGAGAAAAACAACAACAACAACAACAAGAGCTTAAAGCCGACGATTTCACGCGCGTTTCGCATAGCAAAACTATATTACGGAAAGCATTCGACGAGGAAGAAAACGGCTCGATTGCTGGCGTTGACGTGCGTCTTGGCGTGCGCGTTGACTACTGGTCTCTCCGTCGTGTTTTCATACGCTCAAAGAGACATGTCTACTGCGCTCTCGAATAAAGATCAAGACGGTTTTTATAACGCTATTCAGAGATATATTTATGTTGTCGTGATTGCCGCTCCTTTGTTCGCGTTGTACGATTACGTGAAGTCTTTGAGCGCTTTGCATTGGCGCAAATATATGACGGAGAAGATGATGACGATGTATTGCGAACACGACAACTATTACTCGTTAAAGTTCAATAACAGCGTGATAGCCACAGCGAATCAGAATAATGAAGGATCAGGTGATGTTCAAAAAGAAGCTACGGTTACTACTTTAGACAATCCAGATCAAAGAATTGGTGAAGACGTTCGCGGTTTCGTTCATTCGATGACGACGTTGACGTTAGCAATCGTGCATAAAATTTTCAGCATGAGCGCCTTCTTCGCCGTTTTATACCAGATCTCACCGAAACTCTTATTCTTTTGCTTTGCGTATTCTATGATTGGAACCTACGTGACGACGGCAGTGTTTGGGGGTAAATTGATGCATTTGCACTTCGAGATCTTAAAGAAAGAAGCAAACATGCGTTTTTTTCTCGTCAGATTACGGGAGCATGCGGAGTCCATCGCTTTGTATAGAGGAGCGAAGAGAGAACTGAAAACATTATTACGAACACTTCAACAAGTGATTAAAATTCAAAAGGAAAAGATTGTTTGGAATAGACATTTAGATTTGTTCACAAACGCGTACGAGTTTGCGACGTTTTGTCTTCCTTACTTGATCATAGCCCCGCTGTATTTCAAAGGTGAAGTAGAATTTGGTGTCGTAACGCAGAGTTCGTACGCATTCCGAACGATTCAAAATGCTTTGAATATTATCGTGAATCGACTGGATCAACTTAGCGGTTTAGCTGCAGAGTCCGAACGGATCGAGCATTTTCTGATATTATTAGAACGGCATGAACGGGACGCGGAAGAAAAGAATGGAGAAAAGAGCAACGTCATCGAGCGGAGTTTTCTCGATGACAGTAGAGAGGCGTCGAACCTTTTGCTATCGTTGCAAAACGTTTCAGTCTCCACTCCATCGAGAGAAATGAATCGAGGGCAACTTTTGTGGACGAATTTAAACGTCGACATTGTGCGAAATGAAAGCGTTGTGATTACCGGTCCCTCGGGATGTGGCAAAAGCTCTTTACTTCGCGTTTTAGCCGGACTTTGGAAAAACGGATCTGGAAAAATTCTCGTTTCCCGTTTCTCTTCGTTCTTTTTCCTTCCGCAAGTGCCTTTTATGCCGGTTGGAAGTCTACGAAGTCAGCTCACGTTTCCAAAAGGCGTTCTCGACGTCGATGAGAACGAAGAGGACGACAATGCAAATGCGCTATCGAAGAAGAATAGGATGAAAATAAACGATGCGCTCGTGGAAGAAAATGCGCATTTGCAAAATTTGCTAGATTCTGTAGGTTTAGGTGATCTCGCTTCGCGAATGGGAGATACTTTTGACGACGATTCTATCGAATGGACGGATGTTCTCAGCGTAGGTGAGCAGCAAAGAATAGCGTTTGCACGATTATTATACCAGAAGCCCAAACCTACGATTGTTTTCTTGGACGAAGCGACGTCCGCTTTGGACGAAGTAAGCGAGAAAAAGATGTACGAGTTATTAGCGGCAGAGAAGTACACGGTCGTATCCGTCGGCCACAGATCTTCGCTCATGCAATTTCACTCGCAGCGACTTCGTTTCGTTTCTGGAGACGAGAAGAAATCACAAGAAGAAACGCATTCGCATCGCATCGGCAAGTTTATTTTAGAAGATATTTAGATTTTACTAGTGAGATAAAGTTCCCTTATGTGTGTACGCTTGTACTTGTTATCATACAAAAGTGAGTGCGTCGCCTATTCGAATCGATCCACCTTTTATACAACTCGCATATAGTCCGAAATAACTGCCTTTGTCACTCAATTTAATTTTCTCGCGCCCAAAAATGGACCCTTCGACGTCCGGAAAATGAGTTCTAATTTGTACATCCGGTTGTATGACTTCGTCAACTTCTCCGCGATTATTCGCAACTACTCTGGTAGAAGGACATCTGATAGTAGGCTCGTTTATATTCAGGACTACGTCGCCAATTCGTACTTTCTTTCCACACCAATCGAATTCTTTCCACGGGTCACCCCCAGAAGTTGTATCATCGACAATTATATTCGCCCTGAACCGCATCATAAACTCTTCTAGACTACTATCGCTATTACTGCTATCGCTACTCACTTTGATGCTCTCGTACACTTCTCTGGCCGTTGACTTTGTGATTATGTGTAGAACGTGTTCCTTAACTTTTCCGCCCACATTTGCAAAGCTAATACCGTCCGCGAAGACGAGTTTCGGTATTCCGTTTTGCGTATTTGCAGTTTCTAAACGTTCCGCGAAAAACGTTTCGATGACCAATCTCTCCTTCTCGTCGTCCAAATTTAAACATCGTGCAACTACTGTCTTCGTCTTCGCTTCGATGATCGATAACTGTCGTCGTCGACTCGTGTTAATATTTCCATCTTCGTTATTATTTTTTTTCCTTTCGGTGTTGCTAAAATCCTCTTCCGTAAGAACGCATTCGTATTTCCCTAGTTGAGGATCGGTTATCAGTTGGTGAAACAGATGCTTATTCGAATGATGTTGCGGATCTTTCCCCTCACCGGTTTGCAAAACGATATCTGCGTTCTCTTTCGTCGATTTCTCTTCCATCCATTTGTTCGCTCGAATCGTTTCCGCTCGCAAAAGTGCCAAGCAGCGGTCGTTAGGGATTGACGCAAAAGGCGTGAGGGATGTTCGCGCGAGCTTTTGTCCATTTGCTCCTTTCAGTGGGTATGTGTAAATGTGAGACACGGTTCCGAGAATAGACGACGGAGATGACATATTTTTCTGACTCTCTCTGTCTGTCGCTCTCGAAACTGCGGGGATGATGGATGAATGATATGTGTATATATTACTGAGCGTACAAAAAGTAAAGTTTGAGTTCTGAAGGTGTGTTGTGACTGGAATCACAGAAGCGTTTCATTCACTACTAATACACGGTATACATTCAACTTTAATAAGCTACCAGTTTACTTTCTCGATAGTATATGTCGCGCTCGTTACCCCTAATCCTTCTGGAATATCCGCTCCAATTCTCACGTGTTCTAAAGCACCGCTAAGATTTGCTATGGACGCGTTTGTCTCGAATTGCCTCGTCGCAAGTTCTCTCAATCGTTCCATCTTTTCAATCGCGCGAGCATTTCCTGAGAACGCCGGTAATCGGACGTCCAATAACGCCGAAGACCACTCAATGGATTGTTCTAACGACGGGAATGTACCTTTGTACTTCTTCGCAAAGTCAAAATTAACTTCGTCGTCAGGGTCCAATCTAGAGCTCTCTTCGTCGTTTTTGGCGTCGTCGGCGTTCTCTTCGTCCGCCGAGTCTTTCTTAGCATTGAATTCACCCTTGAGCGTTATCACGTGAAATTCTACCCAATCGACAAGGAAGGATAGAAATTCTACCGCATCTTCGTTGGATAAATTTTTCAGCGTCATCGAAGAGTCTTCGCGATGGAACATCGATCGAGCAACGATCGTGTGCATGGGCTGCGCCCAGGCTCCGAAATTCTCCACCGCAAACGTCCAAATTCTACAATCGTCCAAAGCCGCGCGCAGCTCGAGTTCTTCGTAAAACTGTTGCTGCTTTGACGTGCCTTTTTTCTTAGGTCCGTCCCTTTTGTCTCGAGCGAGTTTCTCACACAACTTGACCTTTCTGAATGCAGACTTTCTATTTTTATCGTGCAACGTGTGGAAATTGAGAACGGGCGAAGATGTATTATTTTTCTTCGCACTCATGCACGCATCTACGATGCGTCGCAAATCTTCTGGATTCACCCACCAAGCAAAGATGCAGACGTTGACAGCATCAATCAATCTATCGTCTTCTAAAAGCTTTTCAATGAGACCTATACTGCTCATGGCGCCGCCTAAGAGTAAACCTCTGGAAAAAGCCTCAGATAAATAATCCCATTTCTTCAAAGTCCAAGCCGCTTTGATGGCAGCGTCTACGCAGTGCGGCGCGATGACAGCGCCTGTGCGAATATTGTTTGATGTTGGATCGTTCATACCGTAATACACGGCGTTTTTAATTTTATCTACTTTCTCTTCGCTATTGTCAGAGTCGTAATCGTCCGTATCGTCGTAATCAGAACCGCCAGAATCTCCGTTCCCTTCAAGTTTCTTAGTCTTCTTAGACGAAGCAGCAGCAGAGGCACCGCCACCTTGTCCTGTCCTTTTCACTCGTAAAGCTTCTTTAGTTTTCTGCTCGTTCTCATCGATCCATTTTATGGCCTCTTTCACGTGTTTATTCGCGAAAATCTCCAAACTTCTCAGCATTTGCTTTTCAGTTCCAGATTCTAACGTGGCGATGAAATCTTCCGCCACTTTTTCTTGTTTCCGCATTTTGTCTTGGTCCCAAAGCATGTTAATGTCGTTGCAAGCGCCTTCAAAATTCCTCTCTGGTGGGAGATCTTTCCAAATCGGTACGGTGATTGCTTTGCATTGCGGTTTAGTCGCAGCTTCAAACCCGCTCGTACTAAAAGCTCGTTCTGCCGCTTCCGCTTTCTTATTTCTCGCTTTTCCAAAAACATCTTTTTGTAACGCCGCCATACACTCCCGCAGACAAAGCTCCTCGAGTTCTAAACTCACGGAGTATATTCTATCGCTCAAAGAGACGTACAGGTCGCCACCAAACGCAGTTAAAGAAACTACCGACGTCGTTTCCGAATCTGGTATTTCAATGAAGCTATGAATGACGCCGTAAAGCTTATCGATGATTGCCACGGCAACGTTGTTATTAGCAGAGTTCTTTCCCTCGCTTTTGATTTTTGCAGCTAAGGCATAGTATCCTCCGCCAATGCTAATATAGTCAAACAATAATCCATCGCTTTCTTGTGTCACCGCGACTTTCTTTTTTGTCGTTTTCTTTCTGGACGCTTCTTCTTCTTCTTCTTCTTCTTCTCGCTTTATTTGTAAGCCGTCGAAAACGCGTTCTCGAACGAGAGTTCCATCCCCAAGATCATGCGAGGTCCAAACGCCATTCGACCACAAAAGACTAAAATGTTCATCATCGAACGATACTTTGACTACTTTACTACTCTTCATGGTGCTAATCTCAGCCATAGCGTCGCTTTCATCCAAATTAACTCTCACCGCTTTCTCCTTGGAAACGCGTTCCATAAGCTTCCGTCCGGAAAGCAGAGTTTGATCGACGATATTTTCCTCTCCTAATTGATCTTCTTGCACGTCTAGTTCTTTCACTCTATATCTCAATACTTCTCTCTTGACGACTTCTTCTCCCATCATCGACGCCAAAACGACGATAACGTCGTCGCTCTCTGCGTTCCCGTTCGCCGCTTCGACCGCGACACTCCTCTTAACTGTTTCGCTCTTCTTGTTTTTTGTTCTCGTTCTTGTTGTTGTTTCTTCTTCTTCTTCTTCTTCTTCTTCTTCTTCTTCTTCTTCTTCATCGTCGTCGACATCTTTCGCCTCTACGGTCCCGACGATAGCACCGTCGCTATCGACGACGTGTAAATCACCTTTTTCTCCGTCGACAACGACGCACCCGCCGTCAAAGCTCGCAAAAAACTTCGCCGTTTTATTCTCAAAACTCGTTTTCCCACCGGCGGCGGCGTCGTCGATCGAGGCGTGGTAGTTTTCCCGGTCGTCTCGCCAGGACAAAATCGTCGTGACTTGACCACGTGCGCCTCCTCCTCGCTTCTTCGTTGTCGTCGTCTTTGTCGTCGTCTTTGTCGTCGTGCATCCAAAATACGTCCTCGTGATCCCATCGTACACGCACGGGTGCGCGAATTTCACGTTCTCGTCTCGGGACGCTCTCCACGAGCGGAAAAAAGTATTCACCTTTTCGTCGTCGTCGTTTACGTCTTTCAAAGAAGACAAAGATGATGTTTTATGCAACAAGACGCCGTCGTTTTCTGCGGTCACCACGAGCGAGGATTTCCCTCCCAAAGCGCTCCCCACGATGGACGACGACGGCACGTGACACACCACTGTCGTCGTCATTATTATAATGTATATATAATGCGTGTGTGATTTGTCTAACGATTTTTGCGATGTTTTTCTCTTTTTCTGCTCTTTTTTTTGTCTCCTTTTTGTCCATCAGTCAAAAGTCTTTTCTCGCTTTTGAAAAAAAAGTATCTCTCTTTCGCCCACAAAACACAAAAATTTCTTTTTCTCTCTTTCTTTCTTTTTAGAGAAGGGCGCCAGATTACCACAGAAGAGAGAGACTCGTTCGTCATTTATCATTGTCTCATAAAACACTTTTGACGTTACACACATCAACACTTTGATATGAGTTCCACGCCAAACGTGCCATCAACACCTCCGTCGGATCCGTTCGCACCGAACCCGCCACCAGTTCCCGGGATTTTAATCACAAAGGTTCGTTTTCTTCTGAATCGTTTTTGAAAGAGAGAGAAAGAGAGAGAGACGAATAATCGAAACGTTCTTTTGAGAGAAGATCATCTCTCATCTCACCCGCTGGCTGATTTTTTAAGAAGAGTCTCTTTCTCTTCTTCTTTGTCTTCTTCTTTCGCGCGTGGTGAGTGGTGCGAGGTTTTGAAGCGATGAAACCTACGTCTGATGATGCTGAGTGTTATTACATCATCATCATCATCATCTTCGCGCGTCTCTCGTCGCGTAGTGTAAGAGTATTTCTCTCAAAATCTCCCTTTGAAATTGGACCAAAGACGCTGACTTTCTCTTCTTCTCTCTTAAAATAATACTTAAAACAACAGTACACGAACCCGGTCCCGAGTCGAGATGCGGCCTTGCTCTACTTTTTTGCCGCGTTAATCTTCTGCATGACGTTTACATTTTGGGCGTACACCATCTTCAAAGACAAGCAACACAGGAAAAAGATGAAAAAATTAGCCACCACTGAGGCGATCGTCACCGGGAACGTGCACGATTACGACATGTTGCGCATTCCGCCGATTAGAGAGGATGGATTCAGATTAGGAGGGAGCGGGTCGAACTCGATAAATTCTTCGGGTGGGAGTGGATCGAGTCCTCAAGAGGGACGGTCGTCGCAGAGTGATTTAGAAAGTCACCCGACGACTATGGGTAAAAAATCAAAGAGCGGAATCAAATCGAACACGTATTAAAAAACGCACGAGAGGCGGGCGCGCGATTTGAGAAGAGAAACGAGGAAACGGATACACAACGCGAAAAACACATTAATTTAGCACCACGCGAAAGCTTCATCATATTCTAGAGACTTTCATATATATACTTGTATTATTATCACTATCATAACTACTTTAAAAATCTACGAAACTTCTAATAATTTTAATCTTCTTCTTCTTCTTTGGAACCGTACTCTACCGAAGTCAAAGCGTCCTCTAGCCACCCACTCGTTTTCACGCGTTCTAAAACCTCGTCCAACCGCTCGTCGTCCGTAACCATCCACCACCCCAATATGACTTCCAAAGCAGATGCTTGTCTGTAAATATCGTGGCCGCCGCCTTGACTCTTTTTCCCGCGAAGTCGTTTCGGTACGTTTGAATAGTCGGCGTTTCGTCCCCACTTGCAGACGTCCAACTCTTCATCCGTGAGTTGTATTTCGGTAATTTTTCTATACGCGTACGCTTGCGATTCTGCTCTGGCTAACTTTTTCACTTTCGAGTCGTACGTGGACGGTTTGCTCCTCGGCGCGAACAGATAACTTCTGACGAAGAGTTCCCAAACCGAGTCGCCGAGTAAAGCGTAGGAAATGGGCGAAAATTCTCTCGGCGCGCTCGAGGATATATCCGGCGGTGCGGGACGCCAATTGCTGCTCGTTTTTGTCTCCTCGTCGTCTGCTTCTTTCTTTTTCTTCTTTGTTTTCATTTGCGAGAACGCGTCAAAGACGTTTTTGTCGTCTGAATCGTCGCGCATTGATGATGAGGATGCTCCCGTTGAATGCACTCCTCTTCGGTCGTTATGAAAACGCCGCCGACGACGAGAAGAAGAAGACAAAGAAGAAGATACATCACGACGACACAAACAACATCCCCAAAACTCCTCTCCTCCTCCTCTCTTCTTCGTTTTGCCAGCGTAAGCGTAAGCCTGAGCAGCAGCGGCGACTTTTAAAGCGTGCATCGAGAGAGAATGAGAAGAGAAAAGTCGTGTGTCGCAAGGTTGTTTTTCTTTCTGTGTGTTTGCAAATTTAATTGACTTTTTTCTTTTGTCGTTTTTTTGCTCTTCGATTAAACTCGAACGCAAGTCGACTCTCCTCGATCGACACAGAAGGTTTCGAGACCGAAAAAGGTGTCTCTCGCCTACCCGCGCGGTCTGTGAGGCCGCACTCTCGTCGGCTGCGCTTGTTGGCCGCCGAATCAGATCATTTCAAACTCGAATAAATTATTCAAATATTGTCTCCACACACAACGACAGCAATACTCATCTCACGCGTTCTTGTTGTTCGGGCTGCTCGCGAGCGAGAGTAGAGAGCAGCACACGGGGAGCACACAGTCGTTTGAGAGCGCAAATATATAATACATAATAAATGGTGTTGATCTATAAACCGTCCTTCGTCGCGCACGACGGTTCGGCTCCGATTTACTCCATCGACACGCATCCGGATGGCAGTCGATTTGCAACCGCTGGTGGCGACCGAAAAGTGAAAGTCTGGACCACCTCCGCGTTGCTCGACCGGAACAAAGAGAACGATAAGGAGTGTCCAAAACTTCTGGCGACGTTAGCGGACCATTACGGGCCGGTGAATTGCTGCCGGTTTAGCAAAAATGGCCGGTATTTAGCCACCGCTTCCACGGACTCAAACATTTTTCTCTACGAACTCCACGAAGGGAAAGGAAGAACGATGTTTGGGTCGAACGATGAACCGAACGTGGAAAATTGGTCGAACGTTGGGAAATTAAAAGGGCACCAATCGGACGTGATCGATATCGCCTTCTCGCCGGACGATAAGTACTTAGCGTCCGCGTCGTACGATAACTTGGTCAATGTGTGGGACGTGGAGATGAAGCAAATAGTCGCGACGTTGAAAGGCCATCAAAGTTTCGTCAAAGGCGTAGCCTGGGACCCGATCGGTAAGTTTTTAGCCACGCAAGGCGACGATAAATCGGTCATCATATGGCGAGTGGACGACTGGGAAAAAGTGTCCACGATTACGGAACCGTATCGACAATCCGTCGGCGCGACGTTTAGTATGCGTTTGTGTTGGAGTCCAGACGGGAAGGCGGTGACCACGTGTAACTCGTACAAGAAACCGAGCCACACGGCGAGTGTCTTGGAAAGAGGCGAATGGGACTCGAAATTTGATTTCGTAGGGCACAAAGGGCCAGTCGTGTGCGTGAGATTTTCACCCGGATTGTTCAAACAGAAAATTGAAGCGGCGGAAGATTCGAAAGATAACGATAGCGAGGATAAGCCAAAATTGCACACGGTGGTTGCATGTGGAAGTCAAGACACAAAACTTACGATTTGGAGAACGAATCGATCGAGACCGGTGTGCGTGATTAAATCGTGCTTTGAGGAGTCCGTGGTGGATTTGAGTTGGACGCCGAATGGCTTTTCGCTTTTGGCGTGCAGCACGGATGGTACGATGGGCGTCTTTACGTTTGAGGAATCCGAGATTGGATGCACGGTGAATAAAAGCGAATCGGAAGCGTTTTTCCGCGAGACGTACGGGGGCATGGTTGGACAGAAAAAAGTCGCGGTGTTGGAAGATCCCACGCTTTTGAAGTACACCAAGAAGAACATCAACGGCGAGACGACGACAAATGGTGGATTTGATTCGAAAAACGGCACTCCGATGGCACCGAAGCGCATCAGCGCGGTACCAGTTGCAGCACCTGTCATCCAACAAGCACCAATCCGTCAACAACAACAGCAAGAGATCATAGCTTCAGATGGGAGACGAAGAATTACGCCCATGGCGAACGCTCCGGGCACGCAAGTCATCGCGTCGCCGCCCTCCGCAAGGCCACCGCAGCAAATCATCACCAACAATGAAAATCAAGTGCCCAGAAATTTACCCGCTTATACCATGCCGACGACTACTACCGTTGCCGGCGTGAAACGGGTCGCTCCGCAGGAGATGATGCCTGCCGGTAACGCGCCGAAACGGTTGGCGCCTATGCCGGTCGGCGGCGGCGGCGGTCAGCCGCAAAGAATTCAGCCCATTCCGGCGGGTGGTCAACAACAAGCGCCGGCGCGATTGCTTTTAACGCCACCGCCGGCGAGGCAACAAATGACGGTGCAAGTGTCGCAGCAGCAGCAGCAGCAGCAGCAACAGCAGCAGCAGCAACAGCAACAGCAACAAGCGCGACCAGCTGTCCAGCAACAAGCAGCGCGTCAAATTATTCCAGTAGCTCCGATTCCGCAAACCGTGCACGCCAAACTAGTCGCCGAAGACGCGATGGTGGCGAACTCATTTGATGACCAAGATAACATTCCGACGGCGCCAGTTGTGCTCGAGTGCAAGAACGATTTTCAGCGGAACGCGAGTGATCTCGTCTGCTCGCGTTCGGGTGAAGAGTTATGGACAGATCGTCTCGATGCGAGATGTTCGCACATCACCGGGAACGCGAGGTACTCGTGCGTCGCGCTCGAAGACGGGTCGCTTCAAATTTATACCGAGACTGGAAGACGGCAGTTACCAACGATTGCGTTGGAAGGTGGGAAAGTATGCTTTATCGCGTGCGTAAATAGTAGTAAAACGAAAGAAGAAGAAGAAGTACAAATTGAAAGTTCGGAGACAAAACTTTTAGTTGTAACCACCGACGCGTCTTTGTACGTGTGGGATTTGGAGAAGGACAACGAAAGGTGCGTTTTGGAGAGTTCCATCGCGAGCATTTGCTTCAATCGTAGAGACGGAGCGCGAATTTCTCGCGTTTCGTTGAGCGAAAAGGGTGTTCCGCTCGTGACGTTATCGAACGGCGTAGCGTACGCGTTCCACAAAAAGTTGAAGGCCTGGGCTAAGGTTGCGGACACCTCCTTTCAAAAATCCGAGTACTTTTCGAGATTACGGTTCGGCTCTACCGACGGTTCGGGCGGTGAAGTGCGAAAGTTGCAAACATCTGCCGCACGATTAGCGATTGGTGCTATGGCTAATTCAATGCGTTCTTTCTCGTCGTTCCAGACGCCAAAGCGCGAATCTGGCCGTCATCTCGAGCAAATATTGCAATCGTGTAAAGTTCTCGGGAGTGAGAAAGAATTCAAAGCTTGGTTACGAACGTACGCCACGCACTTGGCTTCAGAATCGATCGGGAACGATCAGCGCACGCACTTTGCCGGCGCAGAGAAGCAACTTCGCGAGTTGTGTGAAGAACTGTTAGGTTCAATCTCGAAGAGCGATAAGGAGATGGAGAAAGACGGCGAACACGGTTTGATCCTCGGCATGAAACGAAGAGATTTATTGAGAGATGTCGTCATTCCCGCACTCGCGAGCGACGGTTTGTGCCAGAGATTAGTCACCGAAACGATCGAGCTTCTCGAAGCTGCTGAAAAGGCGAAATAACGACACGTAGTTCATTAAACTAACGCGCAATACTACAAAATCTGTTGTAACACAACCAATCTCTACTTAAAAATACTATATAGCTTCGTTCGCGGCCATCCCCCAATGAGGATCTCGAGCAACAACCACTTCACCCGGTTTAACGACTGCACCAGAAAGCCATTGTACAACGTCTGGACTCGTTTTATGTTCCTGCAAATGCTTATCTGGATACCTCCCGCTGCTCGGAGCGAACGGCTTCGTCGGGTCGGCCTGATTCTTCAACCAACACTCGTGTTGCTCGTGGTCGTGAATGTCCCCACTCCAACATTTTCCGTCCCGCTTTTCATTCGGGGGACAGTATACCCAAATGTTGCACAACAACTTCTTTTCAAACGGCGCGGTACCGCAGTTCCCGCGCACTCCAAAACTAGTGTTGAAAAACATCGTCCCGGAGTTTGCGCCTTCCCCGCCGCATATCTCCGCGTGTTTTCGACACGCGTCGCAACACTCGCTCGCCGTCTTTGTCCGAAACGTCATCCCCCAAGTCAGCGCAAACCCATCGTACCCGGAATGCTCGTTCGGCCAACACTTTTCGTTCTCCATTGGAAACTCTTCCTCACCGTATACTCTCACTAAGTTTGCGTTCGCTTCGTTTTTCTCTTCAATATCAATTTCACCTTTCATTTCCATCATTCTCGCGTCCGCTCGTTCCGCCGCGTTCAACAAATTCTCTCGACTCGCTCGATTCTCTCTCATCCCTTGCAACGTGCTCGTATCACCCTCTCGATATTTTGAGGCCACGTCCCGTATTCTCTCTCGGGCGGCTCGGATGGCATCGCGCGGATTTCCCACTAATCCTTCCTTCTTCTTCGCGCTCATCTTTTCTCCTCTTGCAAAGGAAGAGGAGGAGGCAGAAAACGCGAAACGTTCGGACATGAAGTACGTCGAGTTATACGTGAGAAACAGACACAGTGCGAGCAGAATCGTCCCGAGAATCATCTGAGACGACTTAAGTTTCATCGTCATCTCGCGTTCGTTGTGTAAAAGAAATCTTTTTCTCCCCCCCCGAGAAAGGAATTTTTGCGCTTTTTTGTGTGTGCAGTCAAGAGAGTTTTTCTCTACTAAAAATACCTCTTTATCACGCACAAATAGTACACACACACACACAACACACAAAAATAATGTCTACGGTATCACCTGATATCCGCATCCAAAAAGACGACTCGATCGTCCGCAACATAGAAACGGCGATGGAGAAAGAAGCGAGTCTGGACGAAGACGCGACGACATCCATTAAGAAGAATAAAACTTCAACTTTTTCTTCTTCAGGAGGAGGAGGCGTTTTGTCCGCGAGAAGCGCTTTGACGAGACTGGAAAACCATCTGGTGGATGCGAACGAGAAAGAGCTCCCGCACACGAGGTCAGCGTTTTCGCGCGATGGAGATATTTTGCGCGCGAATGAGGCGAAGGCGTTGGTTATTTTCGTTCGCATCGTTGTTCGCGCGTTTTCTTTCGCATGTGATTTTGAATTCAAATCTCTTCGTTTTCTTCTTCTTCTTCTCTCTTGGTTGCCTCGCGTTAACGCGTTCATCACTTCGATGAGACTAAAACGAAGAATTTTTTCTTTTAAACACAACACAGGGCGCGTAAACCGGCGGAACGCCTCGAGCCGACGTTTACGAGGTCGGAACCGAAGAAGAAAGGACGCGCGAAGAAAGCTACCGTCGTCGTCAAGAAAGTCGAGAAGAAGAAGAAGGTGACGAAGAAGAAGCCGGCGAAGAAGAAGACGAAGGCACCGGCGAAGAAGAAGAAGACAAAGGCGCCGGCGAAGAAGAAGACAAAAGCGCCGGCGAAGAAGAAGGTCGCACCGAAGAAGAAAAAAGATGCGAAGAAAACGCCGACGGAGAAGAAGAAACGAGCGTTGTCCAAGAACAAGTTGGTGACAGACACCGTTGCGCCGGTCGAGAACAAAGTTCAATCGAAACTTCCAATCGTCCAGGCCGCATCACCTGCGGAAGAAGGCCACGAACAAGAGAAAGAAAACACTCCGGCGGTGGAATAAAAGAAAAAGAGGAGGCATAAATCCTGTAAAGGACATGTATTACGATTGAGAGAGACAAAGACGATATGGTTATTATTCATGCATTTTCGTTGTTTATTTTATGAAACACACATACACACGCGCTAAATATTCTACGTGATCCGTGATCTTATTCTGGTTTGCGTGGCATGGTGATCTTGAAGCTCATCCCACCACCATCACTATTTTTAGTATTGATCGGAGCTTCTTCGATCGAATCTTCGTCGTCGTCATCGTCGTCGTCGTCGTCTTCTTCGTTCGTCAAATTATCTAAATTGACATCCGTGAACGACGTGTTCAACGCCACATCGTCTTCTTCGATGTTGCCGTAATCTTCCTCTTCGTCTGAATTATCGAGCATCACGAGCGGTTCATCTTCTTCTTTCCCTATCTTCGGCTCTGCTTCGCCAGCTCGCTCTCGCTCTTGTTCTATTTCTTTCTCTTTCTCAGCCGCTTGAACTTTTGCTAACTGCGCTTTTTGAAATGGTAACAAGGCTTTGGTCGTAGGTATCGCAAACGCGTCTTCCTCGTCGCCGCCTTTGACTTTACTCGACATTTGCTCGGCGGTAAGATTGCTCGACTTCAAACCCGTTTTTTCGACAAAATCCTTTCGTCTATCGTTGTTTGCGTCAACGTCCATGCCGTCAAGAGAGATTGCAGAATTAGCGATCAACTTGTTCATCGAGCGACCACCGCGTCCAAGATTCGAGGCATCCACGGGTGCGATGATTTCACCAGCCTTCGATTTTGCCGTCATCTCTATCGCGTCGTCTAAATCGTACTTTGTGTATCGAATCCAATCTGGGCACTCCTCAGGGCCCATGAGCGAAGATGGCCAATTCAACGTATCGTCGAGTTCGTTCCAAGTTTTCAACTCGTCTTCTGATCGACAGATCTTTTCGTTCAATTCGCGTACACTTGGCACGTTCGTTTCTTTCCTATTTCCAGCAGCTTGCGCAGCCATGAGTTTTTCAAGTGTTTCGCGTCTCTCTGAGTGCGTGGTTTGTCCATCAAAACGACCGGCATTGATGACTTCGTCTGCCATTTCAATCTTCTGTTGCTGAATGACGTTGCGAACGACCGATTCCACGGATTCACAATATGATCGGTCGTTACCACCCCAACCAGCAGTCGATGTATTTCCTTGAGTAGCCGCAGCAGCACCCGTGACGCTGGCTATTTCTTTATCATCTACGGCTTCCAAGTGTATCACTCGTACTTCTCGCGTTTGGCCGATTCTGTGAGATCTCGCGATGGCTTGTTCTTCATTCTTCGGGTTTGGGTCCGGATCGTACATCACAACTGTATCGGCAGTTTGTAAGTTCAAACCTCTTCCGGCTGCGCGAATAGAAAGCAAAAATATGAACTTGTTCGAGCCTTTTCGGTTGAAATCATTGATGGCGACTTCTCTTTGTTCTAACGGTGTCGTGCCGTCGATGCGGCAAAACTGTAAATTTTCGCCGTCCTCTGTAGTTTGTCGCCACTTCAGATAGACTTCCAAGAGATCTAATAATTTCGTCATCGTGGAAAACAGAAGAACTTTGTGTCCAGTCTTGGAAAGTTTAATGAGTAATCGGTCCAAAATCCACAACTTGCCGCAACTTCGTATCAAGTTAACACCTCGAAAATCGCCTCCTTTCTCGGGCGGGTACGATAAGCCCGGATGATTACAAATCTTGCGGAGCTCCATGCACCTATTGTGAAGGGGCAAATATCCACGAAAGGTTCTTTGCGCGGCTAAACCGAGCCTAGTATACGGTTCAACTCGAATAGACCCCGTCGCGTTGATCCAAGAATACGCGTTCGATTGAAAGGCCGAAAACGGGCAATGAACGACAACGCTCTTCCTCGGCGGAAGTTTACTCTCCACGTCTTGCACTAATCTTCGAAGCATAAACGGTTCTAAAATTTGGTGCAGTCGAGAGATTACGATGACTTTCTTTTCCCGTTCCATCCAATCGTCTTCTTCTTCGTCCTCGTTTGCGTTACCGGCGCCACCACCACCACCACCACCAATGACTTTTTGCCCTTGATTATCACCCGCTTTTGTTTTCCCGAACCACTGCTGAAACACTTTTGCCGAATCAAAAACTTCCGGCAACAGCAGGTTCAATAAACTCCACAGTTCGCTGAGATCGTTCTGTAACGGCGTTCCAGTCAACAGCAAACGTCTTTGCGCTCTAAACTTGTCTAAATCTCTACTTAATTTTCCTTCGCGATCTTTCAATCTCTGCGCCTCGTCGATTATGATGTACTTCCAATTCACTTTCGCCAGCTTGGACCGATCGCGCATGATGAACTCGTACGTCGTCACTAAAACGTTGAATTTGAGCTGCAACACTTGCTTCTGAAATATTTTCGCGCGTTGCTCGCGACTGCCGACGTAATAGACGCAATTTACGTGCGGTAACCATCTCTTTAACTCTGCTTTCCAGTTCACGATTACCGCATTCGGCACGATGATAATGTGAGGTCCAAAGTTTTGCTTAGACTCCCAGAGATACGCAATCAAAGAGCAAACTTGGACGGTTTTACCCAATCCCATCTCGTCTGCTAAGATACCGTTTAAGCGATTGTTGTGTAAACTCACCATCCATTGCAAAGAAACAATTTGGTAATCGCGCAACTGACCAAACGTCAACATCTTTGGTTGTTCGGTAATAATTTCCTGTTCGCTGTGCGCCACGGCGTAATATTTCTCCGTGTTTTGAATCCCGTCCTCTTTCGTTTGCGAAATCATCTTCTCGCCGTTTTCTAACGTCGCCTCTCTCGCTGCTTTTTCCGCCGCTTCTTTGATTTCATCTTCGTCTAAGCCTTCCGCTGCGGCTTTTGCAGCCGCTTCTGTCGCCGCTTCCGAACGCGCCTGCGATATCTTTACCGACGCAATCTTTCCTCCGAGTTTTTCTAAATATCCTTCCGTTTCCGAAAGGAACTCTTGTAGCGCTTCGTATTTATTACCTTCGCCTTCGCCGTCTGCGCCGGCGGGGTATCCCTCGATGCTCTCTTTCGTTTTCGCTGCTTCCGCTAAAAGTTTTTTGTATGCTTCTATGTCGTTCGATTTTAACGCTTCCATTCTCTTTGCTCTTTCTGCCGCGTCGTCTCTTGACTTTACCAAGTACGCTCTCGCCATCCTATCGTGCATCTTCACCATTTGGCGATTTCTCGTTTGCAACACGTCTGCTCGTTGATTTGATTCTTCGTTCAATCTTTTTCTCGTCGAAAGTATCAAACGCCACCGCTCCGATGACTCTTTCTTCTCTTTCTTCGACCGTAACTTGATCTCCAACTCTCTTTGCTTCTCGTCCATCTTCACCATCTTCTTGTACGACCTCTCCGGCAAAGCCATAATCTTTCTCTGCTCGGCAATCATTTCTCGTCTTAACTTTCTCTGTTCCTCCAACAATCCTAAACTTTTAGTTCTGATATTCTGTCTGATTTTCCACTCGCCTTCGTCCACAATCTGTCTTTCTCTCATCATCCCGTCTTCCTTACCATTATCTTGAGCGGCGGCATGAAACGTATACTTTTGTTTCACAACTCTTTCACGAAGAAGATCAACGCCTCGCGTCACTCGCGCGTCCACCTCGCCTTCGAATAGACGCTTCAACTCGTTACACTTCGAGTACTGACGTTCGTCGTCGTCCTTGTCCTCGTCGAAGCCGTCGTCGTCATCCTTGTCCTCTCGTTGCACACTCTCCGTAAACTTCATGTCTTCTTCGTTGATCGTTTTTGTCGTCGTTATCTCGTTGTTGTTATTACTATTTCGAAGCATGGTCAGCGTTGGATCTTGCAGCAACCTCGCGTTCAATCTCCACGGCAGCATCTCTTTGCTCATCATCTCGTCTCGGTCTTTGTTCAAATCAATCGCGTTCGCGAAGAGCGCGTTCGGGAAGCTCGTCCAGATCTTCGAGTGCGAGTGCGAGTGCGTGGACGGCGCGATGCCTACCTCGCGCAAGAGCAGAAATCGAAGCTGCGCGTGGAACGCTTTCGTTTGCGCGTCCGTAAATAACACCATCGTTTCTTCTTCCTCTTTCTTTCTCTTTTCTTCTGTCATCATCATCAATTGGGTTCCTCCATCGTCGACTTCTTCTTCCATCGTGCGTTCTTCTTTTGTCGTCGCGTCGACGGCGAGACCAACTTTTAGGCTCCAAACGACAACGAGACAACAAGAGAACAACGACAACAACCAAAAGAAGAAGAAGAGGAAGAAGAGGAAGAAAAAGAGAGAAGCAGAGAGAGAGAAAAGAGAAAAGAGAGAAAAAGTTTTGAGAGAGAATCTGCTTTTTTTTTTGTGTTTTTTGGCTGCTTTTTTTTTTGTTGTTTGTGTCGTTTTTCTGTTGTTTTTTTTGGGACTTTCAGAAAGAGAGAAAACTCTTTTTACGTAACACAACGACGCTTTATTATCATTTATCCTCTTCTCTATATATCCACAACACAAACGCAAAAAACACGACCACCGAACGCACTGCTGCGATACACAACAACAACTTTACAGTAACATTATTAAAATGGGCAAAATTAACATCGAAACGGAAGTTGAATCCGTCCTCTCGGAACAATCCGCCACGTGCGAGAAACTCAAAATTCGAGTCTCCGAGACGGTTGAAGGGGTGAATTTGTCGGCGAAATTTGTCCTCCCGGTGAACGTGGAGGTATCCTCCAAAGGCAATTTGGATGCGAACATGCAGACGAGTAAAGTGGACTTAGAAGCCGCGAAGGATTTTTGGAAGATCAAGTTAGACGACGTGGACCAAAACACGCAGAATATTATGGATGTGTTGAAAATCTCCGTGAGAGAGAAAGTGTCGGCGATCGACTCGACCGCGACGTTGGAGTGGAAGGCGAAAGGAAACGCGGTGAAAGGCATTTTGGAACCACCGGTTTTCGAAGGCGTGAAGTCAACGCTGGAGTTTGATAACTCCAAGAAGCAATTGACGGTGACTGCGAAGAAGAAAATCGATAAGATTGACGTCTCCGTGAAAGCGGACGCGAACGTCAAGACGCAAACGTTCAAGGGAGGGAAAATGACCCTCAGTTATCCGCTTCCGGAAGGCGTGAAAGGAAGCTTGGAAGCCTCTACGAACGGGAGCGGTAAGATTACTTTGAGACGAGGTAATTTGAGCGCGAAGATGCCGTTGAAGAACTTTACGAGCGCGCCAAATATGAACGACGTGAAGTTGGAGTTCAACTACTCCACCGATATCGCTTCGTTTTAAGAACGGAAAATAGCGTTTATCATCCTCAAAGGCAGAATGAACGACAGACAGTACTAAATACAATAGAGAAAACGATGACGACATTGATGAACTTATACGGAGAAGAAGAGAGGAGAATTACGGGAGTGTTGTTCATTTCTAGTCATTCTTTTATAAAAAAACACACATACTGGTACGTGAATATAATTACTTCAATACTTTTATCCAGACTAGAGGGCTTCGACGAGTTCTTTGAAATCCATCACGAACCAATCCGCCGTTTTTTCCACGTTCTCCCTTCTTACCGTTCCACCGTACCCTATAACAATATCTGCTCCATTCTCTGCTCTCGCTTCCACGTCCGTCGCGCCATCGCCAACCATCACGACTGTTTTGAAATTCCCGGTTTTCTTCACGTGCGCGACGGCCAAAGCCTTTCCGCCCGCGCGCCACGTAAACTCGTTTTCGTCGTCGAATGGTTTCTCTGAATTCATCGATCCATCTTCTAAATATAACAAATTATTCGCCCAAACGTTCGTAGGGACTGGGATATCTAAACATTCCGCAATCGGATGGATCATTTGTCGAAACCCTCCGCTCACTAAATACACCGTCTTCCCTTTTTCTTTCAACTTGTCTCTCAGTTCTTGGAATCCGTTCGAAAGTTTCACCGGATACTCTTTTAAATACGCATCCATCTGCTGTCTCGAACACTGCATCGCGTTTAATCGATAAAACAAAGCCTTCTCGAACGGAATTTCTCCATTCATAGCTTGCGTGGTCACCTTCGCCACCTCTTCGCCTTTGCCGAGATACGCCGCCAACGCGTCGATACCTTCGTGATCGATGACAGTCGAGTCCACGTCAAAACACACGGCATCGCACATGCGCCAAATTTCCAAAGCTCTCGCTTTCTTAGAAGAAGAAGAAGAAGAACCACCCATCGTTGATTCTTCCGCAGGGGTCGCTTTGGTCGAACCACCCGAGCTCCTTGTTCGTTGTTTTTGAGGTGCAAAGCGACGGCTGTCGGTTTTTACGCACGCGGAATAACAACAGCAACACGACGACGACGAGATGGATGACGACATTAATAATTACTTTTTAATGTTCGACGACAATTTCCGGTCGCAGGCTAAACTTCTTCTCCTTCCTTTCCAATCGTTTCAGAAACGCGGTTTCCGTTTCCACTTTGACTAAATGTTTGATCTTTTCGATCTGTCCTCGAGTCGTGCTCGTGTTCGGGACGACTCTCGACGCTCGAGGTTTACGCAATCCTAAAGCTATACAGGTGAGTTTAATCGTGTCTCGCTTTCCAGCTAACCCGCGACGTAAGGTGACGACGAGCTTTTCAGTCGCCGTTTTGTGCAAAGACATAAACGAAACTTCTTCGCGTGCAAAGGAGAGAAAACTTTGTGAAGAATGCGATGAGAGCAGAGAAGTGATTTTGTGCGTCTTTCTGTGAAGAAAGTTCTTTTGATAAAACTCTTACTGCGAGCGCGCAGAGATACATACACAAACCGTCGTCTTCAATTCTCTTAATTAGATACTCTTACGTTATTATTATTAAAGTTTTATGAACTATGATTTTAATGCACCGCCCCGTCGTCCGTCGTCGTTTAGGATCGATCCGGGATGGACTTGGAATCCGTCGCTACGCCCATGCAGTTCAAACCATTGTCGACGTATATGGTGCTCCCAGTAATCGCCGAGGCTAACGGCGAGCACAAGAACGCGGCCGTGTGTCCAACCTCGATGGCATCCAACGGCTTTTCGCTCAACGGCGCGTTCGTCATGGAGTAGTTGATCATATCGTCGATGAAACCGATGGCTTTAGCGGCTCTCGAGCCCAACGGACCGGCGCTGATGGTGTTCACGCGAATGCCCCACTTTCTCCCAGCTTCGAACGCCAACACTCTCGTGTCAGACTCCAAAGCCGCTTTGGCGGAAGACATACCACCCCCATACCCTGGGATGATTCTTTCACTCGCCAAATACGTCAAAGAAATGCACGCGCCGCCTTTGTTCATCAACGGACCAAACTTTTGCAACATCGCAATGTTCGAGTACGAACTCGCGGAAATCGCCCCCAAATAACCTTCTCTCGACGTCTCCAACAACGGTTTTGCCACTTCTCTGCCGTTCGCCAACGAGTGGACCAAAATATCAATCTTACCAAAATCCTTCTCCACGCATTCGGCGACTTCGCTCACGGTCCACTTTTCGTTACCTGCGTATCGCTTGTTCGCCTTCACATCTTCCGGAACGTCATCCATGGTGTCAAAAACCGCGTCCATGGGGTAAATCTTCGCGAATTCCATCAAACTGCCATCCGATAACTTTCTCGACTCGTCGAACTTACCTCTTCTGTACGAAGTCTCGAAGATATTCAACGCCGGCACCCACGTGCCGAGGATAACGTCCGCCCCGGCTTGACTCAACGCCTTGGCGATGGCCCATCCAAAACCGTTGTCGTCCGCCACGCCGGCAATGAACGCCTTCTTACCTCTCAAATCAATCGGTAACGTGGTGCTCGACGCCATCGTTCGAACCACTCTGGCCGCCGCACTCGGAGAAGAACGCTTCGCACTTTTAGAGATGCTTTTCCCCAACGCGTTTCCGCCGCGAAGGATCGTTTTTTGCGCGAACAATTTCGAAGTCGTCGTCGTCGTCATGATGATTGATTTTAACGCTGTTTTTGTTGTCGTGATAATACTAACGATGGTGTATAAGCGCGTTTAGTAGATAATACTATGATCAAACGAGCGCGTGTAAAGTTGTGTGTGTCTTTCTTCCGCGCGTAGTAGTACTAAAAAGTGCGTCTGAAAATGTGGTTTGTTTGTGGATAAAGTCTTCAGGAACTTTTTTGTTTTTCAAAATGGAAAAATCAACCTTTTTTGACGACGAGAAAATTTTTAGGAGGAAAGAGTGCATGAGAGTGTTTAAGTGTGTTTCTACTCCTGGACGTGTTCATTTTTATAATACAACGCGCGCGTGAGTAGACGCACACAGGAGGAACCGACGCACGCGAGATAGACGCACGGCGAAAAGCAGGTTTTATTTACAACGACGAGTTTCAGTCTCAAAACTCTCGATCGGGCATCACTTTCGGGGCGATGAGCGACCAGAGATAAAGAAACGCGGTGAAATACGCGCACGTCGCTTTAATCCAAAAGCTCTCCGCCGTCGTCGAGGATATCGCTTTTGTACCGCCGCTATTTTCTTCTTCTTCTTGCGTTACTTTTACCCACCCGACTAATAAACACGCGGCGTGCATGCTGGCGACTAAAAACACGCCGTGGAAAAACGTATACGCGGCGCTGCCGTGCTCGTCGTCGTCGTCCGTAATGTGCGCGACGCCTTGGAAACGTTTGTGTCCACTCGCCGCTTTGAAGGCTGATAAGGCAACCACTCCTAATTGAACGACAAAACCAACGATTTCGATAATCTCTTCGTCTTTACTCTGCATCGTCGCGTTGTCCACTAAATTGCACGTTTTCGATCTTTCCATGCTCGCCGACGCCATCAAATACGCCACGTACAAAGCGACAATCGCGCTGGTAAATAAACCTCCTCGGATATCTTCCATTAAACTAAAGCCACAACATATGACGACGAAAACAATCGCCATCGAAAGTGCCGCGACTGTCGTCTTATCTCCGTCGCAATCGTACCGCGTAAAACTCAACGCGAACGTCGCCACCGCCAACGCGAACGCGACAATCGTCCCCACAACTAACGCTATCGCCCCAGCGCGTCCCTCTTCCGCCTTCTCCACCAAATACTCGTTCAGCTCATACACCGTGGCTATGATTACAATCATCTGGACGAGTAAAAACACCCCGGCGCCGAATCGAAACACTTGGAAGGCGACGTCGACGCTCTCGCTCGGCACCCACCAAAACGAGACGCAAAGAAAAGCCAACCAGAGTAAAAGTTTAAACGGCCAATACGCCACGTGCACGCGATATCGTACGTTTAAATTCTCGAATCGGTCTCTTCTCGATTGTTTTAAAGCTTGTCGTCTTTCCTCGTCCTCTCCTTCTTCTTTCTCTTCTTCTTCCTCTGTCTCGGGAACGTCCGCTTTAAACGTGACCAAAAGCATACACGAAAAGAAGAGCACGTTCGTGAGCGCCACTCTCATCGCGCTTTCGTACGCGCACCGAGAGCCTTGGCATCCTTGCATTTCCGTGTGTGTGAACTTTTCGATCGAACTCGTTTCGGACGGGTAGTTGTCTCGCATCTGCCACGCGAGAACTTGCGTGAGGAAATAGGAAACGAAGTAGACGGATTTGAAAGATTTCTCGCCTCTTTGGTGGATGTTTAACGCGTTGGCGCAACAGTTCAAGGCGGAACATCCCGCCCAGGACGCGCAGCAAAGAAAAGCAGACATAATAATAAAGCTTTAGTTTAACGCGACGATGATGATGATGATTTTGTTCTCTTTTTTGGGTTCAAGGCGAGAGAGAGAGAGAGAGAAGAGTGTGGAATGTAGTCGTTGTTTGGTTGTTTCCCAACTGTGAAAATCCTCTCGGAAGACCAAAAAATGACACAAAGAATAGTTTCGTATGTGTGTTGTTTAGTAGCACTGCTGCTGCTGCTGCTGCTCTTAAAGTTGTTCAAGTCTACACATTATTCTATCATTCTATTCTATTCTATTCTTCGCTATTTTGCTCCTATCATAAAAGTCATGAATACTTTTACAGTAAACCTTCGGTGAGACGAGGCGTTTTTTTCTCTCCTCCCGCGCTCAAGAAAGGAATCGCTTTTCCTTCATCTTTGTCGTCGTCGTCGTTTCCATCGCCTGGTTTCCTCTTCCCAAATCTGGCGGAAGTCGATGGTACCATATGTTTCATCGAAGGCGTGCGATCGCGAGCAGATAGAGATGGAGTTCGTCTGCTTGAAGTCATTCGTCGTTCGGATTGACGCATGGCGCGATTCACGTCCATCCTCAAAAAGTCTTCACCGGTATTGCCACGTCCAGGCGTCGACTTTCGAAGTAGACGAAGCGCACTTTCGCTCAAACCACTCGTCGTCGTTGGCGTTTGCGCTTGCTTGCGCAGTTTCCGCTTGACTACGTTGGCTTTTTCTAGCTTTCTCGCCGCGAGTTCGCGGACGTCTTCGCGCGCGAATCTGTACAAATTTTGTTCCTCCACGCTTTCTCCAGCCGCTCTCGCAACGATATCTTCTCCTCCTCCTCCTCCTCCAGTCAATGATGAAATGCGCACAGGCGTTGCATCTAAAACACCCCAAGTCATTATCGGCGTAAAATTGTCGCGACCAGGCGTGAAACTTGGCGTCGTGATTCGCGAATAATTCACGTTTGGATTCATCTCTTTTTCTCTTTGTTCTCGAAACAAAGCCAACTCTTCCTCGTCGACTTCGTTCACTTCTATTACGTGACTGTTATTCGAGCTGTTGAATCGAGTGTTACGCGCAAACGTTTCCTTCGGAGCTGTTGTCGCGCCTAAATTTGCCAATTCGTTCTTCGATAAAGCCAAAGCCGAGTCTGGTCGGAAGAACAACGCGTTCTGTCCCGGTTCCGCGAGCGCCAAGGCTCCCGATTTTGTCCTCGCTCCTTCGCTGCCATCACTGAGCCTTTGCACATTCATCGCGCTGTGAATCTTCTTTGCGTCGAATAATTTTGCATTCTTCTCTCTTCTCTTCTTATTTATCTTCTCCAATATATCCTCGAACGATTTGTTATCTTCGGAAGTGTGCGAAGCGAGAAACTGCGTGAGCGTCTTGTTCGAGTCGAGAAGTTTTGTCGTTGTTGTTGTTGTTGTTGTTCTTTCCTCCTCTTCCTCATCATATTCTTCCTCTTCCTCTTCCTCTTCCTCTCTCCTTCTTCTTCTGGAGGAAAAGGAAAATCCAATTCCAGAAGTATCGCTCGTCGTCGGCGTATTCCTTCCTCCTTTTCCTCTCTCGGACGTGCTGCCGTAATAAAAACTCGGCGTCAAACCGTTACTGGTCCCACTCCTCGCCTCTTCCTCCTCTCTCATTCGTTTCTGAATGTTCCTCTTCGCCATTAAAATCTCCTTTTCGTTCCCTTTTCGTTCCGCGCGGAGTAAACGCAGTTCATCCTTCATTTGTGGAACGTTCGGGAAATAATCGCGTTCGATGATGTGTTCTAATCGAGCCGCGAATTCCTCCTCCTCGAGGACGATTTTTGTTTTCTTCTTTTGTGGTGGTTGTTTTTGTCGTCTGATGAATCGCGGAGGTGGTGGAGGCATCGTCGTCGTCGTCATTTTCATCGTCGCCTTCTTCTTCTTTTCTTCTTCTTTAAAGTCTTCCTCTTTGTCTTCGTCCTCGTCGTCGTTCGGCCGAGACCGAAAAGACATCTCACCGTCAAAACAATTTTTAGTTGCGACGAGAGAGAGCGGTGTTTTTGTGTGCACTTCTTTTTCCTTCTTTTTCTTTTCTACAGAGGAGAGAGAAAAGTTTGTCCGGTGCCTCCTGGACTCGCGTTCGTGGTTGACGAGTGGCCCTTCTTCTCAAAAGTGGTGAACCAAAAGAGAGGAAAGATTTTTTCACCAGCAGCCAAAAATGCCAGCCGCCGCCGAAAAAAATTTTCTCGAGGAAACCACCTCTTCTTCTCTCTCGTCGTTTCCTCTTCACACCTTCTTCCGTTTTTGTTGCGTAGAATTTTAGTATACACACCCGTATATATAAAAACCACCACACGAAGACGCGAATTTCCACACCGGTTTCATCTCGAACAACTTTAAAAAAATGTCCACGACGACTGCGAATCCACCAGCTTCGGCTGCGGCGACGAAAGGTACGAGATGAATTTTGTGTTTTTACTCTCACGCATCGAAATAATCTTCGCGTTCTCTCGGTGCATTTTTACGCCGCAAAATTGTTTTTCTCCTTCTCGGCGACGGAAAGGAGGGAGAGATGTGGGGATGAAAATGAACGCTTTGACCGCAAATGAACGATGCGAAGAGAGCGACGCACTTTTGTTAAGGGAAGTGGTCTCAATCGCGGTCGCAAAGGTCGTTCCTGAGACGGTTTCCGAGAGCGGCGCCGATTTTTCTTCCTCAATTGTGGCTTTGGGCAATTGACGGGACTTTTGCCGGGAAAAGAGAAGAATCTGTTGCATTTGTGCGAATAAAATCTTCTTCTTCTCTTAACTTTACTTTTATTCGAAAACCCAAATCCTTTATTAAAAACTGACTTATTAATTACTCTTTCTCAACATGCAAAACGACAGCGCCCGCACCAGCTGCCGCTGCTGCCGCTGCCGCCGCCGCCAAGGGCGCCGCGGCTGCCGACGAGAACGCCTCCAACACGTCCTTGTACGTTGGCGACTTGGAATCGAGCGCCACGGAAGCTCAATTGTACGAGTTATTTTCCACCATCGGTCCAGTTGTCTCCATTCGCGTGTGCAGAGATTTAATCACGAGAAGATCGCTCGGATACGCGTACGTGAACTTCTCGCAAGCGCAAGATGCGGCGAGAGCGATTGACGTGTTGAACTTTCAAGTGGTCAACGGGAAGCCGATTCGCATCCTATACTCGCAAAGAGATCCGACTATTCGTAAGTCCGGTGTCGGGAACATTTTCATCAAGAACTTGGACAAGGACATTGATACCGTCGCGTTGAGAGATACGTTCGCACAGTTCGGTAACATTGTTTCCGCCAAGGTTGCCACGGATGGTCAAGGCAACTCCAAAGGTTACGGCTTCATCCAATTCGATACCGAGGCGGCGGCGAAGGAAGCCATCGAGAAGGTCAACGGCATGGAATTGAACGACAAGGTTGTCTACGTCGGTCCATTTCAAAGAAGAGCGGAAAGAGGCACTACGGAAACGAAGTTTAATAACGTTTTCGTCAAGAACTTGGGCGATGAAGTTACGGACGAAGAGTTGAGAAAAGTTTTCGAAGGCTTTGGACCGGTGACTTCGGTTATGATTTCGAAGGACGAGGACGGTAAATCCAAAGGCTTTGGTTTCGTGTGCTACGAAACGCCGGAAGATGCGTCCAAGGCGGTCGAAGAACTCGATGGCAAGCACGGCGAAGAAGACAAGAAGTGGGTTGTCTGCCGAGCGCAAAAGAAGGCGGAGAGAGAGGCTGAGTTGAAGGCCAAATTCGAAGCTGAGAGAAGAGAACGTATGGAAAAGATGGCGGGCGCGAACTTGTACATCAAGAACTTGGAAGATGGCGCGGACGACGAAACGTTGAGAGAGCTGTTCAAAGAGTTTGGTACGATCACTTCGTGCAGAGTCATGCGCGACGCGTCTGGCGTTTCCAGAGGGTCCGCGTTTGTCGCGTTTTCCTCTCCAGAAGAAGCCACGCGTGCGGTGACTGAGTTGAACGGAAAAATGGTTGGCGCGAAGCCGTTGTACGTCGCCTTGGCGCAGCGTAAAGAAGACCGCAGAATGCGTTTGCAAGCGCAATTCGCGCAGAGATCGATGGGTCCGGGCGGTGTCATGGCGCCGATGTACGGTATGCCCCCGCCGGGCGTTCCGGGCGGTGGCATGCCGGGCATGTACTACGGCCAACCGCCGCCAGGTATGATGCCGCCGCAACCACAACCAGGGTTTGGGTTCCAACCGGGTATGCCGGGTGGGCCGAGACCGATGCCGGGTTACAACATGCCGGGCGTTCCGAACATGATGAGAGGTCCGGGTGGCATGGGCGGCAGAGGAGGCAGAGGCCGTGGCCAGCCGGGTATGGGTGGCAGAGGTGGCCCGCAAAACGGTCGCCAAAACTTCCGCCAGCAACAGCCGATGCCACCGATGCCGGGACAAGCGGCGCCGGAGCCGCCGGCTGCGGAATCGAACCCGATTGCGCTCATCGTTTCGCAACTCGGCACGGCCACCCCGGATCAACAAAGAATGATTTTAGGGGAAGCCTTGTACCCGTTGGTTGATGCCGTCGACTCTGCGAACGCCGCGAAGGTGACTGGTATGTTGTTGGAGATGGACCAAGCCGAAGTCTTGCACTTGATTGAATCTGCGGACGCGTTGAAGGCGAAGGTTCAAGAAGCGTTGGCTGTTTTGGCCGCCGCCTCGTCTGATTAAACGGATGATGATGACCCATCTTTTTCACAACCATTCGGCCTTACAACCGACATTTTATTATATATTTAGAAGAGAATAGGAGATTTACTACCAGTGTTCCAGAGTTCACTGAGTAGTAACGGGACTTGACAGCGGGAGTGATGCGACAGTATATTTTTTCGTTGACGCGCTCACCCCATGCCGCTGTTTTGCTCGAACGAGCCGCAAAGAAGCTTTGCCCTTATATGAGAAGACTTTGCGAAGGCTCCAGTCATGGGACTTAAAAAAAAATGAAAAATTAGGAGATGAATTACAATTCCTCTCCGCGAAAAATGCGCTCTCGCGTTCTGGTGGTTTTCGTAACCGCCGACGGAACGCGACAAATTAGGAAATACACACACACCACCACCACAACACCACTACCACCACCGTCACCACCACTTGCACAGAAAAACCAAAATATTTGTTGTTAATACACAATCTTTACTAAACTTTTATTATCAAACGTATTATTAAGCACTAAAGCTAACAGGAGGCGGAGAATAATCATCGCTATTTCCCTTGAAGTATATCTATTGCGGCCGCGACGTCGTTGTTTGATCTCTCCAACGCCAGTTTGCTTTCTTCTTCTGGGAAGCCCATCTCTACGAGTAACGTGATGAACTTTTTATTGTACGGAAACGCTTTAGTATTATTGGCTAAACCTGGAGAAGAAGACGGCGATTGTTGTTGTTGTTGGTTAAATAACGGCGGGGGAGGAGATGGAGGTTTACCTTTGCCCAACTTCCGTCCGACGCCTTTGATGGTCGGCGTTGACGTTGAACTTTTTTGACTCTCTCCGCTTTCCATTCTTGCAACGACCGGCACTTCCCACCACTTGAGTTTTCTCGTGGTCGTTCTCGCCGTACCTCCGGGCGATATGAATTGCTGCCCGCTTTCGACATCGCCTTCTTCCCTGCGCACTCTTCTCGCCGATTTGGATGTATTTTGTACGAATCCTTCCAAGCGTTCAATCGAAATCCCGGATAATATGAGATTCTCAATTCTATCTACAGCTCTCTCAGAGGGAATCAATTTGTTCAAATACCCTTTCACGTACAACGAACCTACCACCACGCCGCTCAAATGACCTAAAAACGAACTATTCGGCGCTAACAATTGCACAATCGCAATCAACGCGAAAGGATACATGTAAGCGTTCACTACGAACAAGCCGAAAACGTCTCTTTGTCTAATATTCGAGAACGCGGTATCTAAAACAACTAAACTGAAAATGACTCCCGAAAAACCAACCGCGCATTCGTTTTGATACCCACTCATTCCTAACAGGTACCACATCCCGCTCGCTAAGAGCACGTGCGTCGTCCCGCATAAAATCGTAAACAAGAACACGAGTAACGCGAAATTCACGCTCCCCAACTTCATCTCCAACCCATATGCGCCGATCTGAATAAACGCGCACATGTTCACCAACAGATGAAAAAACGACCCGTGCGTGAACGCGGACGTGAAAATTCTATAAAACTGTCCGAGAAAGTCCCCGCCTCGCATTAAAGCTGGTATCAAACACAACGTGGAATACGAAAACAATCGCAAGATTGCGTTGAAGAGGAACGCAAAGACGTTGATGGTGAACACACAGCGAGTGGTCATCGGTAGCTGCTGATATCGGGAAAAAAGCGTCATTTGCTGCCGATGCTGCTGGTTGCTGCCGTCCATCGTGATCGTCCGAGAGAGGGTCAGTCGTCGTCGAGAGATATGAAAATGGAGAGATTTTGAAAAACTTCCAAAAGTGCTGCTTCGTCGTCATTTTTGTACTCGTCACGCACGCACTAAAGCTGAAAAGATGTTTTCCGTGGTTTCTGCCGTGCGAAGAACTGCCGCGACTTCCTGCTCGACGTCCTCGTCTTTCGGCGGACACCAAAAGCAGCTCAGAAGAAAAACGAGTACTCGTTTGCAAGCGTCCAAGTTCGAGAAAATCTCCTCGTCGTCGTCTGAACAATCGTCTTCCGATGATGATAAACAAAGAGACGACGAGAAAGACGAGGAAGAAGACGGCGATAAGGAACTCCCGAACGATTTGTTCGACGCGGTGAACACGGCAGCTTCGGCAACCTCTCAGGCGATTTCTGCGGGCCAGTTAGGGATAATCGTGGAGTTATTAATCCCGGAGTTGTGGGACCCGATATCCGGGAACGTGATGGCGAACCCGGGAGATCAGTTGAAACAGTGGGAAATATCGCGGCAATTCGCGCAGAAACTGTTAGAGGAACGACCGGAGGGATTGGAACTGACGGTGGTGTTTCCGGACGCGGGGTGCGCGGCGTTGTTGAAAAACCGATGGGGCGACGAGTTGAAGTTTAAAATAGCCTCGGCGAACGATCGGATGTTAGTGCCGGATGATTACGAAGGCGTTCTGTTGTTCGCGGCGGCGGATCCGATATCGTTGGACGTGGTGGTGAAATCGACGAAGAAAGCGAACGAGTTGCAAAATCCGGTGATTTTGTTGAACCCTCGATTAGCGAGTGGGGATGCGGGGATTGGGTTGACCGTGAGACGATGGAGAGATCAGTTTTTAGGAGTCATGTGCGTGGCGTATTCGTTGAGGCCTTTACCGTGGTGCAACGGGACGGTTTTTAAGAAATTTCCCGGGCCGTGGAAATTGTACATCGAGAAAGAAAACGTTCCGGGAAGGTTTGAGTTAGTGCACGAATCGAATTCCAGACCGGCTGGGGATGAGTTGGACGATTTAGTTTCCGAGGTGTATCGAGGCCGCGACGTCGGAGAGGACGGGGAGATGAGAGAGAAGAGCGCGGTGGAGAAGCTGGCTGGTTTCGCCGCCTCCATGGCGCGCTTCGCGAAGAGTTTATCGAACTAATAATATTATTATCGTACGTGTGCGTTGTTGCTAATTATACATTTTAGAATTTAGGATATTCCGAACTTCTTCAGGCGCGCTTTAATGGCATCTAATCGTTTCTCGAGTCGTATCTGTTCCTCGTCTATTTCATCATCATCATCATCATCATCTTCTTCTTCTTTGCTATCGTATTCTACGCTGGAGGTGGTGGTGGTATTTGCGTCGTCGCTAAAGTCCTCGTCGCTTTCGTCCGTGATATTCGCGGCGGATATGAGCACGCGTCCATTTTTTGACTTTGCAATCGTCGGCTCGCTCTTCGCGCTCCTACCTTTCCTTCTTTTTCCTCTTCCTCGTTCCTCTTTACGCGTTCCTACCGATACGAACGGATCCTCTCGGAAGAAGGACGTCTGCGCGCTCTTGTTGGTGACCATATCAACCACCTTATTCGCGTCGTCGTTCGAGCGATGACGATGATGGCTAAACATCATCGCGCCATTATCGTCGTTAAAACTACCGCCGCGACGATACTGATTCGTACTCGTATCGTAAAAAGAAGAAGTCGTCCGAGCGCCGCCACCACCACCTACATTCGTCGTCGTCGTCGTATTCATCAACTCGTTCTCGCGTCGTCGTCGTCGCCAAACCTCTAAAATATCCACGTCTGTGTCTTCCTCTTCCTCCTTTTCGGCAAAACCGGCGGCGGCGTCGACAAACGACAGCGAACGCTTTCGTTGCTTTTCCTCCTCCTTTTCCTCCTCTTCCTCCCAGTTTTGGTGGTTGAGCGGATGATTTTGCCGGTCGGTGTGCGGCTGATGGGACAGACGATGATGACTTCTTCTGCAGTCGTCCTCGTTCTCTGTCTCTTCATCCTCTCGCCACCAAAACGATCGGTCGATCATCGCTTTCACGTTCTCTTTCTCGTTCTTCTTCTTCTTCTTCTTCTTCGTAGCGTTCGTTCCGTCGGTTCGTTTTTGCGTCAAAGTCTTCGTTGTTTTTGAAAATGCATCTTCTTCCTGCTCGATGATGGTAAAGGCATCTCGTTCGTCGTCGCTCGAATCGTCTCGCTCTCGAAACTTCGCAATTAAAGCGCCGATGAAAGACTCATTATTCTCTCCCTCTTCTTTGAGTTCTTCTTTTAGTTCTTCTTTCATCCTCGTTTATGTCGGAGTCTCGGCGCAGTTGTTTTCTCCATTCGTTCTGGGGAAAAGGAAACTCCACACAAGAAAACAGAGATATAAAAAGATACATCACTTCTAATCCGGTGGTTACATGTTTTCATCATCAACTCTGACTGTTGCGGCTTTTCAGGCGCCGAGAACGCTCGGCGAGCGCGACGAGAACAAACTTCGTCGTTCTCGTTCTCGTCGCTTTCGTCGCGCGGGGGGTCATCAAAATGAGAAGAGCAACACCTTTACGAATACCAAAAGCGCTTCGAGCGATGAAAAACGATATCTAACGACGAAGAAAGATGATGATTCCACGACGCGGGAGAACGAATCCACCACGGCTCTGAATCGAGCGATATCTATCGCGAGCCAATCGATGTGCTGCATCGCGAGCACGACCGGTGGGTTTAGCAACTTTGAGCTCGTCGCGCGTTGGTTCGATCTTGATACTACTACTACTACTACTACGAACAACAACAACAACAACAACGAAGAAGACAAAGATATGAACAACAAGATGGGAAAATTAAACGAACGATTGATGTGGAAAGAAGAGGACACGTACGAGGCGCAGATGCGCCTGGCGACGGCGTCGTTTTTAGCCGCGACGACGGTGGCTGTGGGGCAGCCGGCTTTGGCGTTGGATTTTGTCCTCGTCGATCCTTCCGGTGCGTTTCGTTTCGGTTCGTTTATCGTTTTTCGTTTTAAAATATCTTATCCAGTAACGTTTAGATTTTTTTCGCTCGCCTTCGCGTAAATCTACTACATTCAAATGAACACTCACCAAAGATCTCTGATACTCACGATGATGGACTACATACATGCAGTCAAAGAATACATGGACCAACGCGACGAGGCCATGTCTTTCAAGTGCAAAGGCGGCATGATGGACTGCGACGGTGACCGACGAGAATTCGCGCGAGCGCAAGCGCAAAGTTTGTCGGAGCGTTTGGAAAGAGGCGAAAAAAGGACGGACTGTACGGTGGAAGAGGCGTGCACGGACAACATTTTAGGCGCCGCGTTAGCTGGAACGAGCGGATTTACCACCTCGGAGAAGTTTGAGAAGCTTGGTCGACCGGAGTTGGCGGACGCTCCAAACGCGAGTAGGCCGAATCTCGGCTTTTAAAAACATCAACAACCGCGCGCGTTCGTTCGTCGTGGATTTTTTTACGCTCGCTCTTTTACTTTTGTACATTATTACTCTATTAAACTATTACTATAATTTTACATATCTATCGGTGCAGCTGCTCTGTTACTACGAGTGTTACTACTCTAGCTATCTCTTCTTCTCTACTACGCGAGAACTTGTCTGACAATCCATTCCGCTTCTAACACGATCTCCTCTTCTCCTCTTCGTCCTCCTTCTTTGAACATCTCGCACTCGTACGTCGTCTCCAACATCTCCCTCCCTCGCTTCCACGAAACGCTCTTGACTTTCGTTCGACATCCTAAAACTGAGTTCACCTCTACCGGTTTCACGAATTTTACGTTTTTCATCCCGCAGTTGATTTCGTACTTGCACCACGTCGCGCTCTTTCTCGGCGCGGAGGATAAAAACGTCAACAAGGACACGGTGAAGAATCCGTGAGCGATTGGCAGTTTAACGCCTCCCAAGACAGACGGAGAAGACGACGACGATGCACTACCAAAATCATCATTATCATTACTTTTGTGTATCCACTGTTCATCGCGAGTGACTTTACCGAATTGTTCGATAGACTCTCGCGTGATCACGTATCGTTTCTTTCTGTTCTCGAACACCTTTCCCGGGGAGGATATCCATTCCTCCGCGGATTGGATTTCTTCTTCTTTGTCTTCTTCGTCTTTTCCTTTCAAAGTTTTTGAGGACGACGCGAAATGAGACGCGAGAATACTCACTCGTGTTCGTCGTCCTCTGTCGTTTAGGGGAGGAGGAGGAGGAGATGAACGACGACTTTCGTCGTCGTTCATCATCGTCTTTCTTTCTTTTTGTAATGGAGAAATGTTTTTCCAATTCAGAGTCGTCATTGTACCGATGATTCTTTCCCGCTCGCCGTGCGTTTGTTCCTCCTCGACGGGAGGAAAAAAGCCTCAAAAACAACGAAGAGTTCGAAGACAAAGCCAAAGAGACCAGAGAGACCCGGCGGATTTCAACAACGACTACGACTTGCTCAGAGAACATTTGCAAAGAGAAAACGGAGGCCCGATCGCGAATTTCCTAAACTTCTTGAGCGAAAATTCGTTCGGAAACGCGTTGAATAAAAGTGATAACACGAACCCGTTTGCGTTTTGTTACAGCTGGTTTCTCGCGAATGTGATGCCCTTGAAAAGACAGAGACAAGGTTTGGCCGGTGAAGCGGTATCGAGAGCGACGATACGGGACGAAGCGGACCGACGACTGGACGAATTTATTTTGAGATTAGAAAGAGACGAAAAGTTGAGAGAGGACGTGAAACGAGTGAAGACGTTTTGGCTGGAAACAGCGACGAATAGAAGTAGTTCTAGTAGTAGTTCGAGTAGTAGTAGTAGTAGTAGTAGTAACAACAACATGACGGAGAGATACGCGGAAAATCTCGCGTGTCGGACGTTGTCGCTGGCGGAGCGCATGGTGAGTTCGACGGAACAGAACACGTCTGAAAATCAAGACGAGGTTGCCGTTCGCATCAACGAGATTTCCAAAGCAATCACGTGTACGCCGAGAGAAGCCGTGGACGCGTGTCACGTGAATCCAGACGCGTTATCCACGCCTTCGTCGGCGTTTGTGAGTCGCCTGAGCAAATTGAAAACCGCCGCGCCTGGAGCCAATTGCTGCTCGATGTTCCTCTCGGCTCCGAAATTGTTCATGGGCGATACAGGCGACGAGTGGGTCTCTGTCGTCGGTAGAAACGCAAAACTGCTCAGAGAAAAATTCCCAAACGTAGACGTCGACGCCGTCGTCGAACACGATCCAGAGTTGTTGGTGTTATCCGGTTTAGAGGAAGCGGTGGAGGAGTTGTTGTCCTTGTGGACGGCGGAGGCGTTCGCGCTCTCTGACGTAGATAACGATTTCTTCGCGGAAGAGTTGAGCGTCGCTTTGAGAGCGTGCGCGCCAAACGGTGGCGCTTTGCCGGAGATGTTTTCTTAATGAATAATAAGAGAGAGTGATGTGTGTGTGAGAGAGATTTGGTACCACACGACGTGGTCTCGGATGATCGCGCGTAAAATTTTTAATACATTTAATGCATCACCCAAACAGCAAAGATCTTCACACAATTACATTACAGATACAAATTCGACGCGCGGTCAGCCTCTATATACACTACACCTTTTGAGACGCCGGTGACTCTGAAAAGCGAAAGTATCCCCTCGACTTTTTCTCCTCCTTTTCCTCCTCCTCTAACGACGACGACAATCATAAAAAGCTCTTCTTCAAAAGAGCAGATGTTCATAACCGCGCATCGAGGCAACTTTGTTCACTTTAAGAAGAAGAACAACAACAACTCCGGTCGAGGAGGAGCAGCAGTAGCGGCGAATAATAGTAACAGTAATAGTGATAAGAACAGCAATAGTAATAAGAAGAACTCTAAGAAAATCTCCATCGAGAAGTTAATACAGAAGCGAAAAGAGAATAACTTCCGAGGGGATTCGAGGACAACTTCCGAGGAGGAAATTCATCAGCAGCTTCAGCGAAAAGAACGCGAGTATTTCCGAAGAAGACAAGGACGATATTACGATCTCTCGCTGAGACTTTGGGTGAATAAACAACCTCACGACCATTATTTACATCAAATGTACGAAAAGTTAGACCGAGACATCGAACGGTTGGTCGTGTCTAAAGACGAAGAGAAGAAAGAGAAGCACGTGAAATACGTGACGGATTGGTTGACGGCGCTGGCGAAAGTTCCGGTCGAGCGTTACTTACCGGCTGGGTTGTATTTACGAGGCGGAGGAGTTCACGTGCCGGAGGATGTGAAGAGGCAAGTGGATTTGAACGCGTTTTACGGGGATAAGTTGATAACGTCCGTGTTGCTCGACAAGATTCGCAAAGCGGACGGGAAATACGGGGCGAATCGAGCGCCGAGGAATAAGATGGAAGCGAATAATTTTCTTTCGGCGTGCGTGAGAAATAAAACTTTCGCAGAGTTAGCGCCGGATATTTTACCGGACGTGAAGATTACCGCGGAGGAGTGGCGACATCACGAGCACGTGGCCGGGACGGCGGTGGAAGCGGCGATTATAGCCGTCGCAGATTTATCGAACGATACTTTGAGACAAGCGCAGAAGGACGTCGCGATCGATGCGGTGGCGAATTTGATATTAGAGGAAGGGATGAAATTCGCGAAGAGCGACGTGAAACCGGCGAGAGCGAAATTTAACGATACGCTGTGTTTGTATACGGTGAAGTTGTTGTCGAGGAGCGTGACTGGATTAGTGCACGATCCAAAATTTATAGGAACGGCGAGAGTGACCCACAGAAGATTGTATTTAGGAGATCAAAAGAAGAGGTATAAGAACGTACCTTTGGAATTCGGTACAATTGAAGTAGAAGCGGAAGGGACGAGCAGCGACAACGCGAAAGAGGCGGCGAGCGTGCAGATTTTGGAGTTGATGAAAAAGCTAGGATTAGTAGACGAGGAGTATCAAGCGATATACGTGTCAGACATTAAGCCCGCGTTGAATTTATGGAAGGAGCACAGGAGGAACGAGGGGAAAAAGAAAAAAGAAGACGGAGTAAAGGAGGAGTACGAGGAAGACGACGATGCGCGAGAAAAGCAGCGTCGTAAGATTTAGTCACCATGATGAGTGCATTATTAGATTTTTGAAACGACATGCGCATGTCCACTCGTTGCTGCTGCTATTTCGCTACTTTTCTACTATCGCCGCTGCTGCTATTTTTAAAATTTGCTTTTGCTCTTCTTGTTCGCTTTCTTTCGCGCCGTCGTGGCGTTCTTCTCGTACTGACTGTTGCGAGATTGTTGTTGCGGTTTTCGTTTACTTTTGTTCTTATGGTGCGTTTTGTTGTACGCCTGTCGCATTTTTTCAATCATGTCTTCGTCGTCTTCCTCGCTCTCATTGTCGTCTTCCTCGCTCTCGTCGTCGTCATCAACTTTATCCGAATCATCAATCGCAGCTTTTTTCCTGTCCTTTGCATTATTTTCCTCGTCGTCCACGATTTCCAACTCTGAATCCGAATCCATTTTATCGTAATCCGCTTTCGTCTTCTTCTTCGTTTTCTTCTTCTTCCCTTTTTCCGCGTTCTTTTGAGTTTCCGTGTTTACTTTCTTTTCTTCTTTCTTCCTCATTTCCAAACGGGCTTCGATATCGTCGATTTCAATTTCTTTCGGTTTCGCCGGTTTCGATCTGCGCATGATGTCGTTGTTGTTCATGACTACTAAACTCGTATATCGCCCGCCGCCTTCGATTCGTGCGATTGGCTCTCTGACGTTTCTCTCGTCCCAAACTTTAATAATTCCATCCGAAGATGCCGTAGCGAAAGAGTGTCCTCCGCGTTCTGGAATCTCCGCCATGCACCGAACGCGATTTTCGTGCGCGTTTACAATCGTCGCACTCGCTGTACCACCACCGACTCTCGCGTCGAAAATGCACACGTCGCCACCTTCGTATCCAATTCGGTAGATGTTTTCCGCCGAATCCTCTTTGCTTGTCGCGCACAAACACTTGCGATACCCAATCCTTCCTTCCCTTTGATCTTCCCTCGTAAACGAGCTCACCTCGCCGCCGCTTTCGCAATCGATAACGTCCAACCACTTATTCGTCAAAAGCCCGTACCTCTTCCCTCCTCCTCCCGATGTATCTTCTTCTTTGCTGCTAAAAAACACGTCAATTCCGCTTTCTTCCCCACCTCTCGTCTTCCCTTTATACGCAACCCGTCCTTTCTTCAAATCCCAAAGCGCCACGGACCGGTCTTCCTTTCCGCACGACACCGCCACTACCCCGGACGCGTGTACGCTCAACCCAGAAACGCCGTTTCTGTGCGCCAACATTTTCTTCAGTATTTCAAAATCGTACGTTTGCCAGACTAAAATCGTCCCATCGTCGCTCCCGGAAAGCATTCGAGTCGGCGACGGCACTTTTTCCTCCTCGTTGTTGTTGTTCTTGTTGTTCTTCGTAGTACACTTTTTACCATCATCATCATCATCTTCACGCTTTCCATAAATACTGGGCTTGGCAAACGCGATGCACGTCACCGTCCCACTGTGTCCCGTCAACGACCCCACGTCCGAAATCTCCCCTCTCGTATTCACGTGAAACGCTCGTATTCTGTCGTCGTGTCCTCCGCTGCAGAAAAACGGACCGGCGGCGGCGATTGATTTTATCGATTGCGAATGCGCGTCTATCGTGCACAGAAACTTTGTGTTGTTCCTTTTCTTCTCAAACTCCTCCTCGCCAGCAGCAGTAAAAGAGGCAGAGAAGTTTGGACCGTACGAGTGTCCGAACAGAAATCGCTCGTACGAGCCGGCGAAGATCGAGTGCGCGTTTGCCTCGAAGTTCTTCGCCATTTTTTTTTAATGATGAAAGGAAAAAAGAGAAAAGAAGAGAGACGTGTGACTCAAAATTAGGGTTGGACACCCTAAGCAATTGACACGTCATTTTTGAAAGATATTTTCATTTCCTCAGTAAAAAGAAGAGAAACACAAACACACTTTGCGCGCGTATTGATTACCACAGAAACAAAAAAATGTTGTCCTCATCCTCCTCTCTTCTTTCAACCTCCTCTGGGAAGTTGGTCGCCGCGTGCCGATCTTCGTCTTTACTAAAAAATAAGAGTCGTCGTTCCAAAAGCGCGTTGGTGTCTTTTCGAGGAAAATCATCATCGTCCAGGGCGAATTCTTCGTCCTCCTCGAAAGTGACGATGATGATCTTCAACGAAACGTCGTCGTCGTCGTCAAAGGCAGAAGGAAAGAAATGCGAGCAGCGACGAAAACAAGAAACAGAAGAACAGAAATGGGAGAAGAAAGCGGCGTCTTTCGCGTTGGCGACGCTCGTGGCGACGTCGTTAGCGGTCGCGGATTGCTCGGTGTTGAATCAGCCTGCGGAGGCTTCCACTTTTGCGAATGAAATCACGCAAGTGGCTGGGAGAGGCGGCGGAGGTATGAGAGGAGGAGGCGGAAGATCGTACAGGTCTGCGCCGAGAGGTGGTGGGCAATACAGACGAGGACCGCCGCCGCGCGCGGGTTACGGACCGACGGTGATGCCAATGCCAGTGCCGATGTTTTCTCCGTTTGGGTTCGGTATGCCGTTTGGTTTCGGGTACGGCATGCCGTTTGGCTTCTTTGGTGGGGGCGGTTTCATCTTTCAGCTGTTCATGTTGGCGTTTGTCGTGAACGTGGTGAGTGGGTTCTTCAACGCCGCGGATCAATCTAGATACGATGAATACGAAAGAGACGAGTGGGAAAGAGACCAGAACAAATCCATCGACGAGGATGACTTTTCGGACGACTGGAGAAAGAGACGCTAAATATTATTGAATTCCACTTTTAATATACCTACTAAAATTGTATCGCACAACAGCATTTTTACGCGTTTGAATTCGAACGTAAATAATTACTTTTTCTTCAATCAGAAGAAGCACATCCACCAGATATACATAGAAGCTAAATTGACGAGACTCGTAGCTTCCTCGATCAAACGCCGGACTTGACCGCTCGTGCTCAAAGGTAAACTCGGCGCCGCGCCGACACCAACGACGACGCCTTCTAATCTCGCCCCGATATTTTCCAGAGCCTCTTTCGCTTTTCGTTGCGAAACCACATTCGTATTACTTTGGTTACTGCTACTCTTCCCGCGAGTCCACTCAACGAGTGGATCATGTACGAACGTTTCTAACACAGACATCAACGCCTCGCGATGATTTCGTAACACGTCTAAAGTAATTTCACAGACGCGTTCAAAGGCGCCTTCGTAGCCTCCAACGCCTAAACCATCAATCATGTTTTGCGTCAATCGAAAAGGAACAACTTCCGGCGTTTCCAACTCTAAACCTTTGTCGAACAAACACGAAAAGTCCACGTGGACACAATCACCAGTTGTCGCATCCAACAAGACGTTTTCCGCGTGCCGATCTCCCAAACCGACGATGTGGCCGACCATCGACCAGACCGCAGATGTGTGCGCAAATGCCTTGCGAGCGGCGAACCACTTCGATGGATCTTTCCAAGTGTCAAGGAACCATTTGTGGAAAACGGGTGGGAATTTTTGTAACACCTCCTTCCCGTACCCGAGTGGCGATCGTCCTTTCCACCTTTCGTAGATTTCTTTGATGTCGTTGTGCGTGTGACGTCCGAATATACCTTCGCGAACGTATAAGTTTTGCATCACGTGACGCAAACCGGTCGTGTTCGGGACCCATTCGATGATACCACAGTCCTCAGACAATGGAATAACGGAGAAAGTGCGCAAATATAATCGTCTCTTGCGACTTTGTTCGTCGCGAGATAACAAACGGTTCAGAACCGCACAAAATTCCATCATTCTTAAATCTTTTCGCAAATCGTCCTTTGGTTTACACAAAAAGGAGTATTCCAAACCATCGTCACCGATGACGGTTAGTTTTTTCGGCTTTTGCAAAGATTGCAACAGTTGCACGTCGTCGACGAAACCGTAAAAACTTGGCGTTGCGGCAGGAAACGGTGTATGGTCCGTAGGATTTGAATCTTTCGGCGGGAGCGCCGCCGTCAAGGATAATTGAATTGGAATCATAATTTGCGACGGTAACATTGCACATAAACCCGGGAATTCTTTCTCAAGCGAAAAACTCTTCGCTTGACGTTGTCTAGGCTCTGTCGGTGCTTTCGGTTGAAACGCGCACAGCTTGACGAGGTGGTCGCCCATAGCTTGAAAAGCGGCGATTTGCTCGCGATGGCTGCTCTCTTCGCGAATCGCTTTTTGTAATACTTGTAAAGCAGATCGTTTCCGATAATCATCACGCGAACGCAACATTGGTGCGAGTTGCCACAACGTTTGATCCGAGTACGCGCGGAACAGTCGCGAAACTAACGTCTGGACGACGTGTAACACGTCTTCATTTTTGTGGGTCAAGCGAGAGGTGAGCTGCGGTAAAGCGACGAGCCATTTATACAAAGGAAACGCGTTGCTGTAAGTCTTGACGATGAGCGTAATGTCTTCACAACACTTCTTGGCGCGCTGAAGTTCCTTCTGCATCTGATGCTGCGTCGTTGCAGACGTTGTCGAAGTATAAGTTGCGTGCATTCTCTCGTAGTTGTCTCCGGCATCGAACCATAACGTCAACATTCTCGGTATGGAGGCATACACGTGGCGATGTCCATTTTTTGCGGATGCTCCGTAAGCTTTCGCAGCTTCCGTGATCAAATCGTAACTGGAGGTCACTTCTCTACTATTCGCGAGAGCGTTTGAACCTGCGCGACCGCCACCCTGATTATTCGCTCGTCGACTTCGCGAGGACGTGTTCAAATTCTGGGCGGCCGAAACGCTGCCAATCCCACTCATCGCCAATACCGCTTCTCTCCTTTGTGCATCTTTGAGTAGCTCGTCCAAATACCTCGCGAGGTGAAAGTGAGCCTTTTCTCTCGATCCGTAGTGCGTCTTTGCGCGCTTGTACAGTTCGAGAATTTCATTTTTTTGCTTTTGACCGGTGACCGCAGCCCAACGAGCGAGCTTAAGCGTCGCTTTTGCCAAGATCTTGGCGTCTTCATCACCTTCGGCCAGTATGTCCTCAGTTATGGTCGTCGTACTACCTCCCGAACGAGAGCTGTTGTTGTTTTCATCGGTGAAACCGAGAACTTCTTGAATTTCGCTGACTGCTTTGTGTTGCTTGCCTTCCGCCCAGAGTAACTTTGCTTGCTCCAAGGCTAATCGAACGTTGTTTCCAATCGTCGTTCGTTCACTCGCACCACTTTCAACTTGTTGCATAGAATTTCTAGCCTCTAAGAGTGCAAGCTGCGCGGCGCCATGGTGACCAGCTGTTCGACATGCTCGCGCTTGCGCCAACCACGCGTTCGCTTGCGCAGGTGCAGCGTGAAGTAAACCGTAGATGCACCGTCGCAAAGCTAAGATCGGCTCTCGCGTCTGAATCGTAGCAGGTACTCTCTCTAAGCGCGCATCCCACGCGTTGAGTACAGTTTGAGTGACCACAGGAATACCCGATTTGGACTCTCGAGATATTCGAAATCGATTCGCGGTTGTTCTTGTATCGGCTAATCGACTTCTCGATGCGTTATTAGTGTTACCCTTACTAGAAGCGGGGATTTCGTTGTGTCGAGCAAGTTCAACTTGCATTCTACCCGTCTCTTCGCGGAAAGACTTGACAGCTTCAAAGCCAGCTGCGCACTCCTGCAACAAATGAAGCCGCACCAAACTCGGGTGCGCTCTTTGCCAACTCCCTTCCATCGCTGCTGCAGCTAATGGTGCCAAGACGGCATCGCGCGCAGATTTCATCGCACGGCGAAAACCTACTTCATCGCAATTGTTTACTCCATTTCGGTTATTATTTCGCGTCAAGGCGAGCATTATGCGTCCAATAGCGGCATCACCATCCGCAGGAGCTTTTGGATTAAACGCAGACGAGGACAGATTCGTCAATAATCCAGACACGTCGTCGTCATCGTTAAATACATTCACCGCTTGATGACGATGTAATCGCGAAGAGAGAATTCCTCCACCCGCAGTGCTCCGAATTCGTTTGCGAGAAGATCCGATGACGTGTTCTAACGACGCCGTCGTTGTGACAGTACCATCATATGAGTGCATTCCACCACCTCTTCTCGCGTTCTCGTTATCTAACTTTGTTAATAAACTCTCCAAATCATCCCATCGGCCCAATCGCCACGCGGCGTTTGCTCCAGATTCTGCCAGCGCTGCTGTTTCTTTGCGATTTCTTGAGAAGCGACGCGCCGCAAGCAGAGTTTCCGAATCTCTTTGCACCGTTCGTAAATGCCCAAGACCTTTTAAACAACGAAGCCTTCCCCATTCTGCAGGCGATAAAGTATCACTTGAAGATGATGATTTTGGCGTCTTCTTTGAAAGCTCAGATTCGTAGTGAATCAGTGCCTCCTCCCATTCCCCAGCTTCCTCGTGTCGTAAAAGCTCATCTTCCACTTTTGGTTGCGCGCGAAATCTGGGCAACGCCAACAACTGGTCCGGTTCAGCCAGGCCCTGATATACCGAGGCTAAGAATGAGACGTCGCCGTCTGCCATGTCGAGCTTTGTCTTCGAAAAATTCGCCGATGCAGGATTGGATACCGCACCCTGAGCACGACAATGGTCTTCAAAGTACCTGAGAGCACGAACTGAAGCGCCACAGTTCTGCGCCGCTTTTGCAAGTAGCGTTTTAGGAATATTCTCCAGGAACTCCTGAACAAAGTGCGCATTTTTGTGCATGGCATTTGCGCCATATGAATGACGTCTCGTACTAGAGATACGTACATTCGCAACCCACGTTTCGAGCTGGTCAAGCAAGTGGAATATTGCTTGTGCCGCCAATTCCGCGATACCACCAGAGCCTCCTGATGCAGACGACTTACTGTTGAGCGCGTTGTCTCTTCCCCTTTGCGAGCGCAACGCCGAAAATGCAACAACATCATTTGGGGATATTTCACCTCTGCTCGTATTTACCACGTGCTGCTCATTCTCCGAAACTACTATACCAGCGGCGTCTCTCAACACGGCTAAAATTTCGAGCTCGATGGAAAGTCTTCGCATTCGTGCGGTTTCATCTCCATCATCATTATCGATGACAATGGGGGTATCTTCGTTCGTATTGGCGTACTCTTCTTTGGTTTGCCCAGTCAGAGCATCTAAAACCATGTGCGGAAGCAAATACAGCGTCAGGCGTGTATCGTGTCGAAACACTCCCAAACAATTCTCGAATAAATCCGCACACGGACCGCGAGCTTCTATGGCTAATACGCGGCACCACTGCTGAATCCATTTCGAGAATGAGTTGACTGAAGAAGACGTTCCATATATCGGACGCGTCGAAGGGAGTTGCTTGTTACTACTTGAGGTGTAAATCGTCGTAAGATATGGAGCCAACGTGGTTCTCGCTTCCTCGGGTAACTCCGACCAGAATTTAGCCCCGTCCTTTGTTGATCCTTCCGGTAATATAGTGGTATCCATAGCGTAGTTATTACGCTGATTGTACAAAAATGTTGCGGCTTCTTCAATTTCAGCCGGTCTACACTCGCTCGTTATGAGGACTTTTTGTGCGCAGAATGCCGTGGCGTCGAGCATGATAGCATCGGTAGCACCGCGAACCATACGAGCTAAATGGTCTACGAGCAGAGTTTGAGAAACTTCTGTAGGTCTGGTATCCAAATGCAAGTCAACAGATTCGGTGGTAATTCCTAAACGACCGGGATCGATAGCACCGAGCTCGCCCAGGCATTTTGCCGCCATTCTTTGCGAGCGTACTCTGGCTTGCTCGTTTTTTGCACTGCCTGTAGATGAATAATCGTGCGAAAAAGACTTCAACAGCGCAAATCCGAGATTACCTACGACCGAATCGGCGGTTGCACCTTCGCTCGAGCCTTTCACGAGAGCATTCAATTCATCTGTGTTCTCGTGGTTGCTTAATGCGCGATATATTTCCACCAGCGCAGTCTCTCGGACCGCCGCACTTTCTGTTTGGGACAAAGAGTTCGTCAACGCTTGTAGTCGAATTCCTAAACTATCTTCGAGTAAATTAGATCTTCTGGCGTCGTCAAGTTTCGTGTTCGAGTCTCGCAGTCTTTCCAGTCTGGGCAAAAGAGGCAGCGAAGCCAAAATCGGCTTTGGTAAAATAGCCTTCAATACGAGCTCATCAAGAACAGCTGCCGCTAGATTAGCGTCTGTCGTCGCAGAGTTCGCAGTGCTCGATATTTTTTTCGATGCATCTCCGTTTCCTTCATCGAATTCAGTGCTGTTTTGATTTTCCTGATCGCTATTCTGTAAATACGGTAACATCGTGACCACAATTTGACCGGCGATTCTCGATAAGTACTCGTTGCTGTGCTTCGCAATCACTTGCACAAATATCAACCACGCTCTGAGAGCATCTTTGCGCAAACTTTTGCGCTCAAGCGCGGCTGAAAAGTGCGCCATGACTTTTGGTGCAAATTGAGGCAAATGATCTTGGATTAAAATGACCATGATCGCGAGCGATTTCAGAAATCTGCGATGGATCACTTCGTTTCTCTTCTCATCTGGTTCGTACATGAGCATTTCCACAGCGGTGAAGTGAGCTCGCAAGAAATCTGGTAAGGTGGTGAATTGCTCATCACCTAGTGCCAAACGGCCAATATCGTGGAGCATAGTTTTCAACTCTTTCGCGCAAACCACCGGTTCTGGTACTTTCTCATTAGCGCCCGCGGATTTGATCAAACACCTAATGAGATACAACGCATTATCCGCAATCAGAGTTTCTATTTCTAAACCTGTCTGCTCTTCGAGAAACTCGATTGCATTCTTCTTTAGTGCTTCATTATCTCGAGCTGAAAGAAAATCAGCAATGACGACGTATGCGAATTCAGTCACTATAGACTTGACAGATCTCTCTCCTCGAAGCTCTTTCGCGTACGCCCCCAACGTCTTGATATCCCTTTTACGTACTAGTGTCGGGAACGCCGCAGGTAAAAGAGCATCGAGTAACTCTCGTTCTGAGCACTCTACGACTGCCTCACAAAGAGTACGCAACATTTCTTTATTATTAGGGATAATACATCCGATACCTTCTGCAATTTGAGCGTCTCCTAACAAAAGCTCCTTTGGTCGAATATCACGTTTCTTTGCCAGAGTGTGCAAAAGAAGAGCAGCAGTCGATGCCGTGAGTAAACTTTCCCCAGAGTTTGGAACGATATGTTTTACGCAGAACATAGCTTCAATCGTCAACGCGTCCCGTCTTGCTGGAACGGTCATAGCAGCGGTCGAAAAAACACGCAAAGAAAGCTCTCGTGCAGTGTCCGTCGGCGCTTCGTCCACGACGATTTTCAGATGTCGGAGCAATTTTAAAGACGCCTCAATCTCGATTTTGTGGATTGGATTTTGATTCATGGCTGACGGCGCACCGCCCCAAAGTAAAGCTACATTCAAACTCGATTGCCTGCGCAAATTCAAGCTGTTCAGATTTTCCGCCATCATTTTCATCGCTCGAAAGGAAAACGTCGAAAGATCGATCTCCCCGTTTACGAGAGCATCTTCGAGGAGAATTTCACGCCGAGAAAATATACGCGTTGCATCAAGGACAGCTTTTCTTACGCTTGGGCTCTCGTGATGTGCTAATCGCCACGCGTATCCAATCAATTTATTGGTCCCAAATAGAGCAAAAGTTTCCTTTTCTTTTCGACGTCTTCGATCGAGAAAATCTGGACCGCACGTTAACGAGGTCTCTAAAACTCTTCGTAAGGAGGAAACCGCAACTTTGATTGCATCCGCTTCCCACTTCTTATCGACATTATTGTTCCTCCAAGCAGCCATGCGTTGCTTCTTCGCCTCTTCTGTGCCATCTTCTGCCTCATTAATTTCAGGACAGTCGTCGCAGACGAGAAAATTTGAAAAAATTTCAGAGTATTCTTCGATGCATAATTTTTCGAGCTCATCTCGCAAGAAAGGCATTTTTTGTACTTCGAGTTCACTCATTGCTTTTGCACGCGACGTTCGACCCCTCGATGGCGTCTTGGATTTGGATGGCTGATGGTCAACCATATCGGAAGATGCGATACGGAAGACATTGTTCTGAAAGTAGTGATTTTCTCGCGACTCTGTCGATCCCCTATCTTGCTGCGATACTCTCGCAAACAAGGCGTTCAGAATCTTGCGCCGAGTTTCTGAAGCGCTCACTAGGTTGATATTCACAACCGAATGAATGGACTCGCAAATGCATTCCAAGTCTTCATACTTTTTTTCCGAAGCAAGTCGAACGGCTGAGATAGCTTTAGACGTCAAGGAATTACGCAAACGCTCGAGATCAACTTCGTAGCTTTTATAAGCCGTTCTGGAGTTACTATTGTTGTTTTCGTTACTTTTCTCTATCAAAGTGTCGCTCAGAGATAGGGCAACTGCGAGAGATCCGAGGTCGTAATTAACACCAATCGCCATCGCCGCGATAGCTTTTGCTGCTAGAATTTCATACCGTTCTGCAGCGTCAGATACACCTTTATTCGCTTCTTCGCGAGTCATATCAATCGCTTTCTTCGTCAATTCCCCTAAAGCTTGACTCGAGGGTGAAAATCTCTCTGCAAAAAATTTGGCGAACGGTAAAGCCATGACAACCGTTGACTTCACTCGTTCGTCTTCGTCTACAACGGCGCGCTGCAACACGCGCTTTGCAAGTTCAGCAGAAACTATTGTTCCACTCGACTTTTCAGTCGTCGCGATGAAAGTGATCGCTAGCGCTACGGATGCAATCTTAGACTTTGTCGTACTATCAAGAAGTGCCCTAGCGTGGCGTCGTTCTTTGCTATTGTCCGTGAACTTGCTCGCGTTCAGCAGAACCCAGCTGACGTGCGGATCTTTCACGTACCTTGTGTACGGCCATAACACGACGTCTGGAGTAATATCATGCACATTGAGCAGCGAGAAATCGTCATCATTTATCAGCGATCCTCGGGTGGTGCTCACATCCATGTTTTGATTGGACTTATCTTCGTCATCGTTTCGTCGCTTCTTTGTCGTCGCAGCGAGAAGTAAAGCTGTTGCAGCATCGCAAAGCATCGTGAATGCGCAGAATTTTTCTCTCGCGAGAGCTACAGTTTCGATGTCGACGCTATCTCTATTAATCGCAACTGCTGCGCTCGAACTTTTATCTCTTGGATTCTTATTTTTTCCGAACCATTGCAACCACGTCGAGATGAATTTCTCAGAACACGCTCTCGCTTCATCGGCTGAATCAGACATTGCAGCTGATTTAGCAAGGGTTACAATGGCACCAATCCTTTCGAGCGTTTTTATATCGTTCGCACCGCTATTGAAACTTGTCGTTTCTGCCTGGACGCGTGCGTCTGGAATCCACACTCCGGGAGAATCTGGATCTGTGTTCTTTCGGGGTAAGCCGAGCTGTTCTAGCATTGATATCACGCATGACTCAGTCCATTTCGCAGCTGCTATTTGACGCTGCTTTTCTTCGTCTATAACATCCAAATTTGCGATATTCCCTGCTGCTTCTTCTCTAAAAAATGCTTGGTCTTCAAAATCGGTATCTTCGTCGCTAAATTCCTTCCCACTTTGTTTTCTGCCGACATTGTTGTTTCTTCCTATTTTTCCTGATTGATGTGGCGCTCGCATGGCAATTGCAAGTATTCCAGAGAAAGGCATCGAACCATCTCTAGTGACCGCGCAATGCATAATGGACGCACACGCTCTCGAGCATAACACACCGATTGTATCCGACGCTGAAGACGAGACTTGTTGTTGTTGATGATTCCTTCGTTTTTTGTTTTCGCTTCTCCTTCGTCTGAGCGAGCTCACTCGTTTTTCTTCTTTATCAGCGCAAGTGGCGACGAGTAAAAGAGCCTCGAGTAAAATTTCTCTCACCTCTCGAGATTGGCAGACGGTGATGCACTTTGTGAGCGCTTCCACGAGCCTCGCGACGTTGTCGACGATTGTGTGCGAGGACGGTTTCTGATCTACTACGCTACTAGTATTACTACTCTGCTGCTGCTGCAAAGTTTGAAGACACATTCGCACAACGTCGAGATTACTAGTATGCTCATCATTGGGATCAAAATAGTGTAAAACATTCAGCGTAACTGCAATTGCAAAATCTTCGCGACCGATATTTTCGTAAAATTCTACGGAAATCGACTTTGCGCACTTCAACGCGTTCGAACGAACTTCATATGAACCGGCATATGCGCTCAAATCTACAATCGCATCGATAGTTTGTGGCGTGATCATCGTGCTCGCAATTTGCGGCGATACCTTGAATGTATAGGAAACGACTTGCAAAGCTGCGTTGACAAAGAGATGCATCGCAGAGACGCCTTTCGAAAGGTCCAAAGATATACACGCCGAGCGTTTCAAACCAGAGAGAAACTCTTCATTGCGCAGCGCTTCCGCACTCTTCTTCTTCTTAACGGTGACATCACTGCTATTTTCCTTTCCTTCAAAATCAGCATCTATAATCTTCATCTCAAAATGTTCCACTATAGCCGCAAAAGACGAAGCGACGTACTCCGCCACGTTCGTATTGTTGTTGTTATTATAATATGAAGAACTCGCCTCCGTCGCCGTCAATCTTTCTCGCTGTAAAATTAACCCCTCTCTCGCATCTTCTACCGCCCTCGACGCCCCTAAGCATAAAGCAATCCACCCTTCCCTATCGTCCACGGCAATGAATTGCATCAATTTGGACGCCAACTCCAACGCTACTCTTTTCGTTTCCAAAGAAGACGATACTGCGCACGTCAGAGGAAACACGCGCAAAAACACCGTCGCCGCCGCCGACGACGAAAACGTGTCTCCGCGTTTGAACAAGTTTGGCCGTTTTTGTATCGCATCTCGCAACACTCGGAGTACTTCCACTGTTAACGACTCGTCGTGAACGCGAGAAGATGAAGAGGTCATCGCTGACGCGGAGGACGTTTCGGGGCCTAAAGAGAAAGAGAGAGGTTTTCGATGCGGCGAAAGTGAGTATTTTTGAAAACAAGAGAGAAAGAGAGAGAGAGAGAAACAATGCATCGAAGAACATAAAAAGAAAGACGACGACGACGTACCACCAAAAACACCTCCGCGAAAGTGCGTCTCCACGAGCTTTTCGAGCGCGCTCTTTGTTCTTCTCTCGCTGTTGTTCTCATCGCTCGCGTTAGCTCCTCCTTTTTGTTGTTGTTGTTGTTGTTGTTCTCGGTGCAACACCAACAACTCCTCGCGAATGGTACGAACGAGATTTCGCACCGACGACGAACCATCATCTTCCTCCCCGCGATGCTGATGATGAAGACGATGATCACCCCCGCTGCCTCCTCCTCCATCGCCCCCGCGTTTCGATGGTTTTTGGTGTTCTCCTGGTGGTCCCATCTCTCCCTCTTACGTATCTATTTAATATGAATTGCGCGCGTTGTGTTGCGTGCAAGAGAGAGAGAGCGAAGAAGAGTTTGAAATTTTGTGGCGAAAAAATCCGAAAGTGAACACGCTCTTTCCTCTGACGGACGACAAAAGCTCTCTTCTTCGGCTGCTGTGCGTTTGATTTTACTCGGATTTTGGACGACTTTGATTTGGCCCACGCCAGCAGAGCAGCCTATCTATCATGTGGCATATCATTTCGCGGTGCAGCAGAGGGCTCTCTCTCTTTCTGTTTTTTCCCTACTCTCTCTATAGATATATCTCACGGCACGCGCAGTAGTAGTATTCATCATCATCACTGAAAGAGGGAGACGAAGAAAAGAGATGTCTCATCACTCTCTCCGCGAGCTCGCGTCTTCGGCCTGCGTCGGGTCCTCCTCGTTCCCGGCGTCGACGTCGTATTCTTCTTCTTCTTCTTTTGATTTATTTATCCCATCGGCGAAGGAAAATTCCGGGGCGACGACGACGACGGGTGCGGCGGCGGTAGCAGCGGCTGGGAAAACAATAGGCGTCAGTCCGGCCATAAAAGCTGTTTCCGGGTCGTTCGGGGGTATCATCGAGGTAGGTTTAGTTGTCCTCTCGTCGTGGTCTTCGAGAGAAGAGTTGCTTTTTGTAAACGACGATACGATTTCAAAAATGGAAAAGAAGAGGCGACGCGTGAACTCCTTTTGCTCTCTGTCTATGTATCTCGCCTTAGGCGTATCTTTATTCACGACTCACCTGCGTTTCTTTCTTTCCTTCATTAATAATGTGTGTGTTATCTTAAAACAGGCGTGCTGTCTTCAACCCGTGGACGTGGTAAAAACGCGTTTACAACTCGATAAGACTGGACAATACAAAGGCATCGCGGACTGTTTCAAGCAAATACAAGCGAACGAAGGCACGAAGGCGCTGTGGAAAGGATTAACCCCATTTGCGACGCACTTATGCTTTAAGTATATGCTGCGAATGGGCACGAACGCGACGTTTCAAGCCGGTTTGAGAGACGAAAATGGGTACTTGAGCACGCAACGCAGGATGTTGGCCGGTTTCGGCGCCGGCGTGTGCGAAGCGGTGATGATCGTGACTCCGTTTGAAGTGGTTAAAATTCGATTGCAGCAACAAAAAGGATTAGATGCATCAAAGTTAAAGTATAAAGGCACGTTTCATTGCGCGAAAACGATTATTGCGGAGGAAGGTGTGAAAGGTTTGTGGTCAGGCGTCGGTCCGACCATCGCGAGAAACGGGACCAATCAGATGTGTTTGTTCACGGCGAAAGCGCAGGTGGATAAAACTTTGTGGGGAAAGCACGATGGGGACGGGATGGTATTGCATCCCGCGCAATCCCTAGTTAGCGGTGGATTAGCCGCAACCTTTGGCCCCATAGCCACTGGGCCGTTTGACGTCATGAAGACGCGTTTGATGGCGCAAGCGAAAGCGCCGCCCGGCACCGAGGCCAAGTATAAAGGTTTCTTACACGCCGGGGTGGTTATTTTCAGAGAAGAGGGTATCTTTGCCATGTGGAAGGGTTTGTTGCCGAGGTTAATGCGCATTCCACCTGGTCAGGCGATCACGTGGATGGTAGCCGACCAAGTCGTCGGATTCGTCGAGAGAAGACAAGAGGAGCAATAACGCCTACTACGCACGAATACTAATATATAGGGAGGATCCATAATAACGACCATTCCCACGCGCTCGTGCAAAAGTAACTAGCGGTTTTTAATTTATGATTTGTTTTTTAGAGTACACACAGTTTGCCCGTTGAAATACCACCTACATTCGTCGCGCGTGTCGCGCGTATTCTCCGCCTTCTGCTTCGCGCGGGAAGAGTCCCTCTGAGAAAAGATTTCTCTCTTTCTCTCCCTCGTATCGTCGTCATATTTTTGCGCACAAAAAGACCACTCTCTTTCGAAGGACGACATGCTCAAAAGCACATCAGGTTACTCCACTCTTGGTGGTCGCGTCGTCATTCATTTCAACGGAAGAAACGCCCCAATGACGACTACTACGTTCTTGCGACGACGACGTCTCCCGAGCGCCGCGCTCGGGAGACGTCTTCTTTCATCCGCAATTGGAGATGATAATTCTTCTTTCGCTTCCCCGTTTCTCCTCCTCCTCGCGAGGAAGAGGACGACGACGACGATTACGACGACTCCTGTTTTTGCATCGTTCGCGCGATCGAGCGCGAGGACGAAGGCGATGATGACCCGAGGGTATTCTCGAGCAGTCGAAGCAGTCTGCTTTTCGCGGGGAGAGATGGTGCAAAAGCGCAACTTCGCTCTGCAAAGAGGGACGACGAGCGCGACGACGACGACGCGCTTGGCGGCGTTGAGCACTTCCACGCCTCCTGCCACGACCTCCACTGCCGAAGAAGTTGGCAAAATGGAAGCGTCGTCATCGGCGGCCGCGACGAAAACCAAACTGTATTCGATCGAAGGTATGCGGTGCGGCGGATGTTCGGCGAACGTTGCGAAGACGTTGAACTCGCAAGATTTCGTCAAGAGCTGCGCGGTGAATCTAGTCACGAATACAGCAGCGATTACGTATGCAGAAGATGGAACAGAAGAAAAAGAAGTAGCAGCAGAAAGAGAAAAGTTAGCGATTGATTTGATTGCAAAGAAAGGGTTTACGATGCGCGTTCGCGAGAAAGGCAAGGCCGGAGTGCAGATGGCGCTCGAGAGTCAACAAAAGCGACTCGAGGAAAAGGAACGGACGACGAAAGACTTATACTTGGCGTGGGGGTTAACGATTGCGTGTTTAGGAACGCACGTTTCGCACCATCTCCACCAGTTGGGATTGCACGAATACGCGCACGGAGATGCGGTGACGAGTTTGGCGAACCCGTGGATTGGAGCGGCGATTGCGAGCGCTGCTTTGCTCGGTCCGGGGAGGCAGATATTGTCGGACGGATTTGTCGCGTTTAAGAATGGAAGTCCGACGATGAATTCATTAGTCGGTGTGGGCGCTTTAGCCGCGTTTACGTTGAGCGGAGCAAACGCTTTGCATCCGGTGCTGAACGAATACGGCATGCGAACGAATGATTTTTTTGAAGAGCCGGTTTTGTTGTTGGCGTTTATTTTATTAGGAAGGGCGCTCGAATCAAGCGCGAGAGCGAGAGCCGGGAGCGATTTAGCGAGCTTATCGAACTTGCTCCCGGCCGAGGCGAGAATGGAAATCACGCAAAACGATTCCAAGAAGTTGGATTTAAACGCAGTATTAAGTGATGAAAAAGATGAGGGCAAAGTAAACGATATCGAAACCGATGATGTTATGTATGCTTTCGTCGATCGAGAATCAATCACACCCGGCGATGTCGTCCGAGTGTTCCCAGGCGAAACTATTCCATGCGACGGCGTGGTCGTTTCTGGTGCCGCATCGGTCGACGAAGCTTCTTTGACGGGAGAACCGATTTTCGTCCCCAAATTTAGGAAATCGAAAGTGAGCGCTGGATGCGTCGTTCACGAAGGCCCACTTTCGATCATGTCCTTGAAAAACGGCGATGAATCTATCGTTGCTGGAATTCAAAAGACTGTCGAAGATGCGCAAAGCAGGCCAGCGCCAACGCAACGCATCGCCGACGCCATCGCCGGACCGTTTGTGTATTCCGTCATGGGGATTTCGTTGGCGACTTTTTTCTTTTGGGCTGGATTTGGCGAGACGTTTTTCCCCGGAGCGTTGATGGAGGCGGTCGGTTCGAACGCCGCGGGTATTCCCTGGTGGCTCGCGCCGACAAAATTGGCAACGAACGTTTTAGTCGTCGCGTGCCCGTGCGCTTTAGGCTTAGCAACACCGACGGCGGTGTTAGTGGCAACGAGTTTAGCAGCCAGGAGAGGTATTTTATTGCGAGGGGGCGACGTCTTGGAGCAAATGGCAAAAGTGGATTGCGTCGTGTTCGATAAGACTGGGACGCTGACCGTTGGGAAACCAAAAGTAACTGAAATGAAAGTATTTACTAATGAAGAGGATGGAAGTAACGAGGAAGAGAGAAGATTAAACGCTTTGCGCATCGCAATGGCGGTTGAGTCCGAAAGTTCTCATCCGCTCGCGAAGGCCATCGCTGCGTTTTGCGGCGATGAAATCGGCAAACTCGACGCATCTTCCTCTTCTTCGTTTAAGAAGCGTTCGGAGGAGAAAACATCCCCTGGCTTTGGCGTTTCTGCTCTGCTTGACGACGAGAGATGTTTCGTAGGCACGCCGAGCTGGGTTCGATCCGAATTAAACCTTGTGTCAAAAGAAACAGAAGAAGAAACGGAAAGTAGCAGTGGCGCTTCGTTTGCCGCCGTGGGTACTACATCAAAAGGTATACTCGCGCTCTTCCAATTGAAAGACGAAATGCGACCGGATGCCATCGAAACGATTCAAAGATTCAAAAATGAGTTGAACTGCGAAGTGCACGTTTTATCGGGCGATCGCCAAGCAGCCGTCGATGCGGCGGTTCGAGAACTGAGCGCTACTCCCCTCTTCGCGTCCGCTCGCGGCAATCTCTCGCCGAGCGATAAAGCAGCCATCATCGAGAAATTAAAAAGCTCCGGGAAAACGGTGGCCATGATTGGCGACGGCATCAACGACGCCCCAGGATTAGTCACCGCGGACGTCGGTATTGCTGCCTCCGGCGGTCTCGAAGCCGCCGCGGCTGCCTCCGGCGTCGTTTTAGTTTCAGAGAAGAACGAAATCGCCGCCTCGGCGGACGCCGTGGAACTCGGTCGCGCCGCTTTAGCAAAAATACGGCAAAATTTAGGATGGGCGTTAGCGTATAACGCCGTCGGTATTCCTCTCGCCGCCGGCGCTTTTCTTCCGGAATACGGCATCAGTCTCAACCCGAGTTTTTCAGGCGCGATGATGGCGTTCTCCTCGGTCGCCGTGGTTACCAATTCCGTCCTTCTCAAAGGTCCCACGGGAAGACTCGGCGACGTCCACTTGGGGTGGGGACTTCAAAAAAAAGAAGAAGAGCCTCCTAAACGTTCGTCGTTGTAGTAGTAGTACGTTGTAACAGTACGATATCATAGCGAGAAAAAAATGGAGGGGGACGAACTCTTCATCGAAGAAAAAAAAAAATTCATCATCTTCAGTAAAAGAATGAAAGCGATACTACCGGCAACAACGGCAGATACAGCTCCGGATGATACGAAGACGTCGTGGGAAAACTGGATGCGATGGAGTCATCATCACAACCACAACATATCGTCGTCTGAATCGTCTTCAAAATCGTACGAAGCGCTCTCAGAAGATTTGATGATACGAAAGAACGATACGAGCGTGGCACAGTCGTTGAAACAAATAGAATTAGACGTCACCCGAACCTTTCCGAACGACAAGGATTTCGTTCACAACGGACGAATGATTCCTCCTCTGAGACGCATTTTACAAGCTCTGAGCGCATCTGATGCCGTGAAAGGGTACACGCAAGGCATGAACTTTCTGGTTGGGTTTCTTTTGAAACAACAGACGATGATGATGCAGATGCCCACATCGTCAGCGAGCGAAGCGGAGTGTTATTCTTTGAGCAAAACGTTCATCGAACACGTTTTGACCGGGTATTATTTCATCAGCGAGAAGAAGAAAAGCGAGGAAAACGCTGATTGGTTCGCGTTAAAGAGAGATTTGAAAGTTTTGGACGAGAAAACGAAACGTCTCTTCCCTCGATTACACGAAACGTTGTCCGCGAACGGCTTCTCGGTGACGTTTTTTTGCCCGCGGTGGTTTCTGTGCGCGTTTATCGGGGTGTTGCCGGATGAGGTGGTGAAGAAGGTGTTCGATGCGCTCTTGTTTCACTTGTGGACGCAGAAACAGCAACAACAACAACAACAGCAGCAACAGCAACAACGGGCGACGACGAGTTCTTCGTCTCCTTTAGCTTCGGGATGCTGCTCGGAGATGCTCGTGGCGTTTAGCTTGACGACGTTGAGCTTTGTTCAAGATGAACTCGATGCGAGAAGGACGAGCGACGTCGACTGTGAAGCGATAGTATTAGCGATTAGAGATGCGACAAAAAGCATCGACGGTGAGGTGTTTATGAAACGCTTCGCGGAAATATCCTTTTCTTCGCGGTCGTCGTCGTTAGAGAATACGAAAGAGGAAGGAAGAAAGATAACAAAAACGAGGAAACGCGCGCGTTACGAAGAGGACGACGATGACGAAGAAGAACAAAAAGAGGCAAACACCAGAATGAAAACGCCAAAGACGGCGTCACTGGTGGGCAGTAAGAAATATAACCATCTGCAACCAACGCCATTAGCACCACCGATTGGAAGTGCGGTGAAGCGCGTCTTGACTCCAATCGCGAACTATTTCTTTTCCATCAACCCGAACGACGAACCGGCGCAGCCGCAACAGAAATCTCCTGCGATGAAAACAGCAACAACAACTGCAAAGACGCCACAAAGCTCGCGTTTGAAAGCTACGTACGCGATTTCGACAAATAAGAAACGGCGAATGGAAACAGTGAGAACTTTTGAAACGCCAATCGACGATCCGGAAGGATACGAACGAGATTTACTCGAATTACTAAGAGCCGAAGAACATCAAGCGATGACGCCGGTTAGAAAAATTACAATAGCACCTGTAGGCGATGAAAATTGCTGCGATACTATACCAACTATGGCGGTTGGATTCTTTAGCCCGAGAGCGGCTAAAGAATTAGGACCGGAAGCGAGGCGTTTGGAAACTATACGCTCGCCTTTGTCGCCTTTGATGAGCTTTCGCTGATAAAAAAACTTGACGCGATTTGAAAGAAATATCAATCAATCTATATAAAAGTAACTACTGAGATTCATATTTAGTTTCCACCGCCGCCTAATGAAATATGTTGGAGCATGCGAAGTAACTCGTGACTGCTAATCACGTTGCCTCCGCCTCCCAAATTCGTTTCTAAAAATTGCGAACGACTCGGTTTTGGACCGCACAATCCGCCAACTTGCTCCTCGTTCAAACGATCCAAACTCCCGCCGTCTTTATTCGCTTCCAACCATTTCGGATTGTTATTCAAATGTCTTCGCATCTCGCTCCGCTCTTCATCCGTGGCTTCCCCAAACTCTCTCAAAGCGTTCGCCAACACTACCGCGGATCCAACGTTTCCTTTTCTTTTGCTCAAGCGTTCACACAGCAAAGCTTCGTCCATAGTCTCCGCCACCTTTGTCGGCAATGAATTCTTATACACATCCCCCGAGCCTTCATCTCTCGCGCACACGACCAACGGTATCCAAAGCTTTTCGTGAGGACTCGATAACGCGGCTAAAATAGCTCTCGATGCCGCCGCGTGAAACGCGGACGACCACGGGTATTCGAACAACATAATCGCCAACGTTTCTAAAGTCATCGGTTTCTTGTCGTCGTTCGTTTCCTCCAATTTCAAATGCGCCATCTTCTCATCAATTTCCAAACATCCCAACTGTAGCATCATCGCAATAATCTCTGCTGCTCCAACGCGATGACTCCCAATCGCTCGCATCGTCGTCTCTCCCGGAATAATCTCGCGCGTTTTCGAACTCCCCGGTCTATACGCCATCCCCGGATCAATCGTCAACGCTTTTGCAAACACCGACAACTCCTTCGCCGCCAATTGAACGCACTTGGGTAAATCGTGCAAATTCAACCCATCTTTACTCTCGTTCAATTCGTCATCTTCTTCTTCGTCTTCTTCGTTTACGATGCCAAAAATCGATCTCACGCCGCCGTCCGACGACGACGCGCCTCCTTCTCCTTGCTGACTCTCAATCTCCTCTCTGTTCGCCAACTGCTCTAAAGCGTCGTTGCTCAGTTGCCACAACGTCGATCCTAACTTTTCGTACTTTTCCAGCGGATTCTCGTCCGCAACCGCGACTTTGACGTATTGCAAGAGTTCCGAAAAGTCTTCCTCCCGCATGCGTTCCGAGTCGTTTTCACCGTCTGATTCGTTTTCTCCTTCGTCTTCTTCTTCGTCGTCCTTGTTGTATAAGCCACTCCTCGTATTAGTATTAGTATTGTCAAACAACGCGTTGTTTCCACCACCACTCGTACTACTCCTCGCGCTATCATCGTTACCGTTACTATTAGTATTATTATCTTCATCCGGAGGCGTCGTCGCGTCTTCGAACACGTCCTCGTCCTCGTCGTCGCTCTCTTGGTTTTCATCCGAGTTCGAATCGATTTCATTCGTGTTCGTCAAATCGGTTTTGGGATTCGGCGTCGTCGTCGTCGTCGAAACCGTCGTCGTCGCGGCGTTTTTACCATCGCCATCGTCGGTATCTCCTCGTCCCTTTTTCGTTTCGTCGTCCTCTTTCACTCCAGAAGAAGAGGAGGACAGGTGCATCGATTCCAGTTGGTGCTCCATGATGTTTTTCGTAGATGTGTGATGGGTCTTTCAAGTGAAGTCCAAAAAGGAGGCGAAACGCTCAAAAGGAAAAACGAGTGCGCGCGATGCGCGTAAGGGCGGCGTTACAATTTATTTATTTCTTTCTCTCTCTCCCACTTCTATTCAAAGTGTACCATGTACACCAATGCGATTCTTAAAGACAGCGTATTGTTCATCCGTCGGTTCCGGGCACCCTTTTTCGAGCAAGTAGTTTACGCACTCGGGGTGTTCGTAGTAACGAGCGCAAGCGATGTATTGCCAGACGTTAAGAGGCACTTTCGCCTCTTCGAATAAGTATTTGAGGCAATCGAGTTGGTCATAGTTTGCAGCACCTGCCACACAGACGGTCTTTACTGCATCAGATATCTTTCTTTCTTCGACGAAATATTTCAAGATCTCCATGTGACCATTGCGTGCTGCTTCTCCTGCCGCTCCTTCTTCCGTCTCTCGCGAAGGTTTCTCTTTGTCGAAAAGAAATCGAAGACAGTCGAGGTTTCCTTCAATAGCAGCATATCTACACGCCTTTTCTTCATCATACGGACAACAATTGTCAAAGCAATACTTCAGTATCTCGAGATTACCTTTACGTGCTGCCTCAATAATCGTCCATTCATCCCACTTGCAATGTTTCACTTCTCTCGCCCACTTGAGGAACTCGAGTCTGTTCGTTCCAGTAACTTGCTCGGAAAACCAGGCTTGATCCATCACTCTTCCTCTCTCATCTTTCTCTCCCCCAAAGGGTATGTCATTCCACACCCATTCCAACGTTGAAATGGATGAACATTCGTAAACAGCCCCACGTAATGTCAATACGTCTACCCCGGCATACTTAAGCACATCCAAACTCTCTCTATTCACCTTTGAAAAGAAAAACCGATCCGTCGCATCCAATTTCGGCATCACATGCGAGACAAACACATCCTTATGATGCGTCACCAATCCCGTCCAAATCGCCGTCGGTCCGAGCTTCAACCGCTCCAAATTCTCAATATGCTCCGCTAAAGCTTTTTCTCTCTCCTTTTTCTTCTTCCTCTTCGCCGCCCCGGATATTTTCCCCATCGGTTATTGATTTTAAGTCAACCCCCCGAGAAGCGTTTTTTGTGAAGTGGTGTGGAAATTTCCCCGAAATCCCCTCAGTGTAAGACTCACACATCCTCGCGCGTAAAACGAGAGTCATCGTCACAAAATGTCGACAAAACCGACTTTTGCAAAGACCACCCCGAATGGTGCACGCCGCGCTGGCGTTGCAAACGATGGGCAAAAACTCGCGCGATTATGTGCTCGTTCTTCTTCTTTTTCTTCTTCTCAAAGTAAATGCAGAGGGAAAAGATGCACGAGCGGAACGTGCTGCACTAAAGCGTCGTCGTCGTCAAAAGATGAAGCGTCTTCAACAAACGTCCGATACGAAGGCATCGCGCTCCCGACGTTATTAAACAACATCCCACACACGAGAGAAATCCGACGTTTTTTTTACGACGACGCCACGGAGAGCGTTTTGAGAGCGATTAAAGATGACAGAAATGTGCGCATGAAAGTCTTTACTGAATTCCCGGAGATGAACGTGGAAGGGGACGTGTTTCGAGCGGGAACGTTGCTGGAGATGGTGCGAACGATGGCGACGGAATTAGCGAGGATGGAGAGGAAAGACGGGAGTGGTGGGAAGCAGAGGGTGAAACTGTGCGTCCAAGGGAGCATGGGGACTGGCGTCTTTCAAGGCTTGCCGCTGGCGCTGAGCGGGATATCTCGCTTGATCGATTTGATGGATTGGGAAGAAGACGTGGCGGAGAGAATTAGCAACGGGGCGATTGGGAAAGACCACGCGAAAGACGACGAGGACGTGTTTATACTCATTTGCCCGCAGAATATCGTCGGGTATAGCATATTACCGTACATGGAAGAAATGATGGAAGTCGCGGGTAATCGACCGATGATTTTGTTAAATCCAAAGCTCGGCGACATTCAAAGCGCCGGGAACGTCATGTCCATTCGAGGCAGGCAAGGACGAATGGAATTTGCCAACAGTTGGGAAGAAATATACCATTTCCGCTTGCTCTACCGCAAACCGTTCTTTTTCCCGATATACGGCGCGCTCCGGAAAAGCTATTCGAGCGCGGAAGAAGACGATACGTGGGAATTGTACAAACGATTCGGCAAAATGGACGACGAGTATTATCAGTTGATGGAGGTGTATAAGAAAGAACCGAATCCAGACCAGATGACCAAAGTTATTTGGGGGAAGCGGTAATGTGGTGTTGTCATAGTTTCATCGATGAGAGTGTAGTTTTGTTGTTAGTAGCGTGTTTGGGAAATTCTCGTCATAATAAACCTTTAACTCACGCACACACACACACACACAGATACTACATATTTACCCTCACGCGATGACATCCTCTCATCACGACCTCCCTTCCTCTTTGGAAACTGCCGTCCTCTGCGAGTCGGTCAAAATGCCCGACGACGCGCCGTTCATTCGAGGGTACGACTTTGCTCCCCCTGCTTCGTCGTCGTCGTCGTCTTCAGACGCCAAAAACGGCGCAAAAACGGGGAAAAGTGGTGGCGGCATCTGTTACGAAACCTTACTCGACTCTCTCTTAACGACTGGATTCCAAGCCACCTCTTTGGGGATGTGCATCGAGGAAGTGAACAGAATGCTCAGGTGGCGATTATCGGACGAAAAGAGAACGACGACGGAAACGAAAGAAGGAGGAGAGGAAAACACGTTCGAACCTTCCCGCGACGATTTGTTGACGGACGAAGAGAGAAGTGAAATTCGGACGAAAATTTTTTGCGGGTTCACGTCCAACTTGACTTCATCGGGCGTCCGAGAAACGTTGTGCTACTTAGCCAAGAACAAAATGATCGACGTGTTTTGCACGACCGCGGGAGGAATCGAGGAAGATTTCATCAAGTGCCTCGCGAAGACGTACATTGGGGATTTCGCGCTGAAAGGCGCAGACTTGCGAGAGAAAGGATTGAACAGAATAGGGAACTTGTTAGTCCCGAACGATAACTATTGCAAGTTTGAAGATTGGTTGATGCCTCTTTTAGACAAGATGTTGAGCGAGCAAAATGAGAAAGGCACGCACTGGACGCCTTCGTCGTTCATTAAACGATTAGGTTTGGAAATTAACGACGAGACGTCGGTGTTTTATTGGTGCGCGAAGAACGACATCCCGGTGTATTGTCCGGCGCTCACCGACGGTTCCATCGGCGACATGCTCTATTTTCACTCGTTTAAAAATCCAGGTTTAATCATCGATTTAGTCAAAGACATTAAAAACTGTAACGACGAAGCGTTTCTCGTCAAGCAACCTCGAAAAACTGGGCTCATCATATTAGGAGGCGGTGTCGCCAAACACCACATGGCGAACGCGAACCTGATGAGAAACGGCGCCGACTTCGCCGTCTACATGTCCACGGCGACGGAACACGACGGCTCAGACAGCGGTGCTCGACCGGACGAAGCCGTCAGTTGGGGGAAAATTACCTTGGACGCGAGACCGGTCAAATGCTACGTGGATTGTACCATCGGGTTTCCGTTGTTAGTCAGCAGGACGTTCGCCAAACCCGGAGGCGATTGGGTTCCCAAGAAGGCTTGAAATTTGTAGAGAACAAAAGTCCTCATTTATATTGTTTGTAGTAGTAAGTCAGTAGTATTCACATTAAAACCATGGCGTTGTCAAAAGCAGTCACTCTCGACGACGTCTCGTTTCCATTTTCTTCTTCTTCCTCCTCTATCTCCTCCGAGTCCGGGTTATCCTCCGAAGTTATCCAAGCGTACGAAAACATCGGCTTCGTCTGTTTGAACGGATTTTTACGCGAAGAGGAAACACAAACGCTTCTTCAGCGCGCGAAAACGCTCGAGCGAGACCATCATCGCCGCGAGAAAACGGAGAATACGTCCAAAAAAACCGTGTTCACGACCGGGGAGAAGAAACAAGCGTCGAGTTGTTCGGACGAATACTTTTTAAACAGCGCTTCGAATGTTTCGTATTTTTACGAGGAGGAAGAAGAAGAAGGAGAAGAGACTTTGAATAAAATCGGCCACGCGTTGCACGATTTGGATCCTGCATTCGGTGCATTTTCACGAAGCGAGAAGATGAAGCGATTTTTAGAACAGTTGGGTTTAGTCAAGCCGACTCCGGTGCAATCGATGATTATATTTAAAAACGCGCGGTGCGGCGGCGAAGTCGTGCCTCACCAAGACGATACGTTTTTGCGCACCGGGCCGGAAAAGAGTACGATTGGCGTTTGGGTCGCGTTGGAGAAGTGCACGATTGAGAATGGGTGTTTGCGAGCGTTGCCAAGAAGCCATTTGAATGGAACGAGGAAGCGGATGTTTGTAAATCACGATGCGGAAGTGAGAAAGGTGCAGTTTTCGAACGACGGCGACGGCGAGGAAGTTGAGTATAACATAGAAGAGTTCGTGCCGTTGACAGTCGACGCGGGAACGTTAGTCTTTTTGCACGGAGAGAACGTGCACTGGAGTTTAGCGAATACGAGCGATAAAAATCGAATGGCTTACAGCGTGCATTACGTGGACAGTGGGAAGGACTCGTGCGTATGGCTAAACGATAACTGGTTACAACGACCAGAGACGTTTCCGTTCAAATGTCTTTGATAAAAGCGGCTAGGGCAGGTGTGTAAATAAATATAGTGTACAACAGTAATGTATAAAGTAGCTCTCATCTATTCCGCGCTTTTTGCTCGACGGCATACCTCGAAACCACGTCGAGAGTTTGGTTTTCGATTATTTCCTGCACATACTCTTCCCCGCCGAGAAGTTTCGCGCACATCGTTCGCGCTTTCGCGGCTGCTTCTCGGAGAGATTCAAACGCTGCCGCATTTTTCTCAGATATATCTGTTATCGCATTGATGTTGTCGTGAATGGTATACGTATCTGGAAGGCGCACGGGGACTTGCGTGAGTAACGCGAGAAGAGCACTGGATGCGTCGTTGAGCTGCATTTCAGCTCGCGAGAATGCAGCCTTCAATTCTTCCTCGGTTATGTCCCCGATTTCATTTAGCAACTCTTCGAATCCATCTTTTTCTTTTTCTTCTTCTCCTCCGTCGTCGTCGTCGTCGTCGTCGTCATCTCCACTGAACGTGTATGCGCGCACTATCATCTCAATCGTCTCAATCTTCTTCGCAAGCATCGCCCTCGCTTCTGGTCGTTCGGCGACGAGTGCAATGAGTGTTTCTAAAATTTCAGCCTGTAAAAGGAGCGAAGCGTACGCGTCGTCCTTTTCCTCCAAGGCGTTCGATAGATTCTTCATCCGAATTTTATCATCGTGCTCGTCGCTCCAATCCGCATCCTTGGTTTTATCCCGCATATTCTTTCGAATGGCACCGTAAAAGTTCAAGAATGCGTCTTCTAAGCGCTCGAGTTCTTTCTTTTCTCGTGTATCATCGTCTTCCTCTTCGAGGTGTTGGCGACGACGAGGTCGCCCCGGGCGCGACCGCGTTGTCTGCTGATTTTCGAGCTCCCGGGTGCACACGTCCACGAGCATCTCGATAAACGATACGAACACATCGTGTTCGCTCGAACCATCCGTAATACCAACGGTGCCTACACAAAGCAACGCGCCGCGTGCTACTCTCGCCGCGTATCGCTTTTCTTTGTTACTACTCTTCACTCTCAAACTTTCGCCATCGTCTCCATCTTCCTCCTCCTCCTCGTCTCGATGTTGCGCCCTACACAGCGGCACGCCGTTGAAAGATAAGTTTAGAACGTCGCCTAAAATTTCAAAAAGCGTATTCCTGGGCATTATATCTTCCATCAAATACGCGAGCTCTTCATCTTCTCTCCTGTCACCTATGCTGCTAGTACTACCGTTGCTATTTTGACTCGCCCCGCCGATTTTCTTCGTCTTGTTCAAATTTCTCTCCTGCCCGCCCTCCGACGTAGTTATCGTTGCAACGTCGTACGCGCTCAGAACGTTCTCTCGCTTCCTCTCGCTGCCGTCCTTCCCTTCATCTCCAATCATAAAAGCCATTCGAAACAACCTCTTCGAAAATATCCGGTACCTGTTCGCTCTCGAGGACGACATGACGAACAACGTCGCCTCTCGCAACTCGTCCAGAGCTCGCGCGTAGTGCGATTCAATGTTATTGAAATAATTCTTCTTCTTGTTCTCGCTCGCGTCTTTCGCGTACCTAATCCTACCGTCCAAAGTACCACTCACCATGTGCATATTATTGACTGGAAACTTTAAAATCCCCTATAGTATTTTGTGAAAATAGAGGTCAGCTAAATACAAACGACGAGGAAAGAGCGCGCGAAGAAGATGCCGCTGCATCAAACGATAAAGTTAAGGAATCAGTTATCTGTTCTTCGATGAGTCGCGTCACTTTTACGACAGATGACGACGGAGGGGTTACTGTATTAGTCCATCCTTTTCTCCTCCCAAACGCCCTCGCTTTGCGCAGCGCGTGCGAATATATTTCAATCAGCTCCCCTCTCCTTCTCTTTCTCTCTCTTGAATTTCATATCGCCCGGCGCCTTTCGAAAAGGAAAGTGGACGCTTAAAGTCTCCTTTTCGCTACGATGATGTCATAAAGTCGGGCATTTTGAAGAGAGACAGAAGAGGAGAGGAAGAGGGGAGCGTCCTCTCGAAACACATAACAGAACAACACGTTTGCGTTGGCGAAAGGGAGAAAAATCCAGAGTAAAAACGTCCAAACGCAATCGTCATCCGGTCGGTATCAGACCTTTTACTACGTTGTTGAATACATCATTTTCCTTTTCACACATCGCGCGTGACAACGAGAGAGGAGCGAAAAGTAGCGCACCTGCGTCTGTTCTTGCGTCTGTAAAGTATCTTATGTCTCGCAGCGCGTCATAAAAAGCATGCACACTGAGGTAAAAAGTGTGCATCACGTGCACGTTTTTGCTCGTCCCACACCACGTCGCGACCACGGTCCCCGCATCATCCGCAGTCTCCGTCGAAACCGTCGGCGTCAAACTCGAATCGTAAGAAAAGCAACTCACGGAACGAACGACGTAAACGACGACGACGCAAAAGAGGAGGAAGAATCGTACGAGAAATTCGTCCACAAAATAACAACCCCGCGCGTAAAGTTTGGGACTAAAATCCATCGCACGTTACACCACCACGCGTTTTCAAAACACAAATCCTACGCGTACCAATGGCAGGCATTTTGCGCGCGGTCGGAACGGTACGATTATCGCGACGTCGTGAGCGAAGAAGCGGAGACATTTTTGAGCGCGTTTCACTTTAAATTGGAAGACGGGTGCAAACGATTCGAGCGAGACGTGAAAACTGGGAAAGCGGCGAAGGATTGGGACGCGGCGAGCGCGAACCATCCGACGTTAGGGTTAGTCGCGATCGTCGCGAGTTGGAAAGCGACTGTAGAAGCGGTGTGCGGGAAGCCTTGGCTGTTTGAAGATGAGGAAGAAGAAGAGTGAATAAAGTCTCGCGTCCGAACGTTATCGTCTTCGAGCGCTTTTAGTACGTAGCGGAGTAGTACATATAGCAGAGCATTTGCATTAGGTGTAGTAAATAAAAGTCGCGCATCCTTATTAAACTCGCGGTTCATAGAAAGCAACAATTTCACCCACATCCTCGTGTGCTCACTTTTGTTGATACGTGTGTCTGGTCGCGTACGCGCTCAAAAGCGTAGTCTCCTCTCTTTCTGAATTTTAATTAGACGAAGTTTTTCGATTTCCTTCGAATTTTTTCGTGCGTTCGTCAAATACACATCCTCCCTGTTCGGTTTGCGCGCGCGCGAAGACCGGACTTCTCAAACGCGACGATTGATAAAAATCCATTTAAAGTTTGTTGCGCGCGTGCTTCACAGAGGTCGCGGCAGAGGTACGTTTAAAAAGTTACCACTCGCGTTTGAGAGAGAGCGGCGAGAGAATTGCGCGAGAGATTCCGTTTTGACTTACTTACGAGAACGTTCGAACATTCGAATTCAAATAGACACAAGAAGAAGTATTCGCGCGTCGCGCTCGTGCGGGTGCATAGATTTGAAAAAACTCGAAAGTTGCTCTTCTCCGTGCGGTGTCTCAGTGCATATAACAGAACAGAATAAATCACAACATGGAGGAAAACGAGGCGAACTTAACGGAGTACGAACTCGAGCGGAAACGAAAGATCGCGCGCAACCAAGCGCTCATCGCGCAACTCGATCTGAAATCGCTCGCGAGCAAAGTCGCGCCTCCGGAAAAGCCGAAGAGAGTTATCGATGCCACGGGTAACGGCGAGAATGCGAATAAGAGAGGGCCGAAAGGCGCGCACGCGAGGAAACGGATGAAACCGCAGAGGTTTTCCAGTCGAGCGGATAAATTGAAAAAGCAGCAACGACTGACGAGTTGGAAAGGGCAACGAATCGGGAGTTTGAGAGCGCGGTTACTCGACGGGAGAGTCGGGGCGAACACGAACGTGGTGACGACTGAAGTCATCGCGCTCGGGAGGTTAGATGCGAAAGAGAAAGAAAGCGATACTGTTGCTGTGGAGGATGGAGGAGGAGAAAATGGGACTCCGCGCGCGTCGTCGACGCCGACGGCGGCGAAAAACGACGGCGGGGCGCACAAGGAGTCCATGCAAACGTCGGATTTTCTCGCGATTAAGTATAACATGTCCATGGGGAAGAGTCACCTTAAAAATGTGCCGCAGCAAAAAAAGAGAGGACGACCGCGATTAGACGAGATGGAGTGGGGAGTTGAACAGAAACCACCGGCGTACGTGATGGCGGAGAACGCTTTGATTCCTCGAAGGTATTTAGCCGAAGGCGAGTATTTTGACGAACCGTACTCCGCGTGGGTGGATGAACATCAAAAGCATCACTTGATTTGGGGAAAAGACGATGCGAGTAAATCTCAAAAGAGCGTGCAAACGGTCGAAGAAGGCGTGGATACGCCGAGTGAAGCTGCGGTTCTTATTTTGGAGGAACTGCAACGGCGCGAATTTGAAAAGTGGGAATCGGAACGCGAGGAAAATTTGAAAACAGCCATCGCTCAAAAAATCGCCGTGAGGGAAGACATGTTAACGGAAGCGTATTATCCGTACGGACGAGACGCGTTACCGTCTCGTTATAAAAACATGAAACCAATCAACTGGTATCAGCAGCAGCAGCAACAACAACAAAGGAACGCTAGTCAAATGAACACGAAGAAAATATCGGCGATTTTCGCAGACCCGACTTCCGAGGAAGCGAGAAAAATGCGATTAAGGCAAGAGCTTGAAAAGTCTGAAACGACGACCAAAATTAATCCCTCGGCGCGTGACTACAGTGATGTTTTGCAGTGTTCGACGTGTAGTAAATCGTACAAAGACACACCAAAAATGCGCGCAGGACAATTTGAGGGCATGGATCATCTGTGCACGGCGTGCGGATTGTTTTACGCGACGTTTGGAAGAAAGCGACCGATGGAGATGAAAGAGTTTGAGGAGTTGCCAATCAATGTTCAAAAAGAAAAGCACGCCGCGTTCGTAAAGCTAGAGGAAGAGGCTCGACTGAAAGCTATAGAAAAAAGTAAGCAAGAGGCGGCAGAAAACGCGCCGCCACCAGAGTCGGCTACGGCCGCGGCGCCGGCGTCGGCGAACGAAGACGCGAAACCAAAGTTAGTGTTCACGATGAAATCCCCTTCAGCAGGAGGAGAAGGAGAAAATGCACGCACACAGCCTTTATCCAGTGATACCGGTAACATCAATAGCATTAGCACGAATGGAATCGCTGAAGGAATTCAGAAGAAAGAAGTCAAAGCTGAGTTGGGGGAGACGACGAAAGTAGCAGAAGGAGACGCCCCAAAAGTCGTCGTCGGTGGCGAAGAGCAACGCCAGCCTCAACAACAACGTATCAACGAAACTACTGACGTCAAAGATACCGCCACTGCGGTCACAGAAGCCACAAAGCCGTCGCTGAAAATAGTCATGCATCGCTCGCACGCTGCGCCTGATGGCACCAAGGAAGGTGGGGAAAAAGAAGGTGGCGGAGGAGAAGATTCAGGCGCGACTGCGGTTGAAGTTAAGCGAGAAGCAGATGGAAAAGTAGAGGAAACGAAGACGCAAGAAGTGAAGACAACTGTCGTGACGGGCAATTGGATTTCTGCCAAGTTCATTGGTTTAAATCACTGCAGAAGATTGGAATTTGCCGAGCACGTTCAAAAAGCGATTCCTAAAATGGGCGAAATGACGAAACTTCTCACGTTGGTCGGCGCTGGATTGATGACGAAAGATATGGTCGAGGAAGGAGTCCTCCCAGATAAAGACGCAATCTCTCAAATGCAACCGTGGATTGCGCAGTTGAACCCGACGAAGCTTCCAGCGCGATATTTAGTAAACGCGAAGTTTCAGATACTACCACCGGCGTGGTCGAATCCAGATGTCGGTTCCGATGCTTTAATGTTTGCGGCGAACATTGTACACACGACGCCACTCATGATCAATCCGACAAAGTTGAGAAAGTACGAGCCGAAAGATATCGATGGTGATATGCTATTCGGATACGGTCAGTATCACGTGCAAGATTCGTTGATAGCCTTTCGCGACCGCGATGAAGAATGGCAAACTCCCGTTCCCGCTTCGAACGAAAATAATAACGAAATGGATGAAGACGTACAAGACGAGTTGGATGCTATGCGAGACTACAAGGAAACCTTAGAGCGCGAATCGCTCTACGAAGAAGAGTGCGATCGGACGTTATACATTCAAGGTGTCAACAAAGCAATTTCTTCAATTCAAAAGGTCAGATTAAAAGAGTCGCGCGATACCGAACGCATAAAAGAGCGGAATAGACGCGCGAAAGAGCAAGAAAGCGAGAAAAAACGTTTACGAATGCAGATGGCGTTGCAACCAGTCCGGTTCATGACGCCGAGAGAACGCGAGAAGTATTTGCACGAAAAGCAGCGCAAAATAGATGCAAAGAACGGGAAGATACCTTCTGATGAGTCGGGTAAACCGTTATTAAAGGTTACGATGAAGAATCCGGCGGCGAGGCCGGTGAAAGGACGCGCATACACGCCGAAGGAAATTCCTATCATTTGTGGTAAATTAACCGGGGTGCTATTGACGAATGGTCGACCGCGCGTTGATTTGAAGTGTAGAATCGATTGTTCCGGCGAGCAAGTTGGGGTTACGGAATTCGAAAGGAAAGGAGGCTCAAAGAGTAAGAAGTGGAAGAACTCGATAAAAATGAGACTTGACGATGAGATTGATGATTCAACCGGGATCACGCTTGGTCATCACCTGATTAATTCTGGGAAGGAGTTAGACAACAACGGAGAGATCATAAATAAGAAAGTTGCCGTATATCGGTCCTCCGACGATGGATTTCACATTGGAACCATCACGAAATTCCTCGAGAGCTCTGGCGAACATCGCGTCGAGTACGAGAACGGGAAGCCCGAGGAGTTGTATCTATTCTTGATGGATTTGAAATGGGAACCGGAAGTTCTCGATGAAGAAGCAAACGCAGCGGAAGAGGCAAAAGAGCAAGCAAAGTTAAAAGAGGAAGAAGACGAGAAGAAGAAGGAGGAGGAGGAGGAGGAGCAGAAGAAAAAAGAAGAGGAGAAAAAGGAGGAAGAAGAAGAAGAAGAAGAAGAAGAAGAAGAAGAAGAAGAAGAAGAAGAGGAAGATTTTGAAAACTTGTCGGACTTGGAGCTGGTTCAGAAAATCGGAAAGCCAGCCGGTGCGCCTGGAATATCTGGAGCAAAGTATCCCATTTCGATCGGTCCGTTCGAAGTGTACACCATTGATGATATCGGCGTGAGCAAACATAATCCAATGCGCATGTCAGAGCGAAGAAAATGCCTCGAGATTCTAAAAATCGTCCGCGGCGCCGAAGGGAAGGGGAAAGGCGGCGCAAACGCTTCAAAGCGCTTCCTCACAGAAATGTTTGAGCACCTTCCCCAGAAGTCACACCTTCCAGAATATTATAAAATTATTAGGTACCCAATTGACATAGCCACGATCGAATTCTCATTGAAGTCGGGAGTGTACGCCTCGCCGTGGTGGTTCTTCGTTGCCTTGGAGCTCGCGTTTGCAAACGCGCAGAGATACAACGATCCCGCGACTCAAATGTACGCGGACGCAGCGGCGTTGAGAGAATGCATGCATCGTGCTGGAAAAGAACTTTTCGGATCAGATGTTCCGTTCCCTACAGCCGGTGGAGATATCTATGACGACGTCGAAGAACCGAGAGAGTACAGAGAGACTCGCATAGTTCCTTACGAAATCAACGACGAGGAAAATCCGTTTGCGGGAGACGATGTTGTCTATCGTGATCATCGAGAGATTATATCCGATACGTCAGGGTTATATCATCCGCCAGCACAAATTTCTCCAAAAGTCATTCGCGAAGAAATCGAGCGTGAAAAAGCTGCCATCGAAGAATACGGTTACGAAGCCGCGCATGAGCAAGAGAACGAGCAACCTGCAGGCGGTGGCGTAAGAGGTCGGACGAAAATCAGGTACGAGAACAAACCGATGGAAATTCCATCTTTGAAGATCGGTAAATACAAAAAGCGGCGCAGATCGAAGGGGGATACCAACGATGCATCTTCTGAAGAGGAAGAGTATGACTCTGCTGCTTCCGATTCTGATTTCACGGGTAGGAAGAAGAAATCGATCGGTAACGCTACTACGGCTGGAGGTAAAAAGCGTGGTCGTCCTTTTGGAACGAGGAAAAACGGCACAAATGATACTACGATCGTCGCAATCAGTCTGTTAGAGAGATACTCTCAACTTGGAACAAACGATTTTATGGAAAAGATTGAAGCAAGAGGAGGTGGCTCTGGTAAAGAATGGGCGCGAGGCGGTCGAAAAACGGCGGCGTTCACTGCGTACATGCGCAACAAATCGGATATTTTCACGGAAGTCACCAGCGCCGGAGGCGGTATTTGGACTTTAGCGAAAGGAATTTCCGCGGATAAAGCGAGAGAAAAACTTGAACCGCGCCATCTACCGAGCCGTGCGGCGAGAAGACAACGTTCCTCAGGCGCCGAAGGTGACGACGATGACGACGACGATTACGACGAAGAGGAGGAAGAAGACTACGGCAGAGAAGCCAAAGTTTCGAAGAATGCCACCATCGCGCACACAAACGCAGATGGAGGAAGTGCATGGGAATGGAAGAATACCGATGGTACAATGACGCAGAAAGCAACAACCGCGTGCCATTCAGTTCTTCGGGCGATTCGCTCCGCTGTCGAACCGGAAACCAAGCGTCTTCGAAGTGAACTCTTCGAACTCCTTCCTACGCCAAAAGTCCTTCCAGAATACTACAAAGCGATTGCCAATCCCATCGATTTGCGAAGCATAACGAAATGTTTGAGAGAAAATGGTTACCCGACCATCTGGTCATTTCTTCTCGCTATCGAACTGTGCTTCTCGAACGCTCAAAGCTTCAACGAAGAAGATTCACAAATTTACGAAGACGCCGAAGAGATGCGTAAAGTCGGGAACGACGCGCTGAGACAACTCGTGCCTGGCCATCCCGTTCCGGTCAGAGATTCGTGTTACGACATGGCCAGTGCAATTGAGCCACCGTGGGAGAATGTCAAACCAAAATTGACGTTTACCATGAAGCAAAAAGACCAAGACGTCGCCAAAGCTCTCCACGCGCTCCAACCAAGTGGAAAATGCGGAAAGTGTTCCGTTTGCGCGATTAAAAAATCGCCCTCCAAAAGTAAAGGAGCCGCCGCCGCCGCCGCCGAAAAGTGCATCACGAACCGAATGCTTCAAGTCGCGCACGACACCAATTTAGACCTAGCGCTCCTCGCCGCGAAAGGCCAGAACGCCGTCGGCGTCAAGCTCGAAATCTTCTGGCCTGGAGAAGACACGTGGTACTCCGCCGTTATCAAAAGCTTCGACGAATCGACGTGCGAACACGTTTGCGAGTACGTCGACGACGACGTCGAGGAAAAGCTCGCCTTGTGGGATGATTCCAACTGGGAAGAAGGAACGAAACTTAGAATTCCATAATAGTAATACTAAAACATCAGATAATACTACCGGTAGAACACGCAAAGCGTTACTAAATAAAGAGTCTTCTTCTGTGCGTTTTCTTTCGCATTCGTTCTTGGGTTTCCTGGGTGCCCAGATTTTGGATCGATTTTTTTGAATTTCTCCTCAAAAAAAAAAGAGCGGTTCCGGTTCTTTTGAATACCTACTGCTACACGTCACACGACTTACTCGTGATGGGATTCAAAGAGATCTTCTCCGCGCAAAAGAAGAAGCCTCCATCGAAGGAGGATTTGGCGAGTGCGAGTGCGAGTGCTGCTGCTGCTGCGACGACCGCGACAACAACGAGCGCGAAACAGAAGAAGAAAAAGAATAGGAAGACGAAGCAAAACGAAGAAGAAGACAAAGAAGAAGAAGAAGAAGAAGAGAAACGAACGACGAGGACGACGAGGACGGGTGGTCGAGGTAAAAAAGCGCAGCCGTCGTTGCCGACGTTGGACGTGCGCGATGATATCACCTCGAGAAGAGGAGGAAAGACAGCAAGAAGTCCCACGGCGGCGAAACTGGCCGAGATGAAAAGTTCTTTGCACGCGAAAAAGTTGAAGAAGACGAACGAAGAAGAGGAGGAGATGGAAAGAGAGAAGAAGGAAGAAGAAGAAGAAGAAGAAGAAGAAGAAGAAGAAGAAGAAGAAGAAGAAGAAGAAGAAGAAGAGGTATTGTTGACGAAACTGTCGCGAAATATGCGCGAACTGAAACGCGCGTTGGACGCGGCGGATACCGTGGAAGATCAAACGGAGCTTTTCGGTAGGTTGAGAGACGTAGAGATCGCGCTGAAAGCGATCGAGGTTTCCGAGGACGTTTTGGCTGCGAGTACGACAGAGAAGGAAAGGTTGAATTCTTTGGACGACGAGGAGTGGAGTCGGAAAAAGTGCACGTATTTCTCAAAGTGCATGATTCGATGCTGGAACGTCGCGGTGGTGAGCGATGCGAAAACGACAAACGTTGGGGCCGCCGTTGTTTCTATAAACGTGCGCGAGAAAGTACTAGAATTGCTCACAGAGGCAAAGAGCGCGTGTGATGTAAACGGCACCATCATCGATGGAGACTTACTGATATCTTTGAGTGGGAAATTAGCGGAGACGTGCTACGAGTGCGCTCGGTTTTCAATGGCAGAGAAGTACTTCAAAAAGGCGTTGGAAGGGACGCGATTTGATTGTGATTTCTCCGAAGACGAGTCTCCTTCGAAAGAAGAGTTGAGAGATCACGAGGAAGATGAAGAAATTTTCTTCTGCAACTTCAAAGTCGCATCGCTACGAGGAGCGAACTTTATTCGCTTGAACGACTTATCGAAAGCGTCTTCGATGTTTGCGAAGTGTGCGAGAACGTTACTGTTCGCAAATGCGATGTCGTCGAGTAGCGAATCAGCGAAAAAGGCACGCATGGTTTCTATATTTTTCGGCGCCTTGGAGAAGTTGGCAAAAGACTTGGAGGATCTCGATATATCGAGCAACGAGGATGGGGATGGCGAACCGACAAAAAGGAAGATGATGGACGTGATTAAAGTAGCCTTGGAGAATTTGATTGAAGTCGCAGAGACGATTGATACATCAGTTTTCCCGCTCGCGACCAAGAAAAATATGCAAACTCGAGCGGCGAAAGTTTGCGTATTCTTAAACGAAGATGCTTCTAAACATCTCAACCTGGTTGAAGATGATGATAAAAAGAAAAGTAAAGATACGATAAGTACGATTGAAGACGCGCAAACGTTACTTCTCTCGGCGCAAACGTCGCTTTTGAACGATGGGAAAGTGGATTATGCAGAAAAATGCGCCCTTCGCGTACTCGGCGAAGATGGCGACGCAAAAGACGAAAGATTTGAGAAGACGAGAACGTTGCGAACGTTCGCTTCCGCTGCGTTTGTACTTGCGCTCGCGACGAAAAACGTTAACGCTGGCATAGAACGGATTGAGAAACGTTTGAAAGCTATTCAAGCTGTGAAAGACGACGAGTGCAAGTTTGCGCTCATCGCAAGCACGTTCTGGGCAGCGTTTTCAATCACATCTTCAGCATCGTCAACGTCACTAACGAACGAAGAAAACGAATATACCGCAATCAAATACGCCGAGCGATTACTAACTCCTTCTTCGCTCATAACGCAAATATTGACGTCCAGCGATTCGAAGGAGAGCTCGCCTCTGCTCGCCCGAGCTCGCGCCTTGGCGTGGAATTACGCGGTCGATCTCGAACTTATCGCTGAAGCGGCTTATCGAGGGGAAAATGCCAAAAAATTGGCTAAACTCGCGCACGACGCATTTGACAACGTCGTAGCAATCGATAAATTATGCCGCGAAGCAGGGTTTATCTCAGAAAATAAGGAGTCGATTGAATGCCAAAGCTTTCAGAACGACGAAGCAGACGCGCTCAAAACGCGAGCATTTTGTGCTCTGAGCGCGTCGTCTCCTTCTGATGATTCGTCGCTCGCATTGGCTTCTCACGCAGTGCAAGCGCTCGAGGCGCACGAAAGCCGAGAGATGCGTTTGGTTTCAGCATCTACCGCATTACTTCGACTCAAACTTTGCAGAGCAGAGTTGCAAAATTTACGTTGCAAAGAAAAAGACGCCACTCTCCAAGAGGAGGAAAACACCATTACGCAAGGCAAATCTGCTCCTGGTAGCAATAATAAGACGATGATCGTCTCGCGCGTCAAAACTGCATTTCATACGATTTGTCGGGTTGGAGACCCAAATGCAATCATTTTTGCAGCTTCCGAGCTCGATGCATTGGCAGATGCGGAAATTATCGCCGACGCATTAAGGTCGGCCTGGGACGCGTTGATAACTTTTTGTGAAAAGAAGAAGTTGAACGCACCGCAGCAACAACAACAAAAGACGACGATAGAAAAACAAGACGAAGATAACATAAAAAGTTTGAAAAACGAAGCGATGGTATTTCGTGCGTATCTCGCGCATGCGTGGAGAAGCTTGTCAACTACCGGAACGATGACAACTATCGATCCATCGAAATTTTTCGTAACGTTAGTCTCCGACGTGACGCGCTGGCTGGCGAGAACAGCAAAGATTCCAATGCTCCTGAAAATATTTCCCGAGAGCCTCGTCATAATCGATATTGTTTTCGATTTGGTTGATTTATGCTTACAGCGCGCCTCGAAGGAAAAATCTACATCGTCGTCGTTGTCCTCCTCCTCCTCCTCCTTGATTGATTGCGTCAGACGTCTCTCTTTCGCCGCCGCCCAACTACTCGAACGCGTCCAATCTTCACAAGAATACGACAAAGAAGCGTCTCCGGCATCCAAATTTCGCGCAAGTTGTATGAGTTTAACTTGCTTTCAGATCGCGATTGCTGCCATGCTCGACGGGATGCGCGAAGATGATGAAAAAGCGCTCTCAAAGACGGAAAAAGCGGTTGCTAAGTTTCAAGAGTGCATCGAAAAAGCGAAGGAGGAATACTCAAGTGACGTTGGACAGATGGAAACAATACGCAAATACGAAGACAATTTGATTGCGTACGAGTACGCTGTGCTGAACTTGCAGAACAAGCGAAAAGGTGCAACGTCTTTGAGTGCGGAGGAAGTAAAAGCGTTTTGCAATGGACCGGGTTCGAAAGTTTCCTCTCCGCGAGTATTACTACGATTATGCGAAGACTACCCGGATAACAAAGCAGCCGGTTCCGTAATTAACAACATCATCGTCGAACGCATATTAGAAAGTGCAAACAAGCGAGAAGCTTTTGATGGTATCACGCTAGCTGCTGCCTTTCGCAGACTCTTCGCTGCAGAAGAGCAAAACGAAAAAGCGCTACAACTATTTTCCTTACTCTCTACATTGAAGCCGCCTCAAAGTGGTACGAATACATTGGTATTCCCCACCGCTGAAGCAGAATATTTAGTTTCGTTGGCATTCAATCGAGCAACGCACATGGAAAGATTGGAAGAGCCGGAAAAGGCGTTAACGTGGGTAAAATCCATCGAGAAAGTTATTGAAAAGAAGAAAGACACGGAAGAAGAGGACGAGACCACTTTTCTCTCGAGATCCTTACGTCCGACTTTTGTTGAAATATTGGCCGAGAGGCTTCGAGATGCGGAGGCAGACTTACAAGGAGAGATTGAGGTGAGAGTGTGAACTGTTGAATACACATATTAGAGAGACACAGAGAGAGACGCAAACAACTCTTAAAATACATGCATAAACATACAATCGAAGTGAACTACGTTATTAGCCCTAAGTAACCATCGCTATCCCAACTTTAATCATTTTGGCAAGTTCTACCGCCGCATTCAAATCTAATCCGGAAACGATCAAGCCTTCGGATACCCAAACTTCCGCGTTAGTCCATCCCACTTTTCTTTGTCGAACGACATCTGGGTTTACATTCCTAAGGAAAATCGTCACACCCACAATGCTTTCATCAAATGGTAAAAACTGGACCGTGTATCGATTAACGCAGATCTGGCCGTGGCATTTTGATCCGTTGGTTTCTTTTCTATACACGTCTTCGAATACTTTTAGCTGCGGATCACTATTCGGTAAAAGGTTGAATTCGCGTGGAGGTGCTGGGATAATGGACGACTGATACGAAATCTCGCTCTTGCTCCCATCGTCACCGTTGTCTTTTATTTTCTCCCTACGCTTTCCACCTTTCGGTGCGAACTTGTCGTGAGTTCGCAACGTCGTTACGAACATGTCTCGTTCGATCGCTCTCTTTTCCATGGCATACGAAATTTCTTCGTCGCCAAACTCGGATAAATATAGAGATGTGCGATCGTCGAGCTGCATATGCACTCCCGGAGTCCCGTCTTCACTTTCGATACGTAACAGTGCGCACATTCTGTCCACTTCGCAAACCCATTCCCTTTGATGCAGGTGCTCATGCGCAATTTCAGCGCTCTCGAAACGAATACCGAAACTAAACGTGGTAAATCCAACCGTGCTTGACGTAACGAACACGCAACCTCGCATACCAAAATCTGAGCGACACGGCCAACATCCGAGCAAAGCTTGATCGCCTTCGTGTTTCGAGCTTGCATTGTAAGTCTTAATGACGCGAGCGCAAAGCGAACGCGCAAGAGATTGAGAGCCGCTCCGGACAACATCTCGCGCCCACTCGTCTTTGTCGCCTCTCTGTTTCAGGATGCGAAGTACGTCCATTGAACTCACTCGCTCTCTAGTCTCTTCTTCTTCTGGAACGAGATTTGCAACCTCCATTGTTGGCGTGTACCACAAATCCAAAATCCGGCGAGTGCGTCTTTCTGATTTCTGCACATCTCGAAGGATCCGTGCAGAACCTTCACCGCCGCTTTTCTTTTTGTATTCTGCTTTGAAAAAGTCAGAGACTTCGTCGCAAAGTTGCACGCAACGCGAATGCGTCGATTCCGTAATTTTCGTTCTAGAGGGATCGAAAAAATCGCGGTTCACATCGGAGAAATTTCCAGAATTCTCGCGCGTCAAATCAGCTTTGCTAAACGGGTCAAGTCTTGTACTCAAAACAATTCGTTCGACTGCGTCCAATATCCCAGCATGCAATGCTTTTAACAATATTTTGCCACATCCCGACGACAACGATGTGTGAGCACGGGCGATCTCTGCTTCTATCATGTTCAAGCACCGCGAGGTTGCGAATTTACGTGAATCGTCGTGTGCGTCGAAAATGGCAACCTTCAGATCTCTCGAGACGCGTTGTGAAAAGAGTTCTGCCAGAGCATGGAGCATCTCGTCACGATTCGATTTGAGCTTTTTGTATGCGCTGGATGCGACGTACTGAATTTGCGCGTTCACACTTGAGATGCTTTCCTGATCGATCTCGGCAGTGTTCTCGTGTGCTTCATCATCGTCCTTCTCTTTAGCAATCTTTTTCCAACATCGAGGATACTCTTCCATGAGATTCATAAACCCTTCAAAACACTTATTCGCGTTTGATATTCGCCCGTAAAAGGACCCATCTTCGAACACACTCGATATGCCAACCGACAAGTCTTCATCTCTGGATAATCGCTCGACTTCGCTCTTCCGCGCTCGTTTTATGAGTACTGTGGCGTACAACTTTTGCGCGTCTGAAAATTCCACCAAACTCTCTTTGATCGCGAGAGCGATTTTCTCCGCGTGGAACCTTCTCCTATACTTCGGCTGCATTGAGAAAGCCAATGCCTCATAAGTCTCTGCGCACGCACGCAAAGCGTCTTCAGAGGCTGCAGAGTGCATGTCACCGGTGGTGTGGTTCATCGGTATCGGCTTTGGAAAATCGCTGGGACTACCTATACAATGACTCGAAACGAAGCGTTTGAGCTCCTCTGCGGCACATTCCACGGACTCTTGAATGGAAGGATGTACCGCACACTCATACTTTCTGTACGCAGATTTAACAGATTCCGAATAATAACAAGGCACATCTGATGTGCTCGCGTTTAAACCATCACCTTTGCGAGAGAAGAAGGAAAAGCCGCCATTGGGAGGAATCTCTTCTTCGTACGCTTTCGCTAACAGAAAGAGTTCCGTATCGATCGACTTTATAACCTCGTCTTCATACTTTGGATTCAGTCCTTTTTCGCCACATGCATTCAGAGCACCCGCGGCTAAATTCAGCGCACGCGATAAGCTTGCTTCAAATGCAAAGAATACCGCATTCGCCTCGCTCGGAAAACGTCCGCGTAACTTTCTGGCGTCACTTTTTGAGTGTTCTATTAAGCTCACAATCAATTTCAAAGTTCCAGAGAGCGTGACGCGACCGATAGCGTCAGAAATGTTCGCATTGAAGCGGTTACGGAATAGATTTATTCCGCATTGACGTGCAATCTTCGAAAGTCTCAAGGAAAGAAAAGTATTCTTAGAAATTCCTCCCAAAGGTTCAGAAACAATCGCCAACATCTCCACGATCAACATCATTTTCTCCTCCCGCGCATTTGATTCCATATCATTCTGGACGTTCTCTATTTTGACACTTTGCGAAACGCCATCATCATCCTCTACATCTTCGTCGTAATCCATATTGTCGAATCCACACGTTTCGAGAGTTCGAACGCACATATCGCGAGTTTCCTTGGCTAGTTTTGTAAAATACACTTTTTCCAATTCGCCGTGCCTCTCCGCTACAATCGCCGCAGCGACGTTCGCCAACGCGTCCCTAAAAGCTTCTGCTATTCTAATATTGATATCTTCTACATATTCGGCTGCACCTTTCCTTTCGTTATCACTATCGTGGTACAAAAGTTTTTCCGGACGCCACTTTTCGAACAGTGCGAACGCCTCGCACACGGCTACTCCAGAACGCGGCACAACATCCTTCTTTTTACAGTGCGTGCGAGCTATATCTCGTAAAACCTCGCCAACAAACGCGCGATAGCTTTCACCGCGACCACAGAGCGCAAAAAATCGCATCGTCGCTATGCCAATTTTCGCGTACTGTAAAATGTCCAAGTCGCCATTCGCCGGTATCAGCGTGAGCAGCCCATTTTTCGAGAATGCGATGGAATTGTTGCCGTTTTTCCTTTTCTTCTTCTTCTCGTAGGATACGAACGAGTCTACGCTCGCATCGACGGTTCCAATCGAAGTCGTCGCTAGCGTGTCACTGATTGACTCTAAGGCTAAGGTAAGATCACGAGATACACTCTTCAACGACGTATCGCCGATGGAGCCGATTGGAAGGAACACGCGACCAAGTATAGGATAGTTGCGCCTTGGAATGATGGATGCTTTCACCATATTTGTTTCTGTCAATCCAACACCACCAGAAGAATTAGGAACTCTGAAAGAAGGTGGAAATCGATCTGAATCAAATACGCTCCTCCCGAGCTCATCCCTTTCCTCTCTATCCTCAGTAGAAATCAATGCCTCGTTTGCAGATATCTCGTTACCCGCAGCAGTGACGTCAACTACCGCAATTTCGATCGAATGCATTCTATTCGCGACGAAAGACGGCGTCACTGCATTAAATATCGCTTCTTTCATTCCATCTCGCGAATCAAAGGAGGAGTGTGGATACGTCAGCGGCGTCGCTTGTGTTGAAACAAACATTAATATTTTTGCATTGCTTTCGTCATACAGCGTCATCGTCACTTTGACGAGCTTCTTTTCACTCGCGGTAGTATCCTCGGAAGTTCCAACCTTATCGCCTCTCTGCTTCGTTGTCTTCTTATCCTCCGATGCTGCCATTTCTTCTCCCTCGTTATTTGAATTCCCGTCATCATTATCGCTCGCTACGTCGTGGTCAAACTTCTGCTTCTGCTGTTGTTGTTCCTTCTTTGATTTGCGCAAGCCAGCTTTCAAAGCTGCTTTCGAAACCATCCTGGAAAGGCCTTTTAACTTTTTCGGGTTTTCACCAGCTCCATTGTTGCTCCCTATACCACCACCCCTACTACTCATACTATTTCTATTATACTCAACGCCATTAAACTTAAACTTGGAATACTCGCCCGCGTCTGCATACTTGGCGAGCACCGTCACCGCACGAACACCTAATCGCACGACTTTCCTCTCTTCCTCGCCCGCGTATTCTTTCCTCATCCACTCCACGCACCGGTTCATCGCCAATCGTGAGCACCTTTCGTGTTTCTTCCACTCGACCGTCTCCTCACCGGTCCCATTACACGCCATCCGCAATTGCTTCATCTTTCTCATAGCGCGCTCCACCTCGTTGTCGTTATCGCCGTCTTCCGTAAACGCCGTAAACGCCAACGACTCGCACGCCACATCATACGCGCGCCCTTGTATCCCACCTTCGCTCGGAAAAACTTTCTCTCCAGCTACGGACGCCAATAATGTATTCACAGAAGAACTCGAAACGCCAACCGCGGTCGAGGATTGTTCCACGCGCAGCGCCACGTTTGCGATATTTCTCCCGCGGTTATTCAGAGCAATAGGCATCGTCCTCGCCACCAATTCGTTGCTTAAAATTGAAGAAGAAGAAGAAGACGAAGACGAAGACCGCCGCCGCCGCCCGGAGATGGATTCCACCGCACCCTCTCCCATCGTCGTCGCGTTCGATGATTCTTGCAACAACCCCGGCGGTTGCACGACATCATTATTCATCTCTCGTCTCTTTTACTCCTCATCTCGTCTCCTCTTCTTAACGTTGTTGTGTTGTTCTTGCGCGCAAAGTTGTCGTCGTTCGAATTAAATCGCAAAACGCTTTTGATTCGCGTTGTGAAAGATCGAAGATGATGCACGTTTTTCCTCCTCCTGGAATCTCTCTCTCTTTAACGCGTTCGTTGTTGTTCTTCTTCTCTTCTTGTTTTCCTCTCGTCTTTTCACTCGTTTTGTGTCCAATTCGAAATGGAGAAAAAACGGAGAAAAAACAACACAAAAAGACGCACTCATAGTGAGCAGCTTGGACGACAGTCGCGCAGCGAAAGAAAGAATGTCCGACGACGAGGCAGACGAAAACGACGAGTACCTCTCCCAATTCGTGGTGGCAAAAGTCCTCGAGATTACACAAATCCCGAACAAAGACAACTTAAAAGTGATCAGAGTCGATGCAGGAGGAGGAGGAGAAGACGACGTTTTATCCATCGTGACGAACGCGAAAAACGTCTCGGAAATAGGATTGTTGATAGCGATAGCGAGAGTAGGGGCGACGTTGAAAGATGGGACGGTGATTAAAAAGCAACTGGTTGGTGGGGAAATGAGTTCTGGGATGGTTTTAGACGCGCCGCTGTTGAATTGGAAGAGCGGGAGTCACGGTTTAGCGGCTATTTTACCGTCGGATGAGACGAAACCTTTATGGTGGAAAGCGGGGGATAAAGTGCCGAAATCGAGACCGAGGAGCGACGGGTTAGCTGGAAACGACGACGATACTAACGGGAAGAAAGAGGAACCAGTCGTCGATACGATGTTTGCGAGAAAGTTATCAAAAGAAGAGAAGAAAGCGGCTTTGGAAGCGAAGAGAGCGGCGCGAGCGGCGAAGAAAGCCGGAGGAGACGAGTAGGTAGCGTAAATACTTTTAGCAAGCGCAGCGTCTGATCAGTCATCGACTTCTTCTTCTTCTTCTTCTTCTTGCATCATAATCCATTCGGCCATGTCGACGTTTCTGTTTTCCATCGCAACAACGAGCACTTTTTTCTTATCCCACTTCAATTCGTTCGCTCGCATCCATCTCAACGTTTCGAAGTGGTTTCCTCTCGCGCACGCCGTCGCCGCCTTTGCGTCGTGCGGCCAACCCGCGTCAAGCGCAAAACCTAACGCCTCCACGTTTCCAACGCGAGCGATGCTCGCGAACGTTCTTGTTGTCATCGGTACTCCGCACCACTTCGCGTACGCGACGCCTTCTTTACTCGACGCAAACTTGCGAACGCACAGTTTCGCGTATTTCGTTTCGCCGAATTCATTTCGAACGAGCCTGCGTATTCTTTTCGAGCATCTCGAGAATACGGCCACATCTTGATCGTCCAGTTTCGTCAATATTTTCGTCGCGAAGAGGTGTGGGACGTCACCGAGTAAACGCTCCGCCAACGAGAACTCCTCCAACTCCTTTCTTCGAGAAGAAATAGGAGGTAAGAACCGGAAATATTTCTCGCGCATCTCCTTCTCTTCTCTCTCGATTCTGTGCGCGTCCACGAGAAGATCGATTTCGTCCGGCCCGAGAAACTTCCCGTTGTTGTTCTCTTCGCTCGCGCCGGGGACGTACGTCCTGTTGTGCTTTTCCAAACGATCGATCGCGTCGATGTTTTCCATCATCTTCAGGAATATTTGACTTTTTTTTTCACATTTTTTCAATTTTTGAGCGTTTTTTAGAAATTAAGAAAAAACGCCTGAAACGGCATTTTGTATCTAAAAACCAATTAAAAAATACTACTCGAGAGACGATAATGATGTCCTCCTCCTCCTCGATGCGACGTCCTCTCCGAAACAACAAGAACAACGGGGCGCTTCTTTTCCTCGCGTGTCTTTTAATTTCTCTTGCCGCGGTATCTCTCGGGGTCGTCGGTGCCGAAGATGGGGACGACCAGCAGCAGCAGCAGCAGCAGCAGCAACTGTTATTGGAAGCTGTCCTGTCAACGAACCCTTTTCCTTCTTCTTCGTCCGTGAAGTCATCGATGTCATCAAACCTACCGCTCGGTTCGTCGTCGTGGGCGACGAGGAACGAGGTCGTGGGCGACGACGACGAAAGTTTTGAGTACGACGAATTAGGTTTTGATTGGTTGACAGATAACGGTGATGATGGCACGTTTGAAGAAGAAGATGAAGAAGTTCGAGGTTTCGAGAAGACGGAAGAAGGCGTCGACGGGTACGAATGGCTCGGGGAAGAAGGCGAAGAAACAGAAGAAGAAGAAGAAGAAGAAGAAGAAGAAGAAGAAGAAGAAGAATACAACGGTGAGTACGACGACGAGGACGAGTTCCATCCGACGTATTGGGAAGTCGCCGGCGTGATGGATGAAGACCAGGATTCTACCCCCATCGAATATCCTCCTCTTCCGCTGTTGCGAGGGAAAGAGGCCGACGAGCACGAAATGTGGGCGTCGTTTCCGACTTTTTTCAAGTCCACAGAAACGCACGTTACGTACGTTATACCGAACGATATTCGTCCTCACATTGAGTCTGTTGTTCGGCGCGAAATTTTGAAAGTGCTGTATCTTGGTCTCACCATGTTCGTGCTCGTCGTTTTCGTGCTCGACACGTGCTGCGGAGGCGTTTTTAACGAAAGCTCTCCTAACACCGAAAGAGAGCTTGAGCGTAATTTTGACAGAGACGAGGAGGAGCGCGGACATTGGGAAAAACTTCACGATCGCTTCGAACAACCTTTATATTTTGATACAGAATATAAAACGTTTCGAGAATTCCCGCCGCCGACGCCGCCGCCGACGAACGCGAAGCAGGCAGCGACGCAAACGTCGACCGTTTCTCGCGTCGTGTAAAAACAACGGCAACAATACAAACATCAACAACCAACTTAGACGAATCTCGCGGGCTGTACATATAGGCGAACAACAGAGTTGGAATAACAAACAAATCAAACAAATCTCATCACATAATAATGATAAAAAAGCACATAGTATTACACGCATCTAAGCTTTGGCTCTTCGTTCAACAGCCTCTCCGCGATGAACATATCCTCCGGCGTCGTCACTTTGATGTTATAATAACTCCCCTCCGTAATTTGCACTCTCTTCCCCAAATGTTCGACGACCGAAACGTCGTCCGTTACCTCCAACCCGTTCTCCTTCACGTACTGAAACCCCTCCTTCAACAAATTCGGTTCTATAACCTGCGGCGTTTGCATCTCCCACAACAAACTCCTATCCAACGTCTTATCAATGCTCCCATCTTTATTCGCTTGCTTAATCGTCGCTTTACACTTCACCGCCAACACCGCCGCGCCAAACTTCGCGCCGTCCTCGAAACATCTCCTCGCGTCCTCCAAATCCGTCAACGGCCTCGCGCTATCGTGTATGGCTAACAACTTCGTCTCTTTTCTCGCTTTCGTTATCCCGTTATACACTGAATCTTGCCTTTCCGCGCCTGGTCGTGCAATCACTAAAGGTTTCGAAATCTTCTCAGAAGTAAACACGTCGTCGTACTCTTCGTTACACACGACTACGATTTCTCCGATTTCCCTCATGGTGGCGAATTTTCTCAGCGAGTACACCGCGATAGGCACATCGAGTAAAGGCAAGTATTGTTTCGGCATGTTCGCGCCCATTCGTTTCCCGACGCCGCCGGCGAGGAGGACCAAGGTGACTGAATTGTCTTCAACATTATTCGCATCGGTTGAAGAGGCGTTCGGTTTGAAGGCTTTCATCGAACCCGCGCGATATCCGAAACCGATTGGTGGTTTCCTTCCACTCGACGGGGAGACCTTGGACGGGAAAGAAGAACTGTGTTTGCACATCGCGATATTAATACTCATCGTCGTCATCGCAAAATAAAGATACCAGTCAGACTCCTCGCGATACACAAAAAAAGGTTGGTTTTGACTATATACTGAGCGTGCGTTGCGCGTAAAGAAAACAAACTCGAGACGAAACCCGGCGAACGATGATATGCAAAAAGTGGAGAAAAGTTTTTCCATTTTATCCACTTTTGCGCATCGAGAGATGTCGTTGATGTCGAGAACAACAATGACAACAACAACAACAACACCATCATCATCATCGACGATAGCAAAAAGAATGCGTTCGTGCTCTTCGTCTTCGAGCAACAAAAGCGATGGAGGATGTTTTGAAACTCACAGATCGCGACGACATCGTTTTCGTCAACATCATCGTCATCATCATCCAACGGCGGACAGAGGAGAAACGAGAAGAGGAGTGCGAACAAAAGCATCGTCGTCACCACCGTCGTCTCCGAAACCAAACCCGAATCAGATGCTCATATACGTCCCCCCGCACCCTTTGTTAAAGCACTGGCTCGCGGTGGCGAGAAACGCGGCGTCTCCGTCCGCACTTTTTCGATCCGCCATGGCGGAGATTGGGAAAATTTTACTCTACGAACTCTCGCGAGACTGGTTGGAGACGTACGAGGCGCAAGTGCAAGGCCCGCTCGCGGTGGCGAACGTGGAAGTGGTCGACCCGACGAAACCGATATCGATCGTGCCAATATTGAGAGCCGGGTTGACTTTGGTGGAGAAAGCGCACGAGGTTTTACCGACGACGAAAACGTACCATCTCGGGTACGCGCGAGACGAGAAAACGTTAGAGGCGACGAAGTATTTGGACAAGTTACCCAAAGCCGGGTTCTCGAAGGAAGATAAGGTTTTGATTTCGGATCCGATGTTAGCGACTGGTGGGACAATAGTCAGAGCCGTTCGAGACGTTCTGGATAAAGGCGCGGACGTGAAGAACGTGCGAGTGATGTGTTGCGTCGCCGCGCCGCCGGCGCTGACAAAGTTGAGCGAAACCTTTCCCGGATTGGTCGTGTACGCCGCCATGATCGACGAGAATATCACCGAGGAAGGATTCATCCTCCCCGGGTTAGGGGATGCCGGAGACAGAGCGTTTGGAACCACTGATGATTAATTCATGCATACGAGAAGAAGAGTTGGGTTGTTGTGAGTAGTAAAACCGTTTCAATCGTCATCCGTCATCGTCGCGTCGCTTTCTTCCTCTCGTAAAGCCGCCGACAAGTCTTCATTCTTCTTCTTTGTCTTCTTCTTCTTTGTCTTCCGCTTTGTGTGTGACTCCTACGAATACATTCAGCGAAGAGTACTACGCAATGCCTCTCAACAATCTCGGTAAAACGGACTACGTGCGTTTCACCGGCAGCAGAAACCTTCGCCACCGTTTGGTGTGCGCGACGCTGACGAGTCGCGCGGTTCGCATCGACGACATTCGCGCGCAGGGAACGTCGAACCCGGGTCTCAGAGCGTACGAGGCTTCATTGTTACGCCTTTTGGACAAGATAACGAACGGGTCAGAAATCATTATTAACGAATCCGGGACGAGTTTGAAGTACAAACCCGGGGTTATCGTCGGCGGGAAACGATTGACGCACGATTGCGGTTTGGGGAGAGGTTTGGGGTACTATGTAGAGGCGTTGTGCGCGATTGGGATTTTCGGGAAGAAACCGATGGAAATAACCTTGTTTGGTTTGACCAACGACGACGAGGAGGTGAGCGTGGATACGTTTCGGACGGTGACGTTGCCGATGTTGAAGAAACGGTTCGGATGCGACGACGGGTTGAGTTTGCACGTCGCCAAGAGAGGGTGTCCGCCGGACGGCGGCGGCGAGGTGAAGTTGTCGTTTCCAATCGCGAAAGAGTTACCCGGGGGAATCGATTGGGTTACCGAAGGGTTGGTTAAACGAGTCAGAGGCGTCGCCTTTACGGCGAGGATTCCACCGCAAATGGCGAATAGATTAGTCGATGGCGCCCGAGGCGTTTTGAATAATTTTTTACCGGACGTGTATATTTTCACCGACCATCACAACGGGAAGGAAGGAGGGAACTCGCCGGCGTATGGGATATCGTTAGTCGCGGAGACGACGGAAGGGTGCGTTTTAGGGAGCGATTGTTCGAGCGCGAGCACCAGAAAGGAGCGAGAGAAGGAAGAAGACGAAGGGCGGTTGTTGTTGGATCATCGGGGCGGTACGAATACTAAAGACCACGAAGAAAACGCCGAGGAAGAAGATCAATCGCAAAAAACCCCGGAAGATTACGGTCGCGAATGCGCCGAAGCGCTCGTTTCCGAAATCCAACGCGGCGGCGTCTGCGACTCTTCCCACCAAGCTTTAGTTTTAACCTTATTAGCGTGCTCTCCAGACCAAATATGCCGCGTGCGTTTAGGCCAACTCACGCCGAGAAGTATTCAGTGCTTGCGCACCATCCGCGCGTTTTTCGGGGTCACGTTTAACATCCAGCCGGAACCGGAAAGTGGGACCGTGTTCTTGAGTTGCGTCGGTGCCGGGATGCGAAACGTTGCCAAGAGAGCCACGTAATAGTTATATATATATATATTCGATAGCATTTTAAAATCATAGTTCTAAACAAAAAATGTGCGAGCGCGAGCGTTCATCGCCAAACTCTTCTTCTTTGCTTCGCGAAAATGACCTGCGCTATTTTAACGTACATGCACATGAATTGGTCATTAATAGATAATCTCTCTCTCTCTCTCTCTCTCTCTCTCTCTCTCTCTCTCTCTCAAAAAACGAGGAAACCTCCGAGGAATAAAAGAAGTAAAGAGAACACGGTATTCAGAGGAAGAAAAGTAGCGGCGCTACCCACGCTCAAGAGTCCCGGGGGTGGGGGGGGGGCGGCTTCGCACGCGTTGGGCGACGTCGTCGCTGCTGCGTTTATAAACTCGGATCGTAAGGAGTCGACGCTGTCGTCGCTTTCGAGGATAGCGGCCAAGTCAATCGCGGATTTCACCTCGCCGTTTGGCGCGACGAACTCTTCAAAGTCGGCGTAAAACGCTTCGACGGTTGCGTAGCCGGTGAAGTCGCACAGAGCTTTCTTCCAACCTTTTCCTTCAGGGACTTCGCTCGGCCAGTGCACCATGTCGTCGAAAACATAGTCGTTGTCGACAACGTCGATGCTGTGCCAAAATCCTTTCCTCGCAACCGTGCTTGTCCAAAAATCGATGAAAGTGCGACCACCGTTCGCCGTGTAGTTCGCGTTCGCTTTGTTAATAGCAAACGCGACGGCTAGCGCGCCGACGTTGTAATAACCAGCAGCTCCAACGTCTTCGTTTGGCATTATGTTTGGAGGCGGGTGCGGATCGGAGTCGCCGCACTTTCTATCTGAGCCGAACTTCGTCAACCAGTTTGCGAAGTTCGTTTGGTCGGAATATATATCACGTACTTTCTTCAATATGTGCGAATTGAAATACCCGGAAAACGTTTCTCTCGGAGCTCTCGAATTATCGTTCGAGAAAACAGCTTCCAAAAAAACCGCGCCACCTTCCATCAACCAGGTCGGAATGTGCTTGCCCCAGTGCATTTGAAACGCGTGCGTGTACTCGTGTATCGCAAAAGTAGTCATTTGGTTCTCGACGTCGTCGTAATACGTTCCATCCTCTTTGTTTGCAAATCCACTAGTGATCACCATTGGCACCGCACCTACCGCACCTTTCCCGCAGTCTGATTGACACGCGTCTCGGTGCGACGCGTACACGTTGTTTTCGCCTTCCATCGCCTTCTCTCTGTTCGTTGAATCGTTGGAACAATAGCCCGTAATCTCCGAGCGCGTGGCTTCGCACCACGCCGAATCAATATCCGTATACGCCGACGCGTCTTGCGCGGTAGAACTTTGCGACTCGTACAAAAACACGCTCACGCCGCTCACTTTCCCGAGTAGTTTTTGCGCCATATCGATGCCGGTTTCGACCGATTGCTTCAAATTCGAGGGAAAGTTTTCGCTTTCTCGATAGGTGATCTCGTTGCTCCCGACGGCGGCATACGGCGCGATAGTCAAAGTCGAGTGTTTAAACCTCGGCCGGTTGCACCCGGATTCAGACGGGCAGGTCAGCCCTGCGACGGTGGCGGGGCCTGATATTGAGACGATCGCGGATACCGTCATCATCATCACCGGGACGAGACGCACCGTCTGCCTCATTTTCGATACCTCGGGAGCTTAATTCTCTCTCTCTCTCTCTCTCTCGCGCGCGCGCGCGCGCGAAGACTTTATTGAAAAAAGAAGACCGTGAAAGAAGCGTTTCGCGTTTCGTCTTCTTTTCGTTACGTATCTCTTGAATCTTCTTATGCGTATCTTATGATGATGATGATGATGTGTGGTAAGATTATATGTCGACCACTGAAACGGTCGAATTTCAGAAATCACAAAGAAAAGTGGAGGAAGAAGAAGAAGAAGAAGAAGAAGGTTTTAATAATGACTTTAATTGACTTTAAATGTACAAAGCGTGAAGATGACGTTCTAAATCACAGATCCATAACTTGTTTGCTTCCCTGCGATATATTTTCCGTCCACGCCGCTCGGGGAGGGGAGATTTTCCTCCTTTGTCGGAGCCTCATTTCGTACCATCAAGTATGATGTTTCAGTGCCTTCCATTTGCTGTTGACGCTCGCCTCCTTGGAAAAGAGAAAAATAATTGCCTTCATTTAAAAACTGGCGACGTTCGCGACGTCTGAGTGCGAAGAGAGCAAAGAATGCCGTGCCCGTGGCAAATAAACTATACAGTTTCAAATAGGCGTTTCCTGATGAGTCAGTATTTATCCAGAACGACTGCGACCACGACGTTGACGAAGTAGCAGCAGTGGTTGGAGAAGAAGAAGATCCGAGTGCCGTTTGAGCACTAGTAGTAGTGGCACATCCAATCGTTGTCGTAAACGTCTCCTTCGCAGCTGCATTATCCCCAGCGTCAACTAATTTACTTCCAAGCATATCTGCGTTGACCGTGATTTCATAAGTACCCTCAGTCGCGTCAGAAGGAAACGAAATCATGAGAGAATTTTCGTTTACGCACGCAAATTTGTAATGAAAGTACACGTCGTCCTTATCGACATCTCCGGAATTTATATTTGTTCCTGCACATGTCTTGACACGCTTTATCGCGTACGCCATGTGATCGGCTTGGAGCTGAGGGCAAACAATTGGCTCAGAGTAATCAATTGTGAAGCGATTGTGGCGCTGGCGCCAATCAATAGGTTCAGGTTTGCTCACATCAACATTGACGTTCAAATTTTCTTCCGTCACGGAGCCTTTCACTTCTGTGGTCGCAAATGAGTCATAACCTGAGCAAAACACTTTTGCTCGAACTTCGTATGCTCCATCCTTCAAACCATTCAAGAAGTATTGACGTTCAAGATTCCATTTGAATTTGCATCCTTCGCCGCGCGCCGAATTGCACTGTGCATCAGCGTCTACCACATCGCGCTTCCAAATATTAGAGTCTGTTCCAACCATATCCCAGGAATTAATCCACTCACCAACACCGAGAGATCTCCACTGAACTCGAACGAATTCAACGTTTGGATGAACCAAATGATCCGTCGCACCGTTATTCTCATCTTTCGACCACAGGTTCATAGGATCTGGATTCATTAGGGTAATGTTGATGTACGGCGACGATTCTTTGGATACCACAGTGTTCAAGTAATTGTTGTACGTGGTTTTACCCCAGTTAACTTTTGGACACTCGCGCTCCCATGTAAAATTGCCGAGGAACGCCGTGGAAGAAATGGGTGATCTGTATAACCAGTCTCTCGACATTTCCCACTCACACTCGGACACTAATTGGACGCCAATCGAGAAATACGTATGAGCAAATTGTCCTTTCATGACATTCAAGGACAAACGAGTATACTTCAAATCTCCGTTGGAGTCAACCGAAGGCACGTCGTGTAACGGTACCAAACTGTGGAATGGAGCCAGAGAGTCCAAGCCGTTGATGGTGAACGACAAATCCATCATGTTTCCACCAAAGTCGCCGGTGTACTGTGCTCCCGAGGTGAGCAGCAATCCATAGATGTGCCCCTCTCTGTACGGCGATTCGTTGGTGATCACGAGATCAAACAAAGCTCTGTGATGAGGAGGAATGAAATCATTGTTTGCACCGGCACTCCACTCCGTTTCGATGATGAGGCCACCTTCTCTCCACATCGTATTGGGCTCTCCCGGACATTTCGATGCACCGCCGATGGTTTTGAAGACCGGGGTTCCAAACCGTTTGTCACTAGAAACATGAACCACGAATTTATCATAAGGATCGCCGTCACCGAGAGTATATGTAACTTCCATTTCACCGTATTTTGCAAAAGCCATAGCTTTCTCTTGCCCGACACTTTTTCCGTAAGTGTCTGCAAGCTCCGCTTCTGCTTCGAACACTGATAAAGCAACGCTAAAATCTCCGGAAGCAGATACGCTTCCTTCGGCTTCCATAGACCACGAATAGCCATAACTGTCGATGTTACTCTCGATGGAAGAAGAAAACTCGAGGTTATGGCCACCGCCAGAGAACGAGAGATACACGTCTTGCTTTTCACCTCTAGAAATCGTAGGATCAGAGTTATGGCTACCAGTGAACCCAAATTGAGCTTCGCTACCAAAAACGGATGCATCAACCATTGAGGAAACTTTCTTGTCCTCAAACAATTCATCCATACTGGACGGGATCTTAAAAGTATTGTTCATTTCTTCCTTAGCGTAAGTGCTCATGCCGCGACTCCAAAGACCTTCGTCCTTGTCAGGATCATCTTCGTTAGAGTTAAAAAGATTTCGACCGTCGTCGTCGGTTGAACCGGGTTGGTACGAACTCAACCACTTATCGCTCTTCGTCGGGAACCACCGTCCATCAGGGTCGTGTGACTCTTCGCCTGAACCTTCGACGATAATTTTCTCAGTATCATCCAAGTATGCCTCTGGATTTGGGTTTGCCATACGATCGATCACGCCTCCAGCGATTGCACCAACCAAAGTTCCGACGCCGGGCATCAAATACGTCCCGACACCTGCTCCGATGCTAGCTGCTTTTGCGTTGGCTTCTTGACCTCCATCATTTTTGAAGGCATCCGTTCTTCTCACTTTGGGAATTCCGTGAAGAGGCGCGTTATCAGACGGAATTGAATCCCACACTTCGCTCAACTCATCCCAATCCTTTTTCGCAGCATAACTACTATCCTCCTCTTGGGTGTACGCTCCGAAGGCAGCATCGATGAGAGGTTTTGAAATCTTACCGTACACTGATTCGTCTGAATTGAACGGCGAGCTCATTTCATCGAATCTTGTTTGAATCTCCGTTGCTGTCGTTTCTTTATCTTCTTTCGACAAAGCATTGAATCCTTCTGGAGTAAAATCTGGGGAGGACCATTCAAGCGTTCGTTTCCAGTCATCTAGCGCATTCTGAAGACGTAATTTCCACGCGGCTCTGATGTACGCATCATCTTTACCATCCATAGCTTTATCGGTATCTTTTATAATAGATGTTAAATTCTCTGTAACTGAAATCAAATCTTTCAGTTCTGGTAAAATTTTATACTCAATCGAGAATACCGCCATGACGTACGTCGTAGGTTTTCGCGGATACCACTCGATGATTTCAATCACTTGCAAACATTCTTTGCTATGCTCTGCGTTAGATCTCAGATCGACTTTATCAGATCTTACGTACACGATTTCGAATCCTCCACCTAAAATGACATCTCCTGGACGTCCGGGAAGTCCTGGATCTTGTGAGGATTCCAAATTTCTATCCAAAGTCATGTGAAAGTCCCATCCGTTGTCGGTTTCAGCACTGATCGTCACAGATGGACCTTCAACGGCGTATCCACCATGACCTCCTGCCTCAATAGTTGCGGCATTTGTATCAAATTCAACTTCGCCATTTACATAGCTAGAACCTGCCGAAATTCCAGCTCCCATTTCAAATTCAGCCTCGACTCCAGCATTAAAATTCCATTCGCTCGATTTCTCAGCCGCCCGAGTGGTGACCAAACCTAATTCCAAATCTATTTTTGTTCCTTTTGAAATAGAAGAGAATGAATTACCACCGGGCGGATCGTGCACTACTGTGTACACTAAACCCTTGATGGGCGCTGTGGCGTAAAACTTTGTGTCTGATATGTATCGATCTTCTGGGTTACCGCCGCCGCCGCGGATTTTTGTCGCAATTGTTACCAATTCTCTCTGAATTGGAAGCGACGTGACTGCCCACCCATCGTTCCTTTGAACTCTCGCCAATACTTTTCGTCTGTGAGGCGGCACAAGATTTGGAACGGCATCTTGGGTAGAAATTTCATACGTCGAAGAAGATGAACCCGAGCCGTATAGCAGTAAACCATCCGTTTCATTTACTGAGCCGAACGAACACAACTTTGACGGCTCGTTACTTGAATGACACGGATTTGAACCTTGCGGTCCAACATCCTGCTGAAATTGAACTGTTACGGCAAGACGGGTTTGTGCATCGTTAATTGTTTGGTTGAACTTCGAACAATACGTTATCTCGCTGGGGCTCGTTAAGTGTGCCTCAAAGATTTTGAGCGCATAAAAACTATTCGTTTTCACGTCAGTGTTCTGATCAGAAGTTCCCACGAGATGGTTGATCGTTAAGTCCTTTGCAGCCGTATCCGTTCCAATACATTTTTCACCGTCGCGAACTGATGTAAAGGGCGTTCGAGCGCTATCTGCTGCTCTTCCAAAGAAAGGAGTGGCACAAAACCAACCGTGATAGACGTATTTTACTTCGCCCAGAGTTCGTTCCAAAAGTAACATTGTCTGCACGAGAGTGTTCCGATCTCTGAAAAACTGCATTATATTTGTTCCCGGAGGCTTGCAGTCGGTACCGGGATTCACTTCTTCAATTGCTTTCAAGTTCAGAGATGAAACATCCGGAGCTTGTTCCAACTGAATGTAGTAATCCATCGCCGCGTAGGGCCATAATCTCAGATTAGATGATTCATCGTCCGGATCGATAAGCTTCCATTGATCGCTTGCGTATCTAGATCCCGTCGCTCCGACGATTTCTTTATCGCTGATAATCATCGTAGCACCACAACCGTTAGCAGGAGTGATTTTGAGAGTGTACTCAGTGTATGGATTCCCGCACGCTCCCGCGTACAAGCCAATATCAACCGTTCTCGCTGTCATATCGAAATAAACCAAATTTTCTCCTCCCATTATGCCAACGAGTTCAATTATATTGTTTGTACTAATCATGTCTTCGTGCATCTTAATTGGCTTCATCGTATCTGAGTATTCGCACGGATAGTCGTCCAAATTTTCCCCGCCATAACATATACGGTGACCATCATAGGTGGCGATAAATGCCCAAGTTTCACCTGGAGTGACTGCTATATCGAAGCGACCGAGTTCATCTGCAGAATATTCTTCCGCCGCAGTTTCGTATTTGTAATGATTAGGACTGCATCCAGTTTCATCGAAATCGCATTTGACTCCTTTGTAAGCTGAAATTGTCGCAAACTGCAAACCGCAGATAAACTTTTGAGTTCGCTCACCGGGAAAGCGAACCATCCCGGTGACTTTGACCGCAGTGGTATCTTCAATATCTGCGCCAATAGTTCCTAAATGCTTCGCTGCAAGCACTTTCTCAGACGCTTTTGCATCGAACGTATGGACCACATCCTCAAACTGCTCAATGGCATGGAGCTCTATTGAACTTGAGACTCCAGGAAACAACTCGTTGCTAAAGCCTTGGGTCGCATGATTGAAATTCACGCGCTCAGATTCGCTAATATGCTTCTGAAGAGTAAATTTGTGTTTCTTTGCGAAGGTTACGACTGGTATGGCGTAATTTTGCGATTCTGGCGTAGTATTGTTTCCAGGAAGTGCCAATTTCGATCTCGGTGAAATGTCAGTCGGATAATCAAGAGAAAACCCGCGAAGGGCAGTCGCAGACATGTTGCCGTACCAGTACTGCCACTGTTCGCGAGTGAAAGGCAAAGAAGGGGTTGACGAAGGAATTGCAGACATGTACGCATGCTTTTCTCCATTTTCTTGGCTATCCAAAGCGTAAAACTCACTTTTATCTTTTGTAGCGACCGCAGGAAAGACGAGCCAAGGGACTCCATAAATGTGACCCTCATCTAAGGCTTTGACAGCATTATGAAATTCAACTGCGTTCAACTCGCCGTCATCATCCTTATCTAGAGTAGACCAGAGATCCGCTGAGAAAATCACATTCGCATCGGAAAACTTCGTTCTTTCCTCGCAGTATGATAGAAACTCCATCATGTCGATGACGTTATCATTGTTTGAATCAACATCTGCAATATGTGGTGGCGGCGGACTTGGAGGCGGCGGACTTGGAGGCGGCGGACTCGGGGGAGGCGGTGGCGGACTTGGTGGTGGCGGACTTGGTGGCGGTGGACTTGGTTGCGGCGGTGGCGGACTTGGTTGCGGCGGTGGCGGACTTGGTTGCGGCGGTGGCGGACTCGGGGGAGGGGGATTCGCAGTTTGCTTACCCATAACACAATAATCCCACCCTTTTTTACCACTTCCCGAACACCCGGGAACACTCTCGAATTTATCTCTCTGGAAACACTTGAGACCGGCATCGCAATCGGAATCTTTGTCGCAATCGCCTTCGCACATACCATAGCCGGTTCCTCCATTGCGAGAAGAGTCCAAGGCTTTCACAGCCACGCAATAGTCAGAACCCTTCTTCGCAGATCCATAGCATCCAGGAACAGGCTCATCGCCATCTCTTTGAAAACAGGTCAAGCCCGATTGACAATCAGAGTCCTTGTCGCAATCACCCTCGCACATGCCGTAAGAGTTTGTGCCCAAATTATTCTTCAAATCAACTACGTACTTTTTATCGATGCAATAATCATAATTTATTTTACCCTTTCCCGAACACCCGGGAACACTCTTGAATTTATTTCTCTGGAAACACTTGAGACCGGCATCGCAATCGGAATCTTTGTCGCAATCGCCTTCGCACATACCGTAGCCGGTTCCTCCATCGCGAGAAGAGTCCAAGGCTTTCACACCAACATTTGTGCAATAATCCCACCCTTTTTTACCCTTTCCCGAACACCCGGGAACACTCTCATATCCATCTCTCTGGAAACACTTGAGACCGGCATCGCAATCGGAATCCTTGTCGCAATCGCCTTCGCACATACCGTAGCCGGTTCCTCCATTGCGAGAAGAGTCCAAGGCTTTTATAGGCACGCAATAATCCCACCCCGATTTCGGGGTTCCCGAACACCCGGGAACAGGCTCGTTTCCGCCGCGCTGAAAACACATCAGACCAATTCCGCAATCGGAATCTTTGTCGCAATCGCCTTCGCAAACGCCATAGCCGCTTCCTCCATTGCGAGAAGAGTCTAAGAGGGGTTTATCCGCAGCACCGAGATCTGCTAGGTCCAATTTCCCTGCATCCATCGTCAGCAACTTTCTCGATGAGGAGTCCAAGGCTTTCACAGCCACGCAATAGTCAGAACCCTTCTTCGCAGATCCATAGCATCCAGGAATAAGCTCATCGCCATCTCTTTGAAAACAGGTCAAGCCCGATTGACAATCAGAGTCCTTGTCGCAATCACCCTCGCACATGCCGTAAGAGTTTGTGCCCAAATTATTCTTCAAATCAACTACGTACTTTTTATCGATGCAATAATCATAATTTATTTTACCCTTTCCCGAACACCCGGGAACACTCTCGAATTTATCTCTCTGAAAACACTTGAGACCGGCATCGCAATCGGAATCTTTGTCGCAATCGCCTTCGCACATACCATAGCCGGTTCCTCCATTGCGAGAAGAGTCTAAGAGGGGTCCTCGATGCTTTTCGGCATTGTACTGCGACTTGTACACGGACTTGTCTATATTAAGAGCAACAAGAAAGGCTTCTGGATCCGTATCCTCCTTTGCCACCATAATACGAACGTCAGTGCGGTCAAAAATATCAGCTTTATATGGTAAAACGCCAACGTGTGTTTTTCGACTCGGTCTTCCCGACGCGTCTATAACTTCAATTTCGAAGTTACCGTCGTCATCGGAATACGCCGAGTAAGGGCAGTCAATCTCTACACCCATCGCTTCCACTTCAGTTATCGTAGTAATTTTGCCCCCTTGTGATTTAAGGGTAATGTACTGGCCAAGATAAGTTGAAGTCGATGTTCCTGCGCATCGGTACGATTGACATATTGCCGTACCTGATCGCTCGGTGAGTGCTGCGCCCGTCGTGCTGTTCACATTCAGGACGCACTCCGCACCGGTTTCTCCTTCACTTCCTGGATCTGGAAAATCCATCAACCTGACGCTAAAATCGAAGGCCGCCTTTTCCTGTGGGACGCAATAGTCAGAACCCTTCTTCGCAGATCCATAGCATCCAGGAATAAGCTCATCGCCATCTCTTTGAAAACAGGTCAAGCCCGATTGACAATCAGAGTCCTTGTCGCAATCACCCTCGCACATGCCGTAAGAGTTTGTGCCCAAATTATTCTTCAAATCAACTACGTACTTTTTATCGATGCAATAATCATAATTTATTTTACCCTTTCCCGAACACCCGGGAACACTCTCGAATTTATCTCTCTGGAAACACTTGAGACCGGCATCGCAATCGGAATCTTTGTCGCAATCGCCTTCGCACATACCATAGCCGGTTCCTCCATTGCGAGAAGAGTCCAAGGCTTTCACGCCAACATTTGTGCAATAATCCCACCCTTTTTTACCCTTTCCCGAACACCCGGGAACACTCTCATATCCATCTCTCTGGAAACACTTGAGACCGGCATCGCAATCGGAATCATGGTCGCAATCGCCTTCGCACATACCGTAGCCGGTTCCTCCATCGCGAGAAGAGTCCAAGGATAAGTCGTAACAGACATTAATTTTGGATATGGAAGAAAATTTGCCAAGTGTAATGTTCATCCACTCTTGATCTCGAATGGTGACACGTGATTTTGAGTCTCGATCCGTGGCTTTGAAGGCAGAAGAGCGCACACCGATGTCGTTCTGATTGGAGTGCCACACACTCGCATATGCAGCTAAATCTTGTTTCTGCGCGCCTGCTTCCAAAGTAGAGGACGGATAAGTCGAATTTTTTATTCTCGCACAAACACGGACATTTCGCACTGGAACTGCCGATTTACCCGCAAAGATAAGGCCCTCAACAATACCGAACCAGGGAGTGGTAAAGAGGAATGGATCAGAAGTATTTTGAGCTCCATTATCAAACTTGGTTCGAATAGAATATTCCCAGACATAACCTGGCATCTTTATTGCCGCGTCATCAAAGAAAGAGAGAGGACTATACTTCAAAGCACATCCATCCACGTATGAATCGATCAAGACCACAGCCTCCGGTTCGCTCGACGACGCACCATCAGAATCCACGTCAGAAAGTTGTCGTAAGACTTCAAATCCAAGTTCACCCAGTGCAGTATCTCTGAATGAGAAAAGAATTCCTTTCTGGTCGGGAATCATTCGAAGGTCAATAGCCGCACCGTTAAAAAACAGACCAGTTGAACACGGCGGTACAAACGCCACCTTTTTAGATTTTTGTGCATAGTTTGGAATGATGCAGTAGATACGTCTGGACTGTGGCTCTGCATATGCAAGAGCGGCACATGCCGTAGAATGACCGCATTGAAAAACTGCTTTAACGTGCAAAGGAGTAACAACGCCGGTGAAAATTCGAAAATCGTCATAAACTGCGTTTGTACCGAGAACTTTTGCTCTCGTCGAGACTTCAAAATCGATGTCGGTATTTCGAACCATGGATTTATGAGCAACTGGAACACCATCTAGAAATAGAGTAAGACCATTCTCTTTATTTAATACCATCGCTACGTGATGCATCTTGTCGTAAGATAAAGCTGTGCTGGAACTTAGTTCTTCGTTGAAGTATTTAGCAAAAAGAGTTCTCGAACCCTTTTTGATGCCGAAAAGTTTCTGGTACCTACTATCTTTCGAGGGCCCCTGAGAGAACCAAATAGGCGCAACGGACGAGGTCGTAGTACTCGACGGAAAAGAGGTTTGCTCAATACGAACCCAAGTCATTATTGCGGATGAGTGCATCAAAGGCTGATTCTCCATGATATAATCATCGCCCGAGCTAGTACGTCTTAAGCATGAAATACCACTCCCGCACGCATACGTGGATAACGTGGTCCCCGCAACCGCACTAGAGGGACCGGAACCATCCACCAAATTCTTGTAACTGCCACCCTCAAACGTTAAATGTGTCATAAGTCGTACTGCACTCGGACCTACGCTTGAAGAAGGCCGGATGTCCTCCAGCTCAGTCGCGGCGGTTGTTCCTGCTTCTGTTTTCAATTTTTTGTAAAGACGACCATCAACATAAACGCACTGAAAATCGCCACTAGAAGGCATCTTGTTGTAATCCCATTCCAACTTGACATTTTCTTTTTGAATTTTGCATTCATCTTTGACAGTTTTGGCAGTCGGATACGTTATATCAGTAATATAAATGTCGGGCTTCGATGAGGTGGCATCCTGGCATCTCAAAGGTATGGCCGCAGAATGTACTACATCATTCAACGAAACACCAGTACTTTCAAAATAATTGCTCTTTTGAAGATATTTCAAATAATTCGTGTCCATGTCGTGTTTTGTAAAAGCTTCGAAAAGCTCTTCATAAGATAGTTTACCATCCATGGGGTTAGTATCATGCGCTCGAAAAATAGCTTCCTTCGCGATATCGAGTTTTGCACAGTCTGCCGCGAGAAATTCGGGTGCTCCAGAGACAAACAACCGCGCAATGGTAGATTTCTTCTCTACTTTTGATGGAAGCCAATCTGCACAATCTTCAACGACTGTGAATGAATGCAAAGACTTCCAGCCAGTCGATGATGCAGCTACGGCACTCGTATCGCTGGAAGATGTTTTCCAGAAGCAATTATACACAATATCGTACTTACCGGGTGCATGTTTCTGGTCTTTATCCAGGAGACTGAGAAATTTCTTCAAATCGGATGATTTCGAAACATCGCGGAAATTATCCCACTTGAGACAAGGCAGATGCTCACCTGCATTCGCATAGGTGCAACTTTGCGAATCACGGACGTATACTTGACATTTAATTCCATAGCCTTTATCGTATGGTTCCCTTCTTTTAATCTGAACGTTGGAATTGGTTGATATATCATCCGAAAAACAAGAGGGTCCCGAACACAAAGTGTGTTCGACTTTGATGCCAAAATCAAACTGTAAGTCAGCAACTCGATTGGCTTTATTGGAAATAGAAACCTTCGGTTGGGAAATAGGAGGTAGCGGTGTCGCCTGATAACAATAATCCCACCCTTTTTTACCACTTCCCGAACACCCGGGAACACTCTCATATCCATCTCTCTGGAAACATCTAAGACCGGCGTCGCAATCGGAATCATAGTCGCAATCGCCTTCGCACAAACCATAGCCGGTTCCTCCATTGCGAGAAGAGTCCAAGGCTTTCACAGCCACGCAATAATCATGCCCTGTTTGCCCAGATCCATAGCATCCAGGAATAGGCTCATCGCCATCTCTTTGAAAACAGGTCAAGCCCGATTGACAATCAGAGTCCTTGTCGCAATCACCCTCGCACATGCCGTAAGAGTTTGTGCCCAAATTATTCGTCAAATCAACTACGTACTTTTTATCGATGCAATAATCATAATCTTGTTTACCCTTTCCCGAACACCCGGGAACACTCTCGAATTTATCTCTCTGGAAACACTTGAGACCGGCATCGCAATCGGAATCTTTGTCGCAATCGCCTTCGCACATACCATAGCCGGTTCCTCCATTGCGAGAAGAGTCCAAGGCTTTCACGCCAACATTTGTGCAATAATCATAATTTTGTTTACCCTTTCCCGAACACCCGGGAACACTCGAATATCCATCTCTCTGGAAACACTTGAGACCGGCATCGCAATCGGAATCATGGTCGCAATCGCCTTCGCACATACCATAGCCGGTTCCTCCATTGCGAGAAGAGTCCAAGGCTTTTATAGGCACGCAATAATCCCACCCCGATTTCGGGGTTCCCGAACACCCGGGAACAGGCTCGTTTCCGCCGCGCTGAAAACACATCAGACCAATTCCGCAATCGGAATCTTTGTCGCAATCGCCTTCGCAAACGCCGAGACCGCCAGTGCCCTTTCCGTTGGTATGAACGTCCCCGATGTCGAGGCGAGTAGCTCCGAGTTCGGCCATTTTAAACTTTGGCGAATGCAAAGATGGTAAAGAATTTTTCTTCTTTTGCTCTGCCATCGCTTTTTCAAAGACCTTTCTGTCGTACACAAACGTGTCTGTGTGCTTCTCCCGACGTTGCGATTCGCGTTGCGATTCGAGGCTCTGATTATTATGTCGTTCCAGACTTTGTCCTCTGTCGTGAACTTCGGTCGTTTTTGTCAACGAGTAATCAAAATCATTAGAATCGCCGGCGTGAACGAACGAGGGAGTGAACGTAATGCAACACGCAGACAACAAAGCAATCGAGTAAAGAAACAAGACACGACCGAGGGTGGCGACCGTCGTCGTCCTCTTGGGCGCACTCATTCCTTTTCCCAATACTACGCCAGAGAAAGAGTATATTTTGTTGTGTTTATTTCCTCAACTATTTCCAAATAACACTACGTAACACTAAAAAAAGAGAGAATTCGGTCAGTGGGAATAGAGCGCGCGCGCGCGTCGTACTTCCGACGATTACGAGCCGCGCAGCAAAGAACGAATCGAAGCGCTTCGAAGACGTGCTTCGAAAAGCGCACGTTCAAAGAAGTAAAAAACTGCGAGTCGTCGTCGTCGTCGTCGTCGTCGTCGTCCATTCGGCGCGCATTCTCTCGTCTGACGTGGAAACAAAATGGAAGCGTCTCGAGAAAAATGCCTTCTTCCAATGTTTCTTCGTATTTTGCTCTCTACCTTTTTAACAGTATCGCAATATAACAGCAGCAGAGGTCTTCTTCTTCTTCTTCTTCTCGTCGCTTAGATGCGACTTTCAGAATGAGAGAGACGGTGATGATGATGCGTTGATATCGAAATGCCCGCGTGTGAAATAGTGTTGAAAAAATGTGAGCTTTCAAAAGGCATCCTGATACAACAAAACAAAAAAACCCTAAATTACAGAGCGAGAAACGCTTTCTCCTTCAGTTCGCAAAGAAAGAAAGACCGCAGAAAACAACGACCAAACGTCAGTCGCGTCACGTGAAGAAGAGGAGAAAGAATATCCAATTTGTTGCTTCTTACTTCGTATAACGCTTTCATAGAATACTACCACTAATAAGAATAACAAAGAACGAGCAGAACCCGAGCAGTGCGAGAAGACGCTTTCTTCGAGCAAAGAGAGAGAGAGAGAGAGAAGCGCTTTTTGTTCTCGCGATATAAAAGCGCGCGTTGTGTCCTCATCGCATCATCACAGAAGCGCTTTTTATATTCCAATTTGCTGCGCGTGTGCCGGAAAAAAAGCGAACGTAACGCGCGAGAATAAAGAAGAGAAAGAAGAAAAAAGTCACCAAAAAAGGTTCCGTTCGCGTGCCGCGCGGTAGTAAAAAGGTCTTTTCGTCTTGCATTCGAAAGTATACGCGCGTCGAGAGAAACATCTGGTCTCGAAAGATATAATTATTCTTCCGCAAAATTTGAGTCAACTTTGCGCAAATGAACAGTCGAGAGGGAATAAACGAGGAAAGGGTGCCCACATCGATACCGTCCCAAAAAATGACGATTCAGACGACTTCTTTATCGGAGAATAACAACAAGGAGAATAACAACATCGACAGCATCATTGTCGCCGTCGCGGGGAAGATGAGCACGTCGGGATCCGCGGCGACTTCTGCGACTGCGACTGCCGCGACGGCTGCGACCGCCACTAATTCGTCGCCGAAATCATCGAGAAAGACGAAGCGCTGGTTTTCTTTTGTTTTGGAAAACATCGAACGCGACGCGCGATTCAGAACGATGTGCACGGAGACGCTGAATAAAAGGTTGCAGAAAGCGTACGAGAAATTGACGAAAAGAGAGACGCAGGCGCATAATAAGGAGTGGATTTTGTTGAAAATGGCGAGATTTGTGTTGGAAACCAACAACGCCGCCGGGGAGGAAGAACGAGAAGAAGAAGAAGAAGAAGAAGAAGAATACAAAGAAGAAGACGAAGAAAGAGAGGCGGTGAAAAACTCGATGTTTGCGCGACTGAGACAGATTTTGGAAGAGACGGTTGAAAGCGAGCGAGAAGAAGAAGGGCACACAAGAAATGTACCCGCGCCGTCGTCGTCGAATAATAGCAATTATAACAACAACTTTCGCAAGAACAGGAAACGAAAAGTGACGACGAAAGAACGTGAAGAAAAGACCGCTGCCGCTGCTGCACTTTCATCTACCACTATGATTCCTCTCCAGTGCTCGAGAAATGACGGCAAGAGTTGGCGATGTTCAGCGTTAGCCGTGGAGGGACACAAGCACTGCGCGAAGCATTTGCGGTGGGGTTACGGAGCTCGAGCGGCGAACAACGCGCAACACATCGCGTCGATAGCCAACATCATCGCCGCCGCAGAGAAGAACAATAAGAACATCAACAAGAACAACAACAACAACAGCAAATTAATACACAGAAACAAGGACACGCGCGCTTTAGAAAAGAAAAGTCGCCATTTACCCAAACGACGCGTCAATCTGAGCGACGCCGGCGAGAAACAACAACGATTACGCGAGGAGAAAATGTACGAACAACATCGCGTCGAATACGAGCGTCGAATGCAGAAGAAAATAAAGAGTAGCGTCGTCCAAACAACCTCCAGCGATGGCACGAACATCGCCTGCACTATCGAAGTATGCGAGAAAAACGAGGAAAAGGAGGATGACTGTCTCAGCGAAAACACGAGCATTCCTCTCTTCTCTCGTCCCGGAGGAAGCTTGAAAAACTCCTCGTCGTCGTCTCTGTCCTCTTTGTCTTCGTCTTCTATCGGGGTGATGAAAACGATCAATTTAGACGACTTTTCCGGATACGGGCCGTTACGAGAACACTTACTGAAACTCGCGGCAGGAGCGAGTAGTAATTCTACCGGAAGAGAAATATCGGTAGTGTATTGGACGGCGCATAATACCGCGCATCAAATCGCGTTGGGGGAGCCGTACGAGTATTTCAAAGCGAAGTGCGTGAAACTTCACGCGAAAGTGTACCCAAAAGCATCATCATCAGGTACTGGTGGTGGTTTTCGAAGCATCAAAATCCCTCTCGTCGCGGGACCAACGTCGTCGTCGTCGTCGTCGTCGTCGCCGTCTGCGACGATGTATATGATGTTGATGATGCAAAACGACAAAAACAAAAATATATTTTTTCCTTCCAACTCTACCTAGAGTAACGTACTACCAGATGTAGAAAATAACAACACACCACGTACCACTGTAACACCAGGTACATTAGAGTAATAACATGCATTTTAATAAGTAAGGACGTGCAGTGTACCACATGCAAGCGTAAAGTATAACAACATTAAAAAATTAAGAGTACCTCCAATTCACCTTTCGTAAGCTCCCGCTCGCGTCGGCGATTTTTTCGTTCAACTCATCCATCTTCTTCGTCAATTTCAAAGCCTCTTTACCTCTTTCCGTGTCCGCGTTGGCGAGTTGCAACAACAAATCTCGTTCCATCTTTGACGGATCCTCTTCCGCGTTGGCATCGAGGACGCTCTTATCCGACGAACCCGCTCCTCCTCCTTTCGAAGAGGAGGAATACTCAAACAACGCGTCCCATTTTTTATCGAGCTTCTTGAGTGCTTTCTCAATAGGCACGACTTGGTACATCCCGCTATCGCCGGGAATCTTGGACGCTAACCCTTCCTCGACCAACTTTTTTACGCTTCCGTGCACGTCAAAATCTACCGCGATGCCGAAAGCATCCACCAGCGCTTGTTCCAATCGATCGTCTAACTCCTCTATGGTCATCCCGGATTTATTCCCTCGCATCGCCGCGTACGCCAAAATCATCTCTTTCGTCTCTTGTTCTTCCATATCCGTCGACACCGACGCTAACACCGCGAAGCCACTCGAATCCATCTTCTTCATAACCTCTTTACTCATTTGCGCCGCGTAGTTTGCCTTGGATTTTTGAATGTTCGCCCACGAGGCGGATAATTTCCCGCCGGCAACGGTTAACAACTGCATCGCTCGTTCCGACAACGCTTCGCCGGTTATGAACGCCCAAATCAACGAAAAGAGAACGAGCACCATGGTGATACCATTCGTCAAGTAATCGATAAACTTTGCGCATATTTTTACGCCCGGAAAAACCATCTCCAAATCCGCCATCGGAACGTTTTGAAACGATTTCAGACGCAAAGGTCCAGCGCCGGACGGAACGTTCAAAAACTGCGCCTCCGCGGCATCGATTTTATCTTCTCTGTATAACAAAATGACCTCCTTAAACGTCGGCTCGCTCAACTCGAGCTTTTTGTGGACGTTTTTCAACACGGACGCGATTGTTGGCATGAGCCTTCGAAGCGTTTTCCGTTCAATTTTCGAAACCTTTCTCTTCCCTCCGCTCCTTCCCGGACCGCCCGCCGCGGTCGCAGATTCCTCGCCTTTCGAAGACGACGACCCAAAACCCAAACCGAACGCTTTCCTCAACACCTTCCCAACCGGCCTTTTCAACGCGTACTCCAGCAACAAATCAATCTTTTCCGCGATGAACAAATCGCCGTGCGTGCTCGTCGTCACCCCTCTCTTGAACAGTAAAACGCGTTCGGAAAATGTCGGCAGCCCAACCTTCAGCTCTGGATTTTTCTTTAAAAACTCTTTCAACAAACTCACGTCGTATCCTCCTTTCGCCCAATCGATTGTCATGGGTAAGCGAAACATGAAATCTTCCTCCATGGCTAAGTCCCACTCGGTCGCGCTCAACAACGTGTACTCCGCCGTCGCCATCATCTGGCAAAATTGCGTCACGAACTGTACACTTAACCGTTCGTGTTCGGTTGGACTTTTTGCGTCGCTCTTCAAAGACTCCTTTCTTCGTTTCGGCATTAAGCCGGCGCTGGCGTCGAATCCTTTGCGTAAAGCGTCTCTTTTCGTTTGGTGTTCGTGGTGGACGATCCCGCGTATCAAGGAGACAAAATCGGAAAACTTTTTCTTTTCCGCGGACATTGATGACGACGTTAAGGACGACAAAAACGCATCCTCGCACAACTGTTTGCACGAATCGATGTTAATCGAGACGTGCCTCGTGTTTTCGACGTCGACCGTGAATTGCGTTGATTTTGAGGCCATGTTTCTGCGTGCGTTTTAGGCGCTCGAATGAAATGACGAATGTCCACACTTTTGCGCTTCCTCGAACGCTTAAGAGCAAGAACACGTTTACGACAAGATGAGCGCGGAAACGAAGGCGATGACACCACCTTTACCAGCAGCAAACGCCACTTTTTCTCACCAATCATCATCCACAGACGATCTCCCTCGCGCGCACATCAAGCGTTTGATGAAACATCACCTCTCGCAATTCACGCACGTGGATTCCAAAACCGCGCAAGCGTTCGAACCGAACATCGCGAAAGATGCCTTGGATGGCGTCCAGCAAGCGTGCAAGATATTCATACACTACCTGACGTCCACGGCGAACGACATATGCGCGGAGAGTAAACGGAGCACCTTATCCGCGGTACGTTTCGTTTGGGTTTGGTGGTTCTTCTTTCGGATGGATTTTGAATTTTGAATCGCTTCGCGTCGGTTCCTTTCGAGTCTGGATTGCGTTCGAAAACGCTCTCGATCGACGCGACGTGTCACTCATTCATTCCTCTATTTCTCTCTTTTAAAACATTAAAAAACAGGACGATGTCATCCGCGCCGTGCGCGAAATCGATTTCCACGAGCTCGAGCCTAAATTGAGAGCCCATTTGAACCAGGCGAAAGCCGCCGCGGCGCAACGACAAGCGCTCGCCGCTTCGGCGGCGGAGCGAGCGACGACCGAGCGGAGCGAAGGCGCTCCGGCGAAGAAACAGAAAACGATGGATGAAGAGGAAGAAGAGGAAGGAGAGGGTGTGAGCGACGAAATGGGAGATGATGGTAAAGAAGAAGACGACGCAGGGGAGGAAGAGGAGGAGGACGAATAGTACTCGCATCAGTAGCTTTTGTTAGACTTCACCAACCTTCCCCAAAAGACGTACACATTGCCTCAGAAATTCTCCTCCTTAAACTCATCTTTCGCGCGCGGAAGGAACGCACACGCACACTTTTTGCGCGTTTAAAACCGACAGAGCATATAAGACGACGAAGGAACATCATCGTTTGAGATCTTTCTCTGACGCGTAATCTCTCTCTCTCTCTCTCTTTCTCTGCTCTTTTTTGTCTCATTTTCCCAGAGAGAGAGGCCGCGCATTGATTGGATTGTGTTTCTGTGTTTCTGGGTACAGAGAGAAGAAGTCACAGAAGAAGAACAGGAAGATAAGAGAGAAGAAATGAAGCGCACGTACCAATCGGTTCCCTCGTTGACCTCCGGAGGACTTGGAAACGGGAAAACTCTCGAGCGCGTGAAATCGTTTCAAGAGTTACAAATCGAGTCCGATACGAAGTTGTACTGGGTGAAGTCCTTGTTCTTCCTCTTCTCGTGGGCGTTCGTTTCCGGCGGGATTATTTTACTGAACAAGTATATTTTCGTGAAGGACGATTTCCCGTACCCGATTGCAATTTCCGCGACTGGGCCTTTGTGTTCGTGGATCGTGGCGGCGTTGTTGATCGCGAGCGGGAGAGTGACGATAGAGAACAGATTGACGCTGTGGGAGTACGTGACGATTATTATTCCGATTGGTTTGTTCACGGCGATTACGTTCGCGAGCGGGAACACGCTGTATTTATACTTGAGCGTCAGTTTTATACAGATGATTAAAAGTTTAAGTCCAGTGGTTGTGTTTTTAGTTTTAGTTTTGTTAGGTATGGATAAGCCGACGTTTACGAAGACGTTTGGGATCGTGGTGACGAGTTTCGGGATGTTGGTGGCGTGTTTGAGCGAGAGTAAATTGACATCGGTCGGGATCATGTTGATCGTTCTGAGTGAATCGAGCGAGTGCATTCGGATGGTGTTTTTCCAGCACATGTTGTATAGTCGTAGTTTTGGAGTCATCGAGGGTTTGTTTTATTCCGCGCCGGCGAATTTTCTGTTTTTAGTGCTCTTCACCGTAATCTTCGAGTACGGCGAGATGGTTGAGACGGAGGCGTGGAGACGACCGATGGGAAATCCGTTGCCGTATATAGTAGTCGCGTTTTTTGGATTTTTCGTAAACGTGACGACGATTGGAGTGATTCAAACGTGCGGCTCGTTGACGTTTAAAGGTGCCGGGCAGGTGAGAAACGCGACGGTGATTATGTTATCCAGTTGGTTGTATAAAGAGAAGCAAACTTTCGTGCAGCTGTGCGGTTACGTGGTTTCAATCGTTGGATTTTTCATATACCAAACCGCAAAATCGGCGGAAAGTTTGGACACGATCACGAAAAGCGCGGAATTCATGGCTGGTGAACCGTTTACGCCCGGCTCGCCGATTTGGGAAGGTTCGGAAGAGTACACGTGGACGACCAGTCCGCAATGGAAACAGATCAAAAGAGGCGGCATTTTCTCGAATTTTCGGTTCGTCAATAACAAAGGAGGGTCCTCGAACAATTTAGTCGGAATGGCCAACGGAGGTAACGGTAGCACGAATAGCATGAGCAATAAAAACAACAACGGGAGCTTTTCTGGGTCGGAGGAAGAGAGGCAGAAAATCTTAGGCCCGACGCTGAAGGAAATCGAGGAGATCAAATTGGCGCAGTTGGCTAAGCAAAGGTCGAAATCGACCGCAGATTTCAACGTCGCCGAAAACGGCGGGTTGGTGGTGACGCCGAGAAGTTCTGATTTTGGTTCCGGAAGTACCGGACAACACTTTGTTTTAAGTTTACCGGAGGATTCAGAACGCGAGAGAGATCCGACTCGAGCCGCCAGATGGGGCGTTTAAGAAAAACATTTTTACTAGTAGTTTAGTTTTAGTTTTCATCATAGAATTTGTATACGTTAGACTTCACATTAAAATACATGTAGGTAGAAGAAGACTCTGGTTCTCCTCGTTCTTCTTCTTCTTCTTCTTCCTTCTCCTCTTGTAGCGGTTCGCGCGGGTTTGGATATATAATCTACTCTGTTGTACATTTCCCGCTTTTTGACCCCTTCGCGCTATTCTTAATTCTTCTTTCGTCCTCTTCCTGTCTCCTCTCCTTTTTCTTTTATAAACTTCTCTCTCCTTTCTCTCTCTTTCTCTCTCCTTCTCTCTCTTTCTCTCCATTCACACACGACGCTGTGAACGAACCACTTAAAGCACCGTTCCGTCCGGAATCTTTGCGTCCTTCAAGATGCAAGCGATTCCGTCCACAATCTCAATCATCCCTCGTAACTCCTCTCTCACCTGCACATTGCCGTTGCATCTCAACACGCAATCCTTCCCGATGCTAGCACAAGAATCTACAACTACGTTTTCCATTTCCGTGTTATCACCAACAACCGTTTGCGCGACAACTTCCGGCGACCCGACGATGATGACGTTCTTCAATCGAACGTTTTCACCGATTTGAGTCGTGGGACCAACGATGGCGGATTCAATAAACGATCCGCTTTCACCGCTTCTAACGACGCAACCGTCCAAAATCAACGACTCTTGAACTCTGGCAAAACCAATAAACTTAGCCGGTGGTAAATATCTCGCTCTCGAGATGAGTTTCTGGTCGGACCCGTACGCGATCAACTCCGCCGACGGACCTCCTTTCGCCATCTCGATGTTCGCTTGAAACCATTCGGAAAACGAGCGCAACGGCGTCCAATACCCCTCGTGCTTGTGTACGACAACTTTCATCCCGCGCTCGATCGCTTGATTAATCACGTGCTCGCCAAACTCGAAGTAATCTCCTCGTTCTCTCGATGGATTCAAAAGCAACAACTCCTTCATCGCCTCGGCGGAGATTATGTAATTCCCGGTGCTGATGTGATACGAGTGTCGTTCGTCCTTATCGACGAGTTCGCGAAAAATGTTCGAAAAGTGCGGCTTTTCGTGCAACCTTTTGACGACGCCTTTCTCACCTTTCGTCGTCACTTCAGTTAAACCAACTTTTAAATGGTTCGAATCGTGGTGTAAGTGCGATTTTTCCAACGCGCTCGAATGGCAGCGTTCGCTTTGAACCATCATAGTAATTGCCGCGCAAGAGTCGTTGTGCGCCTTCAACATCTCGTTGAAATCAGATTTGTGCAACTGCTCTCCCGAGCACACCAAATACGCCTCTTCATCGTACAATCCTACCCCCGCTCCGTTCATCAAACCTTGACCACTGCTCACGCCTTGTTCGATGGCGACGTCAAACGACTGCGCTTCCAAGTGCGCTCTCACAGCCGCCGCGCTTCCTTTCGGCCACTCGTCTCTCGTCGGCGTCGCTGACATTGGTAACACGCAAACCTCCGTTGTCGATCGGCCCATGGCGGAATTTTTCGAAAAAGTCATCGTCACGTGGTTGTTTAATGATCTCGAGTTGTATTGCGTCAAAACGAAAACTTTGCCAAACTCGGCTTTCAGGCACGCCGCGACTGGGAAATCGATTAATCGGAACGATCCACCCACGCTCAACGCCGAAATCGCTCTCTTTCGCGTCATCGGGTTAGACTCACCGGCACCGCCGGCTAAAACGATCGCGGTAACGTTTTGTGCGGAGACTTTTGCAACCGCGCCCGGTTGTTGTTGTTGATGCCGTTGTTGTCCGTTCACCGGAACGTTCACCATTCTCGTATTCCCCAAGTTCACTCGATTCGTATCCTCGCTCGTCCTCGACATGCTCAACCTCGACTTACTCGGCGACGACGCTTCCACCCGTTTCGACGTCATCACGTCGATCGTCTCCGCCGTCGAATTCGTTTGCACGCGAAACGGCGCGTCCACGTACGAGTTTCGCATCATCTCTCGCTTGTGTTCTTCCAAAAGTTGGTCTTCGTCCACGGAACCTAAGCCTCTCTGTTGCTGCGCTCTTTCTTCTTTGATCGCGTCCGTTTTCATCTCGTCGCCGCGTTGGTGGTGGTGGTCTCTGTGGTGCTCTCCTCCTGCAGAAGAGGAAGATCCTCTCGCCCCGGAGGAATCGCAGGAGATTCGAGTCGTCGACGACCCGACTCCCAATCGTCCGTTCCTCGCGCCTTCGCTCGAGGTGGAGGACCTTTTCGACATGAAGTGTTCTTTCAACGAGAACTGATGGCTCACGCCCGTGCACGTGGACGGCGGCGAACGGCTTAAAAACGCCATTATCTTCTTCTCTTCTTAAAAAGTTGACTTGTTAATCCGCTTTTAATCAATGAACGCGGAGAGAGAGAGAGATATTTTCTCTAACGCCGGCGGAAAAAATGAAGCGACTTCCGACGATAGACGCGAACGTAAAACGCTCCCTCTCTTCTCCTCAACAAACGAAGTGATACTTTTCCCAAGCGATAAAGACTTCTTAAAGAAGAACAAGAACGTTCTGTGTGGTATATTCGAGCGCGTGTGTGTATTCAACGCGTACAATTTATAGGGTGAAATGTGACACGTCAGGAAGAAGATACGAAAAGATATTTTGTGCTTTTCTGCTTTTTATCACGACTTTTCGTATGGCAAAATGTTTTTTATTGGACGACGCTTACTTAGAAACGCTTTTTCAAACGACGACGGGACAGACCTCAAGGATCAGACAGACACAGACACAGACGTGATGATGGAAAAGGAGACCCCGCAAAACGCGACGACGACGACCTATTCAAATACCAAACGACGAGTGGAAGAGAGCAATCGGATGTACGCGAGGAAAGTCGAAGAAGACGCGAAAAAGATGAGGGAGAAAAAAAAAGCGCAACAACATTCAGATGCTGCGGGTGTTAAAAAATCAACTCGACAGCGCTTCGATGGTAAAGGATACGACGAGGATCTTTCTTCTTCGGAAGCGTTCGAGAGACGAATCAAACGCGAGTGCGAGAAAATACTGAAGCGTTTAAAATCGTCGTTTAATACGACGTCCTAGAAAATGTAAAAAGGTTTCAAAAAGTGTTCATATTACATCAACTTTTGCGCACACTCTCTCTCTCTCTTTTCTCTCTCTCTCTCCATCTCTCTCTCTCTCTCTCTCTCTCTCGATTTAAAATATGTTAATAATATAAAATACACATTTACGTCGCCACACCATCTTGTTGTTGTCCTTGCCCTGCTTCGCCGCCTTCGTCGGGAGACTTGACGCAACTTCTCGCGACGGATTCGAACAAGCGTTCGATTTCAGGCGCGCACCTCGTGAATCCGTGCGCCCAAAAGTTGTATCTCGGATTTTTAATCAACTCAACAAACGTGACTAATAATCCCCACGGGTGCGGTCTGTTAACAACTAATCGCTCCAATAAAACTCGCGTGATTTGTTCTCGAACTAATTCCGATTTCGTCTCTTGGAATAAGCACAAAGTTACGCAACTGAAGTAGTGCGTGTGCGAGTTTGGATATCGCAACTGGTTCGCGACGGCGCTCATGAAGTAGTATCGACCTTCCGCGTCTAAACTTTCATCGCACAATTTTTGCAACAATTCCATCGAACTGGAATTCAACACGGAATTGCGCGCATTTTGGTTCGCCACGATCGCGTTGACGCCGACGTATAACACTAAAGCGTTCATCATCGGGACGTCGTATCGCGTGCCGGTTTGCATGGCTTTTTGCCCGGGAAGCAAAATGTCGTCGCGAACCTGGTTAGCAACTTGAGACGCGTTGGCGATGTTCTTCGAGCTCAAATAGTTGTCGATGGTAACTTTCACGTTCGATTGGTTAAACGCTGGATCCTTCAATACGAATTGAGCCGCGTTCGTCGGTTCTTGCGAGATTTCCGGCAACAAGTCAATCTTCAAGTTTGGCGTGAACGGATCCGGCAAACGCATGTTCCTTGGAAACGCAGACAAGACCAAGTTACGCAGTTGGACGCAGTTCGTCGGCGTGGCATCCAAGAAGAACACGTGGTTATCGCAAAGAAATTCCGGGAAATCGTGCAACAACACCAAAAAGACTCTCAAGACGCCTTTGTAGAGCAACTTGACCGGCTCGGTCAAGTTACACTCGCGCAAGTACGGTTCGAGAAACTTCAACGCGGCGCAAATCAAACGTTGCAACAACGGACGACCTTTTTGCGCGTGGTCCAAGAGTAATCTCGGCATGAAGCATCGATGCGACACGAGTTCCAACCACGCGAACGCAAATCCAGGAACGCGCATGGGCTGCAACGCCAACAAAGCGGAAGCAAACGCAGCCAAAACTTGCGGATGCGACGAGTCCAACACCGCATCCGGCGCTCTCATTTCGTTGAGCAAGCCGCTCAACGCGCGAAAGTACGGTTTCGGATTGAACTGCGGACCTCGCTCGTCCGTATCTCGCATCGCTGTGCGAACAATGGCAACCAACGCGCGTCCAAAGAGCGCTAAACGTTGCTGCGGTGACTCTTCCGGGCGTCTCGCGAGACGCGTGACTAAACGACAATACGCGTCAACCGCCGCAAAGCTCATGGAGCTTTCCTCGCCGCCTTGATTTTTCTTTTCGCTGCCAAGGCAATGCGTCACCGCGAGTTCGACCAAGACGCGCAAAAAGCCTTCTTGGGCATCTTCGCGAAGGAACGTCGTTCGTTCGAGTCTTTGCAAGAACATGACGGATCGGTCGTCTCCGGGAGGCAAATCTTGCACTCTCGCCCACTCGTCAAAGTGACTGGCGACTCGTTCGCGCATCTCCTTCGCAGATTTTTGCGCCGTCGTCAAGTTGCTGTCGTCGACCCCGCCAGTTGACACTCTACCATCGCCATCCTCGCCAGCTTTGCCACCACCCAAAAAGCTCGTCGTTCCTGATTGCTCGCTCGGCGGAGGCGGACCACCCGGTAACGGTGGTTGCGGCGGCGGCGGAGCGCCAGGTAACGGCGGTTGCGAACCCGGAAACGCGGATTGCGGTACCGGCGGTTGCTGCCCGCTCGCTCCTCCCGGGCCACTACCGCCACTGGAAGCTCCGGCAAGATTCGATTGCGATGAAGTCGCGCTTCCCCCCATCGGCGTCGGCGGTGCGAGTCTTGGAATTCTAGAAAAGTCGTCGTACACTTTCAAAGCGACGCCGCTCATCAAGGTCGCGCTGCCAGGTCTCGGCGGACGCAAAGTCTCCAATTGTAACGCCGCCGGAAACTTCCCAGATAAAGCAACACCACTATCGTAAAACGGAGCAGAAATCGATGACGGTTGCTGCTGCTGGGTTTCTTTGTGTTGTCTTCTGACCACGACCGCCGGCGCTAGCGCCTCGTCGACGTCTCGCATCGCTTTTTCCGTGGCTGCTTTTTCAATCAACGAACATCCGAGCTCCAAGTTGTCTTGCACCGCGTTTTGGATGGCATTTTCCAACGCTTGCGCCTCGCACGCGTTGGATGCACCCGCCCTTTGCACGAGCAATCGCAACTGGTTCGCCGCGGATGCCTTCAAAGGCTCTCTCGACGTCGCCAAGGCTAACGATCCAGCCAAAGAAGAAACCATCGCGTGCGCAGCTTTACGTAATCGCGACGTGTCTGGATCGCACGCGAAATCTTTACGAACGAGTTCTCTGGAAGTCACGCATGCAATAGTTGCGGAGCGTTCAACAACCGGCGACACAATCTCCCGTATGCCGTGCGTCAACGCAATCGGCAAAAATCGCGCGAGCATCGCGCGAACACTCTCCGGAACGTTCGGTTGCGGATGCACGCGGGCGTGCGCTTGAATGTTCGGCAAAGCTTGCGCGTCCGACAACGACGGTTGTTCCGCGGCCATATTCTGCTGGCGTTGCTGTTGTTGTTGTTGCTGCTGCTGCATGTCTTGTTGAGAAAGCTGCTGACCCCAGCCGCCACCCATGCCGCCGCGCTGCTGCCCTTGCAACGACGGGAGTTGACCGTCGCTCGTGGCAGTTTGCAACATACCTCCAGGACCAAGCCCACTCAAACCGGCGGGAACTTTGTCGGCGACGAAATCAGGATTGTCGATGCGCACGCGTTGTCGATTCTGTAACAAATTCGAAGGCTTGACGTCCTTGACGCTCAAATTGAAGTGCTTAAACAATCTCTCCGTTTCAAACTTCAAGTTCAACTTCAAATCGCGATCGAGGTAAATTTCCGCCAACAACGCTAAAAGCGCCGCCGTCCACGGGTTTGGAGGCTTGAAGACGTAGTTATCTTTCGCAGGTTCGAGTATCTTCGCGACAAATGGGATGACTGCAATCATGCGTCCAGCTTCGTAGGCGTCTAAAATCAATCCTTTCACGTCGAGATCAATCATCAACACCGGCTGCAGACGCGCGATCGTTAATCCGCCGAGCCATGAACCAAGATTTTTCAACAAAGAGCGCTCGCCTGAATTCGTTTTTACTTTCCCGCTCGTCAGCAAAACTTTGATGTTGTGATAAGTCGCGCGAAGAATCGCTTCGAACAATTTTTCCTCGCCAATTTCGTCGAGCATTTCGAGATACAACGCGTGAAAGTTCGGCTCGATCGCCGCTCTCTTCACAACCATGTACGTCGCGAACCACTCGTAAAATTCTGGCTTGAGCTTTCCTTTGACTTCTTGCCCTTTCAACTTGACGTTTTCACCAGACAAGTTGTTCACGGCGAAGTGAATCTGATCCGCGGTTTTCGAATCCGGCGAAGCCGTCGTCGAGGTTGAAGCTTGCAGAAGCGTATCTAAGTTAAGAGACGTCGCAAAACCAGAAGGCGCGGACGCAATCGCCGTAGCCGAACCTGATCGTGACATATCCCCGCCATCTTTGCCGAAAAACGGTAACGACGAGGCTGAGTGCAACTTACCGTCTTTCGTAGAAGACGAGTCAATCCCGAGCACGGATGCCGCCATGTCCGTCGCCGTCGTCGCGTTCGCACTCGTTGCCGCACTCTCCGAAGCCGCCGTCGCTGCCGCTGCTGCAGACGATGCCGCCGCCGCGGCCGCTGCGGAGTTTCCAGCCGAAGCTATGTCGTTGAAACTCAACTTCATGCCAGCCACTCCCGCGGCTAATCCGCGCGCGTCCTCCGGGCCGCCCATCTCAGGTTCGTGCATGCCGAGCGCGACTTGCGTAGGCTCCGAAACGGGAACATTTCCAAAGAACTGACCCAAATCCGGATGCGCTTGACGTAAGTGTTGAATCTGCGCTAAGTGCTGGCAATATTGCGGCCATTCCGGCAAGCGAGTTTTGAACTGTTCCAACGCTTCCGAACCGAACGCGAACATCTTCGATCCAAACGGTTTGCGCAAAGCGTCCAAGACGCAACGTAAAGCAACACCGAGCGTGATGTTACTCACGAGTTGACGCTGGACGAGCTGACCGAACAACACAGCGGTAATTCGTAACTCTTTGTCCGGGTACTTTGGAAAGAATCGATACTCGTCGAACAAATTGTGCACCATGCAACTAAACACTTCGCGTTCGCGCGGAGTGTTCGATCGCAAAAACCCGCCAAGCATGTCAACGAGATCGTTGATTTTGCGTTGACCGGCGTACACTTGCTGAAAGTGTGCGTTCGCTTCAGCTTCGATGTCGGCGGGGAACCCGTTGGACAACCCAGGATTCCCCGACGCGTTGGCCGTATTCCCGGCGTTGCCGCCGCTCGGGTTCGTCCCATCCGCATTCATACCGCTCGCGTCGCCCGCGGAAGATCCTCTCTGAGCGTATGCATTTTTAACCGTTTTAATATCGTTTTTGTTTTCCGCCGAAATCGACGTCGCGCTTTCCAGACACTCAAAGAATAGCTTCGCAGTTTCAGAAGTTACGTTTAATCCTTTCACGCTTTGTCCTTCAGATTCCAAGCAGCGTCTTCTCAGAAATGCCGCGCACGCTCTGGCGAAATCATCTGGATTTCCTGAAGTTCCCGCGCTATTGTTCGTATTCTTCCCCGAAGAAGATCCAGCTAAAGAATCTCTCAGAAACTTTTCGAGATTTAAGTATTCGCGCCGCGACGCCAACGCCGCGATTTCGACACCCATCAACATCCCACTTCGTTTTGCCGCAGAAGATCCGTTCGAAGACGCCAACTGGCCAATTCTTTGCAGAACTTTAGCTAAATTCTTCATTTCCGAAATCGCGTCCACGATTCGAGGTATGCAAGCGTTGTTGCTTTCGTAACTCGTGCTCATAGCTTCAATAACCGCGTCCGGCAAGTGCGTAAACGCGGCGGTCAAAGCGTACTCCCTCGGCGCCGACGCGTTTTGAAAGTTTGAGAATATCCTCGTCAACGACTTCTCGACGACATCCGAAGCGATCGAAGATTCCGCGTTTTCCGCGCGCGAAATAGCCGCCACGACGTAATCCGCGTTTGTCGACGCGCCGCGATCCAAAACTTTCGCCGCGATTGGTTTCAAGAAGACTTCTTTCGTATTATTCGTGGTATTTTCTGCTAACTTTGTCAACACTAACATCAAATCAACGCAAGACCAACGCTTAATTTCGCTCTTCTCTCCATTCGGAGGGAAACACGTCACCCCAAACTCCCACTCCATCAAACTCGGTTCCACCGCGAAGACCGCCGCGCTCAACAATTTCATTTGCGTCGATTGCAACTCGTTCGGCCAGACGATCCCATCCCCGACGATAGCTTGCGCGGGAAATGGGCTCCCCGCTCCTCTGCGATACATCTCTACCAATCTAGAAAAGAAACTATAATACGGCGGAAAAGACCCTTGCCCGGCGGCGACGTTCATTTGCTGCAAACTCGATTCGAAATCCGGACTCAACTCCACCTCGAACCCGCTCGAAAACATCTCGCTCTCGGGATCTTTCTCTCGCAAACTCAAAATAGCATCTTTCAAGTGCACCACAACGCTCTCTCTCCAATCCAACTCCGGATGCGTCTCTCTCACCGCGTCCGCCACGGCTTCGATGTTCCAGGTTTTCGCCCTATTCGCCGCCTCCGTCGGCGGCGGCAAACCCATCGCCGACGCCAAATCCGCCAACGTCTGCGACGGCACGTCCCCTAACGAGCCATCCCCGGTCTTTGCAATCGTCGCCAATAATACCGCTAATCCTTTGTTATCGATCCTCGGTAACAACGCCAATATCTGTTTCAAGGAAGCTTTCGTATGCGCCGAGGCGTAGCCCAATTCCTCTAACGCCGCAGCCGTGGACGACGCAGACGCCACGCGAGAGGCGATATCGTTCGCCAACGGGGAAGACGATTTCGACACGCCTTCCCCCATTATGTGTATATATGTATACTTTCTCTCTACTATCAAATCGCGCGCGCTTCACTACACAATAATGTTATATATAATTCTCTCACCACACGATCGTCGTCAAATCTCACAATCTTCTTCTTCTTCTTCTTTTACGACGACGTTTGCGCGCAGTAAAACAAAACACAAAACCTCCTCTCTCTCACTCTCTCGCCCAAAGTGTGTTTTCCGCCTTTTTTCGACGATCGGGACAAAACGGCAGACAGAATATGTGCGCGTGTGTTCTTTCTCTCGGTGTCTTTCCTCTCTTATATGTGCTTTTAAAACGAGCGCAAAGTGCTTCTTTTTTCTCTCTCTGTCGTTGTTTTGTGGCGGGTCAAAAATTAGGGTTTGACCCTAAATGTCAAATCTCTTTGGATTTTTGAATTTGGCAAAACTTCTTTCTCTATTGCGTCAGATGGTGTCTCTTCTTCTGAAGGAGAAGGAGAAGGCGTTTTCGCGATGACGAGAGCGAGGAAGAGGAAGGTGGAAAGTCAGAGAGATTCTTTTTTGTGGGATGTGGTCGTGAATAACGACGATATTTGTTTTAAACATATTCTTCCGAGATTGAATTCGACTGACGTGAAATTCTTGTATGGAGTGAATGGTGAAACGAGAAAGTTGATTGAGAGATCGTCTCGCGCGGAAGATTTGAAGAAGAAGTTTAATATAGAAGAGATGTCGTCGATATCGACTTTGGAAGTTGCGTGGGAGAATAGGGAGAATCGATCGTTATGGCCGAGTTGGTGGCTCAAAACTTCTTTCTGCTGGAGAGTTGCTGACACGAATAAACTCGAGTTGCTCAAGTGGGCGCGAGAGGAGAAAAAGTGTGAATGGGATTCAGGGACGATTGATGCGGCCGCATATCAAGGTAATCTGGAAATGGTAAAGTATTGCGTTGCAAATGAGTGTCCTATCGATGTGCGTGCGTGTGCATTTGCTGCCCAAAACGGTCATCTCGAGGTACTCAAATACTTACACGAAGAAGCAGAAGCGGCATGGGATTTGAGAACTGCCACGTGGGCGGCTGAAAATGGTCATCTTCACATACTCGAATATCTTGTTGAGCGTAAGTATGATCAATTTGACGAGTATGCGTGTGGGTTGGCAGCTGAGAACGGTCACTTGGACTGTTTGAAGTACTTACACGAAACTGCCAAAGTGCCTTGGGACTCTTGGGCGGTACGAAGAGCGCACGAGAACAACCAAACCGAGTGTGTACAATACTGCCTCGACAACGACTGTCCATTACCAGAAGACTGGTCGTACGAAGATGGACAGCTGCGCGCAGCATAGTAATCATAATCAGTATCATCATCATCATCATCATCATCATCATCATCATCATCATCATCAGTTGTACTAACAGAAAGAAACAAAACTCTCTCCTTTGCTCCTTTCTTTTTTTTTGGGTGCCGACAATACGAAAACATCACTTTTCCTCGTGGTGCCGTCACTTCATCATCCTTCTTTTACGAAGAAGAATATAACGACACACGCGCGCGCAATACACAGCAACGCGATTCATTTCCGCGCGTTATATATATATATATATATACACATAAGAAGACCTTCAACGCCTCCTCTTTCGTGTTCGTCGGTTGGTCTTTCGTTCTCTTAAAAGAAACGCACCGCAGGAGTGAGAGAAGAAGAAAGAAATCATCGACCGACGACGACCGAAAACACGCAACAGACGTCTCTTCGTTTTTGTTCTAAATTTACGTGCATTGATTTCTTCGCGCGCGCGCGTTTCTCTCTCTCTCGCGCTGCTCTTTCGAGAGAAGAAGAGGAGGAGGAAAAGAAGAAGAAGCACAAAGAGGAACAGAGAACGACACAGAAACAACCGTGGTCTGAAAGAAGAAGACGAAGAAGACGAGAGGAAAAGAAGAGCGCGAGACGACGACATCGTCGTCACCTCTTTCTCGAAGGGCAACTCTGGGCACCGAAAACTGTCGCTTCATTTTCCATTTAGGGTTTTCAAACTGAAGTGAAAAAAAATACGCGAAAAAGGACAACACAAATCTTCTCTTCTTCTTCTTCTGAATAAGATGACTTTGACTTTGATGAAGACGAGAGCGGCGTTGGAACGACAAAGACGCGGTGCACAGAAACAGAAACGAGTCGTTCGACGATTTAATAATAATAATAATAATAATAATAATAATAATAATAATAATAATAATAATAGTAGTAATAATAACGTTTCTGATGATGACGTTGTTTCGTCGCCGGCGACGAAGAAGACAAAGAAGAAGAAGAAGACGAAAGGAGGAGCGGAACAACAACGACAACAACAACCTGTTTTGACGACGACGACGACGACGATTCAGAAGACGATTCAGACGAAAAAGAAGAGGAAGAAAAGAAGCGGGGGTACTTTGAAGACTTTGAAGGCGCGACCGAGAACGAAAAAGTCGTCATCGGAAAAGACAAAAGTCGCGGTATCCGCCGCCGCGCTTCCTCCTGCGCCTCCTCCAATGAACACCACCACCACCACCGCGCAAGGACCGTTGTTGTTCTCCGACGACGACACCGACGACGACGCCGCTTTGTTTTGGAAGGAGATTGATGCAGATCCGGAGGATTTCTTTTCGTTTGATAATGACGCCAGTAATACTAATAATACTACTACTAATAATAACGTGGACGTTGGCGTTGATACTACCGGTGGTGGTGATACCGACGCGCGATCGTCTGGCTCGATTGTGGCGCCGATGTCGCTGGAAGAAACGACCACGGACGCGTATTATTTTGGGGCCGATATGCGAGTCGCCAAGACGCCGGAACGCGTCGTTTGTACCGTGAATTGTAAGACATCCTCGCCGGGCGGCGAGTGCGGTGACGACGGCAGCGGAGAAATGTTCTTCGTGCCAACACCAGCAGCGTCTGGCGATCGCGCGGTGGTAATAACAACACCTGATTTTTGTTCTCGTCGAGACCGAGGAGAGATTGTGCTCCAAGAGGAGGAGGAAGCCGAAGAGGATGTCGACGGCGGTAGCTCTCGCAACTATCTCGAAGATCTCGCGGCGATGCACGGTATCGTGCTTCGAAGCACGGATGGTGACGACGACGACTTTTACGACGACGACGACATCGACGACGACCTCACCGAAGAGAACGTAAAAACAGCAACGACAACAACGGAAGATTCGACGGTTACGTACGAAGATCACGCGAACAATAATAGTAACACCACCATCGATAATGACGAGAAACGAAGGAAGGCAAAGAAGTCATCGACGACGACGACGACGACTACATCTCAAACATCCATCTCGAATGCTAAGAAAGATGCGGAGCGATTGAAACGTCTCGCATCCAGAAAAAGGTGGGAAGCGACGTTGAAGACGTACACCGCGATCGAGAGAACAAGCGTCGCGGAGGAAAAATTGCAAAACTTGGAGGAGGTGGCGTTGCGGGAGAAAATTTTCTTGAAAACCGAAGGCAAGAACGGCGGCGCGGTTAGAAATAAGAAACGTAGTAACGGCAAAGACAACACGTATGATGAAGACGTGGTGTCGGAAAGCTTGAAAAAACACGCGGTCGAGCACGTGTCGAACATGTCTTCTGAAGAAGATCTTCTCGCTCCCGTCGCGAAGAAACATAAACGGAAGCGCAGAGCGAGGCGGGAACTGCAACGACGCGTTATTGTGAAACCAAACGCTTTACTCTTTACTGGAACAACGAAAGAAAATGTACCGCCCGCGACGACAACGTTTGACGATGTAGTTGTGAACGAATCACTTTTCGAAGAAGAAGAAGAAGAAGAAGGAAGAGGAAGAGACGGAGGCGACGAAGAAGCGCAGCGAGGCAGGACGACGAGAACGAGAAAGCGTCAGAGAGAGCAGCGTCATAGTAAGGAACGAGAACAAAGGCAAAAGAAGGGTGCAACCACCAACAGCTCTTTTTCCACGCTTTTTGACGACGTCGACGACTATTTCTACCAAGACGATAACTCAACGAAGAAGCCCCCGCGAAAAAAGAAATATCAAAAGAAGGAGAAGAATAAAGCCGAAAAGGCGGCGGCAGAAAAAGAAGAAGCGACAGAGACAAAAGTGAACATTTCCGCCGTCGTCGGTACCGACGCGAAAGCCACCGATGTGATCGTGTGCTCGACTACGGGTCGAGAGCGTGTCATCGGGTGTTTCGAGTGTGGCATCACGCAGACGCCGCAATGGCGTCAAGGTCAGCACGGTCCAAAAACGTTATGTAACCGCTGCGGCGTCGCGTATAGGAAGCGGCAGTTGCTTAATAGCTCCGCCCTATTTTAGTAGTAAACAACACCCTGCGTTCATCTCTATCTTTGTAGATACTATATAGAGAAACTATATCATCATATTACAACAACAACAACAACATCAACATCGTGAAATCATCATCATCATCCGGTTTTCTCCTTCTCTTTCCTTTCCATGTACCTCTCGATGGTATCGACTATCGCCCTAGTGCTGCTTTCGATTTCTATATTCACGCTGTTCCCAACGCTCTTCACCCGAAACGCCGTCGCTCTAATCGTCTCTGGAATCAACCACACGTTAAACGTCCCTTCCTTCTCGTCCACTTCTCCCACCGTCAAAGAACACCCATCCACGGCGACGAAACCTTTCGGCAAAATGTACTTCACAATCTCTCGATCTCGGAGACGAAACTTAACCTCTCGATTGTTCTCCGTCTCCTCCTTTTCTGCGTAAATCTCCGCGGTCGTGTGCACGTGCCCAGACACCACGTGCCCGCCAATCTCCTCGCCAAACTTTGTGCTTCGTTCGTAATTTACGACATCGTCAACTCGTAACTCGCCTAAATTCGTCGCCCGTAACGTTTCTGAAATCATATCAAAACTCGCCGTGGACTTTTCCTCGTCAAACTCCACCACGGTTAAGCACGTGCCGTTGACGGCGATCGACGCGCCAATCGTCAGCTTCTCCAAAGGCCTTTGGTTTTCCCCATCATTTGGGAAGGTGAGCGTCAAGCGGGCGAATAATCCTCCTTGGATTGGAGTGAACGAAGTCACCGTCGCGGTGCCTTGGACGATGCCAGTGAACAACGCGCGACATTCTTTTGGTTTTTTGGTTCTCGTTCGTTTAAGTCGACGTTGATGATGATGAAGATGTCTTTCTTGGTGATGATGACTGCGACGGAACGTCAAGGAAGAAGAGGAGGAAGAGGAGGAGGAACAACGCGTCGTCGCGGCAATGCTGCTGCTGCGGACACAAGAAGAAGAAGCGACGAACACCATTTAAAAGCAGGGAGAAGAACACAACACGTTTCCTTCTTCGCGCAAGGAAGACGTGGGGGTGTTTTAATACTACGAGCGCAAAACGTGGTTGTTTGTTTGGATAAAATGAAGCAATCGTGTTCACATCTCAAATGTATATATATTTAGAATTCTCTTTAGATACGCACAACTCTCTCTCTCTCTGATTATCTCTATCGTTCGTTCCATCTCTTATTATTAGTAGTATTATTATTAGTATAAAGTTGTTTGTTTAAATATAATTGTTTGTAGTATTATACTTTGGCGCTCAAGTTCGCGCTCGAACTCCCGCTATGAATCATCCCAACACCTTTCGCCTCGTCCTCCTTTTGCTTGTTCATAGCCTGGGTGTAATAAATCATCCCAACCACGGCTAACGCACACCCGGCGATATTTTTACTCGTAATTGGCGCGTTAAAGCAAATAAACCCGAACAAAAAGACCAAAACCGTCTTCACGTGTCCAATCACTTGGAATGACACCGCCGAGAATCTTCCGATGCACAAATATTGGGAGATGTTCACCAACACCGCGAACCCGCACGAGACGGCTAAAAACATCAAACTCCCACTGGTCCACTCGTATTCGAACACGTTTTCCCCCCCGGTGACTAAAGTATCCATGATCGGTCCAAACACCAACATCGACGCCGCCATCCACAAACTCGTCTTGGCTAATAAAAAATTACTCGTCACGTTGTGCTTCTTTTGCAAGTGCCCGACCAATATTTGCTGCGCGGACGTGCTCAACACCCCGACGCTTGCTGCCACCGTTCCAGTCACGTTCATCTCAACGTCCGAGACCGTCGCGACGGCCACGCCTGCCAAAACCACGATGATTGCTTGCACAACCTTCCTGGAAAATTTCTTGTTCAAAAACGACGCCTCTAATATGCACATGGTCGGTATCTGCGCGAGTTTACACACCTGGTAAAACCCAATCGTATTCAACATCAAAGAGACGTTTAAACCAATGATGGACATGTTCGCGACGACGACGTAAAAGACTAAATCTTTGAGCGGAAGCTTTTGTTGTTGTTGTTGTTGTTGTTCTGATTCCATCAACTTTTCGCTCAATCCGGTTTGCGAAGCCGAAGCGTCGCCAGAGCTCGATGCCGAACTCTTCTCTCGTTTCACGCACAAGTTTATAAAAGCGGTGCAAAAAAAGTGCAACCCGCACAACGTCGTCGCGAATCGAAACCCGTACCCGGTCGAGCTCATCAGTTGTTTGTTCACCATGACGATGGCCACGGAGGAGAAGATGTTTAAAGACCACGCTAAGGCGTCCACCGCGGTTTTCCCCATCGGAGCCATTTGACTTCTTTCCGTGAGTAATCAAACGTAAATCTATCTGAAATCAAACGACGAGACCAATCTCTCTCTCGAACGTGTTATGGTAGTATTATATTACGCGCGTCGTGAAAAGTTCGTTCTTTTCTCAATCCTCTCTCTGTGTGTATATTTATTGTGATCTTTCGTCGTGCGCACAAAGTGTGGGGCTTTTATATGTTGGGGAAAAAAAAGAAGAAGAAGCGTAGTTTATGCCCGAAGCCCGAAGCGTCGAAGTGTGTTTTGGTGCGCAAAAACAGAAAAAGCACACACCCCCTCGAATCTCTCTTTTCACCTCTCTTTTCGACAGCTTTTGTGCGTTCGTTTGAGCCTCAGAACTGGTCTGTTTTTTTCCCTTTTTTCGCCTATTTTCAAGCCTGTCGAACTCGAAATTCCTCCTTTTTAAAACACAGAATCCACCCAAAGCACGGCTCGGGTAGGACGAGTTCACTCACACGTTCAAACACACGTAAGTGCATATCGTCGTCGTTTTACTTTGTCTTCTTCTCTGTCGAGTTCTTCTTTAAACAACGCGCAAAACTCTCGTTGTTGTTTTTTCTCTCTGTGTAGTTGTAAAGAAAAAGAAAAGTCAAACGCTTGGGCTCTCATCCGTACGAGGGAGAAATGCGCCTCCGTGTTTTGTGTAATCTTTAAACGCGGAAGTGACGTTTACAGACGATCGAGGACTGGAAGATCGCGCGATCGCTCGACAAAACCACACGAACGAATACACATTAAACGCGTTGCAAGTGACGAAAGAGGTTTTTGCTGGTCGCAAAGTGGGTGTTTGAGAGAGGAATGTGTACGCGCGATTGATTTTTATGTACGCGCAGAGGCGGTGAAGCAAAAGCGCCGCCATTGTGGGAAGAGCAAAAAAAGAGGCAAAAATCACCATCTTTTCGCTCGAATGCGTATACGTATACATCTCGATGACGATGAGACGAGAAACAACAACAACGTTTTAGAAGATGTTTAACGCTCTTCTTTTGTTTTGCTCCTCCGAAACTGACTTTTCTTTCTCTCTTTCTCTCTCTCTCGCTGTGATACAAACGCGTGTCGTATTATCAAAACAACAGACTTTCAAAACACTCACTTTACAACAACGACACCAAAATCATGTCTGGAGAAGGCGGATTCGACGACGCGGCGTATGATCGCGGTATGGAGGAACTCACCAAAGGTGACGGCGAAGATAACGTCATCACCGAATGGACTGAAGTGCACGAAACGTTCGATACGATGAACTTGCACGAGAACTTGTTGCGCGGGATTTACGCGTACGGTTTCGAAAAACCGTCTGCGATTCAGCAGAGAGGCATCGTTCCGTTTGCGAAAGGGTTGGATGTTATTCAGCAAGCGCAGTCTGGTACCGGTAAGACGGCGACGTTTTGCGCCGGTATCTTGCAATCGTTGAACTACGAGTTGGAGGAGTGCCAAGCGTTGGTTTTGGCGCCGACGAGAGAATTGGCGCAGCAAATCGAGAAGGTTATGAGAGCGCTCGGGGATTATTTGCAAGTGAAGTGCCACGCGTGCGTCGGCGGTACGTCGGTGAGAGAGGATCAAAGAATTCTCCAAGCCGGCGTCCACGTCGTCGTCGGTACTCCGGGGAGAGTGTACGATATGTTGAGACGCAGAGCGTTGAAACCAGATTCGATCAAGATCTTCTCTTTGGACGAAGCCGATGAGATGTTGTCCAGAGGTTTCAAGGATCAAATTTACGACATTTTCCAATTGTTGCCGCCAAAGTTGCAAGTTGGCGTTTTCAGTGCGACTATGCCGCCGGAAGCGTTGGAAATTACTCGCAAGTTTATGACCAAGCCGGTGAGAATTTTGGTCAAGAGAGACGAATTGACTTTGGAAGGTATCAAGCAATTCTACGTCAACATCGACAAGGAAGAGTGGAAGCTCGAAACGTTGATCGATTTGTACGAAACGTTGGCGATCACGCAGTCGGTTATCTTCGCCAACACGAGAAGAAAAGTCGATTGGTTGACGGACAAGATGAGATCGAAGGATTTCACGGTTTCCGCCACGCACGGGGACATGGACCAAAACACTCGCGATATCATCATGAGAGAATTTCGCTCCGGCTCCAGTCGCGTTTTGATCACGACTGATTTGTTGGCCAGAGGTATCGACGTTCAGCAAGTCTCTTTGGTTATCAACTTCGACTTGCCGACGCAACCGGAGAACTACTTGCACAGAATCGGTCGTTCCGGTCGTTTCGGTCGTAAAGGGGTTGCCATCAACTTTGTCACGCAAGACGACGAAAGATTGTTGCAAGACATTCAAAGATTTTATCAAACCGTCATCGAGCAATTGCCGAACAACGTCGCGGATTTGATTTAAACGACAACCTACGTATGTATTATTTGGTCGGTCAAAAAGAGGAAACAGCAACACTCGTGTACATAGAGAGAAAAGAAAGAGAGCAAAACAAAAGACGCCCGCTCGAATCTCGTCTTTGCAAAGAAAACCAGCGCGGATTTGATGCATCGTGCGAGGCAGCGCGCCGAACACACTATTATTAGAGAGAGAAAAAGTAATACACCAAAAACTACTACACACACATGAATACTTAACAGTATATAATACACGCACCTATATAATACTCGCAATGACTCTATCTATCTAAATCTAGAAGAAGAAAAAGGAGGAGTTCGCTACTACATAAAATCCTCCTCCGCTTCCTCGTAACTCTCGTACTTCGCGCTCATCTCCTTATTCGTCACTTTCTTCTCCTCTATGTTTAACCTCTCGTAATCTCTCGCCATGACATCCAGTTTCAACTGTTCCTCTTCCTCTTTTCTTTTTTTCTCTTCTTTCTCGAAATGCTCTCGTTTCTTTCGTTTAAGACGTTCGTCTCGTTCTCGTTTCTCGTTCTCTAAGTCTGGATTTTCTTTAATTGTTTTCGTTTTGTTCAATCGGTTGACGATGTCGTTGTTCCTCCCGTCTTTAATTCGAGTCTTTAAGACTAAACTTTCGTCTTTATACGCCACCTGTCCAACCTCAAAGCTTGATTTTTTCAGTAAGTTTTCGCACGGCGTGTACACCACGTCAACTTTTTCTCTTTTATTCCCTTCGATGGAGTTATACTTCACCAATTGCGCGCAATCGAGCAACACTTTCGGAGGAATCGAGTCGATGGTTTCCCCGTCGTGTAATCGCAGATAGACGTGCGCGGAGGATAAATCGTCCACGTGGAACCATACATCTTGCTCCGGCCACGAGAAACGAATGAGATCTTCGTTCTCGAACTTGTCCTTACCGACGTAAATGAGATAGGAAGGGTGAGGAGAGAGGTCGGCGTGTTTGGATTCGTAATACAAGACCATCTTTGTTGTGTGCGCAAAGTATGTGAAGAGATCTTTGATGCCATTTTCATTTCATCGCCTATACAGAGAAGATATGTTGTACTCGTTTCTTTAAACGAGACTATCAGACTATTACTATTACTATTACTACTAATCTTCCTCTTCTTCTTCCGAAACGTTCACCCTGGCGCCGAACCTCGGCGTGACGGTAAAACCGACGCTCGGAACCATCTCGTCTGCGATGGGATACTCTGACGCGTTTTCGGAAAACGTAAACGTCTCCAAGAGTTGGCCAAAGACGACTCTCAGAGTCGCCATGGCGACGTGTTGACCGACGCACGAGCGTTGACCGGACGCGAAAGGCTGGAAGTTTTTGCCCGGCTTTTTCAGTTTGATCGTCGTCGTCGCGGGAGCGATGGTATCGTGCCAACGCGAAGGTTGGAACGCGTTTGGGCTTTCCCACGCGGCTGGGTCGCGATGCGACGCGTGAAGCCACACACACGCCGCCGTACCTTTCGGGATGGTCACACCGTTTTCCAAATGTATCGAGCGGTGTTTCATCTGACGCACGACGAGTGGCGCGACTGGATGTAAACGAAGCGTCTCGCGGATGACGGCTTCGAGTTCTGGTTTGCTCGCGGAAGTCGTGATTTCCTTCTCGTCTGCATCGTCGTCGTTTACGTCGTCGTTCTCGTTGCCGTTCTCGCTCTCGTCATCCTCGTTGCTCGTGCTATTCCTATGCTGCTGCCGTCCACCGTTTTCTTCTATTTCCGTTCGTCGCTGCTTGCGCAACGAACGCCTCAATTCCTCTTGTATCTTTTCGTGCTTGATGAGCTCTAATATTCCCCAACACATCGTCGCGCTTTGCGTGTCGTGACCGGCGAATAACAGCGTCGTCGCTTCCTCAACCGCATCCGTCGCGCGTTTTCCGTGCGCTTCGCCTCTGATAATCTCCCTCAACGCCGAATTTTCCGTGCACGTTTCCACCGCAATCAAAGCCAACAACTTCGCCTTTTCAATCGCTCGTTTCTCTTCTCGTCCGACGGATGAAAACGTGTAGTACAAAAAGTCAGAAATGATCCACATCGAGCGCGCTCGCGCTGGAATGATGCGTCGCAAAATCGTCGAACACTCCAAGTACTCCGTCTCAATCACTTTCCAGTCTTTGTTCTTTTCATCGTCGTCGTTCAATTTCTTCGCGCTCCTCCTCTTGCACGCCTCCTCCATCGATATCCCGCACAAGTACTCAAACGTGATTCTCAGCGCGACTCTTTGCAACAGAGGTAACAGCGTCACCGTCGCTACTTTTATATCATCATTGTTCTTCTCTCCTCCTTTCTTCTTCTTCGTCTTAATCTCCTCTCTGATCTCCTTCACCAATTCTTTCACTCTCTTCTCGGCGACTCTCCTCAACTTCCCCACGCCGACTCTCCCAAACGCCTTCAAAACTTCCACGCGTTTCCTCCGCCACTCCTCCGCATTTGCGCACGTGAACAACCCGTTCCCGGCGAATCGTTTAAACGCTGAATACGCCGGCATCTTCTCCGTGCCGCCTTCTCGCAATATTTTGCGAGCGGCGTCGCTGGCGCCGACGTGCGCGAACGGACACGAGCCGGTGACCAGAGAAGACGTCGCGCCGAATATCCTCTTTCGACGATTATTACTATCATCATCATTACCATTACCATCATTATCAATTTTGTCACTCCTCTCGTCGCTCTCTCTCAACCATCGTTCAATCCTGTCCAACAGGTGGACTTTTTTCTCCGTCTGAGCACTCAAAACCCATCCACTCAAACGCCGTCGTTTCCTCACTATAACGGTCGTTATCCCACCTCTCTTCAACAAGAACACGCTCCACATTTGTTTCAGTTTCAAGAGAACCACCAAAACTGTCAAAACGGAGAGAATAGTACGCATCATCGAGAGAAAACAAAGGTGCGTTCCCGATTGGATTTTTCCCGTCGGGAAAAGAAAATCAATCGAAGCTGACGAAGATTTATTCGTATTCGTATTAAAGAAGGAGAAGAAAGAGGAGGACGAGGTGGTTGTAAAGGTGGTGTCGACCATCGCTTCGCCTCCCCTTTCTTGTTTTCGTTGTGTGTTTTGTTGGTGTCGGTGTCGTTGCGTGTTGTTGTTACATAAAATGAAGAATGAAGCGAAAAGTGAGAAGAGAGATGAAAAGACACAAAAGCGCGTCGATGATAATGCGACATTAATGATGATAAACATTCTCTCTAACTGTTATTCACGAGCGCTTCTTTGATAACGTTCTCGCTTTTTTGGCACAACTCGTCCGCGTTTTCGCTCGCTTCGATTCTTGGATGGACGATGACTTTAATCTCGCCTTTTCTTAACATCCACTCTTTACCGTTTCGCATTATTCCGCCGGCGTTGACGATGGTGATTGGAACGATTGGAACTTTCTCCTTGGCGGCGACGGAAAACGCGCCTTTTTTAAACTCTGCCATGGTTCCGTCTTTTGATCGCGTGCCTTCTGGGAAGAACAAGACGGAACCGTTCTTCTGTAACGTCTCTCGGCAAATCTTCAACGTTTCCATTTGCGACCTTCGGTCGGTGCGTTTCAGAGGGACGTGGCCGGTTAAAAACATGCTCCAACCGATGATTGGAATGATAAAGTTACTCGTCTTGGAGATGAACTTAAACGGTCGTTTCAAGTGAAACAAACTGAAAATATCCATAAACGACGCGTGATTCGCGACGTATACCGCCGGTTCGTCTTGTTTCGGTAAATGTTCTCTACCTTCGACGGTGATTTTCACAAACGGCGAAGTCGAGCATATCGCCCACACGTCGTTCACGAACGATAACGCGTATCGTCGAGTTCGGTCCAAAAAGTAACAAAATGGAAAGATCACACACATCGTAAGAAACAAAGGGACGGCTAACGAAAAAGTCCATAAAGTAAACGCGATGCATCGGAGGATGGCCAAAAGAGACACGTCGTTCGGGTTTCCCGACCATAGCTTGGTTGTTCCTCCTCCGGTTGCTGCTGCTGCTGAAAACACGTGATTGTTTTGGAAGGCGTTGGTTGTTGCTTTGCAGGTTACGCTCGGTTTCCTTTTCCTCTCGCTTCTTTCTCTTCTCACTTTCCTTTTTTGCTCGTTTTCGTTTGTGTTTTCCATCATCGTCGTCGTCTTTGTCGTCTTCATCTTCATCTTATTCTCGTTATCCATCATCCTCATCGAATAATGTTTTCCCCGCGAACGAGAACGCATCAAAAGTCGTCCTCTTTCACCTCCTAAGAATACTCCTCCTCCTCCTAAACTCGACAAAAACGAGTTGTTGTTTACCACGGTGAACGTCGTCGTCATTTCGCTTCTTTTTTAGTGTTGTTACTCTCTTTATTATAGAGTAGTAGTGGTATTAAACGTATTATAAGCAAGCGCTCGTATCTCTTGTTTTGGTTTTTTGCTCGCTTCAGATTTTTTCTTCGCGAGTAAGGAAGATGTACTAATATTTTAGGGTGTAAGTCTGTATTTCTGACTCAAATTTGACTCTCTAAGTGCTTATTCCTTACTCGTAAGTGCTTATTCCTTACTCTTAGAAGGCATACTTTTTAAGGAACCTTTTTTCTCTCTTTTTCTTCAGAACAACAACAACAACAACGTAAAGATGGATTCGTCCTCCTTCATGGGCGCTTTATCGGCGACGAACTCTGCCGCGGAGTATTATTACTTCGCTTCTGGTAACAACAACAACAACAACAACAACAACAACAGCAGCAGCGCTCAAGCTGCGACGAACGAGAACAAGAGTTTACGAGGAGGAGGAAGAGCAGATGACGGGGAAGCGGGAGAAAATCATCGCGCGGGTGGAAATGAAATCCAAGAGGAAAACCTGTACGCCGCGAGGAAGACGAGGGAAGAAGAAGAGGAACGTCTGTCACCGGAAAACAGAGAACAAAACGTGTGGCTGGAAGACGCTTTATCCGTGGTCAAGAAACACGCGTTCCACATGAAACGAGCGATCGAGGAGAACAATTTGCGAGATTCCTTAAAAAACGCCTCCGCTATGCTCGGCGAGTTACGCACGAGACAACTCTCGCCGAAACGGTATTACGATTTGTGGCACAACATCGCGTTCGAGCTGGAGTTTTTGAGAGAGTTTTTCGTGAATAAAGAAGAGAAACACGGGAGATCCGCGATGGAACTCTACGAGTTAGTGCAACACGCCGGGAACGTGCTTCCGCGCTTGTATTTATTGGTGTGCGTCGGGTGCGTGTACGTCGAATCGAGAGAAGGGAAAGCGAAGGACGTTTTGAGAGATTTGGTGGAGATGGCGAAAGGGTGTCAACATCCCGTGCACGGGTTGTTTTTGAGAGCGTATTTAGCGCAAACGGTGAAAGGGAGAGGGTTGTTGCCGGATACTGGGAACGAGTTGGAGAAAAGCGGCGGAGGCACCGTGGAGGATTCCATCGAGTTTACTTTGAGTAATTTTACGGAGATGAATAAGTTATGGGTGAGGATGGAAAGGTTTAACAGACAACAACAACAACAACAACAACAAAGCGGAAGTGGTGGTGGAAGTGGAACGGCGACGCCTGGAGGAGCAGCAGGAGGAGGCACAGGAGGAGGGGAAGGAGAAGGTCACGGAAACAACAGCGAGGCGTACGGGAGCGGAAGCGGTCATGGGTACGAGCAACACCAGCAATTTGCGACGTCTCGCGGTATCATCGATAGCACGCAACTGGAAAGAGATAGGAGAGAAAAAGAACGGTTAGAATTGCGAGATATTGTCGGGAAAAACTTAACCGTATTATCTCAGTTGGAAGGCGTGGATATTGAAACGTATTCGGAAAACGTGTTGCCGCGAGTGTTGGAGCAGATTGTGAATTGCCGAGACGACGTGGCGCAGCCGTATCTAATGATTGCTTTGGCGCAAGCGTTTCCATCGGAGTATCATTTAGCGACGTGCGATGATTTCTTATCCGCGGTGTGTTCGTTAAAGCCAACGGTGCAGATGTCCGCGATATTTACCAGTTTGAGCGAGCGCTTGTCTTTGTATTTAGACGAACCCGATTTAAGCGAGGAAGAAAAAACGACGAGAAGAGCGGAGTTTGACGAGAAAAATTGCGTGAAAATATTTTTGAACCGCGCGCAAGAGATTGCGAACGAAAACAGGGAGATGTCCGCGTTAGAGATCGTGCAGATATACAGCTCCATCGCGGATTTCGCGTTGAGGCAGTATCCGAACGACGTGAATAAAATGAACGAAGTTTTGTTGGGCGTGGCGAAAGCCTTCGACGCGCACAACGTGACGAGCGAAGACGAAACGCGTTTGTCCATGTCACCACAAAGATACATTCGCGATCAAAGGGCGGTCTCTGCGCTCGTAAAGTTACTCGCGATACCGTTGGAAACGTTCACGGTTGACGTCGCGTTGTCTTTACACGCGTTTCCGAAAGCGTTAAAATTGTTGAATCCGGAAACGGCCGGGAGAGACTGCGCGTTGGCCATCGTTCGAGGCGTTTTGAAATCAGAAAAACCTCTGAGCGACGTGAAGACGGTCGAAACGTTGTTCAAGTTCATCGCGCCGCTTTTACGGGATAGCGATAATAAATCGTACGAGATGACGGATTTGAACACGGAGTCGCCGATGAAAGGAAGCGGCGACTTGTTGGACGCTTTGTCGTTGAGAGAAGAACGAAGAGGAAAAACGCGGGGAAACATCAACAATAAGAAGAGCAGCGACGGCGATGAAGGGCACGAAGAGACCGCGCAATTTGCCGAGGAACAAATGGATGTCGCAAAGTTGCTGCATAAGATTCACTGCCCGAACGATTGGGACTCGCAGTTGCACTTGTTGAAACTCGCGAAAGTCACTTTGTTTTCGGGAGGAGAAAAGCGCATGCGTTTCACGTTGCCGGCGTTGTGTTATTCGTCCATGCGATTCGCGAAAGAGTTACTGAGCGAGCGAGAATTAGAGGAGAGAAAACAACACCCGCCCGCAAAGATGAACGACGAAGACGCCGCCGCCGCCGGAAAACTGATGGAGGAGGACAAACCTAAGCGCACGCTCGAAGAACTCGAAATTTTCGAAAAACATCTCCAAACGACTTTGAAGAAGACGTTACAAATCACGCACCAATCCGCGGAACGGTTTTCTGAAATCCCAGGATGCGCCGAACGCGGTTTAGTCGCCTGGTCCGAAGCCGGCATGTTTGCGGACAGCGCGAAACTCTCGGACATTTCCTACGAGTTCTTCGAAAGAGCGTTTGAAACGTTCGACGAAAAATTATCTTCCGATTCGCGCGCGCAAAACCGCGGTTTGACCTACCTCATCGGCGCTTTACAAACGTGCGTTCATTTGGAGGAAGAAAACCGCGACGCGCTCGTCCACCATTGCGCGACGTTCGCGAACCGTCTGCTTCGCCGAGCCGATCAGTGCGCCGCGGCGGCGAACTGCGCGCACCTCTTCTGGTCGCTCAAATCCACCGCCATCCGCGACAGCGAAGGCGTCAAAAAATGTCTCAACAAAGCTTTGAAGATTGCCAACCAAGCCGCTCGCGCTTTAGGCGTCTCTCCTGGCGAATCTTTGGGACTCTACGCGCACGTCTTGAACAAACACTTGTACTTTTTTGAAATCGAAACGTGCAAAGCCGTGGACGTGGAAACGGTCCAACATTTACTGGACGCCATCCGCGAGATGATTCAATCCGGCTCGAGCGAACACGGCGGCACGGCTGCCTGGCGCGACGCCGAGGCGTACTTTGGCAAAATCAAACTCGACATAAAAAACAAACGAAAAATACAAAACGAAACAACTGGAGGAAGCAGCGTTGGCGAGAACGCCGAAAGAAGTATCGGCGGCGACGAAAGTAGTAGAAGTAGTAGTAGCGGGAGTAGTCAATTCGCCAGCGAGCGCTATCGTCGATTGAACTTGTAAATGTAAGAAGAAGAAGAACAAAAGTATAAACGGTAACCCCACGTGTACCTGGTCGATGAACAATACGCACCACGATTACCCTATCGCTGAACGTAATATATGAGAGAATAAGAATACTCACCTTCTCGTCGCGTTTCGCTTCGCGGCGCGCTTACGCCACTAAACCCTACGTGAAGTAATCCAAGAGTAATCCAAAACACCACACAACTTGACACACTCCTTACCCGCTGCTTTCGATGATGAACCAGCGAACCGGCGCGAACGAAAGAACGAAAAGCTTCTCCGTGGCGCCGAAGATGAACGCGCGATGGCACGTCGGCCCGGCGTTCGATCCGCACGAAGAAGAACTTGCGGAGGAAAAGAAGAAGAGGAATGCGACGAATGCGAATACGAGTTTCCCCGGTGGAAGCGGAGGAAACGAAGCACCGATTAAATCGGACGGATTAGAGCGCGAGGAGATGCACGCGTGGTCTGATCTGTCGAAACTGTTCAAGACGTTCGCGGCGATATGTTTCGTGCTGTTGGTGTTGCCGACGTTGTTCGGGTCGACGCCGCATAAAAACGCGGCGAGGAAAGTTGGGAGAGCGAGCGTGAGAGCGTCGAGGTACGTTTCGAAACCGTTTAGTAAGAAGAGGTCGTATTCGTTTCCCGCGCACGACGGCTACGACGAAACGTTGGACGACGCGTACTCCAATCCGAGAGAGTACGATAACGCGATTAAAGAGTACGAGGACGCGAAGAGCGCTTTTGATAAGTTGGACGAGCAGTTAGGAGAAGGGTCCATCGATGAGGTGTTGTCCGAAGACGTGAGGCAGAAATACGAGGAGGCTTTGTTTAACAAGCAAGCGGCGGAGCTGAAAAGAGATTTCGAGGATTCCATGGAGAAGAAGAAGAAAGAATGGACCGGGACAATGAAAGGTGCGAGTTGCGCGGATAAGACGAGACACTTATTGGAATCGTACGTGGAACATTACTCGTGCAGATTTGACGCAAAGTACGGATCGTTATCGCCGATGATGAACTTTCCCGTCGTGAGAGAGGATTACGAAAACGCAGGCGAGAGGGAGACGAGAGCGTTGGCGACGTCGACGAGCGTCGCGGATGCAATCAAGTGGTCGGCCGAGTTATCCGACGACGAAAAAGATTCAGACATGAAGAAACAAATGAGCGCGGGTGGACTTGCCGTGAGCACATGGTTGAGATTTTATAGCGAAAAGAAGAAAGAGGTGCTCGGATTGAGAGACGACGGAACGTTGACGTGGGACGTGTTGACGAAGGAAACGAGACGATACCAACCCATAGAGAGGTACAATCCACCACCAGCGCCGGCTCCAGCACCGAGAAAAGCTGCTCATGTACCGGCCCCAGTTCCGAGACAAGCCGCGTATGGTATAGACGTTGCCGTCGTGAATGAAGGCGCGTTTGCAAAGATGGATACGGACGGGGACGGGAGCATTTCCGTGGACGAAGTTACGAACGCCGCGTTGAAAGGTGAGGTTGATTTGAAAGATGGCGTCGTTGAAGAAATCGTTCAATCGAAAAGTTATAAAAATGCGGCTTTATCTGCAGAAGAACTGGCAATGTTAGATGCGGAAATGAAAGCGGACGTCGCGCCGAAGAAGAGCATGTTTTCAAACTTGTTCGGGAGAAGAAAGTTGCTCAAGAAAAAGAATAAAGACGATGGTGGTGGTGGTGGTGGAGGAGGAAACTGGGGCGCGAATCCGAGCGAGTATAGATCACCGTTTGACGCGGAAGCGCCGTCTGCATCGTCTTCCGAGACTGAATACGACCAACAAACGGTGGATCCTCTGTATTTCACAGTGAATGTCTTTGCGAATAACTTCCCTGAAAACGTCGCCACGGTCGCCAAAGAATCGGCGACGCTCATGCGTGCGCTTCGCTTACCCGGCGTAGCGAGAGTCTTTTCCGGCAACCCGTTCAAAATGCGCGACGCGAGTCGAATTACCGATGAATACTCCGAGCAAGGTTCGGGCTACTTCTCGTCGCCGGGAGGCATGATTTCGTTCGCCACGGCAAAACTCTCCGCGAATGGTGGTAACGGTTTTGTCAACGCCGAATTGCGAAGCGAGTGCGAACTTGCCAATCGATGCGGCTCGCGATGGGCATCCACCCCTATTTCCACGAACGAAGGTAAAACGGAGTACCAAACCGTCCCGGATTACGCCGGAGGCGGCAAGTTGCCGGACGTAGTTTCCGTTCCTTCTATTTCCTACAAGAAAGCTTTAGAAGGTGGATACCCGTTGTTATCGATCGTGGAAGACTCTGACAAAGATACCTTTATCCAAGCCGCGGACGAAGCGTTGAATGATCGCGCGGTACCCGCGGTGCTCTTTTCCAACGTCAAAACGAACACGTGGCAGTTTGTGGAAGACTTGAAGAAACGCTACAAGAGCGGGTACAACATTTTTGCCGTCGCTCCAGGTCACGAGCACAACCCGAGACGACCGGTATTTCTACCCTTGGACGATCACGCGTTAGCTTGGACGTTTTTCAACGAATACTATCCAACTGAAACATCCGTGGGTGGTACTGCCATCGCGTTGATCGTCCGAGACGACGTCTCGAATTTAGGCTTCAACGACTGGCTCGCGGAGAACAAAATCGTCGCTTGCGACTGTAACTTGGGCACGTGCGCCGCCGCTACTGGCGTAAAATACGAAGAGGTGAAATATACCATCGAAAGCTACAAGCCACAGAAATCGTCGTGGGAGGAAGCGACGAAAACGCATCAAGCGAAAACCGCGGAATGGAACAACTACGATCGCCTCGCGCAGCGCTTGAAAGAGTCGCAAACGGTGGATTTCCAAGAGCAATTGGAAGCGGACCAAAAAGCCTTGACGGCGAAAAAAGAGCTCGAACAAGCCGAGAGAGAGTTGAAAGCGGCGAATGCGGCCATGAGCGCGGCGAAGAAATCAGCCGCGGAGAAGAAACGGTCGATTTGGAACGACGGGTGGGGTGACTTTGACGGCTTTCGACGACGAAATTTGTTGAAGAAGAAAAATAAAAAGAATAGAGGAGACGGCGGAGGAGCGGTAGCGGCAAGAAATACGTTCGAAACGCCACCGGCGTATTGCGACATAGACGATTACATCGATAACGAGGACGACGTTTGGGCGTAAAAAGGAGGAGATGAAACACATATTTAGTTCAACTTGAGCATCTTTTTTGTATTAAAATGAAGAACAAAACATACAAGTATCTCTCAAACTTCTCTTCGCTTCTCTCTCTCTCTCTCTCTCTCTCTCTCCGAACTCAATCGCCCAAACAACAAAAACAAACAAACTAAATGATTGTTAAAATTAAATGTCAACCTCGCCGGAGATGTTCAAAAAGTTCGCGGCTTGCGTGACGTCCTTGTCGCCTCTCCCGGAAAAGTTCAACACAACCTTACACTTGTCCGGTAACGTCGGGCACAACTTTTCCAAGTACGCCAAAGCGTGCGACGTTTCCAACGCCGGAATGATGCCTTCCAACCTCGACGTGAAGACGAACGCGTCCAACGCCTCTTGATCCGTGGCCGGGTAATACTCAGCTCTCCCGAAATCTTTCAGAAACGAGTGTTCCGGACCAATGCCTGGATAATCCAAACCCGCCGAAATTGAGTGCGGCTCGATGATTTGGCCTTCCTCGTCTTGGATCAAATACGAAAACGAACCGTGTAAAACTCCGGGTTTCCCTAACGTCAAAGTAGCCGCGTGTTTTTGTCCGAGATTAATACCTTCTCCGCCAGCTTCCACGCCAATCAAACGCACGTCCTCGTCGTTCACAAACTCGTGGAACAAACCCATCGCGTTCGACCCGCCGCCGACGCACGCGATCAAAATGTCCGGTTTCCCGCCCCATTTTTCCATCGCTTGCTCTCTCACTTCCTTACCAATCATCGAGTGGAAATCTCTGACCATCATCGGGTACGGATGAGGACCAGCCACGGAGCCCAAAATGTAATGCGTCGTCTCCACGTTCGTCACCCAATCTCGAATCGCTTGACTCGTCGCGTCCTTCAACGTGCTCGTCCCGGTTCTCACCGGAGTCACCGTCGCGCCCAACAATCGCATGCGAAACACGTTCAACTTCTGTCTCTCCATATCCGCCGCGCCCATATAAATGATGCACTCCAACCCGTACCTCGCGCACACCGTCGCCGTCGCCACTCCGTGCTGCCCAGCGCCCGTCTCCGCGATGATGCGCTTCTTCCCCATCCTCTTCGCCAATATCGCTTGGCCGATGGCGTTGTTGATCTTATGCGCACCCGTGTGGTTCAAATCTTCCCTTTTGAAATAAATATGCGGCATAGATCCGTCCGGTTTCTTGTACCTCTCGGATAAGCGTTCCGCGAAGTATAACGGGTTCGCTCTCCCGACGTAATCTTTCAAGACTTGGTCGAACTCTTCTATAAACGCGGGATCCGTTTTCAGCTTTTCGTACTCTCGTTCCAAATTGAGAAGGGCTGGAATGAGCGTTTCCGGGACGTATTTTCCTCCGTACACGCCGCCGTATCTCCCGTTCTCGTCCGGGCGTTTTAAATCTCGCGTGAATACGCGTTGTTGTTCTGGCGGCGTCATCACCGCTCTGATTTTGGTCGTTTTAGTCGTGCTCCTCTTCGTAGTCTTCTTTAAACGATGATGCGTTTGCTCGGACGTAATTCTCGAGGACGATGATGATGATTTTGAGGTGCACGTCTTCCCACGCGCGCTCGCACTCGAGCTGCGCGCCGATAAAAACGACGCAGATGTTGTTGCCATCGTATAAAAAAAACAATCCTTCTTCGTTTGCTTTTGTGTTTCTGCGTTTGTGTCGTGGAAAAAACAAGCAGTACGAGCAGTCTCAACGAGTGCTACTAACGAGGACCCTTTCCAGTCTTTATCTCTGATTACGTCGACGTTTTTCCCAAGAGAAGAAAGGAAAGGGTTTTAGGGTTTTGGCTTTCTTAAACCCTAAATTTTTAGATGGTGTTTTTTTCTCTCTCTCTCTCTCTTACCAATTTTCTCTTCTTAGTAAACAAGAACGCACTTGTTGTACGAGTTTGTTGACGTTACATAGAGTTTCCTTTAGTTTTTCTTTTACTTTTTAAAACTCTGCTGAAACGAGAGACTTCGAGAAGTGCTTTTCTACTCGAGCGTTCTTTTTCTCAGATCGTATAGAGATTAAACGCGTGTTTCTTCTCTCTCTCTCTCTCTTTACCAATTACACATTTAATCGAGATTCTGTTTGATTAGACTCTCTTTGATTAAACGACGCGAAACACTCTGTTCGAGCAGACTATTCGAAGATATGAGCGAAAACAAACAAGAAAAAGAAGTCGCCCCACCGCCGCCACCCGGTTTCGAGGACGTCAAAGCCGGCGCGCACCTCGACGAAGTCGCCCAAGTGGCGGAGAAATTAGCCAAAGGCGAGGATTTGCGTCTGGGGACGAAGAAAGAAGGCACCGTGGACGCGCCGGATTTGAGTTTAAAAACCGGACAATTGAAAAGCTGGGCCGACGAGGAGGTACGATTTGAATGATTCTTTATGTCGCGCGTCTCGTTCTCGTTTGTTTTTTGTGGGTTTAGATCGATGCACGCGTGATGTCTCGAGAAGAAGACGCGCGACAACTTTCTCCTTCCGATCATCAGTCGGATGTGCTCGAGAGGGGCAGCGCGGCGGTTTTCGATACGAATGCGATGACATTTTGCTCACTCTTTCCTCTCTTTTTCTCTCTCTCTCTCTCTCTTTATACAGGCTGAAACCGAGGCGATTATTAAAGTCGCGGACCCGAACTCGAAGTACACCTCGGCGCAAACCTTCGACGAGCTCGGGTTGTCCGCGGAACTCTTGCAAGGTCTCTACACGGAGATGAAGTTCGAGAAGCCGTCGAAGATCCAAGCGGAGACGTTACCTATGATTTTAACGCCGCCGCATAGAAACTTAATCGCGCAAGCGCACAACGGGAGTGGGAAAACGACGTGTTTTACGCTCGGGATTTTGAGTCGGGTGAACGTGAACGAACCCGGGACGCAAGGGTTGATGATTTGTCCGACGAGAGAATTGGTGATTCAAAACGTCGGCGTGATGCAAAGGATGGGGAAGTACACGAACATTTCGATCGCGAGTACCGCGGATCCGAAATACGACGGGTATAACAAAGAACAGATTAACGGGCAGGTGGTGATTGGAACGCCGGGGAGGTTGTTGCGGTGGATGCGGGAGAAACAGTTGGACTGTTCGAAAGTAAACTGCTTGGTCTTTGACGAGGCGGACAACATGTTAGGCACGGACGGACACAGAGTGGACTCGACGAAAATTTTGAAACATTTACAGATGAGCGCAAAAAATTGGCAAGTGTTGTTGTTTTCGGCGACATTTAACGAGGCTGTGAAGACGTTTGCCACGAAAGTGGTGCCCAACGCGAACCAGATTTTCTTGCCGGCGCACGAGTTGTCCTTGGACGTGATCAAACAGTACCGAGTGAACGTACAATCGAACGACCAGAAAGACATGTTATTGAAAGAGAAGATTTTTCCGCTTTGCGATAAGATTGGGCAAACGATTATTTTCGTGAGAACGAGAGAAGGAGCGAGACGATTACACGCGAGCATGCAAAGAGACGGATTTAAATGCACCGCGATTGAAGGACAAATGCAAAACGAAGACCGCGATCGAGTGATTAAAGAGTTTCGAGACGGTCAAACGAAGATTTTGATCGCCACGGACGTGTTAAGTAGAGGGTTGGACGTGTCCACGGTGACGTTAGTTATTAATTACGACATGCCGGTGGAGTATCAGAACCCGTCCGTGCCGAATTTCGAAACGTACTTACACAGAATCGGTCGTTCCGGGAGGTTCGGTAAGAAAGGCGCGGCGTTTAACTTGTTGTTGGGAGAAAACGAAAGATTGGTTTTAGACCAAATTGAAAGGCATTTCGAGCACATGGTGCCCGAGGTCACGTTAAACGACGACGATACGTTTGAATCGATTTTAACAGCCGCTGGTTTGATGTCGCCGGACGAGTCTTGATGAGTTTGGAGTGAATCAACATACTAAATAAACAAAACAAAACGACGCTAAATATAATACTCACGTCTCTTTCTTCTTCCCGTTCTTGTACAATTCTTTCGCCATGCGTTTCGCTTCGGCTCGCATTTCCGCTCTGCTCCCGGCTCTCCCCGCGTTCACCCTTGCGCTCGCATCGAAATCGCCCCGAAGGAATCTATAAAATCGACGAACCGCCGACGCGCCGGTGATTTTGCACAAAAACGCAAACGCCGCGCTCACCAACCGCGTCTCCCGAAATTTGAACACCACACACACCACACACACCCCTATTAGAATTTTTAAACCTATATCTACGACCACGTCGGCCATTTGCATGGCCACGTCCGGCTCTAACTTTCCTCCTCCAATCAACGTCTCTTCGATCTTCTCCAACTCTTTCAAACGCGTTTTCGCTTTTTTATCTAAACTCGTCGCCAGTAACGGTTTCAACAAACTCTTCGCGACGACTGCATCGGCAGGATCGTTCGCTTCCGGAAACGTCATTTCTCCCGTCGTCGCAGACTTACTACCACACGCTCCTTCCTTGTCCGCGTACTCCCCGCCGTACCTCGTGATTAAAATCTCCGCCGCGGTCAACGCCGCCGAATGAAACCCGTTCCTACTCGCCTTCCGAAATAACTTTACTCGCTCTGAATCGCACGGATACTTCGTCCTCCCAGCGCACACGTGCGCATTCGCCGTCAAAAACGTAATTTCCGGCACCTGCTCAGATTTTTCCTTCGATTTCGCCGCTTCTTCGAGCACGCGCGCGCCGAGCTTTCGGTTCTCGTTCCGCTCGCCGGATTCCAAAGCGCACTCGCCGAAAAGTAGGCAACATCCTGGTGAAAGATACAACAACGTCAGTACATCGAGAGCGAAAAACAGAGAGAGAGAGAGAGAGTTAAAGAGAAGGAAAAGGAAGAGAGTTCAGTGAGAATACTCCTCATCCGAACGCAAAGAACACCAACACCAACACCAACACCAAACGTACCGAGCGCTAAAGTCTCCGGCACTTTCATCTGCTTCATTCGCTCCTCGGGAACGATCGATTCCCACGATTCCGTTCGCTTTGCTTCTTTCCTCTCGTCGCGTAAAAATTGCGTCAAAGTGCCGTCTTGCTCGATGGCCGGTGTGATTGTTTGTTCGCAATACATTTGCGCGTCTAGACAAGAAGTCGACTGGAACGGGTCGTTGATGAGATTAGTAGTCTCCTCCATCGCCGCGCGAGTGGTACCCGTCGACGAGAACACCATCAGAAACGCAAGAAATGCGAACGAACGAAGTGGCGTCATCGTCTCGTTTTCAACTCGTCGACGACTTTCGTCGTTCGAAAGAGGAGTTTGTACAAGCGAGTGCTAAAAAGGAACGAAAAGTAACGACGAGAATGCAAAAAAATGTGCTCTACTATGCGATATTTTCAGAGTGATTGGTCGTAAATGTCGGTCGTTCTTGAAGTATGTACAGTGAACATTTCATTAAAATAAATATGATTTAAAGCAACACTTTCGATGAAGTGTCGACGAATGTATAAAGTGACTGTGTTTAAAATAAGGCCATGAATAAGGCCGTCAAGGCGATGACGAGAACTTTCGTCATCGGCGTCGTCGTCGACCCGGGCGAGGCGGTTGTAGCGACCGCCACCTCCAACGATTCGTACAAGTACGTCACGTAAGTATCTGACGACATGTCTTTGCAACCGCTGAAGATGTAGCACTCGCCCAAGTCGGCTGATTCTGGTTCCCAAGCGAAGTGTGTGCAGTGCGCTCCCAGTTGCGCGCTAACTTCAGCTCCGCCCGGGATGCGGTTGTCCGTGCAGAATCGCTCGCAGCGAGATAAGGAGCAAAGACCCATTTCTCCTTTGGGTCCAATCCCGACGTTATCTTTGTCACACGATTTGACGTATGGATTAGAGTCCTTCTCGCATCTCACGTCAGCACAGCCGCCGTTCGCCTTTGTAATTTGGCATTGCGGGTCGTAAAGATACGTGTTATACGTATCGGAGTGCGCGGCTTCGCATCCGTCAAAAACGTAACATTCACCTTCGGCCTCTTCAAAAGCCCAGTGCGTGCACACGAATCCTGTGTACTCCGCGCATTTTTGCATGCACTGCATTTCCGTGCATTTGCCACCGTCACCGGTGACATCGGCATCACAAACCTTGTCGTGTTGGTTCGTCGGAGACTTGGCGCACCTCGTGAGCGGACAGCCGCCTTTAGCGTAGTTCTTGTTGCATATGTCATCCAACTTGTACACATTATATGTATCCTCACCCGGACTTTCGCAACCTTCAAAGCAGTAACACTCTTGCTCAGCGAGTTCGAAAGCCCAATGCGACGATGTGATCTCAGTCAAGGCGCGACACTGTGCTTCACACTCCACGGAAGTGCAGGCACCGCCTGCGCCGGTGACGTCTGAATCGCATATTTTTCTATACAAATCGGCTCCACTGGCATCTGTTGCCTTTGCACATCTTTGGTTCTCACAACCTCCTGCAGCGTATCCGAGATCGCATCCAGTAGCCATCGCGTAGGTTGTGTACGTATCTGGAAGAAGATTGTTGCACCCCGAAAAGACGTAACATTCACCTCTGCCCTCGACGGAGGATTCCGGTTCGTAGGCCCAGTGGGTGCACGCGCTGGCGATGTAACCTCCTCCATCTGATTCGCCTGCTACGCAATAAGCTTCACACTGCGCTTGAGAGCAAAGTCCACCGGCATCAGCGCCGCCGATTCCTCCATTGTTCCCGTTATCTTTATCGCAAACTTTATTAAATGGATTTGAGTCTTTGTCGCATCGAGCGTCTGGGCAGCCACCGAGTGCTAAAGACTTAGTGCATCCACTTGCGAGATCGCGAAGAATTGAGCGCTGCGGATACGATTGCTTATAAAGCGTGTGATCATCGTCGAATTTTTCGCCAACGCAACCCTTGAAAAGCGTGCATTCGGAGTCAACTGTATCGTACGCAAAGTAGGTGCACCAGTTTTGCGATTGAACTGCGTTTCCAAAACCATCGTACGATGCGCATTTCTTAGCGCACTCATCGAGAGTACAGGTTGTTCCCGCACCTTGATCACAAACAACTGCGGAAGTGGTTACTGAATCATCGCATATGCGATTCGGGCACCCGGTCATGCCATTTGCGTTGTAGTCACGCTCACACGTCGGATCTACGAGCGTGTAAAGATTGGATCCCGTACTGTCTGCCTCGCCAGAACACGTAGAGAAGAAGTGACACGCTTGCGACGTGGGGTTGTAGGTGTAGTACTTGCAAGTAAAAGCACCGACGTAATTTTTGCATTGAGTCTCACAAGTTGCCGCATCGGCGACAGCTGCGGGAGCAGCAGCGTTAACGTTGTCAGCGGTTGAGCACGTTCGGTCATTGCATCCGTTTGGAAAATCGGTGGATAACGGTCGTTCACACGTCAAGTCTTTCATGGTATACTGCGTGTATTCGTTGTCCCAATTTTGGACGGTGCATTCCGTGAAGAGGTAACACTCCGCTTCGATGGTATCCCATGCATAATGAGTGCAAGTCGAACCAGCCAAGGGGGTGCCAGCTGAAAATGCGCTGGAAGTGCACTTCGCGTGGCACTCGTCGCGCGAACAAGATGAGCTCGTCGCCGCGTCAGAAGTAAACACGCAGACTTTTTCGTTATCATCCACACCCGTATCGCATCTCGTGTTCAAGCATTCAACACCCTTAGCTCTATCTTCCATAGTTAATTCGCATAACGGGACAGAATTATCAACAGCGGGACACGTCAAGTCTGTGCCCGTGACAACCGTAGCCCCCGCGGCGGCGGTGCAAGTCGAGTCTGCTTTGAAGAGCCTCGCCTCTACTTTTTCGCCAACTACAAGCATATAAACATCGCCGTCGGTTCCTTTGTAGAAGGTCAAACCTTCTGGTTGAGACATGTCGCAGATGTGACCGGCATACTTCTCATTCTTTGTAGCGGTTGCGCCGGTTATCGTCATTCTATGAATACCTCTGTGCTCCACCGGCGCCTTGACGACGACGAAAATTTCGTCTGTGGCGTCGCCAGATTTCGTCACAGCGCCCAGGGACTGCCATCCGTAATCATCTCTCAAAGTGTTCGTTAACGTTGTCACTGCTTTTGTTGCAACGTTGACGCTATGAATAGCAACGGGAGTTTGCTCTTGCGCGACAATAAATGTCTCCGAGTTCTTCAAGTACGCCACCCCTTCGAATCCTTTGTTGTTGCTCGCCGCCGTCGTCAAACCGTCTGAAGCCACCACAATGTTCGAGATCGTTCCATCGGCATTTAAGGTCATAGTTCTCACAAGAGCAGGATTTTCATCCGTAATAGCGAATTTACGCGATCCCATGGCCGCAATGCCCTCTGGATCTTCGATGCCCGTGCCGAGAGTTGTGAGCGCCCACTCTTGAATTTTCGTATAAGTGCTGTCGAGTTCGTACACTTTCGCGTCACCGTTGTTGACAGCAAAAAAGTGACCGGTTTCCGGATCGTACGCGATCCCGGAGAGATCGCTTTCAGCTGCCGTCATGTCATCTTTGTTCACCAACGTAAAGCACGACAGATTCGGTACGGTGAACCCTTCCGCCCCGAGAGTAGCCGCTTCCGCAAATATTCCTTGCTGGAAAAGTGCAACGTGGGAGAAAAAGAATGCCAATGCGACGAGGAGCATACTTCGCGAGGATGAAAAAATTGACTTCATCGCGTTCGATGACGTTGCACGAAACAACGAAACAACAAAGCTTCTTTGCGCTGAACGCGTTCTTCCCTTTCGAGTATTCGTGCGTTATTCACGAACGCGCGAGAGTTATACAGAGATATTCCGGCGTGAAGTACTTCACTTCGAAAAGAGGATATTTCCACACTTAAAGGAATAATTTTGGAATAATCCCTCCACTTTTTCGGTCTCTTTTTCCGAACGAAAAGTGGTTCTCGGAATGTGTTTTCACCCTTAAGATCGAGCGAACGCGCGCACACTTTCGCTCGCATGATTTCGTCATCGGCAAATCTTCATCGCGAACGTCCGCTGAATCGCGTTTCCTCCGCGAGAACTTATTCTTTGTCTCGTATTTTCTTCTTTTAATTCTTTTCGCGTTGCATTTTTAACACATGGAGAATCCAAAAGGCGTTTCGTATTTTATTAAAAAAGAGCTTCCTCAATTAAATTTTGCCCTCATTTTTCTCGTATTTTTGTTCTTTTTTGCGAAAAATACTGAAGGAATATTCGAAACACATGCGACTTCAATGTTAGTTACACACGCATGAATAAAAAAAAGAATATTATGTTTAAGAAGAAGAACACCCAATCCCCGATCGCTGCGACGCTCGCGTGCGGATTATTAATCGCAGCCGGGTCGTCCCCGCTCGCGATGGTCCACGGCGCGTCGTCGTACGAAACGTACAAGGCGTCGGATTTTCCTTCGATTGCGCACACGAATTCAGTGGGGAAAGCGGTGAGTGCACATCCGTTACACACGCCGTTAGGTATTCGCGGGTTTAATCCGTTCTTAGAAAAGAGCGAAATCATCAACGACGCGAGTTTGGAAGGAACGGACTGCGTGGGGAGACCGACGCATGCTACTTGTGCAGATTACCCCGCCATCGCTTCTGGTTTGACCATGGGTCACTACGATAAGGACGGTTCTGTCGTCTTCTACGGCATATCGGACAGAGGACCGAACCAAGACTGTGGGGACCTCTCGGACGCGCACCTGGAGACTGGCGCGGTGAAAACGGCTTTAGTTGGCAGCTCTCCTGCACCTGCGGATGGTTTAGGATCGGGAAAAGGCTTCCCAGTTCCAAAGTTCGCGCCGACCATCGCGACGCTGACGTTGAGTGGAGACAGGGCGAACGTCGTGAACACGTGCTATCTCAAGAGGACAGATTTGTCCCCAATCACCGGCGTTTCGACAAACGTCGCCGACGACGCCCCGCGGGACGCCTGGTGTCAAACAACGCTCGCATACGATGAAGGAGGACAGGATGCGGAAGATTTGCAAGCGATTCCGGGTACGAATCCACCTCTCGGTGTCATTGTTGACGAATACAACCCTTCCGTATCTATCGTCAACATCGACTGGGAATCTCCATCCTGCGGAGTTATTCTGGCGAGATACGTTCCGGAAGACACGGTGACCACTTCGGAAGGCGCTGGCTATCCGATTAAGAAAATTCTACCGAAATCATGGAGCCAACGAAGAAAGAACCGTGGCCTCGAGAACGTCGCCGTTTCTCCAGACGGGAAAACAGTCATCGCTATCATGCAGTCTGCAATGGATGTCAAGGACGCCACTTACTTCAACGAAACAGCCGCTTTCGATACGAGAGACGCCGAGTTTGTAGTCGCCGCCGTGTTGAATATCACCGATCCCGTCGACGCGAAACTCGTCTCTCAAAAATATTACCCAATCGACACGGACTGGCAAGCTGCTAGTGGGCTCGATAAAGTGAAAATGTCCGCCGCGTGGTGGATGACCACCGACTACGGGGTTGGCGAGAACAAGGAAGTTCTCATAATGTTGGAAAGAGACACCAGCGTTCGTCTTTACATGACGGACTTCGAAGCTGCAACACCAGTCGATGAAGCCGTGTGGCCCGCTGCATTTTTGCACACGCTCACGACCAAAGCCGCCGTCACGGAGAGAACTGGCATCCAATTCGCGAAAAAGCAACTCATTCTCGATACCGCGACGCTCGAAGGCTACGGCGATATGACCGGCGCGACGACCAAAGTCGAAGGATTCGCGGTCGTGAACGATTGCGCAATCGTCATGGCAAACGACAACGATTTCGGTCTCGAAGGAAATACCGCCACATCTCTCGTCGTCGCGCAACTCGGCAAGTGTCTCAAGGCAATCGCCGAAGACATGGGGTACACGTACACTCCGCCGGTACCCACGGTCTCGCCGGCGTCTTCGCTCAAGTCGTCTCTCGTCGGCGTCGCGACTGCGTTTGCCGTCGTTTTTGCTGCCTTGTTGTAAGAAGCCCAGGCATCGAGCAAAATTCTCTTCGAGAACTTATTACGAAAATGATTTTAAGTTACTTACGGTTTAGCGCTAAATGTGTCAATTTAGATGACTACATGGATGTCAATGGCGCGGCCATCGATGTATGACGTACGTATTTATTAATACCAATAATTTCACACCAATATTTTACTCAACTGCACCATCGCCTTCAGAAAAAACTCGCACACATCAAATCTCGCGCACTATTACAAGTAAAATCAAAACGCGTCGTCGTAAACCACCAACAGTAGTACTCTCGCTCTCCTCGTAACACAGAGAAAGGCACGATCAACAACATGTCGTCTAAAAAAGAAGACGAAATCCACTCCGCAAACTTCCTCGCGCAGTTAAAAAAGCTCGACTGTTCCCAAGCGAGCATCGAACAGTTGTCGTTTTGGTGCCAATTCCACGCGAAAAAAGCATCGGTTTTAACACCCATTTGGACGGAGTCTTTGAGAAATTCGAGTAACAATCAAAACGTGTTAGCGCACGTATACTTAGCCTCGGACGTGATTCAAAACTCGAGGAAGAAAAACAAAGGCGAGGAGTGGATGAAAAGCTGGAAATCGGTGATGGAAAATTCAGTGAAATTCGTGTGGGAGAAGTGCAAAAACGAAGCGAAGATACGCGCGAGCGTGAAGAGAATGATGGACGTGTGGGAGGAGAGGAGAGTGTTCGGGTCGAGGGTAAAACCGAAAACGTGGATTGCAAGCAGTGATGATGACGCTGAAGAAGAAGACATGCAAAAGACGAACAAACGGAAGAATGAGATGGACACGGTCGCCGCCTCGAAGAAGAGTACGACGAGTGTTAGTAAGAAACAGAAAGCGGACACGCCGCCGCCGCCGCTGAGGCAATCGCACGACATAAAAGAAATGAAAGCGAACTATTTGGAAGGCGAGGACGCGCTGTTGGCGGAAGCGTTGCACGAGATGGAAAAATGCGAGAGAGACCTCGCCGAGGCGGAGAAGGTGTACGAAGAGGACGTGTCGGGGGATTTACTCAATTTATTGGACGCCGGCAAGGCGAACGAGCCGATGGAGAATCTGTATAAAACGCCGACGGAACAGTTGACGGCGTTGCAAAAATGCGAGAACGCGTGGGCAAAGAAACGCGCGGCGGTTGAAAAGATGTTTAAAGCAAACGCGACGTTGACGAAACGTCTGGCGATATTGAACAAGACGTGCGAGGAAAGAGAAAAGGAAAACAAAGAAAGAGAGAAGTGGTTGAGCAAATCGCCAACCGTCGCGGTGCAAATAAGCACGGCGAGAATGAAAGCTTCGAAACGAAACGCGGCGTACGTAGCGACTGGCGGTGATGATGGTAAGAAGAACTCAGAAGAGTTAGACAATCGAGAAGAGTTTGTAATCCCGGAGCCGGTAGACATGGACAAAAGCGACGGTGAAGGAGAGGAAGGCGAAGAAGATCCGGAGGAGTACGAACCGTGATTTAGTTTTGAGAGATGAAGAAGAGCGTTTTTTAGCCCATAGAATAAATAGAAAAGAGAGAGGTTTCGTGTACAAGGTACCGATGTAAGTATTTGTTTTCGTACGAAGACGTGTTGACTTAAAAAGGGGATACAGAAGAGACTCCCACCACACATTTTCACCGCACTCTATAAAATAAATGTCAAACTACCCGCAACCAAACTACGGCTACTCCAACCAAGGTTTAACCTCTCGAGGCAGCCAGCCGTCCACTTCTGCGTCTACTTCTACCGACCAAGTCGCGGTACAACTCGGCCACCCGGCGTTGGAATACGAAGACGGCGTTTCCAATTTGCGACAGAAAGTAAAACTTTTGAAACGAATGTCCAATTCGATTCAAGAGGAAACGAGCGTCAGAGGCAAACTGATCGATTCGTTATCGGATGGATTCGATTCCGCGACTGTAAATTTGAAGAAAGCGAAGAAAGAGTTGGAGAAGGTGTACAAACAAGCGAAAGCGGGGCACTTGTTAGCGCTGATGTTTTTTGCAGTCGGGTTGTTCTTGTTCCTGTACATGGTGTACAAAGCGAACAGATTCGTGCGGTGGTTTTTACCAAAGGGAAAGCGAGAGTAGATTTTCGATGATAGCATCTTTAGCGAAGAAGTGTAATTGTACAGTACGATAGCGAACAGTATTAGGTGCTCGTTCACGAATGCATCGCGGATGGTAACTATTTCCCGCTCTTTTCTACTCTAAACTCGTACTCGACGTCTGTTACGGAAACGCTCTCGCCGCCTTTCTCGCAATACTCGTACCAGTCTTCGTCCAAGTGGACGTCCTCGAAAACGGTGCCCGCTTTGGAGGTAACGGTGACTCCGCCGGAACCGCTACTTTCGCTAAACTTATCAAACCCGGTGATATCTACGCCTCTGCATTCGAACCCTCGGATTGGAACGAACCGACCGTCCTCGCTTTCGGGTATCGAGGCTTCCTTCTTAAACACATTTTTGACTTCATCTAAAACCACGATGGAGGATTGTTTCATTTGACCTTCGAATTTCACCGTGAAATGTGCCTCGCCTCGAGAGTTTTCCAGCTCGTTCACGTTTTGTGGGTCCACCGTGACGTTTTCGCGCTCTTCAAAACCGACCGGGTCTTTGATGTTCACGTGGAAAGGGAGGGATAAAGGGAATTGGATTTCCCGGACGTTTTCGAGCGTCGCTTTGATGTACAAGACGAGGAGAACCATTCTTCTTTGTCTTCTTCTTCTTCTTCTTTTACGCGACGGACGAACGACTCAAAAGTTGTCCTGAGAGGAGGTTTACGTTAGAGGTTCTGTCTCTCGTCGTCGTCGTCGAGCGTTAAGCAATGAAGCAGAGCAGGAATTAGGTGATGGCAATTTGCACGAATTAGTATATTCGGCGAGGGGATTTTTTGACAATATAATAGTGCAATACCGACGAAAACATCTTCATTTAGTATAGCATTCCCTGCCGCGAAACTCGATCCTTTTCCTCTCGCAAAATAGTGCAATACCGACGAAAACTCGCTTTACTCGGAGGATGCGGGCACGTTCTCCTCGTACGCGAATCCAAAGTACGCGCCCATTAAAATCATGCTCACACCGGATAAATGGAACGCTAAGCGAGGACTGGACGAATCCGCGAGCGCAGCTAGCGGCGTACCCATGACGTAGCCTAAATCTCGCCAGAATCGATTGGCGCCTAACGTGGCGGATTCTTCGCTCGCGTCGCGAGAGTGGTCCAGAGCCGCCGGCGCTAAGACCGGGTAGACGGCGCCGGTGGACAAACCTAAAGTCACCGCGCCGAAGTGCAGCAGTCCTGGATACGTCACACCACCAACTCGCGCCCAACTTGCGATGATTAGCGAAAGTCCACCGCCGATTAAGCCCCATCGAATGGGCGTTGCGCGCGTGTTTTGATCCGAGTGTTGGCCGAAATAAAACTGGGCAATGCCTTTGCTGAAGGAATACAATCCAGAGAAGAGATCTCTTTGTTCGCCGCTCAAACCGAGCTCGTCGCGCATCCAGATTGGAAATAAACCCCAAGCTAAGCCAGTTTCGACGTTGCAACAAAATGATGCGAGAGCGACGAGACGAAGGTTTGGGTTTCGTATCGTGTACGCAAACGTGTCCGAGAACGAATACGTAGTAGTCGGTTGTCCTTCTTCTCCTCCTCCTCCTGCTCCTCCTCGGGGTCCTCCGGAAACTACGAATGAAGAAGATGCACCACGTTCCCCTCGTTGTAAGAAACTCGCCGTTCCAGATTCCTCCTCTTCCTCGTCCGCGTTGAAGCTCTCATCGTCGTTGAGGTCACCTCCTCCCGGAGTTTCCAGTTCCATCACCGCCGGCAACGCCACTCTTCCGCTATTATTATTATTATTACTATTATTACTATTATTACCTGCATTAATACTACCGCCACTCGCCTGCCTACCCCTTAAAACCCCCGTTTCTCTCCCGAATATGCATATTACGACCAAGCCTAGCACCGCTAAGACGAAAACAGCCGTACTCGGTCGTTCTACGTAACCTTCGCAGTTGCACATCCCGCTACACGCTTCCACCCAATCGTCGCCGGCGCCACATTTACCTTCTGGATTTGCCCGTATGCACGCCTCCGTGCGCATACTCTTCGCTCTATACGCCTCTTCCCAGTGACACTTCGCCCTACTTTCCTCTAAAAGGGCATACATCATCGCAAAAAATGCCACGCTCGTGTACCCGACCGTCTCGCACATCCCGCTCGCGAATCCTCTTCTCGTCGGCCCGCTCACATCAACGCTCGTCATAATCGCCATCGTCCATCCAATTCCTTGACCGACGCCTAAAAAAAACCCAGAAGCTACGATTCTGTTCCATTTCTGCGTCTCGCTTTCGTTCTCGGTCCTCGTCGTCACCGCCGACATCGCCAACATCGGCGCCACCACCGAAAACATCCACCCGACGATCCCGACTCTTTTCCTTCCGAATCGATTCGCCAGCGACCCCGAAAACAAGTTCGCCGTCGCTTTCGCGATTGCAAACGGAACTAAAAACATCGTCTTATCGCTCGTTTTCGTTTGCTGAAATTCTCTTCCCGCGGCGTCCAACGCGGAAAGTTTGTGCACTTGCACACACGCCCCCAAGAGGAACACCAAGAGTAACGAGACCAGAAATTGGTGACATCGAAACCGGAAGTTTTTCAAATGCGATGGCACGGAAAACGGTCTCTCGCTCTCTGCAAACGGATGATATCCGTCGTCTCTCCGGTACTTTTCTCGCACCGAGGATGCAAAAGAAGGGATCACGTACAGGAATCGTAACGGTTGTTGCATTTCCCCCAACAGTTTCCGTTAAACGAATATTCTACAGTTGAACAACCGCGTTTTGTTCGCCTCTCGTACCTCGTGCGGTTTCTCAGAAGCAACGATGCGGTCAAAAAACAGCAGAGGTAGAAGTCAGAAGCAGCGGGAGCAGCAGCAGCGGCGATAAAACGGTAGACTCTTCGAGAACTGTTTGTGGCGTAATTTGGAGCGTTTTCGGGTAAATATTCTTCCTTGGGAAAATGGATAAAATCGACACACTTTAACGCGCGCTTTGATCTGAAGCGCAAATGGGGAAAATATCCGGGGCGGCGAAGAGGAAGAAGAAAAAGGAGACAGAAAAAGCTTTAGCGGAGCATATTGAGAATTTGGAGCGGTTGAAGCTTGGACCGACGAAGTTATGGACGGGATTGGTGGTGCATCATAAGGATGTGTTTGTCACGCACGTGCTTCCGAAATTGAATACGACGGATCGGTATTTCTTTTCGGATGCGAATAGTGAGAGTTGGGGTGTGCTTGAGTACGCAGGGGTAGACATATCGAAATTATGTGTAAGTGTTCACGTATGCTCATCCATTTCGACGTTAGAATGGGCGTGGAATAACATGCCCTGGGGAAAGAAAAGGCAAAGTGGAAGAGTGATAGATCAAGCCTGGTTTTGCAGGGAAGTTGCTGCAACGAACAGACTCGAGTTCCTCAAGTGGGCGAGAGAAGTGAAACATTGCGAGTGGGATGAATGGCCGATTAATACGGCCGCAGATAAAGGCAATCTCGAGATGTTGAAGTACTGCTTCTCGAATGGTTGCCCGTATGATGAAGAAGCGTCGTGTAAACAAGCTGCTTGTAAAGGACACCTCGACTGTCTTCGATTTCTTGTCGACAAAGTGAAACCTTCGCGAGAGACGGAGCGAACAGCAGCACTACAAGCAGCATGCGGTGGTCACACAGACATCGTGAAATATTTCATCGAAGAAAGAAAGATATCTGAGGAGGTAAAGGGCTTGTGCGTGTACAACGCTGCAAGGTATGGCCATCTCGATTGTATCAAATACTTATTTGGCGAAGAGGCGAAAGTGCCTCTGAACAACTTGCAATACATCGCGAACGCTCGTTACAAAGAGCACACCGACTGCGAAAACTATTTGCTCGAAAGAGGGTGCCCGGAACCAACGGACGAAGAATACGCTAACTTTTTCGAGCACGTGCGAGCGCTAGAGTCTCAGGAGGAGAACAGTTTCCATTGAGAAGTTCGTTTGATTGTAGAAGATAGATTTGAACTCGATAGATTTGATAGATAATAGATACTTAGATAGAGAGACTACCGTAGTTGATTTTTAAGAGCGTTAGCGAGCCCTTCTTTTCCGCTCTTCATTTTTCTCTGCTTCTCTGTTGTGACGAATTCTCACAAGAAGAATTCGTCACTACATAAACACATCATTCCTACGCGCGCGCGCGAGAGAAGTAGACGAGAGAAACAAAACACTAATCGCGCTCCCTCGTGCGAAGATGATGTCCTCCTCGGCGCTTTCGAGCTTTTCACGCTGCTCCTCTGACGTTCATGTTGTTTCATCTCTTCTTTCTTCTTTACGTTTGGGGAAAAGTGCTCCTCGCATTGGCGGCCAATCGATTATGATGTCAACAAGAAGAAGACAACGAAGAAGACAAAGACAAAGAAGCTCGATGGCAGCGAAGAGTAGCTTTAACGCCTCTCGCGAAGATGATGAAACCAGCGACGACGACGACAAAAATGGTGGTGCAGTGTGGACGCAAACGACTGCGTTTGAACTGTACGCGAGGGAGATAAACAACGAAACGTCAAAGGTATGTTTCGCGAGATTGACGAGCGCAGAATCCGGTGCGGCGGTCGACCCGAGCGTGTTTCTTCTGTGCGTGTTCGCCGCCTCCTCCTCAACTTCTTTGTCTTCTTCTTCGAGCAGCGAGAACGAGAACAGCGAAACAAGCTTTAGTAGGAGTAGGAGTCCCGTCGCGTTCACGCACAAACGAATGCGAGAGATGACGAGAATAAGCGAACGATGGAATTGGAAGATATTGAAACGCGTGGAAAGCGCGGAAATGAGTTTGTTCTCGCTGGCGAATCCGCCGGAGAACGTGCCGCCGGCGAGGGAGTTCGGGCTGGAGTTGAAACGGTTGAGAGAGAGGATGGAGAGAGCGAAACGGGCGCAGATGTGGAAGTTGGTGGAGGACGAACGCTGGTGGGGTGATTCGGGAGGAGGATCGGGAGAAGAAGAAGAGGAGGAGAATAGGAGTAATAGCAGCAGTAGGAGTAGGAGTAGTAGTAGTAGTAACATCGGCGGCGGCGACGGCGAAAAGGAGACCGACGATGATGCCGAGAAAATGTTCTTCGACGCGTCGACCCGAACCGCTTGCGAGAATATTCGCATATACTTCGAGTACCTCGGCTTCCAACCGACGAGTCGGGAGTGGATATCGATTCAAACCCTCCTCGCCGAGTGTTTGACGAGCGAGAAGGACCGATCGATGATTCGAGTCAAAGACGACGACGTAAACGACGACGACGGTTCCTCTTCCTCCTCCCCTTCTTCCTTCCGTCTCCTCAAACGCATAATCGACCGCAAAACTCAAAAGCCGTGGAAAGACGCCGAACGACGAAAACTCAACCACCGATACCTCCTCGCTCGCGAAAACTTACTCGAAGCGAAAGAAGAGTGGAATGACGCCGAAAAGTCGTACAAAGAAGCGAGAAGGAAAATGAGCAAAGCGCGACACGAGGTTGCCAAAACCAGGAAACACGTCCGGATCGAGTTTCGGTGACGACGACGCGTATATATACGTACGCGCGGTTCACATTAAAGTGTCTTAAAGTTGTCACACACCCGAAAAGTCTGTCGATCGATCTCTGTTACGTGCATAAATAATACGTTTCTCTTTCGTTGAGTAGAGCTGCTCTTGACACCCCCTGTTCTTAGGAAACCGTTGCGATGAATTTTTTTAAAGTAGTAGTATACCACATATTACATATTTCCTGGGTCAGTACCCTTTCACACGTCCAACAAAATCGTCAGAATTCTCTTACTAATATAGAACAACGCTTTTCCTCCTCTTTTCGCCGGGGCTGCTCGAGAGGAGAGGAAGAGTACCTACGACGAATCATAATGGAGTCTCTATTGATCCCGAAAATACGCAAGCAATCGCTCACATTGGACGTCGTGTATGGAAACCCGACGGATGATGATTTTGAAGCAATCGACGCGAAACGAGCGTGGGTGCGAGGGGAGACGTTGATGCGCATCTCTCCTCCTCGCAATAACGCGAACGCTGCTGAAAATGACGATCAGTCGAAGATTATTCAAACGACGGAAACGGAAACGACGACTGAAAGGAGGAGGAATAGGGTAAAAACGCTCCTGTTTCACGCGGAGAAAGATTTGGTGGAAATCGATTCGATTAAAATCGGTGGACAGAAAGGAAGGTGGAGGCGGATTTTCGTCGACGAAGAAGAGGATACGAATTTTACCACGACGACGACTAACACTACCCCAAAAGCTGCTACGAATGCGTTTTTCGACGATTCCATCGTGGAGAGGATTAAGCTTATGAAACAGGTCGAAGACGAGAGTTTGATGACGATGAATACTGGCGGCGGCGGCGGTAGTATCGGCAGTACCGGGAGCGCCGGCGCGGCTTCTCTCATTAGTAGTAGGTTCGCGGGGGCAGGCGCTTCGATTGTCCTCGTCGAGCTCGAGAGCGGGGAGGAGATTGATTTTAACTCGAAAGGAGGTGAAGATGATCCAGACGCGGCAATGGAGGATGCGGGAGACGAAGACGAAGAAATGAATGATAATAAGACTGATAATACGAAGAAGAAGGACGAAGGGAGAGAGGTGGAAGTTTTGATGCGATTTCGATCGGGGAATTTTCCCGCCGCCGCCGCCGCCGCAAAGGACGATGGTGAAGGTATCGTTGCTATCGATGTCGATAATACCGGTGACGACGACAACGGTGGTGATGGCGACCATGAACAGCGCGCGCAGAGATCGTTCTGGTCATCTTCTTCATCGCCTTCGTCAAAAAATACGAAGAAACACGTCATAACCGATCTGAGCGTCGCGTGCGACGGGGAATTTTTCAAAGCTCCTGGTACTTTAGAGAAGCCTTCGTGTTGGTTCCCGTGCGTGGACGTGCACGATTGTTTGACTGAGTTCGATTTCGACATTTCGTGTGCGCCCCATTTAGTCGCCATCGCTCCCGGACAGTTTGAAGAAGCCGTGTGGGAACCAGAAGTTTCCGATATCGACGGACAGTTTAGGCGAAGGCACACGTTCAGGAGCGTCGTTCCGTGCGTAGCAAGGGATGTGTGCGTCGTGGTTGGTCCGTTTAGCGCGCACAGAGCGTATCGAGACGCCACAATAGAAACCGTCGACCCGAACGCGCTTCCGGTAAACCCGTTCGCGAGAACAAAAAAGCAGACAACAAAAATTACGCATCAAATGCAAAGCAAAGAAGGCATCACCATGTACATTCCAAAGACTTCGATGGCGACAAACGCGACCGAAGAAGACTCGGACGTGGCGTTTTTGGAACACTACGAGCGATTAAAGTTCCTCGGTCGAGGCGTTTACGATTGCATGGAAAGTTTTGAATCCTATTTGGGAAATTTATACCCGGCGGAACACACGCGGTTGGTTTTCTTACCGAACTCTCTCGCGCCAAACAACGCTAGAGGATTTTCCTTGGCGAACGCGACGGTGCTCTTTTCGAAAGACGTTTTTATCGTCGACCCAACGGATGGGCCGAGATGCGTGGAATCTCGAGCGAGTCTAGCTGAAGCGTTGGCGAATTTATGGTTTGGCGTGTTGCTCCTCCCTCGAGACGTCGTCTCCGATTCGTGGTTGGTGGAAGGATTAGCCGGAAATTTAGCCAACGCATACGTGCAAAAATGTTGTGGCACGAATGAAATCAGTTACCGTCGCGCGAAAGAAGCCGAGGAGGTTGCCATGTACGACGATGGGAAAGTGTTGCCGCCGTTGTGCTCGCAAGCGACGAGGTTGTGGAGAGAAGGATGCACGACGGGCGGGAAAGGTCAACGATTCTCAAACGCGAAAAAAGTGGAAGCGGTGGCGAACGGAAAGAAGAACGCGCAAGTATCTGTCGCCGCAAATGCTGCCGGGCAAGTTATCAAAAGCGTCGAGCCGAAAGAAGTTTTAGTTAGTGGGGATTCCCTTTATCCGTTTCCGAAAACTCTAGACGACATCGCCGTCTTGGGAAGTCACTCTCCTTTGTCGCTTTCGCCGAGAATCGAGCGGTTACTTCGCTTAAAATCCGTCGCCGTCGTCGGTCTGCTCGAACGACGCATGGGACGCGAAGGTTTACAAAAAGTCTGCAAATATTTCGCCAACTTGCAGCAAAAAAGGACGAAAGAGAGCTCGAAGGATGAAAACAACAAAGGAGGCGATAAAAGCGACGCCGCCAAGAACAAAGACTCGAAAAAAGATGCTTCGAACAAAAAGACCGCGAAGGAAAGTCAAAATCAAGAACACGCGCAGAGAATGGAAAAGTTACGGGAAGCGTTAGCCTCTAACGCGCGATGGATATCCTCGCAGCACTTCCTGGACCACTGTCGCTCGGCGGTAAATTTAGGCAAAGGCGAAATTGCTTCTTTCGTCGAACGGTGGGTCTACGGCTGCGGCTCGCCGACGTTCGATGTCGAGTACAGCATTCGCAAACGGAAAAACAAGCTCGAGTTTGTCCTGAAAGTCATTCACTCGCCGGCGACTCTTGCTGCCGATGAAGCCGCGTCGAGAGTGGCGAGAAATCATCGAACGAGCGTGACCATTCGATTGCAAGAAGACGCGACGGCTTCGGATCACGTCGTGGCGTTGACTGCTGGAGGCGCGACAGCAGCTCCTGGAACAGTGGCCCCGTCCGAACACGAACACTTTGCCGAGATGCCGTTGCAAGTGAAAACGAAAGAATCTCGTTACGAAAAGAAAAAGTTCTCCGCGCCAGTCGTCGAATCCGGAACCGGGGCGGATATAAATAACGATTTGTTGACGGCCAAAGATAACCAGGTATCCTGGGTGCGGGTCGATCCCGACGGGGAATGGCTCTGCAACATCCGATTGCCGACTGAACAAGTCGGATTAGAGTCCATGCAAGCGCTTCTGTTGGACAAAGAAATGGATGTGGTGGCGCAATCGAGCGCGGTGAGATTCCTCGCCGAAAGAGCGAAGATTGGTTCCCAAACCGCCTGCGCGGCGTTGGAGAAGTGCTTGCGCAGCAACAAGACGACGTTTTGTCGCGTTCGAGCGGAAGCGGCGATGGCGTTAGGGAAAAGCACCGGGGTCAAGTCCAAGTTTCTCGGTTTGAGCGCTTTGGTTTCGTATTACCGACGAACGCAGTGCGATCCAAACACGGGCTTTCCGAAACCGAACGATACGAGAGACGTGTCGGAAACGATCGTCGACGAGGCGGTGTTACTCGCGCTCGGAGCATCCGTGGATGATTCAAATAGCATGAACGGAGTCATCTCTACTCCAACGAGCGCGTTTGATTGTTTAGTCGATCGCTTGTCGAGGAACGACAACACGGGGAATCCAAACTCGGACGTCGGTTTAATCGTCGCCGCGTTGGAGGCTCTGTCCATTTCCATGCCGCCGGACGCGAAACGAAGAGATTTAGCCATGGCGCAAGCGGTTCGTTACGCGCACAGAGACCCGGTGTTTATCAAGTCCGACCGTAACGTCGTCGCGAGATCGTGTTACCGAGCGTTGGCGAATTTAGCTCGGTTCGCTTTCGATGATGAAAACGTTCAAGTGGAGAAGAGGCAAAAAGTCATCGAGTCTGCGTTGCAGTGCGTGGACGACGCGGTCGGGTTGAACGCGGAAAACGCGAGAGGGAGACGCGACCGCATTTCGACGTTGTTCCTCGACGCCGTCGGGGTGAACGATGATGCGGGTAATTTACACGAGTGTTTAGAGGTGATTGGCAAGGAACCGAACCCGTTCGCTCGGGTGCATTTGTTGTGGGACACGATTGACGCGGTGACGAATTACTCGCATCAAAAGAGTAGTCTCGCCGCTAACGATGCTTCTTTGGGCCAAACGAAAGAGACGTTCGATCAATACTACGAAAAAATGTTGGTGCACTATCGCGCGAAAAAGGAAACGTTAAATTTGTTGAAATCGTGCGCGTATACAGACGGCGCGAAGTGTAAAGTCGCGGCAAATAAACTTCTTCGAACGTTAACCGTGAAAATAAAAGAGTCGCCTCGTCACGAGAAAATCGAGGAGTATCAAATCGACGACGTCATGAGAGCAATCAAGAAGGCGTCTCTCAGAGCGACGCAACATCCGGAACCTTTGAGCCGAGCGGATTTGCACAAGATCGATCCAGCCGCGGCTTTACGAATGGCCGAGAAACAACGCAAACGCGCAAAGAAGGAAGAAAAGCGCATGAGAAAGATGCGAGAGGCGCAGGAGCGCGAAGCGCAGAGATTAAAATCGGAAGAGGATCAAATCTTTGGCGCCGGAGGCGAAGTGCTGGATATCGAGCCCGTTGGTTTTCCTCCTCCCGCTCCTTCTCCCGTTGCGCCTGCATCGGCTCCCCATGCACCGGTCTCTGCTCCGATGGACGTTGACGCGCCGCCCAAGCCAAAGTTGACCTTCAAATTTGGGGCGAAGAAGTAATATCATCTAATTTACTAGTACTCTACATTTAAACAACAACGGCTTAAAAATCTTCTATTCACGCGCACTCATCTAAAACACGCCTCTAAAACTCGCTTCGCGCCTTTTGGTTTCGTCGCAAACAGCGCCAACGCCGCGAACCACGCGCTGAAACTCACGAAAAACGACAAGACGAACAACCACGCGCACGCGAAACACGCCACTCTCAGCGCCAACGGGTCTCTCCCGCTCGCAATCGACGCGATCGTTTCCAACCGGTCCGCTATGGTTTCTAAAACAATCACACCGTATGCGCTCATCCGAGGCACCACGACATCTTCCTCCTCCTTGTTCTTCTTCTTCTTCTTCTTCTCCTTCGTATTCCTCCTCCTCTCGAGACTCGCCCTTCGCCTCGCTCGCAAAGACGCCCGGACGAACACCGCGCACGTCGCCAACACGACGTAGTTTGGATACAGAATGAAAAACACCATCATCGCTCGAACGAGAATGCCTTTCACCCACACTCGTTTAGCTCCTTCTTTCGCGTCAGAAGAAGAAGCTAAAGAAGATTCCTCCTCCTCGTCCTCCTCGTTTTTGGTCCATTTTTGTATCTCTCTCCAAAGCAACCCTTCCAAGAGGAATCGAATTTCCTCTTGAAACGGCTCCAAACCGTACCCGCACAACCGTTTCACGCTCGGGTTGATCGATATCCACGCTAAGATTAAGTGTTCCGCGCGAGACGGTGGTGGTAGATCAGCGGTGCGATCGTTTTCGTCCTCCTCGTTTTGTTCTCGTCGAGACGATGATTTCTTTCCCCGCGGCGTTCGGGAAACATCACTTTTACCGCCACGAATGGCAAAGGAAGAGAGGACGGACGTCGACGCGTTCGACATTACGGCGACGACGAAGAATACTCACTGTTGTCTTCGAGAATTAAGGCGTTTGTTTCTTCTTCTTCTTCTTCTTCTTCTTAGTAGTATTACGTGGTATTGATACGTATTAAATGTCGTTTCCTGACACGAGTTACGAGGAGAAAAATGTGAAGGCGGACGAGCGGGAGGATGTTTATTATGTACGCGTTGTTCTCTCTCTCTCTTAACATTCTTCTCCTATGTTATCTAATTTAAAACCTCTAAAGTATTATTATAGTTGCTATATTATTGCGCGAGCAGCGTGAGTATGGTTTTGATGTCATCAGTAAAAAGTCTCCTCGGCGGCGGCGGCGAGTGAGACGCTAATCTCTTTACGATGATGATGATGTGGCGTAACGTTCTCGCCGAGCTTCTCTCGCTCGTATTTCCGCGATAACCGCAAAGATTCCTCGATGGTCGATGAGTTCAGAGAGGTTTCTCGGTCGTGCGCGCCAAACTTGTCAAAGTTTAGAGTGCCTCGGATATCCTCCGCGGTGACCTCTTTTCGGCGAGTGCTGGGAGGGGAGTTGGAACGCTTCTTGTTGCCCCCATGATGATGATGATGTTGTTGATGTTGTTGTTGTTGTTGTTGTTGTATTTGTTCGCCAAGTAAAGGTTTGCGTTCGCCGGATTCTGCGTTGAACTTGTTCATCGTTCGCCCGGAAAAGTCGCTCGCGGAGAGGTCTCTCTGCGCGGCAGTCACCGCGGCGGCTGCGGAGATGGACGACTTTCCTTTGCGCACTCTTGACGGCGTGTTCGGGTGCGAACCGTTACCGTTACCGTTGTTGTTGTTATTATTCGCGGTACTCGTCGATGATCGTAACATTCGATTCGGCGACGAAGGAGGTTCTGACATTAACCATGGTTGAATGTATTTGGCGTCAAACTTTTCCAAAGCGTGGTAGGAAGAAGAGCGATGGCGCAAAGGTTCGTCCGGTTTGTTATTCTTCCCACTCGATGGATGCAAGGATTCCACGTTTGGAATGTCGTTGTCGTCGTCGTCGTCACCACCCTTATCACCACTGTTCAAATTTCCGCTCTCCTCCTTGGTAACACTATTTTTTCCGTCTTCGTCGGCGGAACCGAATCCGAGACACTGCATCACCGGTCGCATAAACGCGCCTTGCAAAATGACTGTCACCAACACCAAAAACGTCGTCGCCGTGAGCATAGCGCCACCAACCGCGCCAAACTCTGCTGCCGCCTTCACGCTCAGCGCGTACGCGACTGCTCCTCTCAAGCCGCAAAACACCAACATATGCTGCGTGTTGCCTTGAATGTACCCGGTGGCGTTTGATTTTCTCGACGTTATGTTCAACATGTACGACAACGGATAGACGCACATGACTCGACTGACTACGACGACGACTAAGGCGACGAGACCGGTGGTAATGTACGCGAACGACGCGCGATACATACTCGCGCCCATGTAAATGAACACAAACGTCTCCGCAACGTACGCGAGGACTTTGAACAAGCACATGGACACCATCCTCGGCGCGCGTTCTAAATTTTGCCTGGTATATCTCCCCATAACAATCCCGCAAAACAGAACCGATACGATCCCACTCATTTCCATCGATTCGCTAATCGAATACGCTAAATATGGAAACAAAAATACCAGCGCGGTATCAAACACCCACCCGTCTTCGTGCTCGCTCGTGACAGAAACGTATTTAATCAACAACGCGGACCCCATGCCGACGACGATACCTACGGTCATACTCGTCCCGAAAGTCAGGACGAAACCTTTGATAGATTCGAAAATCAAATCTTTCAGCTCCATCTCTTGCGCGTAATCGGATTTCAGTCGAGTCAACGTGATTTGCTTCGAAAACATCTCGAACAAAACGATGCAAACGGCATCGTTCAGCACCGATTCGCCTAAAATCATCGCGTTCAAATCCGGATCCACGTTCCCGATGTCGTTGAAGACGGATAAAACGGTCACGGGATCCGTCGACGTGATTAAACTACCGAATAACAACGCAGAAATCGGATCCCACGCGTAAGACAAACCTAAACTCCCGCACAAGTACATCAACCCGCCGACGATGAACGTGTTCATGAAGGATCCCAAAAACGCAAACGTCGCGATGGCGTCTGCGTTCCCGAAATACGTCCCCGGATGTAAAGTATACCCAGCCTCAAACACCACGGGAGGTAACAAAACGAGAAAGAAAAACTTCACGTCGAAAAACATCCAATCTACAAACTGGATGATTCTCGATTTATCTTCCACCGCGACTTGCGCGCTCAAATCCGTCCTCGCCTGGTACGTAATCACGCCCAACACGATCCCCAACATCAACGCCGCCCCGGACGCGTGTACCCACTTCGATTTCAACTGTCTCAACGCGATCGACACGATAATCATAAACACAATCATCATAATCATCACGCCCATGCTCAACGCCGCGGTCGCTTCCCCGGATTCAAAATCTTCCACCGAAACTCTCTTCTTATTCGCGATGACTCTCTGCGTCACGTTCAAGACGATATCTTTCAACTCTTCGTTCGTTTGGTCTCTTTGTTGTTGCTTTTCGTTGTTATTAGTATTCGTGAACATTGCCGTTATTCCTCCCGGTGCGATCATCGGGCTCGTGCTGCTGCTGCTCGATGCTGATGATGTCATCATCCGCTCCGCGAGCGCGTCTTTATGTTGTTGTTGTTGTTGTTGGGGGTAATGCCTTCCAGCGGAATCATAATAATACCGCGACGATACCGACGACGACGACCCATCTCCTCCTCTTCCTCTCGTTTGTTTCGTGAGATCGTACGGCGACGTGTATTCTCTCTCCGCTTGATCCGAGTTCCCCATCTTCTTTCGTATTGGTCGTAGTCTTTCAATGAAATGTCTTCAACCTCGTATATAGCCGCGGCAGCCTTCAAATTTTGTGTCGGGAATTTTCTCTCTTTTGTCCTCAACAAAAGAAAAAGAAGAAGACAAAGGAACAAAAAGAAGAACACACAACAACAAAGGGTCCTCTCTCTCTCTGTTTGTGTGTGTCTGTGTGTTTCGGTTCTCTTTTATTACTCTCAGAGCGCTGTTTTCTCTCTCTCTTGCTCTTTTCTTTGCCGCTTTCGAGTAAAAATCTGATGAGACAAATTTTTGTGTTTAGGGTCTCAATACAACACCCTAAATAAAATACAGCAAATGCTTGTAACACCAAACGAAGAAGCATTTTTCCGCAGAAATTCTCCGCTAAAACAGAGACAGAGGTATCGCGCACAGACAGAGGTCGCGAAGAGCAGTCAAATAAAGTCATTTTGACGATAATGACTGGAGCACGTGATGGTGGTGGTAATATTGGGTCCCAAAAGTCGACTTTGGAAACCGCGGCGACAAATAGAATGGAAAAAGATGTCCAATCTCTGATGAGCTTAAAACCGTTCGCGCGTTTCCTGTTGCAATACGTCAAAGACGGAGGCGATATCAACGTCGACTCTGATTCTTCCGACAAAAATAACGTTCCGTCGGAGATGCGCTTGATTTTGGAACAATTGAAACCGCTCATCGAAACCATGTCTAGAGATGATTTGATGCTCTTGCTCGAAAAAGCCGCGAGTGGGTTGTACGAGGACGATTTGCTGATGCACTTGGCCACAGACGGCGAGAAAGAAGAAGAAGGAGAAGTCGTCGAGGAGAGAGCAGATTTAGATTTAGAGGAAATAATGGGAACACTCAAACCTGGGTACGTGGTAAAAACGAAAGATGCGAGAGGGAGGAAAGTTTTGGTGAACGTGTGCGGGGCGAAGGAAGTGCCGAAACCGGCGCGATGGAGGATAACGGAAGAGGAGGAGGAGGAGGAGGGAGGCGACGATCATGAAATAAATGACTTGGAAAAGACGCACCGGTTCCCGTTGGCGTGTAGCGATAAGAGGGTGGATATCGACCGCAACGGGAACGCGTGCGACGTGTACGACGTGGCGTTTAACGACGAGGTTGTCGAAGTCGCCGCCAAGGCGATGTTTGACATCGCGACGAGAGAGGCGAAACTGAGAGATACGTTGGCGACGGTATGCGTGGAAGTTGTTTCGAAAAAGTGCACCACGGGAGGAGGAGAAGGAAACGCGTTGGATCCAAGGTTTACGTTGCCGAAGCGAGCGTTTGCGGGAGCGTCGCTTCCGCCGCCGATGCGCGTGAAGAAATTTTTATCCTCTTCTTTGACGCGTTCGCAGCTGCGACAACAACACGCGAGACGAAGAATCGTCGAAATAAACACGACAAGTAATAATAATAACGCAACAGAAGGGGCGACGCCCATGTCACCACTCTCGACGACGAGAAGACAACATCATCGAATGGAACAAACGTCCTCCGAAGACGAAGACGAAGAAGAAGGCGGCTTCGCCTTTCGCCTATCGCCGGAAAGAAAAAAGAAACGAAAGCAAAGCCAACTGAAAAACGTCACCACCATCGCGAATGCCGCGGCCGCTGATACCGCCGCGGCGACGACATCAGCGACGAAAAAACTGAGGGTGAAAATAGAAACGTCCTATCCGGACAAACCGTTGACGACGTTCGCGACGGTGAAATTGACCTTCGATTCCGAACAAAGTTTAGACCGCGCAAAATTAAACGTGTGCAGTCGAGAGTCGACGCTGCGCGTCTCGTTCGACGACGACCACCACAGCAAAGAAGGAGAAGATGACGAAAAAGAGGACCTTCGTCGCGGGGAAAAATCGACGCAACATCAAACGGAGTTTCCGTTCTTCATCGACGTGGAAAAGATTCGCGAGATTGAAGTCGAGGAGTTGCCGAGAGGAGAGAAAGAAGGGGAGATGGGAGACACCAGCGGCAGCGACACGAGTGGGAGAGATCCTTTGACGGTGATGCTGAAGATACCGTTCATTTTGATCAAGTAAAGGCACACGCGCCCGCGAAATTCTCTTTTTAGCAGAATAGTTAAAACATTGTTGTAACAACAAACATCGCAAAAAGAAGACATTTAACAGAATGAGGACGTTACACGCAAGCTTAAAATTACCATTTATATTAACACAGTAGTCATCTAGAAAATATTAGAAGAAATCCAACGGCCCTTTACCAGTCGCTCCTTGGAAGCAAAAGATGGAAAACGCCAACATGGCCAATCTGCAGTGCTGAATTTCAATCGCTTTTAAAATCCTCACTTCCTCTTCGCTTTGGTTCGCGGCTAAACCGAGCGGGTCGAACAATCGTCCGCCGGGATACAACTTATCCAAAGTGCTAAACCGTTCGATTTCAAACTTCCCGGTGCGCAACATCTCCGCAACGAACATCAACGGCAAATGAATAATCGGTAACCAAAAGAGACCCCACGGGATTTCCGAACCCATGTACGTGAGCTGCCATCCGTCGGCAACGTCGTGGATGATCTTCGTAGACCACCAGTGTTGATCGGTACCTTCGCCGTATAAACCAAACTTGAAGAGAAACTCTGGAAGTAAAACGCCGATAGCGGCGAGCATCGCCCATCTGCCGTTGATTAACTCGCGCTCGCGGAATTTCAACAAGTCGGATTGCGCGCCGAACTTTAGCGGATCAAAGCCGATATCGCCGGGTAAACCACCGGTCAAATGCGGTGGAACGATGACGTTCTCGCCGGGTAAGTTGATGATAGATTTCGGGAGAAACTTGATTCGATCGTTCCCGTACAAATCGGCTTCAGACAAGCCGGTGTTTTTGACGACCGTTTTGACCATGGATTGCGAGCCGTTGGACCAATACTCGGTCGTTTGACTTTCCCTGGTTACCATTGGCGAGGCCGAGGCGGCCATGCTGCTGTTGCTATTATTACTGTTATTACTAGAGCCGTTGCCGGAAGATGATGATGAAGAACCAACCTTCCACCAATCACGTCCGGAAAATCCAGGCGTCATGCCTTGCTCTAAACTCTGTTGAAATTCTCTCATCATGATGTTCGTGTTTCGATCTTGCGGCGGGATGTTCCGGTCCAACAAATTGATGCCATCGGCCGTTTGTAACGACTTTGGTTTCCCATCTTTTTCCTCCAAACCAGCGACGTCGATTTCTAACATTTCCAAAATCGGTCGCGTGTACGATGTGAACAAACGAACTCCGGACCCGCCTTCGGTGACTAAATGCGCCAAAAGCAAGCCCCGCAAATCGTTGTTTCCTTGGAAAAACATCATCATCGCGAATTGCAACAGTTGAACGGAGTTCAACTTACTCGCTAAGAAACCTCGGTTAAATTCAATCGGTAACCCGAAGAACGTGCCAAAGAAGTTTCGCATTTGCTCGATGCGCAAGGAAATTAAAAGTTCCATGCCGAATTGGTAAAAGCCAATTTGTCGTCTTCGTTCGTAGCCCCACAAACGGTCCCAGGCTGCGTGAGAAATTTCCGAGTAATCCTTCGTTTCTTTCGCTTTTTGGAACCCTTCATAAATAGCCTCAGCCACTCCCGGAGCTTCTCCGAGCGATTTCGTGATGGAATAGCCGCTGGCTGGATTGACCATCCCCGCCGCGGCGCCGTACGCCAACGTGCGCTGAGGCGACACCGGAGGCGTACCGCCCAATGGAATCCACGACGCTTCTTCTTCGATGATTTTCTCTTGGTCGACTTCAACACCCATTCGCGTTAAGCGCCTGTACAATCGTCTTTTCAACTCGTCGAAAGGAATTTGCACTCGCGCGACTAAACACGTCTCTTCCACAAATACCGTGTTTTCGTCCACGGGTAAGACGTATAAGAAACTCGGCACTCTCCAACTCCCGTCCTCTTTTCGGCTGTTTCGCATTTCACCTTTTAACTCCGGGTCAGCTTGGCGAAAATCCATAAACACGGCTTTGTTCTTCTCCCAAGGATGGTTCGGGATGGTCACTTCGATCCCGTACGCGGTTTGCCATCCCGGCGGCGGGCCGGATTCATACCTCAACATCTCGCGATTATGACCGGTCGAACAGACGACTAAATCGGAAAAGACTTCAAAGTCTTTCTCGAAATCATCGTTGGCGACGCCGGCCAAATCGACATCAGTGGACCCTTCACCGTAATTGCCTCTCGAGGACGCGTCCGTTTTCAAAAATCGTCCGCGAATCTCCGACGGTTTCTCTTCGCTAGAAGAGAAGTGTTGTACGCGATCGACGATACCGGGGAGGTACTTCACGCCGGATTTTTTACACTCAGACAACAGATGTTCGCGCAATCGCCTTCTGCACACTTGTCCATACGGTCGACCTAAACTTCGTCCACTTTCTGGGTCGCTATCGTCGTACCAGACTAAAGTGTCTTCATATTTGTGAAGCAAAGTGTGTTCTAAACCAATCGCTTTGAACTCGTCCAACCAGACGCCGTAGTTGTTCACGAACGGCGCGTCCGGGGCGACGACGCCGACGGATAAGCCCTTCTTTGCAGTTTCAGCGGCGATGGCTAACCCAGCAGGACCAGCGCCTATGATTAAGCAATCCACTTTCTCGCCGGTTTTTAAAACGTCCAAGACGTTCACGATGGGTTGTTGGTCCGGGAAGACTTTGCGCTGTTGAAACGCGATCCACTCGCGGTCGTCTTTGTAGCTCTCAATCTTCACTTCCGGGTAGACTTGATTACTGCTATTCGTACTATCAGACGTGTAAGATAACTCGCCCTGCAACAGCTTTTCGAAATCTAACGGCGACTTCAAGATTGGTTTCTCCGTCGGGTTGGCCTTCTCGTAGACGCCTTCGCCCGAGACGCCGTCGATGTCGTCGTCGTCGTCCTCTTCCTCCTTCTCCTCTTTCTCCTCCTCGTCCTCATCCATGCTCACATCGTCTTTCGTCGGCAGCGTTTCACTGAAGTTCATTTTTGCTTTCTTCGGCGTCGGAATGCCCCCGTAGCCAGGTAAGGTTGGCGGCATCTTCTTCGGCGTCGTGTTGATTTCTAGAAACGCGCCTCCCCATCGGCTAGAATCGAATTTGTTTTGCGCGCTGGCAAAGTTTGCAAAGAAACTCCCCATGAATGGCAACGCGGACGTGACAAACGTGTACCGCATGTAGTTGTTGAAGGAAGCGAACAACGCGATACCTAAAGAGAGTAAACCGGTAGGCCCGATGTTCCAACTGAGAAAGCCACCCCAAACGTCTCTGGGTAAGTTGAAGAACGTTTTGAAAAATTGACGCGTGCCTTTGATATCCAACTCCATCAACGTTTCCATGCCGAAACACATGAACGTTCGAACGCGCAAATCTTCTTCCGTCCAAACTTTCTTCCAAATGTCTTCCGATGCTGATTTTGCTGAGAATAAAGTGGAATCGCTCGCGGGAATGGATTCGTCGACTAAATCTGCGGCGTCCATGCCGGATTTGCCCGCTCTCAACGCCTCGAAAATCGCGTCTACTAAAACGTTCGCCGAACGCATGGTTTTAGCCACCATAAATCCGGTGCTCGGATGAACCATCCCTGCAGTTCCGCCAATTCCTAACGTCCGTTGCGGAAACGCCGGCAACACGCCGCCCATTGGAATCAAACAGTACTCCTCCTCCTCCACTCTGGTCACTTTCACGCCTAATCGTTCCAAGCGCTGTTTCAACTTTACTTTCAAATCGTCAAACTCCAACCCAGGTCTGGCGACTAAACTGGTTTCTTCTAAAAACACTTGCGTGTTGGAAAACGGCATGGCGTATAAAAACGTCGGTAAGATATCATTCACCGATTTATACGCGTCGTCCAAATGGTCGTCTCGCCAATCCATAAACAACATCGTATCCAACGGAAACGGGTGCGATTCGACGTCGCAAACAATGCCAAACGCGGCTTGGTACCCGGGCGTAAACTCTCGCTCAAAGTCCACTAACTTTCTCGCGTGTCCGGTGGCGTCTAAAACCATTTTCGCAAACACCACGGACCCATCCGATAACGTCACTTCGGAAACGTCGTCCTCGTCGTGTTTGACCGATTTCACGTTTTGCGTCCCAAATTCTACTTTATTTTCCATCGCTCTATAAATCAGTTTCGATTTCAGTTTCGCTCTGTCCACTTGCGCGTACGCGCGGTCTAAAAACTTCCCAGTCTGCCGGTCGTTCTCCTCGGGAGTGTCCGCGTCGCCAAAAATAACCTGCGCTCTCGGCCAACTCGCTCGATAACAGTCCTCGAATCCCAAGGCTTGGAACTCGTCGCACCAGACGCCGTAATTGTTCCTCCATCCAGCTAACGGTTTCGGATCAATCAGCGCTACTTTCAAACCTTTCTCAGATGCTTGCGTGCTGGTATACAACCCAGCCGGTCCGCACCCGACGATTAACAAATCGTACGCCGTCTCTTTCCTCTCGCCTCTCGACAACTTCGGCAACGTCTTCGGCAACGGCTCGCACTGGCCAACCGTAGGACTCATCGGGTTGTACGGTTTGTTATTCACCCATCGCTCGTGTGGACGCTCCGTCGGTTCCGGAATGATCGCGTCTATGTGGTTTTTCGGGATGGATTCTTTTCTATTCTTTGATGTTACCGTTGTTGTTTTATCTGCTTTGATTTCCTCAATCGTCTTTGTCGACGCATCGTCGCTCTTTTTTACCTCCTCCTCCTCCCCGTCGTCCCCCGAAGCGGAAGCGGCCGAACAACGAGAAGAAGAAGAAGCAGAGGAACAACACGCGCCTCCTCTCCGTCTCATCCCAGACGCAAAAACGCCGTTAAAGCTACCACTTTTGCAATTCGACGAGAAAAAGAAACGCTCGCTCTTCTCCGCTTTGCTCTTCTTTTTCACGACGAGTGAAGATGATGATTTTGACGAGAATACGAATCGCTTTTTCGTTCCTCTTTTCGAAGAAGAAGAAGACAAAAGCGACGACGCGTTACAACCACTCGCTCTTCTCGCCATCGTCGTCGCCATCGTGGTCTTCTTTAGTAGAGTCTTCTTCTTCAAAAATGAATTGAATGAAGTGATTGATAAAATTTTATCCGAATAAAGAAGAGAGACTTCGAAAGAGGAGCGGACAAAAAAGATCTCAAAAATAAAAAAAAAAGACAAGAGCAAAAGACGAGAGCGAAAAAGAAAAGGAGAGATTTTTTCGAGAGATTTTATTAATAAATAAAGACGATTTCAGAGAGACATTTTTGATCTAAAAATACACGAGACGACAAACCCCTATTTTTACTACTCTAATAAAAGGAACAGAAAACATTTTCATCTTCGCGCGGGCACTTTGCGATTGATCCTCCGACGAAACGAACGACTCGTAAGCGCGATGCGTTTTTCTTCTTCTTCTTTGTCTTCTTCTTCTTCTTCGCGAGAACAGAAGCTGATGGGGTGGTGCTCTCGAAAATGGGAATTCATCCTCGAGGAGAAGAGCGATGGTAAAATTTTGCCGCGCTCTTCTTCTTCTTCTTCTTCTTCTTCCGATGAAAAGGACGATGGTTTCGGGGCTGCTGCTCCTAAAAAAGCAAAAGTGGTAGTGCCGCTGGCGTACAGAACGCCGACGAGACGGTTTCGAGGACTTTTATGCGTCGGTCGGTCGGAGGAGAACGAAGAGAGAGGAGACGCTGCCGAAGCCGCTTCGCGACGACGAGGTAAACGACGACGTCGGAAGAGACGAACGACTGCGGCGTCTAAATCATCTTCCTCTTCTTCCGTGGTCTTCTCGGCGGACCGCGGCGATGACGACGAGAGCGACGACGAGAGCGACGACGGCGAGAACGACGAAATGTACCACTACCAAAATCGTCGCGAATCTACGAATCTCGCCGCGGTTGTTGAAAAATATAAAACATTTCTCGAATCGAAGAACATGCGAATTCCGCGTTGGCTCTTTCAATGATCATCTGCGCATCTATTGCTCTACGTGTTGTGTACACGACAAGTACCCAGAGCAGATACCCCAATCAAACTACTACCTAAGTATATTACGGCTATCGTTATTATTCTTACTATTCTTATTATTATTCTCGAAAATCCGGGTTACTCGTCTTATTCGGATCTTCCAAACCAAACTCCGTCAACGACTTATCGTTCGATCGCCACCCCGGTTTCGATTTCACCTTCATCTCTAAAAACACTCCTCTCTCTAAAAACACTTCGATATCTTTCCTCGCTTCCGTGCTCAACTTTTTCATCGCCGCGCCGTCTTCGCCGACGACGATACCAACCTGCGATTGCCTCTCGACGTAAATCGTCGCCCGAATCAAATCCTTCGCCGGCGGTTTCCTCTCCTTCAACTCCTCCACCCAAACCGACGAGCAGTACGGCACCTCTTGCGAATACAGCTCGAATATCTTCTCGCGAATGATTTCCGCCACGAAGAACCGCTCCGGGTGTTCCGATAAATACTCCTTGGAAAAATAAGACGGTCCAACCGGTAACTTCCCCTTCGCCCATTGAACGACTTCTTTCACGCCGGTATCGTTCAAGGCTGAAATCGGAATCACCTCTGAAACACCCTCAACTTGCCTAAAATACTTCATCAACTCCTTAATCCTTTGCACGTCTTTAATCCTATCGCACTTATTCACGCACACCGCCGTCGGTACCTTCCCGATCACGTCTACATCCAACAAGTTCTCAAAATCTTTCTCCGCGGTCTCTTTCGCGTCCCCATCTATAACGATGATCAAACAATCCGCCGTTTTCACCGAAGATCGCACCGATTTCAACATCGTCTCGTCCAGCTTATTAAACGCGGATCGCATCACCCCAGGTGTATCCAACAGCACCATCTGCGATTCTTCGTCGCTCAGAACGCCTAAAATCCGGTGTCTGGTCGTTTGCGGTTTCTTCGTCACGATGGAAAGTTTTGTGCCTAAGATTTTGTTCAATAAAGTCGATTTCCCGGCGTTTGGACGTCCGACGATGGCGACGTAGCCGGATGTATGCGTCTCCGTTTCTTTCGGTAACAAGTCGCCGCCGATGTATGGTAACACTTCCGGCGGCGGTTCGTCGTCCTCCTCGTCATCGTCCTCCTCTTTTGCGCTCGAAACGACCGCAACACGTCCTCGTCGAACGGTTTTGCGCCTCTTTAAACGGATTTTCGATGCGGAGGAGCGCGTGTGTTGAAGTTGCGCGCGAGAAACGGTCTCAAAAGCGCGCATGATTTCTGCAGAATTTTCGTCCAATTTCCCCTAGAAAAAGTGTCTCACGGAAGATAATGACGACGACAGAAGAGCGAAAATGCGCCGAAGATGAAGAAGAGAACAAAGACGAAGAGGACGAAGAGGAAGCGGTCCAATCCATCCCAGAGCTCGAACAAGCTCTGCGTGAATACGCGGAACAGATGGAAGATATCGACCAATTAGACGACGGCGAGGAGAAAGAAGAGATGAAACGAGAGTTAAAGGAAGTCATCGAGTTAACCAGAGAGGTCTTGAAAGAACGCGCGACGGAGGAAAAAGAAGAAGAGGAGAGAAAGAAGCAAACGACGACGATGAAAATGAAAGAAGAAGAAGAACACGAAGCGATTGAGAAAGAGTTGGAGGATTTGGAGAATTTGCGTCAAACGGAAGAGGAAGAGGCAGAGAAGAGGAAGCGAGAGGAAGAGGAGAAGAAGTGGAAGGTTTTGAAACGACCTTCAAACGGAGAAGACGAGGAAAGAATAGAAACAACAACAAAAGGAGGACGAACTAGAAAAGAAAACGGTGACGAGGAGGAGGACGGCGGTAACAATAAGCCGCCGCCGAAAAATCTGCTCTACCGCGGCGCCGACGATAAACCGACGTACGACGAGGAAGGGAATTTAATCGTCCCGAAGAGGCTTCAAATACAAGACGACGACGATAAAGTCACCAGAGATCGAAAGAGGAAACAGTTGCAAACGTTTAAGTATAAGCAGAAACAAAAAGCAGACGTGAGCGAACACGCGAAACGGGCGAGCAGTTGGAACGATTTCAAGACGAAGAAAGCGGGCAAGAAGAAGCGCTTGGATAACATGAGCAGTGGGGTGTTTAAGAAGAAATCGATGTTTAGCGGTGTCGGAGAGGGCGAGAGAGAGGTATCTAAGCTGACGGTGCCGAAAAAACACCGGTTTCATTCCTCTTAGAAGAAGAGTTTTGTATTCATAGCTTTCGCTCGCGTCCTCAGATTTTCAAACTAAAATACTCAAAATTGTTGATATTACACACACTTTATATAACTCGGATCTCTCGCCTCTCTTTCTCTCTCTCTTCGAAAACACGCACACACACACACACATCTGTTCTATTATTACGTCGTTTTACTTAAATATAACAGAAAGGAGGGGTGCATATTCTCTCCGTCTTTTTCTCTCTCGCCAAATCTTTCCTTTTTATCGCGCGCTTCTCTTTGTGCTACTTCTCTCCATCTTCTTGTCTCTCAAATTCGTTGTATGCTATATCAGAGCGTCGCGTATTTCCTCGTCCACTCCCTCGCCAAATCCTCGTACCTCGGTCGATCCGTCTTGTAAATGTGCGCGATTTCCGGCACTAAAGGATCGTCCGGGTTCGGATCGCACAGCAGCGAACAAATAGACAACAAAACCTTCGAAATCGTCAACGCCGGCGACCACTGCTCTTTCAAAATGTCCAAACAAATGCTCCCGTGCGAGTTCACGTTCGGATGGTACACTTTTGTCTTGAAATTCACCTTGGGAGGTTTGAACGGGTAATCCGGAGGGAAGTGGATCGCGACGAAGAAGAGACCGCCTTGGTAAGGACTATCCGCTGGGCCAATGATGGTGGCGTCCCAGTGGAAAATATCGTCCTCGGACCGTGGACCGGCCGAGCAAGAGGTTGGCGGATCTTTTTGTAAATCCTGTAATGTGCGTTTTCGTTATGCATAGCGAGAGGAGGAAAATCGCGTTGTTGTTGTTCGTGGTCAGCGTCATGATGCGTCTTCTCGTCTTCTCGTTGATGAAATTTGTCTCTCTCGAGAAGGAACCGACGACGAACGGACGAAGAAAGAAAAGAAGCGAAAAGAAGAAAAATGTCTGCACGCGCGAAATCAAAAGAAAAAACACCGACGCGACCGCCAAAGTCTCTCAATTCCGGGAAAGAAACTTGGTCGAATGCTATCTGTACTCAAAACGAGTGCGAAAACGTACCACGAGCTCTTTGGTGATTCGTTTCGAAGCCATTTTAATGTGTTTCTCTCTCTGCTATTTTTTTCTGTCTAGATGATGATGACGAACGTTTTTTACAGTTGTAATCTCGCTTCTCCTTCTCGTCGTCTGTCTCGCGAAGAGTATTCGCTCTGGTTGTAAACGTCTTCGAAGAGAAGTCGTTTCGTTTCGCGCGAACTTTTTTTAAAAAGTCGCGTTTCTCTTTGTCGCTTCGTCTTTGCAAAGTGCGTCTGTTTGTGCGCGTTACTAGGCGAAGAGTCAATGCTTTCTTTTTGTGTGGAGGCAAAAGAGGAGGAAAAAGAGAGACAAAAAACAAAACAAAACCAAAAATACACGAAACAACAAGGAAAAGCGCTCGTACTAAAATTTTATCGCGCAATCAATCAATCAATCAAAGATCATCGTATAACTACAATGCTATTATTGCTCCCGAAACGCGTTCCGTAACTTGAACGACACCGTGGCGCGTACTAATTCACCGACGCGTTTAATACCTCCTCGTCTTTTCACTTGGATTTTCTGCAACTCCAAGGATAACGCTTTGAGGACGAGCGCTCGCAAGAACGTTTTCTCTTTGCGCGAGAAGTTTTGTTGTTGGTTTTGCCCCGCGTGCGTTTGCGTTTGCTGCTCTCGAATGTATTTATTCCTCAGTTTTTCGCAACGAAGGAGAGAGGTGTGGATGATTTGCATCGCGCTGGAGTCGAGAGTTGCGGACGGGTGCGGAGGATCGAACTTGGATTTCAAGTCGTCGTGAAGATCGAAGAGTTCTTTGCAAAAGCGACACTCGGTTTCGAAAGAGTCGTAATACGCGGATTCAGCGGTGATTTTCGTTGTTATCACATGTTCGTAGGCGATTTGTTCCTCTTGGACTTCTTCGATGCCTCGAGGAGAACGTTTTTCGTATTGAATTTCAAACGCTCCGAGGAAGCAACGCTTCTTAGCGACGCTGACGAAAACGTGGTCGGGAATGCGAACTAATGCATCTACATCGACGATGGATTCGTTCGAAGCCGCTACTGTTTCGGAAATCATGGCATCTTCTCCGATATGCGCCGTCTTCCTTTGTTTGCTCAGTTTAGTTCCTCTCGCGTTTTTCTTCTTTGTCATTTTTTTCTTCCTTCCGATGTCGCTTGGTGCGTCGACAGGGCCAATCGCCGATGAACGAATACACATATTAACGCACTCTTTCCATGCCACGTGTATGTTTGATTCCGTCAACGCGCTATCGCTCGCGATTCGAAACGCGGCGTAAAAATCTTCTCTCGACAGGCCAGACGATGAAAGACTACTATTCGTAGATATACTTTCACCGACATGATCTTCGCAATTCATCGCGCGGAACAATACAATCAAAGCTCTCATATTCCGTTTCGATCGTTTCTCGTGTTCAGTCATCAAAATCGAAACGACATCGTCCGCATCTACAGTTGTTCCAGTTACTTTTTTCTTGATCCCATTGCTAGAGGAAGATGACGACGAGGACGAGGACGCTTCTACGCCTCGATGGAAGAGAAATGCTCGCGCTAACGCGTCCATCTTTTCCTTCTCGGTCAATCGAAGAGTGCTATTGTTATTGCTAGTGCTATTACTAAATTGAGCGCTCGTCTTCTCGTTGACCAAGACGTCCGGGAACAGCAGCGCTTTTACTGCTTCGCACGCGTGTGAGAACGTCACTTTACCGCTATCGTCAAAGTTCATCATTTTGACCGACGCGGTGTTACTTTGAACTTCGCTAATTTTTATCGCTTTACCGTTCGCGGATTCGTTTTCTGGGAATAGTGAAGAGATGTGACCATTCGGTGCCAACGCGTCGAGTACTTTCAAATAGAAATCGTACGTATCCCGGTCGCCGCCAAAGTGAGCGCTATTACTTTCGTCCGTGTTTAAAACAGTACCATTTGGAGAACAAGTGGAGGTAGACGATTCGAGGAGTCCGCAAAACGCCGCAAACTGTCTGATTTTCAGCGACGACGTCGAGTGAACTTTGCACGAAGCGATTAAATCCAAGCAGTTTGTTTCCGCCAATTGCCGCAAGCCGTACCGATGCACGTGCCACTCGTACGCAAAACTCGCGAGATCGTTATGAGATCCGCCTCCGATATGAGTCGATGTCTGTTGTTGTTGTTGTTGTTGTTGCTGCTGCTTCTCTTGATCCTTCTCGGCGGCTATTTTATCGGCATAAATCTGCGCAACCGTGCGTAACGTCCACGACTTTGGTTTCTCGCGACCTTTTATTTTCGAAGTTTGGATGAGCCTCGCGAACCCACCGAGAGTGAAACTTGTACCAGCGCTCGGAGAAGAAGAAGAAGCGGAAGCATTTCTGTTGGTTCGCCCATCCCCTCTTCTTTTCTTCATACTCGCAGAAGTTGTCTCGATACCGTCGTCGTTGTTATTGTTGTCACGAGTATGCCATCCCAACATCACCAAATCTGCGTCCGTTTGCAAGCTCGCGTCTGCCATATCATCACAACCAATTCCAAGCAGCGACCCGTCCTCGCCATTCGCAATCACGTGCTTCATCCAACGCCGATTCGTTTGCGCATCCGTATCAACTGGTTTTCCTCTCGGAGTTTTCGCCAAAGCCACACGCAATCGTTCCTCCGCGTACCTCAGCGACTCTTTCGAATCGTCGCGACTGTCCAACGCGTGCACTAACTTCTTCTCTAAAACCATCGTCTGCGCTCGAATCTCGCGAAACATTGTCTCTTTCAACTGTTTCAATTCCTTTTGCGCTTTCAGCAAAGCATCTCGTTCTAAATCGCGTCTGTTCTTTCGCTCCGACGATATTTCCTGCCATCTTAATTTGGCGTTTGCAAACTCGCTCGATATTTTTTCGTTTAACATTTGCACGCGTTTCTGTTCTCTTCTCGTGGCAGCTAAACTCTTCGCCAACGCAATTTTTTCCTCTCCGTCGCGTTCGGATTGCGTGTTTGCAAAATCTCGCATGGCAGACAATCTTCGATTTTGTAAGCGCATCTCTTCCATCTGTTGATTTTTTACGTCTATTATATCTCGATATCGATCTAAAACTGCATCGACGAGCTCGCCGCGGTCTCTGCACTGCGCGTGGATCTGCCGGGACGTTTCTCGCGCGATAGTTTCCAGCATTTTCAATTTTTGATGGTGACGTTTCGTTTTATTCTCGCCTTCTTCTTTCTTTGACGTATTGTTCCGCGATGTAAACGTGACGAGACTCCTCGAAGCAAGAGAAATATCATCCTCGTTATCTTCTTCACACCCAGATTCAGATGAGGACGACGACGAACACGCGTCGTCTTCATCGTCGCTCCATCTCTCTTCCAGTGTTTCCAACAACCGTCTCGCCATCGCCCTCGATGCCGGCTCCGGGCCTTTACGATCGATCCACGCGAGACCGTTCGCGGCGGCGTCGACACCACCACTGTTATTAATACCGCATCGACGATACCTCCGATTTCCCTCCCTTTCGCGATCGCTTTGCATCTTCATCGCTCGCAACTTCTTCCTCCTCTCCTCTTCTTCCTCCTCCTCTCTTTTCTTCTCTCTCAGCTGTCTCTCCACGAGCGCGATTTCCGCTTTAATCTCTTCGATCGATCTCACATCCGTTCTCCCACCGCTTCTTCTCTCATAAGTCTTCTTCATCTTTATCTTTTCGTTGTTCTCCTCTCCTCCGCGATTTGGGGAATCATCAAACGACGCCGCCGCGAGTAGTACTTTTCTTCGCACTCTTTCCTCGCACATGCGCTCGTGCGACCACCGAAACATGTCTGTCGTCTCTTTTTTTTCAGCAAATCAGCAGCAAATGGTGGTGGTTTTACGTCGTCGCGTTTTGCATCATCATCGCTCGGATTTTCGTCGGTCTTTCGCAGAGAGAGAGAGAGACAGAAAGAGAGACGCGAGAAGAGTACTCGCCCGTCCCGTCGTCTCAAGTGCGCGCTCTTTAACGCTCTCTTTCTCCCTTCTTCTTTCCGATTTTACTAAAAATATTATTTTTTTTATATCTTTCGTCGTTTGACTTTTTTCTATTTTTGGATTGATAAAAAAAAAGACGTTTCTCGCCAAAAAGAAGAAGAAGAGCAAAGAAGGGAGAAACTTCAATTCGGCACGTTAAAGGTACCCCACTATTTTGTACTCCCAGAAACGCGGGAAAGAAAGAGAGAAAGAGAGACGGTCGATGTGGTCGCGTTCTTCCTCCTTTTCTTCGCGGCGACCACTCGCTCCTCCTCCAAATCCCAAACTCTGCTGTTTCCGGTGTTCTTTTCCTCCTCCTCTCATCGTCGGGAAAAATCAACACCCTCGGGTGAGAAAATGTAGTGCGTTCGTCAGAAGCAGAACGAGGACGCGTAACAACGACGAAAAGAGGACGGTTCCTCAGCAACGAAAAGACGACGACGATGATATTGGCGATTTTGATGGTTCGAAGATGATTGATGATGATAACTCAGACGAAGATTTGGACGAGGACGATGTGGAATTTTTCAAAGCTGCTGCTTCGCTTCAGTTTGGTGCTTCGAACAAAAAGAAAGTTCCCATCGCGCCTGGATTTTACGTCGTGTCTACTCCGATAGGGAATCTCGAGGACATAACTATTCGCGCTTTGAAAATCCTAAACGAAGCGACGTTGATTTTGTGCGAAGACACGAGGAAGACGCGACAGTTGTTGACGCTGTTGGGCGTTCAATCGTCGTCGTCATCGAAAGGAAAACAAAAGAAGTTGCTCGCGTATCACTCGCACAATTTTTACGAGCAGAGAGAAACGTTGAGAGATCGAATCGTGAGGAACGAAGACGAGGAGGTGATTGCGTTGGTTTCCGACGCCGGTGCGCCGGTGGTGTCCGATCCAGGGCAGGATTTAGTGGATTTAGTTTTAGAAGCGAATGGGGGCGGCGGCGGCGGAGAGAGGAAGAGCGTCGTCGTGCCGATTCCAGGCGCGAGCGCGGTGACGACCGCAGTCATCGGGAGCGGGTTCAAATGCGACGACGGGTATAGATTTTGTGGGTTTCTTCCCGCGAAGAAAAACGAGCGAGTGAAAGTTTTAGAGAGTTTAACGTCCGAGACGAGTTTGTTGGTGTTCTTCGTGTCTCCGCACAAGTTGGTAAAAACGTTGGAAGACGTCGCGGCGGTGTACTCCAAATCGCCTCCTCGGCGCGTGTGTGTCGCTCGAGAACTCACCAAGCGACACGAAGAGTTCTTTCGGGGCACGTGCGAAGAGTGTTTGGAAGAATTCTCCAAAGAAGGCCGAGCGAGAGGCGAGATTACGTTGCTCGTCGAAAGCTCCGACTTGTCCGCGTCGACGAAGAAGACTTTGGCGACAAAGGTCGCGCCCAAAAATATAAACGATGACGACGACACAAACGACGACGACGACGACGAAAGCGACAAAAACACCGCAAAAGTACTCCTCGAAAAAACATTGCGTCACTTACTCCTCGAACGCGCGGAAAACCAAAGGCTCTCCGTCTCCGAAGCCGCGCGGAAAGTGAGCCAAGATTTGGGCGTAAAACGAAGAGTCGCGTACTCGCTCGCGCAAAAGATTAAAGACTCTTCGAGCGGTAATACTAATAATACTAATAATTAATGCTTTGTAATTAAAGAAACGCGCATGCGCGCGCGTCTCGTAGTACAGCGAGTAGTAAAAATCACTCAACTGTTTGTTTTCTCTCGAAAGCGCTTTCCTCACTTTTTCTCATCTCGCGCGCATAAAACGTTATCACACGTAATAAACTTAGTCGTCCTCGTTTATTAAACTTGCGCCAAAACCAACGCATCATCGTCAAAGTAACGAAATGGGTAACTGCTGCAAGTCCAAGCCTGTTCGAGAAGGAGTTGATGTCGCGCAAAGCGAAAACGCCGACGACGAAAGGGAACAAAGGTCGAGGAAGAGTCAAAAAGGCATCGTCCCCGTCGTCGGCGATACGGAGGAGACAAAGAAGACAAACGCGCTCTCAAAAGAGCAGCCGAGATCGAGATCGCCGCTAAAACAAGCAGATTCAGCGTCGTCTTTGATATCTCCGACGATAAAACAACAAGAACAACGAACGAAGAAGACGAACAAAAACGGAATAACCGACGATTTTCTCCTCGAAAAGGAAACGAAAAGAATATGCGAGAGTTCATTTTTACGACCGATGAACTCCGTATTGTTTAAAAAATACGAGACCATTTTCGAAAAGGAGAGCGGCGAAAACGCGTTTAGTAATGGTGGTGCTCTTCTTCCTCAATGGCCAGAGGAGACGGAAGTGAACGAGGCGTATTTGAGCGCGTTTAAATCGTACTGCGGAGATTGCGAGGGGCGGTTTTTGGCGTTTCACGAACGCACGGAGGATAACGAGTCCGTGTGGTTTGAAGGCGAAGTGCCGGGCGGAAGTAAAAAACAGAGAGTGAAAATGCAAATAGAACCGTGGGACGATCACGAGTGGACGTCGGCGAGAGCGTTTGCGATTTACGCGTTTGTGATGAAACACATGCGAGTGAGTAGCGGTAGCGGCGGGAAGGACTCGGGGGGTGGTTTGGCGAGGAGGAGATCGATGGACAGTAGCGCGCCGGCGGCGGGAGACGAGTCAGAGAGCGCGGCGCTACATTTACCGGACACGAGAAAGATGCAAAAGAAAGAAGAGCGGATGGCACAACTCATACGAGGTCTCGGGTGCGAGTACATGAACCATCCGTTGTTTTACTTCTGCGTCAATTTCTTCGAAGGCGTGAATATAGATTCCGGCAACGAACAGATGGATGAAAGAGATTACGTCGATCGGTGCGAAATGTTTCTCTATCGATGTTTAGACGGGTGTCAAGGCGCCGTGTTTTCAAAGTTTAAAGACAAGAGCATTGAGTTTGGGATGAAGCACATCTCCGATTCGCAGCATTTAGGCGCGTTGGCGTATTTGAAAGCGTACGTGAACACGAGATTTCTGAAACGGTTTCCAATCACCACGAATTTTATGCATCCAAAGCTGGACTCGCAAATCGAACGGATTCGTTTGTCCAGAGATGTCGCGCACAAAATGCGCGCGTTCACGTTCGTGGAAGCTTCTGATTCACATCCGGCGGCGTTGGTGTTATCTTTTCCAGATACCGAGGCGTTTAAAGATTTACTCTCCGTGAGCGCTCCCGATTGTTGGCTCGCGTTGAATCATTTTTACGAGTGGACGATAGCGCAACCGAACAGGACGAGACCGCGAGATAAAAAGTTACAAACGCCGCCAATTTTCATCGCGGACGTTAAAAAGTTATCCCTCATGAGTTGTACGAAGAAAAACGTCGCTCGACTGGCGGATACGTTTCGAGCGGCGATGTTCCACCCAGAACCGTTTTCGAGATTTGTCATCGCGAACGCTCCAATGTCTGTGATGGCGTTATTTACGTTTGGGAAGTTGTTCATGAGCGAATCCGCGAGGATGAAGTTTGTCATGACTGGATCGAGTTTACAAAAAGCGATGAAACAGGCGTGGGGATTAGAGAAAGAGGATATTCCTGAATGTTTAGGAGGCGAAGGGTACCCGGGGAAAGCGCTCTCGGCGGAGGAGATATTAACGAACGAGGAGAGGTGGTTACATCACAAAAAGTGCATCGAGAGAACGAGAAAGCAGTACCCGAAATATTTCGCGAAATACTCGGAAAAGTATTTCGTAGACGATAAGAAGCAAGTAAAAACGGTGGTTGAACGCAAATCGAACGCGTTGGCGAATTCGCAAAAAGAAGAAGAGGATGAATCTCGAGCGAGCGGGAGTATGTCTTTTACAAAAAGCGCGCGACGCTCGAAAACGATGCCGAGAATGGGCGCGAGAGGAAAAGACGACGACGCCGACGAGAGTTTGTTTGCTGGATACGGAGAAGAGGAAATGTCGGAAAAAAGGAAGAAGATGGCGTTTTTGTTCTTGTCCATCGTCCTCGCCTCGTTTCTTTCCATGTTGTTTAAAGTGTTTATCTTGTCCAACAATATCCGATAGACGCGGTGCTACCAGATACATTTATTTAGTCAATTGTATATAATATAGAGTTTCTAACTGTCTAATACTACGTTACGTTAATGATGGTGCGATCCGCATCCACCGTGGTGAGAGTGTTGTCGGTTAAACGCGGATCTCTTGGCGGCTTCCACTCTCTCCTGAATCGCTTCTTTATCGTACCCTTCATCGTATAATCTCTTGCTTAATTCGTCTTCTAATATCTCCAACGCTTCACCTAAAAGCTTAAAATTTGTTTCCGCTTTACTCTTCTCTTCGTCCGTGGCGTCGATTGGAATACGATCCGGGTGATACTCCATCGCTTTTTTCTTATACGCCTGTTTCACTTCAATCGGAGACGCTAAAGACGTCACGCCTAACAGAGCGTAATAATCGCATCGATTCAGCTTGCGCACCTCAAAGTTGCATTTTTCTATTCGAGCCTTTGTTTCCGCGTCGTCTGGAAGAATTTTCTGCAAATTCTCGAGCACATCTTTTGCTTTTTTCGGCTCTTTGAGTTTTAAGTACGCGTTCGAGAGCGTGAAATAAGCGGGTTTATAATCGTCTACGGCGGATAAAGCCTTTCGTGCGTCAGCCGCGCACTTCTCGGCTTCGTTCAATCGTAAATACGAATTGGCTCTTTCCACGAGTATTCGAGCGCATACGGGACTCTTTTCTGGAATAAATTCCGTGGACTCGAGCGCTTCGGTGAAGGACTCGACCGCTTGCGCAAATTCTCTGTTTTGATGCGCCGCTCGCGCGTTTTCCAACGACACTTTTATCTTCTTCGCGTCTTTGAACAGACGCATGGTTTTGGTATCGTCTGGATTTTGGGTCAACGCGTGTTTGAAAAACTTAATTCCGTTTTCAAAATCGCCATCGGCAGTCAAACACAACGCTCTACCTCTCAACGCGTGCATATCTACTCTCGAATCATCTCTGCGAATCGCATCTAACGTAAATTTTAAGATTTGCGTCAAATTTTCTCCGAGCGAGAGCAAACATCTCGCGCGGGCGATTTCGCACCTTTCCCCGCAATCTAATTCCAATAAGTGCGCGTATCTCTCAACCGCTTGCGCGTATCGTTTCTCTCGCTCGTCTTCCTCGGCGCTTTGAAATGTCCGCAGCACATACCGCATTCGTTCGACTTCTTCCTCGAGCGTTTCGATTCGTGCGACTTCTTCCTCGAGCGTTTCGTCCTCGATCTTCAATCCTCTCTTTAAGATTTCCTCGCCGGCGAGTACGGACGCTTCGTAATCGCCCGTCTTTCTGTACATACCCATCAACGATTGGGCGCACGTGATCGCGTACTCGTTATTCTCCTCATCTTCCGCCACCGCTTGACATTCCTTAAAATCTTTAATCGCCTCGTGGAACGCTCCCAGTTGCGACCAACATCTGCCTCTCAAGTGTAACGCTTTCGCCGAGTCTTTATCTATCGATAAACACTTCGAGCACAGTTGCACGGCATCGCGGTATTGCTTCGCCTCGAATTTATTCAACGCTTGTTTCTGTAAACCATCGGCGGTATCGTCGTTCTCCTCTTTTTTTGCGTCGCTATTACCTCTCGTCGTCGTTTTTGTCGTCGTCTTACTCGTCTTACTCGTCTTACTCGTCGTCTTCTTCTTATGCGCATCGGTGGATGTCATGTGTCTCGTAATCTCCGAACACGAACCGATCCAATCGCACGCGTCGTCCATCGGACACCGCACGCGCACTTTCTCGTACACGCGAGATAAAACCGGCGAGTGTTCTTTCAAGGTTTCGTACCTCGCGTCCGTCCCGTACTTCATTTGTTCTTGGCACGTCGGACATTTCCTATCTCCGTTTCGAAACCATTCGTCCAAACACGCGAGGCAAAAGATGTGTTTGTTCTCGCACAAGGTCACGACGGGTTGTTCGCAAAACTCGGAGCATATTTTGCACGTGAACTCGTCCACGTTGTCCGAGAGGACGTGGTCCAGTGGAAATCCGCTTCCGCCCATTAGTATACTTTGAGTGACACCCTCCTTTACTGGTTCTGGAGTCGTGGTGGTTCGCTTGCGCGACTACGACGCAAATGGTTTAGGGTTTAGGGTTTGGGTTTAGGGTTTGGAGAAAAACTACCTTTTTTTCATAACAAAGTAATTCTCTCTCCTTTTCTCTCTTTTCTCTCTTTTCTCTCTTTTCGCTCTTGGAAAACCCCTTTCCGCACAACTTTTTACGCAAAGACACGATGCGAGGTACGCTCTCTCTCTCTCTCTCTCGTTTGTTTGTTTATTTACGCAAAACGTTTTATTACGTGCGAGGAATACTATTTCGTCTCCGCGCGTTTAAGTAAACGTTTCTGTGTTGCGGTGTTCGCGAGTGGCGGCTTTTTTTCTCTCTCATCATCGCTTCTGCGCGCGATTTTCGTCGTTCTCTCTTTGTTAGAAAGAAATGGGAGAGAAAAAAGTTACGCGCTATTTGTCTCTTCTCTTCGGAACGGAAAACGCGAAAATGTTCTGCGCGAAAGAAACGAGGATCGCCAAGTAGTAGTATTAGTCTCGCGCGTTACGATGGCGCGTGTTGTGTTTTATCATCAAGCGCATATTGCGGTTTAGGACGACGGTTTATGCATCACGCAAGAAGAAAAACAACGAAAGAGACCTATTTTGGATGTCTGACTGACCACAAAAAAAAATTCTCTCTTCAACATACAGCCAAGTGGAAGAAAAAACGCACCCGCAGATTGAAACGCAAGCGCAGAAAGATGCGCATGAGATCGAAGTAATCTTCTTCTCTTATTATTACATCACATATCAGAGAGTCTCTTTTTGAAAACAGAAAGAGGTTTCATAATAGATAGAGTTTTAGAAGATTAAATAGTATCGATTTTGCGCGGATATTTGATTCGGGGACGCGACGACGATAACAACAACATTAACAACAACAACAACACGCGTCGGTGACGGATACCATCAATAGATTAATAAGAAGAATATATTAGAAAAATACAACAAATATGAGAAAGTTGAAACATCACGAGCGCAAGCTCTTGAAGAAAACCAACTTTTTGCAGTGGAAGAGCGAAAACAACCATCGCGAGTTGGAAGTTATTCGCAGATACCACGTGCAAGATCGCGAGGAGTACAAGGAATTGAACAAGGTTTGCGGCATGGTTACGAAGTTGACCAACTTATTGCGGCAAATCGATCCGAGGGATCCTAACAGAGTTGAAATGACGGAGAAGCTTTTAGACAAGCTGTATAGCATGGGAGCTATTCCGAGCACAAAGTCTTTGACGCTGTGCGATAAGCTCTCGACGTCGTCGTTTTTGAGAAGACGGTTATCGGTTGTCATGGTTCGCTTAAAAATGAGTGAAACCTTACGTGAAGCGGTGACATTTATCGAACAAGGACACGTCAGAGTTGGCCCAAACGTGGTGAGAGAACCGAGTTACCACGTCACGAGAAACATGGAAGATTTCGTCACGTGGGTCGACACTTCGAAAATTCGACGTAAAGTCATGGCGTACAACGATAAAGTGGACGATTTTGAGCTTCTCGGAGCTTAAACAACGTGATTGCTTTATCGGCGTGCGTTATTTTAGTATATTCTTATTATTCTAGTTGATTTATTCGGTACTACCGCGGTGTTGTAGAAGTCTAATAACGTGTTTCCGAAGAAAAGCAAAATTAAAAGAAAAAATGATACGGTTGTTTTGTTTGTAATAAATACTACTTTGTGCTACACAAATACACAGCTAATGAAAAGTACTACGTGACTTCACTACTACAAACCTTACGTTCCGCGAGTTGCGTTTAATTGAACCATTTCCCTAAAATGTCCGGCAAATCTCCGACGCTCACGATTTCTTCGTCCACGTACAGCGCTTTGTTCTTCTCGGCTTCTTCGACGGCTTCGGGCCGTTCCGCCCACGGCGCGCCGCCGCCAGAAACGTATTTCACCACGTTCACGTCTCGAACTAAAACCGTGCGACAATTCAAATGATCTTTAGCTGCTTTACAATCGTTCAAGACGTCGTCGCCGACGTGCACCCAATAAGCTCTTTCTAGTTTATGGTCTCCTATTTTCAACGAAGAAATAACCCCGTCGTCGGAAGCTCTGTTCGCGTTTCCGCTCTCGAGCATAAACGTCTGCGCCATCGTCTGCGCCCTTCGAAATGGCCACGGACTCGGTTTCCTCGCCACGTCTCCATTCACGCCTTCCTTATCGATCAACTCGTCCGCGCTGATTTCGAAATCAAAAAACTCTCTCAATCCGCTTTCGCTCGCGCTTCCTAATCCGTTCGTAATGCTCCCGATGACGCACCTCGGGTACCTCTCTCGCACCGTCTCTAAACACTCTCGCACCCCGGGAAATAACAACTTCCCGCCCGTGCTATTTCTTGTTGGAATCCAACTTAAATGGTACCCTCTCGCGGCCATACCAATCGCATCGTGCTCGCACACGTCGCACAAAGTCGTCATCGCTTTCACCGCCGCCGCTATTCGGATCGAAGCGTACGATAACGCCTGCGTTTGCGAGAAATAAGAACAACCATCATCAGAGAGAGAATGAAAAGGTTAACAAAATAAAGAACAACAAATCAGAAAAGTAAAACGTACCACGTGTTCTTCTCCTCGCATCCGAAACATCTCCTCCCTTTCCTCTCGAATGCCTTTCATCAACTCGTTCATCACTCGCGTCTCAGGAAAGTTCTGAACTCGAGTTTGAAGCCATTTGATGTAACTCTCGTTCGCCGCGGTGACTACTGGCAGAGTTGGCCACACGGTATCGTCCAAATCGAACGTCAAAACGTGGAGTTCACGTGTATCATCGACAGAAGCAGAAGAGGAGGAAGACGACGCAGACGAAGTTTGTCGTTCGGAATTTCCCCGTTTTCTTCTTCTGTTTCTGTCGACGATACGCGACGTAAACGACGACGAGAACCAGCAAAGAAGCTCACGCTTTTGAGGCTGCTCTTTATGTCGACGACCGGAAAAATGATGCAGAGGACGATACAAACAACTCGTCGGCATCATCGTCCTCATTGCATTGTGCGTCATAAAATGGCGATGACTTTTCCTCTCAACAACCATCGCTTTGTTGCGACAGGGAGGAGGATCATCGACGAAGAGAGCTCCTTTTCGAGAAACAGACGACAAAAAGGACCTCGTTTTGGACGACGACTTTTGCGTTTTGATGATGATGATGCGTTTCGAAGAACGAGTAAAAGCAGGTGGAGAAACGTCAATGGACTTGGAAAGAGAGCGGCGAAGACTTTAACGGTTTCCTCGTTTTCTTCGTCTTCTTCTTCTTGGAATAACGAGGACGACGACGGGAGTACTACGAGAACAAGAACAACGACAGAAACAACAACGACAGATATGCTGAAACGGCTGGACGAACCGGTCGTGTTAGACTGGAAAGCTTTAGTGAGATGTTTCCTCAAAGCAGGCTTGGCCAGCGCTCTTCTCCTGCGAGTGTGGACGATATTGACGAGAGGAGGAGCGGATGCCGCTTTGACGGCGGCAAAGAGCCAGCGATGGTTTCTGCTCCAGAAATGGTTCTTTGCTTCGAATCATCAATCGCTTGGTTTCGGTGCTGTCGTTGGTGTCGTCTCGTTTGCGCTCGCGTTCGCCGCGCTTTTCGTGATCTTGGAGAAGGAAAGGATGGAGCGATATCGATTGGTGTCCGCGATGGAGGCTCGAGATATAAACTCGAGGTTCGCGGACGTGGACGGGGTGAGCGTGCACCATAAATATTTTACTTCTTCTTCTTCAAAAGAAAAGGCCGAGGAGGACGAGGACGAGGAGTCCTCCGGGGTGTTGTTTTCTATGGCGCACGGGTTCGGAGCGAACACGTACTCGTACGAAATGGCGTTCGTGGATAAGCTTTTAGAGATGGAAAATGCGAATGATAAGAATAATAGTGTTGGGATAGTATGTCACGATAGCGTTGGATTTGGATTAACGGAGCGACCGAGAACGGATTTGATAAAGTATACGAAAGTGTTCAACGCCAAATGTTTGAAGGCGATGGCGAGGAAATACGCGGGTAAGGGGAAGAAAAAGAAGAAAGTTGTGTACGTCGGTCACTCGTTAGGGACGATCGCGGCGACTTTAACGACGACGTTGGAGGGTGATGGTGATAATGATACTACGAAGCCGGCGGCGATTGTTTTAATCGCGCCGGCGATTTTAGTCAAGAAAGAAAAGGAACAAAAGACGACGCTCGACGGAGAAAATGAAGAAGTAGCAAAGAAAAAACCGATACCGAAAAAGAAAATCGTCGCTCCGGACGACGAGTTTTACGACGAGGAGTTGTTTAATCGCGTGGTCTTATCTTCCTTGAAAGCTCTTTTGGGATGGATTAAGTCTTCCTTATTCAACCTTTTGGCGAAACCTCTCTTATACGTGCTCTTGCGAACGATCGTTCGCTCGAAACAGTTTTGGCGAAACGGTTTATCCAACGTCGTGGCGAAATCGAAAGCATCTTTGGTGGATGAGTCTTGGATCGATGGCTATCGGCGCCCGCGGTTGGTGCAAAACTGGGACCTCGGAATGATTAATTTCGTCTCCGCCAGTCTCAACGATTTAGGCGCTGACCTCAAAGCCATCTTTCGAAGGCACATGCGCATTTACGCGGACAAACCGAATGAATACGACGTATCCATGAACCCAATGGACGCTTTGAAAAAGAGCGCGTGGGAAAAAAACATCCCAATCTTAATCGTTCACGGCAACGAAGATAAAGTCGTCCCGATCTCCAACTCGGTAAACATTTACAACCGATTGATAACCGCTCCAAATGTCGAGAAGGAGAAGAACGAGATGATGGAAATCCCATCTCAGGCTTCTTCTTCTTCTTCTTCTTCTTCTTCTTCTTCTTCGAAGTTGCAACAATCTCCTCCTCCTTTGACGAAATTCGTCGTCATGGAAAACACCGGTCACTGCCCGCACGAAGAAGATCCGGAAACGCTCGCGAGTGTCGTGCGTGACTTTTTGAGAGAAGCGAGCGTGATGTAATAAAATACTCCTCTGTATATTCGCGCGTATGCGAGAGAGAGAAGAATATTGGCATTTTCAATCCACACGTCGCTCAAGAGATACACACCTTTTGATTTGATAGGGATGATGGAACCTTCGTTTCTCAAACGTCTCGATATACTCCATGCGTTCTATTTTTATCGATTAAAGTTTGTGTGACATTTATCTCTTCTCTGAAAATATCTTCATAAATATCTCACACTATTCCCCTAACACTACACTGCTTACTAAAACTTTTCTGCGGTTGCTTGAAGCGCTTCTGATTCATACTTACTTCAAGTGATACCAGAGTTGTTATTTTCTGCTGAAACCGAGCGAAATGCCTCCTCGCGCGCAGCAGCAGCGGCGAAGAAAGAAACCCAGAGGCCGTTGGGGAAAAGATCCGGATTACGAGGACGGTCGCGAGTACACCAATGAATCGGACGCAGAGGAGGAAGAAGAAGGAAAAGACAACGCTCAATTCCCCACACGCACGATGAAAGAAAAGCTCGTCTTCTTAAACGTCGATTTGAACGACTTGGAACAGGTCGTTAAAGGCAGATCTGGAGGCTTGCACGAGGAGTTTAAAATCATCAAGAAAAGGTACTACCGAGAAGCGTTATTGAAACATCCGGATAAAGGCGGGAAAGAGCGAGATTTTTTGGAACTCGATTTCGTCTGGCAAAGCTTACGGGTGATGTACGAAAGGAATACGATAAGCTCGTTCTGGGAGGAGGCGCAGAAGAAAGGAGCGGAGAAGAAGAAAGGGAGGGAGTACACGCGGACGAGGCAAGCGAAGAAACCGCAGGCGGCGACGAAGAAGAGGAAGAAGAAAGGAGGGAAGGAGGAGGAGGAGGAAGAGGAGTTTAAGGCGTACCACAAAGCGTATCGGTCGTATAAGTTTTACGAGGAAGCGGCGGAGTATGACGATCCGGAGTATCGAGTGGAGTTGGCGCGATCGGCGCGGTCGAGTTGCGTGGCAAAATCCGGAGGGATCGCGTGCGAGCACGCGCGCGAAAATATTGAGAAAGACGAGATTCGGTGCGGGCATCGTAATCCTACGAGTGGTTCGTTCGGGAATTGGTCGCATCTGCGATGTTGGCGCGTTCCTAAACGCGTGTGGCTCGGACTTCCCGACGCGCACCTCGGACCGTTGGAGAAGGAAAAGAAGACGACCAAGAAAGAGAAGAAACCACCGCAAGGAGACGAAGAAGAGAAGAAGGAGACAAAAACAACCGCGAAAAGAAGAGGACGCAGCAGTAAAACAACAGGGACAACGACCACGGCGAAAGGAAAAGGGACGCAACCGTCGATGGATCGACGCGTCGCTCTCGTCGAAGAAGAAGGCGACTTCACTTTGACCGAGGAACAGTTTGCGGAGTACAACGACGCGATTTCGAAGATGAACGAAGATCTGTTGGAAGGCTTCATTCAGCTCAAAGACGACGACCAACGCGCGTTCGTTTTACACTGCGCGAATAGAAAGAATTGGGCAGTCCCGAGAGGCGTAAAGTCTGGCGAAGGTTTCGATTTGGCGCTCTTACCGTTTGAAGGCAAAACGAAGACAGGCGCGTGGGGGACGACGCATAAAAGTGAAGTCGCAGTCGTACCGGGCGCTTTAGAGGCGAAGAAACGATTGGCACTGCAAACAAAACGACAAGACGAGGAAATGGAAGAACATCCCAAAGGCTATCCTAAGGATGCTAGAAAAGCGCACTTTAGCGCCAAAGCAATCGTGCCGGGCGCGAAAGATGCAAAGAAACAAATCGCTATCTCGGTGGCAGCGGTGAGAAAAGAAGCCTTGCTGAGGGCGAAACAGGAAATAGCAGAGAAGTTGAAGCAAGAGGAGGAGAACCAAGCTAATTGGGACTTGCTCAACGCTCACTTGGAAGCTAGGAAAGGTAAGGGCGAGAAACGCAAAGCGCCTTCGCCGGCGCCCGCCGCGGTGAACAAGAAAAAGAAGCCTGTCGGCAAGAAGAAGAAACAGAACCAAATCGTGGCCATCTCGGAATCAGAGCACGACGATGACGAGAGAGACGGAGGTGGCAACAACGACTTAGCGGTGGCGCATCGACAAACCGAACAACACTTAGTGCCTCTGAATCAAATGCGACCTTTGGTCACGGTTCCGGCAACCACTCGCGCGCTCGCGGGTAAGACCTTTGTGATGACGGGCGTCTTCCCGGAACTCGGTGGTGGCGTTGGCTTAAGTGTTGGCAAAGATAAAGCAAGAGCGCTCATCGAAACCTTTGGCGGTGTCGTCCGCAGTGCCATTTCCGGTCAAACGACGCACTTACTCGTCGGGACCGAACCCGGAGCGAGTAAAGTCTCCCAAGCTCGAAGCAGAAACGTGACCCTGGTCAACGTTGGAGACTTGCAGAAATGCTTAAACTTAGGCGACGAAGCTGCGCGAGAGGAATTAGGGCAAGACAAAGTCATCATCGAAGCTTTCTCGGGTGGGTTTTACGGCAATTCCAAAGCGTACGAGATGTCCTCGGAGAAGCTGCAATATTTAGCCGGATTGAAAGACTTGGACGCGTTACCTCCCGCTCCGCCAAAGCCGAAACCACCAAAGTCGTTCGGAGCACGACTTTTAAGCTGGAAACGCAAATGAGATTGAGAACAACGAGGAGGAAGAGAGACACAAAGAGAAACACGAAGAAGAAGCGCACATATCGCGCCTGTTTCGCGAAAGCGAATTCACCTATTATATACTCTAATATCTTTTCTTGGAATGCACCAACACTATATCTAAAACACAAACGCTAAAGAAACCGACAAAAGAGCACCGCGACTTCTTAACTCTCTTTGCTCAAATCCACCTTATCTCTCACCCGGGGTGGTTTCTGTCTCACCAGTAAAACGATCCACGCCGCGAGCGCCAGGACGTGTAACACAATCACGAAATGCAAGATTGGTTTCAACACGTTCCCTAACTTTTCTTGGTTGTTTTGGACCAATAACGCGTCGATTAAAGAGTCCACGGTGTGTGAGGTGAATGGAATTTTGATGGTGTTTGGTAGACCCATCGTTTTGCTGCTTTTCCTGCGCAAAAAGTGGTAAGCAAACGAAGAGAGAGAGAGTGTATCGTATTGTGAAGTCGAATACAAATCCCCTAATGAACAAAGAGTTTGTCTTCGTTAATTTAAAAAAAACGTCAATTCGTTTTTTTCTCATGAGAAAAAAATACACGAAGAGATATCTATAATATACGCGACGCTCTTTGGACGACGACGGCTGAATCATCATGACGCGGGAGGTGAACGGCGGTGATGCGGGTGGTGTTCAAACTCCAAAGGATATTTTTAAAACCGCCGCGGTATTCGTTTTAAGGAGAGAAAAGCGTTTGATGTCACCGAGAGAAATCACCCAATTTGCACTCGTCAACGAGTTGTTGTTGTTCCCGGGAGAGACTAAAAACAAAACACCGATACAGAGCATGGAGAACGCTCTGAACGCGGACGCAAACCAGACAAACGAAAACGAGAGAGTGTTCGTGCGCGTGATCGTGGACTACGATCAGTCGTTTTTCGGTTTAAGAGAGTGGCACAACGATCCGACGTTGAAATATTTGTTGTTGCAAAAGGAAGAGAAGAAGAAAAGAAAAGCGGACGACAAATACGTTCCTCCTGTGAAGAAGGTTCCGGTAAAGAAGAACCCCGCGGTGATAGCGGCGCCTTTAAAGACGGAGGAGGATGAGGAGGAAGAAGAAGTGGACAGGGAAAGCATCCCAAAGCATCCCATCGTCCTTCCGATTTGGCCCACCGATCCAATCTTGACGAAAGAGAGATCCGAAGTAGGAAAATTTAGAGTAGGAGGGTGGGGGAAAAGAAGAGGAAGAGGGAAACAGAAGCAACCGACCAAAGAGGATTACAAAACGAGCGCGGAAGAATTATCGGAGGTGATAAAGAGAGTTAAAGAACGCTTGGAGAATATTGACAGTCGATTACACCGGTTGGAAACGCTCGTGTCTACAAACATGGCGTCTTTTGGTCAATCGCTCGAGAGAATCGGTGAACTCGTCGAGCCATTTTTGGGAGCGGGAGAGAGAGAGCGAAAGAGAGCCGGAGAAGAGGAAAAGGAAGAGGAAGAAGAAGAAGAAGAAGAAGAAGAAGAAGAAGAAGAAGACGCGGACGTGAACGACTTGCGCAACTCGCCTCGTTTTCGACCGATGGTGAGAAAGAGTGAAGAGTAAAAAGAGCAGAGAAACACGCACAAACAAACAGAGCAATTCGTGTACAACGAACGGTAGAGTGTAAACGTTATTCTTAATAACAAATATATAATAAACAAATTTAATCAAAGTACTCGTGAATAAAATGAAGTCCAAATAACATGTGTTTACGATTCCATAGCTTGAGCTTTGTATGCATCGAGGCCGGCGTCCAATGCTTCCGCCGTGAGCGGTTGCTTCGGCGCAGCCTTCGCCTTTGGCTTTCTCGGCTTCTTCGCCTTTTTCTTCGCCGCCGTCTGTTTCTTGGGTTGCTGAACGTCCATTCGTTGCGGACCGCCTCTGCCGCGACCACCGGTTCCGCGACCACCTCGACCACCGCCAGCGTTTCTACCACCCGTACTTCTCGCGCGACCACCCGTGTTACCCATGGGCGGGCCAACGCGACCGCCAATGCCACGTCCAACTGGCATGCGTTGAGGTGCTTTCGGGCCACCACGGCCGGATAACCGCGCTTGGATTGGTAACGGCGCCAATCCGACGTTCGAGGTGGCAATGATTTCCAATTGTAATTCGCGACCGTCGAGCTTCATGCCGGAATATTCGCGCATGGCGGCCAAAGCGTCCGCTCGGTTGAAGAAGATAACTTCACCGGAACCTTTGGACTTACCGTTCGGACCGTAGTTCAAGCTCGATTTCTTCAATCGAGCGACGGTGGAAAAGAGATCCTGTTATTTGATAAGGTTGTCAATTGAGAGTTTGAAACAAACACACGCGCATATAAATGTTAATAATGATATGATTTATAACGTTGTTGCGGCGGCGATATATACACATATCTGATGTATGTTTCGATCGATTCATTATTGTTCATCTCAAAGCGGAAGACACATATGTTTGTTACACCATTGTGCACACATACAAATCCATATACCGTAACACCAAGATGCATTCATCAGCAACGAAACGAGGAATCAATAATAAATCCATGCAGACACGCGACTGCGCTACGAAAGGCGCCAGAGACGAAAAGATAAAAAGAGAACGAAAGAAAACGAAGTCGTAGAAAGAAAGAGAGAAGAGAGAGAAAATGAGAACGCGTTGAATTGAAATCACTCAACGCGCTGAATACTGCTGCTGCTCTCGCTTCTGAATACCCAAAACCCAAATAAAAATCATTCGTGTCCATGTGTTCCACCAGATAAACAGCAACGTGCACGACAACAAGAACATCAACAACAATGATAACACCAATTACTTCACAGCAATAACACGGTCTGAGAAAGATTGTTTGCATGTCATTGTTTGTGTATATGTTTGTGTGTGAGTTTGCGTTACTCTTCGGAAGAATGTATTCCTGCAAATCTCTATTTTTTTGGTCGGCGGCGCTTTCGCAGGATTTTTTCTCAAAAAGAGAGAGCAGTCACCGAGAGCGCGTACTACTAATACACAACCCAAGAAGACAGAGAGAGAGTTTACTTTGCCACACGACCCGCGTTTCTTTTTAATCCCACGATTTACTTTCGTTGCATGTGCGATGACATTCAAACGAGCACGAGTGTATACACAAACTGAGAGAGAAGAGAATGCGAAGAAGAGCAAGTTTTTCCAAACGCTCTTTCTCGTTCGTCTTCTTCTCGTTTCGCGATATTCATTCGTTCGGCTTTTCTTTTCAATTCCAAAAAAAACGCGGCGGTTTTCCTTTGTCGCTGGTTTCGCAGTTCACTCTCAATCTCAATCTATACCGAACAGACTGAACGCTCTTGGTTTCTCTCTCTCTCTCCGTTACGCGAAACCATTCGAACGGGTTTCGTCGATATAATCCTCCAGCGCGGCGAGTAAAAAAATATAGAGAGTTTGGCGCCTCCTACAAAAAATAAGAGGCTTTTTGCACAGCTCGCGAAGCAGCGTTCGTATTCATTCTTCCTTTTGAAACTCGAAATCTTTCGAGTGGGAATCGGTTCGCGGTTGAAAAGCGCTTTAATTCTGGAAATTGCACCCCTTTCTCTTCCTCCTCCAATTCATCCAATTATGACAACAACACAACATACCTTGATATCCTTCTCCGTGACGTTAAAGTCCAAGTTCGAGACGATCAACTTCGTCGGCGCTTCGTTCGTTTTCGCGTTCGGAGAAACAATATTATTTATTCTCGATCGTGCTCCACCGGTATTCCTCACGACTTGATCGATCGCCATGCCGACCGCTCGCCCTCCGATCGGTTTCCCTCTCCCGCCGGTGTTTTTGCGAATCATCTTCGTCCCGCTTTTTACGGAGACTTTCACCGAGGAGACTTTCTTTTTCGGTTGGACTTTTTTCTTTAACGTGGTGACTTTTTTCTTCGCTTTATTCGAAGCGGTGGTGGGTTTCTTCGTCGCTTTTGGGGCGGCTTTGATGAGCGCGTCGAGGGATTGATCCACGTCCATGATGTGTTAAATCCAATTCTTTTCGGTGAGGTGTCGAGAGACAAAATTTTGAAGAAATTTGCAAATTTGGTGAAATGGTATACTACTTTTTTGTAAATATGTAAGCGATATAATATCATCAATCGATCGTCGACCGACGAACAGAGGAGCAGACAACCGAAGGTTTCGATACATGCAATAAATACGTATTGGTGGTCGTTATTTTCTTCTTCTGCTCTTTTTCTTACTCTCTTTCTTCTGCGTTGTCTTCTTTTTCTTCTTCTTCTTCTCGGCCCTCTCGCGTATTTTTTTCAGCCGCCGATTTTCCTCCTCTCGATGTACCTCCTCTTCCGATTCGTCGTCGACGCAAACGTTTCCAGACGCAATAGACGAGGAGAAGGAAAAGCGCGACGGCGGCGGCGAAACCGGCTTTTTGGACGTTTTCTTCGTTGGCTTCGTAGAAGGATTCGACGTGTTCGACGAACGAAGGCGTTTTTTTTGTCGCGTTATTTTCTTGTTGATGTTCTTCTTCTTCGTGGATGAGTGTGTTGTTGTTGTAGTCATTCTCGTCGTCGATTATGTCGGTCACGGTTACGTTTATAAACGCAGATTCGATGTCGTTGCGCCAGGCTTGGATGGAATTTTCTTGTAAATCCTCGAGCGCGAGGAGCGAAACTTTGCTGTTTTGCATGATCCGAGTCTTGGCGTTTTTGAAGATTACGGACGGTTGTTCGACGCGCAAAGCGTTCGTGAACGCCTCTTGAGACTTGTTTATAGTCAGATGCGGTGGATATTCGCTTTTTATTTCATCGTTGTTGTTGTTGTTGTTATCGATGTTGTTATCGATGTTTTCGGCTGACTCTTTAAGTCCGGAAGAAGAAGAAGACGAGGACGACGACGAATTTTCCTCGTTCTTATTGTCATCAGTCGTCGAGGCGTCGTTCTCATCGCCGTACGCAGACTTGAAGTTAACTTTGAAATCTATAATGACCGACCCTTGTTTTATGCCCAAAATGTGCACGTCATCGAACGGTACTTTGGCAAAATCTGCGATAGACTCTTTGAAATCCTTCTCCACCTCGAGATCGAAATCGCGTATGTTGTAATTTTCAATTTTGATTTTCGCGTAAATGGTATTTTGCGTTAAAACATCCGGCGGTGCTTCAGGGGGAGGCGACGGCGACGGTGGTGGTGGTGGATTCGGACTCGGTGGTATCGGTGGTGGACTTGGAGGAGGACTTGGGGGAGGTGAAGGCGGCGGAGGTGGACTCGGACTCGGGGGAGGAAACGGCGGCGGCGAAGGCGAGGGAGGCGCCGGCGGATTTGGATTCGGCGGCGAGGGTGGAGGTGGTAACGGCGAAGGTGGAGGCGGCGATGGACTTGGATTTGGTGGCGACGGTGGAGGTGGTAACGGCGAAGGTGGAGGCGGGAAAGGCGAAGTTAGAGGAGGTGGTGAAGGCGAAGGTGGAGGAGGCTGAGGGAAAGGTGGTGGCGGAGGAGAAGGGGGCGGGAAAGGCGGAGGGGAAGGTGGTGGCACTGGAGGACACGATGACACTCCACATCCACATCCCAGATCAACCAATCGTTCTTCTTCGTTTCCACTACCAATACCTTTCCCCCAAACCTCAGGCCATGGGTACTGCGTCGAAGCGCAGTTACAGTTATCAGCCGTTCTTTCGAGCTCGGCGCGACACTGCGATATGTCCACGTGGAACCAATACCCTCCGTTTGAAGTCAGCCATACCTTCCCAGACGTTGCGCACCAATTACGTTCAAATCCGCATCCAAAATCAAATCCTCTCCAACTCTCGTCTTCTTTAAACCCGTTGCACGCCTCTGCTGGGCAATCACCGTTTCTCAAATCTAGATCTTCGTAATTTTTCGTCGGCGCGCATCGGTTCGGGTCGCAATACCAACAGTGGCCTCCAGATACTCCCGGCGTATTAAAACATCGCTCCACGTACGTGGGATTATTTTCTTTCACTTTCAAAGCGGCGTCATTGATGAATGCCACCGCATCCGTTGCCGTTGGCGGGGAAGGTGGGGGTGAAGGTGGTGGAGGGAGAGGACTCGGCGGCGGCGAAGGAGGTGGCGGCGAAGGAGGCGGGGAGGGAGGAGGAAACGGGGGTGGATTCGGCGGTGGGGAAGGAGGAGGCGAAGGCGGTGGTGGACTTGGAGGTGGTGGGTTTGGAGGTGGTGATGGAAAAGGCGAAGGAGGAGGCGAGGGGGGAGGACTCGGCGGCGGGCTCGGCGGAGGACTTGGAGGAGGCAACGGCGGGGGCAAAGGTGGCGGACTTGGTGGAGGGACAGGTGGCGGAGCCGGCGGTGGCGGCGAAGGAGGAGGAGGTCTAGGCGGCGGTTTCGGAGGAGGTGATGGAGGTGGGGGCGATGGAGGTGGAAAAGGCGGTGGCGATGGACTAGGCGGTGGTGGCGAACACGCCGGCGTACTTGGATCTGAACACGGCGAAGCTGGAGGTGACGGTGGTGGTGGAGGACTCGGCGGAGGAGAAGGTGGTGGAGGACTCGGCGGAGGAGAAGGTGGTGGAGGAGAGGGAGGGGGTGGTGAGGGTGGTGGTGGACTCGGCGGCGGAGGAGGCAAAGGAGACGGCGGAGGAGGCGATGGACTCGGCGGAGGAGGCGATGGGCTCGGAGGAGGAGGCGATGGACTCGGAGGAGGCGGAGAAGGCGACGGTGGAGGTGGACTCGGCGGAGGAGGAGGCGATGGACTCGGTGGAGGTGGCGATGGACTCGGAGGAGGTGGAAAAGGCGACGGAGGAGGTGGACTCGGCGGTGGCGATGGACTTGGAGGAGGACACGACGTCACGCCACATCCGCACCCAATATCGGTAAGTCTTTCTACTGTCTTGTCCCAAACTTCAGGCCACACTGAGTTGGTTGAAGCGCAATTACAGTTATCCGCCGATCGAGTGAGCTCGGCTCTACACGTCGTTACCGTGGTGCTAAACCATCCAATGCTCGTGTACACCGACCCTCCCGCCATGCACCAATTTCTTTCCAATCCACATCCGAAATCGTACGCTCCCCAACTTTCGTCTTCGTTAAATCCGTTGCACGCTTCCGCTGCGCAATCGCCGTTTATGAGCGTCAAATCTTCGTAGTTTTTCGTCGCAGCGCATTGCTCTGGATCGCAATACCAACACTGTTTCTGATACCAGAGTATTTTCCCTTTGAAACATCGTTCCTCGTACGATGGATTGGCTTCTTTCACGGCTAAAGCGGCCGCGCTGATCGAAGCCACCGTGTTCGCTGCTGCCAAAAGTTGTCGCCTTGTTTTTTGTTGGTCCTTTTCCCTTTCGTCGATGTTGTTAAAAAATGATGATGTCGAAGAAGAAACCAAAACCGCGCTGCACGTAATCATCGTCAGAAGAAATAAAAGAAAACAAAAAGCCATCGTCGTCGTCTTTAAAGTCGTCATCATTTCGCGCAAAACGCGTCCGAGGATCGTTCGCGTTGTCGAGATACAAACAAAAAGCAGTCAATGTTTTTTATATCGTAGATGTGTTGGTTTTTTTTTCTTTTTGTAAAAAAAACCGTTTCAGTAATTAACGGAAAAACGCTTGATTTTAAAGGAAGAAAAAAATAAGACATTGAATCACATTTGATAATAGGAAAGAAGAGCGAGTCTACGCGAAGAATGACGACTGAGAATAAGAACACCACCAACGACGACGGAGAGAAGAAGGACGCAGGTGCTGGTCCCGAGCAGTGGTCGATCGGCGAAAAAAACACGCCGTACGAATTAAACGAAGACAACACGGCGAAAGATCCGTTGGCGTTTCGAGACGCGTTAATGCGAGACGATGAGAAACGCCCGGAGATTGAAAAGGATAAAGACTTGGCCGTGCATTTGCTCGGCGAAGACGTCGGGAAGTTTCAGGAGTGCTTGAAAGATATCGTCGGGAAGGTGCGTTTTTTTCGTTGTTGTAATAGCCGGAGGCGTCGACGCGCCGAGAGTTTTCGGGAGAATTCGATGTGCACACGGACGTGAGATCTACGAACTTTTTACCACGAAGACGCGAAGTCTTTCTCTCTCTCTTTAATTCTTCTTTACGTATCGTTTACAACACTCATTTCATTCATCTGAATGCTGCTGCAATTAATAACATAACAGATCAAACGTCAACAAGAAAACGACGAGTCTTTCGACATGCAATCCTCGGATTTAATGCGCGCTCGGTGCACCGTCCCGCGAGATCCCACCGTCCTTTACGAAGGCATGCGAAAAGCCGGGTTACAATACGGGCCGTCTTTCCGTTTACTCTCGCAAGTCTGGATTCCCGAGAAAACGCACTTGGAACAGTGTCGCGCGGTGGACGAGGAAAACGCCGATCCGGTCAGAGTCGCTGGGAATATCGAGATCGCCGAGCCCGGACATTAAATATATTAACGCGACGAACTTTCATCCATCCAAGACCGTTACAAAACAACTCAAAATGTTATGAAAATTCTTCATTTATATCGACTCTTAAAACACATACATATTACACACACACGCGAACGAGAACGATCACAAAACTACGATGACGACGAAAAAGTCTCCGCTGTTCTTCTTTCTCCTCTTCGTTTTCGTGGGGGTTCTTCTTCCTGTCGTGAGCGCTGACGATGGAACGACGATCGACGACGAGGAAAATGGATTTTTCGTCGTCCCGGTACCACCGCCGATTCCGAGCGACTTCGACGGCGACGTGTACGAGCACCCGGAGAGGACGACAGAAGAGAAGGAAAACTTTGTTAAAGCGGCATCCGGAGCGAGAGGGAGAAGAAGAGAAGACGAGGACGACGGAAACGATAAAATTCCGCTTTTGACGAATTCTGCTTTGTATTACGAGAAACAAGAGAAACAACGAGAACGAAGAGTAATGAAAAATGTTTTAAGAAACGCGAAAAGTGCGCTCGAGAACGCGAAGAATGGGAAGACGAGCGAATTAGAGAGGAATTTAGAGACGTTAGGAAACTATTTGGAGGATATGGAGAGTGTTTTAAGTGGTGGGAAAGGAGACGGCGTTGTTCGTAAAGACGACGTAAACGACGACGACATCGGTGATAATGGTGGTGGTGGTGGTGCGTACTCCTCAGACCTCCTATCGCGGAAGAGTTCCGCCACTGGGAGTAAGTACCACCGAGACAGTAACGAAGAAAACGCGAAAAAACGACTGATGAGATTGGCGTCGGTGCAGAAATTTCCGCATCCGATAACGTCGGTAAAATTTACCAGACACCGCGAGCGAGATTTGAAGATGGAAATTTACGACAACAATAAAAGTGAAAGAGTTGATGATGAAACAAATACGATGAGAACGAAGAGTAGAACGATGATGAAAGTTATGGCTCGAGTGGACGATATCGTGCCGAAGATTGCGCTCGTTGGAGACGAGAAAGGCACGCTGTTCGCGTTGGATGTGAAATCTGGTGAGATTTTATGTAAATACGACCTCGAAAAGAGTGGCAGAAATGCCATCACGACGATCGAATCTTACGCAGTCGCTGACGACAGTAGTGATGATGATAGCAGTAAAAATAAAGGTAGTAAAAAGAGTAAAAGTGGTGAAAAAGTGGTCGATACGAGAATCATCCTGGGACGCGCCGACGGTTCGGTAACGTTTTTGACCATGCGCTTAGAAGAGGACGGCGATGAAAATAATGGTACTACCGCGTCTTTGACGCATTTTGGAACGATCACGCCGAAGACGATGACGGAAACTACGAGCAACGAGAAGAAAGGCTCCACCTCGGAAGCGTTGTCGCAAAGGCGCGAAAAAGAAAACCAGGGACGAGATGTCGCCGTTGTCGCCACGCATGTCGCGGTGCTTCACAACGGCGAACGCCGAGTCATCGTCGCGAACGGTAAAAGTACGGTTACGATTATAAAAGAAGCCGCCAAAGATACCAACGACGACGCGAAGAAGGTGATTTTGGGCGAAGATTTGACGTATACCTCGGAACAAATGAATACGCGCGGACGAATCATGTCTTTTCAATCCGTGCTGCTCTCAAAGACGAAACGCAAGAGATTGCGACAACAAAAACAACATCGAGAAAAAACGGATATCATGGCGATAACCTCTCGCGGTGAAATTGTCATCCTTTCGTTATCGCTCTCGTCAGAGCTTTCCAGTTTCGAAGTCGTTTCGTGCACCACACCTGGTAGTCACGCGCGAACACCTTTCGAGACGGTGAGCGACGGAGCTTTTGAGCCGACGAGTTCGACGAATTCCGCGCGGGTCGTACTCGACGCGTCGCAGCTGGCGTATTTAAAAGTCACTGAACGAGAAGATAACGATGATGATGAAAAAGAAGAAAGAAGCACAAAAGGAAACCACTACTCGTGTTCGCTTTCGAGCGCGCGGCCTTTGAAGTTTGGTCTTTCTCTGCTTTCCTCTTCCTCTTCGTCATCTTTGGCGGATAAAGAAGCGGAGGATTTGATGACGTTCAAAATCGTTTCGCTCCGCGATGGAGTCGCCGTCTTCTCCGCGTCTCTTCCCTCTTTGTCATCACCGCATCCTCTGTTCAACGGCATTCGCGCGTACGAAACGAACACGGATTTCAAAACCAGAAGCGACGACGACGAAACGTACTTCGCGAAAGACGGCGTCAAATTTTCATGGCGCGACGTTTTATACGACATCACGAAAGGCGAAGAAGAGGACGGCGAACGACTTTCAGATGATACGGACGACGACGACGTGAACGCCTCGCTCATCACCGCCACTGGAGACGGTCGTCGAACTCTCGCGTTCGCTCTTCCGTCGCACCCGTCCGTATTAGTTTTCTATCGCTGGCAAGGAGGCATGTCTGAACTCGAGAGAAACAGAGCGCTGATGCGTCGGCAACAACGCAAGAACGCGCAACATTCGGCCAGCTCTTTTACGACGGTTTTCGACGCGTTCACGCGCTTATTGGAATCGAAAATAACCCCAGCTCTTCTCGTCGGGGTCGTTTCGTATTACACGTTTTTCGTCAAGAACAAAGACGCCGCGGTGAAACTCAACGAAAGAGCTCGAATAGATTACGCGAATATGATGCACACCGCGCGCGAACAGCAGCAACAACAGCAGCAGTACCAACAAAACGGGAGGGATTCTCCTCAGTTCAAACGACGAGACTCGAGGAAATTGTACCGCGAATTCGATCCGAAAAAGTTCAGGAAAGAGGTTTTAGTCCCTAAAGAACAGATGAAGATGAAAATGAGGAGTAAACAGATGAAAACAGATGATGAGAACGCTCCCGCCGGAGCTCGAAACGAGTAGAACACGGAAGATGTGTACACATAAAGAGTATTCTTTCTTCTTTTTTAAAATATAGCAGTTTTGTTATGATGATGATAATAATAATAGTAGCGTTTAGTACCTTATTCTCCGAATTTAATTGTAGTAGTACTTTATTACGAAGACGACGACTCTTGCTTTGCTCTTTCCTCTCTCGCCTCGAGGATGGCTTCCGCTCTCGCCCGTCTCGTCGCCGCCGCCGCTCTCGGATCCTCCACGTTAATCGTACTCTTTTTCCACTGTTCGTTCAACTTGAGCTGTCTCACAAACTCAGCCACCATCGCGTCGTCTAAAACTCCTTTCTCCGCCGCCGCGACGAACGCGTTGATTTGGACCAACGTTAAAATGTTCACGTCCAACTCTCTTTCGCGCATAAACTCGACCCATCCGCCTTGCTCTAAGATTTCAATCTGTTTTTCCTGCTTTTGTTTCGTGAGCTAAAAAGAAGAGAAATTAACGTGTACCGTGAGCGTCTGAGAGAGAGATACACATCAAATGAGCAAATTACCTGACTGAAAATCAGATACGGCAGCGCGATCGGCGCGACCGTGTATAACAAAATCGACGTCACGTCCCCGGTTCGAAAGTTCCAAAACCCGATTAGGAATTGTTTCAACTCCTCCGCATCCGCCGAGGCTGCGAACGCGTTTTCTGTTTGGAAGAGGAAGAAAGACGTGGAAAGACTACACGCTTTGAGAGAAGCTGAAGAAAATGTGTTTTGGATCGATGATGAAAATGATGATGATGATTTCTTCGTTTTTTCAGCGCTGTCAATTTCCAATCCAGATTTGGAGGAGACGAAACAAACGGGTCCTTCGTTTCTTCGTCTCCTCAAAGAGCTTTTCGAAGTCCTCCTCGTCGAAGAAGAAGCGGCGATGCACGATGATGACAAAGCGAACATGAGACTCGTAGTGTAGATAATTTTCTTTGTGCCGTCGTTTTTTTGCCTTGAAAAAAAATATCCAACGCACCACTAAATTCCCAATCATCAGAGATTTGAGATTCATTTTTTTATCCTTTTTTTGAAACGCCAAATTTTCTTGCAAGTAATTGCTGCAAGTTGTAATAATAATCTTGATGATTGTAACTTTATAACAGGTGAATATGTTTGGAAATAATTTATTCCTTCTCGCTGTAAAAATCCACGAGCGACTAGACGCGCTTTTGAAGTATTGTCCTGTTTTACAGTGACTAACATTCTAAGTGATACTATTTTGAGCTTTCTGATTTCTGAATAATCAGATAAATTGACTTCATGCATCACTTTTTGATAAAGAATGCTAGACGACGAGATGAAAAAATTCTTCTTTTTTCTTCCTCTTTTTTGATTGAATTTTTTTTGGACGATGAAAAATTCATCCGCTTTTTCTCCCACTGTTGTTTTCCTCAAAAAAACACAAATCTCTCTCTCTCGTGTGTGTTGTTCTTCTTTATTACACGCTTTATAAAAAGAGAGCTCGAGGAGGAGTAAAGCTTTTCTTCTCTCGTTTTTATAACAGAATCAACTTACTCTCTCTCTTCTTTTCGGACCGAGGAGAGAAAGACAGAGCGCGCAACAAAGAGAGGACTCTTTTGCTTTTAAAAAGCGTTTTCGTTTTTGTCTCGCGAAAACGAAACAAAATGCAAATGTGGATAAACAACAACGCAAAAGGCATTCTGAAATTGGTGTGTGATGATGCAAAGATGACGACGAAACAGACGACTTTACAACGCGCCTCCCTGGTGGCAAAATCATCGAACACTGCGTCGACGTCGTATTCCTCCTCTTCCTCTTCTTCCTCCTCCGCTCTCAAAGTGTGTTGTAAAGGAGGGAGAAGAAACAGACGAATTCTGACGCAAAGGATGCGAGCGAAAAGGACAACCGCGGGAGGGGAAGCAGACGACGAAGAAGAAGAAGAAGAAGAGAAGAACACGATGATGATGCAACAACAAGAAGAAGAACAAAACAACAATAACGAAAGAAAATTTCACCCGCGAATGTTTGTCCCTTTCCCGTTGTCCTGGGGATCGGTGAAACTGGACGCGTCCGATCCGTATTACGATCAAAACAGACAGAAACAGTTTTCGTCGACGGCGACGCCGAAAATGGTGTTCAGCTCGTTCGCGTTAGCGGTGGTCGTGTTCAACGTCCCGTTCGTGGCGCAGGTTTTAGCGAAAGTGAACCCTCTGTTCAGTGGTTTTTTGAACGCGTTGTCGTACGGGTTTAACGTCCCGATTTTCATCAAGTGTTCGACGGCGATTTTTAAGATTTGCGTGTTGTGCGTGGTCGTGAGCAAGTTGATTTTGAAGAAACGTTTGCCGTTGGAAACGCCAGTGGTGGTGAGTAAATTAGCGTTTAACGTTTTGTTGCCGTGTTATTTGTGCACGAGAGTCGCCGGGACGTTAACGAAGACGCCTTTGAACCAATCGCTGATGGTGTTGCCGTTTGGCGCGTTGTCGCAAGTCATCGCCGGGACGATTTGTGGGGTGGTGTTGACCAAATTAGTCGTAACGATGGCCTCGTTACAGAAGAAGAAAAGTAGTGGGGGTGGTGGTAATAGAGCGAGCAATAACAACAACTCGATATCGGCGGCGGCTATCGATATCGAGTGTAAAGACGACGTGATGCCACGTTTAGGCTTAGCCGCGTGCGCGTTTGGGAACACGTTTACGCTACCGCTCGTGTTCTTGACCGAGGTTTTAGGCGCGGCTAATGCAGATGTCATTGCGGGGTACATCGCTTTATATTTAGTCGGTTGGACGCCTTTGTTATGGACGGTTGGGTTCTTAATCATTGCCGGTCCAGCCATGAGCGACGCCATCGTGCGAGAGAAGAATCCGGTGAAGAAATGCGCCTTGCAAATCCGAGAAACCGGGAAACGAATCGTGAACGAATTAGCCAATCCGCCGTTTTTGGCGATGGTTTTAGGGGTCATCATTGGTACCAACGCGCCTTTGAGAGAGTTTTTGGTGCCTGGGGCGAAAGCGTTCGCTGCTTCTACTTCGTCGGGAACTTCCATCGCAACTATCGCCCCTCTGGAATTCTCATTCATCGCCGGCGTGGCCAAGGCTATTTACGAACTCGCCGTTAATATTGGCGCCGCCGCATTACCGATGCAAATGCTCGTCTTAGCCGCCTCGCTCGTTAAAGTGAAGAAGGAAGATTTAATCGAGCAAGAAGTCATCAACGACGCCGCGGACGACGACATTTTCCGAGCAGAAGACGCGTCGTGGATAACGGGGAAAACCAAAGCTTCTTTTCTCATCGAAAAAGCGACTGAAATCGTCACCAACATCCGAAAAGGATTAGTCATGGACGCTCCAGACTTCAAAGCCTTGTGCGTCGCCTGCGTCACGCGCTTCATCGTTCTTCCCATCGTCTGCGTCTCTGGATTTCTCGCGTTGAAAAATTTCTTTCCGCATTTAATTCCAAAAGACAAAATCGCCCAAATGGTCTTACTCACCATGTCGTGCATGCCTGCGGCGCAAAACTTAGTCGTCTTGGCGCAGTTAAGAGACGAAACTAGAGTGTTTGCTCCGCAATTAGCCGGGTTGATGTTGCGACAGTACATCTTTGGCATTTTGCCGTGCACGTTGTGGATAACCGCGTTTACCAGGTTGGTGGTTTAACCATGACGACGACGACTTCAAACGCGCGCGTATTTATTCTTCTTTGACGAGAGAAAGAGAGAGAGAGAGAGAGAGAGAACTGCGTTTGTTATGCCTCGTGATGACACTGTTATACATTCTTCGTCGCGTACCTTTATCTACCGCTCGTATTTTGAACATTTTGAAAGCACAAACGAACTCTTTTTCCATCACAAAAAAAGAGCGCAAAAGCGCTCTCCAAACAACGAACGGAAAGAAGCGAGAAAGAAGAAAAAGAAGACGAACAACAGTACTACTACTACTACTGCTAAGAATGTCTCTCTGGACGCTTCTTCAGTCCGTTCTCCTCGTCGCGAACGCGTTCGCGGTCCTAAACGAGGAGCGGTTCTTGGAACCGAAAAGCTTGAGTCAAAGTGCGATTACGTCGGGATACGTTTCCGCGCACGGGTTTAAAGGCCAGTTGATTGGCTTGATATACGCGGCGAGTTACTTACGGATGCCTCTCCTCGCGGCGAACGCGATCGTGATCTTCGTGAAAGTCTTGTTCGGTTAACGCGCTTGTGAAATTCGTGAAAGTCTTGTTCGGTTAACGAGAGGAAGAGTGAGTGAAAGATATAACGCGATCGACGAATTTCATACCGCATACATAGATAGCTCTAGATATAAAACCGTGTATTATTATTATTATTATTATTAAGTGTTTCTTTATGTGTATCTTCAAATTCACGCTTTGAGCGCCGTCTCCAAGGGAATCGGTTCGTTGGGAACACCGATGGTGCAACCCGGTCTCGGCCCGTACGTGTTCCAAAACGATCCAGACAACTTGGCACCGTTTTCTTTCAGCCAAGTTTCCGGCATCGCAGTTCCAGTTGGTTGCGCGGAGCAGTACGGTCGGCTCCCCGGTTTCGCTAAGTATTGTTGATGGTAGTCTTCGGCGAAGTAGTACGGCATGTTGAAATCTTCCGGGATTTCGCTCGTAATTTCACCTCTGGTCGACCCGAGCGCTTCTTGGTACGCTTTTTTTGCGGATAAAGTCATGTCGTATTGTTCTTTATCTTTGCAATACACGCCAGACCTGTATTGCGTCCCGGCGTCGTTGCCTTGTCGCATGCCTTGCGTCGGGTCGTGGTTGGTGAAATACATGGCCAACAAATCGGCGAAGGAAATCACGGTCGGGTCGTAGGCGACTTGCACCGCTTCCGTGTGCCCAGTCATACCAGAGCACACCTCCTCGTACGTCGGGTTCTTCGTGTACCCACCGACGTATCCAACCGAGGTGGAATACACGCCCGGTAACCGCCAAAACATCTTCTCGGTGCCCCAGAAACATCCCGTAGCGAAGACGCACGTTTTCACGTTCGAAGGGAACGATTTGATCGAGTTTCCTTTCTGTGTTTAATAATATGAGTAGTATTAACATGCGTGAAGATAGAGAAGAGAGAAAGCGTTAGATGCGGGTGGTGGTCGTTCGTTCTTCGCTCTTTGCTATGACATCGCAAACGCAAAAGAGAGAGAAAAATCCAACATCTTTGGTCGTCTAAAACGATTGAAGATGACGACGACGACGACAAACATCGAACGAAATCATCTTACCAAAACGTAGTGCTCTTCCGTCACTCGCATCTCCGAATCTCTCCCTTTAATCGCGCTCTCCTTCGCGATCATTTGCCCTTTCGGAGGTCTCCCGGCAGGAGCTCCACCGCCAATCATGGCCATTAACTTTTGCATGAGTTCCTCCTCCTCGGCGCCAGCTTTGGTGACGAAAGATGATTTTCTTTTGTGTTGCTGTTGTTGTTGTTTATGTCTGCTGCTGAAACTGCTGCTTGTGCGAGAAAAGTGTCGCCTCGACGATGTGAGAAACGAAGAAGTAGATTTCGTGAGCGAGGATTGCATTTGTTGTTTCGTGGCAATTCTTTCTCTTTAATGCTTGCGCGAGATGAGTGAAGATATTCTTTGGTGACGTGTCAGGATATTTTTTTATAAACAAACGCGCGCTGGATGACGAGATACGAGTCGTGCACTCGCGAAGAAGTGACTCTCTCTCTCTCTTTCGCTCTCTCTTTCTCTCTCTTTCGTCACCGATCGCGTTTATATAGTATATGATTCTCTAAAACATTCTTTAATCTCTTTCTCGAGAAATACCGCGCAAGCGATAGCTCACATTTTTTCCAACGCTTCTTTAATTTTCTCGTTGACGTTGGCGTTGGCGTCCGTGTTGGATTGCAACTCCGGGATTTGGAATTTTTCGCCGGTGATCATCTCGAAGAGCAGCGCGTACTTCGCGCTCAATTCACACTTTAAATCAGTCGGTGCTTCTGGCAACGGTTTGGACGTGTCGTACGGATCGCATCTGTCCGCGAACCATAAGCGCAAAAACTCTTTATCAATCATATCCGGTTCTTGTTTGTTCTTCAACACGCGCTCTTCGTACGTGTTTTGAATCCAATACCGACTGGAATCCGGGGTGTTGATTTCATCGATTAAATAGATTTTCCCAGTCTTTGGGTCTTTCCCGAACTCGTACTTCGTGTCCACTAAGATCAAGTTTCTTTCCTTGGCCACTCGTTGCGAAAAGTTGAAAATCTCCAAAGTCTTCTCCACGCAGTAGTCTAAATCCTCTTTATTCATCCAGTTTTCTTTCACGATGTCTTCTAAACTGATTGGCCGGTCGTGCTCCTTTTCCTTCGTCGTCGGCGTGACGATATTTTTCGGCAACTTCACGTTCTTCTCCATCCCGTCCTCCAACGGGTTCCCGCAATAGTTCCGGCCTCCGTTTTTATAGTGCGTCCATAAACTCGTGCTCGTGGATCCGGTCAAATACCCTCTCACGACAAACTCAATCGGAAAGACCTCGCACTTGCGCATAATCGAAACGTTCGGGTGCACCGGCGGTTTCACTAAAACAGCGTTCGGACATATCTTCTCCGTCTGTTCGAACCACCAAAACGCCGTCATGTTCAACACGGCGCCTTTAAACGGGATGTTCGCCAAGTGTCGATCAAACGCGGATTGACGATCCGTCGTCACCGCGACTAATATATCATCGTTCACGTACGTATCTCTGACTTTTCCTTCGTACCTTTTGAATTTTTTCGTTTCCAAGATTGGCAACGCCGTCGAGGTCACGCACGAACTCACCGCCAACACAGCCGCTTTCCTGATCTCTTCCGACGGCGTGATGCCTTTCACGTCTTCTGATTTTGATGCGGATGATGATGATGCTGATGCTACGAATACAACGCCTCCTCTTTTTCCTCCTCTTAATCCTCCTCTCGAAGACGTAAAAACGACCTCCTCCCGACAAAGAGTCTTCTCATTCCTCTTTTTCCAATCATTGATACTACTGCGACTACTTTTACTATTCATTCTGCTGTTGTTGTTCTTGTTCTTGTTGTTGTATGATGATGATGAAGATGATGATGCGACAGGAGTGGAAAACATCATCTTCAACATCGTGTTGTCGTTAAGGAAGAAGAAGAAGAAGAAGAAGAACTCACAGAGGGAAAGAAAACAAAAAGGTCTCTCAAATGCGCTCTCGTCAAAAGCAATCCCAATCTCTCGTCTGAATCGTCCGCCGAATGATCGTCTTTGTGCGTGATAAAGAGGAGACTTTACTAAGAGTCCCGCGTTGTTTAAAATGCAGTTTTTCTTTGTGTTTTTTGAATTTTTTTCATGCACTTACAACAACCAAGAATGGGAGGAGGATGATGATAGTAGTATTACATATTTACAAGCGCTCGAGCTCTCGACTAATTTCCGTCGCGAACGGCGCTCGACCTAACCGACGCTTCATTCGCACGCTCAATTCTTTCACGACGTTGCTGCTATCTTCTTCTTCTTCTTCACCTTTTGTTCTTCCTCCTTTTTTTTCGCTTTCGCTATCTCGATTTTCTTCCCCGGAGAGACCTCTCCCGACGTAACCGCGTTCCAGATAATACAACATCGACTCGACGTTTTTCGCGAAAATATCGAACCGATGTTTCCCGTCTCTCTCTAACGCTTCTTTGCCGTATTTGAGGAGCTCGTTTTTCGGCCAGAATAATCGCATTTCGAGTTGGATGTATTTTTTATCCTCGGAGAGGGACGCGCGAAACGCGAAGGGCCACCCGTCGTTGCTTTCCAGGTTGCACTCGGCTTCTTTTTCCTCTTTCGCGCGTTCTTTGCGTTGGAAGGAAATCGGATGCCAGATGATTTTTTCTTCGTTTCGTTTGGTTTTTAGGAATCGGTAGCAGACGTCGCCTCTGAAGCAGGCCTCTTTGTCCTCGTCGTTGGAATCGTAGGATTGAGACACGGCTGATCGAAAATCGCCGAATTGTAACCCGAGAGGCACGCACTGCGGGAGGAGCTCCACGGAATCTCGGAGGAAGGTTTTCACGGTCAAATCAGAAATACGAATCGTTTGTTCTCCGCCGCCGCCGTTGGAGGGATCTTCGACGACGATGGAATCGATCGGAAACCGTTGCCCAAAATCGCTGCACTCGGACGCCGAGTACGAAATCTTCCTCCTTTCTCGAATGGTGGTGGTGCTTTTCATCGTTTTCGTTTTCGAAGACGAAGAAGAAGCGCTTCTGCTCTTCGTCTTTTTATCCTTCGTCGTCCCGTCGCGCTTTTGCGTTTTCGGCGCGTCTTCATCCTTCTCTTCTCCTTCTTCTTCTTCTTCTTCTTCCTCCTCCTCATCCTCCTCCTCTTCTCCAAACCTTTCTATCCGCGACGACGAAATCATCCCTGGAACTTTCACTCGTCGCATCCCGAACAGTTCCGAGGGCATGCGTATCGACCCGACTTCGCTCGCGTTCAGGACAATTTTTTTCTTCCTTTTTTCCAACTGTTCTTTTAATTGTTGTTCTTCCGCTCTCGGTCTCGTTAACGCTTGGCCTTCGTGGAGTAAGAGTTTACGGAGCAACTGCTTTTCTTTCGTACTGTACGACGAAAAAGCGTCGTTAGTATTATTAGTATTCGAGGAAGAGTCGTTCTCGTCGTCGTGAACGGAGGAAAAGGCGACGTAAACCTTCTTCTTCTGCGTCATCATCCGCCGCCAGAATTGGTGATTTTGTCTTTTGGAGGAGGTATTTTGCCGAGCACTATTGCGCGTTTTTCGAGCGAGATGCGCGGCGGTGGTAACACCAGCATCAGCAGGAGTTTTAGTACAAAACAAAGAAGGAGAATTTGAGGAGAACATCTTCTCGTGTGTGAAAGAAAGTGTATCTGATGATGGGGTAAAATGAGGGATTTTGTGAATGTTTTCCCTTTGACTAGACTAAAACTGCTAAAATTCAACGACTACACGACTACCGCACAGGAGTACGACAGTATCACTACGTTCTAAAGAAAGCGTTGAACAGACGAACCCCAGATCCTGCACTTCTCGTGGGCGTGTTTGGTTGGCTCCCACCACCTAAAGAGGATGATGATGGTTTCATGTTCACTCGAGCCGCGATGACTTTCGCTCGCTCTTCGTCCGAACACTTTAATAAAGTGGTCACGACTGGAACGAGACGCTCGTGGACGAGACGCTCGTTGGTGGTGAGGTATTGCAAGAGGATGTTTTTGAGGTAGAGGAAATCGCTTTCGCTGCTCGAAGAAGAGAGTGTTGTTGTGTTCACCTCTCTCGGTGGTGGTTTTGAAGACGAATTCTTCTTCTTCTCCGTTTGCTCTTGGTCGTCGTCCTCTTCGAGGAACGTGAGACTGCTGCTCACCGCTTTTCGACCAATCGATGATATTTTTCCATCTGTCGTTGTAGCTATGCCGTCGTTAAACAGTGCCCTCTCGAGTTCTTCTTCTTTCTCCACGAGCATTTCTCGCGCTCGTTTCCGAACTACATCGGTTTCATCTCTCGCTTTCTCGCACTTTCTCTTCCACTCGTTTCGATCTTCCTCGAGGTCGGCGATTTCTTCCTTCAGCAATCCGGTTTCTTTCGCGTGCGTCTCCGCGGAGCGTTTGAAATCGGTTTGAATCGATTCGAGTTTCTCTTTAATTAGTTTTGCGGCGGTTTTCTTTGCCTCTTCGAGTTGTCGCTGTAACTGAGCGCGGTCAGAATCGATGACGGCGATTTTGTCGTCTTTCTCTCGCGAGAGCGTTTCGAGTTGGTTCTTTAAAGCGGCAATTTCGGATTTGAGATCCGCGATGGTGGATGACGATTCGTGGCTACCCTGCGCCGTCTTGTTCTTATCTCGGTCCGTTTCTTCGCTCTTGATACTACTACTAATACTGCTGAATGGAGTCGTCTTACCCTTGCCATCGTCTTGCTTTGGCGTCGCACTCGCGCTCTCCGGATCGTCGTGATTCCTCGTATTCTTCTTCTTCTTGTTGTTGTTGTGGCTATCTCTATTACTACTACTATTATTATTCGCCTTTTCCTCGCTCAATTCTCTCAACTTTCTCTCCAAATCGATCGTTTTCTTGGACTCTTCCACCAAAGCTTTTTCCGCTACTTCTCTGGCTTCATTCACCAACCGTAAATCTTCCGCGTTGTTCTCGTACGCGCTCTTCTCGTGCTTCAAATCTACAATCTCCTCTCTCACTTCGCTCAGTTTTTGCAACGCGTTGTCGCGTTCTTTTCTGCAGTGTTTGAAATCCTCTAACTCTAACTTAGTTTGCAACAACTGCTCCTCCAACGTTTCAATCTTTTCCGCCTTGACCTCTTCGCTCTTTTGCAATCGCAACAACTCTTTCTTATCGTTCGCTTGATTTGTGGTTACATCTAACCAATCCTCGTGCGCTTTTTCGTACTTTTTTTGCACCACCTCCTTCATCTTCTTCTCTCGCTCCAACTCTTTCTCTTGCTTTTCTTTCATTCGTTTTAAATCTTTTAACTCGCTCGTCTCTAACATGTCCCGATCCTTCGCCGCGTCGTTTTCTTTCTGCTTCTTTCTCAAAACCTCCAAGGACGTTTGCATTTGCGAGTTCTTCTGCGTTAAACTCTCGTTTAGCTCTTTCGCTTCCTTCTCTTTCTCTAGCATTTTCGCTATTCGTTCGTCTCTTTCCTTCAACTGATTCTTTAACGTGTGCGTGACGTTCTTAATTGCCTTCATTTCGATTTCCAGCGACGACGGAGACTGCACCATTGCCGCCGCCGCGAGAACAACCGGAGAAGCGGGAGCGGCGGCGTTATCGTCATCATCATCACCATCATCATCATCCGTTTTCTTCTTACTCGTGCCTTTCTTCGTCGGCGCCGTCGTCGGCGTCGTCACACCATCCTTCCTCTTCGTCTTTTCCTCCTCCAATTTCCTCTCCATCTCTTGCATCTTCGCATCGAACGCTTCTCGTTCTCTTCGCATCATCTCTTTGAACTCTTTTTCCAACTTTTGTTTTTCCTCCAACATATCCGCGGTTTCGAACACGTTCACGACTAAAGTCACCGCCTTCTTTTCCGACAAAAAATCGTCTCGTTCCTCGTCTCCTTCATCGATGAACGAGGATTGAGAGTTCGACTGAGAGGAGGCCCCTCGTAACGCCGCGAATCGGTTGTCGTTCGCGGCGTTCGTGAATTGCCCTTTTCCGTTGCCTTTGCGAGGCTGATGAGAATACTGACGATGTTGTCCTCCTCCTCCTCCTCCTCCGTCGTCGTTAAACTCAACCTCTAAAGCCTCCGCGGTTTCTTTAATTTTCGTCCCGACTTTCTTCGTCCACTCGGCGAGTTTCGTCGTCGTCGTGTCCACGAAACGGCCTTTCTTCATTTTGTCTCCCCAATTTGTGCTTCTTTCAAGAGAGTCGAAAATGTGAGGAAAAGAAGCTTTTTACGACGACGAAGAAGAGTTCATCATATAGAACATTATATAGTACTCTAACCAAAACAACTCGCTACTTGCTACTCGCTACCACCAATACTACTAGTAGTGCTACTGCTATTATTATTATATATTATTATTATTATTATTATTCTTTTCGACTCGCCTCTTTGTTCTTCTCTTTCTTGCTCAACAACATGAGTTTGGCTTCGCCCATCGTCGTGGGTAACACGACGGATTTCCGAACGTCTCCGGTCGCCGCTATGGTCGCGACGACGTCGTGCGTGCTCAAACCAGAGACGATGACGACACCGAAAAGGATGAGCCACCAACTGAAGGCCCACACGAGGAATTTGAACGCGTTGTGGAAGAAACCAAACTCCGAACCACCGTTTGAACCGAAGAGGAAGCCGATACCGGGGAGGCTTTCGCCGAGGCACAAGACGCCGAACGGGATGGCGGTGACCATTTGGGCGACGTTACCAGAACAGACGACGACGACCGCGTTACCTTCTTTTAAACCTTTGGTTTGCGAGAAGAGTCCTAAAGCGGTCAACGAAACCGAGGCAGCGAGGCCTATTAAGGCCCATATAAACGCCAATCGTCGAGAGAGTTGGAAACCTAATTTCACCGAGGACGCGGATAGCGAAAATAACGCACCCGCGCGCGCACCGGCGAGGATATCTCTGATACGTTGTTGTTTGAACTCAACGCTGTTCGCGTTCTCGCTCTTATCTTTCTTGTCGCTTTTATCTTTTTTCGGTGGCGTAGTCATCATCATCGACGCGTTCATGCTCTCTTTCGTCGGCGGCGATTTCAAAAAGTGGTCGTTCTTGTTCCCATGTCCGGATCCTTTCTGCGGCGTGGTTCCGGGCGTTACGTCGGACTTCGTCGTCGTCATCGCTGTCGTCGTCGACGGCGTGGCATTCGACGCGGCGTTGGAACCACCCGCCTTCCCGGACCCAGCCGGGGCCAACACCCCCCCGCTTCCTACATTACTTCCCGCGGCGGACGAAGGCGCGCACAAATACGTGCTCCCTAAAACCACAAAAACACCCAACACGTACCTCCACGTGCTCACTATACTTTCTTCTCCTTTCCCATCTTTTTTTATCGCGACGTTTCCACCCGTCGTCCACCCGATCCCAATCGTCCCTAACACCGCGCACCACACTCCAATCCATTCTTTTTCTCGCAACTTCTCGTCTAAAAACACGTGACTAAACCCGGCGAGAATGGCGACTCCACCGGCCGAAACGGGTTGTACCACCGATACCGGTGCAATCGCTAACGCGACAATCATCATCAAACCGCCAATTACGTCTAATCCTAACCCGAGCTTCCACGTTTCGTTTGAGAAATACGTTTTCAAGACGTCTTTTTTAAACGTCAACTTCGGTAAAGATTTCGTGCCTTTTTTCTGCAACGCTTTGCCGATGTTTATCGATGTGGAGGCGAAAAGAGTCACCAAAACGGCGAAGAATCCAGGAAAAAACATTTATTATTATTATTATTTTCTTCTCGCTTGGTCGTGGTGTTGTTGTTGTTTAAAAGAGTAGTAGTAGTAATCGTCTGTCGTTGTTGTTGTTGTTGTTGTTGTTGTTGTTGTTGTTGTGTGATAGAATTCAAAAGTGATTAATTGATGAGAAATTTTTAGTGGAGGAATGCGTCTTCTGATTTATTTGAATACAAAACAACAACAAAAACGGGAACCTATAGATATCTTTTTATTATATTATTATCTGCTGGCGAACCATCCGTAGGAGTGCAACCCGGTGCCGAACAAGTTCACGCCGACGTAACAAATCCACACGACGATGAACCCGAACGCGCCGATTTTCGCGCTTTCGTCTTTGGGTTTTTCGGCGACCAAGCGCGAGTGCAAATAGGTGGCGTAGGTGAACCAGGTGACTAAAGCCCAGGTTTCTTTCGGGTCCCAGGACCAGTAGGAACCCCAGGCTTCGTTCGCCCAAACTGCGCCGGAAATTAAACCCGCGGTTAAGAGGACGAAGCCTAAACCCAAGCATCGGTAGGAGAGGTTGTCGAGTTCGGTTTGCGTTCTCGCGCCAACCGGTAAGGAGGAGGAGGAGGAGGAAGGAGATTGCGGTGGATTCATCGCAGCCGTCGTGCTGCTGCTACTACTTTCCATCGCGTACGCGACTTGTTCGCCGGTTTTTGAATCAATCTTCGGCCGATTCGAACGTTGTCTCGATGTCGCCACGACTAACATTTCGTCTTCGTCTTCGTTACTATTATTATTATTATCATTGTTGTCTTTAAACATCGCTTTTTCCATCTTCTCCGTCAACTTACCGACGGTTTCGTTATCCTTTCCAAGTTCCAACGCCAAGAAACCCATACACGCTAAACTCCCAGCCAACAGCGTGGCGTACGACATCATCATCACGCTCACGTGCATCATCAACCAGTTTGATTTCAACGCCGGCACCAACGCGGACGCTCTTTGCAGCTCTTTCGGTAAACCTAACGTCGCCCCAGCGACGGTAAACAAAGCCACCGGCGAGACTAACGCCCCGAAAACTTTACTGTTCGAGTTCACGTAAATCGCCGTCGCGGTTGTCCCCCACGCTAAAAACAGTAAACTCTCGTACATGTTCGACAACGGAAAATGGCCGGATTCCGCCCACCGACTCGCGAGCGCGAAGATCAAAGCGACGTTGGAGAGTTGCAACGCCGTCCGCTCCACGTTCACTTTTACTTCTTTGTCTTTGTGTTTGTCTTCTTTCTTCTCATCTTCATCCTTGTCTGGAAAAAAGACCGCTTTGGTTCCGTACACCGTCGACGCGACGAACAAGGATAAAAACGCTCCGTTCGCGCATAAAGTCGTGACGTCGTTCAAGTCCAAATTCGTCAACTCGCCACCGAAGAGCGCATTCGTCGCACACGTTTTCCTTTTCCTTTTCAGTTTCGTTGTTGTTACTGATGTTCTTGTTTTGTTACAACTGCTGCGCGAGAAAGTCGTCGTTTTATTCGTCGTCGTCGTCTGCTTCTTCCCTCCTCCTCTTCGAGCGGAGAAGATCCTAATAAACGTTGCCGTCTGCGTTGCCATTTTTATCCACCAAAATGTAATTCTCTGCGAAGCGTTAAGAAGAAGACTCTCTGCTCGTAAAAGAGTCTCGTTTTTACTCGAAGCCTTTACGAGTGTTGTGACTTCTCCGACGCTCGAGGAGGACGCGACACGAAGAGAGCGTGTGAGAGAGAGCGCGGAAGAGCGCAGACTATGTCTCACGAGATGTGTTTTTGTGCGTCTTTGGAATGGGGAAAAACGGAGAGGAAAGATCAGAGGTTCTCTGATGCATAACGTGAGAGCGTTTCAACACTTATAAGCGCAGAGAACAGCGCGCGGTGTGAATGCTGTCGTTTTGCGATGCCGTTGGTGTTGCTACGAACGCGCACAAAGTGTTGCGGTGTACTTGCAGGTTCTGATGCTCTGCGTGCTTCTCGCGTACGTTTACTCTGATATGCTCTGGTGTTACTCTCTCTCGTTACATCTGCGCGCTGTGAACTCTTGCTACGACTACGACTACTGCGCGCGCGAGTGCGACTCCCACGCGCGCGCACTGCTGCTACTCTGATATGATACTACTTTTGCTTACTCTCCACGAACAAGCAGTGTTTCCTCGCTCTCGGATCGTACTTCCGAAACTCCAACTTATTCGGCATCTTCTTCGGGTTTTTCCGTTTCACGTAGAAGAACCCGGTGTCTAACGTGGAGACCACGCGGACCAGGATCGCGCCGGCTTTCGTCGCGCCTTTTGCCATTTTTTTAAATAATTTCTTCCAGTGGTGGTTTTAAAGGTGTGAGTACTACTACTTCCGTTGTTGTTGTTTTCGTCCGTGACAAATGTGGTATTCTTTCGTTGTTGTCGTGTATCGTTCGCGTTTGATATGTATATTAGACCCTTTTTAGGGGGAATGAAATGGAGGAAACCCGCACACAAATTACACCGGAATTTCGCACACATTTAACGTAAAGAGAATATACTACTAGAAAGCGCTTTGGAAAGAGCACAGATAAAGAGAGGGAGAAGGAGAGAGAAGGCAGCACGTGCGACGACCTTTACTAAAACGAGTAAAGCAGTGATATACGTATACGTTTGGATTTGGTCTCAGCAGAGTAGGGAACAATACGAACAACGTGACGAATCATTTCATCGAGAGAGTAACGAGAACAGAATTCATCATCAGAAACATACATAAACAACGTCATGGTGGCGAGCAAAACGGATGGAGCGCAAGCAGCGGGAACATCTGCGAACACCGCGACGAATACTACCGCAATAAAAAAGAAACCAACGACAACCTCTGCGTCGCAGAAATTACGCTCGACGATTATTCAGTTCACGTGTGTTGCTTTGGTCGTTTCGGGGATAACTCTTCTTGTGAATGCCGTCGCGCATCACGGAATACCGGACATCGATCCTCAAAAGGTACACAAAGCGATTAAAAAAGCGGGATATTTAGGCATCGTGATTTACATCCTCGGGTTCGGCTTGGCGGAGTTGTTACACTTACCCGGCTTAGTTTTCGTCACCGCCGGGGTCATGTGCTGGGGACACTTCAACGGGTGGATGTTAGCGCTGTGCATGGCGCCGTTGAGTTGCACGATTAGTTTCTTAGTCGTCAGAAGGGTCGGAGGACAGGCGTTGGCGGATGTGCAGTTTACCATCGTGAAACGAATGATGAGCCATTTGGACGATCGGCCGGTTCTCACCGTCGTTGGTTTACGAACGGTGTTTTTCCTCGCGCCGGCGATTAATTACATATTAGCTTTGAGTACGATTCGAGCGCGAGATTTCGTTCTCGGGACGGCGTTGGGGTTAGTTTTGCCGCTCACGGTGGCGGTGTATTTTATAGATAATTTGATTAATTACATGGGGTGGGGGAGAGAACGTAACGTTGGAGACGCGCAAGGTGGTGTCAGCGGCGTTTGAGAGAGAAAGAGATGATTAACAATACGCGTTGTAATCCGATTTGCGCTTAAATTTCCTCACAAAAGTGACTCACCTCACACTCGAACAAACTTGGAGAAAGAAAGACGACGACGATGCGTCGTAAAACGCCGAACACAAAACTCAAAGTCGCCTTCGACGACGCGAACATTCAACTCACGCGAGGAAAAGGAGTGAAGAAGACGGAAACCCCGTGGACGGACGAAAATGCGACCGAAACGCTCAACGCGCGACGAAGACGTTTGTTGCTCGAGTTGCAAAACAGGTTTTTCCCGATGAACAGAACTGCCAACGCGCTCGCCGTAGTTCTCGTTTCCGGGGACGAAAGGACCAGCGAACACGATTGGGCCGCGATATGTTTAGATATAAACGAGCATAAAGACGCAAAGGTACTATTAACGAGAGAGAGTTCTTAAGAAGGAGTTCGTGATCAAGCAGAGAGATCGCGCATGTGATTTGAATGTAAACGAACGAATTTTTCTCTTCGTCCGTGTATTTTAAAATGTTTGTTCTGACAACAACGACTGATATTTTTTATCTCACACACACGCAGGTGCTCGCGCTGAACGAAGAGATTGGCAAAGAAGGAGAAGAAAAAGAAACACCACTGACGATCGACCGAAACGCGAAAGTGGAAGAGATCGACAGTCGAGCGATCATGGACTATTTGATCTTCGATCGCGGAAGCGTTCTCGATCTCGAGGAAGGCGAGAAGGAAGAGAAGGAAGATATCGGGGAGTGCGCGTTCGGTCCGGGGAGCGCGTCGGCGCTGAAGAAGAAGTACAGGATGAACGAAGGGAAGGTGAAGAGAGCGGTGATGAGTGTTCAAGATTGGGGGTTGGAAGAGGGAGTGGAGAGCCGGAAATTTTATCCGATCGTTGGAAGCGAAGAAGAAGACGAGGAGGATGAGGAGGAAATTACGCCTCAGTTTATCGGGAACGACGACGTTAATAATGAGTATCATTCGGACGAGGAGGATATTATTGGGACGACGATGTGCGCGAAGAGAAGACGAGGTAACACTCCTGGGTCGACGCTCGTAAGAGTGATCGATAAAGATCAAGTGCCGACGTCGGACGGTAGACGCGCGACGATTCCCTTTGATCTTCACGGCGGAATGGACGACGACGATAAAACGTTATCACCGTTCCACATTCACGGAAAAAGACACAGTGAAGATGAGTGGCGCGGAGGAGAATCGTATCTCTGCGATAAGTTGCGTCGTAATCCAACCATGGCGCGGTTGAATATTTCGAGGTTCGCGGCGGAGATGATATGCCGCGAGCTTTCCAATAAGGAGAACAACAACAACAGTAAGGTCGTGTCGCCGATAGACGAAGAAGAAGAAGAAGAAAACGAAGTTCAGAAAACACCACGAGGAGGAGTTGGCGAGAAAAAGAAGAGAAAGCTTGGCGGGAATTTCTCTCTCGTGCGCACGGTTGAAAGAGGTTGATCTTTGCGGCCCAATCACGGAAGGAGAGAGAGCTGTTATTTTTGAATCATAGAGAAAATAAGAGAGAGAGAAAAGACGACCGCAGTTAGAAATTGATGTGTACTATTCCATGAAGCTCTGCTGCGATAATATCAAATCTATTTGGGTGCTACCACCTACGTATGTGCGGTACATAAAATCACTTGCTTTTTCTTCTCTTCTTTTGCTTCTTCTCGGCGGAGGAAAAATATTCTGGATCGACGGGAACGTTCTTCGTGAAATCGCTCTCAATCTTCTCCTCGTAATCCTCCGCGCTGGCAAACACATCGTCGTCACCGCCGCTGAATTCGTCGTCATCATCGCTCTTATCTAGAAGCATGCCTTTCAGTTCATCCTCATCGTCGTCGGACTCTTCTTCCTCTTCTTCTTCCTCTTCTTCTTCTTCTTCTTCTTTGATGAAATCTTCGTATTCATCTCTCGACGCCTTTCGTTTCTTCTTTGAAAGCAAATACCCTGGTTTTTCACCGTAAGCAGCAGCGAGCGCATCGTAGTTGAACTTATCCGTGTCAATTTTCTCTTCTTTGTTTTCAGCTCTGGCGACGATGTCGTCTTCGTCGGTGTCGTCGTCGTCGTCCTCCGCGGCGAAATCTTTCATAATCTTTTTCCGAGCGTCTTTAGAATCAGACTCTGACTCAGAATCTTCATCTTCGACGTTCTCTTCATCAGAGTCCGAATCGTCGTCACTTTCGCTGTGACCGAAATCGCTCTTCTTTTTCTTACCTTCGTCGCTATCGCTTTCCTCTTCTTCGCTCTCGCTTCCGTCGTCGTCGTCGTCTTTCTTCTCCTTCAATTTCAACTTTACCAACTTTTCGCTCTGTTTCACCGAGTAATACCTGTGGAAGAAAATTTCCGACGGGTCAACTTCGCTTTCCTTCATCGCCGCAAACTCTAAAGTGCCAGGAACGAACGAGGATTGCGCGATAGCAGCGGACGTATCAAAGACGCTACTCTTCGCCTTCTTCGCGATTTTACTTCCAACTTTCTTCATCAGCCATTTATCAAGGAAGGACATTAAAGTCATTTCCGTCAACGGATCACCGTCGTAGGAAACTTCGTCGCCGTTTAGTAAGCTTTTAGCCATCGCGGCGACGGATGGGTGGACGTTCGAGGCTAACGCGGTGAGTTCCCACAGACACGTGAGATGCGCGTTGGCGTAGAGCGGTTCGCGCTTGTACGGATCGTACGACGAAGAGTTTGAAGTTTTGCCGCCGTGCTTGCTTTCCTTCATGTTTTCTTTTCCCTCCTCATCATCGTTGTTGTCTCCTTCACTTTCGCTTTCGCTATCTTCTCCTCGCGATGAAACGCCGTTCGGCACACTTTTCTTAATCATCCCTTCCTCTTTTTGAACCATCTTCCAATGCGCGGGACGAATACGGAAAAACTCAGACGTCGCCATCAAAGAACCGCACGCGAACGTCGCCGGCGCGTGCATGGCAACTTGCAACAAACGCTTTACGATGGCTAACGATCGGGCAATGCGTTCATTACTTTTAGTTTTATCTTTTTTGTCGTCGTCGTCGTCGTCGTCGTCGTTATCATCATCGTGTTGTTGTTTCTTGTGCTTTTCTATGTCTCCGCTTTTGTTGTTGTTGTTGTTGTTGTTATTGTTATCCGCTTTCAGAGATTTAAACACGAGGGACAAAAACGGCGCGGCGTGCGCCGCTTTAGGCACTTGCGGATGATTGCACACCTCGTACAACGCTCGATAATACCGATCTGTAATCGGGGAAGATTTCTTTGACGAGTGCAGTTGAAAAATCAACGTCAACGCTTGAATCGAGGCGGCTAAATTCGGCGAGTGCGCCGTGGTGAAAAGCGCCGGGGCGATTTTCTCAACCATGGATTCTCTTTCAGATTGAGCGACGTACGGGAACGCGCGGTTGATGCCAGTTAAAAGCGCGGAAACGACTCGTGCGTCGACGCCGGAACCGATCTGTTCGTTTGCAGAGTTCGAAGTCGTTGGCGTCGCGGCGCCTTTTTTACCTCTTCCTCGACCTCTTCCTCGACCTCCTCCACCTCCTCGTCCGCCTTTCGGATGAAACCTTTTCTTTTTCCCACCGTTCGCGGCGGGACTGTCGTTGCTATCTTCTTTTCTATCTCCGTCGTTATTGTTGCTATTTTCGGTGGTATACCTCGACTTGTCGTACAAAAACTGAAACAAACTGAAATACGTCTCCACCAACTGCTTGGCGAGTTTCGGCCCTTCGCCTTTGTGCGACAGCGGCATTTGGTTTAACAAAACCGCGCCGTAATACTGCGCTTTCAAACTGACGCCCCGTCGAAACATGAACTGTTCCACCTCTCTCGCGACGATTGATTTCATCATCGGGTGTTTCACCGTCACCTCTAACAAAAGATGGCTCGCGTTTGAGGCCATCTTCCTTTGCGGATCGCCTAATTTGTTCGTCAACAATCTCAACAACTGTAACTCCGCTTCCGGTTTATTCACCAACAAACCAAACGCGCACTTCATAGATTTCTCTTTTAAAATAACTAAAGGGTCTTTCGACAGAGCCTCTAACGATTGCACGAACCGGTGGTAACATCGTTTGATGTAATCCTCCACGTACCAATACATCAACCGTTTGCGTTCGTGAGGAAACTTATCGCTGTCTTTTAAATTTTGGTCCGCGAAGTACTTCAGTTTCCTATCTGAAGGCAACAAAGCTGATTTAAAAAGCTCCTCCAACGCTTGTATGGCTTGCGCGGCGCCTCTTTTCCCGCCTTTCAGTCTCGCTTTCTCGCACAGCTCCAACAAACTTTCCAACTGTTTCAAGTTCGCCGCCGCGTCGTCTTGCACCGCGATCGTGTTGCTCGCAATCTTATCGGACGCGGTCCCCGTAGATCGAACTAAATTCTGAAACCCATCTCCACTTTTCCTCGACTTTATCTTCTCGTTTTGCTTTTCTCTCTCTTTTATCGCTTCTTTGGCGACGAGTTCTTTTGAAAGCAAAAGTTTCGAGAAATTTTCCTCTTCTTCGTCTTCGTCTTCTTCTTTTTTCTTCTTCTTCTTTTGCTTCTTCTCATCGTGATTTGTTTTCATCATCATCATCTCTTTCGATGATAAACTCTTCGCGGCTTCGTGCCATATCTTCGAGTACCCCTCGAACTCTTTCGTCGTAAAAGTCTTCTGTTGTTGTGTTCTCTCTGTGGTCGTTTTTTTTGCGTTTTTATTCTCATCATCGTCGTTTTCGTCGTCATCTTTCTTCTTCTTCATCATCATCGTTTTTTGCTTTCAACACGCGACGCGAAGAGGAAGCCGCCACACAACACCACTTTTTTCTCCAATCGAATGTATGAAGAAAAGAAAACAACGAAGAAGAAGAACGATCAGAGAAAGGTCTCTCTTTTCAAAGAGTGTTATCACTCGTCTTTCGCGAGAAGTAGTATTCGTATCAGATGTGACTTTTTAATAACGCTAATTATAAAGCCTTCAAAGCCGCTCTTTCTTCTCTGATGGTATTCGTGGGTACTCGTAGTACTAACGAGTTCTCTTCTTTGTCTTCTCTTCTTTCTATTCAGAGTTCTGTTGTTTCGTTTTTTTTGTGTTGTTTAGGGTCTCATTCAAAACCCTAAAAAACGAGGTGAAGACGTCAAAATTTCTTCTCTCTGTTGGTTGCTTTTTTTGTATTCAACAACAACACTTTTAAGACGAATTTTAGAAGAAAGGATGAGACGATCTCATCACGGTGTAACACAGTCGTTAAAACGCGAGATCGAGAAGACACTCATCTTAAGGGAAACCTCCTCTGCGTCGTCATCATCTGCTCGTACGACTTCTTCTCTTTCCTCCAAATCATTTTTATCGTCGTCGTGTTCCCCGTCATTTTTCAATAGGAATACTCCCATCACGAATGGTGTTCGGGGAAAAAGTGTCGTCGTCGATGACGTGATCAAAACGCTTCATCGTCATCGTCGTCGACACCTCTTAGCATCATCGGCACACAAACACGAAGAACAAAAACGCGGCGCAGCGACTTCTGCCAAATCTGCTCAATTCTCAAATACTTTTGGAAGAAGAAGAAGAGGCATCGCGACATCGACGACGACGACATCATTTCTTGTTGGGCGGCGAAATTCGTTACAAAACGAATTCGTTTCAACGACCTCTTCGAGAGGTGGAAGTAAAAGAGCGTTTTCGTCGTCCAATGCTAAAAATAACGGAGTGAATCAACCGTTTGGCAAAGAGTACGAAATCATCGACCACGAGTACGACGCCGTGGTCGTCGGCGCTGGCGGTGCGGGTTTACGCGCGGCCATCGGCTTATCCGAACACGGGTACAAAACCGCGTGCGTTACGAAACTCTTCCCGACGCGATCGCACACGGTGGCGGCGCAAGGCGGGATCAACGCGGCGCTCGGGAACATGTCCGAAGACGATTGGAGATGGCACGCGTACGATACCGTGAAAGGTGCGGATTGGTTAGGGGACCAAGATGCTATTCAGTACATGTGCAGAGAAGCGCCGGAAGCGGTGAGAGAGTTGGAACGATACGGATTGCCGTTTTCGAGAACGGAGGAAGGGAAGATTTACCAAAGAGCGTTTGGAGGACAAAGTTTGGAGTACGGGAAAGGCGGTCAGGCGTACAGGTGCGCGTGCGCGGCAGATAGAACTGGGCACGCGATGTTGCACACGCTATACGGGCAAGCGTTGCGACACGAGACGCAGTTTTTCGTGGAGTATTTCGCGCTCGATTTAATCATGGACGAACAAGGCGCGTGCGTCGGCGTTTTGGCGATGTGTTTGGAAGATGGTACTTTGCACAGGTTTAGGTCGCACAAGACGATTTTAGCGACCGGTGGGTATGGACGAGCCTACTTCTCGGCGACGAGCGCGCACACGTGCACGGGAGACGGGAACGCCATGGCTGCCAGGGCTGGGTTGCCGTTGCAAGATTTGGAGTTTGTGCAGTTTCACCCGACGGGTATCTACGGCGCCGGGTGTTTAATTACCGAAGGTTCCAGAGGTGAAGGCGGTATTTTAAGAAACAGCGAAGGTGAAAGATTCATGGAACGATACGCGCCGTCGGCGAAGGATTTAGCGTCCAGAGACGTCGTCTCGAGATCGATGACGATGGAAATTAGAGAAGGACGAGGCGTCGGGAAAGAGAAGGATCACATTTACTTGCACTTGAACCATTTACCGCCGGAATTGTTAGCGGAACGATTGCCGGGTATTTCCGAAACCGCGGCTATTTTTGCCGGCGTAGACGTGACCAAAGAGCCAATTCCCGTCATTCCAACTGTACATTATAACATGGGAGGTATCCCGACGAATTATAAAGGCGAAGTCGTCGCGCCGGCCAAGGACGGAAGCGATCCGGATCGAGTCGTCCCAGGTTTATTGGCCGCCGGCGAAGCCGCGTGCGCTTCTGTCCACGGCGCCAACCGATTAGGCGCGAACTCGTTGTTGGATATCGTCGTCTTTGGCCGCGCGTGCGCGAACACGGTGAAAGAATCCGGTTTGAAACCCGGTCAAAAACATAAACCTTTGAAGAACGAACTGAACGGCGAGCAAAGCGTGAAACGATTAAACGATATTCGATACAACGATAAAGGCGCTCAAAACAATAAATCGACGAGTGAGTTAAGAAAACGCATGCAGCGAGTCATGCAAGACGACGCGGCGGTGTTTAGAACGCAAGAAACGTTAGCCGAAGGGTGCATGAAAATCGACCAAGTCGCGAAAGAGATGGAAAGTTTACATGTCACCGATAAGAGTTTAGTTTGGAACACGGATTTAGTCGAAGCGTTGGAGTTGCACAACTTGATGCCGAACGCGAGAATTACCATGCACGGCGCCGAACAAAGGAAAGAATCGAGAGGCGCGCACGCCAGAGAGGATTTCCCGGATAGATTGGACGATACGTGGATGAAACACACGCTCGGGTACATCGAGGAAAAAGACGACAGCGTGAAAATCGATTACCGACCCGTGCATCACTACACCTTAGATAAAGAAATGGACGTCATTCCTCCGATGAAACGCGTTTATTAAATTGCTCTCTAATAATAATAACTACTACATATAACACACACACAAAACACACACACACTCAAAACACGCTACTTCTTTTATCCTCGTATCTATTTTTAAACCATAGCGGTGGTGGTCGTCGCTACTTGCTCCAACTCGCCGTCGCACACCTTGTGATCTTTCGGCAACACGCATTGCTTCTCGCACCCGTTCTCGTGTATGGTGACCAATCTAATAACCCCTCCAGAACTCGCATCTCTCGCAATCGCCAATGAAATCGCCTCCGTCATCCACTTCTCGCACTCCTCTCTTTCCATGTTCTCTTTATACGTGTTGTCTAAATACCCGTAAATATACGCCGAACCGGATCCGCTGACGCTAAACGGCGCTTCCAACATGGACCCGCCCAAAGGAATTCCGTACACCTGCGGTCCTCTCACTCGATCCCACCCGGCGATGATCATCCCGGCTTGTAACTTCTCTTTGTTCTCGTACGCTATTTTCTGCGTCAGTTTCGCCACTACGCGAACGTCCACCATCATCGCGCGATCGTTTGACTCGTTCTCGCGAAAACCGGTTCCGTTTCGTTCCATCGCGTGTTCCTCAACCATTCGTTTCACGTACGCGGCGACGTTTTGCGTGTCCGCGGCGGACCCGGATCGACACATCCACACGTTGTCGCATATCTGCGTGATTTTATCGCTCGCTCGGTTGGCGACGTACGCGCCCGTGGACGTTCGGGAATCGGCGGCGAGGACGACGCCGGTGCGATACGCGCACGCTAAAATAGTCGTTCCCGTGGACACCGGGATCGATAAAAAATCGACTGGTGTTTCCTCCATTAATCTCGTATGTCGTCGTTTTAAATTGTTGTAAACGACGTTGTTACTACTCTTCTTAGTATTATTATTCGTTAACTTTACGAAGAAGTTATTTAAACGCTTTCTTTAACACGTTGTTGTTGTCTTTTGTTCGTTCGTTCGTTCGAACCAGACGGAGGAAGTTATGGCGCTTTTGTCCTTAATTTTTTGCTCCTATATAAAAGAGATCTCAACACATCAAACTTTTGATAAAAACAGAGGAGGAAAGCAACATTTTTAAAGATACGCGTTGTATGTAGTATATATACTGCTAGATTATTAGTATTAATAAGCTATGAATTGAATTGATGATGAGCGAAGAAAACTTTCTTTAAAAGGTCATCATCTCGAGTCGTCGTCTGAATCGTCGTCCCGTTGTTCGAGAAGGTCAACTCTGAGATCGAATGTTTCTTTTTTTTAATCGAACAAGTCAAAGCCCATGTCTTCTTCTTCTTCTTCTTCTTCGACCGGGGCAGCCGCGGCCGCGGCTGGCTTATCGCCACCGCCACCGCCACCGCCACCGCCGCCGGCGCTTTGGAACGCGCTCGGGTCGGCGAGATAGTCCTTGACTTTTTGCGCCAATTCGAAGGTGTACTCGGTGCCGATGGAGATGGCCAACACGTTCTTGTACGAGTTGACGATGTAGTGCGGCACCGCGGCCAAAGTCGGGTACTTGGTCGCCAAAGAGATGGAGGCGATGTTGGAGACACCCGCGGCAAACTTAGCCGCCAACTGCTCGTCGGTGATGTCCAAAACCGCCGCCGGGTACATGGAGCCCTTGTCGTAAATGTGCTTGACGACTAAACCGTATTCAAACGGCGTGATTTTCATCTTACCCAACAAAGCAGCCGCGGAGGAACCGACGCGTTCGCCTTTTGTAACGACGGTAACATCAGACAAAATCTCGATCGCCCCTTTGTTAATCTTCGTCGCGATGTTCAACAATTGGAAAAAGCCGGTTTGGGACGGTTCCAACGGGGTCACGCCCGCCGGGATGGTCACGTCGCACGTCGCCGTAGAGCCAACCTTCGCGGGCGCCGGGACGACAAACTCAGAAACCTTCGTCTTGACTTCCTTGACGTCCTCTTTCGTGAAGATAACGCCGACGTTGCCAATCAACAAGTCGTGCAACACCATCCAATCGTTGTTGCCCTTCTCGTCGCAATAGTTGCCGATGATCTTTCTCATCAGCGTGTTCTTCCCCATCAAGACGACCGAGTTTGGTCTCAACGCCGTGCGAATGTCCATGAACTGTTTCGAGCCGACGTTGTCGCAGTGCACGAGTAACGCAGAGTCATAGTTGTCCAGCAACTCGTACACGCGTTCGCCGTACTTTCTTTTATCCAGGTACGCTTGGTTCACCATTTTTTCTTAGTATTATTTTCTGTGTGTAATAAAAGCAGACAGAGGAGTATTTTTATCCAATAATATGATGACGATATTGATGATGATATTGTCGGAAGAGAAAGAGAGAGAGAGAATGATTGTCAGCACACCTAACGCAACAAAAACACGAGTCGTTGTTTACGTCGTCGTCCTCCTCCTAAGAAGAAGAAGAAGACAAAGAAGACGAAGAAGAAAAGAGTTCAAGAGGATGAGGCAAAAAGAAGCCCTAGAAGGAGATCAGAATTTACGAACAACAACGTACCTTTGTTCTTTTTGCTTTTAATAATCAATCGCCTGGGAGCCGCAGTCTTACGAGTGTGCACTGCAGTTAAGAAAGTTGTTCTATCTAACCTTTATTGGCGGAATATATCTGTTCGTTTTTAAAACGCGCAGTTGAGAAGTGATTATGAAGAAAAGTCTGCTGGGAAAGAAGACCTCGCGTTCGACGTGTTTAGGGTTTTAGTGCAAATACGTTCGTGATGAGTTAACGTCACTTTTTGTTGTTGGCTTTATGTTCATTAGTAGTAGTAGTAGTAGTAGTAGTATTTAAAATCTCTTTAAGTTTTAAGTTTCCATGTCCGTTTCGTTGGCTTCGTTGTACACGTATTGCGAGCTGTATTCCATCATGAACTTCGTGCTTCGTTTGACGTCGATGAATAAGTTGTACGCTTTGGAGACGTCGTCGGTTTCGACTTTGGCGGATTTCCGCTTGTTGGCGACCAAAGAGGACGCGGAGATGAGTTGAATGGCGTATCGTAAACTGGTTTCCGAACCGATTTTTGTGAGCAAATCTTTCGCGTCTTCGGACATGTTCACGTCTTCTTCTTCGCACCGGATGTTGACTATTAATTTCATCTCTTTTTCCGTGTACGGTTTCGTTTGGATGATTAAGAGGCGATCTAACAAGTCGATCGGGATGCCGTGAGGGGATCGGTAGTTTGTGCCTCGGATTTTCGTGATGCCTCTGTTCGTAGCCACGACTAACACGGGAGATAAATCATTTTCCAACGCTCGATTCAAAAACGAAAAGCATTCCACGTCTAACATGTGCACTTCGTCGATGAACAAAACGCCCGGTATGATTTCCGCCTTGCCTTCCTCTCGCCACTCGGCGACTTTCTCGTCGATTTGTTCTCGCACTTCGTCGCGAATTTCACCGGTATCGCCGGAGAACAACGCCATGAAACCTTGCGTGTGCGAATTGATGACGTCGATTTCGTGTAAAGTCACCGTGTGCACAATCTCTTGTCGTTTTTGCAACTCGCCTTCCGGGCAGGAAACAAACTTTGTCGTCGGTCCAGTCGCGTCGTAATCGCGCGATCGCGCGAACGAACGTCCTAACTTTTGCACTCTTCCCGTGCTCTTATCGATGGTGATCACGTCACCACTGGTGACTTTCTCTTTGTTGATCGATTCGATCATCTTCGTTCCTAAATCGTACACCGTCTCCATATCGGTCGTTTTCAAAGTCAACTTTCCAACTTTCGGCGCGACGTTCCCCGCCGTCGGTCGGTCAATCTCAATCTCCACGACTTCACCTTCGATAATTTCCGTTTCCTCCCGTATCCTCACCCCAATCGCTTTCCTAAACGCCTGTCTCAACGCTTCCGTTTTTGAAATTTCTGTGCTAAAAATCTCCGATCCCGCCATCATCGCGAACGGCGTTTCTTCGTTACTTTCCGCGTTTATATTGTTGCTACTTTTATCTTGGCCTCTTAAACTCGCTTTCCTGCTCCCCCCGGCTCCTTCTCCGTTCACCCCGTAATCTGAATCTAACAAGCTCTTCGCGATCCCCATCGCTAACGCCGTCTTCCCCGTCCCCGGCTGACCGGCTAACAGAACGCCTCTCCCAGCGATCGTCCCGCTTTTAATCATGGACAGAATAACGCCGCACGCTTTACGCGCGTCTTCTTGACCAACCATCCCTTGCGAAACATTCTTCGCGTCTAACGCGTCGTCTAATCCCAGACCGCGTATGTGCGAGTGCGCGCCGATGCGTTCGATGCCTCGTAAAGCGTCCGTTTCTTGCGCGGTCGTTTTAATCGTCGTCGTCGTTTCCCCACCAGTCGCCATTTTAGTATGCGAGTCGTTTTACTCTTCTTCTTCTTTATTCAGATCGAATGCAACGAACGAAAACGAGAAGAGTCTACTAAAGCGCTACTGCTTCAATAGTCTTCTCTCAACGACAACAACAACAACAACAACAACAACAACAACACTCCTCTTAAACAAACAAACAGTATATTATGTGCTGTGTTCTTTTCAATCAATCAATCAATCAATCGAGAGAAGAATAATGCAGTCAAATCAAATTCAAACGAAAAAAAATGCTTCAAAATTTTAGTGCAAAAAGCTCTCGAGGACTCCTACTAGTAACGACGAGAGCAAAAAAGCAAGCATTATAATAACGTTCTCGTTATCGATCGGCGAATATCAGCAAATATACCACCACGTTTTTAATAAAAGTACAATTTTCTTTCCATCTAGTATTTCCTCTATATGTCCTCTCTATTTTCTCTCTCTCTCTCTTTCTAATAATTATTTTCACAATCGTCTTTTCTTCGCGCTTCGCATGAACGGTCTCAAGGACCACTCGATGTCGGCGTCGTCTTGGTCGACCGTCCCTAACTTCAGCTGGTACAATCGTAACTCAAATCTCGGACCGATTTCGTTCAAGTGTAAGGATTTTGGGCCTTTCGGCATGTCGTAGGTGTGATGACGGACGGAGATGAAATCGACCGAGTTGGCGAAAGTGACCACGCGTTTTGATTTTTCCTTCGGTCTCGGGAATAAGTGTCGCAAGATATTCGCGGTTCGTTTGCCTAATTCCGAGGTGAAGTTTTCGCATATGATGTGCGGGAACTGTTCGGAAACTTTCGGTAAGTTTGCATCTTTTACGTCGTGTCGCATGACCGCGTCGGAAATGCCAAAATACGCGGTAGGACCAAACGGTAAGTGCGAAACGACTAAACCGTCCGGTTCGCCTCGGTGTTCGTGGACGATGACGACGTCGGTAAACTCGCTCGTTTTTCCCAGTTCCACGAGATCGGGTAAGATTTGCGAACCGCGGTTGATTCTCGACGAGGTCGGGAACAGAAGTTTCAGTTCTTTACAAAACTGAAGCAATCGACTGCTCGCGTCTCTCGACGTCGTCAGTAAGATTTTCGCCTCTGGTGCGTTTTTATACTCGTCGTCGTTGACGCCTTTTTCCAAGTTTCCATACTCTCTCGTGTTTATATCTTCTAATTCCACCTCTTTTCTTAACTGTTCTTCCTCTCTTTTCAGCTCAGTTGGGATCGGTTTCCCTTCCTCCAAGCACTCTCGTATTTTCCTCTTCTTCTCGTATAACAAGCGCTCTTTCCCTTCTAAAGATTTCCTGTAGACGAATTCTTTCCGTAACCGAGCGTTTCGCCGCAACATCTTTTTATTACGCGAAGATTGTTTTTCTTATTTTACGACCAATAGTAGACCAAAAGAAGAAAGAAACCTTTTAATACTCTTTGATTCTTCTAAAGGATGACGACGAGTCTCTTTTGTTGGAAAGAAACGAAAGCGCTCTTTAAAAGTCGTCCGTCGTTGTTGTTGTTTAAAGGACGACGTGTGTTGTTACACGCACTGACTGGTAGCAGAACGAGAGGAAAGAAGGCAAGAAGCGCACCCACCTTTTATGAGCAGAAAAAATCATAAACCCTAAACAGATACATTTCCAAAATCCCTTCAAGTAAACGCCAACCAAACTCTTCTTTTCTCTGACTCGTATTAATAAACTTCCTTAAATTCGTCATTCATTGAAGAATCACCTTTACCTTGACGAAGAAGAAAACAAGCGTTCGTCTCGGTGGTCAGAATACTCATCTCTTCTGTTGTTGTTCGTTTTGAACCTTCTCTCTTTCGATTTTGGGGTTTGTTGTTCTTTGGGTGCGCGTAAACGACTCAGGTAGATATTTTTGGGAGCGAGACGAGATACGCTTTTCTGATGACTCGTGCTGCCGAGGAGATGAATAATAAGAGTAGTAATACTACCACCAATGTTGGTGGTCATAGTATCGTCGAAAATAACGCGGATTTTGAGGAGAGTGGGAAAAACATCGTCTTAAACGCTGCTGCGTTCGCGCAGGCCTACGCGTACAGCGCGTACGACGACATCGAGAAACGATTGGAAATAAAAAAAGATAATGAATCTCGACTGCAAAGGAAGAATACGAACGAGAAGACAAAGACAAAGACGAAGAAGAAGGGAAGCGAGGAGAGTTTACTCGAGATGAAAGAGAGCGTGGAAGACGTGGATGACGAGGATACCGACGACGACGAGACGACCGAACGACAAAGGGAAGAAGAAGATGAAGAAGAAATGGTAAAACGTCGTCGCATGGAAGAAAGTCACGCGCAGACGACGAGCGCGATGAATGGCGGAGTAGACGGAATGGTAGCAGCAGCGGCGGCTACGGCAACCTTGTATAATCATCATCCGTCGTCGTCGTTTCAAGCACAGTATCAAATGCCTTCGATGCAGCCGCCGCCGCCGCCGAACGTACCGCTTGTTGCGCAACAATATCTTTTACAACCGACTGCGCTTCTCGTAGCCAACGATACTAACAATCAGGCGCAAGAGCATCATCAAGAACAACAACAACAACAACATCTCGTCATGGCGGCTGCTGCAGCTGCGGCAGCCGCTGCTGCTCCTCCAGTGTACGTGAATGCGAAACAGTACGAAGCTATTCTCAGGCGAAGAGCGGCGCGAGCGAAACACGAACTGAAATATAACAAGATCGGGGCGGTATTCTCACCAACCGGAGGTAAGAAGAACGGCACGGGTGAAGAGAAAAGGAAACCGTACATGCACGAAAGCCGACACAATCACGCGCGACGACGGATACGAGGCCCGGGAGGTCGTTTCTTGACGCAAAAAGAGTTACTCGACGGGTTAGGAGGCGAAGAGGCGAAACAACAAGCGATGAAAAGAAAAGAAGAAAACGAAAAGAGAGAGAAAGAGAGAGAAAGAAAGAAACAGTTGAGACAAAAGAAGAAGGAAGAGCAAAAAGTGATGATGATGGAAAAGAGGAGGAACGCGGAGAAAAAGGGGGCGACGGGTGTCGACGAGGTTGTCGACGCCGAGAAATAGTATTTAGTCATTTTAGAAATGTTTATAGAAGAGATACGCGCGATGAATATTAATAAAGAGCTGCAAAATATGAATTGTGGTGTACTGAAGAAGACAAAACGAATTCTTCAATAACAAACGACCAACTTTGCTTTTCGGCAAACTTTATGCACCACACCAAAAAGAAACGAAGAGCGAAACTTTTTAACGCGATGATGATGAAATCGTCGTCGCGAGGATGTATTAAATGTCGTTTTCTGAATCGTCGTCGGGGTACATAATAAACGATGAAACGCAAAACTTCTTTTAACGAACAACATCGACGAAACGCAAATTTGAAGAAGAAAAACAACAACAACTATCACTACTCCTTGTTCTTCTTCTCTTTCGTTTTGAAATGCGCGTGCGTTCTCCTCGCACTCCTCGTCCTCCTCTTTTCTTGGATGCGAGCGATTTATTTCAGCGAAAACGAGTGTCAGATGACGTACATGCGTCCCGGATATTCGAAAATTGATTTGAGCGAAAGTGGTGTTGGATTCTTTGAGAAAGGAAAAGGGCGAAAGTATGATCTCATCCGATACGAGGAGATGGACGACATTTCGGAGAACGGTGGAAAGAACAAAAACGCTTTTATGGAAGGAACAAAAACTGTGCTGGCTTTGTTCATACCGGGAAACGGCGGCGATTACGCGCAGGTGCGCTCGCTCGCGCACTCGACGCACGCGCTCGGGAAATACTATTTGTCTTCTTCTTCTTCTTCTTCTTCTTCGAGTGAAGAAACGAAGGCAAAAAAGACAAAGATTGAATGGTACGCGATGGATTTCAAGGAAGAGTTCTCGGCGTTCGACGCGGATGCGATGGAACGGCAAGTTGAAACAACGAGATGGGTGTTAGAGGAGTATTTTGGGAGGAAGATTTTTGAAAGCTATGAAGACGACGACGACGACGATGACGGCGGTGGAAAATATTTGAAGAACGTTATCGTGGTCGGGCACTCCATGGGCGGGTTAGTCGCGAAGTATGCAGCAGAGCAAGTGATAGTGAATAAAAGTGATTTTAACGGAAGAAGAATAGAGCACGTGCACGTGACGACTCTGGCAACGCCGCACGCGTACCATCCCGGAGCGTTTGCGCTTTCGAGTTTCGCCAATCACGCGTGGCGGAAAAGAACATCGAAGAAGATGACGACTGGCGAAGGGAAGAAGGAGTTGATGTCCGTGATGTCCGTGAGTGGGGGGATGCGCGATTGGCAAGTTTCCGGAGTGGACGCTTCGCTTGTTCTCTCTTTGAATGATAGTAATAATAATAGTGGTAATAATAGGAATAGGAATAGCGAAAGAGTGAAGACCGTATCGACGCGAACGTCCTGCGATCATCTCGCGATATGCTGGTGCAAGCAAGTGATTTTATCGCTCGCGGTCGCATTACATCGCGTGGCAAAAGCAGGTGGAAATGAAGGAGTAGGTGATATTTCTCAATACATAAAGAATATACACGTTGATATTCCGCCGCATTTGGGTTGGCATGGCTTTGAAGACGCGTCTTCGACTTTGAAGAAAAAAGACAACCACGGCGTCTTCATCGATGGATTTTTTTCTGGAGTAGACGATATCAATACCGATAGAAATACTCGAGGATGGTACACGTTTGCACCCATCCTCGTCGCGAGAACACCGAACGTTGCGTCTGCTGCAATATCTTGGCACGTTTTGTTCTCGTCGGGCCCGTCGTCGTCGATGGCATTTTCGGGTCTTGCATTTTCCTCGCTCTACGTGCTCTCGGCTTTGAGTGAAAACTTTGCAATCGGCGCGAAAGAGATGCGAGCTTTACGATTAGAAATGTACGTTCTTTTTGCAACGAGCGTTGTTTTAGTCTGCGGTTACGGCATGGCTAAGAGTTTACACCTGCTTTTTTGCAAGATGCTCGCGTTATCGAGAAAGAATACCGCTTCAACAAAGCTTGATTTTCTGCGACGAATGTCGGTGTCGACGCACGTATCGATTTCCGCGGCGTTAGCGGCTGTCGCTCCGGCGCTCGTGCACGCGTACATGATCGTTTTCAAGTGCACTTTTGGTACTAGTACTGATGAAAATACACTCGTGCACTCGTGTTGCGCCTCTGTTTGGGCTTCTTTCTTACTTTTACCCGCGTTCGTGACGAAAGTAAAAGATGGGAACTTACCGGGCGGGGTGTGGTCTGCGATAGATTCGGGGGTTGCTTTTTGCACCGCGGTAGGAACGATTTTAGTATATCATTCCAATCATGCGGAGGGAAAGAAGAAGAAGAAGAAGAAGAAAAGTATGACGATAATAATAACGAGTTTGCTCTTCTGCGCTGTATCGAGCGGCGCCGGGATGGCGTCGTTGGCACATCTCGGTCTCCTCTTCTTCTCGTTTTGTTGATTGTTGTGTAAATATAATTGCTATTTAATTTTATATATTAAAACCACACACTTGTGCGTACGCTCAGCTTAAGTTCTCTCACTCTCTCACTCTCTCAAATCAATGTTCTCACACCCTCTCTCTCTCCATTTTTTCTCTCTGTTTTTCTTTTTCTACAAAAGACGCACACGCCGCTTATTGCAATTGCATGTACCACAAACCGGTGATCTTGACATCCTTCGGCGCCTTGGAGCCCAAATCAGTGTCAGACGGTTGGATGGATTCAAACACGCCGGCAATCTCCCCAGTAGTTTCGTCGTACTTCGCGACGTTGAAGACGGCACTACCCTTCAACGCGGCGACGTTCTTGTTGTTTTCCTTTTGTAAGTCATCGGCGTCAGATCTGGCCGGCAACGCGACGGCGTTATCGTAACCAGTGGAGCCACCTCTACCCTTCGGGTCAAGGAAGGACGAACCTCTGTACGAAGCGACAACGAAGTCACCGCCGAATTGGGAGGTGTTACCCTTCGCTTGCAACTCCTTCAAGGTGAACAAGAACGGAACACGTTCGCCCCCAGCCAATTGGACCGTGGTCGGCGCGTAGTCGATGCCGTCCTTCTCGACGACGTTGACCGAACCGTCAGAGCCAACCTTGAAGTCGCCAGACATGGCGTCCAAAGTGTAGGTCAAACGAGTCATCAACTTCGTCTTGGCAAACTCGGTGGAACCGTCCGCCTTTTCTTCCTTCACCGTAAACGAAGTCGGTTCGACGCAAAACTTGTCAAACTTGTAGTCGCCAGCCTTCAACGCCTTCGGGCCGGAGCCGCTTTCGACAACCGGGCACGTGTTCGCCAAACCGGTACCTTTGACTTGCAAATACGTCAAGCCTTGCAACTCATCGTACGTGACCGCTTGCGCAGACTGTTAGTAGTATTATATTTTCGTTTTTAAAATCAAGTTTTGAGAAGAAAGAAGGGAGAAAAAGGGAAAAAAGGTCAGTTCTCTTATTTTTAAAAATGACATTTCTTTCAGATTGTTGTGTTGTTGTTTCAAAAACGCTCTCAAAAAAAAATTCTCCTCCTCTTCTTTTGAGATCTTTTTGGCCAAAAAAATTTTGAGATTAGAGCGAAGCGAGAAGAGATACGATTTTTCCGAAGCTTTTTCCCTCCTTCCTTCTCTCGTCTCGGATCGCGCTCAAATCTCTCTCATCATCTCATCGTTTTTTCTTCTTCTTCCCCCGTGGTCTCTCAAAAGGAAGAGGAGGAGGAGTGCCTCGAGAGACTTTTAAGGCGCGCGCACGATGTAACGACGACGAAGAGAGAGAGAGAGAGAGAGAACCTCTTCTTCTTCTTCTTCAAAAGCGCGAAGTGTTTTTTTATCCCCGTTGTTTAAAACCACCCTTCGTAAAACGAGACCAAAAGAGCAAAGAAAAAAGAAACGTACCGATGCGAACAACGCGGCGGTGGTGGCCGCAGTGACGGCCGCCTTGGAGAGCTTTTCCGACAAGTTGGACGCTTGGACGACCGTCTTGTTGACCGAACTGTTGTGTTGTTTTGATGACGACGAAGAGCATTAAGACAAGAGAGGTGAGTGTGAGTATACAAACATCGAGAGGAGGATGCCATCATCGATTTTCCCTCTTCAATCTCGCCCAAAGAAGAAGAGCGTACTGTATAAAACAAAAAAAAAGGACAATCGTAATTCAACGCGTAACTCCATCACGCGAAGATCAAATGCACGTACCGTTTGGAGGAAACCTTGTTTACGGTAATTTGCTTGCCAGCTAAAGCGGATTGCATCGAAAGGGCCATTTTGTAAGTGTGTGTATTGGGTGCGTTTATATATGACGAATCGATGAAAAGAAGGGGCCGATGATGAATTGATGTTTTGGGTAGTTTTTCGTTCGTTCGCAAAAAAGAAAGAGATGGTTCGTGGTGACAAAAAATCCAATAGAACAACAAATCTTGATTTTCCCTCTGTGCTCTTGAATCAGGGTTTAACAGAAGCCAACAACAACACAAAAAGGGAGGAAACTGCTTTTTCACAAACAACAAGGAGGAAAAAAGAGGAAAAAGGAGAGAAGAAAAGAGAGGAAAAGAGACAGTTATAACTTTGCTGAGAGCTCGACACGACGCCGTTTGTTTGCTCGTCAACACATTCCGCCACAAAACAACTTTTGGCGAGAGAACGCGCATTACACACAACAAGAGAAACAACGAGAGTATATAAAAACACGATCACAAACGACGAGATCGTCACCACACCGGAAGAGAACAAACACAGATCTCTTTTTGAAACGAGCGCAAAGAGAGAAGGAGGAAAAAGAAGTCTTAAGAGCGCGCGCGATTTGGATTTGGACGTTCCAATAGACAGAATTGAAGAAGTTTAAAAGAGAAAACGGAATCAAACAGAAGAGATACAAAGAAGAAGAAGAAGAAGAAATAATGTCGCATCGAAACTCGTACGAGGATCTTTCCCTGAAAGAAATGGGCGATCGAGCGACGACGCCGACGTACTGGAAAACCGAGGAGGAGTGGTTGACGAAACACCACCCGAGCGCTTTGTTGCTCAATGATGATGATGACGAGAACGATGGCATCGAGGGAAGAGAAGAAGAAGAAAAACAACGAACGAATCAGAATAACAGTTTGATCGCGAAATTGAAGAAACAACTGAAATCGGAAGGGAAACAGTTGGTGGTTTTTTTGGATTACGACGGGACGTTATCGCCGATTGTATCTCAGCCGGAAAAAGCGTTCATGTCAGAAGAGACGAGGCGAGCGGTGCAAACGGTGGCGAAGAAGTTTCCGACGGCGATCGTTTCCGGACGAGCGAGAGAGAAGGTGTACGATTTTGTAAAGTTGGACGAGTTGTATTACGCGGGATCGCATGGGTTAGATATAGCCGGTCCGAAAGGCTCGCCAGATATCGATTATAAGCCGTGCTTGTGGGCAGAGGATGTCATGCAGAACGTGTTTGAGACGTTGAAGAAAAAGTTAGATTCAATAAAAGGCGCGGTTGTGGAGACCAACGTGTTTTGCGTGAGCGCGCATTATCGCCAATGCGAAAACGAAGAGGACGAAGCAGAGGTGGAAAAAGCGGTAGATGAAATCGTAGCGCAAAATAAAGACAAGTTGCGGAAACATTCCGGGAAGAAAGTGTGGGAAGTGAAACCAAAAGTCGACTGGGATAAAGGGAAAGCTTTGTCTTATTTGTTGGAAGCTTTGAAATTGAACGATCGAAAAGATGTCATTTCCATGTATTTAGGCGACGACGTGACGGATGAAGACGCGTTTGAGGTTTTACGGAAACTCAGCGACGACGAGACGCAAGGCGACGGCGTCGGGATCGTGGTGACCAAAGTTCCCAAGCAAACGAAAGCGAGTTATTCGTTGAGAGATACCGACGAAGTTTTGCAATTTTTAACCAAAGTCGGAAACATAGACGTGTAGGAAGACGAAAGGCAGAAAGCAATTTTTACTACAGATTATTACTGTACATAAAAAAAGCAAAGAAGAAGAAAAGAAATAGAAGTGATAGAGTGCGTGTGTGACTGTGTATGTGTGTGTGTAATATTATTTTAAAGAACTTTGTGAAAATGCTGTAAACGAGTACTACTAAGTAGTACTACGTATGATTAAATAATGATGATTAAAGAGGAAATACATACAAAAAAAGAATAGTTATAACACGCCGCGTTTATATACGCACAAAAGCGCAAAAGCGATTTGTTTTTCACGAAGATAAAATGCGACCATCGAACGAGCCGTCTTGCGACAAAAGCAAGGGAGTCGTGCCTGCACTCTTTGGTGCGTACTTCTCCAGAAGTCGGCAAACTTCAAGGCACACGTCTTGTCGCAAATCGTAATACGCGTCACCACCTTCCGCCATCGGGATGAACGCTCGTACTTCCATCTCCAACTTTGCCGAGCCTAAGTTTGTGATCAGTGATTTGGATCCAGCCTTAACATCCACGTGTGGATGTTTAGCCAAAAATTCATTAATGCCTTCTTTGATTTGAGTCGCCTGGCCGACGTCTTCGTATCGAATTTCAAACGCCGCTCGAACGAATCGATGCGTCGCTCGAGAATGGTTGATGGTCGCGTTGCCTAAGAAGAAGCCATTTGGTACGATCGTTGGTTTCTTATCTCTCGGCATTAACAACGTCGAGTACCAGCCAATCTTCTCGACGCTATATTCACTGATTTTTGGTGAATCTGATCCTCTAAACTTACCACCAGACGCCAACAAGACGATCTTATCGCCTTCGCTAAACGGCGACGTGACGGCGATGATGACGCCGCCGATTAAATTCGCGATGAAATCTTTGGCGGCTAAACCAAAGGCTAAACCTCCGAGACCACCGAAAGAGAATAAAAACGAGGCAGGTAAGCCAAAAGTGACCAGAGTAGCCGCAAACGTGGCGAGTAACGTGATCATGGTGGCAAATCGAACCAAAATTAACTTCTTCCCTTCCTCGGTTTGCGCCGAACTATCCGGGAACATTTTCGTCAACAATTGGCTGCCGTACTTTGATAACCACATCGATACGATAAGCCCAGCGGTAAAAATATACGTCCCTCGATCAAAACCCGCGGCCACGTTCTCGGGAACCGCAAAATTTACATACATCGCGTCCACGAATTCACACGTCACGTCGAAAACGTACCCGGTGATCCACAAAAACATTAAAGCGCCGAGCGGTTTCCCAATCCAATGCGCGAACGTTTCTCGATACGGTGAATCCAAAACGTCCGCGCTTTCTAACTGCTCGATTACTTTCTCTCTTTTTGAATCCTCTCCTCTTCCTCCGAACGCTTTCATCCTTTGTTTTTCAAACCATAAAAACATCTCCCGTCTTCGTTTTATAACCAACCTCAACGCGAATATCGCCCATACATCTTCCAAGTTCCACGGTTCGTTGATTTTCCGATCGATCGTATCGATGGTCGATTTCGCCACATCTAAAGAACATTTCACCGCTTTTTTCGACTGTTTGCGTAACTCGCGAACGGCCGTGTTCGTTGGTTCTTTCCGTTCGCCTTTCGCAGAAGGAGAAGCAGCAGCACACGCAGCAGACGGAACAAAAAACCCATTTTCAGTAAACCCAAGAAACCCCCCGAAAGTGGCGGAAAAGACGAACATCATCGCTGGGGCGACGATCATTTTCTTGATGAGCATTATTTTCGTCGTCGTCGTTTTCATCGTCGTCGTCTTCTTTTTTTCCTCGGAAGAGGAGGAGGAGGACGAAGAAGAAGAAGAAGAACGAAGAACAGAATGTCGACCTTTTATTATCCGATGTTGACGACGAATTTGACCTTTGAAGACGACGACGGAGGAAGAAGTTTTCTCGCTTCCTTTTGATGATAATAACAGCGAGCGAGGACGACAAGGTCGTTTAAAAGAGGATTGAATCGTCGTCGTCGTCTTCATTGCTGCGAATATCGTCGCTGTTGATGACATTTTTTTTATTATGTGATGTCCTCGACTTTTGACGACTTTTGACGGCGCTCTCTTCCCGTTGTTTGTCAAGTGTAAGTATGTGTGCGGATGTATGTTTATTTAAGTTCATTCGCATTCGCTAGTAGTACCTCTCTCTACTATATATATATATACTAGTATTATTATTATTATTATTATTAAGAAAACAAGTTATCGTCGGCGACGAACGAGATGGAAGAATTCGTCGCGTCGCGCTGAAGATGGTGTCGATTACGATGACGACCGCCTTTTCTCGCCCATTCGTTCAACGCGGTTTCGTCCACCGACCGTAAGAGCTCGCTCCATTCGTCCTTCTCCTCTGTATTCTCGTCGTCGTCAAAATCTTCTCGTAAAACATCCACGATGTTTTTCAAAGCGCGAACGTCGATGATATCGTCCGCGGTTCCCGAAAACGAACGCTCGTCCGGGCATGTGAGCAAGGCTATTTTTGTTCTCGTCCTCTCGGCGCTTTTGCCGTCGTTTGCCATCTGGTTCAAGCGGTTGAACAACGCCGCCCCGGCGCCGACGACGGCCCGGCCTACCGATAAAGGTTTCTTATTTGTGCTATTTTTACGTGTTTTTGTATTCGAATAAGTAGTGTACGCCTCGTTCCCTACGTATTGCACGGCAAAACGAGCGCTATCACCGAAACCGTTTTCATCCGCGTCCGTATCGTCGGCGTACGAGGAAACGAACGACGTGACGACGAACGCCTTTCGTAGCGGCGATGTTTGACGACTACGCATCCTTCCTTCATCGTCGTCGTCTGGAAAGAGACTCTTTAAAACTGTTTCCGCCCATCTCGTCGCATTTTCCACGGGAACGTCGTACGTACACTTCACGAGAGCGATCTTCGTTTCTCTCTGGTAATACACGTCGCACGTTCTCGTGAACGTCTCGTTTCGTTTTGTGTTCTCGTCGTCAAAATCATCATCGTCATCAAAATCGTCGCTCAAACAGTCGTTCCGTTCGCTCACGCCTGATACTTTCACGTGGCCAATCTTCTCAAACTTTTTGTTTTCCCTCTTAAACGAGGATAAAATCTCCTCGCACACCGTCAGAGGCACTCGGCTGTTCGAGAAGAACGCGATCGTTTCGATGCCTTTTTCTTCTTCTTCTTCGGTGTTTCTTCCCAACGACGACGACGATTTGGATTTTGAGAGAAAAGCAAACGCCACTTTTGCCTGCTCAGACGACACATAGGACGACGACGATTCTTCCAATACTAATCGTCTCCTCGCTCGTTCTTTTTCGCACGCTTTCTCCTCGTCCTCGTTTTCGTTGGTTCGTTCGAACACGTCCTCCTCGATCGGGTTCGTCAACAACATTGTTTATTATTAGTAGAGAGTCTCTTCTGTGAATGGCGTTTTTTGTGTCTTGTTTTTCTTTGTTGCTCAAATTTTTATTTTTTTGTTTTTTTTATATAGAGTAATGTAAACCCTAATTGAGGAGAATCGTCTCGTTCGATTAGCTTAGTGGTTAGAGCATCTCGTTTACACCGAGAAGGTCACGCGTTCAACTCGCGTATTGAACAACTTCTTTTTTTTGCATCATTATTAATATAGTAGAGTATTATAGTATTATATTAAGCTATGAAATCGTTGAATGGATCGTACGTGGAACTCCCGTCCTCGTCCAACAAGTTTAACTGCCTCAAGCGTCGCTCTTGGTAATACTCTAAGCGATCGACAGAGGCGCGAATGGTTTCGAAATATCGCAACGTGTTTCTGAGCGCTTTTTTTTCGCCCAACAAGACGCGAATGGAGAGAAGCTTTTCGTCGGAAATGTCCTGGATCGATAACATGTCCTCGTCTTGTTCGATGCTCGTTTCGTATTGCAACAGAGCGTCTTTGCATCCCGCAATCATCGTTTCGCAGGCTTGCGTTTCGTTCTCTTTCGAGACGGGTTCGGAAATCAACTCCCACGCGTTGTTTCGAAACAAAGCTTCCAACAAAAACGCGTCCGAGCCTTGGATGTTCAACAATCTGCTGAAAACGCGCAAGTTTGGATCTGGATCTTCGTACGCTTTTAAATAAAAGGTTGGATCGTCGCCGCCGCCTATGATTTGTTGACTCACGTCGCAAATGTCGATTTTATCGTCTCTGTTTGGATCGTTTTCTGGAATGCCTATTCGTAACTCGTAGCCACCGTTTCGTTCCACGGGATCGACGAAGCCGTAATCGACGCAGGTTTTACCATCCAAAGGTCGCTCGTCGAAGTTGATGGAGGCGTAGTAATCCATAAAAATTTCCTCGCCCGGTTGAATGGTATCTTGTTGCGCTCGAAACGAGGCGAATTTGATGTTGTTATTCTCGCTTTTTGCGCCGCTACTCTTACCGCTACCGCTGCTCCCCCTGGCGTCCTCCTTCTTCCCACCACCGCCGAATAAGTTTGTAATCGCCGCCATGGGTGAACCCATCGCGCCGTCGTCCATACCTGCCTCGTAGACTTGCCAATCTGGCTTTTTCTTCTTCCCGCCAACCCCAAAATCGTTCTCCGAATATCTCGCCTTGTGGTTTAACATGTCCAACCCGGGAACTAAGGTAACTTCCGACCCGTCTCGCATGGGTTGTTGCGCTCGAGACCGTAAAATTCCAAACGCCCACAAGAACGTATCCTCCGGTACACCGTCGTTGCTTAAATTCAACGACTCGTACGTGCCTCGAACGTACGAATCGTACCCAGCCGCGTCGTCGAGGAGTTGCGACCCGGCGATTGCGTTCACGTCCTCCGTCGACCAAAATAGCGGCGACTCTAACACCGTCGCTTCGCGTAAATAACTCAAATACGGCGCGTAAAACGAACTTTCGCCTTTCTCGAGTTCGCACACCAAATACACGGAAAGTTCCACCCACGCCGGCGCGGCTTCGCCTTGCGCCGCCAGACGCTTTAAAATCTTCCCGCACTTCCCGTCCGCATCTTCTCTCGCTTTCTCCGCAGTCATCCACACCGAATCGCCAACTTTTAAGATCGACTCGTTCTTTTTAATACTCGTGTTATCGTCGCTGCTGATGTTACTCCTACTACTACTTGTACTACTACTTTTACTACCACGATTGAAAATACCGCACGTGTTTTTACGAATCATCAAAGTGTTATCTTCTTCCATCATAGAGCTAAACCCAAACTCGCACTTTTCGTTCATCTCCGACCCGTTCTCTCGAAGCCATCGCTCCAAATTCGACAATAAATCTTGCACTTTCGCTTTCTCGATGTATTTAGAATTGTTGTTAATGTTGTTGTTGCTGTCGTTACTCCTCGTCGCTCGTGTTGCAATCGTTGAATAGTGATTCTGATGAATCTTTCCTCCTTTACCTCGCGATAAAGTTGAAAACGATGATTTGGAGGAAAAACAACGAGAAGAAGAAGAAGAAGAAGAAGAAGAACGACAGTTGTTGTTGTGAGAGACGCACGGAGAGGAGGAGGAGGACGAGAGAAGAGGGAAGAGCGTCATCGTTTCACTTTTCTTTGTTGATTAAAATGAGGAGATGAAAAAATGACGAACTTTTCCCGCCATTTTCTCCATACTAATACTCTAATAAGTACAACTCTTGTTGTTGTTGTTGAGAAGAAGAAGACGAAGACAAAGAAGAAGACAAAAGAGAGGACGGAAGACAAATGTCTTCTTCTTCGGCGTATTTCTTGGAAAAGAAGACGACAAAGAAAACACCCACAGAGGAGGCGTTTGAAGAGGAGGAACACGAGAAAAACGGGAAAAACATTAGATTTTATAACGATTCGCGGACGAGGAGGACGAGAGAAACGTCTTCGTCTTTGAATTCGTCTTCTTCTGAAAACGCGAAGGATTTCCCTCGCGTGAGAGAGATTTTGTGGGACGCGGAGACGACGACGAAGGAGAAGGAAACGACGACGACAGTGGTTTGGTCCAGCGACGTCGGGCCGACGATATTTCAGTTCGTGGACGACGACTTTGACTCGTTGGCGGGAAAGATACTCGAAAAATTAAAATCAAAATCGGTTTCGCACCATCATCTCTACGCGAGATGCGATTTTAGCAGCAGCGAGGGCAACAACAACAACAACACGATGTATAGCAGTAACAGTAATAGCAACGATAGCTTTGGGATAGTGACGATTAGTAGCAGTAGTGGCGTCAAAAGCAACAAAACAGGCGAAAGAAACAAACGCGGATTTAGTCATTGTAGTAGCGAGAGACGCGTACCGCTGGACGTCTCGTTCCGCCGCGGCGGAGGAAGTCAAGAAGGGAAAAAGCGATGCGAGAGAATGGCATCGCGATTGGCGTGGGGGAAGAGTTTTACGAGCGTGAGAGAGTCGTTTTACGCGACGTGCGATGCGATGCCTTTAACGACGACGAAGAGTATCGTCGTCGACGCCGAGGAGAAGGAGGAGGAAGAAGAAGAAGAAGAGATGGACAAAGATAAAGATGAAGACGAGCCGTTGACGCCTCTGGACATGTGGCCGATGCGAATAGGAGCCGTCGTTGAACGGTACGACGGTGTGAAAACGAAGCGAAACTCGCCGCCTGCGTGGAAAGTACATCTCACCGTAGCCTTGGAGATGCCTTCGTGCGCTTTCCGGTTTGCGCCGATTCGGCCGTTGAGGGTCTCCAGAGAATTTTCATCATCCTCTCGAGTTATTTCCGCGTTATTCGATGACGACCACTTTTTGAATGGTTACAACGGTAGAAGGACGAGGGAAAGTTCTCTTTCTTCATCTTCGACGACGAGGACGAAAATGACGACAGGATTTCTCACGCTCGATCGAGCTCGCCGGTTGTGCTTTCTCAAAACAAACTCATCGAGAGTGCATAATTGTGAAACGCCTTTGGTTGGTGTTTGGATACATCGTCTCGATGATGATGCTCGCGATAGTCTTGCATTTTTACAATCGAGCGAAGTGTGGGCGGCGTGTTTGCGCTACGCCTCGAATTCTGTTTTGAGGAAAGTATCTCAAAACGGCAGTTTTCTAGTCTGCGTTGTGAGCGGCAAAAGAAAAGATGACGACGGAGATTATGACAAAAAGAATGCCTCCGCGGCGATGCCGCGACTCGAGTGCTACGATTGCGTCGCCACGCAAGGAAAAGAACCTTTCGTGCCGCATCAAGTTGACGTCACTTTAAATACAAATGCCGACGATTCCAACGATTCAGCGGATGCGTTTGTTCTCGGCGCGGTGAAAGAAATCAATCGCGCCTCGATCGCCTTTAATTTTGATCGCAACAACAACGGCATTGGCAAAGAGAACAGAGGAAAGGGGGAGAACGATGAAGGCGACGACGACGACGACGACGACGAAAACCACGAAATCGATGATATTATTGGGTACAAGAATTTCGGCAGCGCAACTTTCCCGCGTCCAAAATCTGAGGATACAAAAAATATGTCAGAAGCAGAAAGAGAAGTTGTAGCTTTAGAAAAGATGCTTCAAAATCGACATCGTCGCGATGAGGAATTCAATAATAAGAGCTCTCCAGTGAGAGGTACCTCCGTATCGACTGGAAATCTCTCGCCTCGCTCCTTGGCGGCTGATTTGGTGAAACGCGCCGAGCGTTCGTTTGCGAATAACCGAAGAAGAGTTAATAAACAAACGTCGATGCAAAAGGGTGCAAGAAAAGATGGCCACAAGCCGTCGAGCGTATTTGTCGATAAAGTTTTGCGCGAACGTCTTCGCCTCGTTCGTTTCGTCGTCGAAGATCAACTCGAAGAAAGCTTCGTCGAGGAAGAAGACCGCGGACGAGGAAGAGGAGTTGATGCCTACTCAGAGGAGGAGGAGATGGCAACTGGAATCATCAATACTACTATTTTTAGAAGTAACGATCACCATCAACGAGAAAACAAGAGCGGCCCCGGCGATGATGGTGACTATAACGACTATCATAACGACGATTCAGACGACGCCGACGCGCACATTCTTCGCAAATACACTTCTTAGACTTTCTTTACTAATTATTTAGGGACTCATTTCGAATTTAATGGCCAGAATCGAAAGAATCGAACAGTCGTTTTGAAGCAATTCGCCCTCAAAAATCTCACACGCCCATCAAAGCTTAAGCTTTCTTGCGCTTTATAACGTAACAAAAGTAAACTACCATAACAGTTTACGCGTAGTACTTTAACGTAGCTACCGCTGCTCACCGTGAATTAGGACGCGTCTTCTCTGTTTTCTTCCGAAAAAAAAGAACGCGCGCGAATAGGATTTGAACCACACCGACGAAAGAGAAATCGAAGGCTTCGTGTTCAAACAAGTAGAAAAGGCGACGCAGATCTCCTCCTCTCTCTTCGCGAGGACGACGATAAGGGAGTGAAAACAAAAAGCTTTTCACTTTCCTTCTCTTCTTTAGGAGATCTGATCCTCTTTTGGATCGGTAGTAGATAGAAATATACCAGAGCGTACACAAGGTACGTCATCTCATCGTCAAAGTCAGCCGCGATCGTGGATGGAGTGATTTCCGTCTCAAACGTCTCTCTGTAATCCAAATTTATCTTTTTACGTGGCGCGCGCGCCGCTTTCCTTTTCTGTGGTTTTAAATCACTCACAACTCCTTCCTCGTTTATATCACAACAGATCAGATCAGATCAGATCGTCTTCGCTCTCGTAGAGAAGTAGTTTTGTAGTGTGTATACACACACACACGTACTAGAAGAAGAACTCTTTCCGACGACGACGACGTAAAACGACGCGATAAGAGGAAGATGAGTTTTTTTAGCAAAAAATTTAGCAGCAAAAAGAAGGCGACGACAAAATTCTTCGTCTTCTTCGCGCTCGTCGCCTTGTGCTCGTCCGTTGCATTCGGAGTGAGCGGCGCGCCATCACAGAAGGCGCACCGCTACGGTTCGGATGATTTGACTCGCGAAGGCTTTTCGGACGCGACGAGAGCTGACAATCGTGAGTCGCTCAGCTCTGACCTGCCTCGCGTCGAAGATTTCGGCGGAGAGGATTCCTCCTCCTCCTCCTCGGCGGCGACGACTGATGGCGACGTGCACGTCGTCTCTTCGGACGATGTCAAGGTTGTGAGAAGAGGTGCTGGGTCGAGAACGCTGAATGAATTCACGGAAGACGGTCACTTCATCAGTCCGTTGTCTCCCGAAGTCATTGGTTGGGAAGAGGATGCCGTCGACGAAGCGTTGGCGTTTTATTCTCCTCAATTTTACGAGGCGTTTTATTCGTTTTACGACTTTTACTCGTTCTACGACTTTTATGATTTCTACGATCAAAAAGTCGACGCTGAGTTTAAGGAGTTTACTGGTCCAGACGGAGGCATCTTGCAGCTTTGCGAAATTGCGGTTTCTCCTGCGATTGGTTCAGATAAGGGAGGCACGAAAGTCTCCGTTATGTTGTCCGGTCACGTCGCGCGGGACCACAACTCGTTTTACTGTAAGTTTGGCGAACAACCAGTCGAAGCCATGAGCGCTCAGATCATGGAGGAATCAGGTGTCCTCGTTATTGTTTGCGAAGCACCGCCTATGGAGGACGACGAGGACGTCACCTTGCGCATTTCGTTGGATGGATCTTTGTATTCCGTCAACGGCGCGCAGTTTCATTACCACTCAAAGATGAGCGTCGCGGATGTCAAACCATCCGCGCCGAAAGTTTCCGCTGAGGGCGGAACTGCCATTCGTTTCACTTTGGGCGACTACATGTTTGGTCCAGGTTTTGATCCCAGCTCTGTCACGGTGCCGTCGGCGTGCTACTTTGGTTCCATGAGAGTGGATGGCGAGTTTGACGCCATGAAGTCCCAGCTGACTTGCCTCGCGCCGTCTTTGAAACAAATTACAAAGACGTCGTCGAGTGCGAACGTGGAGCTTCGAATATCCTTGGATGGGCAAATCTTTTCGGATGAGACGGTTATGGTCCGTTACGGCTCTGGAAAATCGTCTTTGAGTACGATCACGGCGCCGAAGCAATTCAATAATTGGTTCGATATCATGCAATTCGACTACCTTCCGTTTCACCCGGAATATTGCGTGTTCTTTGAAAACGGCGATTTTGCCTCCTTGGCTGGTATTGCGGTTACTCCTGGCGTTATCGAACCTCCGTTTTACTCCGGAACGTTCGAATACTTTGTCTTGTTGACCGTAGATGACTTACCAGACATGAGAGTCGCGTTGACTCCAGTCGCCACTCAACCGGACGCGACCATTCGCATCGGTGGATTATACGGGAAGCAAGTGAGATCTGGCGATACTTTTCGAATTGGCGTTAGACTCGGCGAGAACAAAGCGTTGATTGTAGTTACCTCTCCAAACGGATTGTCCACCCGCACTTACATTGTTACGGTGTATGTGTTGATGGACGAAGAGGAGGGCGCTTCGCTCGGCGATATTCAACTCGATCGTGGCGAGCTCGAACCCTCGTTCATGCCGGATGTCTTCAAATATTCGACGTTCTTGGATTCTACGAATCATAGAATTGGTATTACTCCGCACTCGCTCTCTGGAAACGACGTCAAGATTTGCAGAATCACGACTGGTTCCTCCGAGGAGATGAAAAGAATGTGGGCGAGAAAACGCATCCGCAAAAATTTTTACGATAACGCCTTCGCTTGTGAAACTGTAAACTCTGGAGAAAAAGGTTACATGCGACTCGAAGATGGATTCAACTTGATTCAAATTCGTGCTAAGGATGGCCGAAACACCGCGGTCTACGAACTCCTTGCTTACAAAGAGCCAGGATTTGACGACGGTTTCTCTTGCGACGGATTCGCCGAAGCTGGTCTCGTCGATACCATCACTCATTCTTTGAATGTCGATATTGATTACTCGTTATTCAGCGACCCCACGACGCAATTTTACTCAAATTTCTTGGCAGATTTGATCGACGTGTTGACGTGTAACGCGCAGTTGTACCTCGGCGATGCGTCCGTTACTTCGGCATCCTTCACGATTAATTCCGTGACGGCTGATCGTAGCGGATACACCGATATTTCGGTTACGTTCTCTGCTCCCATCGGAGCTTTGACTTCGTCCTACAGGAGTCAAGCGCGCGAAAATTTGCAGGTTTTCTTTTCCAATTGCGCTTCAGTTTCCGTCATGAATCTTCAAGCGTACGACTGGTCGACGAATTCCATTTCTATTTCTTGCGAGGAAGGAACGGTTATTATTCCTCTCGATCCGTACAACGCGTTTGCGCTACCGGATATTCAGGTCAAGGAGGGTTCGCTCGGATATGCCACGGCAGATACCCGAGAAAGCACGGCTGGTCGCTGTCAAGGCGGTCCAGAACGCTTCGGAGTCATCCTCAATCGCACGTCTGGAACGACGGGTTGCGGGATGTGGGAGCGACCAGTGGGGACGATTTTGAACAAGCCAATTTCGAGCACTGGTTTCGCTGAATTTTACATGGGAGGTTCGGACACGTGTTCCGGCGAAGTCGGCTTTGACTTCGCGACGCCAATTTACAAAGCAATTGCGAATCCGGCGGCTTCGATCGAAACGTTGATGAAGAACCCGTCGCTTTACAAATCAGGGCCGGGGGCCACTGTTTGGTACAGACTTTCCGACGCCGATGGTCGAAGCCAAGTCCAACTCAGTGGTTTAACTGTTTCTATGACTTTGAACTTAAACGGCGCGACGACGAAGGGCGAATGTGAAACTCCAAGCTCCGTAACCGGTGCCGGCGTTTGTAGAGTGGAAGCGGTTTCAGAATGGTTTTCCACTACTAACGAGCAAGTTGGACAAGCGACAATTTCCTATCAATACGATTCGGTCACTTACGGAACGAGTCTTACCCAGCAGTTCACTTTGAAGAAACACTATGAACACGATGCGGTTTCTGAACCTACTATTATTTTGGAAGCACCAAAATATCCTGTTTTTGAAGGAGAAGAAAGTGTCGTTGAAGTCTTTGTCAACACTGGAGATTACGGCTTATACGCTGGAGATTTCGAAATCTTGATCAGCGACGCTGGAAACGGAGAGCAATGGGATTCTACGTTTGAATACGTTGGGTTCACGTCGAGCGGTATTTGGCAAGCGAAGGCTAGCGAAGCCATTCCAGGTTATCTCATCTCGGTTGTCTTTTTATCTCCTTCGACAAATGTTCTCGAAGAAGAGACGAAAGGTACGAAGTTAAAGATCGGAGAGATAACGCTCAGGCAAAAGATCACGTCGTACACGAGCTCATTCGGTACGTACGCGTGTGTTGCTGGAAGCTCCTGGTTTGACTGTGACCAAGGATTGTTATCAGCCACCGTTAGGCAAATGGCAAACTGGGGCTTGCGCACTTACGTTCCAACGGGAACTGCGAGCGTCGTAAATTCGTACTCTCGCAGTGCCCCTTCGGGTGGCTTAGAACCCGGATTGGTGAGTTCTACGAAGCAAGTGAAGATGTATTCAGCGATCGGTCAAACTGACTTGGTCAATGCGTACCCCATCACTTCGGAAGGTACGTCCACGAGCATCGTGACTTACGTTGTTTGGTCTTCGCCGAGCACTTCGGATGCCGTCCTTAAACCAAGTTCGTGCTCGAGCAGCACCGGCTCCTCAACTGCATTCACCTTGGCCGTCAGCTCTTCGGGTTGCGACATTACCATCGACGAAACGCATACCGGACACGGCAACTTTTCGATCACCACAACGAGTGGAAGTTTGAGTTCTTCTACCTCGCTCAACGTGTACTACCCGCTTGAGTCTGAAATTGTCGTCACCGATGCTGTCTTGAACCCGATCAATTTACCATCAATCACAAATACGATTGCAACTTACAACGAAACGTCGAACACGACGTCTTATGAAACTTCGATTACTTATCCGTCGTGCTCGGAGAAACTTTGGCAGTATGCAGATATTAAGGCGTACGTGACATTTGGCGGTGATAACTTAGAATCAATTTACAACAACGACGTCACCTGTTACACCTCTTTTCAAGTGGAAGATTCCGAAGATTCCGTAGCGGAAGCAGTTTCCCTCTCAAAGACGCGAATTACAGTGAACGAAGCGTATGCGTCGACGATCGAAAAAGTTCCGGAAATTGTGGAAGTTTATGACGAATTGACGAATACGACATCTAACGAAACTATCACCGCGTACCCAGAAGTTGGGGATGTTATTGTTTCGTTTGCGAGCCCGGCCATTTCAAGCATTTTGAACGCGACGGCAATCGTGACCGTGAGCGCCGTGGACGATTACGTCAACGTCACCCAGTTGCTAGGGGCTGTCGTCACTGGTACGGAACTTTTGAGCACTCCTGCCGGGGTTGCCATTGGTGCTGATTCGGAAGTGGCCGTGAGCGTCGAGCTCAAGCACGACTTCAAAAATGAATTAGATCAAGGTCAGATATGGGTTTGGGCGCACTTCACGGACGGGTCAACGAGGTACATCAGAAAATCCGATGGTTTGGACATCTCTGTCGCGGTAAATTCAACGAATGACTTGTCAGTCGCGGAGAATGTCAACGGTACATCTGACTTTCAATTAACAATTCCAGTGAGGGCAACTTCTGTTGATTCGCTCGTTGATGGTTCGTTATTGAAACCAATTTGGACGGTCTGCGAGACCCCGTACAACGTCTCTGGAATTATTCCGACTTTGGTTGACCTCGCGGTTCCTATTTCTGTCGAGTTTTCCGCAAACACGAACAGAATCACGCGACGAGGAGACGGTGCGAGTGAACAACCTATCGCAATTCCCGTTGAGGCTGTACTGACCTACACTATCAACTACGACGACGGATCCTCCAAGAATTTTATTCTCGATGATCGTGCGAATTTCACTATTTCGACGGGTGAAGATTTGGCGGATGTGATCAATGGCGTCGTCGTTCCTAAAACCGATTCTAACGGGATCGGAACGATCACGGTCAGCGCGTCGTTGCCTGAGTATGCTCCGGAGCTCGGCACTGCAACAGTATCCATGACTTTGGTCATTCTCACGGATGTTGATATGCGCACTAATCCTTTTCCAGCTTACTCAGGCTCAACGTCATACGAGACGACGACGCTTCACAAAGTTGCGTGCACTGAGTACTACCAAAGTCTCGAGGCTTCCTTATCCGCAACCTTGTCGGATGGATCTGTTTTCGACATTTCTAAGTATGGTAACTACGCTACCTCCGATGTTTCCATTGGTCTCGTGTACGGTGCCGACAGCACTGTTGGTGGTGCAGGTGTTGGAGCCAACTTTGCGCGCGGGATCTCGGCGAGTACTTTTGATATGACGTCCAGTTTCGGAAGTGGTGAAAAGGCTTTCTTAGTTTCTCAAACGATCACGGTCACAGATACTCGCATCAGCATCGAATCCATTTCGCACGTAACGCAGTGGGATTCCGGAAATGCATTCGTTGCCTCATTTGGGACCTCTAAAGAAGTCCGAATGAAGGTTGTCTTCAGCGACGGAACGATGTTTGAAGACATTTTGGACCAAGACATTCCCGTTTCTGCACTCGTTGAGCTCTCCTCGAGTGCAGACGAAGTGATCAAAGTGGTTTCTTCGTTCGTTGAATTAAAGGCGAATTACTACAAAGCTGTCACTTTGACTGCTTCGAGTATTTGCTCCGCTGCTCTTAACGCGAACAACGAGCATCCGACCGTCACGGGAACTGATGAAGTGTATGCGAATCTTTTAGCGGACTTGTACGATCTCGATATCGGTGCAAACACTGGAATTCCTTTGCCGCCGAAATCCGCGGGCGAGTTGTTTGAAGTTGCCGTCAGAATCAATACGGGCGATGAAATCCTCGTTGGTGCTCAGCTGAAAGTTAACTTTGACGACACTTACATCAAGGCTGTGAGTGCTGTCGTAGGCAGCGACTGGCCATCTTACTTCCAAGAGACGATCAATTATCCTTCAACTTCGGCTTCGATTCTTATTTCTAACACTGAGTCTACCGTTACGGGTTCGGCGACTGAAGTAGCGATAATTACGTTCGAAGTCGTCACGGATCAGGCTGTCGTGACTGAACTGGAAGTTGATGTTCAGTCTTTCATTCACAGAAATGAGTTTGACTCGACTTCTAAAATTCCATTTACATCTCCGAGAAGTGTGACCCAAATTGCCTTGAACTCTGCGTCTCGTCGAAGAACGTTGCTTTCCAACGTCTCGCGTCGTAAAATGCTTCAAACAGCTGATGATTGCGTTTCGACTGGTGTTACTGTCAAAAAGGGAACTATTGGTGTTGATTGCTATCCGCGTGTTTTTGGAGACGTGAACGGCGATTGTCTGTTCAACTTGGATGATGCTATTGTAATTGAATATCACTTGTTGGGCCAAACCGTGAATGGGATCGATTATAAGGATCTCTCCATTTTCTCCCAGTGGCAGCTCATGCAAATGGACGCTACGTTGAACTACCTAGATCCAGATTACGATCGAGTAGCGGGCGGCTGTAAGTTGTGGAACGGTGAGGAGAACTCTACCAAAGTCTGTCCCACGGCTGTCGATGGCTCGTACCTGAAGAAGGCAACTGGAGTTTACAAATTCCTCGCTATGTTTTCGACTTACGAAATTGTGACTCCAAAATTGAATAACGAATATTCGTATTTGACGGTGACGGCGAGGGTGTATGACCCAATCTTTGATCCTTTCAATATTGCTGGTTTGAATGGTGATTCGTGCGCTTTGGGCTATTTGCCATCAACTTCTCGTACGGTTGTCGGTGAATTGGATAACAGTTTTCTTGGCGATTACACGCATTACGCATATCAGCCTGCATATGGCGATGAGAGCTACGGCGACTCGTACTCCAAAGTTTTTATCGAGTATGGACGCACGGATGGCCGAGTGTTCAATAACTCTGACATGACGATTGTCATGGGCGAACGCTGGGGAACACTGTATAATCAAACGTTGGATGAATCGACGGTGAAAAACAACGTGATCACGAAAGCCTCGCAAACGAATGTTGGGACTTATGTTGTTCAAACGAAAGGTAACGAGGAGAACAACTACGCATTCAACTACGAATGGAACGAAGATGCTCCCACTGAGAGTGTTGCTGGCGTGACGATCATTATTCAAAATTATGCCGCAGATGGCTCTGACCTTGGGACGCACTATCCATTCTATGGCACTTCGGAATATCCGTACAACGTGTCTGGTTACGAGTTTGATCCTATCGCCCCGATTTCGATTCAACCCGCCGGTGATGGTCTCTTACTCGCGGATTTCGAAGTTTCTATGACGACAACTGCGGACTCCCCGGGATTACCATCAGGGACGACCAAGCAAAATGAGCCGAAAGGATATTACTCCAGAGACTTCTTTGCGTTCAACAATAAGGCACCAGGATCTACTGGTAGCCTGAAACTAACTGTTGGTAGCGACGACGCATGTTCTACCGAAAGCTTAACGAATATTGAAGGTCAAATATCTGGCGAATACACTACTGCGCGAGACAGAGCATCTGAAATGTCTGTCATTCTGAAAAACCCGACAGTGGAAATAGGCGAGCCAATTTTTCGATTGCGCTACCAGTTGCGCGACGCCAACGGACGTCCGCAGATATTGACGTCAGGAATTTCTGTAACGTTCAAACTCACTTCCCCTGATGGCTCTGAAGAGGTTTTAACTGCTTGCGGTTTGCCCAGTGCCGTTTCCGGTGGCGGTGACTGCGAGACCACGATCAGCTCCGACTGGTTTCCGGCTTCAAGTTCGAGCGCGTGGAACTCCGACGTAACTTTTGACATTGAAATGTTGTTGAAGTATTCAGATGAAATTATTGCAACGTTTGCATCCTCTGGCACTTTGGTGAGACCACCGTCTAACGATGACCACCAGATCACCATGGTGAACAACCCACACGTTTACATGCAATTGAGATACTCGCCGGTGTACGCTGGTAGAGTGGAGACTTTTGATTTATACGCTGCCACTGATTCACAAGCGTTGATTTCGTATATGGTTACGTTAGAGTGGAACACAACTTACTTGTCGTACAACTACTTCAGTGTGAATTCTGAATTATTCAGCCCGTCTCCTATTGTTCAAGCGGTTGGAACGAACTCAGTTCGTATCGTATCTGTTGGCTTGAACGTGACAAAATCGTTCTCCGATACAAGTGGTTCCGCCGTTTATTTGGGGACGGTGGGATTTATTGTCGCGGCTGATGCTCCCATTGGGAAAGCTGAAATGCCGTTGTGGGGTACCACGAATGCCCTCGTCAACGAGGGTACTCGGGAATACGTTGTCAATGAAGAAATGCAATTTGACCACTTGTACGGAACGTCTTCGTTTGGTTCGCTTTTGGTTGGCCAAAAGACGCGCACGGGAGTGTACGCCTACATGGATCAAGCGGAAATTCTCAATACTGCCTACTTGACTGGCACGACGCAAGATCACTTCCTTACTGTCATGAATGTTTGGAACGTCGGTTCCGACACTCAAGTTACCGATATGGTAGATTGTGGTTCCAGCGCATCTTTTGCGGCGCAAGCCATCGATTCAATTGGTGGCTGCTCCGTTTTGATTTTGCCAGGCTCATCTGATGGGTACAAAAATATTCAAGTTTCCGCCAGCGTCGGGGACTACTCAGCTGTGGTTCCTGTGACGGTTTGGTTTCCACTTGATGTGGAAATAGCTGTTGCTCAGCCAGTTTTGCACCCTATTTCTGGTGCTTGTGCTGTCTGCAGTTTCACGGATTGTGTCAGTCCGCTGTATCAAACGTCCTCGATTCGTACTCTTGTCACGTATGGCGGTCAATTCCTGGACCCTGTCTCCGGTGTTGATGTCACGTGCTCCGTCGCGTACGAGTCATCGCGGTCTGAAGTTGCCGCAGTTACTGGAGCGACTTTAACTGGTACTAATCCAGGATCAAGTATTATAACGCTTTCTAATTCTAGATCTTCGGCTTTCGCTGAAGTCACCATTGATTCGACTGAAGTAACCGTGGCAAATTTGGAAGCTTTGCTTCCGAACTTGGCGCAATGGTCAGCTATTACGGCGCCGGAAGCCCAAATCGACTACAGCGTTAATGTGAAAGCAACTTTGGAGCAATCTCTCACGGCTGCTGGCGAAGGTGGTCCATTATATTTCATGGCCACGTTCAGCGATGATACTACACAGTATCTCACCAAGGATATGGGTATTTCGGCCGGTATTTCTACCGCTGACTGCTTCGATAACAATGGTGGGGTAACCAGTTGCGCTGATTCTGTGAAAATTGTGACTGATGAGGACGTCATCAACGCTTACGTTGCTCCAAATGCAATAAGTATCTCGACTGAATCTGCAATCACAGCGCAATGGTCCAATATTTGTAATCAAGAAGTGATTTATTCTGGCGTTGGGAACGTAACAATTTCTTTGTCACCAGTTGCGGCTATCTTTGTCAATGCAGATACTAGATACATCACGGACTCTTCGTCCAGTGCGAAAGATCCACCAGCTAGCATTGCAACTTCCATTCAACTTACTGTTGCTGTCAGATACGAAGATGGAAGCGTGGTGGACTTCACCAATGATGCGGACAGACCGCCATCATTCAGTGTTTCCATGGGTACCGATATTGCCCAGGTTTCATCTACTGGTGAAGTCACCGTTTTACCCGATGGTCCCAAACAAGGAATGTTTCAGATTCTCGTGACCATTCCAGGTTACACCGAAGCGGAGGGCGTCCGTGGCTCCGCAACCTTTTTCGCAATTGATATTGCCGATGATGGTTTACAGACAGAACTTGCACCGTGGCCGACATACTCTGGCGCTTCTTCGCTCGGAGATAGCGCTGAGCTTAAAGTCATTCAGTGCAGTGGTAATTACACCGCCGTCTCTCTTTCTTCGAAACTCGTATACACCGACGATAGTTCGATCGACATTTCTTCTCTCGTAACCGTAAGCTCCAGTGATTCTAGCATTGCTTCAGTTGGACTTGTAGATGGGACGTATGTAGTATACGGTAAGTCATTAGGAACTGCTATCATCACTACTACTTACGCGGGCAAAACTGATTCGGTTTCAGTGACCGTTTCGTCGGAAATGCTGAGAGTTCAAGCCATGGAGCTCATCACCGGATTTCCGGCTGATGCGACTTTCACTGGCGTCGTCAAGACCGAAACGCAACTCTCTGCGAAAATAACGTTCGAAGATGGGACAATTATACCGGATGTCACGGTGCGTCCGGAGTTGCTTGACACATTGCTGCTCTGGTCAACCTCCGTAACTTCCGCGATTGAAGTTACAAACACTGGCAGAGCAATTTTGAGTGATAACCATTACGAGTCCATCACCCTTGGCATTACCGTGCAGTGCCCTTTCAACTCATCCTCAATTCTCGCGGACACAGATGCATCGGAAATGGTTTATGCCAACCTGAAACCCGAGATTGGGGATGTCGATATAGGCTTAACTTCCGGTGTACCGTTACGACCAAGCGTGTTTGGAGATGCTGTGGTCATTCCTATTTCGGTCAATACAGGTGAAGCGTCACTCGAGTCTTTTGTGATTGAGATTGAGACTACCGCAACTGACTTCACAGTAACAGATTGCACTGTTTCCAACGAATGGTCAAAGGAAATTTTTATTTGCAACATTGATACTGCGAGTGGGAAAATTTCTCTCGTCGGTAGTGCTGTTCAAGAAGAAGTCATCGGGGAAGAGGCTGAGATCGCGTCAATAACGTTGTCTACTTTGTCCACTGCGACCACCAGTCTTATTTACACTCAAGTTTCATCTATTGTTCTTTCTGACGGAGCCACGTATTCAAACGAAGCTTCGGTAGCTGGAACGACTTACGTTAAGTTGAATGGTGCGAGACGTCGCTCTTTGCTCTCTGTTGGTGCTCCGAAAGACTGGGTGAACTCCAACGTCAAAGTACCAGCTCAGCACATGGCAGTGGTCCCAGCGACCACCAAATCTCCTGACGAAAAGCGAGCTTCGCACGAGTATTTAGCAGCTGAGAAGCGCTCCAGAAGCGCGAAACGTACGCTCCTCCAAGACTTTACGTGCTCGACGAATGTGCAAGGTGATGTTAATGGTGACTGTAAGTTCGACGCAAACGATTACCTCGCTCTCATGCGTTGGATTGCTGGCTCGGATGAATACACGAATCTTACTTCGACCTTGGGCGATGCGGACTCCTTCCAGCGCAAACAAGTTGATCCTACTATGGACTGGATGCGCGGTGAAGATTTCGACACATCTCGATGTGCAGTACATGGAGCTAGCGGATCACCTTGCCCAGAACTTAGAGATGCGCAGTTCTTATTGAAGGTTCTTGAAGGGGACTACAGGTTCTTGTTCGCGACGTCCGTTGATGATATCATCGTCCTCCCTGAATCTCCGTACGATTCGCTTACTTTCCAGGCACAGCTCTTCGATTACGCTGGTACTGGTGTCAGCGGAGAATACACCAGAGTCCGCTTCGAATTTACTTCGACTAACGAGACATATTTCGCGAATGCTGCCATGAGTTTTGCCGAGGCTGAATCATATATTTCAAGCGCAGATGGCGAATTACCGGTGCGCTATGCCGTTGAAGCTCCTATGTCTTCTGCTGGTTTGTTTTCCGTGACAGCCTCGGGCCCAAGCGGAGAATTTGCAAAAGAAAACATTACCGTTGCACTTGTCGTGGAGACGTGTGAATCTAAATGCGCTTCAAGCTCCGTCGGTTCTACGAGCGCCACGATCTTCCCATACACTGGTGTATCGCTTGATCCTCACATGTCTGCGCTTGGGTATACGTACACTCCGGTGCTTACGTTTGAAACCCCGGACCCCATCGCTGGTGCGAATGAAGACTCTTACGTTTCCGCGCTCCAACCGCAGATTATTTCCGATGATTATCAAATATCTGGAGATGGTTTTGGCATTGGCTCGACCACCTACGCGTCATTGGGTGCATTCTCTCGCGAATTCGGTATTTTCGTTCCTGGATCAACAACCACCACGAAAAGCGTTTCCGCCAAGCTGATGGCTGATCGATGTGGAGACTCCACCCCAACTGGTTTCACTGAAGCATCCGCTACAATTGCAATCTCTCGTCGTCCGGTGTCTTCTGTGAAGTTAATTGTTCTAACGAGCACGGTGTATCCAGATACAGCGAAATTGCAGGTGAGATTTCAATTGATGGACGCCACGACTGCTGGCACAGTTTTGCAAACTGGATTGTCGTTACGCCTGTCGGCAACGTTATCGGAAGATGCAACCTCTGTTGCCTCCATCGGTTGCGCCTTGCCTTCGCTCACTACTGGCGTTGGATCTTGTGAACTCGATGTTCCGACCGCGTGGTTCCAAGCGGACGAAGTTGTTTCTATGAAAGCGCAGCTGCTCTTCCGATACGGTATTGAGGATTCCTCGACATCGTCCATCCTTTCCGTCCAGCTTGCGAACTCTGCGACCTATGTTGCGCTTCCCTCGACTGGTGGTGTCATCCTTGAGATGCCGAAGTCCCCTCGCTTCAGCGAGAACGAACTCACAGTTCCAGTTTCAGCGAATACGGGCGGCTTTCCGCTCGGAGCATGGAGTGGTAGTTTGAAATACAATACCACAGTTCTTCGATTTGACTCTTTCACTACTTCTACCGGATACAACTCTGCGGCTGTTGGATTAGAAAGAAACAGCACGGAAGGAATCGTCTCTATCGTTGTCGCTGGAGCTACCTCCAGCGCTACACTGGCAGATCTCACGGGTGACGAAGTCATTTTGGGCTACATCACGTTTACCATCAACAACGTACCGGTGGGAACCTACAACGACGTGGCTGCACTCAATGTTGATTCCTTGGTAACGATCGGTGGCTACACATTCTTAGAAAGCTTTGACGCGTATGTAACGGATGCACGAGGTGGTAGTGTCACAAACGCCCAACTTATTGTACTCGACACCAACGAGATTATCGGTTCCTACAGCATTGTTTCCAAGACTGAGATCGTCAATACGGCAGTTTTGGACACCACGAGGGCAATACAAGAGACGGAAATTGTTGGATACGCTGTGTACAGAAACCCAGACAATTACATTAAAAACGGAGGCGACGAAGTTATGCAAAGTGTTGAATGCTCTATAACGTCGAGTTCTGTACTTACCGTAGAAACGGGTAACTTGAAAATTAACGGTGTGGACGGGACGCAAAACGCCTGTGTGGCCAAAATTGGAAAAACGAACGAAGCTGGTGCTGCTGCGGCATCTGTCAAATTGACCTCTGGGGACGGTGCACAGTTTGTCGTTTCATCTATCAGAGTCTGGTTTCCGAAAGTTGTGTCTTTAGAAGCACAAGATAAAGTATTGGCTCCGGTCGAGAATGTGTATCACGAGGATTGCAGTTCAGTGTATCAATACACCAACATCTCTGCGTTGGCAACATATGGCGGGAGTGGTTTAACTGACCAAGATGAAGTTGACATCACGTGTATGGTTGACTTGTACTTGAACAATACAGAAGGGGATGCGTTCTCATTTAGGGATGGCAGTACTACAATCGTAGAAACCAATGGCGTTGGTAAGGCGACAATTACTCTGATAAATTCGAATTTGGCAGTCGAGCCATCGGTGACTATCTCGGCAATTTCCGACCCTATCGGTATCGAGTCGCTTCGACCTGTACTTGTTTCCCGAGCTGAATTTACTTCCGAACAGTTTGATTCGCAGACTCCTTCCGATTTGAACGCAGATACATACGCTGATGTGTCTGTGAATATGATTCAAAAGTTGAATCGTAAGGGTGCGCAAGGCGCTATTGTTGTCTATGCCCGCTTTAAAGATAACAAAGTCAACGAACTTTCTCACCTGCCTGGCCTGACCGTAAGTACCGGTATCCGATACAACGGTTTGAGCATTATAAGCACGGCTGGCTCAGACAACACGGCCGCACCTTACTATGGAGAAATTGGAGATGTGAAAGGCGGTATGGAAGGCTATGATGTCATCCAGGCAAAGCTGCTTACGACCACCTGTAACGGTGCCGTAGGAGGTGAAGATATCATTTACGGCTACGGTGGTGTCGAAGCTGTCATCGCTGATCTCGAATATGTGAATTTGACTGCGAGTGCATCCAAGCTTACCTTTGAAGGTGATCTCTCTACGAACGCTCCTATGAATATCGGAAGTGTTGCTAACTTGGAACTTACTGGAACATACTCTGACGGTGATATTCAGAGTTTCACATCTTCAGCCACGTCTCAGTTTCTGATAAAACACCCTACCGGTCTCGATATCTACAACAATCCCACATACGTAACCAATCACTCATATGCTCGCGTATCTAACGATGGTGTGCTCACCATATTTGGTTCAACTGATGACACGAGCATCACCGTTATGGGCATTTGGACAGATGAGATGAAGACGGCGAAGGTGACGATTGACATAGTTAAACATATGAGCACGCAAACAGTGATGACTCCGTATCCGGCATTCACAGGAAGCAGCGACATTGAAAAACTGTCTTTGAACAAGATTGTGTGCACCAGTAGTTATCAACGAGCGATATTGAAGTCAGTTGCTACTTTAACGGATGGCTCAGTTTTTGATATCACCAGCGAAACATCTTACACAGCCTCTGACATATTCACATTGACCCAGTCCTCCACTTCTTCGGAGGTGATAATTGCTGCTGCTGGATCCACTACTGGAAATGCAGCTATTAGTAGCACTTTTGCCGAGTCTACCATTGAGACGACTTTTGCGCTTTCGGATACACCAGTAACGCTGACCTCTGTCCTCTTTGATGAAGATATTTGGGACGCGTCTACTTCTTTCATCGGCCTGGTAGACGCAACAAAATCTTTAGATGTACACATGTACTTCAATGATGGATCTCAGATTTCCAACGCGGTGTCTTCGGAAGAAGTGCAAGCAGTCTTCAACTGGGAAGAAGTAGTCAAATTCGACTCTACTTTGCCCTCTATCATTGAAGTCAGTGGAAGCACGGCGACTTTGAAGAACCAGTATTGGACTCGAGTTCTCATTTCTGCTTCTGCTGTTTGCGCTGATGGCAGTGTCGATTACCTCGTATCGGCAACTTCTTCGATTGCCCCGAATCTCTTGCCAGCTGAGAATGACGTTTCCTTGGGTGCGTTGACAGGCATTCCGTTTCCTCCGAAGATTAAAGACGAAACGTTCGACATTGAAGTTCGAATCAATTCGGGATCTGCGAATCTTCGAAGTTTCCAACTCGTTACCCAGTTTGATTCAAATATGATCGCAGCGACTGGTTGCACGGTAGGAGACGACTGGGCTCAATACGATTTTGCCTGTACCAGGAATAACCCGTCCACTGAAGTGCTCATGATTGGTACCGAGCCGCTTTCTACCGTAAGTGGTTCCTCCATTCACGTCGCTACGATTTCGTTCTCTGTGAAAACTTCCTTCAAGATTTTGGCTAAAATCAAAACCACAGTCCAGGTCTTGACTGTTGAGGGTACCGATGGTGCCGACATAACAGCAGCTGCCTTCGTTTCTAACATGACTGGTTCAGGTGATATCGCTCTTAACAGCTACTCTGGAAAGAAACGTCGTCGTCAATTGCTCGAGGATGGCTCTATCTCCGAAGTTTTGGAGGTGGAAATTGCCGTACTTCCTTCCCACATGAGATCACTCCTCCAAGATACTGATACCGAAGCAGTTTGTAATGGAGTCGGGACGTGCGCAAGTGGTGTTGATAGTGGATGTAAGTTTGGGGACGTCAACGGAGATTGTTCTTTCGATGTTTCCGACGTTTTAGCTCTTAAAAGAGCCATCATGGGCAAGAGCTATGATGCTGACTTCGATCTGAGCGTTTATAGCGATTGGCAGAGACAGCAAATGGACCCGAATCTTGACTGGTTGAAGTCTGGAGCTTACGTATCGCCAGACGCAGCAGATTCTCTGTACTTGCTTCACGCCTTGTCCAAAAAAGCTCGATTCATCGATGTCACGAATGGATTAACAAGCTATAAAGGGTTCTTGACATATGAGCCCGGAAATGCCACGGATGTACTCCTAGACATGGAAGTGAGAGTTTATGACGAAAGCTCTGAAGCTGCAACGTCTGATGATACAAAGGTACGAATCGAACTCAGTTTCGATGGTGGGTCCGATCCAAGTAACAACGATGCCATCACCTCCATTGGTACTAGAACTTCCGATTATTCCTCAATCGGTACAATCTACGAGGCCAGTGACTTGTGGACTGCAGCAACAGATCAAAGAGGTGTATTCAGACTCGTTTTGAAACCTCCTATTTTCAGAGATGGTTCGGCAAACTGGATTGGTGAAACCGATGTCGGTATTTCTATCATTATCGATACCTACAATGACTTTGGTAAGGATGATGAATATGGACAAGGAGGCAGTGGATCCACGGAAGAAGCTGAGAGAATTAAAGTGTTCTATGGGTCTGCCACGCCACCGCTTAATGTTACTTTCGGCGGCGGTTTTATTCCATATGTCAGCTTTGATTTGCTTGGTGTTGACCCGGTGCAATCCATTTCTCTGAAAGATATCACTATTGGTGGAGGAGAATTCGGCCTTGTTTCCTCATTGGATGAGACTGCGTCTGGATTTTCTACTTCGGTCCCCAGCTACAACGTTTACGTCAATGCTGACACTTCCACCGTACAATTGCTCACGTTCATTGACGATTCCTTGAGTTGCACAGCAGAGCAAATTGCCAGCGGTGATACCGACAATTGCTTTACGACTCAATCGGTCACTATCGATGGATCCGAAGCGTCTACGTGCAGTTTGCTGACGTGCTCTTACTTTTCGGAAATTTCACTCAACGTTGGCTCCAAGACTGTTCGAGTTACGGTATATTCAGCCACATCGGAAACGTTTTACTTGGTAACTTTCATTCGCCCAGATGTGCCTACATTTTCGAGCGTCACTCTGTCGAAGGGGCAAAATCAGCTGAATTTCTCTCCGAAAACGTTTACGTATTACCTCGAATACTCGTACGATAATAATGGCGAAGGTCTCACTTTTAAACCAATTGTGAATGGAGACACCACCGGGAGTGCAATCACATTTGTTTCCTCCGGCGGGTACGAATCTACTGCTTCTTTCTTGAGCGGATCCTCTCAAGGTATCGAGCTCTCAACTACAGATACGATTGTGGTTATGACGGTTACATCTTTAGATGAGACTGTAAAGAGCACGTATACATTCTACGTGGACGTGAAGGAATCACCATTCTTGTCTTCTCTTGATGTTATCGGCGAACAAATGGTTCCTGCGTTTACGGCAAGTTCTTACACGTACGCTGTAAACGTGTTAGCCACAGTCTCTTCTATTACTCTGTCTTCCATTGTTTCTTCAGATGTGCCGCATGTTTCCCTCACGGTTGCGGCGCCTGATGGAACTAAGTCAATAACGAGTGAATCTTCACTAACGACTCCAGTTGCGTTAGATTACGGCGTCAATGCTTTGCTCGTAACTGTTTCTGGCGCGGAGGGCACGACTGTATATTCCATTTCAATTACTCGAGCAGACGCTTCATCGGTCACCGCACTTGAAATTGGCAACTATAAATGGGAGTCAGATCCCACCACCTCGGACGGCAGTCCATCAGAAAGTCCCTCATTCACCGATCCGACTGCATTCTCGAGCAATACATATATGTATAATGTGGATGTGCCGCAATACGTGTACGAGACTTTGATCACAATCACGCCGTCTTCATCTTCCGTCCTGTTTGTTGATGGAGTTGAGGTAACGTGTGATCAAGCCGATGTGAGTTGTTCTACTTCTGGTGCATACGCGTTACCACTACGAATCGACGAAGGTTTGAGCACGCACACGGTGACTGTTGTTCCTACGGATGGTTCCGGCCTCTCCTCTATTACTCTGCAGTCAGTTGCTGAGGGTCAAAACGTGGATGGCGGTTCGACGTACACGTTCACATTTACGAGGCCATATACTCCGAAACTCACGAGTATCGCTGTCGTGGACTCGAGTGACGCAGCGATTTTACTTTCGCCCTCGTTTTCAACATCCGTTTACGTCTACCGGTCTACAGTCGCTGCGACAAAATCTGAATTAGACATCTCTGTGGCATTCCTTAAAACTGGCGATGTTCCAGTCTCTGATGCTTTCGTACAATATGGTAGTCTCTCACGTATTGCTTTCCCAGAAAGTGGGCGTTTGACTGTGCCAGTTGCGGAAGGCACGACGACTGCAATTACGATAACTGTGCAAGGAAGTCTTGCAATAGGTGGAGTCGAGTCTATTTACATGTACTATGTTACACGTGGCACGTTGCCAAAGTTAGACTCTTTGACCTTTTTCTCATCTTCTGTTACGCCAACCTTCTCAACGTCTCGTTACAATTACGTGGCTGCCTTGGGGAGCGCAGAGAACAGCTTCACTTACACCGTATCTAAAAGCAGTACCAGCTCTACGTGTCTAGTCAGTTTGAGTCAAGACTTCTCAACGTGCTTGACAAGTGGAGAAAACAAAACACACGACACTACGGGTGTTACGGAAGATATCGGAGCACTGAAAATTTATGTGAGGGATTTGAGTAACTTGAACGTCGTGAACGTTTACACAGTTACCTTTACAAAAGAGGCACTCCCAACTTTGAATACTCTCAGTATTTCAGGCTCGACGGGTGCTAAACTGGACCCTTCTTTTGCTGCCACGACGTACGCATACGACATGCCAGTTCCGTTTGATTCCTCATCCGTTTGCTTCACCATGTCATTCGATACTGTGAGTTACAGTTCAAGCATTCAAATGGGTGGAGGTGCGCCACTCGCGGTTGCTACCAATGTCGCATCTTGCGTCGAAATTCCGTTTGGCAAGATTGATATCACCATTGCAGTAACGTCGAGAACAACTGGATTTTCCGGTTCTTACATTATCTCATCGTCTCGTAAAGTTGCGCCATATCTTACATCTCTCAGTCTCACTCCGAGTGGATTCACGCCATCGTTTGATGCAACCGTGAACACGTACTCTGCCACGGTTGGGTACGACACGACTGAACTCGATATTAGAGCGGCCGCTAACTTGGTTGCCAAGGAAGGGTCCGTTGTGTATGTATCCTTAGGAGCTGGCGCAAGAACTTTGTTGGATTCATCCGAGAGTTACAAAGTTTATCCTGACGTTGGTGATCAGAACTATGTGGCAGTCTCCGTGGAATACACAGATGAAGAAGATGGTGTCACCGTCATCAACACGTACACAATACAGGTAACCCGAAGTCCTCAGAGTTCTGAGGACATTGCCATCTTGTCTTCTATTAATGCGTACGATATCAACGGTACGGTAAATGTTGGAGGTGTCGATTTTACTGGTAGTGCTGTGACCGAACCACTTTCGTTTGACGCTTCTGTTCTCGCGTACACCAGAAGCATCCAACATGGCGCCGACGCCGCCACAGTTGAGTGGGAATTGTACCCAGGAACGTATGTCCGAATCAACGATGTTGTTAAAACAAATGATGCGGGTGATGCCATCCATGGAACGGATACGAGTTATACCGTGTATGACCTAGTTCCTGGAACCCCCGTTACGGTCAGCTTAACAATTCTTCCCAGTAGTACGAAGGATACTCCGGATGCGACGTGCACGGACTCTCTCTGCACCACGTACACCGTAACACTTACGAGAATGACTGCAGGAGATATGGCGCAATATTACTCGCTTGAACCGAGTACGCAGCGTTCTACGTCCGTGTTCAAAGCATCGTCAACTGACAAAGTTGGCTACACTATCGAGCTCGACACCGAGGGTTTCATGGCCAATTCTAACACGGGATTAAAGAACATCGGAACGGTGTCTTCTACCTTGAAAACGCATTACTTCACCTCAAAAGTAAGCCAGTACTCGGGAAGTAGTGTTACGTGGTCGCCTACAATCATCGGAACAGATGTTCCAACTGTAGAAATCAACAATGTCTTAGTCATTGGCACGGATATTACAGCATCAACAGCTGACTCTGCTTCGGCTGCGGTTTACGATGATAATGCATATTTTACAGTAGATAGGAAAATTGCCACTCGCTTTAAAGTGGAGGCTTACTTCATGAGCTTGTACGACGATGAGAATGAAGAAACCTTCGCTCTGCAATATTGGCCGACAGTGGGTAAGATGCTCGCTTATGAAGGTTATTTCGTTCAGGCGGGTACTGGGGCGCCGTACGATTCTACTACGGTTGTTCAAGCAAACCTCATCCCCGATTACGAAGAGTTCACGGTCATTCCGGGTACGATGTCTGTCGCGCATACAATTTGGGACTTGCAGTATTCCGATACTTCTTCTACTACGGACAACAAAGGAACTGGCCAGTCCAGTTTTGAGTTGACTCCGTACGATAGCGTTCTCCCAAACAAAATTTCGTCGAAATCTTCGGGATTAGTCTACGGAGAAGACAAAGATTTCGTTGCTCGGGTTTGCAAAGTCTCGAGCAGAACTGTAGCAGCGGCTGATCCAGCTGGGTGCGGATCTAGCGCTGTGCCTGCGAGCGCCGTGCACAATGCTGACGGTACGTACACGATTTCTTACGATGCATCTGATGCAGGCTTCTACATTGCCATGGTGGTGTTCAAGAACGATGCGGGAAGCTTTGTGTTTGGTGGTCAATTGGCCTCAGGCGCAATGATCACTTCATTTGAAGTTTCTGAAACCGTCATCAGTCCAGAGAACTCGTATATGTACGGCGTCTGTGATGAAGGATCGGCGACGGAACCCTTGAATTCAAACGCCGTTGATTGTGTGGAAAGAGATTCTGCAACGGGTGGCGGCAAGGAGAGCTTCACGCAAACTGGGACCGTCACTTACACAGTTGTCACACGAGGCTGGAATTCTGGAGATTCTCAAACACTTGATAACTTGATCGATCTCTCTAATGGTGGCCAAAGTTTGTTTGTCTCGTATCTTTGCAAATTTGGTACCGCCGCTGATTACACGAGCTGCGTCTTCCCTGCTGGTCATGAGAATGCGGGCCAAGCTATTGTTGAGAACGCGGGCCTGTCTGCTCAGCCCTGGAAAGACAATTTTGATGGCACGTATTCAATTTCACTCTTGATTAAGGCTCCGGTATTGATTGAGTTAGATGTAAAAATTGGAAGTGATGAATATGGTGAAGCTATTTCTCAATTCGTTGATAATAAACTTGTCATCGACGTGAGACATGGTCCGATTTCCGAGGAGTCTGTCGCGGTAGACTTCCCGACATCCTTGATTGCGGGCGAGGAGGAAGAGTTCACGCTTGATCCTTTGGATTCTCAAGGGAACCAAGCCACAAATAAGGAGGAAGTTCCGAGTGCAAGTGGTATTGTGTTCACGAGTACGCCTGCGTCGTCTTCATTTACTGACAGCATCGTCATTACTCCCTTGGATACGCAAGAACCGTATGACATTAAAATTAAGTTCACAGCTCCACAAGTTGCTGGTTCGTACACCTTCAAGATTTACGTCAATACGAATGAGCTTGCGGTTTCCAAGACAATTGTTGTAAAAGCGAGCACATACATTGCTACCTCGTCAACTACGGTGGATTACGGCACTAGACGTGTTGGAACTCAAAAAATAATAGTATCCATAAAAGATATCTATTCGAATCCGACGTGTGTTACGCGCGATAACTTCAATTGGGCGTGGGGTGTCACCGGTGGTGAGTTATCAGAACCAGGTACCTTCACATCGTGTATCTCTGCTGGTAAGCATCTTGTTTCGATTCCGTCAGTGAATACAGTTGGAACATATACGTTCACTGCGAAGATAAGTAACCTATTGAATGTGGATACAGACCAACCATTCGATCGTGAAACTCTCAGTACATCTACCAGTATCAACGTGGTTTCTGATGTACCAAGTACTAAGTCTACGATGACCACGCCGAGTGAATACATCGAAGTTGGTCAACCTGCTTACTTTTATGTCATTGCTATCGACCGTCTTGGAAATAGCATTGCTGTTTCTGGACAATCCTCTGCATTTTCTGTCACTGTGACTGGGAGCATCTCCGGAACTAGAGCTGCAGAAGTTTCGAATTCTCTTTCTGATAGAACAGGGTCGGTTGGTTCATACTATGGATCATTTACTCCCCTGTACGCTGAAACATACACACTTACAGTCTCAGTAGACGGGTACCCGCTTGATCAAGGATCGTCTACCCACATTGCCTCTGTGTTCCTCACGAACGAGGCAGATTACTTCAAGGTAACCGGTGCACCAGTTTCTGGCGTTGTTGGATCGAGTTTGACGTTCATCATAAATCAATGGAACCTGGAATATAATTTGGATATGAACACGATTTCCACGACGTTTCTCTCGAAACTTTCTCGACCTCAAAGTCAAGTATCATTGACTTTATCACCACTAGGAACCGGTGCAGGAGACGCGGATATGAATCGCCGTCTTTATGTGGACAAATTGTACACAACGAAGTCTGGGACTTACACACTTTCAGTATCTAAAGCTGATGCGGACACGCCTTCGGTCTATCATGCGGTGAAGGACTCGCCTGTTTCTTTCACTTTAGCTGCCGCGAAGGCAAGTGGAAGTGTGTCTACTATTACCAAGCCTTCAACTCCAGCAGGTGGGTACGCGCCCGGAGCTACGTTATCGTTACCGTTGAGTTTGAAAGATTCATATGGAAACGCCATCACCACGGCTCGATTTTCGGATGACGTAATTGTCCAGATCAAGTCGAAAAACACCGCGAGAATCCAAACTTTGACTATTAAGGCCGACAGTACCGGAACTGGATTAGTCGCCGAAGGTGTACTTAAGTTCGCATCCGATCAATACTCTGTCTTGGCCTATGCCAGTGGAGTAGCATTGACGATGGTGAACCCAGAGATTATCATTACGACGAATAATGTGGTTGCGCCGGCCTTGGTCGACGGAACTGCTTCATTTGCTGCTTCGGCTGGTTTACCTGCACAAGGAAGCTCTGCTGCTTTTGTTGCTGGTACGGAATATTCGCTGTACATCTTTCCCGCTGATGTATATGGAAACGTTGCGGTAAGTGACGTGCTAATGGTTGTCGTGCTTCGGGCGAACAACATTGTCCTTTCGCAGGGTGTTTGGAATACAAATACGGGCGGTTATAAGGTTTCATACACTTTCACAACGGCAGGTACAACACCGGTGACAGTTTCTGTGACACCGGCTGGAGCCACTGCGGCCACGGTCAGAAGCTTCACTGCTGTCGTGAGTCCTGGTGCCGTCGTTGGTAGCACGACGAAGCTCATTTCTATCACGAATGCAACGTCTGTGACTCGTGGAACATGGGTTGTGCGTTTGTACGATAGATATGGAAACGCCCTGACTTCTTCCCCAGCTGGATCTGTGGATGTCAAGGCTGAAATGATTTTGCAGTCAACTACGAAATCGAGTACCTTGTTTGGCTCTTTACCAGTAGTTTCTAACAGCGCTGATGCCATTTCAATTACTCTCGGTTCAGACGGCACTCAAATTGGTTTGGTGACTCTTCAGTATTTAGGAACAATCACGGGAACGTACACTTTAAAATTGTATGTTGACGGTGTTGCTGCTACCGACGTTTCAAGCTATAAAGCATACATCACCTCTGGACCTATCGTAGCTACGACTTCTACGGCCTCGGGTACGGGGTGGAACTCTGCCAAAGCTGGAGTGAAGTCCAGTTTTGTCGTTGTTCCACGAGATAAGTACTCGAACAGAGTCTACACGAGTCCTGCGAGTGCCTCTTCTTCGTTAGTGGTATCGCGTGGCCTCGGTGTTACGAAAGATCTTGTTACGGAGACTGCACCATCCTTTGTCTTTGATACAGCACTCGGTCAGTACAACGTTTCGTACACTCCTTCAGTGGCTGGTACCTCTAGTCTCTCGTTCAAGATAAATGGTGCAAACATCGCAGATTCTCCTCGAGTTTTCACTGTTACTGCTGGAGCCGCTTCTGCTTCCAAGTCCTTCCTTAGTGGCGCGGGTGTCCGAGGAACTCTGTTTGGAGCTGCGTCAGAAGTTGTCATTCAAGCTGTGGATTCCTTTGGCAACTTAAAAACGTCGGGTGGAGATACTTTCCGGGCGAGTTTGAACCAGACAGGCTCTACGACAACTGTAACTGATAACAGTGATGGTACTTACACCATCACGTACACGCCTGTGGCTGCCGGAGCAGCATTGCTCAAGATTGAGTACGGCACTGGTTTTGTTCAAATTGGATGCGATTTCATCACCATTCCTTCATCAGGTTGTTTGTTGGATATCAAAACTGCCGATTCTGTTCAGACTTTGGATCCATTGCAGACTACCTACAAAGCTGCATATTTGTCCACCAGTGATGGTGATCTTACGCTTGGCTTCGCATCTGTAGCAAGCACGGGAAAACCCTCAGGTTCTTTCCGTATCTTGACATTTGATCAAGATGGAGTCCAAATGGGCAGAAATGATGTCACCATCCAGTTATCAATTGGTGGAACCGTACTCTCTGGATCTGATATCGCCATCACAGCAGTGGAAGGTACAACGGGTGAGTTCCGAATCGACTACTACTACAGTACGGCAGGAACGTGGCCGATATCTATCACGGCGAACGGCGTCGAAATTGGCGCTCGCTTACGTGAGATTGCTTTCGATGAGGCTGGTGCTAGCACTGATCTTGTTGCCGAGTTTGGAGGATATTCTAATCTCGTCATCCGACCAGATTTCACTACAGCTTCCAGCGTTGATGTTGTTATTGCATCTGGTGTTCAAGGAACGAACCCGATTGTTGCTACCGCAGGATTTCCCGTTGAGTTTGCGATTTCGGCGAAAGATTCATACGGCAACGTGCAATACTATTCCTCGGATTACCCCGGGGATGTGTTCACAGTCACGGCTACCGCGTCACAAGCGGAAACTTTGAATGCTGAATTTACTTCGTTGGCATGCTTCCCGTCATCATCATTCTTTCCGGACTGCAGAATTCCTTCAAACTACGTGGAGGCGTTTCCTGATGGATCGGTGTCTGCTGAAGCTTCGTTGACTTTCTCCAACACCGCTGCATACACCATCTCTGTCAGCTTGCAACCGAGATTTGCTATGGGTATCTCAACAACCGAAGGATCGGCACCGGTCTCTGATGCGGTTCAAGTCAAACAATTCAAGGTCACAGTTGTTCCTGGCGTTGTGAATGCGGCAAACTCTCTCATGAATGGGGACGGTCTGTCTGGTTCTATCGCGGACGAACGAAAATCTGTGCTCATCTCAGCCTATGATGCCGGCTCTAATGCTCTCTATAAATTGTCAGAAGACGAGAGAGAAGATGCGTTGACTTCCTGCCGCATTGATTTTGTTGGAACTTCGGAAGGCAACATGGGAGAAAAATTTTCCTCAAGCTCGGAGAACTGCTTTGCACTCGATGGTTGCTTTGGTCTCACGACTGACCAGTGCTTGTTCGAAGTATTTTACAACATAACTTACCTCACGGGGACGTTTGACATGTCTGTAAGACTTTGCGCGAGTGGCTCACCGGATGATTTGGAGGTCAACCCTGACGGATGTCTTGTCTCTGGAGAGTCCGTTTCCATCACAGTTACTGCGGGTTCACCGAATTCCAAAACTTCGGGATTACTCGCGACACCTCCAAGTACTGTCACTGCAATGGAAAGTGGAACGTTAAAATTTGTTGCCCGGGATGAATTCAATAACGAAATCACAATTGGTGGAGACGGAAATCCGCTCGTTGTTTCTGCAATTCAAACGAAACCAACAGCTGGGTCGCTCCTCACCAATGTCGCTACCTTGTCTGATAATGAAGATGGCACTTACAACATTGTGTACACGTTGCCAACTGGCGGAAATGGTGTTGAATATCAGTTCAACATCACTTACGACGGTGATCACATTATCGGTTCTCCGTACACGATGTCGGTTGCTTCTCCAAATATCTCGCCAATGTACTCGTTCGCGTACGGTGAAGCTTTGAGTGATGCTACGATGACTGCCAGGGCTGGCGAAGTTACTTCGTTCACCATTCAGCCTGTCGATGCGTCAGGCAACACGATCACGAAGATGCCTGATACGAACAAATTTAAAGTAGTGTCAAGAAATCTCGAACTTTCGGCCGGTGGTGGACAAGAGCCATCTTTCACTACGAACCCGGATGGTTCAATCAAGGTTTCTTTTACAGCCGTAGTGACCTCCCCGGCGCAGTTGACAATTTCTGCAATTCGACCAGTTGACGGCGTGAGCACAGAAACTGTCATAGATTCACCCGCCAACGGTATTATTTACGTGAATGTCGATCCTGGGGTTGCCGTAGCTTCAAGTTCGTACACAAGAAATGACCGAACAGTTCCATTGACGCAGGTAGCCGTTGCTGGTTCGGAACACAACTATCAGATTATTACTGCGGATAAGTACTCGAACCAATTGACGTATGATCCGTATGGTACGCCGACGAATCTTACATTCGCGGCTCCGAACAAATACGGGCCTGAAGGCTACAAGTACGTAAGCGGGCCAGCTCCTGCTAAGTATGGCTACGCTCAAGAAATTGGTGCATCTGAACCAGGAAACTGGCGAGTGCGCTGGTCTGCGGAAACGACTGGAACTTATGCTCTCCGAGCATACATATCAGATGGGCTAGTCCTGGACGGCCCTGGTGGGTCTCAGTTACCATTGAACATGGAAGTCATCGCATCTGATGCGGATTATTCGAAATTTACCCTCACTGGTGCTGGTATTACGGCTTCTGCAACAGTCAACAGTAAGGCTACGTTGACTTTGGAGGCGAGAGATGTGTATGGAAACTTCAAGAAGGACCGCGGTAATCTCGTGAATGACATCATCGATGGTATTTCACAAACGATTTACTCTGATGATGCCTTATTAATGGAAGAATCGACCATCCAGGAACACTCTGTGACTTTTGACAGTGCTACTGGGAAATACACCATCGAATACACCCCATCTGTTATTGGTTACATGGAAACGGCCCTCAATATTCGCGGCGTGGATATTGCCAATTCGCCATTCCAGCAGGAGATTGTTGCTGATGCTATTAGCGCGAGCTACACGCGCGCTTCTGGACCTGGTATTGTTGGAGGCTCTCTCGGCATCCAAACTTACATTGCCATAGATCCTCGTGATGCCTCAGATTTTCTCGTCACGGCAGGTACAAGTGCCTCTTCGTTTGAAGTGACTGTTACCACGACTGCGGGATCGATTATTCAAAGCGGTCCAACATGGGACGAATCTTCCCGAGTTTATCGATTTGAGTATATGATTGAGGGTAGCACAGACGCTACGGTCACGGTCGATATTGCTTACGATAGTGAGGCTATTGCAGGCTCTCCGTTCTCGAACATACCAATCTCCTCTTCCGTAAGCACGGATGTGGATGAGAAAAGGTGCGTTATCTCAGGTCCTGGAATAACATATGGAGTTGCGGGTGAATTGACTGCCATCGCCATCACGCTTTACGACAGCGATGGTATATTGGCGGTACCATCCGCAGCACCTTCTCTGGTGCTTACTGTCTTCAATGGGAACAACGAAAATTTCGTTGAGTACACAGATTTTCAATTATTTGATTCATCGGTGCTTTCTGGTTTGGGCCTCGATCCAAGTGCGTTTGGCTACGTCAACGAAGATGCGGGTGGCACATACTTTGTTACTTTTACTAAGACTAGTGTAGCTGAAGCACCGTACAAATTGACGGTCGCTGTCAATGGTTTAGTCACCGGTTCTGTCGAATACGAGAATCCTGGGGAGTTCACGTTCGAACTCGTTTCTAGCGTCACGTCTAGTTCAACTTCTTATGTTCAGCTCGGGAACACGGATGGAAGCATCGTTGCAGGTGATAGCGTACCTGTTTACATTTACCCAAGAGATGCGTATTACAACGGCCAGGATTACAAGAATTTAGCGAATAAAGAAGAAACGTTCTCTATCGCCCTCACCGGTCCTGCTGCTTACACCGTCACTTACACTGGTTCGGCGAGTGATGGTACGATGAAGTTGGTCAAGGATACCGAAAATGACTCGTACTATTATTACGGTTTCATCAAACCTGTCAAGGCTGGTGTGTATAGAGGCACTGCGCAACTCGTTCAGAATGGTGTGACATCGAGTGTTCTTACCCTCGCTCAAGCTGCTCTTTCTCTTGATGTCAGTGCTGGTGCCCTTGATATTTCTAACTCAGTGGTAGGTGGACAAGGTGTGTTCTCAAGTAAGGTTTTGGCGAAGGGTGCTGTTAAAGTACAATTTCGCGACTCTGTTTCGAACCTTTTGACGGACGATATCGTTCAGTCCTCGCTCAGTGCAGTGAAATTCAACTTGATGAGGCGCGATGTAAATGAAGCAGCGTTTGCAAGTGATATTGAACTCGTGTATGTTAGTGCTCAATCTGCTTTTGTTGGTGAGTATATTTCTACTGTCGCGGGTACACTTGACATGCAAGTTAGTGCGTGTGATTCCTCAGACCCACCTGTATGTGAAGAAGTTCCCATCTCTGGATACACTGGTACAGTTATATCCCCTGGTAGTTTCGTCTCTGCTATGGCTGAGGTCGTCGGCGCTGATAGTACCTCCGAATTCAAAGTCGCTGAAGACTCGCTCGTGTATGTCTTTGGGCGCGACTCTCAAGGAAACACTTTGAGCACCGGTGGTGAAATTCTGAGCGCTAAATTAGTCCCCACGCTAACCACCGGTCAAAGCGAACTTCGCATCTCTCCATCTAACATCGTCGATAATGGCGATGGAATGTACACTATAACAGTACAACCAAAGCAATCTGGTGATTTCAAATTGTTGATCACAAGATCTGGAGCAGTTGTCGGTACAACAGATGAGACGGGCTTCCTTATCACTGTTGAGCCAGGAGTTGCTTCTACTGCGTCAACAGTCTCAGGAACTGGATTCGGATTACAGTCGACTGGCTACATCGTTGCCGGTAACGAAGCCAAACTTACCCTGATTGCAAGAGACGCCATTGGGAATGCCATTGTGTCAAGCGCAGATGAGTTCACGTATGAAATTTCTGCAGGTGGCTCGGTAGTTGATTTCGGTCAGTTTGCGTACGTTGAAGAGTCTGACGGCACATACGAAGCTACTTACACAATTGAAAAGTCTGGCGACTTGATCGTCGAAGTTAAGTTGCGCGGCGAATCTCTCCTTTCTGTACCATCTGGCGGTAAGGTGCTTCATTCGTCTGTATCTTTGAAGGACTGTTTGCTGTACGGAGATGCTTTGACTGCCGGAGTGGAGGCGGGTGTCCTCTCAACTCTGTCTTTAATCGCGAAGGATCAGTACGGAAATGTTGTAACTGACTTGCAAAACAGCGGTTTGTTCGAACTTAAAGTTGATACACTCAATAATCCTGGCTTCTTGCCGTTCGAAATCTCGGATGCCTCGATTGGCTTGTTAACGGTTGACTTTACTCTCCCCTCTGTTGACGTTGCGCCAGGTTTAGTGACTGTCGTATACGACAACGACTTGGCATTGAATCTGTACAAAAACTACGACACGAAAGAACAATTCTCCATTCAAGTTTATGTCGGACAGCCGTCCGCTTCTACTACTACACTTGTTGGAATTTCACCCACGATTCCGTTTCAAACGGACGTGGCTTCGACAGTTGAATTGTACGTTCGTGACGCTAATGGCAATGTGATCGGCGAAAGTGATGAGCTAACTGCAGTTCTTGATTCTTTGGCCCTGAACGTCTTCACAGTCCGAGGTCAAACTTACGCAGTTGACATCACTTTCACGTCAAGTAACGCCGTGAATGGTGATTACATCACTATCCTGAACTTCTCACCTCCTGCTGCGGGTTCATTGCGTCTCTCTCTTTACATTGATGGTTCTGAGGTGATTGACCCCACTACGGAGAAGGATTACGAGTGCACGGTGCTACCGGGTGCAATTGGTGCTCCGTACTCAACTTACTCAGGTGCCGGTATCTTTTCTGGCGCTATTGCTGGATCGGAATCTACGATTTACATTCAAGCTGCGGATAGAACCGGTGGTATTATCACAACTGATAAAAGCACTGATACTACAGCATTCACTCTAGAATTTGAGATTCTTTCTAATTCTGGCATATCGAATGCAACTGATAAGGCAAGCGCAATCTCTGGCGTTGAGGTTATCGGGCCGACGTACACTGGTGCTGGTACGTACATGTTCAAGTACATTCCGTATGACCTGGGCTATCCGTATTCTATGTACGCTAAAATTGCTACTGGTAATGATCCGATCGGCACTTCAGATGGTCTCTCCGGTGGTGAAACCGTTCAAGTCTACGATGTTGCCTCGACGCGTGAATCGAGTGCGGAAAAATCAGCAGCTTTGTTGGCCATCGATTCGGACGGTACTCTTATGCTGGGTTCGCAGATTCCAGTTGCAGGTTCAATTTTCTTTGAAACCGTGGCGGGAGAAGCAATTGTCTTCTTCATTCAAGAACGAGACGTGAATGGATTAGATGTCGCTTCGAATAGTGCCACCGCTCCGTCTGTTCAAGTATCTTCTGGCTTTGTGCCAACTGCTCCGACTGTTGTTAACGATGGTTCTGGCATATGGAGAGTCACTGTCAAGCCTGAAAAGTCTGGTGAAGTTCCAATCTTTGTTGCCTTCGATGGCGTGGAGATCGCGAACTCTCAAATGATTTTGACTGTAATCCCAGCGGCAACTTCGGCGTTGACGTCGACCATTGAAGGTACAGGTCTCGAGCCCGATGAAACGAATTTGGTTCGTGCAGGCCTTTCGTCAAAATTTTCCATCATCGCTAGAGATGCTTTTGGAAACTACGCCGAGTACGACGACGTCGCCGGGAACGACGAGTTCCACGTTGAAATTGCTTCTTCGGTGGAGTCGGAGACTATCGTTGTTGAGGGTATCATCACGAAGATTGATGGTAATGGTTACGAATACGAAGTTGAATTCGTTCCGCGTTACGTTGGCACAAACACTGTGAGTGTTTACCTCGGACCTGTTGGAGGTAAGTTGCTTGTTACCACGGCATCTGTCGAGGTAACGAACGGTGTGGTGAATGTGCAGGCCACGGAGGCGAGTGTTACAACTGAAGAACTTTCAGGAACCACTGTGAGTGCGGGAGACAGATTTGAGTTCAGTATTTACGCCAAAGATATATATGGCTACGATCACGCTACTCCAGCGCTCCTATGGGATGTTGAATTGATTCCCAGCGATGCTTTGAAAGCAACCGGTGCCACTTCAAGGACTGGCACCGTCACTGGATACTCTGGAACGAAGGAAAGCGGTGGTTACTCTGTAACGTTCACCTTGTACAAGGAAGGAACCTGGTACTTATCCTTGACTGAACGAGACGAGTCCGGTGGGTCAATGGTGTCGTCCATGTATGTTCCGATCACGGTTGTAGGTGGCACTGCGAATGTGTATAAAACGACGTTATCTGGTGGCATCGCATCTGGTCTTGTTGCTACTTCTACGGACCGAACGGTTTACATCACCACGCGAGACGTGTACGGAAACCTTGCATTTAGCTCTGGATTGCACCCATTCAGCGCGGATGATGAATTGAACGACTTTGAGATTACCATCGACCTTGATGAAATCGTACCCGAAGGTGCGGAGATTCAAGGATATGAATACACGAATAACGGCGCTGAGTACGTTTCGCCGGGTGTCTTCAAATTTACGTATTCGACAATTCTGCCGGGCACGTACTACATCCAAATAATTCAAAAGAAAGAAGCGATTGGTGATGGTTCAAATAAAGTCATCACCGTGAAACCAGTTCCTGCGCCTGTTGTCACGGAAGTGAGATTTGCAAACTCTTTGTCAACGATCCAAGTTGTGTTCGATGTGGAGACAGATGAGGCTATGCAAATAGGCGCATCTGACTGTTCGAACGTCCTTGCCACAGCCACGATCAGTCTTTTGGGTACGAACCCATTGTGTAAGTGGACTAACATTCCGACCGATGATGGCGCTGGCTCGAAAACTCACAATTATTTGCAAATTACGCTCGGATCGAACCCTACGGTGAAGCCACAAACGTCGCAGAACGCGGCATCGTTCATCACCTTGAAGCAACAAACCATCCGAACGAAGGACAGAAATTCGTACTTCGCCGTTGCGTCGACGGGTGTCCTTGGACCTCTCATTTACCCATCTGTAAAGGCCTCAATAACTGGTGTGGTCAGTGTTGGTACGTGCACTCCTCTCAACTTTGATGCGTTGAGATCGACTGGTGGTGGTGGTAGAGCCCTCACGTACGTTTGGAGAATTACCAGTACGCAAGATGTATCTAATATTGATATTTGCGAAGTTGACACAGCTAACAAGATTAATACTTGCACAGATAGTCTCTTCGTTCCGTACACGGACCTTGTGCCAGGCGGAACGTACACTGCTGAGTTACAAGTTACGAACTTTTTAGGAACAACGTCAACTGCGACTTTTGATACGGCAGTCGCTGCTGTTCCTTTGCCCAAGATTGCAACTCCGGAAGAAGTTACCATCTACGCTTCGGATCGCTTGACAATTATCTCGTACGTATCAGCTCCGGACACGTCTTGCATGGATTATCCCGAGAATTTGAACGCTCTCGAGTATTATTGGGAGTTCACAGCGGGATCCTTGCAAGTTGAATCTTCTGATTGGATTAATACGCGAGGGACTCCGGAACTTACTCTTCCTCCAAACTCTTTCGAACCTGGAGAAACGTATGAGTTGTTAGTTACGGCAACTATTGCTTCTTCCGGCAATACTGCTCAAGCTATAACATCAACAACGAAAGTGAATGTCGCTTACCGTGAAATTATCGTCGAGGATAGGCTTGGTGGAGATAGAATTGTTTCACCATTTTTGACAAACTCACTCGTTGCGTCTCCGTTTGATCCTGAAGACTCACGTGATGAGTCTGGTGTGGCTTATCCGTGGAGTTACTACTGGTTCTGCACGAAAGCATGTGAAATTCCTGATGGTGAATCGACGTGCGAACTGGTTGAGATCGCCGATGGTGCAGATTGCTTCACTGATGCGAGTGCTATGTTTGCGACTGACACTGACACCATATCTATTCCAGGGAGTGATCTACTTCAATATCTCGGAACGAATAACATGTACGAGATTGGCTGTACCATCTCGAAAGGAGTTCGCGGTCAGTCATCGCTCACCGGAAGAACGAAAACAGCATACGTCACGTGGACGAGTATCACGTCCGTTTCTGTAACTATCGGAGACGACGATGAAGATTACTTTCAAGGCGAATGGTCACCAACCAGAGGTGGTACACTCACGTGCGAGTCACCTTCCGCGACTGCGGCTGTCGCCTCGGGCGAAAGTGTCACTTATCAATGGGAACTCGTGTCTGGTTCTGTAGGATTTGCAGGAGGTAGTTTGGAATCTTTAGTCTCGACTTCTTACGGCGTAGAACCGTCTGAAGCTGTCAAACAAAGCTCATTGACTCTTGCGCCGAATACTCTCTTGGCTGGTTCCGAGTACACGTTTAAATGCACCGTGATTTTGGAAGCTTCGGGAACTACTGGTGAAGCAAGCCAAACGATCACAGTTGGAACACCGCCTTCTGGCGGCTTCTTGGAAGTTAGGTATAATGAAATGACTTCGACGATATTATGTCCGTCGGCCATCGATGGTTGCGAATGTGGAGAAGATTCTTATAAGTCCGTACCTGCTGCTGAAAATGTCGTTGACGACGCCACTCAACAGGAAGTCTTGCTTGTGGATTACGGCTTCGAGGATGGACAAACCGAATTTGAGCTTGTTGCAAAACAATGGTTAGATGGAACTACTGATTGTTCTACATCTTGTTTGTACCAGTTCGCTTACGCCCTCAGAGGTCAAGAAAGCGAAGAAACAGCCATTTCGGGTAAGGAAACGACGAACACGAAAATTTCGGGCTTCTCGTTGCCCTCGGCTGGTGATGGTGTGAACACTGCTGATATCATTTTGATTGTTTATGTTTACGATGAACAAGGAATGGCAACGAGGTACGCAACAGACTACTACTTGAGAATCAATCCTCTTGCAGCTGCAATTGTTGACGAGGATACTACTCAGCAAGTTTCCTGTAACTTGGTCAGAAAGTTGACGGAAGATGCGGAGCAAACTTCCACGGCTGCGATTTTTGGCGACTCGACCTCGAGCTCGTCCTCAACCCGCAGGCGTATGTTGGCAGAGAACTGGAGATCAATTGCAATGTCAGGTACCAAAGCTGAACGCAGAGCTAAGTTTGACGCCGAATCGATCAAAATTATTCAGCGTATATCGAACACGGAAATCACGGATGCGAAAGACCCGGCTAGGACCGCGAAAGGAAGAAAGGTTCGGGCGTCTGGCCGTAGCTGGTATGCGGCATCATCAGAAGTTGCGCAGACTTTGATTAACACTGATTTCAACGCTTACGTCGGAGCGAAAGACACAGCACGTGCTTTATCATTTATCAACGTCTGGGGTAAGACTTGGGGCGTTCCACCGGCTACTATTAGTGATCAACCAACTCCGGCACTTGCATGCAATTCTGTCGAGACGGAGTTCTTAGCCATGAAAAATCAACTCGTTCAAGAGTACTCACCGTTGGATCTCGCATCTTCTGTAGACGATGACTATCTCGAGAAGTATATTTGCTCCATGAATACTATATTATGGAAGCCAGGTGAGATTTCGAACGAAGCGTTTGACGTGTTGTTTAGCTCGGGGGCGACGTCTAAGATAAAGGGTGCGGTGTTTCAACATAGACTCTATGTGGACGGTGCGCTGAATGTGGACTTGCAGTTAACAGATGCTGCAAAGGTTTGCGCGGCTGAGTTTTTGAGTAATATGTTAGTGCAGGCGTACGTAGGGTGCCATAACAGTCCAATTATCAGAGACCAAGACAAAATGAACGATGTTATTACCGCAACTACGTGGCTTGGACAGGCAATTGCGGATACCTTGGTTCCCGGAGAAGACCCGGAATCTGTTGAAGCGTTCTATTTCACGGTGACTGGCTTCGCCGGTCAAAGACGTTCCCCAACTCAGATTCTTAGAAACGAACGTTCGACTGATTTGATGTTGACAGTACCGCAAATAACTAGCGACGTTACTGATGTGTCGGGTCCGCTATTATCCATGAATATTGACATTGATGACGATGGACCATGCTTTTCCGAGCTCGCTGGATTTACGTGCGGTAAGAATGTTACGTCTGATGACATCATTCGCGTCTCGTCGACTGTCTTCACAAAGACAACTTATTCATTGAGTGCTATGGATACGATTAATCCATTCTCTGCGAAAGTATTAATCGACGGTGGTGAGGAGCAATACGGTTACACGGCTATAGTTGTACCGCAGTTTGTGAAATCTGGAAATGGACATTTTGCGGAGCAAATAAAAGCGTTCAACTCTCCTGATAAAGGTTCCTTGAATCTCGGCGAGGATGCTCTCACAGCAATGATTGCATCCACACCTACTGCGATGTTGGACTACGCAATTGCCACGGATAACTTTGCGTACGCTGCTAGAATCCCCTCCAATGCGTCTTACTTTGACTTTACGATGCATAAGTCATGGGATCAAATTTTTGATGGTCAATCGAAAGATCGAGAAGACTACCAAACCGAAATTCGACAGTGGCCGTTGGGTGATGATGGATTCGGGGACTTTGTGACGGAATGGTCAGACTTACCGAGGAAATGGAGCCCAGATAACTTCAATGTTACGGACTCTACTTCCATAAGAGGATTCTCTACTTCTTTATATTCCGCGCTCACGTTTGGACCGTATTTTGTGGAGACGGTTTATTACCCTCCGCCACCGACTATTTACTCTCCACCGCCGCCTGCGCCTCCGCTCTCCCCCCCGATGCCAGTCTATGTGGAATATGTCGAGGGTGACTTGGATAGATCGGTTGTGATTGTCCCCTCAATTGCTGTGTTGACCGTCTTTGCGTGGATGCTGTGGATGTTCTTCAAACGCCGACGCAACTTGCAGATGATGCACATTGATTTCATCGATGAGGACTACGATGGAGCCTTGGATGAATTTGATTCGAGCTCGAGCGAGGACGATTCAGATAACGAAGGATCTGCCAACACTGGAAGCGGCGGTGGTCTCTTTGGATTTGGTCGTCAAAGACCAGAAGTGCAAGAGAGGTACAACCGCTCTCAACGCATCAGGGCGCTGGAAGAACGCTTGCAACAAACGCAATCTCAATAAGAGTTGATTTTTCACATGCGATGATGATGAATATGATGAGATTTTCAGATAGCATCTTGATAACTTAGTACTCTTTTCTTTTTGTAATGATGGAATACTCGTTTGATGTACTCGTTGTTATTAGAATGAACCCAGCCGCAGAAGACGAACTTTTATTTATCCCTCTTTTATCGATCCCTCTCTGTCTCGTTTTCTCGTCTCCCCATTTTCACTCCTTCAAAAAATTGTCTCTCCTTTCAAAAGAGCAAAATCTCTTCATTTTGTTTCTCTCCAATCCACAAAGAAAGTATAAATTTCCTCTTCAAACAAAACATGTCGGACGACGATACGAACAAAGAAATGCCCCCCCAGTCGACGCGTTTTCTAGACTCTGATGACGACGACGACGACGACGAGAAGCGGCGGATGGGAGGGAACGGGAGAGAAGAAAATGATGACGAAGCTTTTCTCGCGAAGTATGATTCCGACGGCTACGGAGACGAGGCCGATCGGCAAGAATTGATGCAAATGAATGAATTGGATCGCGAAGAAGAGTTGGCGAAGCGGAGCGCAAAGTTGAAAATCTTAAAAGATCGCAAGCGGATTTTAGAGAAAGCGAAGGAGAGAGAAGAGAAGGAAAGGAATAAAGGGAGAGAAAGATTGCGACAAGGCGAAGACGAGAAATCGAAGAAGGCTCTGGAAGAGATTGGAAAGAAAGTGAAAAAGAAAATCGACGAAGCCGGGTCCTCTTCCGACGATTTGTCCTCTTCTTCGGGTTTATCCTACGATGACGAGGACAGGTTAGATTCAGAAGATGAGGAAGAAATGTTAGCGAGGAAGAAGAGAAGACGAACGTCGATGACGACGACAAAAGGGCGAAGATCGAAACAGAAGAAACCTTCCTCGACTCGAGGGAGAAGAAAAAGAGGAGGCGACTATTCAGACGACGAATCGAGCAGCAGCGGTGGATTTGGATACGACGATGATATGGATGTTTTTGAAGAAGCTACGGCAAAAGATGTGAGAGCGATCACACTTCCAAGATCAAAGTTAGAGAAGTGGATATCGGAACCTTTTTACGAGAGCGCCGTGGAAGGCGCGTTTGTTCGAGTGAACATCGGCTTGGATAAAAACAAAGAAAGTCGCTATCGATTGTGTCAAATCGCCGGAATCGCGGACGGATCATATCAAGGAACAACGCAAACGTATAGCTTAAAAGCGTACGAGTATAACGACGGCACGAACGCAAAAAAATCCACGAAAAAGTGGTTGATTTTGCGTTGGGGTAGTCACGAGAAGACGTTTCGAATTTCAGAAACATCAAATCGCGTAGACGATGCGTTTGCTCGGGCCAACGATGAGAGCAACGCAACTGTGGGTGTCGGTAGTCTCATTCTCGATCACGACGATGAACGGTTCAAAAATTCAGAGTTCGGGAAATGGTACGAACACGTTAAGAAAACCGCGAAAAAATATCTTCCCTCGGTGGACGACTGCGACATCATCTCAAAAAAATTAACCGGCGCAGACGAATATCGATACACTGCTGAGGATGTTCAAAAAATGCTCGAGCTGAACAAGCAAAAACGAGGTGGGGTATCGACGAATTTCATCTTTGAAAAAGAGCAGATGAAGATGCAATTGGCGAAAGCCCGCGAGGAAGGAGACGTCGAACAACAAGAAAAGTTGGAGGAAGCCATCAAAGAATTGAACGAGAAAATCGAGAACAAAATAAACAAACGAGGCGGTAATCAAAAAGTCATGGCGGATATCAACAAGAAAAATGAGTTTTCAAACGCAATTAAATTGTCTCAAGCGGCGGTGAAACACATCAAGAAGGTGAAAGAGGGTAAAGATATTTCTGAAGACGATCCTTTTTCGAGACGTCCGACGCGAGTGACGACGTATTGGTCCATGAAAACAGATGGCGAGAACAACGCAAAATCTGCAGCAGAGAAAGCTGCGAAAATGGCCGAAATGAATGCAGAGACAGCTGCGGCAGGAAACGAACGCAAAGAAGAAGAGGATGAAGAAGACGCGTTCGCGAACTACAAAACGATGAAGGAGAAACTTCGCGAGTCTTTGCATCACATCTCAAAATCGCACCAACTCGCGCAAAATAAACTCCTCAACATGAATAGCAACGGGATGAAACCTTCTTTAACGCACGCGAAAAGAGCCACGGAGCGCGATCCAGTTCTCGTCAGGCAAAGATTTGCCGCCGGGAGAATGAACGCCTCCTCGAATGGAGGATCGAAAGCGTTGGCTGGAAACTCTTTATCCGTTAAGGAGTACCTCGCTAGACAAGAGGCAAAAGGTGAAGCGTAAATAGTACACACACGTACCGTAACTATAGGTACACGGTTTTGTTCGTTGAGATCATATTAATACTGTAAAAATCCTCTTTTTTTCTCTATCATCAATTACACGCTACATAGCTCTCTTCTATAATTTTCTCTTCTTTTTCTTTTTCTTTTTCTTTGCAAAAGCATGGAATGTTTTTTACGAACGAATTTCGTGCGGCGATATCAGTGTCACCGCGTCACCTCTCACGAACAAATACGGCACACTTCTCTTGTTACTCTTGATAATCTCTTCGTACGTCTCCTCGTCAACCTCTCGAATCGTCGTGATTTCTTCGACTTCTCCCAACAACATGTTCAAGTGTTGATCGTAGGAGTGTAATTTCCCTCTCAACTCTCGATCGTTTCTTAGTTTCACGTACACTCTTTCGTCTAAGGATAATCGAACTAAGTCTAAAGGTTCTTTCACCGTCGATTCGTCTATGTTCGTTTGCTGATTGGCTAATGTCGCTTGATCTTCGCCACCGTCGGACGCTGATGCCATTTTTTCTTCTTCTCCAAAATTTTTGTGTGTGTGCTTTAAATTAAAATGAAGGAAAATGAGAAGAGAAAAAAAGCTTCTTTTTACCTTTCTGAACAACGTTTCTGAAATCGCAACGTTTTAAAGCTATTTAATATTATACATCAAGAATTAATTTACTACAAGCATTACACGCGCGTGTATCTGTTTCCGACCGAGGACGAAGCAAACAGGTTGTCGCTTATGAAGTTTTTTGAAAACCACTCTCTCGAGGCGCGGTCATTGATGTCAGACATGATTCGACACTGACCGCCGAGTTCAGGAGTGTGACACATGCGATCTTCATCTTCGTCTTGACCAACCTGCAGTTCCCACCTCATCATCGAAGATGACGAGGATGAGAAACTTTCCTTCGACAACGCTTCTGGAAAGTATGGAGATAATCGAACGGCGTCGCCGATGAACAACAACGTCGGCGACTGTAACTGCGCATCAACGACAGCTACATCAATAAACTCCAACGTAGAGAACACGCGGCGTTCTTTCAAAGTCGTTCCATTTTCGACGGCTAGACACGGTGTTCGTTTGTCTAGCGCGCCATCTTGTAATAACTTCTTCTTCGTTTTCGGTAACGTACCTAAGCCCATATAAATGATAAGCGTCGTGTCCGAATCCGCCGCCGTGACGGCAAAATCAACAGCACCGTCTTCTTCGTCATCTTCGTCTCCTAACGCTTCTGCTTCTACTTTTGATTTAAACGATGATTTAGACGAGGATGATAGCGCTAAATTCTTTCCTGGGTCCATTTTCTTCTTCTCTTTCTTCATGAGATGGCCAGTTAACAGTCTCGCCGAAGTCGCCACGCCTCTGTGCGTCAGCGGTACTCCGGCTCTCGATCCTACTCCACTCGCCGCCGTAATCCCTGGAATAACTTTAACGTCGAATCCTTTCTCGCGCAAGAACTCGCATTCTTCGCCACCTCGACCGAACACTAACGGATCTCCGCCTTTCAATCTCACAACCGTCGCTCCGGCGTTGGCAAATTCCAGTATCAAGTCGTGAATCTCGTCTTGCGTTCGCGTGTGAAAACCGGACCTCTTACCGACAAAAAGCATCAAACCTTTTTCTTCGTTGTTGTTCTTCGTATCATTATTATTTGTTCTTGCACTAGCAGCGTACTCTAAAATCTCCGGAGAAACCAGTCTATCATACAGAATAACATCCGCGGTGACTATCAAGTGGTACGCTTTCAGCGTGAGTAACCCGGGGTCTCCCGGACCACACCCGACCAAATACACTTTCGTTTCTTCATTCTTACCCGATTCCTCGCGATGAAGACTATCGCCGTTATAATTACTATCGCTGTTACTTTCTCTCCGACGGATTTTCTCCAGCATGATATCCACCAAAGCATCATTTCTCGCTATGATTTCGTCGTAAAAGTCCACAGGCTTGCCTTTTTCTTCTTCTGTGTTGTCTTCTTCTTTGTAAAGAAGATGTTGTTGTCGATGAGATGAATTCTTCACCAAACGACGCCGGCGCTCTTCTTTCTTCCTCCTCGGACAAGACGACGGCGAGACCCCGAACAACTTCGATCGAGAGGATGAAGAACGAGCATATATAGTGTTTATGCTATTATTGGTCGTGAAAATCGAGAAGCAGAGAGATGATGATGATGACATGCTCTTGTTTCCTTCCTTCGTTTCGTTTCGTTGCGCGTCCTTTGTCGTGTGAAAAAAAGTGTCAACTTACTCGAGTCAAAATGGGATTTGTGAACAAATTTCAGTGTGATGACAAATTAAAACAATTATCTATTTTATTTCTTCTTGTCAAACAAGGCGAATCAATCAATCAATCAATCAATCAATCAATCAATTAATCGTCGTCCTCGTGAATGGAAACAGTCGGGACTAATTCGGCGTTACCGCTCGAGAAGACCGAATAGAAAGCACTCTCGGTAAGACCGGGTAACGCCGTCGCGTTGTTGTTGTTGTTGCTACTGCTACTGTTATTCTTTCTGTTGTTGCTATCGCTATTACTAGTGTTGTTTTCGAGCTCTAATACTTCATTCATCGCTTTCTGTACCAACGCGTCGATTTTCTCTTCGCTCAGGGTCGATCCAACTAACTGTCTCAGTATGATTTCCAAGTCGTTTCTCGATACGATCCCGTCGGCGTCGACGTCGTACACGCGAAACATGAATGAAATTTTAGACTTCTCGTTGGCATTCTTCGAGAGCAGAGAAAGCAAGCGACAAAACTCTTTAAAGTTGACGTTTACGAACAGCTGGACTATTCTCGGCGCTAAAGGGTTAATTGCCAACTCTGGAATGTTCAACAGTTCGTCTTCGCTGATGTATCCTTTGTGTTTTTTATCGAGTTGTTGGAACCTTTTGTATAACGTCTGAATCTCAGCGGACGTGAAGACGTTGTAACAATACGAAGATATCTCTGTTTGTTCATAAGAAGAAGAAAACAAAAGGGAAATGTGAGTCGTTTGTTCTCGTCGCGTGTCGTTGCTTTTTGAAGGACACCAGACGACGACGAGAGAGAGTACTACTGTGAGTAAAATTGGATAAAAAAAAGAGACTCTCGTCGTCGCACAGAAGAAGAGAAAAGAAAGTTCTCTGAATGGAAAATAGAGAAAGAACGACAACAACAACAACAACAACACTCACGTTCGATGTCAAAATCGGTGAGATTCAGGGAGGACGCCGTGATTCCCATCGTTGTGATGATCTACTTTTTAGGAGGATTCGTTCGTTTGTTTCTGTGAAGGAAAAACTTTATTAAAGAGAGGGGGGAGACGCGTAATTTATTTGTTTAGTCACGATTCTTCTTCTTCGCTTATTTTGACTCTGTTATATGTTTGTTATAAACTACTATTTACTTGCCGACGATGGACTCGACAAAAATTTGCAAACTCTCCACGTCGCGCCTTTCACCGCCAAGTTTTACGTACCCTTCGCGTCCTTTCGGGAAAAGCAAGATCGTCGGGAAAGATGCCAAGCTTAAATTTTCTTTCGACCACTCTTTCTCGTCTTGATCGGCGCGGAACTTCGAGTATCGCACGTTCTTAGCTTTGCCGTACGTTTGCGCCGACTCCGTAAAGCTACCCTCCATGGCTTGGCAAAACGGACACCAAGGCGCGTACAAAACAATCATTTCGTTTTCTTCGTTCTTTAAACCTCGAGAGATTCGTTTCTCCATCGACTCTCGCGTCTCAACCGAAATAGCCGAAGCATCGGTGAAGATATCCGCGGCGTCTTCTTCTCGCTTATCCTGCTTTTCTTTTTCCTCTTTGCTCAAATTTCCCGAGTGCAAGCCACACTCTTTATCGCTCGCATTCTCCCACCACCATCGACCTTCTCGCTCTTGTTGCCCAGGAGTTACCGGTCTGGTACAAGGCGCGCAACCGATTGAAACGTATCCTTGCGTGTGCAACGCGTTCACAGGCGTCGACATGACTCTCAAAAAGTCCCAAACTTCTTGCGAGGTGGCGTTTGTCAGCGGATTGTATTTCACGAGTTCACTTCCGTTTAAAATACCTTGAAACGCCGGGTCTAACTGTATCGCCGGGACTTGCATTCTCGTACCAGGTGATTGATCTTTTCTTTGACCAGTAATCCATGCTTTTAACGTGGACAACTTTTTCCTCAACGGTTGCACCTTACGAATGCCGCAGCACTCCTTGTGCCCGTCTTCGTAAAACGAAAACAACCCTTTCTCGTTGACAAACGCTTCCAATTTTTCTTCGTTCGGGACGCAATATTCAATCTTAATGTTGAAATGCTTCTCAACCTGGTCAAATAATTCGTACGTTTCCGGGTTTAATCTCCCGGTGTCTAAGGAAAACACTCTATATGGTCTGTTCGTCAAGTGCGCGTATTGAATTAAAGCCACATCCTCGGCACCAGAAAACGCAATCGCGATATCGTCTCCGTACGTTTTCAAAGCGTCGTCCATAATCTCCAAAGGCGTCATCGTTTTCTCCAATATTTCGTTCTTACTCTCCGTTTCCTGTTTCGTGTTGCTGCTGAACACTTTCAATGCGTTTCCTCTTCGATTGTTGTTGTTCTTCTTCTTCATATTTTGGTTCACAACTCTTCTCTTTACACCACTGACTGCTCCGCTCTTCTTCATCATCTTCATCATCTTCGACGACGACGACGACGCGGTAGTCGTAGAAACGTGAGCAGCACAACTCATTACAGTGTTCATCTTTTCGGCAGTTATTGTGTTATTATTGTTGTTGTTGTTGTTATTATATTATTAATGTAGTTTTATGTCGGACGATAAAGAATGAGGAGGAGGAGGTGATGGATAAAATTTTGGTTTGTGTCTTCCTCGTGTTTGTGTTTGCTTCTTCTCTCTCTTTTCTCCTTCTATGGCACGTTACTATATGCATAACAAAAAAATACACGGAGCTGATACATCAACTTCTTTTCTCTGACTATTTACGACTATTTACGACTTATTGCATGGATAACGATTGAACTTCCTTCAACTCAAAATCGACGAGCGTTGTAACCTCTTTAAAGTTGAAAGTGCCTTCGAAGTTCTTCCGCTTTTGTCGATTCAACACCAGTGGATACCAGTGTTGATCGTCCGCCCACATTTGTTGAAAAGGTATGGCATCGAAAGGGAACCATTGCGGACGCATTTCTTCCGTCTCTCTTTCTTGGCCGCTATACGTGTCTGCTCTAAAGATGTGAACCAGCCACGGTGGTTTTTCAGGCTCATCGATCCAAATGAAAGTTATGCGACCAACTTCTTTCGCGTCCAGAGCCTGTATGCAAGCTTCCTCTTCAAGCTCTCTCAACGCCGCCGCGAGAACGGTTGGGTCTGACTCTTCAACTTTACCACCGAATCCGTTCCAAAACCCTTTTCCAAACCCAGTTTTCTTCTCTCCAAGCAGTACTCGCTCGTTTTCATCGTCCACGACGAGCAATAACGTGAAAACTTTCTTCTTCTTCTTCTTCCTTGTTTCTTTATCTTCTTCTCGCAGCATATTTTCTTTTTTCTTTTTTGAATTTTTGTTGGATTCTCTCTCTCACTCAACTCTTATAATAAACAAGTCGTCTCGTCGGTTACAACAACTAACTCCTTCCTACGAGTAACGAATGTATTATTAAAGTATTTATGCGCGCGACGACGAGTGCTCCTTCTCTCTTCTCGAACAACCTCAATCAAAAGAGTGATGACGATGATGGAGGTGAGGATGCGGAAAAAGTATTGATATGGAGAAGGAGGAAAAATCTTCTTCAAACGATGATGAATTTAAAGTGGGGGAGGAGGGAGGAGGAGGAGTTTTTTCTTCTCTTCCATTTGTTTAAACAAGACGACACATTTAGGCAAGTAGAATAAGGTCAACCGATTCATCATATATTTTGAATAGAGAGTCCAATGAGCGAGTTTAGTCCGCGAACTCCCGAGGAAGTCTTCCAGAACTTCAAGGGAAGACAAGCTGGCATTAATAAAGCATTAAACGACGACGTGGTACGTGCGCGTGCATCAGAACCGCGCTCTCTTTTTTTTTTCTCCTTCTCCAATTCGCGCTTAAAAATTCGAGTTTAATATTGAAAATGCAAATACACCGCGCGCGCTCTCACGCATCGCGATATCGGTTCGAGAAATTTGAGAACAGATTCAGACGGGTGATTAGTATCTGAGTTCAAATTGAGCGTTCGAAACGGAAGAGTAAAAGTGTACCGGCGACATATTCCTTCGAGAATACGCAAACAAATTTTGCGCGCATTTATTATTTTTCACCGCGCGACGCGCTGTTTGAAAACAATACACAAAAGAGGCTTTGCGACGATGGACGATTGCGAAAACGGACTGTAGCGAATGCCTTGATTATCTTTGCATTCGAATCTCGAGGGTTAAATACATTTTGATGCGGTTCTCGTATTCGCCCAGTATATCTCTCATCAATTTAAAACAACGAGAAGAGGTGGTTGTTTTAAAAAGAGCCAATCTCGTGTTCCCACAGTTAAGACGGGAACAAACAAAAAGCGAGCGGCGACGAGGAAGATGAAGACCAATGCGAATACCTCAGATGGTGATTAACTAACGTTCCCTCTTTTATACTCTCTTTCTCTCTTTAACAGGCTATGTTTTTCGCGAGTTGCGATCCGGACCGCGAGAATCTCTCGTTGTATTCAAACGCCGACGGTAGTTGGGTCGTTTCGTTACCGGCTGAGGAAGTTCCGCCTGAATTACCAGAACCTGCGCTTGGGATCAACTTTGCTCGCGACGGTATGAAACGTGGAGATTGGCTCGCGCTCGTAGCTGTCCATTCCGACGCTTGGTTGATGGCTGTTGCCTTTTATTACTCGGCCAAGTTTTCCGCGGACCAGAGAAAAAAGTTGTTCGATTTAATAAACAGTTTACCGACGACGTACGAAGTGTTGTCCGGAAAAGGCGGCAAGAAAATGAAGGTAAGCGTCTTTGTGCGAAAGAAGAAGATGGACGAGGAATTTTTCGCGGGGCTCTTCTTTCTCCTCGCCGCGACTCGTTTTGAATAACGACATCGTCGTCGTTCATTCGCTCTTGTTCGTTTTTTCTTTTCAAACTCTCTCTTTTTTGCCCCCTGAATTTTACTCAAACAGGGCACTCGCAATCGGAATTTTTTCACGTCTCACCGCGCACGTTCTCTCTCTCTCTCTCTCCTTACGCACAGGTGGCTACAGCAGCGAACAATAATAAACGATCTGCAGCAGTAATGGTACGATTCGAATTCTTTTTTGTATCCGCGGGCAAAACTTCGCTTTTTCGCTCGTTTCGTTTCGTTCGCGTAAATTTAGGCGCGCGCGCTCCCCTCGAGTGGGAGATGATTTATTATTATGGACTCTGTCTGCTTTCGTCGTCTTTTTTTTGCTGCTTTCCCTCATGTTTCTTGGTTCCTGAGAGGAAATGTTTGGCGGTCTCTTCCTTTTGTTTGAGAGGAGCCGAGAAAAAGCAAAAAATCTTCAGGGAAAAAACTAAGTTCTCTCTCTCACTCTCACATAAATAGCAGAATAATACAATTAATAACGATGACGCGGCTGGTTTAAAAAAGCCCTCCCCCGGGGTAATCATAAAACAAGACGCGCCCTTAGATTCTTTAGTAGACGCGAAAATAGAGCTCTACTGGCCGGACGACGGCTTGTGGTATAAAGCTGAAGTGTTATCGCTCAACGCTCGAGCGAGAAACGCTAAAGTTTTATACGCAACCGGGGATGTCGAGACTCTCGAGTTGGACGAGATAATCAACGAAGGCCATTTGAACGTGTGCAGTAAATAAATAAGAAAACGAATCACGTTGCGTTGTAATCATATAATAAAAACTCAAAAAGATTAACATAATAAGCTCTCTCACGATAGCGGCGGGAAATCACTTTCTTGCCGAACAAACGCCGGCGCATTCCTCCGTTTATTATTTCCTCCTCCTTTACTATTCTTGTTGTTTTTACCATTACTATTCTCCTTCGCGGCGGAGCTATTCTTGTTATTATTATTACTATTATTACTGCTATTATTCGTCGTCGTATTTTGTTTCCCCAACGACGCGCCGACGTCTTGTTTCTTTTCAGGAACCTGTTTCTTTTTTGTATTGAGATCTTCTTCTAGTGTTGCTTTTTCTACCGGTGCTATTTCTTGTTGTCGTTGTTGTTGTTGTTGTTCTTCTTCTTCTTCTTCTTCTTCTTTCTGCTGTTGCATCGGTGGTGGAGGTGTAATTATTGGTCGTGGTAGTGGCGAAACTGCCACGATATTCTGATGAAGAGGAACGTTCGGAGGTTGCTGCTGCGGAAAAATGTGTTGTTGCTGCGGCGCGTAGTACGGGAAGTGACCAACGCCCCCGTGATACATAAAGTTCGGCTGAACCGGTACGTATCCATACGGAACATTTTGATAATACATTGGCGGCATCGGGTACGGATATTGAGGTGGAACGTAATGGAATCCGCCGGGATACATGCCGCCGCCTCTTCCTCCACCTCGCCCTCCCCGTCCTCTTCCTCTTCCTCCAACACCGCCTCCTCTTCGAGTGAAATCTGGATCGTTCTTATCTGCGTGCACGTTTCTCGGGATGGCTTTTGTGCTGTTTATGTTTATGTTTATGTTGTTGTTATTACTCTCAGTCGTTTCTTTTCTCGTTTCGTCCTCGTCTTGCCTCTTCTTTCCTTCTTCTTCTTTGTCTTCTTCTTCTTCTTCTTCTTCTTTGTCTTCTTCTTTGCCTTCTTCTTTAGAAAAACCATCTTGTTCATTTTCTCTCTCTCCTCCTTCTTTTGCTTCTTCTTCTTCTCCTTCTTCGTTTCCGAATATTTCCGCCCTCGCTCGCTTATACTCTTCCTCTCGCGCTAACTGCAAGTTCTCGAGATTCATTTGCACCATCTTCTCCTCGTCGTCGTTTTCTGCGTGTTCTCCTTCTCCTTCTTCTTTGTTGTCTTCTTCCTTCTTTCCATTTTTTTTATCGTCCACCCCATTCTCCTCCTCCTCGTCGAGCTGCTCGTTTTTGTTGTTGTTGCACTTCTTCTTCGAACCGCCGCCGACGATGATATTCTTCGCGGACAACTTCTTCGTCGAGGGAGACGAAGACGAAGACGAAGACGAAGATGATGAAGACGTCGTCGTCGTCGTCGTCGTCGTCGTCGATGGGACCATTTAACAATAGTATATATATATTTCTAAGATTGTGTGATTTTAGTATGATTATGGTATGATGGTTTGAAAGTGGTATGATTGTATGACTTCGGTGTGATGGTTTGTAAGTTGTGTATGTGAGTGAAGAATTGCAAACAGTTGTAAAGGAAGCACACACACTTTTTCTCGTTTTCTTCAAACTCTGAAATACCACACAAAGCACTCTTAAAGTTTTCGGTTTTTGTAACTTTTTCATTTCACGACATGACTTGAGAACTTCCTGAAGACCTCTGAAGACCAGGTCACCAAACCTTCAGCCGTGATTAGGTTTGATGTTGTGTATCCTCGCGTCTCCCCTGAAGACCCTGAAGAGCAAAAGTGTTCTTTTTTATTCTTTCTTTTATCAATAATATTTAAAATATAAAAAGGTCTTCAGGGTCTTCATCAAAAGTACGAATAGGCACAAACTCAAACCAAATTGCGGCTGAAGACAACCCCTACACAATCTTCAGATTTTCAACACAAGTCTTCATGGTCTTCAGGAACGGCGGTGTTTGTTCACTTTTTTTCCAACCTTTAATAAATACGAACTTTACAAAAATATTTTTTTCTCGTCCTAACTTAAAAGAAAGAATGAGCTTTCGAGATGGCATAATTTTTAAAATAGCATCACCTCATACCGAAAAAATATACATAGGATGTTCGAGTCTCCCACTAAATCGGGCGGTTTCGGGGCTTCGTGCGAGCGCGAAGTTTCGCAAACTCTCGTGCAACATACTTTTCCAGGCGGGCGATATCCAAAGCGAAGTATTGGAAAAGTTCCAGAACATTACCGTTCTCGAAATGCGAAAGAAACTCGGCGCAATACAGACACAATACCTCGAAAAGTGCGTCAATACAAACAGAGCAGGGCGAACGAACGCAGACAGATACAGAGAAACAAAAAGGCAACTCGAAATGTACAGAGAAAACAAAGACATGTTCAACAGGAAACACGCTCTGAAGAATATGCGAATCAGGGGCTTACCGCCGAGACCTTCGACGATACTCAAATACAACATCACGGATGAAGAAATCGCAGACTGTTGTAAAAGAGTTTAATACGGTAAAAAAATATTCTCAGTAAGTAGTATATACAAAATGGAAACTGAACGAAAGTTGTTGAAAATCCCCTTAGGCTTCCGATCCAAAATACCCAGGCGAGGTATTTACGAATACCAACTTCCCGAGAACTTTGCAAAACATAACGCCTTGTGTAAGAGAGACGAGAACTACGGCATACTGATGGGTAAACCGAATAACGCGATATGCTTAGACTACGACATTTACGACCCAAACTGTAAGGACAAACAAAAATACACGCTCGAGTATTTTAAGAAAGTGTGTGGTGACGATGTTTACATTTCCAGGACGCCGAGCGGTGGATACCACGCGGTCTTTCGATACGAAGCTCGATTTGATACGTGGAAGAACGCGACGAAAATCAACGGGTTCATAGATATAAGAACCACAGGCGGGTACATTTGTGGAAACGGATGTGAGACAGAAAAGGGTTCTTACTGTCGTCTTAACGGGAACATTTTGAAACTCACAAATATGCCCGACACTTTATACGATATGGTTGAGGAGAACGCCAACTTCGCAAATCGGGAAAGAACAGAAACTAAACCAATGCACCAAAATATCGAGACACAAGGAATCTCAGGCGATATCAACACCGGGTTACAACACCTTGGATTCTCGGGCATATATTGGACGACAAGCTATGGTTTCAAGTGCGACCAAAACGCAGGAGAGTGTCCTTTGTGTGGGAAAGTTTCACACTTCTCGAACAACTTTCGCGTCACCAAACACGAATCAACCGGCGATTGGTACGTCGCCAACTTTAGCCGCGAATGTCGCTCGACCAAATTTATCCAGGGCACGAATAATAAACTTCCAAGCTTTGCTTTCATATTATAACACTCGATAAAATATGAACTTGGGAAAATAAAATCTTGCGCTATTATACTATGGAAGCATCCAAAAAAGAAGCAAACGTTTTACAAACGTACGAAGAATTGAAGATTGAGTTTGAGAATCACGCGTGTCGCGTTGATGATGTCTTATTGTATCCAGTACTGGATACCAAAAATGAACGCACACTGTACACTTTACTCCAACTGAAGGAGCGGTTTTCACACTTGAAATATTCGGAGGGGAAAACAGAACACAAGTTCGTCCAAGAGTGGGCGGACGACCCGAACAAGAAAGCGTTCAGAAAAATGGACGTCGTGCCTAAGGACTGTCCTCCCGACGTGTATAACTTATGGGAAGGATACGACATAGAGAAGAAGAAAATTGCGTCAGAGGAAACGGGGGACACCCAACCCTTTCTCGATTTGCTTTGGGATATGAGCGGAGGAGAGGAAAGTGTGCAAGAGTATCTTTTGAAGTGGATTGCTTTTCTATTTCAAAATCCCGAGAAGAAACCGAAGACAGCGTTGGTATTCCAATCGAAGGAAGGAAGTGGGAAGAACGAGTTTTGGGGGTTCGTTGGTAAACTTATGGGGAAGGCGACGTATTTGGAAACGTCCAACGCCGAGAGGGATATTTTTGAAAAGCATAGTTTGGCACTTCAAGGACGTAAACTTGTTTTCATAAACGAGATGAATAAGAATATACACAAAAATTACGAGGACCGAATGAAGGGTTTGATAACAGACGTTTCGCTCTATTTGCGTCCACTTCACAAACAGTCATTCGAGGTTGATAACTTGGCAGGGTTCATACTCGCAGGCAACAGTCGTCTCTTAGTTTTGGTGAAGAAAGAGGAGCGACGTTTTGTTTTGGTCGAAGTCCGTGGTGGCTATTTGCCGAACACACCTAACCATAAACCGTTTTGGTCGAACTGGTTTCGATGGAAGAACGAGGAGCAGAACCAACTCGCCGTGTATAAGTACCTGATGAGTATAGAGACGAGCGAGGAGTATATCATCACGAGGCGTCCGAAAACGCGGTACTATCGAGAGACGATCCAAAAGTGTCTCCCTCCTGAAATCAAGTGGTTGGAACACTTTGTTTGCGAAGAGTTCCCGCAGACGTTCTGTTCTAAGAACAGAGGTTTGTATAAATTACACCCAACGTACGACTCCAAAGTTTCTTCGGGTACCCTCGTATCGAGTTATACAGCTTTTATTCGGGGCTGGAAAATGTCGGAACCGACGGATGCGCAGTTTGGGAACAAAATAAAAGATATGGTCGAGCGTGAAGGTTTGCCTTTCACGAAAGGAAGGAACGAATATGGACGCGTCGCCTGGATATTCTCGAGACGTGGTGTGTATGATTGGCTGACAGAAAAGGAATACACGGAATACCTATTGGGAAACGAAGACGACGAGTACGGTGGAATGACACCTCCGGTGAGAACGGAGTACTAGGAGAAAGAAAGCGTATTTAACTAAATAATGACACCCATTGTAAGATACTATTTTAATTCACGATACTAACTTAGAATGAAGACGAATAGCGAATCCCTCCACGACCCCTCTTACTCTATAAACTCGCCTTCGGCGATGCTATACCAGAAGAAAAATACGCGAAACTTCGTATCGGTATTGAAAGTATTTTTGGAAACATAAAAAATACGACGAAGGGGACTTCGTCTCTTTATTAAAAGTAAAAGTGCTTTTGATAAATCAAATCACCAATACTCGTCCTTGCTTTGCGCGTTGTTTTGCTGACGACGAATAGAGAATCCCTCCGCGACCCCTCTTACTCTATAAACTCGCCTTCGTACCAGAAGAAAGTTCGTACCTATATCGAAAGTATTCTTGAAAACATAAAAAATACGACGAAGGGGATGAAAGTGCTTTTGAGAAATCAAATCACCACTACCCGTCCCTTCTTTGCTTTCTTCTTTGCCTCTTCTTCACGTTTCCTCTTCTCGAGTACTCTCGACCGCGTTTGTATCATTTCGGGTTCCTCGTAGACGAGTTTCCTCTCGTCAATTTTAATCATATTTTCGACGAGTAGGGGTTGGATTTTGCGCACGTACAACTCGGTAGCGAGCGGCGAGTGTTTCATGGTCTCAGATAATTTCATCACATCTTCTTCCTTGATTTTTTGCGAGATGTACGCGTGGCGCAGAAGGTTAATCGCACCGGGCGTTTTGGTTTGTCCCTGAACTTTACCGTCCTTTATCCCAGCCTCGACCAACCACGCGGCGATTGTCGCGGACATTTTACCGTCCTTGCCGAACGTGCCGAATAGGTGTTCGCCGTTTTTGAGTCGGTGTTTTGCGATGTAGTTTGAAATAAGTTTGGACGTCGCATCGCTGAATCGAACCACGACCCGTCCAAAAAAATCCATCGTTTTATACACGTTCAAATATATCGTCCAAACTCCGTTCTTTTTGACGATATAGTTCATCGTTTTCTCGACGTTGCCCGTCATATTTGGCGGGTTGATGACGAGGTTTCCTAAATCGTCTCGACTCGGGAACTCCTCGTAGACGGAAATGTAGAGGAACTCCTTACTCTCGCGTCCGAACGTATCTTTGAATATTTTTTTAATATCCGTGAACCCGTATTTGATTGTGTATTTTCTTTTATCGGCGATATACGAGTCCGCTTTCTTTTTCGTGACGGCGTTGAAATTGTTGAGCCAATTCAAATCGGTCTGGAACTCGGGTAAAAGTCCCGGGAAGTTTCGGTAGAGCACATAGAGCGCCTGGTTGGTCGAGAGCGTCGTCGAGGGGTTCGACGCTTCTTTATCGCGTAACCTTTTGAGTATCGGTCCGATGCGTTCTTTTCTCAAACACCTACGAACGTCCTTCAAACACTCCGGTGGGAGAAACCTCGTGAAGAAGAGATAGACTTGTCCCGATTTCCAATCGTTCTCTTTCCCGAACCGCATTTGTATGGTGGTTTCCTTCGCCTTTTTACCCGTGATGTTGATTACCCACGAGGTTGGTTGTCCGTCGGCACCTCTATTCCACACGTAATCGTGGAACGTCTTTAGAGCAAACTGTTGCCCCGGCGGAACTTTGAGTATTTTTCCACGCTGTTCGACCATAAGTTTTTTGAACGATTGGACGAGTTTCTGTTCGTCTTCTTTTACGTTTTCGGTGAGTTGTTGTTGCTCGAGATACTGTGCTTGTATGCGTTTGGTTTCCTCGTTGACGGCTAAAGTTGGTGCGTACGCGGACGGCGCGAACGCGACGACGAGCGGCGGGTGATTGCCCTCTTTTCGTATCGCGTTTACCTCGGCGTTCGATATGTCGTATTTTTTGGTCGTGTTCTGCTGAGGAATTGAGCCTTCGCGGATTCTATCGAGTATACGTTTCCTGTTGAAATTGTACTTGTTCGTGTCGTCGCTCATACGCTTACGCATGGCAACGGCGGATTGTTTTGTCGAGTATGTGGTGTTCATATACATCATACCAACATTTTATTTCACGAAGATTGTCCTGGTATTTTTGATTTTTTTTTCTCAGGCTAAAGTACCAGAAAAATATGGCTCCCAAGAAATCCAAAGTTAAGAAACCAAAAGTGAAGAGAAGCATCACCCAGCCTGCGAAAAGCATAATCGAGCGAACCATTTGCTCGCACCCTATGTTGAAGCGCGTCCAGAAGGAGGTGCGCGAGCTGAAGAAGAAATCGACGAAAAAGTATAAAAAATAAGTAGGTATCACATAGTTTCAACGTATTTTCTACACGGTGCGTTCAAAGTATTTTTTTTGTGAGCGAGCCATATATTTTTGGTTTGCCGTCCTTCTTTTTTTCGTCGAACCAAATCAAATCTTATCCCGAATAAAAACCCTCACTTTTCAAGCGCGTACGACGGCACTTCAAAACAAGTACACGTACCTAAACGCGGTAAAAAGAAGTATCAACACTTCCTCTACCCCGTTAATTATCTTAATCAACGAAAGTCGCCTTCGGCTCCACTCGTAAGTAAAGAAATAGAAACCGATTTTAATCGTCGTCGTTTTTTTTCCGGAGGTCGTGAAAAGTTCCCGAAGTCGCGGAAGTTGAGGTATACAACTTTTTTCATTCCTCACTTTCTTCAGTCCCACAAATTTCTAAACTTCACCTGTGTGGAGATGAAAGTCGTAAGCTTGTTCTCCGGCATAGGTGGCCTCGACCTTGGTTTAGAACAGGCTGGTCACGAAGTGATTTTGCAAGTAGAGAACGATCCTCACTGCTTGCAGGTGTTACAGCGCCACTTTCCCGGAAGAGAGATTCGGCGGGACGTGGCTGAGCTGACAGAACTTCCCGCGGAAACTGAATTGCTTGCCGCGGGCTTTCCGTGCGAGGTACGGCATATTTTCATAACGTATTTTCCATCTAATCCTTTCAAAGGATGTGAGCATAATGAACCCTAACCGACCAGGACTCCAGGGCAGCCGCACTGCACTATGCTCTCATATATTTCGCTTACTTCGCAAAAATCGCGCGCCTTGGGTACTCCTGGAAAATGTTCCAGGCTTGCAGATGTGGCATCTTACCGTTGATCCGCCTCAAGAGCCTGCCATTGCACATATTGTACACGAACTAGAAAGTTTAGGTTACAGCTGGGCTCATCGCATTATCAGTTTATCTGCTTTCGGTTTACCGCAGCGTCGTCATCGCGTATTTATTGTTGCTACTCTTCATGGTGATCCTCGAGATGTGCTTCTTTCGACAGAGAGTATTTGTAAGGGCCAGTGTATTAATCTGAGCAAAGCGGAAAGCAAAGAGAAATCGCCAGCTGAGTGTTATGAGTGCTTTATGACACCTCCGCACGTCACACCTACGATTTCAGTCACCTGTGTCGACCTTGCTGAGAAACGGTACGGTCCAGTTGCGCATGAAATTTGCACACTCACTGCATCCAATGGGAGGCGTCTGTGTATGGTTGAAGATCTTGGTGATGGTAGAGGTCATGCGTTCAGGCTCGAGATTGAAGATGCAGAACGTTTAAATGGCTTCCCGGTAGGATGGACAGAGACTTGTTTCCCACTAATGATACCTGGTCGTCCATGGATGAAAGCAGTTGATAGCCATCGGAGCTGTATCAAACGTATTGAGTTACTTGGTCGCGCGGTGGCAATACCACAGGCTCGATGGATAGGGCAACGACTTATGAGCCCTTATGAAATCAAATTCTCCCGAGAAAGCGACGGCATCAATTTTTCTGAACCAGTTCCTGGTCTTTCAAGCATTACGAGAGAAGATTCCGGAACAGAAGCTAAACTTCGCGCATGGCCTTTGGCTGCATGGAATATTCTTTCTAGTCCAGAAAACATTCAGTTGTGTTCAAAATATGACCAAGCCGCTTCATTGTGGCGCAGTAGACGAGGCCTTAAACGCATGTCAAATACGCCAGAGATTTTTTCTTTCATACCGTTGGGCGAGTTTTTGTCTTCTCAACGTCGAAATATTGACGCGGAAAAACTCTTAGACTTTAAAGTGCGTGCTGAAAAAAGCAACATAGAACTTATGCCATTCATCTCCGCAGCGTTTGGGATGCAGCCGCGTGGGAAGCGAAAGGGTAAACAAAGTGAGCAAGTAAAAACGAAATTAGATACCGAGCGAGCTGGAGGTGAATGCGCTGGAGAGCTAGTCTGGATATCAACAAAAGTAAGTAAGAGAGAATGCTTTTGGCCTGGAATCGCTCTACATCTTGATAGAGATCGAGATGTCATCCCAAGCTATGCAATAGAAAAGATCAAACCTAATCAGTCGTCTAGTTTGCACAGGATGGTTGTTTATTTCGCGGAGGAGTCTTATGAATGGTTGAGGTCAGATCGTATGCTTCCCTTCCGTGAGCACTTTGACGAGTTTGAAGGGCAGCCCTTGCTGGTATCGAGAGCAAAATATCAAAGGGCAGTCGAGTTGGCTTTGGAGTGGCAGATGCATCAAGACAGTAGTGTCGAAAAACTCTATGATGTGCACCTACGCGAGGCGCGTGCGAAGGAGGTGGAAAAACTTCACCAAAAAATTGGAAACCTGAGCGACACCCCTAATATAAGTTGTGGTATTTGTATCATCTGCCAGTCAAGAAAGAATGACTTAGATGTGACTCCATCGAGCAAGAGTAGCAACCTGAGAGCAAGTACACGACAAAGGAGAACGTCCCCCTTGAAGGGGGTACAAGCAGGGCAGAGCTGTCCTCAACTTCGGGTAAGTCTTTCTCGGTAACTTATACATATTCTGACATTTATAATATCGTTTTTCTCCTTGCAGATACTGGCAGCAGCGAGGAAAGGATTGGTTAGTGCTCAACTTGCTTTGCTGCGAGAGCAAGCTGTGGGTCGACGCGTTGAAATATATTGGCATGCTGATAAAAAGTTTTATCCCGCGACGATTACTGCTTTCGACGATCAACACTACTCACATCGAATAGAGCACGATGATGGAGATATAGAACCCGCAGCAAAGCTATGGGAGATGCGTGTCAATCTTCTCGTAGATAATTCCGGTGTATGATCGATTTACAACAACAACAACCCGGTTCTTTGTTGATATAATAATGAGTCTGGAATCAGTCGCATATCGCCTTCGCGCTCGTAGAACACGGTCTAACAATTTGTTAGGGGTTTTGGTGCCGGAGAAGCTTCTCCATTTTTATTACGAGAGTACTCACAAGGCGTGAGAGAGAACAGTCTTAAATTACACTCATATTTTATATAATTTAATGAACACCTAACCAAAATTGCCATTATTTTTGACACATATACCCGTATTTTTTCAATGGATGCACCTAAAATTGTAAATTTACGAAAATCGTGCGATAAAAGAAGCATATTCACGAAAACAGCTTTGTTGAAACATTTTTCTCGCCAGATATTTTTGGTTTGCCCTCCTCCTTCTTTTTGTCGTGTGTCTTTTGGATACGAATCTTTTCCAGAAGAAATAACCTCACTTTTTAAGCGCGTACGGCATCACTTCAAAACAAGTGCTCGTACCTAAACGCGGTAAAAAGAAGTATCGACACTTCCTCTACCCCGTTAATCATCTTAATCAACGAAAGTCGCCTTCGGCTCCACTCGTAAGTAAAGAAATAGAAACCGATTTTTTTCGTCGTCGTTTTTCCAAAAGTCGCGAAAAGTTCCCGAAGTTGCGGACCTTAGTATAGTTTGCGGAGTTGGGTGTTGGTTGCGGAAGTTTGCGAGAGTTGGGGAAACGCGTGGGGAGAAAATGAGACTTCCTCTCGCGCTCGCGCTGTATATCTTCGTAGGCAATGCCTCGGCAGCGACGCAGGCGGATCTCAACGCCGCTCTGGATCACAAGCAGGATGCTTTGAACGAATTCAAGCTGAGCCTCGAGACCGCCGCGGTCGACATCAACACCGGCACGTTCGACAACTCGACGTGCGAGATCTACTCCTCGTGCAGCGCCGAGCTGAGCGAGCCGTTTTGCCACTTCAATTATGGCAACTCCAGAGGCTGCGGGTGCAACGCGGGCAGGACGATCGACACGAGGAACAGCGTCATCAAGACCTCCCCGAACCTTGGCGCGAGCGACTACTCTGTGAAACGCACTGCGTGCGAAGCGAATCACATCAACGCCAACCTGACGAGTCTATACGACAGTATGATCGAGCTGGGCGACGCGAAATGGCTCTTCTACGGGTCGAAGGACGGGATCCTGATCAACTTCCCGGGCATCGTCTGGGACGAGGACATCGCGGAGGACACGTGTGGCACCACCTACGATGCCCGCATCCGCCCCTGGCACATGACCGGCGCAACCGGACCCAAGAACGTGATCCTAATCCTGGACACCTCTGGTAGTATGTCCTCATACAATCGCATCTGCATGCTCAAGCAAGCGGCGAAGGCCGTGCTCGACGCGACCACGTTTGCCGATTTCATCGGTATTGTCGAGTTCAACAGCTACGCAAGTACCTATGCCGATCTCACCACCCTGGCCCGTGCCATGCCGGAGTTTAAGGAGATTCTCTTCGGATTTATCGATGGATTCAGCCCCAGCGGAAGCACAAACATGCTTGACGGGTTTAAAAGGGCGTTCAAGCTCGTGGACGACTCGAACGAGAAGAACTATGGCGCGGGATGTCACACAACCTACGTTTTGGTGACGGACGGCGAATGGACAGGAGACGGCAACCCCACGAGTACCATCACGGATAGACAGATCACTCACAGCGACGAACACTTCTTTGTCGTTGGCCTCGGCGATGGTGTGGACGCGCAGGGCCTCAAAGACCTCTCGTGCAAGACGGGCGCCATCTACACCCAAGCGAATGACGGCGACGAGTCAGGTCTGCAGCGCTCGATGATATCCTTCTACAAGTACTACGCCCTCTTCAAGACTCTCAACAAGGTCGAAGGCTACTCGTGGTCTGAGCCGTACGAGTCGATTCCCAGCATCTGGGGGAAGATGACCACGGTTGTTGCTCCAGTGTACGACAAGACCCGTGAGCCGTGGCACATGATGGGAGTCGCCGGGGTGGATGCCACCGTTTGCGACCTGCTCCAGAATAAAGTTCCAGATCCAACCGGTTCCACCAGGACCCAGAGGGGGTGTACCTGCCGAGAGACGTACACGTACCATGAAAAGATGTTTTCAGGTTGCACGACCACGGACTGGCCGGTGCCCTGGTGCGCAACCTCGGGCATCTGCGGCTCGTGCAATACGGATAGCGTCGAGGGAGGATGCTGGGACGACTGTGAGCCGGAGGGCAAGGAGGGCGTGTTGCAGGAAGAGCTCCTGGCCCGTTCGACGGGTTGGTGCGAACCCGCCTCGCTCGACGTATGCGCGCTCGAGGCTCTGAGACTGAGCGTGGGCGAATCCAAGTGCGGCTCGAGTGAAATTAAATTTAACTACGCCAGCTGCACAGACGCGGACATCACATACTACTCGTGGGCCATCGACGGGCCCCAGGATCCGGACTCCACCACCTACAATCTCAAGTCCGTCCAATCGAGCTTGCAAGGCACATTGTACGACATGAACGCGGACGAGTGCGAGTGCGACGACACCATGCAACCGACGTGCGCGTGTGCGGCGATCAAGGAAATAAATCAGAGGAGCAAGACCTGCAGTGGCGGGGACTCCTCCCGTCTCAACATGGGGCTTCTCTTTGGCATTCTCATACCATGCCTGCTTTGCTGTTTTGGCTTTATATGGAAGATAATTTGCAGGAAGAAGCGGGTGCCGCCACAGGTACAAGTCACGCACCATGTGATACACAGCAGTGGGCCTTCGGTGCCGGGCATGCCGGCTTCATACGCTCAGCCTCAACAATGGTCTCCTGCGCAGGCTACAGCACCTCCGCAGGGGTACACTTACCAACCGGCTACAGCATCTCCTCAGGGGCACACTTACCCAGCACCTCCGCAACCATATTACCCCAAAGTGTAAAGGTCGAATTGACTTCCATTTATGTACAGATAAAGCTTCTGAGTTGCTCGCAAAATATGTATTAAAGAAGAATTCCACGCTCGTGCGTGTCCTTTTGAGCTTACTCTTGGTGGTAAGACTTGGGTTGTTATGCTTCCAAAAATGGTAACCCCGAGTGTTTGCAATATTTACACGAAAGCGGATGTCCTAAGGGTGTGGTGGATACTTTTTTTCGGGAATGCGCAAGCTTTCAAATCACTTAAAAGATACGGTGAACGATTTGAGTTTGTCGTTTAATAAATAAAGAAGTACTTAGAGGGCGCAAGTGAAAACGCGTTTTTGCTCTTTTTCAAGACGAGGAAAACAAGGAAAATGGAAACTTAGTTTTTCCGTTTTGTTTTGAGTACTCGTACGACACCGATGAGTATAAGTGCTACAGTAAGCATTTTAGCGATGAGATTGTAGAAGACGAGTTCGCGTATTTCATAGTTGAAAATTACGAGCGGTCGTGTAGGAATGTAAAAGAGGTACTTAAAAGGCGTGAGTAAAAACACCTTTGAACTACCGTGTATTTTTAAATTTTAATTTATTACGCTTCGTAGTAGGGGTTGGTGAACTGAGGGTGTAAAGCATAACTCGCCATAACATAGACAACCGCGGCGTTCTCAGTCGTTTCACGGCTCGTAGATGATGTATCGGATACTGATGTCCCAAATGTACTGTGGGTTGTAGTTGTGTTTGTGTCAAACCATTTTTTCGTCGTCCAATTGTACGCAATAAAATACTGACTATCTGCTGTGTCAAGCGATATTTTGTATTCATAATAAGTGTTAGTGTTATTTGTTGCTTGGTGAATATAAGAAGCTGGATTCCAAACACCACCAATTAGTGATATACTGGTAATAAGAGTTGGCTGGGTTGGTGTAGAAGACGAGCCTTGCTGTATCATAGACACGAAACTACTCGCCCAACTGCCCGATATTACTGAAGCTGGTACATCACCAGATGTGTATGTGTTTGGAAAGCTCCATCCATTTACCCACGCACCAAAATCGTAGTATCCAATAGCTATACTGTTCGCAACAGCGGTCGCACTAATAGTGGCGTGTGTTGCGAAATCTGGTTCAAGACTATCGTCATTAATATACCAATTCGTTCCGTCGTAGGTGATTTCCATAGTTCCGCCATCGGGGACAGATGGGTTTGTAGCGTCCCAAGTAAAAGTCCAGGTCGGGGTTGATGGCGTGTTAGATGAGGGCGCTTCATTAACCCACGCACCAGCTACATTCCATTGAATATACCAATTATCACTATTTCTCTGGAACTTAACTACACCATTTGTGATAGATGAAGTCCAACCTCCATTAATAGCATCCAAATACATCCAACCTTGTCCTGAATTAGTTGGTTGCGTGGGGTCATATAGGATTTTATGATTATGATGTCCCACAATGGACCAACTATATTTATCAACTACGGTGTTCCAAGGAGATGGATATGTTGTGTCCCACCCATTATTATCCGCATTGGAACCATTGGTATTATTTGTGCCTCCTGTCTCTTTTACAACGGATTCATTAATCCAGGCACCGCCTGTAATTGTAAAGTCCTGTCTTAATTCAATAGCGTTCGGGTCGGTAAGCGTAATCGTTTCCGTACCGATACTCGCCCCGTTCAAAAGTTTCGTGTATGTCTTTTCACCGTACAAAGTTTCCGTCCAAGTTAAGGTCACGGTCGTATCGCCCGTCGTGAAAGTATGTCCGTCAAGGTGCGCGTCGCTCGCATCGTGTATCATAAAAGTATAGTAGGGGTCGGGATTGACGATGTTCGTGAGTGTTGCCGTAATCGCCAAGTCGTCTTTCGTTAGAGCAATATCAAATGTTGGTGTTGGTGGTGGAGTGTATGTTGCCGAATAAGTATCGGTTTGTGTTCCGTTCAATTTAACAACATAATTGAAAGTTGCGTAAGAAGTTTCGGTTTGGGTAAAAGTGAAACTGGTTTCTCCATCCGCCAAAGTGTGTGTTTGTAAAACAGTTCCATCGTCTCTTTCTAAGGTAATCGCGAACGAGTTGTGCGCGTTCGTAATGCTGGTGATACTTGCCGTGAGTGTAAGTTCGTTCGTGCTGAACGAAGCTGTGTAAGTAGGGGTTGGTCTCACATAGGTTTCTGTGTGTGTTGAGACTTCTGTCGTACCAAGTTTTAACTGGTAGGTAAAAGTTCCATACCCCGTCTCGGTAAATGTGAGTGATGTGTTAGTCTCTCCTTCTGTGAATTGATGGGTCGCAAGAGTCGTTTCGTCGTCTCTACAAAGATACGCGTAGAACTCGGAATGTGCGCCCGTGATACTTGAGAGGTCGGCGTTGATGGTAAGACCCGATTTCGTCCAACTGGTTGTAAAAGTTGGTTCGGGGCGAAGAAACAGTTGAGTATGTGTTGCTATAACTGTATCCACAAAATAGCTTTCGGGTGAGATATTCGGGTTGGATGTTGAAGTTGTCGTCCATTTGGATAGGAGCAACTTATAATCGTATGTCCCGTAGTCCAGTTCTGTAAATTGAAGGAAGAACGGTGTTCCGTCGTTGAGTACTTGCGTATCTAAAATTGTGTCGTCAAGTCTCGCCAATCGTACAGAATAACTGTCGTGTAGATTTACAATATTTTCTATACCACACGATATTCTTTTCGGTGTATTTGAAAAGAAGTTCGTGGTAAAACTTGGAGTATCGGGTTCGTATGTTCGTGTAAATGAACTTTGTACCACGCCATCTAACCGAATAGTGTATGTATATGTGTATGTGTATGTGTATGTGTGTGTATATGTTAGTTCGTGCCTTCATCGTGTTGTAAAGTATGATTACCTAACGAACCACTTGTGAGCGTTGCTAAAATACTACCATCGTCTCGGGTTAAAGTTATAACTTCAGTCCCGTCGCCATCTTGAATACCAACCAGATTCGCTTGAATGATTCCGCCATTTGTCGCCCAGCTTACGGTAAATGAAATCGGGGTCGTTGGGTCGGGGTCGGGTCCGGGTTCGGGCGTTGTTCCGTCCTGTCCCGTTTCGTAGTGTGTGAGTAAGTTGCCGAAGTTTCGTCGGCTTGAAGCAAACAAAGTTGGTCGCTTAATTATCCTTCTGTTTATGAAGGTCATTCTTCGTCTATATTAATGGAAGGTATTTAATTCTATGAGACTTTCAATCACATCACCTAACGGTATTGCTGGAGGACTTTCGTCTTTGGAGTATATGCGGAAACCATCAAAATATTTCCCAATTTCGTCATTACCTCGGAAGACTCTGTATCTGTTTGAACTGACTGTGTTTCCAGTTATTTCACGAAACTGAGTGGGATAATACGCGGGGTTTCCAGCTGTTTCAAACACGGAATTATCCATACTCATTTCCACCCACCCGTTGTTTGTGGCGGCAGATACATACCAAGATTGGTATGCTGAACTTGTACCTGTTGCCCCATCTGTCCTTCGCACGGCTTCTATCCATTGAAAGCCATTTGTTCACAAAAGCGTTTCTTGTTTTCAGAACAATTCTCAAGAGCCCAAGATAAGGTCGACTTCGTGAAAAAATCTCGAGTCTTGAAGGAAGTACACAAGCGCTCACTCGAACGTTTTATAGCCATTCGGCTTTCACTATTGCAGTCGTAGAAAAACTTAACATCGTTACAACTCAGCTTCGGCAAGATGAAGTTATCAAAAATATCTGGATAATCCAGCACGATTCGCCATAATTTATCGGGTTTGCTATGTACCCGCTTGGCTGTTGATGCCTCCACTTCAAACCTTCTTTTTTTAGACATAAAGTTTGAGCTAAAGACAAAGAAGAGTGTATCAAAGTTAATAAAGACCAATCCTACGCACCCCCCCCGCGACGGACAATCTCATTTATCTCTCCCCCAAACGAACGCCACCTCCGCAAAACTATACTAAGGTCCGCAACTTCGGGAACTTTTCGCGACTTCGGGAAAAACGACGACGAAAAAAATCGGTTTCTATTTCTTTACTTACGAGTGGAGCCGAAGGCGACTTTCGTTGATTAAGATGATTAACGGGGTAGAGGAAGTGTCGATACTTCTTTTTACCGCGTTTAGGTACGAGCACTTGTTTTGAAGTGATGCCGTACGCGCTTAAAAAGTGAGGTTATTTCTTCTGGAAAAGATTCGTATCCAAAAGACACACGACAAAAAGAAGGAGGAGGGCAAACCAAAAATATCTGGCGAGAAAAATGTTTCAACAAAGCTGTTTTCGTGAATATGCTTCTTTTATCGCACGATTTTCGTAAATTTACAATTTTAGGTGCATCCATTGAAAAAATACGGGTATATGTGTCAAAAATAATGGCAATTTTGGTTAGGTGTTCATTAAATTATATAAAATATGAGTGTAATTTAAGACTGTTCTCTCTCACGCCTTGTGAGTACTCTCGTAATAAAAATGGAGAAGCTTCTCCGGCACCAAAACCCCTAACAAATTGTTAGACCGTGTTCTACGAGCGCGAAGGCGATATGCGACTGATTCCAGACTCATTATTATATCAACAAAGAACCGGGTTGTTGTTGTTGTAAATCGATCATACACCGGAATTATCTACGAGAAGATTGACACGCATCTCCCATAGCTTTGCTGCGGGTTCTATATCTCCATCATCGTGCTCTATTCGATGTGAGTAGTGTTGATCGTCGAAAGCAGTAATCGTCGCGGGATAAAACTTTTTATCAGCATGCCAATATATTTCAACGCGTCGACCCACAGCTTGCTCTCGCAGCAAAGCAAGTTGAGCACTAACCAATCCTTTCCTCGCTGCTGCCAGTATCTGCAAGGAGAAAAACGATATTATAAATGTCAGAATATGTATAAGTTACCGAGAAAGACTTACCCGAAGTTGAGGACAGCTCTGCCCTGCTTGTACCCCCTTCAAGGGGGACGTTCTCCTTTGTCGTGTACTTGCTCTCAGGTTGCTACTCTTGCTCGATGGAGTCACATCTAAGTCATTCTTTCTTGACTGGCAGATGATACAAATACCACAACTTATATTAGGGGTGTCGCTCAGGTTTCCAATTTTTTGGTGAAGTTTTTCCACCTCCTTCGCACGCGCCTCGCGTAGGTGCACATCATAGAGTTTTTCGACACTACTGTCTTGATGCATCTGCCACTCCAAAGCCAACTCGACTGCCCTTTGATATTTTGCTCTCGATACCAGCAAGGGCTGCCCTTCAAACTCGTCAAAGTGCTCACGGAAGGGAAGCATACGATCTGACCTCAACCATTCATAAGACTCCTCCGCGAAATAAACAACCATCCTGTGCAAACTAGACGACTGATTAGGTTTGATCTTTTCTATTGCATAGCTTGGGATGACATCTCGATCTCTATCAAGATGTAGAGCGATTCCAGGCCAAAAGCATTCTCTCTTACTTACTTTTGTTGATATCCAGACTAGCTCTCCAGCGCATTCACCTCCAGCTCGCTCGGTATCTAATTTCGTTTTTACTTGCTCACTTTGTTTACCCTTTCGCTTCCCACGCGGCTGCATCCCAAACGCTGCGGAGATGAATGGCATAAGTTCTATGTTGCTTTTTTCAGCACGCACTTTAAAGTCTAAGAGTTTTTCCGCGTCAATATTTCGACGTTGAGAAGACAAAAACTCGCCCAACGGTATGAAAGAAAAAATCTCTGGCGTATTTGACATGCGTTTAAGGCCTCGTCTACTGCGCCACAATGAAGCGGCTTGGTCATATTTTGAACACAACTGAATGTTTTCTGGACTAGAAAGAATATTCCATGCAGCCAAAGGCCATGCGCGAAGTTTAGCTTCTGTTCCGGAATCTTCTCTCGTAATGCTTGAAAGACCAGGAACTGGTTCAGAAAAATTGATGCCGTCGCTTTCTCGGGAGAATTTGATTTCATAAGGGCTCATAAGTCGTTGCCCTATCCATCGAGCCTGTGGTATTGCCACCGCGCGACCAAGTAACTCAATACGTTTGATACAGCTCCGATGGCTATCAACTGCTTTCATCCATGGACGACCAGGTATCATTAGTGGGAAACAAGTCTCTGTCCATCCTACCGGGAAGCCATTTAAACGTTCTGCATCTTCAATCTCGAGCCTGAACGCATGACCTCTACCATCACCAAGATCTTCAACCATACACAGACGCCTCCCATTGGATGCAGTGAGTGTGCAAATTTCATGCGCAACTGGACCGTACCGTTTCTCAGCAAGGTCGACACAGGTGACTGAAATCGTAGGTGTGACGTGCGGAGGTGTCATAAAGCACTCATAACACTCAGCTGGCGATTTCTCTTTGCTTTCCGCTTTGCTCAGATTAATACACTGGCCCTTACAAATACTCTCTGTCGAAAGAAGCACATCTCGAGGATCACCATGAAGAGTAGCAACAATAAATACGCGATGACGACGCTGCGGTAAACCGAAAGCAGATAAACTGATAATGCGATGAGCCCAGCTGTAACCTAAACTTTCTAGTTCGTGTACAATATGTGCAATGGCAGGCTCTTGAGGCGGATCAACGGTAAGATGCCACATCTGCAAGCCTGGAACATTTTCCAGGAGTACCCAAGGCGCGCGATTTTTGCGAAGTAAGCGAAATATATGAGAGCATAGTGCAGTGCGGCTGCCCTGGAGTCCTGGTCGGTTAGGGTTCATTATGCTCACATCCTTCGAAAGGATTAGATGGAAAATACGTTATGAAAATATGCCGTACCTCGCACGGAAAGCCCGCGGCAAGCAATTCAGTTTCCGCGGGAAGTTCTGTCAGCTCAGCCACGTCCCGCCGAATCTCTCTTCCGGGAAAGTGGCGCTGTAACACCTGCAAGCAGTGAGGATCGTTCTCTACTTGCAAAATCACTTCGTGACCAGCCTGTTCTAAACCAAGGTCGAGGCCACCTATGCCGGAGAACAAGCTTACGACTTTCATCTCCACACAGGTGAAGTTTAGAAATTTGTGGGACTGAAGAAAGTGAGGAATGAAAAAAGTTGTATACCTCAACTTCCGCGACTTCGGGAACTTTTCACGACCTCCGGAAAAAAAACGACGACGATTAAAATCGGTTTCTATTTCTTTACTTACGAGTGGAGCCGAAGGCGACTTTCGTTGATTAAGATAATTAACGGGGTAGAGGAAGTGTTGATACTTCTTTTTACCGCGTTTAGGTACGTGTACTTGTTTTGAAGTGCCGTCGTACGCGCTTGAAAAGTGAGGGTTTTTATTCGGGATAAGATTTGATTTGGTTCGACGAAAAAAAGAAGGACGGCAAACCAAAAATATATGGCTCGCTCACAAAAAAAATACTTTGAACGCACCGTGTAGAAAATACGTTGAAACTATGTGATACCTACTTATTTTTTATACTTTTTCGTCGATTTCTTCTTCAGCTCGCGCACCTCCTTCTGGACGCGCTTCAACATAGGGTGCGAGCAAATGGTTCGCTCGATTATGCTTTTCGCAGGCTGGGTGATGCTTCTCTTCACTTTTGGTTTCTTAACTTTGGATTTCTTGGGAGCCATATTTTTCTGGTACTTTAGCCTGAGAAAAAAAAATCAAAAATACCAGGACAATCTTCGTGAAATAAAATGTTGGTATGATGTATATGAACACCACATACTCGACAAAACAATCCGCCGTTGCCATGCGTAAGCGTATGAGCGACGACACGAACAAGTACAATTTCAACAGGAAACGTATACTCGATAGAATCCGCGAAGGCTCAATTCCTCAGCAGAACACGACCAAAAAATACGACATATCGAACGCCGAGGTAAACGCGATACGAAAAGAGGGCAATCACCCGCCGCTCGTCGTCGCGTTCGCGCCGTCCGCGTACGCACCAACTTTAGCCGTCAACGAGGAAACCAAACGCATACAAGCACAGTATCTCGAGCAACAACAACTCACCGAAAACGTAAAAGAAGACGAACAGAAACTCGTCCAATCGTTCAAAAAACTTATGGTCGAACAGCGTGGAAAAATACTCAAAGTTCCGCCGGGGCAACAGTTTGCTCTAAAGACGTTCCACGATTACGTGTGGAATAGAGGTGCCGACGGACAACCAACCTCGTGGGTAATCAACATCACGGGTAAAAAGGCGAAGGAAACCACCATACAAATGCGGTTCGGGAAAGAGAACGATTGGAAATCGGGACAAGTCTATCTCTTCTTCACGAGGTTTCTCCCACCGGAGTGTTTGAAGGACGTTCGTAGGTGTTTGAGAAAAGAACGCATCGGACCGATACTCAAAAGGTTACGCGATAAAGAAGCGTCGAACCCCTCGACGACGCTCTCGACCAACCAGGCGCTCTATGTGCTCTACCGAAACTTCCCGGGACTTTTACCCGAGTTCCAGACCGATTTGAATTGGCTCAACAATTTCAACGCCGTCACGAAAAAGAAAGCGGACTCGTATATCGCCGATAAAAGAAAATACACAATCAAATACGGGTTCACGGATATTAAAAAAATATTCAAAGATACGTTCGGACGCGAGAGTAAGGAGTTCCTCTACATTTCCGTCTACGAGGAGTTCCCGAGTCGAGACGATTTAGGAAACCTCGTCATCAACCCGCCAAATATGACGGGCAACGTCGAGAAAACGATGAACTATATCGTCAAAAAGAACGGAGTTTGGACGATATATTTGAACGTGTATAAAACGATGGATTTTTTTGGACGGGTCGTGGTTCGATTCAGCGATGCGACGTCCAAACTTATTTCAAACTACATCGCAAAACACCGACTCAAAAACGGCGAACACCTATTCGGCACGTTCGGCAAGGACGGTAAAATGTCCGCGACAATCGCCGCGTGGTTGGTCGAGGCTGGGATAAAGGACGGTAAAGTTCAGGGACAAACCAAAACGCCCGGTGCGATTAACCTTCTGCGCCACGCGTACATCTCGCAAAAAATCAAGGAAGAAGATGTGATGAAATTATCTGAGACCATGAAACACTCGCCGCTCGCTACCGAGTTGTACGTGCGCAAAATCCAACCCCTACTCGTCGAAAATATGATTAAAATTGACGAGAGGAAACTCGTCTACGAGGAACCCGAAATGATACAAACGCGGTCGAGAGTACTCGAGAAGAGGAAACGTGAAGAAGAGGCAAAGAAGAAAGCAAAGAAGGGACGGGTAGTGGTGATTTGATTTCTCAAAAGCACTTTCATCCCCTTCGTCGTATTTTTTATGTTTTCAAGAATACTTTCGATATAGGTACGAACTTTCTTCTGGTACGAAGGCGAGTTTATAGAGTAAGAGGGGTCGCGGAGGGATTCTCTATTCGTCGTCAGCAAAACAACGCGCAAAGCAAGGACGAGTATTGGTGATTTGATTTATCAAAAGCACTTTTACTTTTAATAAAGAGACGAAGTCCCCTTCGTCGTATTTTTTATGTTTCCAAAAATACTTTCAATACCGATACGAACTTTCGCGTATTTTTCTTCTGGTATAGTGTCGCCGAAGGCGAGTTTATAGAGTAAGAGGGGTCGCGGAGGGATTCTCTATTCGTCTTCAGCAAAACGACGCGCAAAGAAGGGACGAGTATTGGTGATTTGATTTATCAAAAGCACTTTTACTTTTAATAAGGAGACAAAGTTTCTTTCATCCCCTTCGTCGTATTTTTTTATGTTTCCAAAAATACTTTCAATACCGATACGAAGTTTCGCGTATTTTTCTTCTGGTATAGCATCGCCGAAGGCGAGTTTATAGAGTAAGAGGGGTCGTGGAGGGATTCGCTATTCGTCTTCATTCTAAGTTAGTATCGTGAATTAAAATAGTATCTTACAATGGGTGTCATTATTTAGTTAAATACGCTTTCTTTCTCCTAGTACTCCGTTCTCACCGGAGGTGTCATTCCACCGTACTCGTCGTCTTCGTTTCCCAATAGGTATTCCGTGTATTCCTTTTCTGTCAGCCAATCATACACACCACGTCTCGAGAATATCCAGGCGACGCGTCCATATTCGTTCCTTCCTTTCGTGAAAGGCAAACCTTCACGCTCGACCATATCTTTTATTTTGTTCCCAAACTGCGCATCCGTCGGTTCCGACATTTTCCAGCCCCGAATAAAAGCTGTATAACTCGATACGAGGGTACCCGAAGAAACTTTGGAGTCGTACGTTGGGTGTAATTTATACAAACCTCTGTTCTTAGAACAGAACGTCTGCGGGAACTCTTCGCAAACAAAGTGTTCCAACCACTTGATTTCAGGAGGGAGACACTTTTGGATCGTCTCTCGATAGTACCGCGTTTTCGGACGCCTCGTGATGATATACTCCTCGCTCGTCTCTATACTCATCAGGTACTTATACACGGCGAGTTGGTTCTGCTCCTCGTTCTTCCATCGAAACCAGTTCGACCAAAACGGTTTATGGTTAGGTGTGTTCGGCAAATAGCCACCACGGACTTCGACCAAAACAAAACGTCGCTCCTCTTTCTTCACCAAAACTAAGAGACGACTGTTGCCTGCGAGTATGAACCCTGCCAAGTTATCAACCTCGAATGACTGTTTGTGAAGTGGACGCAAATAGAGCGAAACGTCTGTTATCAAACCCTTCATTCGGTCCTCGTAATTTTTGTGTATATTCTTATTCATCTCGTTTATGAAAACAAGTTTACGTCCTTGAAGTGCCAAACTATGCTTTTCAAAAATATCCCTCTCGGCGTTGGACGTTTCCAAATACGTCGCCTTCCCCATAAGTTTACCAACGAACCCCCAAAACTCGTTCTTCCCACTTCCTTCCTTCGATTGGAATACCAACGCTGTCTTCGGTTTCTTCTCGGGATTTTGAAATAGAAAAGCAATCCACTTCAAAAGATACTCTTGCACACTTTCCTCTCCTCCGCTCATATCCCAAAGCAAATCGAGAAAGGGTTGGGTGTCCCCCGTTTCCTCTGACGCAATTTTCTTCTTCTCTATGTCGTATCCTTCCCATAAGTTATACACGTCGGGAGGACAGTCCTTAGGCACGACGTCCATTTTTCTGAACGCTTTCTTGTTCGGGTCGTCCGCCCACTCTTGGACGAACTTGTGTTCTGTTTTCCCCTCCGAATATTTCAAGTGTGAAAACCGCTCCTTCAGTTGGAGTAAAGTGTACAGTGTGCGTTCATTTTTGGTATCCAGTACTGGATACAATAAGACATCATCAACGCGACACGCGTGATTCTCAAACTCAATCTTCAATTCTTCGTACGTTTGTAAAACGTTTGCTTCTTTTTTGGATGCTTCCATAGTATAATAGCGCAAGATTTTATTTTCCCAAGTTCATATTTTATCGAGTGTTATAATATGAAAGCAAAGCTTGGAAGTTTATTATTCGTGCCCTGGATAAATTTGGTCGAGCGACATTCGCGGCTAAAGTTGGCGACGTACCAATCGCCGGTTGATTCGTGTTTGGTGACGCGAAAGTTGTTCGAGAAGTGTGAAACTTTCCCACACAAAGGACACTCTCCTGCGTTTTGGTCGCACTTGAAACCATAGCTTGTCGTCCAATATATGCCCGAGAATCCAAGGTGTTGTAACCCGGTGTTGATATCGCCTGAGATTCCTTGTGTCTCGATATTTTGGTGCATTGGTTTAGTTTCTGTTCTTTCCCGATTTGCGAAGTTGGCGTTCTCCTCAACCATATCGTATAAAGTGTCGGGCATATTTGTGAGTTTCAAAATGTTCCCGTTAAGACGACAGTAAGAACCCTTTTCTGTCTCACATCCGTTTCCACAAATGTACCCGCCTGTGGTTCTTATATCTATGAACCCGTTGATTTTCGTCGCGTTCTTCCACGTATCAAATCGAGCTTCGTATCGAAAGACCGCGTGGTATCCACCGCTCGGCGTCCTGGAAATGTAAACATCGTCACCACACACTTTCTTAAAATACTCGAGCGTGTATTTTTGTTTGTCCTTACAGTTTGGGTCGTAAATGTCGTAGTCTAAGCATATCGCGTTATTCGGTTTACCCATCAGTATGCCGTAGTTCTCGTCTCTCTTACACAAGGCGTTATGTTTTGCAAAGTTCTCGGGAAGTTGGTATTCGTAAATACCTCGCCTGGGTATTTTGGATCGGAAGCCTAAGGGGATTTTCAACAACTTTCGTTCAGTTTCCATTTTGTATATACTACTTACTGAGAATATTTTTTTACCGTATTAAACTCTTTTACAACAGTCTGCGATTTCTTCATCCGTGATGTTGTATTTGAGTATCGTCGAAGGTCTCGGCGGTAAGCCCCTGATTCGCATATTCTTCAGAGCGTGTTTTCTGTTGAACATGTCTTTGTTTTCTCTGTACATTTCGAGTTGCCTTTTTGTTTCTCTGTATCTGTCTGCGTTCGTTCGCCCTGCTCTGTTTGTATTGACGCACTTTTCGAGGTATTGTGTCTGTATTGCGCCGAGTTTCTTTCGCATTTCGAGAACGGTAATGTTCTGGAACTTTTCCAATACTTCGCTTTGGATATCGCCCGCCTGGAAAAGTATGTTGCACGAGAGTTTGCGAAACTTCGCGCTCGCACGAAGCCCCGAAACCGCCCGATTTAGTGGGAGACTCGAACATCCTATGTATATTTTTTCGGTATGAGGTGATGCTATTTTAAAAATTATGCCATCTCGAAAGCTCATTCTTTCTTTTAAGTTAGGACGAGAAAAAAATATTTTTGTAAAGTTCGTATTTATTAAAGGTTGGAAAAAAAGTGAACAAACACCGCCGTTCCTGAAGACCATGAAGACTTGTGTTGAAAATCTGAAGATTGTGTAGGGGTTGTCTTCAGCCGCAATTTGGTTTGAGTTTGTGCCTATTCGTACTTTTGATGAAGACCCTGAAGACCTTTTTATATTTTAAATATTATTGATAAAAGAAAGAATAAAAAAGAACACTTTTGCTCTTCAGGGTCTTCAGGGGAGACGCGAGGATACACAACATCAAACCTAATCACGGCTGAAGGTTTGGTGACCTGGTCTTCAGAGGTCTTCAGGAAGTTCTCAAGTCATGTCGTGAAATGAAAAAGTTACAAAAACCGAAAACTTTAAGAGTGCTTTGTGTGGTATTTCAGAGTTTGAAGAAAACGAGAAAAAGTGTGTGTGCTTCCTTTACAACTGTTTGCAATTCTTCACTCACATACACAACTTACAAACCATCACACCGAAGTCATACAATCATACCACTTTCAAACCATCATACCATAATCATACTAAAATCACACAATCTTAGAAACATATGTATATATATATATAATAAAACAAGTAAAAAGCGGGATAGTTATGGAGTGAGAAGGATCCGCGTTCGTCAGAAGAAGCGGTTTTTCTGTCTTCGAGAACTCTCTCCTCTCTCTTCTCTTTTGCAAAAAAAAGAGGTCCGAGGCCAAACGTCGTTTTTTTCTCTTTTTTTCAGCTCTTCGTTCTGCCCGGCTGAACGTTCGTTCTGAGCCGCAAATGATTTGGAAAAGAAGGGAAAATTTTATCGTCTTCTCATCTTCTTCACCCCAAACATCATAATCCACGCACGCGCACACACCTCACACACGCGCACACACACACACGCTTTAAATAATAATCATGAGAGCAGCAACCATGGCATCCGTGAGAACGGCCGCGAAACACGCGTCTTTAACGTCTTCTTATTCTTCTTCGACGAGGTGCAGAACTTTCTCTTCCTCGTCGACTTCGACTTCGTCGTCGTCGTCGTTGAGACAATCCAAGAAACACCATTCGCACTGCAGGAAGTTTAGATTTAACAGCAGTAGCAACACCAACAACAGCAACACCAACAACACCAACAACCTGATCATCAAAACGACGACGCGGTTTTCGTCGAAGAGCAGTCGTTTGAGCACGACGACGGTCGTTCGCGCGGTCACTAAAGAGAAGGAAGACGTGAAGACGACTCAAAAAGCAGCAGCAGCAGCTCTCGCGGAAAAAGACAATGAAGGAAAAAAAGGCGACGAGTCCTACGACATTTACAGAGACTCGCCTTTGAGATATATGGGGTACGCGAACGAGTGCGGAGAAGCCTTCGCGGCTTGGTTACCGCCGTTGGGCGTGCCAGCCACGTACGGCGTAGCCGCGGTGTACGTTCTCGCGGATACGTTCGACAAGGCAATCAAAGCGAACAGGGAAAAAGGCATGAAAGAGGGCGTTATCGTCGGTTTAGACACGGTCACTTGGCAGATGCTCGCTTCGGTCTTTTGGCCGGGGAGTTTCATTCGCGTCATGGTGAACGCAACCAACTTGTTGGTCTCCAAGTTACCTGCGGATTTGTCTTTAGACGTTGGAGGTTTAGACGCGGAGACGATTGAAAAAGCGTTGCCAACTGCCATCGGTTTAATGACTATCCCGTTCATCGTCAAGCCAATCGATAAGACCATCGATTGGGCGATGGAAGAATCCGTGACGAAAGTATTGAGAGGCAAGTGCGAATCTCCTGCGGATTACGCCAAAGCCGCCGGTATCGTTGGCGCGTGCTTAGCGGTCCCACCCGCGTTGTTTACCTTCGCCGGGGTGATTGGCGACTTGGCCGCGTAATTCTTTGGTATCTTTCATGATTGATTTAATATAATATAATAAAATACGTTTTCGTTTTGATGTGTATTGATTAATCTTTCACTACTACTGGGCACGTACGCATACAAAAAGTTCGCTGTAAACTTTTTTATTACAAAAAACACTCTTTAAACGCGCGATTCGTTTTTCTTCAAGTTGTTAATCGCGTCTTCTAATCTTCTCGCTCGAGCTTTGGCATCCTCGTTCACCTGTCGCATTCGAATGGCTTTATCTTCTACATCGTCGGCGCTTTTCTTCGTGAGTACAGAGAATAAAGCTGCGACGGGAATTTTGAGACCTGCAGCTCTCGAAGTGTACATGTACAATCCCAAAGCGGTCGTCGTTACGAAAGCGACTGCCGCTAAAAATCCACGCTGTACTTCTAAGCTTTGTATGCGTTCATTCTGAGCCTTCTCTTGACGCGCGAATGCATGATATAAATTTCTATCTCTCGCGACGGATTCCATCGCTTCGTCGACGGGAATGGCATCCTCTCCCAAAAATGTTCTAATCATAAACTGGGTGCATTGATTCCCGTTCTCCGTGTTTGCTTTCACCGCGCACCGTCTGAGATTTTCGGACTCGATCCACTTGCGGAGTTGCAGATTGTTAAACTTAATCGCTACTTTTGGAATGCCATATTTCTCCCAATCGAAAGTGGCGAATAAAACTCCTCCGCCGACTCCACCTCCGTTCTGATTATTCTGATTATTGTTACTCACCACCCTCGTCGTTGTCATCGCTCTTTGTTTTTGTTCTTGTTGTTGCGCGTAACTCGGCGCAACCGAGAACGTCGAAACTATCAACGCGACGATGACAAGAAAAAACGATTTCGTCGAGCACTTTCTGCAATGCCACTGCTGCTGCTTCGATGATGATGATGATGTCTTCATCATCGTTCTCTTCTTCTTCTTCTTCTTTGTCTTCTTTGTCTTCTTTGTCTTCTTTGTCTTCTTTGTCTCTTCTTTGTCTTCTTCTACGAGTACTTCAAAAAATGAGGGGTTGACAGTTGATGGGTTCTGAGTGAAGTGAAAAAAACGAAAAACGAAAAACGAAAAAAAAAATCTCAAAACAAACAGACAACACAAAAACAGCGCGCGCGCGCGCGCACACACACAACACACGCGCAAAAAGCACCCGCCTTGAAATTATGGGCGTGAAATTGTCATCTCCTCAATCGAGGAAAACCACGGGTCGGGGTTTCGCGCATAAGATCAATTCGAAACGATTCGTAAGATATGTAATCTTATTTCTCATCGCGGTGGTGTTTATGTCCGTCGAGAGAATGTTTCGACAGTTGACATTGAGCAGCATCTCGATTGATAATGACGATGATAACGATGGAAACGTAGTTGTAAAAATATCTTCTCCTCCTTTATCATCATCATCATCATCTTCATCATCGTCGTCGTCGCTGATGAGAGATGTGGAGAGGACGAGGACGACACGCACACGAGAAGAAGATGAAGATGAAGAAACCAAAATCAAAACGACGACGGTTCGTGGAAAACAACAACAACAACCACGAACAAATGAAAAAGAAAACGAGACTGCGAAAGATATCTTACGCGCGATTGATTTGAGACTGGCCGATCGGCTCTACCCTTCCTCCTCTGCAACACAACAACAACAACAACAACGTAGTTTTTCGTGGTGGTTACCCACGTCCTCGTCCAGAGCGCTCTGGAAGTCTGACGAGGAGTACGCCTTGAAATGGAAAACCTTTCGCGACGACTTTGAAGAAGAAAAACTTGGCGTTTTAAAGAAAAGCGATGGTGAAAGTCATCGCGAAAACATGAAAGGACACGATACAGATGATACAGATGATTTTAACAGCAACCGAATCGGAATTGTGCACTGCTTTAATACTGACGATAGCGAAGGAAGTAGTGGTAGTAGTAGTAGTAGTAGTAGTAGTAGTAGTAGTAGTAGTAGTAGTAGTAGTAGTAGTAGTACAAGTGCTCAAAGAGTTGATTCGTGCGAAACGTACGAGAGCGAGAAAGACGACGATGCTTACTTTGACGCCGTTTACACACAGTTTCGAATTTGGAAGGTGAAGAAGATACTAGTCGTCGTCGACGCCTCATCATCATCCAGCTCTGGTGCGCTGGATATCAACACTAGCGCAATGAAATTGAAGGAGAAAAGTAGTGTTAATGGAGGAGAAATAGCAATAGAAGTGGTTTCGGGTCGAGAAGAATCGCACGACGCGCTCTTTGCGAGGATGCGCCGAGCGAAAGCAGTCGCGGTCGCCGGTTACGCCATCTCCCCGGTATCGTTCCTTGCCGGAGTCTCGAGATACGATGGTCATTTTATCACGCCGTTTCTTGGGCTTTCTACCATGCAAGGTGGTGGGGATTCGACTCGAAAGGATCCGCGCGTAACGACGAGCGCGGCGAATTGGAAACGAGCCGTGATGTTTACTCAGAGAGTGCACTGGCGACAACACTATCCTTTGTTAGAGAAGGACGATTTCGTTGTTCCGGAAGAAAATTCGCGCATTTCCGCGACGCAACCAAAAGATGAATCCACGCGCGCGTGCGAAGATTTGTGGGGATGGAGAGGATTACAAAACAGATGGGAGATGAATGGAAACGACGCGCAGACGATGCACGTCACGGCCTCTCGGTCGAATCGGCATCCAACGGCGCGAGGCTTCATAAAGATGGAAGCAAAATTGAACGCGTTACCTCTTCGCAACGTCGCGATCGATGTGTCTCCTCACAGAGACGCCATGAGTAAAAACCCGTGGCATAGGCTCACCGCCTTGTACGCGACTTTCGTTGCAAAGAGTCGTTTCTTTCCAAACCGAGATGCGACTTCGGTTACCTTGATTCTTCCTTGTCAAAACCCAGAAGATATCCCAAGCGAATACGCAGTTTTCGGGAAACCGAGATGTAGGCGGAGTTCGGATACCGTGCAATTTGACTCGATAGTGAAGATCGCAAACGATGGATTGCTTTGGGATCTCGCGTGGGATGGATCGTTGCCGTGTCGAGATGAGTCTCTCTTCAACTCTTTCGTAAAGCTTCTCGCCGGCGGCGGCGGCGAGATTTTCTCTACGCCCAACGTTCCATTTATGGAACGGTCCATTTGTTTCATGAGACGTTTGAACACGTCGGTTCGTCGATTAGTAAACGAAGAGGCTGTCTTGCAGATGCTGCGCGATACTTTTCCCGAGAATGAAGTCGAATTATTAAACATTCAAGCGAGCGACGGAGTTGAACAAACACGCGCGTCGATGCAAAAGTGCGGCATTTTTATAGGCGTCCACGGCGCGGGAATGATAAACGAAATATACACGTTGAAAGATTCAGTTATCTTTGAAATGGTTCCAGATAATAGACCGGCGTATTACAGGAACTGCGCGGTTTTACGCGGATTGAAGTACGTGGATTTTGGAATTAGCGGGACGCAGGAAACGAAATCTGTTACGGTGGACGTGACGAGATTACGTGATAAAATGCATTCGATTATGCGCTCAAACGCGGGAATTTAGCAAGCTTTTGTAATAGTACGATGTAGCGTTCACAGTAGATGAATGTGTTGTTAGAACTGTTATAAATTTATCGGCCCGGAGTCAGCGCACCGTCCAAGTTCTCTTGCTTGAAAAAAATTCTTTTTCCTTCTTCTTCTTCTTTTCTGTTCTTCTTCATACTTTTTCCTAGTCGTCGTATTAGGTGATTTAAATCCCTGGCCGTGGTGAAAAACGCGAACGTCGTTCCGAACAGAGTGGATAAGTATCCAATCACGGTGACCATCGAGGAGCCATCATCATGGGTGCGCGGGGGGATGCGATTGGGGATAAGCACGCGCTGTTAAAATGGATCGGCGAAAAGTTGAACGAGTTGTGCGGATTTACCGAAGCAAATGTAAACCAATTCGTTTTGGCCATCGCGGAAAAGCACGCCACGTCTTCATCTTCATCGCATAAGAAGTTGTATGAAACGTTAAAAGACTCTGGATTTGATGCGGTGACGCTCGAGTTCTCTCGAGAATTGTGCAATCGTTTGCTTAACAAGAGCGAGGATACTATTAACTCCTTTCCTAAACAGAAAACGAAGAAGGATGAGGAAGTAAGAGAAGGAAAAGAAAAGAAAAAGACATCGACAAACATCGCCGCGGCAGCATACGATAAAGACGAAGTCGACGACGAGGAGAACAAGTACGCTCTGGTGCAGTCTTCGTCCTCGGACGAAGACGTTGATGAGGATTCCAAAAGGAAATCAAAGAAGAGAAGTAAAGAGAAGAAGAAATCAAGGAAGAGTTTAAAGAAGAAGATGAAGAGAGAGGAGAGAAAGGGAAGGAAGCAAGATTCAGCAATGGGGGGAGCAACGTCATCGTCGGCAGATGCATATATTTCTTCTCAATCTTCTTCTTCAGAAGACGAGGAGACGAAATTGAGGCGTGAACGAGCTTTGCAAGGGTATCGCGATTTAGAGTTGGAGCCGGATGACGACGACGACGAGGAGGAAGAAGAAGAAATATCCGAAGAGACTGCTCGCGAGAGAGAACGATTGCGGGACCAAGAAGAAAAGCGTGAATTTGAGGAGCGCTTGCGCATGAAAGACGAGGAGAAAACGAAGAAGCTCGATAACGGCGGCGGTATCCTCAAATCGAACAAAATCAAATCGACCAATGCAGAAGGAGATGAAGAGGACGAGGAAGAAGTAAAGAGAGGCCTAATTCCAGACTTGAGGAAAGTCTCGCGACAGGAGTATCTCAAAAAGAGAGAGCTTCAAAAGTTAGAAGAGTTGAAAGAGCAAATCGCGGACGATGAGAAGATGTATGAATACGGCGGGCGTCCGCTGACGGAGAAACAAAAGAAAGATTTAGAGTACAAGAAACAAACCTTAGCGTTAGCAGAGGCGCAACTTATGAACGTCGAGGAGTCCAAAGAGGAAGTATATCAAATGCCGTTGACGTACGACGACGTGGACGATAAAGCAAACGCAAAAAACAATCGCGATAAACGCTTCCAAGTTGCTTTAGAGAGATACAAAGAGAGCGCTCAATCTAGAAAAGAGGAGAAGGAGGACGCCAACCCGTTCAAAGAACAAGATGAATGGGAAGATCATCAGATTCGACAAGCAAAAATGGGCAAGAAGAATAAAGAACAAGATGAAAAGAGGGGATACGATTACGTGTTTGAAGATCAAATAGCGTTCGTTGTCGACGAGCAGATCAAGGGAACTAACGTCTCCGATTCATCGTCATCCTCGGATTCCGATTCCGATTCGCAGAGGGAAAAGACGAGAAGAAGAAGAAGAAGAAACAAAACGACGCAAGAAAAAATTGACGACGAAAACGATCCAGATTCTAAAGCTTTGCGCGGAGAGCTCGGCGCTAGAAAGAAAATTGAAGCCGATAGGAGGTCCTTGCCTATTTATCCATATCGAGATGATTTAATCAAGGCGGTTGAAGATCATCAAACCATCGTTATTGTTGGAGAAACGGGTTCCGGAAAGACGACGCAGATACCTCAATACATGTGGGAGGCGGGATTTGCGAAAGAAGAAGGCGTTCGAATCGGGTGCACACAACCTAGACGAGTAGCGGCGATGTCCGTGGCGACCCGAGTTGCAGATGAAGTAGGATGCAAACTAGGAAACGAGATTGGTTATTCGATTCGCTTTGAAGATTGTACGAGCGATAAAACGAAGGTGAAATACATGACAGATGGTATGCTTTTGCGCGAATTTCTCGGCGAGCCTGATTTGAAATCTTACAGTGTCATGATGGTGGACGAAGCGCACGAGCGAACGCTTCACACGGACGTTTTATTCGGACTCGTCAAGGACATCGCGCGGTTCCGTCCTGAGATAAAATTGTTAATTTCATCCGCGACGCTCGACGCGGAGAAGTTCTCAGAGTACTTTGATTTCGCGCCAATCTTTAGAATTCCAGGGAGACGATACCCGGTGGATATTTTGTACACGAAACAACCAGAGGCGGATTATATGGATGCGGTGGTTGTTTCTGTGTTGCAAATCCATGCGCAAGAACCGAAAGGTGATATCTTGGTTTTTTGCACCGGCCAGGAAGAGATTGAGGCTTTGGAAGAAACACTCAACACGCGCGTAAAACAATCGCAGTCAACCAACGACGACGAAGATGGAGGAAGGAGTAAACGTTTGGCGGAATTAGTCGTGTGTCCAATCTACGCGAGCTTGCCCACGGATTTACAACAAAAAATTTTCGAACCAGCGCCAGAAAAAGGGAGAAAATGTGTATTAGCAACGAACATCGCCGAAACGTCTTTGACCATCGACGGCATCAAATACGTCATCGATCCAGGATTTTGCAAGCAGAAGAGTTACAACCCGCGCTCGGGTATGGAATCATTAGTAGTCACACCAACTTCTCAAGCATCCGCGATGCAACGAGCCGGGAGAGCTGGTCGAACATCGGCTGGTAAGTGCTATCGTTTGTATACCGCGTGGTCGTTTCAGAACGAGCTAGATCCAAACACGGTTCCGGAAATCCAAAGAACGAATTTAGGAAACGTTGTTTTGATGCTGAAGTCCTTGGGAATTAACGACCTCATGCACTTTGATTTCATGGACCCGCCGCCTGCGGAAACGCTTTTACGCGCTTTGGAGCAGCTCTACGCGCTCGGCGCTTTGAACGATCGAGGCGAACTCACAAAACTTGGTCGTCGCATGGCTGAATTTCCGCTCGATCCTATGCTTTCGAAGACGTTAATCGCGAGCGATAAGTACAAGTGCGTCGACGAAGTAGCGACAGTATGCGCGATGCTCTCGTGCGGCAACACCATCTTTTACCGACCAAAAGAGAAGCAGCTTTTAGCCGATCATGCGCATAAGGCTTTTCATGTGGGTGATGTCGGTGACCATCTAGCATTGATGAACGTCTTCAACTCGTGGCAAGACTGCGATTACTCGACGCAGTGGTGTTTCGAAAATTTTGTGCAACACAGAACCATGAAGCAGGCGAGAGACATTCGTGACCAACTTGTTAAGATGTTGGAAAGAGTCGAGATTGATTTGTCGTCCGATCGAAACGCGGTCGATAACATCAAGAAGTGCATAACATCTGGTTTCTTTTATCATTGTGCAAAGTTACAGAGAAACGGAAGTTATCGAACCGTGAAGAATCCGCAAACGGTGTCCATTCACCCGAGTTCTGGATTGGCGAAGGAGTTGCCCAAATGGGTCGTATACTTCGAGCTTGTCTTTACGAGTAAAGAGTACATGCGTCAGTGCATTGAGATTCAACCGAAATGGTTGGTTGAAATAGCACCGCATTATTATCAATCTCGCGAAATTGACATCGACGGAGATGCTCAAAAACAAAAACGTACGCCCGCTTAAACTGAAAGTGGGGCAAATTCTTAATAATTAATAGCAGTTAGTCTCATGCGTGTTGTTATATTAGCTTTGTCTCAAAGCGCGCATTATTTTTTCGACGGCACTTTTTTGTGAACTCATCTTTGTTGCTGTCGTGTGTTTCGTTTTCGTTTTGAAAAATGAACGGCGCCGCTGCGGGCGTCGGAGGAGGAGGAGGAGGAAGTGACACCGGTGCTCTCGCCACAGAAACGATACGCAAAGCAGTCGTTCAACTCTACTTCTCTTCAACGTGCGATGCGCAAGCTCGAGAAGAGGCGAACCAATATTTGCTCTCTTTTACGAACGACCCGTCGACGACGGCACATTGTTCTGCCCTTTTACGTGAGTCGTTGCATAACCTCTCGTCAATGCGCGATGAACACGACGGAGCGACGAACGGGAGAAATAAAAGAACGGAACACACGATCGCGTTCTTTGCCGCGAATGTGTTGAAAACGAAAGTGCTGAAGGAAAACGTATATGTGGGAGAAAATACCACTGAATTTATCAGCGAGATTCTGAAATACGCGAGCGAGTTTGCGAACATCGACGAAGAGTCCGTCACGGTCGCTCGAAAGTTAGCTTCTGTGGCAGCAACGAGTGCGGCATTGTCGGTGAGGCAACAACATCAACATCAACAAAATCAGCGTAACGGGAGTAACGAAGACGTAGGGGTAGGTATAGCAACAAACCTTATTCGTTTTGCGGGAGAGCTTGCGAGTTCTGCTTTACAGAACAACGACGGCGATGCCTTCAATAATAGATTGGTTATAATCAGCAACAGTAGAAAACAGACGTGTGGGATTGAAATCTTGAAAGCATTTACTGAAGCTATAGAGGAAAACGTGAAAGACGGACGAACGAGAACGCAACTCGTCGAGAGGGTATGCAAACCCAGCGGTCGCGACGTTCTACAATTGTGCTCGAGCGTTTTAGAGTTTGCCGGAGTTTTATCACAATCGATTGGTAGCAGTAGTACAAGTAGTATTAGCAATAGAGAGTTAGAAAACGCCGCGAGAAATGCCGTGAACGCGTGCTTGGAATGTTCGAAACTTTGGTTTGAAGCGTGCGCGAAGGAACCCGAGTCAACATCTACACAACAACAGGATCCATATCAACAACTCTTTTCCCCGTGTGTAGTTGGAGAGGCGTATCCGGTTTTATTTAGTAACGCGGCAAAGTTCGTGTCCAGCATGGACGATACGAGAGGAGAAGCTGCGCTGCAATTTCTAGTAAAGATGTGCGCTGGTGCACAATCGACGGATTACGCAAGAGAGCGATGCGCCAATCACGAATTGATGAAGCAGCTTATTCATTACGCTACTGCTTCTGAGGACAAACCGTGTTTTACAAGCGGTACGGTCGCGTCGAGAGTCTTGCAAGGTTTTGTAGCCCTCGTTGAGCGCGACGTTCTCACGTTTACGGAGCACATGAACGACGATGCAAATAGTAACGCGCAACATCAAGCAATCGAGTTCGTATGCGCCTTAGCCGAAGCGTTTCCAAAAGAAGCGGTAGAACCATTTGGCGATTTCTGTTTGATGATCAACACGATGAAAAAAGATGAACGCATCGAGGCATGCAGAGACCAACTCTTCGAAAGATTATTCAACGTTTGCTGCATCGCAAGCGCGTCGCGACAGTCGTCACCAGCTAATGGAAATGATTTTTCAGACGACTCCGCCGACGACGAAGAGTACGACGAAGAAAACGCAAAGTTTCGCGAACACGTATTGGCGGACGCCTTCGATACGTGCCACGGCGCTTTAGGAGGGGAAAAGTATCTCGCGATAGTTTCAAATTTATTTCAGCAAAATGGAAATCAGTTCGAAGCGGTGGACGTTGCGCTTTTCACTTTGATTGCAGCAAAGTACGGTATAAAAGAGGACATCTCAGACGGTGAGGCGCACGTTGTGCAATTTTTTACGCAAATATTCACATCCATCGCGAGTAACGAGGCGATGTTCGTTTCTCACCCGCGCGTGATTGAGACGTCGTGCAAGCTGATTGAAACGTATTTTCCGGTAACCGTGATGAAGCAAGCGACCACGCCTACTGATTTAATTTTAGGAACGTTACGATTTACTTTGCTCGCAATGTCTCTCAAGGAGTCTTGGCGCGCCGCGTCGGTTGGATTTCGCGACGTTTGCGGTAAGCTCGAAACGAAAATTGCGCACTTTAAAGCGGAGGCGTTTGTTGAAATTATAGAACTAGCGACTGAGGCGATGGATAAAATTCCCATCGTAGTAGTTGGTGCGCCAGAAAATGACGCTTCAAAACAGCAAGACCAAGAGCTGTCCCGAGCGTGCGTCGAAGGTTTAGCGCGGGTCCTTCGAACTATGTGGGTATACTGCGCCAACGATGCGGGTAAATTTGAAGTTGTTAAAGGAGTGATGATGCGATTGATTTCTCCCCACATAGAACGCTTGAACCGCTCTGTCGCACAGAAGAACGCAATTTTGGCTACCGACACATCAAACATTTCCCCCGAGAGTGTCGAAGCGTTGCAAGCGCGATCCATTGAAATTTGTCTAGCGCTTTCGCGCCTCGGAGCGATGGTGCGATTTCTTGAGCCGCCCCCGTCTGTGACTTCTTCCTTGTTCTCTCCGAGGAATGACTTAGCTTGCCTCGTTCTCGAGTCTGCGTGGAGCTCGATCGAGAGCATTCTATCGCCTTCTACTCGAGCGACTGGTATTGTGAATGTGAAGAATCAAGCTGAAAGGGAAGATGAGGAATCGGTCAAGGCTGTGCAAATGCTTGCTAATTTCGCCGTCGCTTCGAAAATGCGCGCGAGAGATTTCTCGGAGCACGTATTTGCGCTTCTGGAGAGTTCATTTGCGTCGTTCATGCCAGGAAGTAACGCAGCGAGACACGTTATGCAGTGCATATCGTTATTTTTGGAGGCGATTTGCGAACCCATGCCACCATATGATTTAGATAGCGCCTCGGGGTCTACGAAGACGAGCGTGGCGCGATGTCTCGAACGCGTTTTGAGCTCACCGGATGCATATCAAATTCAGGAGAACGGCACGTACGCGAAGGCGTTTTACGACGTTGCGCGAACGGCGATTCTATTTGCACCGTCTGTATCGCTCGATACAAACGCGTCGTCGTCATCGCACGTCGTTTATGAGACTTTAGCTAAGAGCCTGCATGCGCTCGCGTCACCTTCTTCCAATTGTGGCGTCGGCGATAGACGAATGGTACTTTTAAGCGTCGCATCGTTGTGGAATACGCTCATGTATCCCAGCGAAAGATTAATTAAATCCTCCGCAACTTGGCAACACTGCTACTCGGCCGTATCCATTTTTGTCAGACGAGACCAAGCGCAGCAGGTCATCGCGCATTGCGCAGATGCAATGTTCTTCCAAGACGAGTGTTCTTGTCCGAGAGATTGTTTACGCGCATTGGCGAAGATGCTGCGTGGAGCATTAATTGAAGTCGATGCTTCGGAACAAGACGCTAGTAATTTGAAGAATCAAAAGTTGGAATTTTTTCTCTCTCTCTTCACCGCCGCGGATAAGTTTCAAAGCAACATGGACTTTCTCAAAGCAGCGCACGTTTGCGTTGAGATAATACAAAGAGAGAAGCTTTCTTCTCAGCGCTTTGACGCCATGCTGGTCGATTTTGCGTACGTATGCAGATCAGAAGCTGACAACGACGCGCTTGAAGATTATCTTCTCTAGATCTCATATGTTGTGTCTTTTGTCTGGCTTTTTGTACATTATATTATTCGAAGAAGATAAAGTAAGGAGTGCGAGGGAGAAGAATGGAACGTACGAAAACTAGCATGTAGAAGCAACACCACTGTGTTTTGATTTGTGTCATGCGCACCCAGTAATTTTGCAATCCCCTAATCCGGAACTCCCCTAACCGCGCTATACTTGCTAAGTAAGTTTCAACTTTGTTTTCTTTCGACTTGGACGGCTTTAAAGAACAATCGATCAACCCTGTTTAGGGTTTTAGGGTTTAGGGTTTTGGGGTTTAGGGTTTAGGGTTTAGGGTTTAGGGTTTAGGGTTTAGGGTTTAGGGTTTAGGGTTTAGGGTTTAGGGTTTAGGGTTTAGGGTTTAGGGTTTAGGGTTTGGGTTTAGGGTTTAGGGTTTAGGGTTTAGGGTTTAGGGTTTAGGGTTTAGGGTTTAGGGTTTTGTTGTCCCCTAACGGTCAGCCGATCTGCACTTTCACTCCAC